TTTGGGCTGTTTGGTCGCGGCATTCTTTGGAGATGCTAGTGTAACCAAATTTGCGACCGGAAATAAATTCCCGCTGCCTTGGGAAGTACCTATGCAAAAAATCCCGAAAATAAAAATATAAGTTTTTGAGAAATTTCGAAATTACGGTAATTTTAGGGGATTTCCTGTCCGAAATTACCGTAATCCGGGATTTTCTCAAAAACTTATATTTTTATTTTCGGGATTTTTTGCTAAAATACTCCTCTATCCATTCTGAGTGAATTTCCAGTCTCAAATCTGGTTACACTAGCAGCTCCAAAGAATGCCGCGGCCAAAAAGCCCAAAAACCCCCTAAAATGACCGTAATCCCGGATTTTCTCAAAACTTATATTTTTATTTTCACGATTTTTTGCTAAAATACTCCCCTGTATATTCTGAACATATTTCCGGTCTCAAATTTGGTTACACTAGTATCTCCAAAGAATGCCGCGTCCAAACAGCGAAAAAAGCGGATACGGCTACCGTAATCTCCCTTTATTTCAAGAATTGATAGTACTGTAACCTTGATTTTTTGATTTTTACGTTGTACACACATTTCTCAATGGGATAGCTGGTCTAAATGCGTCATTTGAAAAAAATGGTTAGCGAAATTGACAAAAGTTAGAAACTACAGTAACCATCGTATAAAGCCTGAAATAAAGCCTCAAATATTTATTTTTTGATCTGAAAATATTTTTCTCAGGCTAGTCTATTAATGGGTGAGGCGTGGCAATCAATGGTACCGTTTGAGAATTCATCATCTCCATTTTGGTCCTACAGTACCCGAACATAGCAACTTTGAACGCGTATATCTCAAAAACTTATATTTTTATTTTGGATTTTTTGGTCTTATTTTACGGAGAGTGTGTCCAACCTTTATAATCAAGCTTAAAAACTGGTTACACTTTTCCCAATTTTTGGCAGTAATCGATATGGTATGTTGAGGGTTACGGTACTACCAAAAGATGAAGAGATACAAAAAACATTTCAATTAGGAAAATGTTGGCCATGGTCGAAAACATCCAGTCGGTAAGTTTCATCCGCAACGCTCCATCCCTCAGCCCATCACAATAGGAACTTTACAAAACACAAAATGTTACAGTAATCCTCGAATAATGCAAATTTCGCAAAAACGTTTGACACTTTCGATGTACGCCCTGTGGGTCTTCTATGAGCCAAATTTGAAGAAATTCGGTGATGGTCACCGCAACAATGTCCGGGCCATGCTTCACTTTGTAAAAAAATCCGTTTTAAAAAACGTTTTTTAAAATATGTGGGACAAATGCTTGGAACAGGTTAGGAAAGTGACCATAAATTTCGGGTTATTGTCAAAAGTTCCTCGGTTTTGGTATTTTTGGATGCTGCGAGAAATCAGAATACCAGCGACATATTGATTTTAACCTACAGACTCAAAATAAAAAAATGCTTATTGAGGCAAAAAATACGGTAGAATTTGAGAAAAAAAATTATTATTTTTTTGGCTTAGGTTATCCATTTTACCGGTATGTTGGTGTTCTAAAATATCACCTATGCTCGCCTGATCGTCTAAAAACGCTTACATTCTCACTACAGTACGATTTAAGAAGGTTTTGGATTGTTCTTTGAATCTTACAAGGGAAGTGCCACAACTTATAATTGTCAACTCCTTGGCAGAAAACGAGATAATGCACTCACATGGTCATGAGAAACTTGTTTTGCGAATTGGATAAATTCTGGGACCAATTTGACATCTCGTAAATTTAGTGCGAAATTTGCAAGGAAATCGAATTTTTGCTGAATTGTGGGTCATTTTTATTCTGGGTGAGGTTGTGTGGGCTGAAAAGAGGAGGGAAGTAGAAACGAGCTCTGACTTTCGACCCCGACCGGGCAGTAAGAACCGTTCTTACCCTCGAGCTCGAAACCCGAAAGTCAGGATGAAAATTGGCTTACTTTTTGCAAAAATTCCGGGGAGTAAACTCGAAAGCTGACTTTTTTACAAAAGAAACTAAAGACAGAAAAATTTCGAACTTTTCGAAAAAATTGGATCAAGGCTCTTATATATTCACCTATAAAATGGGTTTTATGACGATATCTGAATTTTCAGTTATCGTAGTGTGGAAGGTTTCGTCGTATAAAAAGTCCCTGATAATGTAGCAAAATTTTTAGTCTCGAGACTAAAAATTTTGCTAGAGATCTCATATGAGATTGATCAAATGAAACATTTGGGATCTACCAAGTTATATTCTGTGGAGAGTTGACATTAAGGGGAGGTTGCCAAACCATTCCTCTTGGAACGTAATATTATATCAACGCCAATATTAATTTTTGAATAATATTTGTTAGTAATGTAGATTTACCAGCGGGATCTGCAGTCGTTCATGCGGTATTGGCGCGTCGTGATCAGGTACCAATCTTCTAGAATGTTTTAAAAGATTTGGCCCTGGGGTTTTCTTTTGTTTGATCGACGCTTCTTTGATCCTCAATACGTGCGAATTCCCTAAATTCAAGTGAAGTTTTAAATTGGCCTGCTCTTTCACAAACCTTGTTGCATTGTCTTTGTATCATAGTCTTGTGAGACACGGGCCCGTTTGCCCCTTTGTGTATGTTAACTGAAATGTATTTGATTTCCCTAAATTTATAAAGGTCGGATCTTATAATAGAGCTCGTTGATCGGATAAGTCCAGTAATCGACCTTGTTTACCTCGAGCGCTTAGGGACCTTGGCTTGTTTTCGTTATAAATTACTTTTGTCTGCCGAGAAACGAATTTCAAAGGGTCGGCTTTTCCACAAAATTGGGTTAAGAGAGAGGACATTGCACTGGGGACCAAGGGGAATATAAGTGGAAGACGAAAGGCAATCCTTGCTTTTGTTTCAGAGGGATCGCCTTTTGTGGTGATTAATATTTGAGGCGAAGAGTGGTGAGAAGGCCTTGGGGCCTCTTATTCTGCAGCCTCGTAATTTTTGCAGTTTAATTTCAATCAGTGAGTTGAATGACGTTTGGGTAAACACTCAGGAACAGTCAGTTGAAACACCAGATCTTTGTTCTTATGTGTAGAGGGAGGGGGGAGATTTTAACTGTAGATAACATCTTTTTTGGGGTGTTGGCTTGCTACCTGTTCACTGGAACCTTTCCATAAACTTTGAGACAATGTTTTCTTTTTTTGACAACGTTTCCTTGGCTGATAGTGTTTGTTTATGTATTCACCTGACCTCGTTCTGTCATTTTTCAAACCGATAAGCGTCACTTCAGTCCTAAACGCCTGCGGAATAATTTCGTGCCCGATATGCATTTAATCAATTCTTTTCTCCCGAATTCCTGAGTCGACTCGTTTTGATGATAACATGGGACCTCAAAATTATATGGACTCTGATTCATAAGTGATGTAGGGCTCGAGTTAGTAGTGATTCTGATTTAGATAAGACTGACGCCTTTTAAGGCTTTCAAGACAAGTAGCAGCTTTAAGTGGCCTTAACTCCTAATTGCAAGCACCGTGGGTTATTCCTTCTGGAATGAGAGCGCGTCAGATTTATGGTGCTCTACTTGTAAGGGCTATGACATCAGAGAACGTTGCAGAGTCTTCCATTTCGTATTGTTATGATCGAAGCTGACCAGTAAAGTAGATAGTGGAAATGAATGCTGTTAATTGGTTTTGAAATAGGGGTCTGGTTAAAGCTCATTGCGGCTCGAAGATCTGGTCATAAGAGCATTCGGTGGGTTCGGAAAGGCCTAGTCTGATGACGTATTTCAGAAGGATGATTACTTTGCCTATCTTTAGTCTCTAATTCCCACCCTCCGACTTAACGGCGGCATTTAATTTGGTCTGATTTTGCAGTTTAATGGAACTGCAGTCGTAATTGGGGGCGTTTGTTTATCCTTGCCCTCTGATATTTCCCCTCATGTATTTGATATCCTCGCTTATTGTCGGGGCATTCTTCCTGTTTGTTTATGGAAGAAGGACTAAACTAAACTGTCTGAAATAATACTTTTTTTGGCGATTTTGTACGAATAATTGGCTCTATTGGGAGAGTGGACACCCCTGCCCTCTCTCCCCTCTCTTGACCCGCTCTTTTTTCAATTCCCTTGCGCTATTGGGCAGTTGAACATTCCTTCCGTGTTCCATCATATTTACCCTTATTTTTGATTAGAATGGGAAGATTGATAAGACTTGAGTTATTTTTCTTTTATTGAAGAGATAGTTGGGTAGAGCTGGATTGCAACAATATAATACAGGGGGCTTGGTTTTGTCTGTGAAATGTGTCAAGTGATACTTTTGCCATTAGTCTTAATGGGTGGGATCACGTTTAAGACGCCAGACGATGGGTGTTTATACCGGGGATCCCCGCGATTTCCCCTTGAAAGCCTCGTGGAGACAGAGAATGTTTCTTTTCTCCATCTCTACCCACTATAATATAAGCGGAGAGAAATTGGAAAACGGAGAAATAATGCGGAGAAAAGGGGCGGGGCCAGGCAGCCCGTGTTCTAGTGAGTAATGCCATTATGGAGAGAATATTTATCAGGAGCCGCTACTGATTAATCTTCCCGAGGCTTTTTTTCGTTTCTTAGTGACCTCATTTTATTTGTTTTGTTCCTCCAGTCTGATCATGAGGTTATCCGCCTTTTGTCCGTTCCCTCACAATGTGAATTTAAATCCCTGATTTTTGACTCGCGAGGGTACAGAGTCTATAATTAGAAGGCATCGAGGTCCCTAAAAACGTGATGCATGTGGATTATAAATTTTGATTCAGTTGTTTTTTGACATAATTATGGGTGAGGTTGATTAATGTGTTGTCAGAATACAAAATTGATTAGTATGTGTTTTGTAATAGTATACTCTCATTTAAGTTTTTATGGCCGTTTGACCCGAAATATTTTTTCCTCGCGAAAAACGGAACTAAATCTGAACCGATTCAGATTTTATCGAAAACTTTGAGCGGACTCTACTCCTGACGAGAAAGAATAACATCAGTTTTTGCAGGTATTCCTGTCCTTTGTGAGAGTATTTATGGAACGCCGACCTCAGCATTTGTTCCAGCCACATTACAGATCCGCCAATTCGCTCAATCGTCGTGTCTCAATGACTTGTAATTGTATTGAGAACCCCAATCATCGTCACCTCACTCTTCATAACAGGACCGGGACTCTTCGCTGTGCTTCGAATCCGCCGGTCGATTCCAAGAGTCGACCAAAAAGAGATTTCCGCTTCCAGGTGATCGAACTCAGGGAAGGCCCCAAATGGTTCATCTGGCCGTCCAACAAGTCCCATGGCGATGAAAATAATCTACTTTCCCAAGAATTTAACCAAGAAAACCAGGGACATCGATCGAGAAGTCAGGTAGAACAGGAGAGCCGCCCTATTCCCATAAAAAGTAGGTCTTAATTAATCATGATTCTGTGGTTTCATGATGTTTTTGGGTTTACTGAGTGTTTTCTTGATCTCCATGTGATGTCAACGTTGATTTATTTTAGGTCCCCGTTTGGACGGAAGAAAAAGTTCAATGGATGCCTATTCCGAGCCCTCAACTAGCCGAAGGAGGGTGGAGTCAGAACAATTGGGACTTCGAATGTCCCCGGCTAGTCTGTCTTCGGGCGGCTCCAACCAGTCCAGTCTGTCCTCAGGGTCTACCACTTTCCAAATACTTTCCGTCTCTTCGAAATGGGAACATCAGAGCGAAGACGAGGAAGCAGAAGACATTGAAAATGGGAATCGTTTTTCCGGACGATCTTCTTCTCACGTCGAGCTCTCCACTCCACTTGCTGTTAATTACAAGCCCGTTTCTGTAGAGTCAAATAACAATTAGGTATTGCTTATTTCATATTTTCACCTCTTAATCGATCTCAGAGTTAGCCGTAGTGTAGATTAAATCGATGTCACTGTTGCCTTGTTGTATTTAGTCACTATACCATCATACGAGTAATATTTATTCTTGTTACAATTTGAGTTGGAATGTATTGGACCGTTTACTTTGTTTTTAGTTTAACATTACTTCAATTTTTTTACACTTTCAACATTACTGTAAGAAATAGTTTATGGTTGAAAGTTGACCTTATAGTAGTCAAAACGACAAAGAGACAGTCCGTCTTCCCGTTTGATATAAGTGTATTTTACAGATTATTTAGCCGTTCGGGTCTTTGTTTTGTTTGATATAATGCTGTTTGCATTTATTACAGGGGAATAAAGCTTTACAAAAAGTTGATGATCTTTTTTTGAGGGAAGTCTTTTCTTTCTTTTTCCACAGGCTTTGGCCTTTTCTTACTTTACGAAAAAAAGGAAGTGACCATTCCGGCCGGCCAATATCTTTGCATTCCCTCATCCCAAAAAATGACCGCAAAAAAGAAAATAAACTTGCTTTACTAGAAATTGGAGGCAGCAGATGTTATGGGCATAACAATTTATTATAATAACTTTAAAGAAGGAAACAACATGAAAAAGATAATAAACGACTAAGCAAATAATCAGAAAATAATGGTCCGATCATCGACTCCGAGGATCTTCCACTTGGCAACAACTGAATTCATTTCGTCTGTGAATGACATGCGATCCCTGAGTTTCTGTAATTTAATGACATTGTATTTGATGACGGCCGTTGCCAAAACTTCAGAGAAGGTAATTCGAATAAACGCCAAACTCGGAGTTAGAAAATTTATTAGCATTAGGTATAGGAAAACCAATTAATAAGTTACGAGTTCTTGAATCCAGATTACCTTCTCAATAGTCGCAACAGCCTTTCTTTAGGAACTGATAAACATAAATTATAAGGCAATATCTTTTTTTACTTACCCTCAACGCATCCACAGCTAGAAGGTCCGTTTTTCTGTCATAAAAAATAAAACAATATCCAATGTTGCCCAGTCGACCAACGCGACCACACGAACTCAGGATATTGTGATGATTGTTTTCTTCGCAAATATCATAATGGACAACCACTTTCAGATCGGGGACATTGATCATTCGGGCCATCAGATCTTGTGTTACAATTATATCATAATCACCTTGAAGAAAGCTGTTCATAGTCTTCAACATTTCATTGGTGGAGTCTTGCGATGCAATTTCTTTGGCCAGATATCCTTCCCTTTTCAGTCGATATGCCAATTGGGCGCATCGATCGTTCTCTTTTACAAAAATAATTGTTTTCGGCGGTCGATCAGGCGCATCTCGAAGACTTGTGTTCTTCAACAAAGAGATGAGGGCATCGTGCTTGTGCTGGCCTGTCTAAACTAACAAGGGAAGTACCCCAAGTGCGACGCTCCGATTTTCTTTAAATTTTGAGCACACGTCGGGCATGAACTAAATAACAATTCCTGAAAGTTTTAGCTCGCGCTTTGCGGGCGCCGCCGAGATATCGAACGATTTTTTCCGCCGAGAGAGTACGCTAAACAGGGAGAGCGGACAGAGAGAAAAACACTTTTTGGTCATAACTTTGCTTGTTTTGTGCGGAAAAAATTGATTTTTTGTGGAAACATTACCCTCCATGGTAGAAATAGGTACCAAACTTTTCGTGCCGAAATTCAGCAAAAAGTGTCAAATTTTCGCCCACTTTCGATCTAAAAATCTCGGTTGTTTCTGCAAAGCGCGAGCTAGGGTTCCCGCAGATATTTTAGAAAAAATCATTCTAAATTTGTGCCAAGTTTCATCAAAATCTGAGCGTCGCACTTGGGGTACTTCCCCTGTAAGTGATCAAAAAGCAAAATCCACTTACAATATTAAAGCATTTCATACGTACCGTCGGTGGTATCGTTTCAGTCCCCACACTGACAATGCCAAGCTTCGCGTCCTCAGGCAACAACTGCTTAAACCTATTAACACTTTGATAGCATGAGGTCAGACATATAAGCTTGATCTTCCCGTTAGTGGCTTTCTGAATGCATTGATTCAATATTACAGCGTATTTTTGACTTACAAGCTTTTGAAATATGGGATCCACATATCTATAAAACCTATTGAAGTTGAGGAAGATGTCCGCTTCATCGAGGACTAAATATCGAATCCTTTGAATCTGCAGTTCTCGCTATAATTTTAATTTACGCAACAGATATTAAAAAATACCACAGATCCACCGGCACATCTAAAGAAATGATTATCAGCCCGTCCCGAGGTACAAACGAGAATATCCACCCCTTCTTCGATCAATCGGTTGATGACTTTAGGATCTTGGGAACCACAGGACATTCCAACTTTGATTGGTCCACCTAAAAATTAATTCTGGGTACATAATCAGCAATTACCATCAGGACAAATGGCAAGAAGTTCTTTGCACAGCTGGGCACAAGCGATGTTGTTATGCGCAAGGAACACTGCAAAGGGTCCCTTCTTTGTTATATCTTTATTTTTCATGTGGAAGATTCTACTGATGATTGGGAGAGCAACAGCTAAAGTTTTGCCGCTTCCGGAGGGCGATCTTACAAGCAGAGCTCTAGTCGTATTATAATTTTCCCTGAAATGATTGCAATGTAATTCACATGGGTGTAACCTCACCTAGCCATAAGGAGAGGAATTGCATATTTCTGAATGGCTGTCATTTGCGTGAGTCCCCGGTTTGCAATCAACTCCATTGTCGGACCTTCAAAGTTACATTTATCGAATGACCTGGAAAATTTCAGGAAAAAATTCAAACGTAATTAATAAAAGTAAATCCATTAGAATGGTAGTTGCAACCCTTATCGTTTGTTTTTTTTCCGGAAGTGTCACTATTGACACTTTCGGATATCGCGGTGCCTTCTAGGTGTGTTATAAAAATATAAATTTTGACTTTAGAATGACACATATGCGTGTAACTCTGTCCGTCAAGTTAATTATAATTGCTACCAGGCCACGAAGTTTTCACAGGTATTTGGACATGATTTCGGTAACAATATTTTCGCCAAACCCGTATAAATCAAAAAATCATGAATTAACTTACTCCACCGAAACAAAGAGCTCAACCCGATAAAGAAACAATTCTTGTTCATCGACAGCTATTGTTTTCTCGAAGTAAGGACCTGGGAGGACGAAGGAAGCCTTGACTTCATCCATATCAAAACCCGACCTGTTCAATTTATTCTGCATCCTGCCAGCGGTTTGTGTTCCTAAACAAGCGAATAACAGGTCTAATTGTTACTTACGGCCTCGAAATACGAATGGGTTATTCTTGCAATAAGCATTCTCTTCTGTGAATTGGGATTGACCTCGAGGAGGAAACTTCTTCTAAACAGGGAAATGAATTACGCAATATTGCACTTACACTCGGAGGAAAGAAAGGTACATTTTCATTCTTTGATGCAATTTGGGTTGATTTCGACGATGCTGGACGAACAATCTGGGCAGCAGACTTAACATAGCCATGACAATCATGAGAAATTGATTCCCTGGGTTGGGTTGTTGATGGGCTTTCGGTCGATGCCTTGACCCTGGACGTTCCCGGTTGGAAATAAAAAGCATCAGTAGTCCCCAAAGGAATATATCGTTCACCAGTGCTGAGGAATGGATGATATGTGGAGTAAGAATTCCTAAAACAAACAAATAAGAAATTGTATAAAATGCTTACCTTGGTATTATATATTTTATATAGTCAATTTCACTATTAGGTACCGAATTCATAAGACGTTATAATATGCCTATAATCTTACGAGGAACTGGTTGTTAAATCGTCAACATTGTCAAATTGCCGTCATTTACCTTATGTCAAATTGTTTTGTCATTTTGAATAAATGAAAAAATTGAAACTTTATGAAAATTGAACTTTCTTGGATTTTTTTTGTAGATTTTTGATAAAAAATCGTAAGAACCAAGAACTTTTGGAAAATAAATTGCTCCTTCTTGTCAAAACCACCGATGAAACAAGCAGCAAACTAGTTACGACTAATATTAACGGTACTCATCACATTCTATGTTAAACTTGCGTTTGAAATCTTCGCATAACAGAATCTGACGTCAACTTGACGCCAAATTGGCGTCATTTTGGTTAGATTGAAGATTCTGATATGGATGAATATTGTTAATACTATTTTTTTACTGCTCATTTTACCGATCGTTTTGACAAGGGAAACTTAGTTCCTAAATTACTACAATTTTTTATTAAAATTCTACGCAAATTCTCCAAAAAATTTCGATTTGAAAATCAAAATGACAGAACAATTTGGCATGACGAAAACGACGGCAATTTGATAACGTGACTGACGCGTGAAACTGACGACTTAAAAACCCTAAAAGATATCAAAATATATTTATTATACTGATAAAATAAAACTCGCAGATCTGAAAAAAAACTGCAAAATTATTTCAGCCGCCAAAAATTCCAAGTCAAGTGTTGCGCTAAGAAAGGAAACACTTGACTCGAGGCCCAAATTACGCCCCTAAATAAAGTCATTCTCAATAAATCTATGGTAAATTAAAGATCGATAAAGGTTACTGACTTGGAAAAATAAAACTTCGGAATATTATAAACATTTAAAAAGTTCGCCACATGAACTTACAGTTTTTATTTAAAAATCAAGTTAAAATTTGAAAGTCTTATTCATTGTGATAGAAACAACAATTTGGTGACGGCCGGTGATTATATCGAGAAGGTGAGTGAATGATAGAATCTCCATGCATAATCGTACAGTTGAGGTCTCCATTCCCTTTCCCATCTAATGAGTATTGATCAGATTCTCCGTTCTAAATTTGCCCTCAATGCAGTTCGATCATGGTGGGGCAGAAAGCCAAAGGAAGTCGTTGCTTCTTCCAACGATCCTTTGTTGAATATGTCAGCGGTTCAACTGAGTAATAAGATCAAGGAAGGAACGGTATAATTGATATAGCAAAATGCATAATTAATATTTAGCTGACTTCCAAAGAATTGGTGGTTAAGATGATTGCACGCTGCAATGAGGTTAATCCCAAGACCAATGCTATTGTAGAACTCTACGAAGAAGATGCAGTTCGACGGGCTGAAGAAATCGACCAGTATATAGCCAGGTTTGACAAGTCCAGTTCTGCTTTTGCTGAACTCAAGGCCAAGAAACCGTTCCTGGGGGTTCCTTTTACCATCAAAAACAGTTATGCAGTGAAGGGAAAGAAGCTATATTGTGGTCTTCATTATCGTTTGGATGAAAGTCCCTGTGATAAAGATGCTGTGATTGTGGAGAGGTTTGCATTTAATTACGGAATATATTACATTACAATTTGAGACTCCGAAAAGCTGGCTCATTTCCCCTTGCCTCCACAAATGTCCCGCCTGCGGTGATTGCATGGGAATCGGACAATTGTATCACTGGAAGAACGTCCTCCCCGTATGATTTGCGATGCACATCTGGAGGATCTTCTGGTGGGGAGGGATCTTTGATTGCATCACAGGGATCGGTGATGGGGATTGGATCTGATATCGCGGGATCCATTCGGATGCCATCCCTTCTGAGTGGAATCTTTGGAATCAAGCCTTTCATTGATACCATCGATCCTGAAGGTCATTGGCCCGGAGGGCCTAAGGGGTCCGAAGTTATGGAACTCCCGGGTTATGGTCCCATGTGTAGATATGCCGAGGATTTGCCTGTTATCTTTGATGTGAGTAGCGATAAAATTAAATTATTAATTTCCATAGGCCATTGCTGATGTCCCCGCTCCATCTGATTTTGAGAAAAGAGCTCCAAAAAATCTGATCGTTTGTCCTGGATTGGACACTGACTATTGCCTTCCGTTATCCGAACCTCAACGGGATGCCTGGAGTACTGCTGTCAAATTCCTGAGCAAAGAGTACGGGCTAGAGCCCAGTAAATACACGATGCCCCCAACCAAGGATATGATGAAGATGTATCAGAATACGGTGATGCCTCACATGTTCAGAGACAGCTTACTTGGAGTAAGTCATCATCGTTCGTATACAATGTATTGATGATTTAGTATGAGAATGGAAGCCTTGAAAGAGAGATGGTAAAGGCTTTGTTTGGCCTCTCTAAATCCCGAATGTCGGCTCTGATGTTGGCTCATCAATTGGGAGTTTTGGTCCCAGAAAATGAAAAGAGCAAATGGAGTGACGCCAAGAAGAAATTCATCGAATCTTTCTTCAGAGTAAGAATTCAAGTCTAACAAATGAATTTCAGTTGGTGGATAACGGCACTGTTTTTGTCTTCCCCGCCTTTCCGAAGACCCATTATTTCCATAACGAGCCAATCCCGGCTGTTTGGGATACCTTTTACACCGCTGTTTTTAATCTCCTGGGAGCCCCAGCAATGGTTGTGCCGATGGGATTGGATAAGGATGGATATCCACGGAGTGTTCAGCTGGTCACTGCCCGAAACAATGACTACCTCCTCTGCAAAGTCGCCTTGGATCTCAGCAAGAAGTTTGGAGGATGGACCCCACCTCGAGTTTAGATATCCGATACCAATTCGAATAAATATTTACTATGATAGGAATTTGTTTTACCATTCCAGGTGATGAAAAATGTCTCCCTGATTAAACTTTTGCGTATGGTTGGATCAAAAGCAAACCCTAGATCATTTCTAAAAGTGCAATTTTCACCGCAATCAACCGAGACGTGGATTTGGAAGGAAAGGAAGATCATAGTTTGGAAGTCGCAGCCTGAGCAAGCGGTTGGCCGTCAGCGCGTGTGGACAACTGGAATACATCGAGTGTATTGGCCTGGTTGTATATTGTGGTATTTGGGACAATAAAGAGGTCATTGGTAATTGTTGGAGTATTGGGGGAGCTTGTCTAGGGCAGCGTATTAGGAGACCCGGTGTCTGATCGTGTTGACGAGGAACCGAGGATCTCCTTGAATTACATTCCTGAATTTTCTGTTGATAGTTGGTGTTATATTTGAAACAAATAAAAATCTAGCCTCAACTTGAATGATGGGTAATAAAAATTTTTGTTTTTAAGGGAGATAAGACGACCTGTGAATTAGTTATTCTAAGCTCACATTTGGAAGACAGTGATGACTATTGACAAGATTCTTCGATCCAAGAAATCGCTAGAGTCAGTAAGAAAATGGTGGATTAATAAACCAAAGGAAATTGTTCCACCGTCGTCCGATCTTCTTTTGAATACTCCAGCCGTTGAATTGAGTCGACAAATTAGAGAAGGAACGGTAGGAATGACGTTACATAACATTGGGTAATTTTATATTCGTATTTCAGTTGAGATCTTCGACTTTGGTTGAGACGATGATACACAGATGTAAAGAAGTAAATCCCCAAATTAACGCGATCGTTGAGTTATTTGAAGAAGACGCCCTTAGGACAGCCAGAGAAATTGATGATTATTTGGCCGTACTGGACAAAAACACCGCTGAATTTGCCGAATTGGAAGTTAAAAAACCGCTGCTGGGTGTCCCATTTACAATTAAAAATAGTTTTGCGGTAAAAGGAAAGAATCTTTATTGTGGACTTGAATATCGGCTAGACGAGCCTCCTTGTGACAGTGATGCCAGTATTGTAGAAAGGTATTACGATTTTTATAACATTTTCGGCCTAGGCTTCGGAGATCAGGATCCTTTCCTCTAGCCTACACCAATGTCCCTGAAAGTGTAATTGCCTGGGAATCGGACAATTCTATCACTGGAAGAACGTCCTCCCCGTATGATCTGCGATGCACGTGTGGAGGATCTTCTGGTGGGGAGGGAGCTTTGATTGCAGCACACGGATCGGTGATGGGGATTGGATCTGATATCGCGGGATCCATTCGGATGCCCGCTCTTCTGAATGGACTCTATGGGATCAGACCTTGGGTGGAGACGATCCCTGGCCATGGTCATTGGCCCAGAGCCACTCCAGGTCCGGTCGCTGGACTAACTGGATACGGGCCTATCTGCCGGTTTGCAGAGGATATTCCTGTTATGTTTGATGTAAGATGACAATCAGTCGATAAATATGAGATTTTAGAGTATTGCTGAGATCAAAGCTCCTTCGGACTTTAAATCAAGATCTCCAAAAAGGCTGATCGTTTGTTCTGGACTGGATTCTGAGTATGCTCAGCCATGTGATCGGGACCAAATTAAAGCGATGAATAAAGTTGCGGAGTTTATTTCCAAACATTACAATCTCAAACCTCAGGATTACACAATGCCTCCATCGAGAGATCTGGTCAGAATGTATCAGAATACCCTCTATCCAGAAATGTTTTTGGACGCGCTTTTAGGAGTAAGTATTAGAACGAACGACTACTATCGTATAGGTATCCGGTGGAGATTATGAAGAAGCGATGCTCCATTCAGCTCTTGGATTGTCCAAAATTAAATTGACAGCTATAATGTTAGCCCATCAATTATCAATTCCGGTGCCCGAGGGTGAAAAACAATATTGGACGAACGCCAAAGATAAATTCATCGATGAATTTTATAAGGCAAGCTCTTACTCGTTTGAATTACTACAGTTTTTTCTTGAAAAGAACTTTAATTCATATGACTTCAGTTAGTGGACAACGACACTGTTTTTGTCTTCCCCGCCTTTCCGAAGACCCATTATTTCCACGGAGAGCCAATCCCGGCTGTTTGGGATACCTTTTACACCGCTGTTTTTAATCTCCTGGGAGCCCCAGCAATGGTTGTGCCGATGGGATTGGATAAGGATGGATATCCACGGAGTGTTCAGCTGGTTACGGCTCCCAACAATGACTACCTCCTCTGCAAAGTCGCTTTGGATCTCAGCAAGAAATTTGGAGGATGGACCCCACCTCGAGTTTAGATATCCGATACCAATTAGAACCCGAATAAACTTTTCTTGTAAGTTGAAAATTCTGATATACGAAGCTTTCAAACGCAAGTTTAACATAGACTATGATGAATACCGCTAACATTAGTCATAACTGTTTTTACTCCTTATTTCATCGATTGTTTTGACAAGAAGGAGAAATTTAGTTTCCAAAAATTTTTAAATTGCTACGATTTTTTTTTGGTAAAATTCTATATAAATTTTCAAAAAGTTCAATTTGACAATGAAAATGACAGAACAATTTGACATGAGGAAAATGACGGCAATTTGACAACGTGTCTGACGCGTCAAGTTGACGACTTGCTGGTAATCATGGCATTCCAAAAAAATTAGGGTTACGGTAGTCAACCTTAGGTCCTTTCGAATTCTCATATTTTCCCGTAACAAATACGTTTAGCCAGCATTGACTCGTAACATTACTATAAATTTATTTGTTGTTTTTTACAGTTTTTGATAAACTAATTGATCAAGCAATTTTCTTATCATAACTGCGCGGAGGTCAAAGATTATAAGACCCGTTGGAAGGCCATTTCTTTTGATAATTGTAATTTCATTTCTCCAAAAAACCTTTCGGTCTGCTATTCCACCTACAAACTTGGAATTACTGCAAGTCTGAGACTATTGTAACATTAAAAATACGAAAAATTTTGATCGAAGTCTGCAAATTGAACCGTCCATCACTTCCATCTCCTTCGTTTTCCTCGACGTATTTTCGGTAAGCGATAATTGTAAGAAGTAATCAATTACTTCAGCCGAAAGTAGGGCTGGCAGTGTCACTGACGTGAGTCCATATCTCTCTCCCATCAGTCAGACGCGCAGAGAAGGACGATGATATCGCGCTCTTTTCTCCGATCCTGCAATGGCCATGCGCAGGTGGGAATTTCGAAAAGAATTTGGGGCTCTTGTTTTTTGCCCTTTCGTGGCGTGGGTAGCCTTGTTCCTTTTGCCCAACAACAAAACATTTGCGCATTTTAGGTGGTTGTTAGAATGGCTTCCAACGTAACTGTGAAGGTCCCTCTGATCCCCGTTGAGAGGACTTCTTACAGTGGCAAAAGTTTGACCAAGGATCCGATCAGTGAGGTCGACCCAGACATCTGGAATCTAATTAAAAAGGTTGGTGATCGCCCTACAATCATTTTTACGTACTTTTATTGTTCCATTTTTTCTTTATCCGTTATGTTATCCATGCGGTTTTTAGGAAAAAAGTCGTCAGAAAAGAGGATTGGAGTTGATTGCCAGTGAAAATTTTACTTCCAAAGCTGTTTCTGATGCACTGGGATCATGTTTGAGCAATAAATATTCTGAAGGATACCCAGGGGCCCGGTAAGTTGGGGCTGTCTACTGTAACGTAATATTTTAGATATTACGCTGGAAATGAATACATCGATCAGGTAGAGTTGTTGTGTCAGGAAAGAGCTCTAAAAGTCTTCGGATTGGACCCCTCCAAATGGGGAGTGAATGTTCAACCTTTGAGTGGATCTCCTGCCAACTTTGCGGTTTACACTGCTTTGATTGGGCCCCACGGCAGAATTATGGGTCTTGAGTTGTCTGATGGTGGACATCTGAGTCATGGGTAAGGCGGATTTTTTCTATAGTTTTATCTTGTTTTAGTTTCTTTTCGCCAGCCAAGAAAGTGTCAGCGACATCTCTTTTCTTCGAATCCATGCCATACAAAGTGAACAGAGAGACTGGCCTCATCGATTATGATAAACTTGAGGAGAACGCGGCCTTATTCAGACCTCAAATCATCGTTGCTGGTATGTAAAAACACCGTCACGTGTATCTTTTTGTTTCAGGTATCAGTTGTTATGCCCGATACTTGGATTATGCCCGTTTCCGTAAGATCGCCGACTCGACTGGTGCATACCTTCTGGCGGACATGTCTCATATCTCGGGACTTGTGGCTGGAGGAGTAGCCCCGTCTCCCTTCGAGTATGCTGATGTCGTTATGACCACTACTCACAAGTCTCTTCGTGGACCACGAGGCGCCTTGATCTTCTACAGAAAAGGAGTTAGAAAGGTGACCCCTAAGGGAGAGGAGATCAAGTATGATATCGAGAACAGCATAAACTGGGCTGTGTTCCCTGGACTTCAAGGAGGTCCCCACAATCATACTATTGCTGGTATTGCAGTTGCTCTCAAGCAATGTGAAACCAAAGAGTTTGTTGAATATTCCAAGCAAGTGGCCGCCAATGCGCAAGCTTTGGCCAATAAGTTGATTAAATTGGGATACAAATTGGTGACGGGTGAGTAGTGAAATATTACAACCAAAATACTTATGACGAGTCCGTATAATTTGCACAATGTGTTTTTCTCTGATTTTTTGCGACCGTCGCCACGATTTCCCGTTTTCTTCCAAGACATGAACTTTTTCATGAGGCGACTCCAAATTTTACGCTCGACGCCGGTGAAAAAAAAATCTACGGACTATATATCCCGAGTAGTACTGGATTTTGAAAATCTGTGCAGATCCAAAATTGAGCCTACACTTCTTTTTCAAAATCACTGTCCACCCATTTTTACTTGAGTGGACAGTGGTTTTGCCACTCCCCTCCCTAGCTACCCTTTGAATACAATGATGTAATATTGTGTAATTTATAGACGGTACTGACACCCATTTGGTTCTGGTTGATCTCCGTGCCAACAACTTGGAAGGATCGAGGATTGAAACCGTTCTGGACCTCGCATTGATTGCCTGTAACAAGAACACTTGTCCCGGTGAGTCGACTGTTCTTCTGGTTGGGATTACATAACTCTTTGGCCAATTTACAGTCGACTCTGTGTGTTGCACCTCTTTCCCTTTATGTTGTTCATTTATCCTTTCATCTGATATCTGGTTTAATATAACATGAATAATTTAGGTGACCAAACTCCCTTCAGACCCGGAGGCATCAGACTTGGAACTCCAGCTCTGACTTCTCGAGGATTCAAAGAAGCCGATTTCGAAAAGGTCGCTGAATTTATCCACGACTCTATCGAAGTCTACAAAAAACATGAGCATAGGTGTGGAAAGTTAATCAAGGACTTCAAACACTTCGTTGAAACCGATCAGGAATTCTTGAAGGACATCAAAGAAGTCGCTCGTAATGTCGAGAAGTTCACCGCCAACTTTGATATCCCCGGAAATGATACTTATTAAGTAGTGGGTATACTGTAACTTGTCTAAATCTCCCATAGTTGTGATTACTTGTAGAACTTGTTGTCGTATCAAAACTTGTTTCAACAATTTATTAGTAACAACAAATAAAAGTATTGTGATAACAATAACAATCAACAATTCAGTAGTCTCCAGTCTGTGTGATTTCTTCCCTACGTTTTCTTTTGGTGATCCGATGAGGTCTCAATTCGTCCAATTTTCGTTTCTTGGCCACGGACTTCTTCTTATTCACCTTCTGTTTTCGTTTTATGGCCAATTCTGGGTTCTGGATGATCATCTCCTTCCTTTCCTGTCGTCTTTGAGTCATTTTCTTTCCATATTCTACTTGGAATTCACCCAAGAGTTTACTGTAGAGTGTGGCACCAAGTTTTTCGCGCAAGAAGACGGCCAACTCATTGGAGATATTTTGAAGGATCTCATTCGCCTTGGATTTTCCGAGAATTTCTCTGAACAAAAAGCCAAGAAGATGTTGCTGTATGGCCGCAAAGTTGACGGTATCCGGGGAATAAATGGCCAGTTGGGCCGCGATGAATTTGAACACACTTATTCTCTAAACAAGCGATTATTTTTCATGCAGAAGATTTATTACGGATTACCAGGAAGGCTCAACTTACCTTTGTGATTGTGTCCTCCTTCTTTAGCTCGAGTCTGACTACTCCGGCGAGTTTGTGACACAATTCTTCGTAATGTTTGTCGACTAGATTAGAAGCAAGGGTAGCCAGATTCTTAATAGCTTGTTCGGCCATGGTCTCAGATAAGTTTTTACTCCTCAATTGGAAGATTAATGCATTACAGAGCTTCGAGAAGTCAGCATGGATTTTAAACATAGGCCACAGGGATTCAGAGGCGGCCATGAGATGCTCAAACAGGATTGACGCCGTCACTTGAATAGGTTCATTCCGATATTGAAGAAATTGGGTGATCCCATCTGCAAATAAATTTATCAGATAGGTTTAACTTACTTATAATAGTCTTCTGAAGGTCGTTTTTCTTGGATAGAGCTTTTTTAACTTGTTCCAGATATACTCTAATCAGATCGGTGAACAAGTTGAGGCATGGCTCAACAGCATTTCCCTCTTCTTCCTTCTCATTTTCACTCTTTTCTTCATCCTCTTCCAACGATTCTTCTTCTCCCTCATCTCCATTGTCCTCAGCTTTGGCCTTTGAGAACTCTCCTTTCAGAATGTTGATGATCTCACTAATCCGAGATTGATTTAATTTAACTTCTGGGGTCTTTATGAACTCAATTAATGAGATCGCTCCAATTGATTTGATTGCATCTTTCGGCTGTGATAACCAATCCTTACATGACAGATAGATATCATTCCTCGTTTTCTCGGAGACTGATCCAATAATCTCTTTCATAGCGGCTCTCAAATATCTTAGGCATTCGACGTTGTCTTCAGATGCAAACCGCGACGCCAATTTTACAAATGTCGGGAATCCAAACTTGTCCGTCACAGCCTGAAAGTAATATGTTACTAATATCTAATACTTAAAAATGCAAATAATCACCTTAAACGAGCACTCACATCAGTAAATAACTCAAAAATGGTATGGACCATCTCGAGAGCACTGAGTCGACCATGCACAAGGTCGTAATCTATCTGTTCCAAATAGAATTTGAGCCATCCTTCCGCAGAACGAGGTCCATTCGGATGGATCTTGAGATAGTGATGGATAACAACTCTACATTGTTCTCGGATATACTCAATTGGTGAAGTCACAGAGAGTTCAGCAAAATATTTGATGATTTCTTCGATTTTGTCGTCCATCAGATGTCGGGAGATAATGGCCTTGGCCAAAATAAATGCCGTGGTTTGCCGGTGAGAGTCCAGAACATCCATCTCAACATGATTCAGCAATATTTTTATTCTCTTTGTTGTTAGCAAATCCTTCGGCGCTTTGCGTATTACGGTAACAAAACACTAAAAACCAAAAAAAATGGACGCGATAGTGACATCAATTACCTTGAAGAGGATGAGATTCAATTCGGCCACATTTAATTGCGATGTTCCCATGGAATTTGCATATTCAACCAGCAAAATGAACAACCTATCTACAATCTTAGCCATCTCGTCGTTAATGGCGGGTAGATCATATCGAAACAGGGAATGTAAGGATCTCAAGGCAACACTTGTTATCTAAAGCAACCCGAAGTCCTCTTAATCTACTCGCTTACCTTTTCGTATTTTAATCGAAGGGCATCAGTGACTAAAGGAACGAATTCATTGATCTTTTTCTGGGCCTCATTCTCTTCAAAAACATCCTTCTTTTCCACAAGAATGTCACTGAATAATTGGAGAGAGAACTCAACAAAGATGGCCATCTTGCTCTTGGTGGATGTCTTCACAATAACTCCTAATCTCTTCGGTTCTGGAGCCAACAACAAACAATTTTGAGGTCGATATCCATTCTCTCGCTCTCTTTCTTCCTTTAATTCTGCAGCTCTAAGCGCATCACTTTGTCTGCACATCTCAGTTAAATGCACCTTCAGAAAGGATGATGTGAATTGGAGGACAGAGTCCACTTCCACTCCTGTGTTTCGCTTCAATCCCACACTTAAATTCCGCAGCATTTCGGATAACTTCTTCTGGGTTTGAGCATTTGGGAAGTCATCAATTATCTAAATCAAGGTAAAACCATACATCAAATTATTTACCTTTTTCATGGGCTCAATCAAGTTCTCCAGAACATCTACGGTAATATATCGGCCAAGAAGGATGAAAGTGTCGTAAGCCCTGTTCGATTTGGCCTCCGGGGTATTGGCCTTGACTGTTTGTAACTGCCTTTCATCAGTTATCGTCTCTCCAAAACATTGTTCTTTCACAACTTCGAATATATCATTTAAACAGAGATTAAGATCGCCTGGTTTGAGGGAATCTTGGAGACAAGATATCATGGAATGGACCGTGAAAGTCATGACATGGACCTACAACAAATATAACTACCAAAAATACCAGTCTCCTACTTGAAATCCTCTGGTAAACTTTTTCCTCAATTCGTTGATGATCCTGGGCAAAAGCCTTGGCCCGAGAGCTTGGACGATCTGTTCCATCGCCTTTCTGGCAGCTTGTCTTACCAGATAACTTCGAGACAAAAGGAGTTTAAACATGGTCAAGATAACTCCATTAAGATGCATATCCATCGCCCATTTAGGAAGTTTTTGTAGTAATTTAACAGTTGTCACAGCCAAAGGAGCTCTCAGAATTTCTTCTTGATCCGTATGGTAATTGTCAGCGTTTTGAGCCTTTTTGTGAGCATGAAATTCGGTCTAATTAACACAATTAGCAATATTAATGTCATCTTACCGGTGGTTGAATGCATTCTCTAAGCTTGGGTATAAGGACTCTTATGACAGTAGCCAGAATCTTCTGACTCTCATCCAATTGCCCATTTCCTTTGTCCAATTCCATCAGATTCGGGGGTTGTTCGAACACTTCAGATTTCTCATTTTCCTCTGTTTCCTTCTTCCCTTTGGCAGCTTTTTGATACGCTGCTCCGACTTTTTCTCTTTTCGCTTTGTGTCTGGTTACCTGGTATTCCGATCGAGGTAATTTTACATCCTTTACATTGAACCGGAACTGATTCAAAATAGCTGACAAAACTCTGAAAAAGAAAAAATGACATCAAACAACCAAAATCACATCAAATCATCACAGTTATTACCTTATTGCCGGTTTCGTATTCTGTTCCTCCTTCTTGTTAATCTGGCTAATGTATTTCCCCAACGTCTGCAGATATCTAGTCCATGGTTGCAATCTGACAATCTGGGCGTAAATATGTATCGCTTCATCTGATAGAGTTGATAATTTGGATTCAATTACGAGTAGATAAGGTCGAACCAACGGCACAATGAATCTTTCGAGCACATCCAACGGGATGTTGACCTAAAGAAATCTAAAATGACAATTAAACAAATTTACCTCAGTTTGTTCTAGCTGAACAGCCAATCGATTGAATGCTTTTTGACGCCGGTGCATCTGCAGATGGACGACGTTCTCGAAGAAACACTTATCTTTGTCCTCGGGGTCTCTGAGTATTTTCAGATGTCTTAAAAGATCTCTGCCTTCATCTTCATTGTTCCCAAAGAGATCAATGCAATATGCAAGTAAGGAGACCCCCTCATGTCGGACACTTTCATTCGGACTTCGGATAATTCTTTGGATCATTACAATCAGATGGTCGTAGAGTAATGTAATCTTTTCATTTGACTTCAAATGTCTGTTCTCCTTTGCAAACGTAGCAATCAGAGCCAAGGTGTTGGAAACAGCGGCGCGAAGAGATATTTCATCCACCTGAAAATAAATATAATCCTATAAACTCTAACTTACATTCATCAGATTGTAAGTCAACTCATGGGTATAAGCCAGCAAGGCCAAGAAAGATAGCTTCTTCTCGGGCTCCTCAAGTTTCTGGTTCAATTCCACAATACATTGATGCCGCTGTTCATAATCAGGTTCATCGATCCTATTTTTATCCCACGATTCCAATCCTTCCAATCTCTTCAAATGATGCTGTAAAGGTTTAGAAAGGTTGTTATTGTTGCGCAATGAAGTCTCGAGTTCAACTAGAGCTGCTCTCGCTTTTCTTCCCTTCAGATTTGACAAGAAGCTGACTATAATTCTGAATATCTCCTCTGGATTCTCTTCACGTTTCACAAATTTGGAAACCGAAGTCAAGACCGAGATTAGACTCTGTTCGTTTTTCAGATGCCCCAATTCCACAAACTTCAACAATGTTAGCGAAAACTCGCTTCCCAATGAAGAATCCTGAACAAACTCGCTGATCCTAAAAAGAAAACGGTCAATAAATGATACGATAATACTCCTTACTTTTCCAAAAGCGATAAGCTAAGCATGGTGGCCTTGCTGGATGACCTAATCTCGTTGGGTAAGGTGTTACGCAGGTAATTGAGTAATCTTTCAGCATGATTGACAACAATTCTGGTCCCAAGAGAAAGAGTTTTGTCATCACTTTGCAGATCTTCTTGAGGAATCTCTGGCAATGGGAGATAATCCAAATTATAATCCTGGAACAGTTTCAACAAGGCCTCAACAACTTCTGATTGGTTCGTTCTTGCAGACTCGGGGGAGAACAAGTAGTCCACCATGATTGTCATCGGGGTTCTATGTTCAATTCCAAATCCAAATGGCCGATTCAGAAGGCCGAAGTATCGGGGGATATCGCAGATTCCATTAAAAGCTCTAATAATAGCTAATAATGTATTCTCATCACCCTTGTATCCTTCTGTTAGATATGGTTCGAAGACAAGATTAAACAACACATCCAGCTCGGATTTTGCAAACTCATGATTCTGGAAGGCCTTGAACAACTAAAATCGAGAAGTTATAATCATCATAATAGTCTTAGCATTAAACCAAAGGAATAAATCGGCTTACCAACGGGCATAGGTTGAAAGCTTTCGTCCTCTGAATCTTGAGGATCTTCTTGAAATATACCGACACATTTGGATTGTTGAGCCCCCTTTGGATGAGGAGATGACACAAAATGTAAACTTGATATACATAGGACCTTTGCGATGGGCTCAGACATTGAGGAAGTTTCTTGAAGACATCGGACAAACATTCCAGGATACTGAAAGAAAGAATTATTTATTCTTGAGCATATAAAAGAAATCAGGGACTCGGGGCCAATTTGTGAACGGCGATTTTGCAGGTCGACTGACTTTCGCACCTGACTGGAAATTTCGGGGAATAAACAACATCTTATTTGCATACTCCCTCTCTCCTTGCCCTCAAATCCTTTGTTTTAAGATCATGCTTTCGTTTCGATTAATTTCCATTATCTCGAGTCCATTTATCCGTCTGATCGGGCGGCCCTTCCCCCTTCCATCTCATCCAAAAACATTTGCACACGCTCAAAAGTAATGACACAAGTGCTTTCGCTTCGAGGCATTTCCCATGACTTTAAAAGCCAGATTTACATATCTCTTTAAATTATTTGGCACTTATAATGCACCTTATTTCCCTTTTTTGGCGGCTCGCGCAAAGATAATAGGCCATGTTTCGGAGGAAGAATAGAGACATTTGGCAAATCGCATATTCTTTTATGTTCGAATCTTTTGTCCAAACAAGGTAATCCTTAGAGTTTGGAGCGGAAAAACTAGGCCTAAGGCACGTTTATTAAAACGAATTATTTTAAAGGCACCGAGGTGTCGATTTGCCTCCAGGGGATTGTATTTTATTATTTGAAATTCGAGAAATCAGTTTTTGTGCCGCTTTGCCCTCTCTTTGCTCCCATTTGACCTTCGCCTTCCAACACAACAGGTCCCCCATTTCCGTGTCATAATTCGAAAAAAAACTTGATGTGCAATGACATACATCCCCGACATTTGATTTAGAGCCTACTAAATAAAACTTAATTTGTTTCCGTTCGGGTCTCGTATCTACTAGTGTCGTTGGCAGTATATTATATTCTCGGTTATTGCCTCTTCAAATATTTGACTAAATCCATTCGAAGCAAAGGCATTTGACTCCCAAAAACAATGTTTGCCGAGGTTCGAGATCTTTTTTTGTTATAAACAAATAAGACGTTAAGCGTAAGGTACCGCTAATTACCCTCAACTTTAGTTTATAATGGGAACTTCCTGATATGGCGCTGCTTTTGGAAATATTCTTGTTCACTGTCTTCAATATTTTACACGGATGTCGGTAAGTCATACACGATTTTCTGATGACTATAAGCTTAGTGTAAATCCAGAAACAGCGTTCCGTTCATGTTCTTGCAATGAAATCAACAAGGGCTCAGTGGAAATAAAATGTTCCAACCAAGACTGGGATCGAATCCCCAGTCTTCAGAGGATCATCCCATTAGATGACCGATCTTCAATCAAATTGGGGACCCTTATAATCGAAAGAAGTAGTCTTTCGACAATTCCGTCAGATAATTTTAGAAATCAGTCCATTAACTCTTTGATTCTATCCAATAATCGAATATCAACGTTAAATGTGAATGCCTTCCGAGGTCTAGAAGACTCCCTACAAGAACTGAACCTTCAGAATAACCAAATTACAGTATTCCCTTTTTGGGCATTCACTTTTCTACGGAATCTTGTATCTTTAAAGCTCCAGGACAATCATATTAACGATCTTGGAGATGCAATTTCAAAAGAGAATCAAATGAAGAACCTACGAGTACTCCACCTTGATCGCAACAATGTAAGAATGCAATTATGTATTACACTAGACTTTAGATCACCAAAATAGGACTCAATTCTCTTTCCGGATTCCCAATAAATGTGCTGACACTTTCGGAGAACCAGATCAGATCAGTGGATCCAAACAGTCTCCCACTTTCGTTGGCCGTTCTTGATTTATCACAAAACTTAATCGCTGAAGTAAGAAAAACCCGATCCTTAAACAAGCTTTAAGATACCATTGATTGCTTTGAAAGAGCTACAACTACTGAGTGAACTGGATTTACATGAAAACAGTATCAAAGAAATCAAGTCTAACCCCGAAGTAGAATTCAAGAATGATATAAAGATCAATTTGGCAAATAATCTTATATCCAAACTAAACCACGGTGATTTCTCTTCGTTCCAAAGGATAAGCGAACTCGACATTGCCATGAATAAGGTAATAACATTAGAAATTCTGATACGGTAACCTTTCAGGTTTCGTATGTGAATGAAAGAGCGTTCGAAGGAGTTAAAAAACTGGAGAAACTCTCGCTGGCCTTCAATCAGATAGAAAATCTGCAAAAGAACACATTTGGTAGTTTGGCCAAAACACTAAGGCGACTCAACCTCGGATACAACGAATTTGAGGAAGTTCCCGTAGCATTAGAACCATTGCTTTCTTTGGAATCGTTGGAACTTAATAACAACAAGTTGAAAAGGTAATGTTACCAAGTAAAACATATAGTTTTACAGAATAAACCACTCAGCAATCGTTAACTTCAAGCATACGTTAAAGTCCCTTCGATTGGATTTTAATAATCTTTTGGAAGTGGAATCAGAGATCTTCGATGGAATGCAACGATTAGAAATTCTCGACATTTCAAACAATCAAATACAAAATCTGGGAAGGATGGCATTCGGAAATACAAATGGAGCTGCAGGAAGTCTGCGAGAACTAAATTTAGCCGGAAATAAGCTGGAACATCTTACTGATGCCGGGATTTTCCTGTACTTCACTTCATTGCAGTACCTCAATCTAAGCTTCAACAAACTCAAGAACATAACAAGCGATACATTGGGAAGATTATCAGCGTTGAAAGTAATCGACCTAAGAGTAAGAAGTATCCAGTCTCAACCCACCCTCCCTTTTAGAATAACCAATTAGGCGCTTATCCAAAGACCGCATTATATAATCTGAAGCAACTTCGGAGTGTTCAACTCTCCAGAAATTGGATAAAAGAGTTGCCCGTTAGACTGCTCGAACATAATCGGGAAGTGACAGAGCTACACTTGAAAGGGAATCGACTCCAAGTAATCAACGATCAAACCTTTCACAAATCTACGTCACAAAATCTCAAATGGCTAGATCTCTCACATAACCTTATTCAAGAGGTCGGGACCGATGCCTTCGAGGGCTTATCCACTCTTTCCCATCTCGATTTGAGTTCAAACAAACTTCTTCATCTTAACCCACAGGTTAGTTACTGCCGGATTAACGTATTATATTGTTTCAGACCTTTAACCAGTTGAACGAAATCAAGTCAATTAATTTGGAGAATAATAACATCAAAGTTATCCATGATTTCGCTTTCAATCAACTCCCTCTTCTCGTATATTTAAACCTTGGGTTCAACCAACTTGATAAATTGAGCGAAAATTCGTTCCAGAATATTCCCAATTTAGAAAAACTGTCGGTTTCCCACAACAACTTCAAAAACTTCGATTTCAACTTCATGAACAACAATGTTCATAAACTCAAAGTCTTGGATTTGAGCTACAACAAATTATCTAAATTAGACTTGACCTCATTACAACATTCAATTCATCATCTGTCGCTGAAGCATAACGATTTTGAATTCATTGACAACCGATTGTTATCTACGTCATCCCAATTGAAGACGTTAGATCTATCATTGAACTCAATCATTGAGATTCATGTTGATGCCTTCCAGAAAGCCACAGATCTTCGGAATATTTATCTGTTCGGGAATCGACTGTCGACTTTGTGGAGAGAAACATTTGCGAATCAAGTGAGTCTTGAACATGATTCATGTCAATAATATTTTAGAAAAAGATCGAGATCCTCGATGTTTCTCACAATTTCATTACAAATGTTGAAACCGGGGTTTTTGGTCGAAACAATGTAATCAACTTGAAATTGGCCCATAATCATTTGAGTTCTACCCCAACCAAAGCTCTGTCACCAATTCTCGGTAGCCTACTACATCTAGATCTGTCGCATAATTCAATCAGGTCTATTGAGAAAAATGACTTCCTCGAATCAGCAGCCTTGGAAACCTTAAACTTGGCCAATAATAAGATCGAAGTCATTGAAGCGAATGCCTTTTCCCAGTTAAAAAGGCTCAAAACCCTCGATTTGAGTGGAAATCAGATAACAACCTGGAATCCATCGGCATTCAACGTAAGAATAGCCGTCATTTATAGAAAAATCTTTCAGAAAATAAGTATCTTCTTGGAAGAACTTAATTTGGCATCAACTGGACTCTTCTCAATGCCTAGAATCCCAGTCAAAAATTTAATTTATCTCAATCTCAGCAGGTAAATAGTCCAAATGTTTAATAATACTTGCAGTAACAAAATATACGACGTACAAGAATCAGAATTGGAGAATATCAGAAACCTGAGAGTACTTGATATCTCCAGAAACAACCTGAAAGCTTTGCCAAACAGTTTCTCATCGAAACTACATAACCTGAAGACCTTAAACCTGAGTCAAAACCCGCTGAAGAAGTTCGAAGAAGACTTTTTTATGCCGTTAAATCGCCTGCAGTCCTTAGAACTATGCGAACTGGATCAACTTCAATATCTCCCTGCTCCCAAAGAATTCTCGTACCTCACAAAACTGCAAAATCTACAGGTAAGGTCAGCATGATCAGAAATGTAAAACTGCAACAGATATTTGGAATCCCCCAATCCGTCAATTACAATATGACGTCTATCTTAATGAATCTCCCGCCGTTACGCTCTCTCCATATCCAAATAAACAGTCACACTTTGGATAATCAACTGGCAGAGGTTGATTCTAGATTACTCAACCAGCTAATGATAACAGGTCCTTCTCTCCGGATGATTAATTCTCAATTATTGTCCAAAATCAAGAGATTTAGACTTCACTTGATAATCAGGAACACTTCATTGTCTTATATGCCACCGAATTTTTTTCGTCATCTAAAAGGAATCCGATATCTGATGCTAAGTCTACCTAATAACCAAATTGAGACAATGGAAGATCTATTCAAACATGGGGCCCCACCTGTTCTCAATGAATATGGGACAATTCTAGAGTACCTGGACCTAACAGTAAGCTTAGATTGAATAATAACGATGAAAACTCAGGAAAATCCTTTAATTTGCGATTGCCGGATGAAATATCTGAACGAATGGATTTCCTACGCCCGAGAAGAGATCCCAAGCTGGCCTCAGACGAGGGATTCTCTTAGTCACGCAAAATGCAGCAATCAGGCGAATGGAGTTGACAATCTGTTAAACCTTTATGACATCACCAATATGGAGTATGCCAAGAATCTCCGAGAAAAGGAAGATCAAACCTCTGCAAAGGATAAGATGACCTTTATCCAGAAGGTATCTCCAAGAATGCAATGTCAAGACAACAACGAAGAAAACAAATTTTTGTTGTTCTTTTCTTGCTCTTGTCATCTCCAATTAACTTATTTAATTTCTGTCAGCCTTTTCCTTTTCTTATTCTAATATTAGAGCCCTTAAAGATATCCCCGGTCCACAAACTCACCTCGAAATCCTTTGTAAAGCCACAGTCTTATGCGGGTTGTATGTTTTGATGAGTTGATCACAGGCTTTGTTCAAGTTTCCTTCGTCTAGAAATATAAATATTAATGATATACAGTGCGTCCCACGTTTTTGGTTCCACCCCATTTTTTGATCATATCTCGGGGGGTTTTCTCAAATGTCATGAAATTTTACTCAAGTGTTAATCAACCTTTAAGAATACGCTATGCAATGTTTCATCCCATTTTCAGTACTCTGACGTTATGGCGATTTTTTTTAATTTTGGGTTTCCCAGGTTTTTGGTTCCACTTGGAAATTTTCGAGTTTCTGGCCCGGTTTTAGTATAGGTAAAAATTTTAAAATCACATACCAACAAGATCATTGATAGTCCAGAAGACAGTCTTCAAAAACAATTCCAATTCTTCTGGGCGACATCCAGCGACGAATCTGAAGATGGCCGGGCGTTTTGAGACTCCCCTTCGACCAGCTTTTGAATGCATTTTCCCATCCAAAACCCGCATCAAAATGGGCAATACAGTATCCCTGTGTTCATTAACCACAACTGTAGAGTGTTCATCGACCGAAAAGTGAACCAATTCGTCCGAAAATTGCTTATCAGCCACCAGATTCTCGAAATTCTCTTTATAGGGATCCAATTCCTTGATCTTGTAACTGAATAAGCATTCCACGGCATACTTTTGGACATCAGAATGATCAGAACGGAGAAGCTAAAAAATTAAACTCATGGATTCTCGTTTTAAACCTACGTCGTTGATTACATCATAGAGTTCAGCACTTTTGTAGACCTGCTTCAAGTTAGAGAACTTGGCGAAGATGACCAATATCTGCCTGATCGTATTCGTCACCAATTTCCTGTCCAATTTCTTGGCAATACTACTTTCTTCTGCGGCAATTTCTATTTCATCATCTTCCCCTTGTTCAACTTCAATCTCCTTTCCTTTCTGAATAGTTATATCATCCCAGAGTTTTGTTGTGACAGTCACTGATTGGAACTCGTTATGATAGATGTCCAGAAGAAGCGGGACCAGACTTCGGTTCTTTCTCTCTGCCAGTTCCATGAATCTTCCCAATAATTTGAGAACTTCCAACCTGAAGCTCCAATAATCCACCCGACTACCTTCAGAATGCATAATTTTGTTGATCAAATCAGTAGACATTCCAATAATCTTTTCATTCTCTCCTCCCCGGATAAATTTATTGGAGACCTCGATGAATTCACTGAACGCCACCCACAAGGCGTCTGTACTCACAACCTCGCCCATTGTTTTTGCAATATCATTTACCAAAGGCCAATATAAAGTTAGCTTTTCAAATAGTTGGGCGATTGTAAAGCGGATAGTAATCTACAACGAATAGATATTAAATAAGAATTAACTTACTTGTTGCAATCTTTCTTTATAGTCAACTTTCGCGTTGAGGGCCAACAATGCTGTTTTAACTCGGCTTAAAAAACTGGCCCTTTCTCTGTGGTTCTCGAAAGTCAAGGGCTGACATTCCACTTGGATCATCGAATCAAACAAATTTGTAATCTAAATATACCATAAGCTTATCTTATTCCACTTACGGTTATGTCCTCCAAAGAATACGAGAAGAATTTGAGAATCCTCAACGCCAAATGGCGGATATTACTATTCGGATTTCCGACCGTCTTTTCAAGAGATCCGAGAGCAATGTTGAATGAATCTACTGTCAATTCCGAAGTATCAAAAGAATGGACAACAAGATCAACTATTCGGAGCTTCACTTCATCATCGCGAGCATGCCTAATTGTAAAATAAAAAATTATTCAAAAAAATTTAACTTACTTTAGGTATTCGAGAATGTCGTTTAACGAAACAAATTTCTCCTTGATATTTAACAGACGGATGACATATAAACCCAAGTAAGCTTTCAATGTGCACTGGTCCTTAGCCTGCTTTATCGTCGATTTTAGAGGTGACAACAGTAACTTGGCCACATCATCGTACTCATTTCCAACTAAAACATATGGGATGGCAATAATGCATTTCAAAGACATCTCTTCAGAAATTTCCTTGTTCTCCAGCGTTTTAATTAACAAATTTCTAAAGGATTTGTGGCCGGTGGGATCGAAGAACTTGTTGATCGTATCTAAACAGTACAGAAAACAAAACCAGCAACCTACAGTTTTGGTTAAATGATATCTGATTTTTGTGTAGAATAATATCCACATAGAAATCTAAGAACTTTTCGAGGTTTGTAACATCATTTTTCATCAATTCATTGCCCAATTTTCCAACACTTTCCATCGCCCAGAGGTCAAAAACGCTCAGATCCACAAGACGTCGGTAGAAGGAAAAGAGCCAATTTATATTATCCGAGGTCGTCATGTTCACAGTCTTCTCAAAAAAGCGCAAAATCGAGTCTTTAGACTTAAAATTAGTGTAATATGTGCTGATGACAATACCAGCGACATCATAAAAGATTTCCGATGCAGAACTTCCATCCAGGATACCTTCCAAAAGTTTCAGCGCCCGCTCAAAATCAGTGAACATATATCCATTCTTCTCTAATAGAATAATCCTGACTAATCTGAGGTCATTGTCCAGATAAGACCTCGAATTCTCGGCATCCTTCGATATTCGAGTCTAAAATGAAAACAATAAAAAACAAAACAAAACTCACCAAAAGTGTATCAGAAATATCTTTAAAATTGGGTTTATCAGCATGATGGACACATTCAACCATCACTCCTTCCATAACTTGGACCCCAAAGTCCTTCGAGTCTTGATCCAAAGAATAAATAGCATCCAAAAACTGATTCAACAGAACTGAAGCTTGAGAATGGAAAAATCCCTTCGTTCCTTTTATTGAATTAAACAGAAGTTGAACGATTCCATCGGCAATGTATTCGTCTTCTTGGTTAGCAGACTTTTCGATGATGAACTTGACGATCTTCTGGACATTCGCTGACTTCCGAAGAAGAAATGAAGCGGCTTCGGCGATAAACCTTCTGACAAATTCTTGCTTGTAAGACAACAAGGGAAATAACCTTGCTAATGTCCTTCTTAACGTCGGCACTATTTTCCTCCATTGCAGTTTGAAGAAGACGGTTAGAGAACGGAAACAACTCTCGATTACTTCCACATTCTGGATTCGACATTCAATCAAGAAAACAATTGTGTCGAAGAAATTCCAAAAATGCTTCTCAAAGTCTTCTCTCAAATCTCTTGCAAACCCAATGGAAATCCTGAAAACAGAATAGAAAAAATATTATTCTTACTCTAATATTGCGCACAAAGCTGAGCTGTTCCTGATCCGAAGATGCTTCTGAATGGCATCAGCGATTCTGTCTTGGTGATGCAAAATCTGAGAATATGTGGCAAGCTCTTCGTGGTTTATTTCAGCTAAGAAATCCTCTAAAAAATAAAAATGCGCGTAAATTCTGCAAACTCACTGAAATCATCTCCATAATCGAGGTCAATCCACTTAGTCACAGTCTCAAAGAAAAAAGTGTGCCGTTCGTTCAATCCGTTTGGCAATGCCAACGATGATGAAGCATAATCCACCGAGATTTTAGCAATATGGTCAGCAAAAGACAAGAACTAAAACACTTTGGTCCACACAATTATGTTTCCATACCTTGAATTTCTTTTCCTTTTCTCCGGCTTGCAACCTGGTCCGTGCCTTTCGTCGTATCACCATTTTTATTATTAATTATAGTAACAACAACAAAGAACAAAAATCGGTAATTTTACGTAAAATAATTTTATTTTGTTTCCCACGAAAAAAGACATGACTCGAGTCAAGTATATCCCTTTCCTTGGCGTAGCAATTGATCGTGCTGAGACGTAGATGAATAATTTTTGGAGCTTTTATCCAAGCGAATCTAAAAATCCCGACTTTGAAGTTTTCGGTAGTTTTACAGAGTATACTTGGCTGTAAAAGAGAGTTAGTTCAAGTATGTCTGACGAATTCGCCGAGGAGGCGTCGATTATGATGGAGAATGCCGAACTCAACTTTGCAGCTGAACACAATGGCCACTTCGAACGAGGACCAGGTGCGAACTTTTAGTCTTATTTGACAGTTTTTTTGTTAATACTATATGTTAATCTTATTCAGTTACACCACCCGAGGTAACAGAACCTTCTACATCTGTTTTAAACGGGCCACCCACCGATGAAGGCACGGAGACTTTTATTGGTACCGAATCAGCGGCGATAGCCACCGAAAAGTCGGACAAATCATTGGCGGAAAGTGATGGGGAGATATCTTCGACATCAGAAAAGGATTCACCCAAACCTTCTCCCAGAAGAGTTAAAAAGCGACGATATTCAACAGGTGCAGATAACGACAAGAAATCTGAGTCTCATGCAAAGTGTCATTACAAGTAAGATTCATTTGTTTCATAGATTCTTATTAATGTAGTGAAAATCATGTTCGTCGCACTACATTCAAGCCTCGAAATGGCCCAACAACCCCTGAATTGGACAGTAAACTAACTCATCCTCTTATAAAGGCGATCCGGCATGTAAAGACTATGCCAATAACAGTCGCATTTGATCTTCTTTTGTCTATTCCGCCAACAGATATCTCTCAACTTGGTATGGAGGATGTTTTGGAGGTTCTAGATGTGATGAAGGAGTTCAATGATAGAAGGGAAGAACTAACTGGGAACAGAATTGAATTAACAAAAGAAGTTAGGCAGATTTGTGATCAAGAGATCCAACTGCTAACTGATCTCGAGCATGTTATGACTCCAGATGAGAGAATAAAGTTGGAACAACTGCGCAATTGCCCTCCAAGCATGGATGAAGTGGTCCCAGTAAAGGCCGAGATCGGTAAATATTACTTAAACTTATTTTGTGATTTTTAGATCCTTATGATGTAAATGTGCAAACAAGTGCAATCAAATTACCGGCGGTTGATCTCTTGCCCCCTCCAGAGACGCCATTGATTGGACAAATCGATTCTTCGTGGGATCCATTGGTTAAGCACATTCCTATGGAACTTCGGGGATTCCTACCTCCACAGCCTGAGCACCAATCGGTAAGTATTAGCCATTGCTGTCTGCATCGCATAGGAAGGTAACTATATTAATTTACGTTTCAGAACGGATCCCAAGAGAACGGATCGACCGTGATTCCACCGATCGATCCATTGACCAACAATATTCCATCGAATGAATTCCACAGTGACGTTCCACCAGCCTCTTCATCCCAACCAAAGATTATCACATTTGACAAACCCCCACCAAATGTGGAATTGCCGCCTCCTAACATGAGTCAGCCTCCTCCATCATTGGCATCCATAAAACCAAAGCCCTTGGACACTTCTGTTCCCCCACCTTCACTACATCAACCCCCTCCCGATGCGTCTTCTGTCCCGATCTCATCTTCCGGCGCCTCCGGGAGGATATCACCGGTCTCAGCATTCCGTCAAAGCATAAAGCCTTCGCTCCTCAGCAGCCTTGTGAACACTTCTGTTCCTCCTCCTAACCTACCGCCACCAAATCTGAATGTTCCTCCGCCTAACTTATCTTTACCACCTCCAAGTTTGAATCTTCCTCCACCAAATGTCAAGGTTCCCCCTCCGAATTTGGCAGTACCACCTCCAAATCTGAAAGTCCCACCGCCTGTAATGGAATCGTTATTAGGTCCGAAGCCGCAGTCCACGCCCAATGTCCCGGGTTCAATAGCTTCGGCCTCGTCTCCATTCTCAATTCCACCTCCCCAGATCAAACATACGGTGATGCCGAACAAACCAGTCCCGTTAATGTCTATCGAGCATCCTCCTGGCTTCGTGCCCAGGATAAATCAGACGAGAAGACAGCCAAAACAGAAGACAAAGCCATCAAACTCATCGACTCCCACTCAGAATCTGAGCACGGCTTCTCCAGCTGCAGCCAAGACGCCAGAAAAAAGTTTCTCAGAGACAGAATTTAGACCAACTCTTGACGCTTCAGGAGATAACGCCAAGTCAGAAGACGTTGGAGATAATACGGCTTCGAATGATTTTGAAATAAAAGAAGAAGTAAAACCTGAGATTGTCTAATTTATCATTTTTACAATTTACAATGATTAAACATAGTTTTTAGTTGTTGAGGGCTTTTTTTTTGTGTGGTATACCATGGTATGCCAGGGGAATTTTTGGGGAGTGGGTAATTTGGTGAATACCTCGGCTGTCCCTTCAAAAAACGAGCTGAAGTTTTCAAGAACTGATATGTGGTCTATGCACGAAGTGTATGCAAAGTTTAAATCTGAGTCGTCGTACTCTTCCTATGATAAGTTGCTTGTCTTTGTAGTGTGTAGCCAACTTTCTTGTGTGTTGCAGAATGCCAAGGATTTTTCTGTTTCTCTGGCGGAATTTCTGTTTTGTTTTTTTTTGGCTTGAAATTTTTATTGGAAATAGTTGTTTTAACCGCTTGTATTATAAGTCGTTGTCACTCTACTAGTTACAATGACGGATGTGATGCGCGAAATGATCGCCCAGCTGATGGGTGGCCAGAGGGCCGAGGAAGAAGGACGTAATCTTCCTCCATACGACCACCACTCCGTCTGCCGCGCTTATCTTTTGGATTGTTGTCCGCGGGAAATACTAACAGATACCAGGTTGGAGAATACAGTGTCATGCCGTAAGATGCATGAACCGGCCCATCGGGCCGACTATCAGAAAGCCCAGGAGAACAAACAACATTACTATGAGATCGAGGTAAGTCGACTTAATTACGGGCAGACCTCAAAGTTGTAGAGCTTACATTCCTTCTTTTTTGATCCTTCCAAGAAAGTCTGAAGTCGTACGTCGTTCTTTTTTTATAATTTTACCTTATTTTACACTTACTCTTGAATTACAGGCGTTTGATGCGTTAGAAGAAGCGGTCAAAACGATAGACCATGAGGTCGAGAAGGTGCGGGAAAAAATCAAAAAAGATTCCGAGAATCTTTCAGACACTCACGACTTTATGAAAGTAGGTTATTGTATTTTTTCGATTTATTTTTTTAGGCGCAGAAGATCAACGAACTTAACGAAAAGATTGCTACTACACTTGTGGAAATGGAAACTTTAGGAAACGAAGGAAAGGTGCATGAATCTGTCGAACTAAGCCGAACAATCGGGGAATTGCAAAGAAAGAAACAGGAACTCGAGGTATGGAAATGTTTCAATTAATCGAAAATGTCCTTTTAGAGTGATATTAGAGGTGGACAGCCTTATCAACAACGTTTGAGGGTTTGTGAAGCTTGCGGAGCCCAGTTGAACGTCCTCGATCACGAATCTCGCCTGGCAGATCATTATGGAGGAAAGATGCATCTTGGTATGGTGGAGATCCGGGAGAAGTACGAAGAAATGAAGAAGGTAATTGAGGAAAGGAGAAAAGCCAAACGAGAGAATTATGAGCAACAACGAGGCTCGAGAACTGATCGCGAGAAGGATCGTCGAGACAGAGACCGGGATCGTGAACGGTCGGACCGAGACCGAAGCGAGCGGGATAGAAGACGCGACAGAAGGTGAGAATGTACTATTCTTGTAGATAACTGCACTTATGAGCATTTTGCTTTAGACTTTATGCCTCTTCCCTTTCATTTTTTTTATTCCAGTACATTTTTTGATATTCAACTTCCAAAAAGTTGATCTTCCTTTTCCAAAAGATTAATTTTAATGATTTTATTATTCAGCAAGTCTCCCCGCAGACGCCATCGTTCTCGGTCTCCGGACCGGCGACAGCGAAGTTCAAGGGATTACGACAGGTGAGGGCATCATAATGTTAAGGACACCGTCTGACTATGTCACTATATAAATTGTTCCCTTTTCAGACGGCGGTATTAAAGCTCAGCACAAAAGATTGCCGATTTTCGACTCTTCCTGTTTCCACCTCCGGGAATCGGGCCCTGACTCAGTTGAACTGAACCTCCTGCATCTCTTCCCCCCTTCTTTATTATTGTTTTTGTTCTATTTTATTATTCGTGATATGCAAATGTAAATGAAGAATGAAACCCTTCAAGTTTTCGGCCGATTTTATGGATCCGAATTGGATCGAAAAAGAGATACCTTTGTTGGCGCTATCACGACGTGAGCGATCTATTCTTATGCATGCAACCTCATCTTTTATACAGGTATGGCTAGTAACCTGAGGTCGCGGAGACGGCCGGCAGATAGCAAGGAGGCCTCCGAACTGCTGGACAGAGTCGAAGGGTCCTTCAGGGATTTGGTGGAGAAAGATCGGAGGGAGAAGGTAAGTAGATTTTTGGCTCATCCACTTTTAATAAAAGGATACCCTTGGCTTCAAACATTGGTTGATTACTGTCGCCGCTCTCGCAATCCTTTATGGATTGGTTGTATTCCAAGATCGTCGACTGCCGGATGTTTTACCGGCAGATCAGTTCGAACAATTCAGTGAAGTTCGGGCTAGGGAAATACTAAATAAGATCACTTCATTGGGCCCTCGACCCAGTGGTTCCCAGGCGCTTGAGGTAATATTATAACGAAGGATTATTTGGCTTGCAGGTGGATGCCTTCAAAATACTGAGTGACAAGATTGGGCAGATCAAGCAGTCCTTTGAAAGAACCAATGTCAATCGACTTGAATTTGACGTGCAACGGCCTGTTGGCTGTTTCAATCTGAAGTTCCTATCATCTTTTACCCTTTGTTATCACAAGATTACTAACGTTTTGGTCAGGATTGGATCAAAAAAGAAGCATAGTCATCACGCAGTTCTTCTCAATTGCCATTTTGATACTCTTCCTGATACTCCCGGAGCAACTGATGATGCAGTGAGTGTCCAATTATGGAAATACATTTGTTTAGGTATCTTGTGCCATAATGATCGAAACATTGGAAGTGCTCTCGAAACGACCAACAGAACTGGAGAATGACGTGATCTTTCTGTTCAACGGTGCTGAAGAGAACTTCCTCCAAGCATCCCATGGATTCATCACTCAACATCCCTGGAGACATGACATTCGAGCTTTCATTAATCTTGAAGGAACGGGCTCTGGTGGCCGCGAAATCCTATTTCAAGCAGGGCCCGGCGATTCCTGGATTCTGAAGGCCTATCTCGACAATGCCCCGCATCCACATTGTAGCGTAATCGCTCAAGAGATCTTCCAGTCAGGGATCATTCCATCAGACACCGACTTCCGAGTCCTCAGAGATTACGGTAGGTTATCTGGATTAGATATAGCCTACCATCGGAATGGATGGGTCTATCACACCGAGTTTGATAAGGCCGCTGCAATCACGGCCGGTTCCATCCAGAGAGCGGGTGATAATGTTCTGGCTGTTACTCAGGCACTGCTGAAGTCGCCTTATTTGGAAAAGCCTGCCAATTTCAACGAAGAGAACAAATGGGTCTTCTTTGATGTGATCGGACTGAGGACTGTGTTCTATGAGATTGGAACTGGTAAGAATAAGGTCTATAAGTAACATGTTTTAGGCAATATTGTGAATTACACCGTCATCCTAGTGGTTCTCTTCATGATTGGATTCAGATTGGTTAAGGGAATTTACTCTCCCATTGATCTCCTCTCAGCTTTTGGTCACAATCTTTTGGCCTTTTTGTCCATGCTGATTGTTGGTTTGTTAATTGTTGGCGCTATCCATCTCTGTGGGATGATTCTTTGTTGGTATGCGATGCCCGAGTTGGTCTTTCCCGTCTACATCGTCCCCATGTTGATCTCCGGTTGTTGGACCCACTCTTATATCTCGGAGAGGATGAAGAAGAACAAAAAAGAGTGGAATGTAAGTAATTTGCTGTTCATATTGTGTAATGGCTTACATATTTCAGCCTCTCCGCCAAGAATTGATCCATTATGACTCCGTTCTTGTATTCTGGGCGTCAATTTTGATGTTCATGACTGCCAAGGGCCTTGCCAGTTCTTTCTTTATCCTCCTTCATGTCCTTTTCCCTCTTCTCAGAGATCCTTTCATCTTCTTATTCTCCAAATTCTCCAGAAAACGTAAGTTTATTTAATAAAGTATGATTTTTTCAGCCTTGACTCCAGAAAGAGTGCTCTTTACCCAATGGATCTGCCTCCTGCCAGTTATCAGCTTTGTCAGTTATGCAGTCATGTTGTTCTTCGACTTCTTTGTCCCCGTGATGGGTCGAATGGGTAATGCTATAAATCCCGAATTCATCATGATGCCTTTGTCTCTAATCACCGCCTGGACTTTTGTTCTTTTCACTGTAGGTGTTACAATCGATGACTGATAATGAATTCAGAGTAATCTGGTATACATTAGTCGTCGAATGGACTTCCTTCTGAAGAGTTCTGTGGCCGCATTCATCCTTTTCTTTGTGATTACAGCCACCACAAACATTGGGGTTCCATATAAATGGTCGGATGATGGTCTCCCAAGATTGCGTCGGATCTTGGCTTTGGTGGGATAATTTTTTTAGATGCAATACTCTTGTTTAGCATGCCAAGAGATCAATTTATGGATTTGATGGAGTGCTCCAGTCCTCGGATAATGGTCTTTTCGTGCAATCTTTCGATTATCGTGGAGTAGATGATCTCCCCCAGCACACTTTCCTTCAAGGCAGCGATCGTCCCAATTGTTCCAACACCAAAGATGAGTACTGCCAGCTCCCATATTACACTGCCATTCACGAAGTCATTCCTCCAGAGTTGGTTTAACTTTTGTTTACAATATTACTGTAATTGATTGTTATGTAATACAATAATGATTTAGAACTGCTCGATGGGTCCCTCTGCCACAACCACCCACCCTTCCCAACCCTCTTTATGTTCTCATGGATAACAAGATCATATCGGATAATGGAAGAACGGTGAATATGTCTTTTGTTGTGAAGGGAGGCGTGGATAAAATGTCTTATCATATCACTCCTCTTAATGGATATCAGATCAAGGAATGGTCTTTCACGAAACTGGATCACTCTACTTTTGGCAGGAGAGATACTTACTTTGTTTTCTTAACTTATGGATTCGAGAGACCAGAAGAGCGTCGTTTTTGGGTTGTTCTGCAGAAAGAAGAAGATGACAAAAAAGCGGATAAGGTACCCTCGCTAGAGTTATCGGTAGCGACTCACTACGCTCATGGTAAGTGTTTTCTGGATTACTGTGTATATTGTTTGACGATTTGTTATAGAATATTTTGACGTAATGGTCTTGTTTTAGGTCGATATCAGAACTCACCGACCTTATTCCAACTCCGCGCCCTCATCAACACCCGACGTCAGACTCCCCACGTAGCCGTCGGCTATTGGAAATGGGCTATCACGATGATCGGCGGCTCCTGTGAATTGGTGGCCCATCTTTTCTAACTTATTCAAATTCCCAGAGTTATTATATCAGCCATTATTCAATTATTCCACGTGTCCACATTTCTTACGTATTCTAATTTTTCTATCGTACGGGTTTTGTGATTTCATTTCGACTGTGAATAAATAATATGAGACTCACGTTGTTCTCCGCCCTCTTCTTCAAGCTGATCCTCTTGACCTCGATCATTTATTTTTGGAATATTCTCTTGGATCCTTCCCAAATTTGTTGGTCCACTGGTCAAAGAGTTCCTCATGAACTCCGAAGGTAAGTACAAAGTTGTTAGACTTTCTTGTTCCACTACTTTATGCATGAATTCTTGCAGATCTTTGAAGAAGAACAATGGATTTGTCTGTTATCCGATAAATCTGGAGGCCAATCTCCTCTGTTCTCCCGAACAAAGTCGTGATTGGTGGAAAGTAGAGGTCTTTACGACAACTTCAAAGGATTCTAGTCTGTGTATTCCTCGAAGAAATGTGTTTTATTCGCTGGCCTTTCAATCTTTTTGGATAATTCTTCTCCAATTTATCCATCTTATTTCTCTGGTTCATCGTCAGTTTGAATGCTTGAGTCCTCTCGACTTTGTTCCTTGTTTTTTCAATCTGGCAGGTAATCCTGGATGACTAGAAATCATCCCATTTTAGGCTTGTCCTCCATTTATTTGATATTATACATCCTGAGGGTCTCTTGGGCGGATATTTGGACAACTTCCAGGATCTCTCCACCGTCTGATTTCATGGATTACGGTCTTCTGAACATCATAATGTACTTTTTGGTGATTGTAACGATCTGTGAATGGCTGATGTTCCACGTTTTATACTTGAAAGAGACTCAGAAGGACAAGATGGAACCTTTGGACCTCCCGTTAGACAAGGACCGGGATGAATAAACGATAAAGACAATAATTATTTATTTTTTCTGATTTTTATTACTCATAAATAGTAATTGTCATTCTTCATTAGTCGGTAACACACATTTTCATGGTATCCAGACATGATTAATATAAAAAGAGTGATTATATTAAGCGAGATGGCCATATTATTCGCATCTAAGACGATAAAAAATAAAGCAACTGTGTTCAGGGCAATTAGGAAAATCTGAAATCATAAAATACGCTAACTTAAATTTCTCCCGGCACGACTTTTTGGAAAATAAAATAACTTACGCAATAAATAAGATGAATTAAAATAAGTTGAGGTTGATTATTCAAAATCCCTGCTAAGAGTATCCAGATAAGTAGAAACCAAAGGAAATCGATGATCCAGAAGAATAGTATCAGATATCTGGAAGCGACGTCAAGTATAATATAAATTTTCTTACTTGATCATCGGATCATAGAAGAAATTAGCATCCTTGATGATGGCTGAGCTCAGCCACCCCAATTGAACTACCACAAACATTAATTGAACGAATCCGAAGAAGTAAGTCCATCCTTTATTCTGGCTGGCCGGTAAGTCTAGGCCTGTCCTTCCAGGTCTTTTATGTCCGTTGTGGTCCATTCATGCGATGCGTAGATATACGCAAACGGAAGAAGGGCCCCAAAATAGAGAACAACGAGGAATGCAACTAAAAATGGACCTCCAGTTGCTATTCCGGCAATCACAACACACAAAGCGACGGGGAAACTGAAGGCCTGGAAAAGGATGGATGGTTTGTTTATTAGAAATCACTCACCAGGGCAAAGGAATGGTGTTGAATGATCCCAGGGTAATTAAAATGTAATCCGATGAAAACGAAGAACAATGAGATGATCAGGAGGAAAAGAAGGACCATTAAAACGGCACAAGTCCATCTAATACACGGTAAATTTAAATGACTGCTAGTTTGTCTTACAGTGGAGTGTAATATCCCTTCATGGAGTATCCGATGCCCTCAGTCCATCCGTGAACCATAGCAATACCGGTCTCCCCCGCGATGAGCACAATCATCTCCAGAGCCAGGACCACTTGATAGTCATACATCCTGTCCAAAAACAACCCCTCAGGTCAAAGACCTTTGACGCGCTTTCCCAAGCGCCTTTGCGCCGGTTGTCATGGAGACAACGCACGCGTCGCCTTTTCAGTCCATGCGGCGATAACAACGACATTCAACCAGAATTGCACTGAAGAGTGCGCATTGGAAGAGGGAGCTGACCACCAGGGAGATGAGCCAGTCCCCATTCACCGCCTTTTCTTGCCGAATCCACTCCTTCAGCCAGTAGGTGCTGAGAGTAGCGTGGAAAACAAGAGCGACCATCTGAAGAACGGAAATCGTAATATGTCATATGCAAGAAGACTTGCAAATAAATAATTAGATGACAGAAGCACTTACAGAACAGATAATGTGAGGGAGAAGCATTGACGGCTTCTGGCCCGAGAGTCCGAACATGGCCCAGATTATCGTCAGGACCAAACAAAAACTCATTAGACACGCGCCCACCGCCGGAATACTACAAGTTTAGTCTTGATGACAATTCAGTTTACATCTCACTCACCTGGGCTTGAAGGGATTCCCATTCATGGTGACCGAATTGAATTCGGCCGAGACAATGGCCAAGGAGGAGACGATGGTAACGCAAGACATCACCAACTCCACAATGGCGACGGTCCAGGTGGCCGAACGCATGGATATCATGTCCCGAGCATAAGCTGAAAGTGGGAAAATGAAGCCGAGTGCCTCAGGTGAAAGAAAGACTCTCGAGAGCCTTTTTTTGGGGCCGCGAGAAGGGTTTTGGGAATTCCCGGGGTTCCTAGGAGGGCCAGGGAAAGGGAAGGCAGGCCAGCCGGGCCAAGAACCCCGATGCCCTGCGGGTAATCTGGACCCAAAGAAGTGACTCCAATTCGAAGCTGAGATGGGGCTGGGTCCGGCTTCGGCTCCGAACCGACCCAACAATTGCCTGGCTTAAAAATTCATTTGTTGAAATTCGATAAACGCCGCTCCCATCCTCCTCGACAAAGCCTACGCCGAAACAAAACACCCATCCTGGGGCATCCCGTTTATTTCGAATGATCTGTTGTGTTCAGAGTATCACTGGTATTCTTTAATTGGTCTAATCGGGGGTTTCTTGTTGTGTTTGGGGTGGAACGTTGTCAGCTGGGGAAAATAAAATGATTTTTTCGCTTTTTTGTCTAACGAAACCCATACTGCGACTATAAATGAAGTTTTTGTGCTGGCGAAGCATGGTTTCAAGTGACTGTTAAAGCTTGCATTCTGAAAATTTTGAGAAAATTTTTCGTCGTATAAGATATCGCCTTTCATTTTGAAAATTCAAAAAACGGGACTGTTCGGAAAACCCTTCTCATGCACCGCGGTTTGGGGTCTGTAAACAAACTCGGCTCTTCTGACCGTTCCCTTCAACGCCTTCCTTGATGCCCCAAGGGCCAATGGGCCAGTTAATTGTGAAAGGAAATACAAAATGCCCTCTGAGCAGAGAAGATGTGACTTTGCAAACAATAATTGAAAGCGTAAAATAGTCGAGAACACGAGAGCGAGAGGAAAGAAGCGCAAAAGATGATACTCTCTCACGAAGACCATATTAATTTTAATTAAACTGAGTGTTGAACCTGCCATTTTCATCTCCCTTAATCCCATCGAAACCCCCCGGGGAATATATTTCAATTCCCTGGAAACCTAATCAAACTTTTTGGCATTAAAGAGCACCAAATTAGTGTGAAAAGGAATAAAAATGAGCGAACAAACAAAGAATCTCAATGCAAATAAATAAATAATCTGATCAGAAAGTTGTATCGACATGGCCGTTTTATACGTTCCGATATCCGGCGATGACAATTTTAATGTGCAAAAAGCTGAGAAAAGTAAATAATCGCTTGTCAGAGCACTTGAAATCGCTTCTGAGTCCGCGAAATGGGCTGGGGAAGGGGAATATTGTAATGGAAGATCAGCTGGACACCTTCAATCCAGAGCCTTACTCGTTCGTCATAACCGAAAGGAGGAGGCCCAAGAAAAGAAAACGAGTAAGTTCTGGAATCGAGTAGTCGAAATAGTAATTAAGAGTCATGGCCTCTTCAGACAAGCGGTTCCTTGTCTTCCATACCCTCTGGCCATCGTATGTTGCGTCTTAAATGTGATCCTCCCCGGCTTCGGTGAGGTCTTTCTTAGTCGGATTAGACGAGAAAATTTAGAATATCAGTGCTAATTTTACTTTTTAAAAGCATATTTTTACCCATATCCCTCAAAAACATCATCTTTTTGCATGTTTGTTCACCTGGACTCTAACCTTATTTTTTGATGACATTTTAGGGACGATAATATCTGGATGTATGGTCTGTTGTTGTGGCTCCTTTGAGTGTCCCAACCCGCGCTGCATCGTATTTTGTTCCAACTTTTACTGCGGTCTCCTGCAACTACTTCTTTCACCTTTAATAATTGGATATATCTGGTAAGAATAGTATCTCAAATTATAGATCCAAGTATAATATCGAATATCCCAAGCAAGATCCCTTCATTAGAAAGTCTTATTATTCTTTATTCAGGTCAATCATATGGGGGATATTATTCCTGCAGCTCTCCAAAAAATGGTGGATTTCGAGACTGGAGGAGCGTGGAGACCTCGTCGAGAGCTGCCCTTGCTCCTCCTGGTAATTACAGAAGCACCGAATCCCCTTGATTAGCTTCATCTCACCTCCCAACTAAACTCCGATAGCTCAATCGATTTCCTCCACAGAAATGAATAAACCTATATTTTTTCTGCTTTTGCTTTGTTCTCGTTCCACCTCCCAAAGATGGCATTACCCGCCTCCAAAAGTGCTGTTGTCCAAGCACGAAAAGTGTACAAAACATGGTCCCATGACCGAGGATCCCAACTTTAATTGTCATGGTGGAATATTCAGCTTGTCCATGGGATAGTAAGTGGTGGTTTTGTCCTATAATTCCATCAGTTACATCCCTTGCAGAGCTCATTACCATTGTTATGGATCGAGGGAACCCCCGAATTGGTGTCTGAGTCAAAGAAATTACACTTGGACGTGAGTTATTTGCCAAACGAAAAGTGTTTTTATAGACAATGGGGCTGTCACTGTGACCTGAAGATTGGAAGTTGTATCGTGGAGAGATTCCAGGACAAAAACGAGAGATTGGAGTGGTCTTACTGCATCCCCAACGAGGAATTTTACTGTGCGAATAGAAGATAACCATCCATTCTGATAAAAAATATTTTTATTTTTCGTTTACATAAATTTTTAAAATCAATAATCTAAGATTTGCAATCCGTCTTTTTTTTGAGGTTTGAAGGTTTAAAAAAATGAAACCTCAAATTAATGATCATTTCCATAAAATTCACTTTTGAGCCGAGGCGGTCTTCGCTGTATTCCAGGTGACGTTCACGACAATCAGAGTTCTCATAAATATTCACACGGTAGGTGACAATGTGGAAAGTTCTTTATTCTGGCAACAATAAAGGTACCCTTCGAACTTGGCTACGAAAAATTTTTCGATCTAAATGATATTTGATTACTATAGTAGCTCTATGACTTCTAAGGTACCTCCGAAGGCCATGCCCTTTCATTTAGTTCTACGGAGGCAATAAGTTCAGCTCTAGATAGGGTTCATCGTGCAAAAATGTCAAATTTCGGCTAATTCTGATAAATTTCCGGAATGTTGTAAGTTGTGGATAAGGAACTTTCACCGGTAATGTCATAAATTCATCATTAGTGTAACAGTGAAGATGGACACTCAAGAAGAGGACAAGGGAAAGGGAACGGTGATTGAGGCTCAAGCTCTTGTCTTGAACAAGATCTATTGGTATCATGGATTGATGCCCCGAGATGAGATCGAGGATCTGCTCAAGAATGACGGGGATTTTATCGTCAGGAAGACGGATGTCGGATCCAAGGACAAGTTGGTGGTGTCCGTGAAATGCAACAAGGTCAGACATGTTCTGATCAAGGTCTCCAACGATGTTCGTTTCCATATCACAGACCAGTTGTCCTTCGATACCGTCGAGAGAATGATCTGCTTCTATGTGGTATGATCATTAATTAATATTGTTATGCTATTTGGGCAATATTATCTTCGGTTCCTTTTCTTCCAGGGCTCCAAGGCCGAGATCTTCCCTGACGGCACTAAGCTCTTGAAGCCCATCAAACGGCCCGAATGGTATCTTCTCCATGATAACATCAAACTCAAGAATAAGGTTGGCTCCGGCAGTTTTGGTGACGTTTACATCGCCGAGTTGACCGAGAAGGACAGAAAATTTGATGTGGCTGTGAAGATGTTGAAAGGAAAGTTGGGGAAGAAGGAGAGAGCTGGATTTGTAAAAGAGGCCTCTCTGACCAGAAGATTTAATCATCCAAACATCGTCAGACTGCTGGGAATCGCCGCTCAGATCGACCCGTTGATGGTGGTTTTGGAGTTAGCACCCGGAGGCGCTTTGAAGGGACATCTCCAGAAGAATCCAACATTGCATGTTGATACGTTGAACAGGTAATTCTAATAAACAACTTGATGGTCATCTTTAGATATTTATTGGATGCGGCCAAAGGTCTCAAATATCTCTCGGAAATGGGCGTAATCCATCGTGACATTGCCGCGAGGAACTGTCTGTTGGGTGAAGATATGACTGTCAAGATCTCAGACTTTGGCCTTTCCGTTGCAACTGCTGAAGTCAAGGAATCCAAGTAAGTGCAACAATATAAATGAATCTATTCTCCAAGGCTGATGAAAGTCCCAATCAAATGGCTGGCCCCTGAAACGTTGGGAAAGGGAATATTCTCAGTAAAGACTGATGTCTACAGCTTTGGTAAGCCCCATTCAGCGACTTTATTATTATTTAGGAGTCATGATGTGGGAAGTTTACACTTATTGCAAGAACGATCCTTACTCAAACATGCCCAATTCCGAAGCCAGGATCTCCATTCAATCTGGAAAGACGTTGGATGTGCCCGCAGGCATTCCGACGTTCGCTGAGGAGATTATGAAGGATTGTTGGAAAAAGGAGCCCGAGGGTAGACCCAGCTTCAGTCAAATCGTCGACAGATTCACTAGCGAGGTTGAGTCCAAATAAAGTTGCATAACTATTTAACATTAGGTTGAAGAAAATTAAAACGTGAGATCTATAAAGTTTGGTTAGGCACGGAGATCAGATGGTCAAAGGTATTTTGGCTAGCCGTTCCTCGACTTCCTCGGGCTTGGCCTCATCGAGTCGGTAAAGGGCGTTTCGGGAACATGTTCGCATTTTCCCTGAAGTCAAGGACCGAACGGTGAATGCGGAACCGGGGATTTTCTCACGGAAATAACCTTGGAAAGTCTGCTCATTCTCCCATCGCACGGTGATCTAAATTGAAGTAGTAAAATTTAAGAAGTAATATAACATCGATCCATACTCGAGACATAAAGTCCGTATAATTTGCACTGCGCTTTTTCCTCATTTTTTCGCCTTCACCGACGCGATTCCCCGTTTTTACCCACGCATGCCGTCGACTTTGACGTCAAAATTTTCATCATCCTAGGTTACTGTAATATCCTCTTTACCGTTCTGGCTAAACCCGCAGCTTTGTCGTAAAATGTTCTTTTGAGATTTCCTATGATGTTTCCAAGCACTGGAACCATACAACAGCAAAGAAGCTTAGAAACAATGATCCCTCGGGGCATAAAAATTAAATCGAAATTTTCTCAAAACTCAAATTGGCGTGTCCACGCAACACGCAGTTTTTCGCGAGGCGATTCCAAATTTCACGTGCGACACCGGCGAAAAAATTCTGCGGACTTTATGTCCCAAGTAGCAAAAGTCAAGGACTGACCAAGTATCCGCTAATGTGATCCCCATTGCACCCCACATGTCTGCACTGACAGTCGACCAGATCATGAAGAGAAACATCAGCACTGAAGGAGCAGTCCAGGAACTCAACAAAATAGAAGAAAGTCTCGCTGACTTCGTCCACAATCACTCGATCACACTCCAGATTGCTGAAGAAGACCGCTGTGTCTCCCACATTGATCGGGTACTTGTCTTCTTCTTCTGGCATATAATGTAAGCATTAATTGCACTTACTATTCTCAGAGGAATGAAGCGGACAAACAGCCAATGCCAGATATGGATAATGCCGGTGTTCGAAATGGAGATCCGCGAATTGAGCACAATACGGATGGAAGGTGACACAATGAGCTCCCGAATCCAGACAAGGCTGGCATTTCACAAAGGAGGACTTGAGTGGCTGGCTACAGAAGTCGCATTGGTAATTGCAATCCACATTGAGGTTGAGGAAGAGGTCCGGTTCATAGGACATGTAATCTTGAGAGATGGAGGAAATCTCTCTAAAAGATCAGGGCATTATTTCTAGCCATATTGCCTACCTCAGTTTGTTGAGATCAGTCTCGGCACCCTCCATTAACGAGCTGATCGCGTACATTTCTCCTTTTGCTTCATCCCTGACAATCTTCGACCTTCTACTCATTACTGCACAAATAACATGTACGAAAAGACCTGGTTGTCCATTTACAAATGGAATCAAGGCTCCTCCTCTCAATGAACACATGGCGCAATTCACGGAAGCACAGACGAGTTGTTCTCGAGCAAAGTCACATCTCTTGCACAACCATCCAGCCTTGTCGCTGCGACGTCTTTTGGACGGAGTGGCTTCAGAATCCGAATGATCCGACGAACAATGGGGATTCTGATCGTCGAAGAAGTACTTGTCCACCGAATAGCAGTCTTCATGAACGACAACATGACATCTTTTGCATTGAATTAAACGACTTTCATTCAACGGGACCATCGTTTCACAAGGAATACAGCTCTTGGAATACAACTGATCTGTTGTATACCTTTCGGACCTAAAATCAATAATTTATACATATTATTATGACAGTACTGTTAAAGAAACAAGTTTTACCTTTGAGGACGCGGTGTGTATTCCCCGACAGATGGAGTAAAATGTTGACAAACCGAGCAATACGGGTACCTCTCTCCTTGCTTTGTATTAAAATGGACCTCTTCTTTGAAGTCTTGTTGATGTTGCCAAAGGAAATGCATGATCCTCCTCTTGTCATCCAATCCGGTCTTATATTCTGATATCCGATCTTCTTTTATTGAGGGAAGATCCACACTTGGGACGAAGAAGGGATCCACACTGGATGCGGATTTCTGATTCTTCTTGACCATTACAACTCTCGGGCGGTACCAATAATCGTACCATTCCTCGAACTCATCGGGCCGGAATCTCTTCATAAATGGGGCCATATCAATCTCCACGGATCCCTTCACACATCTGCAGACCGTTGTTGCTTTGGCCACATCGATCCATCGCTCCAGAGCAAAGTTTGTGGATTCGGCACAATTATATCCGAGGTTAAATCCCATGTGATACCCCTAAAGATTTTTAAAAGTTTAATATCCGAATCAAGAATACCACAACTTACCCGAGGGAAAGTAATGATAAATTCGCCCGGATATTGAACCATGGTGCCGTATTTTATTCCATGCTGTTTGAATTCTTTTGGATTAATAATGTGAGTCTTGTGGCGAAGATAGGCTTTGCATCGTTGAGCATCTTCGGGGAACTTTTGGTTACTCAATCGTTCAAATTTATCAGCATCAGACTGAGGAATTGCATACCAGAACTAAAGCATTTTTAGTTCACAAATGTTTCATCTTACTTTAGGTTCTCCGAAATGAAGATAGTTGATGGAATAAAGGTCCATGTCCTCGGTGTGCCAACTAAATGTGGCTTTATACATTCCAAAGTACAGATAAGGCGTGTTCACTCCTGGGATCTTCATCTTACAATCGTCGAGGAGATCAAGAATCGTCTTTAATTCTGTTATTTTGAACTCCTCCACCTCCTTATCGTATAAAGAACCGGGGGTATCTGCGCCATAAATGGGTTCGCCGACACATAGCGTCCTCCAAAATTGTCTGAAAACAGCCAAAATAACAGATTCAGAATAAATATCACCTTTCAATGTCCCTCAATTCGAGATCTTGCCGCGGATTCACATAATGTTGGGATAAAGCGAGCTGTCTGAACTGTTTCACGGACATTTCCTTCCTGTAAATCTTGTTTTCTTTTATATAAGCACCTCCATAAGATGCATTCGCAATCGTTTCTTTCACTGGCCTGAAATAGTTACATTAAAGTATTTATAATAATCTTCGTTCACCGTACTATAATAATCAATTAAAATTAATAAAACCCACGCTTTTATAATGTAATCATCAACTTCTGAGTAACTTAATCCCCGTTTCGGTCTGGGAGACCATTCTTTGGGTGGGACAATCTGAAAAAACAGAATAAAACCAAACATCGTAAACTTACTTTGCAAATCCCCGATTTGAGATGTGCTCCTTTCTCCTCGCAACTTCTCACATAAGCAGAGAAATCCCTCATCTCCTCCAAAGTTGGGTAGAACACCATGACATCATCAGTTCCCGTGCTGATCCATTCTAACTCTTTCGAGTAGCGGGGCTGTAATCCCGCATTCATATTTTTTCAAAGTTAATTGTAATTACTAGCTAACGAATACAATTAGAAACTATTTCAGAATTTGAAATCCTTGAATAAACCAAATATGGGTTTAAAACAATTGTGAGGCTGGAAAAGGCCCATCAGAGGAGCAACTTCCCAGTTTCCGTCTAAATTCCATCTGCTCACGTAAAATATTTTGAGTGCAACACTCGACCCAATTGTTGTTCAGGAGTCAAGTGTTCTCCTATTATATTGTCTTTGCAGATTTTATGTGATCTCCGATTTGGCGCTTTACCCGGGTTTTATGTATTATCAATGAGTAATGTTGAAAAGGAAGAAGGTGAAATACAATCAGAAAGGTCGGTTTCTAACGTTAATTCAATAATGTCATGTGTTTAGTGAGGAAAATAACGACGATTTCTCCATTGAAGTAAGTTTTCTCCCGTTTTCCTTTACGGCGGGATGTGAACGTTCTTTAAAGCTTTTCAGGAGCAACGCATTGATCAAGTTCGAGAAGAGTTTTATCGTGCCCGAGAAGAAATTATGAGGTCGAAGAGTCGACGAAACAGCCATAAGAAAGAAAAAAGTAGGTAAAAAATTTACATAAAAAATGAGTACATTTTTAGAGAACAGAAAAGGCGATCGTGAGTCGAGAGCCAGGCCTTCTACGAGCAGTAAGGACAATTACGAAGTAGTAAACATGGAAATAGAGAGTCCTCCCGATCATGATAGTATTGATGAAGAAGAAAGAGCCCTGAGGGAGATGTTGTTGGAACAGGTAGGCACAGTATAGGTCCTTTTCATGAATACTTTAGGTTATGACGAAACGAGGAAAAGTAAAAAGATCCAACGCAAACACGACAACGACACCCAGTTCTAGACCTGAGGTGGTTGATAAAACGAATGATAAAGATAAACATCCAATATCTACAACTCAACAACGACTTCGACCTCCGTTATCTCCACCAGCAGATTTCTTGTTACCTCCTCCACCAATTCCGCCGATGGACTTGATTATGATCGATGAGACGTCCAATCTCTCTGATTATGAACCTTATTCCCCCAAACCTCCAGATCATCCTATTATAAATGAAAGCCAGGAGGGAATTCTTGGACGGGAACTCAACGAACAGCTGCAGCAAGATGGATTTGTAAATAATTTATTTCAAGAAGATTCTCCCAAAAGTCCAGATGAAGTTTCCGACGACGTTTTGACTTCAGAATTGGAAGATTCAGATGACGATGCATTTGACGATGAATTGTCTGAGTTCGAACTTGATTTAGATGACGTTCGAGAAGAGAATAAGTCCACTAAAAGAGAATTAAATCGATTACAAAAACGACACAAACAAAATCAAAACGATTACAATGCGGTCAGAAAAACTGTAGAGAAATTAAAGGTAAGACGATCTTTTGTTATATTCTGTTTTATAATTTAAGGAAGAACTTGCTGAACAAGAGAGGAAATTGCTGGTCTACGCCGAAAGAGGAATGGATTTGACTGAACGGATTACTAATTTGATCGAGAAATCTTACAATTCCTCCAATAAACATCTGAATAGTGTGAAAGAAGAGAGACAAAAATGGAAAAATAAGGTCAACAAAACAGCTATGGACACGAAGCAGAGACTTAAGAATAGATTCAAGAGGGTTTTCAAAGGGAGGATTCAGAAGCCGAAAAAAATTCCGCTGGTAGATATTTCCGTGCAGAAATCTAGACCCAGTGAGTTTTGTAGGCATATGTTTACATTGATTTAGCTAAAGAGACAAAAAAGAAATCGCCGAAGACGCCGGTTAATCCTCCTGGAAACAATACTTATGAAAATGTGCCCTCAATTGTTACACATGATCATCAAGTTACTAGTTCCCAACAAGATTACGGTATCTTTGCTTATTTTTATTTTATCTTTATTCAGGAAATGACGTCATAACTTCATCAACCGAATTATCTGTGGACATTGAGGAAATAATGCCGGGGGCAAGTGATTCTAGATCCATTGAGAGCCAGTTATTGGAGAGGTTGATGAAAAAGAGTAAATCTAAAAGTAGAACAACACCTCCGACCAAACAAAATGGAAAGAGCAAAAACAATATAGAAACTCAACAGAACCCTCAGGATTTGATGATTGAGGAGATAGTAGATGACCCCAGGCCTTCTTCCTCCACGAGTCTTGATGATGCCCTCAGGAATCCCTTGACCTATATGAGATCTTACAGGTTATATCCATTCTTCCCCTTCCAGCACATAAATCATCCTGCGGTTTCCAACAAATTGAAGGCCGATGTGCCCATTTGTCCGTACGAGTTGCATGGAGTTTGTAGAGATGATACGTGTAAATGGTAAGTTCATTAACTACTCTAATGAAGTCATATCTATTTTCCGGCTTAATATCTATTCCTTTTTTACAGGCAACATGATCAAGACATGCGAGTCAGCGAAGTGGATATCATAAAGGAAATGATCTCATATTACCCCTCCCTTTGTCCTCCCACAAAGACTATTGGTATTTTTGAGTTGTTTTTCAGATATTTTTAGATCAATATGCCAAAGAATTGTTATCCAAGGGAAAAGTGGCGGATGTGGCCAGGTCCGTGGCCTCCTCCATACCTCCTCAAGTCCGAGAACGGTGCTTTAACGATGAACTCAAGAAATTTATTGCACTCTAAAGGTAAGAGAACAGATCACTTATGCTTATTTATTATTCTTGTTATATGGTTTGTCAATAAATAAATATATGGAGAAAGTTTTGGCCATCTTTTTAATTATTGGGTTATTCCGTGGGCAGCTCACTAAACACCAAATAGGGGAGCTTTGGTTGTATCATAACCTTCCCATCCGCACGGAACGTCGTAGATTGCACAATACGATCTCTAAAAAGATAAATCTTCGGCCGGTTTCCTAGAGAGGCCCGTGGCTCCGCCAACGCTGACCTCTCCGATTTTCCTTTCCCTTCGCTTACCCACGTTAGAGTAAAATGAATCGGCGCTTAAGTTGCCGTTTAACACGCACATCCCACTGGAGGCAGGAATGGAAAAAAGGGGTGCGCAATTCTTTGTTGGCGTCTCGAGAGGCGACCAGATTGACTGCAGTCAAGAGATAGATTCCAGTTTCAGTTCCTTCTTCCTCCTCCTTTGTAGCAGTTTTTGTATTCTTTTATGATTGGAAAATAAGATGGTAAAAGTTGTGATTACTGGAGGCTCCGGGTTTGTTGCCGCACATCTGATTCGACGCCTTCAAGAACGATGTGGGGATATTGTAGATGAGATCCACACAATTGACAGACGTCCCTTGACTCACTCCGTCAATGGTTCGTACTTATGCCCCTTATTTTATCGTTTAGGCGGCATTCCTTTAACTCACCATGGTTTGGATCTGAATGACGAAAGGTCCGCTGATGTTTTTGATGGTGCAAAGATTGTATTCCATTTGGCCAGGAAACAGTATGATCCTATTATGGGAACAAATAAAGCTGAGACGTATGATAAAGATAATTTTGAAGGTAATCCTTTTATTCTCTGGATGGCGTATCATGTATACTATACTCCCAGCCAAAAGTTTTGACCCCCCTTCTAACTCGGCGCAAAGTGTACCAATTTGGACCAAATTTGGTACGTAGTCTACTGACAACCCAGTAGTAAAAAATATCATAGTAGGACAAACCATATAGCTGTATTTCAAAATCCAGGGACAATTTTCAAAAATCACCTCAAAAAAACGGGACAAAAGTTTTGACCCCCCTGCAAAAAAATGAAATATCGCCAGCGGAGGCAACCAGAACCTTTTGGAACCGGTGTCCCTTACCTGAATATGGGTTAATAAATGCTTTTTTGTTGAATGCTTCGTTGCATTTGAGGATGCAACGCGTTAAACTGATTTTGATGTAGAGCTGCCCAAAATGGTAAAAATCTTCTACTGGCGCTTTCCAAAAGTTTCAAATTATGTTCACATCATGTGATCTTGACGTGTTATAACCTGCATTAATCTTTTCCTTTCGAAAAAAGTCCATGATGGCGTAGCAGAATCGATTCGGCCGGTATCCAGTTGTCATGGTCAGCCTTGATGAGCCATTTGCTCTTTGACTAAAGGTCTAGATGGGGTCGCTAGGTCCTCAATCTAATCCTGAGACTCCTATTTACTTTCAGCAGGGTAAAAGGTTCCGATTTGACACGTTTTGGAATGGGTTTCATTCACCTTAATCATAAGTTTGCCGTTACTGTAGATGCCCCCGAGTACGATGCCATCCCCACCGCCCATTTGGCGTTCCATATGTCTCAAATGAGTCTGGCGGGTGCTGTAGCCTCCTAAATTACCTGGCCCATCAAATGAAAGCCGTTTTTGGTCGCAAAAAATCCATTTGAAAAACGCGGGTTTTTCTTTAAGGTGCAGATCGGTAAAGTTGCATCTACAAACCATTTGGGATCGTGTCAGCGGGAGTTTATTCTTGTTTTGAGAGTAGACACAAGTCTCAGGATTAGATTGAGGACCTAGCGACCCCATCTAGACCTTTAGTCAAAGAGCAAATGGCTCACCAAGGCTGACCATGACAACTGGATATCGGCCGAATCGATTCTGCTAGGCCATCATGGACTTTTTTCGAAAGGAAAAGATTAATGCAGGTTATAACACGTCAAGATCACATGATGTGAACATAATTTGAAACTTTTAGAAAGCGCCAGTACAAGATTTTTACCATTTTCGGCAGCTCTACAGATTAACCCATGTTCAGGTAAGGCACACCGGTTCCAAAAGGTTCTGGTTGCCTCCGCTGGCGATATTTCATTTTTTTTGCAGGGGGGTCAAAACATTTGTCTCGTTTTTTTGAGGTGATTTTTGAAAATTGTCCCTGGATTTTGAAATTCAGCTATATGGTTTTTCCTACTATGATATTTTTTACTACTAGGTTGTCAGTAGACTACGTACCAAATTTGGTCCAATTTGGTACACTTTGGGCCGAGTTAGAAGGGGGGTCAAAACTTTTGGCGGGGAGTATATGTGAAGTGAACTCATGGTTTGTATTTTATTTCAGCTACAAAGAACGTTGTGGATTCTGTGATCCAGCACAAAGTCCAAGGTCTTGTTTACCTTGGCGATGCCTTCGCAAATGTTCCAAGTCGCGATAATTTTGGAAATTCCGAGGATGTTCATGCAGGAGAACCCTCTTCTTATCTCCTCGGTTCCTACGGAGAATCAAAGACGAAAGCAGAGCTATATGTTCGCAACAAAATTGGTACAGAATACGGCGAAAGTAAGAGTCCATTACCTTTTAACTACTCTGTTTAGACCAAAAGTTGTATGGAGTTTGTTTCCGACCTACAGTAATCTACGGAGAAGGCTCTAGAGGTTTGATCAATGCAGTGAAAAGAGTTGCTGAAGCCAATAATGGAGAGCTTGTCAATATCAGCGGCTCCTCAAACGGAATGTTGCAATATGTAAGCGGCTTTATATAACCTTTCGTCATTGGATTGCTCCGGTACATCTCTCTAGGACAGTGTAATTTAATATTATAGATCTACGCTGGAAATTTGGCAATTTACCTGGAAGAAGCGATGAGAGTTTTGTTGAAGGAGCCTGCAGAAATCAGCGGACACTTCTTTTATTGTATGGATAAGACCGAGGCCACCCAATTCAACAAGGTATGCACGGAATGCCCTTTCCAGGTGGCTGCACTTTAGTCTGCCGAAATAGAAGGCCTACGAATCCGGAAATGCAGATCTTGAGTTCTGTTTTCCATCCTCAGGGCATTTACGTGGAGCCTTTTCCTGGCTTCCGGGGGAAGATAAAAAAATTACAGTACTCATTTGTCACCTTATTTTTAGGTCATGGCCAAATTTCTTGAACCCTATGGAATTTCTCTGAAGTCATCGTTTAGTTTCCTCTCTATCTATCTACAAACGGCTTATGCCCAAACCAAACTGAATTTGTTCGGGATTCAGCCAGAAAAGCCCGTTTATAATATGGGGGCCCTGAGGCTATTTGTGATCTATGCCATCGGATTCAGTAACAGGAAACAACAACTTATGTTCAAATCACGACCACAGTTCACCCAAGAGGAAGCAATGGAGAGAACGGCCAGATGGATCGCCTCCAAAAACTTTAATCAGCCAGAATTGCCTCTGACGCAAGAAAAGCCGATATTCAGAAGAGGATAATACTCTTATCTCTTTGCAGAACCAAGAATAACTCAACCAGAACTGCCTGATATTTCTGACAATAATACAGAGTTCTCAATTTTATAATTTTGATGCTTTATATACAATAAAATATCTGTAATAAAAGAAAACTTAATGAACGATGGAAGTGAGGATACCGGTAGGTCCGAACTGATATTCGACATCCAAATGATGTCATTTCCTCTGTCCGTCTTTCGTTTTGTCTGTCGGAATCAGAAGGCTGGCTACTGGATTCGTTTCTAAAATACGTAATTAAGAAAACGGAATATCATTATTACCTGGGGCATTTTTGGGTCGTGGACTGTCAGGAGTTAGACTTGGAGGTGCAAGATGACCTTGTCGGACCGCGAAGCCTTCCTAGAAGAAAAAAATTAAAGAAATTATATAAATTTATACTCTTAAGTCATCAAAACATTTTTTAAAAGCGAAAAATTGGATCTGTATTATACCTGTAAATGACAAAGACGGTGATGATGGAGAGAAGTCAAATTAACCGCAACAGAATGCATAATCCCTTACTTAGAGCTTGCCAAATCTAAACCTAAGCCCCCAAATCCGGGCCCTTTTATTGCTGACATTCAACCCCGCCCCTGCCTGGAATAACTCAGCCAATCGCCAGTCAAGCAGAATTCGGATGTTATTGCAAAACTCCTGAAGAAAATCATGTCATATTCGAACCGCTGAACCGTGCCTGTTTTCCAAAACGGAAGTCACAAGATTTGCATTTTCTGCAGAATATTTCTGGATTACTGTGCTGTGTCTTTCGCCCCAAAGAACGCCTGCGAAGGGCGGACAAAGAACCACAAGATCGAGCTGGATCGACTCACCGGCAACTCCGTTTTGGCCGAGAACGATGCATTGTTTTGTGACATGAAGACGGCCACCGATCACCGGATCATAACAACCTCCAGGATGGGGACAAGGCCCGAGGACGGTTACTAGGATACAATCGGGGATGGCGGAGAAACGGGCCAAACCTCGATGCGCTCGCCTATTACTCTCCCGACTACACCTCGACACACAATGAGGACAAGTGCCGGTGTTAATCAAAAGCTCGTTGTCATGGCGACACGGTTCGTTTAACTCTATAAATTCCGTGCCAGAATTCGTCTGATTCGATTTATCCGCTCTCAAAAAGCCGAGAATTAAATTTCAAACTTCTGCAGAAGTTCTCAGACCTCCAATCACCGAAGTTATCTCCGATCTTGAATGACTCAGTTAAATGTTAATATTTTTGCTACTACTTTCATATTTATAGTCGCGACATAAAGTGCGTAGAATTTTGCACAGTGCGTTCAACTTTTTTTCGCACGCGCCTCCGCGACTTCCCGTTTTTGCACTAGCGACACGCACTTTTCTGTGAACACACTCCGCGACATCCTCCAGAAAATTCTACGGACTTCATGGCGCGACGAGTTTGAAAACGGTTTCTCTTTAATGCACCAACTTTTGTTACAATGTAATTATTTATTTACAACCATAATTACAGAAATTGTAAGGAAACAATCGGAAAAATCTCATCCAGGCCTTTGTTAATTCAAAAAAAAAAAAATCCAGATGCCGATCACAGATAAGCGGCCCTTATGCAGATAACAGTCCAAGTTTATAAAGCCCTGTGACACAAATATAAACATAAAAAAGGATATAAAAACACAAAGAAAACTTTAAAACGGTCACGGTTCCTACCGTATAATTTTTGAAAATCTGAAAAGCACTAAATAAAGCGTCGCAGCGATCTCTCTAAGGCCGTCCGACGAGATCTTATCGACGGGCGGGTTCTGTTTCCTTGGCCCAAACAGGTAATCGGATATTTCTCTTCGCAAATATCTTCCCTTTATTTTATTCTTGACGTTTAAATGCCGCTTTCTTCCTTTTCTTGTCCTCAATTAACGGCTACAATATAATTATATTGATTATGTCATGTTGTGGAAGCCCTTCAGTGCTCCCCCTGTTTCTCACGTTCTATTTTGTCGCCTGCAGGTTCATCAAATTGATAACCCGAATCGCGGCACGCTGACAGAATTGTGAATACAGAAGGCTGGTCTGGAGGGAAACGCTTTTCGAGTTATTTTGATTTAATTTGGAATCTCTTAGCGCCGACGTTGAGAGTCACCTTGTTCAAGCCGACTTCCGGATTGCTGCGAGGCGAATGACCGGAGGGTTTCGAGAACTGAACGCCGGAGGTGGTTCGCCTCCACCTCGACTTCGCTTCAGATCGGACGGCATTTCTTGTGTTCCTCCTTTAACCCGTTTCGCGAAGAAAAGACGGGGCGATGGGCCGTCGGATTCCTTGTTTGATTAGAGAGAGGTACACGGGAAACAAACGTTCGTTTTCCTCCATCCCACGAAACGGATCCGTGTCTTCGGCCCTCGGTCAAGGTCTTCCGAGGGATTGACTCGGAAAGTGAGAATTCCAGATGATTTTATGGGTTATGACATCCCCATGATCTTATTCGAATCGAAGGAATCTGGGTTATATTGTATTGTACTCCATTATGAGGGATCCTTGGGAGTCGCGAGGTCTTGTTCTAATGTCTTTTTGAGTATGACTTTCATTCGATTAATTCCGCGGGTCAGTCCGTTATCCCGTTTGGTTGATCGTGTTGTGGTGTTTCATTTGCTTGATGAAGTTCCCTTAAATATCATTATTTGCATGTTCATTATTGATTACTTTTATAACCTCCCTCCCTCAGAGATGGCACCATTTTTCCAGGAATCTTGATCTTCTTCCATTTTTGTTCGACTGAGACGGCTAGATTTCATATTTGCAAATCGTAAAACCTCACTTAACGAAATTAATTAGACGCCCTGAGAGGATTTGTTTGAGACGTCGTAATCCCAATCATTCCGGCGCTGTTCTTGAATTCAAATATTACTCTTTTAATTAATGGGAGTGGCCGCTCAGGGCTTAATCGTCGGCCAATTTGCCCGCCTTGTTGGACACCATTCCGACAATTATTCGGAATGGCCCAACTTTATGCAGCCGCATTTGCATAAAGCGGGGAGTTAAGTATTCGAATTCAGGAAAAAGTTATTGTTCGGATTACTTTGGGTCAAGGAACAGGAACCGGCCTCCCAGGTGGCTACTCCGACTTTGCCCTAAGGCCATGGGAACGGAAGCGGTTACTGAATGGGAAGGGAAAGGTAATCTTCTTTCGCCGGGGATTTTCATAAGAACAAGAAAAGGGGAATATGAGGTATATTATTGAAGGTGATCGCAGTGGGTTGTCTGTTGGGGACAGCGGGGGAGAGCGCGCACCCCATCCCCTTCTTTCCCTCACCTCACCTCACCTTGCTCTCGACTGGACGGCCATTCCTCCGTTGTCCACTCTTTTTTGTCCGCGATTTCCCTTCGTTTCGACTATTCGCGCGCAGCCTTTACCTACATCAAGATGCCTCCTCTCTGCCCCCAGGTGACGCTCCTGCTCGCTTTCTTTTCCTAGGCCCAGGACATGATACTTCTGCCAGATTACCGCCCCGTTTATGAGATGAGTTTTAGTTCCTTTTTTCCGATCCCAAAATTAAGTTCGGGCTTTAACATAAATTGCGCAATCACTCTTCCTGTTCTTCTTCCCTCAGGCCCTATCGCGTTTTGTTCGCATAATGAGTCACTTAATCACACGAAACTTGTAATTCCTTTTGTTCCATTAACTGTAGTGATTAATGATAGGCTTTTATTGAGTCAATCGGTTGGTGGGAACACGTTCGACTAGTCCATTTAATGCCTTCACTGGATGAGATTTCACTGTTCGAAAGTCAAATGATAATTTGTTGGAACAAATCAGTCAGAAATCAGTTAATTGGCTACTGTAATCTTATGGATACCGATCCTTTTTTTCCTATTTCCCAATCGGATTCTCCCATCCTTGGCCGCATCCCGAGTTGTTTCCGTGTCCCAGCGACCGATGCCTTTCTTTTTTCCGTTCATTCTCCAATTTGTTATCTTCTGCGTATTAGACATGATTCAGTTCCGAGTTATGATCCCCGAAATGGACTTTTCTTATGCAAATTGGTGTCTTCTTGTGTTCCCGAGAGGGGACAAGGTCAGTCAGTCGAGATTGAGGGCGGCACTGTCGGGAAAAAGGGTTAAAGTCGTCATTGCGCTTTTTGTAGTTAATGGAGGGGCGAACTTGGCAAGAGTTCAAATTACCCTGACTTTATGGGTTTTTGTTCGAATAAAGTAATTTTGTTTTTTTATTCCTTGTAATGACTTTACAAGGTTTTTGAAGGGAGAGCGAGGATACAATTTCCTCGTCGTGCCCGACTTTACTTTCTCCTTACAATTGCCGTTCTCCCAAGTGCAATGGGTCGTGTGATGCTGTTCTTTGTCCCATCGTCATATACATTGCCGCGTCTTCTTCCTTACGCCTTTGTGGCCAGGCCACAAACATCTGTCGTTCGTAAGTAATAAGGTGTTTCTGCGGATTCGTTCGTCGTTCTTCGGCGTTCCGATTGTTTATTCTGGCCGCATACTTTCGTCGCGTTCAGCGGACATTGGGGAGCTTGAAGACAGGAAGGGGGATCTGACCACAGAAAAGGAGCCGAAGGGAAGGATCTTCTCTTCAGCGCCCCCCCCCCCTTTCCTTACCTTGACTTTGATGGAATGAGCGCTTTCAGGAGGCACGCAGAGGGAAGAAACCGCCAAGAAATAAGAATAAAAAGATGCGTTGCGGGTGTCGCGAAGAGGCGCGATGTGCCGTTTCTCCCACCGCCGAATACAACACGTTAATGCTTCTGCTGATTCTGGGGGAGAAGGACCGATGTTCCGAGATCTTTGCACTGATAAACCGAGTCTTTTTTTGGGGCGAAGACTCGGGAAATCGTGTTATGTTCAGCGCGTCTCCCATTGTTTTCTTTAAGCCCGTGACGCATCGCTGATCCACACGCTTCTGAACTGGCGGTATGAGGATCATGGCGACGCGACTTGTTCCTGGTGTTCATGTTTACGTCACTCTTTTGATCTGTTTACGAGGCCCCGCAGGTAATAAGGACGGTGACGTGGTCGAGTTCACGACCTGCTCGGTCTCATATAACAGTTCGCGAACCGATTTGTCTGTTCATGAGGAAGATAAGGTTTCCTTTTCTGTTCGGATGAAGCTCCCCTTCTTCCACTTGTGTATCTTCTACAGCAAAGAGAGAACAAAACGCGAGGGAATGTGAGGGAACGGCGTCTATAACAACAAAGTGTTATTGGTCATCACGCGCGTCTTCGCTTCACGCGTCTTTCTCTGTAGCTTCGACGAATTTCCATGTTCGATTAATTAATAGTTTCTGAAAACTCTTTTGCGTGTTTTGAGAATATCTTTACCTTCATCTTGCGGCCATTCCTTTTGTGTCTCGGCATTTGCGCCGAATTTTTTTTTATTCAATTTGAATGTCCATTGCCTCGAAGCTTTTTGGAAATGTCCATTTCTTTTATCAGACCCCAAAAAAGTTTTGTTTTTCGCTTTCTTTTCTATTCCCTTGGCTTTTAACACCTGTTGTAGTATAAGCCCTAAGGCAAACAATTTGAATTTCCCAGCAAGGGAGTGCATATTTATTCGATAACGACTTCTAAACTCTTGAGTAAATGTTTTGGACTTCTTGCAGACGAGAATGGCGTCTGTTTATTTAAGCCGTGCCACGTATCTTGTATAACACATACTGTGACCTCATGTTTTCCATTTATGAGACGCTTGTTTTTTACTTTAACCTTTACCAGAGCGAGTACCCGCCATCTTACTCCGCCTTCTAAATTGCGTAAATTTAGCCAATTTTGTGAGCAAAACGCTGCCCTCAGGCATTACCGGTTCTGCTCTTGTTTCGCTCGATATCTCAACGCAGCCGTCGACCAAAACAACCTCAGTGTCTGGGATTGCATGTGAATCTCCACCAAATATGGCCCAGTATGCGGCCACCAGCTCATTGGGTACCTCGTCTCCTCAGCTCTCGATCCATTCCCAGGCGATAAACGAGGAGATGAAGGACATTATCAACCTCCAGATCTTCGTCCCGGAGCTCCAGATGCAGGTGGGTTGAGGAGAGAAGTGACTAATCCTTGTTTGCAGAAATGTTTGACGGTCTCACTGGATGAGTTGGTTTGGGACATCAAGCGCAAACTTTTTGCGTCATTGCCTCAGGTAAGGATGGAATATTTTGACAATAGGGTGACTTATTCAATAGATCGAACGCTTTTCACACGCAAAAAATTTTCCCATTGTATAACAAATGACCCGAGCTCCTACACTGTTCTTCTTTTCAGCAGTTACCACAATCTTTCAACTTTGGCCTTTTCCTACCGCCTTGCGATGGCCGAGCGGGAAAGTTTCTGTTGGAAGATCGCCCGCTCAGAGACTATCCCTTCCATGACTGTGTCCCTTACGTCGAGGTTTGTAACCCGTCTTTTCTCCTATCATTCATGCTGTCGTAAAAAATATACGAGAAGCTTATTTTTAGCTCAAGTACAAGAAACGTGTCTACAAAATGCTGAAACTGGATGAGAAGGCTCTCAAACAAGTCCATTCCAAGGTAAGTCCATAGTTTACAATTAATGAGGTTGTTAATGAAGCCATTACAATAATATCCTTGCCTTTGCAGGGCAATCTCAAAAAGTTTATGGAGTATGTCCTAAGTAGGAACTCCGAGAAGGTGGAGAAATTATGTGCCAATGGACTAGATCCAAACTTCCACGACAGTCAAGGTGAGACTCCATTAACATTAGCAGCGGGAGTAGCGAGAAATGAGAAGGTTCTGATGGCTCTGATCGGTGGAGGAGCTCACATTGACTTCAGAAATAGCGAGGGTCAAGTAAGTTTCCAAGGATTATATTCAGAGGCTCTGTTTCCAGACAGGGATGCACAAGGCTGCCTTCCTCTCCATCGTGGATAATGTGAGGACTCTTCTGGAGTTGGGGGCTTCTCCCAATTATCGAGATCCCATCGGATTAACCCCATTGTATTATTCAATGCTAACCACTGATTCTCAAGATTCTGTTGCTCAGATGTTGTTGGCCGAGGCTGCTGAGATTGGAGTCACTGATATGCATGGAAACCACGAGCTACATCAGGCCTGTAAAAATGGATTGGTCAAGCACGTAGAGCATTTGCTGTATTATGGAGCGATGCTTAATGCTCAGAATGTAAACGGAAATACTCCTTTGCATGTCTGTGCTGTCAACAATCGGTATGTGCCATAGAATACATCATGCTTCATATCGCGATATGCGTAATGACTGGTAATTACATACATTGTAGGCCTGATTGTGCCCGCGTTCTTCTGTTCCGTGGAGCCGATCCGCTGATCATGAACAAACAAGGCCAAACAGCTCTCCATGTTGCCAATATTGTGGGCAATCATGGTGTGGCCGAAGTCATCCAAATCCACAACCCTCATAACTCCGGTAAGCCTTTTTAGAGGAAAGTGACTTTCTATTGTGGAAGATCCGCCCTTGATTTAAGAGCTTTCTCCTTGACTGGACTTTGTTTCGGTCCGTTTTATTAAGAGAATAACATCAGTCGCAGTAATGTCTCTTCATTATGGGAGACGTCTTCGCCGTCAACCTCTTCTGAATCAGGTCTTCAGTCAGGAGAAAGAGTCCTTTGTCCATTTCCTCAATCCCTATGAGGACCATGCTAACTCCACTGAAATTACAGTACCCTACCGAGGCACCCCCAAATATAGTACGCGACGTCGATTGGGAAGTCAGATTGTACGAAGGCGATCTTTGAGTCAGTCATCAATATGTTCGGGGAGATCCGAGCAGTTCTATCAAACCCCACAGCAAGTCAGGCATGCCGCGCCGAGTATGCCTAGTCCTAGTCCAAGCCGAATGTCTGCCTCACAAGCATCGGATTACGGTACTTTGAGGAGATATCCGGCTGATGCCGTGCAAAACCCCGTTCCGGGATTTGAGTAAGTATACACAATCTGTGATTGGTAAATTCTCGGTTCGTACTTACGATTATATTTCAGAACAAACGTACCGAGAATCCTTGTGATTCCACGAGGTCCTAAGGGCTTTGGATTCATTCTACGAGGATCCAAACATGTGGATTCCGAAATAGATTTCCGTCCAACCTTGGAGACCCCAGCTCTTCAATTCTTTGAAGGCGTCGATATGTCCGGAATGGCTATGAAAGCTGGCCTTCGACCCGGAGATTTCCTTCTCGAGATCAACGGTGTGGATGTCAGAAGTGCTTCTCATGAACAAGTAGTCCAATTAATCCATCAAAGTTTGGACACGATCACATTGAAGGTGATTACCGTAAACCCAGCGATCGGTCAGCCTACTTATTCTTCTTCTGGTACCATGCCCATCAGAAGGAACAATTCTGTCCCCAGAAATCATGGTCTTCCACCCATGCCACCGCAACGGCATCCGTCAACATCTCTTACGTATGCTCCTTCACACACAATGGGATATTCGAGTAAGTGGAGTTCTTCTTTTATCTTACGTAAGCGTGTGTTATAATCAGGATAACAGGTACCAGACCCATTAACATGTCTTTATTTCTCTAATCCTTTTGTAGTGGACCAACATCCTGTCTCGATCTATGATAGCTCGAGGAATGGGACTATCAGATTGAGCAAGGAGTCCGCCGATTCCATTATTTCTGACCAAATTCGTTGTGCTTCAGTGAAAAGTCGACCCTCAGCTTCGCGGCGTATCTCGGCAGCCGAATTGGAGCATTTAATGATCCGCCAATGCTCGAGCAGCTCCCAATTCCAGCCAATTCCGTATGAACAAGTAAGTTCGCAAGATATACAGCAAATGTACAGAGTAGGCTGTCATGTGGAAACAATTCGCATAATTACCCATTTCCAGGATTTGTATGGTCAAACGACTCCGAAGAAATTTACTTCAGTAGCAGATATGAAGCGAAGCAAACAGCGAGGACTACCCTCGCCCAGTCTCAACAACGGACTTCCAAGAACAAATTCGATGACCGAAGATGACAACATCCACATCCCCTCAGGGCTCAAGAGTTTTAATTCTTCCCCCGACCTCAAAAAGAATCTATATGAGCCACAAAACGGATACAATCTGATCAGAAACCAGAACACCGCGTTCTCTGATTACCAGTCCATGAATGGTCAGAATCTGGGAATGTTAAGGCCGAAGACACCTCCCCCTCCCCCACCACCTATCGATCGTAAGAGTGAGAATGGTGGAGAACAATCTTCTTATATGGACACTTCAGTACAACATCAAACTGCTCAGAGCCAGTCATTCCAAAACAATCATATCGAGCAATCCAAGCCCAGCACAAGTGCGAAAGCAGCTCCTCCACCCCCGCCCCCTCCTCCGCCACCTGACTTTCTGAAGACTGGAATCCCAAAATCTTCGTCATCAGTAACAGCCTCACCAAAACCAACTGGTGGAATGGCAGGGATAGTTGCGGCAATGCAAAATGTGAAATTAAAGCCCGTTAATAACAACACCATCGAAGCCCATCAGAATGAAGAGGGTGATAACAAGGCCAAATCCACTTCGGATTTTCAATCAGACCTTAGAAGTGCACTAGCCAAAAGGAGATCAAAGGTTTCGGATGATGACAATTTCGAAGAACATAATGTAAAACAAAGCAATCAGCTGGGGAATAATGGATTGTAAGCCCTCTTATATGTAGTAGCTACTAATATTATTAGTTTTATCATAACTTATAATTAATAATAATCGGTTCTTTTAGGAATTATGGAAGTCTGAGTCTCCGAGAATCGGTCAGAGAGAATGTGCAAGTCCAATCAAAAAACTTGGAGAAGCAGCACTCACCGCCGGGGTTTGTAAATAAAAAGGACAGCGGGTAAGCCGAGTCGACACCTTCTTATATTCACTTGCAGATACACATCATCAAGAACGTCGCTGGAACCTAGTGAGTGCGGTGATGATCAGACCCTGGTGAACAGTAGAGTCAGCACAACTACCATCAGAATCTCTGAGAATGGAGGGCCCGAGTTACTAACACACAATTCGAGAGTCACTTTAATCAGCCAACATCTTGAGGATAGGATTAGTAAAGAGAACAATCCGATGACCCAGGATACTGTAAGTACAATACCAACTTTCTGATTCGCTTATTCCGTGCATGACCTAAGACTTTCCCCTTCAGATTTCGATCGCTTCCTCCATATCCAATTTTTCCAACTCATCTTCATCAGTTCAGGCTAACAAGTTGAGGGATTCGGCCTATACTCTTTCCCCAAATCACATCCCCCCTGCTGATTATGATGATTGTTCCGACCAAGACTCCTGTTCCGCCCCTTCGTCTTCATCCAACGATTGTAAGAGAAACTTTCCTCGTAGCAGTGTGCAATAATTTTATACTATAAATAATTAATTATATCATTTCTTAGCCGGCCATCCAATAACGGAATCGTTAAATCCAGTTTTCGCCCAAAAAGATTTATCGATTTGGACTTGCACAGATGTGGTGGACTGGCTCCATTCTCTCGGTCTGAAAGAGTACATGGTGCCCTTCTCCAAACAGAGAATCTCCGGTCAAGATTTGATACGATTCGATCGCTCCAAATTCACTCAGCTTGGGGTTACCCGCATATCACATCGCCAGACCATGGAACAATCTTTACGTTTACATTCCAAACAAGACATTTGAATCTTCCTTAACCCGGCTACGCATTCAATCGACGAGCTTTCACAGTAAATTACCCTGTTATTGTTTACGGATTTCCCTTCTTTAATCTACCTAATTCAAATATTTATTCTCCAAACCCATTGTCATACTATAGTGCGTTTATCAATATTACAATTTGTGTAATAAAAGAGTTTTATTGAACACGGATTCTGATTGGCAATGTTGAAAAGAAAACCCAATCTGAGAGCGAGAATAAAGACTTCACACTCCGTCATCGCAGAGAAAATGATAATTTGGCTATTTTGATGAGTTGGCAAGCATACTATAATATAAGCAGAATGGCAATACAGACCGTGTTTTTAGTCGTGTATTCATTTTATAAGTAAATGATTTTATTGCGTAGTAAAAGAGAGCCCGATGAATTTTGGAGAAATCTTTGAACCACCATTCATTATTGGGTGTCATTATTGAAAAGACCGGAATCTTATCTAAGAACGAGGATTTCCGGCACAGATCTTTCGTCGTATAGATTTGAATTTGCAAGTCTAATTACGCCCCCTTAAAAATACAACGACCGAATCATCAGAGCACTCGTTTTTTTTCGCGGCGATCGGAACTGGTTTCTAAAGTTTGAGCTGTAGTGTGCCAAACCTAACTTATTCATGTTGGAGAAAGTTTCAAAATTAATTGGATAATAATTAATTTTGGAAACTTTAAATTATCAGAACTGAGCCGTATTTGATCATCTTTTCCGATCCATACACTTCACTCACCCGTTTAACAACGACTTGCCAGATTTTTTGTATAATTGTTGACATTTCGTCCTAAAATCAATAACTCGGGGACGCAAAACTGGAAAAGGAAAAATTAATTTTGCCTGCACCGGTGTGGCCAAAATATGGCCGTTCTTCTCCGCCGAACGTGTTCTCGATACTATTTACAATGTAACAGACTAAAGTTGTTTCTCTCGATATTATTCTTCTTTGGTTTATTTTACATTTTGTTGATGTCAAATTCGATTCAGCAAAAGTGAGTTTCTGTGATCATTTCTGGTTTTTTCCCTTTTTTTTAACTCAACTGACGTATCGATTTCAGAAATCTTGATTATGCCACTAAAATTACAATTAAGGCGCCGATTGATTTGACTAATACGACTACTTCAATATCGGAAGAAGAGTAAGATAAATTTTTTTGTAAAGTTTTTGATTTTAGGCATTTTACATTGAGCCTTTTGGAGTTTGAGAGCGCATCAGTAAATGTGACTGAGAGTGGGCCAGTCAAAGCTGATCTTCCAGAATGTGAACCCTTGGAAAAAATTACTGATTATAAAACTAAAATATCACAAGCAACTCTGCTGATTGAAGATCTGGAAGAATTTGAGGTTGAGAGGAACCATCCTGGAGTTCTTCCTGGAGGTATTTGGAAACCGCGTGATTGTAAAGCCAGGCATAAAGTCGCAGTCATAATTCCTTATCGAGACAGGAAAAGCCATTTGACCAGACTTCTCGACTTCCTCATTCCCATTATGCAGAAACAAAGACTTGACTTCCGATTTATTGTCACAGAACAGGCAAGTAATTTCTTCTCGAAAACTTTTGATTTTTTAGTATGGAGATGATCTTTTCAACAAAGGCAGAATTATGAATGCTGCATTTCAATTGGCCGTGAAACTGAAGGTTGATTGTGTCATATTCCACGACGTGGATATGTTTCCTCAAGATGACAGGACTCCTTACGATTGTCCGGACACTCCTCGCCATCTCGGCGCCTTTGTCAGTAACCTTGGCTACCAGTATGTTGAAGCGCATTTTATTGGTAGTCATTTTTAGATTATGGTACAAGGAAATTGTCGGTGGCGCATTAGCGATCAGAATTGAGGACTATCTCGCCGTAAATGGTTACTCAAACCTTTATTGGGCGTGGGGCGGAGAAGATGACGACATGGGTGAGATCTTATTGTCTGAATTATCAGTTTATCGGGTGGCAATTCGGCTGGCTGATTTTGTGTGCATGTGTAAAATTAAAACAACTAGTATAACATATAGAATTCTTCAATTCTTTAAGTTTACCACCCAAAAGTGAAAAGATTTTTGCTCGGCCCTTGCATATTTCGGTCAGATTACATATTCATAATAAATTATTTTAGAAAGTTTTAAAAGCTGGTAAAATAGGCTCTAAGTCAAAAAGGTTTATTATATAAGAGTGAAGAAATAAGACCGATTTTGGGATTTTGAAAAAGACGCCAAATTTGCTTTCTCGAGCTTTTCTTCTCATGTCGGCCTCATTTTTTCCATTCTATTTTTTTCAAAAAAAGTGAGGAAAGCGTTTTTAACGTTTTGCTTCGAAACGACCGGTGCGATCTTATTTCTTCACTCTTATATTATCCATCCATTGATTTTGATAGTTATTTTTTATTAATTTTAGGTAAACGGATACTATCACAGAATTATACAATAGAACGACCGAACCAGGAATATGCCCGATTCTCGATGTTGAAACACGTTAAAAGGAAACGAACCGCCCCCAAACTCATCTACAAACTGCTTGACGACGCCGATTCCAGATGGCACAATGATGGGGTCAACGAAACAGATCATTGGAAGATAAAATCTCTGATCAAGAGGCCTCTTTATTATCATCTTTTTGTAGATGTGGGACCGGCCCCCGCCTTCTGGAGGTCCACTTAAATCCCGTTCTTTCATCTTATATTTCTATTGTGTCATAATCTCGTCTTGCCTAGCATAATTTCATGCCTTTACACTTTGCCGCAATGATATCTCTAATCACTTTTCTTTTACCAAAGGGGTTAATTAGCACCGGGGCCTTTATTTATAAGTAATAAATATTTACTGGCTTTAAATTTAGTTATTTGACTACTTGTTGTCATCACAATATTATATTTGATAACAAATTTTTTACCTTTCACATGGGAAGTCGCAGTATGTGAAGATGTTGATCGTTTCGGCTTCGAATGAGCCAATGCAAGAGCCCACCAATCTTCTCCATTTCAACGAACGGGAGTTCATTTTATTCGACTTCTGGAAAGTCGGAACGGCCTTTGGTAAGTCATTTACGAATAGCAAAAACAAAGTTTGGCCGCTTTAAAATGTGAGTTTAGGTATGTTTGGATCTATGATGATTGTATTTTTAATCGCAATATTGCACGAAGCCGTTATCGGTACTCGGGTTTTCGTCCTCCGTGAGAATATCCCCTTGTCCACATACTCTACCGAGCAATTATATGAGAACACAATCAATCAAAGGGTCGAGGAGAACGCACCCCGTGGCATTCGAGGAGTCTTCAGGTACGCATTTCACTTTAATATTAATTTATTCCCTCATTAATTTGGCTCTTTAAGTGGACTTGGCTCGATTGTCTTGTTTTTTGTTTGCTGTCATGATTATTTATTTCAGAAGGATTTCCAGTGCCTTCACGTGGTTCCGTATCGGCAACTCGGTTCTCTACGGGGTTCAGTGGATGTTGATGGCTCTCCTTATATTATTCATCACCACTTTCAACATCTGGATCATAATTGCCGTCCTCTTGGGGAAGATTGTGGGTCATTTTATCTTTCTGGGTTCTGCTCGGGTTTCGGAACAATCCTTGATTCTGGAAGGCGGCGTGGTGCGGGAATCTCCCATTCCCGAAAGACGCATTTGTGCATGACTCTTCTCTGGTTTGAGCTCTTAGAGCTCTAACACATACCTGTTTTCAACTCTCTTATAGTCTCACGCTTTACTTCATGGTGTACATATCCTTGAAACCGGTGTAGAATTCTCTCTCCTCATATATTTATACAACATTTGTTTGGCGCAATATGTATTTTTGACTCTGGCATAGTTTTGAATAGAAAACAAATAAATTTTTATCCATGTTTTATGTATTACACATACCCAGGAAATGTGAAATTCGGGGTGGAGAGTAGTGCAGGTTCATAAATATCGGCCCTCTCGTCCAGCACATAATTCGAGTGCAAGAACGACCACGATTTCAACCAAAGAAGTTGTTCCTAGCTCTTCTTGGAAAATGTCCAGCTCAGCCTGGAGGCGGTTAATGTCCCGGAATTGTTTCACGCTTCCTTACCCCACAGACAATAGGCCAATTCTAAACTAGGAAACTCCAAGCAGAAATAACAGGTGGGACAACGCCTCTCAATTATTCGGTACACATTCCACATTTCCTATCTGAATTCGGTCTTAAAACTGCCGGAGAAGGAAGAAGAAGTCGCCCAGGATGAAACTCTTTCCTTGTCCCTCCACCCCTATCCCGAACTTGTGGGATCTAGTCCCATAAAAGGGACATTTAAGAGCCTAAACTTCCTCAAATTGTCAGCCCGACCTCCCCCTGGGGGATTTAATTAGCGGCCGAAAAGGGTCGTGCCAGAGGTGTTGAACTGTCCGGCGAGCCCTCAGGCTTATCAGTTTTTGTTTGGGGATGTCGTGACGCCTTGACACGTTCCTCTAGTTCTAAAATTTCTCTTCGTTTAAACCCCAAGAATAAAGGATTCCGAGCAAAAAAACTTGGCTTTATATTTATTTTCTTCTTCGTCGTGTTACATCCATACGATTCTCCACTTCTACTGCCCGTTTCAGACAGAATGAACGCGGATACCGAGGATACGATCATTCCCTTGCCCGGTTCCTCTCGCCGTCTCAGCCAATCCTCAGGTAACCAGAATTCCCATTAATCGTATCATCCCTGAATATCCTCTTAATGAGAACCCTGTCTAATATATTGGTGTTATGAGACCAGAGTTCCCTCTCACAATCGGGTTAACCCAATTTGTGTTTACTTCTTTGCTCAGACATTTCATTTCCCGTTTTCTCGCCCTGCTGGCCATTTCCCAGTCATTCCTCCAATCTCGGCCATGTTCAGTCGGCGAGCCGCCTCAAGTCCTCAAACCGTGGTTTCAGACTCGACCTATCGTCGAGATCCCTTTAACAAGCCGGAGCATGTCAACACTCTCCGCGGGAAAGAGTTGTGTCTATTTGTTTTCATCTACGTGATTGCGGTCATCTTCATCATGGCCGTCTTCGAGAGTATCATGCCGGTAATGTTCGAGAGGAAATGGTTTTCGAATGGTGGGTTTGGGTTGGTGAAATATGATACGGAACTGCTTCCTTCATCAGGGATCCTGTTTGACCCGAAATTCGCGTTTTACAGTATTACTATTTTATGTAACATGTATCCCCATATACTTTTTTTATTTTGCGTCAAGCCCATATCAAAGCTTTCGTTTGGAAAATATTTTTTAAGGAGTGCACCCTCGCGTGAAAAGACATATTCGTTTTGGTATGACAATTTACGATGCAGAGTCCCAGAGTGACAGTGACATAATACCAGATGGCATAAACAAATCCCTGTCTAGAATTGCGCATATTTCTTCGTATAAATATTCCATCGGTTTGATGCAGACAGAAACTTAATTAGAGCTTTAGGCGATGACGAAGAGATCGAAAATGCCACGACAACCAAATGATCTGCGGCGTTTGTAACAAACATATGGAACAACCGAGGGTACTGTCTCTAAATAGCCCTAATTATGGTAATAATGACCACAACAAAGACCAATTGGTGTTCACAAATGGACTGCGGACAATGCAATTACAAAACGGAACTAATGAGACGGTAATATTGGGCAATGCCTTCAACATACGGCAATATTAACCATGATCAAGAAGAAGGAAACGGGTAATAAAATGAAACTTGATCTCCGATGCGGGTCTTTAAAGTCTTGCCTTTCCTCACGTGTTACCTTTTCTCAAGATGACCTTCAAATATATTTAATTGACTCAAGCAAAGAAGATACGATTGCGTAATAACAAATCACCTTATCTGTCATCCAAATTCGCTTTATATTGCAAATGCACCTTATCACTGTTTACCCTGTCATCCATTACTGTTTTACAATCTTCGAGAAATAGATGGACACATCACCTCTACTTTCTGATGACCTTCACTGCCTGACAATGCACTTTTATAAAATAAACAACATAATAATATTGCGCAATCAAATAAATTCTACTAAACCCGTGATAAGAGGTATGCAGAGCTAGAAATCTGGAGAATCTGAGACAAAAAATCCGTGTAGTTTGGACTCTTTCACAAGGAGGCGTCACTGGTTTCATCGTCGAATCCACTGTCCGCCGACTTTCTTTTCCGGTAGAGCTCGAGGTAATTGGAAGTAACAATCATATCATCTGTGATCCCTAATGCCTTCTTAACCTCCACTGCTTGCTTCTCAACATCATTTGTGGCATCTTTTTTGATCTCGACATCCACATAGACACCTAAGCCTTCCACATCGTCCAGGTTTATTCGGACGTTATCTTTGACATAGACTCGACGTTTCTTTTTTATGGTTCCAAGTTCGGAGATGCAGAGTTCAAGTGTTTTCTGAAATTTAACCAGGATTAGATTTTGCAATTTTACCCAAAACAACTACTCTGCAAGCAAAATGTAACCTCCGGCGCCTCGTGGGTGCACGAAACGGCTGCATGGAAATCGGGCGCAGTATTAAAAAAAATATCGCGCTCAGCTTTCCAGCAGCCCACAAAACTGTTAAAAACTATTTTACTTGTTTTTAGGCAACAAACTGAATTTAATATAATATAATTATCCAAAGAACGTGTCTGTAAATAGCAGAGTTCATACTCACTTTAAGAGCGGAAGCCTCGTGGATTCTTGTAGCCCGTGTCTCCACCAGATGAGGAATGTGAGAAATAGATTTAGCAGAGATCAGTTCGCCTTGTTCCTAAAAATCAGTCAGGAATAATAAAAATTTTTACCTTGTTTGGATAGGTTTTCCTCAACTTGAGTTGACCGTAAGGGACATTGAAATAGGTGTCCTGTTGAGTCGCGAGATGGCCAATACTCTCCGTGAAGGCAAAGATTTTGGATTCCATCGCCTCCAGATCACTGACAGACGCCTTGATAGACAATGTTACAACTTGTTCGGCCTGATTCAACTTCTCCATGATGTCGTTTGCAGAAAACAATAATTTGGCGAAACAATTCAGAGAAGAGAGAAAATGATCCGAAAAAGGCGGGACTTTTTACGCCTTTTCCAAATAATTTATCAGCAAGAGAAAAGGGGGCGTTATACGGGGACAAGAATACAACACCAACAAAGAACAGCGGAAAAACACTTGGGGAGAGAACGATCCTATCGCTCCCCGAAAGGAATCCCACTAATTTTGATAAGGATGATGCTCTGAGGCTGGTGAAAGTGAGTGAAGGTGCAGAGGGAAAGGACAGAGTACGAGAAGGACCAAAGGCTGCGGCGGGCATGGTGATAAAGGTGATGAAGACCTCATCTTCAAAAAAAAACTCCTTCCTTGCTCTTTTTTCAGATAATTCCAAAGAGAAGACCGAACAAATGATGACCAAAAGGTCGACATGATGCCCAAATTTCGTCATCACAAATTGAAAGTAGGGCATGGAACGATGGAACGTTCCTTCTGTACTTTGGAAGCCCATTTTTATTGTCTGTTTATTGTTTTATGAATGCCCAGCACGTTTGTTTTGACAGAAATGGAGACCAATGTATACTGTAACACTCCTCCCATTCACGTGAATTCCTTCCGATCTGGTTTCTATGCTGCAAAACTCATAAATTTGTCTTGATCAACTTATCAATACCTTCTTACGCAATTAATTTGTCCCCTGGAAATGTGCTGGAAACGTGGGTCTTATCATGGGCGAGGTCTTTTACACAAAAATCTGCGTCTTCTTCTCTTCGAAAAGCGGCCTTTGCAAACATAATTAGCAGTAAGGAAAAAGGAAAGATAACGGCCAACTCCCCCCTTCCCTGCTACGATCAAAGGTGGCTCCAATTTCGGTGATAAAATTCTAAGTTTGGAAGGAGATTGGAGAGTTCTCATAAACAACATGATAACACCCAAAAACAAAACAGTCAGAGCTTTTAGTGTAAATCTAATTGTATCAGTACAGTAATCGCACATGTAATCATTTAAAATTGTAGTTTAACAAAAACAACGCGGTCTAAGAGTTGTAGTAAACGAGATGCCGATGAGCGTAAACATTTGATATCTTTATTAAAGGTTCCATGAGATTTTATTTTGAGGTTTTTTCGAATGATATAACTAGAACATCTACAACAATCTAACAATCCTATGACATTATTATTAAAGCTAAAAATATAAATACTGATAAGAAAGTGCGAGTAACAAAGACCAAACAGATCTGGGGATAACAGAGATGTGGGGTAGAAGGAGAGAAGAGACCCGTGAGATTCAACTGATAGCTGGGGAGCGGCTCTTTTGTAACTAATCTAGAAGATTGACAACATGCCAAATAAAGATGAGAAGAAACAAGAGGACGGCTTGCTTTTCAGTTGATAATTGTTCGAGAGTACTGTAACATGAGTATTTTGAGAACTCAAAATACGAGGATTTTGAGCGTTGGACTACTCCAAGTACTGTGATGTCGAGGGTTACTCCAGATCGGTCTCTTCGTGGATATCGAATAGTTGAGGAGACGGGGGTCGAGAGAGATGACGTTTCTTGTGGCCAGTGGATCTACTAATCGGCCGAAGAATCGCAGTTTGCGGACAAGTCAGATGGCGCAGTAACTGAAAACAATTAAATTACACATAAATCTTTTTGCTTTTTCTTGAAAACGCATATTACATCATATTTGAGGGGCATTCTCAATTGATTGTAACACAAGTTCCCTTCAATTCTGATAAGAGAATTTATTTACCTGCATCTCGAGATCGCTGACGGTCTTCGAGCGGCGCTGCGAAGTCAGAGAAATATTTTTCCGCACACTTTTGATCGTTTTCTGTTTGTCTTCATTCAATTCCCCATAACAACCAATCACACAAACCAGCGTCAGCCAGAACAATTGGCAGCACCAGCGATGCAGTTTGTGGATCACGGCCAAAGCGACGGCATTGCGGAGAAGAGTCGCTTCGTATCTTTGCTTCTGTCGATATCTCGCGGATCTGGAATCCTCGGATCTGTAGGCAAACTCCATATTGGAGAAGTCGGTAAAGTAAACTGTTTCAGTGGACATTTTGATGACTAAAAGTGGAAAAGTTATATCCATATAAGAAAGCGAAGTAAAGCTTCTCCAATTTACACGGTAACAACGTCCACCCCCAATCTTCAAAAGTTAAAAAAATCGTCACGGCGAAAACACGAGCGGTTGGGAGCCCGAGTAAAGAAAAATTGGACTTGCGGTTTTTTAAGACACACATTTTTATCACTTATCAGTTCACGAGGCGGAGCCTGCGGCGTTGGGAAAGCGAGGGACGCAAGACGTTCTTTGTTCCGAACTCTGGACGGAAGTATAATTTAATGTGAATTACACAAGATTTCTGACGGGGTAAGGATTCTGACGGGGACAGGGAGGGCGGGGGAAAGGAATTCCACAGAATTTATCCGAAAAAGGGAAGAGAGGAAGGGCGATGACGACTCCAAAGCTGCATAAGACCGATCGAAACTCAAGGATCTCCACGACGGAAATCAAAAAAATTCCAGCGATGATCTTTGGAGCCGTGGAAAGTACGCCGACCGATGAAAGTACAACAAAACGACAAACCGCGTATCAATATTCGGGGCCCAATCGAGGACGCAATGCACTCCGTCCGCCCCGTCCCCCCTCTCTCTAGTTTCGCATAGATCAAGTTGTGCAGGCCGAATGCACGTGCATTGCGGACGCAGCGAGCGCTGTCGCTATAGACTTCATGTGAAGCGCCGTTTCTCTGCCGCTCTCTCCCAATTAATCTATCGAATGCACTCGCTGAACCAGCCCTGTTTCAAGAAGAAACGGGTGTACTTTGTACCAGTCTCAGCGCCGCATGCTCGACCACTTGTAACGTGCTCAAAGCGCCATTGATCCCCTCCAAAGAACCCTTCCAATTGGAGCTATACTTTGAACATCTTGGATAGCGGAATTTTCTTTATTTACATTACAATCATTTGAAACAGCGAATGGAAAAGCGAAGGGCCAAACGCGTGGATCTCATGTGGACGTGATTTATTTACGACATGTGGCGCGCCTTTTGCTATGTCTACTTTTTGTTCTTTAATCCGTGATGCAAGAGTTTTTAAAGCGTAGGAAACGCCACAGTTAATAACTGCTTCGATGAAATTCATGCGATTAGTGTTTTGACCAGACCGAACACAGAGAACGTGATAAAACTTTGTTTCCTTGACTAAAACACCTTTAAAATACCCCTTTCGAAAAAAAACATTACTTTTAAAACCACCTAAACTAATCGTAATCAGATACGAAATCGATGATAAAATGGAAATATATACTTTCTCCTTATAAAGTATAACAGGACGAAAACATAGTCATCAATCTCTTCAAAAGGTCGTATTTACAACATCCAGAGTTTATACAAAAAATTTCCAAAACGGAAAACACGATGGACAAATGAACTTTACAATTCCATTGCCCTGTCCTGAAGTAACCCGCGAACAAGATAAAAAAATCGGGTTTTATTCAACGCCAAAGGGCACGATTTCCAAAAAACACCTTATAATACATATTTTAAAATCCAAAGCGTTTGATCACAATTTTTATTCCCACCGTAATCCGAGCAAAGAACATTGAATGAGAGTTTGCGTGGTTTGTGCGCGTCGTATTATTGTGACACAGCCAAAACCAGACACTTCAGCTGATGTCATGGGTGCGTACTTTGATCCCCTTTTTTCTTTGCCCGGGTCGCTTTCAAATCATGTCACAAAGTCTGGGAACGCGAGTATTCAAAGTTACCTTCAAATCAAATCAAGCGAATCATTTCCCGAAATCTCGTATCCCTCATTCTATTTACAACATTGGTTAGGAAATGCGTTGTAAAGAGCTTGCAACGTTGCAATCACGGTAGAGGCATGTGGTTTCCAAAAATAAGGAGAACGAGCGATAAGACTGTTGATTTCCCCACAACTCGAGTACTTTCCTTTTTGTACCCTCCGGTCCTGTCCGCAAAATCGAGCCCTCTCTCTTTTGTAACCATGTTTTTCATCGGAAACAGGATCTATCTCTGTTTACCACACTCTGGAGATGTTCAGCGATGTCGAATCGATTACTCCGAACCACGTTTTGTGGGTTTGGAACGGCTCTCAAGGCCATCCAAGTGTCTTAATGTTACACTTTCTCCTTCTCCCGTCTTTTACATGTTCAGCCAAAGATTACTTTGCATTCTTCGGGACCCCAAAACGTGTTTCTGAATACGGTAACGTACTCTTGTAAACTTTGTACCCCAAGCCCATTATTGCAACACTCACAGGAAAGCTGACGTAATTTTGTGCATTTCATCGCACCGTGATAACCAAGCCCATGGAAGACACGTGAAGAGATCGTGGAGAAGGAGAACGAGACGCCTTCTTTGTTCGAAACAAAGCAACCAAGTTTTCGATGAAATTTAGAGCAATCTTGTATTTGGAGGAAAAACAACGTGAATACACGCACATCAGTCAATCTCATGTGTGTGTATGGGAGTTGAATCAGAAAATTCTGATTTACACATGGAACGAAGAACAAAGATTGTTGGAAAAATACAACATGGACCCTGGGAATATTACGAAAAACTGATTCATGCTTTCAAAACTACAGTATCGTATCTTTCAATGCCATTTTGACATAAAATTATATTTTTGGGCCGTTTTGTCATATAAGTGCGCGCCATGTAGATTTCATTGCCTTAGAAGCTCACGAAATGGTCAGAAATGATTTCACGGCATTGTGATAGTGTCTCAGAACATAAAAAATAAGGGAAAAATTGTTGTAATTTTCTGCAAAAAAATTCGGAAAACATATCGGAGTGTACTGTAAGTGAGGGTCGTATTTTGTATCATGAGAATCAGAAGAGCTAGAGACAAACGAACTTTTCCATCGTGTTTTCCGTACCCGAAAACTACTTTTCGTAAGCTATGCCAACTTTCTAGCACGACTGGAAATTATAATAAAATATTCGGCGCTACGGCGTTTCGGGTCAGGGACAACTCGGGTCGCGACAGGTCGGGTCAACGACACCTCGGGTCAACGATACCGTTTAATACTTTCGCGAATTTTGAACAAAATTTTGAAATGTTTTCGCTCCGGGACTTGGGAAAAAGATTTTTTTGGAGAATTGAGGTTTATTTTTAAATTGTTTTAGGAAAATAGTGTTTATAAGCGACGAGCAAATAAGAAAATCGTATCCATTGTTTATGTTTTTAACTGGAAGCACGGGATTTAAACGCAGACAGTGCCAGAGAGTGGAGCAAGAAGATAGTCGTAACGATTGTATGCAAATAAAAGTGAAAACATTTCAAAAATTTGTTCAAATTCTCCAAAAAAATTTTTTTTTTTCCCAGTCTCGCAGAGAAAACATTTCAAAAATTTGTCCAAATTCTTCAAAAAATCCTTTTTCCCAAGTCCCGAAGCGAAAATATTAAACAGTATCGTTGACCCGCAACGACGTTGACCCGACCTGTCGCGACCCGAGCTGTCCCTGACCCGAAATGCCGGGAAGCGAAATATTCATGATTTTTGTCATCAATTCAGTTTTTTTGCCTAATTTTTCGAAAATTTTGAATAAAGTTCCAGCGATTTTTTCCGGCGTCTAAAGCCAGTAGAAGTGCGGACAGAAGAAATTCTCAATTGCGGACAGTGAGAAGTCGGTTTGCGGACAACGAAAAGACGAAATACGGACAGTGAAAAGCTCGTCCAATAAATTATTCTTTCTGGTCAAAACTACCGATGAAATAAGCAGTAAAACTGGTTACCATTAATATTAACGGTATTCATCATAGTTGATGCAAAACCAGCGTGTGAAAGCTTATTTCGGCACGAAAAGTTTGATGCCTATTTCTTCTGTAAAGGATAATGTTTCTACAAAAAATCAAATTTTTCCGCACGAAACTGCCAAAGTTATGGCCAAAAAGCGCTTTTCTCTCTGACCGCTCTCCACGTTTAGCGTGCCCTCTTGGCGGCAAGAATCGTTCGATATCTCGGCGGCGCCCGCAAAGCGCGAGCTAAAACTTTCAGGAATTGATATTTAATCCATACCCGACGTGTGTGAAAAATTTAAAGAAAATCTAAGCGTGGCATTGGAGTACTTCCCCTGTTAGCCAAAATGACTAAAATAACGGCGATTTGACTCAATTTGACGTCAATTTACGTCATTTTGAAAAATGTCAAATTAACAGCCCTATAGGACTCTAGTAAAAATCAAACCCTCTTGAAAAATGTCAAAAATCTCGGTAACGGTGAAAGATAATTTGAGCAAACCCGGGTCCAGAAATTTTAGAATTTTGCGCAGAATAATTTGAAACCAAAAAGAAACTAAAAAATTCAACTCCTAAGGGGTGAAACCGTAGATATAAAAATTTTGAAAATCCGCAAATTTGGGGAAAAGGTTTGGCCCCAAACTAAGGTGACATTTTCCATTAACAAGGGAAGTACCCCAAGTGCGACGCTCAGATTTTCTTTAAATTTTGCACACACGTCGGGCATGGACTAAGTATCAATTCCTGAAAATTTTAGCTCGCGCTTTGCAAGCGCCGCCGAGATATTGGACGATCTTTGCCGCCGAGAGAGCATGGTAACCGCGGAGAGCGGTCAGAGAGAAAAACACTTTTTGGCCATAACTTCGCTAGTTTCGTACGGAAAAAATTCATTTTTTGTGGAAGCATTACCCATTACAATAGGAATAAGCATGAAACTTTTCGTGTCTAAATTCTGCAAAAAGTGCCAAATTTTCGCCGACTTTCGGACTAAAAATCTCGGTTGTTTCTGCAAAGCGCGAGCTAAGATTCTCGCATATATCTTAGAAAAAACTATTCTAAATTTGTGCCAAGTTTCGTCGAAATCTGAGCGTCGCACTTGGGGTACTTCCCCTGTAAGCTGAGTCAAGTCGAAAAATTTCACGGGTTATGGCTAAAATTTGGTCAAAAAATTAACCTTATAATGCCCATAAATTTAACGACCGAAAACTGTGAACTAAAATTTTAGATTTTTGTTTGTTGTAAATTTTTACTGTAGTCTAAAGATTTTTTGTGGTAAATTGAACAAATTTTGAAATGTTTTCTCTTTTCTCCCAGTCCCGAAGCGAAAAGATTTCAAAATTTGTTCAATTTATCATAAAAACTCCTGTTTTCGATCCTGAAGGGAAGACGTTTAAAAATTTGTTAATTTTTTATAGCATGCATGGGGGATGATCACGAGGTATTATGCCTTTTTGAATAATTTTTGTTCCCTCGCAGGCAAAATCCTATTTTCGGAGTTTTTTGAAATTTTGGTCTTTTTTTGAACAACCATAAATTTGATGGTAGTACCATGGTGAGATGTAGGGTTCGGACGGTGTATATGCCCAAACTGTTTCATTGTTATTAAAGCACTAGTTTTGTTTGTTGTAGTTGGGAAAGTACAGAATGAATAAATGCATCAACAACCATTGATCCGAATAGTTAATTGGAAAATATAAATTTGGAGCACTCCTGAAGTAAACAAAAAAGTAAAGATCAAAAAAATTAATGTCATTTTCGAAATCAGCGCCATCGAAAACCCCTAGATCGATTGTTTATGAAAAAAATCCAAAAGTTACTATTTTACAGTACTACTTGAGGAAAAAAGTAACGACCAAAAAATGAACATCATTTTCGAAATCAGAACCATCGATTACCCTATTTTTGACTTTTTCGGCCATTTCCGGAAAACATCGAAAAAGACCCCCGAATCGGGGGTCTCTTTCAACGCGGGGTCTCTTTCAACTCGGGGTATCTTTCGAAGGAAACCATTTGTGAAAATTGGTAGAACTGTTGTTATATGTATGTTTCGACAATCGTCCACCCTCGAGGGGATGAAATAGTGACTGTAGTGGCATAATTTACTCTATGGTCGCTCTTCAAGTGCTCTTCGACAAAATAGCGCTAGAGGTTATTTACCCATATTAGCATGTATCCAGTATACAACGCTTTGTTGATTTTTACGCTGAAGGCCTTTCCAACTTGGGACAAACTGCCAAAACGTTTCAAGTTTCGAATGACCGTGCCTTGAATTCCCCCCATGAACTTTTATTTATGCAGAAACGGTCCCCTTGTATGTGCGGATTTTCTTTTACACTATGACAATTGGCTATGTATACGCTCTGTAATCACGGAATTTTGGAGCAACACGAGGTATAATCTGGCGTTGAGATCAGAAAAATCCGAATTTTTGGGACTTTTTCTATTTCCGGGACCAGCGCCGCCAGATCAGCCGCCAACCATGATTCCGTTGGCTGTTACAAATTCAACAGCGCGTACTTTATATACAATAGATTTGGAGAACGTCAGTGACCCTTAGCAGAAATGGAAGAATTGATATTCCAGTCATCGTTTGGAAAAAAAATTTCTGCATCTCCAGAAACTTTTGATTATTTTTCCAGCCCTGCAATAGGCACCGACCTGAGCATTACCGTTGCTGTATAGCACGGTTGTTACCAGAGATTGCCACGGTCAAAATTTAGGCTCCGGCTCTTAGCTCCAAGAGGGAGCCAAGGCCAAATTTGCAGCTCCGGCTCCCGGCTCACATGTAAAATTTAAAAAGGTCTCCGGCTCCGAATCCCGGCTTCCATGCAAAAATTTTTTTTTAATATTTTTTTTACGAAAACTGATCGGAGGACTAAAATCTTGAGATTTACCGGTAACTAGAAATTTGACAGAACCAACTGAAACCAATGAAAAAATCGTATTATACCATTATTATAATAGGAAATATAAGGATGGTGACATACGCATCAAATCGGGTGTCGTGGCCAGAAACCGCGATTTCTTGTCTGTTAGGCTTCTAGAAATAGGCAATCCTTGTCTGACGTGAGAAAGAAAGAAAAAAATCTTCACGAGGAGAGAGCAGGAGTTTGCGCAATACTAGTCCGTTCGTAAAGTCGCTGGAATGTTTTTGGCGACATGCACTCCGCGAAACCGAAAGTTCAGTTTGCACTGTGCAATTTTTGGCTTTTTGCACAGTGCAATAGGCTTTTTTGGGCTGTCGCCCGCACCCTGAGTTTTCTTGCATATATAGTCGCCGAAATCATTCCAGCGACTTTACGAACGGACTAGTATTGCGCAATGGTACGCAATTTGAGACAAGAATTACGCATTTCTTGTCTAGAAGCCTAACAGACAAGAAATCGCGGTTTCTGGCCACGACACCCGATTTGATGCGTATTTCACCATCCTTATATTTTAAACCCTTTTGGCCATGTTACCCCGATTTCCCGGTTTTGTCACAAGGTTAGTCTTGGCGCCAAGTAATTTTCATTATTGCTGTAATCCTTCAGTTTGTGGACTTTATTTCTCGTGATGTCAATTTCCCACGGCCAAAATTTAACCAGCCCGGTTAGATCATAAACAAGTGATTTTTCTTTCTCTTTTCTAATCAGCCAACAGTTTCAAAAGTCATGCGGGGTTATTTTGATGGGGTTTTTAGGCATCTCGTGAAGGGGAAAAAAAGAAAACAACAAAGAGTGGTGGCGGGAATGGAGGGAGTGTGGTGGAGGAAGAGGCGACACAGAGAGCGAAAGAAAAGGCGTTCCGCGGCTCACCAGACGAGCAGAAAAGAAACCAAGGAATCTGCTAATCTACGTGAAGGTTTCGTGTCGTTTACACCTTGTCATGGAAATCAAATTGGTCCCTTTCAGAGAATACTAGCATCCCCACCATCCATCGGTCCCACTCGGCTGCCCTCAGGCCCTCCAACACCCGAGAACTGGCCTAATTAGGACCCATCTCAGTGCGGGCAATACGGATGTCTGATCGATACAGCCATTACAACCAGCCCCAATTTAACTCCAATCCCTCCAGTGGTCCTTACGGTGTCCAATCTAGTCCTATGCCATACAATGACTATTACCAAAACAGGCTGTGCATGCAGTCCGGACGTAAGTTGGGGATCTTTTGGGCTACCACTTTATGAATACTAGCCTCCACTTTATGAATATTGTTGATACCGCGAAGAATATTTTGTGCATAGGGTTGTCATATTTTCGTGCTATTTTTAAGCCTTGTATGATCTTGTAGTTCTTTGAACAGTGTTTGTCAGGGGTGGTCAGCAGACCCTATTTTTCCGATTTTCGGCCCGCGGCCCGGCCCGTCTAATCACCGGCCCGGCCCGGCCCGTCTAGTCTTTTTCCAGGCCCGGCCCGGCCCGTGACGGGCCTGGCCCGGCCCGGCCCGGCCCGTGCAGGCCCGTCTATAGAGGGTTCTGCGAACTGCGCCCAGGCTCGGGATCTAAACTGAGGCAAAAAAGGCGTTGATCTAGCTAGTAAAGGATCAATGTGATAGTTTTGTGGTTCTATAATGGAACTATAGACTTGTAAACGTGTTAGAACTTGAGAAACAGCAACTATAACAACATCAATTAATTTTCCCGGCGCGAAAACAATGAATGCCAACGGTTTGGCATTGTATTTTAGACGGGCCGGGCCGGGCCGGAAAAACCCCAGGCCCGCGGCCCGGCCCGGCCCGTGACGGGCCCGGCCCGTTTGTCAATTTCCATTTTTGAGGCCGGCCGGCCCGCCGACCACCCCTGGTGTTTGTAAATATAGAGGAAGACTTGACCCGTCGACTGTTCGGGTCATGTCTCTCCCCACGTGCCGCTTTTTTCTCTTTCCATGACGGCTACGGCCGGCTGTCTGTATGGTCTCCTCGGGCACAACTCGTTTTTGGGGGTTTTCTTATTTTTTTCACTACTTACAATTCATGATTTTAGCTGTCCTTGCCCAATCGATGATCAACAATTATTCCACTGGTGTGATGAATCCCGGGCCTCGGCGTCTGAATCCGAATGCTGCGGAGTTTCATCCGCGGCGAGATATCACTCGAACTGCGCCTCAATACAGCCAACCTCAGTATGGCGGATATCATAACTACGCGTCGTACATGAATGTAAGATTGGGATGTTATACTATAATAGTTTGGTTCTGACGCGCACTCCCGACCTGATCTCCTGTTTCTCTTTGCTCAGTGCAGCGAAGGAATTGAGTGAGGTCAGAACGGGGGGCGCTTTCCAAAATTCTCTTTTTAATTCTAAAATTTTCAGCCGCCGGAGTCCTCTTCCAACGCTTTTGTCAACGCTGACCGCACTCAAGTCAATCCCCAGGTTCGGCGGTTCGAAAACAATTCGGTTGCAGTTGTGAATTATAACAATCAGCCCGTCTATAACTACAACACGCAAGCCGTGAGTTTTCTTTTATAAATTTCTCAATTATTGTTTTTAGAACCTTCAAACTAGTCTAAATTCAAGCTACTACCTTCAAAACGGAGTCCAAAACGGTCAAATGTCCGCTCAGCAACAGCAGCCAGTCCAGGAGAGCATAAGCCAATATCCTTTGAGTAACGAATTACTAGAGAGAATCCAGGGTTCGCGGAATCGGAAAGCCATTGTTGAAGTAAGTTAACAAAATCAACTCTATTTTCAATTTAGGTACAAATTGGACTTGAACAACTAGTGACTGACCCATCCGAATATGAAGTTTGGAGTTATGCCGTTCGTCATCGTATAAGCAACCATTTCCCTTCATCGGATATAGAATTGATAGCGTCCGTTATTGTGGAAATGGCTTGTTTATGTCCAAACTCCCAATATAATTTCTCAAGGCTGTGTAAAGCCCTTGATGGTGATCTCCCAAACTTTACTTCGCAGATGATCATTCCGAAGATCACCCAAACGATGACTGCGGGGTTGACTTCTCTGAATGCAGATCAAGTCGGGTTTCTTTCCATTTTCTTAGCTGAACTCTACGACAAAACGGAAGTGAATGGAGTCCGAGTAGCACGTTTAGGACAGTATCTAATCGACTTGATACGCATCCTTTTGGAATTCGACCCTATAACTGACTCCATTGTAAAGAGTGCAGTTCAAGTCCTGAAGTTGACCGGTCGATACATTGAAGAAGACCAGGACCCGGCGGTCTTGAACGAAATTTTCGATAAACTCGATTTCATCAGCCGAAATTCAAGGTCAATCAGCGAGTCAGCGAAACATAACATACGACAATTGAAGTCGTTGAGGGAGAAACAATGGGGTGTTCAAGCTGACTTCGTAAGTTCGTTTTGTGTAATAAGTAATCAGGTTTAATTGACCCGTCTCGTTTTTTATTACAATTCAAGCAATTTCAGGATGGATATGGAGAACCTGCGCCACCACCTGAGAACGACGTCACAATGTATGGACCTGATGGACAGCCGATCAGCGAAGAAGAATGGGCCTTCTTAGAAGAGAATTGCCAAGACCACGAATCTGATAGTCAAGATGCCGTCTTCTACGAGCAATTCCTTCGGGATCAGACTGAAATAACCGCCATCTCTGCTGCGGAAAAAGCCTTGGAAAAGGTGACTCTGGATGACACTTTCGGATCAAACCGGTGAAAATTCATAGCCAAGAAAACATATTAACCGTTGTATATTCCCTGCGATGGTCTCATAACGTGTTGTCTCTCCTCTCCTAACTATTGTTGTTCTTTACTTTGTCTGACACAAGATGTTTTATGTCGTCTATCTCAATTATTTGTTTCGATTACCGGTCTTAACAGATCCCTATGAGGTTTTTTTCAGATCGTGCATTCGTCATTCCATATTTGCATTTTTTTCATCATTGTGTCAACTTAGTTTGTAGATATTCTTGGGATCAATAAAACGCGTCAAAAATTTTGCAAAAAAATTGTCGAGCCGCAGGAAATAACGTTTATTGCGAACCCGTCGAGTGCCGTTATTAGGATAGAATTATGCAATAGAAAACAAAGATCAATTTACACTTAGCGCAATCAAAACAAAAAATAAACAATCAAAAGAAGATCACTAGAAACATGGCATTCTATGCCTTTAACAATATATATATATACAAACATAACAACCCTAGACTTCCTGAATGACCGGCTTCGAAACATCGGATGGAGCAACAGAACGCGTCTGGCAATAAAGAACGACAACGATAATGAAAAAGAATGAGGACACAGCTACGGAGCCTATTAATCCAATGTAGAAGTAGTTCTAAAAATTAAAAAGTAAGTGTAAACTGAAAAAATAATACTGCAGCAGTAAAATCCGGCTTACCTCGTGTAAAACCTCTGCCACAGTTGGTTTGTCGGTGCACCCGAGAAAACTGTAGAAGCCATCACATCTGCAATATCCAGGATTTATGCATTCCCCGGATTCTCCACAACCTCCAGGACAGATTGGGAACAAACAACCTTCTCCCGTCCATCCAGATGGACATCGTTCTTTACAACGGATGCTGTTCCTAAAACAAAACCGGTAAGTAATATTAATTATTCCTTGGGAATTTAACACTCTTCAAGACGGACGAAAAACAACTTACTTATTCCGCTTGTGCAGGCAGGGATGTCTCATGTCCACACTCGATGCCAAGATTCCGTTTTCTGCTTCAACTGTTACCTAAAACATTATATTTTAGAAACTAGAAACGTAAACTCACTGTGATAAAAAGAAGTAACATAGTTAATGTGAGACACGCACATGAGTGCATACCGTTCTTCCACCAGCTAGAAATAAATAGATTAGAGGAAGAGTATACTGCATTCGAGAGGGATAACGCAACAATTACCGCGGATAAGGATGAAGAGCCCCCGAACGGATCGTAAACCGGACATCGCCTCCGGACAGAAGAGAAAAGATGTAAGAAGATCCTACTACACTTGAAAATTGAAGATGGCTTCAATCCATGGCCGCAAAGAGAACAAAGAAAATCCGATCTAATAAATTATCGAAGTGTTGTCAGATATTGGGTAAATTTTCCAACAATCCACTATGAAGCACCGGAGCAAGAAGCCTTTCACTCTAACTCCAATACGACCCAAGTATCTTCAAGTTCTGCTAGACAGCTTAAAAATCGTATAACTAAACAGGAAGGAATTCGATGGAAATGTTTAGCAAATGCACCAATTGATGATGAAATCAAAGATTTCATATATTTATTACACTTTTTAATAGGGTTTTAAAATTTTGGGAGATTTTGTCAAGCTCATACCAATTATTGTTACATTAGAATACACTACCGGGCCAAACCCGGCCGAGCCCCACCTCCATCAAGATGTGCCGAAGAAAACTTGAAACGGGCCTCCACACGTTTCAACAATTGATTATTGAAGACGACTTGATCACTAAATGTCAACCCGACAGGTAATAATCGCCAATAAGGATTGTTAACAAATCCATGCTTCCACGCCTGCCATCGATGATACGACGTTATCATATCCCTTTATATCTGTCGTTGTACTATAATGCAGCATAATGACAGATATAAAGAGAACGGGAGCGACGATTGTGGGGGGAAAAGACAATTGGGGAAACTTAAAAATATTTTCCCTGTATAATTGTGTCGAACTTAGGGTAATCGATGGAGTAGATTTCAAACATCATGTTCATTTTTTCTGAACGTTACTTTTTTCTTGATTAGTACTAAAAAGTTGTAATTTTTTGATTTTTTTACAATTACTCGATTTAGGGTTTTTACGAAAGAACGACGTGCCCTGCTGTTTCAAACATCCGCACGGTGCCCTCCGACTTCATCGGTGTTGCAGCACAATCGCTAAATGGGATCGCATAGCGTTGTAGCAGGCCTTCTGATCCATTGTGCAAAGAATTTGAAGACTTTCCGGATGTCTCCGTGTCACAATAAAGCGTTATAAATCCGTGTGATGACCAAAAAAGTCCCCAAAAGTCTCCGCCGAATACAGTGCTTTCCGCGTTGGCGGAGAAAATTACTTTCTTATGCAAAAAACCGCCTATCTTCTTCTTTATCCTGCAAAAACAATTTTTTGGATTGACTGAGCGCGACAAAAAATTTCCGCGGAATTTCTCGGAACACCCTGGACATTTTTTATGCGGACCGATATAAATAGTGGTAAGAGAACCTCCGAATTATACTTTTCAGTCAAAAAGATTTGTATCTGATGTGCATCAATGTCAAGGAACATCACATTTTCCAATTGACAGGCTCAGAGGGTTGAGTTAAGATCACTAACCAATCAGTAACACGGACCAACCACAGCTCATCATAGCCACCCTGTTTTCGCTCTTTTCGGCGGGAAAAGAGAACGCATCGGAAAAGAAATGGGGAGAAAAAACAGTGAGAGAGTGTGGTTTCTCATTTGATTCGCGGATTTTTCTCTGTTTCTCTGGCCGTAGGTCAAACCAAAAGAAAACAGAACAAGTTTACTCGGCCTTGGAAGGTACTTTATTATCAATATAAAAATGAATATTAATCACAAATTTGAGATTCTTTCATCAGAATGAGGCTTCTGTAGACATCTTCTCGGTCGTTGAACATTCTCTGTATATCTGTTAAGGTTATGTACCCATCATTGTCTGCATCCAAGTACTAAAACGATGACTTCTGTTTGTAGTAGCAAAATTATAAAACGATCTAATAAAGCTTACTTTAAACTGTTGCCTGGCCATGCTTTGAACCCATGGCTGAATTGTCTCTTTCTTAACCCGGTCACCATAGTACTGAGATCCATGGGTGCTTCCACTGATTATTCCCAGAGTGGCAGCATCTCCAGAAGCAGCCGATCCTTTGAGAGATGCATTCAAACTGTATATACATTGAACGTATTTTGTGAATCCGGCAAGATCAACCCGATTCTGCAAGACGTCTTTATAAAATACCATTAAAACTCATACCTTTTGGTCCGGCTGCATTAAATTAAACGTAAATTGCGCTTTTGTAGTAGAAGGTACCGAGTCATCAATATAATCATTGTTTTGGAATGATTGTGTCAAATCAAATATACAAACAATCAGATCTTCGAATGTGATCATTCGATGGGACCGAGAGCCCACAATCGTGTTAAAAAGTCGGTCAGCGAAGTCGTAATCAGTGGTTCCCTTATAAATTAGCCTGAATACCTGTCTCCATTGATTCTGGGACATTCTGCCGTTGGAGGAGATCTACATAAATAAGGATAAAAAGGTGGATTCATAGAAGCTATTGTTTCAGAGCGTGAAATGAAATATTCGATACCTCTCGTCATTGTAAGGTTTGTCTTGGATCATTGAGATGTTCTAATCTTTATCTCGATATTATCGGGAACATTGCTGGAATTTAATGTAAGAAAAAAACTCGAAAGTATTGACCTCCAACAAGAGCAGGTCTTGAAACTATGTCAAGCTCTCGAATAAACTTTCCACGTTTTGAAATTTTGAAACTTTGTTACGAACCTGTTTGAAATTACGATAAACAAACATAATCCATTCCTTCCTGAACCCGGTAAGTCGTTGCAAATCGTCCAAGGAGGGCGGCTGGGTGTTGAATGGGTTGGTCAGAAGGTCTTCCAAATCAACCTCGACATCTGGAAGTTGACAAATGATTGGCTTTAGCACCCACCATTGTCATAAAAACAGAAGAAGTAATGAAGACGGCGGAATCCCCAGTACAAGGATGACAAAAAACGACTTCCAAAACGACAATGGAACTCAATTGGTCCATATTGTCTGAAATTGGACTACTTTATAATAAACGGTAGAAACCCCCCTAGGCCAGCTATGCCTTTTATTAAAACTATTAATTATAAACTATTATTTCGTTATGCAACAATATGTCGCTTCGGAGACGACCTTGCAGAGTCATAAATTATGTGTGAAAGTTTTTGAGCCCGGATCTCCGGCTCCACAATTACTTTAGCCGGAAGGCAAGACAAAAACATTTTCGGAGCCAAACTGTTTATGGCCCCGAGTTGGGATCTCAGACGTCCAATTAGCCTTAATTAGTACCAATCCAGTCCAGATCTGAACCCACCGTTCCAAATTTCGTCGTCGTTCTGAGGCCGTGTGTTTCTTCATCCGGTCATTAATCCTCCTCCCACCATAAAAGACCCTCCGGGTTGCGTCGGATGGCCGTTCTCGGAGTGTCCGCCATCTGGCAACTATCCACATTGTTGTAAGTCAGTTGAAGGCCCGACTCCGCCCACCCTAAACTAAACACAAGCTCATGTCTGGGACAACATTTCTTGGGGTTTCTATTCAAAATTAATTAACGAGGGAAGAGGGGACGGGAAGAAGCCAGTGAATGATAATATGAGGGAAATCTGGGGACAATTATACTTCTACCGTCATTCCCATGTAATGTCCGAAGCAGAGACGGGCAGACCGAAACTATAGACTTGAGCAGCTTTCGGCACTTCCGCAATTTTTAAATACATACTTCTTGCAGCTGTTTAGAAGCCAGTACTATAATGAGCGAGGAAAGGACGGCCCGCTTCGAATGGGCCTCGGGTCACGCCGTCTTTAGCGTGAAATTGAGCGACGACCTCTCCCGCAATTCAAATTTGACACTCAGCCCGAGCAAAAATAAGACTTCCTTTAATTTCATCTTAGAGATATTCTTTACGTATTCATAATATCACAGATTCTTAGGGTAGAAACAGGCAAAGATAAAAGCAAAACAAAATACCGTACTTATCGTAAGGCATACTACCACCCAAATAAACAAGAGTAATCACTCGAAGATCTGATCGTATTCTGTTATCAATTTGTAACAGAAGTTATTTAAGTTGTGTAATTGGTTGATCGGTACTTGTTGATCTGTGGGCCAAGTGAAATTCGGGCCAAATACAACACTCAAATTGTTGGCATCCATCAGATTTACCTTGCTGTTCTCGGCGACTTTCGTCAAGAACTTCGACACGACCTTGAGAAGAACGAAGTTTTCCCGGGGTAATTTCTTGACAAAGGCTTTTATTGCTTCTGTTTTCTTCTCCTTCTCCACATCTGAAAATAGGAAACAAACAGCAATTTGCATAAAATAGTAAACAAATTTAAAACATACGATTGACTTACTGCTTATCCTCACAACTTCTCCATACAGATTATTTGTAATCACAGGTTCTCCCATTGATCGGAAAAAGGTCTTCAAGAGAACAGAAGCATCGATAACAGCTTTCTGAATTCGGCCTTTATACTCCGGATCATTTAAGAAATCGATCTTCTCCCCTTTATTTATTCGATTCTGCAGATTTCGTATCGTTGAGATCTCGGCAGATCTTCTGAATATCCCTTCAACATCAAGACCGTGTTCATAAAGAAAGTCCAATATATCTGTCACAATTGGTGGAATATCACAGTCAGGGTTGTGGTTTAGAATACTAAAATTATTTTAGATTATTGAATAGTTTTCTTACAATTCTAATGACACATCAAACTGTTGAGTGGGCCGAGGTGGCTGGACGGGTGATGAGGAGGCGGATGACGATTGGACCTGTGACGATCGGAGATTGTCATCATGACTAAAATCAAGAATAAAAAAGCTTATATTGAACTCACTCCAAGATTGGTTGTGGAATATTCAGATTGGCGACCCTTAAATCCGTTTTCAGCTCATAAACATAGTTTACATAATGGACCTTCCTCTCAAACTTGTATGATATGAACGGTTGGAATATCTTCCAGGCAATTCTGATGAATCTGGTAGGATGCACAAGATACAAGGCCTTCAGATTCTTTTTATATCTTCGATCTAACATCTGATATGTTTGCACAAGCCATTTGAGTGGCGGTTTATTGTGACTTCTTAGGCCGTAATGGAAGTAGACAATAGTATAATCGAGATCTACTACTCGATCTAGTGTTTTCATTAAGTATCTATAAGCAAATAAAGGTTACATTTTTTAGATGTCTTACCTCAGAAATTTCTCATGATTAAAGTTCTTGTTCGACGGTAACCGATATGCATAGATCATAATGACTGGTCGACTAACCAGGTCTCCTTCCCCAATCACGGACACAATCTCATGCCGATGGATGTCCCCAAAATCTTCCCCAAACGGATCATCCACTTCAATCCCAAGTTCGTTCTCAAAATTGTCCCGCTCCAAGAATGATCTCGACATATTCCCTTCGCCTCGATTATCCGATATCTTCAGAGCTAAAAACAGAATGTACACAAAGAATGTAAACTTACCTTTAATTTCATCTGGAGATAACAAATCATCGTCAGCAAATCCATCTTCTTGTTCCGTGAATTCCTCCATTGGAAGAAAGCTTCTTAAAACAAAAAATTCATTAATTTTAATTGGACTACCACGAAAACGGTTGGATCGGCCGCGAAGGATGGATATTTACGATCTGGATATCGGAAAGCCAGTCAACAAAAAGTGGGTTGTCGAGGCCAAAGTCGGCGAAGGAGCCTGCGGTGTTGTTTACCGCGTCCATGACGTCGAAAACAAAAAGATTAAGGCAGCTCTTAAGGTGAGATTCTGCTACAACAATATTTAAATTAATATTTTAGACTGAAGCTAACGATGAAAACGGAGTCTTGAGGAAAGAAGCAAATGTAATCAAACAACTCCAACTTCGAAAGCACATGGTCCGCCTTATCCACTGTGGAAAGCGAGAACAGTATTCCTATATTGTAATGACCCTCTATGGGAAGAATCTAAACCAGATCAAAAAAGATTACGAGCTCAAGAACTTCACTCATGGATGTGTGTGCAAGATTGCCATTCAAGCATTATATGCCATTAAGCAAGTCCATGAAGTCGGATATATACATCGAGATGTGAAACCTTCCAATATGGTGATCGGGCGACAAGGAATGGAGAAGAGAATGGTGTTCTTGATCGATTTCGGAATGTGTCGCGCTTATGCCGTATGGGAAGGTGGAGTGGCAAGACATCGAAAAGCTCGTGAAAAGGCTCTGTTAAGAGGAACGGCTCGATATTGTTCTCCACAAGTCCATTCAAGACAAGAACAAGGCCGCAGGGACGATGTTTGGGCACTAGGTAAGAGTAAAAAATGTGAAGAGCATAATATTAACTACTTCTAGTCTATGTCATGGTCGAATTAGCAGACAAATTACCTTGGACCGGGAAGAAGGCAAGTCAACCTTTACCTAAAATGACAAAACCTAGGAGCCAGAGACTGCCAAAATGAAGCAAGAAATTACCGACGAGAAATTACTTGAACACTGTCCTTCAGAATGGTTGGACATTTTCACCCATATCCGCAATCTAACTTATGAAGACCGTCCGAATTACAGATTAATTTATGATAAACTTCTGGCCACCATGACACGTCTCAAGACAACCTTCACCGATCTTTATGATTGGGAAGTCATCCAGAGCCAGAAAAAGGCAGATCAAAAGGACAAGAGCAGCACTCAGTCCAGCGCTGATGCTAGATCTTCGACCACTGCATCCAATTCTAAGGAAAGTCCTTACCCCTTCCCGAATGTCAACCCAGTGGAATTTGATAGCAACGACATCAAACTTTGAACGATAACGTCGAAATAAATACGAGAATTTACTTTCTGCATCTTTAAACACCCTTTTGAAAGTGACAACAATGGCACACCAAAAGAAAATCAAAAATTCATGTAGAATATCGCTCGGAAAAAAATTTTTGATAGATGACTAATTTTATATTTTTTTTGCACAGGCTGCGCCCTGACTTTGTGCAGGAAGCAAGATGAGGTTGCCGGATGTAGGAAGTTTGAATCCGAGAACGGAAAATTTGGGGTAGCACAGCCGGCTGTATGCAAATTAAACCGAAAATAATATAAAAAAGAGCGCATGCTTACAGTGAAAAAATAAGCCCAATTTCGCTGACAAGAAAACGGTCCCCACGTTTCGTGTACTCTCTTAGCCGCAAGCATTGTTGAAAATCTCGGCTGCCCTGCAAAGCGCGAGGTAAAACTTTTAGGAATTGATGTGACCTATGTTTTTCTATGCAGCCAAAATAGGTAATAACAGCTCTTTCCAATTGGTTATGTATTTTTTCGGAGATTGCTACACATCTGGCACATATCATGTTTTTTTATTACTTAGCCTTACAAATTAGAAAGTACCCGTCGTATCGTGTATTTTGATGCACTGATTTTAATCTTCCCTTCTTTTTTCATTTGTTTCCAAATCTGCGGAATCCTTAGGTGCATATTTTTCAGGGGCGTTTGCTTCATTATCATCAACTTCCAGACTGGGATCGTTCTCTTTTGCTGTTCTTGTGTCTGTCTCACACCTGTCTGCCTGCTTTTCGGGGTTTTCTTCATTGTCTACTGGACGTTTTGGAAGTGATTTGCTGAATCTAGAGTCCAAGGTCAGCATGTTGGGAGAGTCCAACGAACTTGGTCCCACTGATCGACTTTCTTCATCGATTGGTTCGAGCACAGGCAACCCTGATCTCAGTTCTGCAAATACGATAATAACCATTTATCTAACTTACCGGAATCATTGCGTAATGTGTTCTGATTGGAGTCGGAGCAGATGCTGTCGGCTGAGTTTGAAGAATTCCTGCCTTTTTCTCGTTCTTCATGGATCACCGGTAGCATTTCGTTCACGGTCCAGGCTCCACTTTGTCGATCTTGTTGCTGATCCACCTCTTCCTCCTTTTTATTGTCTGATCCCGTAGTCTCACTGGATTCAGACATTCGTTGCACTACTTGATTAAAATTGTTTTGGGATAAAGATTGCGAGAATGGAGAGTGAAGACCGTCATAGACAATGGACGAACACGAGGATTGTCTGCCACGAAGGTTACAGCTTGTTGGGAACCCACCTGGAGATATTTCCGTTGTGGGTGTTGTGGAATGGAGGGACTAAACTTCCATTTCTGTTCTGATATCCCTCTGGTTTGGAGATGGCGAAGCGAGGAACGGGCCCTCTTTCATACCAATCACCAAAGTTGGATAAAGTGGCCGAACTTCCTGAAGATATAAGTTCTAAACTTTTTTATGTTGCATTCGATCTTCCCAGGAAATTATACAAACATTTACATGAAATGGCTCATACTTCTTTTGCTGCTTGGAGACACTTTCTTCGTAAACTTTCTTTTTATTGAACCCAGAACCTTCTTGGTAGTAGTCTCGGCCTTGGATCCACTGTCAGAAAACCTGTTTTGCCGTTATCTTACTGTATCCTGCTCTTACCGTAAACTTCGCCTTAGAGGATTATTCTGTCTAACAGGGACAATTAGTTGTCCATCTTCATCAACATCTCCATGACTCTCTTTTTCCCTGGGATCAGGTGTCATAGCTACTGTAGACATTAATCTTCTTCTTGGCTTCACTAGAAGGGCGTCTTCTGTAACACTGATAAGATCATTGCAGGATCCTATCATCGGATTGTGAGGGCGTTGGGCGCTCTCGGCAGTGTATAATGGTTGAGGGACCATATCTTCCCAGAAGACGTCTCTTTCAAGGGCTGGGACTTTTCCATAGCCATCATCGACTATCGAAAGACCGACTTGGAGATTACGATCCAATACCTAAAGAAATATGCGATTACGGAAAAGTTCCCAGGTTATGAAGATAGCTCGGTCCAAATTACGCAAAGACTTACCCAATTAGTTTCAAAGTCATCGTCGTCCTCCCCTATTATAAAGAATTTGAGTTTCTCATTTTACATTAGTCTTACCCAAAGGATTAAGCAATACTTCAGCCACTTTCATCCATCCGATAAAAAACAAAAATTGGAAGATTGTCATTACGGGAACAAATAGATCGATCTGTATTTAAACTATATTACTGTAGCTTATATTTACCGCATCTTTATTGAGTAAATATTGTCTTCCCATTAATGCGATCAAGAAATAGGCCCTTACAGCGATGTGAACTACTTGAGTGTAGACCTAAAGAATAACTGAATTACAGGGTGGCCCAAAAAAATGGAAACTTTTTTCCATGGGTCCTGCCGCGAAAACCTTGAGGTGCAGCCAAATAATTTTTTCACTGTTAAATTCTCCGTATTTTTTAGCCCTAGGTGTTTTATTTTCATGCCCATATCGCTTGGTTAACATGTTTTTTATGAATGTCAAACAAAGGGACCTCGATTTCCAACCTGTTTCGGCAAGAAAAAGGACCGTGTGAGGTTGATAAATTACTCGGTGGAGCAAAAACTGTTATGCCAAAAGCCACCAAACAACTCAACGTAATAGTCCGCAATGGTACGCGTTCGGGAAGTCGAAAAAAGTGCACCTTGAAAGCTTCTGCCAACCTTGAGATCATCAAAAAGCGAGTGAAGCGAAATCTGATGGTGTCCATGAAAAAGATTGCCGGAGAGACCGTAATCAACAGAACAACTATCTGCCAAATGGCCAAAAATGTACAGCAGCTCAAGCCTTACAGGCTCCAAAAAGTTCACCGCCCTACGGAAGACCACAAGTTAGTACGGCTCAAAAGAGGTCAAAACATCAGGCGCCACGCCGCTGCTTCGGGAATCAGAGGAGATCCTCTTCATGGATGAAACATAGCTCAACATTGAGAAGGTGCACAAACGCCAGAATGGCAGTAATTAGGCTGTTGAGCGTCATCAAGCATCCAACATCTTTGAACCCTGTCAAAACCTCTTCCGTCATGGCCTGGGGCAAAATTTTGCGCCAGAGGCAAGATATCCCCGGTTTTCGTGGTTAAAGATGTCAAACTCAACCGAAACGTCTACTATCGGTATTCTGGAGGTAGTGGTGCTTCCGTGGGCTTAGTAGCAATGTGTGGATGAAAATTTAACGTTCTCGCAGGATTCAACCCCGGCCGAGAAAGCAAAAAGTGCACGGGGACAAAAATCGGCTGATTTTGCTACGTCTGCAAAATTGCCGCCTACTCGCCGGATCTGGATCGTATAAACCAAATTTTTTTTCCAGTTAGAGGCGAACGCCTGTACTATATGCCAGAAAAGTTTGGGACCGCTATATAATCGCTGCGCCAAGAACGCGACCGATTTCTCGAAAAAAAGCTGCGGCGTATCGCCCAAAATTTTCAGTCACGTTTGGCGCTCTATATTGCCGCGAACGGCAGATATTTCGCAACTGGCCGAACATGTTATTAACAATGTTGCATGGTAATGATATCGATGATTACTTTGGCAAAATTTAGGGAGTGAACCGAAATATAGCTTTAAATATGAGTTTCCATTTTTTTGGGCCACCCTGTATTGTCATAACTTACCAAAGGGATCGGGACCCAGTCATATAGGGTTAATTGGAGAACTTGGATACGATACTGCCTGAATTTCTGAAATGGTGATTTTATTTGCGAATAAAGGACATTACCTCAAGAAGATCAACGTAGATGTAGTCGCTTTCTATCATTTTGACATCCCTGGCCTTTCGGACCAACGAAAACGCCCACTGCATTGGAAGCCTTTGAAAATTTTTATTTTACAATAAAATTATTTTACAACAATATAAAATAACTAACAGTGCCATGTATTGAAATGAAGATTACTTACCAGTATTTTATATGCGGTGACTTAATCGAATCGAATTCCCTCAATTCATTTTCTGTCATTATCCCGGCCGTCACCAAATGATCCATGGTCGGAAATCTTTTCTTAACGCAAGTTGAGACATCTCTGAATACCATGGCTTGAGTTAAAACTAGATATCTAACCAAGTTTCTACGAGTTCGTCGGGCCATTTCATCTGTTCCTTTTACATAAGTTTGGATTAGTAATGATGGACTAAATTAGGGGTTAATTTCAATACAATTACTTACGAATCTATCCATCCGAGATTGTTGAAGACTTCAGCCCATCTATTAAATACACAGGAAACATAAAAGCCGAGTAGAAATGTGATGGGAATGTATTCACTGTAGGTGTTGAAGAATGTGGAGAGCTCTTCAAACACCCTTTAACTTGGTGATTTACATTATTTACTTACTGCTGTTGCTCTTTTGACATCGCAAAGCGATAAGAGAAGCTAATCAGGAAGTAAGCCAACAGCCAGATTAATAATTCCGGCCATATTGACTTCCAAATTGATCCCTTCCATCGAAATAAAAGGCGATGAAATCCACAAAACGTCGACGAAGCGACATCCAACGAATATGTAACGGTCATTAGATCCGATGACTTAACTCCAGGGCTTGTGAGATTTACTAAATCTAGGAAATACGAGTTCAGAGTGGCGAATTCGATTATTTATGAGGCTTTGCTACGTTCGGTCGCCCATAATCGTCGCTGACCCCATCGCCCTTTCACGCAAACCAGACTTGAATAAATTATAAAGGATATACTATAACTATAAGAGCTTAACCTTTGATACAAAGTGATAAACGAGATAAAAGTAGAATTAAAGAAAACTATATTGTGTAGATAGTAATGATGACATTCAAAACTGAAATCACACAAGAAATAAAAGATGGACTCTTACAATAACACATAAAAAGTTTTACTGATCAATTACAGCTAATGATTATTTAGCCATAAAAAGTAATCAAATTTTTTGCCGTCTGATTAAGGACAACACCCACATTGATACCGGACATTAATCTGAACTTTCAACTGGAATGCGATCAATGCATAAAATTTAAAAAAGTTTCGCTATCATTCGTGAGCGACTTTGTTGAATAAAACAATGTAAAGCGGTTCGGATAAAAAAATTTAATTCGAATTAATCGTCTAATCATTCAATCAAACTGCGCATCAATCGATAGATCACGTCAGACCTAGAGGTCAGATAATTGGAAGGCGTTGAAAAAATGGTCTTGACGGCCTTCGTGGATATTACCCAAAGGGGATGGCCTGAAGGAACCGAACGACACGTTGTAATAATTACTCTTCTTCTTCTTCAACTGATGAAAATGTTGTCTCGATCAATGGGTTGAGTGAACATTTTGAGATTACCATTTTAGGACATTATCATTTACATTGAACTGACGCAACATTTAACATTATTTATCTTTATATCCATGCATACCTGGAAGTCAAAACTCAAACTGATAGTTTCTAATTTATGTACAAAATACCCGGAAAGTATGACAAGAGAAAATAATGATATAACTTTGTACAAAAGGCATTCAAACCACGGTCTTCCAGACCTTGATAACACCGTCTTGGCCTGATGAAACCAATTGATCTGATCCAACGGCCACCAGATCAGTAATCGCATCCCTATGACACTCACTGACCTGAGTTGAGGACAAGAACTCCGACTCCATATAGGCTCCGCTTACTCGATTCTCAACTTGAACTCTGGGGTTCATATTGGGCATGTCAATGTACGAATACTCGTATCTGGAAGGTGCTTTCCGTTCATTTGATTTGGATGAGGGCATCCAGGCATCTATCAGTTTTCTGTACGGACCGCACAAATAATTGGAAGACTTGGGACATCCGCCGCTATTCCAATATCTCAGACTTCCTTCCGAATCTCCAGTAAAGATACCATCTAATTGTGGGCACGATACAACTGCTGTAGTACTTAAATCGGTCTGAAAAGAAGCCCTTATGCAGACCGAAAAAATCTGCCTACCGAATAAGAGAATGGTTGCGTGGGGCTAGGCCAAAAGACTTCTGTTCGATCCTTTGTAGCCAATTCCCAAACAGAAAGCTCACCATCCTTCGCCGAGTTTGTGATTACTTGACTACAGTAGGATTGGCTGTCTGTGGATGAAACATATGGCCAACTTCTGAAAGGTGTCGCGTGCTGAGAGGGATGGGACCAACTCGCTACTTCAAGGCCGCCAAACCTGAAAGTATTCCATATACGCAATTCACCGTCAAATAAAAAAAAAACTAAAACAAAACAAACCTCAAATCCCAAAGAACAATATTGCTGGTTGTCGAGGAACTCGCTGTCAAAAGCATCCAATGTCCATAATTTGGATCTACAGTAAAGCCAGTGATCAGACCACAGCTATTTCTGGCCTTTTTCGAATACAAAGACTCCAATGTAATCTTATCTCGAACATTTTTGGATGTTCTAAAATCTACATGATCTATGTAATGCGTCTGTTTACCTCAAGTCGAAACAATGTACAGAACTGTGATGTGTGAGTGCAAAGGCCAAATTATCAGACCCATAAACTTCAACAATCTGGCCTTCTTGTTCTTGATCCAATACCGAACATCTGAGAAGCCTGACTTGTGATGTGTCGTAGACGGATAATTCGCAATTTGAAGATCCCGTTATTAAATGGGCATTACTGTCTCGCATAAAGTGAATCGATCTGATGCCATTACCTGAAAGAATTACAAAATAAATTAAACTATAAAATAGTTTTTCATTTATTTACCATTGTTAAGTGTCTCTGTTGAAACAATGGCCGGAGTGGCTTGCATATGGAACTGTCTGGCTGACCATAACTTAACCGTATTATCTGAAGAACAACTGGCAAAGATATCTTTATGTGGATGGGCGGCCAACCTTAAATTACTCAATCATTATCCGTAACATAAATATATAGACTACAACCATATTTACATCCATTTGAAAAGGTAATACGTACTTTAACACAGTTTTCGAGTGTTCATGAAGATTGGCCAGAAGTCTGAGTTCTGGCCTTCTCCCCGAAGGACTGTCAGCTCTCACAGAATGCATCGCCTGGGCCATCGCATTTATAGTTTGCGGGGTATTATGCAACACATGCCCTTTTTGCACCGGGATTTCACGGGCATCGTTTTTATCCCTAACCTTTGTTGTCAACTTCGTGCTTATAACTCTTTTCTGCTCCATGTATCTTGTTCTTTTGTGATCGAGGGCTTCGATTAAATGTACTTTGGAACCACCAACTAAAAACATCAAATCCATAAGCATTGATAGTAACTGCAATAATCAAATCAAAGCATGCATACCCCTATCTTTGTCCTGAAGATCAAGTTGGAGGTCGTCATCCTCGGTCAACACCACACCCTGTCCAACATATACTAATTGGCCTATACTCTGAAATACAAACTTTATTGACAATAACTAAACACAACATACCCGAGAATTCAATTTGTGGACTCCATCTTCAAGGTCGAATATCCTTGGCTTAACCCCATTCAGGTCTCGAAGTCTTATCTTTGAAGAAGCCTTGCACATTTTTGGATCCCTAAAAACGGTACCCTATTGTCCAAAAAATCAAAAATACCTTTTTTTGGTCTGATCCCATTTATTAAACACCGATTTGAACGAGAGCAATTGCTCTTCCACATCGTCCGTCAGTCCGAGATTAGTCAACTTTTTAATGAGTAAATCCATTGAATTCATAACGTTCTTATCATCTTGAGAAGGAGATCCTGCCGAAAACATTGAAGCGCGTCCTCCACCGAGTTTATCAAGGGTTCTTCTATCATTCAATTCCTTTATAAATTCGGGAATATTATCCAAACCTACAAACATTCGTCTACTATCCCGAATAATATCCACTTACTAGTCACAAAATCCCAGATCTGCCGTGAAATTGGCTTAACTAAACATGATGCAACCACGGACCTCTCATTCAATCGAATCAAATTTTCTCTGAGATATTTTTTGACCAGAGGCATCAATTTACAATACATGTCAGCCAAAGGGAAACTGGCATCGAGGACTGACAGGAGGTTGATCACTTGGATTCGGAGCCATTTATTCTAAAATTTTACGATAAAAACAATAACACTTACCGGATGAACGAGGAAAGGGCAGACTTCTCTCATAATTTTGACAATCACAGATTTCTCCAACTTATTATCATCGCATAAAAAGTATAGAGATTTGAGCGTTTCATAAATCACAAACTCCTCCGTATCTTTTAGTCCCTAGAAATTAATAAGAAAAAACCGCAAGAACACATTACTTGTTGGATGAATGGAATCAGGGTAGAATTCTGAATAGGCTCTGAGTGCTTGGCGACCGTTGAACAACTCTTAAAGAAGGCCGCCCTCAATTGCCAATCATACTTGTCATTCAACAGAGCAATCATATGCATTAAAACATCCGCATCAACAGCTACATAGATTATATCAATGTGGGCAATCCTGGAAACTTACATTTGCTACATCCAAAAAAGGAACAGAGCAAGTTAAGATTGGCCTTGTCAAAAAGACACTGCTTAACTGTGTTTGAAGAATCGCTGAGATTCACAAAAATACGACTGACGGCTTCCTGAAGGGCTATTCTCTCCGTTCGGGCAAAGGAATCGACTGCTTCCTTTCGAGATTCGCGATCCTGGTCGGAAATTAACTTAGCTTCTTGGGTTAGTTTGGATACTGATTCATCAAAAAATTTGAGAGAAATTGTTGACAAACGGCCAAGACAGGAAGCTAGAGCCATTTTGACGTAATCTGCTTTGTCCTCTGTCAATTGTTTCTAAAGACCGAGACATATATTTAAGTGAATTAACAAACCATTCGAGGGAAGATATAATCCACGAGAAGTCGGCTTTCATCCTGCGGAATATCATTTAGGCCCTCCAGAATATCAGTTATAATGTATACAGCCTCTCCGCGCACTTGAGGGTAAATATCCGCCAAGCAGTAAACCTAAAAAATAAAAAAATATTTTTTAATCTTTACATTACCAGATATGGGATGATCCTGTCTGTTATGACCTCAGCATCCGTCAAATCGCATAATTTTTTGAGAAGATGAATAGCGTCCATCTTCGTGCTCATACATTTACATGCCCGGATATTGGCGGTGATCATTCCAATAATTAAAACTACACAATTATGTTCATCCTCCTCTAGTTTGGGTTTGTAATTTGGATACTCCACAAATAATCTAAACAAAAATGGCGTATAAAACAATGTACTTACTTGATAATAATCTGATCGGGATCTCTCATTTGAATGAGATCCTTGAAGTAATTGTATAAGTACGATTCGAAGAGAGGAGGGAATAAATCCGACGAACATGGAGCCAACTAAGGACAAGTTATACGAAATACTTTAAGATACCTTCTCAAATTCCTTTCGCCGCTTTTCGGGTTCACGATGAAGCATTGTCCTCAATAGATTTCCAAATTCAGGCGGACATACGGTTAACAACTTGTCCAAATAATCCTTTGTCACATGTTCATCAAATCTTGTGTAATCAATGGCTTGAGATAAATTAAACGCAACGTATCTTCCATCAGTTAGCAATTCAACGAGAACACATCCCATGGCAAAGATGTCCATTTCGTGAGTCAGACCCTCGGATATGCAAGTGATATCACTTATACTCTTAGAGCAATAGGCAAGATCTTCCGCTCTTTTGAATCTTTCTGGTGCTAGATAACAAGTCCGCCTCCTACTTGTATCAAAGAAATAAGTAAACGAGGATGGATTGTCCTGAAATAACACTACTGTCATTGAGATTTATCATGTTTTTCACTTATAGTACTTTTAACTTACATAAGGGACAAAAGATGGTTTAAATGGTGCGAAATCAGTTAATTCAAGCCAATTGGAGCTCGAAAGGACGATATTATGCGATTTAATATCGCCGTGACAAATCATCGATATCCTCAATTGTCCCAGAACCTTCAACAATTGGAAAGTCATCCATAACTTCTCCACATGCAATAAAAATGGTCGCGTACTTAGTCGCTCATACAAGGTGAACATGCGAAATGGACGATGGAGAATGACAAAACGCTCTCTTGTCTAAAAAAACAGTAAACTTTAGTACGAAGTAAGACTTACGCTAACTTTGGTGAAAGGCAATATGTTCGACAATTCTTTCGATTTTCTCCTTAATTGTTTCACCAAGTCTATGTAGTTATCTATATCCATTAATTGCGCATCATACACAAATAATTTGAATACAATCCAACCATCTCGATGTTGTGCCAGTCCTGTTTTCATAAATCTTGTTGTACCCAGACCTTTTATAAACGAAAGTTCAGGGACATCCAATAAATAGGCATCCAAAGGGAGGATTTGATTTACAATAGAAGAATTCTGGACGTTCCCCATTCTGACTTTCTAGACTGGTCACATCAAATCAGTACTTACTAGTATACTAATCATAAGACTTTTTAGCGCTGGAAAACAATTATTTATTTTATTCCGTCTTGCGCCCTGCAAAGAACGCAGTTTGCATTTGACATTTTATACGGCAAGAAGACAGAAAAACATTTTTTGTTCGTCGTAGTTACGCGTAATGTTACTATTGTTATAATTTTTGTTGCTTTGTTATAGTTACCGTTTAAAATGCCGGTAAGTGTTAATTTTGCAAGCTTTAATTTTTTTATTTTGAAGAACGATGCAGCCGCGCTTCTGAAGAGATATAACAAGACCGCAAAGGTGATCGACGATTCCGACAGCGATGATCAAGTGGTTACAATCAAGAAGAGTAAATCGGTGTCAAAGAAGCATATGAGAAAGAGGAAACACAGTGAGAGTGATGATGACCAAGACGTAGGTGTTACAGCTTTCTTTGAAATCACATTTTAGCTACCACAAGCATCTTCGGTGAAAGAAACAACTGGATATGAAGAGCTTGATATTATTGAGAAGGAAGAAGAAGATGATATTAGAGAAAGAGACGCTCTAGATCAGCGAATCCGGCTTCGAAATAATCTCAGTCAGAAGAAGGTAATGTCCTTCAGAGATGCCAAGGAGCGCGAAGAAGCTCAGAAGAGATTGAATGTTTTGTCTGGAACAGCTAAGGATCAGAGAGAGATTGTTAAGAAGATGAGAGAGGAGAGTAGGAAGAAGTATCTGCCCAAAAGAAAGGAAGATAAATTATATGAGACCAGAAGATACATTGAGGAGACCGAGAAATACTTTAACGAGGAAGAGTTAACGGAAAGAGAACGGAATGAACTCGAGTACAAGAAGACTGTTCTTAAATTTGCTGATCAATTTGAAGATGCTGGGAAGATTGTCAAGCAGAAAAGATATCACCTTCCAGATGCCTCAAAAAAGATTATTGATGAACCTGAAGAAGAGGAGAGAAGAATGGGAGATGCTCGTCGATGGGAAGAAGAACAGCTACACTCTGCGATGTTTAAACTTGGGGCTAAAGATAGGGTAAGTTAAGAAGCTTTTTTTAGTATACCTTGTTTTTAGAAAGCGGATGAATTGGATATTCTGCTGGAAGATCTTAAGGTGGACTTCACAGAAGCCGTTACAATGAGTGGCGAAAATGAGGAGAAGAAGCCGGTGCTTTCGGCGTTAGAGAAAAAGAAATTGTCGTTGGCAGAGACTCGGAAAACATTGCCAGTCTACTCATTCAGGGATGAATTCCTCGAAGCAGTTGCTGATAACCAAGTTCTGATTGTGGTTGCTGAGACTGGGTCTGGTAAAACCACGCAACTTCCACAATATTTATATGAAGCGGTAGGTATTCGATGCGATTTCCCAACTTAATGATTATGTTTCAGGGTTACTGTAAGGATGGGAAACGAATTGGATGCACACAACCGAGAAGGGTTGCCGCTATGAGTGTTGCAACACGTGTGGCTGAAGAAGTGGGCACAAAGTTGGGACATGAAGTTGGATACACTATCCGTTTCGAAGACTGCACGTCCGAGAAGACCAGAATCAAGTACATGACAGATGGAATGCTCCTCCGAGAACTTCTCAACGAGCCAGACTTGGGGACTTACAGTGTGATGATGATTGACGAAGCTCATGAAAGAACATTGCACACCGATATTCTCTTTGGATTGGTCAAGGATATTGCGAAATTCCGTCCCGACCTCAAACTTCTGATTTCCTCGGCCACTCTGGATGCCGACAAATTCTCTCAGTTCTTCGATGATGCCAATATTTTCAAAATTCCTGGCAGAAGATTCCCTGTGGACATTTTCTACACCAAAGCACCAGAGGCTGATCCATTGAAAGCGGCCGAAACCACGGTTCTTCAAATTCACTTAACTCAAGGTCTTCCTGGAGATATTTTGGTGTTCTTAACGGGTCAAGAAGAAATCGAATCAATGGAAGAGGCCTTGAATGAAAGGATAAAGCATCTTGGAAAGAGGATAAAACAATTAATTGTGGTACCAGTCTATGCGAATCTCCCATCAGAACTTCAGCAGAAAATATTTGAACCTACTCCATCAGATGCCCGAAAGGTGGTGTTGGCTACAAACATCGCTGAAACGTCTGTTACAATCGACGGAATCTCTTATGTCATTGACCCTGGGTTTGTCAAACAGAATTCGTATGACTCTCGAAGTGGAGTCGAGCATCTTCAGATCGTTACAGTATCCAAAGCGGCTGCCAATCAAAGAGCAGGCCGAGCTGGAAGAACGGGCCCTGGAAAGTGCTTCCGACTGTACACACCGCATGCCTACAAGAATGAATTGGATGATCAACCAATACCCGAGATCCAACGAACAAATCTAGCAAATGTAATTTTAATGTTATTAACCTTGGGTATTGATGATGTTGTCCACTTTGACTATCTGGATCCACCTCCTAATGAGACAGTAGCCGCCGCACTGGAACATCTGTTTGCCCTTGGCGCTTTGAATCACAAAGGAATTTTGACTAAATTGGGACGACGAATGGCCGAGTTTCCATGTGATCCAGCCATGTCTAAGATGATTGTAATGGCCGAGAAATACGGATGCACTTCGGAGATCATCAGTATTGCGTCAATGTTATCAGTGAATGCGGCCATCTTCTATCGACCAAAGAACCAGATTATTCATGCAGATACAGCAAGAAAGGGATTCTGGTCACCGGCTGGGGACCATATTACTCTTCTCCATGTATACGAGAGATGGAAGGAGGCCAATTACTCTGTGCAATGGTGTGTCGACAATTTTGTTCAGTACAGGACGCTGAAAAGAGCGAGGGATATCAGAGATCAGCTGGAGGCCTTGTTGGAAAAGGTTGAAATAGCTTTGGTAGGAAAATGTTTTAGGGGAATATTGTTAACATTGGTTCAGTTTATGGTATTTCTTTCAGACATCAAACGATGACCCAACACCGATCAGGAAGGCGATTGCTTCGGGATTCTTTTACAACATCGCGGCCTTGGATAAAACGGGAGCCTACAAAACAGTCCGAAATAGACATACAGTACAAATACATCCACATTCATCACTTTTTGAAGACAGGCCGAGGTGGGTAATATATCATCAATTGATGGCTACAACCAAAGAATATATGCGGGAAGTAATTGAGGTTGAATCATCGTGGATTAATGAAGTTGCTCCTCATTATTACAAGACTTTCCATCTGGACGAAATGGCGAAGAAAAAGATGCCAAAGTCTATGGGGAAATCCAAAAATGATCTTGAACGGGATTGAAATAAACTATTTTCTTATCTTATTGTATGTGTAATATGACTGGGTTATATTTCCCTAAAAATGATGACTATTTTTGTTTTCCGTTTTGGGTTGTTTTTTTTCTTTTTGTTATGTTTCCTTGAACTGGTATTAGTCACATTCTAATGGATTATAACTGCTATAACATTCAGCCACACATAATGGGCGGATGGAAATTGGAGGCTGGCCGATTCATGATTCTGGTCGGTTTCCCTGTGGCGGCGTTTTGGGCCTTCAACCAAACTGGCGTCTTCTCTTTTTTTGTAGGTTTCTTGACTTTCTCCCCGGTGACTCATGTTTTCTCTCCATGTTTAGATGAAAGGTTACCAAATCCCTTATAATGAAGAATCAGAAGAACGGGCTCGGAAATGGAAAGAAGAATTAGGTGAGCAGCGACGTCGAGAACAATATGAGAAACTCCTCAGGGAACAAATGGCATTCGAGGAGTCGCGGAAGCTGAGGGAACAACACGGAATCTGATCACAGCCTCGATTGTTGATCGTTTTTTGTTAGGCTGTGTAAATAATACTGTTTTTATCATGGCTTTCGTGTTTCACCGGACGTTTCGAAACGTGAATACTACGTTTTGGTCTTATTCCTATTCATTTTTTACAGTTTAAAAGAACAATGTCGACCCTGTTGAAAGCCGCGAAATTATTTCGCAACAAGGGAGGTGCGTTCAGTCCGGCTGACGTCAAAGAGTTGGACGTAGGTTTATTTTACTGACTATAGTTGGGATGTAATTAATAGGAAATACGAGATGATAAATAACCGAACCAACGTTTCAGGGGAAGGATGTGATTGCGTTCTATTTCTCTGCTCATTGGTGCCCTCCTTGCCGTGCCTTTACTCCTGAACTCAAGGATTTCTACAACGAAGTAAACAAAGGTTCATCCAAGCTGGAGGTTGTGTTTTTTTCGTTTGATCGCAGCAAGGAGAGTTGTCACGATTACCTAAAGGAGGCTCATGGAGATTGGCTCTTTCTCGAAGCCGAAGACCCAAAAATTGAGTATGATGACAATTTAGAAATTAAGATCATCCGATTTCAAAATTTAATTATTTGTTTTAGGGAAATCGCAAACAAGTTTAACGTGGAGGGAATCCCCGCCCTCCTTTTGGTCAACAAAAACGGAGAAAAGGTCGGCGATGTCCGTGCTGATGTCACCGTAGGTTGAACTCGTTATCTTTGACACTGATTATTCAATCTTTAGGGTATTCCTCCCCTCGTGGCGATTTCGCAATGGATCGAGAAAGTGAAGCAATGAGTCAACTCCCGTTTTAGGGAAGTATTGTATCTTCTATAAATAAATGATATTTTTATTCGAAAGGAAATGTTTTTGTCATCTGGTTTGATACCCATGTGATTTCACTTTTTAAATTTAACAGGTGCTTATTTTAACGAGGGAATAGTTATAAGTTACAAAGCGCTAGAGATTAAAATTTTGCCGATTAGGATCCTTAGTTTATTTCGAATATTTTCTCCGATTTTTATCAAATGACTTATAATAAGTCGATTATAGCCTTAAAAACGATGTATTGAAGGCATAACAGCTGTTTTGTTTGTTGTTTATTTCTATTGGGGGGCTGACCCGTTTCATTCCATGTTCTATTTCTCTATTCTCGAATGTTGAGCGCCCAAGAGACGCACTCCTTCAGTGTCAGCAGACGCACGAACAGAGGGAGTGTGTGCAAGGTCAGCTGACCGGGGAAGGGAAGAGCGAAGGAAAGCAAAGCTGCCTTTCTCTGCTCTAGAATAAATGCTGCATATTATTCTTATTATCAACTCCCATTTGATCGGATCCCTGTTTCTATGCAGTCCTGTACCTCCCGAGCTTGTTACCTGAGGACCTCATGTGTTTTCCCCTCTAGTAATTTTCTCTTTACCCCTTCACTCAATCTATATTACGATCTGAAGTTGTGTTTTTTGTCTGTTATACCGGTTTAGAAGCGCAACCATTTTTTGTTTGAATATATCAGCGTCACGCGGGACCTTTAACTTTCAGTCAGTCGACCTGAACCCGAGCTTCAGGTGTGGACGTCTCTGAATTCCTTATCAGGTTGTATTGATTAAAGACTATTGTTTTTTGGTCTTTATTACTTACGCTGGCGAGGCGCGTGGTTTGGGATGTTATTCGTTTGCATCGAATGACGACCTTGTACATGGTTAAGCCGAAAACAGTTTTAAATTTTATCGATTTTCAGACCTAATTTAAATATGAAGTGGACTTACAAAGAAGAAAACAGCTTCGAGAAGCGCCGTGCTGAAGGTGAGAAGATCCGTCGCAAGTACCCCGACAGAATCCCCGTTGTCGTTGAGAAGGCGCCCAAGTCAAGATTACAAGATTTGGACAAGAAGAAGTATCTGGTTCCCTCTGATCTCACTATTGGCCAGTTCTACTTCTTGATCAGAAAGCGAATCCATCTTAGACCGGAGGAGGCTCTCTTTTTCTTCGTCAACGATGTCATTCCCCAGGCCACGACCACGATGGGACAGCTTTATAAAGTAGGTTGAGGTCTTCTTTAATTGATTTCTGTTTCTTTAAGGATCATCACGAAGAGGATCTGTTCATGTATATCGCGTACTCCGACGAGAGCGTGTATGGCGCCGCCGAAGAGTGATCAGTTATACGAGGAATGCCGACTGGTCTCGGCCTCAACTCCTTTCTCTTAAGGTTCTTATTGTAGTAGTGTTTTCGACTTCTCAGTTTTTTTATGTCCTCAGGACTTCGTGGTAATTCATTGATTTCATGTATATATCACTCATTGTATTCGAATAAACTCAAAACCCAAGAGTTATTGGAGATTAGCATCCCGTCTACCGCAAAAACAAGGGTCGTCATGACAACTGGACCCACCGACGGCATCCATTCCGACTCGAATTAATGCGGCTATGGAAGTTTTAACGAGTCGTTAGCTATTCGATGTATCCACTGGCCATCCCGCCGATCGTTGATTTTAAATTCATATAAGAATTTGATTGCGTGACAGGATTATAATCGTGAGCCTGTATAAAGTAGCTGTTTGTTAGTCCCGTTAGCCATTTTAGTCCCTTATAATGGAGGTGGAAAGTGGTCTCAGAAATCTCCAAGTCAATGACCGGGCCTCCGAGATCATGGGAGGATTCAAGTTGTAAGTTAATCAATTTCGAATAGTAGAAGAGTCATTGTTCTTTTGTTATTTAGAAATTGGATGAACCTACGAGATGCGGAGACAGGGAAAATACTGTGGCAGAGTACAGACGACATGGCCAATCCTAATAAAATCCATGAAGGTAAATTGTGGCGCACAACTTAATATTACGTACCACTTATAGCGAACATTCCGAAAGCAATCTTAAAAAGTAAAGCCGTTGCAAGGGAGATCAACTTTACTTCCGAACACGAGATCGAGAAGTTCAGACTGGAACAGCGCGTTTGGCTGAAGAATTCGGTGATCGAAGAATGGTTTTTTGACTTTGGTTTCGTTATTCCTCAATCAACAAATACCTGGCAAAATATTATTGAAGCTGCCCCTGAGGGTCAAATGTTGCCCGCAGCACTATTGAGTGGAAATATTACAATCGAGACTAGCTTTTACGACGATTCTCTTTTGGTGAGCACATCCAAAGTAAAGTTGTTTTACGTGTGATAAAATAATGTATTATAAAAGTTTACAGTAATATTAATGTAAGTCGATAAGAAATATAAATAAATTGATGATGCATGCGTTGTAAGGCGGTTATTGGCGTTGAAGTTGGACATAATTTGCGGGGAAGAGACCATACCGTCCACGACACATTCCTCTCCACCATCCGGCGTCAATCTAAAGTATGATTACAAAAGAGGACTAATGCCTACCTGCTCAACGTCGGTTATAATATCATTCATATCAAATCCAATCTCGTCGTCATCCTGTTTCTCATAATCATACAATGCAACAGCAATTAATCCTCCACTAGGAAGGGTTGGTGGTTCCTCATAGGCGGCATGAGGAACCTGAGCTGAAGGTTCGGGGTGTGCGAGAGATTCGTAGGGGTCTTCTTGATGAGCATTCATAGGAGGTTCTTCAGGAACAAAGTCATAATTTGTTTGACGTTGGGAGGGCTCTGACGGAACGTAATCATAACCTTGTCCAGCCGTTATTTTATCAACAGGTTCGGCAGGAATACCCGCTGCTGGTAGTCGATACAATGCCGGTTTATCATCATCGATCCATTCATCCTCAGCATTGGCCGAACTTATGCTTTCTCTTTGTTTTATCTCATGAGTTGGGGGTTCAGGTTCTGATGGAATGTGCTCTTCTGTAGGCGCAGGAGCTAGCTCAACAACGGGTCGAGGTTCTGGTGGACTCTCGACAACATGTCTAACACATGGTTCTTGTGCAACAGGGAGACGTGGAGGTGCTGGCTGGATATTGTTTTGCGGGGTGACAGGAGGAATTTGTGGTGGATTGTTAGCTTCTGTTTCTGCGAGTTTCTGCTGTCGCTTTCTTTCGGCTTCTTCCTGTTCTTTCTTAAGAGCTTCATCCTCACGCTTCCGTCGTTCTCTCTCTTCCTTTACCTTATCGTTTCCTTGTTGCTGAGATAACTGTTCGAATCTGCTTCGTAGGTCAGATGTTTTCATTTTTGGGATATCTTCCGGCACTAAAACCAATAAACAAAGCTCCGAAATCTTACCTTTCCTCTCTTCCGACTTCTCCTTTTCATCCCATCCAACGGCGGACTTATCTTTTCGATCAGTTTGGACTCCAAATTTGCCTCCAAATCCTTTTTTATAATCTAATCAACTTATTAGTCATTGCATTTGTAATGTACCCGTTTGGCTTTCATGTTGTTGAAGCTGTTCCCGTTCCTCCCATCCAACCGCTGACTTGTCTTTGCGATCTTCTTCAACTCCAAACTTTCCACCAAAGCCTTTTTTGTAATCTAAAACCAAAACATACTTATTTTAAACGAATGACATACCAGTTTGGCTCTGATGATTCTGCAATTGAGTTCTTTCTTCCCAACCCAAAGCGGATTTATCTTTACGGTCCTCTTGTACACCAAACTTTCCTCCAAACCCTTTTTTGTAATCTGGAATAAGTGATAATTTACGATATCATATGAATAAGTCTACCAGTTTGACTCTCATGTGGTTGCACTTTCTCCTTTACATCCCACCCAACTGCTGACTTGTCCTTCCTGTCGTTCTGGACTCCGAATTTACCACCAAAACCTTGTTTATAATCTAAAAACCATGAAAATCAAATAAAAAACAAATAACCATGCCTTTTTGACTTTGATGTTGCTCAAGCTGAGTTCGTTCTTCCCAAGTAGAGGCTGATTTATCAATGCGATCAGTTTGCACACCATATTTGCCACCAAATCCCTTTGAGTGATCAGTTTGAGAGACATGAGCCTCAGTTTTACCTTTGTATGACCAATCAACAGCACTCTAAAACACAAAAATAACACATAAAGTGCCACATTTACCTTATCCACTCTGTCTATTTCAACTCCGAATTTTCCGCCGTAGCCTTGACTGGGCTTGGGCATATCAGCCAGCCTTTTTTCCCTTGTACTTGCATCACTTTTCATCACTTGAGCTCTTAATTCGGCCATATTCAGGGCATCTTGATGACCAGAACCTTCGATCACTCTTGAACCCCATCTTGCTTCCTTCTCGCTTACATCGTTCTAACAAAATAAAAGATCAAAAGAAATTCCTACCTTATAATTAGGGTCCGTATCCCAATCATCATCTGCCGACGGCTTTGGTGGAACTGGTGGTTTTACGCCAATGGTTGCCTTCCACATTTGAAGAGATATTCTTGATGAGTAATACGATACAACGAACTTCCAATTTTTTTTTATTTTTCATTAAACTGGCATTTCGCGTCCTATGTTATTGGAAGAAGCGCGGCTTGCGGAGAACTTTATACGAATACTTCCAAAAACTATTTCTTTTTTTTTTTTTTTTTGAAATTTACATTACACATTTTTTGTTTTGGTTTTTCGCTGATTATGTTGTCTAAATAGCCATGAACAGTAGTCAGCTTCAAGACTGGTTGAATGGTCTTGAAACATTGCTGAGGCCGGCATTGAACCACAACGGAGAAGTCAGTGCTGCGGAGTCCAGAAAAGCGCTTAAACATATTGTAGGCAACACCAAGGTCCTTACCAATTATCTAGTATGTAATTATGAGCAGACCGATGCTGTTCAACCCTTGGTGGGCCAGCTTCTGGCAATATATTATAGATTAGGTAACGTTTTTGTTATTTTGCCCTTATTTAGCTTTTAGGTGTCTTTCGGAACTTTGTGATACAAACCTTACCTCCACTTATTTGTGTCTACTTATCAGCCATTCAGTTGGGCCAAGACTCGCTGGTTTCTGTGTTCGAAATGTTATTTGTGGCCATTTACAATGAAGAGATCTTGGCCGAGGGACCTTGTGCCGAAAATTTTAATAAACGGGTGGATCAAGTGAGGATTCCTTCTATAAAGTCGCCAAGTGTCTACCACGACCCCTCAAAATTGGATGGTCTTCCTGACATTGCTGAATTGAGAGCAGGGAATAACTCGGGGATTTTGTGTTCCATTCAGATCGGCCCATATCCAGCGGCCGAAAATCTGGTCGGAGAGAACCGGTATATTGTGCTCTCTAGGCTCATAAAACTTGTAAGTCACTTTCTATAGTCGATTGTCAACTTTTCAATGCATTGCGACTATCTTTTTCAGATAAGTAGTAGTCTACAAAATTTGTCTTTGGATGTTATATGTGATGCCTTCTGTGAAATGATGACCGATATCTCCAGGAGCAGTTTTTCTTACAAGGAATCTCCGTTAAGACAAGAAGTACTTGGTGATCTAACTAAAGAAAGTGCTTTTCCCGATCTCCAAAAGTAAGAAAAAACAGCGAGAAACAATCATGATTATATTCATGATGACACCGGTTTTGATGATGGTATTTGATTACAAAAATTTTTAGAAAACGGCGTATATTTGCTCCTTCCTACTTTTATATCGAGGGGCTAGCTGTGATTAACTTTTGCATATTCAATGGATTTGCCAATTCGGGCCTCAGGGCATTAGACGCGATCCATCAGCGGGCTATTCATGATATGGCAGCAGACGTTCTGTTGGTATGTAAATGCCTTGATAGATGTTTATAAGCGTTCTTACGTTTCACAATTATTTAGTAATAAAATTTTTCAGGTCACGAACTCGATGAAGGATATATTAATGCAGGAGGAATCTCTGAATTTAATTAGGGAGGTGGAAGAGAAACAAACAACAACTAGTCCAGCTCGTCAGATCAACGGCGACTGATATCATCACCTTGTGCATGTTAAATATTTGTTAAATTAAAATGGAACTACAACCGAGATTAGGGATGTCACTGCAGCGAGGAGTGTAGAAACGGCCATTACAACCGCTGCCGCTACTGCCAACCAAAAACTGTAACTCAGATTTAGCAGTTGATCCCAATCTTTCGTTACATTTGTCGTCAAATTTAGGTCTGCTGAAAGAATTTTAAACGGGGAGATTCATGGTCAAATTACACTTGCACTTACACAGAGCGGTAGTTGAATTCTTGTTCTTTGAACCATAGACTGCTATTGCTGCCACCAAACATGCAGTAGCCAGTCCAGCTAGAATTGTGATCAATGGGAAGCAACTGGGAAGACAAAAGGCCAAACAACTGAACACGCTCCAGATGAGAATTACAAGTTCGATGATCAGGGCAATGAACATCAACGCGATTACCGCCTTCTCCCATTTCGGGCGGCTCTGAAAGGTTTAATATCCTGGGAAAACGTTAAGGGAAAGAGCGTTTGCATTGGAAAGCTGGGTTGTGCTCCTTTTCTTCAACATACGGAGCACTACTGAGGGCTCTAATATAAGGCATCTAACTTACATCTATGTAATTTTTGCATGCCGTCGTCAACGAGGTCGCGTTATTTTTGCCACAATTGTAAGTAATAATGCCAACATGGACGGTCTTATTAGTGTCATCCTTGTATGTCGACCATCCCGGTGTAAATAGGGAGACGGCTGTGAGCGCGACAGCTGCGGATATGCCAAAGATCAGCAACGGCTTCAAGATGAGGGATGTACACATGATCTAAGACTTTTCGAAACAGGGGACTGGCTCTGACACGTTGGCGGAGACACAGTAACCTTGGTTTCGAACATCTCAACGCATTTAAATAAACGTTGTTACGGGATACTGCTGTTGGTTTCGTGGTTTATGATGTGAATAATGGAAGGGTCCCCGGAATCCGTGACCGGTTCATCGTCCTATCCAGGGCTACAACAACAACTGCCGGATCAAATAAGACTACGCTAATAATAAAAACCACTTATTTTAGCTCTGAAAAAGTAACGGTAAATTCAGCGATCGCCAGACCAACGTCAATAAATTCGGTGATTAATTACATGTTTTGATGCTTGAGATTGGGAAAGAAAGTTTCTTTTTATTGTCATCTGGTGGATGTCTTGATTTACATTGTACTTTTCGACTGGGGCTGTACTTTTCGACTAGGATGTGACTGTACAAAGCTATTTTTGTTAAATTAACTCCAGTCTCCCTACCCCAAGTGCAATTTGAGTGGAGATTATGCAGAACAAACAACTGTGTTTTCGTTTTATGACACAAATATTTTTGACTTACAATGTTTCAAAAAAAATTTAAATGTCACTGCCTCCATCAATCAACGGTAAAATATTCCCGGAATTCACTTTTTCAATTTCATTTTATCCGTCAATGGAGTTCTGAACATAAACAGATTGCTGAGTGTAAAACTATGTAATGGATGGGCGGTAGTGTAAAGTTCGTCATGCGTCCAGCTGTTGGTGGTATCAAAACAGAACCGGGCGAGGGTAAAAATAGAAGACATTCCTTAATTGGTCATTTTTTCGAAACGTTCCCCCATTTCACATGATGGTGCAGATGGGCGGGGTGGGCGGCTGATATATAATCAAAAACCAGGAGTTCCATCCTCTTGTAGACTTCTCACAGACTTCTGACTGCACGCCTCGAGTCTCTACTTCCACCCGAGTGTAGATGTTGGCTTTGATCTCCTTGCTCCTTTTGCTACCGTATACTTCGGCTGTTTGCAATGTCCCCCCAGATTTCTGGTGTGATAATCCAAGAATCGCTTTGGAATGTACGGGATCTCTAAACTATTGTTCCAATTATGTGCAAAATCAAAAGAATCGAAAAATGAAAATCGAATTATCATTTGAGGCAGCTTGCCCTGACTCCAGGAACTTCATTCAGAGGATTTATCCGAGATTGTTGGCCCAGTCGTTTATCTATGAAAAGGTCGACTTCCAGCCAGTGCCTTGGGGTCTTTCAAAGTACGAAGAAGGTAAGATTAATCATAATACAGCTACCTAAAAAACTTGTTTATATTTTGTTTACACCTATTCATCTTTAGCAGGTAAATTGAAATGTCATCATGGAATTAGAGAGTGCACTGGAAATCGTCTTTTAACTTGTGTGATGAAACACCTCAAGGACGACGTAGAACAACGAGATAAAGTCCTTTTCTGTTTCATGTCCAAGATGGAAGACAAGACTTCGGATCCTAACCTTAACATGAAACAATGTTTTGACAAGACCTACAATAATATTTTCACTTCAACTATCCTGTATGTTTGCAAAATTTCGTTGATTATTTTTCTAGACCCTGTTCCAATGGTCCCGAGGCCACAACCAGCCAAAAGTTTGACGAAATGAGAACTCTGCAGATTCTGAGGAAACCGCGATTTGTTCCTTACATTGCAATCAACGGAAACTCTCATCAGCACATGCAAGCAGCACAGATAATGTTACCGGAGAAAGTGAGGTCATGGACAGAGACTTTGGAGGTAATATTGCAATTAAAATTATAAATGATGATAACCGAGGAAGAATCATCATTGGACTTTTCAGAACTTCCCCGTCGCCCCCATCACCCTTCCCAATAGATGTCAGACCCCTCCCGATTACTGGTGCTCCACTCCAGAAATCACTTCCACATGCTTTGACCAAGCCCAGTGTAATAATTACTACAACAGCATCTATGGTCGCCCAGTTCATTTCAAATTCATCTACAGACAGAGTGACCCCGCAGTAAAAAGCTATTTCATCAATTATGTGAAGAAACATTTTGTCAACGACAACACTCTCAGAACCGAAAACAACACTGGCAAAGTGGTAATTGATCTAGCTCCTGTCCCTCCCGCTCTCCATGAATGTAAAGCCACAAGTTGTGTCGACGGAGCCATCCAAGAATGCATCATATCCAGGACAAATCTGATTGACAGGAACAACATCCTCTTGTGTCTTTTGGAGAATGGACCGGGTGTGGAGCGGGCTTGGAATGGATTCTGCAAGAAATTGGTGACTCCGACAGTAGCGGAGAGCATCGAGTAAGTGGGTTACATAAAACTTTATCGTTGCAAACGGGCCGGCGCGCCGTTCTGTCTGATTTGAAACGATCGTTTCTTACTGTAAATTCCAGCCCTTTCGAGACAAAATTTAGCAGATCGGGAAAGTGCTCCTGTTGACGTCAACTCAAGGTTAATCAAAAAATTACGATTAATCAAATAACTATTACAATCTGACTCCACTCATTTCAGAAAGTGCTCTCGATCCGCCGAATGGTATCAGTATGCCCTGAGGCGAGCTACTCTCCAATCGGTTTACAAAGTTGATCTCAGACTCCGCGATTACTACGTAATTGTAAATGGATATAATATTGGCGGTGTCCAGGGACTGAACCACAACTTGCACCGATTGGTCTGTCTTTGGTACCGAGGACCTGGCCATGATCGCGATAACTGTTATCGGTGTGACATTGAGCCTACTCATTGCATATAAAACCGGTCTGTCTTACCCAAGCCACAAATTGTAACATGTCCAATAATTATACCATGTATCCAACTTCATTTAACTTATATCGCCGTTAATGATACTCCTAATGCCTCTTAATAAATGTACACTTCATTGGAATTTCAATGCAATCATCGCCAATAAAAGTTATACAAGAATTTGATTCCAATATAAAACATAACCGTAGGGCATAACAATTCGCTGAAAACCTGAGGTCAGATGATTTTACACTACGTGTATAAACCACAGAGGTGTAATTTTTCGTGTTTTGATCAATGCACAGGGATTCTTTGCGGAATAAAAAAATTGCTCGAGCTGAACATTCTCTTACCCTACGGGTTTCGCCACGAAAACAAACAAAATCGAAATATTCTTTATTTATTTCATGAGACATTTTTATGTCCCAGTAGATGAGAAAATTGCACATGCGAAGTGTTTTCAATGAACAAGGACGTCGAGAATGATGGAGCGTTGGCCTTTCGATCTTATACTCTAATCCCAGTACGCAGGTTTCATGCAGCGAAGCCCACAGGGTATGTTTTTTAAGACCTATAATTTTTCGAGTTTAGTTTGCTCCAGCCGATCCCTAGGATTCATGGACGGCGTATGTTTGTGACTGTTTTGTTGAGACATGCCCTGAAATTGAGATATTGGGTGGCCACCGGTCTGATTGGAGGAGGGATAACTGCAGGTAATGTAAGTAGGCGTTTCCTTTAATTATTTGTTGTTTTTAGTGGTATGAAGAGTGGAAGAAGAGTTTACCGGACTTCTCCTTGCCTGAATGGGCCAAATTTGAGGATTCTACATTCAGAAATTTCTCCGAGGACCTCAAACAACTTGGAAACAGATTTGATTCTCTCGATTTGAAAGCAAAACTTCCAAATCTACCTCTATGGGAGCTGAAGAATAAGTCAGGTCAGCTTTTTGTGGATATTCGGCCTTCAAATAACTTGGACGATTTATTGTTCTTATCTTCAGTCACCGATGCCACAACAACTAGCGGACCAGATGGTGGAGAAAGTCCTGGAGGAGGTTGGTTTTTGCTGACATTACTTTACAGTACTTGTTCTGATTGTTAGTGGTTCTATTTTTAGATTCTGGATCATTATTTTCGATGTTTTCAAGGAAGAAGGAGGCCAATGAAAAGAGTGAAGTAGGTTGATTCTCATCGTTTATTACTTACGATTTAGAATCTGAGCGCAGAAGAACGAATCCAGGCTCTCCAAGAGGAAATTTTGAAGACACAGCTGCAATATCAAAGAGAATTGGAACGTCTTGAGAAAGAGAATAAAATTTTGAAGCAAAGGTTACTGCTAAAAGATAAAGGCGAACTAAAGAGATTGAAGAAACTAAAAGTAACAAGATATCGCTTTATTAATTACTCTTTTTAGGTTTCTTTAATCGACATGTATTCAGAGATGCTGGACATCTTGAATGAATATGACCGCTCCTATTCGACTACTGACAATCTTCCTCGAGTTGTCGTTGTTGGTGATCAATCTGCAGGAAAGACTTCAGTCCTGGAAATGATTGCTCAAGCCAGAATATTCCCTCGAGGCTCGGGTGAAATGATGACCCGAGCTCCAGTTAAAGTCACACTTAGCGAGGGACCTTATCATGTGGCGCTGTTTAGGGATAGTAACAGAGAGTTTGATCTGACAAAAGAAGATGACTTGGAGAAACTGAGGAATGAGATTGAATTGAGGATGAGGAACTCGGTTAAAGATGGAAAAACTGTTTCGAACGATGTCATCTCGTTAACCGTAAAGGGACCAAATCTCCCGAGGATCGTTTTGGTTGATTTACCTGGTGTTATTTCAACAGTTACTGCTGATATGGCCAGAGAAACGAAGGATGATATTATTCAGATGTGCCGTCAACACATGGAGAATCCAAATTCGATTATCCTTTGTATTCAAGGTAAGTTTTTGATGTGATTTATAATTTCTCTCTGTTATCTTTTGTCTATTTGTTTTTTAGACGGCTCGGTAGATGCTGAACGAAGTAATGTGACCGATTTGGTGAGTCGAATAGATCCCTCAGGACAAAGGACCATACTCGTGTTAACAAAAGTGGATCTGGCAGAGAAGAATCTTAATAATCCCGATCGAATTAAGAAGATATTGGAAGGGAAACTATTTCCAATGAAAGCAATTGGTTACTTTGGAGTTGTGACTGGAATGGATAAGAAGAATGCTTCAATAGAGGAGATTAGAAGATATGAAGAGCACTTCTTTGAGAACTCCAGTTTGTTCAAGTAAGTCGACTGTTGTGTTAAATATATCTGGGATTTTCAGAGAAGGAGTGCTAAAACCTTCCCAAATGACCACGAGGAATATGTCTTTGGCAGTTTCTGATTGTTTCTGGAGGATGGTCAGGGACACAATAGATGCGCAATGTGATGCATTCAGAGCAGCCAGATTCAATTTGGAGACAGAATGGAAGAATACCTTCCCCAGAGTCAGGGAACTTGACCGCGATGAGTTGTTCGATAAAGCCAGAGGGGAGATTTTGGATCAGATTGTAAATTTGTCCTTGGTATCAGCTGAAGAATGGGAGAGTTTGATTCAAAACAAGCTTTTGTCGTTGATATCAAAGCAAATATTTGATCAAATATTACTACCAACCTCAGGAATGAACAATACTGGAGCATTTAATACAGCAGTTGATATACGATTGAAACATTGGACCGAGAAAGAACTATCTAATCTCTCAGTTACAGTCGGATGGGAGAGTTTGGCTGAAGTTTTTAAAGCACAAGTGTTGGGGGAGAAAAGTTCCAATGGAAGACAGGAAAATGATCCCATCTTCAATGATCTCAAGACGGCTGTTATCGAGAATATACTCAAAGAACATCAATGGGATATGAAGGCTGTGGATTACTTGGTAAGAAGTTAGGAAAATAATTAAAAAAATCTCGGTTAATGGTTCTGCTCCGCGAAGGAATGACTTAGATGACTTTTATCAGCAGAATATGTTAAACAAAGCAATACTTCATTACCCAAGAATATTTACTTAACAGTTAAGTTACCGTATACTTCGAAGCCCCTAAAAGTACAGGAAATTATAATCGGTCGCGGAGTTTTGACAAGAAGATGTGTTCATAAAACCTATAGCGTATTTCTAAACTTTCCTAACTGTCGTAGATAGATGGTTCAAAAATGTGTGTGTAAAAATTAGCCTATTTTTCTGAAAGTGTTTGTAGAATGAAACGTACAGGCTTTGGTTTGTTTTGCAAGGCTTTCGTAACGGAGTGAATACTGAAGTGACAATGATGTTTTAGAAAGCAATACAGCTGAATGCGATCAGTGATCCCAATGTGCCAGACAGAAGAACATGGGAAACTGCCTGCCGATTTATGGGAGACGCGGTCGATAGATACCTCGATAAAACAAAACAGGTGTTAAATGAATCCAGAGGCCCTGGGTTTTATGATAAATGGTTTAAATGGAAGAATCCAACTTATGATAATATATTATCAGAGAATTTGCAAAAGGAGTTTAGACAGATTTTGCATCAGAATGTGGTAAGTTGTTAGTTTGGGTATATCAACAAATTGTAGGAGCATTTGCCATCATTGAATGAAGAAGATGTAACGGTGGTTCGACGGAACCTAGAAACCAAAGAACTAAAAGAGATACCCAAAGATGTGATGCTCAAAGAATGGCAGTATGTTTTCAGAGAGTTCTACTTGGAGAGGTTAAAGCAAGCCAGTGTGGAGTGTCAAGGATACTATCAGCATTACAAACAGGGAATCGAGCAAGATGGAGATTTGGATTGCCAAGCCGTCGTTCTTTTCTACAGATTGAAGAAGATGCTGGACTTGAGTTCGAATGCCCTCAGGCAACAAATAACAAATACGGAACAAAGGAGGTTGGAGAAAGAAGTTAAGGACCTTTTGGATGATTGGTCTCAAGATCAAGATGTCAAGAAGACTTACCTCACTGGGAAAAGAGTCGACTTGGCTGAAAATTTGAGTAAGTTAGAATTAAGAAATTACGTTATTTTGCGATAATATGTTAAAGCAAGCAAGATAATATGTTTAAAGCAATACAATATTATATTTATACTTTTAGAACGAGTCAGGTACATCCAAGAGAAGTTGGAAGAATTTATGCACCGGTTACATGAGGAGAAGAAATGAGTGAAACCGATCTTGCCACAGTGGCCTTTAACTAGTCCATTGCTTTAGGTTTATTATATTTGCTTGTATAATTTGATCATTAAATATCTTGTATTTATTACGAAAATATTGTGGTTTAATGAGGGTTTGCGTCCTCTATGTACTTCTTGGTTGGTGATTCCCTTTTCTAGCTTGGTTTAGATGGCCTCAAGCCTGACTGTGAAGGTCCATCCCGTGGTCTATATGACCATGGTTGATGCCTACGAACGCCGAAGCCGAATGAAAGGAAGCGACAAAGCCCTGGGTACTCTACTGGGATTCTACGAAAAGAATGTCGTCCAGGTAGTTAAAGTTTCCTGATGGTCTTAAAAGGGATGTTTTCAGATAACCAACTGTTATTCGATTCCATTCAGAGAAACTGCCGAGTCCCAGGAATTGGATGACACGTTCAACAAACAGATGTGGAATTTCTGTCGTCGTGCCACTCCTTCTGAGCAAATCGTCGGATGGTTTATTACCGCCGGCGAGGTGACTGAAGGTTGCCATCTCTACCATAATTATTATACTCAGCTAGTTAACGATATTGCTGTGAAGAAGGAACTCCCCCCAATAGTTCTTCTGACTTTGGATGTCACTTTCCAAGGACCAACGAAGGGGCGCCTTCCCATCAGAGCCTACACTAGGCAAGTGTTCTTCGTGATGACTTAAAGTATTTTAGATGTGATGGCGGGGTACCTGGTCAAAGTCCTCAAGCGGCCATCTTTCATCCATTGAAAGTTGAAATGGACGCCTTCCCAGGAGAGAGTATCGCTCTCAGCGTGGTTCAGGTAAGATACAATCGTTATCTCATTTTTTATTTGAGCAGTCTTTCAAGTGCTTGACCATTAGGTCATAATATTTGCGTTATATTACAGAATGGGATTTACACCGATCGCAGAGAAGTTTTCCTGAACAATGAAGATGATTTACGCAATCTGACCGAGACCACAGAAGATCTTGTTCGTTGGCTGGAGAGAATCTTAAGTTATGTGGAAGATGTCTTGAGAAAACCCGAACCCACCGCCGAAGATCAAGCTTTTGGACGAAAGTTGATGAACATTGTGAATATTGCGGCCACTCAACTTCAATCCGACAAGTTAGATGCGCTTGTGAAGGGAAGTATTCGTGATTATATGATGGTTTCTTATCTCTCGCAATTGGCCAAGACTCAGTTGGCCATCCAAGAGAAATTGTTGACAAACTAATTTAATGATTCTTGTGGGAGTTTTGTCGTTAAATAAAGTTTTGGTTATGAGCCTTTGACCCTGTGGTAACTGTCTGTCTTCATTTATTATCTGTCTTTCTTTTACTTATGTTTGTACTTTTACTTTTTACTCACAGTTGCCGCATTTAAACTCTAAGATCGCAACATATTGCAGTTCCTTTTGCCTTTTCGGGGTTTGTCCGTCGTCTTTTTTTTATAAAATTTGCTGACCAATAATGCCCGCAGGGAGAGGGCAGTGGGGAGTACACTATCGATAACTCCTCTTCCTGTTATTGATAAAGTTTCCCTGGCGCCCTTTTAGTTCAGCTGTTTCTGTCGGTACCAGGTCATGTCTTTGGCGATAACCAAATACTTTTAGGGCCCTTTTATGGTCACAACCACAGGCGTTCGCTTAGGTTTAAGTTGCGATTTTGAATGGGGTTTAAACCCGAATTCAAAAGAATATTTTATAATTCAGGAAGGTCCTTATTAATTACAAGAGGACTGTAGAAATGTGTAATTGATGCGGACGCAGAGAACCTGTTGTGAAAGGTCGGTCCGGAAGTCTCACGTCTTCCAAAACAAACACTGCCTGATAATGTTGAGGCGTATGGATCACAGCGGGCGATTTCCCCGCACCCTCGGCGCGTCACGCCTGGGACGGCACCGTCAAGCATTGACACCCCGTCTTCCCGCACGACGCTGTCCGCTCCTCTGTCAACCGACTTGTGTGATGGGCGGGACGGCCAGGTGTTCATAAACATGCATTTAATCATTTATCTGCAAAGACGAATGGCCTTCGGTGAAATTGGACTCATTTATCGGGGGAGAACGGAACGGTAGTTTAAGTAATGATCTGCCTTCGGATCCGGACAACATCTTTTCTCTTCGTCGAGGTGCTTCTCTGCACCGCTCGAACCCAGCCCAATATAACGGCCCTCGCGCACGATGAGGGTAATTATTCCAATCATCTCGATCGTGTCCGTTCTCTTCTCACCTCGCTTAACTGTCGCAAGGACATCTGATAACTCGAGTAGCGTCACGGTCAGTCCTCCTTCCTTAACTTGCATTAAACTAACGTTCTTCGCCCGTTCTTCTCAATTTTTTTTTGGACGCTTATATCGTGATTGGGCTTCTTGTTCCCCAACTCCAGACTCGGGCTTTGGTTGCTCTTTCTGGACGCCCTTTTAAACCATTTTTTGGCAGGTCCAGATCCTTTCAAAGAGACGGTTGCGCAACTCTTTTTTGCGCTGCCCAGCAATTCTCACATGTTTTTTGGGGAGCGATAATTTATTCGTCCCAGGGCCGTGCTTACCTGAATTCTTTCATTGTTTTTGGCCCTAATCTCAGGTGTTTTGTGGCTCTGATCTGGCCGCTGCAGGCTACTCAGCCCTTCCTTTGTTGTGTGAGGATGGCCTTGATGGGGAGAATCGTCTGTTTTGCCATCAGATTATCACACCCAACGCGTTATCGGGCACTTCGATCAGTGCCATCGTTTTTTGGGGTTTTATACCCGAGACTGGCGATCACCCCCCGACACTTGCAACGCCTCTCGAGGCCGCGTAGTCGGGCCTTGTGACGTTTTCAGCAATCAGTTCTTTTTTTCGCCCCTTTACCCGAATGAGGTAAAAGGGAGGAGGTCTGATCGAGACGAGGAGGGGGCGGGGCGGAGACGCGCCGCTGTTGCCGAGTCGGAAACTGCGCCGTTGTGCGTAGGCTTCTTCTGTGGACAATTCATTCGAACTCAAGACATCTCGACACACGCTTTTACCGCTCACCCGAGTTTTGTTGCGTGCTGTTATCGTTGACCTTTCCTCCCTGGCTGATTACTTCTGAATCTAACCCTATTATTATTCAGCCGGCCGTCGGTGGAATGCTCACTGAGGGCGCTACAATGGCCTCACCTGCCTTTTGGTGCGCTGAATACTTGCCCGATTCTCCATCGACGTCCAAGTAAGCTGAGTTTCAGATATCATGCATAGTTTTGAATGTGATTAATTAGTATAATAATCTTTTTCAGGGATTTGAGCGACGACGGATCCAACGTAGCGCCCCGATCAACCGACTCGAGGAAATCGTCATCTAGGAAACGGCCGTTCTCTGCTCTTGTCGAAAATTTGAAACCAGAAACGTTTAAGGTAACTAATCCTTAAAACATTTTTTTAATTTCTATAATTTTTCATTCCAGGATGGTCCCGAAGTAAAAAGGCGCTTTATGGAGACAGCTCTGAATGAATCGAATACTCCATTTGTTGTTGTTGATTTTGATCGTGCCATCCAAGCTGATAATCGAGTACTGAATGGACTATTGGCTATGGAACGAACCATGTTTATCGATGCTTCTAGTATGAAGAAACTTCAAGGAGATCACATCCTCAAGCAGCGACGCAATATTGTCCGTCTTTTGGCCGATATCTGTGAGAAGGAAGAAGCCGACAAAAGCGTGTTGCCTCTGGCAGTTCAGACCATGGATCGAGTTCTTTCGATCCAAAAAATCCCCTCTGATCGAGATCTTGCGTATGTTGGGATGGCCTCTCTTCTTCTGGCATCCAAAATGAAAGCTTGTAAACCCTTGAGCACTCAACAACTCAAATATCACACGGTTTTTGATGCAAATTATGTTAAAGTAAGTTCGAAAAAGTAATTTTTCAAAGTCTTTTATTCAGAAATGGGAGAAGCTGATTGTGCCTCGATTGGAATGGAATCTTAGTACTCCAACGGCTCTCGAATTCTTCGATCATCTGCTGGCCAGAGCTCCTGATCTAAATCCATTGCGCGAAGATTTCTTCCAATGCCTTGAGTGTGTTCAAGAAGGTAAGATAAACTTTTTTAATGTAAAATTCGATGAAAAAGCTGTTTGAGAGTCTATTTGAAGAGCTTCCCGTTTAGTTTACTGTACTTTGAGGGTTTTTAAATGCTCTAATTTATTCGTTTTACATTCCCTCCGATTACAGGGATACGGTACCCTTTTTTAAGTTTACATTTTTTATGCAGACGTCGGCGGAGGGAATAAGAGTCTCTGTTTTTTATGCCATTTGTCAAGCGATCATGCTGAAATTAGTAGTTTTTTTGGGAGTTCATTACTTTTTTGATCCTCTCGCAACGTTTTTTTTCCATGAGCATGTGGGTGGTCCGGGCTGAGACTGCAGGCTTTGCGCGCACTCCTGGGTCGTAGCAGATGTTTTTTTCATTCAAATTCGGATTTTTTACGTCTTTTCTTTGGGGCGAAACTGGCTTCTGATAATTGAGATTGGGGGTTTTTAGGATCCGCTTTTCCAAATTCGCATAAAATTGGGGTTAGGAATCTGAAACAAGGGCATCGCCCAGAAGCCGAGTGCGGTAAAGATGATGAGGCAATTGAATTGACCGACCTGGCTTCCTGTCTCTTTTAATGAGCCGATCACTGACGAGGGTCGTCGTTCCGTGCCCCTTCCCGTGTTTTTGTCTTCGGATCCCTTAACTGGCGAATCGCCAACGGCCTCCAGCCAACCTGAGTCGTCTTTTCCTGGGAATTCGCGACCCAAACGACCTACTCTTGCTCCCCGTTCGGACCTCGCGGTGGGACGCCGGCACAAAGAACTTAATTTGCATAACAGTATTCAATATAGTTGGTCTGATCCACGATGCGGTAAACCTTGGGTTTATCTCTCCGCGAGAATCTTGGCTTCAAGATTTGTTGGAGAGGTAATAAAAATGTTTTTACAAGGGTCTCCACCCAAAGTTGAGCGAGGTAATGAGGCACAAAAGAGCGACATATCCGGCGATCAGATTCTGGATCCCTTTCCCCAAGTTCTTTGTCTGTTTTTTTGGTCCCAGTCCTACAAAAAACAGGCTTACTGTGGAGAAAGAAACAGCACCCAGGTCGCGCGGGCTGAGAAGTTTTTTGTGCAATTGTTTTTTGGGCGGCTTCCTCCTCGAACCGAGTCAACTTGTTTGATGGATTGCTGGAGCGGCGTCTTTTAAACTTCTCAGAACTTTCCGTTCCCTTTTTTCAAAATTCTAAAAAATCACTTTCGCTTATTCAAATGTCACAGTCCTAGCGGCCTTTTCCTCCTTCTAGTTTTTCATTATCGCAAGACGGTCTTATTTTTTATTAAGCTATCAATATTTCGCCATATCAGAGTTATTATAATATAAATCGGCTTAAAACGATTAGCCGACCAGCCATGACACCCTGACCTGTTGCACTACACGAATTGATAACATCTGTGAGCGCGCGAGAGTGCTTGATTCCCTATTTTATTCTCGGTTTGAACGCATATTTGGCGCGCTGTTTTTTGAGGGTCCCGTCAAGTGCGGCGCTTATTATAGTCGGTTTTATTGCCGTTGACTTTGCATGCATAACGTATCTTTTCGCATAAGAGGCCGATCACAAGATTACCGCCAGTCCTTCGAAGGCCTTGAGCTGGACCCCCAAGTAATCTTGAGGCTCAGAATGCGCTCCTTGTTACCTCATAATTAGCGTCATCTTCACTTGAAAAAAGCCGAGTTGCCGACAATGGATTAATTAGCTGAGAGACCATAAACATGCGTCGTTGAGAGCGGACTCTCCGGCAGACTGTAGACTAGCCCAGGGCCTTGTTCTGTTGCCCAGCATTCTTTGGTTATTTTTTCTTTTCTCTTCTCTTATTAACGACTCGGAAAACACATGGGATAAGAGTAACAATGAAAGGGACGCATCGACAGGTGCCTTGTTGAGACTCGACTTGGGTCAACCGTTGACCTCAGCCCCCTCTGATTGCGCAATATTAAGACAAGCTGAGCACCGCGACATTCTTTATAACACGGCCCAACAAGAAGTCAGGTCTCGAGTTCGTATACATAAACTATATGGTCATTGCATGTCAAGGGATGGAGAAGTCGATCAAAAAGCTCCATGTCAGGCTGCGTGATTGATTGACCCAGGCAGCCTAGTATAATATTGGTGTTTGCGCAACAGTCCCTTAAAGATGACGAAGATAAAAGGATTTGGCGTCTGCCGACATGTGCTGAACCGGTCTCTCTGTGTCGCTGTCTGAGCCTCTCGCTTTCACTATTGTTTGGCGCAGTGTCGATTTCCTTTTTCGGTGAAGCGATCATACAAAGAAGGCCTGCTCTAAAGTCGGGTTAATGACTGACAGTTACCATCACTCTCTGTTTATTCGTCTCAGAATTTTTATAGACCTCGAATTGGATTGGATTACACTCGGATTACCTTAATGGAATCCACTTCTCGCGCTCGTCTTAAATGATCCCAGAAGTATAAATGTGATCTGATACGGTCAACAGATGACTCAAACTCCGTCTTAAGGGGCCTGTTTTGGGATGCAAAAATTTGAATTTGAGTGGCCGGACGACGCGGGAATGTTGCGTGGTGGATGGTTTTTACGATGAGAGTGAGTGACTGCATTTAGTGAGTGCGGCGCCGTCTTTCATTTCGTCGCTTCACTCATCAGCTAGCGTCCCTCGGCCATTCGAATTCCGTCTTCGAAAGTGATTTTAAACGAGGCGAGGGCGAACCGTTCGATTTCAACGGCTTCTGCCCGCTTTTCCTAATGAGGACGCTTATGAGAGCGACGGAATGCACAGTTGGTCTCATTACTGGGACCAAATGTCACCCGAAGAAGAGTAATGTCGCTTTTCAGCGCTTTCAATTCCGGAATTTTTGAATTCAAAAAACAACAGCCATAACATGTGAAGGAAAGATTATACTTTGTTTGGCCATTCATTATTAGACTGTGTATTCAGCGACCAAATTAATGGCATGTGCTCGGGGTAGCCGGTCTCCCGCTGACCCCGCAGTGAAGGCATGAGCACTGTCTTGAAGGAGGGGCTTTAAGTGTTGCGATCGGCCTTAATCCCCGCAGTTATTTGAGTCTTATAACGCCAGCTGCATTGCGGCATACATTCCCTTGGCTGGATTCCATCTGGCTCCGTATAAGGCCTCGCTCATTAACGACTCAATTAAGCGCTCCTTCTCCTTGATTGATTGAGCCGACATTCGAAAATGAACCCACATTTATCCATAATCGAGTCCATAAAATTCAAAATCAAAGTTACAGTAGGACTACAGTAATCCTCTCCCTTTCCAGTGTACCAATTGGCGGCTCTCCCGCCGTCTCATCAGATGGCGGTGGTACTTTTCTTCTTGGCGGATATCCACAACATTTCACTTGTTCAAGAACGGATCTATGAGGATTTCCGTCTGGATGAATGCGTCATCAATAAAGAAGTCAAAGTGATTGGCCAGAATATACAGTAAGTGGATGATTTCTTTACAAAATAACCGTTTCTAGCATCGCTCTTACTCCTCCATCGTCATCTTCATCAAGTCCCGGAGGAATGAATACACCAGGTCTCAAGTGCTATTAGATTCCATGGTCATCTCTTCAATGCGATTTGTTTCATACTCTGAAATATTCTTGTCCCGGTTTATGAATATATAGATATTATGATCTTTTATGCTGAGTCATGGTAATTATGAAAATCTCCAAAAAGTTTTGCTCTCCAACTGCCTTCCACGAGTCAGTAACAGTCTACTCTCCAGGTCCTCGATTGTCATGTATATTACTCTTATTGCTCCCTCAATTCCCTGAACAGACCCCTATCGAGATTGAGACTTTTACTGAGCGTCTTGTGATTAGTCAACTCCCTGAGGCGTTTTAAATATTTAATATTATTGATTTCTGTCATACAATGGTCTTTGTGAAGATAAATAAAGCATCTCAAGCAGAAGATCGGCTCCTTTTTTTGAGTCTCCAAACTTCCGGCACACTTCGGATATGTCGATTTGAATCCGCAAACCCATTAAGACACATGCTCGATTTACAGATCAAAAAAAGATTTTATTGTCTTTAAAAGCGGAGATTCAAAAAAGTTTTTGAATAATGAAGGCCACCTCCTCGTGATGGGAGCCCAGAAGATCCGCATGGCTCGAAGAGAGCGTCCTCACCCCATAAGTGATAGTATCCATGAAGGGCCAGCCATAATCCTTCCTTTCTGTTCTGATAATCTCCAATCGATCAAAGTTTGGGACAACATTTAATGGGATTTCGTATCTCTTTGCCAAATTTAAGAGGTCCCAGCTACGATTGATCAAATTTTCAATGGAATCAGATATTCCAAAATTTGAGGCGACTGATCTCATATGATTTTTATGGCCTTCAAAGGTGATATCTGCATTGACGACTCCAGAATTGGCAATTCCATCGATCGAGATTAAATTTTTGAATTTGAAATCGAGTCTTTGGCCAGTTTCGAAGGCCAAAATTGCACCGAATGAAAATCCAGCCAGATTTAGATTGATGGGCTCAAATTTGGAAAAACAATTGGAAATCAGATCGGCATTTTGTTGTGCCAAATCTGCAAGGGTTGTCGGAATGTCATCATCGAGTTCAATCAATATTACAGTAAGCTCTGGAGAATTCTGAAGAAGTTTCTGAGTGAGTTTTTGATAGCAAAACGATCCAATTATCGAAGGAAACAAGATCAAAACGTTGTTGTGCCCTTTGTTCAACACTTTGACGAGATCTTTATAGCCAACCGACAAAATCGAATTTACTGAACAATCTCGGATAATTCGATTCAAATCAATATCAATGCCCATTTCTCTTCTGACTTGATGTTTCAGTCTGATTAATTGAAGAGAATTCCCTCCAAGTTCAAAGAACTGTTGACCATCTGTAAAGCTATGACTCCCGAGTAGCTCTCCGAATATTTTTCTGGCCTTTTCCTTCAAATTTTGTTTCAAATATTTTTTAAATTGCTCATTAAATTTTTCTACAATCCCTTTCCGATCATCGGGTATAAGCCATTCCACTTGAATTTGGCCTCTTCTCTGGTCAATATGACATTCGACCGGGAAGTGTTTAATGGGATCAATTAAGGAGATTCCCCCTTGGATTGCGCAATCCATCTTCAGGGATGCTTCTTCTTCCAGATCATACCTGCAGTTGACATAAACCTGGAAGAGCTCGTTAAACGGGTCCACCTGTTTGAGGAAGGAGAACGGAAGCGAGGCGAACTTCATTGCCCTTCTTATATTATCCTTGTTTATCCCAAGATTCTCATCAAAACTTTTGTTCGGGTCGTATTCAGCGAGTATAATCAGGTTGTTGAGAAAGTTCCCGAGAGTTTGTGCGGTCTCTGGGCTTCGATTGTGATAAGGAGAGCCGATGATCATCTTGGTGGGTCTGTCTGACATTGCTTTAAAACTCTTGGATATCAGAGTAAGTATTAGTGGGAAGATATTACTATTACTGCACTTGTACGACCTCTGGAACCTGATCCATTTCGTATTTTCCAATTTATTATCTCTAAAGGCATCGGTCTTTATAGAATTATAATAATCTTTGAATTCTGTCATCATTTGCTTATACTTTCCCTCCTTTTTCCTCTCATTCTGAGCCCAATCAATGTAATCCAAGTCCGGTAAGCGACTGCTAATTCCATTAAACTCGTCACTCATCTTTCCCTCCAATAATTTAGTTGATGTAGCGTCAGTGGCAATGTGATTCATCAACAGTAATAGATAATATTTGTCTTCGCTTTTAAATATTTTGATTTTGATGGGGATATCTTCCATTTTCAATTTACTTTTTCCAAATTTCTTTACCACTTCTCGGATGTCATCGTTTTTGCATTCTTCTACTTCCAAGTTCACTGTATTTTCTACAACAATTTGCTCCGGCATGTCATCATTGACAGTATATTTTGTCCTCAGAATTTTGTTTTTATTTATGACTCTGTTAATAGCTCCTTGTAATCTCTTTACATCCAATTCATGGGTGAATATCTGAACAAAGAGGACATTATACTCGTCATTCAACAAGTTGAGGAAGTAGATTTGCTCTTGTTGATAACTCAAAAGTCCAAAGTTTTGATTGGTGTAGCTATTTACAGTATTATTAATTTTCTGATTACTGTATATCCCATTTACAGTAGGATCTTGGATAAAATCTTCGAATGAGATGTGAATACGAATATCTTTGAGCTTATTTAGCAACTTAGTAGCGGTTAAAGAATTGGCTCCAACTTCGAAAAAGTCATCGTCATCTCTAATGTCATCATATCCCAGTATTTCCCCCCAAATCCTTCGAATAGCCCTCTTTGACCCTATTTCTTCCATTTTACCTTTTTCGTGAGGTAATCTTTCGTCTTTTTCCGTCAGTATCGGTCGATTATTACCTTGAGTATCCATCATTTTCAGCTTCTCTTTGTCCACTTTATTGTTCGGAGTTAATGGCATCAAAGCCACTTTTACATATCTTCCAGGGATCGCATAAGAAGCCAGTCTTCGCTTGCAGTAATCCTTGATATCTGCGGGTAATATGACTTCATTTGAGACGTAATATGCATAGATATTATCGTCGATCACCAGTACTTTTACATCCGAAATTCCCTTGATCTGATTGATGGTCTTCTCGATCTCCAGAAGGTCGACTCTGAATCCTCGGACTTTAATCTGAGAGTCCATTCGACCACAAAATAAGATGTCCCCTTTCTCGGTTAATCGAACCATATCTCCGCTCTTGTAATACCTGAAAACATGAAGCGTTATAAATCAAGAAAGACAAGGCTGTCACTCACTTGTTCCCGTTTACGATGACAAAAGGCTTATCTTGTGTCCCCAGATATCCGCGCATGATCCCTGACCCCCCGATTAGGAGTTGGCGAGGTGCGGAGAGGGCAGGAACATTGGAAACAAAGTCGGTGGCTTTCGAATCAATATTAAGGACATTAGAATTGCCATCATTGATATTAGACTTGATATTATTCATGACCAAACATTGAGTGTTTATCACAGAAGAGCCTAGATTATTGCTCTCATCTCCCGCTTTCATCACCTTTCTCAGGGAGTAACAGGTCGTTTCCGTGGGGCCATAATTTTGAATTATATTTATATTACACTTCAAGGCTTGATCCAACAGTTTTTGAGATAACGGCTCAGCTCCGACAATCCAATAATCCAAGCAAGCCATGGATTTAATCTGACTTTCATCAAAAGAGGAGACAAGGCCAGGGAACAGAAAGGCGTGGGTGATATTATACTTGGTCAGATACTCTGCAAACAGCTCAGAACTGAAGATTTCCTCGTAAATAAATAAGGTAGAGCCATTAGTCAGGGCCAAGAAGATCTCCAAGACTGAATTATCAAAGCAAAGTTTTGTGAATTGCAGTAGAGTGCTGTTAGAATCGACGCTCATAAACTCCGTGGCATCGATTAAAGTGTTGGCCAATGATTTTCTCTCGATGGCCACCGCCTTGGGTGATCCAGTTGATCCGGATGTATAGATTACATAACAAAGATCAGATAAAAAGGTATGACAATCCGTGGTTTGATGGGTCCCTCCAATTAAATCATGATAATTAACAAATTTGGGATGATTGATGGGTCTCGTGGATATTAAAATACGGCCGTTCGAGGTCTCAATTATCCGATTTAATCGATATTCCGGGGTCTCTGGATCCACGAACAGATAAGCCGCGCCGGAAAGTACGGTAGCCAGCAAGGCTAGAATCCCGTCCAGTCGATTCTCGGTCATGATGCAGATTACAGTATCCGCAGTCAAATTCTGGCCATAAGTTTGAATAAAATGACGTTTGATGTTTGCGGATATCTCTATTATTTTTCTGTAAAGTTCTTGATACGTTACAGTATACGACGGTGATCTTAGTGCAATTTTCGCTGGATATTCCCTGCATTTATTGATAATTTGAAAAATCGGATCGACCAGATCAAACTTATCTTCTTTGTGTGGAACTGGGGCAAGGTCTTGTTGTTGTAGATAACATTGTAGAGTTTTTAAGATTGAGTATACAGTGTCCTCGTTCCAAAAATCCATAAAAACACAATCAATTGTGATCTTGTCATCCAGCAACGCCACAAAAAATGTCATCGGATATTTGGCATCATGTTCTCCATCAATTTTCTCGTCGCCGAATACTAACATCACTTCCGAATTCACATTTTTGGCTGTTAAATAATCTACAATATCAAAATAAAGGTGATTTTCTGCTTCCTCGATCTTCTCGTTCATCTGATTTATACTTTTTGTATTTTTTATGGGTAATATTTGAATAAAATTTCCCATGAAATCGAATGAGTCGTCACTTCTGCAGTCTTTTACCATGCAAATGTACAGGAGATCATCTGAATTTATCTTCCAGTGTGATAAAGTTTGGTGGAGAGAGTGTAAAAAGAGTGTGTTATAGGAAATCTTCTCCTTCTTCAGTCTCTGTATGAGGCTTTCTTTGTCTAAATTGATCGAAATATTTCTTGTAATTTTTGTTTTCGGATTATCCTTGAATAAATCTTTTCCCGGATCTCCAATCTCACTTTCCCAAAATTTTTGACAGTTTTCCTGATTTTCTTTGTATTTTTTGTTTAATTTTCTCCTCAAATCATCAATTTTATGACCATTTATTGGAAGATTTAATAAAATTTTCTCCATTATTTTCATGGAATACCCATCAGCGCAGATATGATGGATCTTAATGTGTAATTTATCATCTTCTACAGCAATGTTTACAGTCTCCAGACCCAAATCAGGACTTTTAACTTTATAAGGAAATGAGATTTCGTTGATTTCGGGATGCACGATCACTTTAAAATCATCGTCATTCCTTATAAATTCACTCCTAAGGATCTCTTGAGAGTTGATTAGCTTGAGAATTCTCTCCTTGGCCACTTTAAAATCAGTAATTTCCACTTGAATTCGATGAAAATACGCGTTTTTGACGGATGGAGACGCTCTCTGAATACTTTTGAGCAAAGTTTTCTCCAGGAAAGATATCTCTTTCATTTGTTTTTGCATCAATAATCTCTCAGCCAGCTCTCTCACTGTCTGGAATTCAAAAATAAACTTGGTTGGGCATTTTAAGACAAGGTTTTTCCGTATTTTATTGGAGATCTTGGAGGCTGTCAAAGAATGGCCTCCAAAATCAAAAAAGTTGTCGGTGATTGTAAAGTTGTTGCTATTTAATTCATCTCTGTATATTTTGAGAATTTCTGAGAGGATTTGAGAGCTCTGTTCTTCGATTGGATTCGAACTGGCTTCATAATAAATACTGGCTTCTAAATCATCATGATCATCAGAACTGGTGGATTTTTCAATTTTATTTTGATTCAAGGCTTGTCTGAACGTCTTAATTTGATTTTCAATATAAGTTACGCTAAATTTACTTCCATCATATTCCAATTTCAATCTTAATTCGTCATCTTCGATCCAGAAGTACCAGCATTCCTCGAATTTCAAATAATTATTTTCCCCTTCTTCAATTGAAAAGAAATCTTGAACCTGTGTTAAATGGAAATCTTCAAATGAGACCATTCTCTGGATAATCTCATCTGATTTTAAATTTAAATCCCGTTTTAGTAATTGTATTGGGTATTCCGAGTGGTTTCTGAGATTGGCCATGGTCTCTTTGATGTCTTTTATCATCTTTTCTGGGTCCTCAAAGTATCGAAAAACAATGGGCAGAGTGTTGGCCAGATATCCGATTAGTTCCATTTCATCTTTTTCTCGATTTAAAACGGGGATTCCGACGATAAATTCGTCTTGATTACTCTCTAAATGAATCTGTTTTATCATCGCAGCTATAATTGTCTGGAAGATTGTGCAGCCTTCAACTGAACGCAATTTGAATTTCTCGTAAAAAATGGAGTATTTGGGGGTGGAATTACTCGCAAATTGCACTGGCAATCTTTTTGAAATGACCGGTTTTAGTCTGTTTATCCAGTAGTCTCTGGAATCTGTCATGTCCTTTTTCCGAATTCTCTTGGCATACTGTAGGAAGGAGGGAGCGGAAATCTTTTTGATTTTTTTACTTTTGTAATTTTCCGCCAGTAATTTTGTCAAAATTCCCAATGAAAATCCATCAATAGCCATGTGATCCACTTGAATTTGGACTCTTTTCTCGTCAATGAATCTCCATTTGACCAATTTGTCTTCAGAATCCTCAATCTTCTTCAAAAAAAGTCCCTTTTCATCGATTGTTACGGTATACTTTAGACTCTCGTTTCCCTCAACAATCGCATCAATGACCTTGATAAACTTCTCCTGATCAATTATTTCATTAAATTTTAACGTTACAGTAACCCAATAATAATCCAAAATCTCCGGATTTAGATCCCTCAGCAGCCAGATATGCTCCTGATTGTAGGTTGGCTCTACTCTTTGGTCAATTTCCAAACAATTTTTTAATTGCCTGGGAGTTTTTACCCCCATAATTTGTTTGAAATCAAATTTTAAATCCAGTTTCTCTTCTAATCGATGCATGAGATTCAATAATTTCAGCGAATCCACTCCATAATTGTATAAATTACTGTCGTATTTAATGTTATCGCCAAAAATTTCCTGGAAAATTGATAAAAACACGTCTTCGGAGTCATTTAAATCGGGCCTCCTTTCCTTCAAGTACTCTTTAAAGTTGTTTTTCAGCCATTTTTTGTCGACCTTTCCATTAGAATTCAACAAAAACTCCTGAATTTGAATGATATAGCTTGGAATCATATACGTTTTAAGTGATTTCTGCAGATATCTCCTCATTTCTTCTATTGTTCGATTACTTTTCAATTTCAAATAACTCACAATCAGATTCTCTCCCCTTTCTTCGCAGATTACGGTAACATTTTGATGACAAAGCCCGCTTTTTTCGATGGTTTTATCAATATCTGTTGGGTTTATCATGTGACCTCTCACTTTTTCGCAGTCGTCGCTTCTTCCAGTAAATTTTACACCTTTAATTGTGAATTCGCACAGATCCCCAGTCCTGTAGACCCATTCCCCATCTAAATTAATATAATTTCCACTTTGACCGGCTTCACTTAATCCGATTCCAGCTGTAAACAAGAATCCGATCTGATTGTAATCCACTTTTTGATATCGATTATCCAGACATTTGACAGAAGTGTTCGCAAAAGGCATTCCAACATAATCAATATCCGAAATATCGTTGATCCATTGATAATTTGAATAAATGGCGTGTTCTGTGAATCCAAATAATTGACAAAACTTACAGTCTGGATTGCTGTTTAGGGCCTTTTCAATAAACCTGGGGCTGATTCTTTCTCCGCCAAATTGAATTAATTTTAATTTGAATAAGGTTGAGTAATAATGGTCAGGCAGGTTGTTGAGGAAGGCAGGCATTATATAGGCATGAGTGACACGGTTCTCTTCTGAAATTGTGATCAGTTATTACATTTGTAGGAAGTCGCCCTTTAGAGAGAACGTAATTTTGGATATCAAAAACTTTTTTTGCTCACGGCAATTTATCGGTGAGATTCCCAAGCCTAAAGTCCCCTTTTTTTAACCAACGCCAATTTCACAGCTGATAAAGAATTCTAGGAGCAGTTTCAGAAGGCCATCTTCTGTCAAGCATTTTTCAAACGTCCCCTTGGTGGGGGGACCTTCCACCAAGAAGACCGACTCTCCGCCAGCGTCAACCTGTGCTGGGGATTGGCTGAGTTAACGGTTGTTACGGCTAGCCAAAAAGGAGAAGCAAGCAGTTTTTTGATCTCCTAGTTACCTCTCTCCCATATCGACGACATTTCGTCATTTGTAATACCAAAAAATTACTATAAATACGGCAAAGTGAATTTCAAAAAGTAGAAATCGGACAAAAAATAAAATTAGAAAATGGTGGTCAATTTGAACATCCAAAGGACCCACCGATTTCCCTCCAGGATGGGATTGGTTCTTTGGCCATGATCAGCGTCGCCCCGCTCCCCAAAGCCACCAATAGGTCAGCATAGAAGATGTCAAAGGATGGATTCACCACTTGATAAACAACACTCTCTTCGTTGTAATCAAACACTTCCAAATAGTTGTAGAGCACATTATCCAGGGCTTCTCTCGGGCTTTTTATCAACTTCGGTGTGCCCGTGGATCCAGAAGTAAATGAGAAATAGCCAAAGGAAGTACAAAAGGTGTTCTCCGGATGAATATTACGGTCGGATTCATACGACGACAGCACATCTTTCATGTATAATGCATTCTGGGTCGTCTTATAGTCATCGGTCAGCACTTTCAACGGCCTGGACACTTCAATTGCCTCTTTTATCTGCTGATCTGGCCAGTTTTTGCTCAAAATTAAAGGGATAAAGCCCGATTTCCAAAGCGAGATGACCATAATTGGGAGATAAACAGTCCGATCCATCAGAATCACAACCACCGGCTCCTCGGATGCTCTCTTTATGTTGCTGCAGAAGATATAAGAGAGCTTGGAGACCATCTCATTGTATAGTTTTACAGTAATCTCAGTTGTATTATCTTTTATCAACACCTTTTCTAGAGGCAATTTTCGAGTTTTTGCCTCTATTTCACTCAAAAAATCGGGAATTCTAGTTTTTTCAACGCTCAAAAACCTCTGAATATCAATATTTTCTAAAGTAATGTCATCGTTTCTTGCAAATTCTTGGCAAATATTGTAATAATTCTCCAGAAACAGCCTCGCCGTAAAATCCGTCATCTTTTTTCTGTTGAAATGAATGGCTAAATTTATAACTTTTTTGTCATCATGTCTCAAATATGCAACCAATCTCTGTTTTATCGTCTTTTTGGTCGATTTCACTTCTATCCCCTCGGGCAATGAGGCTATTTTATCATCTACAACGAGGAAATCTGGATGAGAAATCCCGGTTTCCTTCTGAATGACGTCATAAGTTACCATAGAATGGGCTTTAATCTGAGTCAGGGAGTAATGAGCGTAATCCAATAACTCAAGAAATGATTGTGAACTCTCGGGTCTTACTTTGATCACCAGTTGATTCAAAAAGAAACCGATTGTTTCATCGAATTCTGGGGATAATCGAAGATCGGAGGGAAATCCGATGGTCAGCTCGGACAATTCGAATAATTTCGATAATAATATTGCAGTAGCTGTGATGTGGAAGGAAAACAAAGTGTAATTTGAGGAAATCTTGGTCTTCAATTGGTCTGCAAGTTGGGATAGATCCATTTCCATTGTTCCACATGGTCCGGCCGTTGAGATCCCTTCACTCGGCTGACCATTTTTATTTTGTTTATCGGTCAAATAGCCTCTCCAAAAGATGACGTCATCCTTCATATCCGTTTCATTCCAAAATTCCTCCTCAAATTCGCAAAAGTTACCGTAAGTTGGACACTGTACTTTCTCCTCTAAACTACCTCCATTGTAAAGAAAAAGCAACTCCTGTAAAAGCATCTTCAGTGATTTCCCATCTAAAATCATATGGTGATAATGGAGGATTACTGAATTTTCATTGACCCAGATCGTGACCAGTGATTTGTTCTCACCAAATATTGGTTCATCAGATGGATTTCCCCATTTAACTTGAGGGACTTTAGCCATCTCAACCAGATATCCTTTGCTTACAGCACATCTTAGTATTGGATGACGATGACAAACTACTCTCCAAGATTCCTTTATTTTTTCCATATTTAAATCTTCAACTTTGATTCGAATTTCCTCGTCAAACAGTCTTCTATCGTCTTTTAATGTCTCAATTAGTATCCGTTTTTGTGCTGAGCTTAAAGGGGACCTTACTTTAGTCGAACTTTCTGGATTGTAGCCACATTTCCTTTCATTTTGTTTGATCGAACCGTTATTGTCACCGTTATTTATAATTGTGATCACATCCAATATTGTCATTGAAAGATCCAGGGCTCCATATTTCCATCCAAATTCACGATGAATCCTGGCTTCAAACGAAGCCAAGAGAAGCGAATCGAATCCCATTTGAAGGAAGGACGAACGATTAATTAAAGAGCGGCACGGCATTGGAATTGGCAGGAGTTCTCGAACAATGGACTCCAGATAATCAGCAGAGACCATTCTGGAAATTGGAATGGAGGACAAGAAAGGAGATAGGGAAAGTGAAGGAAGGAGAAGATCCTGACCCCTTTGGACGGCCGCAATTGAAACTAATTTTATTTTCTTCTCCATTCGGCCTAAATTGGCCCAATCTTCATTTTGGAGATGCCCCAGCATCAGCTTCATCGTCAGCAATCGTCTACAAGTTGTCAGTTCGAGGTGTTCGACCCTTCCGAGGCTCATTACTTTTGCTGTTTTGGGTTTTGTCATTCAAAAGTATGTCCTCATACTAATTTGGAGATCTTTTAGACGGTCGGAGTTCTTATTTTTCTGTTCGAATTGATCGAGCTACTCAGCTCTACCGTTTATTTGTTTCTGAAATCGGCAACGTGAGTGGGATAACATACTTTTTACATCAATGTATAATATTGAAATGTTGCCACTTGTGATGTTATTGCGCAACGGCAATATATATGAATTCTTCATGTAACACGCAATCGAGTGCCCATAATGACATCTCTAATTTCAGTTATACCACAAAAGAATGGCAGAGCACAGAGGTTCTCATCTTGGTCGGCCTAACTTTAATTGGCATAATTGCCCTTGGAATCAGCACTGCACTTCTATTTATGGGAGTTTGTTGCGAAGAGAGCACTCTAGTAATTCCATATATGGTTCGACAAGTACGTTGCGCATCAATTACGTTTTACATTATTGTAGATTATCATGATGACAGTACTGGTTATCACTGGATTTGTGAAGACGAAATGGGTCTGGCATATCATTCCAATCATACTGGTGCAGGTGGGATTACTCGTCCTCTCTTTCGGAACCTACAAATACTTTGCGGATAAGGAGAAATTCAACAGAAGGAATGCAATTTGTACGTCCCGGAATGCTTCACAAAGAAATAATTCCAAAGCCAAGTTATCCCAGCAGTCCCATCGATTGTCCACCATCGACCTGTGTTAAAAGAACCGTCGTTTGCATGAGTAGATGAGGCGTTTTGTCAGAGAGTTAGTGCTTGTGGGATGGATGGTCATGTCAAATGATTTGATGATTTCTGGGACAGAATTGAAGGGTCCTTATTCCTTCGACGGATTCCTTGATGACTTGGAAGTTGAACTGTGGTACCTTCCTATATATTTTAGTCTTATTCTTACAATATAAAGGTTAAAACAAATTTATAACGTTATAAAGTTAATACAAATGAAAGTTTATTATATGGGTACACACTCTCTTATGTACAGACAGTAACCAGTAGATACAGCTTATCCAAAAAGCTCAGTACGCCGAGTAATTGTTTTGTTGATTGGGAGTGGGTGAGTGACTCCCTGGAGGGTGGATTGTCCTGTGGAAGGACTCGGTGGTCGTGGTGACTTCATAAGTCCGGTCTTGATTCCGTCGTCGAGTTCCTTGTTGACTCGGCGGTCGGGCTGGGACATCTTCTTCGTATACCCTAAAAAAAATTTTTACATATTGTTTGGATAACAATATGTAATGGCAAGTACATGGTAAGTAGATCCTAATAACGTTTAGATACTTACACATATTCTTCTTTAACGGAAGGCGCATGAACTCTGGGTAATCTGAACCAAGAAAAGAAGGGAGAAACTCTCTCCTCGTGGTGCTCAGCAATCTGAATTGGTGCCTTCTCCACAAAATGATACACCTCTTGGAAGCAAAGCACACAATAACACTAAAACAATATAAATTTCTTTTATTTCACTCACCAAGAACATGGCAATGAAGAATCCCATCAACCATCCCACCCAAATGTCTCTCCAGTGATTCTTGTAGCCATTGATTCTGGAGAAGGAATCCACCAAAGTAAGGCCAAGGAATCCAAAAATAAGAAGAGGTCTTAACAAAGGAGCCCCCCGAAGATTGATCATGTAATAGATATAACAACACGCAAAGATGCAAGAATAACTCGAGAAGGCGGCGTGCAGAGAAGGGAAGGTTAACCAGGCATATCTCAACTCATCCGCATTCTTGTAATTACAGGCCAGATGCGGAGATGGGGATGGAGAATGCTCTAACGGGGCTGTGCAGGCCCTACAATACATCGACATTAAGATTTGTCAAAAAAGGAATTTTAACTTACGGTAGAGAGACATTACAAAGCGAAAGAAAATAAGGACGCTGATATCCAGTCATCAGTTTGATGGTATCCACGAAGATCTGAGTGATCAAAGCACCGAACATAAAGACACCTTCAACATAAATTGTTATGTTAAAAATGGTAGCAACTCACTTATAAACCTGAATAATCTACGGGTAAATAAATGCACCGGACATTCCCCACAAGTTGCGTAAATGGTCTTCCTGGGCTTGGTTGAGAAGAGCCAGAAGCCAATCTCTCCAATAAACATCTAAAGAATATGTTCGCTCACTTGGATAAGGAGACTTACAACGAGCGGAGGCAGACAAAAGCCGAGGATATAGAGTAAAGTATACGAAACGTAGACCTCGAAGTCCTCGGGTTTGAAATTAGGCTTATAAAGATGAATATCTTTGCAGTAAAACACACGGTGATGATACGGAAATACAGTTGTAAACCTGGAAATATTGCTATTACCGCGCTTAAGTATAAATACAGTCATAAAATACATATATTACAATACCTTAAGTAGTACCACAATGCCCACAAACAAGCCAATCCGACCACATGGATGATAAAGGTGGGCAAGGCGAAGTAATTAATGGCATATCGGGGAGGCGGGGGTGGGGCTGGGACCACAATCGGCTGTCCCCCGCCATATTGGCTAGCCGAAAACACCTCAGAATGGGCACGAGATGGCTGGACGGACATTCATAAGCCGATCAGAAACAGCAAACCGAGTGAGAAAACAGGACAAATATCCAATATAATGGACTGTACGAACTCTTCTTGGTTTCCCACTCTAGGATTTTGACGTCGGATCGCGGCGTGGGGGCAGCGGAGAAGAATGGACTTGGCCCTTGCGAGTCCCACCTCTTCGATTGTATAGACGGACCCTCAGGCGGTTATTTCTCAGCGCGACTTTCGATCCACTGAGCACGACTCGTCCCTTCCTAATCACACAAAGCGCTACAATCCGCCGCTTAACCCGTTTTCGCTGATTGTTTGTCCAAACTTTCTGCTGGTTTGGCTCCATAAAAAGGCCCCCAACAAGCGAAGGAGCTCCGGTTCCGGTTGCGAATGACAGAGTAAACATTCAAAGTGAGCAATCAGAACTTTGCTACTTGAAAGAGCAGGGCTTGAGAGGTCGGAGTTCTAAAATATGACGATATTAATTTAAACAAATGCAATCAAAAGAGATATTACCAATTCATTCGGGGTCTAGACTTCCGGAAAAGGGATTTATTGTCTTGAAAATGGTCATTCGAGACAAAAGAAAGTCATCGTTTTAAAAATTATGGGCGTTGAAAAACCGGAAACAACTTGGCAACGAGACGGCCACGACTGAATTGGCTCCCATTGGCAACGATAATATACCTTCACTCTTCGCGAAAGCGGCCTTCCATACTATTATTATTGGCTCGGAGTGAAGAACATGTCAAATCGAGCGGTAAGATTAACTGAGAATGGTACGAAAGCTTCAGAGGGAAGTCATCTCGATCCATGTGGGCCAAGCCGGCGTCCAGATCGGGAACGCGTGCTGGGAATTGTATTGTTTAGAGCATGGGATTCAACCAGATGGGACGATGCCGACTGACACCTCGGCTGGGTACGAAGATGACTCCTTCAACACGTTTTTCTCCGAAACCTCTTCTGGAAAACATGTTCCCAGGGCAATTATGATCGATCTTGAACCCACTCCTGTTGGTAAGAACACTTACTAAAAAATAATATAAATATTCAATGACTTACTTTAGATGAGATCCGAACAGGAACTTATCGTCATCTCTTCCATCCGGAACAATTGCTGACTGGCAAGGAAGATGCCGCTAATAATTATGCCCGAGGGCATTACACAATTGGCAAGGAAATCATTGATGTTTGCATGGACCGAGTTCGGAGATTGGCTGACAATTGCAGAGGTCTTCAAGTGAGTTCAATATACAGTTACACTGGTTGCTTAATTGCTTCAGGGATTTCTTATCTTCCACAGTTTCGGCGGAGGGACTGGCTCCGGATTCACGGCTCTTCTGATGGAAAGATTGAGCGTGGATTACGGAAAGAAAAGCAAACTCGAATTCTGCGTGTATCCAGCTCCTCAGGTAGGATTACTGTATCTTCAATATAAATTTAGATCTCGACTGCGGTGGTTGAGCCTTATAACTCAATTCTGACGACACATACCACTCTAGAACATTCCGATTGTTCCTTTATGGTGGACAACGAGGCCATCTACGACATTTGTCGAAGGAATCTCGACCTTTCTCGTCCCACTTACACCAATTTAAATCGATTGATCGCGCAGGTCATCAGTTCCATCACTGCTTCCCTTCGTTTCGATGGGGCTTTGAATGTTGATCTCACTGAATTTCAAGTACTGCTTTATTGATAGCCCTAAATTGATACCATTCTTTAGACAAATCTGGTTCCCTATCCCCGAATTCACTTTCCTCTCACCACGTATGCTCCAATCATCTCAGCAGAAAAGGCTTACCATGAGCAGATGAATGTGGCCGAGATAACCCAGCAATGTTTCGAGCCCGGGAATCAAATGGTTAAATGTGATCCACGACATGGCAAGTATATGGTAAGTCGATCAAATCTAGGATGTTCATTCTAGGCGTGTTGTCTTCTCTTCCGAGGCGACGTTGTTCCGAAAGATGTGAACGCATCCATCGCCCAGATCAAGACCAAAAGGACCATTCAATTCGTGGATTGGTGTCCCACTGGATTTAAAGTCGGGATCAATTATCAGCCCCCGACGGTCGTGCCCGGAGGGGATTTGGCGAAACTCCAACGAGCCGTGTGCATGCTCTCAAATACCACAGCAATCGCCGAGGCCTGGGCAAGATTGGATCACAAATTCGACCTGATGTATGCAAAGAGAGCCTTCGTTCATTGGTATGTGGGGGAAGGAATGGAAGAAGGGGAATTCTCTGAAGCCCGGGAAGATCTGGCAGCCCTGGAGAAGGACTACGAGGAAGTTGGGATTGATTCAAATCCACCTTCAGACCTGGACGATGATGATTACTAATACTATATAAAATTAAACTTAATGTTTGTGCAAACTTGACGATAAAAATTTTTTATTTCTTCCGTTTCAAACTTTGGATTACGGAAATTTCGTTCATCGAAGCCTTCGAGGGCATCATGGTCAACATTGGGAGAGTTCTGAAACAACACCAAATATTTAAAAGACCAGGACATACGATGTCAACAGCTGAGTGTATGATCCACCGGGAAACAATTTGTTTACGTCACCCATAATTCCTCTCAAATGGTCCCGATTAGGCCCTGAAGGTTTGGAAAACGCGAATATTCCTTTGGTCAGCGACTTTCCATTTGTGTGATAGAAAGATGAGGTTACTATCAACTAAAAAACTAGAAATTACAATTAAAAAGCACTGACTTCTTTTGCGTATTTGTCGAGTACATTGTCATTCGAAGTATCATAAAAACATCCAATCTGGTTAGCTAAACAGAGATCTTTATAAATATGGGCGAGTGAGTTTGCGTCATTCAAGAATTTGAGTTTATACTCGGACACGTAATCCACAAGCTAAAAGATATGTAAATTACATCATGATATGTAATATAAAGTAATACTCACCGAGCGACTTTGTGTGGGACACATTGCAATCAGCTCGTCCACAGAATCCTTTGGATGGATGGGCCTTCTAAAGGGTTCCTTTACTTTCTTCTCAACTTCAATCCTCTGCCTTAAACTTATATTATCCAAGGATTCTCTTTTTGCATAAATTATTTTGCCAATAAAATGACAAAACTCGGCCATTAAATCAGCGGAGCTGAGGAGGGAATGCATATTCCTGGCAGATTGAGCTCTTGAGATCTCCAGCATGTTTATGGCTGAGTTCATATCACCTGAAAATATTAATTATGAATAACATTTCGCTTACCATTAGACTTTTCTTTAACAGCATTGATAAAGGCAGTGGTAACATTGAGACCGAGATGTTCCGACATTGTTTTGATGGCCTTACCAATCTCTATTTTGGCGATTGGGTTGAATTTTACATGAGTTATATATAGTTCTTGAGGCGGAATTGACGAAAAGAATCTTCTGTGATTTAATTCCCAACAAGAATCGATCTGAGTGAGACAAAATACAATGGAAGATCTACAGTAAAACCTCATTTGCAGTAGAAGTTCAGAGAGTTTATGAGGGTTTCTAAAATCAAAAATTTTATTAAATTCTCCTTACTTTAAAAATACATGGGGGATCTCTCTAATCAGGACAACCTTCTTCTTCTTCGCATAACCTAGCGATCTTTTGGATGCAGAAACAATGAAATCGTCAAAAGCTTCAAGCTGATTGGCCTCTCCAAGCTGTGTTTCACCATTCTCATCTCGAAATGCAACCAAAGATTGATTTTGTTCATATTCCATGACCTCAATATCCAGTTCTTTGCACAACACTTTGATAGTTGTGTACTTCCCTGAACCAGAAGGACCAGTAACAAGAAGCACGCTAAGTCTACCTGGTTCCGCAACTAGCCAATTACGGATCTAAAAAATGCCATAACAACAAAAACAACATAAATAAAGTTACCTCCTTTACTCTGTCTTGTTTAACCATCAAGTCGTCGCTTCGAGTCACAGAAAGCATCATCTTCAGGGTATCCCGCTTGAGAGACTCGTCCGTAACAGCAAAGTCAAATTTCTTACTACTTCCTGCATTTACTCTCGGTTTTTTTGGTTGATCCATATGGGCAAATTTGGGGAAAACACTTGGGGGATGGTAGATGGGCGGATCATCCTTCCTTTTCCTCTTCAACATCGTTCCTAACCCAATTAAAGCGTCTGTACAATGAAGAAAATGCAAAATTTGGAAAATGAATAAATTTATTTTTCGAAAAAATATTTTTGCGCAATTCCAGTCAATAGTGGTACTTCGCTAAGTGGCATTCCGTTATAGCGTCTAAAAAATCGGTCACTTTGACGGCCAAGTTTTTATTTTCTGTGCAGAATTAGAATGTAATATGCGTGGAAGGTAGGGCACGTTGCCGAGTGTTATCATGGATCTTCGTGGTTAAAAAACCTCTTATGAGGATTAACTTTATCTCGAATGTTCAAAAAAGCGCGTGTTGAGCGGGAAAATTGGGAAGATCAGGTTAATTTTATTCTATAGGAATGAAGCGACAATGAGCAACCAGGGATCATCTCAAGTTCCCAGTGCCACCGTTGCCATTGGCAATCTCAGATTATTGGATCTCAGCTTTCTGAATGCACCTAGTGGAACAACTCCTTCGTCCTCGGCATCCTCGATAGATGCAAATCGGAGGAATAACTCTGTTGTTTCCAGACCTGCCAGTATCAATTATGCGAGTTCACAAGTTCAGAAACGAACGGTTTACAGTTGTGTGAGTTAGTTTTCATAGAAATTATTTTGTGGATTCAGACGACCAGGAATGAAAATCGACCGTTGGTGCTTCCGAAGGTTGCTCACAAGCCCAAGGTTAACAGTAAATTCCCATTTGATGGAGAGTATCTGATCTCTCAGGAAAGAAAACCGCCGCCGAGAGACCTGGAAGATGATTTGGCTCAATTCAGGGTTAGTTTCGGTACCGAAATCAACACCTTCCTTTAGTGCACTTGGCAAGGGTGTGGTAAACGAGTGTCTACGAACATAAACTTTATTTACCACATCTGGGCGCATATCATTCATGACAAGGAGGGCGAGTGTGATGTGGATAAGGCGATTGATCTACAGTTCTTTGACAAACCAGTCGATACAAAGGGAAAGGCTAAAATCAGAAATCACAACTTCTGTGTATATTGTTTGTCCACGTTCCCAACTCACAAAGATATGATAGATCATGTCCTCCTTCACAGTAAGAGATCTTCAGGCGAGAAGAAAGAAGTTCTCTTATGTCATATTTGTGAGAGGGGTGTTCCTTTGGCCGAAATGAAGAGTCATGTGGATGTCCATGGGTTCAACGATCTACCATATGGTTGTGAAACTTGTCGTTTCAAGACCTCTTCAAGACAAGCCTTACTCAGGCATTTTGAAAGGAAGCACAATAATAGTGTAGTACTCTTGTGCCCCTTTTGTATGATGGTGTTTAACACTAAAAAGCATTATTCTAAGGGGAGGAGAGTATTCATCAAGGCGGATTTCTTCATCGATCATCTCAAAGAACATGTGGAATGTAGGGTTGATATATTTACAGTCCAATCTTCTTTTAGGGAGTAACTATCGGGCGAAATGCAAAAGATGTGCTTGTAAATTTGCATCCACGGAACATTCAGAGTTGGAGAAGAAGATGAACGAGCACAAGTCAGTCCATAGTTACAATAAGAACAGAATTGAGGAAAGAAGTAGGCTTTGAAATATACTTGCTCATATAGTTTTAGGTATGCTTCTTTTGAACTACGAGATGAAGAGTAAGCGGTCGGCTAGATTGAATGCCATTCCAACTCAGTGTCCTGATTGCAATTGTTACTTCAAAACGGCTGAAAGCCACTTTGAAAAGGAGCTAAAGTACGTGTGATAATTATCCATGTGTTGATTTTTAGGCATTGTGAAAATCCTGGTTGTGGATATAGTACCGCATGTGTTGTGGGAGTGCGACAGCATAAAGCGTTGTGTCCGCTTGGTCCTGAGGAATCCCTAAGGATTCCATTTGGAAGGAAGTCTCTAAAAGACGAAGAAAAGGGATCGATTCATGCTGAAAGATTGGAATTTAATTGTTCAAGAGATTGTGGTTTCAAAACTCAGAACTCCCATCAGATGGCGAATCATCTGAACAGGGATTGTGTTGGAGCTTCTGCGATGTCTTCAGTTTCTACCAAACCAAAGATTGTAAAGGAAGGAAATCTGAGCAGATCCGAAGAAGCTGAGGTGGAACATTTTGCTCTTAAGTCATCTTTGGAAGGTCGAAAGCGAGGTTTATCCCCTGATATTCCTCCCCATCCTCTGGCTGATTCTCTTATCTCTTGTCTGGGAGCGAAAAAATTCAAAAGTATTCTCAAATCTCAACGTCATTTCAAATCTGTGGAAGTAAAAGACAAAGAATATGTTAAGGAGTCCAAGATTGGATCTCTCTTCTTGTAAGTTGTTTCCAATTGATGTTTGGATGTGCAATATGCCGATTTTTTATCCATAGTTTCAGGTTTAACGAAACCAAAGTAACGCCTTCCGACATCGCAAACAAACTTATTCCTTATTAGATCGGGTCCTCTCATAATTTCTGTTCTAAATATTGATAATCTCTCAGTTTAGCGCACATAAAGTTATCCCTTTCGATCAGTCGGATGAGTTCGGAATTGTGCCTAAACCATTATACTTTCCTCGATAAACACTTACTATTATTATATCCATCATTTCGGTTGCAAAGTATCCAAGAACTCCAACCAGAAGGAGAACAAATGATACTGCAAGATAAGAGTTTACGGTGGTAAATCGGGCAATGAAGAAACCGATGGCCATTCCAAAGGACATCCAGAATCTGTAGTTAGCGATGGCCACTTCCAACGACGCTCGGCCCGTCAATCCTACCCAGAAGCCTTGGACCTGGGTATTCCAAACACTGTCAGCCATCCCCCAGACTCCAGCGATCACATTAAATAACACTCGGTCCCCTGGATTCAAGGGCCAAATCATTAAAGTCATGATCATCAACATGTCCATCACGGCTCCAAATACAAACAAGGGCATTCGACCGAACATCCTGATCAAAGGACCGAAAACAAGACTGCAGATCGCATCGAAGGCACCGAATGTTGTCATCACATATCCGATCTGGGAGATCCCCAGACCACAGCCGACGAATGCCTGAAGAAAGATGAATACTGTTTAGGATGGACTTACTTTTGTGTATATCCCAACGGCAAAAGTCTGTTCGATTCCGTTGAAAATAGTCAGGGGTATGAGTAAAAGAACCTTCGGCTTCTGCAGGTTCTTCAGGGTCTGTTTTAGCACTTCGGCTGTGAATTTGGGAGGCTTCTTACTGTAAAGGTAAAGATCAACTTGCTTTCAGAGTGTTTACTGACCTGTTGATCTCATCTTTTTTCAATGCATTCAAAAAAAAGGCAACGATCATTAAAGCAACGATCGCGCAACATAAATAAACGACGACCACACTCCGATAAGCCACAAGGCTTGGCCTTTGGAGGTTCAATTTGGCCCGATCACTGAGGAGCGAAAGATTCCGCGGAAATCCACTACCACAACTAAATTTATAAGATAATCCAATGAGTAATTAACCTACGTCCGATCAGCCTCATCCACAATTACTGCGGTCACAACGGATTGGCTGAGAATCATGGAGGAAAGAAGACTTCCAATCACTTGTCCCACATGGACAATCATGAAGAAGGTGCCGAAGAAACGAACACTCACCGTATTCTGGGCCTCAATGTTTAATTTGGCATAGTTGATTCCACTCTGAGTTATGTAATAACTACACGCCGACCACATGCAACTGGCAGCCACGCCAGCAAGCATTGAAGCGGGGAGGAGAGAGTAGTATTGGGGAAGGAAGTTGGCCAACATATAAATGATCATGATCCCAAAGGCCGTGATTAAAGTAAGTTTGGAACCGAGACGATTGACAACAAAGTTGGGAACAAATAAGGATGAAATGGCCAGAGAGAGGTAGAGAATTCCAAGGGAATCCCCTCCCAACTGATCGTTGACTGAGGTCTGCAAATTCTGAAGGCCATGGAATCCGGTGAAGAGAAATAAAAAAGCGGCCGAGATGGTGAACAGGTTGAATAAGATCTTCCTCTTTTCTTTGGCCACATGGATTCCCTTAAGGCCTGAGAGGGCTCGTTGACGCTTTCGGATGGCCTTGGCCGCGTACGTATTACTGCAAAAAGTGTTGTATGTATGACAAAAGAGATGTTTTCAAATCGAATACCTTGATAAAATGGGAGCCATTTGATCGGTCTCTACATCTTCCACACTGGTTAGTCCACTCATATCAATCAGGTTTCTTTTCTTGATGATCTCCCTTCTCGATCCGTGAATGGGACAATAAGGATCATAAACGTACAATCTCTCCGGATCCATGGTTCCAACAATAGCCTCGGCCATATTATTGTCTTCACTATCGTGACTTTTGAATAAGTAAGAACTAAAATTATAATTTTACCTTGTTTTTTATACCTACCATTTCTCTTTTGCCCCATAATTGTTTATTTTTTTGGACAGGAGGTCAGTGGATGACAATATCTTTGGTATAATTTTGTGTTGCTGAGTGTAAAAGTATTCCTTTGGTTTATCGCAAAACAGATCCAAATCAAAGTAAGGCAGTTCTGGACGTCTTTGTAATGAGAGGAAAGGCTGCTTCTTCTTTCGGATCCCGACCTTCTCCAGGACCATTCGACTCACTTTCCTCAGGGATTCTACTGCTGGTGATCTGAATTTATAGTGCTTTCGGAATAATAAATCTTACTTGCTTCGTTGTCGACGTTCTTCTAATTTTTTCTCTTCTTCTTCGAGAATCTGAGAGATTTCTTGACTATCCAGCTGCAAGGAATAATGTTTTTATTTACACATTCTGATTCTCACCTCAGATTCCTCTTCCAGTGACGCTGTAGTTGTGATTCTGGAGTCGTGTTCATTATCTCCCACCAAATCCCAGGCATTTCCCGTATTTCCATCCATTTGCCAAGAAGATCTTTTCTAAATGGATTGATTCGAAAGGCCCAAGGAACATTTCGGAGCAGCTGTAAACTCTTTTATATTCGTCTTGCCCTCGGGTCATTTCCGAAATCTTTTTAACCGGAGGCAAAGAAGTGACCCGTTCTTCAATTGTATTATTAGCCATGATGACGTTTATTTATTCAAATTTTAGATTTTTTAAATGCCTGAATATAATTCTGAAGTTCTGCATTTTGAATTTGAGACATGTTGTAGACAGCAACAAAGTTGAGGGACTCGTCTACAGTATGATCTCTGCTGTAATTTAAGACTACTTTGGTCCCTTGGACGGCGGCTCTTCCCAATTGTGAGATCTCATTGGCCGTATCAAATGCTGCCTGGAGGGTTTCTTTAGGCGATTCAAATATGCGGCTGATCACTCCTAAAATGGGCTATATATTTTTAATCGTTCTTGCAGATAAATTTAATGTTTACAATAAGCTCACCAAATTGCAAAGCTTCGTTGGAATCAAAGTTTCTGCCAGTTAACGATATTTCTTTGAGCCAACTCATGTTGCCTACCATAAAAGGAAGGCGATTTAAAGCGCCGACATCAGCCGCTATGCCCAGTTGGACTTCCTTCAAGGAGAAGATGGTCTCTCGACTGGCGTAAATAATGTCACAGGCAGAGATGATCGACAATCCCCCACCAATACAAGCGCCATGAAGAGCTGCGATCACCGGTTTCTGACACTGAAGCAAAAATAAACTGCTTTATTAAAGGAGCGTATAACAGGCAGACAGCCTAGACTCAAGTATATAATGTCGCCAACCTTTTCAATGGCCGTGAATCCTTCCTGCAGCCATCTCAAGTCCCTGTAAATCTGTCTTCCCCTGTCTGCCGCATTTCCTTCTTTATCCATGAAGTTTTCTTTTTGTTTTTCTATTCATAATTAATATCCAACTTTGTTCTTTCCTCCTACCTTTGATATCCAAGCCCGCACAAAACAACTTTCCGCTGCCACTTAAAATGATTACGTTTGTATCTTCATCCTGATCCAAGTATTTGAAGACCTCTCCGATCTCTCTGATCAAATAATAAATCCAAATTTATTCCCTCACTTACTTCCATAACCCGTTGCTTAGCGCGTTCAACTGCTTTGGTCGGTTTAAAATAACTTGGGTCACATTATTCGGCGACTTGATCAATTTAATAAATTTTAGGTCCAAAGTCATCGCTAAATATGTTGCTGTTATCGTAAAATGAATGTTGATTTGCAAAGGGAGATAGATCTCTGCGACTATAAACTTTGTAGCTTTGTTGCTCTGATTTCGGGACTACACAACGATTTAATTACGTTAAGCGTTACAACTTAACGCCCTGCAAAGACAGTTCCAAAGCAATTTGTTTAGAAGCAAGCTTGAAAATTTGAAAAGTCTTATTCAGCCAGCGCAATACAGCATCAAACCTCGGATTTGATGTTTTCTTTTACGGGGAGCGACAAACTGACAAATATTATTTTTCTTGCATGTAAGTTTCGAACTCAGGATAATCGATGTCGTTGATTTCGAAAATCTGATTCATTTTTCCTGATTTGACAAGGAAAGTACTTTTATGGGGGCTCCTACTTTTTGACGGGACATATCTCAAAAAATCAGAAAAAATATGCTGATCAACGATATATAAATCTTAGCTGCCCATTTTAGGTTTTTATGGGTGAAAATGCCCAAAAACTGGCTTAATTTCCCTACAAAAGGCGCGCGCAGGCATTCGAAAAGATAAAAAGCGCAGTCGGTCTGTTCCTTCGGAAGAGAGCGGTGTGGCCGAGTGGTTAGTGCCGTAGTCTGGGAGCCCCCATAAAAGTACTTTCCTTGTGAAATCAGCGCCATTGAAAACTGCTAAATCAATTATTTGTGCAACAAAAAGTTACCACTTTACAGGACTAAAAGCAACGATCAGAAAACGTTCCAAATGAGCACCATTCCGAGTATTTGTGACAAAAATTCGAAAAATTTTTTTTTTTAAAAAATGAATATGATTTTTGAAATCAACGCCATCGATTATCCTGAGTTCAAAACTTACATACTAGTCGCGCCATAAAGTCTTGACACATTTTGTCGCGGGTGTCGCGCGAGAAAAGTGGCAAGCTCGCGCGAAAGTGCATGTCGCTAGTGCAAAAACGGGGAATTGCCGCGACGGGTCAGAAAGAAAAAGAAAAATGCACTGTGCAAATTTCTCAGGACTTTATGTCGCGACTAGTACAAGAAAATTATTTTTCAGTTTCCTCGATTGTCTTTTTCTCAAATTGACGGCGTTTCTGTCTTCGCTTGCCTTAAATACAGTACTGTGTTAACTAATACAGAAGTATTGAGTTGTAACTGTTTTTTAATGCAACAAATTACTCTTATGCAAACTTTCATAATAATGTTTGTGCCAGTTCTGCCACCGGAGATTTTTCATTACTAAAAGTCCAAGTCATCCGGCCACAATAATTTCAGAACTGAAATCATCCTTCTGAATTTGAGCTAGGATTTAATCAAATTGCCCAAATGGCGACAACATTAATTAATCTGCTACATATATTTATTTGATACGTTGATTCTTGATTTCTCAAGGTCTTTTAAAGTTCAAGAGTCCTTACGTGACACCGAAGATGTTCGTTTACATAACACACAACATCTTCTCCTTCCCTACTTACTCAGGGGCCTTTCCCCTTCTCCATAACGACCATGAATAACCACATCGATGTGTTTGACAGCTCCTTTTACTCGGCTCTCTGTATTACACTTCTCCTATTTGAAACAGAGTAAAGTCTACAAACATAGCTGCGTATTCACATTGGCTCGTTATATTACACCTTCAATCCCTTAGGCAAATTAGTGGGGGATCCACGTGAACCCACGGACGTCACGGTACGGTAGGCGAGGGAAGAAAAAAGCACTCTACAAAGGGACCTCTCCAGAAATGGCACGGCTTGGGAATGGGCTTCGGGGGTTTGGACAACACTTTCTGAAACTCTCTGGACTAAAATGAAATGAAGAAGACCTCCTTTAGCACTTCCTGCTGGCCTTGACAGCACACCGCTTGTCCAATTATCTGTTTTCTGACGACAAAGACGTTTCTTAAAATTCCTGATTGTTTCGAATAGATATCATCCCAAAAAGAGGTGTTTTCGAGGTGATGATTTATTATTTATTGCTTCTGAACCTGGCCAGTGCTTATACTTCTCGTGAATATTACGGATGGAAGCATGATTCAATTCATTTGCCAAAGAAAACGACTACAACCACTGCGCAGCCACGCCAAAGTAGCTTCCATATAGACGAGGACGACGCCTGTTCTACTGATTGGAATCACAGAAAAAGTGTTTTATCGGACATCCTCAGGGGCTATGATAAAACGGTGGTCCCTTCCAACCAGAGTGTAACTGTTAACGTTGAGCTTACTGTTCAGGTAAAAAAGATGACAATTGTGATTACGGTAATCTTTAGGACATTTCTTCAATCTCCGAGATCACAAGCTCCTTTATTGCGGATGTTTGGTTCAGCCAGATTTGGAGAGATCCGAGGCTAGAATACCATAAATATAGTTGTAAATCGAATCTATCATTGGACAGCTCTGTGGCCGATAAATTATGGACACCAAATGTAAGGTTCCTGTTACGTATTACAATCAAATTGAAGGTTTGCGTGGTCAACAGTAAACACACGGAAGTGCATCGTTCTCCCACCAACAATGTGCTCCTTATCGTCTTTCCGAATGGGACAATCTGGCTGAATTACAGAGTTAGAGTAAGCGGACCCTGCTCTTTTACTCTCAGTAAATTCCCATTGGACGAACAGGTAAGTAACCGTTCTAGAAAACAAAGCAAAATGAGCATTTCCTAATGCACGTAACACAAGAAATCTTTCCAGGAATGTGTCCTAGTCTTTGAAAGTTATTCTTATAACATCGCTGAAGTCAGATTGCAATGGCAGGAATGGAATCCGGTCACGATCGCGGATTCCGAGACCCTAAAGCTTCCAGATTTTCTGTTTACCAATGTCAGTTACGAGCACAATTTGAATGAGTATACAGCGGGGAGTTGGGATCAGTTGAGAGTCATCTTCAGGTAAACATAAGGTAGTATCTTGGCGATATCTTTAGTTTCAAACGTCTTTATGGCTACTATGTCCTCCAAATGTATCTTCCGACGTAAGCGAATATTCTTGATACCATTTGTTTAATTAAAATCCAGATATTTGTCTGTGTTTATCTCCTGGATCGCCTTCTGGATCGATTCCACCAGATCCGGCTCAATGCCAGCCAGAATTACTTTAGGCGTTAGCAGTCTGATGGCCTTAAGTTTTCAGATGGGAAATGTAGTCAAGAATCTCCCGAGGGTTTCTTTTGTAAAAGTAAGTATTAATCATGGTAAGTGACCTTCAGGCAATCGATCTCTGGTTCTTCGTTTGTATTTTATTCATATTCTTGTCGCTGGTTGAACTGGCAGTCGTCGAATTCGTTGATAAATTGGCTAAGAATCAATTTAAAAAGTACGAAAAATGGGCGAAAACCAGAAATTCCATCGGAAAAGTATCAAAGTGAGTTTAAATTTCGCGAAAAGGTCACTTTTTGGTCAGTTCTTGTAAGAAAAGTCCCTTTTGGTTCTGAGTTGGTCATTTAAACTTGTTTTTTTCTCACGGTGATATTTAATGCAATTTTTGACGACTCAAAAATGTTAATGGAATTACTCTGCAAGACTAATGAAAGCCTTTCTAGACTAACAATACCTCCACCTGAGACGCGAAAACTTAGCATTCAGACTCACGAGACGACCCTTCCTCGAGATTCACTCGGCGTTTGGGATGAGCAAGAACAAAGCCCGTTTCCGCGCAACGGGAAAAACATTCGGCCTTCCAGACCTTCGCTGATCGTCGAATCAAAGAGGTAACAGCCTCGGGGATAATAAAATGATCTCTCCTCATCTACAGATCGAGTTTACTCTCCTTTGAACCTGTGGTGCCTCTGAATCCCCGGAAGGCGCATTCTCTGAGTGCTCAAGTGGATGCCTTCTCAGCCAAGGCCTTTCCCGGCGCCTTTGCCTTGTTTAACGGTAGAGTCAACCTACTCTAAAGTCACATTTTCAGTCTTCTATTGGTGGTACTATCTGAGTCAGGAAAAGGTCCCCCAATAAATCGAAAGCATCAAGTCATATGAAACATCAACACGTACACTCAGTCATAACAATCACCTCAGGATTTATGCAGATTATGCAACTTAATGCTCATTTTTCGATAAAACTCTATGAGATCAGTTATGTTGGCAAATGACGATGTCGTGAAATGAAAACATATTAAGTGATCGAAATGAACACCTTGTTGGCGGGGTTTGAGTGGCGTAACAGAAGATTTTAGTCATCGTCCGTCTAAAATTACCCGTTTTTCTTACTGATTCAATAAAGCTGATCCAAACCCCTCTAATTGGCTGATTAGCCGCACTCCCGAGGAACGGTCTCGGTTGTGTGGCTGATTAGATCAACAAAATCACCTGTTCTCTTTTTTCTGAAAGGTTTTGCGCTTCCTTAAGCGCAGGTGAGGAGGGAATCGCCTCAGGCGTTCAAGCGATCATCCCGTTAGAAAAACGATTTTGAGGGATCTGGGGGGAAGGGAGGGCAGGGGGAGCGTGAAAACAAGACGTTTAAGGTGAGGACCTGTTTGTGTTGAGAGGGGCGGATGTGGGGGCAGGGTCGGGGCAAGGATCATCTGGCTAGCCGACCATGGAGCCCAAGAGTTTTGAGGATTCTGGTGGTCGGGGGCTGATCCCTTTGTTTCTTCCTCCCTCGAGCAAAAAGGAATAATTTTACTTTTTTGTTCGATTGAGTTACAGACTCTTCTATCTACAGGATCCTCGCTGTTCTCCGTAATTAGACTTCGAATCGGTCATACTTTGAGGGCTAAGGGCGAAGGGGGGAGATCGATAAATGTTCGGTTAGAACTTTTAGATGTTTGATTGATACCCCAGCCTTTTGTAGACTGGTTTCTGACGGCATCGTTGGGCGAGGAGGGCGGAATGTTTGCAAATTGGTTTAGTCAGTCAGATATTGTAACTTCGGGAGACCCTCCCTTGAATCTTCCCTTTTTCATTTGAATATTTGTTTCTTATCGAGTTATACAATTCTTGTATCCACATGGTCGGAAACTCTTTTGCCTTTACTTTCCCCCCGCGTTGAGATCACATTACTTTGATTTTCTTTTTAATCATTGCGTAAAATTATGTCACAGAGACCATTGTTATACATTATAATGTGGTAAACGGAGGTTGAAGGAGCCAGCTAAGAATGAATCTGGGTTTACAAGACAAACCCAAGCCCATGAATCCGGACACTTGGTTTGTGACCCATCTGAATCGAGGTGGGTCTACCCTGTTGGTGTTACAACTTTTGTTTGTAATAGAAAAAAAATTAAAATAAATTTGTAATTTTTACTTGACATCGGATTCCAGGCTTCCGGTTACTTGGTGGTTTGATCTCAAACAGTCCCATCTTCTGGCTGAGTATCTCAACTTTCGTTACATTAATCTGTTCTGCCAGTATTCTCTTCACTCCCCTTACCAATGACGTCAGCGATTTCACACCGATTGGGGCCAGGGCGAGGAAAGAACTACAGGTTCGCCGTTTAGTGGCTACTTCTTTTAAACAAGGTTTGAATATCAAAGTTCTGTTGTTTTAGGTGTACAAAGACTTCTTCTCGAATGCTGGTGATCCTGTAACTTTATTTATTTTCGTCACCGCCAAGAATGAAGGGAATATGTTGGGAGTTCATGAGTTGGAAGAGGCTGTAAAGGTAACAACCTTGCGTAATTTTATTTACGTTAATTTAAGGTGTTAAATGTAATCTCGGACAAGATTACTTTGAAAAATCCAATCACAAACAAAAACCTTACTTTTAATCAATTCTGCAACAATTTCTGCACGATCAACGAGCCAGTCAGACATTTCTATGCAAGTTAAATTACGACTATTTTCAATATGTTTTTTAGAACGGACTTTTGGTCGATACTCAGTTCGGAAATGAATCCGAGCATATTGATCTAAGTTACCCAGTTACCACTGTTTTGGGAAGGAAATTATACATGGATCCTAATTTTTTTGGAGTCAAAGTACGTACTTCCTTTCATTAGATTACCTTTTCCTCATCCTTACCAGTAATTATTCGTTGCGCAATTCCAGATCGCCACGAAAATCGGGAATCAAACAAAAATAATGTCCGTGAATGAACTCAGATCTGCGACGGGACGGTCTTTGATTGACAAAGAAAAAGTAACTCATAATGTGTTGTAAACTGAAGCCATATTATTATTTTAGATTCATGTCAAAAATAACATGAGAGAAATCAAGCTGGTCGGACTGCAGTTTCGAGCCGAATTCTCCAAAAATTACAGTATCAAAGCAGTGAGGAAGTGGGAAAATGACGTCATCAAATACGCAAGAAAGTAAGGAATCCAACTTTTTTTTAAAATTGAGAGTTAATTCTCCATCAAATGCGATTATTTCAGCTTCCAAAGTGATTACGTTGACGTTCTGGCGATGAGTGAGAGTTTCCTGACCGACGAAGTTGTCCGATCTGGCCTTTCCTTGGTCCCATTTTTGGCCATCGGCTTCTCTATCATGTCGGTTTTCTCCGTTATCACAATGAGTTCGGCTGCAATCTATATGAGGCAAATGAGTATTCAGAAAGTGAGAGACTGAAAAGATTACTGTTTTATCCATAAAAGCAAAACTAATTATTCCTCAGGTAATCTTGGCCGTGATGGGATGCGTTTGTCCGTTTATGGCCTGCGGCACAGCCCTCGGACTGATGTTCTGGACCGGCTTCAGATTCGGCTCCATACTCTGCGTGACTCCTTTTTTGGTGCTGGCCATCGGAGTTGATGATGCCTATTTGATGGTAAATTCTTGGCAAAGAATTAGGCATAGAATGAGGAAAGAGCACAATAAAGTGGACCTAAGAGAACTCCTTGTCCAAGTGATGGAGGATACCGGGGCCTCGATTACCATCACTACTCTAACCAATGTTCTCGCTTTCCTGATCGGTGCCATGACTCCAACTCCGGAGATCCAGTTGTTCTCGATCGGGAATGCTCTGGCCATCGTCATCGATTATATTTACCAGGTAAATTTCATATCAATTTTACAATCAGTTGAGTTTATTAATTTAATAGTAATTCCAACATTTTAGTGGACGATTTTTGGATCAGTGATGGTAATGACTGGTAGATTTGAGAACAACGACGAGAAAGCGCTGGCTCCAATTAATGAAAACGAATTCCAAGAGAAATTCCGGACAATGATCAAACAGCTCTTCAGCAAGTAAGTTCATGCCCTCCGGCTCTTAATCATTTCCCAGATTCCTCGATATTTACTGTAAAATCCTGACAAACACTGTCGCCGTATCCGCAGTGATAGCCATTCTCGCGGGCTACATGTACATCTCGTTGTATGGGGTCTTCCAAATCAAAGCCGAATTGAAGCCGGAGCAATTGTTCATCGCGGATTCGGATATCATCAAAGTAATGCCAAGAGCAATATTTTATTCTCCTTTTTTTTAGATTTTAGAGCTCCGTAACAAATATATATCTCCATTCTACACGATCTGCATCGTGTTTGTGAATAACCCCGGGAACTTCACGGATCCCAGTAATATCCAGCGATTGTCTCAAATGGTGGCGGACTTTGAGAATCTCCCTTCGTCCCTGGGGCCATTTTCCACAAAATTCTTCCTCAGGGATTACGAGGAATTCATAGAATCGTCGGAAGAGACTGTCAAGGACTTGTCCGAAGAATTGGCGGACCTGGAAGAGCTGGTCAAACAAAATTCGGGACAAGAAAATGAATTGAAACAGTTCCTGGAATGGCCGGAATTCCAATTTTGGAAGGGATTTGTGAGATTGGAGCAGATTACGGATAAGGATAATAAGTAAGGGCGTCAGAAACCAATCTTGAATCGATTATTTGTACTTTTATTTTAAATTTTTTACTTCGCGGGGAAATATTTTCTTTGTGGGACAAAATTAAACCTGCGAATTTTTCGATTTTCGATTTTTTTGACATTTTGCTTTCTGTAATTATGGTTTTTATCGTTTTAGCAAACGAACAAACTTGACGAGGTTTTTCTTCACCACAGCATCGCATGGAAACGAGCTCAGAGATTGGTCCAATAGGGCCAAATTACTGGAGGAATGGAGAAAAGTTGGAGATTCAGTAAGTTAAACTTTTTTACAATATATTTTTAGTATCCCGAATATGATCTAAGTATATACGAAGATGACGCCAAATTCTTGGACCTCATCCCCACCATGATTCCCCAGACACTACAATCTTCTTTATGCACCTTGATCTGTATGGTGTTAGTGTGTTTGCTGTTTATTCGACAGCCAACGGCAGTTCTCGTTGCCAATTTCTCTATCTTTAGTACTTGTGTTGGTGCGTTTGCTTGGATTTTTGACTTATTCAACCATTTATATATGGTGGTACATACGAGTGTTTTAGGTGTCTTCGGAATCCTCTCGTTGTGGGGCGTTGATCTCGATCCCATCGTGATGAGTGCAGCCATCATGTCGATTGGATTTTCGGTCGATATCCCTGCCCACATCTCCTATCATTACTACAAAACAGGTAATTTCGTGGTTTTATGGCGTTGTTTTATGATATTTTTGGGGACAATAGTCATGACCATTGAGTTGTTAATATTACTTGTGGAACTTGTCTGGAATAATGAACGAGATCCATTCATTACAAAGGAAAACACGAGAAATGAGGGGTGATTCATCTTGGAGGTCATTCAGCCTTTCGTAAATAAACAAAAAGAATCAAAAAAACTACTAAAAGTTGGTGCAAACTATGTACAATAAATTTTTACAGGAATCGATGGCAAAAAGACGAAAGTAGAAGACCGGCTAAAAGAATGTCTAAAACACATTGGATTCCCGGTCTTGGAAGCCGGGATCTCGACCATAATCTGTGTGATGAGTCTGACTTTGGTCGAGCTGCACATGGCCAGAGTTTTCGCCAAGACAATGGTCTTGGTGGTGGGAATTGGACTCGTCCATGGCTTGCTGGTGATTCCTTCCATGTTCTACCTCATCTCACTGATCCCATTCCCTCAGTCCAGACTGAATCCAGTGCAATCAGTCAAGCTCAACGAAGGCATTTCCATTTCCCAGCTATCTTAATATCAAGTCTAATATCTCAGGATTCCATTTTCCCATGGATCCATTTGGAAGGAGTCGGAGTCGTCTCTAAATTTTGTTTTGAGTCCGAAGCCGCTGATTCTGGGTGGATTCCACAAGGCAACGGTGCTGTTCCTCCGATCCCCGGAGGGCATTCGACGGAATGCGGGTCATTTTATTGTAATTATTGTAAAAAGTTGTAAGACTATTAAAAAGGGTAATTAAATACATTTATATTCTATCTTTTCTTCGAGAACTTTCTTCGGAATCTTGAATTTATTTTATTTCGATGATTCACGTCACCATTGTTGTGATACCTTGCATTTTCTCGAGTTTTCTCCATCCATTAATAAGCTCGAATCATATCAGATTCCCTTCGAAGCGCCTTGGATAATCCGCCAAATCACCGCTGATTCCTCCGTGATTGTTCGTAAACATTTTTTTGTTTATTGTAATTTCGAAAAGTCATCAAAATACGAGAGGCTTCCAGAAGGGGGGAGGTATATAAAGCACGAGAAGTGAGGTATTTATAAGCTTTCTGGTTTTCGATTACAATTCAAGGGCCGGTTTTTGTGCGCAAAACCTGAGGCTTTGGGTAGAGAGAGGGAGGGAGGTAGCGATGACGTCCCCATTCACTCGGTATCTGTACAAAAGTGAGGGCAGGGAGTGTCCATTGTAACCAAATCAATGCGTTTTATTTGACAATTCCCCGATTCTCACTTTGAACTATGACTTCCGCCCTTTGTAAGGGCTGAGGATTACTGTATTTACTCTACTTTTGTCATCTAAAATATAACTTTCAACTTCTTTCACTTGAAGACGTAATGCTTAATGGAAAAGAAAGTAATTGATGTAGATCATCTTCCCAAAAAAAGATGTTCCAGTCATATTTACGACTTGTCATCGTGACCTTCTTCGTGCTACCTTCGGAAGAGACAATCGGTGCTTCCGTCGGGAGTAACCCGCCTATCTTCGCTGTTCTTCATCCCTTTCCAGCCCCCAAATCCAGCGTTTCAGATGACCTATTTGAAGGTGGTCGGGTGTGAAAATATAAATCCGGATGACTGCCTGCCCGTTCTCCCAGTCCCCCTTGTATTTGACTGAGTCATTAGATCTTCAGTGAGGTGACTTTATCTTGTAAACAACATTTGGTCCTTTATAAACAGCTTCTTTTTTGCCTCCGACCCAGCTGAAGTTGCGTGCGAGTATTTCCGTGTAGAATTACCGTATCCCCGTTTCTTATTCGATCTCTTTCAGACTATGAAATACCTTATTCTCTTATCCTTTTGTGGCCTCGCCCTCTCTCAGCCCGTCAAGAGATTCGCTGGATTCGGAATCTCGACTGTCGGGGGAAATCTTGGATGTGTGGTTACTGTAAGTTTAGGATCAGTAATAAACAAGACTGTTATGATTTTAGGGCAACAGATTATTCGTGAACGGACTTGAAGGTCGTGAATTGACTGCCGACGAACAGAAAGAACTCACCGAGTACCAAGGAAAGCTGACAACTTTCCGTGAAGAGCTCCGGAATGTGATGGAGCAAAGAAAGGCCGAGTTGGAGGCCCGCAGGAGTGGAGCTGCTGTGTCCAGCGCCAAGCCCATCCAGACCCCAGAACCTCCAAAGAAACCATCTTTCTGCAGTGAACAGACCACCACTCAATACATCTTCGATGGATGTAAGGTCCAGAACAACATGGTCTACGTTGGTAGCACCTTTGCCCGCAAATTGACCGAGAGTGAGATCGAGGATCTCAAGCAATTCGACAAAGAGATGACCGCCTATCAGAAGTCGGTGTCCGCTTCCTTGGAGTCCCAGCTCGGCGAATTGTTCGGAGCTGCCTTTGCTGGCCAAACCCAGATCGCCCGTGCCACCCCCGAACCCGTGACAACCTCATCGACCCCCGTTGCCCCACCAAAAACTCCAAACTTCTGTACTTTAATTGTCTAAAGTAATATAAATATCACATAATAAATAAATCAGGTTAAACCAGTGGAATGAAATCAGTATTTACAATAGAAGAGGGTACCCGGAATGTGGGGCGATTATGTTTTTTTCAATTGACGGAGCTTGAGGTCACTTTTGTTTGGGCGGAAATGTTGGAGTTGGAAGGGTAGGGCTTGGCCAGGATGCCGTTGTCATTCATTTCTTTGTAGTACTTGTACTCCCGGGCTGACCTAGGCAGTTTTCCATCAGACTCAATCACCTGAAATCAACGACATTGTTCATGGAAAGGTGTTGTACGACAATATTACACTTGAACTGGTCTACTAATACAAAATAAATAAAAAATTTCTACTAACTCAAAAACATAAACCCCTGAAATCAAGTTTTTAACCCTGAAACTTTGTAATGAAAAATGAACCGTAAAAACATGAGTCATCAAGGTTTAATTGATACAGAAATCGTGTGATCTCGGCTGTTTACGAGGACTTTTGGGAAGTCCGGGATCCACTATTCAGAGTATTTGGTCTCTTTCTGAGCCCATAAATCTCGCAAAAAGTGAAAACAATGCGTCACCAATACCCACCTCAAGATCGCACTCTGGACACTGGAGGGTCTTCTTGTTACAACAATTGCAACAAAACGCACAAGGGAAGCAAAAAACGGTGCCCAGGATTCCACTCCAAGTCCATTTCTCGACGGCCCGGACCTTACAAAAGGGGCAAAGCCCTTGCTTTGGCATTCCGAGAAAGCTGAAATCAGACGATACAAGCCGCTTCAGACGCTCATGATCATCCAAACAATCGGGGGAAACAAAAACATTGTGAGAAAGTTTATTCGAATACATAGCCCTTTCCTTTCCCACTAAAACGCCCAACGGAAGGGTTTGGACCAACAAAAAATTAAAATTCGAAGGGCCCGCGACCCGCACTATACTCCGCAACCACCTCCAACCCCCATTCTTCCAGTCGCTCAGGTGGAAGAAACGTTGCGCAATCACAGAAAAAGGAAAAAGGAAAACGCCAACCTTCTCGTATCAATTCATCAGACGGAATCAGCGGAAGAACAACAATTTTTATTCTACATTTACATAATCCACATAGTAAACCGTATAGTTGAAAGATTAATGCGGCGGCGATTGAGATTAAGTCATTTGTTTACCCATATACAAAAGCGGAAAGACGGTTAGACATTGTTGGCGTCGCCCTCGCCATCGGAATCATCAGATTCAACTTCCTCTGTGTCATCTTCCGAGTCGCTGGAATCATCATTGAAGCTCTCGGCATGGGCTTGGAGTTGACGCTGGATCAATTCATCAGTGGGGAGGTACTAAAAAAGATCTTATCAAAAGCAAAACCATATCATAACAAAAAGTTTACGATCGCAGTGCCTATGATAATATAGAGGGCTCATTTTCCTGTTTACCTCGGGAACGACAAGTTCTTTTGTTTCATCTAATGGCGAGAGAATGACGACCTTATCATCGTGGTATAATTCAACGTTCAATGGAGTCTCAAACTTCTGATCCCGGATGTATTGAGCCAATTGAGGATAGGATCGGCGGACCAAACGGAGATTGGAGAACAAAACGCCATATTTCTGGGTCAATTGGACTGAACGTCCAACTTTATTGATGATCATCCGCTCATATCCCCATCGACTTAATTGAGTCACGAAATTTGGCTCAATCTCAATCTCTCCGTCCACTGTAATGGGCATAAATTACAATAGAGTAGACCCACCTGAATAAACACATCCAACCGCTGCTTGACAAAGGTCTTCTTCCACTTTATTGGAGTCATCATAATAAATGGCAATTATTTTGGCTTCTTTGGGCAGCAAAGATCTCACTTCATTGATGTACCTTCCGACATTCGAATAGCTTCCAACGTAATATTTATAAAAGATCTCAACATTCTTTCCCAAGATCTCTGGCTTTTCAACAACGGAAATCTGAAAGAATAAGAAATAATATGGTTAAATAATAATAGTAAATAGCTTAAAAAAAACTTACATCTGCTGTTTCAAAATACCCGGCCTTGACCAACTTGAAGAAAAGGAAAAACAAAACCAGAGCAAGAAGGGCGAGCACTACGAGAAACATCCTAAAAATACAAGCCTCTTTCTAGCTAGCAGAGCGTAATGTCGTAGAATCTTGCGTCTTTCTGTTTATGTTCAAAGCAGAAAAGTGGAGGGAAATCAAAGACAAAGTAATACTCGCGTCTTCCACGACTATATGCGCGAAAAACGAGACAGCAGCTGATCAGAAAGTGCCTGGTCGGGAAAATAAGAGACCCCCCCCCCCTTTCCCCGTCCGTCTTTTTCTTCCCAAATGTAAACTCCGTAACGTTTTTTGGGAAAAGTTTATTGACAAGCGACCAGAGATGTCTATCATGTGCTTCAGAAGACGGCGTTGATTCCCTCGATCTTCCGTCCAAGCCTAAAAGTATGATAATGAAAACGATCGATAACAAATAAACAAACAATATTTTCATAACAATGCTATCGGAAAACGGGACGAAAAAAAATTGTGGAATTTCCGAGAAAATTTAAGCGAAAAAGAGCAACAATTGGCTTTAGGAATGACTAAACATTGGAAAGAAACTGGACACTCAAGCAAAAAACGCCTCGATTGATGGCAATTGCTTACAAGACTCGGAAAACTCACTCGGCCTCAATCTCGTATAAAGTGGTTAGTTTTTGACACTCCTTGACTTCCGACTCTTTCTGACCAGAGGTCCTGTTGTCATTCAGTTGGTTTATAACTAAAAATAATACAAAACAAACAAAACAATTTACCTTCATTGAATCGATGGAGAATTTTTTCATCTACTGTGATCTCTCTCCGACCCTTGTCTTCCCTTGACTCTTTTTGTATCAAACTCAACTCTGATGTCACATCATTGAAAACCCGCTCTATGTCCGACACCTTGCTTCCATTTTGAGTATTGCTCTCCAAAACCTAAACAGATAATATTTTAGCTTATACGAGCACTTACTGAGTTGATAAGGCCCAAAACTTCGGAGAAATCCATGGCCGGTGGCACAAAACACAGACCAAGTAAATATGTCACGTATGAGTGTTAACTTGGGGATATTTTGTGGATTTGCTTTACATAATTATCTTATATAATTTTGACTTTTTATTTTATTTTCGGACGCCAACTTCCCGCCACTTTCTGGGTCACGCCACGAAATCGAAAGTTTGGCTTTCTTTCGACGATATTCTTTATTTTGCGAATTTTTTCTTGTAAATTTATCGTCAAGAAAAAAATGAACAAATCTGAACACTAAACAGTAGTTTAATCCAGGTTATCCTAAAATACGCGGATTGGAAGCGTCACTGCATTGATTTTAGGCTCATTTTCTGTCGTTTTGTCTCTCCGTCTCCGTTTTTTCTGTTCTCTGCGGGCCAGACAGAGGGAGCGAGTGCGCTCCTTGACTAGACCCTGGAAGAACGTTTTTTTGCGTCTGTCTTTCGTTTTGTTTCGTTTTATAGCAAAAAAAAAACTCGGGTTCTCAATTACAATTCAATTACAATATATTGTAAATTGTTCAGATGCCTCGAGGCCGTCGCCGGGCCGCGCAGACCCCGGAAAATATGAATACACCTGGATCTTCACGGACTCGTATTCGACCTGCGAGGTTCACGCCAACCAGAAATGTTTCCAATCGGTCAACGCCGGTATCAACCAAAAGATCCAATAAAAAACAGCCGAGGAGTGTCAAAAAGTAAGCGATGTTGATTATTTTGTTATTTATCTCGTTCTTAGGCAATTAAAAGAAGAATGGATAAGTGATGATGATTACATAAAAAATGAAACGGCATCGGATTCTGAGTCGGAAGACGAGTATGCTCATAAATCTGAGGTGGAATCCGATAGTGAGCAATATGAACCTTTTGAGGATGTTGGATCAGTTGAAGGAACCTCTGAGGGTATGTGTTTTGATGTTTGTATGATGAATTGATTCTTTTTTTTCAGAACGACGGTTTTTTCCATGGTTGGATCTCCCGAAGGACAAGATCCCCCCGTTATTGCTACCAAATACCAGTACTGATCTCCTTGTTGAACCCCAGTTATTGTTTGCTGCAATGGAAGTAAGTCTTTCGAAAGAGTAAATGATGCAATCTTTAGGTGTATGAAGTCTGTTACAACTACTATCGGATACTTCAACTGTCACCATTTTTATTTGAAGATTTTTGTTGTGCCTTAAGATCTCCCGACCAGTCTCGGTTGTTAGCTGAAATTAATATCGCTTTTATCCGCTTGTTTTATCGAGATGATGAAGAGGCTCAGACAACATTTTCTGTGCAAGATACCAACAATTATTTCAATATCACGTTACAACTTCTTGATGGAATGACGTATGGAGAAGTGAGTTTTTAAGTCTATTATTGAATTTTAGGTTGTATGTCCCTAAACTTTTTGTTTTGTAGATTCTGCGCCAATTTGTTGAGAGCGATAAGCGCTTTGACCAGTCGATATTACCTATTCTGGAAAATAATTATCCATTCGTAGACAGTCAGCAGCGTCTGAAGGTTTTGAAATGGTTGTGTGGTAAATTCTTGGAATCAAACATTTTTCGCCAAGTGATTCGCAATGATGGAAAGACTGTGGTAAGAAACATGATGCTGTCTTATGATTATTTACTCTTTATAGTATGATGATGTTTGCCGTGAATGCGCTAAGCCAGGGAATGTTATCTTATGTGATGGATGCGATGCCTGTTATCATGTCGCGTGTATGGGTCAGGATACAATCCCAGAAGGGAGTTGGTTTTGTTCCGTTTGTGAGGCCCATGATGCTTCCGGCGCTACCAATCTGAGATCCTTGGGAGAGATGGCCAATCGAATGCCTCTTCGGCAGACAGCCCTGGGGCGTGATCGGCATGGCCGAACATACTGGTTTGTTGCCAGAAGAGTCTTTGTGTAAGTGCAATGTTATTTTTCTTTTATGCTTTAGGGAAAGTATTGATAATGATGAAGTATTCTATTATTCCACTCTACCACAACTTTACAATGTTGTGAAGAAACTGGATCCAGATTTTTTTGAAAGGGAATTATGTGAATCAATAAACGCGAATCTGGATAAGATTGTCTCTCAGATGAGATTAACGCTGAAGTTAACGAATCATCATCGAGATGAAATTGTGAAGAATCTTCCCACCAAAAAGAAAGTTATTCCACCCTCTTATCTGGAGCAGGATAATTGTAAGTTGTGGAAATAGCTTGCTTTTCTTTTACTAACTTTGCTTTTTAGCGTTCTTAATGTCCCAAATTATGTCCGATATCATGCAGAATGCAGCGGATGGTGTTAAAGTGGAAGGGAATTATCTGGTGCAGAACGTTTTATTGGAACTCGGCTTTAATGGAATCAATTTGGTCGATACATTTTGGTGTGGAGGAAGTCTCTCGGGTAAGTCACTTCAATTTTTCTCAAAGATATCTTGATTTTAGGTGACGATTTGATCGAAAAACACAATCAACTCGTCGAAGCATTAACTCAAGATGAAGAGGGTACTCTCCAGGAAATAGAAACAAATAATAATCGAGGATATAGATATTCGTTCACTGATGGTCATTATAGAGAATATATTAATGAGTACACGACGAATGAATTGGCCAAATCATCAAAGCAGAGGGCCAAAGAGAAGGATAAACGGAGATATATGAGTCTAAGATTCGCTCTTACCGATGAAAATGAATTTGTGGTGAGTATTATCTGTATTTTATCATTGGTTTAGTGGGCGTGCCCGAAGAATAAGGACATTTATATGAATGAGTATTATACTGGACGGAATATTCAACAAAGTCTTCTCAAATTTATGGATTCAATCCCTGATGAACTCTACCATCGTTTATGGAGAACAGAGAAGTCGGCCTTTTTGGAGGTTAGTTGTTTTTTGCGTGGGATTGTATGGATGTTTAGAGATTGAATCAAAATTATGGGCATCACCCGAAGGACGCAGATGAGTCAAAGGCAATGCTAGAGCAGCTTCGGTATTTTCTGTTGAAATTCGAATGCCTTCTGAGGAAACCAGTGTTCTCGAATGTCTGGTGGAATGCTCTCGGATTGACCAGATTAATCAGGGTAACATACGATGACAAGGATAGGAGAAGTAAACTGGATATCAGGAAAAAGAAAGAGGAGAAGGTTTGTTTTGCTATTTTTGGTTGGATTGCGGATTGATTTTTTTCTTACGTTGTTGTTTTTAGGCATTGTTATCTCAAGATCCAAACGACTGCCAACCGGATGTTAAATTTGTAAAGTACCTCAAGAAACAATCACAGTTATGGAAAACAAAAAATGAGAGCTTTAGAATGAGCTGGAAAGGAGGGATGGGAGGGTGGCTCTGGATTTCGTCAACCTTCAAGAGGAATCGAGTCGATGCTCCGGAGAAGTTTGATGGAAAGTTATTTCAGGTAGGAATTAGAGACCAATTCACTTATACATACTTTGCTTTTAGACGTCAAATTCAACAAATAAAAAGGCAAAGAGACTGGAGAGTTTGGTGCACAAACTAAAGTACCCGTCCTATACGGCACCGCTTTGTTGTTATTCATCTTCTTGTCGGGAATATTCGAAGATTCAGGGGATCAAATACAATTGTTACAGCCCTTCTTGCCCGATGAAATCTCAAGAAAAAGGTGGGGGTGGCAACCTTTTTCTTGCATTTGTTTTCTTTCTCAATTCCTAAAATGATATTTTCAGTGAAATACGCACTGACCTCAAAACCAGAACCGGTGTCATCAAAGACCAAGGGGGAAGATGCCCCGTTCCCCATCCCTGAGCCGTTTCAATTTTTATCCCGGGGCTCAGGAAAGCGGAGCTTACTTATTTTACCTCAACCCCACTTAAGAAAACTCGCCCGTCAAGGAGGTCTCAACCCGACAACTGTGATATTCGGCTTTAACAAGGTAGCTAAAAGCAATCTGAGTGTCTGGAATTACCCTTGCCCACGACCTCTCTTCGATCAATGCTGGAGGTACAACACTTTGCATGCGACGTCTCTTCATGCCATTGCACTCAATCTGAGGATAATGTATTCGTGTCTACGATGGGCTGATATGGAACCTCCAGAGGATACTAAAGTAAGAAATAATTTTCCGAAATTATATACCCAACGTAGGATCCTCGTGTTATTACTCATCTTCCGGATCACGATGAAGTGAGGCATATAATCGGGCATAAGGAGTACCCTCCAGATGGTTATTACGAGAGATATCAACTTAAAATATTACTATTGGCATTAGAAGAAGATCTAAATTATGGTGATGAAGAGGGAAAGGGGAAGAAATACAAGAAGAAACAGCCTAAGAAAGGATTGATTCCCAGTGCTCACATGTTGAGTATAAGAACCAGAGGTCAAACGGAGAGATGGGCTGATGGTGTTGACCTTAAATTGTATGAGATCAAGGCTTATTGGAGGAGAGTTTTGATGGACGATGAATATTTAAAGGAAGGACATAGCAAACCGGTGGCTAGTAGAGGTACGTTGTTTTCTTGGTGATGATTTTAGTTTATTTATTTTTTTTAATTGACCCGTTTTAGCCGAAACACTGCGATCCGCCCTTCCTCCACCTCGACCTCTCAACACCCCAACCCAAACAATGATGTCAACTCAGAAGGCACAAGGTTTAAAATCAGCCTTCAACGCCCCTGTTGTAGCCAGAATCAGTCACACACCCGTGGCCCCTTCTGTAACTCTCAACGGAACCCCTTATTCCCGGCAATATACTCCCTCATCTCTGGTTGTCCGTCAAAATGGAACCCCTGTTCACAGGTCTAATGGTACCCCTTCCACCATTTATGCCACACGAGAAACTCCCTCACATTCCCGAGATTACATTGAGAATCCTTCCCTTCGCTCTCCTCAGATCAGATATGTGAATCCTAGCCCTCTTCCAGTAAGCTCATCGAGGTTTTACACACCTGATACCATTGTAATCAACTCCCAAGGAGGGCAGGTGAATGGATATGGGAGTTCTGGAAGATATCCGACAATAATGCGAAGGGAGACCCCTCCAGTCAGACGATTAGTCCCCAACAGACAGGTTTACACCACTCTTTCCGTCAAACGATCTTATCCCGACTCTTCTCATAATGGCTATGATATCAACAAGGAGAATGGCCGAGTTGTTCTTGACCATCCCCATGATCCTGATGTCCACCCTCCTCCCAAACGAGTCCGCTTGGTCAGACCGGAGCCCCGTTAAGCGGTGCATTACTTTAACTTTTAAATTTTTTTGCATTATTTTATTCCGGGTCTTCATTGTTTTTAATTTATGACTGTTATTTGACTTGTTATAAAATACTATTGTTCTTTGCAATAAATAATTTCGTCTAATGCTTGCGAAACTCGAATTGTATAGTTCATGGTCAAGCAGGTACTTCCATATATAATACTTTTTTGGTGAATACTTTTATTAAACCTTTTTGTCAAAACTCAATATTTTTAAAGATGCTGAAAATACGAAGCGAGCCCTCCGAAAGCTGGAATCCCTTTGCAATGGAGCTACAGCGACAAAGCAAGCTTAACAGCATTCCCAGGGTGATCGATAAAGCCGATGATCGCTTCTCAAGTCATGCCAGATTTCCACAAACGCGGCTGGAAAGGTTGACGGCACAGGAAATAAATCGACTTAACAGTCTTCCTTCTAATTTGAGGAGAACTGGAAACGAAACGCAGGATGAAAGAGATATCAAGAATGTAAGTATAAAGAGTAAATAGCAATCTGGTTCAGGTATTGAGTTCGATCGTTCAAGAAGTTGTACAAAAAGATAACGAAAATGGATGGCATAAAAGTATTCTGAACAAGTTGCACGCAACCAAATACTCTTACATGTAAGTAATCAATTAGAAAGTAGCTGATCTTTTTAGAACCACAACGAATCGTGTTATCCCATCAGAACCAGTAATGCAATCGCCTTATTACTCACAATCTCCACCGTAGGTCACTCGCTTCAATAACTGATGATAATTTAGACAAACTGTCCGAAGATATTTTACAATGAGGCAGATCGAAGAGGAGGTCCAACCTCATGTAGAACGACTCAAGTTGGAGATTAACAAGAGGAGGTACAGATTTGAGATTGAGTGCGCTAATCAGCTTGGACTGGCCACACCATGGAAAAGGACAAGATACCGCCGGCCGGGTAAGATGATTCGCTTTTGCCATAAGAGATCGTGCTGATATCGTACTTTTCATTAGACTTGGGGTACTCAAGCTGTAATACATCGAAATGTCAATTCAATTTTTTTTCAAAATTTAATTGGTTGAGAATGGCGAAAAATCTAAAGTTTGGGAAAATCTTTGGGGTCTCGGCGGAGAAATTCAAAGAAAGAGGAAGTAAGGTTTGAGTGGCCCACCCTGTAATTGATTTCTACAGTATCTTTTGTTCCTGTTGAAATAATGAAGAAGTGTCTTTCCTGTCTTTGTATAGTTCGCGCTGTTGTGAAATATGCGTAAAGTGACTTCGGGGGTGAGATCCCACATGCTTTTATTCATATCCATCTATTTCGAAACCTCGAAGAGAGACTTTCTGTTTTCTTCGGGCGAATCCCCGTGTTCTTTGCTGTTTGGAGTGAGGGCGGTGGTCATTCCGTTCTCTGGTCTGGTCACTCGGTCTCGCTAACCTCCTTTTCGCCAGCCATTTCGAAAGAGTGCACGTGTCTTTCTGGAAATATCGCGCGCTCTCGAAAACAGCCGCGAACGGGGCGGAATGTCGTATGCGTTTCGTATAAAAGGCATCAGCGCTCCGAGCAAAGGACTATTCAAAACAAGAGAGATGGTGGTTCATTACCCTGTTTCGTCGTTGATCGGAACAATTCCGGACGACTGTTTTGTGTTAGACGAAGGCGAGGACAACACGGTCCTCAGTCTTCCCGCATTCCCTACTGCCGATGACGACTTCCGTCATTTTGGCTACCTTCTTGATGCAATTCCGACATCTAATTGTGAAGAATTCGCTCCTTCTACACCCTCGATAACTCGCACCAATTCGGCTTCGAGCGAAGCGTCTGGTGCCTCGAGTATGAATGCTTTATACCCTCGCACCAAGACGGTGTCTTTGAGTTCTTGTGATATCCCGATGACCAACCTTTGCATCGATTCGGGCTGTTCTTCTCCTTGTTCTGGCTATTCGTCTGATTGTGGTAGACTCTCGTTGATGGAAGTCTCCGATGACGAGGAAGAAGCCTACCAAGACTCCGACTTCAGGAGCAAGGCCAAACCTAAGTTACCGGTCGATAATGACGAACCCATCGCCAAACGAACTAGACTCCACGAGAGGCAAAGTGAGCTCCCTTTTTCTCATTTTTCGAGACATATTAGGACAATTGATGTTTGTTGGTGATATGATATGATTGATAGAAGCATGGTTTCTTTTGGTATGTTTGAGCTATTGCCAAACTATCGCGCCATTAACTAACTAAAATTGTATTTTTTCAGTGCTCATGGAAGAAGAATATCAGCGAGAGAAAGTCATGGTGAATCCATTGGAAATTTCCCTTCATCCAGATGGTCCTCCCATGTCTAATGTTAAATCAGAAATGATTGACGAGAAGGCTGAATACGACGGAGAAGAAGTTCGGCAATCAATGTCTCCCGGAAGGTCCATGTTTGATCAGTCATCTTTATCATTGTTCGACGTTTCTAAGGGCGACGAAGGTGAGAAGAAGGAGTTGACCAAGAAGTTGGTCAAGGTCGAACACAAAAATCCTCGAGGTCGACCACGGAAGAAGGAGAATGTAAGTACATATCAGAAATAAGCTTACTTTTTTATTATTATTGTATAACATCATTTTTTTAGTCGACGGAAACCGCCGAGGTCAAGAAACCCAAGAAAATCAAGAAGGAGCTGATCAACTTGACTTCTGGTGAAAGGAAGCGAAAACTTTTATGCTCAAAGTGTGTAAAGGTCTGTGATGAACGCAGATATTATGCACAATGCCCAGCTTGTGATCAGAGAGTACATGGAAAATGCATTGGGCTGACTGAGAAGAGGGTCAGGAAGATGGGAGGATGGATGTGCGAGGAATGCGATGCTCCTCCAAAGGAAGTTGTCTATTGTCTTTGCAAAAAACCCTACGATGAGAGTCTATTCTACGTTGGCTGTGATGGTTGTGAAGATTGGTTCCATCCAGAATGTGTTGGTACCACACAAAAGTAAGAATTTAGTTATTCTTGTTTCTGGTTATGGCTAGACTTGGCGCTAGGCCGCGGTTTTCGTCTCGACCCGTTTTCAATTTTTTTTCGGTCCGACCTTGTGGAAGGTAGGCTCGCTAGTAATTGGTAGAAACTCACAAAAATCTTCTATAATTTTTAAGACTAAAAAAGAAGCTGCTAAATTATCACAGATTTAATTTGATCGTCATTGGGTACATTTACAAAAATTTTTCCCTGTTATTCCTTTTTGGCACTAAAAATTTTTCATTCTGTTAGTACGTTGGGTACGAAGGTCCGCTTGTCAAAAAGTCCCGCTAAGCGATGTCTACTTAAGGCAATGTGATATTTTGTTATGCAATTTTCAGAGAAGTAGAGAGCACCAACGCTGGTTACTTGTGTCCAACTTGTTCCGCCGACAACCAAGTCGTTCAAACTGTCAGAAATCAAAAAGCCGCTGCTTCTGAAGCCAGCATGGAACAGAGAATGGCGTCGAGGAAGGAATTCCCATTACTCTGGCGCCTCCTCGATGTCCTGGTTGATAATCAACACAGTTGGCCATTCCGGAATGCCGTCGATCGAGAGAAACTTCCTCGCTATTATGAGATCATTCAGAAACCCATGGATTTGGATACAATGAGAAGAAAACTGGAGAGCAATGAATATCAGAATCTGAAGAGCTTTGTGGCCGATGCTTGTCTCATTTTTGATAACACCAGGCAATTTTATGTGAAGCAGAATGAGATCTATCAATGTGCCGACCAATTGGAGAAAGTGTTCCGATCAGAGATTGTGAGAGTCAGTAAAGATGTAGATGGCCACAGGTCGAGAGTACCCAGTGTGTTGGACATCGAGACCGATCAACTACTCGGCTTCGGCTCCGATTGCAATATGGATCCCTCCCAATTCCTGGAAGGGGTCTTGTAAATAGCATAATACTTGTATGTAAATATCACGGTTATGGTACCTCCTCATATGGGTTGTTTTTCTTTATTTTGACGTTTGGAATCGACCTTTTTTCAGGACCCGTTTTTGACGTCCAAAGTCGACATCAAATGTCGTAATCATTTTCCAAACTTTTAAAAATTATGCAGAATATATCCTCATTCCAAACGCAAGAAATATATTGTACAAAGCTTTAGTACTGCCAAATACAGTGAATTTTGACGATAAATAAATGATAATCTAATTGATATTCGATTTATTTCGTCCTGAATAACATAATGGATATAAAAAACACTTGTATTCTGTGTTCAAACACGTTCGGACTACATTCCTTGCCTCAAATTTTGTTGCAGACGTCTCACTAGATAATTGAAAAAAATGAAACAAATTTGACTTACTGATGTAATCCTGGCTCAAAATCGGGGCATGAATAGGTAATCGAATAAGATGACGTCGCCTTTCCATGATTTCGCAACCGTTTCCCTTGCACTTACCAAGACTCTGCAGCTGTTTCGATCTCGCAGAAAACCTTGGCGAGTACAAAGAAAAGGTTTTAAGTATCGGTTTACGGTCTTCTAGGGTCTATGCACAGTAATATCATCATTTTTGAAACTGTTTGAAAATAAATATCAAGTGTAATATTAGCACCAGAGGTGCAAAGAAGATGGTCCCAGACAGATTGAAAGGGCTTATCACCTGGAATAAACGTTGTAGTGCGCTGAGGAAATGATGAACTGCAGGTAAAAACTCACTGAAATCGAGAGGAGGCGGTCCGAAAACCATTTTTTCAGCTGATTCACCGCCTTTTTCTCTATGACTCACCCCGATTTCATTATGTTTCGGCGGAAAGAAAGCACTAAACAAGTTATAAGTCATCATTGAGGTATTTGTTCTACACATGGATGCGCATTACGCACTTAGTCACTTTCTGCGGATAGGCCCGGGGTTACTGTAACGACCAATTTTATTTGATCTTCAAATAAAAGGCTAAAAATGTGACAGTAGGCACAAAACATCAAGGATAATATGTATATGATTTAGAACTTTGAAAACTCAAAATTAAGTATCCGGTCCCCCTCTATGTAGTACTTCTTGCAAATCAGCGAGAACAAAGCTCCTGATTGTTACAGTAATCAACCCGAACCGCCTCTCTCCCCTGCGGCAATTAACAACTCGAGCAGTGAATGAGATAAATCTCCCCATCCTCCTAATCGCCTCCGAATCCTTGACGTCAAATGTCCAAATCCATGGCCCCCACTTCCCCTCGGGCCATATCTCAGTTAATAAAACACGTGGACGTATTAATAGGCGTGATAAACGGCCACTTTCGCCTTTTACATCGTCCCTGGGATTAGTGGGTTATGTCGGAAAATTAGAAGATTTCTCGAAAAAATTTAATTTCTCCAAATTGCCTGGGGCATGAACATTGTAAGGGTAACAGCCAACATATTGTAGATGATAATGATAAATCCCTTTGTCTGCGGGCATCTCCTCCGACCCTCAAGAAATTTTTCAAATCAATGGGTTACTGTAATCCGATCTCGGAGACAACGAATGTTGTAATCGTACCATTGACCGGCTTCTGAACTTGACGAAATCACAACAGAATTCAGCGAATGCGAGTTTATTTATCGTTTTCCTTCGCTTCGAATACATTTTCGTTCACTCCCGAGGCTATCGTCGCGTAATTCTCTTCGTTTGTGGCTTCAGCGAAGACATCTTCCGGCTTCAGGAACTTGTCGTCACAAGTTTGGGCTAAAATATAAGCTGGTTGAGGTTAAACTAGGCCCAAACCATATAAAAAACTTTTTAGTTCGTTGAGTTTGTATGTTCACTTACACAATCTATTGGTGGCTTCATCGTCGTTGATATGAAGTTTGAATGTTTTCCGATTCCCATTCACTGTGTCCATATTAAATCCAAATTTGGTTGCCATTAACCGTAACAGTGCCTCAGGGATTGTTTGCATTGCTATCTTTTTCTCCAATACTTTGACCTACAATTCTGATGGTAACAGAGTTCAATGAACTCTAATATGACCTTCTTTTGTAACCTGTTACACTACTCTTACCATTTCCGTAAAACTCTGAATTTTTGTATGAATCTTGGTCTTGACATTTATTATGGACAGTATTAAGATAATAAAAGTAAGGATGGATATGAAGGTAGAGGCAGAAACAGTCAACCAGATCAGCAGCATTTCAGAGATGAGAATAAATTCTTGTGTTTTTATCGACTCGTCTTCTGGGCTTGGGCTACTGCAATTTGGATGGAATGAAACCATTCCTCGGCGTTGTTCTGATTATTGGCCTGAAAGAGGATTAAAGGGTTACTGTAACTTCTACAAGATTACTATAGTTTATAAAATATTACTGCAATTTGCATCAACTACAAATTATAAAATTATGACGTCACAAAGAGGATTATTTTATAAAAATGTACGTAAATTAGAGGATGACGTCAACGGACCCACCTTTAATACGAAGGAGTGGTCATCTTGGGTTCGGACTTCGAACGCCCGAGGCAAACTTTTCCTCGTCTTCTTCCCACGATTCAGAGATCGGACGGATTTGATTTTGCACAGATCAATGGATGGAGATGCATAGGGTAGACGGTTCTAAAAATGAATTAAAATATCAGAAGTGAAGGCTACGGTAGCCAAGACCGAAAGCCACAGTTGCATAAAACGTAAAAGCTTTAATAATCCAAACTTTCGAAAAAAAAACTCAAAGAAAATTCAGTAATCCGCTGACATCCTTACTTGGTTTTCAGTTGAGATAATTAACGCAGCGCTGGAGAGAGTAAAGTATTTAGTGTGCCATCGATGGAATAGTCGCCATTTCCCCTTCTTCTCCTTCAATTGACCCTCAAGAATTGGAATTCTCGGGTCTCTCGTCTTCAAGAGACTTCTGAAATCCAAAAATTGAAAATCGAGAAGACAAGTACTAACAAAAAGCATAGACTTACTTTGTTCTGTCGGGATGGGCACAACTGAAGCAAGCCCATTTATTTTCACCTGCGATGTAAACAAAGGAATCGAAGAAGTGCGAATCCTGCAGTTCTTTGAGCATCTGAGATTGTTCTTTAACTCCGGGAAAGGCGGATGTAACCAGAGTCACAAAAGCCCTCGAATTGGTTACATTTTTGGATAGACAATCCCAACAATTCTGGAGAGTTTTGAATTCAGGGGAATCTTGATCTAACACTTGATTTGTATGGAAAATGTGGGAAACTTGGACTTGGAGGAACATCAAGTGAAGCCAGATCTCCGGGAACTTGGTCTTGAATACAAACAGATGATCGAAGTTGTCAAATAGACAATGAGGGCCCATCAATTGACAGGAGAAGTGGACCTTCATCCTTGTTTTGGATCCCTTCACCCCTTCTACCGTACACTTGACAGGTATTGGATATTGACAGGTCAATTCGTTGACATATCTCTTAATCTTGGAACGCCGATGCTCCACAAACTTCTTGACCACATCTCCTCTCTCTTCTCGACTCAAAGTATTGCTGTTTTCTTGCCTTTTACCCTCATTTGATTGTGCCCGATGTCCCCTTTGATGTTCATCGATCATTCGGATAGAAGAGCCGCTCAGATGACCTGAAGGATTACATTTTCATATGTTTGGGTGTCTCTTACCCCGGTTTTTGTCCAAAACAGGAAATGTTGTCGTAGACTTAGGATCGGTTATTTGTCCTCGGGGTTTAAAATAATATGAGATAGGCCGGACTCGGCCATCTTCGCGGATTCTGATGCCATCGTAAATGTGCGAAGGTATTCGCGGTAACAGGGAAGGCGGTAATGTTGCAGATTTTGACATTACATCATAATCTTTGAGACCATCCTCGGGATAGTGGGATCTAAAAAAGGATAATGTTATTTCCATTGCTGAAGTTATAATATTGCTATGTAATTTTCTGATAATCCCCTGGTTCATAAAAGTAGTGCTCTTTCCGTAGACGTCATCTTCTACCCGGCTCCCAATTATCAGCGAAAAATAATTATTATAAAAAGAACGCAAGAGGAAGGGACGGCAGGAGACCAAAGGGGAGAGAAAAGAGTGCGCTTTTCTCGCTGTCTCGCTGCTTTCTCTCCCCATTTCGTCTCCGATTTTTTCTTTTCCAGCCGAATAAAAGGAGTGTTGTTTTCCATTCTATCCATTCAACTTTTCAACGCACCCCAGCTGCTTCGTAGACTGTTCAGTAATACGGTAGCCGTTCTTACGTGCGGAAAGAAGTCTCCGGGCGTGTAACAGTGGGATTCGGTTCATGTACCCTGCGAGTAAGGGCTCGAAGGAACATTTTTCACTTTTCGTATCGAAAAACTATTTACTTCCAGTCCCTGTTATAGACTGAAGTGAATAACTCAGTAACAATTAATTTCAAAATTTTGTTAACAACGCCTCCGCCAGAATTACGCCGAATTCTGAAAAAATTTTTCTCAGCCTAAAGCCGCCCGTCATTCTATTTCACCTGAAAGAGGAATCTTCTACAGCGGAGGACCTGATCCAGTGGCAAAAAACGTACTATTTTGCATCCGGGAAGGATCAAAAATGTGCCAAATGCATCCCTCTCCAAGTGAAAAAAAACTTCATTTTGAAGGCCGCGCCATTTCCCTCACAAAAAGAGCGGGCGCCCTTTTGAAATCGGAGTTTTTTCACTTGGAGAGGGAAGCATTTTGCCAGATTTTTGATGCTTCCCGGATGCAAAATGGGACGTTTTTTGCCACTGGATCAGGTCCCCCCACTGTAGATATCTTGATTGAGTGCAAAGAAATTGATCAAACTTTCCGGGGATTTTTCAGAACACCCTGTATTTGGTCCGGAAAGTCGCTGGAATGATTTCTGCGACATGCATTGTGAGAAAACAAGTGCAGTTAGCATTAATTTGTCGCAAAATTCCAAAGTTTCTTACCCAGTCATACTGTTCTGCGATTTCCTCAGCGAAGTCCCACTTGATCTCTGTCGATATATTTCAGCCAGATTCTGGGTATTTCTATCCAAATTTTGAACGTTCTCATCTCTCAGTGTAACCAAAGAAAGACGATCATTCAGAGGAGCTGGATCGTTGGGTAAAATTAGAGATGGAGGTGTTAGATGTCGATGAGAAGACGACATACTCCGGCTATCATCGTCTTTCAGACAGTTTCTACAAATATTTGAATGACGTGTGGACAACTTACGCAGTAGAAGTCTGGATTCGACTGTAAACACTCAAAAGGGAGGGATTAGAGTTGACGAAATCTCTCATCTGATGAGTTGACGAGAAGACAGCAGATGGATACACGTTGGAGATTTCTGTAATAAGGTTTCACCTTGGGAACCATGATTTCCATACCTTCCAACTCTTTGAAAACAGCAGGAAGATTGTTGGCGGTCAATTTGGGCATCACTGCCAGAATATCTTGGGTAGCCACCGTAGCCATTTGTTGATTGGATCGGGCAATGACTGAGAGAATTTTGACAATTGTGAGGAGATTATGTTGAGAGACGCCTTGTTGTTGGACAGCCCGTCTTAACGGGACCAATTGGCCAGTTAGACAGCCAACTCGGCCACAACTAATCAAGGAGGCAAAGATTACCAAAGTTGAGGAACAAGTGTGGGGATTGAGAAGAAAGTCGTCAAATTCACTTAGATGAGGCACAATCAGCTGAAATGCGAGTAGATTTAGTTACTTTAGATCACTCACATCAGGTTTAAAGCCAGCGATCATAGAGATAAGTTGAAGGATTGAGAGTTTTTCCGACTGGTCGGTTCTGGGGTCATATAATAAAGCCAAAAGTTGAGATAAATGGGCGTGAAAGGGCTCTTTATTCTCCGGATATATCTGAGGGAGTACACGGACCAAAGGTAAATTGCCTAAACTATCGTTTAATATGCTTAAGTAACGATTATTACACCAATATTTACAATGACTCACCTTTGAGGACTTTTGTAATTAACTGGACGGCATATTGAGCTAATATACGCCCATTGTGAACAGCTCCAAGGGACAGATAACTGGTCGCATTCCTCACCAACTCCACGTTCTTACTGTCCAAGGCTTCAATTGTGCTGGGAATGGTAACTGTCATCACGGATTGCTTGCTATGATACTGTAAATGGATTGAAATCAAGGGCTTCGGAAGACTTACCAAGAACAAAGTGCTCATTAGCTCCCCGGCCAACTTCTCATGAGCATTTTGGTTTCTTTTTTGGCCTTTGGCTTTGGCCAAACAAGTCTCGAACAGGTCAATCAGAGCCGGAGCATAAGTCTCGATACAATTGGTCTCTCTGTAAAAGGTGATATAAGTACTGTACTGTAATTTTTATAGGAGAAAAGCTCATTTTTTGAATGGACAGATTTTGAATGCAAAAGCCATTGGAAAAATTAATTTTTTCGGATCAAAATGCAAAAAAATATTTATTTTTCTCTATCTTTCCTCTTCACTTTTCATAATGTTTCGCGCAAAAAATGAATTCAATCTTCCTGCAACGTTCGAGATGAAATTCGATCTGTGTCTCTTTTACAATAAGCCACCGTCATGACATATGTAATTGAAATAAAACTGTATTTACCGTATTGCTGCTGTAATCCTCGACAGAACCAATTCAACCACGCTCTGATCTTGGAGCGATTGACTGTACTCGTCCTGACTCACGATTTGTTTAATTTTAGAGAGTGCAGGATGCTAAACAGAATTTTTTTTGCAATTTATTTTATTATATTACCAGCTCCGTAATGATGTCATAATCGGAGACGGCGAACAGCTGATCAGTTCGATGGTGCTGTTTGTAGGTGAGCATGCGGCCGAGGATGGAGTCGTTCACATCCGAGAAGTCGGGGCGGATCGGGTTCAACTCCGGGTCCGAGGGGGCCAAGGAATGCATTTTGTTGCGCAATCAATCGGCCAGAGGCATGACATAACCTGCAATTAAGAGGGACAGATGAGTCAGCGGGACTCTCGGAAAAGATAAAAAATTTGTGCGAAGCCAGTTATGGAAATCGACTGCCATGAGCGCTCCCTTCCCCCTTCGGAAAAGACGGTCCATCGCCTCCTTCATCTTGCTGCCAACCGATTTTCTCCCCCCGACGACCTTTAGGGCGTTGTTTTGGAGGGGAAAGGGAAAAAGTCCACCTTATCGCCCCCTGAAACACAAATTTGTTTTGTATTTATGTACCCGGCTATAAGCATGCTTTCCCTTTCTTTTCCGATCGTTTTTTATTTCTCGAGACCAATTAAAACGTGCCCTGTAACTGTTAGCCAGTAATGTTAAGCAAACTGCCGTCATGCTTTTTTACAAATCTTTCCCACCGAAAAAAGAGCCGCATGCTTATTCAACCGATCCTGCAGAGCAATCGCTTTTTTTTTATCGTAATATGATTGCGCAACCATTGATGACGTATCTTTACGACGTTCTCCGCGCAATTTCGACGTGAAAAAAGGATGATGAAAGCTAATGAACCTCAAGATTCCATTGTTCTAAGGTCACATTCCCGTTCCCAGCCATAAAGATTTTAATTGCATCAAAATTCCCCCGGTCTAAAGTCAATTTACAGACCCACGAAATCGACTTTACTTTACATTTGGAGACCCTAAAACCGAGAGCGCCCAAATTTGAATACGCTCTTCGTTTAACCTATTTGATCTCGGTCTCCGCGCGGGTTTAATCCCCTTCCTCTCTTACTGTCCGTCTCGCCATAGTAACGGCGACCTTAGGTTCTCCCGTTTGGCTACTGCACCTGGCGATCGGACAAACAACAAGCGGTGAAGAAGAGGAACGTTTACTTTACGTGTGATGAGTAATACCGGGATATCCCTGCCGACTGTTTGCAATTGGAGGCGCAGCAATCCATTAGTCATACTGATGACAAGCTTGTGACAATCCAAAATCGGATCAGTATACAAATTTCAAGAAAATTTAAAAACATGAATATTCAAATTAAAATATTATAAATAAGCATTTATTCCACCGTGATATGTGAGAAGACAGCAAATACCCGCTAACATTAGATGTTACAATATGAATACTAGGTACAAACCAAAGATTAGTACTTATTTACAGTTTTGGCATCTATTATGAAATAGCACAAAATAGAACGCCTTTGTTATAAAATAAAGCATCGACTAGAACGACTCCATTTGCCTGAGCCGTTGCTCGTTTTTCTTTTGGCGAAGACATCGAGGACATTCTTTGCCTTCCATACAGGTTTTGTGATACACAGAGAAGCACTTTTTACACTAAAAAGTAACATTATAATTGACCTTATACTTACTCTGAAAGTGGTCTCCGTTTGGAATGAATAAATTACTTTCCTCGAGTTACAGATCTCACAAATAAATCCCTTCTGGATGCATAACACACAAGAAGCAACATGTTCGACAGCAAAGTTGATGACAGTATTCAATCGCCTTTCCAATACTCCTGTCGGGATATTCTCGAGATCCTAAAAAAACAAAAACCATTAAGCATCACTTACTTTTATCGAATACAAATGAATATCCGTGTGTAAGTAATCATTCGGCCACAATCTTCGTTTCAAATCTTCAGCGACTGACTGTTTGCATGACAACAAATACATGGAAACCAGACTCAACTTCTCCCTTAATCTCCGGATTTTATCCAAATCCTCTGCTTGCGTATATAACAAGCGATTGATCTCGTTGACTTGGAATAAAGGCTTTTCATAAACCCCTTGAAGAGTCTCAAAGGCCGTCCTCGTGATCGCTCTTGGCCGATGATCCCAATTGAACATTATTCTTGCCGGGATTGGACATTCCACAAATCTTTTGAAACAATGTTCACAGTAATGTAATCCATCAAAATTACATAATCTATAGGTCCCAAAAGAAGCTCCAATAGATCGTCTACAGTTGGGGCATCTGAATCCCTGTGAATCGAGCCCTTTTTCTATAGGAATCGTAATTAAAGTATGGTACAGCTCCTTTTCTCGGCTTAACTCGTTAGTTTCCGCCAAGTCAGGCAATTCTCCGGCTTCTATTATAACTGGTTCTTCTTTCTGGAAAAACAAAATTCAGTTCCGCTCTTATTTAAACTCACTTCGAACATCTCAGAAGATCTCTCGTCCAAATCGCTCTTCGATTCGATCTAAAATAATATATTTTCGAAAATAAACAAAAGTAATGACTAATAAATTTAAAAAAATAAAGGACCTACTGATTCTTGATGGTGCATTACTTCTCTCATCGCCTCGCCAAAGGGAATCAAATGTTCAGAACCGTTTAATGAAGAGGCGGCGCTGGACATTGAAGATTCAGAGATCTGCCAACCTTTTCCGACAAGAGAATTACCGCAATTGACAGGCACATACACTTCATTGGGCGAGGTCTCTTCATTGGCCTCCAACTTCAATGATTTCTCATCAACCGAGTCATCATAGGGACTTGGATCATCCCCAAAATTGGTTTCAATCAGCTCTTGAGATTTCTTTAATTGAACTTCAGGTTCCAAGTCATTGATAAACTCCTTCATCGAGGAAGCGGCTATGTCAAATGAGAGCGAAGGATGCTCTTGAGATTGTTGAACAGCCATGCCATCACCTATCGTCGCCCTGTCATCATCTTCTTTCAAAGTGGGAACCTGTAACGAAAATTAAAGCAATAAAAAATAATACTTACAAACTTCCCAGAAGTTGTTGCTTCCAATTGTTTGACATCATGCTGTTTGTCAACGGCGCCCAGTTGCAAAGAATCCCCGTCTTTTGAGTCTATTTTTGATTGTACATAAACAGCCGGCATAACTGTTTCTTTTTCTTCCTGTTCATCAGTTAATTTTTGCATGGATGATGAATTTGAAAGAGAGTAGAGAGACTGCCCTTCACTGCTACTGTGACTCATATATCTCCGTCGTCCCTTTGATCGTTGTACAATTACCTAAAATTAACAATAGAAATGAACATTAAAGGAAAACAACATAATCCATAACCATAGGGATGTTATTGTCTCCAACCCGGGTTATGTCCCCGAGCCGGTCATAGTCGGGGGCACATGGTATAATTCAGAGTTTTTTATTGTACAAAATCCAAAGTAACTGAGGTACTATTAGCACTTGATACTACTTAGCACGAGGTGAAAATTATGCCATAAGGTGTTGGTCTCTCATACTGTTTAAAAAACACATTTTTAACCCTTGGTACTATACAGCACAAACTTATTTTTTGCCAGAAATGAATCTTTTGATCAGTGCCAGGCACCAAAACAACAGCATTAATGCCTTCTGGCCTAATTTTTACCTCGTACTATATGTATCACGAGCTAATAGTACCTAAATAACTTTGCAGTTTGCACCATAAGAAACTCCGATTGATTCCCAATGTGCGCTGCCACAACCGGAATGGGGATAGAACCGGTCTGTGGGCAAAAATAGGCCTCTAGAAGTGGGGACTAAAAAGGACAAAAACGGACACAATCTCCTCCATAACACGGTTAAATCCAAAGCGAACACAATCAGCAAAAACATACTTCGGTGGAAACTTCGGACGTTGTGGGAGTGTCAAGCTCATTGTCGACGATAGATGGATGAGAATAAACTGAAGAACGCTCGTCGTCTTCTAAAAAATAATTAAATTATCGACGAATCTCTTACCTTTACTTTGCAGCGAACTTCTTGACCCTTTCAAGGAAAGCGTTTTAGGTGACAGAAGATTTAAAACCGGATTGCCGGCTTCCACATCCTTTTTGGGCGACATTAAGTTAGACACTAAAATCAGAAAATATATAAATATAAGAATATACTTGCCTTTAACTGACTTCTCCTGAACTAGTCCCGCTAAAACTAAGGGTGTCGGTGTCCAAGTATTGAGGAATGTGGAGTTGGTTGGGGCATTCAAAGAAACCTTGGCCAAAGCTTTCAGATATCCAATCAAGGTTTCAACCTTATCTCCATCCCTCAGGAAAGCTGAGTCGTTATAAAACTGTCTAAAGAAAGACCGTTCAAATTCCAAGTTAAACATACTGTAATTGCTGAGTATCCTTGGTAATCATAGATACATAATGTTCGAGAGCACCGTCGTTTAACACAATCCGAATCCATGTTCGTCCCTTTCCAATTTCATTTTTAATCTGATTCTGCGAGCTGATCTGTGACTGAATACTTCGATGGGTAAATTTGGAAACAAATGGCCAAAAGTTCTAAAAGAAAAGATAATAATTAGATTCAAAAGAATTTTTACCGGCTCCGGATATTTTGAATATCGTGATCCTTTCAAGAAGAACGCATCTTTCAATCCGTGAATGAATATTGCTTCAATTGCATTGCAAACCGCCTGATTCACTTCTCTAAACAATTGATAACAACTAAACATACAATTCTTACCTTGATATTTTACCAGCAGCATCTTCTGTCACAACAGCCTTTACTGTGGCCTCCAATTCTTTCCTTATTCTATTCTTTGCTCTTTGTAGCACATCACTCATGACTAGTGAATACAAAAAAATCTTTCGCATATTTTTCCGAAAAATAATTTTTTGCGAAGTCAATTGTGACATTTCGTCTTCGCAATTATTGACAAAAAATAAAAAAAAAAGATTTTGTAAAAACTTTTGTAAAAAAATTGACAGAAGGAGTAATTCAATGTTTGAATGGAAATTAACGTTGTGGAGATAATTGCTAAGCAATGTGTTAATGCGGAAGATGGCTGTGTTGAAGTGAATCGGGATAAAACGAAGATTCTGGTGGAGATTGTCACTCTAAAAGCGAAAAAACTGCATGAAACAGTTCTTGCTACCTCCTTGTAAGTCTTTACTTTCTTTGAGTTTTCCTTTTTAGGTATGATCAAAATGCGGGCCCAATTGCCGCCAAAGACGACCATTTGTTGGCTAATGACGTGGAAGTTTTCAAAAGGATCGCCGAATTTTTTGGGATCAGTTGGGTAAAAGTTTCCCCGGATCTTCAAACCGATGTAACCTATCGTAAAAATGGATTTCTGAGCCACATCAGACCTGCGATATGCTTCTTGGAGCTGTGGAAAAGTATTCGATTGGTGTTTAATGGTGATTATCATAATGAAAGTCTACATTCTTATGCTTTACATTCCTTTCAAACTATCAAAACTGATTCCCCGGTAAGTAGCAACTACCTCTTGATTTTTTTAGGGTTTTAACTTGTTAATCCATCAACTGTTGAACATTTATGACGTGCTCTCATCCAGATCCGTTTATCCAATATTCTCAACTCATATCATCGATTCTGATCCCAATTTATGGTTAATGGTATCTTTAGAAAAACTTCTAAAGGAACAAAACTTCTCAGCGGTTGAAAGAAAAAATGATATTATAAAAAAGAAATCTTCGGAAGTGGATTACAGTAGATTATGGGAGATTTCACGGGCTTGGACGAACTGGGAGATTTCTAATTATGATTATATTATGATTCTGAATCAGTTCTCTGGTATGTTGATTCAGTTTTATTTTATGTTTAGGTCGAATTCACGGTGATCCTCATAAACATCCGATATTCCCTTGGGTGGTAGACTTCACGTCTCCAGATGGCGGATTCAGAGATTTGACCAAGAGTAAATATCGAATTCAAAAAGGAGATACCCAATTGATCGAACAATATAAAAGACAACCAGCACATCACATTCCGGAATTACTCTCCGAACTCAGTTATACAATGTACAGGGCGAGAATGGAGTCCAAGGAAAATTTACTGAGATTTGTGAGAAAGCAGGTAATGATTATGCAATTTATGACGTAATATTACGTAACACTGACCTAAAATTGTTTAATTCTAGTGGCTCCCGGAAGCTTATCCTGCAAATATGGCTAGGTTATTTGAAACAACCCCTGATGAATGTGTCCCCGAGTTTTTCGACGATCCCACCATCTTCAAATCGATCCATAATGATCTTCCAGATCTCCAGTTACCTGAATGGACAAAAACTCCGGAGGAATTTATTAAATGGCATAGGGAAATGCTTGAATCTGAAGAAGTCTCAGCCCATCTCCATCATTGGATAGATCTTGTGTTTGGCTATTTAGTAAGCTCCCCTTTTTTGTTATATTGTTTTAGTTATCTGGGCCTGAGGCAGTGGAAGCCTTGAATGTGCATTTGTGTTTCGTCCGAATCTTAGCAGAAAATCGGACGATGGGCGCAGTTCAATTATTTACAAATCCTCATTCAAAACGAAAAGTTAAATCAGAATTGAAGAATAGTCAGGAGTTATTACCCATGACATACCCAGAAGAATACTTTCCCATTGATCGATGTGATCTGATAAAACCAGGAGAGTCCTTTAATCTGAGTGAATTACTGGTTCGATTCTATCAGCAAAATGTAAGCAGTGCTCCTTTTGGTTGACTAAATTATATTGTTTTAGAGTGGAACAAAAGAATATGTAAAAGAAAGTGCGATTAGTATTGGGGTTACAATTGTTGAGCTCTGTTTGCCTGAATTCTGCCGAGACCTCGCTCCAAATGCCAGTTTTGATGACCGTTACATTAGGGCTCAAGGATTGGTGACCAATAGACCGAGCAGAATCCCCAGACATCTTCGGAAAGCCCTCAGGATATTGTTGAATGTAACCGAGGAAGACAATGACTTAAATGTAAATGAAGGGAAGATTGAATATGTTGTTTTAGAAATACTCGTTATCGGGTAACTTTTACAACTTGTTCTTCTTACCGTACCAGGTGTTCCCAGTCCACGCCCATTTATCTGTTTATCATGCTTTGGATGTTGAATTTGCTAATGCAATCTACAATGAGGATGGTAATCAAGCGCTAAGGTGATTAAAAATTAGATCTTAGATATGAAAATCGAAGAATTATACATGGAAAGAGTAGATATCCTCAAGGATTGTGTGGAATTCTCGGACTATGGATCTCTTTGGATGGACCATTTCATAGATCTGATTCAAGATCTTCGATTTGCTGTTAATGTTTGTAAAAAGTTATTCTACAGGATATCTGAGTTTGCTGGAGTGGATGAAGTCAAGATTTTGGTGGCTCCAATATCCAGACTTTTCGAATATAATATCCCAAATCTGGCTAAGGTAGGGTAACCTACACGCTGCAATTGGTTTAGTTATTCGACAGAAGATTCTTGATCCAATTATCCATCAGGTTTGGGACCAAAGAATTTTTGAATAGTTTTCTGCCACGAGTAATCGAAGCTTTACTCTCAGCTAATAGTAGTCTCAGTGAGGTGTCCAAGGACAGCATTTTATGGTTATCCAAGAGGTATGGTCCTATCCTGACTGGAAAGCATATTACTCCAAACATTCTGAAACTGCTTGCTCTTTGTTTTTCTGATCAGAGGAGATCCAAAGTTAGTGCCACAGAAGTAAGTCTTGTTGATAGCTTCGTATGTTAGCACAATATAATGCATGGTTGGTATTGGTTTTAGATGAGTCTAGACCTAGAGACGGAAGGAGATAAGTCCAGTCGTGTAGTGGTGGGATGTTTAATAGATCTTGCTGTCATTTATGGCCCAGCCATGATTACTTTACATTACTTGCCTTACTGTGCGGATATTATCGATCAAGGTCTGCGAAGGATGAACCTGGTTTCGGAGTCTGCTCTAATCTCATCCATGGAGCTGATTCAATCGTGTTGTGATTGTTTGAGTGACAAACAGTTAATGGACGATCTAAACGAGCTAATTGTTGACCGAATATTCGTCCCAATCGCCAGGTTATTATCGTCTCCCAATGTTTCCTTCTCCTCTGATGACTCCAGAAGATTGTTGGCCTGTAAAGCGATCAGATCATTCCATCTTCTGTCATGTAGATTAGGTGGAGAGAATGTTCAGAGATATATGAAAGTGGTCCTTCAGAAGTTATTCTCCGCTTTCAGTATGTTATACGATATAGAAAGGGAAGATTCGAAGGAGGTAATAAGAGTTGGAAAATGCTCTCCTCATCAATTGGTCGCTACTTTTTGTCCAGAATTTGCTTTGCTGCTTCTGAAAGCCTTTTCTCGGATTTGCGGGCGGAAATATCTGATAGATTTGATACCTGACCCAGTCTTGGTGACTCATTTGGCAATGAAGTCCTCGGATGATCTACAAGATGGTAAAGTGATCCCAATTCAATCAAAGAATCCGTTTGAATCACTATCTTCAATTTTGAAGCTATCTCATGTTGTGGAAACACCCCCACCGTCATCGATCGTCGCTTCTTTTGGCAGTGGAAATCGATTATTCCTTCAAGAAGATATGAGTGATGAGCATATCAAAGAAGTGATGCCCTCAAACTTTGATCCTGGCTCTAACAACTCGTTGCAGTAAGTTTTGACAATCTGTTCTTTATATTATCGCACTTCTGTAATATTATTTTTAGTTCAAAGATGGGCTCAGATGTTTCACCCCACTTGTCCGAAAATTGGGTTCAGCGATTCAGGTCGGCTTTGTCAGCTACCACGGATAACCTCACTTTCGACCAAATAAATCTTGTCACCTACTCTGGCCACACCGGCACTGTCAAGAAGATCCGGGTCTTGGATAATGAGAACTCTTTTATCAGTGCATCTTCTGATAAAACCGTAAAAGTTTGGTCGATTAAAACGTCAGAAGAGGCCTCTCAATGTCAATGGACCTATCGAAATCACACTAAACCCATCCAAGATGTCCTCTTTATGCCCGTTTCTTCGATGATTGTCTCTGCTGACAGCTCGGTTCATGTTTGGGATCCGTTTAGAGGCTCGGTGATCCATCAAGCTAATTGGCCAACGGGATCTTCGGATCAATCGATCGTTTCTTTACAAAAAATTAATAATTATGCGGTTGTCGCGGGTTCCAATTCGGATCAAGTTATACGGTAAGTTACGAGTTACTGTGCGATCATTGTTATTTTAGAGTAATGGATCTTCGAATGGGATCCTGGAGTTGTCATTTCCTTGCCGGAATACCTCAAAGTAATATAAGTGGGCTGAAATGCCTTGCTGCTTCACCCTCAGGGCATAAACTGGCGGTGGCCTTAAGCAATGGGAGCATTTCATTAATAGATTCGAGAACGGGGAAACTGATGGCCTTATCTTTTCAACAAAACACGGATATTTTCAATGTAAGCAGCATGTGTGGTACAAATTCTAATTTAATTGTTGTTTTAGATAGAATGGTTGGACGAAACTCACTTTGTGTCCCTTTATGTCGATCACTCGGTAACTGTTTGGCGGATTGACAGTGGTTTGAAGACTGAATATAAACTCCCAGAAGTTGCTCAATTCCTGTGTCGCTGTTCTGATGATCAATTCCTGACCCTCAATGCCAATCGAATGCGGCTTTATTGTCGAGACAAGTGCCACAGCGAGATCAAGTTGAGATCCGAATTCATTCAAGGTCAGATTTCTGTGATAACACCCCTGGATTTGAACAATATGTTCTTGGTCGGGTCTTCGAGCGGCATGATCAGATTGTCTTGCTAACAAGGAAGGTGCTCCAAGTGAGCCACTCAGATTTTGATGAAACTTGGCACAGATCTTTATGAATTCTTTCTAACTGGTCATGTGCTAAAAAAAAGTTTCTATATAAAAGGTAAAAAAATTTCTTCGGCACGAAACCGGCAAAGATGTGGCCGAAAGTCTTACTCTCTGACCGCTCTCCGCGTACTCTCCTCGGTAAGGTAGTTTAACATCTAACATCAGATACGCCTGCAAAGCGCGAGGGAAACTTTCATTTATGGGGCATATTCCTGTGTGCAAAGTTTAAAGAAAATCTGGGCGTCGCACTTGGAAGCCTTCCATTGTAAGTTTATTACTAAAATGTAATATAAATAAAGTATTTATACTTTATTTTGAACATATTTGAGACCCTTAATGACATCAGTAGTACTCGTTTTACAACATAAATGCAGATATAAGATTCCTTCCAGTGCCGTGTATAATATTACAGCTAAAACACTGTCCGGGAGACATGTCTTTGTCAGAATTCCATCCGATTAGGATTGGTCAGAGATTAAAAAAGTGTAAGATACAGAAAAGGTGAGAAGATGAAAGATTGGAAGAGAGATAAAGTTACACTAGGGGAGGCTGATCTCGGGTTTCTTTTCGTGCTCTTTCAGTTCCTGGAGCTCGTTCTCGGGATCTGAATCCGAATCCGTGCCCGATGAGGATTCAGAATGGACCACGGACTGTTTCCTTCTGTCCCGAATACCCCTCACAATCTCGTGGGTTTCCTTTCCCAACGTCTCCGGGAGGTAGAGATAGATGACGACCAAACAAATAATTGAAGGCACGATGAACAACGGGATCATGGTGTAAGCTCCGATTAACTAGACGAAGATTAGACCTCATTATTTACACTTACGTCATAGAGTGGAACGGTGGCGAAGTTGGTGATTGCAATCAGAACATTGTTGATACCGTAGCATAAACAAAAGACCGTCGACCGATGACGCTGCGAAACGAGTTCAGGCGCGACAAACCATGAGATCGGGCCCAAAACCATTCTGAAAAAGAGATTTAATCGAAACAATCAAAGGATTCGGGGGTTCACGAACATTATTCTTCATAGATTTTATATACGTTCAATTATTTTTTTCAGTGTCTTGTCATAAACAAGTGAGTGGTGACAGAAGTGACGACATCTTTGAGATAAGATTCCGTCATTGACTCAAAAATTCATAAAAATTGCCAAAGGCATACAAAAATCCATGGATAATATTTTAAACCAACTTACCCAAACGTAATGGCGTATCCAAATACCGCACCCAAAGCACCATATTTTAGCCACCATCCATGAGATCGCATAACTGAGAACACAACAAACAAAGTCAAGAAGACCGTGGCCAAAGATCCAGAGCCCATGACGAGGAACCGCCGAGGCCACCGATCAATGAAGAAGGAGCCAATAACACAGGCAATAGTGAAGGCGATCATCAACAAGGTCGAGGAGAGCTCAGCCATTTCTGCTTTAATTCCAATATGTCGGAAAAATAGAGTGGAAGATTGGAGGAAAGGGTAAAAAGAAACCGTTAAGATCAGCACCGTGCAGGCCAGGATAACTGCGAAGCGGAGATGCCATGTTTTGAGGACTTCCTGAAAACAGAAAACAGGTAATTATACTAAAGAGAACATTGTAAAGCATTATTAGTTTAAATTTTAAAGTAATACTTCCCCGAGATTACTGTAGTTTGACGAAACTTAAAACTATTTAATGGAGAGGTTACTGTAGGTAAATCGAAAATAGGAATGTCTGTTATTGTAAAATAGCACATGACCAGTTTCTCAAACAGCCCCAGGCATTCCCAGCGATGATCTCCGCTTGACGTCAACTCTTTCCATCTTACCTTGATCGATGACCTTTTTTTGCTATTATCATGAGTGGCCTCTTGAAGAAAGGCGTCTAATAACTGTTCGTTCTCCTTCTTCTCACCTTGGAAGAACTGTAGCGATTCGAGAGCTCCTTTTCTGTCATGTCTAAAGCATAATCCATTATTTTTAAAGGCATCTCTCGACTTACTTTACAATCATCAGATACTTTGGGGTCTCTGGAATCAGAAAAAGGAAAAGCAGCGAAACCAGGCCTGGGATTATCGAATATCCAAGCATCTTGGGCAGAGAACTTCCCAGCACCGCCCTCATCCCCAGCACCATCCCGAGAACACACATCAGACAATATCCGATCTCTCCGAGAAAACTGAAGGTGCCCCGATATTGGATGGGCGAGCACTCCTAAAGCAATATCAGAATGATGGATAGCGACCGAAAACAGCTAGAATCAGAAGATGGAGGACTTACTTGCAAGTAAAGGATCAACGCGGCATCAGACAGTGGAGAACAAAGTGCGGCCGTAAAACGGCCCAACATCAGAAGCTCGGGCAAAGAGGTCAAGGTGGCGATGAATTGAAGCCCTGAGGCGGCAGTCATCACAGCAGTTGAGAACAGATAAGCGACTGAAAATAGGCCAGTAAGAAGGGAAATGGCATTTATTTACACATGAATATTTTATTAGACTTGGAGATTTATGTCATCGCTTAAATCCTAACATCCATAAAATAACTTAAAGCTTCCAAAATTATTTTTTATATACCCAACAAAAAATATTACCAGCAAAACATACATTTCCTCCCGTATTTGTCAGTGATATAAGGTGAAATGAATGACCCGGCCACTTGTGCAATAAACCAACAATTTAAAATGGCACTCCGCACAATAGACTGCGCTCCCTCTGTCATATTCCATCCTCGAGAACTGTAGGATTGGTTGATGAAATGCTTCAATTCATCGACGGCCGTGTTCACCGACGAATTCGTAAAGCCTGAGGGGAAATTGGTGATGCAAGTGAGGACCCCGCAAATTATAAATAACTTGCAGACATGGTACCTTGATATCATGACACCTGCAAAACGATGTCATTAGTCGGTTCGAGAGGGCGCGCGCGCAAAAAAAGCATCGACGAAAACTAAATTTTATCGTCGCCAGAGGGCGTTCCCGCCGATGCACTCAAATCGCCCTTTCAATCTGATTTTGAAGATTCAAGTATAATTTATGGCCAGCCTGAAAAGCACGGGAACCCTCCACCGACTCTGACAGACGATCAACGACGCCATCTTCGCATTACAACGCGAGAATTCCCGTCCAAAAAAGTAATTAAAAAAGGTTTTCGACAGAATTGATGGGATCCTTTTGTAATTCACAAGTACCCGAAAAAAAAGTATCGAATTACCACTACATTTATCTGGAATTATTGAAAAAACAAACAAAGAGTGAGAGTAATATCTGTTCGGCCGCGAGACCCCTTCTCTCGGCATTCGGCAGCTTGTCCAAAGAACACGAGACGTGGAAAGAAAAGTTGTGTCTGTGTGTTCGTCTCCTCCCCGAGAACAGATTGGCATCACAATCCACATCTACAAAGGGTTCAGCAGGCGGAAAAACACGAGTTTTGGGTATTTCCCATCCTAACCATGAGAAAAAGAGCAAATTATCCATAAAAAAGGGGAAAACTATCTAAGGGACACGTCCAAAAATAATTATTCTAATAAAAAAGGACTTTGCATGCCGAGGATTGCATTTACCAAGTAAAACTCGAAGTGAAATTGACAAAAAACATTATTTTAGGCAAAAACATCTCCAATTAATACCCAAAATAAAATAAAAATTACCGTAGATGAATGGATTCTCATGGAGATGGCCTTTACAATAACTACACAAATTTCTGTGTAACAAAAATCAAGTCTTCCATGACGTCAGAGATAGAAAAAGATTTGTATCCGACCTCGAAATGAGAGATTACAATCGCCTTTTGATTGCTTATACTCTTAACCCAAACTTCTTTCTTCCCAAACAAAACTTCCGGATGGTAAAACTTGAAAGTTGTGATAAGCTAAACAGACTCCTTATAAGGTGTAATATTTTTGGGATGGAAAATAACGCGTTCGATCACATCTGTCACAAGGATCGTCATTTTTTGTCATAACGTAGGCGACATTCGTTTGGGGAATACCTCGAATTTCCCGAAGAAAGTTCTCTGATCAACGATAATAAAGTGGTGATAAGAGATCCCGCCCCTTTTACTATGCGGTAAATTTATTTATTTGAGGCCTCAATTGAGGACAACGAGATTCCATTGGACGTAGAAAACGACATTACGATTCCTCATTATAGTTAACGTGGATCACGTCTAAATCATCGTGTGAACCCGCAGAATCCAACGTGTTTTAGACGATATTTTGATCAATTATGTCACGTTTGCCTTAATGAGGTTTAGAACCCAGCAAAAGACCAATGAAAGATCAAAAATCTAAATACGCGCGTACAGTTTGAGTCCCGCCACGAAAACTTTAAAATTATGAAAAGCGTTGAGAATTGAGAAGTAAAGGAAATAAATAGAAGCAATCGAATGGACTTATCCTTTTCGAATCGTCAATAATTTTTCTTTTTCTTTTAAGAATACTCCAGAAATTCCGGGTACACCTAAAAATTACCCCTTTTCGAAAAAAATTATATTTCGGTTACATCAGCCTGAGGGTGTAAAGTTCAAAACGCTTCCAATCACGACGTTTCAGGGTGACGACGCATCAATATTAGTGTATAGTAAACTTGAACTTAAGAAATTTAATTTGATGATGAAAGGCCCCAGACTCGGATTTGCGACCTTTCCCATCCGAACCGGCTGAAAAAATGAACCGAAGACATCAAACCATCATTTTAATCTTCAACTTTGGACTCTCGAAGCGACTTCTTTGCTTTAAAAATTTTACACTTGGATGACGTTACCGGTAATATTCGAATTCTTTTTACAAATTCCTTTCATTTCGGTGTCTGTGACCCTAAAACAACAACAATTATTGTAATATTTGGTTGATTCAATAAACATCCATTTCAAAATACCCTCAGTGCCTAATGACGCCACATAAAATATAATATAATTCACAGAAAAAAAATGTGGTTTGGCTACAGAAAATATTTTACGTTTCAAATTTTATCGATTTTCTGTGTTTTGTTACAGTAATTTTTGTGTCGGAAATAAAAAAGAGAGCTCTCGAAAACTCAAGAATCAGCAGTAAACAAGGACTGCAATGGTGATGGTATGGGTTTCGAAAATTTATTTTTACTTTTGATTTTGAAAAGCGTTAGATAGGGCTTCTAGGTAAGTTTTACGCGTAAAAAGGGCGTCTTATGGTAAACTTTATTGTTACAATTACTATGGTCGAGAGTTGTTGAGCAGCTTTTCTTTAAATTTGGTACTTGTATTTTAACTAGGCCGCTTCTAAATTTCCAAAACTTTTCGTTTTTTTGGGTGGGTAATGACTGTCGATAATGAGAAGATTCGGCCAAAGAAAACTACGTTTTCTTCAGGAATCCAATGACCTGTATCGGATACCTTGAAGAAATGAATTCATTTTTTGTAGATTTTTTATTTTCGGATTCATAAATGGGTCTAAATTGTGATTTTTTAATATAAATTTCTGTGTGATTTCTGCAAAGCACGGGCTAAAAATCCCAGATATATCAAATTGTCGGGAAAATAACAGCGGGTCGCGCCTTGGAATCGCCCATCATCGCATTGCGATAGGCAGCAGCGGCTGGGGATTTGGTGTGCTGCACCGGTTCTTCGGCGAGGCGAATCAATTTGTTGCGACGACCCGCCACTATATTTCCCCGACACACCGATATTTCGAGCCAAGTTTTATCGAAATCTATCCGTTAAGAGTTTTGTGATTTTCTGTTATTCAATCAAAGAATCTTATAGTAGATCAAATCGATTAGTCATTATATTTTGTTGTTTCCGCAGCCTTCAAACGACGTTTATTTTGTCTTCACCATGACCAAATTAATATCTACTTGAACCCCCAGGCATCTTTTCTCTCTCCTTTTAATCATTCTGATGACCCCAAATTAAAATCTTCAAGGTTATCTAATTGAATAACCACTCGGAACACAACTCGGAAGTGTTTTTCGTTTCCGTTCCTCACCTGGTCATCTTCACGTCGAAGAAACTGGAGTTTTCCTCCTTCCTTTCTCAGACGTTGCGCGTTTCGGTCGCCCAAATAAAGAACTTTTTATAGCAATGAACGGGTTTTTATTGGTTTCCTTGGGTTTCTTGCTGATCGAATCGACCCAAAGTGCCAAGGAAGGAGAGCACAAGTGTGAAGACAAGGTCCACAATTTGATCAAAGCAAGATCCGACTTTAAAAGTAAGTCCTCGATTGATTAAACAGTTTATTTTGGGTGTCAATAGTACTTTATATTATCAGGGGTCTTCCCCATTAAGATGTCAGATCATATGAAATATGATCGTCTTTTGAATGCAGACGTGAGAATGTTACACTTTTACAAAGATTGGAGTGTAAGAATTGGAAGGGATGCTCCGTTTTTACAAGAACTTTAGAGTTACGACAGTTTATCTAGAAATTAATTTTTTGTACCCACTGGTAATATAAAAAAAAGGACTAATTGAATCTAAAATATTACAATTTAGAGCCAAAACCAGCCTTTATCAAATCGTTCAGTGGGACTATCTACAACCATGACCTCACTCCGTCGTGTGCTTACGGTAAACCTACAGTACCTATGCCCGGATGGGTAACATTATTGGAAGGAGAGATGCATCTCCCCAGGAAATATGAGCTTTTGAAGACCGGGATCATGCGGATAACAGTCAGAGGAAATGGATTTGACGATGCGCTCTGTTTGAATGGGGAAAGTCAATATCTGGCATTACCCAGCAATTTCTGGTAAGGGATACTGTAATGGGAGGAAATTGGTGGGAGAACGGCGGTTAGATTTTGTTGGCGTAGATTTGAGAGAAAAAATTTCATTTATCCGATTTGCCAGGATAAATGGGAAATTTTTTCCTTATTAATTTTACGTAATGCTATGCATAATATAATCATATTTATTTTATTTTAGCAAGCTCAAACTCTGTGATTTCATAGGAGAAGATATCTGCAAAGTTTTCGAAGAGCCTGGCGTCCATACGATAAAAGAATTAGAGGAGAAAATCGGATTCAATTCGACATTAGAGTTGCCCGAACCTCCAAGTTTACTCGGAATCTCCCTTTTGGATGTATTTTCTGTAAGTTCAACCCGAAATCGACTATTCAAACGGTGAAACGGAACGTTCAAAAAGTGAAAGAAACGTTAAAGGTTGCTAATTTTACGTCATAAAAAATAGAAATTCTAATTTATATAATAGTATCCTTACTTTAGGGTGAATTTTCGTTCGGATTCCAAATAGAATCAGAAGGAGAGGTCGTTTTGGATGTGAGTATACCCACAAATAACAAGTGGCTCCAAGTTGGAGTCTCGGAAAGCACCAAAGAAGAAGAAGATGACTGAATCTCATAAATATAATTCTTTTATTAAATAAAAATATCCAAAAGATCAAAGGAGTTTAACATAATTTGAAGGGAATAGGCCCACTTGGCCGTTGGGGGCACGCCCTCTCCACCAGCCATCGTACAACTGCTCGATGTCCGTCAGAATCCAGTTAGGATCAAAACTAATCTCGGTGTTGTCATCTGAAAAAATAAAATGCTAAGAATGTTGTCATCATGTAAACTATGGTGCAAAAACGAAAATGCCTTTTTGAAAAAAATCGTGCTGCGAAAGAATCGACTTTTTTCGATCAAATTCGAAAAATTCTAACAATAATAATATTTTTTTCTCTGACTCCTCTCTTTTTTCCACAGTCTCTTTCCAGAAATTTTTTCGCTCCTTAGAACAGCATAAGATAACTTTCCTTTTATAAAAAAATACGCAAAAAATACATGTCCAGAGGACTTTCCCGATAGATTCTAATCATGAATTCACTTACCGGCCTGATAGTCCCAAAGGGTCAATGCCCTGAGGACGGAATTCTGCTCCGAGATCTTCGGAGGTTCATCGATTTTCTGAACCTCTTTCTCTTCAATTTTCTCTACAACTTCTTCCACTTTTTGTTCTGGCGGTTGAGGAACAACCTTGGCCACAGGTTTAGATGGATCTTCGAAAACCAAGGGAATAAAAGTGTCATCAATATTGGCTGACGAATTGACTGGAGGTGGAGGATTCTTGGGCTGGAGGGCAACTTCGAATTTGAACTGCTTGTTTTTACTGAGGACTTTGGGAGTTGTTCGGACCTTAAAATTTACGGTAGTCATAATTGTACTAGTTGCGCTATAAAGTCCCACATTTCCACAGTGCGTTTTTCCACCCGCCGCGGCAATTCCCCGTTTTTTCACAAACGACATGCACTTTCGCGCAAGCTCTTGTTTCAGGACTTTATGGCGCGACTAGTATAGTCATCATTTTTCTAAAAATTAAAATTTAAGCTAATAATGTTCTTACCAATTCGGCCACTTTTTCATCAAACATCTGAGCTCGGCCTGAGACCAGAGAATGTTTTTTCACCGGTTTTGGGGCCGGAGGTGGAGCTGGCTGATCTTTGGCCGCTTCTTGGGCCGCTCTGGCAGCAGCGCTGATATGGATCTGATGCAGTTCTTTCTCCCAGAGCTTCCTTTCCAACTCGTACTGTTTTCTCTGTTCTTCTTGCTTCAGGAGCTCTTCCTTTCGCCGTTCTTCTTCTTCTGCTCGCAGCTGTAATACGTGTGTTTTGTTTTCCATTGCAAAAATATTCCCTTTATCTAATTAACACCTCAGTAAAGGTCGTTTAGCTATTTCTAAATCCTCCTTACCTCATTCCAAAACTTTTCCCGTTCTCCCAACTCAATTTCTTTTTCCGGTCTGACTTGTTTAACTTTATCAATAGACGCGGCCTGAGGCACAAATGGCTGCGGTTTGGCTGGAAGTTGAGGTGGTGGGGCCATGGCCAATTTCTGAAGTTGATTGCAGACCGAAGTAATCTCTAGATCCTCCTGATTCCGAGCGTAAATGACCAGATTGACCTTCTTGATGAGTCGTTTGATCTCCTCCAAATGGGAAGCGATCTGTGCCAATCGGATGGCCGGGACTCCCTCTCCTTGCTGAATGATTGAGTATTAAGCAAATTGTTTGCTTTCTCACCCAGTGAATCAAAATCACCTTCCTTTGACCTCCGACACTGACTGGTACTAGGCCGTATTGTATTATAGAGGTGTCAAATTCGGCGAGGATCTGTTTTAGACCACTATCTAAAATTAATTTGATTGTTTTCGGGTAGAAAATAAAATAAAAGAATGGGAATATAAGACAAAAATTTGGAACGCCTCAGGCATTTAGAAAGAGAGCTTCTGAATCATGAACAAGCTTGCTCACCTCCTCGTCCCCCCACTTTCAGAATATTGGAGCCTCCATCGTACTCGAAGATGGACCTAAAAAAGTGTTAATCAAACAAAGAAGAGCCGCTTCCTGTTCTCTCAAGTACCCTTAATTAATATACCCGAACATACCACGAACTGTCCGAATTACAAGCGGATTCGATGGCCTCTAATAGGGAGGCCTCGTTGTTCAAGAGGTTGACTGTCATCCCGCCCGAGGGGTCTTCGAAATGACCGGAGGGGATCTGCTTCGAGATCTTTTTCCGATCTTCCCCATGCTTCTTTTTTCCCGTTTTTTTACAATTTGACAGCTGATAACTCGACTGACTCAGAGCGAAGAGGCCCGAGATTTTTGGGCCGAGATCATTTGGCCGGATGAGTCACGACCTCTTGGCCCTCATAAATTAAGGATTTGTTTTGATCCGGAGGGATCAATTGCGCAAAAATTTATGCAATTAAAACAAATGAGGCCGATAGCGATGCAGCAAAAAAATGGGTGAATTTGCAAAATATTCAAATTTGATCAGAATTGGGTACGAAAACGGATTTGATCATTTTCGAAAAACTTTGAATTATGAGTCGGCCAGGAGAGAGCGAGGAATCCGAATGTCAGGAAAGCTCCGAATCCCAGGAATCCCTCTCGGATTCTTCGACTGAAACCCTCCCTCATCCCGTATTTTACAAGAACGAAATCATTTGCAACAAGTACCGAGTGCTAAATGAGCTGGGAAAAGGAGGATGTGGAGTTGTTTTGAGTGTTGTGGACATTGATACTGAAGGTAGTTCACGGCCGATTTATGCTGCAATGAAAGCTGAGACCATCGATCCGAAGGGTCGGGCCAGTCAGACCATCAAAGTTGAGGTAAGGGGCAAAAGGATGACTAACAAAAGTACCGTATCTGCTCTCAGTTGCTAGTTTTGTGTTATTTAGGCTCATGTTTTGCGCCGTCTTCAGAATTGTGACAACTTTTGTCGCCTGTTCTTATGCTGTCGGTTGGACACCTCGATTAACATCATGGTGATGAGTTTGGTGGGAAAATCCCTTTCCTGGCTTCGGCGACATACCGAACAGCAAAGGTTCAGCATCTCCACCTCCGTTAGAATAAGCCTCAAATGTTTGGAAGCAAGTTTTTATCCAATATTCATCTTTTTATGCAATCTCTTTATTTGGTAATCGTTCAGTTATCTTATTAATTTTAAGGTGATCAAAGAGTTACACCGTCGTGGCTTCCTCCATCGAGACATCAAAGCATCCAACTTTGCCATCGGCGCTTTTCCCCATGATTTCAGGAAGATTTATCTATTGGACTTTGGCTTTGCTCGGTCGTATGTAGGTGATATCAATAAGTAAAATAATTTTTCAGCTGATGACTGAAAACAACCAACTGAAGATCCGGCCACCTCGCAAAAGAGCGCCTTACTTGGGAACTGATCGTTATTGCTCCGTGAATGTCCATCTCCGGGGAGAACATGGTCGAGTCGATGATCTCTGGTCATTCCTCTTCATGCTGGTCGAATTTATTCTCGGAAAACTGCCTTGGAAGAATATTGAGAATAAGAAATTGGCAAAAGCAAAGGTAAAACATATTTTAACTTCGTTTAATTTAGCACAATTTAGACCCACTACATTGAAACCTTTCTCAAGAATTGTCCCATGGAGTTATGGAAATTTATGAGACATCTCCAGAAACTGAAATACGACTCCCGCCCTGATTATAATCTTCTGCAGAACTGTTTGGAAGAGATCTGTCATCGAAAAACATTCAAAACAAATGACCCTTTTGATTGGGAGGATGGTGGATCTCAAGTGAACATTATAAATAAGGCTATTGAAGAGGACAAAAACAAATCTCTGGACGAGATGCCTTCCCATCTTACGACTTCTGAATCTGAGATCGAAGTCGATTCTTGATCATATAACCAAGGTGATTTATAGCTGGTGGCAAGCCCAGGAGGCCATTTTTTGCAACTAATTATCGTCAATTTCGTGCACGGTTTCGATTAGAGGTGGCAATTGGGCATGCCCGGGGCTTTTTCAAATTTGCTCAGGTCCGGCCCGGCAAAAGCTCGGGGGACGGCCCGTTCCTGTTTGACCCCCTGATACAAAAAAGCTGGATAAAGGTCTTTGCACTTTTCACTGAAAGCTTTTATGCTTTCCAGAAGTTTTTTTACGTGTATATGTATGTATGAAATTAAAACGTCTGGTGGGACGTCTAGAATAGCCGTAGAGGTAACTAAACCCACAATTAGCGGGTTTTCGTCCACCGGATTTCGATTAAAAATGTGGAAAACCATCGATTTTTATGTAGGTGCCAAAAAATGGCCTCCTAAACTTGCCGCCAGATATAAATCACCCTGATTAAATATTATTTATTATAAAATAAATATTTTTCACTCAAAATATATAATACAATCTATATTCGTTTTCAAATGGAATAATACAGTAAACCATGTAAATATCGTAAGTATTCAATCCTGTAAAGGTAACAAAACTAGAACTTTATATCCAAAAAAGGAAAGTGTTTTCGAAAAGCAGGATACCCGGTGATCCAAAGACTCACAATATAGGTCACAGCGCCTGACTTAGGGTCAACAAAATGAGATTTACAATTCGGATCCCTCCCTCATGAATGCGAGGACATCTTTTTTGGTTATAATTCCGAGTAATCGACCATCCCGGGTGACTAGAACTTGACGAAGGCCCAGTTTTCTGAACATATCAATCACTGTTTCCATGGGAGTTTGTTCTGTGACAGTTAACGGGGCCATGTCCATAACTTTGCGTAATCTCAGAGAAATAGGTCCGGCACTGGAGCCGGGGATATCATCGTCAGTTGAGTGCGGAGTGAAATAAACTTTGGATTGGGTGGTCACATTCGTGTGATTCTTTCGAGCTGCCCTCAGGGCGGATTCGAGATCTCTTCTTGTACAAAATCCAATAACCAGATCATCCTTTTCGACCACTGGGAATCCGCTAAAGGATGATTCTCGAAGTAATCCCTCCAGGTCTCCTACTGTCATCTTCCCATTACTGATCACTTTCAGGGGAGCTTGATCGGTACCTGCTCTCATAACTTCGAATGCGGTGGTCGAGAAGGGATATTCTCCTTTGTTATCAAGAAAAGGATATCCATTCATTTCTATGTGAGCATCATAAATACCCTAAAACAGTAATTAGTCAACCGTAAAAGTCCCACCTCTTTACAAATAGCATCGCCAACCCATTTAGCAAACATCACACCTGCCATTGTGGGTACAATAAATTCGAGACTTCCAGTCAATTCGAACATAATGACCACTAAACTGACCGTCATTCTAGTTACTCCACCTAGGACAGCCGCAGCTCCGACCATGGCATACAGACCAGGCATCACACAGTCCTTCCCAATCTGACAATTCCATCCGGAACTTCCAGTGCTCTGCAGAGTGCTCACAAAAGATTCAACTTGGATTCCAAGAAGTCTTCCAGCAATGGCACCCATGGCCAAGCTCGGAATGAAGAGCCCTGAGGGAACTTTGACACCAAAAGTGGCAACTGTAAGGAACAACTTGACAAACAAGGCCATAATCAGTTGCCAAAATGCAGTCTGAAATTACCAATGATATTATTCTAGAAAATAGGTTACCTGAACCCCGAATCCCATATGGCCGGTGTGATAATTCTCATCGATTTTGTCAGCTGTGAACGTTTTATTCTTGTAATCACAAAGATCTTCCATGTAATCCTCTGGTCCGCATCTGTCAAATAACTAATCAGGGAATATTATTTACTTAAAAAGCAGATTACCTGTTTAATCAAAGCACTGGAGCTCTTTCTTGTGTATGGATTCATATATTGGATAGCTCCAGTAATCGCAGCGACTACAAGGACCTCACGGATGGGGTTCTGACCCAAGAACTTGCTTGATTTGCGGAACAAGCACCATTTAACATTGGCCCTATAAAATTATATTAATTTAGAGAAGCAGATCCCACCAGATGAAAAAGGAGCCTATCATTCCACCAAAAGTTCCGATAACAGCAAATGGAACCAACTCGAAGAATGACCATTTCATATTGTAATCTACATGGAACAGGGACGTCTGAATAAAGGATTGAATATATCAGAACATATCACTTACCTGATCCGATCCGAATGGATTCACCATCCTCAAAATAACGCCGGCAACAAGTGCGCAAAAGAAAGAGCGCCACATCGTCTTCAAAGGGAAGTAATAACTCGCTTCTTCCAAACTAAAATTATATAAATTAATAAATATAGATAAGTACTAAATACTACTTGCCTGAACATTACACCCCCAATTGGAGCGCCAAAAGCCACAGAGACACCAGCAGCAGCTGAAGCCGACAGTATTTCCCTTTTCTTGGCTTCATTTTGCCCGTATTTTGGGAAGAGATATGATAGTATATTACCAATGCAACACGCAAGATGCACCATTGGACCTTCCTTTCCCAGATTCAATCCTAAGGATAAGACAGCCGCAAAAACAGACATACCTGAGGCAGATGACAATATAAGACCCACAGACTTTATGATAAACGTCCATTTTCCCAGGTATCCGCGGATCACAAATCCTGATAAGATACATTTGATCTCAGGGATACCGGAGCCACAAGCATATGGAGCAAAGGTTCGGACCAAGCAAGCTGCAGTGCCTGCCATCAATACTAAAAGGACGATTAAAATAATATTTTTTGTAACTTACCTCCCCATACAACATAGAAGAAAAACTCCAGAGAATAATAGAAAAAGTTCTTGTCGTAGTAATGTAACATCTCCGGCCACGTTGTCCACGCACTACAGTCGTTATCTTTATATGCGCTGTCATTGGCAGACCAACAACAATGTTCACGATCCAACCAAAAGCGATCAGCGCATATACCACTCTAAAAAATAGTAAAAATAATATATTTCACTTACCTTTAGATCACTCATCCATCTTGCACTGATATCAATGACACCAGCCACTGTTCCGGCAGCCAATCCCACAAGTAGTACACAGATCCAACCAGAACCAGCATCCCAGATGCCATAAAACATTCCCAACATGGAGTCTTGTCTAACACCTTTAATAAATTTGTGCCGCATCCTATCACGGGCCAGATCTCGCGGCCAATCAATCGTGTGGAAGTCATCGTACTTTCTAAAATTATTTACATTTCACTTGTGCGTCTAAACTTCAATAACTTCCAGAAATAACTTACGTTTTAATTTCGTTCCAATTCAGGGTTTGTTTGGCCTCATCAGTGGTTTCTTCTTGAGCTATTGACAGTTCTTCGAACCCAAAGGACATCTTAAGTTAACTAGATAAAGAAGGGAGGTGAACACTGGTCTATAAATGAGAAACACCGATAGACAGCAACGAAAAATGCCCATCCCACCGTTTTAAACATGATATATTCAACAATAAGCAAAATACTCAAATTAGTTGACGCTAGCTATCTTGTGACTTGCAATTTCAAGTGATTCAGCTGCTATTTTACAAGGTCTGCTCCAAAGAGAAAAATAAAATCTCCAAAATTTATTTTTTGGAATATTTAGTTTGTTTTCGTTGTAGGACGCAAACATAATAATGTTGACTTGCGAAATTTAAATTTTTAGAAATAAAATTTACATATTTTTTATGTACAGTGCACGAACTTTTAAAAATTGGAAATTTGAAGATGAATTTACCCTTCTCCATTATTCAAATTTTACGTGGTCGTACGGCATTTCTCACTTTCATTTGACGAAGGTTTACTGACCGGGTGCGGTGACTGATACTGAGCTCCCTGCTTCGAAGACTACCATGTTGAGCCTCCTGCTTACTGCTCTATACATCTCATTGGTCTTGTTTGTGACCCTTCAATGTGGAAAAGCGGTACGGAATACTAAATTTTGTTATGTTATAGCGGTAACCTTTGGCGTTACCTTGGTGTTTTTAAGAAGAAAGCTCCTCCTCCAAAACCGGCTCCGGCCCCACCTCCGCCAGCTGCACCAAAGAAAGAAGAATCCAAGAAGGAAAAGTCTAAGAAGGACAAATCCAAGAAGGAGAAATCCAAGAAGGACAAGTCCAAGAAAGAAGGATCAAAGAAATCCGTGAAGGACAAGAAGGGAGAAGAGAAGCCTGAAAAAGAAAAGAACGAAGAAAAGAAAGAGGAGGAGAAGAAAGAGGATAAGGAAGAGAAAAAGGAGGTGGAAAAGAAAGAAGAGAAGAAAGAAGAAGAAAAGAAAGAGGAGGAGAAGAAAGATGAAGAAAAGAAAGAGGAAGAAAAGAAGGAAGATGAGAAGAAGGAGGACGAGAAAAAGGTAAGGTCAGATAAAGTAAAGTTACTTGTGTAGGACGAGGAGAAGAAGGATGGCAGCAAGAAGGATGCATCCAAAAAAGATGGTTCCAAGAAAGACGCCAAAGGAGATGAAAAGAAGGAAGAATCCAAACAAGATGGCTCCAAAAAAGAGGGTTCCAAGAAAGAGGGTTCCAAGAAAGAGGGTTCGAAGAAAGGTGGCTCGAAGAAAGACGAAGAAAAGAAGGATGGAGAGGAAAAGAAGGATGGAGATGAAAAGAAGAACGATGAAGACAAGAAGGATGATAACAACAATGAAAAGAAGGAAGAGGGCGACAAGAAGGGTGATGAGAAAAAGGCTGATGAGAAAAAGGCTGATGAGAAGAAGGCTGATGAGAAGAAAGGGGATGAGAAGAAGGGAGGTGGTAAGTTTTCAAAATTTTATATTTGACGCATTTTTAGTTTCTCTTGGTGAGCCGGAGCTCAAATTCGATAAGGAGGGAGGCAGTAAGAAGTTCAAAATCATCAATGGCGATGGTGAGAGAAAGGCCATCAAGATCAAGTGCTCGGACAACAACCTGTATCGTGTGAATCCGGTGTTTGCTTTCTGCCCGCCCAATGGAGAGCTGGAGGTAGAAGTTGTGCGTCAGAAGGGCAATGAAAAGCCTGATAAGTTGGTCATTCTCAGCACCAAAGTAAGGAGCATTTCAGATATATTAGAGCAGTTAAAACAAGTTAGAATTTATACTGGTTTATGTTAATTTGACTTTTTATTTTTCTTTTTTCAGGCCGGCGATGATGACAAAGACCCTGCTCCTCTGTTCAAGAAGGGCGGAACCTTCCCTCAACTTATCATGCCCTTGGGAATTTGAGTTGAATAAACAGTACTACTCGAATTCGGTTTACTTTTCTTTGACTATTTGATCTTTTCACTTTTTTCCGAAACTTCGCTTATGAAGAAAGAGCAATCGGAATGGAAGTGACACCATTAATGTTGTTGCTATTGCGTAAAGAAACGAAAGGATCTGACCGGCTCTCAACTCCGCACCGATTAAGTTGGCGAGTCGATGATCATCCCTGTTCCGTGTTCTGAAATGGCATTTAATTAAGTGTGAGGCTCGTCTACAGTAATTTTATTGGCTTCTCGAGTCCACTCCTCCATCTCGTCCGATTGTAAAAGAGCTGGTTTTTTCTCCGAATGTCGCAAGATTTACTCGTCCGTTTTGTTGAAGTCCATCAGCCAACCGACCGGAGATTTACTACCTTTTTTGGAGTGATGGGGTGGCGGACAATTTTATTGTTATGCTACGCGGTAACGCTGACATTTGCCAATCATACGGTAAGTTTAATGGGCCGTGGCCAAAAAGATGATGTATCATGAATTTGCAATATCTTGCGTGATACAACTGGTACATTGTATATATATGATGTTAAGGAGATCTACAGTTCCCCGCCAAGTCATTTACCGACCAAAAAAATATTTATTCATGGAAGGCCGGTCTTTGTCAGGCAAATGTTCGTATCTCCATTGAGAAGGACCAAGTCCACAGGTAAATTAACGCGAATGATCAGAGGTTAATTTTCTAGAAGTTCGTCTAAACACAAGACGGAAGAGATGTCCTGGTCTCTTCGGTGGAGGAGGCGCTGCCGCAGCCCGTGAGTTTACGTCATCATTTGTTACAGTACCTTTTAGCGGCAGCCCCCGCTTATGCCCCGGCGTATGCTCCTTCCTATAGTTATCAATATGCGCCGGCTCCGGCTCCAGCACCTCAGCAGATCATTGTTCAACAACCTGTTCAAGTTGTAGGTTATTTCCTATTCATACATTATCTGTTTTTATCACGATCGTATATTACTTTAGGTGCCGGCTCAACCTCAATTTGTTGCCCCTCCACCTCCGCCGCCCCCGCCTCCTCCCCCGCCACCCCCACCTTCTCCTGCTCCTCCCGTCCCTGCAACTCTTCCTCCACCTCCAGAAGATTTAGGAGAATACAAAGAAAGGCCGAACTATCCATTACCAGAGTGTTATACTGATGACAGTAACTTCATGTGTTGTAATAACAAGCTGGAAGACTATATGAAAGAGGCGTTTCAAGAGTTGAAGGAGACCAGAGAGGACTGGACTTCTTGTAACATCCATCAAATTGCCCATAGAGTCCAACAAAGAGCCGAGAAGGAGTTCAATACCAACTTTGAGGTCATCTCTGGAGTCGGGGATTATGCCTCAAAATCACACTTCTACAGTAATCTGATCTGCAAGATCGAGAGAGAAGGAAAGTAAGTGAGCCTTGAACCTGTTTCATTGCTTAAAATTAGGTTCATCTTGGCTTATGCTACACCCAGGCCAGAAGAAGAAGGGGATGAAGAAGGAGCTGGAGCTGGGGATGGATTTGGAAATGGAAATGGGAATGGGAATGGACTGGGCAATGGATTAGGTGGGAATGGAGACGGACATGGAGGCGGACAAGGAGGTGGAGTGCAAAGTGGAGGATACGGAGACAACTCTCAGACTGGTGGCTATGGCGGAGGGAATCCGGCACCCAGCTACGGAGGAAACGAACGATCTTATCCATAAGGAACCTCGTTTATAAAATAAATAAATTATAACAATAACAACCCATTACGTTCATTACCCGTTGATCAGCTTTTTCACGAATTCCTCGCCCGATTCACACGAGCGAGACCAGTGTTCATCGAGGTTTGGTATTCGATATTGAGGTCGGGGATCCAGATGGAGCAATCGGCAAAGCTGACAAATGCCCCAGGGCCTCTCGAGAACATCGTGGTGGGCGCCGTCCAAGAAAATTATCGCGTAGTTTTCCCGCCATTTGAAGTATTCCCTAAAGTTTTATTGCAACATTGGTAATGACAGTTAATTCATCCTTATATTACTGATACAGCCGTTTTTTTACTTACAAATATTTTTCCTTATCATCCATCAACTCCTTCAAATGTCTGGCCATTTCTTCCACTGATTTGTAGTCATCAAATGCGATCACCGACTTTGGAGGGACAAATTCCTCAACTATTGATCTCTTTAGAACAATTGGAATGGCATTTCCTTGAAAGCCGGTCTTCCAGAGCTTCTCTGTGATGTACTCTTTACATAAACTGTTCTCTAACGCCATATAAAAGTGATATCTGAAAGATATGGTTTGGTAAAAATAATGAAAAAAGTATTTTTTATGTGACAGGTAATTAGTATATTTTGCCACTTACTCCGAGCTGTCCTCGCATTTCCCGCCTTTCTCACAGGGTTTCCCGCACGACCCGAGGATATCCACATTTATATATTTCTGAAAAATGCATCTTACAGTTAAAAATTTGAAATCTCACGTAACTTCTTACCTGTAATTCCGCTACCAAGAGTTCCCTTTTGCTGTCCGTGCTGCAATGACTGACCAGCCAATATCCCCCCTTCTTCTTTTTCTTTATGATCTCCATATCAACCACCTCCTTTAAATCTTTTTTCTCAGCCAATTCTACAGCATAACCGTACGGAGAGGAAGCCGGGGAGTCATGGCGGTAGCCAATGCTCATGTTATACTCCAATTCCTTGAAGATATCCGAATTTGGAGGGCTTTCCTTCAAAAAATACGTCATGTTGCGAAAAAATTATGTGATATAAATTACGTAATTATGTATTTTTAGTCATACCTGTGTTGAAAACAAATAATACCCGGTAAAATTGTCGATGGCCCTCTCATTAAAGTTGATTAATGCATCGTATTTCTAAAATTGCGTAAAACCTTACTGTAATCACTTACAATGCCTTGTTTAAAAGTCAGGGTTACTTCACAATTAAAATCAGGGCATCCTCCAAGGTTTTCTGCCTGGAAAGCGGACATAGAGAGGATAAATTTCTTCGGGGACCCTGCAATTTACTCCATTTTAGCCAAGGGAAGTAGAGTCATAGACATCTTGAAGATGTGTAATTGGAGAAACAAATAAATTACCGGCAACTGGAGGGGTTAGACGCTCCTGAAGAGATGGCATCGACCTGTCTGTTAGCAACCTTTTTATCTTTAAATCCTTCCCTTGGTACTTTAATGTATACGTAAAGTCAGGCGATGATGATCCATTGGCAGGGTGAGTCGCGTTTCTTGGATTTAGATGATCTAACAGCTCTTCTACAAGATTAAAACTCTATTTTTAATCTCAATCCTACTATCAACGTTTGAAATAAGTAAGCAAAAAATGTTTTAATCGCCAAAACAAAATAAAATTTCTGAAAAGAATTGTTTGGCTAGAACTCACTCGGATCAACCTCTTTTCTCGAGGGCAACAGCCAAAAAGGAACCACGAAAAACGCGTAGACAAAGCCCCAGGCCAGGAAGAAAGTGCGCCATCGGAAGTTGATCCCTCTCATCTCCACATACCACCAATTTGCTAAAATTATTCAAATTAAACAAAAAAAATATTTTTTTATTTATATTCTAAATGTACTCCGGAGCTTATCAGGAAAGGAAACGGCCCGGGTCTTGGGGGAAAGGAGTGATGATTCTGAAATGCAAATAATCGGAGACAAAGCCCTCCGGGTCTCAAAAAGGGAAACCGCAAAACACCTCAATTCCGGGTGTGATCAAGAGTGAGGAGAGCCTCGGCTAATACCTCGGATTTCATTTTCAATCTAGTAGATCAGTAGGTTAGAGTAAAGTGAAAGTACTCGTACTTTCACTACAGCTCTAGACTTATATTGGATTTATTTTAACTATGTTTTATGAGGAATACAATATAATCAACGCCAAAACAATGGTTACCATTTAAAGAGCTCCCTTGCAACGCATTTCCATCGATTTGAACGTGGCTTGCAAATTAGGGCCGACAAATTGAAGCCGATGTCATGGGGGCCTCTTTTCCATGGAGATCCCTCCAGTTTCCCACTGTTTTTCCGGAGGGAAAAACGTTTTCAAAAGACTTGGACGTGTTCAACAGGTGCTTGGTATTATTCCCGGAATAGGACATTTGCATATCCTTATTTATATGCAGCGTTATTAAACATTTATTACACTGATCACAGCATGTATTATGTCACCTTTTTTTAACAAAAACTTGAATACAGGTCGAGCGGATGTGTCAGATTATGATTAAACTGTTTGCGGCGGGAGTTTAGCGTGATTCAGATGTACGAAATCACATAATTCAAACGGGAATGGCTGTCCTTTACATAATAGTTCGCAATACGAGTTGAAGTTGTGGGTAAATTTTTTTAAATATTTTTTTTGCGGTTTTTTTAGATTAATCATTCCCAAACTTTGCAAAGTTGAAGATTACTTCCAAAAAAGAGCTTTTCAGAAGAGTTGTTAGATCGGAAAAAATCGACTAGCCCTGCTAATGGATCATCATCATCTGGCTTTACACTTATACACTCACGTACCAAGCGAAGGATTTAAAGATAAAAAGGTTGCTAACAAACAGATCGATGCCATTCTTTCAGAGAGCAAATTCTTACCTCTCCAATTGCCGGAAGTTTATTTGCGTTTTTAATTTTAAGATTTTACGCATTCTCTCACAATGGTTGCAGAATTTATTGCCGGTATCTATAGTACCACATACAAGCACTGTTTTTGCGATACAATAATATAATAAGGATGAAAGTTAAATTCATTGTCATCTAAATATTTACAAACAGTTCCCCGTGAATTTAAAAAATTTCATTACAAAAGTAACCTCAAGGTTTATCGAACGAGTTTAGAGAAGATACCAAAATTGTTGAACAGACCGTTATTTCCACAAGACGAGATAAATAAAACAGCCCATTTCTCCGGCTGATGAATACCCGTTTGGCTCAGGGATTTGGCACATTTTGTCCTAATAAGGTTGTAGACCCTTCAAAGTCGGGTGGTTTGAATCGTATCTTCCTCAATGACATCTACCTTCTGGTTGAATCTGGTGATCTTTTTGTCGTCCGGCATCGCTGGCAGAGGTTTTGGGGAACTAGATCCTACTGTAATCGCACTCTCTCTTCGTCTTTCGATGACCAAAACATTTGTGGCAAATCGAGTTTTCTTGCTGTCTTTTCGTTGGACATAACCATCTCCGTAGTCAAGTTCATCTTCTGTGTCATGTCTTTTTCTTTTCTGGTTTTGTGAGGCCAACTTTATTCCCCACATTTTTTCTGGGAGTTTTCCTGCAAAAAATTGAGAGTTTTGGAACAAAATAATGAAAAGTCCTTAGGTTTTGATAAAACTTTCTCCGGTTGCTATTGGTAAATATGAGTAAAAAATTACTTAGATGTAAGTAAATCCGAGTTCCCTGTGCATAAAATTTTTTGAAAATCGAAAGCTAAAAATTAAAAAATTTAGGCGCTATGACATTTCGGGTCAACGACATTTCGGGTCAACGATATCGTTTAATATTTTATTTTTTGGAGAATTTGAACAAAATTTTGAAATGTTTTCGCGTTGGGACTTGGAAAAAGGATTTTTTGGAGAATTGAGGTTTATTTTTTTTATTTTTTTAGGAAAATAGTGTATAAGCGACGAACACATAAGAAAATCGTATCAGTAAAAAAATTAAAAAAATAAACCTCAATTCTCCAAGAAATCCTTTTTCCAAGTCGCAACGCGAAAACATTTCAAAATTTTGTTCAAATTCTCCAAAAAATTCTTTTTTCTCAGTCCCGAAGCGAAAACATTTTAAAAATTTTTCAAATTCCCCAAAAAATTCTTTTTTCCCAGTCCCGAAGCGAAAATATTAAACGGTATCGTTGACCCGAAATGTCGTTGACCCGAGGTGTCGTTTACCCGAGTTGTCCCTGACCCGAAATGTCGGGACGCGAAAATTTATATTCACCCAATTTCTGTCATTTTTGAAGATTTCCATCCCAATCTGAGCTCGCACCTCAAGCATTCTCCTGTTGATTAAAATACTTACCTCGAGTTTCTTTCGGTCCACAAAAACAGACGCAAAACAAAACGCAGCCAAGTGCAACTGGGATCATAAATATGGACATTGGAATGAGGATCAACTCCAATTGGAATCTGTGGCCATCACAGGGCTTCTTCTCCACAGTAGACGCTCTTTTATGTCTGCTGTTGGTATCTTGGTCGATCAACTGAATACTAAAATAATTACCATCAAGCAAAGTAAAATGTTTATAAAAACTAACTTACAGCGTCTCGTTGTCATCGCTCATCCCCATTTCAGTCTCATTTACTGAGTAATTACTAGTAAGATTGTTGCTTATTGTATAACTGCTACTGCAATTCCCTCGGCAACCTCTGCAACCAGTTGGCGCTGCGTATAATCCAAGTTCGAAGACCAAGTTGGTCATGATTACCAAGCCCAGGACACAAGGAAGTGCCGATCCCATGTTTTTTGAGCTGACTGAAAGCGGAATTCAACCAAGTTAAGTGAATGTAAAGTAAGGTCAAGAAGATCCTCCCCTTTACAAAAGGATCGGAAGTCGAATAATGGCAAAACAAGAGTGGCTAATTAAATGAAAAGTATGCGCGGAATGTCATCCACAATGTAATTTATCTGCTGCAGCGAATTCATCGATGGAAATCGCGGCTGAGGTGACGAAAACAGGAAAATTCAATGAAAAAGGACCCAAGAAGAGGATCAAAATGGATTTCTTTTATTCTCACGCAACAATGGGGTTCCACATCATGAAAAAGTTCAATTCATAATCGTTTTTAGGTATTGTAAGCAGAATTGTGACACAAATTGTAATTAGTGACCGTAACAAATCAACTCATCGGTCAAGAAAAGAGACGTCTGATTCAAGCAATTTGGATCTGCAGCAAAAAAAAGAGACTTTTTGGATGGTTGATTTGAAATTTAGCGGAAAATTTTAGATTTTTCTATATTAAACCAACTACAATATAAATTATTCAATTCTTTTTATTTTTAGAAATTTATAAAATAAGTATTAATCTCCACAAAAAGTTGGCAATCGGTATGCTTAAAAAATTTTTTTTGGATTCAACTGCTATACACTGCACAATAAGTAACGTTCCATAATTCAGATACAAGCCGCTGTAAACTAGTAGTTTCTTACAACTTTGGGAACGTTTTAAACCCGAACGCTGCAATCGTAACGGAGAATACGGTCATCAATTTATTTATAATCTCTTTTTAACAAATCAATCTCCAAAAACAACAGCCCCAGGCAAATCTGGAGAATAGCTGGAGCCATCGGAAGAAGTGGAAAGTTGCATACTGATTTCCGTGTCAGTTCGGCGCAAATGGAGAAAGAGAGAAAAGGAAGATGCACCGGCGTTGATGAAAAAGAGAAGCCCAATTTGATGTGGTCGATGAAATGGTTCCAGACCGGAAGACGCTTTTTCGTTTATTGCGGGGGCTTCTCCGTCGCTGGAGGACGGGTCGACGAACATCGAGGGACCTTCTGCTTATTTATGACGATCCGACCAAGTCACGAAGGAAGCGGTTAATCGCACTCATCGGGACTCAAAAAATAAATAAACGCTGCTCATTTCGAGAACTCTAAGAATAAAGTTAGAGACGGAGAAGATATATTTAATAGTCTGCTCAAAACTTTTGGTTCGATTTGGGAGGTCGATTTGAGATCCAAGATTCTGAGTAGGCGATTGCAATTTTAAATATTTTCAAAATACGTTTTTCTATTCTATAATAAACACGCACTGATCTTTTAAAAAAGCTTGAAGTATTATAATTTTAAAAGTCATCATTTTTTGTGACTGCATTTTTTGAAAAAATGTCAAACGAATTTGCTAATTTTTATCATCCTGTAAGTGTCAAAAAATTTTTTGTTGGTTTTTAATTGTTCTTAAACCCGAACCGCATCTCCGGAATGACCTTTAGAAACGCTTACAAATTGTTGCAAAATTTAAATGAAGGATACAGAAGGGGGATAGAAGCCCCCTCCTCTCCTTCTGTAGACGTTGAGGGTTTGTTTTGGTTTCATTACTCGTAAAAAGTTCCGTCTCTGTAAGTATGGTCACCTTGACTTAGCCGACGCCGGATGACCTTGCCGCTCTCTTTTTTGAACGACGCTCTCTCCAGCCCCTTTCATTAATTCCGTCGCATCCCAGCTCGGCACATGAATAAGTTCAGATTCACTGATTAGCGGCTTCCGTTCGGGTTTTTACCTGAGATTCCAAGATGTTTTAGGCTTTAGAAGAATCGAAGCCACTTATTTTATATTTATTTCCGTTTAATTGGCATCGAAATGTTTATTTAGCGCTCCAAATAAATACTTCTAAAAATGTCCTTTTTATGGCCACATTTGATGGATTTAGTGGCCTGAGATTGGATTTCGCGCCATTTTTTGGTTGCGCAATTGATTGCGGATTTGAATGTCCTAGGTTAAATTTCTTGGGGGTTTTTTTTGGACAACTGCACAATGGGTTGCACAGTTTTCTTAATTCATGGCTAATAAATTTGTTCATGGACAAAAGTTGAGACAATTTAGTGTCTTTATCCTTGTAAATTAAATTTTTTACTTAATCTATCATGTTTTGAATAAAGCTCAATCTTCCAAGCCGGGATTTGTGGATTGGAGATGCCCGAGGCCTACCACCGATATCACATTTGCATTTAAATTGCGTCGGACAAGAGCGAAAACGGTTCTTGAGCTTTAAATTAAGTGGTTTCCATCCATCGCCCATCTTCCGAATCTTCTGTCATTTTCGATTCCGCACAAAACCGTTTCTTATTTCGGTCGAAACGTCATATATCGCGCACCTTTTTCGTAATAATAAATATTGGATCTGGTGGAAAGAAGGGAGAGCAGAGGCGACACCATCGGTTTGGAATTCTCTCTTTTATTAAGTTGAATTAACTCTTTCTCTCATTAGTATATGCTTGCTGACGAGTTATTGGGTCGTTCTTTCTGACCCACTCAGCCTCGTTTAGTTACCTCTAAATACCTGGAAATGATGACTCCATCCGTTCCCATTACCTCCCCCACTTAATCGCCCATTTTTCGCCTGAGAACCCCCAGTTAATAACATATTATTGCGGCTCTTAACCCCATCTTAATATTCAAATTTCTTTATCCTTCGCTGAGCCACTAGAGATGGCGATAAGTCAAGAGTGCGGGGAATATGCCCGGGCTCTCTAATTGGAGGTAAGAGGGGCGAGAGTAAACTCTTGACTCCCCTGATCTCTGAGTGTTTTGAACCCCCAGATCTCCCTCCTTTTACTGACTTCCCCTGGGCTTCTTCTTCCGTGATGGACTGGACTGGTGGTTCCTGACGGATCGCTTGGGACCTGAGGGCTTTTAATTTTTGCTCCTCGTTTCCACCGTTTAAGAGCGAGCATTTGTTTTGTCTTGAGAGGCTCTATACGTTTCGTTGTTTTTTGTGGTCAGCCTTGCCTCTCATCAGTCGATTCTCTTGAGATTAAAAGCGAGGCGCGAAGCCCACTCTGCAGCCGCTGTAACAGATTGTTGCGCTTGTTTTGGGGATGGCCTAGAGGGACACGCGGAGGGACAGAGTGACAACTGATCCCTCCGTTTATACGGAACTTTCGGCTTCAGCCGTTTTTGGTGACTCAAAAAGAGCAAAAGCCTTGATTCCTGCTAATTTAGGGGCAGTGATCTGTCCATTGTGTTGTCGGAATACCTTTTTGCTGAGAGACCGTTGCGTAAAAGGTTCGCGCGCAATACATTCGTTACAAGTCTTTTCAGCCATTTAATGTACATTACTATTAACCTATTCTATAGGTTTCGCGCTGGTGTCATTTACGTGAAACCTCACTTTTATTAGTCCGCTTGCATGTAATATTGCATAGTTTCGCATAATTTACCACAAGATTGACGATTTTTTTTTCAGATGACCCTCCGGGTTTGATGCGTAAACGAATACGAAAGGGGCTCTTAGCCCTCGTCCTAATATCCTTTATATTTAAATTGGATGCTCAGTCCGATCTTCCTCACGTTGTTCAACCGTCCCTTAACGGCTCCTCCAGTCCATTACCACACTCATTTTCCCGTGAATTTCTTAAATTTTTCCGTCTGGAAAAAAGCCCGGCCGACCCAGCCCGGTCCCTGGAAATCTACTTTCCCTCCGAATACAGCCAGTTCAAGGAATTCATAGCACGGGTGACAGACACCAGCGAAGCTAAGTAAGGGGCTTTTTCAACTGATTTACGATTACGAGAAATGGCGCAATCGCTAATTCGTTTTTCCAACTTTTAAATGAAAAAAATACCAAAGACAACGGTATTTCAGGGACGAATCTCTTCTCGATGCCAACCGAACATTTCGAATCACACCCCAAGATCCATCTTTCATCAGAATCGACCGGTTATATCCGGGTCATCACTATTATGTGGCGATATTGGGAAGAGTGGAGGATAAGTCGATATCCATCAAAGAAGAGACTGTGGTCATGGACCCAGTTCCCATTGAATTCAATTCTCCAGAGGCTGTAATTGTGGGGCATACGAATATTACATTTAGAGGTTTCAAAGCGGAGAAAGCATTGCAAGATAAATTTACTGTAAAGTATTTCCAATTGGATCCTTTGAAGAGATATCCGACATTACAAGTGGACGATATTCAGGATCAGAAGTTTGTGGAATTATATTTGAGTAATCTGAATCCGGGAAGAGATTATGATGTGACAGTTTCTGCTATAAAGGATCCATTTACAAGTTCCCCATGGAGAAAGACAATAACAACAAGTAAAGGGAGATCTGGTCGATCCTAATCATGATTTTAGAACCATTAGCCCCAGCGAACTTAACAATAAGTGATGTGAATGCAACATGTATTCGAGTGAGCTGGCTACTTCCATCTGAATCCGGAGCAGATCAGTTCAACTTGTCATATCACAAGTTACAAAGACCAACTGAAATTAAAAGAGTAAGCAATTTAGTTTTTTAAAACACCCCCAATCCTTCAAATTTAATTTGGAATAGATCAAAATATGCCAAATTTCATATCTAGTCAGGCACTCTTAAGATATGTTTTGATTGTAGGTAAACGTGACATTCGGATCAGCTCAGAAAGTGGATCTATGCGATTCGATAGTGGCTGGAGAGAATTATGTGTTTACAATCACGGCTTTGAAGTCAAACCAACGTTCAGAATCGAGTACAATTACTCATACTGTCCGCCCAATGCCTCCAACTTCCATTTCCCTTGTACCCGACTTCAAGATGGGCAAGTTCAAGATGGTGGTTCATCTAAATGATTCGTCACAAACAAAGACAGACCAGTGTCAGATCAGGATCATCGATGATTCTCGACGAATTGAGCAAGTTCTACCGATTACTCAGAATGCAAATGGGTCAATGTAGGTTTAATTACACATGCCATTCAATTTTTAATGCTTGCTTAATTATAATTTAATTTTAGGTGTGTGACATATTTAGATCTTGAGCCTGGCAAGAGATATGATTTATCTGCCGCTGCTTTGAGCGAGAACACCATCAGCAAGAAGATCTTAAAAAACACAGCCTTAGAGCCAAGTTTTAGCAAGGATTCCTTTGGCCTTTCCATCCAAGTGAGTGCTTGTTGATCTTGTTGTTGGCCATTGACCAAGACTCTAAATCAACATCGTCTGATCTGTCTGCCGTTTGATTAACGACTTCCTGGTGTTTTTAATTTTTCCCTTCTGTCTTGATTTCTCCCAAAACTTTTTAAAAATACCCCGAATGCTTTTCTTTTATCCTGCAGGAACAAAAGGGAACACTTGTTTTCACCTGGCCCGGCGATCTCAAAAACATCAGCGAGCTGTGGACAAAGACTGTGGGAAAGTCATCAAAACTGCATATTCGTGTGGATCCGCTGTCAGAGAACAACAAGAAAGATGGGTCGAGACAATTTGACACATCGCCCTTTGACGGCACCAACGAAGTTCATATTGATCATCTGAGAAGAGGCACTTGTTATAAAGTACACATGTATACAGTTACTAATTCGGGAATCGTATCGCTCAACAAATTTGAAGAATTCATTAGATTATCTCCACCATCAGTCGATGTGAAGGTGGATAAAGTGGATAAGAGAGAGGTTGCCATCAGAATTAGTGTGACTTCATTCATGATCGACCCGTTGCATCCAGTTATTGGAGATCTGAGTGATTGTTTACTTCATTTACAAGTTGTTGACGAGAAAAATACGGTGATCTTGGAGAGATCTATTAATTTTGTTGATCTGAATGCTCCAATCGTCAAGTTAAATGGACTGTTACCGTATCATAATTACAACGTTAACAGCATGGTAAGGTTTTCTTCAGATAAATTAAATTTCCAACACAACTACTACTCATTTGGTTGTAGGTTATTTGTGGAACCCAGTTCAGTGGAAAAAGCCCCAGTCCATGTCCATCCCGCAATCTGACAATCCCAGTCCAGTCATTCCAAACTCATCAGGATATCCCCAACGTTGTGGAAAACTTTACAACTCAAGTGCTGAATCCTTATTCGGTTCAATTAAAATGGCAACCCCCTGCTGTTTCCAACGGTCCCTTAACTCATTATAATATCCATGTGATCCCAGTCCAACAGCCAGATCAGAATTGGACTTTGTCTTTGAATGCAAATGGAAGTCACATTCAGAATGAACCGAGTGTCATGAGTACTGTCGTTGTGGATAATCTGGTTGGCGGATTGGAATACAAATTCGACGTACAAGCGGTTAATGAAGCAGGTGTCAGTTCGAGTTTGACAGAAGATCTACAGCCGGTAGTAAAGATGCCGATTCTTGGTATGTTTGGTGTTGTTCTATGCAAATACTGTGACTTTTTTCAGCCCCTCCACGTCCAGCCGTCAGAATTGAAATTCTGAAAGATTCTGTGAGAAGTACGGACTTGGCTATTAAATTCAGCAGTGACAACTTCAGCCAGAAACATGGCCTTCTCAAGATGGTAGCCGTGATCGTTGCCCAAGTCGGATCTGACGGAAGGCCGAATGAGGTGGGACCCGAAGACACATGGGCGTTGGAACATGTTCGGAACAGCTCAATGACATGGGGAAGTGCGCAGAACTTCGAGTTCTGGCCTCCATACGTCGCCCTCAGCATCGGCCTGACCACGGACACGCACCTCAAACCTCAGGTCTTTGTTCAGGTGGGTCTTTCGGGTATTCCATTCAACATTCCCGGGCTGATCCTTCCACGAATTGATTCTTTCTTTGAGTTGCGGGCTGCAGCGTGACTCTATGTTCTTCCACATTCTGTTTACCTTCCAGAATTATGTTTACATTTACTCTTTTTAGGAGATTGGAATAGACTCCCAATGCATCGAACAACCGGCGGATATAATTTGCAACGGGCCGTTGAAGCCGGGCACCAATTACCGCATGAAACTTCGCCTCTTCACCGCCCCTAATCTGTGGACCGACTCGATGTACTCTGATATCGTAATTACCGGTGAGTGAGTGTAAATATAGGCCGGATTAGGGTTAAACGCGACCCCGACTCCGCCCACTTCCGGCCCGTTTTTTGGGGGGACTTCCGTGCGGAGAGTGCGAACTAGTTAAGGGAAGACAAGGAGACGAAAACCGAGGAGAAGAGGCCCTAAAAAACCCCTTCAGATCCCCCTGAAGCGAACGCTTCTTGCTCACGCCCACACACCTACCAGTAGTGGTATGTTTCTCTATTTCTCTTGGGCTTGTTTTTATTTTTGGACTCTCGCATTCATCCCCCCTCGCCCGCCTCTTTAAGAGGACCGGAGGGACGGGCGGGGGATGAATACTCTTCCATAAAAATCATTGAATTAAGGAAAAAATGGAAAGTCAACAAAACCCCATAATTCTGGCAGGGGGAGGCATTGGCTAAAGCCAACACTCTCCGAAACAAGGTGAATCCCCTCGGAAATGTAGTGTCGGAGTTTGGATGTTCCCATTAAGATTAGGCCTGTAATCAGCAAATCCATGTATAGGCAGACTACCGTATCCCCGCGTATAAAAGGTCTTATTTTTGTGGAAAACAAAACTGTCGGGGATGACACTCGGGGGTGAGTGGGCCCCATCGAACGTGAAACCCCACGGCTTAAAAGCTACTCAATTCCGTTCAATTTATTTTTTTTTCTCGTTTTAGAGCCCCTTCGCTCGAGTTCGGCCTTCCGAAACGTGTTCGTTGTATTGGCCGTGTTCATTGCGGGTGTTGGCCTGATATTCGTGCTTCTCACTTATTACACGCGACGTCATCGAAGTTCTGTGTCGGGAAAAGGGTAAGCGAAGGAATATGTGGCTTCGCAAGTTATTAAATTGCCTGTTTTATCATGCATGGGTGTCCTGTTTGTAGGGTGTTTGGACCTTATCGTACTCTGCCGTGTGCAGTGGGAGAACGTCGTCATGATTTTTTTTGTTTTTTCCCCCGAAACTCTTTATGAAAGCCGTGAAAAACGTCGATTCAATTTTGGGTGTTCTGCTTTTTGTCGGCCATGAGAGGGAGGCCGAAAGGAGGGGGGCTGGGGGTGGGGGAGACCTTCCTCTTGTCCGTAAAGAGAAGATGAACTTCTTGGCAATGGTCTCCTAGAGGCTTTTCTTCCACTTTTTCTCATAATCTTGATTTTCCGAGATTAATTGTGTACGGTAGTTTTGGTATTTTATGCGTCCCCATTTTTTACAAATATTGTACTTTCTGCTATTTCCGATTTGTAATTTGGATTCGAAATTACACCGTGTCCTTTCGTCTCGGCCTCCCACTACCAGTCCCCTACTAATTACTTCCCCTATGGCAACACGTTAAACTATTCGGCTTCGAATCCCTCTCACTAATCCATAAAACCGATTTAAGGAATCATTACGGGGAGTTGTCCCGTTACATTCCCATTACTCTTTTTATTACTTTTTTCGGATTTTTCTTCGTACGTCAGTCCGATGACTCCAAGGATTTCCCTTTACGTAAACGCGATGCAGTTGAAGGCTTTAAACCGCATGGTTGGTGTCATAATCATCATGCAACCACGATTATCTTATCTGGACACTAACCCGGTCCCATTTTCATTGCGTATATTACTCGTTACGTTGTAATTGGCCCCTTTCTGCATACGTTTCTTACAACTGATTGCCTTATTGATAATTAATATCTCCGTTTGCAGGGCCAACCTTTACGGCGCCGAGAGTTTTGGGTCCGCAGGGCAGGCATACTCATCCAAGGAGAGCCAGTGGACCGCTCTCAAGATGATCATGGCCGAAAGGGCGGCCGATTGTCTCGCGAAATTGGGACTTGACACCAATTCGTCGTCACCTCCATCCAACAATTGTGTGAATAACAACTCCAATGTCCTGTTCTCTACAATGTCGCCGAGGACAGGGGTGACCGAAACGAATGCCGTCCGAATAATGCCTTCAGCCCAAGCCAACCCTCTCACAAAGACAGATTCGAGCAGCACTCTCACAACTCCCAACACCTTCAATGCTCACCATCGACGATCACGGAGCCTTCGAGAGAGAACTGGAGTTGACCAAAAACTGGAACGGCTCCCAAGCGGACCCCCTCCCGGCTCCAAACCCAACTCGGTCCTGTGGACTGTTATGAAGGGAGCAGACACTACAAAGTCCCGACCAATCAGGATACAGGACTTCCCCGATCACGTGAAACTCCTATCAGCGGACAGTGATTATCTCTACAGTGTTGAATACGAGGAACTGCGGTTCGTGGGAACGGGACAGTCATGCATCGCGGCTGATCTCGGTCAAAACAGGGCGAAGAATCGCTTTACAAACATTCTACCGTACGATCATTCCCGAGTAAAGATAATATCTTGTGATGAGGAAGATGGAGCGGATTATGTGAATGCGTCATATATTCCCGGATTCAACTCTCGACGTGAGTTTATCGCTGCTCAAGGGCCTTTACCGAGCACTCGGGATCATTTCTGGAAGATTGTTTGGGAGCAGAATTGCCCTGCGATTGTTGCACTTACGAAATGCGTGGAAAAAGGAAGGGATAAATGTCATCAATATTGGCCGGACGTGAACCAGAGATCTGTCATTTATGCGGATGTAGAAGTTACGTTAGTCAACGAATCGGTGGAATACGACGAATATATAATTAGGGAACTTAGAATGACACACCTCTCTGAGTTTGGACATCCCAGTCGAACGTTGTTTCATCTCCATTACATGGCTTGGCCGGACTTCGGAGCCCCTGAAAATCCGGCTGGTATTATAAATTTCCTAAGACAATTCAGGAACAAAGTCCCTCCCAGCAGTCATAACCGGCCGTCAGTCATCCATTGCAGGTATGTTTTTTATTTTTTCTATTACTAAATTCTATTGAATAAGAATAAAGTTTGTGATTTCAGTGCTGGTGTCGGTAGAAGTGGGACATTCGTTGCATTGGACAGACTGATTCAGAATATCGAGGTCGGAAAACCCTTGGATGTATTCGGAACGGTGTTCGAAATGAGGATGCAGAGATGTCACATGGTTCAGAATGAGGTAAGACCATTTCCTTTTATAGTTACCATAAGAGGTCTTATCTTGACGACCTTCTCTTTCAGCAACAATACATCTTCATCCACCAAGCCCTCTTGTACGTCCTTCAAACTTTCTACCCTCATCTTTTGAATCAGTCTTCCACTTGGACCTCTGAAGCCGTATCTACACCTTCTTTCTGGACCCCTCCAATCATCACTCATCCCTCGACCAGATGGGGAGGCGATCATCAGAATAGTGCTTTCATGGAGGACGACGAAGGCATCGCGGAGTCAGGGCTCTAGTTTCATCACCTATTTTGTCATAGTTTTTCCAAAGTTCTATTGTGTTCATAAGCGGGCTCTTTTCGGTTACTTTCTAACTTTTACATAACAACATGTTCTTCATTCATTTTGTAGCAAATCTTCTCGTAGTTTGAATACCATTATTATCGAGTACAAAATCCGTACCACAAATAGTTTCTTGGTTAAAATCTGCTAGAATTTGTAGGTGTGAAACGAGAAGATTCTAGGCATGTCGTTGTTACCCTTTTCCGGTGTTCCACACATTCGATTGTAAATAATACTGTCACGAATCCAAAGCCGAATCCATTCCAAATGTATTGTGGTTATATTGTAATTTATTTGTGTTCCCTCATTCCTTGGACTTTTATGATGCGCCATTTCAACATCTCGGGTTGTTTTGTATAATTGTAAAAAGAGTAAATAAACGATGAACGAGTCAATTCGATGTGTCCATCCGAGCGGAACCCCAATATTCATGACAGATAATGGCGCAAAACTGAGTGGAATGATTGCTCTGTTGTTGACGGGTCGATTCACCACTTTCGTTGGATGTTATGTCATCTGGATGGTGTAACAGATACTTTATTTACTTCTTGTGGGTATTCTTTGAAAGATCATGTGGACTCCAAGAGATCTCGGCCAAACATTTGATCCCATTAAATCAATATGTAAACCAGTGGCCGGGGTTCTTACATGATCATATTGCGACTACATGGACTTACAGTTCTCATCCAAACACTTTGAACTCTTATTATCAGCTATCAGTGTTGGGACTTGTGTTGAAATCAGTGGCTGCCAAAGAGTGTAATTGTTCGGTAGAAGTAAACCAGATGGTCGACGAATTCATGGGAATTGGAGGAGGACCTGGAAGACCGGGATTACTCGGTAAATATTAGTTTGTCCCATAAATAATGTCCCTCTTCGAGAGGGGTCAAGTCAAAGGTCTATAAAAAACGTAAGCAACAATCAAATTTCGTAATATTTTACCATTTTGTAGCCATGATGTCAAGCTTTCGTTTAATATGTCATCTGCCATATTTCGATGAAATTAGAGTAATTTAGCCCCACTTAAAAATTTCGGAAAAAGGGACGATTTGTGCCATCAACTTGTGTGAGCAAAAACAGGGTACAAAGGTTTTAGAAGTTACACCAAATGTCAACGTCATGTTCGGCCAGTGTGCTGTGAGTCCGGCCACGGTGAAGCGAGCGTTTAAAAAAATCCGACCTAGCCACAGGAACCCCGAAGGGAAAACACGTCATGCCAGCTTTGCGAATTTACCCTGAGGTCATTGGTCGACGGAAGTCATGGAATCCACGTCCGACGCCTTTCAGGCATTGTGGTGGTATCAAAATTATCGGTGGATAACAGTGCAATGTCGATAAATTCACGAAAAAGCTTGACAAATTCTTCGCATATTATTGGACCAAGGCCCAGAATGAAGGCTTCGGTTTTTTGCTTTACCGAGCCTAAGATCCTGCTTTTCTGGATCGTATCATAGCTTGTGACAAAATGTGAATCAACTACAACACCTAGGCAAGATTTTCTCAAAGGTGGTCATCCGGGGTACCATCACAGCACGTCCCAAAGTCTGAGTTCCTCTAGAAGACGGTGACGGTCAATTTTTGATGGCGCAACGTGGGATTCGTGCATTACTGATCCCTGGAACCGGGCCAAACTGTAAATACGACCTCCTACTGTACCTGCATAGACAGCTTGTTGCACAATCGGCCTTCCACGGTACGCCACAGAAGTTCGCACATTTTTAACGGAAACGCGCAACCTCACCTTCTAAAAATTACCCTCCAGAAGCCGAATTAACCGAGATACGAAACTCTTCTTCGTCTGGTATATTCGTTAGAGATAGCCTATGCAGACTACCACCTGTCCAAGGATCTACCACGTTTCATCCGTGGTAGAAAATTAATCAATTCAGACGCCCTTGAAAAGGCCTCCAAAAGTTTCATCGGCTCCAGAAGCCGAGACTTTTAAACTACTGGAATAAAAAAATTCTTGGCACGTTGTAGTCAACGTGCTAAAGCATATGGTAAATATTTTGATTAATTAGATTGCTGTTATTACGGTAAATTTTGTCGCAGAAGTAAATTTTTCAAAGAGGGACATTATTTGTGGGACAACCTAATACAATGATGATTACTCAGAATTTATCATAGGGAAATTGAACCATAAACTCCAACGAGCCGACCAATCAAATAAATTTGAAAGCTATTTGAGAACTGGAGAACAATTTTACTGTGTTAAAACAATGGGCGCATGTGGAGCTACGGTACCTTTAAGAGAAGTCGAGAACGAAGTTGAGTATGGTACGAATGGAAAAGGAAAAATTTACAGTACTATTTAAGACACGATCTACAACACTAACTTCTCCCAGCCAATGGAGCTTGGCGTGATGGATAAAGGGATTCTTTGCTATATATGGCCAAAAGAATATCACAATATAAACACAAAAAGACATGGAAAAATGGATCATCAACAAACAAGAGAGGAGATCAACATGACACCTATACCCAACATGAATGATCAAGGTATGCCGTATGCACGTCAATTAGCCTTCTAGAATGCACATTGCCACCCGTTGATAACGGAGAATGGTTGATCAATGGCCTCAAGGCCTTACCAGGGACTTCGGCGTCACTGTTTTGCATCCCCGGCTTCACTCCAAGCAATATCTCCACTGTTATTGTGTGTCAAGAGACGTCACAATGGGAACCTTTTCCGGCAGTTTGTAGCAGAAGGAATTGTTCAAGGTTTGATGAAGAACAACTAAAAGGAAAAATACGATATAATGTCCCCATCGTTGCGTTAACACCATTGGATGAGGATCAATATCCAATAGGCAAGGAAAACATAAATTATAGCTTAAATTTTTTGCATACTTTTAGGCACTAAAGCGACACTTCAGTGCAAATCCGAGACCCAAAGCGTTGACGGAGTCGATACAGTAATCTGCGGTGATCAAGGATGGATACCAAATAGATTAGGAGTTTGCGCCAAAGGTGGGTACGAACAAAAGTAAAAATATTCTAGTGTGCCCTCCGTTTGTTCTTAACCATGGTCGTGTAAGATACACAGACATCCGAGGCTATGAAAGAAAGGCCTACTCGAATGGAACTGTCGCTACTGCCATTTGTGATTCTGGCACCCGACTTCAGGGAGTTGGAGCAGCCAGTTGTGAGAACGGGGAATGGTCAAACGGCCATCTTGGATCTTGTGAACCAATACGTAAGAAGAAGATGCATAATAAAAACTGTTTAGAATGTCTTCGAATGGATAACATCAGAAAAGGAACTGTGCAATATAGTAAAACAAAGAAGAATCTAAAAGAATTTTCGGAGGGAGATGTGGCCAAGTTGATCTGTAATAATGGAACTCAACTGAAAGGAGCCAGTGAAAGTGTCTGCGAACCTGATGGAGTTTGGAAACCGAAATTGGGAACGTGTGAATGACACGCTGTTTATAACATCATTGTAGAAAAACGTAATAGACTATAAGTACACTCCGTTTCAAAAACATAGCTCCAGATTTTTTTTTAAAAGTGACCGCAGGTGTAGCTAAGGGGAAGGGGGGACAAGGTAAATTTTCGTAAACAATTTTCAAAGAATTTTTTTTTTGCACCGTATCACCTGTGGCCTGTGAAAATAATTTTTTCTCTGTCAACAAAAATAATTCGGTGTGCCTGTGGCGAAAAAACCAACCTGAAAAAAGTAAAAAATTCAAAAAACTTGATCCGAAAACCGTTTCAAAAATGCCCTCCGATCTTTGATCCTGCACGAGAGTTGAAAACAATGACTGGTTAGTATGATGACCTTAGAAATCGAAATTGACGTTCTAATAGTTTTCACCCAGTTAGTTTCCAAGTTATGCTTGTTATATTATTTCGTACTAATTAGGTCTGTTTTCATTTATCGTTGCAGGGAAGAATTTGAAACGGAGTGTACAAACTCATAATTATGTTAGGTACGTCATTACAATAAAAAGAATAAAAGACGATGAATACCAATTAGAAACGAGAAAATTATGGGTACGATACGCTTTTTGACATTATGTGGCAATTGCGTAACGATTCAATCGATCAATATCCGCCGGTATTCTAAAAATTCGAAAATCGCAAAACCTAAACTCGAGGGCGCAGCTCGGAGAATCTATTTGGCTCGTTTATATTTTTTGAACTTTTTTTGCATGCAAATTCGCATTTCGAACGCAAAATCAAAAAAAATTTTTGGCAAGATGGAGGAGAACAACGAGATTGGACCTCTTACAAAGCTCAGAGATATCTCCGTCAATTATATGACTCCCGGCACTGTCAAGGGATTCCGCCGGCGATGCGCTCCGGTCCGTTGTTCAGGTCGGTAAATTTATTCTGTTTTATCTGAAAAATTTAGACCCATTTGAAGAATGTTTCCTTGGCGATGAGATCATAAAGAAGATATTTGACGATCTGAGTCTTCGAGATCTTGCCAATTTGATGTTGGTCTGCAAGAGGTTCTACCGAATTGTGTAAGCCTTACAATTTCTTTTTTTTATCCGCTTTTTAGATCGAGTCTTGAATCATGGGAAGTATTGCTTATCCGAAGAGCTATTATGGATGTTGATTCTTTCCACAAATTGCTTTCTCGAGGCGTTAGGAAGATCGAAATGCATTCTCCATGCGCGGTAATTATTGATTAATGGGAATGGATAAGAAAACAATTTCAGATTTACTCAGACTTGACAATCAACCCTCGGAACCACTACGATCATCTTGTTCATCTTGATTTGGCCAATGTTTCATATGAAAGTCCTTGTTTGCTTTCAGTTCTTGAAAGAACTTCTAATTTACAGGTGATCGTAATGTAATCTGATATATTTTTTTTAGATTCTAAACATTGCAGATTACCCATATTTGGATTCAGAACACTGCACGGCTATTGCAAAAAATGAGGATCTATTTGTTCTAAACATTGAACAGTGTAAAGGAATTACCTTGGATGGGCTTTCGTCTCTCTGTAAATGTGAAAAGTAAGTGAAGCTTAATTTGTGTTATCTATCCTTTAGTTTACGAGAATTGAATGCAGCTTGGGCCCAGTTTCCTTCAGGTGGAGCTGCCGTTATTTGTAAGGTGATTCCTGTTGGAATCGAAAGATTGAGCATTGCTGGAAGGGATTACAACGAGTTGCCGGATCTCTGTAAGTGTAGTACAGCATTTTAATATGTTTTTCAGTGGTTGAATTGTTGTTAAATCGTTGTGGGAACCTGGTTGAATTGGATGTGTCCGATTGCCCGAATCTTACTCATGGTTTAATCGATCATTTCAATCTTCATCCATCTTTGAAGATCTTGTCCATTTGCAGATGTTACAGTATTAATCCTGAGGCCTTACTGTAAGTCAATTGAAAAGTTTAAACATTTTTAAAGGAATTTGGATGGAATGAGCGTATTGAATATATATGGATGTGTCACTGATGAAGGCGTACCTGTTGTAAAACGTAGGTTAAGAGACACCATCGTAAACCTGAGTCCCTTGATTAATATTGCTCAGCCATCCATCCAGATCGAGGAGGAATAATTACTTCTTTATATTATTTTGCTACGTTTTCCATGCGTTATAACCTGTATTCTGAGGTCTAATCGGCTGACGCGTTTGCGAGCCGCAAGAATTTTGCGCCGCTCGTTTTTTTTGTTCGGAGGGATTTTGCGCCGCTCGAAAAAAGGTCCGCAGAATTTGACGCCGCTCTAAAATCGCGAAAAAAAGACGCGAAACGCGCGAATAAAGCGAAAGACGTAACTGATAAATCAAATTTCGGTTTAGGTTGGCTAAAGTTTCTTAAATTTTTTACGATTTCTTCTTTATGCCAAAACTGTTTCGAGATTGACAAACAATACCTGATATATCCATGATTAGTAACTGTCACATAGCCCTTACAATACCAATTCTGAACGATGACTTCAGCAGGCATATCAAAGGAGTTAGGCTTAAAAGATTTTTTGGATGTTCAAATATATTAAAGTTTCTGCCCTGAAGGCAGTGCGTCAGATCATGGGACTGATGTATGTTACACTCGTCAATGCTAAAGCTGTGAAACTGTCGGGGAAGTGGATCCTATTTGAAATGTTTGGCAACTGTTTACTAACATCTTTGTGTCGCATGGCTTGACGCGTCGTCCCGGTATCCCAAATGGCGGTTTTCGTTTTGCCCGCTGCCGGCTGCTGGCCAAAGTATGCACTATTTAGTTGGGCTATAGAATCGACGGGTTTCAGACCTCTTTAAGAGCTGTATAAGATGCCACCTCAAAATATGACCTTTTCAACATGCCGTTATGCTATGTGGCACAGAGAAAAATTTTAAAAAACTTTTTAGCCAACGTATAAACTTTATCGCGCCTTTTGTTTCGCGTCTTTTTCTTTTCGCGATTTTAGAGCGGCGTCAAATTCTGCGGACCTTTTTTCGAGCGGCGCAAAATCCCTCCGAACAAAAAAAACGGGCGGCGCAAAATTCTTGCGGCTCGCAAACGCGTCAGCCGTCTAATCTCGAATTAGTGTACATATTAATTTTTTGACATTTGGTAATTTTCCAATAAATTGTGACATTTCGCTTATTTACATAAATTGTTGAAAAAGGTTGATCTAGTTTGAATGTCTAATATTCTCTTTGTACATAATAAAATGAGATTGTGAATTAAAATTTTGAATAAGCTATCACGGGAAGAATGTCCTTGAAAGGACTGCTCAAACGAATTGTTGTTCTTGGTGCTCAGGTAAGAGATTGTTGCTTTGTTCCTTGATTGTTGCTCATAGATTTCGTTCGCGTTCAGAAATGGACGACTACCGGTAAAACAATTTCAAACAGCCATAAAACTTGCCGAGCGACGGGTATTCCCAGGAATTCTCTACCGGAATCGGGCGCTTCGATTCGTAAGTCAAGGTCTTCCATGTTTCCCAAATAATTTTTCCGTTACTTAGGTCTTGATTTAATGGTTATTCACCAAATTCGTTAATTATACGTTTAGATTCAAAGAACATTTGTATCCAGGAATCTAGCTCGTCCATTTTCGACTTTCCACTATCGAAATGTGCATTATTTATATAACAGGCGAGAGTTCCGGCTTTGGAAGCTGAATCCATCCTTTTCCCCTTTGGAAAGAATCAGAGTAAGTTTATCAAAGAGAAGTATAATTTTTAGAACATTTTTATATCCAATCCACGTTATAATGAGAGCATAATCGAGGAAAGGTTTCCAGAAAGTCTCGATGGGTATGAAATAGGTAGGTACCTTGGTTTGATAATTATCTTTTTTAGGTGATTATATTGCTCATGGATGCAATGCTGCTGTCTATGGATTGCGCGTGGACGGTGGTAGACCATCTGACGAAGAGGTAAGCATAATTTTGGCATGTATAATATAATTGATCTTTCAGAAGTTTCCACTAGCCTTGAAGATCATGTTTAATTATGATTATTCGTTACCGGAGAGGTATATCTGGGAAGGAATGGGGACTGAATTGGTGCCTTTAAAATCATTGCCGAAGAGTGCCTTGGTTGGACAAATGGGAGGGTGAGAATTAACAATGCAATGTTGTTTTACTGTTTAGATTCAAACCTTTTAAACGTCAGCATCCTAATATAATAAAAATGCACACTGCATTTGTCGATCTCATGCCCCATTTAAGAGAAGCAGCAGAATTGTTTGAAGAAGCAGCTCCCAGTCTGGATAACTTTGGTCTAATTCATGATCCCAAGACATTGTTTGTCGTCATGAAAAGGTTGGTTTGTCTGTTATTTATTATTATTCTTTTTTATTTTTAGGTATCGGACAACTCTTCGCGAATACAGTTTGAGGATGGAGATCCCGAAAAGATCAGGGCAAGTCTTATTTGGTCAACTCTTGGAAGCCTTAGTTTACCTAAGTGATCAAGGGATTTGTCATCGAGATATGAAGAGTGACAACATCCTTCTTGATTATGATTATGATGGTGAGATATTCGAGGAAAGACGTTTATTTTTTAGATGAGATTCCTCATCTTGTTTTAAGCGATTTTGGATCGGCCTTGGTCTCAGGATTCAAACAAACTTATATCGATGAATTCACAGATCTTGGGGGGAATATCGCCCTCAGGGCACCGGAGATTAGCCGGGCTAATTTATCGCCAGGAAAGGTGTTGGATTACAGTAAGGCCGACCTGTGGTCAGCTGGAGCGATTGGATACGAGATGTTCGGACAGTGAGTAGTTTAATTGTAACGTAAAGTCTTGTTTTAGACAAAATCCGTTCTACTCGCGGTATTCAAGCAGAACTTACCAGGAGAAGGAACTCCCCACTTTACCTTCGATTACTCCGAATGTAATTAGCAAACTCATAGGACAATTACTAAAAATACATCCATCTGAACGGCCAGATGTAAAGTTAGCGGCGAATGTAGTGGCATTTTCATTGTTCAGTTTATGGAATGACATCAAGATTGGCATGAAATCATTGATGAAAGAACTATTGGAAAGCGATAACAAGGTGAACATTTAAGAACTACTTATTGTTTTTGTCATTTCAATACTAATTCCGCCATTTCTAGCACGAGGTTGTGAATAAGGTCTTAACTTTATTTGCGGCGGAGACCTTCACCGCCCGATCTTCTTACGAATTCTTCAGCTCGGAACTCCAACTCCGGGCCACCTTCTTTTCCCGAGTCGCCTTCCAGCCAATATATCAGAGTCTTCTTTATTTCGATAATAAAGAAGGCGCCTGACTGATAAGATTCTTGTCCTGCTGTTAGAAAATAAACGCTATCATCTGAGCTGGGTTGTTTTGTGAAATGGGTTGAGTTCAAATCTCGCCTGGGATATCAAATTTATGAATTTCTCGGGCATTAATGCCATTCTCCAGGTTCAATCGGCGGCGGAAAGACTACGATCCCATCGAAGGCCTGACTTTATTTGAATGGATTGGAGAAGTAGGTACTTTACTAGTAACTCATATATATTTTTGCGCGTTTTAAATAATATTGGAGGGTTTCGCAAAGAGCAATCTGTTCTGGAAAGAGTATAGATTATAATTCAGTTAGGGATTTGCATATTGATGGGCTCGTTTTATGTTCGTATATACCAGGAAAACTCCATTTTCTGTAATTTTGAATTATGATTCAAGATAAACTCTCTGAAGATGGCAAGACGAAGGTCCGTTTATTCTGTTGACAACTCTCCCTGTTTCAGATGCCCTTTCACAGAAATCATGATGATATCAATTCGGCTGCACCGCTTTTCGACAGCTCAGAACGGTAAGTCATTGATAATATTATACAATGTAATTCGGATTTTAGGATTCTTTTCGATTTCAATACTGCCCTGGATGAACTCTCCCCCCAACAAAAGGCCTATGGAGAGCGTCTTAGACGTCATTTGCAATTCTTCTTTCTAGACCCTGTCAATAAATTCAAATTGAGAAGACAATTCCCTTTCAAATTGGCCTTACAAATTCTTAAAGTGGTATTTGTGTCCATCCAGGTGAGTCTTGTTTGCTTTAGTTTATGGGTTTAGTTGTTACTATTCGCGGATCTTCGGATAAATCATGTGGACTTTCTGGATGATACTGTAACAGTGATGAGGCACAAATTTCTGAAGGATTGGGACCATGAAAGAGATGCTGTTACTTATCCACCTGAAGCCGGAAGGTATTCTGTATTTACTAGTGACGAGATTGTCGAACACATCAGCCACATTGTCTCATCGGTGAGTCTGGAATAAATTTTATATTTTACTTGACATTTCTGATGGCTAAGATATATGAATTTTAGTATTATTCTTTACAAAACGAGTCGTTTGCCAGTTTTTCCTATGATACGATAAGATCATTTCCTCAACGCACCGAGGAACCATTTTCTATCAAGAGCACCGAATTCGATCACATTCCCACGATGAGATTCTGCGTAAAGAAACTGGCCGATGTAAGGGTTGAGAATCACACTTACGTATTCGATATCTCGATGAAAACAGGTGCGTAACATGATTATTTATGTGATCGCTGTTTAGATTGTTCGAAGCTTAACTTCACTCAACAAGATATCGACGAGATCCAGAAAGATCCCCACAATATCCGGCACTTCTTCAAGCGGATGAATGTCACATTCCGGTCAGAAGACGCCCTTATCATCCAAGAATCTTCGTTGGCCTTCAACTTAAGAACCATCCATTTTTCCCCAGGAAACATGGATCAAAAACCGGAATGCTACTTAATTGAGATTGTAATTACCTTTGACAACTCGCGGCATACAGGCCAAGTGTTTATTCGTCTGGATGCTGTCATAAAATATGTGAATTTGTGTAATGGAAGGGTCCTCCAAGTCAATGGATTCTCCAAAGACTCGATTATTGTCGGGGCCATTGATATCCTCGTGTTACTTATGTGTCTTTTATCCCTTCTGTTATGTTGCAGGGCATTGTTTCGCGCTCACCGACTTAAAAATGTAAGTTTTAGCTGTTATAATGCAATATAGTATGAGGGATATTAATGAAGCGCTTCAGATGACCAATTATTTCTTCGAAAACGTTTTTCATGTAAAAATTAGTCTAAAAGACGACTTATCCTTCTTAAACATGTGGTATGTGATGATTGTGATCAACGATGTGTGTATTGTGATCGGAACTGTGTGCAAGATCGCCATCGAATTCAGAGATTTTGACAATAGTATGTTTACATTAACAGGAGTTTTGTTGGGTATTGGATGTCTTTTGGTTTACATTGGATTATTCCGATATCTCGGATTCTTCAGTCAATACAGTGTAAGTGAAGTCTAACGTTACTTATATTATTATTGGCTTAGGTCTTAATCCTCACTTTGAAACGTGCCTTGCCTTCGATTTGTCGATTCTTGGTGTGCACTGTCATCTTATATGTGGGTTTTTTGATCGCCGGATGGGTAATCATTGGACCGTACAGTATTAAAGTAAGTCGTTTATGTTTTCAAGAGTTTGTTGAAAAATGATTGCCTGGATTTATTAATATTTTCAGTTTCGGACGTTATCAGAGTCGTCGGAGGCTTTGTTCTCATTAATGAATGGCGACGATATGTTTGCGACGTTTTATACGATCAACGATTCCAATGCCACTATCAAATTCATCGGAACTATGTATATTTACATATTTGTTTGCATGTTCATCTACGTGGTTTTGTCCCTTTTTATCGCCATTATCATGGATGCCTACGAAGTGGTTAGAGTAAGTTGCTGACATTGATTACTGTACTTGACGTAATATGTTTTGCATTGGTCATATTACATTGACGATTTATTTTAGGAGAGTGTGAAAAGAGGAGTTGTGGTGGAACGATCTTCCCTCCAAGAATTTTTAGCCAGTGTGGAATTGCCTCAGGACCTCGGGAGTGGCGAAACTCGAGAAATGTTCGCTCCGGATCGGCTAGTCAGACTAGGTTGGTAATGATAGTGGTGTTGTCATGCTCACGGCCAAAGAACTCATCCACATTAACTTAAAGATTTCGAATTTCTCAGGAAATAAAAGTTTTGATCCTCTCACTCTTCTGTTCGCCTTCCTTCGGACATCGGGGTACTGTAGTTTGTCCGGAAGTGTATGTTGTTCCATGTGTTTAATACAGGTGTTGGTGGCTTTTTATTTTTTGGAGTTTATTTCCTTGTTTTTAACAACATCATCTAACATTCTGCACGTACTAATCGAGTCGATGTTTTTGATTTTTATGCGTACCTAATAATGAGTCATCTCTCTTTCAGATGACGTCATTTCGGAGTATTGGTCACGCTTCGCACAACAAATAAATGTATGGCTCGGCCGCTCGGAGCCGGCATTCGATCAATTCGAGAACCCGGCCCACGATCAGCCTGTTTTTCTGCATAATATGACAGCTCAGCATTAAATAATCATCCGCCGCCAATCTCAAATTACGGTAGTGTTTGTTTATACGGGCAATAAACAGAAGCTGGCCTTGTTTATATGGGAATGTCTACCTGACACCTCGGGGCCTTTGTGGATGAGTTGAAACGGGTTTTGAAGCGCGTTAATTCTCGGTCGGCGTCTCAGTGGAGACAATCCCGCGCTTAATATATTAACGCAATCGACTTACTCATGTGTTTCTCCCTGCGCTTTGCAAACTCGTCTCAGCTGGTTTCGCCCGGTACAAGACTTTAGAAGAGCTGCCGCGATCAACCACGACCTTGAAATCGCCTTACATCTATTCATTAGCCAAAAGGTTAAGGTTTTCGGGTAACCGCCGCAGTTAATTTTTGAAGAAGTCTTTCAAAAGTGACAATTTGCGGTAATTATGGCGGTTTAAAGTGGAGTTTAGGAGTTTAGTGACCTAAGGGGTTCCTGGGCTGTTTTTATGCTAAGGTAATATTCCATTCCCGCCTGTAGAACCTTATATGACCTTAGGCTCAACGTTACTGTAATCACAATACGATCTTTGCAAGTTGCATATAACTTTGTAATTAATCATGAGCCAGCTCCATCAAGAGTCCATTGCTCACGGTCAGATGACAGGTTCCTGAGCTCTAGTGTAACGGACGCTGAGCCCAAGCCACGACGGGGAAGTCATCTAATGTCTGACCACCAGAAAGCACTTCACCTTGTACTTTCCCCCAAAGCCCTGTACTTGCTGATCAGAGTGATGTATAACATAATACTTTCACCGAGTCAGGTGTTCGGATCCTCCACAAGCCGACCCCACCCCTCTAGTCACGAGTTATGGAAGAAGAAGAAAAGGAGAAGATGATTTTGATTGGAAATCGCTTCAGAAGACAAAAGAAGTCGCGCGGCGAGGGGGGAGGGGGAGGAGTGAGAAACGTAGGTGGGGATGGATAGGTGGCATTGTTGAGTCCCGTTTTGGCTCTTAGAGCAGCGTTTTTTGTTTGGGGAAAAATGGATGCCCTGAAGGCAGGAAGAAAGAAAACTGTATTCAAAGGTGGTGAGACGAACGAGGAGGGGGAGCAGCGCGGGGATTGGGGAAAAGCATTCGACTGCGCACCCGACCGACCACAGGACCGGTTCTTCACTCGCCCTCCATGAACTGGATTTTAGTAGCGCGGCCGATTTCCCACCATCTCCGATTTGTTTTTGAGTGACTTAATTCGGACTTTTTCGAATTTCGGTCTGAGGGGCGCGCACCTGAGCGCTGCGCGTAGCGTCAAGTTCCGGGAGTTTACCACTTTTGAGACTACGATTTTTCTAACATTTTTTTTTGAAAAACAGTGTCCATAACTGGAACAGACGGAAATGATCCAATTATGTGGACTTCCTTATTATTTGTCTCGTCCCCTCTTCAAGACCCTTTCTTTCTGGTCGATCTTCTGCCATTTTTGGCGTTTCTCATCAGAAAAGCATGGAGCCGCAGCCCAGTCCCATTTTTTATTTGTTTTTGCGCACTCTCTTCCTTTCTGCTCCTTTTGTCCCCAAAGGAATGACGTCGGATCCGTTCTTTTTTTGGGTAATCAGCCAGCGACAATTCTTGTGAGGGGATTTCTCTCCTCTGAGAGTCCACTCGATCGGTCGCCCCTCATTACCACACGAAGAACGAGATGAAAAAGACGTTTGTGTTGTCTTTTTCCCCTCTTCCCATCTGATTTAGGAGGTTGTAATTGTTTTTCGAGGGTCAACACCTTAATTTCACTTTTTTTCTAACCTCACTCATCTTCCCTCGAGGCTGAGGACCTGATTTATGGGTGTTTTTTTGAGTATCAGGGAAAATAAATTGAAATAAGTGTGCTCATAGAAGCTTTTTTACCCATTTTACCTTTCCATGTTTAAAAGGTTGAATTCTCTTTTAGATTTAATTTCAGTAGAAGTTAATCGGAATTTACGCTGTTTTGAACACGTCTAGCCGTCCGATTTTACAGTGAAGTGGTCACACAATAACCGATCAATCTCTGAATAAGCGCTTTCGTAAGGAGAAAAGTATTTTTTCATACATTTACCGAAGAGATCACCCAGTTACATGGGTGGTTTCGAATAATTCGAAAGGAAAGAGAGCGAGAGAAAAAATATGGGAGTGAAACTGGGTAACAAGATGAAAACGCAGGAAGAAAGGTTGACTCATCGGCCATTTCCCTTACGGGCCATTCCCTCAATGTTATCCATGCTCGAATTTTAGGTCCCGGATCTGCCCGTAATTAAGTTTTATAGCGGTTAATTAACTGGATGGCTTTGTCTTGCGCAGCCGATCTCGCGCTCTACTAGTTTCTCCATTTCTGCCGTTTGTTTCGTGGTTTAACGTCGTTTTCGTATGTTACTTTAGTATTTGCAGGTGAAAATGGTGGCTCAGCAGAAAATAAAGGATAGTTCTGTTGAAGCCACTGATGGATCGGTAAAGCCTGGATCTCCTAAATCTCGGTTGGCAATGCTAAAAAGATCCAACAAACAAAAAAGTAAGTCTTATGTTGCTTTATGTCTTCGGAATTTATTCAAAAAAAATTGTTTTTAATCTTCTTTTCTCTTAATCCGTGTTTTGTTAACTAGAAGGGAGGTTTGTCCATTTTTAGTAAGGACAATCAATAATGCGAATGTTTATCGTTATTTTAGTGGTAATTAGGCCATTTAATTGTTCCCAATGGAAGGTCCGCCGATGAAATGCGTCTCAAATGTCATGTTTCAGATGCCGCTAACAACGATCCATTCCGATTTCAAGGGAACGGCGTTGACTTCAAAGGAAAATTGATTGGCGAACGGGATGTCGCCGAAGCCAGAGGAGACGCGATGTGCGCTGAGGCCATGAGGGCGGCTAAACTGGCGGTGAAACAAGCCGGTTCGCACAAACAAAGGATTATCCTGAACATTTCCATCGATGGCCTCAAGATTAAGGACGAGAAGAGTGGAGTGAGTTCATCATTGTTTGATTATTTTATTGTTTAGGCCATCTTGTACAACTTCCCCGTGTCCAAGATCTCGTTCATTGCTCGAGACACCACCGATGCTCGAGCTTTTGGGTTTATCTTTGGTAATGCCGAAGGAAAGTACAAGTTCTACGGGATCAAGACCGCTCAGACGGCGGACAATGCCGTTCTCTCAATCCGCGATATGTTTCAAGTGGTATTCGAAATGAAAAAGAAACAGATCCAGGAAATGAAACAGAAAAAGGAAGAAGAAGCAGCCGAGGTAGGTTCGGAATCCATGGATTTGTAGGAAAGAATGCATAACATTTAGAGCATGACATTTATGAATTGTTTTTATAGAATATGAAGAAAGAAACCAACTACCGTATCGAAGATGGCGTACCCTGTGCCGATCTCCTCGACTTGGAAAGCGAACTTCAAGTAATCGAACAGGGTTGTAACCAACTCCAGAACATTCCGTCAATGCCCGAGGACTCGGTAGATCCCTTTGGCGATTCCTTTGCCCCTCAACCCCCAAGTCAACCCCTATTCAATGCAAGTCAGCCTTTCAACGGAGATGCCTTCTGGGGTTCTCCAAACGCTTTCAATCCTGCACCTCAGACATATCAACAGCCTCCACTTCAGCAGCAGCCTTTCCACGTCTTCCCTGTAAGTTGATCATCCTTTTTTTGACAGTCGATGTTTAGGAAAGAGGATTCAAATCTCTATATAAACCTTATTTCAGGGCACTAATCCATTTGCCAACAATGCAGCACCATCTCTCAATGCCCCAGATCCATTTGACACTCAGAGTGCACAGCGGGTAATTAGTGCCATCAATACTACCCAATCTTATGGTCTACCACAGCCTCCGCAACGTCAACCTCCAGCTCTGGATGTGAGTAATCATGCATTCTCGTCGAGGGCGAGCTCGACAAACGAGTCTAATGGTCAGACCTCGCCTGAGATCAACTGGGGCATCTCCACTTCATCTGCATCATCGTTCAAAGAAAACAGTGCACCGTCGTTCGAGGACAAAGGATTCGACGATTTGGCGAAGTGAGTGAACGTTTGATTTATTGGGTCTTGAAATAGCTAATCCCGTTTTTTTATTTTGTATTAATTTTTTAGGCGATCGATTGACAACGGTCGCGTTACCACCTTGGAAGAGGCCTTTTCGAAACTAGTGGATATGGAAAAACTTGTGCCGACCCAAAATCCGCCGCCAGAAACGAAGAAAAACCCCTTCGAACACATAATCAACCCTCCAAAACTTTCGCTCAATTCTCTGAGTGGCCCAGCCCCCGCCTTCTCGGCTGTCCCCAACCAACCACAATTAGTCCAATCAACTGGTGGTCGGGATCCCTTCAATGACGACTTCTTCAACTGAGTTCTTGTCCTTGTTCCCTGTCACTTGAGAGGTTTGGAGCAGCCCTACTTCCTATATCTACGTCAATGTGAATGCTTGTGTTATTTTGTACTTGTACCATTTCTCATTTTCCTATTTTCCTAACCTTGTATTCGACGTCTCCGCGGCGCATAATTGATAATTAGAATGATCAACCCTTTGATTGGTTGAGACGAGTAAATAAATGTTCATAAATAGTATTAGTAACATCATCTGACCGGACATTACAATCCCATTTCTCACTCCTTAATGGCCTCGCTTCTCAGACTGCAAAATATGGAGCAATTATTACTACGAGTCGACTGCTCTCGCCGGAAAAGTAATGTCATCGACGTTCTGTGGGCACTTTCGAAAGACGAAGCGATCCCGATTATTCTGGGCTCATTGCGTTGGAGCATATGACTACTATAATCGATCTGAGAAAGGCGTTAATAATAGTAATCTGAGGAATGTAATGACGGGGAATGATTGCATCAGCAGCCATTTTTGATTGGCTGATCCAACAAAGTCTTTGTTATCAGAAGACAAAAAACGATGACTATTAAAGAACAAAACAATGATAATCAGAATGTTGTCGGTTTGGTTGCTCTCTCTCTCTTCCGTCGATGAATCATTGAATTCTCAGCTCCCTCTCATCGAGGGAAAACACTTGAATAATTGTGGGGAACTCGACCTCGGAGCGATGCGGAAGAGTATTATGAAGATAGATAGAGAGGGCAGTGGCGGCGCGTCTCTCTCTTGTCGCGCATGAATCGCTTCTCTCTTCCTTCTGGATTCACGGTTCCGATCGATCGCTGCCATGCTTAAGGTGTTGTTGTGGATGTATTTGAGTGGAGTTGGTGAGTCAGGCACTCCTTTAATGACCATCATTTAGTACTAGGTTCGTGGGACGGGCCTGTGGTTACCATCGAGAAAGAGGAGAAGATCCCCACCATCGAGGGTAAGGAATTTATTAGTTGGCATTAGGTGCGAAGGTGCCGTCATCTAGTAATTTCCCATTAAATAATTTAATGGCTACTTGTATCGACTTTGGGAACTTGTTTTGTACTTTTTTCCTTTCAATTACTGTACAGTTACAAGCTACTTTTACAGAGAATCACGATGATTTGGAGCAGATCCATCAGAATCGGATCGATTCCCCCGAAACCCGAGGTAAGACTCCCCCGGAGAACTTTAATACCATTCCAGAAGCCGCAGGGGATCAAATGAACGGTGGAATCAGGAGTCGTCTTGTGCTGGGAACAGCAATGATAATACCGGTTCTGTTTATGTATATATAATGAATGTATATATTAAAATAAAAATATTATGAGCAAAACGAAGGGAAGAGATCTGAGCGCGAACGTTATTTTATTAGAATTGGCACTTGATTTGGAGCAGCCATTTAGATACATGTAGCAGGGAAGTCGACGTTGACCTTCTAAAGTCGGAAATGTAGTATTTTTTAAACATTAACATTAAAAAGTTTTAGTATTAACAAATGTACATATCTTATCGGGTTTAGATTGAAAAAGATTTCATCTATCATTTCCACAGAATACGGTATAAGATCACCTGATGACACAGCTTCTGGCAGTCACGCTTAATCCCTTTACGACGCCCTAAGGCGATCTCCCGCATCGACTTACTTTCGTGTGGGGTGTCATCTACCAAGCCCTTCACTGATACCCATTCGGTCTCCATAGCGATGTTGGTCACTAGATAAGCCCGTACTTTCACGAAGTAGTCCACATGAGATCGAAGCACACCATTACAGTACTGTAATCATACCAGTCGATTTTTATAAAACTTACAGTTTCATTTAACTTCCGCCGATCACAATCTTCCTCACCGATAACAAACGAGGCCACTCGAGAAGAGCCATGACGTCTGAAGGGATTGTAGTTGGAGTGAGAGGTACGGTAGGCCGGCCAAACGTCTTCGTCCTTTATGTCATAGTAAGATCTGAGCTCGTAATTATCTCCGCCGAGCTGGAAAGAACACGATTTGAGATGCAAAACGACTCATTTACACAATGTTAGTAAATTACCTCCGGATCCTGTGTAACAATGACAGCAAAGTTGTCAACAACACCATTTGTATCAGCAAATAGCCTGGGGTCATTTTCAAAAGTCAGCAACATTTCCCGACTCCCTTGACGTTTCAGAGTTGGGAATGATGTGGCTAAAGCAATACAAAATTCCCATTATTTTAACTTACGTCTTGATTTGAATCCAACGGTAATCATTTCTGACTCGGATTCTGCCACAGCTTCCCCTTTTCCCATTAAAACAGTAATTGTAAATGTGTAATATGTATCGAATTGTAATCCCGTGAACCTGTACATATTTACGTCTTGAAGTTTAACCTTCTGTGACTTCTGAATCCCACTGTTGGAGGTCGAAGCATATCTGAAGATGATGTGATTACTGCAACAGATGCATGACTTACTCCAATCTGAATTGACAGTCATTGTTTGCGACGTTCTCTACTTCCCAAGCCAGAGTTGCGTAACCGGGCCCCACCATCGCATAAAACTTACGGACTTTCAGGGGATCTGAGAAATTAATAAAATTTTTGAACGTAGAAAAAGTTCTAATAAATTTGATTAACTTACATGTTGTGATGTCTTGCACTACCGGACGACTCCTCACATTTTTATAAACTGTGTATAAAATAAAAGTGTAAGTCTTCCCGGGTATCAATTTGTTGAAAGTGAATGTCTTTGGATCTTTTTTTGACAACTTCTTGGTGATATTCTTTGTATTCCCAATGAAAACAAGTTCGTATCCTTCAAAAAGATGCTCCGAAGCAGTTTCATCGTAATTTACATTGATCGCATAAGACGAGATTTGGCCCGGATATAAAGTCGACGTGATTATTGGGGCTGAAATATAAGGTAATAATTTAGGTAAAAAAATTATTTCAAGAACTAATGAGTATTATCCTCGTATCATGTAATATTACCGGTTATTTGTCTTATCCCGATCGGAGCACTCTCAACTTGCGTATCTCTCGAGACATTCCTCACGGAGAATGTATACAGTCGGGCCGGCTCCAAACTACTGATGTTGAAGATGTATTGACCGGTAAATATCATCTTGTTTGTGCTGATTACTTTCTAAAGGGTCGATATTTAAGTAATTTTAATATTGGCTTGCCTTTCCCAATCCCCAAGATATGACGATGTCATATTTATCAGCTAGTTGAGAGGGTTCCTCGATCTCTAATATCACCGAGGCTACATAAAACTCGTCGGTGGCTACATCTCGAACATGGAGACCTTTCACTGGATCTGGCCCTAAAATTACAAAGTAATCAAGTTCAAAACTGTGCCCTCTTCTCCAAACTCACTTCTAAAATCGACGTATCTTTGAGCGGCCCAAACATTTGAGATCGAATTCTCCAGCATACAAGACACCTTGACCAGCACAACATGGCCATTATACATTTTTATGTAACTATTTGTATTTGGAGATACAACTGTAAAACTTTTGGGATTCTTCAATGTAATTACTGTAGTGTTAATCAAGTAATTATCGCAGAAGACAGTCTCCGGTATACTCCAATCCAATCGGATCTTTTGATGCTCCCGCGTTACAGTAATCTTATCATCTTCTGCTTCCGTCAAATCTTTTTTTTCATCGTCATCGACCTTGAGCTTGGGCTCCTTCTGGTTTTTCTGATCTTCCGATGTTTCAACATCTCCATTTACAACAACCAACTCGTCTTTGTCCTTCTCTTTTTCACTGATCTTCTTCTTTGGATCCGAATATCCCAAATCTTCTGGATCATCCACAATTAATACTGGTCTCTCGGTCGGCGATACTTCTGTTGGTGTTGTATACTCAACAAATTCATTTGCTTCAGCAACTTTGTCCATTGTAACTTCAGGGTTATCGATTGCATTCGTTTCCGTTGGAGTTATTCCTTGAGTCGTGGATTCTGTAAACATTTCCGATATCATTGGAGTTGTTGTCTCTACGGTTGGATTTTCAATTGGAACTGTGGTGTTTGTTGTTTCAACAAACGCTGTTGCGTAAACGGGAAATATTACGTTGTCATTACTATTAGCGTTACTTATGACATCGTTATTATTGGTGTTCATTGCCGGAGGCGGAAGAGAAACTGGAACTTCTGGCATCGAGACTGCGAGATCTGGCCAACGATTAGGAAAAGTAGGAATTACATTGAACACCGGCTTGTCTTGACTTCCATCTTGAATACTCCCATATATTGCTGACGGTTTTTGAATATCCCGATTCCCATTATCAGACTTCTTGGGAGCGGGAATCAAAATCCCAGAATTTTCGATAGGAGGATTCTCATACCCTCCTCCATTCGCAGATGGTAAAACAAATGATTCTGGAGGGCTTGGTGATTGTTGCGTAACAGGATGATAATCAATAGATAGAGGGGTTGTTGTCATGTTCATGTAATAATAAGATGGCGTATTCTGAGCAAGCTGATTTACACTTTGATATCTATTCAATGGCGTTGGCTGAGGGTATTGTGATTGAGCGAGTTGAGGGAGATAAGGGGGAAGGCTGATTTGCGGCGAATACTCTGGATACGGCACATAAGGCGATTGCGTGACCTATAATAATCCCTATCCCTATTTTTTCATTTGTTAATAAATTTTCTGGCACTTCGAACTCCTATTTTCGTCTTTAAAGCAGCTCATTTTTTAATACTCTAACCAAACGGAAGATGATTTCATTCTCATTACTTTAGTCTGCCGAGAAAATAATGTGGATTCGTTGCTTCTTGAAATCACTCATCATCGCTTTGTGGCAGAAGATTTCTTGCGCGACTGCGACAGCTTTTCTGCGACAAATCCACATTATTTTCCCGACGGACTGAAGATACTATCTGTTACTTACAGTGCTTTGTGGCTGTGTGTATTGAAATGGTTTTACAGGCCGGCGGTGTTTGTTTTCATTAGAGCGAGACGGGAGTTCTGTAAAGAACAGAGTTAATTCGCTCCTCACAAAGTCAAACACCTTTATTTACCTTTGGTTTTAAAATCGACCGTCAGCGATTCGGTCGATGGAGTTCCTCGGAAAATGGAATAAACCCGGAGTTGGTAGTTCGAATTGGGGGACAGTCCTCTTATCCTGAGGGCAGTTTGCTTCGTCTCCACATAGCTGGCTTGCTCCAAATCCCCGGCCTCGTTGTATTCCACATAATAAGAGATATCCGCCTTTCTCGGCGATAAAATGGCAAAAGTAACGCCGTCCGAATCCGGCTTCAGGTACTCCAACACCGGTCTTGGAGGCGCTATGAAATGATGTTTGGTAAAGCAAAATAACTCACTTGATATATACAAATTACTGAGCAACAACGACTTGTATCCAGGCTCTATCAGAGCAGTTACATTAACGTAATATTCAGCGGCTGGTAACGTCTTTTGAATGGTAACATTTAATACTTGGTTGGAGAATAAAGAATGAGATGGAGGAGATCCTACTGGGGGATAATAATCTAATTGAAAATGGCGACAAACAACTGCCCGGGGGATCAAGTTATGCCAATCGACCAAAACATGGGAGTCTGATGCATCGAGCTGAAAAAATGCCAAAAATATATTCTCCTTGAAAAGGGAACCCAATTTAATTACAACCTTTAATTGACTTTTCAATTCAGAAATAACTTGAAATCAGATTAGGCAGGGCTACCGTACTCACTTTTCCGTATACTGTAACAGAACACAAGTAGAGTAAGAGTACAAAGATGCGCATTTGATCAAAGTTGGAGCATCCTGGTGGTGGTCAGAGGGGGAGGACGAGCAGACAGCTGTGATCTCACTCCTCGCCTCCGGCCACAACCAGTCCCGCTGTCCTCGCGCGAGTCCACCCGATCAAGGTCTCTGTAACGCTCTCTCTCAGCGATTGCGTAATATGTAAATACATCGACGGAATCGGGTCATCGGAAGTGTTCTTCACATTTTTTATCTAATTTATATTACACGTAAGGTTCGAATCAATTTTCAAGTTTTATTAAAAGAAAAACAAACTCATTACTAAACAAACAAAGGAAGGAGTAATCTGAGATTACAAGACATGATACAAGGCCTCAGAAATCCCTCAAATTGAACCATTGGGGCGGGGGAGATCTCCCCTCAAGCACTTCTTTCCACAATCTGCCCTCAGGGCTGTTATTCTTGACAAAGAGAATCTTTCCTAAAGTCTTTTCCTTCTGATTTCTGTCGATTTCAATCAACGCAATCTCTAGGTCACATCTAAAAATATAATTTTTTTTTCTCCTTTGCAAGCGCTACAGTAATCCATTTAATTAAAGTGCAAAAAGTTGAAAAGTCTTACTTCAGGATGCTATTGTGGTCGATGGAGAACATCAGAGCCTCATTCCATATATTATTCTTGTCTGCAATCTTCTTTACGCCCGTTTTCTTCTTCTTGAGGACCTTGTCGTTCATAATTAATGTCGCTTTGAAGTAAACGGAGGTCCCTGTAATCCCCCAATTAATTAAAACACTCAAAATAAGAGTTTAGAGATCGTGTTACAGTAAGTGAGAGTGACTTTGTAAGGTCGACTGCATGTCCGGAAGACAATCTTTGAATGCCACATACCTGATGGCCTATTTGACAAGGGATTTGAGATAAAAAATATTAGTTTAAACAGAAAATTCTACTTTTTACGCCACTCGAATTAATTTTTGATTAATTACCTGGAGCTGATTTGATGTTTTGATTACTTTGTTGAATGTTTACTGTAAATCGTTGAGCAGAAGTCAGGTATTGAAGCCATAATTGCAACTCCCCCACATTAATGGGAGCCTCAACTGGATCCAATTCAATCAAAACCAACATCTCATCTGATGGATTCAATTTGGATAACAAAGTGGAGGCCTTCCCGACAAGCCGAAGACACTTGGAGGAGGTGTCAAATAACTGGACTGTCAATGTCTTGTCCATGAGTTCTTGATAGGACAGGGGTACCTTGAAGGTCTGGACGGGGATCGAGGAGCCGGGTATTATTTTAGCTGATTCCCTTCGATTATTTGATCCCAAAGAGAAAATGAGTTGACATTCTTCCAAATTTATCAAAATCGAAGCTATAAACAGTCTTAGTAGTAGTCCTTTATTGTAATTGTTTTTCTTCGAATTCGAAAAAATAAACTTGTTCCGTCTAGCTCTTGTGTGTCCACGTCAATTACTTACTTTCCAAGAGAACAATCACAAAATCAGACCTCGAGAATGTATAACTCAACTGTAACTGGACACTTCCCACACAAATATTATCCTTTGAAGATGAGATTTTCACTAATGATCCTCGTTTTCGATACAAATCCGGCTGAATATTGCCAATAACTGAAAAGAAGTGGCTTGAAAACGGCTTGAAACGGCTTAAAAAGTGGTCCGAAAACACTTGAATCAAGGTTTGACTGGCAAATGAGAATCATTAAGGCTCACCTCCATTGGATCCACTGCTCTGACGCCGTTCCAAGAAGTGCAACGCGCTGTCGATCTCTTGTTGGGAGGCCCGCCGTTCGCTCTCTACCATTATATCGGGATGGAAGTCGAGGCGATGCTGAAAAAACATGGCCAAGATATGCGGAAACGTACATGTCCCACCACTTCGGGGATACAACTCAACCTTCGCATCGTCGAGAGCCTTCAATTGGGGCCCAAAAAAGTTGGCTGAACCTTCACGGGGAAGACGGAAAGGGGGAAAGTCGAGGTTCTGATGACGGCATAAACCGTCAAATGCCTCTAAAAATAAAAACAAAAATGAACACGGATATTCCCGGGGATTCCCCGAACTGGAGGGGAAACACGCATCGACGACTTTAATCTCATAAGGCTCAAGAAGGGCCTCCAAATGAAAGATTAAACGAGTTAACGAACTTGACTTAAACTCTAGGTGTGCTTAAGGCCCTTTGGAATGACGTTGACGACTCCCTTGGAACCACAGGAATTGGTTCAACACTTACAGTTATTCGCGCTCCATTTCCTCACTCTAATCTGACCTCAGAAACAGAAATAACGTTTATAAAAATACCTTTATTCAGACGGATTGGCCGTACCTCTAGTACAACCAGAGGCAACTTTTACAAATTATAGTAAGACTCACACGACCGTGAGCGGCTTTCAGGATCACAGAACTCCCACATTTTAATTTCATTTGACTAGTAATGGACATTAAAAAGTAGTGGTACGCCGAGCAGACATACGAGGTAAAATTACTACGTAAGGAGTCATGTCAACACGAGCTATTGCCCAACCACATTTACAACTGGTATTTACATAAACACGGAGGAAATGTCAGAGCTCATCGTGTATTTAAATACCGCTTTCGTATGCAAACCGACGAATAAAAGTTTCAAAATATCGTTTATAAAGGATATCCCCAGCACGGCCGACATTCCCCCGCAGGGCATATTACTGGCTTTATGAGAAGCGGAAATCAACCGATTCCACGGAACAACGATTAATGGAAAGGCCTCCGTTTATTCGAACAAAACCCAAAACTTTTGCAGATTCGGAGAGCGCGTGACTGAATTCCTTAAGATTCTGGTTCACTCCGTGTCCTCAATGGCCTGAAAACAATCTTCCGTGGACTGCAAATGACATAACATAAACACAAATTAAATGACTGACCCTTTCTACGAAAGCCGGCAGAACAAAAGCGGCCGAATGCACCTTGGAAGAGTAGAATCTGAGCTGATTATGAGGGGCAATGCGTTTGGGGACACTCAAGTCATTATCCTAAACCAAATACATGACTTATCTGACGTTTAGAGAGACACGGAACCAAAGATATAAATAGAAAACGACAGTGAGTACTCGGGAATAGTAAATTACCTCAGGCCCTTTGGATGCCAGAAGATATCCTATCACTCCGGAAGGATATGTGGAAACCACCGAACTTGCATATCTAACGTTCTTGAAGATGCGGCGATTGAAGTTAACCATATGAACGATCAGGTCCAGATGGAGCCAGAAACTTTCACCTAAAATAATTTACAAATTATGTGGTTAATTCACTCCATTGATTGTAAAAAGACTTTTGGAATGGGCCAGGTCCGAACATTATTCTGAAGATATATGTAGAAGGTGAAGTTGGGATACATTTCATTGCATGTCATAAGCACGCAACTTACATTGCGAAGCCAGAACTCCATTCGGTTTGAGAGCCTTGTTAATCAACTCATAAAAAGTTTGCCCAAATAAACTTTCCGCCGGGCCAATTGGATCAGAAGAATCGGTAATCACAACATCGTATTCATTTTCGTGATTCTTCAAAAATTGGAAACCATCGTCAATGAACAACGTAAACTTGGGATGCTCGAATTGAGATGACATTTGAGGAAGATACTTCTTGGCAACCTATACATTTATTATCTGATGACAAGTGGCAATAGAACACTTACATCAATAACCATCTTGTCGATCTCGCACATGTGAACTTCCTCAACGTGTTTATGTTTCAAGACCTCTCGTAGAATCCCACCATCTCCTCCTCCGATGATCAGAACCTTTTTTGGATTAGGGTGAGCAAACATTGGCAAGTGGGTTAACATCTCTTGGTAGGAGAACTCATCTCTCTCGGTACATTGGATCACATTGTCCAACACAAGAACATTCCCATGGGCCTTGCTACAACAAAAGACGGTTATCTCAACATATTAAGTCACCTTTTAAACACAATAACATCTTGGAAGTCAGACCTCCCCTGGAATAAGATCTCTTCTACCCTCAAGGAGTAAGCTTGGCCTGGCCAAGGGCTTCCCATTTCAACTCCATCCGACTTAAGCTGCTTGTCTTCAGTATTCTGACCTTTAATTTCCGCCAAGTCGTCGGGCGACAACTCGCTAAACCAGCCTTTCTTCAGCGCGTCCATTTCTAATATAACACTTTGGCATGTTCCTTCCCTTTTCTTTAACGAGCTGATAAGATAAAACTGAATAAACTTTGTCGGTTTTGTACCTTGATCTGATAAGCCAACACTTCGCCTAATTGGGTTTTGTAATTTTTTCATATATCAGATTTTCGCCCAGCCAGAATGCCAGAATTTTGTCCCGACGCGAAAACATTTTTGAAAAAGAATTTCTATAATTTTCGTTCTCGAATATAACGCTCGAGACTGGGGGCATCAGGGGCTGGCTTCTGATGCAGCTCGATGCATTGAATATGCAGAACGATGAGGAGCTCGAGTTCAGTGAGGATGAGATTGACGTGCGGATATTGGTATTGGGGGATCGTGAGTTGAGCAATAACTTTGATTATTTCTTTTTAAGATAACTCTGGAAAGACATCGCTGATTTTTACTTTGCTGGAAGATAGATTTATAGAGAATGTCCCCACAAATGTTGAGACAGTTATTATACCGCCTGATATATCTCCAGATGGGGTTGTTACTGCCATCATCGATTATTCGAGTAAGAGACTTAAAGAAAAAGCGTTAATTACACTTTTTTAGCACGGGTTCATAGTGACGAAGCTTTGAAGCAAATGATAAATGAGGCATCTGTTATTTGTGTCGTCTTTTCGGTTGAAAGACCCGAGAATCTCGACAGAGTAAGCTAATGTTTTACTTTGTTATGCATATTTTAGGTAAAAGACCATTGGATGAAACTTATACATGAAGTTGTTGGGCCTGAAGAAAGGAAGCCTGTGCTTGTTGTCGCAAACAAATCGGATAAGCCGGACCAATCCGAGAATATTGATAAAATGGTTCCCATCATGAATGAATTCAGCGAGATCGAAACTGTTGTCGAATGCTCGGCTTTCGCAAAGAAGAATGTGTCCGAAGTCTTTTATTATGCACAAAGAGCTGTTGTTTATCCATTAGCGCCGTTGTATGATGTGAACAGAAGAGAACTCACCCCGAAGTGCAAGAAGGCACTGGTTAGGATATTTAAAGTAGGTATAAAAATGAAATTATTTATTACTTTTCCGTTTTTAGTTATCTGACGAGGATAATGACGGTCTTTTATCTGATAATGAGCTAAGGACATTTCAAATGAGAGCCTTCGGAATGCCATTAGTCGATGATGCGCTTGAAGAAGTTAAAAATGTTGTGATGAGTTACGAACCTACTGGAGTTATCGATGGTGGGATCACGTTACGTGGATTCCTATTCCTTCATGAAGCATTTATGCAACGAGGAAGACAAGAGACCGCTTGGACTGGCCTCAAGGCATTTGGTTATGATAAATCGCTGCAATTAAGACATAATTACCTTTACCCAACGTAAGTATTGTAGTGTTATATGATTAGTGTCTGTTTAGGATAAATATTCCTTTTGGTTCATCCACAGAATTATCAGCTGAGGGCCTCAGATTCATCCGATTTTTATTCAGAAAATATGATGAGGTAATTTTCTGTTTTGTTTTTTAACTAAGCTTGCTGGTTTTAGGATAGGGACGGTAAATTATCTCCCTCCGAGCTGAAAGCCATGCTGAGTGTGTGCCCAGGAACACCATGGCCTCTGGAATTTCTTCATGCGACGTCCCTAGATCTGCAAGGATGGCTGGATGAGCAAGGTTTCATTAATCTCTGGACACTCAACACTTCCATGAATCTCTCACAAACATTCGAACAGCTAGCTTACTTAGGTTTTAATGTTGCTCACAAGTCTCAGTTGGATGCAGTGATTGTGACAAGGGATCGAAGGATAGATGTTCTTGAAAAGACGACTGATCGGACTGTTTTCCAATGTCATGTTATTGGTCCAAAGAATGCGGGAAAGACTGTCTTTTGTCGATCCTTTTTAGGAGAAACTCTCAATGTAAGTGTTTTTAATGTTCTAGCATGTTTTCTTTTACATTATTTATTTTTTAGCAAATTATTCAAATGAGGCCGAACCATCAACCCTCATATATCATAAATACAGTGGAAGTGAAGGGGCAAACGAAATACATGATAGTGAGCTAACCCCTGAATTTTTATTTATGCGGATTCTAGATGCATGAAGTGGATGTCTACTCGCCAGAAGATCAGCTCTCGACTTATGAGAAGAATGCAGATGTGATTTGTTTGTTGTATGACGGGACGGATCCAAATTCTTTCGCTTATTGTGCAAAATTGTATCTTGTAAGTAGGATTAGTTGATATTTATTTTGTTTTAGCGTTATTTCTACCGAACCAAAGTGCCATGTCTGTTTGTCGCGTCCAAGACGGGGAAATATGACTTTGAACAGACCTATGAATTCCAGCCCTCCGACTTCTGCCTGACTCATCAATTGCCCAAACCTCTCAAGTTCGTCGAAGTCGGGAATCCCCATGCCCAAGTGTTTGCTCAATTGGCTACAATGGCCGCTTATCCACATCTGAAGCGCGTGTATTTCCTCCACGACTCTTCTATCCTATCCAAAATAACGTTTGGCGCTGCAGTCGCAGCGTTGGCAGGGTTTCTGATCTATAAGAATATGTAAGGGGACCTTGAACTAGGTCAGTATTTCTTTTTGTATCGAGATTACGGGTCTTTCACGGCTTTCTCATCCTTTTCTTGTCACATGTTGTGATGACATATAAAATATGTCATGATGACTTTTTTATAATTCCACTAAGTTTGTCCAATATCCATCCAATAAGTAGTCCGCTTTTTGTTGCATTTAATGCTTATTAAGTTTCCTTAAAATTAATTTTCTTTTAACCAGCAAAATATTTTTTTTTTTATTTGAAACTCCGTTTGTAAATAAATTCCTGGAGGCTGTCAACGTCGCTTTAATTCATCGATCCCAATTCAAAGTCGGTTAAATAAATGAAAGGAGAAGAAGGGATTTCTTATCGACAATGTGATTCTGTTCTATAAAAACAAATGATTGCCTTCGTATTCCCTCTCTTTTTACTGCTACTGCAAGGCTCTTGCTATGTGCAAAAAATCTCTAATGGAATAATTAATTCCCGCCCGACCTTTGATTGTTTTGCCGAGTCCATAAAAGTTCATATCAGGACCGAGAATCCGTTTTTTGGTCGAATCTTTGTCAAAGGACACTCTCGAGATGGAGATTGTTCCCTGAGGGGGAATGGAACCAGTTCTGAATTCGATTTGCCCCTTTTATTCCATAAGTGCGGGTTATTGCGCAAACGTACTGCTGATGGAATAACCGTTACAACGACAGTTATCGTCAGCTTCCACCCCTACTTCTTGACGGAATCTGATGGTGCCTTCCGACTCCAGTGTTTATATCGTAATCAAAACCAAGTCGTATCCAAGGCTTTGGAGAGTCTGGCAGATCGCTTATTGGATCGAGAGGAAAAGAGTGCCATGCCGACCTGTCGATACGACGTGAGTTTTCAACTTTTCATTTCAATGTAAATTCATAGTATTTCAATTTACTGGTTTTTAGATTCTAGAAGATGGCCCATTTGGGCGACAAATCCCCTTCGCTTCCGTTGGCACTACTGTCTATCATAAATGGACTTGCACTTCTCGAACTCCCGACGAACATTGTATGATTGTCCATTCTTGCGTAGCGGAGGATGATGGGGGAGACACGGTGAACATCCTGGATGAACATGGATGTGCTCTAGACCCAGTATTACTCGATAATCTCGAATATACTGAAGATCTTATTGCCGGACAAAAGGCTCAAGTCTACAAGTTTGCCGACAAAGAATCGATCTACTTCCAATGCCAAATCATGATATTCAAAAAGCCCCCAGGACAGAAATGTTCTCGTCCTCAATGCCAGAAGATTTCAGCAACGGGAGAATTCCGCTCGCTGAACCAAACAAGGAATTTGGGAGTTACATTCGATCGACGACTGGCTCGACTCCGCTCTCGATCCATCAATTATGATGTCAGCTCAGAAATGATGGTCACCGTGGATGATATCCCCGTAAGGATTAAAGAATTTCAAGAATCAGATGATTACGTAAAGAATTGCTTACCGGTGGAAAACATGGTTGGATTATGTCTATTGATATCGATTATAAGCTGTTTATTCAGTTTCATTTCTTTTTATTTATTTTGTTGGAAGGTTTGAGCATAGATTGCATACTAGACAATAAATATGTATTTAATCCTTATCCAGACTTCTTTTCAAATGTCATATTGAGGATTGGATAGGCTTCGGTAGGATTATAATCGATGACGATCTCAAGATCGTGTCTTCCCGAGTCCATAAATTCTCTCATCACGTCTTCCACGATTTTCTTGGCCAATTCGTGTTCCTTTATTCCCCTATGCTTCTCAGGGCTGGATGGGATAAGTTCAAAGGGAGGATCTTGATGAGTCTTACGAAGGGATCGACAGAACTTGACGTCATCTATGATCTCTACATTCGGGATCTCATCTTTGGTCTGGACCTTGACTTCTTCTCCAAAAGTTGGACCTGGATCCTTTTGCTCGACCTAAAACAGTATAAATAAAAACACTGAGAATGATTACACAAGTCTCTCACCGGTTTTTGTTTCTTCAAAGTCTCCAGAAAAACGCCATTTAATTCCTTAAAGGAGTCATAAGATACAGTACCCGAGCTCTGAGAAATGGTGCCCACAATGTTGACGGGGAACTCGACGACTTCATTCCTCCCGGTTAGTACAACTGCACTTGGTCTCGATCTTTTTGAAGGAGGATTTTGCTTTCTTTGATTGGGCTTTTCTGATGTCCTGAGGTTTTCTGGTTTCTTTGGAGGGATCACAACATTGTCAAACTTCTCTGGTGTTTTCTCGGCTCTCATTAAATCTAATTAACCATTGACAATTTAAAACTCCAAAATCATAAAAAACAAAATTCAAATTCTTACTGGTAATATTGGCAGTCGGTTTAAGCGGAATCACATTCTCCATTTCGACTTCTTTTTTCTTTTTCCCCATTTTGATTACTTTGATCACCAATGGACAGCCGGACTCAGAGAATTCAATTCGTAAAAATGGAATAAAATTTATCGACTTTTGTAATGAAAAACCAAAATTAAAAGTGCAAACAATACAATGAAGGATACTGTAAGTACAAACAAAACATGCCGCATGTCCATGGAGTATAAGGAGAATCCGGAGAAGAGAAACGCCTCGGCTCCAGTGGTCTTCAGACATTGGGTGACGGTGTAAATTGGGATCTGAAAAAAAGCAAATTGGAAGTTCATATAATTATATTGTAGTAGGCGTTAGGAAAGAAATTCATACCTGTTTTAACTTTGTTGCCAAAACTTTCTTTTTATGACAATCCACAAGTAACTGGGAATTGTTTCTGGCCATAGGGACATCAAGAACCCAGCTTATCATTTTACTTGTATTCGATTTCCCGAGGAATGACAATCTCAACAAATCCGCGCCCAACAATCTTACAGGGTTGTAAAACTGAACAATCGCCATAAATTGGTCCTCTGGATGGATTACAAATCCAGAAAAAGTTACCGCCATCATAAACAAAAAGACTGAAAACACTTAGAAATTGGTTTACAAACTTACAATTAGCCAGCAGACCGAAGATAATATTTCTTGTGGTAAATAATGATACCCACGCCAAATATCTAAAGAATAAAATATTGATCAAAATGAGGATAGAGAAGCTGATTAAAGATGAGAGATCCGAATCCGTGGCTGGATTCTGAGAAGTCAAAGTATACATGGGCATAGAGTAGGCGATGGAAGAAACGATGACAAAAGGAAGATCGAAGGATATCATGGCTGCTAAGTAGTTATGTCTACTGTATTTACGCGCCATCATATCTCTCTGGACATTATCCATGTCGCGAATCACTGAAAAGGCAATGAGAAGTATTTTAAAAGCAGAAATCACACCCTTAAAGTGATAAAACTACATATAATAATATATACTTACGGCACCGGGTCCCCAATAAACTTAGAGGAAATTGAACGATAAGCAGGACAGAGCAAATAAATCCCTGCCGATCATTGATCCCAGCCCTCCGATCCAAAGGTAACTGGAAGAACAACCAGCCGAGGAAAAGGGATAAGATCAGATTTATAATCGTCTCCCAACAAACCGAGATCGGATTATTGAACGCCTTTAGCCAGAGGCATCTAAAAATAACCTTAATGTACGATAGTCATAAAATAATTACTATAAAACAGAAGACTTGCTTGTATAAAATAAAAGTTTTGTTAATCGCATCAGCATGCTGCATTTTTGGAGAGATTATATTGTTCTTGGGGGAGTTTAGTGGCTTCATTTTATGGGACCAAACCTCAGTTAAAGTTCGTATTCGGATCATCGATTCCTTTGCTGACTCGTTGTTTAGAACGTCATGAGTGACCAAATCAACTAAAAATGATGACTAAATGTAACGTGACCTTACCGTAATAATCACAAGGATTCTTAAAGGGAGGAGATGTATATCCGATACTCTCAAAGTAATCACACATTTCACTGCTCTCTCCCATATAAACAAAGCGCCCGCAGGTCATCAGAGAGACTGAATTTACATCTTCCGATTGCTATTAAAACATTACCTTTTCCAAACATTTGTAAAATCTCCAAAGTTGGTGGATTTAAGGCGATTATGGCGATTTTCTTCTTTTTTTGAGCCCAATCTCGAATAAAATCGATAATAAAAGCCATGTCATATAAATCCATGTCTCTCAGAATATTTTCACAAACAAGAATATCTGAAAAAAATTAAAAAATATATATGGCTCCATTCTCACCAGTATCAAGTAACATAGCTGATGCGATCTTGAGTCGATTAATCTCATTTCTCCCCAGATTTTGGACTAATTGGCCTTTAAATGGAGTTAAAGCCAGTCCTTGTATCAACTGGATGATCTAAATTAACATCGTTTCATATTTCGATCAACAGATTACTTGCCATTTCATGCCTCTTAAAACTGCTCGTAGCCGGTTTTACCAATGTCGAATATGAATTCAGATATTCGATCAATGTCATCGTTGTTTTAACATCACTAGCTGTTACGTGGGCTACTCTTTCCCCAAACTGAGATGGTTTTAATTTGTGTCCATTCAATTCGAAGATACCATGGGTTTGGCCAGGAGGGGGATCGGAGCGGGATAAAACACGAATAAAAGTCTCCATTTCGGATTCTAAATCAATATTGATAGCAATAAAATAATTATTTGAAGATTACCTGAGGTATATAGGAAACATAACATATCACCGGCAAACAATTCAAGTGTAATGTGAGACAGGACCCTCCTCAATTCGGCGGATCGCAACATTACCTTGTCAAAAGTGGATCTGGGATCGAGATCAAAACATAAGTTCATTATTCGTAGATGTGGACTTCTAAAATAGCCTCAATTTTTAAAAAAATACGTAAGTAAAAAATGATGACATTACGGTCTTTCAAGACTTACGAAGTTGGTGTTGTAGGAATTTCCCCCGCTTTTGCGTATTTTAGATAATTAAAATCGAGATCTTCTTGTTGAAAAAGATCGATGTTGGAGAAGTAATGGCTCTGATGTCTGAGCGATGTAAAGAGGCCTTCTTCTCGCTGGGATTCGATCACATCTTCCGAAGGATGAATTTCTGTCTCCGCATAATGCATGTTGAGATCGGGCAGATAATCCAATTCGCTCAAATCACTGCTGTAGACTGAATTCACACGCTCTGAGGTTGGTCTGAAATTATGAAGATCTTATACATGAGAAACGAAGTCAAAGGGAGCATAACGGCTTCAAACTCGAACTCACTTTTTATGAGCCTCGAGTTCAGGCGATGAGAGATGGGTCTGTTCGCTGAGCACATAGCCGGAGGAAGAGAGATCTTCCTCGTGGAAGACTGTTCGTTGCAAACCGCGAATCCTCGTCTCGAATCCGCTTTGTTGATCCATTGAGATGGAGCTCTGAAATCTCAATAATTTCACTTGTCGGCTTTTCGGCATCCAAAGGCGCGAACAAAAGACTGACCAGTTCCGTGAAGACCTCCTCCCTCCCGATCCAGTCCATCCTCCTTCTCGATTATAACGCCCCAGCGGTTGATAGTCGATTAACTCCACCGTTCTTCCTGAATCCAGTTGGAAGCCCCAACTATTACTACTACTTTTACTCGAAGGATCTCCCTCAAGGTCGTTTACTGAGCTGAGGTCGACGCGAGTATTATTACTCCATTCATTTGAGAACTCGTCCTTCGGAGCGCCGCTTCTGAACTTCTCAATGCGGAATATCGAGCGAGTGGGGTCGGAGTTCGAATGTCATGACCTTTCGTTCATCAGGAGTTTCTCTAAAGGATCATGGTCAGTTTTCTTAACAAATCTTATGCAGTGCAAGATCAACGTCCTCAAAACTTGTCCAGGTTCTCAAACATGTACATGTTGCCAGTCACAGCACGATTCCTCACTGATGTTTCTTTGAAAGTAAATTTTGGGGAAATCCACGGAATAATCGGCGCTTCTGGATCCGGAAAGTCAACTTTATTACAAGTTATTTCCCATAGAGTTGATGGGAAGGTAACTGGAGATATAAAGTTGAATGGAGAGTTGCTTACAGGTTTGCAAAACTTCCTTCTAAAAATTTGTTTAGAAAGCAATTTTACGAAGCTCTGCAAATTTGTCAACTTTAATATTGACTTGTTACCGTATCTTTCGGTGGAACAAACTATCAAATATCACGCTCAGATATGTTTGAGCTGCACTGTGGCTGTTTTGGGTCAGAGAGTAAGCGATAAAAACTTAGTTGATTAGTTTTAATTACTTGCAGATTTCTATGTTAATGCAAAAGTTTGATCTCCTCTCTTATGTCCACAGAAGAGTGGATCAATTGACCCCGAGTGCCAGATATCGACTAATAATGGTATTGAATTTACTTGGAGATCCTTTGTTAGTCTTGTTGGATGATCCTCTAACCAAATTGGATGCTTTGAGTAACTACCAATTAATGTCGTCACTACGAGAATATGTAAAAGAGAACTCGCGAATGGCCCTGGTGACGATGAGATATCCCCGATCAGACATTTACCAGCTGATTGATGGTCTTACTTTACTGTTTTACGGAGAAATTGTCTATTCAGGTAAGCTCTGTGAGATATTTTTAAATTGCGCTTATTATTACTATAGGTCCCACCAAGTTCATGCCCCATTACTTCAGTCAAATTGGATACAAATGTCCAATTACTGAGAATCCGGCGGTCTATTATTGTAAGTATCCCAAGTAATTGACAAAGTTATTATTTTTAGTATCCTTAGCCACTGTGGATCGAGAAAATCCCGAAAGCTATGCGGAAACTCAAGAAAAAGCGACGGAATTGGTCGAAACATTCAAGGTCGGTGATTAAATACTCCTAAAGCAAAAAAAAAAATGCCATTTTAGAAGCGCCGGGACAACTTTGATTTCTCTTCATACCAGCCGAAAACTCCAAGCGATAGTCCGATCCTCTCAAATTATTATGGCCAACCTTCCTTCTTCAAACATCTTTACTTATTGTCCCTGTATGTTCGTTTTGAACAAAACATCTGGCAACTTTTTACTTTTCTAGAAGAAATATCAACTTAATGTTACGCTCCTGGCCTTTTATGATGACGCAAACATTATACTTTGCGATATTTTTATTCGTCGCCATATTCGGTGGCCATTTTTATACAACGACCAAACACACTCCTTTATCTGCCTCAGGCACGTTATTCTCTTTGGTCTACTTTACAGCTGTAGTTACCGTCTTCGCTACTGTTATAAATTGTAAGTTCAAGTTCGGTCCTGTTATAAATTGTAAGCTAATTCAATTACAATTTTTCAGTTAAAAGTAGTCGATCTTTTATGTTTTGGGAAGTGAGCAATGCTCTTTACAATGCAGCCCTAATCCCAATAACCACTCTATTGTCCACGCTACCTATTGATCTCTTTGTTCTTACTGTATCTTCAACCACTTTCATGTGGATTGTAAACCCGGCCTTTTATTCTCGACATCTACTCACGTTAATAGTTGGATTATCATGCGTCACATTTAGTTACAAGCTTATTGTATTGGTTTTATTTTCATTTACAAAACACGATCATACTGTAATTGTAACATCAACTATGGTAGCTGGAATCTCCAGCATTTTGTCATCGGGTTTTCTGAAGTAAGAGGCCGTCAAATCGATGTAATTTTCAAGTTTTAGATCTTACCAATCCTTCAACTCAATCAACGAGGGACTACTGTATTTATCGAGCCTATGCCCCGAACGCTTTGCTAATTTCCTTTTGGATTATGAATTTGTAAATTCGACCAAATCGATAACTTGTCATCGAAATGAGCAGATCCCTTTCCCGAACGAAACCGATTTTTGTCGATGGAAGACGGGCAACGATTATTTAACGGAGATGTTAGCAGAGCCAATGGGACCCCCAGAGCAATGGCAAGGACTGCTTATAGTCGGCATCGCGTTACTTTTTTCATTGGCCACTTATTTTGTTGTCACTCCCAAAAAAGCAATTAGTTTTGCTGTACAATAAAATAAAAGTTTCACTATGACGTAAATATGTATCATACTGACATTTGTGATTTTTTCAAAAGAATTTTTTTCAACTAAAAAATGAAGTTTGCCTTAATTCTGCAACTCTTCTGTTTGTCATGACGCGGTTGTGGCTCTTCTTCCTTTTATCTATTCAATATGCCTTTCCAATTGAAGTCGTATACACGAAGAAAGGTAATCTCAATCTTACGATCTATTTGTTTTTCTAGGGAGCTCTGGATTTACCAAACTGGACAGAAGAGATAACATTGCTCTTCAAATGTCTTGTGGATACAACAAAAACATTGAGAAATGGAGACTGGCAATTGAAGGGGGAGATCTGGTGAACCGAGGAGACGTTCCCTATGCCGTTGCAATTACTCGAGAGACTAGGCAGTGAGTGGTAAACCAACAAGTACCATTCCTTTGATGCCAAACTTGTGATAAGTGCCCAATTTCAGTCCCGCAGCCCGTTGTGGGGCTGTGGTAATCAGTAAACGACATATTCTGACCGCTACCCATTGCTTCTTCAATTATTTTGAGAATAAAATCCCTTGCGAGTAGGTTGTGACATTTGTCATCATCCTTACCAATATCATCATATCTTTTTCAGAAAACGTCCAACTCTACTCAAAGACGTTGATAGACTTGTAATTGCTTTTGGTGGTGTATGTCTGCGATCTGACAGGAACTGTGATTCCCGGGATATGCGACTGGTGGCCATAAAGAACGTGGCGTATATGCCTCAATTCCATAATCAAAACTGCACAAAAGGAGGGGACATTGCTGTTGTGGAAGTGGAAGAGGACTTCGAGGCATGTGGAGAAGGTCTACATTAGTTTTTGTTTCAGTTTGGTGCTTTCCTTCAGCCAGCATGTCTGTTTACCGAAAAGAAAAATAATCTGGAAAAGAGGCTGAACAAAATGAAGAATGTCTTCAGCTGTGGATGGGGAAATGATCGTAAGTTCCCTAAGGCAAGCGCTTATTTCTCCAATTCTTTCAGATGGCCATTCCTCTGCCCGTCTACAATATATTCACTCCAAATATGGCACAATGAAATACGGTTCCGATGACGTCATCTACTTTGTACCAAAGGATACGAAAAATGATCGGATTTGCAGTGTAAGTTAACTCAAAAGCATTGTGGATGTTTATGTGACTGGCTGCGGTGTTTCTGATTTAATTTTACTTTTTTCAGGGCGACAGCGGTTCCGGCATCTTTGGCTACGATGGCGGAATTGGCCGTGATGTTTTGCTCGGGGTCCATTCCCATGGACAAGGGTGCGATGATCCTATCAACCCCGCAGAAAATTACTATTACGTAACTTCGATCATCCCCCATGTGAAAGCAATCTGCAAACTGACCGGAGTTTGCCCTCCGGGCGTTATCCCGTAACCTTGACCGCGAATTCCATTCCTTGAAAATAAAAATTGTTAACTTTGAAAGCGGTGTTTTTTGCAAGCGATCATGATTAGCAACAAGTGGTGTCTCTCTCTCTTCGTCTCGGTTGTCTGCGTCTGGGCTGCTCCCAAATCCAGATTCGAATCCGAGCTTCAGAAAGTGTAGGTGTAATTGAATAAGGTGTGTTTACTCTTAGATTTAAAAATGCGAAACAATGTTTTCACAAGAAACTATTGGCAGAGGCTTCGTCGAGGATTGGGAAGAAATTGAGTGGCGATGACAATTCGACCGTCTATCTGAACGATATCAGTGTGGCCGAAGGGTGGGGGCGCTTAGTTTTAACAATTTTTTTAAATAATTAGGTCAAATATTCTTCTGGATTGTCTGCCAAAAAGTCAGAAATCGATCGTTCTGATCAATAACCTAAGGCAATATTCTTACGGTCCTCCAAGTGACTGTGCCAAGAAGTTTGGGCAATCTTATCATCACAAAAGTGATGATAGAAATCAAACTACGCCAACGAAAAGTGATGTAAAAGATGCCTTCTTCAACGGTCAACTCGATGTTTGCAGGTAATTGAGGTTGCATATCTGACAGTAGAGTTAACTTTCATCTACGCGAAGAAAGATAAACCTTCTCTTTAACGATTCGATTTCAGTTTATTGATCGATGTGATGAACCCATTCTACTGTAACTTTAAGAAGGCATGCCCTAGGGACATTCAGGACTTTCAAGTCACTTATGCCGCGCTTTATTCGATGCAACAGCTGTTATTGAACACAGAAAAACCCTTGGTGTAAGTTCAACTGCCTACAATAATGTCTAAAATTCTAGATGTATGCAAGATCGCAGTTCCAACGAACCTCTTGGTACTGTAATCAACCCTGCCGCATATGAAAAGTCGTTTAACGTGACTTCTGATCCCTTGATCGTGGGTGATTTCTGCAATGATTCATCGGCGGAAGGAAGTGGAATTGATGGGGAAGAAGGGTCAGGAATCGGGTCATTCCAATCCGATAGTCTACATGAAGAATCCTCGGCTCACGTCGAAAATGGGTTTGGTGAGCAATTCTGGGAAGATCTGAGGATCGAACAAGTTCTGAACAGGGCCTTCAATTAATATTATATTACTTCATTTATTGTATAAATTATGAATTAGAATGCGTTAGTCTACTGGTTACCCGAATTACCAGCTAAACAGAACTCGTCGCCGTTATATATACTATAAATACTTCTTAAAGAGCGGTAGAGATTACTGATGATAATCCATAAACCAGCAATGACGGGGGCAAATCATCGGTGACCAATCGTAACTGATTGATGTATTTATCTGTCTGATCTTGGGACGAGGATGGACTGGGCGGGAGGGGGAGGTTCAGGAAACAGACAGCCGATTCTGTACTATTTCGTCGGATCATCTCGTTGACTGCTTGAACATACGATGGTTCAAAATCGGTGATATTTGTGCTGAAAGAGCAAGATTATTAAAATAACTACAACACGATTACAAGTATAAAAGTATCGCTTACATTGGTTGTTGAGAGCTCCTGTCGATCTGAGAGACCACATGATCCCACGGCACCATCACAGATTTTGCATTGATTCGAAGATTCTCCAGAAGGGATCTCAATTGTTGTTCTTGAATATGCATGTCCTGTAGACTACTGACACAAATGAATACTCTCAGTTTGGCCGATTTCCATTTGCTGGACATACTCAATATACAAGCCAATTGGAGGACAAACAAAGAGCTGTTATCCCATTGGAGGCCATTGTCCTCTGGTTTGAAGAGATGAGACGGCCAGACGTCAATGTAACGCCGGTTTTCATGTCTAAAAATACTCAAATAAGCTAAAAAAACTACTCAAAATTAATATTGTACTAGCAAACCTACTTCAAGAACAATTCTCTGTCGAATTTTGTGAAATGCCGTGCTACAACCAAATTTTTGTTCATACTCATCGCATCGTGAAGAATCTGAACGTATTGTTGATTAGTAAGTCGAGAATTTGATGCTTGTAATCCTCGAGGTACATCTGTTGCTGTAAAGTATTCCACGACCTCAGCTCTCCCAATCTTCGAGAATTTTAGGTCCTTCAAAAGATGGGTTTCCGAAAGACTGGATTCAGAAGGCTGTTTCTCATGGAATCCCACAACTACAGTATTTGGTTTCATCGCACCCAATCCACTCAGACGGATCAACTAAAAAATTAATTACAGTAATCAGCCAATGACTTCAGCCTTACCTGTTGAATACCAGTTCTGATATTGTCGGTCAAAGTAAGTTCCACAAACGCCTTGACTTTCAAATAATCGACCAGAGACAACCAGTAAGGAAGTACCGGTTGAATTGGATCAACCAAAGCATCGGTGTTGTCATTTTGTTGTTGGACATGACCAATCACATACAATCCACTCTTCTTAAGATCGTTTACAAAGTCGATTAATGGACAGCAAGAAGCAGGACGACTGACCAACAACAGAATCTGCGGTCTCCAGAATTTAACGTGTTCTTTTCGAACATCCAAAAGAAGAAGGTATTTTCTGACTTGATGGTAGATAAGAGCTTGAGAAATAGATCCCCAAGATCCAATTGGAGCCTAAAATTAAAATCTAAACCCAGATAAACATACCTGATAATGGAGGACCATAATAAGGAACATCAATATCACAACAGCAACAGCACTCATCGACGCATCGATTACCAACATCATTACAGCCGTAGCAATTGCCCCCAGGGCGCATGTGTGCCAGCTAAAGTATTTGAAAGTGGGTCGAAAGTTGGGAGCTGAGGTCAATTCCAAGGCCAGACAAGCGATGTTCACTCCCATGTAAGATAACAAGAAGAAGATCGAGGTGATCTTTGCAATTCTATTCATTGCACCAACAGTAAATACCATCTAAATTAAGATAAAAATAAAAGTAAGTATACTCACCATAACACAAATCCAGGAGATAATAACCGAGACCACTGGATTCCCTGAGGCAACTTCCATTGTCGCTGGTTTCAACAACATTCCAAACAATTTATCGTGAGCTAATCTATTCAAAACTCTCGAAGCTCCAAGTAAATTACTCATTGAGGAGAAGAAAGTGGCTGCAAAGATACCAAACAAAATAATCATGGAGCTGATATTGACGTCCACAAATATCAGGTAATCATTCTGCAAAAGATGCCTCGAACAAGTGGAAGACAAGAGAAGATTGGTCAACATGTAAGTGAAGAAGGTGGTGAATACTGCTTGTAATGTGCCACGAGGGATCGAAATATTAGGCTTGGCCAACTCTCCAGACATATTGGCACCGGCCATCAGACCTGTGACCCCACTGAAGATGATGGAGAACATAAAAGCAAAGTCCGTTGATCTCCCGGTCGTGTAATCATTTGTGTAGTTCGCAAAGAAATTCTCTTTGAATGTGTCCCAACTAAAAATAAGATCAACAAAATGGAAACAGGATACCTGAACGATGTATATAACGCGGTCAGAGTCTGATTGAAATCCTCAGCCTTCTCTCCGTCTGGATCCGAGAGATTCTTTGGGACCAGATAAGCATACGAATTACTCTTTGGAATTGGTATCTCGGTTTCACTTTTGACTATCGTAGTCAGGAGAAATGACGCGTATCCTCCAGCGATTACCAAAAGCGCGATGACAGCCGTCTTGGCAAACATTCCAGATCCAAGGAGGCAGAGACATAAGATGACGATGCTGACAAGGATACAGTGGAAGAACTTGCCTCCATAACCATCACCGAGACCTGCAACATTCAATAATCATATTTTAAAAAAAGCTGTTACCATAACGGCTATTGTTATTACTCACCGACTAAATTAGAGAACGCTTCAGTGAACCCAGTGATGTATAAGGCGCATGAGCACACGTTGGCGACAAAGAAAAGGACTCCAATACTTCCACCAAACTCCGGCCCAAGAGTTCGACTAATCATGTCTAAAACAAACATAATTTTGAAGATTAATAGTTATCTTACAATAAACACCTCCGCCTTCGACAGCGCCATTCGAAGATACCGCGCAAAGAGAAAGCACAGTCAGAAGAATGATAGAATACGCAAGCATCAACTCGACTGTCGTCATCATGAACCCAAGTTGTCCTACAGCAAAACCTAAAAATCGAGATTTATAATAAATAATATGAACTTACCCATCCGCAAGAATAAAAGAGCTGAGAACATGGAGATTGTGACCGGCGCAAAGACTCCAGAGGCCGTTGACAGGCCTGTAGGCCGTGAAACAGCATGATCGAGCTCTGAAATTATCAATAAAACGTTTATTACCCAAAATAATCGTCTAATTTTGCTCCACAAAAAAAGATTTTTTATTTCTAGAAAAATGTCAGTCTGACGCATTTTTTGAAGATATTTGCATACCCATGATTCGATCAAACTTCAAGACACCGAGAGGAGCAGAGATCGGTCAAGAGGACATAAGACGGAGGAAACTCCCGACTCGGCCTTTTTCGAGCAGCTCGCGGCCACAAAAAGGCGGCTTCGTTTGAATACAAGGGTAGTGCGGGCCAAGAACTGGCAGAGACCGCCATCATAAGCCATCTTTTAAACGATTATCTTGTGAAAACCCTTTTTGAGGCTTTTAAATTACATTATACATAAACTCTTGCTGTCCAGACCAAAAAAAGGTGGATTACTTTTATACAATGCTAAAGACGTTGTTCAACTTGACACGTCAGTCACGTTTATCATTTTCGTCATGTCAAATTGTTCTGTCATTTTGATTGTCAAATTGAACATTTTTGGAAAATTTTTGTAGGTTTTTGCTAAAAAATCATGAATTCAAAATTTTTAGGAACTAAATTGCTCCTTCTAGTCGAAACGACCGATGAAATAAGCAGTAAAACTAGTTACGACTAATATTAACCGTATTCATCAAGTCTCGCGTGTGAGAGCTTCGTATAGACGTCAATTTGATCAATTTGACGCCATTTTGAAAAATTCTGTCAAATTAACAACCCGACTAACAATAAATAAAATATTCACCTGAGACTTGGAAAGGTTGACAAGCTCCATTTCCATTGGGGAGTTGTCTTCCCGGAGAATAAGCGGAAGTTCCACCACTGATCGTAGGGAGTTGTCTCCTATGATTGGGCTGGTTGTTGACCTGATTTGGATTACTTTCCAGATCTAGAATACCATAAGATGGTATATTTATGTCCGCTATCCGTGTGAGGTCATCTTCCATGGTCTAAAGGCCTCATATTACATTGGTATGCAAATTTTCAAAATATATTATTCATGAGTATGCACGTACTATACGCGAGTTTTTCTTTAATTATGACGCAGTTTGGGTCTGTTTGTGATCGCTCTTTTGTATATACGTCACGAATTCGACGCGTTGCTCGCATTTTGCGTAAATTACATTGACAAACACGGCTGAAACAGCATCGAAAAGCATTAAATGAGGGACCGAAGTGGTCTCGGAAACCGAGATCGGGACTCCATAGTAACACTTGCCGCAAATCCTCGTTTCCCGTCAAAAAACCTTATATTAAACCTCGTCTACAAGTGCGCGTCGTGGAAGAATAAAATCGGTCAAATCGCGGTTTGTGTGGCGCCCTCCTCGATCCGCGTGATCTCTGCCCTCTCTCTGATTGCCCTTTCCGCGACAAAAAAGGAATCGAAAGGAAAGGAAGTAAAGGTAAGTTCCCTTTTCAATTACACGGGCATCGAGAGTGACCAAAGGGGATTACGCCAGTAAAATAAAATTATAGTAACAGTTGGGCGTATTTTAATCAAAAAGTCATCAAAATAAAAATAAAAACATTTTATAAACACCAAAAGTTATGTTTCGATCAATCGACTTTCCGTCTGATCGCGGATTATCATTTCAATGATCGAAATTGATCTCTCATGTTATAGTAGTAGTGTTAACAATTTATAAAAACTTTCCAAATCCAAAAAAGGAGAGTCGCATAAACCGATGTAAACAATTCCATCTGAATGTTTAATCAAGTGCAATTGGAAGGACCAACTGAAATGGCAAAGTTCAATACTTAATATTCAAAAAAATCTTGAGAACAAACGTCATCACATATATCAGTTTAGAATTTGGATCATGCTGAAAAATGAGTCATGCCCTTAGGCGGTTTCTGATTACTCATTGAGGGCTGCTGTTTTATTTCCTTTCAAGTTTTGTAGGCTACGTCCTTAAGGTATGTAAGAAATTGTTTTTTTTTAAGATCTTAGAAGTAGTCCTCATGTATAATATAAAATTTTCTCTGCTCCTTTCACTTTTTACGGCCTGTTGGTTGTCTCCTGCACCACTAATTCAAACACATTTAAATCGGCCATAAGGTGAGCAAATAAAATAAAAAATGAATCATAAAAATAATATCGCCTGAGGGCTTTTCCCTAAACTCGATCCTGTAAAGTAAAAGTGTCCGCCATTATCTGCCAGTATTCTTTTTTTTTGACTTTCCCTCGCCATTTCAGAGCGCCAATGACCGGCTACTCGACCTGGAAGTCACCTGTGTCATCTATAATATATATTCCCTATACCTCCAAGAATGTATTTAGCTGGGAGAAATACATCTGGAATCCGGAATCGGCTCATGTATTCTTTCACAATTGCTGGCATTACTCTATTTACATCACGATCTTCTACATTATCAGCATTTTCGTCCTGCAGAGATATATGAAAAACAAGAAACCCTACAAACCAAGGTCTTATCTCATCAGCTGGAATGTTGGATTGGCTGTTTTCAGTATGATGGGCACGATCAGGATGGCATCTGAATTCTTTTTTGTGCTTTCGACCAGAGATTTCAAGGATTCAGTGTGTTTGGCGATAAATCCCACTGATATCTCGGCCCTCTGGGCTTGTTTATTTGTCGTTTCCAAAGTATTCGAATTGGTTGACACTCTATTTTTGATCTTGAAGAAGAAGCCGGTCATCTTTCTGCACTGGTATCACCATGCGATCGTTTTGGTGTACTGTTGGCATTCAGGTAAATCAATGTGAAATAATTTAATTGTTTTTAGCAATCATGTTAACGGCCGCTTCTCGATGGTTCATCATGATGAATTACGCAGTTCATTCTGTCATGTACACTTACTACGGTCTCACTGCTTATGGTCTTCGTTTCCCAAAACTCATTTCAATGTCGATTACAACTCTCCAAACGGTCCAAATGATTGTCGGCGTATATATTTCATGTTATGTAGCGCTAGTCAAGTGGTATTACCACGATGTCTGTCATCAGTCCGATAGTAATTTATTATTTTGCTTCGGTATTTATCTCTCATTCGCGGTGTTGTTCATGAATTTCTTTATCAAAAGCTATTTATCAAAGGGAGCTCTGAAGAAGAAGGACACATAAATTATTGAACCCTACTTCTAGGATTTGAGCTAACAAGGGAAGTACCCCAAGTGCGACGCTCAGATTTTCTTTAAATTTTGAACACACGTCGGGTATGGACTAAATATCAATTCCTGAAAGTTTTAGCTCGCGCTTTGCAGACGGCGCCGAGATATCGGACGATTTATGCCGCCGAGAGAGCACGCTAAACGTGGAGAGCGGTCAGAGAGAAAAACGCTTTTTGGCCATAACTTTGGCAGTTTCGTGCGGAAAAATCTGATTTTTTGTAGAAACATTATCCTTTACGGTAGAAATAGGCATGAAACTTTTCGTGCCGAAATTCGGCAAAAAGTCCTAAATTTTCGCCGACTTTCGATCTAAAAATCTCGGTTGTTTCTGCAAAGCGCGAGCTAGGATTCTCGCATATATCTTAGAAAAAATTATTCTAAATTTGTGACAAGTTTCATCAAAATCTGAGCGTCGCACTTGGGGTACTTCCCCTGTAAAATCCCGTGTTTTATAATGCTATTGTTTTTTGATTTTGAAGAATTGCAACAATTCGGGCTGGTCCCGACGCGAAAACATAAATAAAAAGTTGTGGCATTCTGCATTAACCAGAGAAAAAGATTTTTAGAATGTGAACGATCGCACCTTCGAATGAAGTAACGGTAGTTCTTTTGTGTAAATAGCAATTCCCGGTCAAGATTAAATTAATGGGCGACAATCTGGATTCGGAAACCTTGGGCGATGAATCTGATCAGGCAGCTCAGAGGACCTGTAAGATATGTTATGGCATAGAAGAAGAGAAAATTGATATCTGGATGGCACCATGCAAGTGTTCGGGGAGTATCAAGTGGGTCCACAAAGATTGCATGACCAAATGGATAGATACGGCACCTTTTGTTCAGCAAAATCAATGTAATACATGCAGGTGTGTTGAGTTTTATCTTCGTTTCTCGTTGAATTTTAGAGTTAGGCTTCCTTCGGGGGTTCGATTTAGGTTCTCTCGGCGCTGCCTATTTACCCGTTGCGCTCCAGAATTTGGAGTTGCCCTTATCTTGTGATAACTCCTCATACAGTGTTATCAAAAAGACAGTTGCCGGTAGAAAAAATGTGTCGTAAAGATTATTTGTGCTTTGTTGAGAACCCACGTGACTTGCGGTATACTTTCTGTAATCTTAGTACTTTCTATAACTGAAAAACATTATGTTTGATATAAAATATGTTATACCTATTTATTAGATTACAGTAAAAATTTTAAAAAATTAGGTCTGTCGTTTGGCGTAGCTGTAGATGCTCCAGTTCAAAGGCTTTCTATTTTTTTACAGTTTTTAATTTTTGTGGGGGGTTATGGGCATTAGAAAAATATAATTTATTGGCCTAATTTTAGTCATAACTTTCTAAACTTTCGACTTTCCTTTATCTTTTTGGCAAATTTCACCATTATTTTATAAAAATTTTGATTTCAGGTTCCCTTACAAAAAATGCTGGAGTTTGAAGCCCGTGATGAAATGGGGCTGGCCCCGACTAAACCTGGGGTGCTGGGATGTGATTGAGATCTTCCTAGATATGTATTCAACCTTCAAACTGATACGAAATACAATTTACACAATCCAAGGGAAGAAGGGAATCATCGGACATATGGCATATTTCATATTCTGGAAGACATTCATCTTCAGCACGGCTCGAATCGAGTATTACAAGGCCATGGCTAAGAAGGTGGCGCTTGCTGTATTTGAGGCCAATATCCAGGATGTTGACTAAGTCTATTTACGCTTAAACTTATACAGTTTCTGTATCTTTGGAAACGAAGCACGTGTATATATAAAATATTGTTTATTCGAGAGGTCAATAAATGAATACGTCGGTTTTCTTGTTGCTCAGATTCTGTTGATCCGGAGTGCGCATTACTTTTGGACGGGATCCGAAGGCCGCCGTGTATTCGTTTACACTGAAATATAGTGATATTATAATTACGGTCCGTTTTTATTGTTTTTGGGATGTTTCTCTTACTTTGCATCATCAGGAATCCTAGTTTGTAAGGGTCCAGTTATCGGAGCAGCTTCAATTTTGCTGAGAACTGAAGCCGAGACGGCCTTGGAGACTTCTTCGGTGTTCTTCTCGGAGTCTTGATTATCCAGCGATGCTTCACTCTTGTGTTTCTTTACCTTATCCTCATTAACTCCATTCACTTTGTGGTTCTTCTTTTCTCCTGGTTCATTCGGATTCACACTATATACTCATATAACCCTATTTCTTATGCGTTACCTTTTAGATCTTTTACTTGGCTGTTGGAATGTGGTATTTTTGGTATGATTCATTTGGCTGACAACTGAAAACGTTCGTTTGACCCTACTTTCTGTCCAACCTACCATGTCTAAGACCGCAATTAACCAAGAGTGGTTTCCTCTTATCATTCTCGAGAACATACGTGGCCTGTGACATCATGGTGAGGACGCGGTCTTCGTTTACGGGTGATGTGGGATCATTTGTGGAGGTCACAATGCCCCTGATGCCGTTCTTCTTGCCCAGTTTTTTGCCTTTATTTATCGGCGGTTTGGCGCCCTTGTTATTATGCGGTACAGTACCCGGGACTGTTGCCAGGTCCGTGTTCTCTGATACGGCTGCTGTTGTAGTGTGAATGGTTCCCATGTATCTCTTCTGCAAGAGATTCTCTCCAAAGATCTCGGTCATATTGGGGATCAGAGAGTCACTGCTTTCGATCTCGGCTTCCAGATAATCTACTTCTTCATCCTCCTCTTCGGAGGCTTTCTTCGGACGCTCAGATTCTTGTTCTATAAACCATTAAGACTTATTTTATTATTCCATTTCAAATCGACACCCTAATTACCATAACATTTGTAATTACATTTAGAAATAAGTGTCTGTATCTCTGACCATACCTGCTTTTACATTCTCTGATTACAAACCTCCCTTCAATCCGAGTCTCCGAAGATTCTGGGCCCCGAGATTACAAGCTGTGATCCGTAAATCGAGATTTACATTCATTGTAATCTGTCACAGTTATAGTCTCAGGGAACAGAAATCGGAATCAAAGCGCGAGAAGCAAGAGGAAAAGAATCTAGTGCAATATATTTAGGAGAGAGTAATTCGGGAAGAGATCTAGATTCACCTCGTTATTTACACAATTTTTTTCATTTTTTTCTTCTTGCGTAACAGAATCGCACCATTATAGGGGAGACGGCTGACCAAGTGGCGGAAATCGGGAATACCGAGACTCAATTACTCTAATATGTTACAGTATTCATAGGGGATTTTGAGAGAAATATTGTGGCAGGGCAAAGAGAAGAAAGCGAAAGTAAAAGTGGCGGAGAACAGAGGTTTGTGGCACCGGTGTTCGTCCCGTTATATTGTGTAATCCTACAATTTCTCGGTGACCGTCTCCGCCTGTCACCGCCGGCGGGATTCACTTAACTTTCCAATTAGGATTCGTTTTATCTCCGCAGTTTCCACTCTTAAGGTCCTGAAATAGTCATTCATCCGAATTTAGTTCTATGCCTCAATTATTACTAGTTAGTACTTAATTCTACCACAACAATGTTTTGGTGGTAGTAAATAAAGAAGTGAGTCGGGACAACAAACCCGGTATCATTTAGTGTACCTACAGTCTCCAAGGCCTTACCCCATCCCCGCCTTTAATAAGATCTGAGCCCGGAGGGCATCAGACTGCACTGAAATTCGAAACGCCGAAACAAAACGCAGTAAAGACCCCGCAAAGAAAAAACGTTGAAACACGGACGAGATGGAAAAAAGCAGAAAAACGTCTCTTGCACCTTGTCGCGAAGGAAGGGAGACACAACCCCTGGCTGCCTCCTCCCCCAGCCGCACTCTTTGGTCTTGAGGCTGTGCGTTCCGGCGGTCAAGCCCGGCGGCATGTTTCAAAAAAGATCTGGGGACACACCTCACTCACTCTTTCCCTCACCCATAAGTCCTAAACGCCTCGAGGCAATGAAAGGACTGGAAAAGGGGCGGAGACCTCAAAGAAACCCAAAAAATAACATGCAGATTACAATAACCTCAGGCAGTCTTCATTACAACCGCCATCCCCGATGAATCCCATTTTTTAAGACAGTGAGGGAATACGACGATAATAACCAGAGAAAACATGAAAATTGTTGACCAATTCCCGAAGTCCGAATTGAGGGAAGAAACCCAAAAAATCTCGGAGATTTTCTGAAAAACAGGGAGAAGACAGCCTCGGCGAGAGAAGCAGGCAGACTTTTTTGTCTCCTCCAACTTCGACGGACTCTCTTTTTGTCGCAGAAGCACGCCCGAGCGTTTTTTTTCTCGTCTATTCTCCGTTGTTTTTTCGGAGAGTGCGCCTCTAGGGCTGTGTCTCATGGAAAGAATGATGCATGTCGCCACACTTGCTGCGCCGTTCGCCCCGGTCCCTTGAACACCCCGGGGCCTTCGCCACCTCCCGAACGCCCCTCCTCTTCTTCTTCGAAACAGCGGCTCTCGCCCCGCGGAACGGGGCAGAAGGCTCCACGGAACACGTATCCCCAATGACATTACGCATAATGTTATGAGTTATGGATGGAGATTACTGCGGTTGCGACGAACTTGAAATGACGTGACAAGAGAACAATGGAAATCAGATTAGAATGACATTTATCGCGCTTAGACTCGAGATCCTTGGAGAGGATTGTAATCATGTTGATGAAAAAGCTAATCCTAAGAGTATTATGACAACCATTTGCATTAATACATCATACTCTATTTCAAGATTGCTTCTCAGAAAGCACACCCACCTCCTTTCAGAACTTTGATGACAATAGGAAGTTGCAGTTCGTTATCTTTCCCTTCGCACTTATTCAACTTATTGGTCAAGATCTGTTCAAATGCCATTTCCTTGGCCGTGGATCTTATTTTAGCGAATCCAAATATGCAGTATAGAGTTCCATTGATATAAGAAGCAATCTACGAGAAGTATACATGATAAAAATCATTATCCTTACTTGAATATTCGGATGTTTGAGGAGTTTCAACATGAGGGCCAACAGCTGATCCTTGAGGCGTAAAACAGTGGATTGGCTGACTGCATTGAGGCAAAGGTTTGTTAATAACGCAGTACCAAACTCTAGAGCAAAGTTTCCTGGCTGTTGATCGAGAAAAGAGACCAGCCATTCGATCATCCCACTCATTATTAACTCTTTTTGGACTACGGACCTGAAATGATGACATTATAAATGAACTTTTTCCGTGTAAGACTTTACGTACCTTATACTGAGTTTCTGAAGACAAGCTAGCGCATGATCTGCGGCATTGCCAATTAATTTCTTTGTCCTCAACGCCAGCGCCATCTGGAATAATAACTCTTTGCCCTGAGCAATGGATAAGAGGTAGTTCCGGCCATTTCTGAAGGAGGCCAGCGCATTCAGAAGTCTCCCCAACTCTTCCTTGGTCTCAATACTGGACTCTGACTGGGAACAAATTGTGGCGACAATACTCTGAACAAGCACTTTTAAAAGCTTTATTATTACTTACGTTTTTTCTGTTCCTGAGGCTGAGAAAATCTTTACCAGAAAATAATAATAAAACAACATTGGAGTCAGCGAGAGATGGAGCTCTTGTTATCTGTTGCCTCAGGGCTTGCAGGAGTAAGGCACTGCCACGGGAATTCGGATTTTTGATCAACTGATTGGCAATCCTGGTGAATTGGAGTTCAGCGATTGGGATGCGAGGATATACATTGTGGGGTTGAGAGGAATTAGAGGGATCTGCGGGATGCAGATTCTGAAGGGACTCGGATTTCTTGGCCAAATTCTCGGCCGATCCGGTCAATTTCTTTTTGAGACCATCGGATCTAGGAATTGTCATCATTAATGTCAAGTGTAACGTACCGCGTGTTCAGAGACTTGTTCCTCCTCAGTGGATGAGTATGTGTAATCTTTTTGGCAGCCATGGCGCACTTTTGCATGCGTTTTTCGGCCTCTTGTGTGTAATCGATCAGTCGCGTTGAGATATCTTTTATATGGGTTTCAGATACCTAAACCAATACAAATTAATCTGGAACTTTCTTACCGTTTGCCCTAAGGTTGTTTTGTCTAAAACATCAATGAGTTCACTAGCGATCTCAATGACCTTATAAAAGTCGTCTTGAAGTGCTCGGTAGTCTTTAATATTTTCTCGACTGGTCGGTTGAGGATCTTCTTGACGTTCGTAGGCTTTCTGAAAAAGTACAGTAATGATATTGCTATTCGCCTAGTGATTCAAAAAATATACTTACCAACCAAGTGACGATTTTTGGCTCCTCTTCGGCTTCTATTTCGGCGAGTCTACCGTAATTATTTAGAATCCTGGCCAGATCTTCGTAGAGATTTTTTGCCCAAGTCTTCTAAAAAATAGGATTAGAATTATTGCGCAATTCCTCGCAATTTTATCTTAAATTTTGTGTCCCTTACTTGTAGAAGCTCTTTGAACACTGGATGTTGTTTGGGGTCGTTGGCGTAAGGCAAGGCAAAGTATTGTACCAACTCAGCGTTTCCACTCAGTTGCGTTCCTTTCCCTAGCTCCAAATACTCTTTCAACTCCTGGATTCGCTCTTTGTAATCGTTCTTATCGGGCGGATTCCTTCGCAATGGATAGGTGGCAAAATAAACGTGAAGTCGGAATTCCAAAACTCGGATTTCTTCGGTTATCTGGGCTCCTGGAGGATGAAGTTCGGACCAATCTTTGAAGAATTTGTACGACTCTCCGCGCTCGAACGCCAGATGTAATTGTTTCTACAACCAGATGATAATGAATGTGGTTTTTATAACGCAAGTGACCACACGGATTTTTTATAAAAAATAGATGTAGATACTTGGCAACGAGACATCCAAAAATAGAAAATAAAAAGACGCACTAATCAGATGTATAATATAACTCTAATGACCATAGTAAAAAGTGTTATGTTCTGTTTCTTTTCGTGTTTTAACTCAGATTCAGAAGATGCCAGGAGAAGTTCTTTATCTTACCTTGACTTCGTCCACGTCGTTTCCCCTGAGAACATGACGCGGGGGTATTTTCAGTTGTATTCTTTTCTTTTCGCACTCATTAACCAGTTCTCGGGCCGCCGAATGTAATCCGGCTCGGACAAAATACTAAAGAAATGGAAGTAACTCGATTAGAAGTTAATTATCAACCCAACTCATTTTGAAATACTTCTTGCCGACAAGTATTGCTTACGAGGAAATTGGAAAGAGGTATGTGTAACTGGATAAAATACACACTTCAATGAAATAAAACGTGTAAAAAGTAATCTGTTATGCCTCATGTGACCAGTGAAACCCCAAAAGACACAAGAGGAAGTCATAAAATAAAATCTCGGCCATGAAATTTAGCCTCGAAATTACGGAATCGGTCACCTGGTCGGCAAGTGCTGGTCTCCAGGATGTGTGGCGCTCGTTCCGCCGACCTTTGTCCGGCCCTTTTTGAGACCCTTCGAGCTCTCTCTTTACCTATTTTACTCCATATCTTTACCTGGTAGACTGCGCGAGCGACTTCGGCCAGTTGTGCGGACGGGGTCAAGGTGCTGGTCTTCTTGGCCCGGGCCTCCATCTCATCCAGGAAGGAGACGCATTCATCCGCGATCGTCAATCTCGCATTCCGATGGTTCTCCGCCGATTGCTGAAGAAAACTTCGGACCGAGGTTACGTTAATTTCTTTGGGTTTAGTGTCCAAGTCTTCAGAATTGCCGTCAGGACTATGGGAATCTCTGTAAAATTGTTTTCTTAAAGATTCTTTAAGAAGTCCAATAAGTCAGACGGTTTATAATTGATGATTACAAAATCAGAAAACTTGCGAAAAACAGCTGTCCCGGCTACAGTAGCCGAGTCGAAATGTCAAATCCCCAGTAACCTCCAACGTATTTTTTCTGTTCCGGGTCACGTTTTCGAAATTTCCGTACGAGTTCTTGTCACTAGGGCAACCTGGCCGAAGCCTTTCATTCTCCTAAGATTACTTACTTGGCATTCTCCGCAGCCTCAGGGGTCAAATCACTCATTGTTTCGGGGCCACAAATCTTCTAAAAGGACGGCCTGAACGAGATATCCCCCAGATTTTGTGGCCCGGAAGACAGGTTTACTTCCTCTCGCAAATACTCATCTTCGCAACCGGAGATCCGTCTTCCGGTTATGTGTAGTATGCATACCTGTACCCGCACCCGATCTTTTTTTCAAAAAACTTACAGGGGAAGTACTCCAAGTGCGATGCTCAGATTTTGATGAAACTTGGCGCAAGTTTAGAATAATTTTTTCTAAGATATATGCGAGACTCCTAGCTCGCGCTTTGCAGAAACAACCGAGATTTTTAGATCGAAAGTCGGCAAAAATTTAGGACTTTTTACCGAATTTCGGCACGAAAAGTTTCATGTCTATTTCTACCGTAAAGGATAATGTTTCTAAAAAAAATCAAATTTTTCCGCACGAAACTGCCAAAGTTATGGCCAAAAAGCGCTTTTCTCTCTGACCGCTCTCCACGTTTAGCGTACTCTCTCGGCGGCAAAAATCGTTCGATATCTCGGCCGCGCCCGCAAAGCGCGAGCTAAAACTTTCAGGAATTGATATCGAGTCCATACCCGACGTGTGTGCAAAATTTAAAGAAAATCTGAGCGTCGCACTTGGAGTACTTCCCCTGTTAGCCCAAAAAATATTATAATAAAATTAGGTTTATATTTAAGAGACACGGGATCAGAAGGGAAACACAAAGGATTATTCACAATCATTCCTCCATATCTTCTTCCTCCAATTTGCTCTTTGCCCATCTTTCGGCCTCGACTACAGTGTCCTCGGGAACCGCCTGAAAACGACTTCGTTAAGACACAAAACAAACAAAATAAACATCTGAAGCTAAAATAATGTACCTGATGCTTTCCATTGGTGTGTTTTCCCACCCATCCCATTTCAATCCTTAGGTTCTTGTCTTTGGACTCATCTCGAACGGTTAGCAAGATTCTCACGGCTTCTTTAACCAGATCCTTAACACTCAATTCTTCCAATTTGAGCTTCTCAATCTCGGTCTTGGCAGCCTGCCGATGTTTACCAACCGCCCAAGCTTTATACTCATATACCAGACCAGATGGCTCAATCAGATAGATTTGAGAGCCTCCAAGTTTCTCATCATACGCGGTGAGGAAGACCGAGCCTCCAAATGGACGATGGATACCCAAGGTGAAGATGTGAACGTACTCAGCGAGCTAAAAAATAAACTCATCAACAAAATCATTAACCAGGGGTGCAAATTTAGGTACAAAGGTAAAAGACCAAAATAAATTCCGTATCAAACATACCAGATTGGCCAACTTCTTGACGGGAATTGGCTCCCTGTATTCCTTCAAATATTTTAGAGCTTCTTCCTGAACATAATCCAAAAGACTTCTGCAATCGGGATAGACTCCCGCAGCTGTGCACCCAATATAATCGTTGACATTAGACACTCTCGGATTTGAGTTCTAAACACATAATAAAAACCCGATGAAGCAAGTTACTACCTGGATCTCCAACTTTGAATGCACAACCTTGTCCACAGCAGTAACAACGCCATCCTTTCCACGGATAGCCAGGACTGTACCGTAGTTGTCTACGGCCTTCTGGGCATACTCTACTTGGAAGATACGGCCATCAGGAGAAAAGGTGGAGGCGGCCAAATCATAGCCAGTACCAATGGAACTCATTTGTGCAAGGAGTTGTCAAGTTTTACAGGAGGTAACACCAACCAATTTTAGAAAATCATCAAAAAATATGCAATTTCCATCTCCAAAATTGATTTCTTCAACGAAATGGAACAGAATTCCATTTATAATATTGATCTTCGACGAAGTGTACACGCGCCAAAAATTATTTCCGTAAAATTTCCAAGAGCGACGAATCCAGAGAATTTGCATTTTTTGTGCAGTTATGCCTTTCAAGGAAGATTGTATTGAATGTTTTGGGCATACGGATTTTTACAAGATATTTGGAATTGAGAAAACTTCGACAGACGTCGAGAGTAAGTATCTTACAAGCTTATTACAATATTTTGATTATTTAGTCAAGAAGGCATACCGTAAACTCGCCTTCTTATGGCACCCTGACCGTTTCACTGCGAAGGACCCCTCTACTGCCAAGAAGAGTATGGTTTTCTAATGAGATTTACCTATGATTTCGAGTTTATACGTAATTATATTTTCAGCAGGTGAAGGAGAAATTTTGTCAGATGAGCATATCAAAACGGTTACTAAGAAGTTCCAGGTGATCAGCCGTGTTTATCAAATCTTAAGTACTAAAGACTCTAGAGACGAATATGACACATCCGGTAAATAATGATATTGTTTTAGATTGTCTGGTTTCTTTTTAGGTACATTTGGCGAGGACGACGCTGGTGATATGGATTGGAAGGAATATTGGAGAAATATGTTCCCTGAGATCACTGAAGACCAGATTAATTCGTATATGAATGAATATTTGGGTAAGATTACTGACAAGATTGCAATTTTTAAATTTAGGATCAGCACAAGAGATCACAGATGTAAAAAATGCATATGAAACATGCAAGGGTGATTTTAATAAGATGTATGAATACATTATTGGATTGAACCCTGATACTGAGGAAAGAATAAAACAGATTGTATGGCATTTGATCTCAAAGGAAGAAGTTAAAGTGTTCCCAAAGTTCTTGAAAGATGATGGAGCTGCTATTGAAAAAAGGCGCAGGAAATTTGAGAGGGAAGCTGCGGAAGCAGAAAAGATTGTGGAGAAAAGAAGGCAAAAACGTAAGTTTATTAACCTTATCTATGTTGGTTTTTAGCTAATGCCGATGAAGATCTTGTCAACGCCATACTGAAGAATAACAAGAAGAGGGAAGCAGCCATGGATGAATTTATGAAGAAGTATATCGAACCGAAGAAGAAAAGCCGTCGAAACGGTAGAGCTCCAGAGTGACTGATTTTTTGTATTATACTAATTTTATCACATATTTTGAATTAATTACAACCTTTTAATCGTTGTCATCGGGTACTATGAAATAAAAACGCATATATATGTCAGTTTGAATGGTTATACCGAATCTAGTTCGACGGGTGGCAAACTATGATTACGAAGAACAATTTGTTCGTTTGTTGCGTATAATCTGTCTCCTCGCTTTGCGTTTCTGTAGGACGCAGTGTGCGAATAAAAATTTTTTGTTTTTTCTTGCAAACCCTTGCCGAAAGAAGTTTTTATTTGGAGTTGACCATGTTGAAGGTTCTGCAAAGGTAAACTATCATTTATAGAGTCATGTCTAGTTTCAGAGCAACGAACCTTCAATGGTCCCTTCGGCCAATGTCTATGACGTCTCGTCTTATGGGCGAAGATGTCTCAGTTCCTGACCCGGATAAGAATGGAGAAGCTCCGAAAACGTTCAACGTTCTCTTTGAATTTTTGGACAAGAAGGAAACATTTGGATCTGAAGAATTGCGACCAAAAGAAAGACCTGGCCGATCTTGGTCATTAGATGAGCTGAGATTAAAGAGTAATCAAGATTTGCACAAATTATGGTATGCAACAAAAGTAATTTACAATTACTTTTGCTTAGTTTAGGTATGTTCTCTTAAAAGAGCGGAATGTATTGCTGACAATGAGAGCAGCACATGAAAAGAGAGGACTTTATTATCAGAATCCAGAAAGATTGGATAGAATTAAAGAGGTAAGTTAAAGATTATTTGTAATTTTGTTCTTTCTTTTAGAGCATGGAAAATCTCGAAGAAATTGTACACGAACGAAATGATGCTGTATTGAGGCTGGAGACAGGAGATTCCGCCTCTCCAAGGCTTCGAAGAGTAACCTCGCCAGTTGGTTTCACCTATGAGTAAGCGATATTTTTTTCGACCGATTTGAATTGGTTGTAACTTTTCATTTTTTCTGTTAAGTGACAATGACAAGATTCTTTTTTTACTTGAATCCTCAGAGGGGGTTTGCTATGGGTATCTTCGACCGTTTCGAGATACGACCGATTTTCGAGATTTTTTTTGTATTCGTTATGAAAATGACGGAATTTCGGGGTTTTTATAACATATTTGGTATCAAAAAAAAAATGGCAGATCCTGAGGATTCATGTAAAAAAGGAATCTTGTTTGTTTGGCCGAAAAATTAAAACGTTACGGCGAATAAAAAAATCACCGCAGCCTGTACATTAATTTCTAGGAAGCCTGTGGAAGAACATCTAGAGCCATTTGAAGTTTCGAATTCGAAGGAATATGAGATTCCTGACTTATCTCACGAACAAAGATTAACACAGAAACTTTGGCATGAGAAACAGGAGATGAAGAGGCGGATAAAGGAGTATGATGAGTACTGGAAACAAGAGTGGGACGATGACAAAGAGAAATTTAGACGAGGACTCCGTGTTCATTACAAACATGTTGATCATTTACCTGAGAATGTGGCCAGAAAGAGGGCGGAAGAGAGAGAACAGACAATTGAGAGATACTTTTAGGTTTTTTTGTTATCAATAATAAATTGTTTTCCGTTTATTTGGTGAAGAGTGTTTTGTGGTTCCATTCCCATTTCTATCTAACAGCCCTTAAACGGAAGTGTTGCTTATATTGTTGATTTATACTTTGATAATTTCGTCTCTACAGCATGAACCTTCAACCGCAACAACAAGGGCAACCCAACTCTGAAAGCTATGATTTCTTCAGAGAAAGTTCGAGTATTACTTTAACACAGAGGCTACAACAATTAGATGAAGTTGATCGAAAGGTGGGAGAAATAATGGATTTCACAAGGGAATTAATCAACAACCTTGACAAGGACAAGCAGATCTCCAGGTCAAAAATGGATGAAAATGCGAAAAGGTACTCGAAGATCCTAGAAGAAGATATTATGAAGGTGATCACAGATCAGCTGACCTATATGGAACAGTTGTGTGTGGGCGCGGAACATCAAGACAGCATGTTCCGAGTTCAGAATAAGAAGAGAACAACCAATCAGATCCTCCAACGGATGCGATACGAATTGGGAGTTTTCCAACAGATGGATAAAGAGAGCGAAGCCGTGACACCAGCAAGTGATGGGACTGACGATGACTTTGTTCGAGTCGAGGGTCCAGATCCAGAGGATGTTCAAGTTCTCAGCACTGAAAGCGATGACTGATCTCAGTTTTTTTTTGTTCTGTACATTAATAAATTAACCTTTATTTCCTCTGTTATGTTGTTTGAGGTTAACTACCTTGGAATATCAATACCATTGCCTTCCTTTGCTGATGTATATTGTAGATGTCCGCTGTCACCCGAGCAGTAACATCCTACTTTGCCAGATATTCCCGCAAAGAATGGACCGATTACTTTCTCTCCACCCACTTCTGGGGGCCTGTCGCAAACTGGGGATTACCTCTGGCAGCGATGTCCGATCTCCAAAAGAACCCTGACATGATATCTGGAAACATGACAGTGGCATTGTGCATCTACTCTTCAGTTTTTATGCGATTCGCCTGGAAGGTACAGCCTCGAAATCTTCTTCTCTTCGCTTGTCATTGCACCAACTTCTCTGCTCAATTGGCTCAACTCAGCCGTTGGTCCAACCACCATTACCTCCATATTGTAGAAGATCCATATGCCAAGAAACCAAAGGCGCTCACTCAATAAATGTTTAGGAACTTCATGATCAATGTACATGACCGTAAAAAGTTATTAGTGCCTACTTTGCCATGACTGTTATTTGTTAATCAATTCCGGTGAATAAATTTTATTTACAAATTGATGGATTTGGTTCTCGGTAATTGGTACGAGAATAGGTTTTCTAGCATAATAAGGGTAAAAGTCAGTTTAACGAGAAGTCCCCACCTCCGCCAAATGAACGGTCTCGCATAAAACGTTTGTTTGATCTCTGAGTATCGATAATCCCCCCGAAAGCAATGATTTAAGTGAGAAATACGAACAGCCAAAGAAAATGGGAGAAGATGACCTGATGTGTGTGACCAATGGAAGGTGAGAACAGAGAAGTCGATTGGGAAAGCAATGGCCTCAGGCAACGAAATCGACAAAAATTGGCGAAATGGATGGGCTTTTTGGAAGAGAGAAGCCATACTCGGACTGTATTGTACTTGCTGAAGACAGGGGTCCCGATCTGTAATTGGTTGATAGATTATGATTGGAAGGAGTCATTCTTCGCGGATATGAGTGCTGGTCTCACTTTGGCCGTCTTCATGGTGCCTACGGGCATTGCGCATGCTGGGATCTGTGGAGTGGAGCCTGTTTATGGACTCTATACTTCCATTTTCCCAACTTTTTTGTATATGATCTTTGGGAATAGCAAGTACAATGCATTGGGTAAGACAGTTCTCTATCTTGGAATTATCCATCAATGGTATTTCAGGTCCATTTGCTATTTTGTCTGTGCTGACCCACTCGATAATCGAAAAGGTGCAAATTGGGGAACTGGAAAAGCAAATCATGTTCAATACGACCAGTTATAACATGACGGAGATGGTTGAAACGGGGAAGAATATTACGCTTACAGCGACGATAGACGATTTTGTTCCATTGAGACCGATCCATGTGGCAACTACGGTCATGTTTTTATCTGGGATTTTTCATGTGAGTGCGATTACAAACAATTAATATTACAAAAAAGTCATCACATTGCATGAGTTTGTAACCTTCTTTTTTAGATTTTTCTTGGAGTTGTGAGGGCTGATTTCCTGTCCTGTTACCTATCAGAACAAGTCATGTCCGGCTTTGTTGTCGGTGGATTTGTTCATGTATTTTTCTCGCAAATTGGGGAGGTTTTGGGGATCAAACTACCAACGAGAGATGGTCCTGGATCGTTGTTTTATGTAAGGAAACTAATCGAATCGCCAAATTAATATACGATTACATAATCTTTAGAGAGTTCAAGATTTGTTTGTGAGACTCCCCGAGACCCAACTGCCCACATTCCTGATCAGCCTGGCTTCGATTTCTTTTCTAACATTCTCCAGGAATGTCATGGATCCATGGTTGAGCAGTGTATTCGAGTTTCCGGTACCTTACGAACTGTTGCTGGTAAGTAAGCCTAAATGATTCAATGTGGTTTTTATAGGTAATTGTTGGAATTACTGCTACAAATTATGCGGATCTAAGCAATCGTCACGCCGTTGCAGTTGTTGGAAATATTCCCACAGAGTTAGTTTGGCTTTACTAAAAATACATGAGTCTATGACTTTATTTTAGTTTCCCCCCTCCGGCGTTGCCTCGATTCGAGTTGATTCCCTCAATCTTTGTAACAACTTTGGGGATTACAATAGTCACCGTAGCAATTCATCTGACAGTAGTTAAGATTGTGGAGAACAAGCATCACGAACCCATCAATTCCTGTCATGAGTTATATTCGCTGGGCATTGTGGGCGTGCTTTCTTCGGCGTTCCCCGTCTTTCCGGTCACGTCCATCTTCGCTCGGACTTTGGTTGGAAGTCCGGACAAGAACACCACCCAGGTAGGGCCTTAATTTGCATAATTGGATTTCGCTAATCTTTTTGGAAGTTGTTTGGAGTCCCTAATTGGGCGCAAATGTCATCCATTACACCCGTTCTCTTCAGCTGACCGTGTTTTTCTCGTCGATTGCACTGCTGGCCGTTGTTCTCTACATCGGGCCGGCTTTGGAATACCTGCCGAAAGTATGTTGAAGGTCTTAATTCAAGGCCGAACCCACAAATTAATTACTCTTTCCATTCAGTGCATCCTCGCCTCCATCGTTCTGGTTTCATTAACGGCGGCATTCGACAAAATTAAGGAATTAAGGACCCTCTGGCCATTGTTCAAGACCGACTTCTTCATCTTTGTAATCACCCTGCTCTTAACGGTGTGCTACGAATTGGCCAAGGGTCTAATCTTGTCGGTGGCCATAGCCGTGCTGAGTACCGTAATCCGAAATCAATTCTCATCATGGCATTTCTTGCATCAGAGTGAGGATTCCGAGGAATTTAGAGAGATCTCCAAGAGTCAGCTGAGCGAGATCGAGAGCGCCGCATGTGTCTTTCGATTCGATGGACCATTGATATTCACATCGGTACAAAAGTTTACAAAGTCCGTGAGAAAAGCGATGAAAAGATGGGAGAAGAGAGAAGAGATCCAAACAGATGACTCCGGGTGCAAATGGAGGACCAGGAGAGATGCCAAGAAAGGAGGACGTCTGGTCATCGACTGCTCGGGCTTCCCTTATGTTGATTATATGGGATTAATTACATTGAAGAGGGTGAGTCCAAAGAACAAAAAGATACATGCAAAGGACACAGTTGCATATACGAAGGAAAGCGTATTAAAAAATGTTGTGATATTAAAGTCAAGACATGACAAGGACTCGAAAAATCCACAGGAAAAGAAAATACCAGGGGAAAAGACCTTTTCGAACAGCACGTTCAAATTTTTGCAGGATTTCGGATGTTGTACTTGAGATTTGAACTTGCTGAAGAAAAAACAAAGGAATGCCATAAAGAGAGCAGGAGTAATTTTGGACCTGAATTTTCTAAATACAACACAATAATTTAAATTTCGTTTTTTACAAAAACCGGATAAAATGCCATCTGAAATTTGCGCGAATTTGAATGTCTTTTGCGGTTTGTAATTTTTAATTGGTCAGGAGATGATTGGAACTACAGGTCATACTTCGAAGTATAATATAATAAGAAAACTATTCCTCTAAAATGAATACGGATTTCCCAAGCAGGATCCAAGCCTTTCTCAGATTCCTTTTGCAAAACTAGAGTGTTTTTTGACGCCTTCAAAATTACGTACCAAATTTTGAAGCTTATCTTCTGACGTGTCATGACGTCTAATCGCGACGTTCACTTTCAGACGTACAAAGAGCTACGAATGAACAACATCCACGTTCGTCTGGCCGCCCCCAAAGGTACAGTCCCTCCCGATATTTAGTTAATTGTTTCCAATCTTAAGCCAATTTGAGACGAATGATCGAGAATACGGACTTTTTGGAGACGGTGCCGGCCGAGCACGTGTTCCCGACCATCAAGAAGGCCTACCAGCATCTCCAGGATGTCTACAATTAAGTGGATTACTGCTAAATATACCCCTTTTTACGACCGTTTTAATTATTCGTCCGTTTCCGGTTAAATTATATACATTGATTACTTTTGCGCGGTATTAATTATTTTTAATACAGGGTTACTGTAATTTGCAATAAAAGTTTCTATTTTTGGGGTTTCAAAATAATACGAAAGTAATGAACAGGAAGCTGTACAAAATGGTTAACATTTACAGAGTAATCCCCGATCTACCACAAAGAATTAAGGTTAATTCCATACAAATATCAATCGAGTATTTGAAAATATCAGACTCGACAGTTAGTCGAATAATGTGATGGGAATGCGCTAAGTCCCGAGGCATTTTAATCCTTCTTTTTGATGACTTTAATAAAAATATGTATATTGTAGTAACAAAATATCCGTCTTTATTAAAGATTTGTACAAACAACAAACAAAAAAGAGTTAACAACGACAGCTATAATAAATCTACATCATTGACTAGAGTTTGGGCACCTGAGCTTTGGATTGCACCATTTTTTTGAAATATTATGGCCTTTAGGTTACTGTCGGCGATACCGTAATCGGATTGGGCGTGGCAATTTCCCCTTTACGTACTCCGCAATCTTCGTGAAGGCGGCGATCATCTCCTTGCCTGTGGGCTCGATTATCTTCGGGTCGACCGAGAACCCATTGGATTGGTCGATGTCTTCTGGCCGGAGTTCGATCCCGTAGATAAAGGGCACTCCCTTATCTTGCATATAGTCGATGGAAGTGCCTGAGGCTGGATCTGTAAAAACCAATTTAGTAAACTCGGAGGTCATTCTGACTGTGGATAACTTTCGAAAAAACGACGTTTTAACAATAAAAGTTTTGAATATTTACTTACACATGACCTCAGCTATCGATCCGAAAGTATAATTGGTCCCGGTGGTCTTCCGAATCTCTTCTATCGCATACATTGCAGCTGCCGCTTGATCCTTGTAATTCCCTGGTTTCTGACTTGTATAGCCCCAGGGCGAGAGGAACACTTGACCATAAGAATGGAGACTTCCGTAGACTTTTAGATTCTTGATGTTTTTGTCGATAAACTCTTTCATTCCAACCACTTCAGGCTCGCTGAATGGCTTTGCTCCAGCATAAATATTGGAGCAAGGGGATCGGTTGGCACCGGCTTCTAAAACAACATACTTACTTTGTATATTATAAAATAATGAAGTCATGGATAAGACGACCCACCTCCCCACCGATATCCCCAATTTCTGTTGGCATCCGCACCAACGCACCATTTGTTGACTTCCGAGTTCCTGGAACGTGTTTTCCTCCATAATCGGTCCTAAAAAAGTTAAAACTAGCATTGCTTTTAAGAAGGCGGTCAAGGATCCCAATCTATAAACACCTACTTTCTGAATACTGTACTCATATCCGTCCGGATTAGCGACCGGGATAATATACCAATCAAATTCCTCGATCAGCCATTTCGTATTCTCCTTTCCGCTGACCAGAGTGTCCATTAAATGCAACGCCACGGCCGGCGCTATCCATTCTCGGGCATGGATTCCAGCATCGATAAAAATACTGGGCTTGGATTTGGAGGAGGAAGAATATAACTGAAGATAGTAAGGATAAATTACTGAGAATGGCTTAGAATTGTAATTAAAAGTGAAAAGGAGGGTTTAAAATAAAAAAATATTTAGTGAAGAGGTAGTGTAAAGGTTGTGAACTCACTTTTACACCGACCAGATCTCGCCCTTCAAATGTTTTTGAGATATTTAGAAACTGGACCTTCTCCGGGAATCTCTCACTCAGCCCCTTCATATAATTCACAATCTGCAATCTCAAATCAGCCAATCCTAAGTCGATCTTACTTTAGGGTATCTGTGGAAGTCATTCAAATTCAAAAAGTAATCGTTTTGCCGTATATTTCTTCGTCTTCTCCTTTGTTTTCGCCGATTTCTGATCAATTCATTTCTCTCAGAGGTTATCTGTCTGTAAATTAATTATTATTATGAGAAGTGCAATAACATTTCTACCTCTGAATGTCTGAGTCGACTACTTTAATATCCGTCACGGAAAATCTCTTGGCCAGATCTTCGAATTCACCGGAAATTTCGGGAGAAACAATAACTAAGACATGCTCTCCTTCTTCCTTGAGGATATCGATTAAAGGCATCCGTTCTCCATCCAGCTGAAATTAAAAGGTTATCAAAAAACCTTGTTTGAGGATTATTTTCGTTTTCAGAGGAACCCCTGTGGGCATAAGGTGGATTGTGAGGCGAAATTCGGAATGATGACCCGAGTAAGTAGTGAAATTGGGAACAAATAAAAATTTTGTCAATACTGTACAATAATTGCCCCAACTTACGCTTATTCTATGGCCATCTTCCTCGAATTCTTTTTTAATCGCCTCGAGGAAGTAATTCTCGCTTTTAAACCGATACAACCTGTAGTTATCGTACCGCAGATGGGCACAGATTACTGCCGAAATACAAAAGAGAAGCCACTTTATGCAACCCATGCTTCTGGCAAAATAAATATGAATGAAGATGGGAATTAATCCTCAAAAAGAGTTAACGGATTCACGGAAAGATTAAATAAATTTAGGGCGGAGCCTCGATAATTACTGGTAAATAAATCAATTACAGAAAATAAATGCCAGAGGCTGACCATAATAATACGGGGGACACGCAAATTGCGGGTTGAGAATTGCCTGGAAAGTAAAACTGGGCGTTTTAAGTGTGGGATATCAGCAGATGTAATGAATGTCGGTTTAAAACGACAAGTGTAATATGAGGGTGTACTCGGAATGAATCGGGACAAGTGTGGCAGTACAAAATCATTACAGTGGTTGTTTTTGAAAGTCTGGCAGCAGTCATATGGATAAACAAAAAATGTTTTTTTGTGATATTAAATCACCAAGATTAATTGAAGGCGTGAAAGGCAGATTTCTCCTATGGGCTGTCTACTACAGAAATTAATTGTTGAAAATTTTAGCAAACGACCCGGATATTGACCAAAAGAGAGACAATAGAAAATGCGGAGAGACGGTCACTGTAAACTCTTCTTTCAGTCGTGTTTTCCACAAAGAAAAAGTGCACGTCCTTAGGCAATAATAACTTAGAATTTCCTGCGTGTTCAGAATCTGTACAGCAAGATGATATCACGCATCCAAAATAAAATCCACAACGAACGGACAATAAAAGACATGTAGAATCCGTATAGTATCTTTCCTTGTCGTCAAAATGTCATCTTTCAGCAGAATGGAATCTTTTTTTAAATTACATGCAGTATTACGAAACAAGTCCACCCTCAGGGCATTAGCGATTTCATGAAATCTTCTTTTTAAACCCGAATTGAATCTGCAAAAAGAAGGTCGATTGTCTGCGGATTACTTGGCAAATTCAAGAAATAAGTAATCTGGAAATGCGGGGGTAGTCGGGGAGAACGGCCCCTAAGGCAATTAAATCCAATGAAGGAAAAAAGACTCGATCGATGTTCGGAAATGATTGATTCCTTATCAGTACCGGTCTCCTTAAATATACATCCAAAGTTATAATTCAATCCCTTCTTATAAAGTATCTCAGCGATCATTTCCTTGCCCAGTCCCCGCCATATGGCCACAAGAAAGTCAAATAGACCCTGAGGTCATAAAAATTAGACTATACGAACTTTATCGCGACACCTCTTAACTGATGCACTCAAGATTTTTTCAATCTGGCCTCAGGGGATCTATTGTTTGTCGCGCATCCGATCTGACGTGAGAAATGAATACAAATACCCTCAGGGCTGGAATACGGAAAGAGTGTAAGGCTATTACTGAAAACTTATTTTTCCAAGTTTTTAAGAGGCAATTACTTAGGTTTTTATTTTTTTTTAATTCCCTCGCAAACTTCCTCTTTTGGCCGCGCGCAAAACCGGTCGCCCCCCCCCTTCCGACAATTTACCGCACTGTAAAAATTCGCGTCTAAATTTTTGAAACTAAAAAAAAGTCTAGCCCAAGGTCATCCGGTTCTAATCGGCATTTCGGGGATTAATTAATTAACCCGCTCTTATTTGGCTGAGCCTGGATTACCGCGCCTGTTTACAGACGTGATTGTAACAGCGATTAGGACCATCGTACTTGGCTTATTTTTGGGAAGTAACATAACAAGGCCTAAACAATTCATTCTGACGTCGAATATCCGGGTCTCAATGTTTACATCCCAAGGTGTAAATCCCCGGGATTACGAGGATTCCGGATGAAATGACGGAGAAAGGAATGCCTTGTTGTGCATATCACAACAAACACGAGGTAGACGGCAGTGGAGCACTGTATTTAAAACAAATTTTATATTCTCCCTAGACTAATTAGCTATGGTAATTAAAACTAATTTCAGAAGCTAAGATATGAACAAAATGACATAACTTTTAGAACAAATATAGAACTAGTGTCATCCCAAGGCACAAGAAAACTTGAAGCCTTTGTCGCCATTCTTCCAGATTAACGAGATTACAGTAATATTTATTGCGTACCAACCGGTAAATCTATACAGTATTAATGTGCCCGTTCCATGTGTCTTTGGACGTCTTTTCGGCGACTGAAAGTCCTGGTACAATATTCACAGGAAAATCCCCCGAGGCCATGAGTTGCTTCGTGGACCTTCAAGTCGTTCTGACGGACAAATCCCCGCTTACAGATGCTGCATACATATCTGAAACACGGAATCATAATAAATAAACAGGATTTTGATTGCTACGGATGAATAATATAACTGTTTTCGTATCTTAAACCTCAACTGCATGCATACATACGTCACCTACATGATCGTAATAAAAGCCATCAACTTACGGTTGTTCTTTCGTATGGACTGAGCGAATGTGCGCCGCCAAAGCCTTGGAACACTTATATCCGGGATGATTACAGTCCTCGTATGGGCAATTGTAAGTGTAATTTTCATGTACCATCATCACATGTCTTCTCAATCCTCCTTTTCGACCAAACTTGGCACCACATTTCTCACAATCAAACGGTTTTTCATTCCTAAAATATCAATTACACAGGGAGGGCCACATGAAGCTGAAAACTTCTTTCTTACGACTTCTCCGCGGAGACTCCGCCGATTTTATTAAAATTTAGATTTTTCTGAAGCTGAGACCTGCCATTTTCAATGGATTGAAATCAAAAAAAATATATTTTGAATTGACCTTTCCATGTCTTCACAAAGTTTTGAAAAATTATTTTCGACCCGAAACCGCTAATTTGGAATGATTTTGAAAACTTGGTCACCTTTTGAGTTTTGGTTAAAACCTTCCTTGTTTTACTAGTCGCGGCAAAAAGTCCTTAGAATTTTTCGCGGCCCCCAAATCTCATCGCACCCCGAAATGTTGATTTGTCGCGGGAATCGCGCGCGACAATAAGGCAAAAACAAGAAAATTGCACTGTGCAAAAGCACTTTTCGGGTTCATGCACAGTGCGGAGTCGCAGAAAATTCTAAGGACTTTTTGCCGCGACTAGTACCTCAAATAATTTTAAAATACTGTTGTAAAAAAGGCGCTACGACATTTCGGGTCAGGGACAACTCGGGTCGCGACAGGTCGGGTCAACGACATTTCGGGTCGACGACACCGTTTAATATTTTCGCTTCGGGACTTGGGAAAAAGGAATTTTGGAGAATTTGAACAAAATTTTGAAACGTCTTCGCGTCGGGACTGGGAAAAAGGATTTTTTGGAGAACGAGGTCTATTTTTTCATTTTTGTTTAGAAAAATAGTGTTTATAAGCCACGAGCAAATAAGAAAATCGTATCCATTGTTCATGTTTTTAACTGGAAGCACGGAATTTAAACATAGACAGTGCCAGAGAGTGGAGTAAGAACATAGTCGTAATGATTGTATGCAAATAACAAGTAAATCGCTAGAATTCCTTTTCCCAAGTCCCGAAGCGAAAACATTTCAAAAATTTGTTCAAATTCACCAAAAAATTCTTTTTTCCCAGTCCCGAAGCGAAAATATTAAACGGTATCGTTGACCCGAAGTGTCGCGACCCGAGCTGTCCCTGACCCGAAATGTCGGGACGCGGTAAAAAACAATTTTATTTAACAATCTGATTATTAATATTTCAATCTGAGCGGGTCTCAGCCCCAGAAAAATCTAAATTTTAGGAAAAAAGGCAGTCTCCGCGAAGAAATCGAATGAAAGAAGTTGTCAGCTTCGGGGGGCCCACCCTGTATTATACAGGAAAATTAATGTTGGACTAAAACGGATGGTTTACAAAGCAACGTACAAATGTTTGGTCGTAATGTGTTCCCTGAGCAGACTTCCAGTCGGATAAACCTTTCCACAATGCGGGCAATCGTTGATTTTTTTCATCGAAGTTTCGCCTTTGTGCACACAGATGTAATGTTTCTTCGCCAACGGCAGTTTTTTGAATGTCTCAAATAAAATTTCAGACAGTAATAATAAGAATATAAATCACTCACGGCATCACAAATCGTGCATTGGAATCTTTTACAGCCTTTTCGGATCTTATGATTGCCCAGGTGGTAAGCGAAAATATGAGTTTGGACATTTTGCTTCAACGTAAAAGCATTCTCACAGATATCACCTCAAAATGTATTAAGTGTACGCCGAAATTACACTTACAAATGTACTTTTTCATTCGGAATCTCTGATTTTTCTTCCGATTTCTAAGATCCTTCACTTTGATCTGGGGAGCCGCACTCTTCTTTGCAACGTAGAACACCTGAGAGAATCAGAGATAGGGTTACATTCTTACCCTTATGGCATTGTGGAAGGCAGTAACGTCCTTCTTTTCTTTACTACTGATCTCCTTTTTGATCACATTTTCCGGGATCTTCTCTTGTTTCTCCAGATCGCAATTACTCTCGGTCAAATGCTCCTCTACGACCTCCTTGGTCATAGTTCTTGTAACTCTCTTCAATTCTCCATCAACTTCCGACGATTTATATTGGAAAAGGGATCGATGAGCGATCTGAGAAGGTCTGGCCAAAACATCGCAAGTCTCTTCCTCCAAATACAGTTGTCTGGTTGGATGGACTGGACAAGTAGCGTCTGAAAAACCGCAACCTTTCAACTGGAGCTCTTCATTCGAGGGCAGATTGCATTTGGGGCAGATCGGGAATCGTATTTATAGCCAATATTCAAAATTGTTTGACTAGCTAATCAAAGTTGGCATGAGAGCCAACAAAAAATCCGTTTGGCTATATTGGCTAGCCAACGTTTCAGAATGTCTATGAAGCCTTGAAAAAAGCTAGCCAACAGGTTTATTGGCATCAAAGAGTAGGAGTGGTAACCGAAGCCCATAAATGAATGACCAAAAAGTTCGATTGGACAGCCAAACTTTTAAAATGTATTCACAGGTAATAGTAACGAGCAAGAACTCCTTTGACAGCCATTCTGACATATTGGCTAGCCAAATGAAAAGTTTTCTTTTGTCATGCTGACCTTGGCTAGTTAGTTAACAAAATTTGCAATGTTGGCTATAAATATTGGGCCGATACCCGATTTGCCCCACATGAAAAGCCCCAAATGAAATCTGCCCCAAATAAAGGGCAGGCTGAAAGACGGTTACGGCGGAAAGACCGTATTCCGAGAGTCCAATGTTATGTAATACATACATTCAGCACAGAAATAACAAAGAACTGAATACCGCTCGAAATAAAACAATTGAGCGATGATACTATCCATAGCGAGTAGTACTGACAAAATGACCCCTTTCACACATTTCGTCAAGTTGCCAACACTTCAAATTTACATAATTCCACCATTTCGAGCTTATTATTTGCATGCAGTCTTGTTTCCGCGTCGAATGGGAAGTATTTTTCCAAGTTACAGAAATTTTATTTGTTTTCATGCAGACAAAAGGAAATCCTGATTTTAAAAAATCATAATATATATTATAATAAATAGAATATTGAATATTCAATTTTGACGTCGAAGCTCCCAAAATCCCGCCGGCGGCTTTGGCGAACTTCAAAAAACCAGGGCGCGAGCTGCCACGTTGGAAGAGCTTTTCTTTTCTTTGACGAAAAAAATTTGCTCCACTAAATGGATATTTCTCACATGGCTTTAGCTATTGATATAGATTATGATCCTTTTGCCGCGGTTTATCGATTTATTTGGGTTTCTTTATTTCTTTTGACCAATATTTTTTAGATTTAAATTTATTGGACCGTGTAAAGTAAGATAATTTATTGGTGGTCGATTTATTGGAAGAAATGGACGAATGCCGGAGATTGGCCCAGGAGGGAGAAGAAGAAATAAAGAGAGGCAACACCCAAGAAGGTAATATTGTTTTTTCAGTTTTACAGATTTTAGGTATTCAACTCCTCCAAAATGCTCTTGCCCATGGAACTCAGGACACTCTTTTGTTGTCAGCCATTTATTCTCAGCTTGGAAATGGCTATTATGCTATTCGGGACTTTGATTCTGCTTGTAAATATCATGCTAATGATCTCTTGTTATCTCAGTAAGATTTTATTTTATTTACCATTTTGTTTTCGATTTAAGATTTATTGATTGTAATTTTAGTGTACATAACGACCCGGTTATGGAAATTAAGACATTATGCAATATGGCCCATTCCTTGGCCATGAATGGGAAGGTGGATGAGGCCATCGAAAATGCCAAAACTGTGATTGAGACCTCGGAGAACATCCCTGACATGGTAAGTAATGTTGTATTCTTTATTTTTTCTTTTAATTTTAGGCTGTGTACGAATGTCGAGGCTATTATGCCCTTGGATTCTCTTGCTTCCAAAAGTTTTTGATTGATTCAGCAAGACTTGGATTTAACGATGAAGGAGTGATCAACACCATCAAAGGAGCCATCGACGCCTATGAACAATGTCTCAAAAAGAGTGCCGATGGCAATGGGAAGATTTTGTCTGGATGTTCCGTGGTCAGAAGCCTTACTTTAGGGAATTTAGGTATTAGTTATTACCATTTGGGGCAATTCACAAAAGCGAAACAATTTTATGAAATGGTAAGTTTTATGCTTATGTTTTCGTCAGTTCCTATTGATGTTATTTGGTTTGTTTTAGAGACTAGAAACTGCCAAAAGTGTTGGTGATCGGTCAGCGCAGCTCCGAACCTACACGAATTTGGGTAACACTTGCGTCCAACTGGGAGAATACGAAGGTGCCGTTATCTATTACAGGTACAGTCATCACATTTCAGAAGCCGGTTTTCTTAACCAACTAATTACGAACTGTTTCTTTTTAGCCGAGCCTTGACAATTGCCAATCGAGACAAGAAAAGAGATCATGCCGCCCAATTGTATTTCAACCTTGGGTCAACAGCAGCCCTTCAAGGCAGTTTCAAAGAAGGTGAGTATTGCATTTATAGTAGCCGAAGGGTTCGACTTGTCTTTGCTAATTGCAAAACTCTTGTGTTTTGTGATATTTTTCTCATGATTTATGTGGATAGGTACAAATTTTCTTGAGAATGCCCTTTTGTATGCAAGTTGTTGTGTGCATCCTTTTTGTCACTGCTAATTATTTGGGATCCCAGTTTTATGGGTCCAGTTGACGATATTACGTTTAATGTTTGGTAGTGATTCGACCCCGAGACTCGTTGTTCTTAATGGCCATACCTTCGGTGGAGGGTTGGACATCACGGGAGGGGGACATCACCTTCCGCGAAGAGCAATTAGGATCTATTTATGGCCGTTAATTACCGGCCCTTTGAAATAAGATTGGCCAAACTTTGGGAATGCCGGATTCCATTCTTCGAATCCCGTTTTTTGGAGAGGTTATAGTAAAGTAGTTGTGCAATTTGTTTCTTTTTGTACGTGAAGGCACGGTTGGGTGTGTGTAGAATACAAAACTGCACTCAATGGTCAGGCGATTATCTGAGCATATGTTATTCGTCTAGATAGAGCATATAAAAATAAAAGCCTGAGGGATTTTGAGGGCCGTGTTTGCTCTCCGGGTAGATAGGTTAACATTTATTTTTATGAGAACACTTTGGAAGGCCGGGAACGCCCGCCAAAAACCGAAGTCTAAACCTTTTATTATAAAGTCTGAGAGTCCCGGCCTGTTTGGAATATCGTTTTCATTGGATATTCATTCATTCCTGTTGTATATTTTGTCTCACGGTTGACGTCAATGAGAGCTTGGCTGGGAATGACAAGTGTTGGAAATTGACTGATGCGGTTCCCTTTCTCCGTTGGGTTGTGGATATTGGTGATGTTCGTATTTGGGCATATCCCATGTTTATTTACCCGTTTTTTCACTTAAAAATTGTTTTCCAAATCCTCGGTCGAACTCTTTTTTGGACGTCTTATTTTGCGAGATGTTCTGATGCGCTGTTTTCAGCCTTTTCATATCATTTGTCACACTTGGAGTTGGCCAAGGCCCTAAGAGATGTGGCTGGAGAGTGCCGTGCCTATCTAAATCTAGCCAATTGTTTGGAGAACTTGGACCAACTCAAGAAATCCCTTTACTTTCTCGCGTTCTACTGGAATCTTGCGTACAAGGTGGGTGATTTGTGAATTTTACAAGGAAAGTACTTCTGTGGGGTATGGAGTTACAGGTCGAGTCGTATATCAAAAAAATCGCAAAATTTTTCTGATTCAGAATATGTAAAAATTAGCTGCCTAATTTTCGTTTGTAAGGGTGAAAAAACCCTCGGAACTTTTCTCGAAACACCACGCAAATGTCTTTTTGACCAAGTTTTTACCAAATCAAAAGCTTGTTTTTGAGTTAGAGTAAACTCTGGTATCTTTACACGCCGCAAAATATCAAATTTAATTTATACTACACTTTAATTAGTAGTTCTAATGTGAAAAAGGCGCATTTTCATGGTGTTGCGAGAAAAGTTCTGAGGATTTTTTCACCCTTACAAACCAAAATTAGGCAGCTAATTTTTACATATTCTGAATCAGAAAAATTTCGCGAATTTTTTGATGTATGACTCGACCTGTAACTCCATACCCCATAGAAGTACTTTCCTCGTTAGAAGTGGCGATGGGTTATTGGGAAATGAATAAAAAAAGTTATTTGGATTACTTGGAACAAGGTCTCAAGAAGTCAGAGGGCCCATACTCCCCGATTTTCTTGAAATCTGAAAGAAATTTGTTTCCGTGATTAAACAATCATCGTTAATAGAATCCCCCATCTCCCTGGAATCCGAGTAATCTAATTTGGCATGTTTTCCGTTTTTGTTTCTCCCAGGCGCCCCGGAATTAAAGTTTATTTTTAAAGAGTAGGATTCCTTAAACAGGAAGATTGCAAGCCCTAGATTGCACTTGGTTGGGGACTAATTGGCGGTGGGGAAGACGATAGAGACGTCATCCTCTCGCCATCGCCCTCCTTACCCCCGGTTTACCTACTCATTTACCTCAACTCGTGACGTCGAATGAAGTAATCCCCAGCGGGATATTAACGTTAGTCTCAATCTGTTTGAGGTCAGTGTTTAGAAGGACGTCACTACCATTGACTGCAATAATATATAGTGAAAGACTGGCTTGTAGTGCTTTGTGTACTTGTTGGTACGAAAACAATACAATCGGGATGGGCGATACTAAGCTTGCCATGGCTATAAGTGAAAATTTTTTGATGTTTTTGTTCGACTTTCTTTTTATACTTTTTAGTCCCGAATTCTCCAATACTCGGCGGGTTTTGTTCGTTGTGGACACAAAAAGTGTTTAAATAATCTGATTTATTCCAGCTAAACGAACAGCCTTTAATCGAGAAGGCACGCGACGCTGCAGAACAGATGGTACAGCGCCATCCTCAAGAATTAGTGGACAAAGACGACTTCGTGCAAGTTGAGGACTGTTCTGATCTGTTCGCCGTGAAGGACGCCATGGAAGGAAGCTCGAAGAGCTCGCATTGTTTCAAATTATCCAACCTTTCCGAGTCGTTGGAAAGTTTTATCGTCGATTGTTCCAAAAAAAGAAGGAATTCGACGCCAAAAAGAAGTCGAATCTATGAAGTTGGAGAGCCCTCGAATCCAGAACTGGCAGATTGTGGAATCCAAAGGAATCCTGTGGTTGTTCGAAGCACAAAGAGCTCGCCTGCTGATGATAATGTAAGTCGGAATAAAAAGAATTCGGGGATCTTTGGGACAGTCTTTATTGTCGAGATAACTTTTTTTCTTTCTTGGAGTTATAATTTGATTTCAGGACGAAGCCTTTTTTGATCGGATTTCGAGGTTCCAATCCAAACAATATGATGATCAGAGATGTGATATTGACATTTTGAAGGATCGAACCAACGAAGGAAGACAGGGAGATACCATGAACAAGATGGGTATGTTTGAAGTTTCTTTTGGCCATTGAATTCTTTGTTGTGCCCTTTATGTATTCCTTTAACGTTTTTCTTCTTTAACTTTTTGTACATTGTGTTGTAATTGCTTGTGTTATGTTATTGTAGACACCCTGGAAACGTCGGCAAGGAAATCGTTTTCTGGGAAATTTAAGACGATAGCTAGGAAATTCAAGAACTCCAATTCAAAGATTTCCAAATCGTTTTCTCGACCTAACAATTTCAAGAAGTCGGGCAGTCTGAGCAGAGATGCGGATACAAATTCTCTGTTTGGCACAGCTTCAGTTGGCCCGAGATGTGATGACAGGTCCTCCAGACACAGCGCCATCGACTTTACGAGTGTTGGGAGTGGAGATTTATCGCTGGAGTATCATGCAAATGAAGATCCAACGATACCATTGGGATCAACTGGGAAAATGGAATCAGTCTCGGAACGTACAACCGAGAGTCTGCAGGAAAATGTCTTCGGGAATGAAGACAGCGCCCTAGAAGACCGTTTTCGTTTCTTGCGCAGTAATATTTTCTTCTGTGTTTTGTTGTTCTTCTTTTACTTGTTGTTATTCTGTGTTTTAAAATGGTAATTTATTGTGTGTATTTTCAGAAAATCCGGAGGATATCCTCGATCTGATAATGAATATGCAAGGCCGACGAATGGACGAACAAAGAGCGGATCCGATTCTTCCAGGACTCTCGGGACGGGACGAATATCTGAAGTCTCTGTAAGTTTGAATTGGTCATTAAGTCTGGCCTGAATATAGTCTACAACGTTAATTGAGGTCATATGTTGGCAAACTGTTTCCCAATTTTGAATAGAAGGGATTTCGGTCACCACTTTTTTTAAATGTCACAGTATACTTTTACGCAATGATTTCAAAAGAATTGCTTCTAAAATTAGACATGGATTTGGAGATGATTTGTGTGCGAATACAGCATAGAAATTAGTAGTAATTATAGTGATAGAGAGGAGAAAGAATAGCAAAAGGTATTAAATATTTATGTGTATGAGGAAGTGATGTGGGTCTAGTATTACCGGGTCTATTCTAATAACCGCGGACAACCCCGCGCGAAAGAGGACGACATCACCATCGACACCATGAGTGATGGAATCATTGAGGTCATTCCGGGTGCATTCCTTGCAACAAACGCCATCCCCGGATGATATCACTGCAGACATGTCCATGTCTTCTCTTCTTCCTTTCACCGGTAACCATCTCACCTGGGGCGGGACTTTGGATAATCCGGGTAATTGCACGGGTACTTAATCAGAACGGACCGAGGCCGGGGGACAGTGTAGGAGTGTTTACTGGGCCGCTAAATACCTTCCTTAATATCGGTGGTCACAATTCGGATCTGTACTTAATTCCGTTTTTTTCAAGATTACCTAACTCTTAATTACTGGTACCACTATTACCTATAACTCATTAAGTCAATTATGTCTATCTGCACGGGCAGTTGGAAGCAGAATCCTTCTTTCAGTTCGGAGCAAAACGATGGAGCTATGTCGGAGCGATTGTACGAGATCATTATGGAGCGGCAGTCCCATCGACTGGATGATCAACGTTCTGAGTTGGGAGGTCGACCGAAATCCTGCTCCGATCTCCCCGAACTTCCCCATGACATGTCCGAATTGGTGATCACCATGTCGTCGAGACGATTGGAGGATCAAAGAGCAAGTCTCAATCCCCTGAAACTATCTGATTCCAATCTGAATTCCACTGGCGACAATCCCCCTGTCCGATGCGCTTCTGCTTCGGCCACCATCAACTAATATATCTCCTTTTATGTACAACTTTTTAAATACATGTAAATCTAAGTGTAGATGTCTCCAGGAATGCGTCCTCGACTCTTTCGTCGGAAACTGTCAAGTGCAAAGTATTGTTACAATCACTTCTCCTTATCTCATCCATTTATACATACGGTTTATAAATTGCAATTCAATTCCATTTCCCGTAATCCCCATTGTTGCGTCATTTTTGGGCCTAAATTTTTTATATCTGGAATAAAAATACTTTTGTGGTAATCGGATAGGCTCATCCGTTCGTCAAAGAATGTAGTTTATAAGCGAGCGCAAACATGAAATCACCGGCCAACCTGTTAAATATTATTTTATGCATCAAAACTCGATGAGAGAAAGAAAAGAACATTCATGTTGCTATTTGCATTGGGAATAACAAAGAGAACTGTTTAGGGCTTCCTTTTATTGTTAACATGGCGTATTTATAGTGTGGTTGTTATAGCGACAGCCCGAGTAGATGATTATTATCTCGTCTTTTGGGGTATAAGGACGTCTTGTTGAGATGAATAAGGACACTACTCCGGCTCACCTAGCATAACAATCTGCGTCGAAATTTACGGAATTCTGTAGCGCCGACATCTGTAAATGGCCCCCATTAATGTCTGGATTCGGCGGCCGACCACTTATCTAATTGCTTTGTGGAAAAGGCATTAGCAGCTTAATTTATTATTTTCTTTTGAAGACCGTTCCTGCGGATGTTCCGACGGCAAAACACGGGTCCGCCTTTAATCCTCGCTTCTCGCCTTGAGAAGTGGGAATTGCATTTTGGGCGAAGACGTGTAGTTCGATGACGACGGTCCGGTCATTGCGTTCGGATATCCTCCAAAAAGAGTTGTTAATCCTTTTAAAAAGAGCCTGAAATAGTTTTGTCATTAAATTCGGATCTCTTGGAGGATCCAAGGTCATCAGAAATGACCTTAAAGATCATCGTATACGGTTTCTTATGGCCTTGGGAATCCAACATGACATCAGCCCCAGGTCAGATCAGCGGTCACATGCCTCCCCGACCTAACCCAATTACCGACCTGACCCGGCCAAACACAATTACCCGACCTGTTCTGATATCCTCACTTGGTTCGGAGCGGAAATTGAGTTTGGTGGGCATTTGTCGCTGTCTTCAGAATCTTTTCGGCCGCTTTGAAGGGTCGTCATAATAGGAGGGGCCTTGCCTTCTCGATTGGCTCGGCCTTTTTGATTTCTTCTATATTTTTCGTATCTTCTTATTTCCATTAGGCCTTGGAGGGAGGGGAACAGACAGCACGTGTTTCGGATCACTTTGATGACCTGAGGGCGATAAGGGGTGGTCGTTGAGGCGGGTCGGTCGTTATATGGGAATCATCATGGCAGGCTTGTAATTACTTCTGACATCTTTTTAAGGGGTCTCCTTGTGTTCTTCACACCTTTTTGTATTTTCTGTAACTTTTTGTATTCTCGTTGCTATCGGAAGTGAATTTGTTTATCCAGATTTCTTTGTTTGAACACCCCCAATGTCGTTTATGTCCCTTCCCATTACTATTTTCAATTTGGAAGCATTTGTTGCCTGATTTTCCTCCAGGTATGATATCCTTTATCCCCTTTCTCTTCGTGTGAGCCATTCGTAAAGTGGACAATGGCCATTTGGGCCTTTCGGCTCTACGGGATGACGTCTTTTCGGCCACGAACGGCTCCCATTTCCACAGATTTATGAGGAAAGGAGTTGCTCGCCGCGTTTTTACGGCATTCTGATCATACGTAGAGGGGCAGTTACTTGGTCTTTGTGTGCCCATTCCCCCCTCGCATAACAGCACATTCGAAGGGAATTAGTTTTATGGGGCTTCGGTCGACGTTCGCCGCGAGTATTTTGTGGTATTTTAACATCAAATCCTCCTTCCCAAATCCCTTCCGTTCTTTGCCTTTTTATGTATTTTTGTTCATGTTTTAGGGATGGGGAACGATTCCTCTAAACAGCAATTACATCCCAATCCACGAGGAGTTCATCGACGGCTATCGACGGACTCGGCTCGTCGATATAAGACCGGTCTTCCGCCTCCTGTAGTCCAAGTATCAGCCTCTTGTTCCGATGGATTTCTGAGTCCCACAATCTCCAACGATTTCTCTGCTTCTACAACATCAAGGACCTCAGTTGAAGGGCATCCGGAAATCTCGAGGTCACGATCTGGCTCGGCTTGTTCGGAGAGATCTAACAGTATCAAAAAGAAACATCCTATCGTATTAAGAAATCGACAATTAATCCAGGTGAGGGAGATAAACAGATAAAAGTCAGGTGTGGGTGGAGGGGAAAATCTGGCTTAGCCTGGGAATTGTAGGTTCACTAAACCATTTCAGCAGAGGCCCTCGCAATTATAATGCAAGGAAACAGGCCTTTCAGTTACGGATTAAGGAATGCACTTTAGTGCTGATCTTCCCCGTGACTTCGGTGATGGCCATTAAATTTTATTTCGTTCTACTTAATCAGTTCGTCTTGACTTTAAATCACCTTTTCAGAGTTGTTTTCAAAATCCCCATGAGATCATTGGCAAGAAAATAATTAAGAGAACGGCCGAAAAGCGCTCCGACTTTGGCGGGTTTTACGTCAGCCTAACGGCGGAGCAGAAAGAGGATCTGGAGAATGGGATCAAGTTGTTGCTCAAGAAAGCCGTCGCCAATATTGACTTCCCCGACGAGGTAGGAAATCTTTATACGATTATACGAAATCAAATATATTATTGTTGACTGCTCGACAACAACAATATAATTTGGTCGTCTTAAAGTGACAGCTGCTTAAGTTTTTGCAGGTGGAGCGGCTCTCCGAGGAGTTTGGGTTGAGGCTGGTGACATTCCGGTCAGCGGGTTTCAAGGCCGATTACTTTGCGGCCATCGCGGATTCAACGATTACAGAATGCTCTTTCCTCGATAATGCTGTTCATCCAGCTCATCAAACATTACAAGCATTCTCGCAATTTGTTGGAATTGTAAGTAATTTTAGTAATTATTTAAAAGGGAAATGCTACGAGGCACTAGATATTCAGATTTTCTTGAAACCCGATTTAGGTCATTAATTATTGGCATTGTTAGTCAGCACTTTTTTACGACTGAGAATTAGTTTTAAAACGAGAGCGTGCGGCAAATAAGGAGTGACGGGTGGAGAAAAATCATTTCATTGGCGATTTTCCTTATAAATTTTGGTCGAATTTCTTCAGAAATCCTGGCGATGACTCTGAATATACTGCCGGTTTTACAAATTTGCAATCGATCTTTGCGGCTGAGAGAGTACGACAAACGCGGAGAGCAACCGCAGAAAAAATATTATGAATTTGTGCCAAGTTTTATCAAATTGAGAGCATTGCGCTTGAGGTCTTTTCCCTGTTAGACGGACTTTCCGGGTCCTTAACTTCCTAAAATCCGGTTTTCGGGCATTTGCATTTTCGTTTGACCTTTCACGTCGATTTTGTTTACACTCAAAATATTTTAAAAATATTTTCGTCGGCCTTGGTCCACATGTAAAGTAACCAGGAAACGAATTGTAGGTATTTACGTCTGTGCGGAATGGCTTCTACAACGAGATGAGACGACAACGACGGGCCTCGCATTCCTTCTCCTCGGGTCAATCAATCGCCATGGATCGAAGGCCCAAACTCTCCATCTCGGGCCCTAGCACGAGTCCCACTACAAGGACCAAATTATTAACAGAGTTCTGGTCGCCACAAGTACTGGTAAATGGAAGCGACCAGTTCCTAAGTACACCTCAAGATGCCTTCTACTGATCATCATTCCTCCTGTATTAAGTGTATATTTAAATGTTGTTGTTCGTACAACCAAATCGTAATAATAAGAAACCACATTGACAAAAACGGGATTACTGTACTCTATGCTACAATTTGGTCATCAATTTTGCAAACTACAAACCGTGAATAAACTAGAATCTAATTAACTGTTAATAACCAGAGTGCGGCCTCCGTCAACTTAATGTTACGCAATTATAGCGCCGGAGGCAGGTGCTGTTTCTGTTTGCCTTGAGGGTTTCTCATTTCCTTAAGCAACCATCAGATGCCGAGCTACGAAAACATTAATTTAAATTCGGGGTAAGACAAAAGCGGAATTTAGTCCGTTCAAAGTTATTGGCCCATTCCCGCGCGCTGCTAATTTGGCTTCTTTTGTTGCTCGTTTAGAGGTCGCAAGATGGAGTCCTTACCTCTTAACTATTGCCCTTTGGCGGATAATAAGATCGGATTCTTGCGTGTGCTGATGACCCGGACAATGTTGATGTACCATGCCATTGGAAAGAGTACCCGACTTCTGAGTGTCCTTCGAATGGTCAGAGTCGCCTTCTTAATGGGGATTGGTTAGTCGATTCGTTGCGTAATCACATCTGTTCCAGTATTCTATCAACTTTTGTACACCCTCTATTTTATGGCAGCGTATCGAGGAAGACGTCTGGACAGGTCATTGGTCTATTTTTGCTGGTTATTCCAGTCATTCATCTCCATGGTAATTAACATCACACCTGTCACCTAGATCAGACTAAACAAAAAAGAACGAGCAAAACATGTTTTTGCTTTCTCTTTTTCTTTGCAAAAGACACACGTGTTGGACCGAATTTTGAAAGATCAAGATCAACAAACAAAATTAGATTTGTTGCTAAAAATATATAATAGATCATCGTATCCAATATACATATATCTATATACATCTTTCTCAATTATCGTCATTTCAGTGTTTCATCGTTTATTGGCAGAAGAAAGGCCAATTAAAGTCCTTAGTGGAGATAATCCCCTGGAGGAATGCGCTGATACACTCGGCTCCGTGCAAGGTTCGCAGGATCTGCAAGACTTTCATCGTCTTCTATTGTCTGCTAATTCTGATTGTCACAATCAATGTCATCAACACCGTTAAGGGCTTTATTGACCCAGCTTTGACACATTACGACCCCGGCCTTTTGCAAGTAAGTTGTTTCACATTCACAGTGTTGTTTTGAATTACCTCCCATGACCCACTTAAGTGGAGTATAAACACATTTGTTCATCTGTTTTTAGGGCTATGGTAAGAACTTGTGGTTCTTGTCCAACATTGTTTCATTGTACGCATTCTTTGTTTGGAACACAGTCATCACTTTTTATGTAATTACGTCCATTTACGTACACCAAGAAATAAAAACTTTTAACGAAACATTGACCATCTTGGGAAGGGATGACGAAAGAGATGAGGTGGCGGCAGCACTCCTAGAGAAGTACATTAAACATGTAGAGATCGGGAAGATGATACGAACAACTGACAAGACTTTTGAGGTCTATACATTCTTAATGTTGGGTACGAACATTCCAACTACCATCTTTACCTTGTTATCACTCTTCCATAATGCGAATTCTGGCTGGCTTGAGATTGCCATGGGACTTCCAGATCTGATATTCTGCATAATAGAGATATTGAGCTTGACTTTGCATCCAGCTCGGATCTTCTCGGCTGTAAGTTGTCGACATTTCTATTGCCCTCTTCTTTGTTGATCTTTGAGCTCTTGTAGATTTTCCCAGGTGACTCGCAGGGAACTGGGACGATTGGGGAAAAAGACGATTGGGGAAAGGGACGATTGGGGAAAAAGACGATTGGGGAAAAGTACGATTGGGGAAACCGAAAAGTATCATTTTTCTTCCATGCAAATGTCGAAGTTAGGATAATCGAGGGTGCTCATTTCGAATATCGGGTTTATTTTTTCTGAACATTACTAGTTTTCCTTAAGTAGTACTGTTAAGTACTAATTTTTTAAAAATTTTCGAAAAATACTGGATTTAGGGGATTTCGAAGGTGCTGGTTTCGAAAATCATGTTCATTTTTCCTCTAGTACTATATAGTACTATTCTGATACTATATAGTACGAGGTCAAAATATGGCTTTTGACGTTAATGGTGTTGTTTTGATGCTTAGTACTCTTCAAAAACACGTTTTAAAGACTTGGTGCTATATAGTACTACCTGATACTATTTAGTACGAGGTGTAAAGTTGGCCTTTAGGCGTTCGTGGTGTTGTTCTGGTGCTTAGTACGCCTATTTTTACTTTGTACTACATAGTATCAGACAGTACTATATAGCACCAAGTCTTTAAAACGTGTTTTTGAAGAGTACTAAGCATCAAAACAACACCATTAACGTCAAAAGCCATATTTTCACTTCGTACTATATAGTATCAGAATAGTACTATGTAGTACTAGAGGAAAAATTTACATGATTTTCGAAATCAGCACCCTCGAAAACCCCTAAATCGAGTATTTTTTGAAAAATTTCAAAAAATTACTTTTTAACACTACTGCTTAAGGAAAACTAGTAAGTTTCAGAAAAAATGAACATCATTTTCGAAATGAGCATCCTCGATTATCCTAACTTCGACATTTGGATGGAAGAAAAATAATACTTTTCGGTTTCCCCAATCGTACTTTTCCCCAATCGTCTTTTTCCCCAATCGTCCCTTTCCCCAATCGTCTTTTTCCCCAATCGTCCAACTCCGGACTCGCAGCAAGGTTGTATTAACAGCAAATCCAAAAATGATCAGTAAAAGAGCTGAACGGGAAAAAAATCTTATGACTTAACGTTTGACTGCCTTGGATATACCTCCAACTTTAGTAATTTAAATTTGTGGGCCAGTTGAACTCTTTGTCAGTCATTTAAATTTGCCCACTAACCCAAACCCTTGGCTAGTCATTTGGGAGATTACAAGGCGAAACCTCGATCTGCCGGAAGTGGCAGATCAGTGCTGCAGCAGATTCCTCTACCAACAATTAAACTTCTAATTTCAGATCCGATATACAGAAGCAATTGTCTTCGCCAACACGGCCATCTGGGTTCCATTTAATGCGAAAGTGTATCAAGTGGCCCAAATGTTTGTCAATCATTGTAATCAAAACACCCTGGGAATCTCTTTATGGGGCTTCGCCGTTGTTACAAAGCCCTTAATTCTCACCACCACGTCTTTGACATTAACCTACCTTACTCTTCTTTTGGAGATGAATGCTCCAGCAAAATTACTTGGAACTTACCCAAGCCCAGGAAATTCGACCTTCACTGGATTATTCTAATTGATTACTATCGCTCAATTAGAGTAACTATGTGCAAATTCAGACTTCAGTAGCGTTCACAGCATAAACAATGACAATTATTTTTATTACAAGGTATTTGACACCGTTTCCAGTAATTACGCGGTAATTTAATGAGTTTTTTGTACAAATAAAGCATTATTCAGGAGGTCCGAAGTCGATCAAGTCCTGAAATATGCAAAAATAGCTTGTAATCGTCAGCCTACTGCTTCATTAGCGGGCACGGCGGAAGTCCCAGCGCGTTCTTCCTGGGCTAACCTTCTGGCCAGTTCCTCATCTTCCTTGGCCTGATTCTCCCGGGCCAATCGTTCTTCTTCCTCCAATTCTCGTTGCAATTGCATTGCAAATTCAGCGTCCTTCCGTTCAGTCTCACTCAGACTTTGAAGATATTCATCCAGGATCTTCTGATGTTCCTCTTTACTTAATTTATGATCTTGAGACGATACTCTCCTGGCGTTTCGGTTACTATCATAAAATTCTTTATACTCTTCTTCTTGCAATTGATTGGCCAAGTTGAAATCTCCGGCTTCGGTGAACCTTGCTTTGACTAAAGAGTTGATTTGAATAAAATAAATCTAAATACTTACGACTTGAGACAGATTCTTGTTTTCCATCCTCCTGTTTTCGCGACATTCTAAAATGTCATCCGATAAATGTGAATATAATTGTGCAACCGTAAGAATCGAACAACAAAAAAAATAATCCAAACGGAGAAGTAGACAGATATTTTATTCAAAAACCTTCATGTTATCAGCTTTGTGAGAATAAATATTGTGTTAGCGAAGCTGTTTACAGCTCTTATGCAGAAGCGTGATTGTTATTTTGGAAGCACCCATCACCAATAACTTCTACTGTAATGTTCCGATTCGACAGCTATACAAATACATAATCTGACCAAAACAGGTTTGGAACTACCGTAATCATCGAGTTAAACTTTTATTTATTGGCTTTGTGTACCCATAATTATCAGGTAAATAATATATTATGTAAGAAATAACAATAACAACTTAAGTGTAGAGACGAGAAAGTTCACGTAGTTCGTTGCTGATCTCAGTCGTTCGCGTTGACGCCATCAGTTTTCCTTTGAATGCTTGGAGTTGGGCTGAAGTTGCTGAGAGACCCGAGTCCTTCGGTAGATTAACTATGGTCATATCCACCCAATGATCGACTTGTTGATGACATACTTGGAGTAAAAGTTTTATGAGAGCGGCTACTTCATATTGGATATGAGCAGATAGATGAAAGATGGCCCCATGGATGCAATGCCAGATTATTTTATCTCCATATTTTAGAATGAGACTTCTTGCGGTGTCTACTGTTGGTTGAAAGGGAGGCGGAACTTTTTGAGAAGAGGCCAGATTCATAACCTCGGTCAGAAATAAAAGGACGGACTTGTTTGCATCCTGATGTTCTGTCTCGATGAGATAAGTCGCTCCTTGAACAAGTTGTTCTGTCACTTCTTCTCGGAACAAGGCTGCTGGAAGTCGATGACAATAACGGACAGCGAGGCGGTATAGGTCATCTATTGTTTCGGGATGTTGCCGAGGGCCATCTCCCGAGTTAAGGACTAAGAAAGCTTTGGGAGCCAGATACTAAAACACTATCTTTTAAACCGAGTTTCATCTCACCTTCAACAAGTTGATCAGTCCATCATGCAGATTTTCATTTGCCCCATTCTCGTCAACGATGACACTGCTCAGGTACAGGATACATGAATGAGGATATTCATTGTAGATGGCCACCAGCTAAAAGATAAGTCATAGACCCTTTCCTCAACAAAATCATAGCAAAATCGGATCTTTACTTACCTGTTGTGCCAGGTCCGGGATGAAATTGATCGACTGCCATCCCATAGATCTCACCACAAATCTGACCGATCTGCAACAATGTTCCATAACACGAACATCATCTTTGAAGGTGTTGAACACCGTCGACAACTGTCGGGCCACCCCTACACTGTGTTCATACCAAGCCACCGGGATCTGTTCCTCCTGTTGATTCAATCTCCTTGACTTGAAATCATCTTGTTCCGTCCATGGCTTCAGAACTCGGTAAACACATGTGATGCGGTCGAGCCATGCGAGGGGATCGAGGAGAAGATCTTCTTTGGTGTGAACTCTTTTCTCCGTGACTCGGAGATGGGGATGAGCACAGATCTACAAACAGGGAGAGTTAATGGACGCGATTATAGCCTCCGAGCAAACAATTCGTTTCGAATAAATATCGGAAGAGAGAATAAACCGTGGAGGCAATAAAAACTGGTAGGAATCCCCCTTCCGCACACCTAGGATAACATAATTTTCTTGTAAAAAACAGATCAACCCACATTTGAGAGATGTAAGAGGGGCTGGGTGAGGAGAGTCGCCAATCCTTGAGCTATTTCGGAGCTGGGCCTATCATTTAGGAGGTTGGTGGCGGCTGAAAAAAGAACAGCTGATACCCAACATTTCGGTTATAACGCATTCCAACAAAATTACTTTTAAATCCGTCCTTATCCCGTGATCCAGGTTAATATTAAGAAATCTCACCTTTCGTGATCTCCTGGGCAGCGTCATCGATCTCTCGGATGGGACCATCCCAAGTTTGGACATGCTCCAAAGCCGTGTAAATCTTGTCGAAGAACTCGAAAAGATGGTTATTTCCACAAGATGTGACCAGTTGAAGACTGCCGGCCCAAGTTTTCAATAGCTGTTTTATGGAATGTTCCTGAAGGGAAAGCATCCATTGGACACATTGAACTGAAAATAATAATAGTCATCATATGGGGAACATGAAGTACCTATCTCCATATGCCTATCACCCAGCCATTCATTAAGCTCGCCGATTAATTCGAGCGTCGTTTTTAGGACAATTGGGTTGGCTTCGAGTGGGACTTGAAGTAGGAGGTTGACAATCCGAGGAGTTACAAGTTCATCTCCCCTAAAAAATAAAATTAAATGTAAACATAAAAAAGAACTTACTTTACAATAGAACTGGCCGCAGATTTGATGATAAAAAGTCCGGCTTCCATTTCAGTCCACTTTGCTTGGCGAGCAATACTGTTTAACACATCATCCAATACCTAAAACGCATTTTTAAATCCAATGCATTTATCCATCATACTAAAATTACATTAAGATGCTTACACTTTCAATCAGATCCAGTGTTCCCAAAATAAAAACAACATCTTTTACACTATCTTGGGCTTGATATCGGAAGTCAATAAAGTCATCGGTATCCGGGGGAATCCTATCTGTATCGTATTCAAATCGACATGTCTTTGTTAAATTTTTAATAAACCTAGAATACAGTGATCAGTTATCATCCATCTTACTTTTCAACATAAGGTCGAAAGAAATCCCGTTTTTCCCTAAATTCTTGATCATTCAAATAATATAATGCCTCTGATAATCGATACCAAACATCGAACACTGACTGAACAATCGTGTAATCATTGTATTCAGTGACTTTGTTGACTAGATCTAGCGATTTTAGGTTTCCAAAACCTTCATTCGGGGTGTTAACAATCGGTTCCAGAAGCATTGTGCATAATTCGGAGTAGAGACGACCATATGATGACAACCTAAACTAATAAAAGATCAAAATAATAGGCCTACTTGTCCATATCCTCCTCTTTATAGGCTACGTCAAACGCCGTCTCAGTTTTGAATATTTTTTCCATAATGGAATGCGCCAACCCTTGATTTCTCTCCAAATCCTCGCAAAATGTCATCGCCTGGGTTACTGTAGATGCAGCAGCAAAATGAACGTCATGAGGGCATTCAGGATTAGCCTAGGTTTTTATATAAAACTAATCATAATTACTTACCAAGGCTTCTAATATAGAATGGAAAAAGAATGACTTATTGATGGCTTCACCAGGGCATTGTTTATTTGATAGCCAAGACCCTAAAGTTGTAATTGCTTTGGTTTGAAGATCTGCCGGCGCTGCTTTGCATATAAGTTCCTATAAAACTGTCAGAAACCTAGACCCAAGCTTACCAAGCAATAAATAACCGCCTCTGTCTGATTGGCCAATTCATCCTGAACAGCTTTCCGTCGATTCTCGCCGATCTTAAGATTACTATTCTGCAGTTCCTCCGGGAAAACTTTAAACAACTCTAAGAGTATATGGGCCGCTTTTATATCGTTCTGCGCCCTCCTAAAAACCGAATAAGACAATAATTAGTTAAACTTACTCTGCAAATTGATTTAAAAGCTGGGCGATAAAGTTGTTCCAAGAAGGGACTTGAAGATAAAGATCAGCTAATGCCACACACAATTGAGTAGCTACTGGTTGATAAGAATTCCCAAGCTTGGCTTCAAGTCCACTAAAGCAAAACAAAAATTATTTTACATCACAGTACGAAGACACAAATCTAAATTATCCCTTACGCGAGATGATTCACAATCGAATCCCGAAGGCTCTGATGTGCTGTCTCCGGAAGCTGCCTAAAGTCCTTGATCATCTTTTTCCTCATCGTTTGCGCAGCGAATATGCAAGCAACAGGATTTTTGGCCTCTGTGAGTACCTCATCAGCCACACCCCAGGCCTCTACTGTACTTTGGAAGCTATTCAAATACTTCCCCGCCTCCTCACAATCAACTTTGCTGAGGCCATTGAGCATGCGAACCGCCTCATAGAACCTCTCAATGTCACCCATCTTGCACTGAACAACTGTCAAAATACCATTACTAACGTTTGTGTAAATACTCCGGCTCAATTTACCATAAAGATTCAAGAAGAAGATTATTCCACATTGTTTATTGAATTAAAATAGAAATGATTTACTTAGAGGTCCTAAACAATAAGGTTGAAGTCCCAACGAAGTTCAAACAAGGCCCTAGCACACGCCAATTCCGCTCTAAATCCGCCAGCCAATGAAGCGTCATTGGGTTTGCGGACATTTTGAAGATATCCAACGGTGGCCATATCCTCGAAGGCTGGCATCGGAGGTCCATTGATGGGTAAAAGAGGAGATGCGTGGATGTAAGCAGCACCGGCAACTCTGATGGTTCCAAATGAAGCAGTATCCTGAGCAACCCGACGGCGATCTAAAAGAAGAAAAATTTAAATTTTATACTAAATTTGATCTTTAATATTGCTAGACCTCCTACTTGATTTCTCTTTCTTTTTCCTCTCACGTTCTTCCTTCTCAGCCAGTTCATGTTCGATCTGCACCTTTCTTTCGCGGTCAAGAATCATTTCAGCCGGCAAATCCGAATCTCTGAGCTCGCTGATAATAGATCTGGGCTTGCTATGAATCTCATCCAGAATGGCGTTGAACTAAACCAATGACAATCAAAAATTCCCATTTACTCACATCAGTTGTAGGATCAGATTGTTTCAGAGCAGCCGCCTTAGCCTCCTCGTCCAAGATCTCCTTTATCCATTGGTCATCCGGATTTAACCTCCTCTTGTTACGCTCAATTTGTTCGAAGTTCTTCTCCTTGAATCTAGCCATCTCCTCCTCAACACTTTGAACATCCTCGTTGTGGACCAATTTCCAAATTATTTCTTCTACGTGTTCCAGGTAATCGTTATATTCTTGGAGACTGTTGAAGTTATCCTCCATCAAATTATAAACCTAAAAATAAACTCAACCAATATCAGCACCCACCTTCAAAACTTTCTTTCTTATGTAATTCTCCTTCTCTATTCTTGGATCATCAAAGACTTGCTCCCAAAAGTTGTTCTTCTTCAACATCCTATCGCATCCATCATACGGGCAGCGGTTGGCATTGCGGGCAAAGATGTTATCGACACAGTTCTGGCACAACGGATGTCCGCATTCATTGATCATCATCACCAGGGATCTGTTTGTGTACTCGTTGGACTTACATTTTGGACAGGACCTCATTTCAATTTTTCAAATAAAGGGAATGGAAAATATAAATACAAGATGATTAATTACAACGAAGCCGGCTTAGGCTTCTCAATAACCAAGGGTCTGTAGGGATACTGCTTTGAGACAGCTACTTGTCGTTTCAATTTGTCAAGATTCTCCAAGGCTTCCTAAAAATAAATTATTTTATATACGATCAACTGACAATATGAAGAACTCTCAGCTGATCTTGGTTAGTGTTTCCTTTGTTTGCCTCAAAGTAATCTCTGATCCGACGTCCAGCAAACTCGCGGTAATTGTACTGCGGGAACTAAAAAACTTGGAATTTACACCATAACTTACTTGATTTGCGGTTCTTCTAAGTTCTTTATAAATACGAATCCAAGTTCCCCTATTAGCCATCAGATTGACCCATTCACCAAGCAATAACCCTCTCGTTATTTACTAATAAATTTTTTTGTAGAAGTTGGAAAATAAAATTTCAAAAGAAAATATTATTCGCCTAATCAGGGCGCAGCTCGCGCCCTTGGAATTGCATTGTGCGTCAAAAAATAAAATAATATTTTGTACGAGAAAGATGAATCCTTTGGATGCACATGTTTACCTTCTAGACAACTGTTGTTATCGTAGAAATGCTCCAGTGGAACGCCTTCATGGTCAGGATGAGCCTGAGGTCAAGATCAATGAAGTGGACACAGACAGCAGCGATCTGGAGGAAGATGTCAACGTCGGTAAGGTCTTGCGTCTTGTGCAATGTTTTAAGAGGCTTTCGATGAGGACGATCCTAACTTGACCGTTGATGCCCAAGAAGGAGAAAGAATTTCTTATGATTCGAAGAAAAAGTCATGGATGGCCTCGTGAGTAAACTTGGAAGAATGAGTATTATCATTTTAGGGCGAGAGTACCTGACATGCTTATGGGAAGGTTTATTGGAAATCAGGCTTCGAACAAGAAAAAAATGGAAGAGTCCACGCAATGCGTTATTCAGATTCCCGCCAAGAAATCAAATCTTCCTGTCGGTATGTCATGGAGAATATATGTAATTCTATACCGTATACTTCAGTAATTTATTCCGTTGCCGGTAAAGAATGTGTGGAGAGTTGTTTGGATCAGATAGATCTGTTTTTGAGTTCCCAGAGAGAGAAAACGAATCCCTCTCATTTCGTCTCTTTACCCCTTAATGTAGAGCCCATCCTCAGCAATTACGAAAAGTTTAAGGCTCAAGTAGCGGAATGCAAGGACGCCAAGGTAACGTTTGTTATTCTGCATAAGGTGTTTTCTAGATTGATCCCGGTTTATTCGTCGCAAAAACCAAACTTCATCTGACCTTGGGATTGATGACTTTATATGATGACAACGAGGTGGAGAGGGTTGGGAAGGCTCTCGATGAGGTTGTACGAACTAAGATACGGTAAGAACTATTATTTTGGCTTGACTAATTTTCAGGCCATTGTTGAAAAACAAACCTCTGAAGGTCAGCATAAAGGGGATCTCTCACTTTGGAGATGAAGAAGGGACGGAAACACGGGTGCTGTTTGCCAAGCCTATTGCCGAAGGTCTAGAAGAAATTTCTGAACTGATTTATCAGGCTTTATTGGAAACCGACCTTGGGAAGACTCAAAAACGAGAATTTCGTATATTACACATGACCTTGGCCAAGATTGGATACAAAGGAGTGAGTTTTAATTTAATGTTTTTTAAATTTAATTAACTTTTGTCTTCCATTATTACTGAACTGTTTCAGGATGTGTTTGACGCGACCCCGATCTTGAGTAAACTGCGCAACTTTGATTTCGGAACTGTTGAAATCTCCGAATTAAGAATCTGCCTAATGCACGAAGTAGAATCTAAAACTGGAACCTATCCAATTAGTTATGTTTCTTCGCTGTTGTGAACATAAATAAATATATTATTATGATGCGCTCAGTGTGAGATCTAGTTCTTCTCCCGCCTTAGATGGGACCCATTAAACGCCCATCAAGCCCAATTTCCCTCCGATCCCATTCCAAAGATTGCTTTATGTTGTAACCGAGACCGCTAAGACCTTGAGGATGCCACAGGCATGTTGTGTTCTTATTGTATTCGACAGTTTACACACGAGTTCGAAAGTGAAAACCCGTTTTTTAGTATTAATGGAAGGGAAGAAACGGTAAAATCAATTCCATTGGCCTGACTTTACTACAAATGAATGAGTTTTCAGGTTTCCAATATGCCATCTGAATCATCGACCTTTTTAATTGTGCGTCTTTTCTTTGGGCGTAATGATTACTGAACAAGGAAAGGGAGTAGTAAACAAGTAATGTTTGGTGTGGCTCAAAAAAGGTGTAAAGATAACTTTATTGATGAACTTGTAGAAGGTTTAGATGAATTAGTTAACTAACGGACTTATTAGTAGAGCGCGGGGATTAATGTGATTGTTTTGGATTTCTTTTCGAGCTCCGAGCCGATATTACTTTAGGCGACTTACAATCTAGAGTCGCGCAAATGATTTATCGCCGATGATATAAATCGAGGAAGCTCGTGGGCTCGGGTTCTTCACACATATTTGTTGTTGTTATTAGGTGGTTTGGACTTTTTCCAGTTCTTTTTCAGTTACTTCGACGATGACATTACGCATTTTTGTAACTCCTCAAAGTTTGTGTTTAAATCAAATTTCGTAACACCATTCGTAATTCTATGAAAAAACGACATTTCTGAGAGTTTAATCGAATTACTGAGTGCATTCTTTAAATTAAATTAGTAATAGTAATAGCAATAATACTGTAAGTGTGTCAGTGTGAAAATAATCCGGAAACAACTTCTCTTCCTTTTTTGATTAAACCCTTCTGGAATGCGACACCCTTAAGAGTTTAGTTGCAAATTCCATCCATTAGCACCTTTATTGACGAAACAAGCCGATGAATCCTCCTCCCCTTAGGGTTTCCAATCAACGCGCAATCAGAGACAGACTGGTTTGTTCTCCTTCCCCCATTTTTTGTCCTCCATCTCGCCGCAATTCGATCATCGACTGCCAATTTATTTGGGCCTTCCAAAGTCAGGGCGAACAAGTAAAAGTTTTTTCGTCGACTTAATTAAACCTTCTGATATCCGGGACCCTGTGTTGCGCAATCCCCATTTCCTGTTCGCTCATCCTCTCTAGTTTAATATGTTTTGATTTCGATTTTCGAACTGGCTAATCGTTAATTCGTGGGGTGTTAATTGGGGTGAACAGCGGGGGATCTTCCCCCAGATATTACGACAGTCTTTATATTTTATGGATTGTATTTGTCATCATAACATAATCTTTCCGGATTCGTATCGTTCATGCAGTTTTATTACTCGTTAAGTGTTTTTAATTGTAATCCTATGAATTCTGCTTCCTTTCCCGTTCAGCTGTCTCTTTACAGTGTAAATAATTTGTTGATTCCTTCAGATGCGAGAACTTGGAGTAATATTGTTGTTATTAGCGGGCCTGACCTTGGCCCATCAACAATACCAAGTTCCGCCGGCTGATCAAGAGACCTATGAGACCCCTCCACCGCCACAACAACAGCAACAATCATATCAGAGCCCTCCACCAGCTCCTAGAGAGCCTTCATATCAACGTAAGTTGAAGATGATTTTTTTTACAGGGTTGCTAAGGCTAACATTTCCGTATTTTAGAACACTCGCAGGGCTATTACGAAACTCCTCCAGCGCCGTGTCCAAACGGTGGCCGTCGTCATCCCGGATCTGGAGAATGCTGTAAGTGGCGTATGATGATGACAGGAATGTATAACTTTCTTCTTTGATAAAAAAATATTTCTAGTGTTGAACGAATGTGAGACCAACCAGCATGATTGCCATGCCAAGGCCAGATGTATCGACACTCCCGCATCTTACACTTGTGCCTGTCAATCTGGTTACATAGATCAGAATCCGGAAAGACCCGGTCGTCAGTGTGAACTTCCCTTGAATAATTGTGCCTCCGGACGTCACGGATGTTCTCCAGATGCCGTTTGTACTGACACTTATGCGGGTGTTCAGTGTAAATGCAAAGGAGGATATGTGGATATCTCTCCGGACCAACAGAGAAAGCCAGGAAGAGTTTGCCGGAAGGATATCAACGAGTGTCTGAACCCATTGTTGAATGACTGCTCGAGAGATGCCACTTGCACTGATACGTTCGAGAGTTACAGTTGTGCTTGCAACGCCGGATTCAAGGATGCGAATCCAGCAAATCCAGGGAGAGAATGTGAAGCCATCCCACGTATGTTTGCGATTACTTTGTAACTCCAGTTACTGTTTATCAATCCCTCTTAATGTCGCTACTCTTTCTATCTCGCTTTTCCGATTTCTTTTCGAATATGTAATGCGTTGTTCATGTTTCTAGTCAACGAATGTCTTAGCCGCAACAGGAATGACTGTTCCGTTAACGCGATCTGTGTCGATTTATATGACGGGTTCCGTTGCGAGTGTCGCCCCGACTTCAGGGATTTCTCGCCTCCGGGCCGAGCCGGTCGAGATTGTCGCAAACGTAAATGATCAGCGTGTCTATCGATAAAACCCCTCTCATTCTGTCGCTATTGTTCTTTTGTTTCCCTTATTTAATTGTTAACATGATTTGTCGCTTTCAGAGGACACCCAGGAGTATCAGACTCCACCTCCTCCCACCTATCAGACCCCTCCACCACCAGCCTATCAGACGCCACCAAGTAAATTACTATACATAATCATTAAGATTAGAAAATGCAATATTAATGACATTGTTTTAGGTCCGTCTTGTGCCAAAGAAGGAAAGATCGAATGTGATCCTCGGGCCATCTGCATTGATCTTGCCAATGGTGGATTTACATGCAAATGCCCTCCGGATCTTATCGACAAATCTCCTGAGCCATCAAAACCCGGAAGAAAATGCCTTGAGGGTAAATATAATTTTGATTATAAAACAAAAAATCAAATTGGCTTTAAAATGCCATGCGGTTTCAGAACCCGCCGCTTCGATCGACGAGCCTCCACTAGAAGCCCCCAAGGGACACACGGTCCAGATTCCCATCCCAATTGAAAAGATCGGCTCCAACAACATTGTCTGGAGTTCTCAGTATAATCCGGGAGCTGAATTGTTTGAAGAATTGGTGGACCTTTTCAAAGGAGCTGTCAACGAGACCATTGGCAAAACCGAGTTTGGCCCAACTCACTTGAGGACCGATATTGTCAGCGTCAGCAGTGCCAGGAAGAACAACTCGTAAGTTATAAAAATCATGGAATTGGCCTCATTATGACGTCATCAAGACTAACTATTATGATGATATAAACTTTCAGAGAGTTTGACAACGGCGCCTTGGTTGTTTTCAACGGCACTTTCAGCGAAGATGTCAATAGATGTAAAGTCTTTGACGCCATCGTTGAGAAGGTCCAAGAAAACAAAAATCTCCTCGGATCTTCGGCCCTCAAGGTCTCCGAGAAAGTTCAATATGTCAACCCTTGCCCCCACGATCTCTGCGGTGGAAAGATCTGCGACACCAAGAAAGGAGAAGTCTGCATTAACGGAACTACTTGTGGCATCGATTTTTGCAGCGATTTTACTTGTTACCCCCATTCCAAGCCAGTGAATCTCGTCGATCGATGCGAATGTTACTGTGATAAGGGCTACACAGATCTCCGTCCATTGGAAACGAACAAACTCCATCTGGAAGACAAGGATGTCTGTGTTCTTCATCCAAATTGGTGTACCTTGGGGCTTCACAACTGCTCCAAAGTCGCTGATTGTATAATGTTGGAGGAGGACTACACTTGCAAATGCTGGGATGGATATAACGACACAAATCCCGAAGTTCCTGGTCGGTTCTGCGCCGCCGCTTACTGTGGAGAATGCGGAGAACATGGAGCTTGTGTGACAAACCCAGAAACTCAGAACGTGACTTGTGTTTGTACGGAGGGATACACTGGAGATCACTGTGAGATCGCCCCATCTACTCTCCCCCTGTGGTTGATGTTGCTGTTGGCTCTTCTCTTCTTGCTGTTGACCTTGTGGTGAGTATTTTTAATTAATTTATGATGTAAACTGCCAACTGTAAATTAATATTCTCCTTGTCGCAGCTGCTGCCTCTACGCTTGTTCCCGTCTCCGTTGGTTCAAACGTCAGCCCGCATTGTTGGATCAGACCGGATCTTCGGCTTCGGATCTCTGGGCGATACCTCGTCCCAAGTTGGTCGGAGCCGACAATGAATCCATGGGATCCGGCTCTTCCGAATTCACCATCCGAGAAGAAATCGAACGGCGTGTGGTGACGGATGTGACTCGAACCGAGGTCCGGACCGAAGCCACTGAGCATGAGGAGGAGGAACATGAGAACTTTACTCACACTCAGGCCGTCCAGGAAGAAAGAATCATCAACTGAGTCAATCGCTAGCCACAGATCTCTAATCTCTCCATCTTCGCCTTTCTCTCTATAGCCTACTTAACTGCCGGTGCTCTTTTTCTTTTTGGATTTGGAATAAATTTTTATGTACAAGATTGGGGGACAATCAATTTGACAACGGATGAGCCATCGACAGTTTTGTGATTTTACTCATCGAAGTTTTGTGTTATTCATGGTCAAAAAACTTGCAACTATTGTAAAAACATAATTTATTGATCAAAGATTTCCTACTTTTGTACTCCGTGGTTGTTTTGTATTCTTGGCTTCGTTTAGCCTGAGGGGTTCATCTTCTGGCCCAAAACTTTCAAAAATAACTTTCTCCTCATCACTGAGCTCCGTTTCCCGATCGATCACTTGTAATGGTAATGGCAGTAAAGATTTGGAGGATTCAGATGTAAATTGGAACTCATCTAAATGTACAAAAACATCCATTTACATCCCCCTACCTCCAGTAGAATGAACAAATTTTTTCCACTTCTTCGTGAGGTAAGGCTCTGACCGACAGATGATGTAATCTCTATCGTACGCCCTTTCAGCTTCGGTCTTCTTTATCCTGATCATATCTCCGGTCAAACGGCCTAAGGGTTCTTCGTATTTCTTATCGATGTAAGCCCTGAAGTTCCAAAGCCAAACCCCATAAGGCTCTTCGATTATGATCTTAGGAGCTGATCTAGCCACAAAATCCGAAGCCATCAGAGGATCTTGATTGTACATAGCGATCAGATATCCAATTACCATGACTTGACACAAATTGTACCCATCTGGGCCATAAATTAATACCTGATATTGAATATTGATCATCCAAAGTGGTTATGCTTACCTGAGTCCCATCCCTTGCATCTCTTCTGGCTTTGTTTACCAATTTACAAAATTCTATCATTACTTTGAACAGTGATGAAGGACTGATCTGACTTCTTTTTGGTACTGGCAGGCAGTAATCCAAGATATTTGGTCTTATCGGAGGCCATGAATACCTTAGATTCTTAGCGCTCTCTGGTCGGAAATCAATGTACTGAAAATCAAATTCCAAAAGATATAGATCGCGTTACCACTCTTCGTCGTATCTTCCTCGTTTCGTATTCCGCACCTCCATCACTCAACAAATCCTCATTTATTGCCGCTCTCATATCGCCAATCCAAAGATACGGTAGCACTTTATACGCATAAAACGGCGGTCTCATTGGGGGGAATACGGTAACGTTTTGTTCCCTCAACCCGAGTTGAGCCGACAAGTCGTCCAATTTGCCGGTGGACACAGATCTCCGAAGTTTTATTTTCTCCACTGCATTTCTCATTTGCCTTGAGGCAGTTTTGGCTCTTTTCCAGGCAGATGATACAGAATCTCGACGTTTTGAATTATCGCATAAAGAGTTTTGACTGGAACTGGCGGTGGAGAAAGGATAGGCATCTGGAGGGCGGAGAAGATCGTTGAAGATGGAACCGCTGATGGAACGACGAAACGGGGAGGTCAGGAAACATTGGCTGAAGTCATAAGGCCGGAGCCCCGTCTAAACCAATATGAATCAGATTTAAAATCAAATTCTTATTTCAAACGCGTTTGAACAACGTTTTCGGCATACTCGGATTACTTACAGCTTCATTCCCCGTATTTAAACTTTCCGAGGATTTCCTCAAAACATCAAAATCCTTCTTATCTTGGGTCAGATTAACCATTGAATTCTTCTTCTTGGGTATTAAAACAGCCGTACTCGAAGTGGTGGAGGTTAATGAAGAGTTGGACGAATGATGGGTTTTGTTCTCAGAGATCGCGTATCTCGACCAAGGACCTCGTGTTACCAATTGGGGGCCTGTTTGAGATCGGGAAAATCGTCGAGCTGACGGAGGGATACTTTTATTACAAGGAGCAGCTCCAGACACTGGTAACGAAGTGATCGAAGCAGTCAAAGACCCGTCGGAAGAGGCCGAGGACTTGCGGGCGAACGAACTTACAGGACAGGAAAGGAGAAGGTCGTCTTCGGGGATTGTGATCGCGGAGCCACTCGAATGTTGTGATCCCATAGACGTGAAGTTCCTCAGATATGGACGTTGCTTTGGCTTCTCATTTTCCATAAGATTCACACTCTGGGACTGATGTTTGAGACGGGGGCGGGGCTCTGAAATCAGAATTACTCTTCTGGAACAATAAGTTAATAGAAAACTTTAAAAATTTTTAAATTATAGTAGTCCCCCGCCTACTAGAGCCTAATAACAAGCGGAAACGAGGAGATAATCGTTTCCTTTGCGGTGCTAACATGCCGAGTACATGTCCACCTGAGTACCTTTTCTTTAATTCGGAGCTTACCCATCGAAGAAGAGAGCCGCATTTTGTCTGGACGAATCTTCTCCCTCTCACCCAGGTGTCGGTTTGACTCTCTTTATGTCCAAAGTCTAATGTGCCCAGATTATCAAGTCTTTTATTTCATAGTTTTTTGTGCCGATTACACTCGGAGTTGTTGAGATGAGGCATAAACACAATTAACTTCCTTCTACTTAAGAGAATCCAGTTCAGCAAAGGGAAGGGGGGTACTGTAAACATGTGGAAGTAATTATAATCTCGAGGTAATTGCGATCTAAGAACAAGAGCTCTCAGCGAGGATAATGTAAATGGCAAACGGTTATCAATCAGCAAGAGATTTCATAGCGGGTTGAACAAGTTTCGGAGGAAATAAAATAAGTCATCATGAGGACGAAGTGCAAGGTAAAATCGGGCTGAACAAGTACAAATAAAATCGAAATCGAGCCCATTTCATGACGGAGGAAAGGATCACTTTCTTGGAAATTCCTGAAGATCGGTCGGAGTTACAATTAATATGAGTCTTCACAGTAAGGATGTCATCAAGAAATGCACAGTCCGGATTACCCTCCGTCTTCGGAACAATCAGGACACTCGAAAGAAGCCCACTATGAGAAGAGAATCCACTTTGAGCACCATCAGCGGGGATTCCAATCTTTCCATGAGATCCGAGGATTACGAAGGTAATTATAATACATTCACAACATATTCATGTGTCAAGGGGATTATAAAGAAAAGAAGCCAGGGAATCTCGAAAATGATGAAATTGTTGCGCAACGCTTCAAGTCATTGTGATTATCATAAATAACATATTTGATGACTGTTTTAGCTAACGTCCCGGACATCAATGATGCCGAAGCCATTTGTATGGCCAGGAATGCCCTCAAGCATTATTCCAACAAGTTTAAATTGAACATCCATGCTGTTGAACAATATAATGCCGAGAAGGCCAGAAGGTATTCCAAATTCAATATAAATTTAAATCTTCAATCACTGATTATAGTGCCAGTACTGATTCCCGTGGATCCAGCAGTCGTTTGCGTTCTGAGGAAAGCTCCAAATGCTCCCGATATTCTTCTTGTTTGGGCACCACCGTCAACACTTGCTCGCCCTTATCCATGGACAGTTATGAAGCCAATGAACGTGACTTTGAAGGAAAAGAAAAGGTAATTCCTACCAACTTGATCTTTGATCCAGCTTTTCCAAGCCCTCTGCATTTCACGTGTTTTAGGACATTCCGAACCACTCGGAGCATGGAAAAAAGACGAAGAAATCAAAAAAATTAAACAATCCTGGTCTCCGATAGTTTACAATAAATTTATTTATCTTTTTGTCCTTTGTAACGAGTAATTAATCGGCAAGGTCTTCGACGAAACCATGTTTGATCGAAGCATAAATTGTTTTCGCCTTTACGTGGCCCTTTTTTCTCGCAAACCCGCTTTTTGGACACTCGAAAAAGCACGGAGCGGAACGCTTTTTCTCCATTTCTAAACATAAACACATGCGGCCCAGAACGTTCCGTGCTCTTTACCAGGTCCGCATGGTACGATTATGGGACAATCGTATTTTTGTTTCTTTTCTTCTCTGGATGCAAATTAATATAATCTGTCTTCGCTATCTCCTCTTACGATTTCCTAAGAATTTTATAACTAATAAATAAGTTCTTTCGTAAGCTATTCCACCCAACAACAAGTCGGTTTACAAAACAACTTTTTTAAGAGTCCAGGTTTTCTGATCGTTTCTAAAACAATATATGAATCGTTTTTTGCTCCACTCAGGGGTTTGGTTATTGCGCGCAATTTTATTATATTGCGTAGTGTTGGGTAATGGCGACCATTACAACAATTTTAGGTCTACGCCAAAACCCGACTTCGGCCGCAGGTCGCCTCATTTCCACTCATTCTTGCGGTCAATTTCACAATTAGTAGACCGCCTGAAGCGATAAGATAACCAAGAAACTTAGCAAATTCCATTCAGAACATTATTTGTTTATACTGCCTAATGGGTGTTTTATATTCGTATCTAATCCGACCCGATCCGAAACCATTGCCAGCCGGGTGGGACCGAGTTTTTGTCGTTTACTTTATATGGTTTTAGAGATCTATTCATGGCCGAAATAAAGGAAGAGAAGCTCCCATACGAGCCCCCAGCTTTCAACGAACTTCTTCATTTTGATGGATACCTCAAAAATTATCAGACTGAGATTTTCCGGAGATATAAAGAATTTCGAGCGAGTTTGGACTTCATAGAACAGGTAAAAGACAAATTTCTTGTGTTTTTCTTGGTATCATTTATGTTCGGAGATATTTCATCCTATTTTGGGCTGTTTTTAATACAAATCTTTAGGCTTTATCTTGTTTTCGGGCAATTTTTAGCTATTGTATACCTAATTTTAGTGTGATGGCTCTTTGGACAAGTTCACACGCAGTTATGAAGAGTACGGACTCCATGTTCAACCCGATGGAACGATAAATGGCTTGGAGTGGTGCCCTGGAGCCGATGCTCTTTCTCTCGTCGGGGATTTCAGTCAGTTTTGATAGACGATTTTCATTTTTTTGTCATTCCCAATATTTTTTTTGTCTTCAGATAACTGGAATCCCGATGCCAATCACTATGAGAAGTTGGACTTTGGTAAATGGTATCTCCGGATTGATCCGAAAGCAGGTGGAACTCCCACAATTCCGCATAACTCCATCATCAAGGTTGGTCGTTTTGTTTTAGGTATCAAATGTAAAATAATTTAAGATTGTGGTGCACAAAGACGGTCAAAAGCATTACAAACTCTCCCCGTGGGCGACTTACGTCACATGTGCCGATAAGGCAACGGTTTTCCATCAGGTAAGTTCGTTTTTACCTGATTTGCATAAATTTGTATTGTTTTAGTATAGAATTTATGTTTCAGCAATTCTACAATCCTCCAGAGTCCGAGAGATACAAGTTCAAGCATCCGCACAACCCGAGACCAGATGATCTTCGTATTTATGAGGCGCATGTTGGTATCTCCAGTCAACATGGATGTGTGAATACTTACAGAAACTTTGCTGATCAAGTTATTCCTCGGATCAAAGCCCAAGAGTACAATGCCATCCAATTGATGGCGGTTATGGAACATGCTTACTATGCCTCGTTCGGGTATCAAGTAACTAGTTTCTTCGCGGCTTCATCCAGGTGTGGGACTCCAGATGATTTGAAATACTTGGTCGATAAAGCACATGAACATGGTATGCTTTTTACAATTTTCTCGTTATTATGTTCTTTTTAGGTCTTGTCATTCTTCTTGATGTTGTTCATTCTCATGCCTCCAAGAATGTGGAAGATGGTTTGAATCAATGGGATGGGACTGACAGTGGATATTTCCATGGTAATGCTCGAGGCTATCACTCTCTCTGGGACTCGAGACTCTTCAATTACAGTCAAGTCGAGACTCAGCGATTTCTGTTGTCGAATCTGAGATGGTGGGTGGAGGAATATCACTTCGACGGCTTCAGATTTGATGGGGTTTCTTCGATGATTTATCATTCTCATGGAATCAGTAAGTACCTAATAGATGATATAAGTAATGCCCTTTCTCTTAGATGATGGTTTCTCGGGCAATTACGATGACTACTTCGGTCTGAATGCTGATACCGAGTCCTTGACTTACCTCACCTTGTCCAATTATATGCTCCATAGGTTTTACCCCAAATTTATGATTACCATTGCCGAGGAAGTCAGTGGAATGCCCGCAATGTGTCGTCCAGTAGCCGAAGGAGGTCAAGGCTTCGATTATAGACTAGCAATGGCCATCCCCGACCTCTGGATCAAGTATTTGAAACATGTTCGAGATGAGGATTGGGAGATTGGAAAGCTGGTATTCCAATTGGAAAACCGAAGATATGGGGAGAAACATGTGGCATATGCTGAGTCTCATGACCAAGCGTTGGTTGGAGACAAAACGATCGCTTTCTGGTTGATGGACAAAGAGATGTACGACTTTATGTCTACTGTCAATCCATTGACTCCGATCATTGAAAGGGGCATTAGTCTCCACAAATTGATCCGTCTGATCACCTATGGACTTGGAGGAGAAGCCTGGCTCAACTTTATAGGCAATGAATTTGGGCATCCTGAATGGCTTGATTTCCCCAGGATTGGAAACAACGAATCCTATCATTACTGTAGAAGGCAATGGAATTTGGTGGATGATGAACTTCTTCGATACAAATTCTTGAATAACTGGGATCGAGAGATGAACAAACTCGAAGCCAAACACAAATTCTTGTGCAGTGGACCGGTCAGTCGATTTATAAAAAAGTTGTAATATTAGAAATTAATGGCATACAGGGTCTTACAAAAAACATGGAGGAATTTCGGGTAGGCGTAACTTCCGGACGGGGCCGAAGAAAATTTAAGGGGCCGGCCCGGCAATGGGAGCCACAGGCCTGTTTGAAGTTGGCCTATGCTTCTGGAATGTTGTTGTTTACTTTTATATGGAAAACAATTGATTTTTTTGGGCGCTTTTTTTGCGCGTAGGCCATAGAGCAGGAGATTGTTGTTTACCTCACAATCCTCAGGTTATCCGATCGAAAAAGTTATAGGCCCGGAGATTCCTTCACTTTTTTTGGAAGACCTTGTACTTTTTTTTTTAATTTATCTTTTGATACAATTCTAGGCATGGGTGTCCTGGAAGCACGAATCAGACAAGGTGGTTGCCTTTGAGAGAGGAGGTTTGGTATTTATATTCAATTTCAATGGACATCAAAGCTTTACCGATTACAAGATTGGAGTGGAGGTCCATGGAATGTACAAGATCGTCTTGGACAGTGACAGTGAAGAGTTTGGAGGTCATAATCGTCTTGATCATAGCCAAGAGTTCTTTACTTTCCCTGAAGGCTATGCCGGACGAAGAAATCACATTTGTGTTTATATCCCCACAAGAACAGTCATTGTTCTGGCCAAACAGAATTAGATCCAGGTGGTTGTTGGTAGATAGCTCATTTTCTAGCACGTTACAGTTTCCAATTAGTTATATTGTTATCATTTTATAGCCATACTCTTTGTTTGAACCTCAAATTAATTGAATTTGCTCAGCTAAATAGTCCGTATTTATAACGGGTTCCAATAAATTGTTATTTGAAACTCGAATACGTTATTACCGATTTTGGCTGCATAGAAAAACATAGGTCACATCAATTCCTAAAAGTTTTACCTCGCGCTTTGCAGGGCAGCCGAGATTTTCAACAATGCTTGCGGCTAAGAGAGTACACGAAACGTGGGGACCGTTTTCTTGTCAGCGAAATTGGGCTTATTTTTTTCACTGTAAGCATGCGCTCTTTTTTATATTATTTTCGGTTTAATTTGCATACAGCCGGCTGTGCTACCCCAAATTTTCCGTTCTCGGATTCAAACTTCCTACATCCGGCAACCTCATCTTGCTTCCTGCACAAAGTCAGGGCGCAGCCTGTGCAAAAAAATATAAAATTAGTCATCTATCAAAAATTTTTTCCGAGCGATGTTCTACATGAATTTTTGATTTTCTTTTGGTGTGCCATTGTTGTCACTTTCAAAAGGGTGTTTAAAGATGCAGAAAGTAAATTCTCGTATTTATTCGATGTTATCGTTCAAAGTTTGATGTCGTTGCTATCAAATTCCACTGGGTTGACATTCGGGAAGGGGTAAGGACTTTCCTTAGAATTGGATGCAGTGGTCGAAGATCTAGCATCAGCGCTGGACTGAGTGCTGCTCTTGTCCTTTTGATCTGCCTTTTTCTGGCTCTGGATCACTTCCCAATCATAAAGATCGGTGAAAGTTGTCTTGAGACGTGTCATGGTGGCCAGAAGTTTATCATAAATTAATCTGTAATTCGGACGGTCTTCATAAGTTAGATTGCGGATATGGGTGAAAATGTCCAACCATTCTGAAGGACAGTGTTCAAGTAATTTCTCGTCGGTAATTTCTTGCTTCATTTTGGCAGTCTCTGGCTCCTAGGTTTTGTCATTTTAGGTAAAGGTTGACTTGCCTTCTTCCCGGTCCAAGGTAATTTGTCTGCTAATTCGACCATGACATAGACTAGAAGTAGTTAATATTATGCTCTTCACATTTTTTACTCTTACCTAGTGCCCAAACATCGTCCCTGCGGCCTTGTTCTTGTCTTGAATGGACTTGTGGAGAACAATATCGAGCCGTTCCTCTTAACAGAGCCTTTTCACGAGCTTTTCGATGTCTTGCCACTCCACCTTCCCATACGGCATAAGCGCGACACATTCCGAAATCGATCAAGAACACCATTCTCTTCTCCATTCCTTGTCGCCCGATCACCATATTGGAAGGTTTCACATCTCGATGTATATATCCGATTTCATGGACTTGCTTAATGGCATATAATGCTTGAATGGCAATCTTGGACACACATCCATGAGTGAAGTTCTTGAGCTCGTAATCTTTTTTGATCTGGTTTAGATTCTTCCCATAGAGGGTCATTACAATATAGGAATACTGTTCTCGCTTTCCACAGTGGATAAGGCGGACCATGTGCTTTCGAAGTTGGAGTTGTTTGATTACATTTGCTTCTTTCCTCAAGACTCCGTTTTCATCGTTAGCTTCAGTCTAAAATATTAATTTAAATATTGTTGTAGCAGAATCTCACCTTAAGAGCTGCCTTAATCTTTTTGTTTTCGACGTCATGGACGCGGTAAACAACACCGCAGGCTCCTTCGCCGACTTTGGCCTCGACAACCCACTTTTTGTTGACTGGCTTTCCGATATCCAGATCGTAAATATCCATCCTTCGCGGCCGATCCAACCGTTTTCGTGGTAGTCCAATTAAAATTAATGAATTTTTTGTTTTAAGAAGTTTTCTTCCAATGCACAGCGTTCTGTACTTTTCTGGAATGATTCCGACACCGATTTTTTCGAGTTTTTCTAAAATAGCCCGCATTTACGCGGGTGTCGCTAGGGAATACTGTAAGATGGACGTGTAAAATTTGCAGTGCTTATAGAGTAAAGAGAGATCTTTCCATTGCAATGGAGGAATTCACGGAACAAGAAGATGGATTTGCTGACGATGATTTGTTATCTCCGAATGTCTGAATCCAGTGAGACTACGGGATCAGACAATAAAAAGGAGGAAGAGGTGGATCAGCAACAAGATCGACAAAGTGGAGCCTGGACCGTGAACGAAATCCTACCGGTGATCCATGAAGAACGAGAAAAAGGCAGGAATTCTTCAAACTCAGCCGACAGCATCTGCTCCGACTCCAATCGGAACACATTACGCAATGATTCCGGTAAGTTAGATAAATGGTTATTATCGTATTTGCAGAACTGAGATCAGGGTTGCCTGTGCTCGAACCAATCGATGAAGAAAGTCGATCAGTGGGACCAAGTTCGTTGGACTCTCCCAACATGCTGACCTTGGACTCTAGATTCAGCAAATCACTTCCAAAACGTCCAGTAGACAATGAAGAAAACCCCGAAAAGCAGGCAGACAGGTGTGAGACAGACACAAGAACAGCAAAAGAGAACGATCCCAGTCTGGAAGTTGATGATAATGAAGCAAACGCCCCTGAAAAATATGCACCTAAGGATTCCGCAGATTTGGAAACAAATGAAAAAAGAAGGGAAGATTAAAATCAGTGCATCAAAATACACGATGCGACGGGTACTTTCTAATTTGTAAGGCTAAGTAATAAAAAAAACATGGTATGTGCCATGTGTAGCAATCTCCGAAAAAATACATAACCAATTGGAAAGACCTGTTATTACCGATTTTGGCTGCATAGAAAAACTTTTAATTCGAAGTTATTGTATTTCGCAGTTTGAATATACTGTAATTTGCAAAAGTTAACGTCCAGTGTTGGGCAATATTACGTAATATTTTATGTACAAACCCGATTCAATTCGACAGTAGAATTTTATTTGCTTTAAAACGCGTTTTATTACAAATAGTAGTTTGGCCCGGACATTGTTAAAATCGGTGTCTCAGAATTCAACGAAACTTGGTAGATTTAATCACTGTTAGGCATAGAACATTTGCTTTCTTTAATTTTTCCCAAAATTACCATATGACGGATTACTGTAACTTTCTTCCTCAAAAAAGATGTGCCCTAATCGTGAAAACGAAGCTGTATTTTACAGGGTGTTCCGAGAATTGTGGAAAAAACTATTCATTAATAACTTTGCGCTCGGTGGTCCAATCCGAAATTTTTTTTTGCATTTTGCAGAAAAGCCTTGGAGTTTTTCGAATCAAAAAAAAAAATTTTTCTTTTATCGGCGGAGACTTCCGTAATCCGCCTTGAATTCGGCGGAGTGTTTTTTTCCAGAAATGAGGCTGTAAATCGATGTATGTGTAAAGAAAATGAGCGGAAAAAGATCCAGAGGATGCAATATGACATTTATTTTAAATTTTCGTGATTTGGCGGAGACATTTCTTGACCTCGGCGGACGATTTTTCTTCGACTTCGGCGAGTCAGAAGTGGCTAAAACAAAAACGTATGGGTTCCCTGATGGTATGGTGCTTAAATAAGACTTATTACGTCCTCGGCTGTCTGGCAGATGAAAAAACGGCAATTCGGCGGAGAAATCGGCGTAGAAAAAACGAACCCATTTAAGAAATTATGATGAGAAAACTAAAATTCTAGGTCTTATACGTCCCTGATCTACCAAAAAATATGATTCTTCTTATTGGCGGATGCTCGGCGGATAATTTTCATAATCACACAAATGGGTTATTTTTTTCTCCGCCGATTTCTCCGCCGAATTGCCGTTTTTTTCATCTGCCAGTCAGCCGAGGACGTAATAAGTCTTATTTAAGCACCATACCACCAGGGAACCCATACGTTTTTGTTTTAGCCAATTTTGACTCGCCGAAGTCGAAGAAAAATCGTCCGCCGAGGTCAAGAAATGTCTCCGCCAATTCACGAAAATTTGAAATAAATGTCGTAATGCATCCTCTGGATCTTTTTCCGCTCATTTTCTTTACACATACATCGATTTACAGCCTCATTTCTGGAAAAAAACACTCCGCCGAATTCAAGGCGGATTACGGAAGTCTCCGCCGATAAAAGAAAATTTTTTTTTTTGATTCGAAAAACTCCAAGGCTTTTCTGCAAAATGCAAAAAAAAATTTCGGATTGGACCACCGAGCGCAAAGTTATTAATGAATAGTTTTTTCCACAATTCTCGGAACACCCTGTAGTACAAATTGAGTTTAGGTGTATGTTTTCGACCATGTTGAACATTTTTGTAATTATCACCAAAAACTAAAAATTACATCTAAGCTATGTTACACTTGAGGCAACATACCATTTCGGGTGTAAAAAGTGCAGTTTTGAGGTGACGCAGATTTTGAAACCGGAATATTAAACTTCAAGCCCTGTCTAATAAACCATAAAAATTTCAGAAAAATCAAATGTATAGTTTTTGAGAAATTCGACATTCAATGACTCATGTGCAATATCACGTTGACCCGAAAAAAAACTGGCATTCTTGGGGTTTTGACCTGACGCAGATTTTGAAAGTTTCCAGTACAGTCTTATCACATTTCAGGAGGATGTGGAAAGTTTCAGAGGAAAAAAATGTATAGTTTTTGAGAAATCGGCCAAAATACCTTGTTTTAGGTCAACTTCCTGGAAAATTCGACCAATTTTCTTCGGCATCCCTTCTTTTTCCGAAATATATGTGTGTTACTGTTTTTTCTCCAAATTTCACCAAAGAATTTGGTCTGTCTGCAAAACTTCTGTCAAATGTACGCCGATGGCTACGACTATGAGTTCTGATGACCTAAAACAAGGTATTTTGGCCGATTTCTCAAAAACTATACATTTCTTTTGTCTGAAACTTACTGTATCCTCCTAAAATGTGATATGAATGTATTGGAAACTTTCAAAATCTGCGTCAGCCCAAAACCCCAAGAATGCCAGTTTTTTTCGGGCATCTGATGACCTAAAACAAGGTATTTTGGCCGATTTCTCAAAAACTATACATTTTTTTCCTCTGAAACTTCCCACATCCTCCTAAAATGTGATAAGAATGTATTGGAAACTTTCAAAATCTGCGTCAGCCCAAAACCCCAAGAATGCCAGTTTTTTTCGGGCATCTGATGACCTAAAACAAGGTATTTTGGCCGATTTCTCAAAAACTATACATTTTTTTCCTCTGAAACTTTCCACATCCTCCTGAAATGTGATAAGACTGTACTGGAAACTTTCAAAATCTGCGTCAGGTCAAACCCCCAAGAATGCCAGTTTTTTTTCGGGTCAACGTGATATTGCACATGAGTCATTGAATGTCGAATTTCTCAAAAACTATACATTTGATTTATCTGAAATTTTTATGGTTTATTAGACAAGGCTTGAAGTTTAATATTCCGGTTTCAAAATCTGCGTCACCTCAAAACTGCACTTTTTACACCCGAAATGGTATGTTCCCTCATGTGTAACATAGCTTAGATGTAATTTTTATTTTTTGGTGATAATTACAAAAATGTTCTAAATGGTCGAAAACGTATACCTAAACTCGATTTGCGCTAAAACAGAGCTTCGTTTTCACGATTAGGGCACATCTTTTTTAAGGAAGAAAGTTACAGTAATCCGCCATATGGTAATTTTGGGCAAAAACAAAGAAAGCGAATGTTCTATGTCTAGTGTTGATTAGATTGACAAAGTTTCGCTAAATTCTGAGACACCGATTTTAACAATGTCCGCCCCCTGTTAGACTAAGCTCCAAAGTGTGGCAAAACTTGTTTTAAAAATTATTTACATTAGATATTTCCCAATTGTTGCAAAAATGACCAGTATTGTAATTGATGGAGACATTGTCCATCGCTTTGAGGCATTGCAGAGGTCGTCCTCACAAAAACAAATTGTATTTTTATCAGTCCCAATGAAATTCTGAACCATTTCATCGGCGAAACATCTCTGGGACATCCGATGATGAAAGGGCCGGGGATCTTCCCACATTTGTTCCCAACAATCTCGATAGACAAAACTCTCGCCTGAAATTACATAATATTGGAGTAGCTTGGATGACAATGATATGGCAAGTCAGTCATCGCTGACTTGCCGTTGAAGCTCCCCTTTAGCTTGACACAAGCCCCGGGTTCATCCACACTATTCTGACACAAGTGGACACGAGCACCGAAAAAATTTAAATTCCCTGACGTTGTTCTATCAGCACACCGGGGCGCCAATGCAGGTACGGTCATGCCGGCCTTAAATTGGAATCATTTACTTAGATCTTAGAAACTCACTTCTCTCATGATATCCTTGATAATAGTGACGTTCTCATTGTGTTGAATAATAATATCTTCGTCCAATGGATCCACCGAACTGACTGAGAAACAGGAATAACAAGCAATCTCGCCCTTGGATCGAGTGGAAGGAGTGGTTTTTGGAGCATCTAAAACAAGGCCCAAGATGAGATTGGGGAAGAATTTAGACGTACAAATATGAGGGAGGAGAAGGAATCCGATCCAAACACCCAGCCAATGGAAAACTAATGCATTTGGAGGGTGCATCCATGAAGGCCGATGTTCTCCGTGACGAGAGGGTCGGGGACACGTTTCTCGATGACCACTTGACAAGCCCCTCAGGCGTTGAACAGATCCGAACAAAGCCCGCAGGTCAAGGGGCGCCTGTTTCTCTTATTGTTTAGAGTTTACAAGACCCCGTCTCTAGGCAAACACGGCCTTCAGGGCCAAGAACGGATTAATAAAGCTGAAAGGAAAACAGAAACTGTAATTTGGAGGGGTAATCTTTCTTTGGGGACGGGTACGGTTACGCGAGCGATCAAATTAGAAAATCAATCCTGGAAATTTTTGCGAAATTCGAGAGAACTATTGTATTTTGAATTTTCAATTACCAATTTTTGATTTGCAAGTTCCAAAATGTCATCACAAGTAGAAAAAATTACTTGTATATGTGGATGAGTCTTTTTTAATTCATAAATTTTTTTTCTACTACGATGATGATTTTAAATTCTGAGTTATGTGTCCCCATCCCAGATGTGATACAGCCCTTTTATCGCGACGTTTTGTTGTAATAATTTGCCTACAAACCTCAAAAAAACAAGGTATCATCGGATTAAGCGACCCAATGTTTCATTTCCTTTCTATGTAGTGTAAAATCAAAAATATCTTGCCGAAAGAAATAAACAGTGTAATGGAGGGACTTTTTGCATCCCCAAAGAACAACGGACTTCTTCCAAACCCTGAGGGCAATTTGTAAGGCGAGAACGTGGAAATGACATTGCACACGCGACCTCCAGGGGACGGAACACCAGATTTCACACTACTTTATCTTAATTTGGTTGGCAAAATCAGCATCAGATTTTAATGGCTATGAAAGGGAGAATCGTTCAATATTTTATTCCTAAACGATTCAATAGGTTCTGCGTTTCATTACTTCCAATTCACATAATAAGTTCTATAATCCAATATATTTTACATCTTGGATCTGGTCAGCCAGCTGAATTCCTGTGTTTTTCTCGCGGCATCTGGCTGAATATGGACATTGATCAAGGTGGGGGTCTCCTTCTCCGCGAATCCAGCCTGAATTGCCCGGCTGATTTCTGGTTTTGTTCTACAAAGCACTCCCTTTCCTCCCAAAGCCGGCCCCATCTTCTCATAAGAGCACTCGTATTGCAAGGACATGACTGGCAGAGCAATGGTTGGGTCAGCATCTTTAACAGCCTCGTAGAAGTCCTTCTCGAATCCCTTCGTGATCGCATTATTGTTGATGATTACACAAACCACTGGTAGTTTGTAACGCGCGATTGTTTCGAATTCCATTCCCGAGAATCCGAAGGCACTGTCTCCCTCAATACACAAAACTTTCGTGTCGGGAGCATAATCCCGACAATAAAGCCCTGCAGCCAGTGCGTATCCGAGCCCCACTCCCATCGTTCCGAATGTGCCCGCGTCCAGTCTTCTCTTCGGTTCTTGATTGGGTAACATGGTCCGTCCAATATCCATGGTATTGGCACCTTCATTTACGATTATCACCTTATTCTTACGGACAATATCTCGGATTGGCTCGTAGGCTGCGTAATAATTGAGGGGGGTTGAATTCTCGGCCGCCATTTTGTTGACAGTCTCCGAATTCTTGTGGCATTTATCGAGGAGGGTCTTGAACCAAGTCGAGGAACGGTTGTATTTCCAGCCTTGAAGTTCGTGTCTCAACTGAAGATTAAAGGAAAATAAAAAGTAAGGGCAATCATGATTGCTTTTGCTGTTGTAAAAAAACTTCCGAAACTTCAAAAAAATGAAAAGCTTGTTTAATTTACAGTAAAATTTCACGCATGACTTACGCTCTCAACAGTTTCCCCGATATCTCCAAGCAAAGGGACTTCCGTATGGACATTCTGATGGAATTCTTCGGCCGCGATATCAATGTAAATTATCTTTACATTTTTTTGGAAACGAGGTGGAGCGCCAAAATGAAGGATCCAATTGAGACGAGCACCAACCAAAAGGACAACGTCCGCTTCTTTCAGAGCACTGAAACATCAATATTTTCGAAACTTATTGTATAGTATGTTTGGATAATTGTGAAAATTAGCGAAGCCTACTAAGATCTCGCAGCGCCAATACTAAGTTCATGTTCGTCTGGGAGGGCTCCTTTTCCTCCAGGAGTATTCAAATAAGGCAATTGGGTGGCTTGGATGAATTGCCTCAACTGGGAACATCCCCTTTCACTCCATTGAGTCCCCTTTCCAACGATCACTAAAGGTTTTTTTGCCGATTTCAGGACATCCAAAGCATATCTGATGGAAGAATCTGGAGGTCTGGAGACGGGAGAGTACAAGGGACAGGGCTGGGATTGTCTGAAGTCATATCATATCATTAGTATTACTGTAACTCACTCTACAGTAGACTGAGGGACCGATTCATTCACAATATTCCCGGGGATGTCAATATAAACAGCTCCAGGGCGGCCATAAATCGAGGTTCGGACTGCTTTTTCAACATGTTGAGGGATGGCTTGGACTGTAGTTGGCCTGGAGGCATGTTTGCAGTAAGGACGGGCAGCCTCGACTTGAGGCCATTCCTGGAAAGACCCCCGGTTATCCAACTCAATATCCGCCGATCCTCCGATCACAATCAATGGCCAGCAGTTGATCTTGGCATTGGCCATTCCTCCAATCGTATGGAGAACGCCGGGCCCAGAGACGACCAGACAAACGGCCGGCTTTCCTGTCAAATAACCCATCGCTTGAGCGGCATAACAAGCCTATAAAATAATTTTAAGTTGGTGATTAGAGTTGTTAGGAGTAGTGAAGTAGATGTTCTTACAGCTTGTTCATTTCTGCATCCAATGTACTTGATGCCGAGTTCTTGACAGGCCAATCCGACTTCGATAATTGGGACGCCGACAATCCCAAAGACATATTCTACTCCCTGAAGCAAAAAATCAGATTAGAAACTTTCGAATTCTAAGTTTAACAAACAAAGAGGTTAAACTAAATTGTTTAGATTAAAGTAAATAAAATTTTAAAATAATATCTATAAGAGCCCTTACTTGTTGTTTAAGAGACTCGGCCAGAACATGGGCGCCGTCAATAGTTGCCATCTTATCCTTTACGAAAGCAGAGAGAGCCGCCAAGTATATATTCGAAGATAGAGACTACACTTCACGTAGCTCCGCTCTCCACCTTTATATAAACTTTCACTGTAATCAGTTGAGACGAGTCCTAATTGATTAAGGTTGATTCTGTTAACTCCCCCCTCCTTATGTTGTTATTGCATTTTCGTTGTTGCAATCATCAGACTTATTGAAACTTTTGGGAACAAATTGTGACATTTTAAGTGTGGCCAAAAAAAGAGATGTGGATTTGGTGAAACAAGATCACAGAAGCACATCCACGTACTTTGTTATTAAACATACATTCAAATCATGGTCAATTTATGATTAAATCAAACAAATTTGGGGAGGAAATCCGGCTGAACAATCAAATCCGGCTCTCAGAATTCACCAATCGCCCTTTATAAGGCCGGATGTGCGGGGATGGGGGCACAGATCCCATTCGAACAGAATGAAGGTTGTATACGTCGTCCTCAGTGTTCTCCTCATGTCCATGGTCTTGGCTGTTGAAGTGAGTGTTTGTTTCGTAGGATTACTGTAACTTGTAGGCCACTTTTGTTGATTTTCGGTACTCATTGATTCTAGATTAAAGTCTAATAAATAATTAAATATATTTTCCAATGCAGGCCCACCATCACTCCGGCCATTCTGGCTCCGGCCACCCACCTCACCGTCGTCCCCACCGTCATCCTCACCATGGCTCTGGCTCCGGATCTGGCCGTTTTCCCCACCACGGTCCCCATCACGGCCCTCGCCCCACTGGTCCCCCACGTGGATTCTTCCAGAAACTGAGAGACATTGTCCATCTCTAAAGGCAGACTACCCAGTTATGAATAAAGTTGTTGGCTCTTTTACTCGGACTTCCTTGTTTGTGAGCTATTTGGACAGCGGTCACTTAAATCGTCGTATTTAGAGATGGGAACCAGGACCGGAGCTGTTTTTTCAAACATAATTTATCTTGTTATCGTGGTCAGTCTGTTTCCAGATGACTTTGGTTCCTCACATTCTCCTATTTTTTTGCTACATTCACCTATTTTGTGCCGTAATCAACCCAAATCTCGGCCAATCCAAAAGCGAAGTCCATAATTTTAATCAGATTCTGAGACCGAATATCAGTCGAATCGTTGGTCACTTTTCGAAAAGAAACAAGGACAACAACCAATTGGTGGTGCCATTAATTCCACTGTCAGTGATGACATTAAGTAATCACAACAGCAAACTAAGAAGGCAGGACAAATCTCTGGACGAATCGAGTGAAATAAACACCGAAGAAATGGAATCGTCAGAAGAGGTTGATGTAAGTAAGGTCCTCGTTAAGGCGGTGTTTAAGTGCGCGACCAAAATGTTCTCGAAATTCACAAAATTATTCGATTTCGTGAGTATATATGGTTAAATCATTAAAAATTATTAAAATTTTAGATGGATGGATACGGAACTGAGCGCATCTATCCGAAACAGAGTTCCTCCACTCCTGCACCAATCACTACGACCACTCAGCATCCTCCAACTTCCACATCAACTCCAGCAGCTCCCCCAAAACCCATTTACAAACTAATTTATTTCGATGCCAGAGGCATTTGTGAGTCCATAAGGCTGATGTTCATCTACTCGAACATCTCCTTCATTGACAAAAGAATAACCTTGAATGAATGGATGAGACTAAAAGAAAGTAAGAGGCGTCGTCGAACTAAAGTTTTCGTTGCAGCGACGGAGTTTGGGAAACTCCCAATTTTGGAGGTAAATGGGAAAAGATTGAGTCAGTGCCTGGCCATATCGAGGTATTTGGCCAACAAATTTGGTGAGTATACATTGGAGGTCCGTGATCTATACCATACGCCTCATTTTCTTCTACATTCAAAAATCCCATACTTTCTATATAAATTGAGCGATACTAGACTTCACTGCCGGCCACTTTTCTTTTCACGTTTTATAGTTTTCAGGAATCGCAGGAGTTGACCAATGGGAAATTGCAAAGCTTGATGAAATTAGCGAGTTCCATCGCGAGGTCGTCCACGAAATGTCTCCTTATTTTTACGTTCTCGGAGGATATCGCAAAGGGAATGTGGTGAGAACAAACTTATTTGTAATCCTCAGTAATAAAGGATCCTAATTTTTGTTACATATTTTAGGACCAATTGCGTCGCGATGTGTTCCTCCCGGCAGTTGAGAGACATCTCCCGACCTACGTGAAACTGTTAAAGAAATCAAAGTCTGGATTCTTTGGCAAGAAAGTATCTTGGATAGATTTTACAATCAGCGAATTCCTCTACACCATCAAGACATACGAAGGTCGGATTCTGCGCAAATTCCCTCAGCTAGTCCGCTTTCTCGACCGGGTCTACCATCTGCCCGAGATCCGGGCTTACCTCAAAGAAAGAACCAGAACCCCGCTTTAGACGGTTGTTTATATGCCGAATGTTGTGCATAAATGGTTTTATTCAATTACGCTTACAATTAAACAATAACCGTAGAGGGGATTAAAGCATCGCATATTATGGGGGAAGGAAGCCTAGAACATAATAAATGTACGCGAGATGAGATTTCCGAAACAAAACTAAAATGCTTTCCGAATTGACCTGTGGATTGAGCGATTCCGGCTGCAGAATCGATCTACGCGTCTATACTGTAGCATGTCTTCGCAGATAGCAGAAGACTGTCAGCCCTTCTATCTTCGACGGCCCGCCTTCTTGGGTCGTTCCAGCATCGAGTAATCGATGACATTAGAACAAGTGGAGAGCACTTCGAAGACCCCGATCATGATCAGATCGGGCTCTTGTTCTAGATCCACATCCTTGAACCGACCATGACAGAGCACACAGGACTCGCAGCGAAGACAGATCCCGTTCTTTTGTACCGCGCAATATGCCGAGGGTAACTTGTGGGGGCAAAGCAGAGAGATGATTTTCATTCCATTGTGGGACATTACAGAGAGTGGAGGGATTATATCAGACTTCTTGAGTTGGAAGAGGGTCATGTGCGAGTTTATTCGGGGATTCTTGATGTAGTTGTGCTAAAACAACACAATTTTTATTCCACACATAACAAAAATTATTAAAATTAATATTAAAACCGAAAAAACCTACAGAGCAACTGATCCAATCTATAATATCATAAACAGCGTTGTCGACACACGCATAGGCAGTCCAGGAGAGGCCATACATTCGCGCCTCCATCCACACGTCTCTATTTCTGGCCGTGTGAAAGCAGCGACACTTCTGACAGAATCTCAAAGGAGCTCCTCTGACCCTGTACACCCGGTGAGCTACCCCACATTCACAGCCAAAGTAGTAATCGGCATTGTGGACAATGGCGCGGAGCTTTAGATATTCGTAGAACAAATTTTTATCAAACTAAAATTACGTAAAAATCATATTATTTTAGACAGTCTTACTTTTGAAAAGTCATCGTAATACTTTTTGCAGCCATCCAATAAGCATAAAGAGTCCGCGGCTTTGTTCACCAAGGCAATCGCACATTCGATTGCTGGGTAAAAATTCTGAAACGAATTCAACTGACAAAGAGGCCGAAGAAGAAAGGATCGTACACGAAATGCATTTATATTTCCGCAGAAATGGGGCCGAAGAACAAAAAAATCACCTTTTCCGATCGTAAAAAGCTGACAATTGCATTTCGGGTGTTAATGACTTCGCCGATATTATTCGAATATTTGAGACCGAGGACAGAAAACGCGTCCAATCGGTCCAAATTGCATAAGCGATTAATAGCTTCGTGAACGGAGAGCGGCAAGGGGACATTATATTCGAGTCCAATGTACTTCTTCTTCGTACCGCAGTTATCGGATTTCAGATATCCATCATACCAGAGATGGATATAGTCCAACGTCAGATCTCCATAAATAATCGACCATTTCAAAGCAGATTTTATCGAATTGGAGAACAATTCGTAGATGGAATATAAGGCAAAATAAATTCTAAAGAAACAAATTCAAAAAGAAATATATTAAGCACCTACGCTGTCAAGACCAAAAGAATTATATTGAAGGTCTGCTTGAGCACCAAATTGATGGTCATATTGGACAACACGGTGATGAAGAGGACGAAATATCTGGGAAGTCCATTGTTCTTCTCACAAACATATCCATCCTTGATTTCATCGCTCGATTTGTCGACAAACTTCCCTCGAATAGGCAATTCTTCCAATTTTTCAAAATCAATATCATTCTCGCCATCTAAAATAAGATCAATTAGATATGAACATCAACCCTTACCTTTCTTGCTGTTCTGACTTTCAGATTTTCTCGGTTTAACAATCTTCTCTTTAGTAGAACTGTCTTTTGAAGACGACCTACTCTTTCTTTCCTCGCTAACCTTCTTGACAACGATATTATCCTTGCTTACAGCTAGATTAGTCGTCTTTTGTTTACTCCCACTATTACTCTTTTTCTTGCTACTGGTCTTTTGCGTCTCCGTTTTCTTTTCTTGTTTAAAGTCAGGAAATTTTGAAGATCCAACTGGCGCGCTTTTGATAGTTCTAATATCCGATTCGATCGGATTCCATCCAATAACCGTTTTCTTCGGCCTTTCTTGTTCTTTGACAGTTAATTGGGGAAGGCATGGACCTTTCTTCGACTGGATGGAAGCCTTCGATTCCTTCTTGATCTGACTCTTGATGGACAACTCACTCGATCTTCGACTCAGAGGTTTCAAAGCTAAATTCAGAATTAATAATTGTGGGCGAATACATACCATCCGAGGTTCCCGCTGAGTTCGCGGATCCCTGACTCAAATTATTCCTCGATCGGTTCTTTCTGAATCTTTTTAATTGCTGTTTCTTAAACTTTTCCTGAAAACACATTCAAATTTATTCATGTAATAAATGTCAGAGTAAATAATGAAAATCCAAACAGCACTCACCGAAACACCATCAAAAGGTCTCATTAAAGATGAATAACACTGTTCGTAATATTTGTTATCCAATTGATAGAACGGCGGTGTTTGAGAATGGGGAAACCCAGTATATCCGAATCCATTGTTGTTATACAAACTCGTCCCATCCCAACCTCCAAACGCGACTGAAGCCATCCCCATTGGTGGAGTATAAGGCGGAGGAGGCTCCGGCCAAAAAGACTGATTTGGAGAAGGACCGACATTATTATTCAAGAGAACAGATGAACTACTTGATAATAAAGGAGTAGGTCCATTCGAAAGAGATGAAAACTCTCGTACCGCAGATGGATACTCCTTTACGGACCTGGCCGAAGGTGTAGCTGAGGTTTGAGCTGGATCTAAATCAAGAATTCAAATCAATAATCGATAAAATACCGTTTTTGCGTGGACTGGATGGATCTTCATCTAGAAGATTGCCGATGTAATGGCGTTCGGATTGATCAAAATCCATGCAATTTGAGCTTTCTTGAGCCATCGAGGTCCATTCCCCGTATCTGTAAGAACAGTTTTCATTTATATAATAATAAAGATAAGAAAGCGGGAAATCTACATTGTTAAATCACAAAAGTTAACGAAAGCTTGACCAGAATATCGAAAATGAACGTGAACACGGGTCGGGTGAACTGCCGACGAGAAAGATATCGGAGAAAGCAAGAGGAAATTTTATTGAAAAATATAAAGCCGCGAGCCGCGCCCGGCACTTCTCAAATAGGTGATTTGGGAAGAGCGCGAAAGTAAATATAGAATACTGTAAATGGCGGGCAAAGAAGGAAGAGGTAGGAACCGTCTCAAAACGTAACATGAAGAAGTATGCGGCACGTAGTTACGGGTAATTCCCATTACTAGCCCTAGAGGATATTACTCTAGGGGATCATTAGACGAACAGCTAGACGAAAAGAGGTATGGTTGAGTGATTGTCGAAAGGTGTGTCACAAAGTACGAGCTCATTGATGGTTGCTGAGAAAACGTTTTGTTTGAAAATGTCTTCGTTTTATTTCCTTTTGATCGAAATCCCGAGAAATGACTAGTTGAGCCAAGGAATGAGAAGAATGACAAAGAATTTTATTTACAATACTTAAAAATGTACTATAACAACGCTTCAAATGTAAAGAAAGTGTAAACAACACGGGATCATATTGCCGGAAGAGGTCACAACCTTTTTTTCGAAAATCTTTATAGCTTTCAACTCCGCAAACAGCCTTGTTTCTTCGTCCCTTTTTTTCTTGGATTTGGCCTCACTGTTCGCTGGGATTGGAAAGAGAAAGAGCGAGAGGAAGGGGTGCATAAAGAGAGGAGAGTCTCGGGACAAGGCCCTTCTTTATTGTTAGATATCTCTTTATTACACTTGATCAGGATGTCAGAGATCCTCCAATGTCATGTTGTGATGTCATCCGGGAGGCATCTTTTAAATATATTATTAACCTTGAGATCAAAAATTGAGAAACAGATACAAGATTGAAACATATGAAACATATAAGAGATAAAGGTTCCTCTTTTGCATCAGGAAGAGTAAAAAACCTTAGGCATTAATGTACAAACAGACAATTGGATAGAATAAATTGAGTCGTCACCATGACGACCCACCGACGCTCACAAGAACGCTAGAGGATCTAATGGAAATATGGACAGGATCTTTGACTGAAATCCTCTTAAGCCTCGCTTACGTAACTTTTAATATTGTAATCTTTTATTGAACAGTTAATGTCTCTAAACGTTTTGAATGGTTAAGTATCGACGAATGAAAAACATGGATTCAGAAGAACCACGTGCTCCCTCTCGATTGAGTATTGTGAGCAGAAGTAAGTAGAAAAACACCGTGAGAGTAAAAGATCAAAGCGATCAGAGAGACGATCCGATTATCTCGGATCAAGTCTCGGATTACCGAGTTCACACAGGCAAAATCTCAATTGCAGACTCATCCAACGCCGATTGTCATTCTCAATTCAGCGAAGAAGAGTTTCAACGGGATCTCCACAAAAAGTAAGAGAATAATATCTCTCTTCCGATTATGGAACTTGGATGGTATAGTCAAGTACAACATAAAAATTGTTGATTATATTGTAATTAGTGCAGGTAGACTAAGTTTTCAGCCTGCCCGGTTAATTAGTTTTCATTTTCTGTCAATGTCAACCAGTGGAGGAGGCTGTTGTTGTGGGGAATGTCACTTTCGCGGGTGTGATTATTTCCTCTCCATGTGACAAATGATGACATATTTATAGACCGAACGTTGTGGGTCCCGGTGGAGTACCATTGCCCCGCCAAGCCGAGCTAAACGCCATGTTGGATGGGGATCAGATTACTGTAATGTGCTTTACTTGGAACATAGCAGCAAAGGTAAGAGGAGACTGCAAAGATTACGGTAATTGATCGTAGCCAGTAAGTGGTCTTAATAGTCTCAGTGAATTATTCGCAAAAGTGCCTCACGATGAACGCCAGGATGTGATTGCCATAGCTCTACAGGAACTTCCGACATCAACAATGTAAGAAAAAAATAATAATCGCCAATTTTGCGAAGCATACAGTAACTCTTGATATCCATTTCAGAAGATTCCATAATGATATGGTAGCGATTGTGCAAAAAGCTTTGGACGATACCCACCGAGTCTACTGCTGGGTCAGAAAATGGTCTCAGATGGTTTTAATATTCATTCGGAAGAAACTCAGTCTCTACGCTTCTTGTAAGTATATCACACTATCTAATACATATCGCATATATATCGTATCTCATCATATTCCGTAGTAGTAACATGACGTTTTAGATCCGGAATATCAATTTGTGGCCACGAAAACGCTGGCCTCCCCTTTTAGGACCAAAGGTGCCATTGGCGTTTGCTTCCGTTTACTTCAGACGACTTGCGTGTTCATTGCCTGTCATTTAACTCGTAAGTTTCACTCGGTAACATCATGATTACACTGTAGATGGAAAAGTGAAGAAACGAATCTCCGACTACGCGAAACTGTCCAAACTCTTCGATTTCCGAATGTTAAAAACATCCAGTGAAGTGCCAGATACACCCATGAAACAGGCCGATTTCCTCTTTTGGTTCGGCGATCTCAACTTTCGAATTCAAAGAAAGGATGCGGCAGAGATTATAAAGAGCGAATTGGAGGAGAAACTGTTCAAGGAGAAGATAAACTTCGACTTTTTGTTGCATCACGATGAGCTTACAGTTGAGAAAACAAAAGGTAAAGAAAAATAACAGGAATAATGCAAACAATTTCAGGTCTGATATTCCATGGATTCAGAGAAGGGATCATAACATTCCCACCCACACACAAATTCTATCGAAACACCAATCAGTTCGTCTCAAATCGGATACCTTCATATACGGTAACAAGATGCGTTAATTCTATATAAAATAGAGACACGTTTCTCGGCATCGTTTTGTTACACTAGACCTCATTCCAGGATCGAGTATTATATTGGTCTCGAGATCCGTCCGCCATTTACCCCATCCGATATGATTGTGTCTGGGCTCTTACTGTATCCGACCATAAGCCAGTTTACTGTACTTTTAAGATGAGAGTCCTCCGAAAAAGAAACGACGCCTCAGGGTCTGTATATACAAACTTGACCTCAAGCAACTCTGCAACTAGTCCCAGTGCCAAATCGTGTTATTAATACGGGAAATAAAGCAATCTTTACCATTAATATTTAATACCTTGCACTTGATGCCAGATCGCTGATCTTTAAAAGAAAAACAATCTTCAGCCCCGATTACAATAAAACATTCAATCTAGATTATTATGAACTAATGCTGGAAAATGAGAAAAGACAGGGATACATACACGTAGACGGCAACAACGACAATACATTAACAATAAATATTTTCATAGTTTAGAAGCAGAAGAAGTGACACACAATCGTTTTACAACCAGACACACACACAACAACACCACTCAAGACACATCTCGAGTTAGCTCATCAACAACGGACGGACATAAATTACATCTATTAACAAGTAGAAGAAACTTTGAAAGCACTTCTACTCAACACAGACTACCCACCCCCAGTGCTAATTATAATACATGATCCTGATTACAATTCGTAAAGATTCCGAAGTCGCGAACTCAAGGTTTCAGGGAATTGAGCGACGAATTGAGTCCAGATATCAGTTCCTACTTGTCGTTGGAAGTCGAGAAGGATCTGAAGAAATAATTTTATTATCCATGAGTGACCATACCTCTCGGAAAATTTGTCTCAGATCTGGAGATGGATTTGTCCATGAAGCCAGGGCATCGCAGAAGAAGACAAAGTTTGGGATAACCCCTTGGGGGTTGTGTCTGATCACAATGCAGATCCCTCTGAACGCGGACTCCTTTTCATCATTATCTCTGATATTCCTCAAGGCCAGACACCACGGCCGAATGAAAGAGTTCAGGTGTGGTGCTAAGGTTGGAGCACAATGAAGTCCCAGACGTCCCAATGTGATTGCTAAACAGTAAAACAACAACAAAAGTGTGACTTACCGGTATTTTCAAGTAATGTTCTGGTTACTCGATCCCTGTTGATGACTTCCACTAATGGTAAAACAATCAAGCTGGCATACTGATTCATATGTTCTCCAATCTTTAAGGCGATCTCACCCATTGCCCAGATTGCGTTGTTACAAACAGAGACATTCTGAGGATCTAGATTATTCATCAGAACTGGCATCACATGTTGAATTTCATTGGCGATTAATGGGAAACAGGCTTTAACCAGGTCTCCGACCAATGCAAATGAACTCTGTCGGACTTCTTTGGATGAATCCTGAAAACCAACATCAATTCGAATGACCTTGGCCGCTTACATTCGCGCAATACAACGCCAGTTGCACCAGGTTACTTCTCTCCACAATAGGCATGATATTAGTTCCGATTCCTTCACACAATTCACTGATAAGATCTAAAGCAACCACCAAAAAGTCTTTGTCCGCTTCCGGTTGCACATTTCCATTGAGATTTGGGTTGGAGGCCTGATTCGAGGACTCTAATATCACTTGTTGAAGTGTACTGTTGATAAGTGAGATGCATCTTTGATATACTGGTTCACAATAAGGCATAAATGCCATTCCGAGAGCATTGGCGACAGAAGAAATACATTCCAGAAGAGGGAAGAGCTCCCGATCATCATCGCGAAGACTCTGACATTTCTGAATTAACGGGGCCATCAGGGTATTGGCATATTCTGGATGGCCAAGGGTTGAGCGGACAGAATCGGCGAGAGTTCCAATTGCATCATAGAGAATTAGAAGGTTCTTAGCCTAAAAAACAGAATACGGTAATATAAAATAACACTACCTGATACCTCCTGAAAGCCTCAATTAAGGTGCTGAGAATGTCCGGAAGATAAGGAACCAATTCATTACCGGCTTCTTCTTCGAAGGTGGCAAAAGCAGAGCAAGCCGCTTCTTGCACTCTCTTGTTTTTATCCAGAATTCTGATTAATAACTGAAACGAGATTAACTTCCTATCATTCGGAATAAAAACTTACTTTTGTGAGCAGTAATCTAAATAGTTCCGATTGTGGTTGGAAGACAACAAAATGACAGTAGCGCGATAAAGTCCAGCAAGTGATCGACCTGACGAGAGCATGTTGATCGTCTAATTGATTGATCAAAAATGGAATCAGAGTTGGAAGATGGGGATTCATTCCATTCGTGCACCCCTCTGAGACTGCGCCTAATGCAAGAATCCCGCTTTCTTTTACTATCCAATCCTCATTTTGCAGGCAATCGTTTACATTCCTCAATAGATACTCTAGGAACGGATCTCCGAATATACTGGATAACATATCCAATGAGGCCGCAGCGCACTTCCCTAAAGAACAAATAAAAAGAATAAATGGTAACATACTCAGACTCCATTCAATATAAGCATCCTCATCATCGTCATCGTTCCCATCCTCATCATCATCTCCACCACCTCCATTGCCATCGTCGAACATGTTCCGAGCTCGATGAAACCGCGGTCGAATATCTTCGGCTCGATCTGGGACATTCGCATCATCCTCGACATCAGCCTAAATGATAATAAAAAAACGCGAAAAAAGATTACCTTTAATATAGCCAGATCGTTCGCAGAATACCTCATGCATCTTAATAGAACGGCTGTCAGTTCTGGGAGGATCTTTGTAACAACTTTTTTGCAAACCTCCACGTTTTCAGCCAATCCCAACCAAAATTCGCAGGCTTCTTGAGCAATATCTAACCTTTCATCCTGAGTTTTCAGCAAAATAAATTGAGCAATGTCGTCAAGTTGAGAATCAATCTTTTCGACGTAACTTTCTAGGAGTAATGTCAATGCTCGACATAATTCTTTTTGTATCTCCTAAAAGCAATAACGATAAATAAAAAATACCTTACCCCAACTGGATCAAGAGCTAGTTGAAATAACGCTTCAAGGAAAGGATCAATAATGGAAATAAAAGCCTCGTTCTGCACCAAAAGTATACAATTGATTGTTGTGACAGCCAATGTCCTCAACTCGACTGATTGAGATCGGAAGAACGGCAAAATCTTTCCCACCAAAATGCTCACTTCCTCAAAGATTAAACGATCTGCTGAATCCTCACAAATCTTTTGTAATGAACTTAGAGCTCCCTGCAATCATTCCCATATATTGTTTTAGGTACCAAATCTTACCTCGACTTGTGCCTTATTATCGGAATCCAGCATTCCGCATAAAGTTGGGAGTAATTCTGGCCAATTGTGACATCCTTCATGGCAAAATATTGTCGTAATTATTATGCCAACAGTCGCTCTTAGCAATGGCGACTGGTCGGCGATTGCAGCAAAGCAATTTTTCTTCAGATAGTCTCTGATATGTTGGGGAATGTGAGGCCAATGCAATCGAATCGAGTTTTTCAGCAACAACGCACTCAAGGCTCGTTGACTCACCTAGGTAAATCATAAAAACTAAAGGGAATTAACTTACTTCTGCCCGCCTTTCCTCACCAAGAATATAACATAGATAACAATAGAATTCTGGGAGACTATTAAGCGCATCCAGGCTCTAAAATCATTGATAGACTGAAGTATATAACAAGCACTTACTTTCTGAACCTGCTGTTGCACGGCATTATCAGGCGATTGTGAATGTTGGAGTAATTGAATAATCTAAAGTCTGGGGTCAGGAGCAATATAAATGAAACCGACTTGTTCCAGTTCCGGCTGTGATGGGCGCCAATTCCATTCCGGCTGATTGCTGGTGACCTGCTGCATTGTCAATCGTCCTTGTAGTTGTTTTCGAGACCTTGAACCAAAAAAAGAATAACTTCTTTGGCTGCATATAAACGGAATGCCACAAACTTTGGACCCTCTTGTTTTCTTGCCAGGAACACGCCAATTTAATTTCTGACAATGAAAAAAATTAATCGAAATCCTTCAGGAGTGATCTTCGGCAAATGATCTCCAACAGAAACCGTTGACTTGTGTAGACGTAATAATGAGTGACTTGTACAAATGGCACAAGTTCAGACCTTGTTTCATACATCTCCATCATTGTGTTATATATTACAAGGAAAGTACTTTTATGGGGGCTCCTACTTTTTGACGGGACATATCTCAAAAAATCAGAAAAAATGTGCTGATCAAGAATATATAAATCTTAGCTGCCCATTTTAGGTTTTTAGGGGTGAAAACTCAGTCGGAAGTTGACTTGAAATCCTATATGAACCCCTTTTCGCTTAATTTTTCACAGGTTTACAATTTTTATTTTGGCTTAAAATGATGTTTATTGAGTTTCTAAGACGTAATAAATCAGTATTGGCACAAAAATTCATTTTTCCGACCTTCAACTTCAAAAAAAGTTGATTCGTCCCAAAAGGGAAATCGAACCCGTGCGGCGCTCCCCCTCTTGATTCCCAAACTACGGCACTAGCCACTCGGCCACACCGCTCTCTTCGGAAGGAAGAGACCGACTGCGCTTTTTATCGTTTCGAATGCCTGCGCCTTTTGTAGGGAAATTAAGTCAGTTTTTGGGCATTTTCACCCCTAAAAACCAAAAATGGGCAGCTAAGATTTATATATCCTTGATCAGCACATTTTTTCTGATTTTTTGAAATATGTCCCGTCAAAAAGTAGGAGCCCCCATAAAAGTACTTTCCTTGTTAGACAACAGATTTGGTGAGATTACTGTATCACATTTGTGGGATTGAGTCGACTGACAAGTCTGAGACGAGTCATTCTCATATGCATTACTTAACCAGACATGATCCATGGAGATTCCCCTTCGATTACATCTCCCCAACCTTCTCCTTTATCTCCTCCGTGTCTTCGGAGATCTCGTTTACTCGGTAACCATGATTTCTCCGGACGTGGCGGATAATTTCACAAAGCAAGAGTTGGATTGGATTCACAAGTTTACAGTTCAGACTGGTTTGGCGATTTGTGGGAATCGGAGCGGGTACATCAACGAGTACAATGTCCTCAGATGGTGTCATGCCTATCCAGACGACTTTGAACTTGCTCTAAGAAAGTTCCGGCGACATTTGAATATCAGAAAGATCTTGTTTTTGGACAATATGAAAGATGATGACAAGAATGTAATGGATTACGCCATGGATGAACTGGCCGATCACTACGCTCCTCTACATTATATTGGCACTGTGAGTATTATTGGGATTTATAAAGCTTGTTATTAAAGGCCGGTCCGGGGGATCATCGACCCGTATTTCTCGAACAATCAGGAAAATTCGACATCCAATCGATGATGTCTCAGATCAGAATCACCGCCTTCATGATGAATAGATTCAGGTTAATGGAGAGAATCCTCCATAGAATACGAGAGGCAGAAGACAGAACTGACAAACCGAGTAGTGCTATCTTATTATTAGACCTCCAGGGTCTCAAATTCCATCCTAATCTGGTTCAATTCCTCACGGGGACCTTCAGAATAATGTGGGGAACTCTAATGGAACAGTATCCCTTTATGTTCAGTAAATTCATCTTAATCAATGCTCCGACGTTCATGAATATCATATGGAGTGCATGCTCTGGCTTCATTCCAGCAGAATATAAAGTGAGAATAAAGGGGGCATCAATTTACGATTACATTTATACAGATATTTTAGTACGATTCATATGACATTTACAGAACAAGATTCATGTTTTGAACACGTCTAATGACTACAGTGCTCTTCATGAGCATATCGCAGTTACCCATCTTCCCAAAGAATACCAAGGCCATACGGATGTCCATATTCCTTTACCAATCAAATGTTTAATCGAACCAATCCCCCATCCGGAAGTATTATTGAGTCCAATAAGTATCCCCGCAGGTAGATTCTACATCTAATAACTCCAAATTCCAGGTGGTGTTATAATAGAGACTTTTTACTTGACACAATCTCAAAAATTGGAGTTTTTCCTCAAACATTCCAAGGGATTCACGATGAATATCTTTTTCCATCCCAATAAAAAGGTCATCGAAGATCACAAAAGTGAAGTAGACGAGATGTTGGAAGTCTTTGCGGGGTGTGAGCGCCCTCCCCTGCCTACATTGGATTCCTGGCCATGGAAGATCCCTTACACCGGCTTCTATCATGTTATCTATGGGAATGAAAAGGCCTGGTTTATGAGTGTTTCCCTCGAATATCAGATCTTCGAAGTTCATGCCAACGGAAATAAAGTCAAAGTCAACCCCATCAAAGTATGAACCACAAGATATAGAAGCAGAATAGAAACGACATTATTTTACATTACTTTTTTATGAATAAATTATCGTATTAAAGATCAAGCTAATTACAATATCACATGTGCAGCATAATGATTTGGCCATTACTCGTTCTTCTTTGTTTCTTCGTTCGTGTGAGTTGCCTCCTTTTCTTCGGAAGCCTCAGTTGAACAACATTCTCCTTCAGGCTTGGTCTTTTTATTCTTTTTTAGATCCAATGGACAAGTCGGATATAGCCAGGAATCCAGCTTCGTTTTCCACGCATTCGGGACGAATTTGAGAATCAGCGGCTGGATGAAACGAACGTAGATTATCACCAGAACGGGCAGAATGAAGCAAGGAACGCATACCATCTTCTGGGCTTAAATTAATTAAAATGTCCCAGATTTGCATGCACGAATGAATAAATGATGATATTAATATACTTGGAACACGGGATGAGGACGGATATGTGACTATGACATAATCTGCTTTTTTAAAGTCCCATCATAGACAACATTTCTCCTTGGGAGGTTCAAAAAACAAAACAATATAAAATTGAATCGATAAATAGTTAGAAAAGTGTTTAAACTTTCACACGAGTAAAATGAATCCAGTACTGGACAGTACAAGTAGTGTGAGAATAAATTACCTTTTCTTGCGAAAATTATTCGATTTATTTTACTTGCAACAGAATGCCAAAAACGAAAGTTGAACGCCAAAACAGTTCCAAAAATAATTTTTAAACCAAAAAAAGTTGGAACGGCTCCCGAAAATTGTGAGGTTTGCAATTTGCCAAATCGACCGTGAATTTCTGCGTATCTCGCTCCATCTTCGTCATCGTTAATTTATCCATAGGACAAAACTTCTCGTGACATACGGTATTTACAAATTGATTTATTACGCGAAAAAATATATTATACAACCTTAGGTATCCACATGAGATATATGACGGCGAGATGAGATCGTTGTGAGTGTGGAATGTTTAATATCGCCGCAAGTTGATCAGGGCTCGCATCATACTCATGGCGTTCAGTTTTCGTGTATTCGAGGGCTCTGCAAAGGCTGAAGCGGATGATTCCAGGCCCCCAGGGCATCCCTTACCTTTCAGTTGTCGCTTCACATTTGCCATCCTTCCAAACTCGAGGTCCTCGGGTGGGAATTCGATTAATAATGGAAGCCCTTCTGCTTGATCTGAATGGATGGGACTGCTCAGGATGGATAAGGTCCACGACAATAAAAATATCACCACCAGCGTCTGATATTGCCTCATTTCCTGCAACGAATGCTATATCGTCAAGATTACGTGTAGGTTTCGAATCGCGAGGGGAGATTGCAAAAACTGGTGTAGAAAATATGTGCAAGTACTTGAGCTGTTGTGCAGCTCTAAATGGGGGGTTTTTGCATAATAATGAGAGAATTCTTGTGTCATTAGACATTCAGAGTACGGTAAAAAGGGTCACAAATCAATTTAAATAAATTCAGGGTCGTAATGTTAATCGCTATAAAGTGCAATGTCGGTTATTTTGAAATTGAGATGTTTTTTCCAACTGTAATATAAATGAGTCACAGAAAGGAGTGCTGAACGTCACCAGTACAACCCTCTAAAGAATAATTAATTACCAAAACTTGACCAATATCCGAGGCCGCTATTGTCTATGCCCTTAGGGCTTACTCCTTTAAATGCCGCGAAAACAAAACCTTCCGTTGTTATTCCCGCGTACAGTAAACACGATTCTTGGCAGTCCATCAAGATTCCAACAATATTTTAGTGATTCTCTCAGGCACGTCAGCGGTATATTTGCACAAAAGATACCTCGCCTACTTGCAAATGTAGGTGTAAATTTAAGGATGGATGTGAAGAGAGGTGAGGACAGATCATGGACATGCAGATGGACATTTAGACGACTATTTGCAAGGATCCAGAGACCGACAAAATATTTTAAATGAACATTAAAACGACGCGATGAGAGCTGATTACAATACTGCAAACCAAGATGTACGATAATTATTATGATAAAAAATATTGCAAACACTCAAAACACAAAAGTTTTTTGGAAATCAATGCCCTGAGGCTGCGTATTTGACCTACAAGTGCTCTTAAACGGTGATGGTTAGCGTTTTACAAGACTTTTAGTATGTTCATTCAACCCTCAAGGACAAGAACAATGCCATTTACGTGATACGAGGAGCGTGGGAACAAATAGAAGGGATTCATCCCCCCAGGCGAACCGGGGATTTTATTTCGTTTATAACGCCTGACTGCAGCGGTTCCTCCCAGATGTCAGCAGCAGATTCTGAATTGATCTACTTGTCAAAAAGGGGTCTCCAAATGTCTCAAAAAAAGGGTCTTGGGACAAAATGAAACAAAAAAGGATTACAGTAATCCAAATAAACAAAATTGTTAGCAGCAAAACGATGTCTTTTACTGTAATTTTCTTATCATTCTTGGAAAATACTGTCCGAAAAAAACTATAAGTGATCTTTGTGTTGTACTGTAATACAATAATAGAATGTTCAAAAAGCAGCAGGAGTAATAAAACAAGTTATCTCTGCTCAAATCATCCAGTGATGAATAAGATAAACGACTTGGAAGTGGATGACCACAGGCAGCATTGCACTTGCGTCTGCTGCATAATAATTGTAATAAAGATAGAGATGATGACAAAGATCGAGGGTCTCTCCATGAATATGCAGACAATACTCCGAATCTGCGTCATTCCCAACTTCTGAAGGCCTCGAAAATAGAGTGGGGCCTTATACGGGAAAGCATTATCGTACTTAAGCAAACACCCCCTCTTCCTTATAAGGAGCCCTTTTTTTGAAATCCCCGACCTAAGACTCGAATTGAATATCCGAAAAAGAGGCGGCAATTAGGCACCGTACTAATTAGAGCCAAAAAAAGTTATTTATTCAAAATCGGAGTCCACCCCTCCCCTATTTCCGCCGTGTTTGGCTAGGGAGACGGCGGAAGAGGGCGGAACACCTGGTCCAAAAAGTGATGTCAGAGGTTGATTGAACGACATTCCGAGGCTGATTCGAACATACAACCCGACAAATTGATCTGGGGTTACGGTAGAACGTGAAGATTGATAAAGCGTTTCGTCATGGAGGAGGGGTTTATATTGCACATGGGTTGAGAGAGGGGCTCTTAATTTAAACACAGATTTTCTTGAAAATTATTCTGAAACACCACATATGTGCCATATATAGATTGTGACAAATCTTCCTTCTCCTTTACAGGGACAGTCGAGATATTAAACGACCAATGCAGACGAGATTCTGAGGAAAATTTGGAGGGACAAACAAGAAAGAGAAAAAACGTCTTGTTGCAAACAAAAATGAGGGTTTGAGTTTCCTGCTAATCGTAAGCACGTTGTCTTAAAAATTGCAAAAAACATCAAATCCTTCGCACTTAAATTTAGGATGTTTCTGCAAAATGCAACCTAGAAATCTTGTTTGTATACACTGTACATACTCTGAGCAAATTAAATGTAAGTCTCCTCATTTTGTGCCAAGTTTCATCCTTCCGGAAAGCTGCCGGACTGAAATCAGCGGCACGCACTGTGCAAAAACAAAAGTTTTCTTTGCACAATGCAACTTTTTGCATTTTGCACCGTGCATTAGGCTTTTTCCGGGTGTCCCTCGCACCCTGACTTTTTCGCACAGTGCAGACGCCAAAGATCACAGGACTAGTAAAACTTTGTGTCTAGACTTTGGGAATCAGACCTCATTTTAATATTTCATCTTGATTTGAAAGACAAACAAGCGCAGAGAGACGGTAACAAGACCCGAATTTCCCCCACCGAGAATTTCCCGATCCCCTCCCCGAACCCGGAGGCCAAACCCGCTTTCAATTACAGCTTTACTTTTTTTATATTTTTCTCCTCATTCCAGTCCAGTTCATGACCCAATTTCACCCACATTTGATGCATTTGAAACGCCTACTTTCAAAGGAATGGCGCCATTCATTACCCGACGTTACTTTACGCTACCCTGATATTATTCATAGCGATTTGTACGCAAAAGCGTGCAATTTATGAATGGTGACAAATCAAAATTGATGTCGCGGTAAAAATATTTTCTACTTCCTCGCAGGAGATGGACAAAAGTGCAAAATATTGGGGGGTACAGTAATCTTTTTACTAGAATTTGTGCGTAAATAACAAAGAGAGGGGTTTAAATATAAAAAAATCCTAATTTCGGAGTGCCTGTAAAACTAGGAGCAGTAGAGAGTGCAAGAAGATACGGCAAAAAGTGCAATCATCACTGTAGTGATCAAGAAATCGGCTTCCAAGGGCAAAATATATAGTAATATTAATCATCCAGATTTAAATATTGTTTAGAAAAACAATGAAATTTTAGGGTTTAGGTGCAAAAAGAGGTCAGATCTGAGGAGTGGAATAAATCTGTTATTTGAGGATTGCAAAAGAACTGAACTTGTCAAAAATTTAATCCTTGATATTACAGTAATCCAAGCTCACTTTCGGTCCAATGACACTGCAAAGACCCCGGGGTATACCTATCAGACTGTCGGGAAAATAATGAACACAATGCCTTGAGACGATCACGTCGCTGAAGTGATTCATTTTCTCGGCGGCGATGCAATTTCCGATACGACTGGGTGCATTATTTTCCCGACAGATTGATAGATAAACCCCGGTCTAACCCTGCAAAAGGAAGTTGAGAATTTCAATTCTGGGTTTGCAAAGTACCTGCAAAAAATTAAGAAAACCGTAATTTTTTTTGTCGCACTCCCGAAAAACTTTCCAAAAATCTCAAAAAATCAAAACAATGCATCCATATCTCAATCAGTTTCAGTACAGCCAATTTATGTCGCAATTGCAGTGTTACAAGCACAGTTAAAGTGATGGTCATCTTCAGCGTTCACGGGTTTGATTTGTTTATCCTCAAATTTAGATGAAACAAGGTGAAAAGAAATAAATCCGTGAACATTGATCTACCCAACTTTGGAAGACAATAGCTCTCTCGTAAATAAACGCCGCCAAATTACAGAAAAAACAGTGCTAACAACAGAGGGAGTAAACAAGAGTACGAAGAGCACTTGTCAATTTGGTATGCCCTCCGGGTTCAGACAGAGATGGATCATTTTTGGGCATTTTTGTCATCTAATAAAGTTGTACTCTTGTCTAAAACTCTAAATATATATACCTAGCCCAGAAACGGCATTGGATCCATGGAAATCTCCCACCTGGAATTCGCTGTGTTTCCCTAAATTGTAACCCCTACGCAATAAATGAAGCAAGGCAACAAATGTTTCGAGGGGGATTGCTTATTCAGTTCATTTTCAGTCAGTTTTTAATCAAAATTGGGCACAATCTCAATCCCTATATATCCCGCAACTTAAGACGCCTTAGGGCAGAGAACGGGTGGGCGTTTTATTATTTTTGTCATTGATTTATTTGGGGAAGATTACTTATCAGGAAATGCAACAAAAAGGATGACAAGATTACGGTAGAATTATGGAATGTGTTCATAAAAAGGAAATGTTTAAAAAAGATTTTGCTATTCTTAACCGTGATGCAACGAAGAGCCGGGGGCTCAGAGAAACACTTGGTATTACCACAAGATTATATTAGAGATGACATTAAATGGGAACAGCCGATGACAACACAGAAACACGCTAATGGTCGAATAAACACTTTCTATGTCATCGACTTCAGCCAAGTGTAAAAGGACAGTAAACTCTGAATACAATCAGATTAAAGAATAGTTTCGTCGGATGCGATTACGATTCGCTCCATCGGATTTGTGCAAGATCTCACGAATTCTGGCTCTGATGACTTAAACCGACCGATTGTGCTATCGTAGGACTGCAGGGCCTAATTATGTAGATTGTCATTTCGAATTCCAAAAGTAATGACAATTGTGAACTCAGAGAGTGGGATGGAAGCGACCAAAGAATAAGGGGAATGTTGCCTCAGGGCATGTAAATGCTCCAGGAAACAAAAATACGACGTCACAAATGGGGTTACACTCAAATTGGACTTTATCTCATTGCTTACGTACTGGAATCGGGTTAGGAAACGGTTCCGATGAGAAGGCAGGAAGGTACTGGATGGGTTTCCTTGAGTTTGTATAAATCATTTCTGTGCAAAATTTATATTAGTAATAAAAAACATAAAAAATTATTTTGTTTCTTTAAGGTTATATGAATTGCATTTTCTGACAGCTCCATTGACCCTCGCCTCCTCTAATTGGCCGTTTATAAGATTGACGAGCTGCAAACTACCGCTCCACCATTATGGATCCGTTCGTTTGGTTGATGTTTTCTGTGTTTGGAGCCGGATCCCGCGGGGTTTTGGGGGAAATGGATGGGAATACTGTGAAGGGCCGCGCTTCTATTAAATGACTCAGCCAAATCTCGTGCGGTTGAATTTCGAAGGGACGAGGGATGGGGGGCCGTCAGTAGCCGAAGATGGAGGAAAAGCAGGACGGGAGCGCGGCCGAAACCCCGGCCTTCTCGGCTTCCTTCGCGGCCGGCCGAAGCCACTTCCGGCCATGATTCTCTGCCTTTTTCCGTCCATTCTCCCCGTCTCTCATTGTTCCGGAATTTATTGAAACGTGGCATTACTTTTGTCATTTTATGGACTTTTTTGGGCCGCTTCTTCGGTTGCCAACTTTTAATTAAGTTGTGATTACTCGGTTGTTTATTCATGCCTTTCTGCCTTCAAGGCGTGCTTATTCAAACGTCAAGGGTCACTACTTTTTCGAGCCAAGGAGAATGTTTTTTTCGAGCTTTGTTCCGCGGGGATCAGGGTTTCGGCCGTTCCTTCTGAATTATGGCGGTGACAATTTAAATATTTATTTTTTGTTTTTCTCGTTTTCAAAAAAGTGACTGTTACTGTTCTCGCCTTTCATTTATGAAATAAAAAACTCAATTCTGATGACTAAACCAATCCTTTTGTCAACTAGAATATGTCTTTACTGGGCCTCGGAGTCCGAAGGATTACCCGAGAGCTTACTTTGAACAATGACCGGGGTCTTTTCGAACGGGGGATCATAAATAACATATTATTGGTCTGGAATGGGACTACAATATACAATTTAAGTAAACATGGGCAAAAATAAAGTCGTTTTAGGATGGAAACTGTATTTTCCACCTACGTAAGGGCGTTTAAAAAACTACTCCCCCGCTAACCATAAAATGTAAAGCAACATTCGTCAGAAACAAAGCCCCTCCCTAACCGAATAATTCTATAGACATCCTGTTCCAGGCCAAACAAGGAAATCCTTGTCGCTTTTCTCTGAATCCAACGTACTTTGAAGGTGTCAGTCCTTAAAAATAAATGTAATCCTGGCACAACATTGACCGGAATTACCGCAATTAATAAGAATCCTACGTCTTTCCTGTTTCCATTATAATTTTTTTAATTTAATGCAATTCCTCTTCCCTTTTTTTATGTTTTTCCCGCCAATAAATCCCAAATCCCGCAACTGGTCGATAACTGGGGATAGCACTTGACATCCGGAAACGGCTTGCATGGCCCCAGGGCCTGATGAGAAAGTTCTCGCGGGCCAGAAGTTCGCTTTGTCTCCGGCGTCGATAATTTGATTGGACAGCCGCCCCGACAAAGGTGCGGACATGTCGTTATCTACAGTTTGGGCCATTAAACGGCATAACTCTCCCCCGGCCGTTTACAATCTGCAGATGGGCCACAGATGGTAGAGATCGGGGAGAGAGGGGCAGGTAGCGACATAATAAATAACTTTAACCAAGCGTGAGGCTGGATCTGGGGGAGAGGGGCAAGGAGAACATAACCATAGACATGCCTATCAGGAGACACCGCTATCCAGTAGAGTCATGGGGATACACAATAGGTAGAAACAGGACGTCGGATGAGACCGACGCCTCCGGGGATAGGTACTTTTTTGACAGCGGAAATCGGCTACTACCAGTGGCAGTCGAAACCAAGTTCGGCCTCTATTTACACGCCTGGCTGAAGCGGTGTCGTATGCACGAGATACGCCCATCTCCAGCAGATGCCTCCGTTTTGAATCCCCAAAACTTTGTTCTACATTTTGCACGGAAATCCGATTTCGAAATTACTCCGATTCGCCCTTAATCTTCCGGCTCTTGATTACTATATTCCCAAACCTTGATTTACTAATTATTTGCGACACGAATGACTTTATGCGTATCTTACGTCGTTCTGAAGTTGTGCTCGCCCCGGACACGCGACGTTCCATCTTTGCAGCCGTCGCCACCGCCAGTGCCCCGGCCTTGCGCTGGATGGACTTTATCACATCGTTTGACATTCGACTCGAGAAGGATGTTTACTACGCGGGGGAGGCTGTAGTCGGGTGTGTGGTGCTTGAAAATTCGGAACCCATCAAAATAAGAGGTGAGTCATTAATAAAGTAATTTCAAAAAAGTATTCATTTTTCCCTGATTAGTTTTATAACAAATCATGATCTGATTTTAGGAGTACGCGTATTTCTACGAGGTCGAGCCCGAGCTCAGTGGAAAGTCCTCAAATCCGGGGAAAGTCGGACCCTCAAAGATGATCAATATCTATTAGATGAGAAGTATGTAATCTGGGGAAAAGGTAGGCCTTTCTCTTTATCTCATCTCTTTAGATAAACACGATGACCCTGAGGGCATCCAGATCCTTCCTCGCGGACTCCACCAATTCAATTTCACTTTCCAACTTCCCCAGAGTCAGCTTCCCTGTTCTCTGGAAACCAAAGCCGGTACCATCAGATATTATGTTAAAGTCATCATCGACATTCCCTACGCAAGTTCCCCTCAGGGCATCAAATACTTCACTTTTGTGGGACCTCATATTGACTGTATGGACGAGAAATACCTGACTCCGTTAACTGGACAGGACCATAAAGTTCGATGTTTCCAATGCTGTCGGAGAGGAATGATCGCCCTGAGGGTAACGTTGGAGAGGACGGCATACTGTTGTGGGGAAAATCTCAAACTCCGAGCGCATATCGAAAATCATCAAGACTTTTCAATCACACTCTGCACACGGCTGTATCAAGTAAGTGTTGTCGTAGCTATGTAATATCCTTTTATCATATTTCATATGAAATAATTTCAAATCCTATTTAGCACGTAGAATACAGGATAGAGCGAGGCACCAGTGAAGTGAAGAGTGTGGTGAGCATGGTGCTAGAACACCGATCGCCAGCCATTGCCGAGAATTCGAGGGTCAAGTTCGATTCCTCCGATGCTCAACCCATTAAACTGCCGATTGTTCCGCCCACTATGGTCGGGGTTTGTCGACTCATACAGGTCTATTATGTGCTAAAGGTAAGAAGAATATCATTAATTTTTTTAAATTATTTTGCTTGAAAACAAAAAATATTACTTTAGGTTTGCATCGAAGATGAGCGCAAAAATGAATCCTTGGAAATGGATTTCCCGATTACTGTGGCGACAGTCCCTTACCGAGCAAATCAAACCCAAGTATATTCGGTGACATACGGTAGGATTACAGTAACTTCATCAAAAAGATCAAAATCAATGTCACCTAAAATAACATCTTTGCAGATTTCTGTGTGGATTACATCGAAACGGGCAAGTACATCTCCACAGAGTTTAGATTAGGCCATGTGTATGATGGGGACAACGGGACATCGGAAGAAGTGGAGGACATTATTCTTTACCGGCCGGTTTATGTTACCGTAGCTCACAAAGCTCGTATGGACAAATTATTGGTAAGACGAATGCTCCAAAAAAATTTCAGGAGCATTTTCACGGTTGTTTTTATTGTCTTACAATAAATAATTTTCCAGGATTCTCGACTTTCGGATTCCCCTCAATCAATTCGAGAATTGCCCAAAGATGAGACCACTAAAGAGCTCCCAATTACAACACAATCAGTCGATCAGATCGCTGAGAATATTATCCAGCCTGCCAATGGAGATCTCAGCCCACGGGGCACTCTCGAAGATAGTAGCAACGAGGTCATTCAACTCTATTAACATTACTCACTCAGTTCTCTCCAATCCGGTTACTGTAACTCTGAAATTATAGATTTGTTTTACTGTACCTCTTGGAGGAGACTTAACAGATCAGCATTCCGCCCTTTATATATATGTATACTGTTACATAAATATATCACACATCTCTTATTAGCCGAAGTTATATTAGACTTGACTGGCGATTTGCTTTGCGATTGCTTTGTTGCCTTTCTTTATCGACCATGGCACTCAATTCATCGTATTTCTCGACCAGTTGCTCCCCGCGAGAGGAACTTTTCACGGTCAGGAAAGGCTGTACATAATCTCGATCGACCTCACTAACTCGACGACGCCACTAAGTCGTCAACATTAATTAAAAAATAGTTTTAACTTACGTAATGTTTCCCTTTGATCCCGGCAATGGCTTCAATTCCGGCTAACAAGTCGTCTTGCGCCTTAAAATGTCATATTTAGGGAGTAAAAACACCATCCTCGTCATATTATGCAACCTTTACACGACTTACATTGATAAAAATAAAGCTGGTAATAATATTCTGACTGCTCTCTTGAGTTTTGACCCTCAAAAATTTGACCAGTGGTTTGATTGTAGTGCCTTGAATGAAGACAGTAAAGCAGATCACAACTACAGTTGTAGATACGAGCATATCCTTGGCTGGGATCGCATCTTTGTCCAGAGTCATCGCCAATCCATAAGCAATGGCCCCTCTTAATCCGCCATAAGATATGATAAACTGATCCAGGAAACCAATCTTCTCGAGACGACGTTTGTTACAGATGTAACTTAGAGCATAAACACCTAAAGAAATACAATTGTACATCCGAAATGAAGTTGCTCACCAACAAATCTGCAAAATAAACAGCTAAATACTGTAACCACCGCAAACACAATGTCCCAACTGTGATTCCGCGAGAATGATGACAATCCCAGAAAGATGAAGATCATGGCCTCGGATTGGGAGGCAATCGTCTTCAGAAAATATTTTACAGTAATCCTCGATTCATCCGACATGTTCGTTTCCACGTACGGCTTCATTAAAAGTCCGCAAAAAACAATGGCCAAAATCCCGGAATAATGGAACATCTCGGCCAAAAGATAGGCCAAATAAGGGAACAAAAGGCAGATCAGGGGCTGGACCACACTCAAAGTGCCCGCCATTTTGGTTGTTAATCCCGTCACGATCGCCGCCAAAGTCCCAAAAAGAACACCGCCCAAGGCAACGAGGATAAATGATCCAAAAACTCGAACCAAATCTGAGGCCACAAGATTCTCGGATCCAATCACAGCCATGTCACTCAAAGCATGGTACAACACAATGGTCACTGCATCGTTCAAAATACTCTCTCCAAACACGCAGATGTACAACAGTTCATTGACTTTGACCTCAGTAAACACACTCAGAACGGCCACTGGATCCACGGCACTGATCAGAGTCGAAAATAACATCAAATCCAGAAAGGAAATGGGCATTGTGTAGAATGAGGAGAACAAGTACAGGATGCCTCCTAAAATAAGGTGAATAAAGGGGACAAACAGGCTTACCGATGGATGCAATATTCCATAGTGTTCCAATTACCGCGTAAGTCAGGATGGTGAAAATATTGCGGACAAAGGCTTCATTCGGCATAAAATACCCAGCTTCCAAAGCAATTGGGGGCAGTAAATACAAGAAGAAGAGATCAGGGTCGAGGTAGATGTCATGAGGAAGAAACCAATCAAGGATCGTGCCAACAGAAAAGCCACAAACAATTAGAAGAGCTGAATCCGGGAAGACGATGGCCAGTTTCTCAGACGCGTGGAAAACTAAAATTATGTGCACTTGATTGCGTTACATGAACATTATTAATTTTGTTTACGTCATAAACTTTGATGCGCGAAAAAGAACCGAAAATAACGTTTGAAATCGGCGTTAGATCACGCTCTCGCCTTCTCTATCAAAAATTTACTCACCGATCTTGACGATGACAATAAACACCACCCAGAAAGAGAAGAATAGAGGGGTGCGAACATCGTGCCATTCCAGGGTGATCATGACTTTTAATTCCGATCAGTTTCAATCGTCTTTACCCGCCCGACCTTCCATTCCATTCAGATTCCATTGGCGATCCATCATTCCTTTGATTTAAATGTAATTAGTTTATTTGTTTTTGGAAAAACAAATCCTTAATTCAGTTTTTACTCTTTATGGAGTGAATTCAAAGTTTGTCGAAGAAGTTAAGAGTACAGACATTCAAAGGAGAAATGATTGCTTGACAACTTCAAAAATTAGCAGTCTGTAACAAAAAGTAAAGTTAAGACTACAATAAAATTTTATTATTTTTAAGACATTAATTACACTTGTCATCATTTATTATCACAATATTGTTAACACAAACCATACATCTGCAATATTTTGAAACCCAGACGCGGGTCTTCTGGAACATCAGCTGGGTCTGTTTTTACTGATAGGAAAGTTGACCGACCCCTAAGGGTTTTTAATGATTTAAAGTACAAAAATCAAAGAGTTCGTGGAACTCCTTGTTTATAAACTTGTTTAGATCTTCATAGTCTCGAATTAAGTTAAAAATTTTGTGAATATTCGTGGGCTTGGCTTGAATCATATTTGATTTTGCAATAAACCAATTTTATGCGTGTTTAATGTCATTTTTGATCCTTTTGTTTCAAAAATTGTTTCTGCTCTCTTCAATTTTCCCCCTTATTGTTAGAAAATACAGACAAGATGTGACGTGTGAAATTTTTGAATACAGTGTTTAGTAAGCCTCTTATTTCCCGTGATTCTAATCTTCGACCTCTCTGAGTCTATTTCATACAAGATAAACGCCCCTTTAATTAAACTTTTTACCATCCCCGCCACAATTAGAACATCCACTCCATTATGGATCACAAAGTCCATCGCCCATTAATAGAAATCGTTGATTAATGGCTCAACGCAACATCTGCACCTTGCCAATCTCTTCGCCGATCATCTGGGGAACGCCTTCTGATTCCGGGCTTCTCTTCCTTCCCCTTCGAGGCTAGATGTAAGTCGGCATCAGCGCCTCGTGACTGACGGACGGACCTTGCACTTCGTACTTTGTCCGTTTTTCATATAACAAACACTTGCTCCCTTCATCTCCTTCATTTCCCGAATCCCCGTCTGCTCGGACCTCGTGTCGAATTGGGAAGAGGCGGTGTGATTGCAGTCTCAGATCGGAAAGAGCATGCCAAGTACTGGTCAGCTATCTCCGCAGCGTGGTCATCTCTTCTTCTCTCTCTTTCCTAGCCCCCTCTATTTGTACTTTGACCCCCGAATGTACGTAAACACCACGAGTCGGAAGCGCCTTTCTTTTTGAGACGCCTTAGGGGGGTAAACAGGAACGGGTGCATGACCTGAATGTTTTCTAAGCTGATTACGAGATCTCATTCGAGTTGTCTTCTTATCTTCCTAGTGGTCCCATGGACACATATTCCAAAAAACGGGTCATTCCGACATCTATTTATGTCTAAAACAATATAATTCTTCAAAAAAGACGTGTATTTGTTTGTTATACTGTCATCTCCTTTTAGATGTTACAATAAATTTTTGCACGAACTTCTTCCAGATTCAGTGATTTTCCATAATTTTCTCCGTCATTCCGACGTATTTTTTGGACCTGCCCACTCAATTTCTCGCCAATATTGTTTTTTCTGTTCATTCGGCTCACGCTCACTGTTTGTTGTCCATTTGAAGGAAAAGAAAAGGATCCCTTTTTTGTAGTGGCTACTTTCCAATCGTTCGAGTCCTTCTACCGTCATGGCGGAAGCTCGATCAGTGGCCGCGCTCAGTTTCTCACTGACCCACGATGGAATCTCGGTGAGCTACGACCAAGAACTTCTTCGGGACATCTGGCATGCGTTCTCACGCGGGTACAAGAAGAGACTCGCTAGGTTCAAGGTGAGTTTCATATTAAAATTGACCATTGCTTATGGGTAAACTCAAAAAGCTTCGTGGACAACGTTAGTAATGTATCTTTCAGAACGACTTCACTGCTGGCGTCTTCCCTGCGAATCTTCACTCACTTATCTTTATATTGGCTCTAACTGGTCTTCTTTTTTTCTGGGATCATGATATTACATTTGGAACAACCCATTTACTTAGGAATTATGTTTTTTACTATATTTTTGGGTAAGATTCTTAACCCATATGTAATATATTTGTTAGTGATGGACTGCTATCTACCTGTTTGGCTGTTGGACTCGGTGGAGGCCTTTTGTGGTTCACTCTAGTCCAACTATTCCGATTGTCAATCAAATGGCTGTTGTGTTACAAAGGGTGGATGTATGAGAGTCCACATTCTGGATCTGTCTCCAAGGCCACAAAGATTTGGTTTGTAAGTTAATTACAATCTTCTCTAATCCTTAATTTAGTCTATTCTCCATCTGATTTCCAAATTCGGCCCAACATTGCATTCTTTCCAAGGAGCCCTTCCTCATTTGCCCTTACCTTCACTCGATGATACTCTGAAAAGGCACTTACGCTCAATGCGACCTCTTTTGAATGATGAGGAATACGACGAACTGGTAGACCTGACCGATAAGTTCAAGAAGGGCATTGGCAGAAGACTTCAGAGATATTTGGTCATCAAATCTTACCTTTCAACCAACTATGTAAGTATTCAACTGGGTACTGTATTAGTAACTGTTCATTCCATCGTTATTTTTGTTTTCAATTTAGGTCACTGACTGGTGGGAGGAATTTGTTTACCTGAGACAGCGGTCTCCTATTATGGTGAACAGTAATTACTATGGATTCGATACCTTGAATGATGACCCTACTCACAATCAAGCTGCCAGAGCTGCCAATGTTACATGGGGATCTCTGTTATTTCGTCGGATGATCGAGCGCCAAGAAGTTTCTCCAGTAAGTCCATTTTCTTTGTATTTGTGTTTGTATGTTTAGGGTTATTACGTATTTCATTCCAGTTTGCCATCTCTCCCCGTACCAAGGTTCCTTTCTGCACCATGCAATATGAGAGATTATTCAATTCATGCCGAATTCCCGGAGAAGAGACGGACAAGCTTCGACGATGGGATGATGCCCGTCACATTGCTGTGTACTGTCGCGGATGCTGGTTCAAACTCCCAGTTCACAATGGAAAGCGTCTTTTGGAGCCTCCAGAGCTCCAATTGGCCTTCCAAGAGATCCTCGACAGTGAATTGAAACCAGCCCCTGGAGAAGAACATCTCGCCGCGTTGACTGCCGGAGAAAGAACTCACTGGGCGTTGACCAGACAGAAGCATTTCAGAAGTGGTGTCAACAAGACTTCGCTTCATGCCATCGAGCGATCAGCTTTTGTTGTTATACTTGATGACGAGAGCGTTTCTTACGATCCCAACGACCGCTCCAAATTGGATCATTGGGCCGAGAGTTTGTTGCATGGAAAGGCACATGACCGATGGTTTGACAAAGCTTTCAATTTGATTGTATACAAGAATGGCAGAGTTGGAATTAATGCTGAACATTCGTGGGGAGACGCCGCCGTTACTGCTCATTTCATGGAATATGTGTTACTGAAGGATTACTGTGTCCGAGGATACGACGAAAAGGGAAATTGTACAGGAATTGTTGAGACTATCTGCCATCCTGAACGTCTGAAATGGAATATTGAGCCTGAAGTTGAGGTAAGATAATATGACTTGTATTTGATATTAAAATTTCCAGGATAAGATCGGCGTATCCATGGAGATTGCTCAAAAGTTGATTGATGATGTCGAGATGGCCTTGTTGGTGTGGACTGACTACGGAAAGGGATTCATCAAAAAGTTGAAGATCTCCCCAGATGCCTTCATCCAAGCTACCCTCCAATTGACTTACTATAGGGTGGGTTACGTTGTATTTAATTATTCTGTCGTTTAGAACCAGCAGCGATTCGCCTTGACTTATGAAGCTTCTATGACTCGGTTGTTCCGTGAAGGAAGAACTGAGACCGTCAGATCGTGCAGTATCGAATCCTGTGACTTTGTTCGATCCATGTTGGACCCTGAGAAAAGTGTAGGTTTCCTTTCTTTTAGTTCGGATTCTTTCTTATAAATTCAAAAGAATTATAAATTTATATTTCTGCAGGCCGCCGATCGACTTGAGCTCCTCCGGGCTTCAGCCGAAAGACATCAACAGCTTTACCGCGATGCCATGTGTGGTCAAGGAATCGACCGTCACCTTTTCGCTCTCTATGTCGTTTTGAGATACCTGGAAGAGGAGTCTCCATTTATGAACAAAATCATGCCTCCTACCTACTTGTTATCGACCTCTCAAACTCCAATGTCTCAGTGTGAAGAAGAAGCGACCCGCGAGAATCTGAGTCAGGAAAGTCGACAGAAGTTGATCTCGGCGGGTGGTGGCTTCGGTCCAGTCGCCGATAAGGGCTATGGAGTGAGTTACATCATCGTTGGAGAAAATCAAATTTCCTTCCACATCTCATCAAAACGGTCGGCTGAGAACACGGTAGGTTGAGCCACGATAATTTGGCTTTCATATTTTTATTGATATTATTTTTACTTTATTTTCCATTTCCAGAGTTCCGCTGGTTTCCGTGAAGATCTCGAACAAAGTCTGCGAGACATGCATGCTCTCTTTGTTAAGTCGTAATTAATCATTTTGAAATCTTTTTATGACGGGCATTAAATTGTTTCACGTTGTTTATACATTTCACGTAACCCTTGTATATCGTACTATTGGCAATAAAATTCTGAATATAATAATCAAATTCTGTAAGTAAAAACCAAATCCTCAGGTCGTGTTCCGAGATTTTACCCAAAGAAGATTAACTAGATCGTCTGATGGTTTCTTAAATTGTAGATGTTCTTGACCAGGGGCTTGTTCAGGCAGCTAACTTTATTCCACAAAATCGAAAAATGGCCAAAGCCAATACTCGATGACCTCAGGCAAAATTGCACTGTAAAAGAGAACTTTGTGTCAGAAGAAGAAGAAAATGAGCTTCTCATGGAAATAGAACCCCATATGAAGAGACTAAAATACGAAAAAGAGCATTGGGATGATGTAAGTTAATCATGACTTCGTTGTTTATTTCTAGGCAATCTACTTGTTCCGAGAGAGAGAATCAAAGAAATGGAATGAACAGAATTGGAAAGTCATAAAAAGGATTCAGGAAGCCTCTTTGCCTCCAGATGCCATCAAACTCTCGTATATTCACATTCTGGATCTTGCCAAAGAAGGACACATTAAACCTCATATCGACTCAATTAGGTATTGCGGAACAACTATCAGTGGAGTGTCCTTATTGTCATCCTGTGTAATGAGGCTTCGACATAAGGAAAACAAAGAACTTGTTCTGGATCTCTTGTTACCCAGACGAAGTCTTTATAAATTGAGGTATGTTATTTTGCTTCAAATGTTTATCTATTGTTTCAGTAACATCGGTCGATTTGACTTTACACATGAAGTTCTCTCAAAGGAAGAGAGCGAATTTATGGGCGAAAAGATTGAGAGGGATCGCCGGATATCAGTCATCTGCCGCGATCTCCCCAAGGCTCAAGATCTCAAACCTCTCGAATTCAAATCACTTTAGGACACAATAAACGGCTTTATTATTTAATGACTTGTTTTACATTGATATATACAGTTACAATAATTTACTCTCTCCTCAGGTTCTCTAGACGGGCTTGTAAGTCGGCGTCAACGTCGCTCATAGCTGCAGCCTGAGGCTGTTTTTGGGCAGTCTTTGCCCCGAGGGCAGCGTCGGCGGAGGGAAGATTGGCCAACTCTTCACCCATTTGGATTCCAAGCTCATCGAGTACCTAAAAAAGTCTAATAGAAGAGCGTAATGTGACATACCTGTTGAACTACGGCCTCGGTTTCTCCTTCTTCTCCTACATCGCCAATCGCGTCATCGATCGCATCATCCATCATCTCCTCCTTCATATCCATAATCTCTGATTGCCTTTCGAAATCTTGCATGATCTTCGAAATTTGAGGTAAATTCAATTGTCTGTTCATACTTCCCATTGCTCTTGTTACACCTTTCATCGCCTAAAATATTTTGTAATTAATTGAATTTCACAAATACACCATAAGGAGATAAATGAGTCATACCTGGGCCATTGCATCTTGACTCTTTAATGTTTGAACCTTCAAAGAAACGGCTTGAATGTTGGCTCTCATCATCATAAACTTCTTCACGTATTGTCTTGTTCGAACCAAATCTTTTGCCATAACTCTCACAGAATCCTAAACGATTAACTTAAAACGCCAACAAACACTTACCATTTGTCCCACTTTGGCCATCTTCTTTATATCGGCAATGATCTTCTTTTCCTGCATTTCCAGCCGATTTCTCTCTCGATCCAACTCCCGCATGGCCTTATTCAAAGCACGTTGATTCTGTTTCAGAAGCTCCTGAGGAGTTTTTCGTTTTCCAAACAGCCATTCCATGTTGAACTTAACGTTAAATTATTGAGTGGACTAGAAGAAAAATAGACAAGTTACACAACAAAATGAATCACCCAAACCCGTCTGTTAGAAAAAAATCTTGACGAAGAAGAAAATACACCAAGCACCCGGCTGGTCTCTGCAGCGAAAACAAACCATTGGCAAAGCGATAAACTAAAATATTTTACAATTATTTTACGTTTTACCATTCTTGTTACTTGTTAGTTGTTATTGTATTTTGTTAGCCATGGGAAATCAGAAGAAGCCGAAAGTTGCTGGAAATGTGATCAAGTCAAAGACTTTTGCCAAGCGGAAGATCAAAGTTGGTAAAACATTGAAGAAAACGAATGCAACTGATTCCTCGTTTACTACAAAATCTGTGGTGATACTGAAACAGTTTGCTGATTCTACAACCGAGCCTGTATCGCATCGTGGACTGACCTTGAAGGATCTCAATACACAAATCGGACATTCCGGCTTCAACTTCAGAAAAGATGCGGTTTTAGGTAAGTAAAACTGCAAATTTGATGTAATTTTTGTTTTAGGAATGAAACAGCTTCTTGCCGACAACCCAGAGTTGATCGTGAACCATTTGTACGATATCGTTTCTTCAGTTGGTAGACTTTTGATCGATGATGTAAGTGAATTACTTTTAAATTAATTTTGAGTACTTTAGAATTTCGCATCAAATAAAGCGGCATCAGGAAATCTTCGTGCTTTGTTCAAGCTTCTATTTTCGGTTCCAGAAAAGGCAATGTCTACACCATTCCCCATTCTGAAATCTCATATTCGGATATCGTTGACACACAAAAAACTGCCGGTCAGAATATTCGGACTTTCCATTTTGAATATGATGATGGAGTCGTATCCTGGACTTTGTCGACAATCGTTGGACTTGAGGGAAAGTTTCTTATCGTTGATGCAAAGCCAGAAGAGACCCAGCGACACAATACTGGTGTCCAATTCCATCAGCCTGTTCAAGAGTGTGTATGAGACCCCTGAGCAGAGGAAGACAATTGTACGAACGGACGAGATGCAACTCAGTATTTCCCAGTTGACTCTTACCAAACTCTCAACTACTCTTCCAGACTTTGATCGGTTCAGGTTTTCAGTTTTTGATTCCGATTACGAGAAGGTTAAAAATCCAATTGATTCTTCGTTTCTGGAAGACATTTTGGGCCAATAAACGTGATGTCTAACATTTATTTACAGTTATATACAAACAATTGAATTAAGTTCAGTCGGTGGCACAGAACGACTTGAGATACCCCATGGTGCATTTGTTTGTACAGCACTGGCTAGCCAATCCACCTGTCCGTCGTTTGGGCCTTTGAAGTGCGTCTGAACAAAAGGTAATTACGAAGGTCGATCATGCAAAAAATTACTGGGCTCACTGGTAAAGAGAGTTGCGCAACGTTTTGCCGAACTGTCAAACTGGGTCACCCCTAATTAAATGGGCTAGTAATTACACATTATTGACAACGGACTGGTCGCAGGGATCTCGGAGACATTGCTTTCCGTCATTACTACAGTTTTATTTTAGGCGGTGCAGTTGAAAAGGAAGTTTAAAGTAAGGTCATTCTTTTTGCAATCGACAAATTTCGGGGAAAATATAGAACTTGGTGGACATAAACCGTTTACCCAGTTAAATTATACAGCAAAGAGAGTCATTTAATATTACCTTTGTTGGGCATGATATATCGATGATTGCAAATTCGGGCCATCACATTCAACAGTAATTTCCCGCAATATCTGACCAGATTTCGGTTGTCGTCGTGGGTCTCTCGGGCAGTGGTAAACACAACAAGAATCAAGAACAGTACTACATTTCTAGACGGACTACAAAGGTACATTACACTAGAATATACAGGTGGATATGTTGGGGAAGCATCCGTGGAATGTACTGAGCTCGGGCTTTTATATGGGAGAAGTGTTGGGACCGCCTCCTTTTGGGGTGCGCATCAATTCCAGTGTCTCTATTTGTTCTCTTATTCGAGTATTGTAATTATGACAGCATAATTAGACGCTCGGAGATCCGTTCTTGTGGAACATCCGAACCTCCATTTAGATACCATAATTTCCATTTTTCACCATTCCACCGGCACACTGTCAGCTTTTGTGTTTGCAGTTCGAAATTGCGCGAAAAAAGGAACAAATTTTTGATTTTTTCAGGCCTCGGGGCAACTCGAGAGTGCGCAGAAATGAAACTCAAATAAACAAAGTGCACTGTCCTATTACTATTGTGTAAATACGATCGTGTTTCTTTAACAGTCTTGTTGCAAATAGTTGAGGCCAGACAAGGGACTCCTGTGTGTGAATCGGGCAGGAAAATAAGGATCAAGATTAGTTAGTTTACTGTCATTTGCTATGATAACATGGAGACATGATCTGATCAAGATGGAACTTTGATTGGAGACTTGGCAGCAGTCGATGGACTGACCGGCTGTTTTTTTGAAGGCTCCGCCGGTGTCTTCTCCATGGTTTTATTGGTCGGAGCCAACTGTTCCCCTGACCTTGGTGTCGTCGGTCTCGATGATTTCTTTCCGTCGGCTGAAGCTCGGAACCTTCCTTGAAGCGGATCCCAGAGACCGCTCTGATAGAGTAACTTGAGACTCTTGTAGGTGGCTTGGATGGCGATGTGCGTGGCATTGGGGTATTGGTAGAGTAGGCAGAGGAACTGATAGAATATGCGGCACAGCTGCCAAAAAGTGTTGACGCCCTTAGCGATGGAGGTGTAGATGCTGAGCAGGAGCTCGGTTCCGGTTTTCGGAGGCTCCGGCAGTTCCTTGGTAGCTTCTGCACCCTGAAACACGAAGCATAATACGGGGAGGAGGTTTCGCAAACAAGAATTCGGGTCGACCAAGTGTCCTATAAATATTAGAGAGAAAAGTCCAAATGCTGTAGCATTAGATCCCGCTCGAAAATTCTCCACGCGTTTTCCATAAATGTCATCATTATTTACCTTATTCTCGGTTTCTGGTGGTGTTCTGGGTTCCGGCGCCATTTCCTTCTTGCTTACGGCACCGATGGCAGTTCTAGTACTCAAATCGTGCCGATCCGCCATGATTTCGAAATTTTATTCGACCGGAGACGAAAAGGGCCAACAACAGAAATGAAAGTAAAATTACAGTAAAAACAACAACTTTTAGAGAGAATTCCTAATAATCCTAATTTTGGATTGATTTCCTGAGGGGTTCTGGAAGCGCACAGATCTCGTTGTAATCTACTCTCATGGCTACACCCTCAGGGATATTTCGTTGAGCATATTCGAGGAAAGTGGAGGAGGTGCTTCCAGTTACATTGTAGATATCCACCTGTTTGATCTGGGTTCTGATCTCATAATGGAGTTTATACTTTTTTCTCGCAAATTTAGCCCGAAGAAGGGGCTGAATCCATTTGTGATACCTCAGATGGCGGACACGAGACGTCTCTATTTGCAGATTTTGGCATGCATTCTGAAATTATGATGTTTTTCTTGTACAAAAAAATATGGAAAAAGATCTAAAAATAAAATAACCTACCTTAATAAAGTTAGTGTAAGACAGCAACACTGCTTTGTCGTGGCCTCGAACTTCCAATTGGATTTTTGAGAATAATTTATCCGAAATATTCGTTACCTCCGCATCAGACGCCTTCTGCAGTCCTCTCTTCGCATTAAAAAATAAACTTCGTCCAAGAAGACTTTTCAACATCTAAAACTAAGGTTAATAAACCGTCATTTCACTCCGATATTACACCGATTCAACGCAGAAATATTACATAACTCAGAGTAGTCCAAACTATTTATAAAAAGATTCTATAAAATAATATGTACAATATTTACAGTATAAAATTTTTCTAAAAATTACATCTAGGTCGATTACAGTAATTCAAAGCCATTCTCTTCGATTCCTCCATTACTTTCTAGACTATTATATACTGTTTTCTCTTTAACAACACTAAACAAGGGGCTCTTTGGTGAATTCTCATATTCTATTATGTCATTCTCAGCCAAACTTTTGATCAATAGCTCGCAATCTTCTTTCGAAGTTATCAGAAATCCCAAAGCCAACGATGGATCAATCGAGCTCAACTTCATGAACAACTTTTCCGATGAATGATAAGTGTCCCAAGTCTTCGTGGATTCATTCCCATCCAATCTAGTGTAAGGTTGAGTCTTGTGCGGGTCCAAATATAAAAGTAACTAAAAAAGGAATAACTGTAATCATTACAAGTCTGCCAAAGACAGGGCGCAAGTCTCGTGAATATAACAAAAACCCTTTCTTACATCATTGGAGGTCCCGACAAAGTACAGAGAATGTTTTGGCCTGCCACCCACAGCGCCCATGAAGTTGTTTGTCAAAAACAGAGACCGCAGAGAATCACTATACTTCTGAAAAAGGTCAAATAAGCAGTTATTTATATGTAGATAGATAATAATCTACCGGTTACGAGCCTTACGTGTAAAAACATACGTCATTCATCGCTTGAGTTCCCAATCGAACTGGAATCACAACCAATACATTCTTTGTCCATCCTTCAGAAGCATCTTCAATGTCCTGTAAAGCAACTAAATTGTCGAAACAGACCAATGGAGAAATATGGCCTAATAGACAGTTGTGGGAATTGTGTATAATATCCCGGAAAATTATAAATGCTTCCGAAGGAGAGTACCATCTGCCCACTGGCGACTCAACTCCGTGATTTTGGGCTTGTTTTATAAACGAGTGAATCCCGAGAGGACCTGTGTGATCATCAAATAATCGAATTATATTGGATAAAGTGGAAGGCGTGGCGTCGTCTCGGATCCAATCTAAAGAATAAAGAAAGCTATTTCTAACACTTGCCTCTACCCAGATTTTGAATCAACAATGCTTGAGCCAACAACATCTGGGACGTTCGTATCATACATCCCCAGCCCGTATCTGAATTTGAATTCGGTTCGCCGTTCAAATTGGGGAACCCATTTCGATATGAAAGATAGACGCGACCTTTCAAATCCGCGGCAAGCGATTCTAAATAAGAAAATAAAACCAGAAGACATTCTTACCTGATTTTATGGAATCATACTCTTTTCCAAGCAACCACACGGTCTCATTCGAAGACTGCCTCAGACTGTTAATCCAGCTTCGATAAGGAATACTTCCAACTGAGTGTGCCAATCCGTGGAAGAATCTAATTGAATCCGACTTCAGTTTCTCTCCTTTCTTTCTGATCGTATGTTGATCATTCACATGAGGCATATCATTTACTTCTTGACCACAATATAGGCAGAAAGGAAACCTCTATTCAGAATGCGTCAAAAATAATATAAAACGTACTAATCCATTCTAATCCAGTTCAAAGAAGTTTATTATTCCTTTTTCAGTTCGATATTGGTCAATAAAAAAGAAATACGGAATGCCACAAAGTTTTAGCACCATTTGTTTTCCTCTCACGACTAAAATAAAGGAATTTTGTAGTTTCTATCCGGCACACAAAGATTCGTTGATCTCTTCTTGAAAAAGGGTAAATAACAAGGCGGAGTTTTATTCAGTTCGTTTAGAATTTTATGTATTAACCATAACTGACCGTTAAAAATTATCTTAAAAATATTCTTGTTTATCAATGCTAGTTTCAGGACCGATGGCGCTCTTTGGATGCAAAATTCTTTCCCGAGGCTTTCTGTCAACCACAGCCGTTCGTTCCATCTCATCGTTAACTAATTTGGAGAACGTTAAAGTCGTGGATGAAGGTTCAGGTGTTGCACATGTTCAATTAAACCGACCGAAGAGTAGAAATGCCTTGACGATTGGGTTATGGGAGTGAGTCGATCTTCCTTTGATAACTGAGTCTAATTATCGTTTTTCAGTGATCTCAAAACGGCGTTTGACCATCTGGATACATGCTCTTCTTGCCGGGCTATTGTTCTATCAGGAAATGGACTCTCCTTTGGTGTCGGGATTGATCTCAAAGAAGGGATTACTGTACGTTCTACTTCAATTCTCCATTTTGTTACAGAAAATCATGGATGTCGCTGGCGACAAATCAAAGGATGTCTCGAGGAAAGCGTTGGCCTTGTTGAATCTGATCAATTATATCCAAAAATCTTTTAATTCTGCATACTTGTGTAAGAAACCAGTCATTGCCGCTATTCATGGTCATTGTATTGGAGGGACAATTAGTTTGGCGGCGTTGACAGATATTAGATATGCTGTGAAGACAACTGTTTTCAACATCAAGGTTGGTATTGGTTTGTTTTTTATGACGTAATATTGGCATTTCTTCGAGGTTGTACTGACAGGGGAAGCACTTCAAGTGTGACGCTCAGATTTTCTTTAAATTTTGCACACACATCGGGTATGGACTAAATATCAATTCCTGAAAGTTTTAGCTCGCGCTTTGCGGGCGCCGCCGAGATATTGAACGATTTTTGCCGCCGAGAGAGCACGCTCAACGTGGAGAGCGGTCAGAGAGAAAACCGCTTTTTGGCCATAACTTTGGCAGTTTCGTGCGGAAAAATTTGATTTTTTGTAGAAACATTATTCTTTACGGTTGAAATAGGCATGAAACTTTTCGTGCCGAAATTCGGCAAAAAGTCCCAAATTTTCGCCGACTTTCGATCTAAAAATCTCGGTTGTTTCTGCAAAGCGCGAGCTAGGATTCCCGCATATATCTTAGAAAAAATTATTCTAAATTTGTGCCAAGTTTCATCAAAATCTGAGCGTCACACTTCAAGTACTTCCCTTGTGAGATGATGATTTTAGGAGGTAGATGTTGGATTGGCAGCGGACGTCGGAGTTTTGAATGTAATATCAAAAATAACGGGTAATGACAGTTGGTGTCGGGAATTGGCATTTACTGCAAGAGACTTTAATGGAACCGAAGGAGTTGAGAAGGGTAAGATTGAAGACTGCAAAAATACCTATATTTTCAGGATTCTTATCTCGCGCTTTCGACACTCAAAAAGAATGTTTGGATGGAGCCCTGGACTTGGCCAAAGAGATTGCCAGTAAGAGTCCAATTGCTGTTCAAGGAAGTAAATTGGCCATGAATTATGCCCGGGATCATACTGTACAAGAGACGTTTGACTATATCAAAGTCTGGAACTCCGTTCATTTGCAAACTGAAGACATGGTCAAAGTTGCTCAAGCCATGATGGAGAAGAAGAAAGCAGTCTTCAATGATGCGTGAGAAGATGATCGTGTCAAATTTGTAATATAATTTGTGATTATATTGATAGTAGCTAGAATAAAATTCTACAGTCGTGGATGTTGGATGATTATCCTTGGTTCGTTACCAAAAGTATTAGAATTTATTATAAAATCTCAAGTGATTACTTTTTAAGCCAATTTTCCTGCGTGGCACAGCGTTCTGTACTTTTTTGGAATGATTCCGACACCGATTTTTTCGAATTTTTCTAAAATAGCCCGCCTTTACGCGGGTGTCGCGAGGGAATACTGTAAGATTGACGTGTAAAATTTGCAGTGCTTATGGACTAAAGAGAGATCTTTCCAACGATACAACTTACGTAAATTAATATGGAAAAAGAAATTTGTAATCAACGCTGAAAAATGACCGACTTTGGATTTTCGGCGCTAAAGATTGCCCTTAGCCAGATCTCTTAGAAGAAGTGAATGGTACCACCTTATGCGGAATTTAATTCTCTACAACATATCCAAAAACTACAAAATATTACTGCTGGATGTCTTTACTGCTTTTTCGTCGAATTATGCCTCAAAAATGCAATTTTTGCACTAGTTATACCAATATTTTTAAAATATTTAAGGGCATTATTACAAAAACAGAGTCGTACATATTGAAGCTCACGTCAATCTTACAGTATTCCCTAGCGACACCCGCGTAAATGCGGGCTATTTTAGAAAAATTCGAAAAAATCGGTGTCGGAATCATTCCAGAAAAGTACAAAACGCTGTGCGTGGTGATTTCTGACAGGACAAACAATGATTAACACTGGGTAAGGATCATTTTAACTCTGATGTTGGTTGTAGTAAATTCGCTGGAAAAACGGTGATCATTTCTGGTGGATCACGAGGAATTGGAAAAGCGATTGCTCTCAAACTCGCCGCCGATGGGGCCAATGTCTCCATCCTTGCCAAGACCACAACTCCCCACCCAAAACTGCCAGGGACTATCTATACTGCTGTCGAGGAGATTGAGAAGGTACGTTCATCATGCTTACGTAGTATTGGATGTCTTTAAGGCCGGAGGAAAAGGCCTTCCTTGTGTTTGCGATATTCGAAGTGAAGAGAGCGTCCAGAAAGCTGTAGAGGATACTGTGAGGAAGTTTGGGGGTATCGATATCTGTATTAACAATGCTAGCGCCATTTCTTTGACGGGAACTTTAGATACACCCATGAAGAGATACGATCTGATGAATCAAGTGAATGCTCGAGGAACTTATATGCTGTAAGACATCTTGGTTAGTAACCAGTCGTTTCCAGTTCTCGTGAGTGCATTCCCTATCTGAAACAAGCCAAGAACCCTCATATTTTGAACATGAGTCCTCCGCTTATCATGGATAAGGTCTGGTTCAGCAATCATGTTGGTAAGTGTAACCCATTTATCTGAATATTATTACAGCTTACACTATTGCTAAATACGGAATGTCGATGTGTGTTTTGGGAATGCATGAGGAATTCAGACCTGATGGAATCGCGGTGAATGCCCTCTGGCCAAGAACCGCAATCTGGACTTCGGCGATGCAAATGTTGAGTGCAGGAAGTGATGCCTCGGGCAACAGAAAGGTCGATATTGTATCTGATGCGGCATATGCATTGTTATCGAGAAATTCAAAGGAATTCACTGGAAATTTTGTGATCGATGAAGAGATTCTGAAGCAAGAAGGTGTCACCGACTTCGAGAAATATGCTTGTGTTCCAGGTAAATAGATGCGATGGTTTTACTGTCTCGCATATTCTGAAAAATTCTAAAACAAGACGATTTAGGTGCTCCATTAACTCCTGACTTCTTCATTGCCGGAGAGGAAGAGTCCTATAAAGACGAGAGTCGTAGACGGGCAAAGAAACAAAGAAGTCCCGGAAGTCTTCAGCAAGGAATTTCCAAACTCCAGAAACTCGTGAACCAGGAAACTGTCAAGAATACCAATGCCGTTTTCGAATTTCACATCAAAAGTAAGAAAGAAACGACTTGGCACTTTCTTGACAAACGAGGTTATTATTATTGTCATCTTTTAGATGCCGGAGTGACCGAAATTATATATCTGGACTTAAAGAATGGCTCCGGAGCAGTCGGACAGGGTCAAGCTCCACAAAAAGCCGATATAAAGTTTGAAGCCGATGCCGATGTTCTTCTCGAATTGTTGGATGGGTCTCTTAGTCCAAGCAAAGCCTTTACTACTCAAAAGTTGGCAATACGAGGAAATGTAACGACCGCTCTGAAGTTGGAATCCCTCTTACGTAGTCTAAAATAAGCTTCTTAGTAAAATGTAAATAAATAATTTCTTACCCTCTTACTTCCGTTTTTGCAATATGCCTGACAAGTTATAAGTGCGGCTGCACTGCAATTGCAATTGCAGTACGACTGTAACACTTGGCGCATGAGACAAGTCTCTCTCCCGCTTTGTTGGGCGCAGCTTGGAGATTTATCTTCCAAAAATAATTTTATTTTTATGCTGGTGTTCTTGCTGTTCTAATGTATACTTCCGTCCCGCCTCCCGGTCAAAATGGCGGAGATTCCGTTGATCCCGTTTATCCTTTTCCTGAAACATCCAATGGCCAGTATCAGCGTCCACAGCCGTATCGATTCAAAGCCCCGGTAAGTGTTTTCTTATGATCTTTGAAGACATTGACGAATTTAGGCACGACAAGAAGATCTTATGGCCGACGGCCCAGGCCGGAGGTTAAGAAAGAATGTTGCGAATGTTAGGAAACACATAGACTATGTGGCCAATTGTCTTCGAATGGCCGATGTAAGTGGAGTTGCTGACGGTTTACTTTTAGAAGTATCTTTGCGAATAACGAATATTCTAAATATTTTTATTTTAGGAGCGGCTTTATCAATATGGAAAGCGGGATCGGAAGGTCGTTCAACCTGACATTATCTATCAGGCCCACATTCTTCCTCCTTGCTCAACACTAGATGTTCCCGTAGATTGTGTCCTGACGAAATTTGTCCGAGCAGCGATGAACAAAATCAAGTGTCCAGTATATAGTATATGTGTAAATTAATTTCTTTCTTTTTGGCTTTTAGGAACTGTTTATCAAAGAATAAGAAGGCTTCTTGTTTCAGTGGACACCGGAGGGCAAACGATTGATAACTGGGGCATCTTCTGGGGAATTCACGTTGTGGAATGGTAGTGCATTCAATTTCGAGACCATTCTTCAAGCCCATGATGTCGCTATTCGCTCTCTTAAATGGTCTCATAATGATATGTGGATGGCTTCAGGGGATCAAGATGGATTTGTAAAATATTGGCAACCGAATATGAACAATGTTCACATGTTTCACGCGCATAAAGATGAACCAGTGAGGTCGATTAGGTAGGATAATACTTTTTTAGGCCATTGCTTGTAGACTCCAAAAATAAGCTTGATTATTTTAGTTTCGCCCCGACAGATGTTAAGTTAGTGACAGGATCGGACGATGGAACAGCGAGGATATGGGATTTTGCTCGGTCGGAACAGGAACGAGTCTTAAGCGGACATGGAGCAGATGTCAGATCCGTAGATTGGCATCCCACAAAGGGTCTGATTGCCACTGGGTCCAGGGATTCTCAACAGCCGGTTAAGATTTGGGATCCAAAGACTGGTAATTGTTTGGCGACATTGTAAGTTTAGATATTATTTTTGATTGATTTCTGATTTTAGACATGATCACAAGAACTCAGTGACCGCTGTGGAATGGAATAAAAATGGAAATTGGCTGCTAAGTGGGTCGAGGGATCATGTCATCAAGTTGTATGACATCCGAATGCTCAAGGAGGTCCAAACATTCAGAGGACACAAGAAGGAAGTCACATGTAAGTTTAGTATAATAAATCAGGTGTCTCCGATTTTTTTGTTTTATGATATCTCTTTCAGCGATTGCCTGGCATCCAGTCCATGAAGGTCTGTTCGCTTCCGGAGGTGGTGACGGATCATTAGGATACTGGAACGTCTACAGCGACAAAGAATTGGCGCTTTTGGAGAGTGCCCACGATCAAGCAGTCTGGTCGATCCAATGGCATCCACTCGGACATATTTTGGCCACAGGCTCCAATGATAACAATACAAAATTCTGGGCGAGAAATAGACCCGGGGACACACAAGAGGATATATTTGGGTTGGTTTACAACTCTGGAATTAATTTGGCCGCGATTACTTCAACAACAAAGCAAGACGGGCAAACAGAGATGAAGAAAAAGGATGAAGTGGAATTGGCCAAGGATGGACCTAAAGGACCGATAATTCCGGGTATGAATTTGTGGGTCTATCGTGTTTGAGGTCGATTTTAATTGTGTTGGTTTTAAATTTTATTATTTTAGGTATGGGATTAGATGACGATATTTATGAAGCGATGAATACTGATCTTTCGGTGCCCGCCATGGTGGTTGTTGATGACTCTAATCCTGATAACAATAAGAATGTAAGAATTTTGTCTCTTGTTGATTGTGTTATATCGCATGTCATCGTTATTTGTGATGTTTTAGGGCCCAAAGCGTCCTCAAATTATGAAGCAACCCCCACCTAAAAAGGCACAACGCCAGTTCGAAAGGATATGGAACATCAGCAAGCCAGGTGCTGATTCCGATGGAATGGGAGATTACGGGATGGATGAACCCTCCTATAACAACGTCCCGCCCCCTGGACCTTCACTTATGGGCGCTTCTTCTAATGGATGGAACAATGTTGGGAGTTTATTAGGCCCCTCAGGGTCTGAAGGTCCTCCCCCACCACCCTCAGGCCCTCCTCCAGTCAGTCATGATTATCAAATGAATCCCATGAAACCTCCATTTCCCCCAAATTCTTGGCGAAATGGTCCTCCTCCTCCGAATAATCCGGGTCCTCCACTTCCCCGACCTCCAAGACCAGTCTATCAGGGGAATTCCTGGAGGAACAACAACTGGAATGGTAATAATAATAACAACCAGCGGTACTAAGTTCCCCGTTATTATCGAGTACTGTAATTTCGAATAATTTTATGAAGAGTAAACAGGCATTCATAGACGTTTTAAATGTTAAATTGAGATTGGTTTTGCAAACCGTTATCCTCGGTCGGCTCTTTCACAAGGCATTTGATGATTATGAATCGGGTTTCCTTTGTTCGGCGCTGATTCAAAATGATTACCGTCGAGTATTTTATAAAAATAAGATTTGCCGCCACCCCCAATGTTTTTGAAGCCGCCGCGGATTCCAGCGAGCGAGAGAGGGCGCAGACATTTGTGGCCTTTGATCAGCCCCAAGCCGCCGCCCTTTAATGGACCCGAGCCGATGAAGAAGAAGGAAAAGAACGCGGTTTCGAATGGACGCCGCCCTCTCCTCCCTTGCCTAGCCCTGCGCAACTCCGCGATCGCGCTGTGAGAACGCGGTCTTCGCTCTTTCTTTGACTCCGAATTTGAATTTCAGGGAAGAACGCCCACTAAAATACCTGAATTTGGACGGGATTCCGAACACCGCCTTTCTTTGTTTTTTGGCAGAGATTTGAGTGGGAATTCCATCGTTTACTCTTCCTAGATTTTGTGAATTCGGCGAAGATCTGGGAGATTGCTTGCTATGCCAAAACCAAACTTCTTTAGACGATTATTGGGGAAGAAAGAGCGCGATGAATCAGATGAATATGATGACGTGAGTTGATTCTTTTGGAGTATTTTAGAATTTGGTCCTTTCCTTTCACTCTAATCCTTCTAATTTTTAGGATACTCTCCATACCCGGAGGCGTCCCGCCGCGTCCAGTCGAATAAATCAAACCTTTTTGGTCCCAGAAAGAAACGAGAATTACCCTCGGGCGACCAATCCTTATCATACCAACAAAATTGTGTCCTACAGAAAGGGTACCCGCAGTTGTGTTTCGGGCCGGGGACTGGACGATCCCACGTCTGATAGCGATGATGATGTCGCCTCTGTGCACACTGAAGTCAAGAGTTATCGTTCCGCCTCCAGAAGACAGAATAAGAGTTCCAGAAGGCCGGAGGTTGAAGATCGTGCCCCAAGGCCATTTCTGCGGGACATGCACAACATAAGTCATGGAAGTCATCGAGGACAGAGGAGGGAATACGAGGATGACTCGGCTTGGTACAAGAACAGAATCGCGGTAAGTTTTTCTACTAATGCTGCATAAAATTTTTCACATTGCGATTAGCACGCTTTTCCACTGTCGAAATTTTGCACAGTGCAAATATTTTTTTGCACGGTACAGGCGAAAGCACACCTGATGGAAATGTTACCATAAGGTTATCTAATTCGTTAAATTTGATGATTTCAGCAACTAGAAGAGAAAGTTGAAGGGACTTCTGACCAATTGTACAAGATCACCAACAAATGGATGCATCAGACTAACCGGTATGAGGAGCTGAATGACAAATATCATCGGCTGAAGGAGAAATACAGCGTTCTCAAGCAGAAATACGAGGACTTAGTGAGTTTCTTTATAATTGGGGTAAAAAATTTAAGCTAGGAAAAAAAAATTAAAAATTTTTGTATGGAGCGCCTTACGGTACCCTTTAAATCGCCTTTTTCTAAGATAGTAGAAGTAATCATAGTATTTTTAGCAAAGCAGTATTATGATGCACCAAACCCAGCTCCAACAGCCTCTATTTATGAACGCCCCACTCCAAGGAACTCCCAGCAATTTCCCCAATTATTCCCTGCTGAATCAGAAATCAGCCTCGCTTCTGACCTCCCCAGTCCGCCCTCCCATGCCCCCTCAAATGCCCGGAATGTCGCTTTCCAAGTTCGACGAGGAGGTGGATGAAGTGAAGAACTTCCGAGGGGCTTCGGCTGGTGCTCGGGAGACTTTAATGAGTGAAGCGAGCACTTCCCGGGTCTCAAATGTCTCCAATCCATCGCTGACGGGTGCGGAGATTTGTCGAGAAGGAAGTCTGATGAGTATCGAGAGGGGAATCGACGTCTCCAACAGTGTCATCCCCACCAAAGACGACGGGTATCTGACTGGAGAGACGCAGGGATCGATCCGAGCCGAGGGAATCCATCAAGCCCTCAGGGCACAATTCACTGTGCCCAGAAAGATCAGACGAGCCAGTAGCCGGTAGAGAAGTGTTTCCTTAGTGTAATATTTTTGAGTTTATATATGAATGTAAAAAACTTTTTTTGTCTTTTGAAGAGTAAATAAATCGAAGAACAGTTTAATCATCGAAACATTCCGATGAAAGGATGGGATTCCTGAGATCACGACGGATTTGGGAGATTTGGTCGGAAAGACGATCGGCTTTGGCCTCGCATCTAAAATTGTTTTTGGGTTCGTATCTACTACAATATAAACGTCTTTGTTTTCTACAATATAATTATATTTTATAGTTGAGATAATTCTGCAACTTACTCAGTAGATATCGAACAGCACTTGGAGAGCTGATTGCACTTCTTGGACAACATTTTCTTGACTCGTCTACAAACGCGATGGCTTTGTTTTATCACAACGTGTTTCCTTTTGGACTTTAGATTCTTTTTTCCAAATGTTTTTGGATTCATGATGACTTCGTTTAGAATCTGCATTTTTTCCGAAGCCATTTTGCATTTCTCTACCTGAAAATAGATTATTCTGATGATTATGATATACCCCATCTGGATCCATAATATCCTCGGCTCTGTCCAAATGAGATGATATACAATCGCCGATAATCTCCGTCCTCCTTAATTGCAACTTCCCCAACCCCCGTTGCTGCCGCCTTTTCTCTTTCCGCAGGCAATCCGCCTGAGGGCTTGATTTGGAAAAGTCTTCCCTCTCGAGCACTGGCAACTTTAGACATTCTCGTTGTTTGGCCTCCAGGCGTTCTAAGCAAACCGCATAATCTTCGCAGTAATCCGTCTGAAATTATTAATTTATTCCGAATTTTTGATTTTATTTCGAAAATTTTCCAATTTTGAAACCTTTTTTTGGCACGGTGCAATGAAGCGGAAACAAAACACCTGCACTGTGCAGTGAAAGCTCGGAGTTTTGTGTGCACAGTGCAAAAAACGAAGAGAACGATGACTCCCAAAATGAAAACGCGCGATTCAAACCGAAAGGTCACGAATCCAAAAAGCGAGGTGGCGACATTTTCATTGTTTGCACTGTGCACAATTTGATTTGCGATGCGACATCATGAGAAACGAAAGATGTTTGTCGCTGCGTCCTGCGATTGTGAAGTCGCAACCATTTGAGCGGCAACTCATTTCTCGCGTTTTTTTCAAGTTGCGACAAGCCATTGTGCGATGAACCAGACGTCTGAATGCACGGTGCATCATCAGAAAATAAATTGCGACTGAACGAAAACAACAAAAGGTCAGCCGAAAGAAAACTCAAAAACACTTTTTTCAAATCTTTCTGCACCGTGCAACGCACAGCGCATTTTCTGCGAATTTGATTTCTTGCACTGTGCGACTTTTTCGAAATTTGATTTGCACAGTGCAGTGGAAGAGTGTCATGAAAAGCATTGCACCGTGCGGAAGCATACTCAGGGAAGCCGGATTAAATTTTTGGATTAGCATAAATTTGCATACGGAGTGAAGAAATAAGATCCCATCGGTCGATCAGAAGCGAAACGCTAAAAACGCTTTCCTCACTTTTTTTGAAAAAATAGAATGAAAAAAATGAGGACGACTTGAGAAAAAAAGCACGGAAAAGGAGATTTCGCGTCCTTTTCAGAATCTCAAAATCGGCTTGATTCTCTATTCTTATAATCATCATAAATAGGGACTTACATCCTGCGTGAGACCAGGTGTGAATATCAGTAACAAGAGGGGGAAGGACCTCATATTAGACTCGAGATCATGCTAATCAGCGGATCTTCGGGTCGAGTAGGCAGCTGCCGCCTGAGGGCGTGAAAATTGAGCCAACAAAAAACGTGAAAAAAACGTTCAAAAGTCGTCGCAAACTACTCTTTTTTCTACGGATTTTTCAACTTTGCGCAAATATTGCAGATCCACAAGACTCAAAAAGCGATGGATTTCAATGGGAACCGGTGACAAACCCCGTCAAAATTGGTGTCGCGGTATTCGAGGTGGCAGTTATTATACGGTTGGCCCGTTATTCTACGTGTCACCTTACCTTAAAATTACAGTAATCCACACCATTTTTGGACCAAATTATTATATTTCGAGTGTATTCTTATTGTTTGTTCCTTTCAAACCTTGTAAAGTGCATTTTTAGTAGTTGAGAGTACATTTGGCATACTTTCGAGTGCATTTTATACTACTTGAAACCTTTGAAACAGGTGTTTTTGAACCGAGAAAAAGAGGCCGTAATCCATAAACAAGTTGAACTAGTGTCATCATTCGTATTAATATCATCAGGGAATGTGCAGGTGGCAATATAAACGGCCAATCAATCTTAATTTCTTAATTCGATGTTATCCTTCATCCAGAAAGTAATAAAAAAACATTTGATTGTAATGTGAATCCATTGCATTTAACGCCAGGAATGAAAGAAAACCTAGCCCTCCGTTCTTCCACATGGCCCAAAGTGTAGCCAACAGGACATGGCCACCCTTAATCCCCTCCGGGGGAATAATCCCCAATTAGCATGATGCTGTGGCAAACAATTGATAACAAAGTGCGGGTATGAGCGGGTCCAGGCAGTCATCTCCGTAATCTTTTCTCGCTCTCTGACCACCTCTGGTCCCGCCTTGAGAGACCCGAGCAGAAATAGAAATAGATGTCTCCAACCCCATTTCCCCCCTTCCACTGGTCCAAACACAGCCAGAAAAATGCCGCGCGGCTCCGTTCCCACACTCGTAAGTGTATTTCCGAGCTTTGTTGACTTAGATGGGCTTTAATTAGTGGTCATTCTAGTAAAAGCCAGTAAAAAAAATATATGAATAAGAGGCATGGATAAGATCAGAGATTTATCCTTTTCCTGGACTATTGATTAGAAATCTGTGTGTGTTTAACCAAGGAGAGCAAACATAACGACTTATTCTCACATTATAATCTATAGAGAGAATAAATAAACATAATTTATAGGATTATTTATAAAAGGTGTCACTATGACGAAAGGATGGTCATGAACTGCATAAAAAGTAAACAAAATGTAATATAAATGCAAAATAATAATTCTGTCGACACCAGTTTCCAGATTGTACCTATTTTGATGTAATTATGTGAGTAATGAAACGAGCGCCGATGACGGATTTTACAGATTTACTAAAGGGTAATTTTGAGGAGAAACTTTTGTAGCAGTGGAAGACTAGTTTACAGAGGGATTCTGATGTTCTTTCTGACTTCATATACCTTAAAAGTGAAACATTACCTCACGTATTTCGAAGTTATTAATTTTTATATTGTTTTAGACCCTTCCAACAGAGCTAAAAATGGCGGATTGCCTCGAAGACTTGGAGCCTGGAGATTCTGATCGTCGAATTGATGCCTGTGGGTTTCGAAGACAGCAAGTAAGCTGAATTTTTTCTTTATTTTTCCTGTGTTTAGTTTGACATTTTCAAAAACAAATTCCGCGATGCTTTCGACGAACATGGCCATGAGAAGCTCGCCAATCTCGTTTTGGATGGCACTCTGAAGAAGGATGTTGTGAATACAATGCGACGACTTCAAAGGGCCAAATTTACATTAGAGAAGTGAGTCTTCGGACTTTTTTTTGTTTTCAAGTAACAATATCAGAACTCGGACTACGACCTTATGAAGAAGGTCTGAATATTAAAGTTACAAGTGGTATTTATTCTAATTGTAGCTTGATTTTAGTGTGAATGAGCAGGAAGCCGTTGGTGGATTGGTAAAGAAGATCTCCGAGTTATACGATGAAATTGGAAGAGCGACAAAAGGGAACGACGAGTTCACAGTAGATAATGTAAAGCTACCCGACTATGACGAGACTGCCTTGGATTTGATATTTGGGGGAAACCCTCCAAAAGAGAACGAAGTTTCTATAACGAATGTCCAGGAGTTGAATAAGGCCTTCACAGAGAAGATCAACGAAGTTTTAGGTGCAGCTCAGCTACTTCTAAATGAATATGACGAGTTGATGGAGTATCTGAAGCGAGGAGGGGTTCCTCTCTCACCTCTGCCGAAGTAGACATATCTTTCTGTACTTATGTTGGCTTTTTTATATTTTATTTGGTCTATAGTATGTTATACTTAAAACCCTCGTCTTAATTATTCGATTGTTACCTACCTAAACCTGTTCCAATCTTAATGTGACTCCTCATTATATCGAATATTTATAGTCTGAACACACTTGTTTGCATTCTAAACATATTGGATCCGTTTAATCCTCAGAAAGTAAGTGTAATATAATAGCTCACAACTGATCAACCTGGTGGTTCTCCGTTTATTTTCGCGTAGAAAAAGTTCTTGTCGACCTTAGCTACGGAGTGTGGGGCAAAAAATTGTAAGTATGATAATTATGACTAATAAATTACCCTTGAACAGTTTTTAGTTATCTAAAATAACATAAAGCGTAATTTAAAGCCGTTTATTCCTCTGCTATGTAATCTAATATCGTAAAATCCATTAGGCTGGTGCTTTCCCGTACATCGTGAGCTGGAAATCGTTCTTTTGGGCCTTACTGGCAGGGAATTTGGGCCGGAGAAGCTAAGATAATAAAAATGATGACAAAAAATGGCAAAAATTAATCCTACTTTGAATGAACATTGCAGGTTTTTACTGACGATCATAACAGCTGCAGCATTATCGAATTGACCGCAATAATGAGGAGCCGAGAAGAGGGTAACCAGCTTTCGGTTGGCAAAGAATTCGTATCCATCTTGGACGACCTGAAGAGAAGTAAAACAATATAAAACCTGATGATCATAAGCGAGGTCATACCTGATGAGCACGACAAATCAGGTCAAGATCGTATTTCTGACAGACTGCATTGATGACTTCCACTCCGAAAGTGCAGGAGACTCCACGAATACTGAATTTGAACTTGTCCGTTGCAATATCGGGATCAGCCCAGAGAAGATCCAAGGGAAGCGAGGGATTTGGAGGATCCTTAAATGAAAGAACACCGTAGATAAGAACGGAAATTAAATTCCTAGTTACCGGCAAAGGGCGAAGGATTTCCTTGAGGACCTGCAGAGAATTTCCATTGTAAAGATCGGGACTCAGACCTCCGTGCATGCACAAGATACGATCCCCCACCAATGCCGTTAAAGGCATACAATTGAAGACATCTTGGAACGTGTTGTAAAGCTTGATGGACCTGTAACGTCGATTCAACTCCTCGTAGAATCCGTAGATTCTATTCACCAATTGGGTCTCATGATTGCCGCGGAGCAAGAAAAAGTTGCGGGGATACTTGAGTTTGAAGGAGAAGAGCAGCAGAATCGTCTCCATATTCATTTTGCCACGATCGATGTAGTCCCCAAGGAACAAGTAGTTGGTTACATTGGGGAAACCGGTCTAAAATTTAGGGTCCTTGGAAAAAAGATATGGACCGCAGGCTACCTATGAGAAAAATTTGCTCTTTCTAATTTTTTCACCGACCTCTGTCTCTGGGATACCCCCTAGCTACGCCCCGGGTCCTTGGATAATATTGGACAGTATACAAACCTTGTTGAAAATGCGCATCAGATCGTTGAATTGGCCATGAATATCACCGCAGATAGTCAGCGGAGGGTCCAGCTCGAGCATCATGGGTTGTTCGAGGAAGTGTTCTTTGACGGCGACCAGCAATTCCATGATATCCGGCTCGCCAACACACGTGCTGAGGCCGGTGCCGGGCCTGCCGACGCCCATTAGATACTCGATCAGGTAGTCCACATCTAATTTGCCCGCCATTTCTTGGATCCCACCACTCTTCACTAGAGAATTTGGTTGGAAATTCGAAAAGTTATATAAAATTTGGTTACGGTAGTGCTGAGAATATTCAAATTTGGCGCCTTAAACATTAAATTTTTTTGGGTACTGCTAATCTGACGGCAGATAATGCCTTAGGAACTCATAACCAGTAAGCTTACCCATATTTCTTCTTTCGTATCATCAGCTTTTGCAGTATAAACATCTCTTCTTTCTTTTTTTTTGTTTTGAAACTCATTGGAACCACAGTAAACACAAAACAACGTGCTTTGTGGATGTTTTGTATTTATTTGTGCATTCTGACTCACAAGAAATTAAAGAATTCCTAACTTTTCTATCAAATGTTCTGTAATTCATATGTTAAACTTGATGTCTTTCATGGAAAAATTTGGTATTTCGTTATGAGCGAAATCGAAGTTTACATTAGTTTTCATTCAGCGCTCGAGTAACTTTAATAGTCGTGAGATCGGTGAAACGATTAAAGTTGACCCTTTAATTAGTCCAATATTTCTGGAGGTCATCAATATTCTTGCTTCCTTTTGGTGGAAATAAAATCAAAGCAGAGATTTCTAACCTTTACTCTGTCTGTCAGCCTAATTTTGTTTGGTATGCTTAAAACAAAAGTGTTTTATTTATTTGTATTACTTTAGGTAACTAAACTCAAGAATGGGATCTTGGTGCGCTGAGAATTTGAGAGATGTCAAGGTAGGCAAATTGGTTGCGGGAATTGAGGACTTACTTGAAATTTTATTGAAGACATCTTAGTCATTAGGAAAAGGTCAATTTTGATTTTCAGGCCTGGAAAGATGAAGGTCTTGAGACGACAACCATTAGTAATGAAAGTGCCAAGTTATACGATGCAGTTTTGCGACAACTGGTCTCCTGGATTGATTGTGATCAACTTGGAGGATTGGTCAAGACAATGGAACAATTACAGTCTTCAGAACCTGAGTCAAGTAAAAGTTTCACCCAAGTTTAAATAATGTTACAGTAATCGCCCGATGCCTAATTTTGGGAATCGAATCCCTCGGCTCAAATGTCTCCGTTTTCAAGGATAATATTTTCAAAGAGAACATTGAGAAGTTGCTTGTCGATGCTGAGAAATACGGGAACGAAAGAGAAAGAAAACATTCGGAAGCAGTGAAATTATTTGCCTTTGGAGATATGAATAAAGCCTGCCAGAAATGGGAAGAGATCCTCGAGAAACATCCCAACGATCTGATGGCCATAAAGTTCGCTCATGACGGATACTTCTTTCAAGGAGACCCTAAAGGGAAGTTAGATAGTATTAACAGAGTGATCAACAAATGGGATCCATCTAAACCTTGTTATGGGCATCTCTTTGGAATGCAGGCGTTTGGATTTGAGGAGAATAAGGACTATGAGAATGGGAAGAAGAGCGGGTATAAAGTACGTTTTGAATTTTAAAACCATGTACCATGTTTTAAACAAAATTTAAAAAAAATAAAATTATATTTTGATAAGCAGGTCTTCTGACATGCCTATCAAAATATAGCAGGTAAGTAGTAAACTTTTACCATTTTACTATCTGAACAGTTTCTGAAAAGTCCAACTAAAAATTTTGAATTGGTCTTAGAGAGCTTGAATATCAGTTCAAGTGTCATACTCTTTAGTCATCATTTTTTAGGGGTTGGAGTACAACAAACAAGATGCCTGGTCGACCCATGCTCTGGCCCATTGTCACGAAATGTTGGGAGAATATAATGAGGGAATCAAGTTCATGGAGAGTACTGTCAGCGACTGGGAAGTGAGTTCCCTTACAATTAGTTTTATTTTAATAAAAAAAATTATTGAAATCGTATTTCAGCCGTGCTGGATGATCGCTTGTCACAATTTCTGGCATAATGCCCTATTTTATGTGGAGAAGGCGGATTATGAAACAGCATTGTCAATTTATGACGAGTGAGTAATAATAAAACAGTTCATCGAGTCATTTACCATTGCAGTTATAGTTTTGTATGGTTTTAGTGAAATCGGAAAACGAAGCCGCTCCGGAGCCATGCTTGATGTTGTAGATGCCGCCTCGATGCTGCAAAGATTACAAATGGAAGGTGTGGATGTGGGAAAGGAGCGATGGGAAGGGCTCGTGGACGTATTAGAGCCCCACATTGATAACCATACACTGGCCTTTAATGATGCCCATATGGCCATGGTCTATTCGAATTGCAACGATTCGAAATCAAAGGCTCTGAGGGATGGAATTGATAGGTTTGCGTACGTGGTTTTCAAATAATCGTTATTGAAATTTAAAGTGGTTTTAAGTGGATTTAAAGATCGTTTTTTCAGAAGCGACTCCCAACAAGGCAAGATCATCAAAGTTTTGGGCAATATAATATGCGAAGCCATCGACAGTTACAACGGCGATCGTTTCAACGAATGCTTTGACAAATTGTTCCCGATCCGGCATGAGATTTATAAGATCGGCGGGAGTAATGCACAAAGAGATGTCTTCAATCAAATTATTATTCGCTCGGGACTTAAATCAACTTCCCCGCAGCATAATCAACTCGCGAAGTAAGCCGTTTAATGATGATTAATGCTTGTTGTAGAGTCGCTATTGAGGAGAGGAAAAAGTTGAAAGTGCATTCACCGTTATTGGATCGAATTTGCAGTCAATTTATTTGATTGGCAAATTTTATGGATTCTTTGGATTGAAGGAGGTTGAGATGGGTATTTGAATATTTATATTTTTTTGAATTTTCAAATTTATTTTGTAAAGAGTTTAGAATACCATTAACCCAGAGTAAACAGTAATGCCCACTTTTTTTGTCGTCTTCCCTCCAAGTTTGTGGCGATCTTGGTCGTTAACCTCGCTTTTATTTCGGATCTTGAGAGTTTTCCGTTCGCTGGAATCATTAATCTTGTTCGGGGATTTCTCTTTTAAGGTGTCGTAAAAGTGTTGTCTCATCAGCGGCATAATACAATGCCATCTCATTTGCATATCCGCCTTCCAAGGCTCTTTTCCCTTGATCTCCAATCAGATGCGCTTCATTTCATCCAAGAAGTTTATGGAACAGGATTGCCTTGAGAATGACCTAGACTTGGCTATAGAATTCGTAAAATAGCTGGATATTACTTATTTTACCAAAGCATAGCAGCAAATTGAATTTGTCGCGGTTATTATCTTGGACCTTGTACTTAGGGCATGTTGCACCCAAAATTTTGGAATGAATTCTCCCGGGATTGCTAATTCAGTGACCCCGTTTTGATGGCTAATAAGGGGAGGTCAAACATTATTTAAACACGCTTCAATTACATAAGCCTTATGTATTCTCGCGAGACTATTATACTCAATAATCCATATGCCATCCATTAAACATGCATGTACAATATAGTTGGACAGACCCGGCGCTTATCCCCTTACGTCATGCCCTATTGTAATATCTGAGATCCAACTGAGAGCAAGTTGGCGGTCTCTTCTTCCAGGCACTTGAGAAACGATGTATTTAGCTCATACTTAGGGTCATTCTTTAAGTTCTTTTAAGAAGATCTTTAAGACTTGTCGCTCGGAACACTTGGGATTTGATAATTGATGTCCCAAATTCAAGTAATAAGTCTCAGTTGTCATTTTTTCTGGTCAGAAAATAATGATTAATTCTTCTAATCTGTATAAAACATATTCAAATTAGGTTCAAATCTTTATAAACTCTGTAATAATTAAAATACACGCTTTCCAATGATATTATATAAACTGTACAAAATCGGAGTTGGACGATTGGGGAAAAAGACGATTGGGGAAAAGTACGATTGGGGAAACCGAAAAGTATTATTTTTCTTCCATGCAAATGTCGAAGTTAGGATAATCGAGGGTGCTCATTTCGAAAATGACATTCATTTTTTTGATTCTTACTTTTTTCCTTAAGTAGTACTGTAAAGTAGTAATTTTTGAAATTTTTCTAAAAATACTGGATATAGGGGTTTTCGAGGGTGCTGATTTCGAAAATCATGTTCATTTTTCCTCTAGTACTATATAGTACTATTCTGATACTATATAGTACGAGGTCAAAATATGGCTTTTGACGTTAATGGTGTTGTTTTGATGCTTAGTACTCTTCAAAAACACGTTTTAAAGACTTGGTGCTATATAGTACTGTCTGATACTATGTAGTACGAAGTAAAAATAGGCGTACTAAGCACCAGAACAACACCACGAACGCCTAAAGGCCAACTTTACACCTCGTACTACATAGTATCAGGTAGTACTATATAGCACCAAGTCTTTAAAACGTGTTTTTGAAGAGTACTAAGCATCAAAACAACACCATTAACGTCAAAAGCCATATTTTGACCTCATACTACAGTGCGTCCCAGGTTTTTGGTTCCACCCCATTTTTTGATCATATCTCTGGGGGTTTTTTCTCAAATGCCATGAAATTTTACACAAGTGTTAACCAACCTTTGAGAATAAGCTATGCGAAGTTTCATCCCAATTGGCTTCAGTACTCTGACGTCATGGCGATTTTTTTAAAATTTTGGGTGTCCCAGGTTTTTAGTTCCACGTGGAAATTTGCGAGTTTTTTGGTCCGGTTTTGAACCAACCTGCTCTGAATACTATTCATCTTGTACTCTGTAGTATTAGAAAGGGTATTACATTCGTATCTGCCGTACTTTTTCAACGGAGTGACCCCACGAGCCATCTCCGACCTCGTACATCAGGTAAACATTGGTTTTAAAAAAAATTCCTATTAGTGATTTATTTCCCGCAAGAAACAACTTAGACTACTTGTACCAAATGCAAGATGTAAAACAAACCGATACCGATTAGTTTGAAGTCATTTAATCGACGTTTTAAGTCACTTAAGCTACGGTTTACCTTCTACAGTAACCTTCAAAGGCCCTAAAAGCACAGAAAATTACTATCTATAGGAACTTTTTGCCCCGAAAATCAAACTCAGCATGTTAATAAACCTATAGCTGTATCTTATTTCTTGCTTAAATGTTCAATCTGCCGCAGGTGGTTGGTTCAAGGAAAAATGGGTAAAAGCAAGCCTATTTTGGCCTATTTTTTTGTAGAACGAACTTTACAGACCCGATTTATTCTGAAACGGCTAATGATTGTAGCATTACGTTTTCAGGCACGCTGCGTTCAAATTTGCATATCAAATTTTGTGATTCTCGTCCATTCCTCTTGGTAATTCGGGGTATAAAGTGTTACGGTAGCTACTTGTTGAAGATGAGATGCCAAGAAAATACTCGAGATCATTGATCAAGCTACTTTTTTTCGTTAAGTAGATGCACACTGTGTAATTTAACAGCATTGGCAAGTTTAATGCCCAAAAAACAGCCTGACTGACATTTTTTTCAGAACCAATCTTTATCTCATGTACAAGGTCGCAGATGGCTCATAGCGCCACTCCGTCGAAAAAGTACGGCAGATACGAATGTAATACCCTTTCTAATACTACAGAGTACAAGATGAATAGTATTAAGAGCAGGTTGGTTCAAAACCGGACCAAAAAACTCGCAAATTTCCACGTGGAACCAAAAACCTGGGACACCCAAAATTTAAAAAAAATCGCTGTAACGTCAGAGTACTGAAGCCAATTGGGATGAAACTTCGCGTAGCTTATTCTCAAAGGTCGGTTAACACTTGTGTAAAATTTCATGGCATTTGAGAAAAAACCCCCAGGGATATGATCAAAAAATGGGGTGGAACCAAAAACCTGGGACGCACTGTATATAGTATCAGAATAGTACTATATAGTACTAGAGGAAAAATGAACATGGTTTTTGAAACCAGCACCTTCGAAATCCCCTAAATCCAGTATTTTTCGAAAATTTTTAAAAAATTAGTACTTAACAGTACTACTTAAGGAAAACTAGTAATGTTCAGAAAAAATAAACCCGATATTCGAAATGAGCACCCTCGATTATCCTAACTTCGACATTTGCATAGAAGAAAAATAATACTTTTCGGTTTCCCCAATCGTACTTTTCCCCAATCGTCTTTTTCCCCAATCGTCCCTTTCCCCAATCGTCTTTTTCCCCAATCGTCCCAGTTCCGTACAAAATATGTGCACAAGACCTACATAAATATGATACAACAAGGAGATTGAGGGCAGAGATCATGAATAGGCAGTTGGGACTGATTTTAAAGGCACTTGGGATTAGAAAGACCTAGATGAAGAAGATCACAGGATGCCGTGGAAATGGGCATCGCACTGGGAATGTGGAAGATAAGTATCATGGTGGTATGGCCAGTGATGACTTAAAGCCGATTACACAAGGAATCCCTGTTCTCTCGGCGATTTCCGATTTACCGTCAGATTGGGAGGAGATCCCGCTGAGCCATGACTGGAGGTTGTTAACGTCGTGTGGTTGGTTCCTATCGATGACCGTGACAGCAAAGGCGATCGATTTTGTCTCAAAGTTCCTCCGGAGATAAGATATCCCGGACCTGCGGGATTAACCCCATCCGTAGTACAACTGAGGCGGCATGGAGGGATGGAATATTGGATTAATCTTCGGGCATCTGCTTCATGAAGACCGATTGAAATAAGGTCTCCATAAGGAGTCTCAGTAAGACGCTCTACTGTTGTGATTCCATTCCTATTCAAAACTTCAATGTAATGTACAAGATTGTGAAGCCTGAGGAAATTTGGGAGGGTTAGAACTGGAGGAGCGGTCATTGGAGGCGACGGGCGAGGGTGCATTAGAGACGGGGAGTTCTCAATCACCATGCTGTAGGAACTGAAATGTCATCAAGATGATTTTTCAGTTAAAAATTTAAAAAACTGTTTAAAGTTTTAATTGTTTAAAGTCTAACTTACACTTCCTCCTGAGCTTGATGCAACAACGCCGACAACCGTTGAACCAGCTGCTCAAAACTCGGTCTTTTATGACGTTCTTGTTGCCAACATTCCAACATGACTTCATGCAAAGAAACAGGACAATCCATGGGTCTGGGCAACCGGAATCCCCCCTGAACTTCTTGGATCACTTTATGGTTGGTCCAATCCCAATATGGTCGTTCTCCGAAAGAACAGACCTCCCACATCACAACGCCGAAGCTCCAGACGTCAGACGCAGCTGTGTATTTGTTATGAGATATCGCCTCAGGGGCTGTCCACCGAATCGGAATCTTCCCTCCTTGAGTTGTGTATTCTTGTTCCGAGGAAGCGCCAACTCCACGACTGAGGCCGAAGTCAGCAATTTTACAGGTCAAACGATCATCGACAAGGACATTTCTGGCGGCCAAGTCCTAAAAATGATGACTAAAAATATAACCTTCCACTCACTCTATGCACATATCCTTTATCAGTCAGATATTTCATTCCACAAGCAATCCCATGCATCATTTCAATGAGTTGAGGTACCGTAATCTTCCCATCATCATTATCCCTCAAGAATTTATCTAGTGATCCATTCAACATGTACTCGGTCAAGATCATTACTGGCTCAGATTTGGTAACAACCCCGACCAACTTGATGACATTGTCATGTTCAAATTGGCCCATAATAGAAGCTTCGGCAAGGAAATCGGCCTTAGCTTTGTCAGTACTACCGGGAAGTAGAGTTTTTACAGCCACAATCTGCTGAACAACTCCTCCATAGACATTCTCGACCTTCAGACGGCCAGAACATACTTCCCCGAACTCTCCGGCACCAATTGTTCGGGTCACTTCAACATTTTCTGGAGGAATTTCATTCGTAAATTCAGCCAGAGCATCTCGGGGATTTTCGTATGTTGTGGGATCCACATAGGGCTTGTATCTATTGACAATTCCGCCAGAGCGGGGGCTCGTGCTGTAAGCGGGGATCAACGGGACGTTTACTAAAAATAAAAAGGCATTAGACTTGCAAAAAAGATTGTAAACAATATCAAGGATGACTTACATTTTCTCTGAAAAGTATTGGAAAAGGCGCTCTTCGAGTTAGGTCCGTAATCTGGAGTCAAAGTTCCTTGTTTATAAGTGTCCAAAACATCCAAATCACTGAATTGTTTCCTCTTCTGACAGCTCTTCTTGTAGCAGATAACCATCAATCCAAACATAGTTACACTCAACAAAACTAATGTTGAACATAACACCAGAAAAAGGTTCTTTCCCACTTTTAATTGCTCGAATGAAGGCTCCGGGAAGAGAACATCATCAGCATTGGGACTCTCGTGAACTGTAATATCTGGATTCGCGAGCGGTTGAGATAAACATCCATGAAGATGGGAATGCCCTGAGGGCCTGTAGAAGCCGGGAAGACAAGAGCAAATAACTGAAGCCAACTTGGAGGCTTCGGAATTCGGAGGACACGGACGACATTCTCCTGGTCCATGGGACGGCTTGAAACTATTCAGGCCACAGGCTAAAATTAAAAAATTTTAATATTCATAGGGGAACTTGAGAAAATTAGATTTTCGTTTTAATCATTAAGGTCATCAAGATTTCAATTTTTGATTAAATTTTAATTTCAATTTGACTTTTATTAAATTCGAAACGGTTTCGCTGAAGGACCCCTCCATCAACATATCGCTAATCCTCTTAGATATAATCGAATCTTGGCCCCGCCGACAAAAGCGATTGTTTTCTTCCGCGAGGGACCGCCAAATGGGCCCCTATCCTAATATTTTAAATCGAGTTATTATGAACAAGAAGGCGATGCGCAAGGTCAAAGAAGGGGCGGCACATTGTCTGGGCCTAATTATTCCGGCCATAGAGGGGTCGGATATGTTATAATTTGACGCCTTTCCGGCGCCCATAACACGCTCCATAATGGGAAAGGTCCCTTTCTTCCATTTGGGGGAAGTCTCAACTCTCATTAACAAGGTAATTTGAGGGCGGGAAGGGTCAAAGACTCCATTACGGAAGACTTACGGGCACACGTGTTGGCGGAGCGGGAGTATATAAAGCCGGGATTGCATTGGCATTCCTCGGTCAACATCTGCCAGTTCCCGTCGATCTTGCACAAAGCTTTTGGCGGATCTCTTCGACCGGAAACAAGACTCGAATTGCCAATGCATTCCCCTTGAACTGAGACCACAGAATGAAGATCGGCACCTGGAATTGTGCGGGGAATCTTGGTCAACGTGTTCTTCATCTCTGGACACACTTCGTAGTAGACCTGAGAAAGGATGATATAATAAGGTGTAAGACAAAATTTAAGCTTACTTTGACATATAGCACAGACGAGCATGACCCGGAATCCTTAATTGAAAAGTAAACACTGCTCTCATCAAACGCGAAACTGGTTGTTTGAATAAAAATCTGGCCGTTATCTTCGTTGGGGGCCAAGGTTTCGACCAGCTTCCAATCAGTCGAATTATGCCAATTATGAGATGGTAACAAGGTCGCTGAGTTGACTGGATGTGCATATAATTTTAAAGTTTCTTTGCAAACAGATTTAGACGCCTGATTTGGGATGTCGTGACATTTTCTCATGGTGAATTTGACCTCGAAGAAGAGCCGACGGCCTTCTTGACGTTCGATTCGAGGCAGTAAAAGCCAATTCTCAAAGTTGGATTGTTCCACAACACAAGTGGAGAAGGCTTGATGGTTAAGATTCTTGGTCTCGCTGCGGTAGGTCTCTTCCAACCACTGAAAACAGTAGAAATATGTAATTTGAACGGTAATGCTGGTTAACGGAATTAGAATGCGTAATTAAAAGGATGTCTAAATGATGTGAATTCAAATAACCGTTAAATTACAAGACGTTTTTCAGCCAAGGATTGACTTACTCCATCCATATCCAACGACGAATAAACGGCCCATCCCAACTCTGAAGTAGCGTTTAGAGTGTCCAATAAATAGATTCTTTCCGCTCTATGCAGTGGTATCAGTATGAGGAATATGAGCCAAAGTTTCATTTCGGCTTCATCCACGTTTCTTTCTTAAATCATATGGAAATCATAATAGAATTAGGGAAACGGCAAACAAGAAAGCCAATAAAGCACGAAACGATTCTTAACGAGATTGCGGTTTAAGGGAAAGGCGCTGCGCGAACGGAGCTTAACGGACCGGGGAGAAAAGGGCGGAGTCGCGACAACAATGACAATACAAAAAATATTTCTTGGTTCTCAAGTCCGACAATTCGAGTGGGTTACGTAACCGACACTCAGCGATAGCCATGGGCGAGAAAAACAAGTGTAGGGCCAGGAAGAAGACATCGGAGGGTCGCGGGAGACATTGTAGTAGCCCACTTGGACTCGTTCCAGCATGCAAATTTCTGCGCACTCTGACCTCCACCTGCCGGGAAACAAAACAACATGGAGGGCTTAGTGTTAGGGCGGGACTCTCGGACAATGCGTCTCTTCCGGGCCGCCAGATCTCCCGCGACGACCTTGCCACACAAAAACAATGAATTAACTTTTTTCCTGCATATTTGGAAGGCGTCCGCTGATGCGTAAACCGATCCTCCAATTCCTCGCTGAACCTGCTCTTGATGATCGAAGGTCGCGGAATTCAAACCTCATTAAAAGAGAATTAAGAGATCGCGGAATGGGCTCATCAATGGACTCGGATTTCTACATCAAGCATATGTTGACAAGAAATGAAATGACAACAAAGCAGAGAACTTGACACCCTCGTTTCGAGTAGCAACTCCCGAGTTTAACCTAATTTCATTAGCCCCGGATAATCCTTTTTTATCCCTCTTATCACCATCTTCCCTCACATCGCTCGCAATCTGACAGTCAAAGTAAACACGAAAAAACGGCTGGAACCCGCCACGTAAAGAAAGCGCGACATTATCATCGAATCAGCCCGAGCATCGCTATCTTTTCCAATAAATCAAAAGTCAATTAATAGGCCCAGCGGTTACATCAAAGCCCCCTGCAATTCCGCGCCTATCTCAGCAAACACGCGACCCCCATCGAAACGCTTTTCATATGTCATAAAAGTGCCAAATATGGTGAGGAATATAAACTGAAGGGGGCTTGGGCACGACATTTCGAGAAGTTTTATCAAACTCCTTGATCTGCTGGGTGGGCCATAAAATGAGACACATGCCGAGAGATCGGTAATAAATCGTGTAATAACATTTGGACCGTAAAACTTGCATAACACAGATGGATATCGCCATGACATCTTTTCTGAGATTTAAAACAATATTTAAAAAAGTTTTAAAAATTTTTGAATTAAAATTAAATCAGTCTAGAGTCCCGCACCCCCTTTACACCTTTCCTAGACCTTGCCCAATAACTTGATCTGGCCAATAAACCGGGTCTCAAACGATTAAATCCCCATAAATCAGCTGTTTTATCAAATCCCCCCGCGGTTTCCGCACTGTCACAATAAATGGGTAATACGGCTGTTATGTGATTGTGTTGCAACAGTTGTCTTGTCTTGGCACGCCACAAAGCCGTAAATTAAAAAAAGGATATCGGATCACCTTTTCACACCCGCTGCCCTCTTCTCGGCTCTCAAAAACATCCAGCGCGCCCTCCCGTCACCTTAATGCCGGCACTTCAGGCTTCTGGTCAGAGGAAAGGAATGACCGCCTCTAATCGTCTTCTGGGATCTCACGCCGACCCAAAAGGGACCTTGAGATAGGCTGATAACACCCGCCGTCCCTCCATTTGTCTTGTCGTACCGTAGCGGGCGACTGTTCCAAAAAAGAAGGCTTACTCAGATTTCCCTTACTCATCGTCGCTTATCTGTTAAGATAGGTTACAAAAACAAAGTCGTAAAGTTTTAATTAAAGCCGGGGAGTTTGATCGAAACTTGGGAGGCAAATTAAGCATGGTCGACGTTAATGACTACCATGATGACCTGGGTTTCGCTTTATGAGAGGAAACCGAAAACGCAACTCGGAATATTTTCGTTGCATTTCCATAGCGTTTGTAGGAGACAATACCCTCATTAATGAAGCTACAACATCCTAGATTTGATCCAAGACAATATATTATTGCTGTGTCTTGAGCAATAATATAGATTATATAAAATATCCAGGAAACGCCTGCTTACCGCACAATACAAACAGCAATTTTCCGGTATGCAAATTGAAAAAGCATTACCTCCAAAAGTCAGGGTTACCCCGAGCCATCACTGCAGGCCTCCCAATTAACAAGGGGTTTAGAGGTCACCGCAAATGTGCGAGGAATAACTTGGGAATGCATGGGGCGTGGGTTGAGGTCCCTCCTTGCTCATTCCGCAACCTTTCCGTGGCATTACGCCTGATGATGAGGCGTTGGCCATCATTAAAGGTCGGCCGGGGCCGTCTTTGGGATCAGGCCCAGAACCCAACGACGATAAAAATAATTCACCCCACGAATGTGGTGGAGGTCAAATAAAAACCGCAATAATTTCTCCGCCGAATAACTCATAAATCGAATAAAAATCTCGCCCAATGCCGTCGATCACCGCCACTAACTCGGCAAATTAGGAGAGACGCCATTAATGTTAGGAACAGATGTACTTAGAAAAAGATTCGAAAATACTTACGAAAAGGTTTGAAAAGTACAGTAGTTCCCTTCACATCCGAAAACAGTAAATCAAAGTTGTGAAAAAAGCCGACCCAGGCTGTCAACCCATTCAAAAAATCGCCCCAATCATCGTAAAATCGGACAAGTTGGGCCAGCTGCCTTAATGGGATCAATTAATGCGCGGAATGGGCTTCTGGCCGCAAGGATGTCCGGAACATAAAACCCCACTCTCGACTTACTCCGACAGACCGTATGGTCACTACAAGAGCCTGTAAACGGATGCCTTAAAGCTAGAAATAAGCTTAAAGCGAGCCTTAAGCGGTCGGAGAGAAAAAGATATTATGCCCATCGAATATGCAAATAACGGGCGAAAGAAACATTGTTATGACATCAAACAGAAAACGATTAGACGGAATTAAAGGGGATCAAGCCATCTAGAACATCCTGATCCGAACCTGTTTGCTCTGAATGGACAAGAAGAGCGGCGACCAAAAGTGTTGTGCCGAAAAGGCCTTTTATAAGAATTTGACTATGGGGAAAGTAAAAAAGGAGGTTTCATTCGAATAAGATGCTCACGAACTTGGCACGCGCGAGAATCCGCGGACAATGCGGTTGTCCTTAATGTGATTAATCGGATATCCCCTTTCCGGAATACAAATGTCCCCAGTTCAAATTTAAATACAAAGTCCCGGCTTGGCGCTGACAAATGACGGCTATTTTTTGCCGAATGATGGAGCTGCAGATACGACAACAGAGCCCATTTCGTTTGTCATCAAGTCCGTGTTCCCAAACGTATTATTTGAATGTGATGACAGAAACAATATATACAGGGAAAAGGAAGGGAAAGGCGCACAACAAGTGGCATAAAACGTTTATGGCCCTTTTATTGGCTCCACTTGTAACATAGTCCAGTCGACGGGAGAAAAGTTTGAAACAAAGGCCGAAGCGAATCGAGATTAGCTGGAATGACCCATTAATCGGGTCATGGCGTCTCAGGGGGCGGAATTCAAACTTCCTCAGAGCCTCCGAGTGATTCCGCCGAGGTCATTACACAAGTTTCTCGAATTCCAACAAACTCGGTCGGCATTCGAGGCTGTGCTTAAACGAGCTCATTCCCCCGCTCCTTAACAACCTGGCGCCCGTTTCTGCAAAAGTAATGAGCCATAAGGAATGAGGACCAAATCAAAAGCGGTGACTCCGCGAAACCGGCTTCATGGCTTCCTTGATTCGAAGAAAGTGACTCCGAAAAGGCGATTATTGGATGGGGAAGATCAGGGCGAAAGTTGTGGCCATAACAAGGGCAAAGAGCAAGAAACAGTCATAATGATGGACTATGAGGGATTCCAAGCCTAAAATGATTGGAGTTTAGCTCCGAAAGAGCACTCGCAACATTTCCCGCAGCCCGTCAAGTCCCCATCAGCCGGACCTTCAAACATTGCAAAATGGACTCAAAACATGCGGAACCCAAAACTTGGCCGTCGGTTGGCACTACACGATGACTAAAACCACTTCGCCGATCCGTATCGGCAAATCCGGTGGGAAAAGCGGGCGCTCCAGAAGAGGCGCTCTTCTTCCAGCCATTAGACCCCGCCCTGGGAGGGCATGGCAATTTCACGCATCCGCAAGACGAATTAGACACCCCGAGGCAAACGGCTCGAAGGTGTTGGCCGAACGGAAGCCGAGGGTGACAAAAGGTCGGGACCCGCATCCATCACCGCCTCAAGGTGTGAGTGGTGTTCGAATGAGGGCTGGGTGACAAGCCTCCCTCCCCGCCATGCCCGGAATTACTCCCGACCTTTTGAAGAGCGGATTAAGACAATCAAAAGGCCAGGCTTGTGGCCAGGAAATGAGCAGCGATCAGACGGGAAATTGGGCCCCAATGCTTATTATTATTCGCCCTGAGGCGATCGCCCCAACCTCCTCGAGAGCTATGACAACATCCATTTGACAGCGTTATTACTGTGCATGCGCTGGACATGAGCGCAATAAGACAGGCCTCTTGACTAGACTTGAATTAGCTGAAGAGCCGCGAGAACATAACTTCTGAACGATCTCCGAATCAAGACAGATACAAGTCACTAAGAGAGGCGAGGAAAAGAAGGGACAAGCATCAGCAAGATGACCGTGGAGATAGACACCAGGCTCGAAATACGAAACACGTAAGCAAACGGATGCTTGAACTGGATCAACGTCACAGAAAGTGAAGAAAACATCTCGTTTGATTACTGCAATATAATGAGAGTAACTTGGGGAACAGAAAAATTAATGGGAGATAAAGTGGAACAATGTACTAGAGGGAATACACTCTATAATATAACATTATATGAGTAGTTTCTTTTGATCCTTTTACAAGAAACCTCCAAATAAGTGAGCCAGAACTTTTGAAAGGCCCAGAAACCCGAGATCGCCCCGATTTCCACTTCTCCATCTTTCCTATTCATCTAATTTGCGAAAAAGGTGCAAAGTGCCCAGATCCCCATTTACTGTTTGCCTTTTCGGGCCACGGCCGGTCACATTTTGGCTGAGATTGGATGACAAACAAAGTCCTAATGAAACCATCTCACACTGCGCGACACCTCAGCAGGTCACCCCCTCATTTATTCCTGACCTTTTTTGTTTATTCTACGGTAGAAGTAATGGAGTGGATCTCCATTTACAGCCCTCCAAGACAGCGCGCAATTGACCCCTTAGGGCCCGTTTTTTGGAGTCCATTTTTTGGGCTCAAACTGGGATTTAAAGGGTTGAATTTTGCATAAATTAAAGGGCTGTTTGTGACACTTCTTCTATGTTAAACTCAGCCTTAATTCGGGGCGGAGGAAACAGTTGGATGCGGGGATTCTGATGGTCAGAAGAAGCGAGAATTCCTAAACGACTTAAATCATCGGAGTCAAAAAAGGAAACTCAAACAGAAAACGGAACCATAAAAAGTAGCGGGATTACCGGGCGACACGATTCCAAGGCCTTAGCGGGAGTTCTCGACCTTCGCGGGACCCTGCTTGAGCATAATTTTGTATTAGAGAACGGTGCAGACGGCATTCATCGTTCTTTGAACATCTTTTTTAATCATCGGTGCCCTTTCCCATCACTCAGCAAGTCAAACACGCGGTTCTTTGAAGTCATCACTTCAAATATTACAGCCTTCGCTGCTGATTCTGTCTTGTATTTACAAACTAAATTACTTCCAATTTCATTTATATCACCGTTCAAACACCAAAAAAGGGCTACATTCGGACCGTAATGCATCAACTATGATAAGAAAGGGGGCATCATTCCACTTGCAAGATAAAAAATTTGGCTTTCAAAATAAAAAATTAAACTGTAAAGTAATATATTTAGAGTTTATTATACAACCGGGCTTGGAATAAACATTTCTGGAAGTAAAAGAAGAGGCCATTCTTCCAGCGCGCAACTTTTAATTTCCAGAAATCCGCCAGGGAAATGAGCCCAAATGAAATAAAGGTTGGGATGTTATTGCACGGCTCGAGAGGACAATTCAATTGGCTCACGAATTCTTCTCGGCGACGGCAATGGTGACACACTTGGTCTCGGTGTAGTTCTCGAGGGCATATTCGCCCAGTTCGCGCCCGATTCCACTCATTTTGAAGCCTCCGAAGGGAGCGGCCGCATCAAACACATTGTAGCAGTTGATCCAGACAGTTCCGGCATGCAGGGCGGAGGAGAATTTGAGAGCACGGTCCAAATCCTTGGTCACAATACCAGCAGCCAGTCCATACATGGAGTCATTGGCCTTCTCGATGAGATCTTTGTCGTTTTCGAAGGGAATAATCGACATCACAGGGCCGAAGATCTCTTCTCTGGCAATGGTCATGTTGTTCTGGACGCCGGCGAAGACAGTGGGGCTGACGAAGTAGCCCTTGTCTCCAACCCTCTTTCCTCCAGCAATCAACTGAGCGCCGTCTTTCTTTCCATGTTCAATATATCTCAGGATGGTGTTCAGCTGATTCTCATCGACTTGAGGGCCTTGTTCAGTTTCAGGATCGAAGGGATCTCCAACTTTGCGGTTTTCGGCCAAAGTCTTGGATCTCTGGACAAATTCATCGTAGATCTTTCGCTCTACAAAGGTTCTGGATCCAGCACAACAAGTCTGGCCTTGGTTGAAGAATACTCCGTGAGCACTCTGACGGACGGCTTCTTCGAGATCAGCGTCGGCGAAAACAATGTTGGGACTCTTACCACCAAGCTCCAAGGTGACACTGAAAGATGGGAATTAGTTTTGAAACGTTTCACTTATACGAAATTACACATCGCACAACAAAAAAAACTTACTTCTTCAGGTTACTCTGAGCAGCAGCAATCATAATCTTTTGTCCAACAGCAGTTGATCCGGTGAAAGCAACCTTATCTACATCGGGATGCACGGCCAAAGCAGCACCAGCAGTGTGTCCATATCCAGGGACAATGTTGAGGACGCCTGGAGGGAATCCAGCCTCAGCAGCCAATTTGGCAATGTATAGACCAGTCAATGGAGTCTGTTCAGCGAGCTTCATAACAATGGTGTTTCCAGATGCCAAAGCAGGTCCCAATTTCCACGCCTGCATGAGAAGGGGGAAGTTCCAGGGGATAATTTGACCGACAACTCCAACTGGATGATGCTGGGTGTAGGTGAAGTAGTTCCCGCGGACTGGAATGGTCTTTCCTTCAATCTTGTCGGCCCACCCCGAGTAGTACCGATAACAGTTGATGGAGAGTTGGAGATCACCAAGAAGAGACATCGAATAGGGCTTTCCATTGTCCAAACTTTCCAGACTCTGAAATATCAAAAATGTATTACTTCTAATATTGCTTCTTGGACCTAAACATCCATACAAAAAGAAAATTACTTACAGCAATATAAGAGGCATCTCTTTCCATCAGATCAGCCAAACGATGCAAAAGTAGTCCACGATCCGAAGCATCCATGGTTCTCCAGGGTGATCCAAGTTTGTAGGCATCCTTTGCAGCCTTGACGGCATCATCAATGTCGGCCTTGTCTCCTTCTTGGATATCAGCAATCTTCTCGCCGGTGGCTGGGTTGATGGTGGCAAAAGTCTTGCCGCTCTTGGAGTTGCGCCATTCGTTGTTGATGAAAATCTGCAAAACAAAAAGGTATATATAGACACTAAAAAAACTTCTAGACGAGATAAAAAGGACATTTTAGATAGAAAACAATCCAACCGAAAATCACATGTCTTGTTTAACAGGATTATCCGTCTTCTTTTTGTTTTTTTGACTACAAAAGTTCAAATCAACATGTCTTCCGAGGGAAAAGAGAGTCGGATTACCTGAGTGCAATGAGGAAGATTGTCCCAAACGGGTTCAGGGGCCACGATATTGGACGCCTGGCGGGCTGAGCTTGCAATCGGCTTGAGAGTTCGGAGGATCGACGACATTGTTGTCAATCGTTTGAATTCAATCTAGAAAGAAAGTTCCTATAAGTACTGCGACCACGCGGGGGCACGAACAAAAGGGGCGGGACTGGGGCGGCGAGCACGTTTCGGTTATGTTCGGGGGGAACACAAAGAACGATTGGGAGAAAAGGCCGATGAACAGACGTGCTTTCTCCTCGCAATGTTATTTATTTTTGGGGGTTGGCCCTGCACTTCCACGAGGCCTTTCGGCAACCAAACACTCTTATCTGGCTCATCAATTACAAACTCGGGGAACCCAAAGAACGAAATCAAGCATACAACACGCAAAAAGGGCTTACAAAAGCATCGAAGGAAAGGGCCAAAGGCGAAAATAAAAGTGAGAAAATATGAGGAATGTTAAACAAAACATATCGGACCCTTCGAAACATCAACTAGAACTCTTTATTGTGGAAAACATGGAACGATAACAAAATAAATAAAAACCGGCTCTGTATTACAAGTCCATCACCGATTTCCTTGAGGTCGGAGTGTTGGGAGTGTCCGGCGTGCTGATGTCGCCGAAGCTTCTGAAAAAAAATCATAAAATTTGACGTTTGTGTCACATAATACGGGAGAAAAAACGTAATCCTTCAAAAGATATAATCCTACAACGAGAAAAAATATGACTGCATAAAGGAGACCAAAATTAGACGGAGTTTATAAAGCCGATTAGTCTTATATTGTCAAAGTCTCATTAGCAACATCTAAAAATAGTTTTTTTTCATATGAATTTCGGATTCTTCGTAGTTTATGTTCTAACAGGGCAATAAAGATGACTACAATACATTTTAAAATACCAACGCCTTCTTAAAAAAGGTTGAACTTCATATTCCAAATCATAAAGCATAATGAATCTCAGAGATAGCAATTCACTCTTCACATTACACACCAACAAAAAAAATAGGGCGATTATCATCTGTCAAAGAAGACATTGCAGAAATTCGCCTAGCTTTTTCGGAATGACGCTGTTTCTGGACAACAGCTACTAGTTTGTTATGTTAGGGAGAGAACACTCCAGAGAACAGCATAAACATCAAACCACGTGACAGCCATTTCATGGCCTTTGGCCCTTTCGGAAAGATGAATGGGGAGTTCTTTCGGCTCAGAACTTTCGTCAAATTCAATTCAGGGCTAAACAAGAGCGGGAGAACCAAAATAGAGATTACCTTGATCCGTTTTACACAATAGTTTCGGAATTTGGAATGATTGTCACGCATTATATACCACAAATCCAATCTTCTCAGATTTTTCACTCTCGCATTTTTCAAACAATTGCTATGTCCGATCGCTGCACAAACACCAAAGTACGCGGGCGATTATCACTCTTTTCGACTCAGTTTGCAGTTCAAAGAGCTAGACTTTACCTATCGGAGTAGAAAAACGTAATACCTGATCTAACGGAAAGGAAAAACGTAATATTTGATCTCTAAGCGAAAAGATGTGACAATCGTTAGACCCAGTCAAAACAAACTATAAACTCTCCTGCTTCTTACATACTATATTTTTCGCAAAAGAACTGACCTTTCAAGGTTCTGTTGGTATTCTTGGATCTCTTGAATGAAGCTGTTCAACTCGGTGACAAGGTCAGTGAAGGAGGGTCTCTCATGCCGCTGATGTTGCCAACATTTCCCCATGATGTCGAAAAGTCTGTCTGGAGCGTCCATCGGCTTCGGGAGTCTGAATCCATTCTTCACCTCTTCAATTACTCTTGAATTAGACCAATCCCAATATGGTCTTTCTCCAAATGAGCAGATCTCCCACATCACGATGCCATAACTCCAGACGTCTGAGGCCGACGTGAACTTGTGATGGGCAATACACTCAGGTGCCGTCCATCTTACAGGGATCTTGCCTCCGGTTGTAGTGTACTCCCGGTCATCTTTTGATCGGACCTTCCGACTCAGGCCAAAATCCGCAATTTTGCAGGTCAAACGATCATCAACGAGAACATTCCGAGCTGCCAAATCCTGAAATAATGTAATTATTGGTGAATTTGACGTAATGATCATGTGTAATATAATGTGATGCAATATTAATGTACATACTCTGTGAACAAATCCTTTTCCTGTCAAATATTTCATTCCAGAGGCGACATTGTGCATCATCATCAACAATTGATAGAGTGAAAACTTTCCATTGTCGTTGCTTCTTAGGAATTTATCCAAAGATCCATTCAGCATGTACTCTGTGATGATCATCACCGGCTCCGTTTTGGTTGTAACACCCACCAGATGGACAACATTCTCGTGGTCGAACTGCCCCATGATTGACGCTTCCATCAAGAAGTCGGTTCTCGCTTTTCCCGCCACTCCTGGATGTAGCATTTTAACGGCGACAATCTGTTGGACCATATTTGTGACATTACAATAGGTCGATTCGACCCTCAATCTACCACAACAGACTTCTCCAAAGTGTCCGGATCCAATTGTTCTGGCCAATTCGATCATTTCTCGAGGAATTTCATTGGCAAAGTCGGCGAGAGCTTTGGAAGGATCGTCGTAAGTCAGTGGATCCACATACATCAACACTCCTGGCTTGTTGTTCCCAGTCATAAAAGCCGGGAAAAGAGTTACTGCAATGGACAGCATAAACAATTGTATGTGGAGATACCTGATTTAGGGGTGGGAGGTGACGTCATGGAGGAAACTGAGTGCCGGGTACTCCGATCAGCTAAAATAATATCAGCAATGTCATGAATAATTCACAAACAGTATAGTCAGAAATTGTATTCACATACATTCTTTACTCTCTGGATTGGGCAAACTGTCGTCCGTATCCTGTTTCATCCGCAATTTCGATTGCACAAGATAAGAGACGATGGCTACGCATAAAATAAGGACAACCACCAGAGAGGAAACTAGTATAATGATCACTTTCCCACTGTCTCCTTCAAAATTTGAGTCCATTTGAGAAGTTCTGATATCTCGAAGAAGCGACAACAAATAACATTCCCCTTCAGTTTCATCTGGATTCGATCGAACGTGTCCGGACTTGCATTTACATTGCGAAGATCCTGTTTTAGATGAGGTAGACCCGACTGGACACGCTAGACACGGTAAAACATCGTAAGAAGGGCTATAGAAATTGACTGGGCATTCTGAAAGACATAGTACATTCAAAAATACAGAGTGGGCTAACAACTTCTTTCTTTGGAAAATTATAATACAGCCTCAAACAGAGCAAAAAATTGACCTACCTTGACATTGATCGTCTTTCGGCTGATAACCTGATGGGCATCCGCATTCATTTATTAAAGATTGCCAACGACCGTCAGAAGTACAAAGAAATCTCGGATGGTTTATCTTAATATCTTTTGGGTAATATTGACAAGTCCCCTGAACAGTCTTCGTCTCCTTTGACACAATAACTTGAGGTAAATGGACCAGCTGATGCAATGATGGGGGACACACAAGGTAATAGATCTGAAAACGTCAGATTTAAACCAATCAAGTGCAATATCCACTAACCTGAATGTATAGCAAAGAAGAACAAGCTCCAGAGTCCCGAATGGCAAAGTAAATGGATTCGTAGTTACCATCATACACTCCAACCGAGTAGAAGATCTCGCCATAATCATTATTAGGTGTAATCGTGTGGAAAAATCTCCATTCCGTCCTATTATGCCAATCCAGCGCACTCATCGACTGACCCTTTGGCACTCCATAAGCATACACATTCAAGGTCTCTTTGCAATAAATGGACAATCGGGGATAAGAAGAGCATCTCCTCATGGAGAACTTGAACTCGATAAACAATCTGGCCTCCTTTTGTTTATTTACATTCGGCAACAACAACCAGTTCTCGAAATGAACACTGTGATCGGTGGAGCAGGTGGAATATGCTTGTTGATTGACTGAACGATTGTCGAAACTACGATACGTCTCCTCCATCCACTAAAGAACAATAATTTACATTATACTTGAGAAGCCTTTCATATGGAAATCAGAAGAAGAGTAAACCGAAAGAACTTGCCCTCTGAGTTCCTCCTGAGCTGTAGGTCTGCCAGTTCAGCTCCGTTTTGGCATCCAATGTGTTTAGAAGATAAACTAAAGAGAACACGATATTATCCATAAAGAATTATTATTACCTTTCTTGCTACAAAAATATTTGATACAAAAAGATAGAAAAATGAAACAAATGTACAACATGTTGCAGTTACATTAGCGATTGCTACAACAAAGATGATCGAAATTGACAAGTTTGACAAAAAAATTTCATTGTTTTATTTCAAAGTCCCTGATTCTCTGCAAAATTGGCAACTTTGGCATTCCGTATTTTCTAAAATTATTCTGCAATGAGATCTGCAATAAAATAATATTTATTCAGTTCTTTTCGAAATTCTTTTTTCTGTTGAGGGATGTTTGATATTCTTAAAGAAAGAGTTGGAAGTCAAGATGTGGATGGTGTGAAGGGATTTTTCAAGGAAAAGTAAGTATAATGTGATTATAAACCTTCTTTTTTCAGTAAATTGTCGGCGGATATAGGGAAGTTGAAGCTGGAAGAGTTTCTTAAAACCAAATGTTTGTCGCTCATCAGTGAAGGGGGTGATATTGAGAAGCTTCGAAGTTTACTCGCTTTTATTATTGTCTTGTGTCGAAATGGTAAGGACTTTATATTATTCTTGATGCTTTGTTTTTAGATCTCTGTCCGAAAGCTATTACTTGTGCCATAATGCAAGACGTATTCGAGACTAGCTCGACGAAGCGATGTTTAGAACTTTTTAATCTAGTGGAAAACCTGATTGTCACTTGGAAAGAGGTATAATTTAGATTCTGCTTAATTTTTTTGTATCTATTGTTGTTACCATTACTTCCCCTTTTAGCCTTTCTTTTTTGATGCCTGCAAGAATCAGATTCTCCGGATGTGCAATGATCTCTTAAAGCGACTCTCCAGAACTTTGGATACAGAATTTTGTGGACGAATTTTTATATTTCTGGCGAAAACTTTGCCTTTAGAAGAGAAATCGGGTCTAAATTTGACAAGCCAGTTTAACTTGGCAAACGTTACTCTTTATGAGGAGAAGAAGGAAAATGTTATTAAACCTACGGAAGAAGATGTGGACATGGAAGTGGGAGAGATACGGGAAACCAAGTAAGAATTTATTATTATTATGAGATTATAATTTTAGGGAGGAGATAGACTACGAATTGTACAAGAAGTTCTGGGGACTCCAAGCGTATTTTGTGAATCCGGTCCAGATATTCCACAAAGAGCCTTGGAAAACGTTCGATAGCGTGAGTTTGGGATACTATCCCATATATTACATCATACATTATATTTCAATGGGTTTATGTTAGAACAGCAATTTTATTAGAATCTATTTTTTTCAGAGTCTGTCCAGTATCCTCGACGTTTTTACCTCGCAAAAAGTGGATAAAATAAATTCAAATGAACATGAGAAGGGATCACAAGACCAAGCATGGTTCTCGGCGAAATATCTGACCAGTAATAAAGTAAGTTATAATAAGTGAAATAAAAAATAAATTATTGATGTTTTAGCTCTTTTTACTACAATTGAACGACTCACAGTTCCGGAGATATTTCCTGACTCAATGTTTGGTCACATTCGAATTTCTGACCAATAATACGAAGACCAAAGAGTAAGTGTTTTGTCATTAAAAGATTTTGTTACATCTTTAGTCGATTAAATGCAGATCAGGAGAAGTTAGTAAAGGAGTATACAGACAAAGCCTACGCTTTATTGAAGGAGACCTACCCAAATGGAAGTCATTTTGCCAAAAGTGTGAAGAAAGTCCTGCAGAATGATAGGCAATGGGCCCAATGGAAATCAGAGACATGTCCCAATCTTCTGAATGATCTCAAGCCAAATGTTTTAAAGTTAAATGGATTCAAACCGTAGGTTTTTGGTTAAAACGAATTAAATTTATTTTCCTTTCATATTTTTTATTTTTTAGTATTGTATTCATTATGTAGTTTGATTGTTTTCAGACGACCACTAAATTTATTTGTGTCGGGGGTCGTTGACCTCGGGAACCCAGAGCTGACTAGATTGTGGAATGTCGGCGCTGATAATATTAGTTCTTGTCAGAGCGATGAGAGGTAAGTTAATGTAGAAACTGGAGTACCAGTGATTTAATTTTTGTTGATTAAAATTGGTTTTATTATTTTTTTCATTTAGAATCTTTATTCCAAATTTGGAGCGTGTAGCCGAGGACGCCTTGGATGAATTGGACCCAGAACAACAAGTTGAAGATGAATATAAATCAGTGAATGATGAAAAATACCAATGGACATGTAGTCGTCATCTGTTATGGGCAACTCCCCAATATCTCGCTGTAAATCCTCCCGCAGCTGTTAACGCCATCCAGAAGACATCGGAATATCTATCGTCCGCTTTGATTAATATTTGCGATGAATTTCCGGTAAGTTTAGGAGTCTAATCTAATTCATTGTACTTTGAAATATGTAATCTCTGAAACTTTTGATTTCAGAGGCTAAAAGAGAGAGCAAAGGCAATCTCAACCCAATTAAAAGAACTCGACATCAAGAATAAGGAAGCTGAAGAACAGAAGAAGAAAGAGGAAGAGATGAAGAAAAAAGAAGAGGAAATCATAAAGGAAGAGGAGGAGAAAAAGGCCCGGGAGGCTGCGCTCATTGCAAAGGCCAAACGGGAAGAACAGCGGAAAAAGGAAATTGATGTAGGTGCAAAAATAATATTACAGTAGAACAGGGAGAATATATGCTTGACCATGTATCGTGCTTTTAGGAGTTACCAGTATCAGGCCCAGCGACACCTCCGAATCTCCATAAAAAGCCTGAAGTCCCATTGAAAAGAGCAAACTCAGATGTAAAAGGATCTCCGATTGAACCAAAAAAACCAAAAAGTGATAAAAGTTCGAAGAAAAGGGATGAAAAACGATCAGAGAGGTCATCATCAAGGTCCAAACGATGAAGTTAATAAGTAGTTGTAATAAATGTGGAGATTACGTAACATTTTTTTCTTTTTAGGTATTACTTTAGATGTAATGAGACTTGGATGACTTAAAGATTAATATCGGTGGGCTCGGTTTTATCCCCCTTAAGTCTTGACACACTCATGACAATCGATCTTATTACACAGCTAACTGTTCATCCACATAATCCCTAAACAATGATCTTTTTATCCTTTAATCTTTTACCTAACTCAATGAATTTAATCCAATAAGATCTAGCCTCTTTGACACATTCAGGTCATCCTGAATGTGTCAAATTAGTTGTAACACCCATGTTTGGGCGGCCTACTGGTCCGGCTGTTTAGGAAAACTTCTAAGACTACTGCTCAGAATAATCAAGCAATTCAGCACTGGTTATTCCACCAACTTTGGTAGATAAATTCATTCCCAATTCAGCCTCGGTAATTGCATCTGGTCGTGTGAAACCACCGTGAATCGAGTTACTTTCCGAATGTTCCTACAGACATACGGAACGGGACAATCGAATTAACTGGCCGGAGGGCGGATTTTAATCAGAAATCTTCAAAATAAACTGTTTTGGAGAGGCAAAAATTGCTGTTCAAAAAGTAAGTCATTTACAAGTGTCGTCATTTGTTCGAAAATAAATAAGAAAAAAATGATGGCCTGAAAAAGGGGTATTTGTTTCACAGGATGTAATCTGGGGTTCGTTTCGTATGTCCTTTTATCCATTTATGTTACTATCTTTGAAGGGGGATAAACCCGGCTTAACTCAACTTAGCCCCGCTAATGTCAATCCCCAATTACTCCGAGATTTTGAGGATATCACCGCGCATATTATATATACGCGTTATTTCCGCCAAATTTTACAATTTCTCCGCAATTAATCGGACTTCCTACATCTCTCTTTAATTGGGGCCCAAAATAAATAGACTCAAAATTATTTTTGCAGGCATCAATCGTGGCCCCTCCCCAATTGTTATATAAAGTCACAGACTTTTTTCGGAACTTATCTCTCGCTTGGATTATTATTTCTGGAAAACGATGACTTAGATTTCTCTTCCAAACTTAGGACATGACACTGGTTGAATGGGGATCTACTGACGTTCCCAGAGTCTAATCCCGGCTTAATCTGCAAAGTTACATTACTCGCTTGAAACAATCCCCTCAGGGCTTAGACTCGAACTGACTATATAAGCGGGATTATTCTCGGGTTTAGTCCACTCGGATTTACCGTTATCGCGGTCTCGTTTTCATAGTACGGCATTTTCGACATATATCGGTACTTTGACTTGACACTTACTGCGTACTGTGCAAATATATTATGTTCTGTATATATTTATTGAGGTGTGTTTTTTTAGAAATGGCCTCGCTTCTCCAGATTTGTATCCTCTTCCTGACGGTATGTATAGTCGTCGACGGCAGATTCTACCGAAACATTCCCTTACCTCGAAGTCCGCAGAAGTTGATCAGCCTCGAAGTGCCATCGGAAGAACCTCAGATCATCTTCGAACCCTCTCACAAAGTGCACAATCATTTGCTCGCCCTGAGGCCAGACTATGCGCTTTTTAAATTGGCCGAGGTCTTCAAGAGTTTTCTTGACCGGCGATTTGATCCCAGTCTCATTAATAAAGGTGAGAAAGCACTAAATCAATATTTAACAAATGTTATGCTTGTTTTACTGATCGTATCTTCTCAATCTTTAAATTTCAGAAAAAGCGGACAGTTTTCTGCGGCATCAACTCCGGAATTCTCTTCAATAAATACCTCGTTTCTCATCAGTCGATTGTTTTGCTTTTCTCTTTTTGGTCGAATAAATGGTCGATGCCTATCGGGAATCTGTGTAATCTGAGGGCGCTTAATCAATGAAGACAAGATCCCTTCCGCCGGCGTGTTCTGTAATTGGATTTAATTGGATTTGTCGCGCACTAAAACAGCAGACGATATTGGGGAAGGCGAACAGGCGTTATCTGATTCGATTTTACTACGCTGTGCCCGATTTGAGAGGCGGCCGAGTGTAAGAAAAAGCGGCCGATAAACAAATCAAATCTTTTAAACCCGGAGACTGACCACCTCTTCCTGGCAACTGGTCTCCTGCCCTGAGGGTCTGGTCATTTATTTCGTTCTTCCCTTCGAAAATTGATGGGTTGTTGTCTTTGAGGCGCATCCCTGCAAAAGTTCTAGCCTAATTTGAGCTGTAACCCACCAGAACACGCAATTCCCCTCAGGGCCTAACGAGTTTAGCACGCCCAAACTCGATTGGTGTCCAAATTTACTCAGGCATTTACTCGGCGGAATGTTTGTAATAAAATTTGGGGGTTATGCATTGTTGTGTACACAAGGAAATTAAAATTTTGTTAGTGGATTTTGTTTTTTCCCCGTTTTATGTGGTCGTCTGGAGAGTTTAATTTCGGATATTACGGTTTGTGGGATGAGGAAACTCTGGAATCTGGGTGTCAGTTAATCCGGCTTTGTCTCCAAAACCCGTGTATTTATGACAAGTTTAACACGTCAGCAAACCTTGTAAAGCTCGTCACAATATTATTCTAATCCCTCAAAATTTATTTCATTTTTGTAATTCCCTGTTTTGGATTTTTTGAGCGAAAATAAGTTGGTATCTTTTCTTCATATTCTCGACCACAATGGGCTTATCGACTATATAGGAGTGGCCCAGAAAAACAATTAACACGGGCCCATTGCAATTTACACGAAATTCCCAATTTCTGATTTCTTATGATAATGTCGGGCAGAAGAGGCATGTGTCATAACATAGGCGGTCCGATGACTTTGCCTCTATCATAAGACTTATTAAGCATGCGATCTGAGCGAATAATTTATTTGTTTAGAGATAAGAATGTCATCCAGTTGCTCCAGTATTGATCTGGGGATTGATCCTGATATTGATGATGCGGTGGGTTTAATTTCTAGAAGTTTTGTGATGAAAGATTGGTATTTTAGTTGCCTGATTCTCTTGTTAATGACATCGAACTGTTTGCGGATCACATAAACAACCTGAAGAACTCTTTAAATCCAAATTCGTATGTCCCAGGTAAGCAAAAATTAAGTCTTAAAAAGAAATCAGCATTCCGTTCTGACGCCATCCTTTTTTTATTTACCACCCCGGTAGTCTCCTAGCAGCCAATACCGAAAGACAATTACCTTATCAACCGCTGAGAACAATCTCTTTTGCCTCGAGAATTGATTTCCCTTAAAGGCGTCATTACCCGGCCCAAAGGTGTAAAAAGTCATCAAATTTAATGGGTATTTAGTGACTTGTAAACAGGCGTCGTTCCCTCATAAAACAACCGGAATGACGTCGAACAATTAAAATTATCAGTGACTCATCAACTTCCTTTTATTTCCAGATGGAGAGAGTAAATGTGTCCAAGTCCACGCAGCCTTGTCGCTGGTCTCGCAATCGGTCCGTGACTTGCTGGTCCGATATCCGATCTTCAAAACATCGCAGGTCCTGATCCCGGCTAGTCAGCTAGTACATTCGATTAAAGGTTAGTGACATTTGTCCTTTTCTGATATTCTAATACGATTACGATTTCCTTCTCTCGCCGATGACGTCATCCTTATCACAACTTTCAGAAATCAACTTTGACAACTCACCCAACGACTATGGCCGCACGTTGCAGTGCATCGAGAAGCTGGAGGCTGCAGTGGGGAGCACGCTCCGACTATCCGTGTAGGTCATGTTCGGGCCATGAATGAATAATCGTTTTCGCGGGGGGAGCGTGGATGAAGAGCGGTTCGGCTGGCTCATAACCTCGGGACGTCGTTTCTCCCTCAGGGCTTATCACCAGAGAGCCATTCCGAATGTGCATTCTGGGGGTTTATTCCGCAAAAAACAGCAAACTTTTTTTGGTCTTTTTAACATGAGCTAAGCAAATTTGGGTTCTTATCGGCGGCGCGTTTTTGTCAATTTCCCCGCTTTTTCCGCTTTTTTCTCATCTTCGCGATTCAGGCCCCGATGGCTGTGAATGGGCAGCCACTGTTGGAGAATATTTTCCTGGCCCGTCCCTCCAGTCCGCCTTGCCATCAGACGGATGTGAATCAGAACGGAAAGTCGCTAGATCTCGGCAGGAAGTCGTTGTCGCGCTTCGACATGATCCTCCTCAAGACCATGAAGTCCACCATCGAGTTGTCCTCGCTGAGTTCGGACACGTTGATCAACTCGAAGACCTCGAGTTCGAGTAATTCTTGTCTGTCGCTGGTCTCCGAGGAGTCCGGATCGAGTGATTTCCAGCTCGCTGACAATGATAAAACGTTTAGAGTGGTGGTTGATCCGGACGACGAGGAGCTTTTAGACCAGCCGAACACGCTAAGTAATTCTGAGTAGGTCAGGGGATCCGTTTTTGTGCGTTCTTATGACATTCCGAAGTCCACTCGAATCTTTTCAGAAGCTGTCGCTCCTCACAGTCGCCGGGCCCGCGTCTGGTCCGCGGAATGAACGCGGTCACGTTGGACAGGCGAATCAGCAAGGTAAGGGGCGAACCAGGTTTGAGGGGATTAGCCGAATTTAGTCCATTAGAGTTGCTTTCCTATCCCCACTTTGCAGAAGACACCTTTCAAGTCGCCGGCGTTGAGTGAACGCAACTTCCGAAGTCCGGATTGTATGGGATCGGAAGCGCCCAAGAAGAATAAGATCCTCCGACGGCATTCCAATCACCAGACCCGGGTTTCAGTGACCGGCGGCGCTTCAGCAGGTAAGCAGTAAAGAGAAGTCAACTCCATTCCTTGATTGTGTGCGAAAGCCATTTTTTCTCTCGAATTCGATTCTTTCCGCGGGGGAGAAAGAACAGAAGTTGGGATTTCGAGCTAATAGGCGATGAAACCGATCAGAGGAAGCGGGTAGTAGCGCAATCTCCCATCACTGGCTTGCCTTATTGCAAAAATAGACAGTCCATCCCACTCGCTTTCTGATTCTCCGCAAACAGACCATGTGCGGCCGCTGAGGCAACGCGAGAGTCAGAGATGGAGTCCGCTGCTGTGGACGGCTGGGGCCGTCGTTGGGGCTCGACACGATCCACGCCGGGCCGCGTCAAGCGCCTGATCCGCCATCGCCACCATGGCTTCGACACGGTCCCCGCGCTGCTCGACATTTACGGCCTCATTCCACGTGGGTATTGTTCGAGTTTCTATTCCGTCGGGACTTGTTAAGTTGAGGCCACGAAACCTCCACAGGTAGTTGCGCCCCGATAGCGTGAGAACCGGCAAGTGCCCGAGAAACCACTGACATTAGGGAGTTATTAGGAAGGTGTTGGGCCGCTGTTTTCAAGAATCCCTTTCCAGATTCCGATTCTCATGTTATGCGAGAGCTGCTGGTCCGCCAGGATAATGGGCTCGAGATGGCGTTCGAGCGATGCAAGGCCTGGTCCAAGTACGCCACCCATCTCCTGCAATTCGTCCGATCTCGCCTCGTCATGGAGCACGAGCATGCACGGAATGTGGCCAAATTGGCTGAGCAAACAAAGAATATGCTGTACGCGGACGCGAATAACAACCCGTTGCCGTTGGTCCGGGTCTTTGACGACTTGATGGAGAGTCAGATCGACATGACGTCAAGGACAGAACATCTGGTCAATGTTCTGAACCAGCGGTTCATTGCGGTAATTTGACCGTTTGATTGCGTAACAGAGATTTTAGACTCTCGAGAACCGCCAAAAAGATCACGATCATAAAAGACGGAAGCTCAAGAACGAATGGACCAAACAGAAAAAGCAATTGGTAGGGATTTAAATAGGGTAGCAGATGGCCATGACTATTACAACATCTTCAAACTAAACATCCTGTACACGGACATTCATTTCATTTTTTGGGAGATCCTGTTATACACACTTCTTAACAACAACATTTCAGGAGCAATGCGAAGATGAGTTGCGTCGAGCTCGCCAGAATCTGAATCTGAAAGAAGGTGGCTACATGAAGGCTCGAGACCACATGATCCGCCAAGTCCAATCGGTGCCCAGTCGACCAGTGATCGATGTTAATCGACAGAAGAAGGAAATCGAGAAACGGCGACGGAACGAGGAAACCGCCTTGAATCGGGTAAGTGGGGGGCTGTTATTTATTTGGTCATCTCTTAATTAAATCACTATTATTTAATTTTCCAGAAAACCGAGGCGGAAAACGAGGTCTGGAAGTTGGAGAGGGAGCAGGAAGAGCGGAGACGAGCCGTTCAAGAGTTGAGGGTAAGTACCAATCATAAATTTATATTCCTCGAGAGGGGATAATCTGCTGAGCAAATGAGAGGGGACAGGGTCTAATAAATATCATACCCGACCCTCTTCGTCCCCACTCAGCCACACTGAATGATGCCATTGCTTGTATTTGTTTGTGGCCGTACACGTGCCCATAAAGGCGCGCGGTAATGACATTCTTTTCCGACCTTTATGGGCGCCCGACTTGGCCGCGCATGTTCCTATCATAACATATAGAATTCTCGCGGGAATTTACTCTCGGGTCAGTTCTATTGCTTATTTCATGCACTGTTTCACACCAATCGGCAAGGCCTTTAATTGCGTGTAGAGGGCTAATTTGTGGCCCCAAACCGTATTTATTCTTTCTCCCCATGCCCTCTGGCTCTTTTTCTGGCAGCTTTTACGTGCTGGAGGAACGGCGGACGACCAAAAAGAATAACGTTCCCTTGGAACTTTTCCGTTTTGGTGGGGTTTTATAACAAGGAATTTAATTATTCATGCATTCGTTCTGAATGAATTGCGACAAAACAAACAAGGGGTTTATCCGCCGTACCACTTTTACCCTCTGAATTATGGAGATTGCCTGTCATGTACTCCATTCTCTTTACATTAAGGAATTTGGGGGACGGAAACGTCATGTCATCGTGGACAGATAATTTGGCCACATATGGCGCAGTTAAGTTTGACAGCATGACCGTGCGCTACCGTCTTTTTTTGGCGGGTAATGCCCTTCGGCGTCGGTTGCCGCACACTCCCTCCGTCCATCTCTACGGCCTTCTCATCATGTTCGGCTTGGGCTTGTTGTTAATCTTCTTTTTTCGCCTCTTCCCCTGCTTCTTTATTCTTGGTGGTCTCCTTTTTCGTCTTGACGTTCTCCTATTTCCAGGACGCTGTTTTTTATATTCTGCATATTCTTTCTTTTTCTTGAGGCGGCGCTGCCAATTTTACGAACGCTTCGCGCCTCTCCGGAACACGAAGAGAGGGCCGATGAAGACGACTGGAAAGCATGCTAAGCAGTAAAAACTAACCCTTGGGATGACAGATAGAGCGCTTGGGTAACAGAGTTCTACCATCGCCCCATAAGTGTTTCATGCCGGCTGGTTGATCGGGGCGGCCCCGAGCCACCAGCTTTCGGCCGCGCCCGCTCTTCTGATAAAGAGGCGTCTTTCCGGTGTACTTCCTGTTCAACAAAGAGGAATTCGGTGGCGGTGTGACCTCTTTTAACACGTCCTTCTCGCCCCTATTCTGAGCTTCATCTCCGGCCCATCATGACTTTTTGAGGTCTTCCTCTTCAACTTAGCAGCCGTCGTGCGAAATTCAATTTTCTGACCACCGCCAAACTTGGTCTCTTCTGTTCCGGGCGGGCGGCTCTTCTTATATAGTTTAGCCGAAAACCTTCCACTTGTTCGCCGGGAAGGAATGTGCCATTGGATGGGCATTCTGATGCCACTTACCTTGCCATTATTTTTTTTGACCCCATTGTCTCAGGACAGCCGTTGGGATGACGTTTTATATGATTTTATAAAGCCTCTAAAATATGGACCAATTCCATAGACACCGTGGAGATTCTTTCATTCCACTTTCCGCAGTTTATTCTTATATTATTATACTCTTTCCAGTTGATAACAATCGACGAACTCTGCGACTTGATACGGCATTGTGACTTGACCACCACTGCCTGTGCTTCCCATTACGTCAAGGTGAGTGTGTATTGTGTGAAATCACGTAAGAATCCATCTTCTTTAAGGCCTTTGCTGATCTCTGGACGCTCTTGCCGCAGGAGTACAATCGTTTGGCTCATGCCATTCGAGAGAACTCGCCCGGTAGCGAGTACATGTCCTTCTTGCAAAGCTTGCCGGGCCGTTCGATCTCTTCAGCGTCGCTTTTACGGGGCTCCACATCAACTGCGGGTGAGAAGGCGGATGAGGACTTTGGGAACAGTTCTCTGTCAATGGCCACAAGTTCCGGCGAATCGGCTCCAACGACGGCTCGACGACGCAATGCCCTTAATGCCGACGAACATATCGATTACATCGCGGAGACTTCGCATCGCCGACAAAAGAAAAGTATGAGTAAGTTTATGCTGTATAGGTGGCTTCTCTTTGGCATTTGTACAATAGTTAGCATTAAGAACTGTTTTTGAATGTTTTTTTATACAACTCCTTTTTTTCAGCCCGTATTTTCGACCAATCCCTGACTAATGTTGATCAATCCGAAGCTGCCAAATCACATCAACTTCAGCGAACACGGCAGGTCACACGCTGTGCTCACTGTGAACATCTCGTCATCTTCGACGCCGTCAAATGCACGATATGCGGCATCGTATGGCACAAGAAATGTCTGCCCTTGTTGAGCGTGGTCTGCGGCCCAACGGCCCATCGGCTGACGGCCGAAACAGCGGGCAGTCGACGGATGAGCATCTTTGGAGTGCCATTGATCGGCCACTTACAGGCCCAGCGCCGTCAAGTGCCCATAATTCTGGAGAAGTGCATCGATGAACTCCAGAAACGAGGCATGAATTGTAAAGTAAGTAGGGCTTGGTGACCGTAGGCCCGGAAGATTGATGTCAATCCGACAGGCCGTAAGAGCCCATTTTTTACCTAAAAGTGGAAAACCCGTAATCCCATTTGATGTGTCTCAAACGATATTCCGAAGTCCACGATCCGTCTTTCAGGGATTATATCGGACATGCGGCGTCAAAAGCAAGATCGAGCAAATTTGTGTGCAATTCGAGCAGGCCGGGGAAGAAGGGAACGTCGATCTCAGCGAGGTCCATCCCATGAATCTCGCGTCCGTTGTCAAATTGTACCTCAGGAAACTGCCCGAACCTCTGATGACATATGAATTGTATAGAGAATGGCTGGAGGTAGATACGGTAAGACGCATAAAGAGTAATGTGACGGGACAAACATGTTCAGAATGACATCACAGAATCCAAAGAAAGCCTCAAAAGTTTATGCGAACGCTTGCCGCAGCAGAACCACGACACATTCAAGTTCCTCCTGATGCACTTGAGGCGCGTCTCGTGGTTCGAGCTGGAGAATCTTATGACCCCGGCCAACTTGGCAGCCGTCATTTCCCCGTCTCTAATCTGGAACAAATCCTCGAATACGGGTCCCTCAACTCCAACCTCCTTTTCCTCTTCGTCGACGGGAACCGGCGCCCAGACAAGTGTCATCAATGATGCCCATCAGCAGACCAAAGTCGTCGAACTTCTCATCCAATATGTATACGTAAGTTGATTAGATTCAATGATTGCATGACAGAATGCAACTTTTTCCACTCCAAATTATGACGTTTCAGGACATTTTCGATGAGGATATGACTGCGGACTGGAAGAAGTTCTTCGAAATCTATCCGGATGTGGAAGAACCCAAGCAGGCGGATCCCGAGACCGAAGCCAAACTCTCCAAAGAAACCAAACCCGAGTTTAATTTGGACGATGAAGATGACATGAATGAGTATGACATAGATGACGAGGTCCAAGGCTCCGTCCAAGAGTTGTCCCTGCCCGAAAGCAGTTATCCCGTACCCAGGGGCAATTATGGTGGTAAGAGGGGACCTGGATAGCCGCAATTTGTTTCTTTTGCAGCAAATCTTCCACCGGGCCGACAACTGGCCAACACCTCGGCGGGGGACAAGTATAAACTTGGGAAACAGCGGAGTTTCACCACGTCCATCCTTGTGTCCCCACAATCGGACAGGAAGGTCATCTTGACTAACAAGCATTCGTATAACGACCGGAAGTTCTCGGAGGACCAGACCCAGAAGACACTCAAGTCCGGAGAAGTGGTAGTGGAGATTAGAAAGGTGGGTGAACAGCATTAAATTAAACGTACATGTTGATTACAGAAATGATAAATTTATTTTGTTTAGAACCAGTATTGTATGCCCGAATACAATCCCAAACTCTCGACGGACTCGAGTAACAGCCGTACCAGTGGTTCCAGCCATCTGAATCGCAACTTCGGTGGCTCTACTCTGGCCATTTCCAATGATTTTCCCCATGTGGATGAGGACGTGGACGAAGATTCTTCAGGGAGACAGCGCTCGTCGACGGGCCGACGGACTTCAAATCAGAAAAACGACGATGAACGGGTGTGTTTGCAGAACGTTGGCGTTATTTTCACCGGGAACGATGTAAGCTACGTTTGAAATCAGTGATCCAGTACAAGATTTCCGCAAAATAATAACAAATTTTTACGTTTTTGGTGCTTATCAAGTCTATTCCTCAGAGTCTTGTTGATTTGTTTTTATTGTACAGTCAAATCGAATAAATTATAAATACATTTTTTGCGACACAACATCTAAAAAAAGTTCAATATTTTTGATGACAAAAAATTCAACCGGCCTTAATTACCTGAGTTTATTAGTTTAGAACAGTGATATTGCCCGTTATAACAAGTGATTTGCGCTTAAAATCAGATCTTTAGGGCAGCCTTGAGGGCCTGATCTAGATCGTTGATAAGGTCTTCCTTGTCCTCGACGCCCGCAGAGAGACGAACCAAGTTATCTGACAGGCCGATCTTGTCTCTTTCCTCTTTCGGAACACTGGCATGGGTCATGACCGCTGGCAATTCGGCCAAACTCTCGTATCCACCAAGAGATTCGGCCAGGGTAAACAACTAAAGCAGTGTAATTAAAAGTTTCAATTAACTCTGATTTCATATTCCAATCAAAGAATACTTCTCTAAGGTTCTTAGAACTTGAGAAAAAACCCACCTTAAGGTTGGACAAGAAGGTTTTGGCTTCCTCGAGTCCTCCTTTGATGTAGAAAGATAGCATTCCGCTCATCCCCCTGGCCTGGGATTTGTGAATCTTGTATTGCGGATGGGACGGCAGTTCTGGGTAGAGCACTTTCTCTACTCGACTGTCCTTCTCCAACCACTGGGCGATGGCGAGGCCATTCTCGAAATGAGTTTTCATCCTCAAGTGCAAGGTCTTGATTCCACGGTTCACCAAGAAACAATCGAAAGGACTGGGAATAGCGCCAACAGCCAGTTGCATGAAGAAGAGATGTTTCTCGATGTCTTCACGGTTCGTGAGGGCCGCTCCCATGATGACATCGGTGTGGCCATTGATGTATTTGGTCAAGGAATGGATAACAATGTCAACTCCAAAAGGCAATGGGCGCTAAAACCAAAATAAATACACTAACAGAATATTGTATGAATTGTCTACGTAGAACCTGTAAAGTCGGTGATCATGTTCATCAAAAACAATACGTTTCAAGACAGGTTTGTCAAATATAATATAATAGTAAGTGCTTGCCTGGAAATATGGCGTCATAAAGGTGTTATCAACAACGATCAGGATGTCCTTATTGTATTCACGAACAGTTTTGGTGATCAACTGGATATCAGCGATCTTCAGAAGGGGATTTGACGGAGTTTCGAACCAAACCATTTTGGTCTCGGGTTTCAAAGCGGCCTTTAGAGCTTCAACATTCGTTAAGTCAACCATATCGATGATAAGTCCATGATTCTCAACAGAAACCTTGCGGAAAAATCTTTGGGTACCTAAAAATTTTAAGTGTAGTACAATTTTTCGATTTAAGACGTGCGAAAATAAGAAAACTGACCTCCATAACCATCATCGTTGCAAACAATGTGTTGTCCGGCCTTCAACAAGTTTGTGATGGCAGAAGTTGCGGCCAAACCACTGCTAAAAACTCGGCAATATTTGGCCTCCTCCAATGCGGCCAAGTTCTTTTCCAATGAATCTCTGGTCGGATTCCCGGCTCTTCCATAATCATAGACCTTCGGTTCTCCGGGAATCTCCTGTTTGTAGGTAGTGGACACAGAGATGGGTGGAACAACCTATAAAACGAAGAGTTTGTAGTTTCGGAAACCCTTTATTTGTCGTTGAACTCTCACATTCACCTTCAATCTGCAGAAAACTGATAATTTTTGTCGGGTTCTCCTTGAAAAACCAAGCATTTCACGAGATTTTGGAGGGAAACGAGAGAATCGGCCAAAAAACAAAATTTTTGATAAAAATTCGTCGAAATGCGAGATAAAATTCGGAAAATTAGCGATAAATTTGAATAAAGTGACCTCCTACCTGCAACATTTCATACTTCTCGGGTTTATGACCTCCATGAACGGCAGTGGTGCCAAAACCAGGGAAAGGATGGCTGGACATGGTCAGGTGAAACAAATGACCAAGAGATGTCCCGAAAATGAGAAGAGAAGACCCGACTGCTCAGGGGGGACGAAACAGTCGAAATGAGCGAGGATGGGCCCGTCCCCTCATTTTTGACCTTTGTTTCGGCGTCAGAGAAGGGAACGTGCGACCATAAACTAGCAGACGACGCAATCGAGTCGGAATCAGAATCATCGCCATCTGCCTGCCCTTCATGATGCAACCTATCATCCTGTTGCAGAAGGTGACATAATTCCCAACCATCATGACAACGGTCATTACACTGTTCAGCCCCTCCCTTTGCGTGGAGTTTGTATTGATAAAAGAAAAATTGAAGGGAACCACCCAAAATGGAACATTCAATCTCAGTTCAATTCCCACCAAAAACACGCAGCTGATTGACTATAAAAGTCAGCCAACGGGATCCAGTTTCGTCGATAGTGGTTGACGTTTTGCGCCCCCGAAATCTTTTCGGAGGATGATATCACTAACGGATGTTGCCGCTGGGTTACTGTATTATTGTGTCTGGTTCTCTTTTTATCAATTTTATTTTTGATTCTGTTTATAGTTATTACAGTAAACTTGTAGTCTAGACCCTGTTCAATCCATAAAGTTTGGTTTGTCATCTATTTCTCATCAATATAATCCGCGATTTCTACCGTAACCAGTGTCCGAATTGTCGATCCTTCTTGTAGAAATGACAGCCACTCTGCATCGCGAGACCTACTTTTCCTTCTGGAACAAGTTCTCCAGCAATGCTGACATAAATACGATGATGCTGAATAATAATGCTGATCAGTTGGAGCCCTTTGATCGTGCTGATATCATCCAGGATCTCCCCGATTTCACCGGAATGAATGTTGTGGATGTTGGAGCGGGCATTGGGTATGTTTAGGACTAGTTTATCTCTTGCCATCTGTTATATGGTACTTTACAGTATCTATTTTTCCATTTTCGAGCGATCTTTCCTCTTATTACCACATGATTTTTTGCCCATTTCATAAATTCCACGTGATTCTCAGGAAAGCGGAGGCTATTAAATTCAAGTAAATATTCGCCCTGATTATTTTTCCGTTGTTAAAATTCGTCTCCGTCGTCGACACCCACTAAAAGAGCAAAGATTATTCCCTAAATATTCCCTTCCAGCCGCTTCACAACCACCTTTGCACAGCGGGCGAAACACGTGGTCTCTTCGGATTTCATCGACTCCTTCATCGAGAAAAACAAAGAGCGAAATGCTGCCTTCGAGAACATCACCTACCAAGTCAGCGACGCCTTGGGGCTTCAAGTAGACCCTCAATCCACCGATCTGGTCTTTACCAATTGGCTGTTGATGTACTTGAATGAGCAAGAATGTGTGCGATTCCTGATGAAGACTATGGAATGGCTAAAGCCCGGAGGGTATTTGCATGTGCGAGAGAGTTGCACTGAGCCTTCAACGGGCAAATCAAAGACGGGGTCCATGCATTCGGACAAGAAAGCAAACCCTACTCATTATCGATACTCAAGTGTGTACTTGCAATTGTTGAAGGAGCTGAGATGGACCGATGCCAGAGGAATGCAATGGAGATTCAACGTTCTTTGGGCCAAGTCTGTCCCTACTTATGTTGAGGTTAGTTGGGTCAAAAAACTGCAAAAAATGACGTCATTTGCCATCTTAATACAAGCTTTAAAAAAGTTATCAAAAATTATCAAGACATTTGCAAAATCAATTTTCATCATTAAATTTTCAATTTCAATCAATCCGTCATCGCGACGGATTTTTTATGTGAAAATTCCAAGATGTTCTTTGAACTTTTGACGTCACATAATCATCAATTACGGTAAACAATCCAATCAATCACTGTCTAAACAAAGGTCAAAGGCCTTCCGAAGCACAAATCAAAGATTCTAAGTGTTACTGTAACAATAAAATTATAATCTCAGCGAGTTCTTAACTGGCGTCAAGTCCATTGGCTCTGTGTGAAAGTCCCAGCTCAAGATGGTGGAATCAGCAACGAGAAGGCGCTGATTAGCGCGATGGGAAGATGGAAGATCATCCAAGATCATACTGAATATCTGCTGAATGGAAAGACTTCTTGGGCCACGGATGTGATCAACAATGTGATCAGCAAGGTCGACTTTGCCAACAACAACCTTCCCCTCTACGTGTACTCTCCCAGGGTTGTGTCGCCATTTGTTTTTGTGGACTCTCATAACATCGCCGCTGTAAGTGAATACCGTATTCGATATTGCCTACCGTAATCTTTAAACAAATAATATTTCAAAATTAATTTTATGGTAGACTGACCGGATTAACAACATTAATCGGTAATTTCTATTGGTTCTGTTGCATTATACCTGATTTTAGATGACTGGGCTGAGTGTTTGGGCGGTGGAGACCAACCCCTTGTTCTACCGTCACATGTTGAATCGCTGCGTGGAAGCCAAAGATCGCCGAGTCCAATATGGCTGGAATGCCGATCTCCAGAGTTCCATTAATGACTGGGGATTGAAGAAGGCCAGATTTGGAGGTGTCATCGCTACTGAATTGTTTATGGCCAACTCTGATACCAGTCTTATGGCTCTTAAGGTTCGTTGAAACACTTTCTCGCGATTTATGGGATTTTTATTGGTTTTTGAAGAAACCTTTTTTGGCTAAGTGCTGAATTTTTTGAATTTCAGGAAATTCTTGACGACAATGCCAACATTTTTACCATCGAACCGGCTTTGTCCATCGAGGACTTCAAGGAGAATGTTGTTGTAAGTTTTTGATGACTTTAAAAAAATGATGATTTAACAAAATTTGTGATCTGTAATTGAAATTACAGGTCCCTGAAAACATGGAGATGATCGCGATCACAGATGTCTCCGACTACGTTGTGTGTAGAGAGCAGAAGCAGGCGTTCGATTCGCCTAACCAGCCCTGTTGGTTGCTCGTACACGCCCGTCTTCTCTAGGCGCTGAAGCCCCCTTTCATTCAGCATCCAGAAAGCCGGAGCGTCGAGCTCTTCTTCTGCTTCATACCCAGCTATGTTCTACCAGATTCATACGCCGCCCCTTACACAAACATTTCAAACCCCTCTCTAAACATACATTACTCTTACTCGAAATAAAGCGGCATTATTTGCGTACTCTTCCTGGCCAGAAACCGGATCCCCGTCGGATGATGTGTGGATGTATAATAAGGAGGACACGGAGCTCCTGAAAAGGTTTTAGAGACTTTTCCTAAAACAATGGGATGTGCTTACTTTTACTTTGTCCTTGACAAAAAACGCTACATCTGACTAAGGCCAAAGGGGCCAAGAGGACAAAGAGAATGGCCGGGGGAACTCAAAAATGGAAGGTTGGGAATTTACATCTTGTCTTCAACTTCAAGAAACCTTTTCAATGGAAATTAGAGGGCTTATAATCATGACTACCGTGATACCAACTTTTTTGAGTGTAATGGGGTCTAAGGCCAACATTTTATGACTTAAAATGTCGTTTTAGACCCCAGAATTCTTAGAAAAAGTTGATTGACACATTCTCGACTTCCACCGTTTCCTACTCAGTCTACATGGCGTTGTAAACAACCTTTTTTTTCTTGACGCCCGTTACCCTTACTCCGACACTCACCTTTTATTGTTCCCTAATCAAAAGTCGTAGTGTTTATGGCCCTTCGAATCCTTGGAACTTTCGGAAAAGGGCGGAGAAGGCATCCGAAATGCATTTGCAAGTAATAAAAAAGGCCATAGAACCTTAAGACCTTATCCTTGATATTTGGGCTAAGTAATAATTACTCCGCTTCCCGTCATCGCGCGTGCATAACAGATGGGCGTTTATTTTTATCGACCTCTATCCTCAAAACGGATGTGCGTCGAGGAACGGAGAGCCCAATTTATGGAGGAACATGACGCCTGCGGCAACGTTACTTTGCCTGTTGCATAATGTACTTAGGGCCCCAACAAATGAGTCCAATAACAATATCTGGGAGTTCTCTTGTCAGCGCGGAGGAAAGGTCAATTTAGAGCGGGGATGCCCGCGGGCCGCAGGAATTCCCCGATGAATCGCAGGGCTTGCAATCAGCCAAGTTCATTTAAGACAAGGCCCGGGCACGGGAATAGGATGGGATGATGCCTTGAGGTCGGCGGAGATAAAACTTTCCGTCCGGCCTGGCCTTAATCTTGGTCGGCCATCAGCTCCGGCGCGCTTAATATTCATGAATCCGGCTCTCTTTCCCTTTGTCCCGCTTCTCATTATCCGACGTATTACAATTTTACATTTGCAGTCATGTTCGTGGAGTGAAGGGAGATGTTGGCCAAGCTCTATGACATCTTGCATGAGCCGTTGGCCATGACCTTGTGTCTGGCCGGGATCCTGGGCCATTCCTTTTCGATCAATGTCCTCTCCAAGATGCCCAACCCCACCAATTTGTTGTTGATCAGTATGTCTTGGTAAGAAAATCTTGTTCTTTGAAATCTAAATTAATTTTAATCAAAGAATTGCAGAAACAATTTCCAATTTTTTTAAATCTTCTATTTTTATAAACTAATAAGTAGTTACGAGTACCAGAAAAGTGATTACAAGTATTCAAAGAAGGCTCTACTTATAATTACACTAATATTAGCGGACTCAAGAATTCTCTCTTTTCAGTAGCCAACTTCTTTTGTGCATCAACTTTCTATACAGTACTCTGTACAAATATGGCAGTGATGAGCTTTGTTTGTCAAGTTTATGGTCGTATGCTTGGACCGGGACCTTGTTGATCTCGGTGAACGTCAGCGTCCTTGTCCACATGACCGGAGTCTTCCACGTGGTCGCTTTATCCATCATCAGATACATGTCATTGAGACAATTGAGCCAGACAACCTCACATGTTCAGTGGTTTAATATGAAAGTGAGTATGATTTATTACATTTTTATTGACCGAAAGATATTTTTGGGATTTTTAAATTTCAAAATGGGGCATTTCACTTCTCCGAAGTCCATTTATTTTTATTTATTATGCCCTTTCACAAAAACCTCAGATGAATGGCCTCAGGCGATGTTGTAAATCAAATTATATGGCTTTCCATAGGCCTTCTGTTTCAAGACCAAATGTAGATTTACTGATTCTTAAATCTGGCCACATAATTTACGAATTCTGCAGGATTGATCTGCCGTCTTAAATTTTTCCAAGCTTTTCTACAGTCGGCGCTTCATGCCGCCACCACTCCTTGGGTAATAATAAAATCTGTCAAGGATGAGCTCATGTCCGACCCATCTGAATTCTGAATATCAGATACCCTTATGCTCCTTGTTTTTAACCAAACCGTTAATCTCTGCGGATTCTCAGACACGACGCACTTTCAGAAATGCATAAACACTCTCATCATCATCTACATCTCGGTCATCGTCATCTGCGGTCCCATTTATTTCCATTCTCATATCGCCGAATCCAATGAGCCTGATGAGAACTGTCTCGTAAAGTACCCCTCTCTGGTCAACACCTCCGTCCATTACCTTGAGTTCTCCTCCAACGAACAACTGCAGCAGCTCAACTTTTGGTTATTTGGTTTTGTTTGCAAATTGGTCCCTTGTTCGGTGCTATCGATGATGACAATTCTGTTATTGAGGGAGTTGAAGAAGCTCAGAGAATTGTCATCGAGATTTCAGAATGTGGAAAGGGACCGGCAATACAGTAGGACCACCAATATGATTATTGTAAGTTTCATTTAAAAAAATTATTTAACACCAACAGACGGGTCTAGTGCAATGTAATTTGCTTCAAAATATAGTTACAATCTCGAATATACGATAACAAAATATCGATTTCAGATCATAATGGTAGTTTTCATCGTTGTCGAATTCCCGCAAGGCGTCTTGACGGTAGCCCAAAGCATCACTCAAATCCCTTATCAGGACACTCTGGGAGATCTCTTTGAATCTCTGACCCTCCTCACTTCCTGTATTATTTTTGGCCTCTTCTTCACAATGAACTCCAGACTTCGTGACGAATTCATGGAGACCGTACATACGATATACAAAAAATGCGGCATCAGCAGGTGAGTCTAGAAATATAATCTATCTGATACTCCCATGGTGTATAAATTATCGTGTAATACTTGTAGTTTCAGTACAATCAGCTTCATCAAAAGTCATTTTGTCCACAAATCCGTCTTGACTCCGGAAAGCCGATCTCTGATGCAAAATGGAATCACAAATCGGACTTATGGAGATACTGATGTATAATAGAAAGTAATAAGTGTAATTTAATGGAATAAACGGGTATTTGACAAACAATTATAGTTTCTGTAAGTACAAAATATAACTTTCTCCTTGATAAGGATTATTCGTCATCTAAATTGTTATTGGATCGTGAATTTCACATGATTTTCTAAGCAAGGACAAAAAGGAAGGGTAATATCACAAAAGGAAACGTCCTGTTATGCATACGAATTCTCACTGCAACCAATTCTATCATAATACCGTTTCCCTCATTTGCATTTTCCTGCAGCCTGTGATTTTTTTGTGCAATTTTGCACTTTGAATCGGCAGACTGCGCCCAATAATTTAATCCTTTGCTTTTCCGTAAAATGTTTTGCCAAAGGGTCGGCAAGGGCATGCCTGGCAATTCGACCTTCATCACCCTCCTTTTTACTTTGTGTTTTATCGTTTCCAAATTAAAATACGCTTTGTGCGTCTTTTGAACGTTGAGTGCAATTTTCTTATCTTTTTTATTATCTAGAACAGTTAGACTGATAAGCTGATAAACGTCGGGCACAATAGGGGAATTCAGCAAGTTTAATTAGATCTTCTTCTTTACAAAAAACGTAGTTTTGTTGATTTGGGAACATTAATTTAGGTAAATTTATATAAAATCCCAATGTTTCTTTTTTACGATAAGGCCATGAAAGCAAAAAATCTTTTAGGCCGTTAAATTATGCATGACGGTTTTAATGTCTGAAACGGTTTGAATGCGTTTTCTCCGACCTCAAAAGGGCAATGATATCTGTGTAATATCTAAAATAATGTTTCCGTCGCCGACGTCATTACGGGAGCTGTTTTCTGGTCTTTTTTTTGCGGAGGACAGCAAGCTATTCCACGCGAAATTGGACTCGCTCCTGAATGGCTCTCCAAATCCCCAACTGCTTATAAAATATTGAAACGTAATGTTAAATACCCGCTGAAAGAACAGGGCGTCCATTCGCGCATGTTATTTGTCTTGGGATATTCCCCTACTTTTTTCTCGCTTCCCCCCTTCCGTGTTTCTTCGTCTAATGAGAAGATCTATTCGAAGGGGGCCGTTCTCTCGGAGTTTGGTGCTGATGGACACAAAGGATTGGTTCGTCAAGAGAATACCTCCACAATATCGGGCAATTTCCGTAATTACGGCTGGAGTTTGTCTGCAATTCAGTTATGGATTAGTTTATACCTTTGGTAAGAGAATTGAAATCTTCGTTTTCAGTAAATGCTTTTTTTGGGTAATTTTTATTTTTTAGGTAATATTTTACCATACCTCGTTTCGTATCTGCGATGGAAAGTAAATCCACAGCAAACAAATGGATCGCTTATGTGGCTGCAGAGTTTTATGTGTAAGTTGTTTGTTGTTTTTGTTCACGGTTTAGATTTATATTATAATTGGATGAATAATGAGTAACATTTTTTGCTTTAGCTGGCCTTCCATTTGCGATGCTTCTCGGAGGTGTCTTGGAAAAGGAGGTTGGTGCAAGAACTGGTGCGGCTATAGGTTCGGCAATGTATTGTGGAGGCATCTTATTCTCCTTTTTCTCAATTCAAGTCTCCTTTTACTGGCTATTGGTTACAACTGGCCTCATTGCCTCATTTGGTCAAGGAATGGCATATGTCAATGTTCTAACTCAATGCCAGAGGGTAAGACTACATTTCATTTTTTTTAATAATTTTATGATGTGTGTTTATCAACTAGTATGCTTTAGGTAATATTTTTAAGTTTGATATCTATGCTTCTGTTTCAGTGGATGCCAAAAAACGTTGGATTTGTTAGTGGACTAATCACGGCTGGATTTGGCAGTGGTGCTTTTCTTTTGTCCCCAATCCAGACCAAATTTATTAACCCCAACAATCTGAAGGTGGATGATGAAGGGTTTTTTACTCAGCCCGAGATTCTGGAGAGGGTCCCTTATTTATTCTTGTTGATGGGAGGAATGTTTGCAGTCATTCAGACCATTGGCCTATTATTTATTGCTGAGCCAGTCCAGGAAAGCGATGGCCAGGAATCCCAATCTTTAATGGCGGCTGATGGCGATAGTGATGATGAAGACGAGGGCCAGAACGACCAACTGGGTTCTACGATCCTCTCCAAAGAAGAGATTCTCAAGTCTCCGACCTTTATTATCTTATTCTTCACTTTAACTTGCAATGCCATTTGGGTTCAGACTACCAGCGGACTTTTTAAGGTACGGTTTAGTTTATGATCATCGTTTATATGGGAATTTGAAACTATCTTTTTATTTATAGGCCTACGCACAAAGTTTTATCAAAGATGATTTCTTCCTGACCACAGTGAATTCCTTTGCGGCTATTGCCAACTGTCTCAGTCGAGTTTTCTGGGGCTATATTGCAGATAGGGTAAGCGTAATCTTGAAATTATTTGTGTATTTTTCCGGTTTTAGTCTTCATATCAATTGGCCATGAGTATAGCATGCACAATGGGGGCTGTCCTTATGTGGGGACTTCCGTTCGTCAAGTATGTTGCAAGCCCATCACTATTCTTCATCTGGATCTGCGCGATGTTTGTGGGTATTGGTGCCACCTACTGTTTGATTCCTTATGCCATCCATAAATGCTTCGGGAGCGCGAATTTTGCTATTACCTATGGATTCTGTCAACTTTGTTTAGTAAGTTTTGTCCAACAAATCATTATAAGAAAACATCAATATACGTTTAAGTCATGTATAATGTAAGTGATATCTTCAGGCCATTTCTGGTGTCCTAACTGCCTTGAACTCGCAGTTTATTCTCGCCATGATCGGGTTCGATGAGCTATTTTTAATTACGGGTTTCACGATGGCCATTTCTCTCATCCTCACACTTTTGATCAGCAAAACCAAATACGGTGCAAACGCATGAAAATAGTATTCAGATATTGATTGTACATAACGGATGATACCTCTTCCGACTTTTAAAGTTGCATTTCTTTTCATTCTATTTCACTTTGCATTTATTTTGTAACTACATCTAGTCTACATATCGGTTTAAAAATGACTCGGTTCGAGATGGTAATAAATTATTTATAACATGATTTGAACGTACTGTGTAGAGGTACCGCTGAAAAAATAAACGTAGCTATAAGATAAACCAAGAAACTGTACTGTGCCAAAAGCGATGTTAAACTACATTTTCTCCGCGTTTCTTTTCCCGTTCCAATCCGTTCGGAGTCCAATTTGTGTGATTAATCTCCAACACCTGACCTCTTATCGTTCAGAGCTCACCGTTTCGTATTTTGTTCCGATCTGTGCGTTAATTTCAACGTTTTCTGTTGTTTCAGCACCTAAAATAATATCCTAATGCCCGAAAATAATTTCCAATTACATTTTCGCCTTTTTATTTGTATTTTTATTACAATTCTCCTTTGATTTCTTTTTCTGGACCTCCGAAACTCGGACAAGCGTGAATAGTTGAATGCTCGCCCTTTATTGTGCCCTTAGGCAATCACAAAGATTGGACCCAAAAACAATTTTCGTATAGCAATCGGGATTCGCTTCCGACATGGCCAACAGCAGACATGATATATGTATCTATTGTTGGCAGGCGTGTTCTAAAATTAATGTTTTTGGGGGCTTTAATTAGGGATTATCCGGCCGTTCCTAACTTAACATTGAAATGGGAGGCCATCCGTGAAAATTCACTTAAATTTTGGGATAAAAACTTGTTTGGTTGGGAGAACATCCGTGTTTTGAGAGGGCACTTGGCGTTTTTCCGTATTATACTTGCAGTTTTCGAGCATTAATTCAGAAATTTTTAAAATTTCAATTAGTTTAAAATTTGATCGGATGTCTTTGATCTCCCGCTCAAGGATCACAATCTGATGTCCTCATAATTGATATTGTCTCGAAGCTTGACATTCTTTTTTCATTTGATCCGAGGGATCTCCGTCTCATTTTATTTTTACTGACATTCACTTAGTTCCCTCTTTTTTCACGTTTTTTCGGAAGGAAACAATCTCGGCGTTTCGCTCCGGGGCAATCCATAAATGACGACCCTGGACCACCTTTTATGTTAACATTTCCAGGCCCTGTTTGGCACTTGTCCCAGCGAAACTTTCGGCAGTTTCGGCCGCTGAGTCGCTTGTTTCGGCCGCCCCCTCCCTTTTATGGAAATTGGGGTTTAAATGCCTTAAGGGCCGGCGCTTCGTCTTCAGTTTACTTCCAAGTTCTGCTACCCCTTTTATGGCGTCCTACGTGGGCCTGGCCTTTCTGGTCGTTCAACTGGCCCGCGCCGCCGACTTCGTATTTTACACGGAACCCACGGAAGTCGAGGTTTTTGTGGAGATTCCCATGAATTACAGTAGGTGAGTCCCTTTTCGATTGAGTTGGTTATTGATCAGTCCTTTTGCAACATTATTTTGCAATAAAAAAGCATTTTAAAAGCCATATGGCAGAAATATACACCTTGCTTTAGATCATAAGATCTTTTTCCTCCGTTTGTTAAGTTGGAACTTATGCTCCCGAACCAAAAAAAACAAAAAGACTGTACTTTTGAAAAGACATATGTCCTACTTATATAGTATTTCATCCATTTTCTTCATCTTTTCATCAGCCTGTCATGTATAATATAATTTTAGTGTTTATGGGAAATTGGAGCCAGAAGGGAGTGATTGGTTTGTCCTATTCCAACTGGATCACAGTCTGCATCCCTCTACATTTGCAGGTGTAAATGAGGATATCCAAGCGGGCGATGAGTTCCCGAAATGTCAAAGATATCCGGCAGTGCGGGAAATTAAGGTTACGGTAGGTAAAAATCATCCAAAAATTTTATAATTTTTTTTTGATTTAAGTTGGAATTGTATGCGTTTTTTATGCGGATAAAGACGCAAAATCGCGAACGCTACGAACATCCAGAAGAAGTTCATTTTGGCCAGAAATTCCTGGCCAACTTCTACGCTCAGGACGAAGAGGACGGGCCCTTATGCACACTTCCGGTCCGAGCCAGAGTTCTCGGTGAGTGAGAGGGGTTAATTACAGAAAAAAGTCAAGAATTCGGATTGAAATTACGCAAATATATTTAGATAAACATATCTTTTTTTATCAATTGTAACATGACCCTCAAGATTAATAAGATTTTTAAAGGTGATCCGGTGACCACAGCCAGCCCTTTTTACCCTACTCGATCTACATCATTACGCAGCAGTTCCAGGAGGACGATCGCTCAAAATGTCCCCACCATGACCACTCGGAGATACCAGAGTAATCTCAGATTCGCGACTTTTAAAACGCAACGCCCGAAGGCGACTACTGAGACGCCGGTCAAAGAACATTCATATATTGACATCCAAAATGACCGCGAGGTCTATGCGATGGTGCAACGATCCAGGTGAGTTTCATAATAATTTCAATTCGAAATTTCGTTGTAAAACCTAAAATAATATAAATTATTCCAATTGTGAACTTTAAACTAATGATCTTCAGGACAAAAGAGATCAACTCGGTCTGGTCGATAACATTCCTCCTCTTCCTCTGGCTGGAAGTGGGCATTATCGGTTCTTTTGTGGTCTTCGGACTGGTTATGTTGGTCATCCTCCAGATCAGACCCTCAGGCTACAACGAAAAATTCATCACATTGGTGGATTAGAGCCTCCAAGATACGGAGAATACGGGTCCAGAGTTTGTACATTTATTGAGTAAATCTATTTATTTTATTAGTTATCGGCGTTTGTCTCTATCGTCGACATGGACATAACTGACCGACAGCTGGGATACTTGTCGAAGAGGGCGCTTCTGGAGGGTTTCAGAAGCAAGGAGGAGATTATCGACACCACCAGCGACTCCACTACTGTCGCCATATTTTTCCAAACTAAACATATTTTCATTTACAATCAAGCGTAATATAATCGGAGCAAACTGATTGATAAAACAACATACAGAAGGCAGTTTCGAGAGGAGGCAGAACGTCGCCGCACCCAAAGACTCCGGCTCTGGCCAGGAAGTCGAACACCGGTTGTTGTAGACCGAACACCATAAAGAAAATATCCAATAATCGAAATACGACGATATATCTGAAGGGACACAACTCGTCCAGTTTGGACACGGTGTTCACCAGAATATGACATCCGTAAATACCTAGCAATAATGAGGGCAACGAGATGAAATCCAATACTTTTAGGGCACTGAAGATGATCGATAACTATCAGTTTCAGGTATATAGACTTACATGAAAGAGTCTTCAAAATACTCGAAATACAAGATGAGGCTGATGATTGTAAAGATTAACCGTACGATCGACGTCTGCATGACCATAATCTCACAGAACCGAACTTTCTTCCTAAAGAAATAAATCAGTTTTTATATTATACATGATGCCGAATCAAAAGTTATTTAAAAACTTACATTTCTACCGGTAATTGAGGCAAACAAGGGAAAATACAACAAAACGGAGGGGTCTGCACCATAAAGCTAGCCGAATTCTGGGTCATCTTCTTCACCATGGACTGTCGACCATCAGCGATGTGAAGAAGAAGGCAGATGATTACATAAAGAGCGATCGAAAAGTAACTAAAACAATCAATACAAGGGAGCATCACACTTACAAAAAGCTGAGAAGATGTGCGAGGAACCAAACTCTGGGCATGAACATGGAGACCAGGGCGAAGGAAGACATAAAAGGAGCTGTTCCCGCCAAATAAAGGACAAAAGCTCGACGATAAGGGTTCGTTACATAAGAACCGACGTATCTGAACTGAACCACAAACAGACCGATGGTCAGGAGATTGAGGAGAGTGGCCACGATCAAGGCCAGAACGAAGGCGGCATTCAAATCTGGAATTTGGGAATTAAAATTATATTGTATGTGATCAAGTTGGTCATCATCATAATTTAACTGAAATTTGGAAGGCAACTTGAGTTGCATGACATCGAGATGTCTAAAGAACCCTTTCAGCCAAGTCTCAGTAAGTATTCTTTAAGAAAAATCAAGAAAAGGGGACAATGCCCATGTCATTGGAGATATTCCTCATCTAGAAGGTCAAAGAATAAAAAATCTTGACTCACGGCTGAGAAACACCTTCGCCGGCGGGGTCTTGAGTTCATTGGTGCAGTTGAGAAGGGAGTCGGTCAACAATTTAAGGGCGGTGTCGATGATAACGACCATTTCGGATGCTCGGAAATGGTCATCAGAATGGACAGAGCTATCGCATCACACTGTAAGTGACCCCTTCGGTACTGATAACACTACTAATATTACACGCAAAAAACTCGGAAACGTGGGGGGAATGGGGTCTCCAAAGGGCGGAGATTAGTTTCTTTCCACTTGGATACATTAGACTTGGCCATTAGACCGTTAATCAGGCATTATAACAGCCATATTAATCTTTAGACAGGCGGCTAATAAGTTCTCTAATCTCCCAGTGATTTCTGGAATAAAATATAGCCTGAGGGCTTGGAAACTTGGAGAAATTGTAATGTAATTTTGGGCGAGACATCAGAATACGACTGTCCATGACTCAGACTGCTCGTTTGTGTACGAAAAACATTCGAAGAGAGCGAAAATAATAATGTTATTATACTCTTTAGTTGCATTCCGGACCAAAGAGATCCGCAATAACACAAGAAAGGAAAAAACCTTAGTCGGGTACCCCGAACACATTTAATTGATGTTTGAATGGGAAGTTTCGATAAAAAATATGGTCTTCATGATAAAAAAGGGTCGAGAGTTCGCTCACATTATGTAAATTACAGGATAAAAGGATGATATCAAACAAAGTAAATCAAAAGATAAACCGAACGGAGGGGAAATTGGCATCGGAAATCGGGAAAACAAAGGATCCCCGTTGTCACACCTGTCCGAACAAGTCGATGAGTGGGTGAGAGAGAGCCGAGAGAGTCCAGCCATCCAATTCCCCCCGATTTCCATCCCAAATTATTCGAATTTAACCGGATTCAGACGAATTTTTTTTGGGTTTTTTTCCGGAAATTGGAGTCAACCCTCTTCAAAAGAGGAGAGGAAAGGCGCCAACAAGGGTCAATCAATGTCTTATTTTGGCGAGTGAAAGAGAGAAAGTTTGGGGAATAAATGAAAAATTGTTTCGATTAACAAGATCATATTGTACTAGACCTTAAAAAGTTTTTATTAAACTGGAATTGGAGAGTGCATTCTGCCCCTGCCCATTATGCTAATAGGGAATGGAATTAAAACGTCGCTTCGGAAGGCGAAAAACGAGAATTTTTGTTTGGTTAATGTCAAAAATCATAAGGAAAACACTGGATTTCATCATCAAAAACCAAAGTATAAAAAAGTAAAGGCCCCTTCCGCGGATAAAAAGTAGCATTTTCTGACGGAAACTTGCTTATTCCGAGAGAAAGTAACTTTTCCAGTAGACGTTTTACCCTTTTCAGGCCTTTTTCAACATAAAAAAGTCGCTTCGAAGGAATTCGAAGACATAAAATGACAAAAAAACGACGAAAAATGGGTTTTCGTAAAGTAAACAGGGGAATGAACGGTCTTTACTCTCCGTAAACTCACAATAAACCTCTAATTCGCGGAAAAAATTAATCGGAACCCAAGAAAAAACAAAATGATGACACTAATTTAGGCCATTACAATGATCAACTACCGTATTTTCATTTTTTTAAAATTTTCCCTTTATAAAAACTAAAAAAATGAATAGTAGGAATAAATCAAGGGGCTGAACTCGGAATATCTAATAATGCGCATAAAACGAGTGGAGAATCGCCTGAACCCGGCGTTTGGGTAACCATAGATACCACAAAAATTACTCTTCGAACTGAAACTCTATAAAACTCGAGGTAAAAAGAGAACTACTACTTATTTCTACTTGCTTTTCTTATTGCGATCACCTACTATAATCGGGAGAAAATGACAAAAAAATTATTTGAATAAATGAAACAAAGTAATCGAATAATCACAAAATGGCCGACTAAGTCATCGCCTACTTGCTACATTACACATTACACGATTAGTTTTGTATTTCTATTGAGAAATATGAATGAATATTGGGAAAAGTGGTTCTGAAAATATTTTCGGATCAAAAGTCGGGAGAAAGATCAACAATTTGAGTAGGCTCTCTACAAAATTACAAATACAAGATGAACGCTTATGTAATTATATACTCGAGGGATTGTACGTAAACTTAATTACTAAGAAACGCCGATGGAAATTAGGACTTTCCTTTTAAAGTTATAAGTATACATTACTCCCTTTCAAATTTAAGGCATACGAAGTCAAAGATACGAGCTCCTGATGAAACTAATGACCACACTGATTTACAGCTATTTAAAAACTAAAGAGTAACTTTTCCTCTTCTAAAGACGAGTTCTCCAGACCTTTCCTCTCCTTTTTCAGGTATCTTTTTTATTCTGTTGGCTAGCGGAAGTGAAATGGAAAGAAACGGGTTTAAAGACGAACATTTGCGTTTTAAAGTTTTACAAGATTACCCCAATTTCGGAGGAAATCACACGAAAAGTCTGCAAAGATAAATAAAAAAAAAGAAATTGTCATCATTTATTGTTGGATTTACAGCCTTTGGATACTTGAAAGAAAACTTTAATCCAAACGGTGTTATAAACAGCACCATTCTTTGGATAATATAAGGGGCAATACTATAAAAAGACATACGGCTATACGGTAATTGGAAATTAAAATAAAAGGGAGAAGAAAGTTGAAAACAGGCCAAGAAAAAGACCCCAAAGATATTAATACGAGTTGTGGTACAGAGGTACGAACATTTTAATCTTATGTAATCCTTAAGTAAATGCAAATTTTTCTGCTGTTATTTGTTCGGCGTCTTAGCCGTTGATCTATTATCTTCTCATCCTAACCTCTATTCTTGCAAATAAATTACTCCAAATAAGTTGACTTTATCAATGTGCATCGGTTGTTGGAAACTTTCCTTTATTGGCATCCGCCGAGTTCTGAAGACATTCTATATGCTAGGCTGGATCACTAAATACCTTGTCTCTTCCTTCTTTTTTGAATATTTTATGGAGAAGGAATATAATCCAAACATAGAATCGATGGAGATCACGTGCGACATGAGGAAACCTGCAAAAGTTTTGAGTTTTGGACCGCCGTCGAAGGATGTGGATGTTGCGGTGCGGTTGCTAAGAAAACTTCCGACTGAGGTTGGTATTAGTTTGTCAACGGTTCTAATCTAGTCCCCCAAATATAGAATTTAACTACAGGGTGTTCCTAGAATTATGGAAAAAAAACTATTCATTAATAACTTTGTGCTCGGTGGTCCAATCCGAAATTTTTTTTGCATTTTACAGGAAAACGTTTGAGTTTTTAGAATCAAAAAAAAATTTTTTCTTTGATCGGCGGAGACTTCGGTAATCCTCCTTGCAGCCTCGTTTGTGAAAAAACCACTCCGCCGAATTCAAGGCGGATTACGGAAGTCTCCGCCGATAAAACAAAAATTTTTTTTTGGTTCTATTTAAAAACTCCAAGGTTTTTCTGCAAAATGCAAAAAAAAATTTCGGATTGGACCACCGAGCACAAAGTTATTAACGAATAGTTTTTTCCATAATTCTTGGAACACCCTGTATAAGAAGACGGCTGAGTCATTTCAGATAAGGGAAAAGACATTGCGCCGACTTACCGTCTTCCAAATCATGAAGTTTTATCATGATTCGGATTCTGAAGATTACTTGGAGTTTGCCAATGATCGCCTTAAAGATATTTGGCTTAGGAATCGTGAAGTTTACTTTGAAAATACAACATACGCCGATAGAATCTACAGGTAACAACTAATTACCAATAATCGCTATGTTTTGTTTCTGAGATTCTTAATTATATACGACGACAGAATTTAATTTTAATTTTAGCCTTCTAGTCAACACTTCCTTGTGCTACAATTCGAGCCCGCAAGGAAATTGCCACGACTTTTTTCTCGGCCTTTCTCACAGCTTATGTGTTGAGCCAGTTGTTGAAATCGAATTAAATTTTGTGTTTGAGGAGTCTGAAAGTGAAATTATTTCGACCAAATTTGAGAGCATTGGATACCAGGTAAAAGCCAAAGCTTCATTACCAAATTAAAACATCTAGGCGATGACTGCTAGACAATCGATAGGTTGTCAGTTATCACTGACCATATCAAATAACCAGAAACAACATATCGGACGGCCACCCGCTTCAACAGTCTTGAAATTTTATACGGACCGTAAATATTTTAATAACGTAGGTTTGTATTTCGCGCAATTCTCATTGTTTATCTTAACTTGGTTAGTGATCGTATGAGTATTTCATTTTGGGCAGCTCGAAGTTTTTGTTTGTAATTCGCTTTCTGTTTCTTTCTTTTAACCTCCTTGGCGGATAAATGGATAATCTCGATTTCTTTTCAGATGGATTTTGAAAGATTTAATTATCATACTATTTGCTATGACAAAAAAACGAACCGAATTTACTTTGTGGAGATCTGCAACAGGAGGAGCCTTTCTATCAAGTATTTCACTCCGGGAAGCGATCAGAAAACGATGATTTGGGAGACTATCGCTTATGAGCCTTACGCTTACGAGGTTCGGCAACTTTCCGCAGACGGAGATAACGTCTTCTTCGTGCGTTCAGAGGGAGGAATTACTCGTGTTCTGTACTTTAATTTGGCAACAAGATTATGCCTTGAACACTCAATGGGTGGCGATCTTTTAATGATTATTCAACGAGGAAGCAAGTTAATGGTTCATTGCGAAAAATCAACGGCGCTTTTAACAGTCGGCAATAAGATTCGGATATCTTGGAAAGAAGAAACTAGTGATATGTGTCAGATGGATGACACAACCTTTGTCTTAGCTGGTTGTGGACGAGTGAAGGTAAGGTTTGATGGCTTCTATGACATGGTTTTAGTTTCAGTTTTTAAAATTTTGATTTAAGTTTGCTCGTTTCGTCAACGATCGTCTTGTCATTCACAAAACGCAGATTCCAGCTGACAATAAGACCTGCATTGGTAGAAGAAGTGCCAATGTATTCTCAGTATGTGATGGAACTGAAACCACAACCCAATACATCTTTGAGATCTTCAACGGCGACTTGATTTGCAACCAAATTTATCGTCGGAAAAAGGCCCGAGTGCGTGATTATTGGTTCAACTGCTTGTTTGCTAAATAGAACATTCAAAACTGTGCAAAACTTGAGGAAATGACTAAATAAAAGTTAAAAAAAAATTTTTCAAGTATTTTTGCCTTCAACGCCATGGAGCCGACCATTCTACTCCAATATTCCTTTTCTTTTCATCCCAAAATGACCATCCCTCTTCGTTCTACCGATGTAAACAGGAGTATTATTTGTAGGCTCTTCTTCTGACGTGATTTCGATCCTTTAAGGCGTCTAAAACGTCGTTTTTTATATCGCCTGAAGATGGCTTTTGGAGGTTGGAACCGGCTTTATTATATCCATTTCGTTCCCTCCGGTCATCCACTCTTCGAAAAAAGGTTTGGATGTCGTCGATTACACTTCTTTTTACTCTGCTCTTAACAATTAATCTGGCTGTTCGAGCCGAGTTTAGTAAACATTTTGGGAGCTGGCTGAGTGAGCACTTTGGGGAGGATGTAAGACAACATTTGGAGAGGTAAGCACGTTAATTCTTTTCAATTCTCATCCATTTTTTGACATTTTTGACCAAAAACTCAAAATATTTTTTAATTCCTTGCCCGGTTCGGATTTAATTTTAAATTTTGGAACTCCAGATTGGACCTTGGTCCAGGTGGTTCCTTCGGAGGCAAAAAGGATGACTTTCATAAAGTCACCAAACAACCAGTGATCTTCGTTCATGGAGTATCCAACACGGCCGGGGATATGATGCTGAGAGCCGCAACTCACTTCCAGTAAGCTGACTGCAACTAATAACCGCCGCATAATCTAGTCAACACTACAATTATACGAACGCCGAGATGTATGGCACAACATATGCGAACGGGAACCAAGGGAATCCGCTGCAGTGGGCTCAGTATCAGATGCAATGTCATTACGTGAAGCTGGTCCGCGCTCTGATTGTGGCGGTCCGATTATACACAGGCCGGGCTGTAGATGTGGTCGGCTACTCGCTGGGGGTACCAGTTTCTCGAAAGGCCATCTGGGGAGGGCGGTGTGTGGATACGGGGGAGGATTTGGGAGCTCCTTTGACCAAATTCGTGGACACTTATGTTGGAGTGGCTGGCCCCAATCATGGGATCGCCCTCCAAGTTGGGGGAATTCAAGTGCCGGGCTGTGTTTTCAGTGTGGTCCCCATTTGTAATACCAGGACCGGCCTTTATTCGGGTTTCTGTCCGGCCGAAAGCGACTTCCTGCAAGACATCAACAGAAATGCGGGATATGAAGGACAACATCGCTTCTCCATCTACAGCCGAGCCGACCAGATTGTAGGCCATACTGTTTGTGGAAGAGTAAGTGAACTGCTCGATTACTTGTAGTCACTGTTACAAACTCATCGCTTTCTTTCCAGATCACCAGCCAGGTTCCCCAGCAACATGGAGAAAAGGTTTTTGCCGATAAAAACCATGATGACACCTTCTACGACTCATTCCCCTTCCTTTACAAGATGGTCAGCGAACATGTAGTCGAATAAAAATATAAATACCAAAGTAATTTATTGAGATTCGGATCAAGAATTATAAACGCATTTCTGACGCTTCAAGACGGGGTTTTATTTACTTCTTTCCGCTGTTCATCCACAAAACAGTGAGAGATGGGCCAAGGTCCGTGGCCACGTTGAGGTTGTCGCAATTTCTGTCCACGGTCTTCGTCCAACGAACCAATCCCGTAATTGCTGGGCACACTGCCCTACAAACTCCATTGTATTTTTAAAAGGTATTCTGTTGAACTTTATACTTTTACTGTTCTCTTATCACACTTTGTTTTTTTGGTAAACAGAAATTCCTATTGAATTTGAGAGAGAAAAGAGATTACTTGTAATTACTGTTAAAAAACTTGTTTTGTAACGTTCCAGATAACCAGCCAAGTTCCTCAGCAACATGGAGAAATGCTGATAAACAAGTGAGAACACGTTCAGCGGCTGTTTTCGTTGCCTTACAAGGAGGTGAACCAATGTGTAATTGAACGAAATCGTGCAAAATTGGGGCAGAAAATCTGGCGAATTGAATAACAATTTTATTATACACCGCGTTCGGAGATCGCAGACTTTATCCTTGAGCGTCAGACAACTCGAAATGCTTGTTAGAATATGTACATGAAAAGGGGCAGATCCATCGCCCAGAGAAAAGTTGTTACACTTTGTTATCTCCAACCCTCTCCCACGTGAAGAAAACGTGGCTGAAAAAGGCATTTAAGGCTGCCATTAACCGTGTTTGTGTGGTCAGTCGTATGAAGAGTCCAATTGGACGTCCACGTGAATCCCGTTCTGTGGCCTCAAAACATTCTTCCAATCAAAAAAAAAGAGTTCCTCCGTCCTTTTCAAGGCTACTGTATTCGATGAGAAGGTTCGAAGACCACCCCTTTCTCCTCTCCTTCGCCCTTAAACAGTTATTGCTGGCTGTTGTTGTTGTGAGTGATCCCTTTTCCAATCCAAATATCTCTTATTTATATCATATTCCCTTTGCGCTCCGTCTAATCTGCTCGATGGGAGAATGGCGTTCAACGCCCGACCTTTTTCTCTTTTTTCTCCTCGTTTCATTCACCTTGTTTTCGTTTATTTTGGCATGAAATACACAAATGGAGTATTGTACATGTTGATTTACATGCAAGTGTAATATCAGAAATGACCTTCCCCCTTTCTTCGGCTGACCTTCGACGACTTAAGGGAATCGGGAAGGAAGGAAGGGTTTTCGATTATTATTTTGGTATCTTCATTAGGCGAGAGAGTTGTTTGTTTTTGCTGATTCGGCACTTTTCTCCCCAAAAACAATTTTTGCTTTCTTTTAAGGTTGCATGTGGTCTTTCAGATGGCTCTTACCCGACTCGAGCGCTACAGAAGTATTCGAAATGAGGATGGGCGAGAGATAAATCCCGCGCTGTCCAGTTATTCGAGCATGGACTCGCTTCATGTGAGTTTTTGCTGATTTTGGCTGGACTTTGAACTGATGAATAAGGAAAAATATAAAGTAATGGGAAATGATATGGTGGGGCTCTGGGGCGAGTCGGTTTTCTGGGTACACGCGACCTCTGAGCTGTTTCGAAATTAAATTTTGCGAACCGATGTTGAGGCTAAAATCAATTTCTGACATAACTTTAGTTCAAGTCATCCTTGCCTATAGATGAGTCCAATTACCGTAAATTACTGTGTAATTTTAGGATCCTTACTGTTCGGATGTCCCTTCGGAGGATTTGGACAAGCTCAGCACTTGTTTGAGTGAGGTAGGTCCAATATTTTGGTCTTTTCCGCCCTTTAAACTTTTATTTATCGGTTCAAATCCCTCACTTTCTTTGGCCTCTCCGTTTTTCCAAGCTCCCTCGTTTTCCGAGAATATGCAAAGAACCCGCTTCTTTCAAAAATAGGTCATTATGACGTAATTTTAAGCCGAGATGTTCTTATTGTCTAGGAGAGTCTTCCATTATATTATACTAGACCTTCTGATGACTTTAGACCCCGATTTGTAAATACTTAATGACCGAATCGACCGGTCTTTTCGACAATCAAAGGAATAGTTGCGCAAGCATTTCTGCTTTAAGCAAAATGTGTAAAGTATAAAGTATCATGGTGATCTCTATGTTTTCTTCAGATTTTCCGATTACTTTTCTACTTTATGGTTTTTTTGAATGGAAATCACCCAAAAAGCAATCCCCTAAAGTAATATGAACAGAACAAATACCTTTAAAAGAATTAAATCAGACAGAAAAGTGATGAAACACGAAGAATTTTAGGGTTATCACGGAAAACTGCAAGAGCAGCACGTTCTAAATCGTGATTTGTCTCGGAAACGAAGAGAGTTTGTTTGTGCCCTAAGGCAATATTATTGTTGTTGGGAGGGGGATCGAGTTAATGACCGTTGCAGCAGTGCTCATTATTTTTCAAATTTTTTATTTTTTAAAATTTAAAATTTTGATGACTAAAATATTATAAATCAGAATTTTCCTCAATTTCTAGAGCAAAAAACAAAAAACCCTCAAGAATATAGTTTCTGCTACCGTAATCTGTGTTTTCGAACCATAAATTTAGCAATTGCTCCGCGTTGCTTTCCCCGATAACACATTTCTCTTCCTTTTGTTGCAACAGACGCTAGAATAACGCAACTTTTTTTTGGTTCAAAGTACAGTCAAGATGCGCATTTCATTATTCCACTTCCTCTCCATCGATTGTTTTTTCTCCACCCTCCATTCAAAGAGTTGTTTTCGTGATTAATTTGTAAAGAAAGAGGCGCTATCACTATCTTTCCCCCTTTTCATCGACCTTTTTGCTTTCTTCTTCCGTGAAATTCCGCTGATTCTACCTCGGTCCTATAAAACTGCTGCAGGGCATGACGCGTCGTACTTCCATAGAATACGAGATCCTGTCGACGGATGCGTTTGGCTTCCAGGATTCTCTGAATATTGCCAAAAAAGTAAATTTTTTTCTAAGGTCCTTTAAAGTTAAAGCCGGGCATTGCTCGAGGGTCGGTGAAAGTGTCTGCTTGTAGTGACTTTAGTATATAATTGTATAAGGCAGCCGAGATTTTTAGCAAACGTTTTTCGGCTATAGACTATGGAAAAATGAAGAGAGGTAGAGAAAAAAGTTTTTCGATGGTATCTTCTCGAAGTTATCTTTATATAAATCTGACCAAGTGTAAAAATATTTTAGTCCACATTTGAAAATTGCGGTAATTTTTACAAATTGAAAATGCAAAAAAAAATTTAAATTTTTGAAGTGATTTATATAAGGTATGTATGATCCATCATAATCTTAAGTGCATCTTCAAAAATGCTAATCTTTGCTTGTTTCCAAATGTTATCCAAGTCCTTGGCCACTTTTCCTTTGAATTTGATTTCTTTTTCAGGCCTCCAGTGATTCGAATGAAAGAAAGGAAACTTCGGTCTTCACCGATATCCTCCAGGCACAACTGGCATTGTGGACATTATTTGGTAGTATCTTCTACACTTATGCATGGCAGCAACATCGAAAAAAGTTCTTATTCTCCTTGGTAAGCAATAGTTGTAAATGTTTATCGGAAATTCGAAATTTTCGGGAAATGCCAATCAAAAAATTTGAGTACAAAAATTTCGCTACTGAATTTGAGATAAGGATTTTGTGTATTTTGAACAGTAGTCGTAGTTTAGCAAGAGCTAAAATTGGAATAAAAATTTGTGATTATCTTTATGATTTACATAAATTAATTTTCAATTTAAGATTTGTATTAACCAAAAATTTATATTCTAATTTATGTAATTTTAGTTCGTTGTTGTCCCTCCCGTCGCCCTCGTCTGCTGTACGATCAGTTCGATGTTAACTTGCATAGTAATTTTGGGGAGAGTTTTCTCATCGCCTGTCCGATTCGAGGACATGTTAAATTACAAATCAACTGAGATGACAGGTAAGAAATCTTTTCCTAATCCATTTATCTATGGTAAAAAATTTTTTAAATATTTTTTTATTGCACTTGACAAATAGTGTCCTTAAATTCAAGATTAACGATCAATCAGATGCCTAGGTTGCATTATCACGAGACTTGGGGGTATTTTCGGTTGTGACGACCTTGATATCTTTTGAAATTTTATTTTATTCATCAGCAAAAAAGCGGAAATACCACGTGACTCTGGAGATTGATTAAGCTTGTTTTTGTTTTGTCGCTGGTTCCAAAATGACTAAAGAGTTTTTTTAAAGAATTTCTCAACCAGTATTTTATCAGATAATGAAAGTTAAAAAGTGCAATTGTCATCATTTAAAACGTATTTTTGATTTTTTGCTCTTAAAGAAATATGATTTCAGAAAACGGGATCCGCCGTCGGTCCAACTCGATAAACTCATTAAATTCGTTGGCCTCGGGCCGCTCTTCCTCATGTGAAGAACTGCCCAAGCCAGTCTGCAGAAAGCATTCGAACACTTACGGATCTTATAATTCCTTGAATCAGATATCCCTGAGGTCGACTTCCCCTTCAATGTATTCAAATGGGAGTGTGAACGGGAGATGTGGCCCTTCCCCGTCGCACAAACTCAGCTACACTTTTGCTCATTGCTCTGGAGGGGCTGATGAAGTGGCCAATTAATATACATATACCATTATTCTCACTGTTGTCTTGCAAAGTTTATGTGTCATTTATTTTGTCGTATGTTACAGTACTCAGTTATTGTCGTTGATTGTATTTTTTGTTGTTCTGTCAATTTCTAGTACTGTTTTTGCTCATAGTACTATTGCTAGTACTCTTTTTGTACTGTTGGTACCACTGCTAGTACCATTATGACATCCCGCATGTCATGATGACATGTTCCTTGAAACGGGTTTCCCGATCTTCCGATCGTTTTTATTTATCTTATTTTCTCTGTTAATGTCAGATTTCCACCAAAGTCAATAAAAAGAAGGCGTCGAACTCCCGGTTGACCCGATTCTCCGCAATTCGCGGATTCAGAAGGCACGGGATTCAGAAGTTGGGATCCCGAACTTCCCAAAGACTCTCAGAATTTCCGACTTTCTCTCCAATATGAACTTCCTCTTGCTCTTGTTGTGCTTGCTCTCGGTTTTGGGCTTGGCCATCGCTCAATTACATGTGGATGGAGATGAGGTAAAGTTGGAAATAATTAGAAAACAGTCGGAGATTTAGCTGGTCCTCAATACCGGAAATGAGATCCACTCACGGAAGGTCCGCGATGTCGCCAAAAACGATCTGAACGAGGACAATTGATGACCATAGAATTCGTAATAATCATACTTGTGACAGCCATGAGTAAATTACTTTCATAAATATTAATTTTAACTCATAAATCGCTCAGAACTAAGTCAACTTTTATAATTAATTTCTTGAAAAAGACATTGAGCCCGCCAGAAATCAGAATCGACTTCCGTTGCCATTAATTCGAGATCAAAACTGCGCCCCGTCTTCATTTTAAACCTTTTTTGGACGTAAATCCGATCCCTGAATATAATTTTTAATACGCGTCCGCCAAAGAGAAGTCCGCTTAAGAAAACTGATGTTTTGACCCCGTCTAATCGTAAATTAAGGCAAATACGACATGCGCTACAAGTCGCGCCAACAGCTTTACAGGGGGAGATCAAGATCGAAAAGTCGCGCGCCGCCAATTATTCAAACCAAAGGGACCGCCGGCCGATTAAAAGACTCACCTCAATATGGGGGAGCTCTAATTGGAGGGCAATCGAGTCGAGATTAGATCATTCCAAGTTTCTGGGATTAGCGGGATCCCCGGTTGGGCAATATATGGACTCATTGAAGGGATAAAAGGGGCCTTATATGGATAAAATTATGATCGGGGAAAATTTGCAGTTCAGGACGACGACATAAAGAATATTGTTTTCTAACAACTTGTAAGAAACAAAGTGAACAAGGAACGGTTTTCTGTGTCCGTTTCTATGTGTTTCTATTTATTTTTACAATCTCTCGCCAAAAGTGGTTGCTGAATATGCGAACGGTCCATAGAAATGTTTCTTTGAGAACTCGACCAGACCAGAGAACCCATGCCCACAAAATTTAAAGAACCCATCAAAGCATACATAAAGCAAATCATACTTTGCTGCACATTTCTTTTTGGCAAGAAAAACACCCAAAAAATACAGGCTTAACTGTACAGTAATCCTGCAACGACAACCGCTCTTTCCATCACCCTCCACGCCCTTTCCATTACTTGAGAGATACAATCTGAAACATGAGAATTAGCTGTTCGGAAAGAAGCTCATTCGAGTGCGCGAAATGGTGTGATTGAGTGGGAATTATGGGATCAGGCCTTTGTCCGTGCCCACTCTCCAATTTCTTGGCCGTTTTTTCTACCCGTTCATTTAGGGCTCGGTTTCTATAGCGACTCAACCGGAACCAATTTGAGGCGATGAATGGAGAAAATGAGGTGGTACCTGGATTTGGAGAAGGGGAATCAGGACCTGACATTAAAATGGAGAGGATCTGAGACGACTTAAAATTAGAGATGTAAGGTCAAAGGGAATAAACATCAATAATTATAATATTGAGTTGAATCAAGGGATTACTGTACACTCAAATTTGATCCAAGTGTCCATGCCTAATTAATCCAAATATTGCCCAACTCGACTTCTTATCCTTCCGATCGCCCTCAAAACCCGAGGATTGTAAAAGTGCCGTCCCCTCCATTTTACATTCTCCGAGACAGATGTCCGACGTTGCGCAACTCTCGATTGTCCACGCAATGAATCGCTTTCCCCCTCTCTCGCGATTTATCACCGGCCATGAATAAGTAAATCCACCTGAATCCCGGGGCCGGATCTCGCTCCGTTTATGACCTCCAATTGTTTTATTACATGGCATTGTTTCCGTAATCTAATAACCCGAGAATGGACAATAAACAGTCCAATTATTTGGCCTCCCGCTGCCCCACAGACATTATGCAAATTAATGCGCGAATTCCCTCGGAAATGTGGCCATAAATGTGAGATGTTAAATTTAGATTGATTATTCCGCTCGGTTTAATTGTAATGCGGATTCAGTGGACTGGACTGTAATAGTACGGTCCCCAATAATTAGTGGCTTCCGTGGAGGTATTGAGGGGGAAAATGAGGGACAATGACCGGTCAGATTAGGGTAAACATAATCGATTTGGGGCTAATCGAACAGAATTGTGGCTAGAATTAATATTTACAAAAAAACTGTCTACGATTTCTTACAATTTTAATATTACTGTAGAGTAGTTCTAATAAATGTTTATATTAAACCGTTGTTTCTCTTACGGCTATGCAAATGACGTCTTTATGACTCAAACCCGACCTCCAATGCAATAATAACTTACCTAGTGCCCTGTATTTCCCGAAGTCATTAAATCGGCATTCCTTTAAAAAACTTCTGGAGGAGATCTCCTGGGGTTTCCCTTTCGGTTCCCCGCTTGGACCAGGCATGTTCCCCTGACCTACATCACACGATCGATCCCTTCAAGAACCCTTTTGGGGATCTCGCAGATCCGCGATAATCCGCCAACTCGAAAACAAAACTTGGCTCCCATTAATCCAATAATAAACACATCTTTGCACATGGATAATATCTTGAATAAACAGGCCTTCCGTTACCTAATGACCGACTTAATGGCCGGGCATCATGGCCATGTTTGGCCACAGAGCAAACAGAACCCGAGATTCTCGTCATTTTTGTCATTTATGTCTAATTAAGGCAAACAATAAAAATAAATTCTAGAATTACAATACCCGTTCGGAATAAATGAACAAACAATAAAAGTATTTAGAAAGCGATCACTTATCACTGATGGAAGTATTGCTGATTATTGTAATAGTACTGAGAGACCTCTGATTTGATATCGTACATCTGATATGAGTCTTGCGGAGGGTACGGTTGCGATTGGTGAGGCTGGTAAGGACTCTGTTGATTGGGTGTTTGGATTGCGGAGAATGGAGAGGGAGATGCAGAAGATACGGCTGATACCGAAGAACTACTTTGGTCTTTGGAGGCAGAGGGGCCGAGGAGACTCTCGAGATGTTTGATGTACTGGATGGCTGCTTTGAGGGTATCCGCCTTGGTCAGTTTCTTGTTTTTGTAGAGTTCCCATTCGTTCAACTAAAAACAAAATGATTACTACAGCAGAAAGGGAATTGGCGGTCGATAAATACAAAACCGTTTAAAATAAAGGTAATCAAAAATAGACCTCAGAAGTAACAAGCTTACCATCTGACCCAAGTATTCGTATCCGGCATTCACTTGCTTTACCCTCTGGCGTTCCCGGGCATTTCTCCGTTCCACCTTTTCTCGAGGCTTGTGGATCGCCGACGATTTCTTGGACTCGGAGCGCATTTTCGGTGGCATGGACTCTGAATTTGGCAATGGATAAAATGAAGGGGGATCTCGCGCCCTCGCCCCCCCCCCCCTGTCTCGAGGCCCCGCCCACGCGCCAAAATTGGTGTGCCGAAAATTACAGTCCCCCAGTCGGACTGTGACATGAAGAAGATGACATGGAGCAGAGTAAATTGACTCTGATCGAGCACGCTTAATCAAGTTTGAAGCAAGTCAAGGCACACGTCCGACTTGGCGCTAAATACCTCCAGCTGTGAGTAAAATATTTTTTCGACGAAACGCCGCCGATAAACAACAAGATAACCCCAGGATCAGGTCGCGCGCCAAAAAAATATTTCGATTATTTTTTGTTTTTGTTTCCACGGATTAACCGGGAAAGTGGGAGTAGCCTGGAGCAAGGATCAAAACAGTTCAACGGATTAGCTGGTCTCATGAAATGATTACGCAGAAGAATGCAACATTCTGCACGGATATTGTATACAAAACGGTGATGTAATCTCTTGGGAATGGATCCCGGAATGGCCTCGCTGAATAATTTTATTGTTTCCGAGGTCAGAACTGTCATTTTAAGGATATTGGAGGCGATATGCAAATCGCCCAAGGATAATAAAAAAAAGTAACAAAATTTGGAAATTGGAATAAATTTGCAATGGCGCAAGCGATGGTTGAAACGCAACTATGAAATAAAAGCATCTTTTAGAAATGTTAAATGATTTGTAAAATTGAAGGGAAAACGCGCCTTTAAGCGTATCTAAAAATGATTCGGTAACTTCATACACAAGTCAGTCCATCGATCTTTTGATGTTCCCAATACATGAAACAAACGCCTTATTTGGCAAGTCCTTCCATTAAATACCTTTTTAAATGCTTTGCGGATAGGATTGCACTCGAATCGAATCCAGCGAGTCCTCGGCTTCGGAGTTCTCGAGACCTCAAAAGAAACGCCGCAACTCTCGACTGTTGCCTTATGAAAAACCCCTTTTTCTTGCGCACTAATTACCGTAAAAGGCGCTTGAAAGCGACGGCTTTAAGGTCACTCCTATTCCGGGTACCCCATCCAGTCGGGGCCATGAGATTTGGCCATCTAAAGAACGGCCGATAAATCTCTGGAACACTCTATCTCCCTCTCTCTGCGCGTTTTGTCAAGGCCAAACACGCCTTTGCTTGTCATGTTTGGTGTCATGAAAAGTAGAACTGTCACCCCAGCGACGAATTAAAATCAAACAGAATGGGTTAAATCCGAGGAAAAATATAAATCGAAGTGGAAGTCCATCCCGCTTGAGGTTTCTTAATTTAATGACCCCATTCATTCCCATGCCCAATACAAATATTCAAGGTTGAAGGTGCCGTAAGCTTAAGCATTCGTTTCCATTTCGAGCATTACTGTATAATTTAGACACAATTTTATGTTCTTCAATATGTTTGTTGCATAATTATCAGCCCATAATCTCAAAGTCCACTGCCTACAGTACCCAAAAACAATCTCCGCGACCATAAATCATAATCAGCTGGTCTTCAAAAGGAGTTTATTCGAGGTGGAGGGAGGTCGAATTGCATAATCACCGACTGTCGCCAACCACTTCAAATGCCTCACCGCCATTCTCGAATTGAACTTTTTTTGATCGGACCCGGGCGCGAAAACGTTCTTCCTTTCGGGCGCGGATTTAAGACAAGGCCATTTCCGACATAAATCCACTTGGAGCTGCTCAAACAAGATCTTTTCATGGACGGTGTTTGAAGTCGGGCCGAACCAGCATCTGGTGGGTGTTATAACCGATTTCCGGCGAATGTGTTTGTCCTTCCAATTTCGGTGATTTCCATAGAAGTTGAGGATAATTTACTGTAATGTGTACACAAACATCTAAGCGCAGAAAATAACGATTACAATGGAGCAGGACACAAAATCACATAAAAAACTTTATTGTTCAAATCATAATTAAACTTTCAATGTCGATGAAATTTTGCTATAGTGACCGGTAACTGTCAACAAAGTGTGGAACCTTAAGCTCATAATCAGGTCTGGCTCAAAATTCCTTGCTGTTTTTTGTAATCAAGAATTATATTCCAAATTTCGAAATCCTCTCCACCATCCAGTGATCCGAGATTATGTAACCGGAACTGGCGTTTAGCCCTGAGGCATTTCCCTCCCATTTTCCTTCGAATTTTCGGAGATTCGCGTGGTTCTGCTTACATATCCATCTAGGTGCGACCATCAGGCATCGGAGAGAAGTTTGTGAAAAAACAGCTGAATTAAAAGGGATTACCTTCTTTCTAATAGGTCAAGGCCGTAAAAAGTAAAAAAATCTGGTTTTTTGGAGAGGAAAAAGATTCGAAATTTTATGAAACCGGATGAGGAATGGCTCAAGGAAGATACACAGGCAGTTAAAGTAGTAGAAGGAGAGCCGTAATCGAGTAATTAGTGAGGGGCAAGTGTAAGAAAGTAGATGCTTCATTACATTTACATCTGCTGCAACGGAATATGTAAATGATTTATTATTTTATTCTCAAACGAGCTCCTCTTCTCGTCCGTAATCCTGCTAACGCACCGAGCGCCGGGATGACATCAGAAATGCGCTAACCATATATTGATCATGTTATCACAGGGATGACCGCCGCAAGGATTACATAAGTGGCGACGACTGGTTCCCCGAAACCCGTTAAAAGCGGCGAACGGAGGCTCGGCGCTGATAAATAAGAAGGGAGGTTGCGCGAGGCTCCGTCTTCTTGTTCATCATCGTGCTGCTCATCTTCCTTCTTTCTTTCCGCCCCAACTCGTTGGTGGATCTCGTTGAACCGAGCCGGTTCCGAAGCCCCAAAACGCGACGCTAAAACGAGCCCGTCCAGATTTTCGGGGTGTCTTCAGCGACGCGTCTTCGCGGATTCCTCAACTAACTCCGCGACGCATCTTCCTTTTTCGTGGCGTGTGTTCGTATCTTCTTCATCCCTCTGCCTTTCCTTTCCTTAACAGCTCGAGGGGAATTAAGCCCGCGACGGCCCCGATCCTCGCCCACCACACCTCCATCCCCCGCTCCGACTTTATCAGTCCAGTCCGTCGACGAAAAGGCGGTGAGCGTTCCTTTCCCTCATTCCTAATTGGGTTACTGTACTATCGATGACCGACCGACCACCGACCTTCAACGAGTTGTTGATTCGGGAAGTCCAGAACCATCCTGAATTGTACGACCAACAGCATCGAGTGTGCACGGACAATGAGGAGAGGAATATGATGTGGGAGGTCATTGCGAGGAGGATCGATGACAATGTGACCGGTGAGGACAATATTTGAATATTCTATTTACTTTTTCAGTTTTTATTTATTAACCGTTTTTTCAGGGGAATTTGCCAAGAAAAGATGGCTTCAGATGAGAGATCGGTACCGAAAAGAACTCAAAATGGCCTTGCGTAATATGACTCAACCCAAATGGCCATATTTCGAGAAACTCAGCTGGCTTGACCCCTACCTCAAGGACTCCAAATCTGCCGGTCTTCATCCGCCTTTTATCAACAACAAGCTCGAGTCCACCGAAAACAACACTCTTCTGGAGTCCATCCACAAGATCTCCGAGAGCAAACCTCATTTTTGGAGTCATTTCCCCACCAATGAAAACTCCGAAGTTCCTGAATTCCCTTATCCGAATGCTGTGAGTACAGATACCCTCCTCCAGAATATAATGGCCGCATCATCGTCTGCATTCGAACAGCTACAGCGACATCGAGAAGAAGGAGAATTCTCACCCGACAGTGCCATTGCATCAACCAGTGAAGACGGAGATCATCAGGGCCCTCTGAATGTCCAGCCTTCTTCTTCGACCACCGCTTCTGAAGCCGGGAGTAGTGCCAGCTCTCAGATTCGAAATCAAAGTGCATCGCCAGAACATGAACAACCAGTAAAGAGTGATGAAAGTAGTAGTAACAGTGAGAGTGGACAGGTGAGGTTTTTTATTTTTTCTTGACCTTATTAATGTCCTTTTAGAGTGTGGAACAACTAACTCTGGACACCTCTCTGCTCGCCATGCCCGGTCTCACCAATCCCGACGGATCTCTAAGCTTTATGGGATCAGTGTTACGTAATCTCAGTGCCTCAGTAAACTCCCAATCTCAGCCCGTCCGCACCAATTCCAGGAATCGAAATCCCCCCTATCTTGTCCGCCGAGGTGGCGGGATCAAAATCAAACAAGAGCGTCCCTCAGGAGATGCACGTGGCTTCAAACCATTGGTCAAAACCATGTCCGTCGGAGGGAATCACGCCTCGAATCTTCTGAATTTGAATGGAACACCCGAGAAAGAAGGGGATGACAGATTACCTGAATGGACCACCGACGAAGATGTGCTCTTCGCGAGGCTGGTCGCGGTGCGGTTGAAGAAATTCGGGGCTAAGGACAAGCGAATTGTGAGTGATGACATTTGATGTGTCTTACTTTGTCATGAATCACAAAAAAGTGGGAGAATTTTGAAAGTTTCGCAAAAAATGTCATGTGATTTAAAAGAGAGTTTTTTACAGAATGAAGCTTCTCATAACAAGGGCCGGACATTTCGAAAAAACGACCAACTTAGAATCTTTCGATATTTTGCATAGTTGTTGTATTATGATAGCTGAACGTCAGTACGAATTTTTAGTTTCTGAAATTACCGTATACGGGGGTTACGGTAGGTACAATTTTTAGAAAGATTGGGTTCGTGTGTAAAAACCCCGAGGAGTAAAAGCACAAAACCTCGCTGTTTTACGTTTTTGACCATGGGGAACATTTTCATAATTGACAACTTTACCGTAGGATGTTGCCTTCGACTACTTTGAAAAATACCAAGGTACCATATTGAATGTAACTTTTTTGCAGAGAACTTGTCTCAACTTTTGAAACCTCTCAAATATACTTTGACATGTATGTAACAACATATCAAAAATGCGCGAAAATAAAAGGGGTGGTTTTGGAGTTACGGTACTTTGAAGGCAGCCGGTGCCGTATATCAAAATATAATTTTTTTCAAAATCGGTGTAGAAGACCCGCAAAAATTGCCAAAATACGTTTTCGACCATGGAGAACATTTTTGTAATTAACACTTTTTTTGTAGGATGCAGTCTTCAACCGGTATGAGAAATATCAAGATACCATGTTCAATATAACTTTTCGGCATTTTACTTGTCTCAACTTCTGAAACCTTTCAAAGACACCTTGACGTATGTGTAACAACATATCAAAAATTTAGAAAAATAAAAAGGGTGGTTTTGGAGTTATGGTACTTTTAATCTTGATCATACAGTACACCAAACTTTTGTTGTGCTGCTGACATCCGAATTTGGAAGATTCCACCGTCTTATGGCATACACGAGTCTAAACCGTGGTAATCGTTGCAAAAAAAATAAGAAATCGCTGATCTTGCTGTTACAGTAACCAATTATATGCGCACGATATGTTACAGTACGCTTAGGCCTAAATTTTCTGAATTTCCTAGTGAAAATAGTTTCTGAGGGTCGTGCAACATACATAAAACATTACATCTTGTTTTTAAAATAATTTGCGTAAAGTTTAGCCGAGAATAAATCTAGGTGTACTGTATGTCCAACATTCAAAGTGCCATAACTCCAAAACCACCCCTTTTATTTTTCTAAATTTTTGACATGTTGTTACACATATATCAAGGTGTCTTTGAAAGGTTTCAAAAGTTGAGACAAGTAAAATGCCGAAAAGTTATATTGAACATGGTATCTTGATATTTCTCATACCGGTTGAAGACTGCATCCTACAAAAAAAGTGTCAATTACAAAAATGTTCGCGAGGGTCGAAAACGTATTTTGGCAAGGTTTGCGGGTTTTCTACGTCAAGTTTAGAAAAAAGAAAATTTTGATGTACGGTACCGGCCACATTCAAAGTGCCATAACTCCAAAACCACCCCTTTTATTTTTCTAAATTTTTGATATGTTGCTACATACATGTCAAAGTATTTTTGAGAGGTTTCAAAAGTTGAGACAAGTAGAATGCCGAAAAGTTATATTGACCATGGTACCTTGGTCATTTTCCAAGTAGTCGAAGATGACATCCTACAGAAAAAGTGTTAATTACAAAAATGTTCTCCATGGTCGAAAACGTATTTTGGCAATTTTTGCGGGTCTTCTACACCGATTTTGAAAAAAATTATATTTTGATATACGGTACCGGCTGCCTTCAAAGTACCGTAACTCCAAAACCACCCCTTTTATTTTCGCGCATTTTTGATATGTTGTTACATACATGTCAAAGTATTTTTGAGAGGTTTCAAAAGTTGAGACAAGTAGAATGCCGAAGAGTTACATTACACATGGTATCTGGGTCATTTTCGAAGTAGGCGAAGACTACATCCTACAAAAAAAGTGTCAATTACAAAAATGTTCGCCATGGTCGAAAACGTCTTTTGGCAATTTTTGCGGGTCTTCTACACCGATTTTGGAAAAAAATTATTTTTTGATATACGGTACCGGCTGCCTTCAAAGTACCGTAACTCCAAAACCACCCCTTTTATTTTCGCGCATTTTTGATATGTTGTTACATACATGTCAAAGTATTTTTGAGAGGTTTCAAAAGTTGAGACAAGTAGAATGCCGAAGAGTTACATTACACATGGTATCTGGGTCATTTTCGAAGTAGGCGAAGACTACATCCTACAAAAAAAGTGTCAATTACAAAAATGTTCGCCATGGTCGAAAACGTATTTTGGCAATTTTTGCGGGTCTTCTACACCGCTTTTGGAAAAAATTATTTTTTGATATACGGTACCGGCTGCCTTCAAAGTACCGTAACTCCAAAACCACCCCTTTTATTTTCGCGCATTTTTGATATGTTGTTACATACATGTCAAAGTATATTTGAGAGGTTTCAAAAGTTGAGACAAGTTCTCTGCAAAAAAGTTACATTCAATATGGTACCTTGGTATTTTTCAAAGTAGTCGAAGGCAACATCCTACGGTAAAGTTGTCAATTATGAAAATGTTCCCCATGGTCAAAAACGTAAAACAGCGAGGTTTTGTGCTTTTACTCCTCGGGGTTTTTACACACGGACCCAATCTTTGTGAAAATTGTACCTACCGTAACCCCCGTATACGGTAATTTCAGAAACTAAAAATTCGCGCTGACGTTCAGCTATCATAGTTCAACAACTATGCAAAATATCAAACGATTCTGAGTTGGTCGTTTTTTCGAAATGTCCGGGGTCCAATTTCCTATTCGAATTCTGAATCGAATAATTCGACCGAAAGTGCAAAATTTCAATTTTTGGGAAAATCGTCATTGTCGACAAAAAATATTTTGGAAGGAGGTCGGTCGGACTTTTTGTCGCAACTGTGAAATTCAAAAATCGCCGCGGTGCAAGGTTCTTCAATATCGTCGCCACGAATTTTGCGAGCGTGACAAGCATTTCACAGTAAAAAAAGTGGAAGAATGCACTGTGAGCCGCAAAAAAGTCCATGCATGAAACGGCTTAGCAGCAAGTTTTAAGGATAGAATACCCCTCTCCTCGTATTTTAGGGACTTATCGCAGTTATACGCCATTCATGGCACATTTTTCCGATTTTTTCAAAATGTTTGCAATTGAAAAAACATGGAAATTTCAGATTTCCAGAGATCCCGGTAAGCAATCAAGCAACCGAACCCCGGACCAAAAATTGCTCCCAAATGACAATTTTCCCAAAAATTGGAATTTTGCACTTTCGGTCGAATTATTCGATTCAGAATTCGAATAGGAAATTGGACCCGGGCCATCCTTCGAGTTGTAAAAAACTCTCTTTTAATTCAAAAATTTGTGAAAGATATTTTTTTTTTTAATTTGATACTTTTTATTCGGACCTACAGTAGTCCATACGGCGGATTCTTCTCCTATTCACATATTTTTACTTCCAAATTTCAGATTCGATCTCGTATATCCGAATTTATGGACGAAAAAGAAGAACAAATCGAGCTGAACAAGGTCCGATCAGGCTGATAAAGCAGAACATAAATGTCCCCAATGACGTCATTAGGTAGTATTCTGTAGATTTCACATGTATATTATAACACTTTAATCTTATTCTGAAGCTTCCTCGAGTGCCATAAGTAAATTGTTTTTTCACTACTGTATTCTCTGCCTTTTCGTTGGAAATAAAACTATTAAAGATGAGTGAGCTCTTGTGCAATATTTCCAATTTGGACCCGCCGCTTCAAGTATCATATAAGGCCTATACTGAAGCCAATGGACTGTGATAAATGGCCGTAAGAGGTCGCGAATATGATGAGATATACGGCATAATATTATTCGTAACCTCGCTTTTACGCCTGGTAGTGTTTGCTCAAAGAATTAGCGGATCTGAAGGGATATCAGAGGGATTAATGTTGGCCAGGTTTTATAAGGTTATACCGAAAAAGAAGTGCCGATATTGTACTTGAGATGTCATAGCAGGACATAGTAAACTTTGCTCAAAAAACATTGTATTCGAGGGCTCCTTTCCTTCTCTTCTTACAGTCCCCCACTTGACACGAAAAAAGAGAAATGGTCAACCAATCGCCCGCCCCCCCCTTTCAGCTCACTTTATTTTACTGTTATTCAGAAAGAACAAGATGGCCAACTCTGCTACCAATCAAATGCCTATTAACAATGATGATTTGGAGAAATTGCTGAGGATGAGAGCGGAAAGAAATCAACGGACTCCCAAGTGTGCACGCTGCAGAAACCATGGAGCTGTCTCTGCGTTGAAGGGTAAGAATCTTGAATTTTTTATTGTCTGAAAAACGGCTTTAGAGGGAATTCTGATGATAACAAAAATAATTTTGGAAGTCGAAATTTTAATGCTCTTTTACATTAGTAATTTTTCTAGGCCACAAGCGTTTTTGCCAATGGAAAGATTGCATGTGCGTTAAATGCACGCTGATTGCCGAGCGTCAACGAGTCATGGCTGCGCAAGTTGCATTGAGAAGACAGCAGAGTCAAGAGGAAAAGGAAGTCAAGGATCTGGAGAGACTTTTAGGCCCTCAGGCATCTAAATTACTCAATGTTATCCGTCAGCGGGAAATTGATCCAGATGAGGAAAAGAATATCAACAACAATGAGGTCAAAGGTAAATTAAAATTTATGTTTATTTCTCTTTATTTGACGTATTAGTAACTTATCGTTAGTTTAATAGTTATTTTATACACTACACTGACTATATCTTGATTATCTACTGAAAAGAATATCCAAAGCCAAGAGAAACTTTATATCGCGCCTGACCTCGAGTTTGCAAACTTTTTCCGATGGAATTTTCAACGGGTTAAACCTGCGTTTTCTCAAGAGTTTTCGCACTCTCGAATGGCCAATATTGAATTACTCGACTGTCCACAGTAAACCGTTAATTTCGGTGCAGGTGGACAGGGAAAGTTAATCTTCTTGACCTGTTGAGAAAAGATTTGGGCATTCGAAAAACGTGTCATTAAGAGATTACGCAATACAGTCCGCGCAAATTTGGATCCAAAACAATGTCTTAATTACCGTACAAAGAGAATTTATAAATCGCAAAATGTAAAATTTACATGAGTTTTGTCGGATTTGGAAAATAAAATTTTAGCAAAATCAGAGCAGAGATCGACCGATGAAGAAGATGATCAAGGACCGATTGAGCCACCAGCGAAGAAAATGAAATGCCCTGAGGATTCGAAGCCAATGAGTGTCCTAGACCTGACGACCACTCCAATTCCAATGCCTTTTCAGCCTTTTCCGACTACTCCGACCTTTTACAACCCATTTCTTTACAATTCTTTGGTCAGAAATAATCAAAATGGCTTCAACTTCTTTCCTATGTGATTACCACTCTGTTTCGTATTTTATATTTTTTTAAATGTAAAAAATAACTCGTACTGGCTCTCCTCTAATTTTAACTTGTATAAAAATTTTGCAAAATAAAAAATTATGCAAATTTGGAATGTTTTGAGTTTTCCATAATTTTAATTTTATTTTTTGGACATTATCGCAAGACTGGCTGTTTATCCTAACAGTCGCACCTCTCTGATATCCACTCTCCTCTTTTTTAATTATGACATCCGAAGAGGAAGATGATCTTGGAATTAAACCGGTAAGAGAAACTACATTAAACTGGGTAAACCATAACTTCCAGGAGGCCGTAATCAGTGCTGGCAAAGGAAACTACGTGGTGGATTGTTTATTGGGCGAGGGAGGATTCGGAGCCGTTTATAAAGTTCACCTGGAGTCGAATCCGAGGAAATTTTTTGCAATGAAAGTCGAGAAAAAGTTGGAGACAAGAAAGGACAGTAAACTCAAGATGGAAATCGCGATTCTGAAAGCTGTGGCGGAGAAAAAACAGCCGTAAGTTGGCCCGAGCGTCGTAGGTTATATTCTAGACATTTTGCATTACGGTAATCACATCTATTTTACAAATCTTTTAGGAAAATCCCGAATATATTAAGATGATTAGAAATCTTTCAGAAAGAAACCAACCCATTTCACAGAGATCATCGACAGAGCAAAGAAAGATACTTTCACTTTGATTGTAATGCAATTGGTGGGCAAATCTCTGGCCGATCTGAAGGCCTCTTGTCCCTCCAAAGTTTTCTCAACTTCCACTGGATTGGGCGTTGGCTCACAATGCCTCCAGGCGGTCGAGGAATTACATGGCGCCAAGTTTGTACATCGCGATATCAAGCCCGCCAATTATGCAGTAGGATTGGAGGAGAAAAGTCATACCGTAAGTTATTTACTGCAGTATTTTTGAGATTTTACTCTTTTGAATCTAATATGATAATTTCTGATTATATTATCTTATCTTCAGGTCTATATTTTGGATTTCGGAATTGCCAGAAGATTCGTGAAGAGTGACGGGGAGTTGAAGACGCCGAGAGAAGGCATCGGATTCAAGGGAACTGTCCGTTTCGCCTCTCTAGCTTGCCATAGAAACTTTGATGTTGGTCCAATCGATGATGTGGAGTCCTGGTTCTACCTTCTCATCGATATTCTGATACCGAAAGGACTTCCATGGAAGAAATTATCGGACAAACATGATGTCAGAAAAGCGAAAGAAGAGTTCCGATCGAAAGGAACTTTCCTTTCCACCTTCCCTGATATCAAGTATAAGATGGAGCTCCTCAAAATTTTCGAATATATCCAACAAACTCAGTATTGCGAGTCGGTGGATTACAATTACATTTACAAGATGCTTGAGTTGGTAAGTGCCCTTAAGATTGAAAAAAATAAATTTTTTGGTATGAATTATTATATTGCTTTAGGCAGCCAAGATTTCCAACGTCCCAATTGACGCCGCATTCGAATGGGAGAACGCCAAGTCCAAGGAGTCTTCTGTTTCGCAAATTTCAAAAGAATAAACATTTATTCACTCGTTGATATGTAAAGCCGGGTTACATTTATCACAGTTAGAATTCTAGAGTTGAGGAGTCAATTTCACGAAGACAATAGGAGTCTGAAAGCATAATTTGAAACAATAAACTTCTCTTCTAGCCCATGCGGTCTAATTTAACACTTCAAAACATTTGAATCAAAAATTTCAAAAATCTCAAACTGAAACAATGAATCACAACTCACTTGACATCACTATTAGTAGACCTCATTCCGCCCAGATTGACCACTCTTTCGTGTCGTCGCAAGAACTTTGTGTCATTGTAATCATCCATTTTCTCAGGGATTAATGGAGATTTGGACCGTTTCCTCCGTTCCGAACTCTTTATACGGTTGTAAATAAACACTCCAATCACTGATAGTAACATTCCCAAGAAATTCATGGGAGTTACGGGGTTCCTGAGATAGATCAGGGAGATTATAATCACCGCGATTCTCTTGGCTGCGTTTGAAATTGCATAAGAAAGGGTGGTCAATTGATGGATCAAAAGGAAGGCACAGAGATTCTGGATGAACGAGAGGACGCCAGACATGAGGAGATAGCCGACAAAGTGGCTGATCGGCTCTACAACTCGCTAAAACAAGTGGAATGCAAACGTACATCAATTTTCAAGTTTTTAAATTGACTTTTATAGTTACCGAATGTTCTGAATCAGTAAAAGTTGACCATAGAGCCATTCCATCCTTGAGAAACCAGAATGGGAACAACATTAGTCCAGCCAATTGACTGTTCAGCGACAGTAAATTGAGGGGATGCATATTTGTCTCTTCGAAAACCTAAATTTTTGATCGAAATCAAAAAACGTCACTTACTTTCTTGGCCAACACATTTAAACAGGCGAAGACAGCCGTAGAAAAGAGAGAGGAGAATAAACCCATGGAATTAAATTGTAATTCAGTAACCGAAGCTACAAAAACTCCGCAAATAATTGGAAGTAATGATAAATATACTCGTTTCGACTGGACCTCACTCAAGATGTAGCGAGATATGACAACCGTGAAGACTGGCATGGTAGCTTTGACTGAAATTCCAAATGTGCTAAGGTTCATTAAAGGAGTGATGACTCATAAAGTACAATATAATTTTACCTGTTTGAGCATACGAAACCGGGACTTTTAGTAGCCCAAAATATGCAAACCCAACTCCAAGCGCTCTGCCGGCGGATATGGGCAATATCGTCTTCAAAAGGTATGATTTCTTCGGCCTTATGGGCTCTATCCGGAAATAGGCCATCAAGGGGATACTGTAGATTACATTGTTAATTAGACTCGAAAGAGCAATGGTTAGAGGAAATGGGAACTTCTAAACGCCAATCACAATATAATTTCGCAGAGTGCTTACTTGAAGGGCGAGTTTATTTACAACATTTTGACCAGAACTGCAACTATACCAAGTGATACAGACGACGATTACTTGGATAGTGAAGATCGTATCCCGCTTCACATAAGGCAAGAAGCCCATAAATGGACCCCAGTTCTAAACGGAGATTAGTCAGCTGATTGGCTCTTGAGATAACAAGGTAGCAAACCGTAACGTCGGCTATATTATCACAGGCCATCATCTTTTATTAACAATAATTTATTTGCCAAAAAATAACAAAAATCTCTATACATCATATTTGAGTTCTCCAATAAACAAAGGTAGTTGTAATCTTACACCTTCTTCCCATTTCTCCAATATAAACCTCCTTTTTGGACTTTAAGAGCTGTCCGAGGCCGCTCTTCTTCTCTGGAACTTCTTACTTCGATTCTTTTCGTCTTCAGATTCACTCTCCTCTTCACTGGATCTATCGTCACTGAAGATGGATTCGGAAGAAGGCTCCGAATCTACATCTACATCCTCCAATTCGGACGTTTTCTCCTCCTCGGCCTCGTCTTCCTTGTCCTCCGCGGTCGTGCTCGTTGTGTTTACACGTGGTCCACGTCGCTCGGGTCTACCGGCTCGAGTTCTCTCCTTTTTGTAGATAATTCGGCTGGATCCTTTTAACTTTCGGAGAAGAATCGGGGCGAGACGTCCATTGTTGGTCAAGAAATATTTAGTGTGGTAGTAGTCCAGATGGTTTTTGAATACTTTCTCCACATGTGCGAACCTGAAGACATAATATTACTTTATTAATAACCGCTAATCAATTTCTTATCACAAACTATCGCAAAAAAAGAGAACAAAAGTATTCGCCTAACCTAAAATAAACAACCCAAGCATGTGACAAAGTAAACTGAACCACTTTATTTATAATCGACTCCCATCAAAGGCAAGCCTACAAACCTGCCAACCCTACAAATGAAGCGAATGTAATCCCTGTGAAAACTCAGCAAAATCAAGGCTATCAGTTTTCTTTTCACACATGGCATCACAAAAAAAAATTTTTAATTCCACAAATCTACTTACCATCCCAATTCAGTGAGTTCTTTCTCTTCCGGTGGCAACAATCCAGTCACAAATTCGTTCTCCTTGATATTCTTGCTAGTCAGATGCAATAACTTGACGGCATTCGTAGCGCTTTCCACAGAATGCGAGGGGGAGAGAGCGAGAATCGAATCGAGGTCATTCCAGGGTTCGGTTGGCGGGGGTTCGCTCTGCTTGGATATTATATTAGGGAGGTGATCGGGATTGAAAAGATGGCTCGTGTCTTCTTGATCGTGTCCATCTTTGTCTCCAAAGTCCCGTTTATCCTTATGTCTAAGTCTGGTTTTATCAAATACATATTCAGGCCGTAATCTCAGAGTTCTCTGAGTTGTCATTGATCGAAATGGAGGTCGGGTGAGATTCAAAATCTGCTTTTTGAGTTTATCCACCATCACATTATAGGGGATTCGGTTCACATCCACTTCGAAGTAACCTAAAGAATAAAAACACCAAAAATAGACTTACAATCTTTATTCCACAAAGGGAATTCACTCAAGAGAACATAGCTAACATCATCACCACAGTCTTTATACCTATCAAATCCCAATTTCTTCATAGAAACTCCACTGTGTATGTTCAAACGATTATCTTTAAACATAGACTTTATCATTTTAACACGCTCTTTGACAGTCTCCACCTCAAAATCGGCAGTGTGAGCTCGTTGGTGAACGATTACTAAAAAGTCCAAAACACAATAAATATTCACTTACTAAAATTAGTCCTCTTCGGATACCCCGCAAATTTTCGGGCATTGAATTCAGAATAAAGAGAGGCCCTGAGGACTTCCTGGATCATGTCCATATCAATGAACCAGTCGATTGTCAATAATACGGTATGGCAAATATCAAATACGGTAGAAAGTAAAGTGAGATCATCGGCTTGGAAGGTTTTGAATTGGTTTTTACCATCTCCACGACTCCTTTTATTGTAATCTTCAAGCACCGCACCGCAATTGAACGGCTGAAAATCAAGATATACAAAAAATCATTCACTCAACACTTACTCGGCAATCAATGTAAACGTTTCTTGATTCACTGATATAAATAGCAAGACCAGATGTTTGATAAAAGCCACCATCAACAGTATCCTTAGTAGCAGGACGAAAAATGTATTGCCTAAATTTGAAAATAATAATATTTGATACCTAAAGTATTATATTATACCTGAACTGATCCTGCGGGTTATTTCCGGCCAACATGCTCATCAAAGTCGATTTCCCACTTCCTTGAGGTCCAATTATTCCAATTACATGCTTTATGACGTCAGATTCGGACAATTTCGACTAAAATTACAATAATTGAGAATTGAAATTGGCATACCTTGATAAAACTGAGCAACTCCAAAGACTCGTTCACGAGTGGTACTGACCCTGCATTATTCTTGTAGCCTTTACCTCCCCGGTGAGATGACGATCCTGGACTTATCAAATTCGCATCCTTCTTTTCAACTTTTAATGACTAAAACAATATAATAAAAAATAACCATGCATCCCTACCTCCCCATGCTTCAGTAATGTGAATCCCTCCATCCATCCAAATAGCGCTTTGTATCTAAACCAGCTTCAATAATAAAATAAAAACATTCAACGTCAGCAATAAAAATTATTTTTGGCAAATACAATGGGATAAAATCACCAATAAGATATATACAATCTTTATCTATATTAACATTCATGACTCATAATGGCTATGAGGTATATCGAAGTCTAGACTAATAAATAACAATCATTTCTCCTCTTCACCGTTTCAGACCCGGCTTTAACACAGACGATTTGTCGCCGCGACACAATGGGCAAAACCACTTTACACCTTTGGCGGGCTTCGCTTTGATGTCCACACACTCGAAATGGAACCATTCTATCGAACAGTGGAGATTATCACACCCGATCATCTGCCCGTACGAGATCTGATCACATAAACAATAAGTTTGTTCATCTGGATTCGTCTCATTCTGCAGCTTGGCCCTTCTTTGTGCACTCTGCCTTGTTGTTGTCGAATTGTTAAGACTATCTATTGCAGACTTCCGCCTGGGCTTCTCGGAATCGGGAGTTCCACTCCTCTTGGACCTTGTTATCACTTTCTTTATCTTCTCATTGTTTCCATTCAGCTTATCAGCTGGTGCCCTCCTTGTATTCCTTCGAGTCTCAATAGGATCCTCTTTGCTCTCATCATCAGAACCTTCATCTACCTCCATCTTTTCATCGTCCTCTTCTTCTTTTACTGATATTTCTGGCTGTTTCTCCTTTTTCTCGGCCTTCTTGCCATTTCTAAGTTCGGTTGAATTCGATTTCCGTACTGAATTCTCTTCAACCTTCTTTATGTGGTTCTTCTTGACCTTCGGTTCCGGATATCCATTCTCATTTTTACTATTTTGTGATGAATTTCGTGTGGAAACCGTTGATAAAGCCTCTTCCTTCCGTTTATTTTTGTTAACCTTGGGCTCTTCGACCTTCTTCACTTTTTTTACGGGTAAATGGGGAGTGTTGTCTGAAATAAAGTCCGTAATGAAGTGAAAAGCGGAAGCTTCATACCTAAAATAATACAAAAACTAATAAAAAGAAAAACTTACCGGATATTTCAACTTCTTCGTTCTCTTGCTCCTCAATGGGAATATCGTCGTCCGTCTCTAGGACCTCCAGTGGTGTAAATTTTGATAATTGAAGCGCGTGATACCTTAGAATGGCAAGATGGGCACTATTTAGATCAATGCAATTCTCCAAAGAATCGTCCATTAGCTCGTAAAGACAAAAAAGACCCTCTGAACTCAGATCCGGAGCAGATTGAAACCGTCGAGACAACTCTTCGATCTCCGATAGCAAGTCTCCTCGGGCTCTAACAAAGACGGAATCCCTTTCGAGGACACTTTTGGCGGCAGTTAAAATATTCTTATATTTCTGGGAATCAAAAGGAAAATCATGGAGTTGGGCAGTGAGGTCCTCGTTTTCCGGAGAACTAGATTCGTCGTCATCCGAACTTTCTATCGTCGCGTTCTGAAACTTCAATTAATTACCTCTATCTGTATAAAAAATAAAATAAATCCACGTGACAATATCCAAAAACAAGAAAAACTTACAGAAAACGTGAGATTCGATTTTTTACTCCCTGAAGGTATTTCCATTACAGCTTATAAATACTTATTATAACAATTTGTTAGTTTCCTTTCGAAAACGAAATGTTTTTTCTTTTTTTTTGTCGCTTGGCAAGGTGCCAAGATTTTCTCCCGTCACGAAAACAAGATGTTTGGCATAATGTTCGGCTGTCTCTAAAAAATGCATAAATGCGAAATAAAAGAAAAACAGTATAAAGGTGATCTCTGTCAAAAGAAGGTTTTGATAAGTAGGAGTTAGCAAGATAATTAATACCGAAATATATCCCCTGCAATATTACACTTGACTGAGGAATATTTGAGAGGAGAAGTTTGGAAGATCCCAGCGTCGAATTCATTGAAATTTAGCGAAAACACTTTTTATACAAAGTACAATAAAATGGCGGCAAGTGTTAAGTTCTTCTACGACATTTCCAGTTTTCCATCATGGATATTATTTGAGGTGAGTATCTCTTTATCTCCATTATTTTTTGTTGTTTTTAGCACTTATTTGCTGCGCACAGAACCACAGGATTGTCCGTCCACCTAAAACCAATCAGATCGGCTGCGTTATATTCCATGACAGGCCACAAAGATCCATATTATATTGTTCCGTTCAGAAATTTTATTTTCAAAGAAGTAGAACAACTAAGTGAATTGTTTGGAGTGCCTGCTGCTCTCCCTACCGTAAGTTTTTCTATTTAAATGTTAAATTGTTATTTAGGATTGCGAAAAACGACTGAGTTCTCCAGGGACTCTTAGAGCTCAAAATTTCTTGGCACATGTTCAAATAAAACATCCAGAATGCTTGGAGGTAGCCTCAAGGCTTTTGTGGAAGAGATTGTGGATACAGGATCTCGAATTGCAAAGTGAAGAAGACTTTCATGAGGTCGTTAGAGAAGCTTGCTTAGCGTCGAACGTTCCACTTTCGGAAAATTTTGAGAGTTTAAGTCAACTAAAGATCAATGAAACTGAGGCGTTCAATTCAGGGGTAAGGTAATATAAGTATCAAAATTAGAAAACTTTTCGTATCTAAATTACTATTTGCAGGCCTACACAACACCCTTTTGTATAGTTGATTACGAAGATGAGACGAGTTCTTTCCATGGAGTAGATCGATGGCCCATAATCGCGAGAAAAGCAGGTCTAGACAGTCCTCATCGCGGATTTTATTCATTAAAAGCGTTTAATCATCTATTCTTCAAAGCTCTGGAGACCTCAGACTGAATAGGTAGCCGAGCTGATGTCGAATACGATCGCGATGACAGTCCAGATGATCAGCCAAACCGCGATGACAGACATTATAGTAGATACGGTGACACAACGGGTCTTCTTCTTTTGCAAATCCCCGGTTCTGTTAGCTTTCTCAGCTCAAATAAATTTTTACTCGGGTCAAATAGAGGTCTTACTGTATTTATCGATGTTGTCTGCTGAAATAGTCGAGGATTTCTTTGTTTTCCGACCGGCCGGTTTGGACATTACTTTTGCAACTAAGGTTTTGATCATTTCAATCCGAATTTTATTTGATTTGGTTTATTTTCTTCGAGATTATTCGGTTTTCTATCCAATTTCTAGTTATTAGACCCGTATGATTGGAGATTCTTGTGAGTTGAGAGTTAAAAGTAGAGCAATATCTTATACTTCCTGCATAAATCCATTGTGATTTGGATCCCGTATGACGTCAGCAGCCGGCACAATCACTTTTCTGAATCCCGGAGCCAACGAAGGATCTGCCCTGAGGAAGGAATAGAGCGGGGAAAAGGTGGTTTGCCGTCTATTCGAGTGTTTGTAACACAGCATCCCGGCTAGAAGATAGACCAGCACAATGAAACTGGTGGTCAGACATCCAACTAGGAACCAAAAGAGGTTATTTCTCGACCAATTACTGCAGCCATTCGAGCGAGTGTAATGGAAAACCGCTGAAAATGGCACTAATTTAGTTATAGTCAGTAATCTAATACCGTAAAACAAGTTGGGAAGACTCTGTTCGGTAATAATTTTAGGGTCTAGACTACTAAATATACGTAAATCCAAAATGTGTCTTTTTTGTGCGACGAGATGCACTTTAACCTACTATTGGCCAGCGGAATGATCCCAGGACTGGATAGGTGGACCTTGGCTGAAGTATGATCGGCAAAGTTGGAGATTACACATTCATAGAGACCTTCATCATCGTTCGTAAACTTGGTGATGATTAATGAACCATTATGAATTACTTCGTATCTCCCCGAGGAGAATTCAACGGCTTCATTGTTCTGAAAATATATTGTTTTAGTCGATACAAAAGAGATTTTTCCAATTGTAATTGGTGTGTTATACATACTTGACGAAAGCAACAATAATTTTAGATCAGTAATCTTTTAAAGCAGTTTTAGGCTTTCTGAAAGGATGTTTTGGAGTTGAATAGGTTTTTTTTGTTTACTGTAATACAATTTACCTATCTAAACCTAATCCCTTACCTTTTTCCAGCTAAGAGTGACCTCGGGATAAGCCTGGGTCTCGGGACAAGTCAAGGTTACACTCATTCCCGGCTCAGGTTTATCCGGCCAGACCTTGATCTGTTTGTCCTCCGTCAACTTATTCAAAAAGGCCAATTTGATCTTGCTGATATCACTTCTCTCCCCATCGTCCTCTCTCTGACACCAATATTCTCCTTCATCCTCTAAACGAACATGAGGTATAATCAAGAATCCGACTTCTGGGATGTTCTCCTTCAGATATAACTGTCTCTCATCGGCCATCAAATTGGAATGACCGTTGACTGAGCCCAGTTTCCTGCCATCCTTATACCATGTTGCTCTTGCTGTCTCGTCATTAAAGATGGGCTCGCAAAGTAATGGAGTCACGGAATTGAGGGGAACCAACAACTCTTTGATTCTCTGGTCATTTGCTTTGGCCGCGCCGACTAAAAATATTCGCATGATACAAATTTAGTGTTTATTTGAGTTCCCACTCATAAAAAGGTCTTGCCAGGAACTTACAGATAACAAATAAACAAACAAGTAGTCTGGCCATTAGATGTGGAACATTCTTTGGCGGAGGTCTAAAATGTATAATTAAATATGCAGAAATGGAAGTTAAAGTACGACTATAAATAGTAATCGGCAAAGTAAAAGTAATCATCATAAAAGTAGTTCAATTGATGTCATTATTCCCGAAAGTGATCATGTTGACAATTATGTAACGCTGCGCAATCAGTTTTAAAGAGCAGTGAAAATCAGAAAAGTAAAAGTTATGTATTAGTAGACTCGCGGCGAAATGAGCCCAAACAAGACTAATTTAAAGGAGCGGCCAATTTTATTAATACTTAATTAACACAAGTTTGGAGTGACCCATGGCCGGCTCTCTTGACTTCCGTCCATGCCCTCCGGCTACATTTCATTTTAATCAAAAGAAAACAAAAATTGAGCCCTCCGGGGAAAGGCGGCCGAAAAGGACTGAAAAATCCGTTTTCCCCGATGGAGGAAACGGAATTCACCTGACATAAACGGCATTTTGTCAGTGCCCCCCCCCCCTTTTTTTGACTGTGCCTTAACTCTCAAACCGCCCGAGGGCAAAACCAGAATAGAAAAATAAAAATTCTGAAGGAAAGGTCGGCTCACTTTCGGCCCTCATAAAAAAGGTAGGGACCCACGATAAGTCAGTTGGAGGGGCCTTCAGAAGTCGGGCCAATACTCATTATGACTACTAATGGGATTAAGGGGAGCGCGTCTTAAGAGCCCGGACTTCCGGTCATTTCAGTCCTACCACCTGGACTTCCGCCCTCGAGAATTTGGCCAATGGAAAAAAATGACAAAAAATAATACAAAGCATAACGAATGAATAGGAAATGTACAACAACATGGTCAGCTGGAAGCGATGACTGTAAATCTTTGAAAGGCCATTACTCCGAGGCCAGTCGCTCTCTGACTATAATGCTCTTTTCGAGGGACAACATCAAGCCCTAATATCATAAAACAAATGTGAAAGAGTAGTGTTCCTCAACACTTGGCCCGTAAATACACTATTTAAATAGTTTTGCCTGGGAAGTCCGGATAATCCGTGGAGCGGGGCGGCCCCTTTTGGGCGCGGCGATAATCCCAAACAAATTGTTTCTTGAGGAATATATTTGGGGCCATAAGTTGCGCAAGAGGCCACTCGCTCTCTCCCCTGAGGCAATAAATTCACAGGATGTCGGAAACAATATAATGAGATCCACACCGTGGAGTGCAATTAAAGCAATGAAGAGATTTAATATTAATGGAGATCACAGTTAGCGCATTCGGGACGGTACATTTGCTATGCAGAACCGGCAATTAATTTAGTCGGGGGGACAATAGGCGCACATTAATTGGCCATGGTCGGCATGACTGTTATTAAATACGATCTTCTCATTCCTGCCGAGGTATCCCCTCCTTTTCTCTCGCACCTTAATTTCGAACAGGTTGCATTTTATCTGAGACTCCCGCCTCCCCGACCTCATCAACCGGTCAGCCAGCAATTATACGGATCAAAAAATGTTTGACCTCATTCGAGAGCGTAAACAAAACGGTGGCGATCCAACCTGACCTCTGAATGGACACCTTCACACATTTAGAGCAACAGTCCATCATGGTTATTGTGATGCCCGGGCCTTTTGTTCGCACACACTCATCCGGAACATTTCTCGACATAAACAAAAGTAATTAGGCCCCGAAACATGTTCCCTCCCAAATGGCGTGAAGGTACAATACAAGCGAAAAAATTTTTATTTTTGATTTGTTAACAAAAATTAAAATTTAAAAAAGCCGTATTAATCATTAGAGAAGATAAAAAAAAACATGAATCAGGAAAATCTTTTCCTTCCAAATTCTCTAAAAGAAACCCTTAATCCGAGCAATTACATATTGCAATGACCCTCTTGAACTCATCCAAAAAACATCTCTGACACTAAACACCCGAGAGTTCTCGGATTAGCAGAGATCGGGCATCTGGTGACCAATGAGCCGTCTGGTCAGCACAGGGAAGCGTATACCAGAAAAAAAAATAAATCACAACTCTTGTCGAGCATCAAAACTTGCGTAATGCGGCAATAAATGTTTTATGGGAGACGGAACAAGTATTTCACTCGATGAAGTTTGTAAAAGTTAAAGGTGCGAGTTGTGGTTGGAGGTAGGAAGTTACTATACAATTAGGCGGGTTTTACAACACATACAATTAGGAGGACGGAAAAAGTTATATTTGTGGAAAGAGCAATGTAATCTCTTTACAATACTCGCCAAATAACAATGATCCAAATAACAATGGAGGAAAAGGAAATCCTCCATACAAAGATTGCTTTCGAACGGATATTACGCAATTTGTCATCGGAAAAAATAATGAAAAAAAATAAAAAGTAACGCCACTTAGTGGTCTCACCTTGCCCAACCCATCAACAACAAACCTAATTCCCTCAGGTTACCGCATTAACAACCAATAATCATATTCTCCTCGTATATAGACGAAAACGTTCCGCTTAACGAGCAGCTCTCCTCCAAGGTCTTGTATAATATAAGAGTACTCGTAAAATTCGCGCACTCATCGTTCGCGGTATAAACGATGCGGCTAAGGGGTGCCGCCGATTTTTTGATGGACTTTTTTGCTTAAGACAAAGAGCTCTTAAAAACCGCTGGCCGCCCTTTCCCTCGGCCTTCCTCCACTCGACTTTTTCCGGATCGGCAATCCCTGTTCCGCCCCTTTATCTTCCAAATCCGGGCTTTCTCATCGGCTAAATCAGCTGTCCACGAGTCGGGAGAATACTGACAGCTAATCAAAAACATATGTAAAATACTAAAAGGGGGATGACTCTGCGATTCTGGGAAAAGGACAAAAAATAGGACCAGAAATTGATGGACGACATATTATAATGGACTACGGGCATCTCGAAAATTTTAGTGTCATTACATCGTATGACGTAAGAATGATTCAGGTAAAATTTCCAATTTCTTTTCATTTTAAATACGGTATTTACAGGTAAAAAATAATAAAAACGCGATTTAAATAATTTCGTCTTAATTTGGCGCCTGGGAGCCACAATAAATTGAGGAGTAGTGTTGTCATCTCAATAAAACTTGTCCTTGAACAACACTTTCAAAAAACGTTTTGCCGCTGTCGTCGGCCGCCAAGTGCCCGTCTCTCATCTTCTTGCGGCTTCAATTAGCGAGGCTACAATGCCGACTCCGGGGACTCCAAAAACTGGCTAAGAAAGTGTCCAACTTGAGGACTCGGCCCCAACTTGAGGCTCCCGTCTCCGCGTGGATATCGCTTTTCAATTTATCTATTTGATTCGGAGAGGAAACGCATCCCATCTCGTTTATCGCGCACCGTCCGCAAACAATCACACGTGAGAGCGAAAAGGGGGTTTACTTTGCCATTCAGGACTTTATCAGCAAAGTGAACAAACATTTGGCAAGGGATGGGAAATGGACCAAAACAAGGTCACAATAATTGAAGGATGACTAAAATAAAAGCATGATAATGACGGATGCGATGGCGCACGGTAGGTCACAGTGGGGGACAATGACATCTGGATGTCATTTGAGCAATCCTAGTTCCTTGGCCTCTTTCTCGGCCCATTCGATGATACTATTGTCGTTCTCTAATGGAGACTCCTCTTCTCCTGTCAAGGCATCGGCCACGAACGATCCTAGAGGATAATAACATTATACTAGTCGCGCCATAAAGTCCTGACACATTTTGTCGTGGCCGTCGCGCGAGAAAAGTGGCGAACTCGCGCGAAAAGTGCATGTCGCTAGTGCAAAAACGGGGAATTGCCGCGACGGGTCCGAAAGAAAAAAAAAATGCACTGTGCAAATGTGTCAGGACTTTATGTCGCGACTAGTATTAACGTAATGAAATCCTCATGATGAAATTATTCGAAAAAGAAGACCACATTTTAGCAGTGAAAACATGAACTTACGATGAGCAGAGAGCATTCCAAATCCATCATCCGAGAACTCCCCATCACTTTGAGTGTCCACATCTGGAAACGATGATTAGATCCATAAAACATTCTTCTCATAGGTTGGCAACTAAGTTATTGAAATTTTTTTTGCATTATTCCACAGACCTTCTTAAGTCAGTATGGCTAGTATCACACTATCCCACCTGTAGTAGGGTTAGAGTACTATCAAACCCAGAGGCATCCAACTCGCAGATCGCGCGTTGGTGTAGTACCTTGAATTTGAATAAGAGCAATTTTGAGTGGTCATTTTGCAATGCCATGCAATGCGTTTGGAACTCGAATGACATAATGCTAATGTACAACGTTTACAACGTTAGGACACCTTCAACAGTCTTGTGATAACATTTTGTCCCAAAAGGATCAATGGAAATTATTACGACTTCGCTTAAAATTAGGCGGTAGGCTGTCTTTCAAGGTGTTGCACGAGACGCTAAAGAAGGCAGCGCGGTTAACTCTTCGGGTAGTGACAGAGCTATTCACTACGAACCAAATAGTAGCATAAACCGTCTTCCTTCTTGGAGCATGACATAAAGTCGCGACCGAATTTATCTTCATGACCTGCCTAGTGGCTCCCAAAAAGTTAACCGAGTAGTTGCTATTTTTTTCCAAGACCTTTGTGCCGCTGATAAATCTAGGGCCCTGAAAAGGGATGTCTATTCTCTTTGTTAAAAACCCGTACAGGAGCCAGCGAGCTTAGGCGCGGTATTCTGAAGTTAAGGCCGAAGAGACCCTTTATACCCGATGAAAGCATTTTTAAAGATTTTAGCAAATTTTTTAAGCGCTATGCTCTCGGGAAAATTGCCAGCACAGAGTATCACTCCTCCGAATATGTTTACATGGGAGATAGAAAAGATTCGGGCTGCGAGCAAAACGAAATCTAGAATATCCACTTACGCCGGGATGCCTGTTTGGCCCGATAGAAATAATGATCGTAGAAAATTATCAAACAGTCCGAATAGACTTTCCTTTCTTGAGTGTTGTGAAGTACTTATGTTACTCTCTGTGTCGGATATCACACCCATTTGGCTGCGTACGATCTAAGGTATAAAAACTTCAGTATAACAGAACATCTAGAAACCGGCTTCATGAAATCTTCTAATTGTAAGTTCCCTGGTTTCTGTCTTGGTGGCGCCACTGCACATTCAGATGATAAGGCTTGTATTGTTGTTACTAATAGTGGGTATTATAGTTGTTGACTGCCAAGCCTTTAAAGGTTGTGGCAAAAAGAAAAGCAGTCAAAAATTTCAATAACTAAGTTGCCAACCATATATATCAACTTTTAACTACTTCCTCGTAAGATTCGGCTCTCTAGCTGACCTACCATTGGATTGGAAGGTCTCGATGAACTTTCTGGCCGTATTCAGACTGAGTGCACTGTTGTCGTCAAAGTCGACATGAACACGAGAGTTTTTGTAGCGAAGTTTATTCTCACAGAGAGTTCCCCCAACAATCAGCAGAATGTCGGCACCATTCGGCTAAAATATAAATTAATTTAAATATGGCAATTGCTCCTAAAATACTCACATTTTTTTCATGGGTAAAATGGCTGATAATCTCTTGAATTGAAACCGTTGTCACCAAAATACAGCCTGACAGATCCACACTCTCCAACAATTCCAGACCCTTCACACTTCCAGTTCCTGCATCCCCAAGATAAATGCATGATCTTACTGTAATCTCTTTCAACTTCTTACATCCGGAACAAATCTTTTCAAATGTCTTGTTGTCCAAAGCAGCAAGTCCACTAAAGTCTAGCTAAAACGGATCAATAAATTTAAATTTCTTCATACAACTTACCTCCTCAAGATCTTTGAGATTTGCAATCAATTGAAGAGATTCGGAGGTAATCGACTGATCGGATCCGGAGAATCCCAGCGATAAACTTTTCAATCCAGGTAAGTTCTCGCAGATTTGTTGAATCAAAAAATCGCTGACTGCGGGGTTAAAGTCAAGTCTAAAAGAATGACAATTTCGTCAAATTAAAAAAGTTTGGTTTAACTCCACAAAATGATGGCTTACTCTAAATGCTTAATAGCTTTAATCCGTGAGATCAACGCGAGACTGTCCGCAGTGACATTATTAAAGCCTTGACCAGCTAATGAGAAGTGTTCTAATGAGTTCTGGTTCCTTGAAATCACACTTAATGCCTGCTCCGTCAATCGATAACATCCATTAAGCCTTAAAACCTTTAGATTCTTAGACCGAGCGCAAAGTTCATCAATTATTGAGTCATCAATTCGACTGCATCCATCCAGCAGCACCTAAATTAATAAATATAACCTAATATTAAATATACGTCGCATTACCATTTAAATAATATTATAACTGTTACTTACCTCTTCTAACTCAGCACCAAACAACTTGAAACATCGTCCCTTGAGATGGCTACATCCTCTTAGATCAATCCGTCGAATTGACCTTCCGTTGCTTTTGAAGAGATACCAAAAACACTTCTCTGACGATGAATGCATCTCCCGATAAGCCACTGAATGCAGCTTACTCAACGACTCAGAAAGACTTCTAAGGGCGTTCGGTCCAGATTGAACTCCCGATATGTCCAATTCCTCCAGATTTATACAAAATTGAGCGATTTGCTCAATAGCTTTGTCATCCAAAAGATTCTTGGTATTGGAGAGATCCAAACACTTCAGATGGAAGCAACATCGAAGGAGAAACGCATTAAGATGAGAGTTTCTGAGGGGATTGGAGTTGGTGAAGAAGTTCTGGAGGTCCTCTTCTTCATGGAAACAGAGCCTTTCAACTGTGGTCCAGGCTTTGGCCGCAGCTTCGAGCCAAGTTTTATTCGTCCGTTCCAAACGTATTCGATCGAGTAAACCGAGGTTACAGAAGATTCTTTCTACTGCTTTAGGGGGTAATTCGTCCAATGGAAGAAGCTACAACAACAAATTATTAGAAATAAATCAAAAATTACATTAAACAAGGCAACGCAAATGTTGAAAATAAAAAGTCCTTACCTGAGAACTTATTGTAGTGGCAGATTCCATTGAGCATGCTGAAGATGACCTCGAGAGTTTTCCTCCTTTATCCCCACTTCCAATTGTAAATCCAATTCCACTTGTGGACGCAATGCTATCTCCATGCTGAGAACTTGTTCGTTTCCTACTCACATAATTACTAATTGTCATGATTTGCCCATAGAACTTCAACTCTTGTGGAGCTGCTGTTTTGGCCCTAAGGGCTGAGATCTCATCTCTGCAAATGTCATAATTATAACAATAAAATTTTATAATTTACTGTAATTTCATTATAATACTTCCTCATGGGTGAATATCAGCGTCAAACCCTAAAATTTCTTGTGCCCCATTGGGACCTTTAATCATCCAAAAACAGTCAAGAAATCAATTTTACATATTTTCTGCACCGTGCAAAAAACTTAATACCGGTCCTTCTCGGTTTGAAATCAATTCAATGGAAAATGCACCGTGCATTCTGCATGAAAGTAAATCGGAGTTGCACTGTGCATTTGGATTTAAGGCTTCTCGAACTTCTCGAACGGATTGTTTGATCATGACAAAAGTTGGAAAAATTATGACTTACTTGAAAGTGATGACTAAAGTTGAATATTTTTTGTTGGATCGGCTGAACGTTGCATACATTGACTGACGCCGATCTTCACTCGGCATATGACAAGAGTACACCTTGATTATATTATTTTATATCAACTTCTTCACTTACCGGACCAAATTTATTGAAGAAACTCTGAAGTTGACTGACCGTGGCCTTAGGGGATATATTGGAAACAAGAATTCGGCGATCTTCCTTCCTAGACGAGAGTCCTCTACCTTCGTTCAAGTCAAAACCTAAATAACTAATAGAAATTACAGTAACCAACTTACTGTCAAAAGCAGATCCAAGATCACTCTCATCCGCAACCAGCATTGGCAATAATCTTCTGTATTTCATGAACTCAACGGCTGAGTGGGACCATGTCCGCCTATAAAAAGTACAGTTAGCATCACCTTTATCTGCTTGTTAGAGTATTTATCAGATCTGACCTTAGACTTCCCATTGCGAAGAATCTGGTGCGTGTCATGAAGTTTTGGAAAGCTTCCGTTAGATTGTTTAGCCCTTGATTCTCAAGATTATGGCCATTCAGCCGTTTTAAAGTGTTTAGCATGGCCTGAAGGGATTGTAATTTAAAGTAATCGACTTACCTGAGGCCGGTATACCCTAAATTTCGGCTTTTCAGCCATTTTGAGACTAGAAAATAAGATAAAATGGAAGACAGACTAGATTCCCCTCTCTTATCCAGTCTCGAATCCCCCGAGCAATTTTCATTTGGATCAATAATTGAAGGCCGTCTGTCCACTTTCTCTTTTATTGAGTCCATGTATAATAAAAAAGTTACCCGTTACGATAACAAAGACCGATTACTAAAATGGGACATTAATATTCGAGATGCCGATCCTTTCCCAGTCCCATCCAATCATTTACCACTGTAAACGGTGTTCCATCTTCTTCTAACAAATTGACTTCACTTGTGCTGGGTTTAGTGTACTTCCTGGCTCCAAAAAAGTCGACTACTCGAACTCGAGACGGATCTCGATTGAAGAGATCGGTTCTCTGGCCAATTCCGGATAGACAGTCTTCTCTTGGACACGAATCTAGATAACCGCTCATTGTGGCGGTTGAATTTCGATCCTGCACATGTTTGGTTAGGAATCTACCGCAGAAGAAGGCATACCGATCCACGGTATGTACTCCGATAGCTGAATCCATGTGATAAGAGACGGATTCCTCTTCCAAAAGACTAGAAGAAGTCGCCAGCACATTGGGCGACGTTATCGACCGATATAAAGATTCGCTGTGACAGGTATCAGCGATCAGGAACAGTTCGTTGTACCTAAAACTAAATAAAAATAGTTAAAACTTTGCGTACCTTTTCTGCTGATACATGGTCTCCACAACATTAGCGACGTCCACTTCTGTAAATTCCTCGGCATCTTGAAACTTCAAAAATCCAACTCCTCCATGACCAGTCAAATAAACCATCACATTGCTTTGCTGATCGCTCAGTAACCTTTTGTTCCTTGGAGTATTTTCGTCCACTTGTCCTGTTAACAATCTAACCAACGCTTCGACAGTAACTTCGTATCCATGATAATCGACTTCGATATCATTTAGGTAGAGATTATTATTCAAATCATCGTGGATTTCGCCTGAAAAATTCAAATGAAGATTAAAAAACGAAATGATCACGAAAGATGTCTCAGTTTGTATAATCGGTTGTAAATGTATCGACAAAAAGCTGAGAGATTGAACTACGAATTGCAGGAGACCGTAACAAGTAGAGAAGGGTAGGTCGTAAAACGTGACGAGCTATTTTAAGACGTCATGTGTGCACTCATATGAACCCTCCATCCTTGGCATGGCATTCAGATGAGCACACTTATCAACAGAACAAAGTCTTTTCTCCAATACTTTTACACTCTTCTGCTGCTCAGAAAGCAAAGAAAGCGAACCTCCCAAAGAAGAGCGATGATAGAGTATACACAGTGGAACAACTTTTCAAGAACCACATTCAAATCAGAATCATGTGTCTCCCAACTTCAGAGGAGATGCCTAAAAATGTGAGCCATTACATGATTGGGTCTATCAAACTAAGGGCGGACAAAGTATTTGTGAGCAACTGTCCCATCTACAATGTTTACTATGAAGTGAGAAGACCTTCCGTCACGGTTGAGGTAAGATTTTACCTTACCACGTATTTGGTACTTAAAAAATTAATTGTGATGTTTAGAAAATACACAACCCAAGACTGAAGCAAGCAAGCGATTTTTACCTGAAAAATACTGCCAAATGTGTAGCCGAATTCATGAAAGTCGAATGGAAACATTTGAAGATGGTTACAGCACAAGGAAGTCATCAAGCTGTCGAACGAGTGATCGTGACAGGCAAAGAATACAAGCTGAAGAGAATTCGACCTATCAGGTTCATAGCTGAGACCTGTTCCGTCAACCAAACCAAACCAACAGTTAAAATTGAGGTAAGAGACTCAGAAGACTCGGTCATACATTAATTTAGAATGTCAAACGTCTTCGACGACCTCAAAAAGACGTCATTCAGCTGAGAAGTGTAAATACAAGCCAAGAACCGAGGAAAATAAAGCTGATTCATCAAGACGAGGATGTTATCGATCAATTCGCCTATCTAAACCTATCGGTTTCCACTCATTCCACTTATAAATAAGAGATCTGTACCTAAATATGCAACCAATAAATAAAATTACTCACCCGGCTGAGGATTTCGGGCATTGCAAGGAATATTATCAGCCAGCATCATTATTATGTTGCTGAAAACAGAAAATAGAGATAAAACCATGTTACACTAGAGAACAGATAAAAAATATGTCAAATTCGTACCTGTCTGGAATTCCCAACCTCTTTACTGCTTCATAAAAGATTAACACGTTGGTTACATGTCGATAGTTAAACCAATACCTTGATGTATCCACCAAAACCGCCCAATTATTTGTATGAGTCGAGTTTAAGAATTTCTCTTCAATTCTTTTGTCAAGGGATAAGGAATTACAAGTTATAAATAAGGAAATAAATACTACCACATCTAAAAAGCTCATTTCCTAACCATCTGAAGTGAGAGTCTAAAAAGAGAGCTAAATTTGCAATTTCTTCTTCAAAATTTTTTTGTCCAGAAAATGAGTCATCCGTTCTAGAAAACTGTCATTCAGAAACGTCATTTATTGTCAGCTGAAACTGCTACGAATGCCGGAATCGAAAATTTTTTGTTGTACGACTGCTTTTAGAGAACACGGCTAGTGTATTCCATGCATTCCACAGTAAGTCTGTAACCCCACAGCGACCGACCGTGACATGGGCTGCGTTACACTTCAACGTCATGCTTTTAAGGTGTATATATTTGGATGTCGAATGAAATGGAGCATACAAAGCCGGAAACTTAACACGGCAAGGTTTTTGACGACTAAGATGCGGTCTGATATTATGTTATGACTTTTTTTCATGTGAACTGATATTTTATACCTTTGACTCGTTGGTTTATTTATGTGTCTATTATGATTTTGATTAGTTGCCCATAAGTTTGATTAGTATCACCCATAAATTGGTCATTTGGTGTTAAAATTTGAAGAAGACTTGTCTTTAGAGCCATGTTACATGAGCCTTATCCAAAACAAATGCCCACCTACGGCTAAACTTCTTTTCTGAACTACTTTTGAAAAGTGTTTTTGTTGATTGCTAATTAAAAGTAGTTCGAATGTCAGTGTCTAGTCAAAAGGCGGCATTAGTGTTGTAATACACATGTTTTGGTTAGCGTTTGCTTATTTATTAATCACTTATGTCATCACTTGTCATCTTTATTAAAACAATTGTAAGAGGTGTGATATTAGAATGAAGGTACAACTATTGTAAAGAATGGGATTAGTACTGTACTTTTTCAAGGCAAATTCTTGGGATCTTTTTCGTTTTCGAATCTTTGATGGGTATTATTGGACATTCTGGCTTTGAAGATATAACGAATTGTCATAAAAATGAGGGCGGAGAAGAGTACAATACCCACAGTCAACGAACTGAAGTGGATTGCGAAGCCAAATCCATTGGGGAGTCGGTGGATGGCCATCTCATCGTGGAAAGTGCGATGTTCTGGCGATCTGGGAAGAGGCTGTGGTCTGTAATTATAACATATTACAGTAGGACATAGAGCAGAAATTTTGTTTAAAACTGGTGGGATGTTGGTTCAAGGTTTGAAAAAATAGTAAACAAACTGTAAGAAATCTACAAGTCCCATGTTTTTCTCTTTACATTCCCCTTCATTTTATAAACCTTCCAGTACTACAATTCTTTACACGCAGTCTTTTCAGTGTTTTTACTATATTTAGCATTGCTTACCCGGGCCATTTCTCATCATCACGCATATCGCCAATGTTCACATTTCGACTGTTTTCTTCAATTCTGTCCAAAAGATTACTCATTTGTTGTTTGGTGGTCTCAACTCGAGTAACAGAGGTTGGCAATTCATTACTCTCACTGCTGTCGCTAGTGTCGCTGCTTGATGAAGTGACATCTCTCTTTCTTCTGTCAATCTTCGGCTTACTGCTTTTGGCGGGTTCGAAGTTAATATTGTAAGAGAGACCCCCAGAAGTTTCTTTGACATCTGAAACTTGTGTGCCTCCGGTCTTTGATGGGGTTTCTGACGGCTCCAAACTTGGTTTGGACGCCTGCTGAACTGAGTGTCTTCGTTTTCTATTAACCACTTTAAAGTAAGGGGCTTCTGTCTTCTTGTCATTGATGATGAACGTCTTCAAATAGGGATGTTGATACTCTTCCTTGAACTCCACATCCGAACCTTGTCTGCTTTTACCATACTTTTCGCCAATTTCCTTCAAGAATTTATTGATCTCTTCCGAGGTTGCTTCTTTTGTGTCCTCTAGATTCTGTTCTTCCTCGTCGTCTTCTTCTTCTGAAGGATCAATAAAGACAACTCTTGACCCGGGCCCTTCGGCTTTTTCTTGAATAATTTCTTCAATTTCTCTGTCCAGTTCAGAAGATTGAGAACCCAATTCAAAAGACTTTGTGGATTCTGAAGCAAATTTTGGAGCGTCATGCTCTACTTTTAACGACCCTGGAGTGGTGTCATCCAAATCCAAGACTTCTTCCAGTTGTCCTTTTGTTTCTGGGACATTCCTGCTTAAAGAGTCCACTTCCAGATCCTTGCTGAGCGAATCTTCGTTCGATAAAATCCATCGTGAACTATCTGCGTACGTGAATTTTGGAGTCGATAGGTCAAGTGTCAGGTCTGAGTCGGAAACATCGCTGGCGTCTCTCTGAATAAGATCATCCAAGCTGAAGCGGCTGGTATCACGTGGGACCTTATCGGTCTTAAGAACTTCTAGACCTTCGCTGTGTGGCCTGGGAGTTGGATAACCATCTTCATCTAGGTGTTCTGAGCTGATCTGAATATATCTACCGTAATTAAAGAAGTGTTAGGTCGCGAAACGTCACTAACTAGCTATTTATACTCTTTAGAACTTTTGAGTTCAATAGTTTGTTCGCTTACTGTTTCGAGACTTTCCTCATCTCCGAGGTCTTTCCGCTCCAACGCCAGGCCATGTTGTAGCAGGGAGCATAGGAACAGAAGAATTAATGCACGCTTCATTTGAGAGATTTTGATATTTTGTGAATTTAACTCTCCGACTTTCAAATGTTTATGTATGTTTTGTTGGGATTGCGCAACCCGACAGCCATAACTTTGAAGAGAGAGCAGCCGGATAAGCCTGATCGAGACTAAATCCGGCTGGAAAAACGAGCGATCTCATCGGAAGCGGGTTATAATTGGGTGTCTCTGGTTGTATTATATTTACATTAGAATTCATATGGTCATATGATGAGAAAAGTAATATATTCATGAAACATCATAATTACATATTTTTTTTGGTTGGAAATCCATATGTAAACATCTCACGTACGCTTAGCATAATCGGATTAGCAGCACATGGATGTAATGGACGTTTTACTTGGAACATGTCCGTGGGCCGACCGGCTGCACAGTGCAGGTTGAACCGTGTAATTTGGCCAAGGAGAGTCGTGCAAAAGGACAAGAAATGACACCATCTTCATTTTCAATATGACCGTTCAGAGATTAGCGTTTTAATTATATCCTTGGTCTGACATTACCTATCTAAATATACATAGAATTGAGCGTGCGCATCGTACCGTACAAGAGACCCAAAAAAGTCTAAACCGGACCTGCGTTGAGGGTGGATAAGATGCGTCTCATTAGACACGTAATGGGCCAAGAACACGGCATCAAGACGTCATGCCCTCAGGGGACTTGACCAGGGCCGACCCTTGGACAGAGATTGTTTTCCGGTACGCTGATTAGGAGGATGGGGTCACACATCTCGCTTTTCTATGTCATTAAATCTTCCGGCAAACATCACTGCCCGGCCCGAGTTCAGCGAATGGATGTGGCCAGGCGCACTTCCGTCGCGATGAATTGCGTAAAAAATGACGGAAATGTCGTGGAGTGAGGGTGGAACCCCATAAGGACCCTGACACTTTGGTTGGGGGTCGTGGCCTCCTTCCAAGAGGGAAGTGACCTTCATCTACATCATGATCTTTTCGCTCCAACCTTTTACCCCGAGCTCTGAAGACTTGTTAATTGTGTCTGACGGTAATTTAATTAAATGTAAAGTGTTATTCCTCTCTCCGAATGTGTCCTTTTCCACAGACTGGAGTTGAAATGTACCGTGCTGTTTCCTTTTGTTTGTCGGCACCGTGATTTTGGGATTTTTCCGGCGGATTATTAACGGAAATTACACGACCTTTGCCTAATTCCTCGGGCCGATACGGTGCGACTAATATTGTAACAGGGCCTTTCTATGGATCCACCCTCTAAACCGAGGATTAACCGGGCGGATATTGCTTTTTGTTATGACTTACAAACACGGCCGTCATTGTTATCTGGATTTGGAAGGACATGTGGCCAAGTAATCCGGCATTTATGAGCTCCTCCTTTATGTCCATCCCCGCGGATCTTATTCAAAACCATTTAGATGCCGCCCACAACACCTTTCTTACGAAAACGTTTTTAAATAATATCCCATTTCCTTCAACTACTAGGTACCAAGCGATCTTGCAACACTAGTTATTAGAAAATATTTTTGCTGATAATTACAGACGTCCTTATGATAATCTACTGACATCCCAAAATACTTCCAAATACTATGATATTAAAAATTTTTGTAAAGTAATACCCAACCAAATTACTTCGTAGTATTGGAATCTAATCGTATTTCATCTTTATCGTATTATTTAGTTTTCCGTGAGGGTTCGTATTCACTTATGGATGCTGTTATAATTGTTGTTTTTAGAAGTTATATGGTCGAATTTCAAAGAATATCGTTTTTGGTTTTGTTTTATGATCCAAAAACAATTTGTGGGAATTACCATTACTCATTTGAAAAAATTTGGTTTAGTGTTTGTTTTGCCAAATATATTTTCCAGTTTCCTTTACAAACAGAATTATTAAATCCTTTACGAGTACTGTCCTTGCATTGCCAACCACCACCCTTTAGCATCACTAGTCAACAATTATTTCTATCCTTTGATCATTCCTTTTGTCTACATCATGCACAAAAATAAACAACATTGCGTCGATCGCCTACGGCTTTTTTACAAATCGCAGTCCATGGGACTCCGTTAGTCATGCACTGTATGTTAATGCTGGTTTCAGGTTGCCAAGAGCCGCTGGATAGAGAGACGGCCCGTTAAATTTCATCACACCCACACAGAAAATAATGTCAAATGTGAAAATGCTAACCTTGTTCATGGTACTCAATCTGCTAATGGCTGTTGCAAGTCTTCCTTTCAAGTAAGTTGCCAAAGAATTACCCGGTATGCATATAACAAAGACTATTAGACATCATTACTCAATTCTTTTTTGCTTTCTTAGCTTTACTCATGGCAGATTTATATGAGATTACAAAACCATGATGTCATCCTGAAGCTAATCCAAGTTCTCTGTAGTGATAATCTGACTACTGCCTTACTTAGTCATATACCCTTCTATTGTTTGCTAAATTTAGAACATAAGATATTTTACATAAACTGTAAATCCGCTGGTAATCTGCGTTTATTTCCAGAACGGAGTTCGCGAATTCACCGACATCACAATGGAGTCATGGTCAGCCAGAAGTTGTGTCAGCGCCGGAAAAGCGACGATTAGTAGTTAGGGTACCCTTCGCCCAGAATCCAGACTCGATCCAACTCAGCCGGATCTACAAGTCCCTCTTCACTCAGCAGAAACAAAAGAAACTAAAAGCATTCAACTTTTCCTTGAGGAATTTGCTGGACTGATTTATGAACCCATTAAAACCTGTTTTGAGAGTCAATTGTACATATAGTAAATAATTTGTGTTACCTCACATATTCATCTCGGACTTATAAAGATCTTTTTGTTTTTTTTATCTCCTTATGACGCACATAACGTGAATTAGTAATGGTCCCGTTTACCATACTTCTGTTTTCTTGTAAATACAGTAGTCGAGTTGATTAAAGATTGGGGTCGTGTCCCCCAAGTGCTCATTGCTGCGGAACATTTGACGGAAGTCGGGCCAAATGAACCAAAACTTTGCAAACAATTGGACAAGGGCAACAAAAAGTAGTCAGAAGGCCATTTATAGTAAGCCACGCTTTAGAAGACATGGGCATGACATCGTTTCTGACTTTACACTTCCTATGGCTGTCATCAGTTATTTTTAAATAGGCCGGTTGGGTTCTTTAAAAGTTTTTAAACCCAACCGGCCTATTCAATTATGTACGACCATTCACGACAACAAAAAACTATTTAAACTACTTACGCAATTCATAACAACCTACATTGTGCGTAAAATGAATTCCTGAATCTAAATGTGTACCCTAAATTATCCTAGACAACAACAACCACAGCCCGAAATACGTTCCTCTGACCAGTCCGCCCATGAGGTTGCATTGTTACTAAGAGTAGATACGAACGTATGGGAAGGAAGTATTTACTACCATACATGGAGCTATTACATGAAATAGGAGTATACTGGAAAACTTAGGATTATTTGATTCGCCTACGTAAACAATAAACCGATTAGGCTGTGGCCGAAGCGCCACGGTGAAGACCGAGAAGAGCGTTTGCCATCCGTGATCCCATTTGTGCGGGGGAGTCGACAACATGAACTCCCGCTTCTTTTAAGGCGGCTTGTTTTTCGCGAGCACCACCTTTTCCTCCGGCAATAATAGCTCCAGCATGACCCATCCGACGGCCAGGTGGAGCGGTGATTCCAGCAATAAACGACACCACTGGCTTTGAGTTGCTGCCTTTGTTGTTCTGCTTCAAGAATTCGGCGGCCTGTTCCTCGGCTTGGCCTCCAATCTCTCCGATCATGATGATTCCTCTGGTTTCGGGGTCTTGGAGGAAGATCTAAAACAATATAATTGTCGTTGTTCATTCCCTAAAAATGAGTTTCAACGCGTAATTGTTGTCCAAAACACATTTCTAATTACGAGTCGTTATTAACTCTAATTAACTGATTACATCAATGAAATTTTGATGTTCACGTAAATTAAGGATAAATGGATTAACTTTCGGACTAAACATGCATTTTCCGGTCGCAAAAAAGGTGATTAGATAAAAATGGCCTTCAAAACAAAATAATGAAAATAAACAAAAAATTACGACAGAAATTTTAACTACAAAGGGAACTAATTATGCCACTTACATCAAGGCAATCAATAAAGTTTGTTCCGTTGAATGGATCTCCACCAATTCCAACACATAGGGTCTGTCCAAGGCCAACAGTGGTGGTCTGATGGACAGCCTACAATAAAATCGTAAAAACATCTTGGCCGGGAACAAGTACCTAAATCTATATTTCAATACTTACTTCATAGGTCAAAGTCCCAGATCGAGAGACAATACCGATCATGCCAGCTTTGTGAATATGCCCAGGCATAATTCCAATCTTACACTGCTCTGGCATAATAATTCCAGGGCAGTTGGGACCAAGAAGACGGGTCTTGTTTTGTTCCAGAAGACGCTTTTTCACTTTCAACATGTCCTAAAAACAGATAAATCAGTGTTCTAAGCAACTTACGAGTTGAGGAATTCCTTCAGTGATGCAGACAGCAAGAGGAATCTCAGCATCGAGTGCTTCTTCAATAGCAGCAGCAGCAAAAGGTGCTGGAACATAGATAACAGTCGCGTCGGCTCCAGTTTTCTCACGGGCTTCCTAAACGACAATAAGGAACGTTAAAAAGAGGCAAGTACGTACCCTGACGTTTGCAAACACAGGTTTCCCCAGATGGGTAGTGCCGGCCTTCTTTGGAGATATTCCTCCAACCACCTTGGTTCCATAATCAATCATCTGTTGGCCGTGGAAAGTTCCTTGCTTTCCAGTAAAGCCTTGAACCAAAACCTAACAAAAAAAAATAAACTTGTATTTTAGTTTTTGCCACCTGTCGAACAAAATAACTCTGACATACCTTGGTATCCCTATTGATCTTCAAATTTTGCCTGGTCGAATTGTAAAAACGAACAAACTTCAGAGAAGTCGCCATCTTCAACTTTATTTAGTGCAAACAAAGCCCAGACGAGGGTTGAAGGTGTTCCTCGAAATACGAGCCTCAAGCTGTCGAACAAAAACCAGAAAAATAGAACGACCGGGCGCAGGTTGAACTTATATTTTTGGAAAACGTCGGGAGACATGTTATACGACGACAAAAAATAGTAGAATTCTGGAATAAAAGTTTTCCGTAAACGCTATGGAAAAGGTGTAGTTTGCGAAAAAATGTAATCAATTGTATTGGAAGTAATATAAAGAAGAACTTTACTTACAGATCACAGACGAACACACAACTAGAACAGTCGCAACAATCGGCTTAGACGTTTTTTATGGCGCCGTTATCAGTCGGACCACAGTAATATGACGCCGCTTTAAAGGCGCTCTTACAAAAGAAGGCCGGCAGATCGGCTGACCTTCATTCCCCTCCACTCCGTCTCCCAAACAAGTGTTCCTTTCGATGGGTTCTTGGTATGCTTTTGTAAATATAATAATCTTTGTTTCTGGAATGGTAATTTGATAACGTGGCCTTGGTTTCAGTAATTACGTCTTTGCCGGTCTTGTCGCGACTTCGGCCATATTGTTCTGGAATTTCAACATTGATTTCAGTGCCCACAAATACTCGTAAGTTAGCCAAGGTGTTGGAAGTAGAGCTTTTGATGTCAGCAACAACAATGATAAGCATCCCCTTTAAGATTTCCTTCTCCTCCTGAGTTCACGGGTCCTTTGACGCCAAATAAAGACCTCCAGAATGCGAACCTGATTTTGAAAGGGAAGATCCTGGGACCTGAGAGTATTTTAGTGGAAGGGGACACCTTATATACTGGAACTTGGGATGGAAAGGTGCTTCAGATAGTGAACGGGCAGATCAAAAAGACCATTTATCTCAACCATCCTCTCTCAACTTGTGCAACTTACGACACAGAACCTGTTTGTGGAAGACCTTTGGGCATCAGAAGATTTAACAAAGACCTCTTGGTTGTTGCGGACACTTACCATGGGATATATACAGTAAACGTCGCTAAGAGTAGGTCTCATTAATAAGTAATTTCCTAAAGTATTCAAATTATTGGTGATGTTGATGATTTCAGGTGAATCTAAATTAATTTTCTCCTCCAAGACAGTAGTTGGAGGATACGCCTCGAAGTTCTTGAATGATCTAGACGTTGTTGACGAGGATACAATCATTGTGACCGACTCTTCGACCAAATATGGACGTCGTCAGTTCTTCCATGTGGTCCTCGCAAATGCCCCAGATGGACGTGTAATTGAAGTCAAAGTGTCCACTGGCAAAGCAAAAATTCTGCTTTATGGGCTCCGGTTCCCCAATGGAGTTCAACTCCATCCCAACAAAGATTCCGTGATCATTTCCGAATGTACCATGGCTAGGATCTTACGGTAACACCTGATAAAATGTTGGTAATACAATTGTTTGTAGGCTTTACATCAAAGGAGAGAAGGTGGGAGAAGTTGAAGTTTTTGCCAACAATCTTCCTGGTCTACCAGATAACATCCGTCTTTCCAAACAAGGAACTTTCTACGTCGGTCTGGCCAATCCCCGGAAACCAGGTCAGCTCAATTTCGTTGATCTGATTGGGCCATATCCCTGGATTCGAAGTATCATCATGAGTGTGATCCCAGAGCGGACATTAGTCACTCTCTTCGGCAAGATTCATGCCCATTATGGACTGGTAGTTGAGCTAAATCACAAAGGAGATATCATAAAGTCATATCACGATCCAGAAGGAAAGGTGATCGCTGATGTATCTCAAGTCAGTGATGACGACAAGTACCTGTATCTGGGGTCGTTTAGAGCTCCATTCATCGCTCAAGTACCAAAAAGGAAATAGTTTTGCGCACTGTAATGTAAAATAAACATTTAAAAAAATGAAAGTTCCTAATGTGTAGAATGCGGAAGCATGTCCTTACCAGGTAGGCGAGTACCTTGGTGTCCGGGTCCCGGGGAATAAATAATTTTCGTGTCCGTCCTTTAAAACGTGCCATAATTGGCAATTTCCGAAATCCTTGCAAATATCCACAACACCCCTACATGTTTGCAAAATGTGTTTTTTGTGATCTTTACTATTTTTCGTAAGTGGTACTGTCAAAAAGTTGTTTTTGAATTTTTCTGCTTATACTGGATTTAGGGGTTTTTGATGGTGCTGATTTCAAAAATCATGTTAATTTTTCTGGTTACTTTTTTCTTAGTTGACGGGTCCCGGCACTTTGATTTTTATCTGCCAAGACAAATCGCCGTGCCCAAGCAGGGGTGGCCACCCGGGCCCGTTTCGGCCCGTCTTACTTTTCCCGCAATTGCGATATCTCGTTTTGGAGAAGAGATATCAAAAATCTGATAACATTTTTAAGGGTCAGCACCCTTCTAAACCTAGGGCTAGCCGAAGTTTCAAAACCAACCGGTTACTCAGAAAAAAGCGCGGGATAAGTAAGACGGGCATAAACGGGCCCGGGTGCCCAAGGCTTTGCCTATCCCGTAAGGACCGCCCAGGCGAGGCCCCGTATAGCCTCGACCCGTCCGAGTAGTAACACGTAAAATTACCAGTCCCAGGGCTGGTGTGCAGTCTACTTGCTCTTTCGGGCAAAAAAATGGGCCAGAAATCGCTTTAGCCAAGAAACTTTTTGTATCCTGGATCAAGAGCAATCAGGGGTGGTCAGCGGGCCCTATTTTTCCGATTTTCGGCCCGCGGCCCGGCCCGTCTAGTCTTTTTCCAGGCCCGTCTATAGAGGGTTCTGCGAACTGCGCCCAGGCTCGGGATCTAAACTGAGGCAAAAAAGGCGTTGATCTAGCTAGTAAAGGATCAATGTGATAGTTTTGTGGTTCTATAATTGAACTATAGACTTGTAAACGTTTTAGAACTTGAAAAACAGCAACTATAACAACATCAATTAATTTTCCCGGCGCGAAAACAATGAATGCCAACGGTTTGGCATTGTATTTTAGACGGGCCGGGCCGGGCCGGAAAAAACCCCAGGCCCGCGGCCCGGCCCGGCCCGGCCCGTGACGGGCCCGGCCCGTTTGTCAATTTCCATTTTTGAGGCCGGCCGGCCCGTTTGGGCCGGGCCGGGCCGGCCCGGGCCGGGCCGGGCCAGCCCGGCCCGCTGACCACCCCTGAGAGCAATGCATCCAGAGAAACAGTTGTCTCTTGAGTCAACTCTTGCACTTTCGATTTTCTTTCCTTTGGTAAATTTTTGGGAATTTTTTGATGCTGTTTTATATTATGTGGAAAAAAACTACTTTTACAACATGCAGTTTTTGATATCGTTGTTGCCGATTGCAGCATTCCCGCTCTTCTATTTTATTTTTGTTTAATTTTTAGATATCTTGGGAGCAAGCATGGGTCGGACTTGTCCATTCTGCAGTTCTTCAGAAATTGATGAAGACCCATCTCGTGGAGATGCGACCTGTATGAATTGCGGTACTGTTTTGGAGGAATCGAGGATCGTTTCTGATGTCCAGTTTCAGGAAACTAGTGGTGGTGGACATGAAGTTATTGGTGAGTCTCCGATTAATTAGAGGCAAAGTGAGGCGACGTTGTGTAAAGATTTCTTTGCTTTTTGGCTTTTTAGATGAAGATTTCGATCAATTTTTAATCTTTCAGGTCAATTCGTCAGTAGTGAGCGTTCTGGTGGCGGAATTGGCGGAGTTCCCGGAGTGGTCAAGTCTGAATCTCGAGAACTCACGTTCTACAAGGGGAAGAAGCTCATTCAAGAGGTAAATAGATTTCTTATTTCGTTTATGTCTTTAGGTTGCCAGTCAGCTTCGAATCAACAACCATTGCGTGAATACTGCCTACAATTTTTTCAAAATGTGTGTCTCTCGCAATTTCACTCGTGGAAGAGTAAGGTCTCATGTGGTTGCGGCTTGTCTTTACATGACGTGCCGCTTAGAGAATACGTCGCACTTATTATTGGACTTCTCCGATGTCACTCAAGTTAATGTTTTCGATCTGGGAAGAACACTCAACTTTTTAACTCGATCTCTAAAGATTAATCTACCTACTACTGACCCCTGTTTATATGTCCTTCGATTCGCAATCATTTTGGACCTCAAGGAAAAGCAGAAAGAAGTAAGTTTTATATTCGAATTAGAGTTTTAAATCCGTCGGGAAAGATAAAGTAAGGTAAATTTATTCAGATTGTGTCGTTAGCAACAAGAATTGTTCAAAGGATGAAGCGAGATTGGATGTCTACAGGACGACGACCCACTGGAATCTGTGGAGCTGCTCTTCTCTTGGCTTGCCGAGCTTTGAACGTGAATCGGAGCATCGCTGATATTGTTCGAGTGGTTCATATTAGTGAGACTGTGGTCAGAAAAAGACTCGATGAATTTGCTAGCACTCCTTCTGGAAGTTTGACCATAGATGAATTCCATGTTGTTGATCTGGAAGAGAGTCAAGATCCCCCTTCATTCCAAGCGGCCAAGATGAAAACAAAGGAAATGGCCAAGAAACAAGAAGAAGAAATGAGGGCTGAAGCTGTCACTAAGGATGTTAGTCGGTTATTATTTGGTTTAGATTGTTTTTTTTTATTTTTTTATGGTAATTATATTTACAGTTTGACAATATACATAAAGAAGTGGAAGAAGCCTTAAAACAAAAGATGAAACGATCTCCCTATGCCAAATACGTTGTTGGAGAGTTCAAAGATGCCTCGGTTCCCGAGTTGTCCAACGCTGCCACTGTAATCCAATCTGAATTGCTGGATACGGTCTATAAAATGGCAGAAGATAGCGAAATGTCGTTTGAGTAAGGAAGAAAATAATATTTATATTGTTTTAGCGACTTCCAATCTCGTCAAGGGCCCTCGTTGCGTTCTCTCGGTATCATTTCCGAATCCGTCCCGTCAACTTCAGCCCAAACCCCGGTAGAAAATGATAATGGCGAGCTGGATCTGGATGGTATTGATGACGATGAAATTGAGTCTTATATCTTGTCGAATGAAGAGGCTGAGTTGAAAAGCGAGGTGTGGATGATGCGGAATGGAATCCACTTGGAGGAAATGGAGAGAAAGTGAGTTGTTTTTGTCTTTATGTGGGTGATTTAAATGTTGAGTTTGAATTTTATCGGCCTATTTTAGACGATTAGCCCGGTTAGAAGAGGAAGAACGAGAACGGGAGAATCCGAAGAAAAAACGGAAAGTTGTCAACAAAAAACTCCCCATCAACGCCTCCAATCACACCGAAGCCATGTTACAAGTTATTCAAGAGAAGAAACTGTCCAACAAGATCAATTATGACATCTTGAAAGAGATTGAGGCATTAACCCCACCAAATACAGAGGCTCCTTTGTCCGTGGTCACCAAATTGGAGGTAAATAATCGATCAATGGATTCATTATCAAGTACTCACACTGAATCCGTGGCCTCTAATACTCCCTGCACAAACACACCAACATCTGAAGACCCTCCCAATACGGATTCGCAACCTCAGGTCGAAGAGAATACCACCGAAAAGGAACCAACCCCTGCCCCAGCGCCTAAACAAGCCCCATCCAAGCCTACTCAAAGCAGGTACAGACGAAGTAAGTTTTTTTTGTGCCTGCAAATGTTCTAACACTTTACTTTAGACATGATCCGACCCAAAGGCCCCACGGCGCGATGACTCTCCTCATGCTCCTAAATAACATCTTGTTTTACCGTTTTTTGTTAATTCTGAAGCTTCACATCTTAAAGTTGATAAACGTAACTCAAAAAAAGGGTTTGCTGTCTTGTATTCGATTCCTTGATATTATTTATCGATGCATCGAGTACAGATGCATAAAAATCTATTTTTTTTTTGTACAACGAATTGGAAAGAGGAAAGAAAGGATAACCGATAATGAATACTGAGAATGCACCCTACCAAGAATTCGCCGATAGACTTGAAGGAGCCCCGATTATTCATTAATAAGGACCCGCTTCAGAGTTGTTCGGACTTGTTGTTCATAAATATCTCATAAATTTTGTTAGTGAAGCTTTATCGGACATCTTCACCGCCTCGCCCTTCTCCCACCAGTATTCGATTACAGAACGGTGCGTGGACGACCCAAAAAACTCTTGGCTTTGTCTCGGATCGGGCCTCTTGTTCCTCCTCCTTGTTCTCCTCATTCCACCCATCGACCTCTTCGGATTTGACCCCCAGGTCATTCTGAAGGAACGCGCGACCCCCAGGTGCCAGTCAATCCCCGCGCGTTTCCGACCGGACATTGTTTGTCTGCGGGCTATTCTCGCGAAACGGGGTGAACGTGGACATCTTGTACATGTTATGACATTCAATGTGATCTCATAACGTAGAATGTGCTTGGTTTCGGGGGTTTCGCGAAAACATATATAGCACGGAAAGGGATGATTTTAGAGCAGAGGCTCTAATTCAGCACCATCACCATAGAGCCTCCGAAATTTGAACATTCAGTTTTGGCCATAAACTCGGGAAGACAAGGGTCTATTAGTCTAATGTCAGAGATAGTAGGGCATTTTTCGGGGGACAATCTCCTCGTTGCCCCCAATTCCTTAGGGCCCTAGGGCACGGTGCTCCAAAAAGAAGGACGGAGAGGCGTTCTGAGCACTTATTTTAATCGAGACCATTGTCTTTCGTGGACCTCTTCAGGCCGTCCAATTGCAAGCATTTCGTACTTTTTCCACATCTGAACATGCAATGGTTACTTTGGTTTTTTCGTTTTGCATTCCGCTGTTTTCGCCGCGTCTTTCCGCGTCCGCCGTCTGATTGGGTTGGACGAGTAATTAGGGTCACTTCAAGGGACGCTCAGGTGCCCTGAGGGATGCTCTGGACAGAGCGGTTTTTTGGAAGGACCCGCACATTGTTTATGCATCAAACCAGTAGATGAAGTTTCCCCTTTTCTTCTTCCTCTGGGCTCGGTGAATGGCAGATGACCGGAGCTTAATTTCCGCCAGTTCTTTTCTTTTGGCCTCAGGGGATCGAGATGTTTTTCGAACTTTGCAAAATAATATGTTGATGAAAACAGGTATTGCGTTCGTGTACGCCATTTGTGAGCACATTCAGAGAAAATGAGATTTTTTGTTGAATTTTTTGAATGACAGAAAGGTCGTCAAATTTGTTTAATAAAAATTTTAATTTTGTGTCATTCTCCAAAAAAACCGAACCTGACATTGCCGCGTGTGTTAAAGTATCAGATTTCAATATTCTTCTTTGAAATCTGAGTTAATTTTACTCCAAAATTCTTGACATTTGGAGTAAATGTTTTTACTCTCCACAAATATTTTCTACTTTGGTTTTACATTGTTCTCAGCCTTTATTACGATTTGAAGACGTCTAATGGCCAATATTATGGCCGGCGCCGGTTCCTCCAGGTTCTATCCTTCCTCTAGTGTCTCTTTTTTCTCACGTTTGTAAATCGCCTTGGGGAATTAGACGGCGGAAAGAAGGGTTTTTTGGGCCAGGAAATGTGTCGAGCCGGCTTACCACCGGTTGGATCGGCGTTGAGGCATAGTTCAGCGACGAGGGGAGTTGGTTTTTGGTCGATGAATTGGATTATGATTTTTGCAAAGGCTTGCTTGTCATCCAATAGCCCAAAAGTTATTTAAATTTTATTGTCATCCTATCCGATTTGAAAACCGAGTTTATATGTAGAGTTCCACTGTGATATCTTCAGAAATAAAAACGAGATTTTTTGGGGCCTTTAGATTTTTTTTCATGTAGCTAAAATCAGCATAAAAAACTATAAGATTAGCTTTTTTGCAATTTAAACTTTAAAAATCTTACTGCCTCGAGTAAGTCCAGTTACATACTTATGTTTAACACACCATTTTCTAAACGCCATCTCGCTATAGCACGCAAGAAACATTTGCATTCACTCCATGCGCAATCTTGAACTAGTTATTACGCAATTTGTGACATTTCCATTTATTTCTTTTCCTGTTTGTTAAAGTTTTCCCACGCCCTCCAATGTTACAATTTTTCGCTGCAATCTTACAAATGTAGGAGTCCTAAAATAGCCGGAGGCACTCTATTCTCCGATTGTGAGGCCCATTCTGAATTCTAATTCAAATTGGAATGAGATTATCCCGCCTCCTCATATCGGAAACCTTGGCCTTCCTAGAGCATGTCCATATTTAAGCGCCGCGTTTATTCTTTGATTGTAATTGTAATCGGTTACGTTGCAGATGGAGAATCTCAAACATTTGTTGATATTATGTTGTTATGGAGGTGTTCCGTTTATCGACTATGGGCCCGGAACGAACGAAACAGATGGCAAGTTGGACATGAGCAATATGCTGGACCCCACGGATTGGATTGCCGTCGATTCTTCAGGTGATTTGAGGGGTACTAGTCACTTAGCTGTAGTTTTTAGAGAAGATTCATATTAGAAAATATCATAATATCAAGCGCAAACGTGATCACTTGAATTTATAAGATTAAAAAAAATTTTTTTTGAATTTAGACACAACAAATTTTATCTTTGCAAAAATTTGTTTTGGTTACTGTATTTTCGAATATTTTTGCTTTGAATTGTGTAATTACCTTTCGTATAAATTTTTGGTTTTCTTTGCATCGGTACAACTATAATAACTAAGCCCTAATGAAGATGCATGTTTGTCATGCCCTAGATTATAGATCACTCCTGTTGTATGAGATGGCCAAAAACATGTGACTTGCCCAGAAATAAACACATCTCAGAATACTTATTTTCGGAAAAAAAACTAAAAAGTCCGTCATTCTGCTGGCAAAAAATCAAAAAAAGTTACATGATTTTTTTTCAAAGAACCTCTAAGACATCATATTCAATATTATTATCAGGCTCGCTTTTGAACGCCTCCATTCACCCGGAACTCTTGGCCGAAAACCCTGGCCTGGCCACACTGATACCCTTGAATGCAGACATCCAGCTGGATTCTTGCGATCTCTACAACCTCACATTCAGCAGCAATGCCGACCAGAAGCTGTTTGACGTCGGCCACGGAACTCTGAAATGCAGGTCTGTCGCAAAGCCTGAGGGCCGAAAAAAACAAACGGAGAAAGCGGCATTCGGGGTTTTATATTTTTTATGCCATGTTTTTCTGGTCGTAAAAAGACGGGAAAAGAAACGAATTTAATCGATGCCAGGGGGTTTCACGGCGGGACGTGAGCGTCGGAACGGCCACATTGTGAAGGAGTTTTGATTGAGGCTAGACGGGATTTTGAGGTCTGTCGAACATGTGTTAGGAGTTACGAAATCTTGTCAACTCTGAGTAATCCAGATATTTTTTGAGATATATTTCGGATTTTTCTCATCAATTTTAAGGACCTTTAAGCATATAATTATTTACTGCATCTTTTAAAAAATCCTACTTGAAACCTTGCGAAATGTCATCCAATTACGCAATAATGTTATCAAACCCTCCGGGCCCCCAAAATCCTCGCATTTCTCTCCGAATTCTTCAGTTTTCCGTTTCGGCCGTTCTAATCCGTTCGTTGGGACAGCGGGTTTTGTACTCCTTTTGTCTCTTCAGGTGTCCACGCAAACATTTCGGAAGCGCATGTCATTTAAACGCCCCTATTAGTCTCAAACTCACCATGAATTCGACGATTGCGGCGATTCACAACACGACTAATGGCAATCCGTTTGCCGTGGTCATGCTGATGTTGATGTGTTTGATGGCTGCGATGGCTGCTGTGTTTATGGTAGGTTGTGGATTTTACATTAGATGGTTAACCTTCGTATCTTATGTCAAGTATCTCTTTAGTAAGCTATTTATATTGTATTATAATAGGTTACTGGCCGCTTCTATTGATGTGAATTGCATAAAAGAACTCGATATCCCGGCCCTTAGTGTACATTCGCATGTCCTGTAACCCGACCCAATCCTCAAATTGTACGATTCTCTTGTTATTTACTGATAGTTTTATTTGTAATCTTTTGAGTAAATGCAGGGCGTCTGTGTTCTTTTGTGCTGCGACTCTCCTCATTTCCTTTCAAGCGTTGGATTAGACAAAAAAACGCTGGGCAAGTTCATAACTCACTCCTCTTCGCTTAGTGCCCTCAGGGCTTTAAATTTTAAATTACAAAAAAAGGCCGATTATTACAGCTGGCGCGAGGTCTTAAGGGTGCGAGATACCTGCGGGCATTGACTAATTAGAGGCAGTTATCTGGAGGAATGGAATCGCCAGTCCCTGATGTCCATTAATGCCCGCAGGGCTTCTTTTCGTATTTTCGGCTCTTTCTTTTCGTTTTTTGGCCGTTTCTCGTTCCCGTCGCAAAAAACGGAAAAATGGGCGCATGGAATGTCCGAAAGAGGCACGTTGAGAGGACGTGCTGGTGGTCGTTCCCCACCCTCACATCCCCCCTGAAATCCATTGTTTCTGGAGGGATTTCATCGCGGTTTTGTTTGTTTTTTGTGAAACTGGGCCGCGAACAATGGACTAGTCCTCGCTCATTCTCAATCGGAGAGCCCGTTCGGATTGCCTGAGGGTGAATTGTTTCCGCCATTTTAGCAGGACATTCTATGAGCCCGATCGGAGGATGAACGTAACATCATTTATGCAACTTCTTACGTCCCCGTTTCGTTGTAATGCCCGCCTTCGCGGCCCTTGGCCTCACCTGTTCACGCGAGTCCCAATCTCATGTCGATTCCAATTTCATTCGAAACCGGCGGGCATTATTTAAAAAGCATTCCTTGGCTCATTTTCTTGGACATTACTTTTTTAATCGGCGATTATGTAATTACCCGACCTTGGCGTATGTAATGTGGCGAGATGTAATTTTATTTCGTTATAGATGATGCGGGCCTGCTTCTGTGATTGTTTTGGAGGATTCAAGAGTCCGTTTTCCTCGCGGGAGAGTCAAGATCTGGATCCAGAAGCCGTAAATCGATGTTTACAGATGGCCCGCGCCCACGAGGAGCAGGACAAGAGGAATTATGTAGGTCTCAAATCAGTTTTCTCATCCAAACATGCTCCCATGCACATTAATTTTTTGAAATAATTCTCCACATTTCAGGGAGAGTCGCGGCATCCGTTGATTCCATCGATCAGCGAAGGCTGTGCCCCTTACAATCCACCCGTTTTATCGGTTGGCCAATTCGAGGTGGTCCCTCCCCCTCCTCGTCATTGTTCTCCTCCACCTTCCTATCGATCTTCCACCAACAGTTTGGATCAAATCCCTTCCCATAAATTGTAAATCCCTTTATGTCGTCTAAGGCAGCTTGTAGAGCCTTTGTGTTTGCTTTAGACGAATTGTCATTTCCTTAATTTTGCCTCGGGCAAAATCGGTGCCTCTCTCTGAAAGTTTTCCGCGCTTTCGAGTCCCTGATTGTAAGCATTACCATAACATTTCCCATGTATTTTCCCAGTCTCGTCTCAGCATTTTTCTGAGTCCAATCGCAATTAGAATCCTGTTTGATCTCTGCGTTGTTGTCGGGCTAGTCAAGGATTTTAAAACAAGCTTGGCGGGTCCATTTTTTGTTTATATACAGTTATTTTGTCTTAAGTTTAATAAAATTACAAAATTTATGTATCAAACCTTGTGATAGAAAAAGCAACAAAAAGCAAAATCAAGAAAAATAAAGGTAAGGAAAGCTGATTTTATCGCAAATTTTCTTGAAGCGAACCTTAAATGAGCTCTTAAATGGATAACTCTAGACCTATTCTACAGTAACCTCCCATAATTTTTAAAAATTTTGACAAATGTTATGTTACCCTAGGTATTGATTCATCCCTAGAAGGGAGGGTTCAACCTGTCCAGACGCAATTTTCCTTCTACATCACCAGCGCAATGATTAGACGCTGGTTTTGCATGAAAAAAACAAAAAAGCCGACTTCAATTTAAATATTTGTCCGCGTACGGAAATTAAGGCCCAAATCAGAGGTGACAACTTCTATAAATGCTCCAGAAAAGCGCCGCCGGGCCTATTTGGAAGTCGGGACCGCGTCGGGAATGGCTGATCAACAAGGTGATGTGCCCAGAGGGGTAAGTTCAAAGGGGATCCGAAGCTATAATATTTTTCGCGGGAAAAAGAAGATTAAAATGTCTGTTACCGAGAAGATGAACGAGAATTCCCGTTCATTCAGCGGAAAACAAGGAGAAATCAAATCGAATTAGGAATTCGCACAATTGGCTCCCTTTGAATCACGTTATCGCAACCGCTGCAAGAAGTTGCCCTGAGGGTGTGAAAGGGGGATTCTTTCGGGAGGAAGCGGGCAGCCGAGAAAGGGGCAAGGAGCGACCCGGGAACAGACGCAGACATCGATCGCGCGTAGTCGTCGTCCTCTTCTCCCCCCAATATTCCTCCTCCATCTTCGCTCCCACACCCCAATCGAGAGACTGCGACGAACCCAGAGCGACGTGCGAGAGAAGAGAGAAAGTCGCGCGACCTCCTCGGGTTCCCTTAAACCTGCTGATAATCGGGTTCAACATCCCTCTGCGCGCCGAGTTTCGGCGCAACGGATCGCAGCGCCGTATCAGTCCATGCGGTGCTGACACGTGATATGTATGTGTGGGTTGGCTCAATGGCTGTGCTGTCTGTTTCTCGGCCGTGATTCCACCGTAAGTTCTCTGCATATTTTATTGTTGGATTCTGATTCCAATCCTTTGCTTTCAAATTTCCATAATCCGATGAGCAAGCCCTGAGGGGAAAGGTTTGATGCCGTCATCGTTCTTATCAGCGGTTTCCTTTCCGTCGTTCAGCGCTTTCTGTTTTTGATTTTTTTGAAAGGGATTTTTGAGAATTCCACATTGGGACTTCCGGTCCATCGGTTTGGGAATTTTCGGTTTTAATCGTACTTGGAATTGACAATAATCGAAATATACAAAGGTTTATTTAATTCAAGTTTAAGTTAGTATTAACAGGGGTTGTTATGGCATATCTTAACGCCCGTTTCTGGCCCCGTCATCCGTTAGTTCTGTGACGTCCCCTTAGAGCTGTGTGAGACCTCTGTAATCTGAAGCCATGACGCCGCTCCTCACGCTATTCTTGATCCAAAAGGTCAGGAAGGCACTTACAGCGCCCAGCATTATAAGACTCTCTCTTTCAATAATTGTGTTCGGAAATGTCTTCTGGCCTCTCCTCTCCGCTGTTGGTAGTCTCCTGACCTGAAGCCGCGAGCAGAGGAAAGCCACGTTATATTTAAACTTATGGTCGTGTCTTCTGAACCGGACCAGTGCATTTCCGGTGTTACGGCGTCCCGGACGCACGGCATCGAGTTCGGCGTGTTTGGCGGACCTTTCGGATATTAATTAGTGGAGCTGATCTAGCCTGGCTGCTCGTCGTTCTCTGCATCTCTGCAACGACCCCACTTCTGGAGTCTGATGGAAGAACGTCGCTTCTCCATCGCCACACTGGGCCCTTTCTTCCACAAGCCGCGACGGAGTTGTGTTGATCTGGACGAAGTAATTGTTTAGAATCTGCAAGTTGCTGTTCAGCTGTGCAAATTTTCGTGGCCTCCCCCGAGGAAGCGTCACACATTGATAAGGGGAATCGCTCATTAGTGGGAAATCAGAGCCAAACATTTGCTGTAAAGGGGGTGAACAACGAAAACAATTCAGCGGATCCCTTTGTCTTAACGATTCTTTTTTTCAGCGTTCTATGTTCGACGCTGAACAAAGGCGGAAACAGTTTGCTTTTCAAAATGCTCGATCTCACAGCGCTCCGCCACGGAAGAAATGGTATCGACGAGGTGGGGATCGGCTTATCTTAATATCAATATTTCTAATTTTTATTCTTTTTGCTTATATTTCTAATTTTTATTATTTTTTCTTTTCAAATTTTATTATCAACATGTTATAGGTCCCTTGCGCAGGATGGGATCACAACACACCATGTTATACGATAAAATGGTGTCCAGAAGATTGGTTGGGGCCATCGCCATGTGGCACGACCTCCATTCCAATCTCCTTCAGCTCTCCCTGGACAGACATAATGATAAGGATGAGGGTCAAAGGGTCACTTCTTCTAATTCCTCGACCTCTCCAGTGGAATGCGATGACGACAGCATCTCACAAGAGAGTAGTCTGAGTGATGAAGAATGGGATCATCGGCATTTCGGTATGATTTATTTTATTACATAATAACTTGTTTTTACTGAGTTATATCCGGTTTTTGTAACGTCAATTCTTATGGGAAAGGGCTAATTCACGGCTGTGCAATTTTTTGGAAATTTGGTCTAAACTGAAGCAGGATTTTTACAGATATTTTGCCTTCAATTCAAAGAGATTGTTAAAAATTTCAGCGAAAAATTTGGAACAAATGCAGACAGTTTTGGAATTTTGAACTATACATAACACAATGTTTGAAGGGCGGACAACAAAAAATGACAAAAGAAATAATTTTTCTACCGGGCCAAACTTGCAGAGATATCAAAGTTTTTGTGTCATATCTCAGACTTTTTTGAAAAGTACGAGCTAAAATTTTTGAGTATGGCATCAAAGTAAATAAATTGTGAAAACTTTGACAGTTTTATTATTTTACCTGAGGCCTTTAAAGTCATCTTTTTTATAATAATTTTTTCAGAAGATTCCGACGAATCCGATGAGGACCTGCTCAGCGACGACGCCCTTGACGAAATAGTGGAGTCGGAACGGCAGAACTTCCGCAGCCGCTTCTCCATCTCCAATCCCGATCTCACACATGACCAATTGCGTAACATGTTCCCCGAACTTTCAGACCATTGGCGGTGAGTTCCTTCTTTTGTCGGAGGTCAGGCCGCGGTTTCTTGGATACGGAAATGTCAGAAACATTTGCAAACAACCAAACAAAAAGTCAACAATTAAGAGATTACGCTCCAAATATGATTTCTGGAGTATGCGTTCCCGTAACTGCATTACATCGGCGGAATCGTAATCGAATTACATAGCCGCAATTACTTATTACAAATATTTGTTTTTTCTCCTTTCGAAGCACTTACCAGCGGATGAGGGGGTATATCTTGTTCGCGAATAAAAGCGGATTAAAACATAAAAATTGACGGCGAGATGTTCATTAGGGTCTTAAGTCTACACTTACACGTGCCACATATGATGGAGAATTCCCTCAGAAGGCTGAGGTCCGATCGGCGGGACCTTTTCCAACTGATCAGCCGACTCCAAATTGAGGCCATTTAAGGCGGCCATGAGGCTCAGGGAGAGGGGGATTTGAGCGTAGAGTTCTCTTCATTTGTATCTTTTCCTCGGGTCTTCCTCACCTTGGGCTGTCGACCGCTTTGTCCGGATTATCCCCCCCCCCTTTCTATGATTGGCAAATGAATTTTTGCGGCAATCTTTCCTTCCTCGGCGCTGACTCCATTGTTAGCCCCACTCAGGATGGCCCTAAGGCATTTTAAGTGTTCATGTCTTGAATCTTTTGCCCTTCGTTCTGCGGGATATTGTTCTTCATCCCTGATATTTGCTAATGTTTTCGCGGTCTTAGGCTGATTAAAAATGCAATGTATTTAAAAGTTGGAAGAAGGCTCGGGCCGCTTTTTTGGGCCTCAGTTTGGTGGGGCAGTGCGGGGTTTGACAGTTTCGGGCGGGGTCCTTATCTTCTTGACCTGTACCTCTGTTAGGCGTTGTTCTTTTGGTTCCAGCGCTCTTGTAATTTGCTAATTTGCTGTTTCCATTCGGTCTTGTCTCGGGTTTTGAACGTGCAAATTGTTTTGTTTCTCGGGGATTTTCCCAAGATTTTATGCAACGACGTTTTTAAGACAACCCCTCCCCTCCTTGCATTCCACGTTCCGGACGTTGAAATTCGAGCTAAGCATTATGGGGGAGCGCATGCTGAATCACTGGACTGTCTGTTAAGATTTCTAAAATTTCTAGATTTGTTTTCCCCCCGAAAATCCCCTTTGAATGAGAAAAAACGGAGTTCGCGTTTATGGATTTCCGCGATTACCTTGGACTTTACGTGGTGTAGATTTAAGCAATAGATGGACGAATTAAAACAACGAACCGCTCAACATATCTCGGAGTAACGACATATCTCTTTAAACTGGTGTAAAGTGCAATATATTTGGTTGAATCGAGTGGATGACAAATCAAAATGAATGACTACCACGGGAAGGGACTCATAAGTCCGTCCACGTCGATCGGCGGCGACAACAATACGTGTTCTACATCTCCCGCCAATTCGGAGACCTCGATTCCCTCCAGGAAATACTTCTTCCCCTCCAGTCATGCCGAGCCTTCGACCTCGGCCGCAGCGCTAACCTCGACAGGGCTCTTTGGACTGCGGAAAAAGACGAGTATGCAGTTCGGAGGAACGGCGAGGAAAACGAGTATCGGCGTCATCGGACGTTCCTGTAGCTCGGGTACGTCGAAGAACGGGAGCGAGGAGTCGCCCAAGCGGAAAAAGTCTATCGCCGCCACAGGTGCAGCGGCCAAAAAGACGATGAGGAAGAGATTCTCGCAAGCAAAACTGGCACTCAGAAAGATTTCGCATTCATCGACACATTCTCATAAATGTGGCTCCAACACTTCGATGAGCCCTGTTTCAATGTTGGAGTCGCCGACGGACAAGAGATCACTTGACTCGCCCTCAGTGGCTGGTCATGATATTTCCCCTTCTAATTCATTAGGAGCACCTGATGAGAACACCGCTCCAGTTCACAAAAAAGGATTCTTCTTTCCGAAGTTCAGAAAACTGTCATCGACCACGCCTCCGCTTCCATCGACCAGTCTGATTCCCAGCATTGCGGCGTTGAAGAAGCCCTTAGGGCCTAGTCTTTCTTGGGATCCGGAGCAAAGGTAAGAGCATCGAAGAGGAGATCAAATTGTTTTAGATCAAGATCTCCTTCAACTTCGAGTCGATCCAGAATTCATTCGGAAGGGAATGAAGACGGGAAAAGGCGGAGGAAATCAAGAGGATCAATCTTAATAACAAATCCAGATGAAGCCAACGATCTGGTTAATTATGCCTTTGATTCTCGACGCAGTTCCAAAGGAATCATTGATCCAGATCGCTTGGACCTCGAGAACACATGCCTACACTGCTCCTTGGGAACAGAATACAGAAGGAATCGGCTTCGATTAGAGATTGAGACAGCTGTAAAACGCCTAGCTAAGAGATTGGGGAATCGAACGGCAAATTGGCCGCGAAGTGATGACAGTCATAACACTCTGACTAACAGTACCGTATCGGTCAATACTCCACAAAGTCCGACATATGCTCAAGCAGAGCAGTTGCGGAGGACGATGGGGACTCCTGATATTGTGGTATCATCGATCAGTTCGGATGAAGAGAATGATCAGAAAAGAAATACGAGTAGTGAAATGTGCTCGAGTTATCCGACCAGTGGAGAGACAAGGTGAGAAACCGTGATTAGAAGGTAATGAAATTTAGTTCTGCTTGCACCACTGCCTCTCCCAGTCCTTTGGCCTTGCGCAATAAGAATGACATTTTCTTCAACACAGACAGTATGCAGCCACCAACAGAAGATGCGGATAATGAGACGGAGAAATCCCCGACTTACACTCATCCTCCGCTTCAAGCAATGGACACGCTGAAGCCTCCGGGATTCTGTCAAAACAATAATTTCCTCAGTCCATCCGACTGTTCTAGTCCACCAAGGAGCAATAGTGTTGATCTGTCCACATTGAGAAGGGATATTGAGTTGTGGAGTATAAGTTCTGGAGATGTGAGCGAGAATGGATCGGACACTGGAGAAGGGGATCCGGCAACACCAGCGGAGTCAATTAAGACAACTAGATCCCGGTCACATGACCCATCTCATAGTCCCGATCATCTCCTCAGAAGGCCCAGTAGAATCGAGCATCTTAGCGAGATATTTAGGTACAACGGTGATGATAAACAATTTAAAATACAAAACTGATGACAGAACTAAAACAAAAAGATCTCAAAAATATAATTTAATCTAATTTTGATGCTTATCTTTCCGATCTACAATATTTTTCTAATTGCTTAATTTTCAGAAAAGCCCTGGCCAAATCACCGGTAGTAAAAAGAGCGGCAGCTTTACAAGACAATGAACAAAAAAGCGTCTCCAAACACCGAACGAGTAGATATTGGCTTGATGACAATGTAAGATACCCTCAGGCTGTAATAATCATCCTTTTAGTTAATGGCAGCAGAACATATCTGGATCCCCTCAAGTGGTCCGGGCAGCGCATCAACGTCCACGGATACCGAGTGTTATATTGGAGAAAAGGATTGCGAAAAAGTTGGGGAGAAACGAAGATGTGCTGCTTGTCATATAGTAGCACACACTGCTTGTTTTCCATTATTGGCCAAGGTATGTGGTCCATTAAACATGAATTTTCATGCAAATTAATATAAAGATATTTTTATTTTCAGATGAATTTGGTATGCAAGACCACGTTTAGAGACTCGGCGTTGAAGCGAAATCCCTCCAAAGACATCTGGGATTCGTTGACTAAACATCATTGGGTCCATCGATGGAAAATGGAAGGGCGATGTCAGCAATGTCACAAGAGTTTCCAACAAAAAATGTTTAGAGAAAAGGTAAATACCATTAAAAATACTTGATTCGGATTTTAGGAAGTAATCGCGATCACTTGTTCATGGTGTAAATTGTCCTACCACAACAAGCGTTCATGTTTTTCGTTACAAAGATTCGAAGAGAAGTGTGATCGAGGCGCTCTGAGGGATATGATTCTCCCGCCCAGCTGGTTATTGAGGTTGTCCCATCAACGGAAACGTCATGGAAAATCGATGAAAAAGCCGGCCAGGAGAAAGTACCGACCTTTTATCGTGAAGCCCATGGATGCGTCGATTGCGGGACCTTCCCAGCCATTGTTAGTGTTTGTGAATCCAAAAAGTGGAGGGAATAAGGGATCCAAGGCTTTGCACACTCTCTGTTGGCTGTTAAATCCACGACAAGTCTTTGATATTACAGCCCTCAAAGGGCCGAAATACGGGTAAGTTCGAAATATTCTTTTATTAATATGTATTTTTGCATATAAGGATGATCCGATCTGAAAATTTTCGCTTTGATTCGCAAAATGTTCTGATTTCTTGGCTGAAGAGACCTTATTGTTAGCCAAGAAATTCGAAATTCTCGACTTACGAGTAGAGAAAGAATTTAAAAAAAATGCGCAGTATTGTGAAATGTTACGCAACTGAGTCAAAAACTTGGAATTTATTGGAGCTCCGAGCTCTCTAGCCAAGAAAACGGGATTTTGCCAGAGAAGACGAAATATGTGTTATCGCACCATCCTTACGTATATCTTAAAGGTGAATGTCTATAACAACGTTTTTAGGTTAGAGATGTTCAGAAAAGTGGGCACACAGCTTCGGATCTTAGTCTGCGGCGGCGACGGTACTGTAGGATGGGTCTTATCAACGCTAGACCAACTAAATTGGGCAGCCTATCCACCAATGGCGTTAATGCCCTTAGGCACTGGAAATGATCTTTCTCGGTGTATGGGTTGGGGAGGAATGTTCAGTGATGAACCATTGGCCGAATTATTGAACGCAGTTATGCATGAGACCAGTGTGACATACTTGGACAGATGGAAGTTGGATGTAACCCCCAATAACAATCAATATGTGACGGACAACAGCCATGACGACCCTCAGCTAAATGATGCTCTTCAATCCGCCCTCCCTTTGACTGTCATGAACAACTACTTTAGTATTGGTGCTGATGCTCATGTGGCTTTGCAATTCCATCATTCAAGAAGTAGGAATCATGTCTAATATTAGTCGGTCGGGAAAATAATAAGGAATCGTTGCGCCTTGAAATCGCCCATCATTGCTTTGCGACAGCTAGCCACAGATTTGGTGACACTGCGCCAATTTTGCGACGATTCTCATTATTCTCCCTACGGAGAGATTCCTTTTTAATCTGTCTTCTTTAGGTGCCAATCCTCAAATGCTAAACTCCCGCTTCAAGAACAGAATCGCTTATGGAGGACTGGGGACCATCGATTTGTTCAAAAGAACTTGGAAGGACCTCTCAGAATTCATCACAATCGAATGTGATGGGGTTGATATTACTCACAAGATCCGAGAATTTAAATTCCATTGTGTTTTGTTTCACAACATCTCCTATTACGCAGGTGGGACTATCCCTTGGGGCAGTGATTCCAATGAGGAATGGCTGAAGCCTTCCAGTTGTGATGGGAAGATCGAAGTTCTCGGGTTTACAACTGCCACCTTGGTAAGTAAACTTAATTTTCAAAAGATTAAGAAAGTTTTACATGACGTTTTTATTGTTTTGAAATGATATCATGCCGTTAAATACTTAAGAAAAGTAACAATCTAATTACTCCAGGCGGCCTTACAAATGGGAGGTAAGGGCGAGAGGATTGCGCAATGCTCCAAAGTGCGAGTGGTAACATTAAAGCCAATTCCCATGCAAGTTGATGGAGAGCCCTGTCTTCTGGCCCCATCAATAATAAAAATGAACTTCCACAGCAAAGTGAGTGTAACTCGATGTGGTACCATTAATAATAAAATTACCCATTAATTCGTTGTCCTGTCTTTGCAGGTCCCCATGTTGAAAAGAGACAAGAAAGTGGTCTGTACGCCGGCCGTGACTCGCAAGGCGGTGCGCAATTCAAGATCGGGTCTGGACTCCGCAACTGCCAACACCTCCGTCTTCATGCATGTCCCGGTGATCGTCGTGGGCAGACACGACTATGATATGTATCGGGATTCCATCGACCGACTAAAAGATACGGGTTTTGAGATTGGAGTCATCAGTTTGGAGGCCGAAACAGAGCTGTCTTATGCCAGAAATACCATACAGAAGCTGTTGTGTGAACATCCCATGTTACCCTACGAACCAGGACCAGATTGGAGGTTTCTTGATTGTAAGTTCGCTGTCTTTCGACTCTTTGAAGGCGATAAAATCGAGTCATTACATGATTTAGATGTGAGCAACTCCGAAGAAGGGACGTTCCGTATTTCCCGCCATCAAGAACACAATCACTCCATTTCCGATGTCTGTAATCTAGACGAATGTATAATATTATTGGACGACGCGTTTCCCTCGATGACCGCGAGATCCTCCGCCATCGGCCATGATCTCGTCTTCACTCCCTCCAAGTAAACTTTTTTTTCCGCCTTTCTTTGTTGTCCCGTGAATGTAGTGTATGTAGTTGTCCGTGTTTTAGATTTGTGTTTGTCTCGTCCAGCAGTTCGCCCACCTCCCGAGCTCAGTCTCCGGGGCCTTCTCGGCTGAAGAGGGGCCATCGTTGACCCCGAGTTTCCGTTTAGATATTGTGGTCCACTAAAACAACATAGTTGATGTAAATCCGCTCATTTCAGAGTAACTGTACCTACAACCATCTCTTATGACCCAGGGTGAGTTTTTCTTAATTGGAAAACAGCAGAATACCAATAAAAAATATTCGTGACAAAATGTCACATACGCTTTTGACATTAAGTTCAAAGTTGCGATTCTTTTGTACATCAAATCTAAGCAAGGTGTTCCTTGGCTTATGTTTTAATTTCAGCAAACCGGTGACCCCCAACACTCTTTCTCAACGACGAATAAGTGAAACCCTGCGGATCGTGCTGAGCAGCGACGCCCAGGAGACTCATCTCTAACACTTCTATTCTTTCTCTGTTTTATATCAGGTGATAAGTTATCTCAAAGGGTCTGTGTCCACATAATTGTTATTTATTTCGAATAAATATACTTGTTAGAATCGCTGAGGAATTCGAGCGTCGCCTAATCTAATTAAAACCAGCCCCCATCTCTTTTTGTTGATCATGAAGTCAAGGTAAGCCCACAAAGATGTTGCTCTGGGTATTCCTTGGTTCCATAATTGGATATTGCGACCCACAACTCAGCTATGAACCGTTGTGGATTCAATCCATCAACGGGATGAAGTCCATTGGAGTTCACTTAAAGAATTTTCAAGATAAATATTGCACTGCAGAGGTAAGAGAAGGAAATGCGATAGTAGTTATTAGTACATCTCCAGGAGGATATACTACTTGAGTGTTGATGACATCGACCCAGCTTTTGGTGTTGAAAAAGCAACGGAAATAATGCGAAGATATGCGTATGTGGCTGTTCGTTTGGAAGATGTTTGTATGGAATTACAGTTGGATGGGGTTGATGAGGTGGGTTTGGGGAGTAACGAGACTATGTCAGAAGATGCTTTGCAACTCGTCAAGCATTCAGGTAGATTCCAAAACTATCTAAATTACTTTTGCAGGTCCAATTGGGATTGATGTGAGTTTATTCAACGAGAATAACAACCGGAGTATGGAGAAGTCTCTGACCGAAGACAAGGAAATTGATCACATTCTCAAGTCGTTTGATACCATGGGAAAAACTGGGCAGAAACCTTTTGCATCAACGTTCTTGAATCCGCTAATGAAGAAGCTAAAGTATGACGCAAGGTAAATGCCAACGACTATTGTAAATTTGTAATTACTAGATCTCCGCCGATCATCAATGAGAACAAAACTGTCAATGTTAGAGTCGGAATTCATGTTCAATCCGTCTCAAACTTTGAGTTGACAACTATGGTACGCCGTCTTCTTTATGGAAACATATTTATGTTGCCTTAACTGAGAATTCAAATTATTATATTTATTTCAGGATTTTGACATGGATATGTGGCTAAGAATGGCTTGGAGAGACCCCAGACTGGCGCATGGATTGAGTGGCCCAATTTTGATTACAGAAGAGGGTTATTTGAAAAGACTGTGGAGGCCGGACGCTGTCTTTATCAACAGCATGGAGAGCTTCTTCCATCGGGTTACTTATCTTAACTTTTACATGTTCGTTTTCCCAGAAGGAGAGGTCTTTTTTGAAGCCAGGTAAATACAGAATTACATGAGTAATTCCATGTGCACTTTTAGAGTTTATTTGAAGCCCAAGAGTCATCTGGTTCTGTGCAAGTACCCCCACGACTCTCAAACTTTGATCCTCCAGATAAGTTCTAGTAAGTTACACATTGTTCGGAGTAAAATAACTGTTTATTCAAGTCGCAATGACTCAAGATACCGTAGTCTTCCAATGGTTCCCGATAAAACGTGACGCCATTCGAGTGAATAGGAACATTCAATTGCCCGAGCTTCATATTACCAGCTACGAAAGCACAGTATGCGATGCAAGGAGGAAGACTGGCAACTTTACTTGCCTGGAGGCGAGATTTTATCTGAAAAGAAATATTGGATATCATATAGCGCAGACATATGTTCCCACAGCAACTTGTGTTGTGTTCTCCTGGATCAGTGTTTGGCTACCGGAAGAGTTTGTTGAGGGGAGGATCTTCGTTGCGTTGACTGTCTTCTTAACCTTGAGTGCAGAGAGTAATGCGGCTAAGGATACATTGCCCAAGGTTTCTTATATCAAGGTAAGTGGACGGTAGACTGACCCGTTTGCAAGGTATATAAAGATTTCTTCAAATTTGGATTACATCAGATTTCTAGTTTTAGGTTAGAAACGTCCTTGGATAAAAACAGTAGAAGATTATCAAAATATGTAAATCAATAGGAGTGTAAATCATCATTTTGTGAACTCAAAGTTAATCGGTAGATCTTTTAGAAAATTCTAATCTAGATGTTGTCTCCTTTTTATCAAAACATTTGTGCCACACGTTGGTCATATTCCTTACAGGTCTTACTTTCAGGCCATTGATATTTGGTTCGGATTCACGGCGTCATTTGTTTTCTCCACAATGTTGCAAGCTTTGATCGTGATCAGGCTGGAGAATATGAGCAAAGAAAAGGTGAGCCTAAATTGACGATATGGGCCTACACTGCCAAAGCTGTAGTCCCTTAAACATATACTTTGATGTTACGCTTTGAATTTGACGTCCACGTTTATAATCGAATAAGCATAAGCTGTTACTGCTTGATTACTTACCTTTATTGGGTTTACCGCGGGGTTGTAGAAGTCAAACTGACTCAGTAATGGATGACATAACTCCCTAATTACATTTTAATATTTAAAATCAAGAGTAGAAAAACTTTTTTGACAATTTAAATTTTTAATTGATGGTGCGTAACTACAAGTATATTTTGAATGTGGCAGAATTCATTTTCAGCGAAAACTGGTGGAAAACGAGAGTGCTTCGTTGGGTGTGGACAAGACTGTTCGTTTGCTGATTGAGAGTAAACGCCTGCATAAGCTGAGCAGATGGCTGGACGAGTTCTTCAAAGTGATGTACCCGGTCATCTTCCTCATATTCCTTTTCATCTACGCCTTTGTGGTAATCCAGGGGGAGCCCACTTGCGTTTGAAACTATTTTTACCATTATCACATCACTTGGCGATGGCCAAGCCTGTCTGTCCGGGGGATTGCATCGATTTCACATAACGTTGGCCGGTTTGTTTTGTTCATTCAACCGTTTTGTCGAAGGTAATAAATACGGGCTGTCGCTGAATTTACATTCATTTTGATTATACGGACGGATAAATGGCGATGGGAAAGGTGGGATGCCGCAGGGCATGTTTATTGGGATGGCCTCGGCTTCATGAGCAGTGTTCATTTATGGGCACGGATGGCTGGGAGAACATGTCAGCACCTTGTTCAGAGGCTTAGATACGGTATTTTCTATCATATTTTACAATTGCCTCAATAGGATATTAGAATTGCTTAGGTCCCTGTAGATCTCTAAACTAATGTCTCAGCTGACTGTTGATGTAATCTATCGTATTTCGCCTCCGTTTTGCGTTGTTTATTTACCGTAATTCTCGATGAAACTTTGATGAAATCTTTGAACAAAACAAGTTCACACATCTGTTTCTATTTACAAACAAATATGTATTATATTTAATAGTCAAATTTCTAAAATTACTTTTTCGTATGGTCCCTACAACAACGTGAAGCGGCTTAGTACGTTATTTTTGTTCGATTAACATTATTAGAGCGCAGTTTCTCAAAATACGGTCTTTACTCGAGTACAATTCCCAGACCGGACTCTAATGGCTCAATTATACCACAGAGCAGAATTAACTGCTGATCGGGAGTCTCCGGATGACATAACGGGCCTGTTATGACGGCATCCGCCTTTTTAATGGTAGTCATCAAGGGGTTTCTCATTCATATGACCAACTCAAGCATGCTGTCTAATAAGTTTCGGGCATGCAAAGGAATGCAAGGATAATTTGGGTGCACGGATTGGTATTTTAATTAAAGGTAGCCGTTTTACTTTATGCTTAGTGGGTTAGGTCACTTCGTTTACAAAGTGACGGATGTTTCTGTAATTTATTAGATTTGATTACAGTTTAGTGAGGTGTAACATGTTTTTATGGCCTTAAGCTATATAATTACCGTTAATTTTAATCCCAACCTTCCCTTGTCTCAATTTCGAGTAAATTTATAGCGTTTAGTTTGTACATTTCGTGACACTTCAAAAACTTTTGAACAATAATTATATTAATCATGCTCAGCTCACAGGTTACCCCTTTCTCCCCACCCCTCATCCCAGTCAGTCATGAGAACCTTTACATTCTGCATTCTGTTGGTCTCAATGACCGTGTTGGTGGAATCCTTCGTTCTCCAAGAGCTCCCATTGTATCGTGAGGAGCGTCGGGAAGAGGGATTTAAGAGAGCCGCTCGAGCCGACAATTTCCCGACTTTTGGTCGACTACGGGCTTTCTGGTCGCGGAATCAAGCACTTCAACGACTCTTGGCCAATCAGAATTCGATGGAATAAGTGCAAATCTCTGTCCTAATAATATTTCTTCACATAATCAAGTTCGACCTAATTTTTGGAAATTTTTAATAAATTTTTTTTGTTTGTTGCCAGAGAGAGAATATGCCCAACATGACTGTCTTGTTCGATTCCAGTTTGTGAATAAAATCCGAAGTGCCGTTATCTTTATTGTTGATTGGAACGGTGGGGGTGGAATTATGAAATTGTTCAGGCAGACTTGAGAAGAGAGAAAGATGCGTTTTGAACGTATTTTACTCCCAAATCGAACGGATTTTAAATGTAGGTATATTTCCTCAAGGTATATTTCCTCAAAGTTCTTTCTGACCTGATTTTGTATACTGCGTTTACCCTTAAACTTTGTTTTTTTTAACCAATTTGATTATAAAATTTTTGTTAATAAACCCGTATTAAACTTTTTCCAGAAACATGAATTATTAGGTGGGAGGATCTGAAATACATCGTGACATACGGAGATAGACTTTATTGTTTGTAATTCCCATTTTCCACGTCATTATTTCATTAATTGTAAAAAAAGTTTCCTACCGTAATCCAACATTTTTTGAGTTCAAAAAGTTTCGACGTACCGAAATTCATAATTGAGAAAAAACAGACGCAAATAAAAGTGCAGAGTTTTTTTTATGTAGCACGCTAATTGAAAAAAGAACAAGTTTTAGCGGTAAAAAATCAGTAAAAATGCAATTTTAATATCTAAATGACAATATTAAAAGATGTAATTTATGTGTCAAAAACCATATTCTACACTTACTGTACAAAAAATCCCATTTAAAGTGTAAATTTCTTCCAAAAATCTGCAAACTCTACAAAAAAACGCCCAGCAAAGCGCCTGAAAAAAGAAAGAGAACCCCGAAGAGAGCGGGACGCAGTGTCTTCGTAGTCGAGTGGCAGTGAGTTGGGCCTTTGAAGAGGGAATAACGACCCGAGTTCTGTGCGGCCTCGGCGTTGCGGCGTCTTGAGGTCCGGAGCTGAGTGGAGTCATCAGGGTGCACTTTTGTGTGTACGTCCCTGATCCGCCGAGTCGGATATCGAGCGTACTGTGTGGCGCCTTCGGGTGCCCGGTGCGCATACGCATATTCCTGAACGCTCCGTAGCCTCTATGAGGCCATGACGGTAAGGGTCAAACCATGCGTAGTGCATTTTCTTTTCTTTTTTTTTGTTTTTTCAAGTCGTAAACGGTAAGACAGGTTACATTAATAAAATTTTAAAATAAAGAAAAATGTTTCTGGAAACCTATATTATCTTTAATAAGTTACAATATCGTATAAAAATCACATAAACTACGGTAAAAAAAGAAATTTTGAAGAATCCGATCTTTCCACCTTCAACGTCATCTTCAGAAACTTCCGGGAAACGCCCTAGATCGACACAGAACCCAGATTAATTGTCTTGCACCATTTCTATGGCTACAGACCCTCTTGCCGGAGGTGACAACTTTTGAACTCGCTAATTTAGGATTCCTTCCAGTCTTTTCGGATGTTTCGAGTGTATGATTGTCTCTTGTGTGATATCTCTGGCCATATTTTATCTTGCCAACGTTTATGCTGATTGTGATTCGTGTGGATCTTATGGTAGATGTATTGAATATAATGAAGTCAACTCGACCACCGTGAACGTTACATGTCATCTGTGTGCTTGTCCAACCGGGATTAATTCAACATGTTGTGATGGTGAGGGCTTAGGGATACTGTAACAATACCGTTATACCCTCTATATTACTGTAACAAAAACCAAACTTTCCAACAACTTTTCTATTGTAAAAAAACTTTGTTGTAAAATTTTGGTTACTGTAGCAAATTTAGTCGCGATAATAAAGTTCTTTTTCAGACCCAACTCCATGTGACCCAAATCCCTGCGGCAATAATTCATCATGTGTTCCGAACGGTGCTCTAAATTATTGGTGTGTTTGTAACTCAGGATTTACCGGGGAGAATTGCACAGAAGAGGGTGGGTAACTCTTTTCTCAACCCTATGTTTCCTTTCAGTAATGTATTGCGACACTTTAACAACAATATGTGGCCCAACCACCTCAACTGCTTCCTCATTTACCAGCAGCACATCATCTTTTACCAGTAGTTCTTCCCAACTCTCAACCACAGGTTCGAATTCCTCCTCCACAACGACGTCGGATGAGTGGTCTTCCACGTCGGACATATGTAACGCCTACACGGAATCAACCATTTGTTCAGGTAAACATAATTTTTTGATACTATATCATCAAGGTCATCCCGAGTGTCCATTTGTGTGTAAAATTGTAACTTTGTATGAATTATTTATTTGTAGATTGTATCCACGGAAACCTGGAATGTAAAAATAATGGGACGTGTGGGTGGAACGGCAATGGGTCCCTCTGCGATTGCCCGTGGGGATATTCGGGCGACAGTTGTGAAAGTAAGACAATTCATAATTGCAACGTCCTAGCAAGGAGAGGAACCTGAAGGATTCCTTTTTCGGACGATCTGGCTTAACGGCTCTAATTCTGATTTTTGGACCTTAAAAGTCTTGCTCTTAATGTAAATCCTTTTCCAGCCAAGGAAGGCTGCGCTGATACTCCCTGCCTCAACGGCGGGACTTGTTTCAATATAAACATTACTGATTACGAATGTGGTTGCCTCAGTTTATACAACAACACCGACTGTGATTACTATGACCCCTGTAATGCAAGCCCCTGCAAGCACGGGGAGTGTATAAACACGGCAGACGGAGAGTTTTATTGCAATTGTACGACTGGATACAATGGAACGTACTGTGATGGCGGTAAGTGGCACATTCTAAACTTCTGTTTGGTCTCGAATTTTGAAGAAATAAAACTTTTTACAGTAATTGATTACTGTGAGGACAATCCGTGTGAATACAATGGGACTTGCACATCGTATGTCGGCTACTATGACTGTGATTGTCCAGACGGCGCATATGGAACAAATTGCGAGAACTGTAAGTCCGTCATATTGGTCATGCAACCTTTCAGTGACCGATAACTGCGCTGTGTCCAACAGCACATCAAATTCAACGACCATTTGCAATTCGAGGGACAGTGAAGCCAGTTGTACCAATAGTCTTCGGAATTACACTTGCACTTGTTCCGCGGAATGGGCCGGCCGGAATTGCTCCATTCGTAAGTAAAGTATTGGTGTGTGGAGATTCACAATGATATGTTCTCGTTTCCAAAACTTATTTAGTTTAGTGATTTAAGACATAGATTTCTATTTTTTTCTATTTCGGCTGCTGATCAGCCTCCAATTTCAGCCATCAACATATGGAATCTCCTTCAATACTTTGATGACAAGTCAAATTCAGTTGCGGCATTCTTGGAGTCAATATCTGGTGACCCTCAGGCAATCCAAAAATCGGCTGCCTATGTCGTTGCCACGCTGAATATGGGGAATCTCTCTGAAGCGGGCTGGAAATTAGAGGAGACCATAATCTGGGCAGCTTTTGAGCAACGAGAGTTCAATGCATCGTAAGTTTATTTCCAACATCTTGTTAAAGCTGTAATATCCCTGTCTTTAGAGAAAACTTTTACACCTTGACCGACGCCACCATCGGAAATTGTTTTACTTTCAACCACAAGAAAAGCGCCTTTACTTTTAAACTTCGGAATTCGGGAGAAACCAATGGATTATCGATGCTGACCAAGGTCAACGAGCAGGAGTACATTCCTTGGCTGGATATCGCCATGATGAGTGTGTATGTTCATCCATTCAATACGCTGGTCTTTGCCGAGTCTCTGAGTTTTGATGCAATTCCTGGAGCTATTAGTGTGTTGAGGGTGTCTAAGGTAAGGAGCTCAACAAAATATGACTCAATATATAAAATTTACAAAACATTCCTTACAGTCAACCTACACTAGACTTGGAGGGCATTTTGGAGCATGCACGAAGAAGCCTTCCGATGTCAAAGCATATTTTTATCAAGGAAATTACTCGACTGATGTGAGTTTCTCTTTAAAAGAAGTACTCAAAGTGCGAAACGCCAATCTAATCATAACCTGAGCCCCGATTCGCGCTCTTCTCTTGTGAATCTTTAAATTCCAAGACTCCACAAACAATGCTTATTTTCAGGCCTGTCTCTGGAGTTGTTACCAAGTGCAAGTCAACGAAAGTTGTGGTTGTATGGATCCCCGATATCAGATGCCCAAAAAGGGCGCCCTTTCCTGCGGATTGACCGATGCCAATTGTGTGTTTAATGTAACCGATGCATTAGGGGATCCTTCAACTTGGGATACCTGTGATTGTCCGACGGAGTGCGAGGGAATTCAGTATGATGTTCAATGGGATGGAGCGGGGTTTGTGGATTCGGTAAGATCAATTTAGCAGCCATCTATTATCCTCTTAGCCGGTTGAATGCAGTTCGTTGGAGAACGATACAACTGCTTACCAGAACTGTATAACTGAGTTGAATGATTATGCCAGGATTGTCGTTTATTTCCCTGATATCACTCAAACAACGTACGCTGAGTCGGCTAAATGGACCGTAAGTTGATACATAATGTAGAGAGTGCCTCTAAACTCCTAAAATAAAGTCCACTCTCCCTACCCATCTTTTGTCATCATTTTCCAGATCAACAGCTTGATGGCGTACTTTGGTGGGTTGGTTGGCGCGGTAATGGGATTTTCTTTCGTCTCGGTCATCGAAATTGCCTTCCTTTTCTATCGATGTGTGCTTGTGATGTGCACAAATGAGAGTGCGACCTTAGAAGAGGTAGATGTGGGAGGCATGGACGAAGATGAACAGTCCAACGGAGCTCCCGCAGGAAAAGTGAGGTCATTGGATCTGGTAGAAAAGGATAACATCGAGATTGCAACTGATGCAACGCAAACTTCTGGAGCTGAAGTGAAGCCAGAGAAGGGAGAGAAAGGAGAGATTCCGCCTCAACCAGTCAGCAGTGAACCAGTTGTAGCACCAGTGGATCCGGGGAAAGAAACTCCCGGATCAGCGAAACCAACAGAAACGTCTAAAGGGGCAACTGCTGCAGCTGCGACGTCGGCAACGCCTCCGGCTGCCGCTGAAGCTACGCCAACACCAGCACCGGCTCCAGCAGCATCCGCAGCTTCGCCGGCCGCAGATAAACCGCCTAGTGGCAGTGAAAATAAACCGGTATAACTTTTGTGATTGGACTCTGTCTAAAAGAATAAATTATACATATAAAAGTAATCGTAATCAAATCATAACGTGCTGTAAATGGATTTAAATGGAGTCCTTGAATGTAAACGTCCAGAAAGTGATTTTAAAATCGAATCTTAGGATTTTTAAAATTTTGGATATACGGTGCTAGGTATATTACCTAATGAAAAAAAATCTTTACGTGCAGCCAGGGTATTTAACAAATATTTGTGCAAAAAGATTGTAAAAGATAAAAAAAAATGCAGAGAAAGAAACGTTTTCAATCAGAAGATGTAAACGTCCTTAATTAATTCCCGTGCTTAAAATTGAAACCCAAAAAAAAGAATTGGCAGGCTTAACTTTTAGCAAAGCCATAGTATAAGAATTTTTTTCGCCTTCTCAAATTCTAATTTTTTCAAAGTTTTCTACTTACTGTAAATGTCGAATTATAGTACTAGAATCGAGAACTTATTCTACATGTTACTCTCTATGCCAACAGTAAGCTTCCTTTTCCTTGTCACTAAATTTAACTCCATCAAATCCGTTGTCCTGAAGCCTTGAAACTGAGTTGGGTTCGTTGAAACCCCTCTCTTGCCACCTTATTTTTGTTATTGATGCAAATTGTATAAGCACTTAGTAATTGTTTTCGCGCTCGTGTCTGTTGACTCCATTTTATTGACAAATAAATATGGTAGAAGTAGGTACTCGCTTTTGTATTATTTTGAGGGAAAACACTCAAACACAGAGAAAGGTGAGTCTCGGAAGTGGGACCTGCTTTTCAAATTAGCTGATTTTAGGGAAAGGGGACCTTAACTTTTGAAAGTTCGTTGTTGCCGGGTCTCCCGGAGTGTTAATTAACTTGAACATGAGGTAGCAAACTTTGGGCGATAAGGACTTTACTGTTTTATTTCAAAATAATTGTATTGTAATACTCATTTTTGATTTTTCAATTGCCAAATTGCAAATTCTGCTGTAGACAATAAATAAAAATTTGCTGGTTTTAGGTATACTGTAGTTAATCTAGGATCCGTTGAAACTATTGAAACATTCCCAAAGTCGCGGAAGGCCAACTGTTCAAGTCTTTCCCGCGTGTTTCAGCTGTCCTTGTCTTTGGATGTCATGATTAAAGATCGTGATTAAAAAGCCTTTATCAGACACTCTCCTCACTCCACACGCTCCCTCCCATGCCCACCTAAGCCTGTTAACACACATAAAATCGAAAATTGTTTATTTTCCTCCCGGCGAACCCCCTCCTGGACCGGTACCTGTCGCCCGCTTCCCTCCCTTTTTTTGACAGGCCGTTTATGGAGGGAAGAGCAAAAGTTGTGTAAAACAAACAATCCGCTTGCCAGATCAGGGCGATTTGGGAGCCAATCAAGCGTCAATTTAAGGCTTTGTCACTCGGAGTGTGGCTGCCTTCACAAGGTCAGGACTTATGACAATTTGACGGCGATCATTGTCTCCGGACATCTATGGGATGGGTGACAAAAAAGGGACGGTATTTTGCAAATCGCTGCGGATTGTAAACAGCTAATCCGGCGGAGAGACAGCTCCACGTTTTTTGCACGGCCGGGCTGAAAGATCAGACGGTATTTCTACTTTTATTGATCACGACCAAATACTTTTCTGGTCAAGTATTTAGAATATATTTGAAAGGTGAATATGTTGAATCGTCGGTTTTTTGCAGAATTTGATCCGCTTATTTTATCGTGGTTGGCCATTAATTACATAAAAATTTTATACCGTGCCTTTTTGAGTCCGCTGAAATATACATTCACGTTAATTAATCCTGAACAAAATAATTTTTCTGTCGTGTACAATAGGTATATTCAAGAAACAAATATCTCAAAGTCGAGTCTTGTATTTTCTTCAAATCTGGCCTGTCTAGACAGTCCAACTTTTAAAAAAATAACAGCCTCCTCTGTTTTATGTGGACTATTCTTTTATGCCAAATAAATTTGAGCTCACACTTTACGAGATCAGTTGAGATTTTCAAGAACAGTTTTTTTTTGTTGCAATCCAATAGGGAATGATGAGAAATTGAAACTAAAAATTGCTGTTTTTGCGGGTTTTTTACGAACTAATGAGAGTTCGTAGAATCCTCGATTTTGGCATAATCTGCTTACTTTTCATCAAGATGTACTAAAATAACCTCCAATTATTCGCTAATGATATTTATTTCTGCAAAAAGTGCTCAAAGTTGAACCCAAAGGTCATGTTTTCTCCCATAACCATGTCTGACTTTACTAAACTTTGACAAAGGTCATAAAACACCTTCCTAATTACGTCATACGATCTGTAAAAGTAGAGATTAATTAAAAGCGTTTGCTTTGCTCATGATTGTAATCATATTTTCCTCAACTCATACAGCGACCGTGACTCAAGCCTCTCTCTTCGAACAAACATGTGCCCTGACTTCTTTACACAACGTCTGTAATTAACCAAAAATCTTTTTGGGTAACCTTTAGAGCCCTTTTTTGTTTCATTTCTTGATTAACCATCATTTTCTTAAATAAATTTTGGAGTGAAGAAGTGTTTCCTGCGCGTCTTTACGTCTTTCACCTTCGAAAAGGCGGAATTAAAAAACATTTATTCGATATTGTAATTGATAATCGCGGAATCTTTTATCAGCGGCGTTGTTTTCAGAGCAAATTGACTCTCCTTTTGCGGCTAGCCCTTCAGGGAAATGAGCCACGATCATGAGGCCAAGATTCGGACCGGCCTAGAGCACTCGGCGTTGGTGCCGGCGGACAATGAAGTGCCTCCGGATGCGCCTCAGGGCCGAAAAGTGTCGGTTTTGGGAGTGGAGGTGGTGGACAGAGGGACTTGGTCCGGCCCGTTCGACTTCTTGATGTCCATGATCGCTTATGCAGTGGGATTGGGTAGGTTTCCGATGTTCCAAGGGTCTGTAAAATGTAGATGTCAACGAAAAAAGCTTGTTATTTACAATGTCGTCACAAAAAATTATTAAAATTTTAGTCTAAATTTGTCACCAGGTTAATAAAATTAACTCTCGAAGCATAGCTACGTCCGTTATAATCGAACTCATTGCCCTTCCTGCAGGCAATGTCTGGCGTTTTCCGTACCTCTGTTTCCGTAATGGAGGTGGCAGTTTCCTGGTCGCCTACTCCATCTTCTTCGTCCTGGCTGCTGTTCCCATCTTCAATATGGAGGTGACGGTCGGCCAATATCTTCAACGAGGTGCCATGGAGATCTGGGCCATGTGCCCGCTTTTCAAGGGCGTTGGAATTGGGAACGTTGTGATCGCCTTTATGTGCATCTCCTACTTCTGTGTGATCGCGGCGTGGGCCATCTACTACATGATCGCTTCATTCAATTCAACGTTCCCTTGGGAGACTTGCAACAACTATTGGAATGACAACAGATGTGTGACCGGCAAAGAGACGAGCGCTCAGCTGCAAAGAACCGTTTACAATCTGACCAGATACGGGCAGAGCACGGAGACTTCCGTAGAACAGTATTGGGAGTGAGTAAGAGGTCGATGGAACAGAGTTCAGTCAAGTCCTCGATCTAAAACAAGTTTTATTTCAGACGTCGAGTACTAATGCTGAGCGACGACCTTTCCGATTTCGGTGGAATCCAATGGGAACTCTTCGGAATCATGGCCATCGCATGGGTCATCGTTTATTTCGCTCTGTGGAAGGGTATTACTCAAGCCAGGAAGGTAAAAAGGTCGTTCTAATATTCAAATTGCTTTAGTTTGTATACTTCTGCGCCCTCTTCCCCTACTTCTTAATTGTCGTGCTTTTGATCCGAGGACTCACATTGCCTGGGGCATTTACCGGAATCTCCTTTTATCTGACCCCCAATATCACAAAACTTTCGGAGCCAGAGGTCTGGAAAGATGCCGGAACTCAAGTGTTTTACTCGTATGGAGTAGGCTTTGGAACTTTAATTGCATTGGGATCTCATAACAAGTTCAACCACAACTGCTATCGGTAATGAATAGTAATCAAACACATTTTACATGATGAGTTAATGTCTAAATTAATACAAAATTTCTTCAGTGACGCCGTGATTATGTGTTTTATCAATGGATCGACCAGTATCCTGGCTGGCTTGGCTGTCTTCTCCATCCTTGGATACATGTCAGTGGTTGCCCAAAAGGATATCGCTGAGATTGTGAAGCCGGGCGTTGGCCTGGCCTTCTTGGCCTACCCTGAAGTGGCCAGTAACTTGCCGATGAAACAAGTCTGGGCTTTCTTATTCTTCTTGATGATTACTATCCTGGGATTGGACAGTCAAGTAAGAAAGTTAATATTAATTTACGCAATTTTTTGTGAGTTTAGAAAACTTTTTTTAACATTAGGTATGTATGATGGAAGGCCTCTTCACTGCCCTGGAAGACACTTTCCCCACCCTGTTGAGGAAACACAAGAAGAAGTCTTTGCTGGTGACCTGTATATTCTTCTTTATCCTCGGGATCCCCATGGTCACGTATGCCGGATCCCATTGGCTGACTTTGGTCGACAATTACGGCGCTTCTGGTTATGCTCTGTTGTTCGTCGTGTTCTTCGAAGTTATCGGTCTCTCTTGGGGAGTCGGTAAGGCATATCATACTTGATGAGCAAATTTTTGAAAAAATCTTCAATTCTACAAATTTTTTTAATAATATTCAAATTTCAGGTGCTGACAGAATCAGGAATGGTCTCTATGAAATGATCGGGAGATATCCGAATCCGGCTTTCCCAATTTTGTGGAAGTACATTTCGCCTGCCATTACATTCGTAAGTTTTTTTGAAAAAGGAAAACTTAATTAAATTTTTGTAATTATTTTAATTTTTTGTTTGCAAGTTACAAAAAAGAAGTCAGAACGATCATATTTAACGTTTGTTATGTATATTTTGACTTTCTTCATTGCAGGTGATGTTCTTTTTCTGCACCTTCATGTATGCCCCGGTCAAAAACGCGACTGGCCAAGACTACCCGGCCTGGGCCCAGATCTTCGGAATCTCCCTTTCCCTCTGCTCGATGGTGGTGATCCCCGGTTACGCGATCTATTATTTGTTCACTAAACCCAAAGGACAGACCTTTACGGAGCGTTTTATCACCGGAATTCATCCTCCCAAAGAGCTGGATGAACAGTTGGAACGACGTCGTCAACGGGCCCATGCTCAGAAGGAGGAGGAGATGCAGTTCATCGACAAGCCGGCCGCCAACAACAACGTCTGATTCACTTACATTTACCACTCCAAACTGTGTGACCTCGCAATTCTCTGCTACTTATCTTCTTTTCTTTTTTTGTGTTTTTGTTGACGGCTCTTACGTAATCATGGAATGGCTTTTGAAAGGGGAAGAACTACTCTTGAGGTTAGAGAAGGGGTAGCCAGACATAAAATTTACGGCCCTCAGATTGTGATGAGACCAGGAAAAACTAAAATTTAAATTTCTAAAGATCTTTGCCCGCATTCTGCAGAAACCGCTAAAATTCGGTGAACAAATTTATTGTAAAATCAACTTTAGGTCTTCTCGGTCCGCGTTTTGCAAAAGAAACCGAGATTTTTAGTCAAAGAGGTGAGAGGGTCATTATTTTTTGCACTTGTTTTTAAAAGTCAAGTACAATATTTTTTTAGAGTTTTTTCCGGTCGGACTTGCAAACAAATTCATTAAAAAAGTCCCTCGCCAAAAAAAAAATTTTTTGAATACGACAGCGCCTGCGGAGTATCAGCTATAATTTTCTAAAATTGAAACTTGGCCTAGTAATAATATTCGCAAAAAATTTTTGCCAAATTTTGTCCCATAAAAGACAACGAAGCGACTCCAAGATTCCACTCCAAGATGACGTCAACAAACAACTTTCCGTTGCCTAACTAATTCTGCTCCCTTTCCCGGTGCCCTCAAAGGGTAAATCACGGTGATTTGACATTTTTCGTCATAATAAACATACTTTTGGACAACTTCTTTACTCTTGTTGTCATGCCCGTGCAAAAAGATGAATAATGATCCAAAGATTAGAGACCACGGCTGGAAATTGGAAGGAAAGCAAAATTAAAAAAAAAGAATTAATACGCTTTCTTGTGAAATAACCATGAAGGGACAATAAAATTAAGAGTAATACGATCAGTGGGAGAGTTGGGGAAGTTGTGTCAAAAACGGGCAAAGGAATTCTTCAAGGTAAAAGGCACCCCGCAGAACATCTGGAGAGAATAAAATGATATAAAACGAGGACTCAAGAACAAATCAAGCCAATCATTCGATCTACTTCCTCAAGGTGCGAGCACTTTTCTAGCACTGTGATTTGGGGCATCTCTGGGTTAAAATTATTTTATTTTTGTATTATGCAAGTCCGCAAAGTATGCAGTCTGAACTCTCATCAGCATCGTTTTTTTTTAATAAATATTTTATCGATTTGATCCTTGAAGCCTCGTTTTTTTTACATATAGCCTTTCGATTCTTAAGCCCTGAGGAATTTAAAATCAAATTTTCTGTGGGCCAATTTGATTCATTTTTTGCAGAAATCAGTTCATTGGCTGGTGTTATGCCTAAAACAAGCATACCAACTTTCAGCTGTAAAGGGCGGGTTAACGGAAAAAACTCAAAAAATGTAGGCCAGCTTAATCATCAGCCCCAATTACCTGGATTTATTTACTTGTCATCCAAAAGTCCATAAGTGTTTGTCTTTCAAGTCCTCTCAAACTTTTTCAAGTTCTTAAAATCGTCGTCTTTCTTGGCCACTCGTCACTTTTATGAAGTCCAACTTTTGCATTTGTCTTATTTTTGTATGAAACTAATATTTTGGCAGTTTCAAAAATTCAAATTAAAGGCCAGGCTTAGGTTTAGTTTTACGCCAGGTATGGTCAATGTCACCAAACCCTGCGGGTCGTATTTCTGCTCCCCTTGTAGACCCCTTGTAGACACTCCCTTTGTGCAGATCTTTGTCCTCTACCTTCCCGATCATTTCCTTCGCCCAATTCCAGCCTTTCTAAAGTAATAAAAGCCCTCCAGACAAAGGCCTGATCACATTAGCCTATCCCCCTTTATTGCCACATTGTTAGCCGTAATTTTATTCAATCCGTTCCATAATTTCTATTGTCTTCAGGCAAAAAATTATTATAATTTAGACTTCTGGCCTTTGCAACTACTGTATTTAAGGCTTATCAGTAGGCGTCCTCAGGATTGCATTTATTCTCTCGTCATGCTGGTTTCAGGATTCCGGAAGCCGCGAACACCCAAATTACACGTTTCCGACCCCAGGAATGTAATTTCAATTACTCGCGCCGCCTCATTCCAGCGTGCTATTTGTTATGGACGACATTGGCGTCATTGTTTTGATGGAAGCAGTAGAAAAAATAGTTTTGGCATTAGGGGAATGTCGCGCAGGTTTTTGGATGAGATTATTCTAAAATTTTTTCAAAGGTTGGCTGAGAAATATACTAAATTTTAACTCTTGCTTTACAACAAACAACGAATTTTTTTGGTCAAAGTTTTTACCCATTTTTTTTTGAATTTCCCCAAAGCAAAAGTTTTATGAAGGATTTTCAACAGTACAATCAAAAAATGGTTTTTCCTCGTCTTGTCTCCTCATTCCCATAATGTCTGACAAAAAATTTTTGCTAAATTTTTCCCTAAAATTGACAGGGATTAAAAATGGTCCAGATTTAGCATTCAAGCCGAGTTATATGAAAGTCTACCCGTCCTCTTTCGAGAAATGACCTTTTTATTAGGGCAGCGGCCTTTTTTGTATGACTACAGTTATTTTTATATCATAGTGACCTTCTGTTCCCATTACTTTTTTAAGTTTGCACAAGAGTGGGACTGACCGTCGAATGACCAAAAACATACATTGCCCGAGGTCATGAGTGTACAGATGGGGGTTTTAGTCAGGTGGGAAAGCACTTTGCAGAGATCTGGGGTGATTTAAATAGCCGGAGATCTATGAAAACGTATCTTTAAAGCCTTTTCTAACCTTTTTCGGCAAATAGTGCTGGGTCACATTTTAGATATTAAAACTGGATTACTGTACTTTTAGAGTCTTTTGTTTTGTGATACTGTCCTTTCGGAAGCCTTAGTATTTGGTTTCTGTACTTTACGAGACCTTGACGTTCTTCTATTTTTTGCAACTTCCCTCTCGCTTAATTGTTGTGATCATTGTTTCTCCAAAGAGCGGATTAAGTTCCTGAGTGCTCGAACACTGAGCTGAAGGTCGACAACATGATGGCAGATGATATGAAGGATGGTCGGAACTCGTTTCGGACGTTCATCTTCCCGTTTATTTGCGCGTTATATGATCCGCCGCTTCTTTGCGAGATCGCCGTTTGATATGGCTTTCACTTTTGTTGAGGTGATCGTATCCGATCATCCCTCGATATCCTTTCGATTGTTTTCTGACCATTACATACAATCAAGAGATGCACTCGAGTTGAAGAGAGTGGATATGTATTTAGCCGGTCCTTATAATAGTTTGGGGTATTGGAGTTGGATCAGATTTATAGGTTCAGTTCTCAAGGTACGACGGTCAGAAGACCGCTACGTTTCGGCTCTGCGGTCTGCCTAGGACATGAAATATAGTTCTTAGGAATTCCAGTTTTTACATTGGTGGCATAACCGAGCTAATGGACAAGTGTTTTTTTTTTTGGAGAATGAACATGAAGAGAGCTTTTCGGATGTACTCCTGCAAATTGTACCGAAAAAATTAAATAGAAATTCGAGTAGAAGAATCGTAAATAATTATTACTTTTTGCATCTTCGATCGAAAAAATCGCAGAAAATTCTGCAACGCGCAATCTAAAAATTTCGCAAATCTTTAGGAGACTCTAACCTTAATTCGTGTTAAATTTCATGAATCCAGAACACATGTCCCACTCCCCCAGTACTATATAATTCGCGTCTCTTATATTACAGCCTGCAGACCTCGCTCTCGCCCCGCGGGTCCATGTATAAATATTTGGAGAGCCCATCTTCCCTTGCCTAATTAATTAACCCGCATAAAAAGCCGTTCGCGAACCCTCATTTCCATTCATTAATTATGTATAGGACCATGTACACCCTCCTCTTCTCGATATGGCTGCTGTTGGTGGTGAATGTGGACTCGAGAACAACACAAACTCGAGTGGAATATGTGCCGCCAACCATCTTCCAGGTGGGCACGGGCAAAGGATATTACAAGGCGGCCGATCTCTTCAAAAGTTCCATCAATAACACGGTCGATCCCTGCGATGATTTCTTTGAATACGCGTGCGGAACATGGATCTCAAACAATTCAATTCCTAAGGATTTGACGTCTTATGGGCATTTCTCTGAGCTCAGGGAGAAGGTGAACAAGGAAATGAAAGGTAAGGATCAAATCATCTTGTTTTTACGGTAAAGCAAAAAAACTTTCAATCGGAACTCAGGGGATGCAACTGAGGTTTCTAGGGACCTTCTGCAAAGGTCTAAAGATTTGACATTTTTATCGGAAAATTCTCATACGATTTTGCTTCTAGTCTGATCAAATTTACAAGTATGATTTCTTACGATTAGCCATCTTTTTGAAGTCCTTTATAATTCCGTCATCATTTTTTGGTACTGTAAATTATTATTTGCCATGTTTGACCTTTTCATCCCTAATCAGGCCTCCAATTAAGAGAATCCCACGTTGTTCGCGTCACGAGGTATTGTTTTCAGATTTATACGAAAGTCCTGCAAAATCAAGTTCATCCGCCATAAACAAATTAAAATTGTTTTACAAGGCCTGTATGGATACCGATAATCTGAACAAACTGAGGTCAGGGAAGCTGCTGGAACAGATTAAGGTAATTTTCGAGTGGAATTCGTACTTTTTGGAAGTAAAAGACCAAAAATAGGATTTTGATGCAGTAGTAATTTTGATGACTAAAGTAATATAAAATGTGACGTTTTTTGCAAGTTCGCTGTTGCGATTTTTACAGCTCTGTTTTTTTCCAGGATTTTGGCTACTGGCCAATTCTGTGGCCGGAAGAATGGCGCAAGGCCGACTTTGATATCACCCAAACCCTCATTAACTTTGGCCTTTCCCGCGCTCTCGACGTCTTCGTGGACGTCTACGTATCTCATGACCAGAAGAACGTCAGTCGTCGCATTCTGCATTTTGACCAAGGAGGTCTCGGACTAGGAAGTTCGGCCAGGGATTATTATTTAAATGAGACCAAATATGCAAAACAATTGAATGCTTACGAGAATTATATCAATGGAAAGCTAGCACTTTTGGCCGAAGATGCCGGTGTAAATCGAAGCAAGGAAGCAATCGCCGCGGATGTCAAGGAAATCATTGCGTTTGAGAAGGAGTTCGCGCATATTTTGGTATCAGAAGATGACAGAAGGAACTACACCAGGATGTACAACATGAGGAAGCTGTCGGATCTCAAAACTCTCATGCCTCTGATCGATTGGCAGAGATATTTCTACGCTTTGATGCCTAAGGACATGTACGATTACCTTCAAACTGACCCGGATGTCATCATAAATGAGATCGAATTCTTTAATCGACTCTCGGAACTAATTCAAAAGACCGACCTCAAGGTGATCGCTAACTACATGTTCTGGAGATTCACCTCCGGATGGTCTCTTCAGCTCGATGAAAGGTTTGAGGACGTCACCCAAGAGTTTATGAAACAGTTTGTGGGAAAACAAACCAAATCTCCGAGATGGAAGGATTGTGAATCCGCCGTGAATTCAAGACTTAATTACGCCTCAGGGGCTATGTATGTGAGGGAATTCTTCAAAGACGATGATCGGAAGGCAGCTCAAGACATGGTCAAAGATCTGAGAGAGGCGTTTAGAACCATGTTGAAGGACAATGACTGGATGAAAGACGAAACAAAGGCCTATGCGCTGAAGAAGGCCGATGAGATGCAGGCTCTGATCGGATATCCTGACTTTGTCTTCAACGACACAGAGTTGGATGACTATTATGGGAAAGTAAGCGACCTAAACTCGTTATAAATAATACAAAACTTTAGCTGAATACGTCGGAAACTGATGGCTATGCGGATCTTATCAAGGATTACTCCATTTGGGCGCAACACAAAGCCTTCAGAAGGCTGAAAGAAGAGGTTGATCGGGCTGAGTTTGGAACAAGTTCTGCTGTTGTCAACGCGTTCTATTCTAGCGTCAAAAATGGAATAAGTAAGCCGTTTGCTTACCCACAAATTCAAATAATCATATTTTAGCATTCCCTGCGGCAATTCTCCAAGCCCCATTCTTCGATGCAACCTTCCCTAAGGCAGTCAATTATGGAGGAATTGGCTCAGTGATTGGCCACGAGATCACTCATGGGTTCGACGACACTGGCAGTCAATTCGATGCTGTTGGAAATCTGCACAACTGGTGGGACAACGAGACCGAAGCCAGATTCAAGAACCTAACTCAATGTATCGTTGATCAATACGGATCGTATGAAGTAGAAGGGACTGGCCTTAAAATCAATGGAATTCTCACTCAAGGGGAGAATATCGCGGATAACGGAGGGATTCGACAAGCTTACAGAGTGAGTTATTTAAGGGATTCAGTTTATTAGTGATCATGGATAATATAAAAATAAATTCGTTTTAGGCCTACCGCAACTACATCCGAAAGCTCGGACATGAAGAGAAACGATTGCCGGGCTTCGAGGAGTACACCAACAATCAAATCTTCTACATCAGTTACGCTCAGGTATAAATTGCGACGTTATTTTACACTACCCACCCAACCAATCTAATTCTTCGGTTTCAGAGTTGGTGTGGGCATGCGAAGCCCGAGGCCACTGTCAGACAACTGATCATAGATCCTCACTCTCCCATGAGATTCCGAGTGAACGGAGTTGTCTCCAATCAGCCAGAATTCGCGAGTGCCTTCAGTTGTTCGGCCGGCTCTCCCATGAATCCAAAGAAGAGATGTGTGGTCTGGTAGATCTCAACAAACGGGTACCTAATCATTCTGTAACATGTTCAACTACTAAGGAAGGATTTAAACATCCAAAGAGTTCATTTGCATTCCTCTTACACTACTTTTTATGTACAAAATTGTAAATTTTCTTATCTAATTGTTAAATTTTAATTTAAAATAAAGGTAATGCTATAAACATACCAAGAACAGATACGAAGGCAACCAATAAGATATATAATCAATAAATATAACACGGGAAAAAGAGAGATCCAACATTAAAATTCAATAAAAAATACCAAAATCAACGCAAAATAATACAAATATAATCAAAAATTGTAAAATACCCGGCTACTGTACTTTTAAAGGTATTTGAGTGATTACTCGATATAAATTCGATGGAAATCATTGGCTCCGAAAGCGGCATTGCACTTGGGACATTTACGACTCCGTCCGTCATACCTCTTCTTGACGCACTCCATACAAAAAACGTGGAAACATTTGGTGAGAACTGTATTCTTGTCGCCGGTTTTACAGCTGGGGCAGGCAAGGGACTCCTAAAAAGATAAAATATATAAATTTTAATCACTTTATATTACACATGACCTTAAAATTAATGTTAAGGTATGAAAAAAACTTCTAAAATTCAGAAGTTTTCAGAAGCAAAGCCCGGAAATTTTTTAAATAAAACAAAAAATTTAAAAAAACCTTGGTACTCCAACACAAAACACCTAAAAATTTGGAAATCTTTATATTACACTTAACCCCACTCTCTAAACCATCCTCAAAGTTAACCGGAATGCTTTCGAATTTAAATTCAATTCTCAAAAACAAGTAGAGGACGTCCTGATGAGAATTTTCAACGCATAAAATGGTACACTCATCACAACAAACAATCTCCTCAAAAATCCAATTCTAATACCCATGTATAATATAAACATACTCTGAGCATTTTGTTCTCCTCCATTAGTAACTCATCAAAGTTCTCACAATCCGCAGCCTGTTTTGCTCGATGTAATTTCTTCTTCAGGATATTTTTCTCTTCTTTTAGACGATTCATTTTCCCCCTTGATCCTTCAATAGCGGCCACTCTTTCTTTCAGCTGTTGTCGAAGATCCTGAACCTCGGCACTTTGTTTCTCATACCTAATCTTGAGTTCATTTAATTCCACATTCATATTCATCAGATTCCTTCGCGTTGCTTCGTATGTGGCATTCAATTTCTTCAAAGTTGCTTCCACCGTCACCGTACATTGCTTGCAAAGTTCCGCCTTCTCTGTGTGTTGTTGAAGTTCAAATCTCATCGCTTCCCTTTCACTCTCCACTATCTTCACCTTCTGTTCCAGTACTTCGAGAGCTTGTTTGAGAGTCCGAGACGCCGTTTCATTCTGGAGTCCATCCTTGACCATCTTTATATAAGTTTCCTCTTGTTCCGAGACCCTCTCGGCCAATGATGTGTTCTGATTCATCAATTCTTCGACTGCTGTAGCTGTATTCTCAATTTCACTCATCAATCCTCTTTCCGAATGTGCGTAGGAATCAATTTGTCGCTTGAGTTTCTCATTGAACTGAGATAATCTTGCAATTTCTTTTCGATACTGTTCAATCTCTGGGTGAACTTCCACATTGGCATTCAAAGACTCAGTTTTGACGTCTTTCAACTCCGGTTTTATGTCAATATTATCTGTAGAATCTACTTCCTTGTTCTGAAAAAGCAATTGTTCAAATATTTACAACCTCAATATAAAAAAAATTCAAAAATATCTTGATAAAAATCTACTACAATATAAACTGACCCCATCTGCATGCTCTTTCAACTTCTTAATCTCGTTCCTAAGCCTCAAATTCTCCTCTCCTTTTCTTCTGATCTCATCTTTGGCTGATTGTAAGAACCGTTTCATCTCTTTATAATTCCTCGCTTCAATGGCATCACTTTCATATTTTTGTTTGAATTCCAATTCCATCAATGAGCATTCCTTCTTCACTGCCAATAATTCTGAGCTCATCATTGTGCAATTCTCTCTTAATCTTTCCATTCCAATTGTAAATTCGTTCTAAAAATATTACCTACTATAGTAAACATAAATATGTCACGTATAACATAACAAAATTCTCACTCTGAGTTCAGCCACTTGAGCGTCGTAACAAGTCCTCAATTCCATGATATGACCCTTGAGAAGAGCATTTTCTTGACTAAAATCATAATAATAACTATAAAAATATTATCCTACTCTATCCTTTTAGCCTCATCCACAAGATTCGTATATCTGAGCCGAAGACAAATGAAATCAGGAGAAGATTGGATCACACATGTGGGCAAGAACTTGATCTAAACACAATAACATCAATTTATACCACTTTTAACTCACCGCATTATTTAATTCTACAATTTTTGCAGCCAACTCTTGATTTTGAGTCGTCAACTGTTGAATTTCGGCCAATCTTTTCTCCGCCAGATCTGTTTGAATCTCAATATCTCCTTGGAGCTCTTCTAATTGTGTTTCTGAGATCCCTGCCGATGTTTCTGCCTTTGATTTCTCTCCTTTTTCTCGGGCTGCTTCTTCTACGGCTGCTGTTTTTGCTTTATCCAGTTGCCGTTTCAACTAAATTACAAGATAAAAATATAAATCATGTCTTCCCACCTCAATAATCTGTCCTTCCAACTTTTCCTCTTTGTTAATGGCCTTGGCGACTTCAAACTTGGCATCTTCAAATTGATTCTTCGCATTTTCGACTTGAGATTCCATAACTTCTAATTTATCTTTTTGAAGAGCCAGCTAAAACACTATAAGTGGCATCAAATATCATAAATTACCGAATGGGCTAGTTGTGTTTTTTCGGTGGTTAATTTTAAGGTTAGAACTTCCAATCGTTTATTTTCGGCTAATGCTTCAGATAGTTCTTGCCTCAACAGTGAATCCAACTCTCCAATTCGATCCGTATCCGTCTCCGCCGTTAGTTGACTGTCCTCATCATCCACAGAACACGCATCTAAAAATATAGCAATAAAAGAATTTTTTATACCTTTTTCTTTCTTGGACAAGAGGGATAATATCCGATCTCTCCTTCTCGAAATTCCATTTATACATCGCAAGAGACGGGCAAAGGATTCATTGCTAAAGTTTACTCTACTCTCTAACTTTTGAGTAACTTCATCGCTATTGAGTTGAGAAATCAATGTCAAATAATTAATTTCCATTCTCTGATTCGAAGAGTTCCCATCTACAATATCCTCATTTGTTTGTTGACGGAATAAATCCATAAGCATGTCGTCCAACTAAAATCAGAATAAATAACATGAAGAATAACTAACTAGGTTCCATTGCCGATTCAACGCGCAAATGAGCTGATCATCCGAGGTATGCCGATTCTCGAGTTCTTCGATCCTTTTCTCAAGTTGATTTAGCTGTCGTTGTTTGACCCTGAACTTCTCACTTAACTTGTAATGTTGAGAACGAAGGACTTTGTCGTTGAGAGTCTTCTGAAGCAAAGAAATTAAACAGCCATAGCGATAAAGGCCCACAGCTTCCAAAGAAAACATACAACATTATAACAGGAGGGGAGTCTGATCGTCTCAAATACAATCGCTTTCTCTGGAGGCTTTTCTTCATCTGTTTTGGACATGAATCTCGTACAAGAACAAGAACAAGCTAACTTTTCTACAATCAGAAAGCGATAACACTTTCAAAAATATTTTTTTTTGTAAAAGAAATAAATTTGTGGCATTTCGTTCTACGAACACAATTGACACTATTGATTTTACATAATTTTGTCGAGAGGATACGGTACCGTAAATAAAATACAGCGGTATTTACATCTACAATTTTATGGTTGATTATTTTTGGGCGGTGTATTATATTCCTACTCTTCTTGAATGTTAAATTCACTTTCTTATTAATCATTTTCTTTGCGACTCATTTCTTTATAATGAAGATGAAGGCGGGTAGCGTGAATTGAAGCGATTACGGCTTCCAGATCACCGGTAACTGGATAAAAGTAAGTTCCAGCCTCTACATGCTTCATCTTACTTCTATTTTTTTAATGATCCTTGACCTCTGCTCTCGGTAAATCTCCAAAAACCTTGCTTATTCAGACCTGAACCCCGAAAAAAAATCCCGAAAATAGGAGTTTAGTGCCTGATCCATGCATTATTCGATTAATTGACTGTTTCTGGGCCCGGTTTTAAAAATATAACCTTGCCGAGAGGGCCGGGATCGGGGGAAAGAAAGGGTCCATCGGAAACAGTTGGCAAAAGGCACCTAACAGAAGATAAGATTAAACAGGCATCGCCGGAGGGTTTGGGGGGCTTTGTCTTTACCTTCGAGACTTTCCCGGATCTCTTCACATATTTTCGCCCCCAAATTGCATTAGAGAGCAGAGTTTCGGCCTCGCCCACGCGATCTTCTTCCGCTTTCCCTATTTGGAAACTGTAATTTTTGGGGGATTTTTGAGATTTTCCGTTAAAATCGAGGCGAAATGTGTCGGACCGTAGTCGAAATGAATGAAAATGAGAGCCAGATGTTGATAGACTTTATGAGCTGACGATTTCCCTCATTTATGGAGGTTAATCTGATTTTTCGAACTGAATTTATTGTAACTTGACATTACTATTTATTCATTTTGATAATGTGTAATAAATTGTTTCCAATATTATTTTTGCCCTCAGAGCCCCTAATCTATTCTGAAACGAGTAATTTTACGTAATCCGATCGGCTCTTTGATTTCGGACATTAAGTTCATCATGATCGGTTTGACCGATCTCTTTTCTGACCCGCCTCCACATTCCGAAATGTTATTTTTATGTCATGAATTGTCCATAACTTACTGCAAACAAAAGTTCCGACATTCCTTACTCATCTCTTGGTCTAAATTTATCTTGTCTTGGTGCAAATAAAAGCATATGATATTATACGAGCTCTTTAAAAGTAAAAAACCGGGATCTGAAAAATGGAAACGAAAAGCCCTGGGGGCCTGACCGTTTCGTGTCCGAGATTTGATCGAATTTATTTTCAGGAGGGTGTCAAGATCTGGTCTGAACGAAGAGCCGCCCGATTGTTAACTTCTTTTAAGGTAAGTCGAGACATTTTATATTGGTTTAGTCGTCTGGAATACTGTAAATTTTGAATTTATTGCATTAGGATGCTGATTTCACAGTAGCGGAAATCAGGTTTTAGTGGATTCTAAATTACCATTTTTGGTATCTCTTGCTGATTTTTTTGCAGTTTTATAGAAAAATTTAAATCAGACCTTTTTTTCGGTTTTTTTTGATATTTTTGAGAATTTTCTTCCACATTTTATCGCAAAATTTTACAATATAACATACTCCGAGATCGTGGAACGAGGAACTCTGTTCGAATTATTAAAGAACACAAATAAATGATGTGAACTCGAGGCTTTAAAGCGGATTGAAGGGAGAAAACGTGGGCTTAGGGCTCCTGGAAGAGAGAAGAAAGGGCCACGTCGAGAGTGCGCGGCTTGATCTCGGGCCCCGAATAGTTTAGTAGTCTCCGCTTTCATAAGACTGATCCATTCTTTGCTATATTTGCTTCTAAGTTCATATTCCATATCTAAAGTATTATTACACATGGTCAAGACTGAAGTTTTCTATGACCTGATGGGCAGTTAGGTATTAGGTTGGACGGAAAGTTCGTACGATTTTTTACCCAACTTTCAATTTAATTTTTTTCGCGCCAAGACCGATTGCCCACCGTAAGTACCTAGCATATACAAGAGTGCAGTGTGAAGATTTATATGCTACGTGCCAATCGTTAGCTCCGCCAAAACGAGCTTAATTATAAGAGGTTTTCCGCTTTGCGGCTATTTCGGGTAGGGTCCAGAACGCAAACTCTAGTTTCCAGATCGCTTTCGATGAAGCTCTGAAACTTTTTAGGCAATGTCCAGTGGTCTTTCTGACTACGTTAAACACAATTAGAAATCATAAAAAAGCGTGTCGGATAAAATAATAGCAACACTTTCAACCAAGTCTTCAGCAAAGGCCCCCTATGAAAACTTTTTCTTATTACTCCGCGTATTTCTTATTGTCTGTCTCTGTAATAGGGTGCAGTAAGGCACATAGAGAGCCCTTTACGTGCAACATGAGTAAACCGGATCACAGATGCCTCGGGTTATCCGCAAAGAGACAAAATTGCCAAAAATTATAGCTGTAGAGCAATGCGCGTAATTTTGTGACAGTCAACAATGGTAGCCCATTGTTTCACGAGGTAGTAGAGCAATAAAGCGGCTCTATTTTGCACCCAAGAAAGGGAGGAGTGGAAAGATGTTATGAGCTCTTTTTAGAATTGTACGGGATGATCCAACAGTTCACCAACGATTTTTTGAGAAAAGTAATTTAGTTCTATTATGTCGTACGGCAAAACAGTTGGCTATTGAGGGGTAGCTGAGTGTAAGGGATTGTCCTTAGTTTCTGCATATCATAGTTTTACACATAGAAATGCACCGGCAAAGCGGCGGTTGCAGTTATATTCAAACTTGGGTTGGTCCTGCAAAAGTCAAATTTTATGGCTATGTTTTGATTTAGTCCCCGGCGACTTTACGCATATTAAGAGCTACAGAAGAAGGCTTTTTAGCAGTGCCAAAACAATTTCCTGGTAGGCCTTATTAAACAAACCAGCCAAGGATTTGTAATTTTGGACCAAAGATGGGTAAATGTCTAAATTAAGTTCTCAGTTCGTAAATGCTTAAGATGGCTGAAGGTTGTACTGCTAGATAGGGATGCCTGTCCCCTACCGACACCATATATTTGTGTTTGTCTTTTTCCATCAGCGCAAGAAAAAATAGCAGCAGTAAAAAATCGTACGAACTTTCCGTCCAACCTAATATTATTCCTGACGTGTTTGATGTGTCCACCTCCTTTTGTCTTCTATTGCTCATGTCCGAGTGATTTTTTAAACACCGCGCATCTGGCGGATTAATTGGGCTCAATGCACACATGTGTTTGTTCCCAATGTCGTGCCCTCAGGGCCTCAGGGGACGAGATGCGACCCACGTTCCCGACCTCGCATATTCCTAGATATTTGATTAATCTGGCTGAACCGGCGAAGGAACCGCCCCGGCCGTGTGTCCAGGAGATTAATGCTCGCAGTAAATTGGAATACGAGAGATGGTGTGAGTTGAGGAGGTCGTTCAACATCCATCGACTCAAGCGAACTCGATCTGCGACTATTGAGAGGAGGGTCCGCTTCCACAACACTACTGTTAAGACCTTTTTCGATGATCGCGCCACTTCGGAGGAGGTCCTCAGGGCCAAGGAAGCGATCGATCAGTTCAAGGAGAAGATCCCCCGCTATAGATCGGAGAGTATCCCCGTAATCCCCGCGTATTCCGACGAATTCAATTGGATTTGTAATTGCAAATCCCATCACAAATCCTCGAGTTCACGTCATGTCCAATTTGAGTGCTCAACCCCGCGATCTCAATCCCATTCAGAAGATATTTGGCTACCTCAGACGGATCTCGGAGTAGTTAGGACTAGAAAATATGATTCCGAATTTAATTCCAGCCAAATCTCCGTCTCTTCGGACTCATGTCAGAGAAGGAAGGATAAGAAAAAGTTCAGAGATACACTCGCCAGGATGAGGCAAGGTGTCCGGAATGTGTTTACGAACGAACGGTAAGGTATTTTCCATCTTCTTGAGACATTTTGATACCAAAAAATACGAGATAATTTTGCCGAAATTTTCTTTTTGTGCGGTTTTTATATTTTTTGATATTTTTTCAGAAACCCGAATTATAATCAAGGGCCATCAGCCTCGCATTACGAATACGATCGGCAGCCATATCAACAGGTAAGAGAACATTAAGCTAACTAGTTCCTACTATGACTTGAACCAGTAAAATCAAGAGTTTATGACTTGTTGAGTTGCCTTGTATTTGATATACTGTATAGTGTAATGTCATCGTTTTAGGGACGCCAAGCCCAACGAATTCCTCCATTAATGAGCCGTTCAATGGCACCAGACTTCGAGGACGATGGGGAATATGCGGAGATCTCGAACGTGCGCTCACATTCCAATGACCGCGATGACTCACATCGGATCCACAGGAAGAGAGAAAGTGGGTCCTGGAGAATGGATGAGCTGTATAGAAACAGCTGATCCCTTCAAAAGTACTACTCTTTTTGTCTAATTTTTTGCAGTGAGCGCCCCGATTTCCCCCAAAACAGTCAAGTTCACCGATCAACCGCTGACTCAGAACCACGGAAGTGCATTCCAACCCCTGGGGGCACAAAGACCTCAGAGGTTACAGGCAGCCCCATTACCACCCCCTCAGAGGATTGGGTTGTTGCAACAATCCATTGGACCCAATCCGAAAAGAGAATCCACCGAAAGATTGCCTCAGGCAGGTCAGGGAGTGCCGATTCATCAACCCCCTCAGCAACAAAGGTCCATCCCAACTCAACAAGTGCACTCTCAGCAACAACGACAACAAGTTCAGCCCATCCAGCCTCAGGGATTGCAGCGTCCTCAACAACCCCGTCAAATTGTTGATGCTCCCCCGCAGAATGTCACTTATCGACCACAACCAACTTATGCCAAGCCCGATAAATTCAGATTCCAGCCAATCCAAACAGATCAGAGTATCCGTCACGAGCCAGTACTTCCATCCCCCGCCCAGTCTAATAGAATCTCGGCGGGAACTTTGGATGAGGCCACGTTGGATCTTCTTCGGATATCTGACGCTCCGAGTACGGTATCGTTCAGTTCGACTGCTAGATTATCGCCAAATTCGGATATTCTACCCAAATCTGCGTCAACGACCTCCATGAATAAGGTTGTCAGAACTCCGGTAAGCTAATCGCTAACTAAATTTTACTCTGAAAGATTTTTTCTCTCACAATTGATATTCATTTTTGATTCTTATTAACATTGGGTTGTTTAGGATGGAGGTGTGATGAAGATTTCGAATGCTTTTACCTGGGATGCAAATCGCAATCCCTCGATGGATTCAAGCCACCACGACACTGCCAGACACACTCAAACCAAAGATGTGACCAACGATATCCGTCGATCTCAGGCCCCCTCTCCCCCGACTGCTCGAACTCATGAGACCGAGTTCGAAGCCCATGTTCAATTCCCTCCGGTCATCAAAACCACTGTTGAAGGTCAACTGAAAATGGAGAAAACCGTGGGAACTCATCTCAGAAGTATCGACCATTCCATTGCCAGAGCTTATAAGATCCGTGACACCACAACTCATTATAAGATCAAGACCAGATTAGGAAAGAGAGAACTTGTGCTCGAAGAACAGGCCAATAAAACTTCCGATGACTCCAAAGATGTCAGAAGTGGAGGACATTACAAGTTCTCGGTGTTTGAAGACGGAAAACAAGTGGGAGAACACGAAGCCGACATCAATGTGCCCGATAATATGGTAAGTGGTCAAGTACAGTATCCATTTTGGATATTGTGGTAGTTTTAATCGTAGAGTTTGCCAGTAGATGACGGAACAAACACCTTAACATCTTCATTGTTTCCACTAATCCTATTATTTTCAATTTGCTGTGGTAAAATAAGTTACTGTTTTATACGAAAACATTTTGTAACGTTATAATCTTTCATGGTTACACTATATTTAATGTCCACTTTCACTGTTCACCTTCACTTTCACTTCTCGGGCACCTAGCACACTGTTTTCTTCACTTCTACTGACAGTTCCGTCTCATTGGCCGCTCCATTTCCCTCATTATTTTATATTCTCCTTGTCTTTTTTAGGCAAAACCAGATTTCCTCGGCAAACTCAGCGAACGTTTGTTGGCTGATATTGCGTCACTGGATGGAGATGACATCATTGCATCGACTCGCGTAGAAATTGAGAGAATTGAGGATGTTACAGATATAGTGAAGACATATCTAATTGGACAGGGAGTGCTCGAAGATGACATATCCGAGCCAATCGAGGCCATAGATCTTCCCAAACAAGATATAAATCTGGTCAAAGAGGGTCGGGATATTGATGATACCATCAAGATTGGATTGAAGGCAAAGAGACCCGAATCGGACACGGAAAGTGTGAATTCCCTCAAGTTCAAGAAGAAATACGAGCCAGAAGTGACCGCCGATTGTGACCTTCATCGTACGGAAGACCGCTCTTCCATTAAGATCATCTTTGCTGAAGCCAGAATGGCCGAACTGGCGTTATTGATCCGAATCCAGAGGCTGAAGCCGAAGCCACTGAAGCTGGAAAAGGCCAATTATGGCCTCGAATCGGAAGGTCAGGAGTTCAAGGGCGAAACCATTATTCGAAACTTGAAGAAATATCCCAGTGACGAGGAGCCTGAATCCCCCAAAGAGCCTCCACCAAGCTCATACGAGCTGGTACAACAAGGTCAGAATCTGGAAGGGAATGTCGCCATCTCTAGGGATCGACGGTTCTCCGAAGCCGAGAGCGAAATCAGCACCGTTCATGTGGAACATGAACCTCCAGCTGCTGCATATGACTTTGAAACAGCCGGCCGACGGTTGGAAGGACATTCCGTATTCAGGAAACAGAAAAGATATTCTGAAGCCTCTATTGATGAAGTCTCTCTGCCTGGAGTCAGACAAAGAGGAGGCATTACGTATGTTACGGTGGTCAAGAAAGAAGATCACGGCCTCTTCGAAGTCATCATGGAGTGTCCAAATGTGGCTTCTCCTTCATCCATCAAAGTGAAAGAGATTCCAGATCAAAGATATGAGAATCTGGAATACATGAAGGTCATTGAGAGACTGGGAGATAATCAAGAATACATTGAGAAGATTCTAAAGACAGCCAACAGCTGGAAAGGAGCGTTGAATCTGAATGAAGTGAACATTGAGAACACCACTGTCATCTTCGGATTGGATAATGCTCGACAGACATCAGATCAGATCGAGGTGACCAGATCTTATGGCCATAGAGTAGGACAATCATTCAATGCCCTCGAAATGTCCATGGAAACCTTCAACCAACAAGTCTGTATGGAGAGAAGAGAAACCCATCCTCGCGATGCGGATGTGGGCACTTTCATGAGCGATCGGAGAACGATGAGTATCGTGAGAGATGTGATGGAGTTCAAAGTGGAAACAGAGCACTGCTCGGTGATGATGGAGAACCGAGGCGCCGTCCAGGAACAAGTGCAAAAGGGATGGGCGGATGAAGTGAGAGGTAGGTGGAATCGTTCTTCTTCGGCTATGCGTGCCTCGTATGTTGTTGCTCAGTCGGATGGTGCTGTGACGGGGGTCGGGGTGGCCCAGCAGGTCGCGACAAGCAGCACCAGCAACTCCACCTCCGCCGGTCGCTCGCGTCGCATCGTGCACGAACGACTGGTGGAGGGCAACACGGCACGTGTGTGGCATGCAGTGGCACCTTCTGAATCTGTCGCTAAGCACTTTGTTTCCTCTTCTTCCACTACCAGCACTTCTGGCACTGTCCCACCACCTCTCATTTCCGCACCGCCAGCCAATCTTTTTGACACGCACGCTTCCCGCTCCCTTTTTATCCCCAATCTGAAGACTCTTTTGCCTCCACACGCCGCCGCTCAGACCGTTCTCTCCGACGTCCCTTCGCTAGCCTCTGGCATCAAGATCTCCACCGAGGAGAAGCAAAAAGAAGATCTACAGACTCAAGTTCAACAAGTTACAATACGACCAAGCAGTTCGTTAACTCGATCAAATCAATTCTCAAATGCTGTCAGCTCACAAGCAAGACATTCGTCTTTGAACAGACCCCTATCTTTCCATAACGAGTATACTGTAATTGATGGAAGTGGAAGAAGACGTCATGTTGTGGAATCAGGATCCGAATCTTTTTCGTCTTGTTCTTGGGGCTCTGGAGGATCCTCAACAAAAACAACCTCGGAAGTCAAGGAAACGCAGAGTGGATCGTCCAGCTCGAGTGGATTTGTGGACAGTCCATCTTCTATTGGGGCTCGATTTGATATTCCAATAAGCCGACAAATGTCCGTCCCTTCTTTCCCGATCCCCAGAATTATCCCAGGACGAGAAGAAGAATCGGCCAGAGAATTTATGGATCAAATGAGGAGATTTCGTCCTCCCACAGCTATGTTTAACAACCCCAATCGCATATTTATTTGTACTACCGAGCCAATTCCCGAAGAAAAAGTGAGAAACATACCAATTGGACGTCAAGGATCGGTGGATCCATTTCGAGGAAGAAGTCGATCCAGAACACCGTGGAATGATCGAGAATCCTCAGTGGTTTCAACAACAACAATATCTGAATCCGTGACTGAGACTGTGAACGAGACCCGAGGAAATCAGAACTACGAAAGCCGACGTCAGCGAAGCGTGGTGAGTGTCATCTCCAACTCTTCTTCGAATCTTCACCATGAAGTCTCTAACAGTCAAAGCTCCCTCTATAACCAACTAATGGCTCGAGCAAAGTCCATGCAGCAAGAGTGCCAGAGGCTGTTTTCGTTGGCCCATTCCCTTAATAGATGTACTTCAGTCGACCGATTCGGAAGGGGCCGTGCGGTCACGCCCATAGCTGTACGTATTCTTTCAGGCAGAGAGCACCGTGCCGCTTCTGTGGCCGGGTTCAGCACGCTGCATGAGAGGGAGAATGTGTCGGAAAGAAGCAGTGTCTCCAGAGAAGTCCCCATCAGCACGAATCGAAGACAAATCCAGATTCCAGTTCATATATTGTCAGGACGGACGAATGAAAGCAGATCTCATCATTACCAGTCGTCCTTCCAGAGATCTCACTCAGTTTCGGCTCCATCTTCCCATTACAAGATCATCAAATCAGCTACACAAGGAAATCTCCATGATGTCTCTGAATCTAATTACTCGTCGACTGAGAATGTTACTCAAAGTGAATATGGAATGGGATTTGATCGAAGTTCAGTGGTCTCTGAGAGTATCAGAGAAAACATTGAAGCACAAGGGCGAGGAAGATCGCAACCGGTGACAACAGAAGAGGAGAAGGAGAAGGTCAACTTGACTACCAACATTTCGGGTACAACTGCGGGTCCTAATCTATGCGAACATGAAGTGATCAGAGAAAGTAGTCAAGTCAGCCAATCAGGAGGAATTCCAATTACAAAGAATCTGGAAGAAAAAGAGAAGTACTCTTATAACGAGCAACAAAGTGGTTCCATTCCAACGAACAGGGGAATATTCGAGGATGAAAAGGTTCAAAAATCGGAAACTCTCAATCAATCCAAACAAGGACCAAATTTATACCAAGGAACTCAAGTTCAGCAAGATCAAAGTAGTTATGAGAAGGAAACTGTTAATCAAACGACTACTGTGACTGGAGGGCCGATTTATACTCAAGCCGGATCGAATTTGTTGGATTTGGTCAAAGAAAATGCCTCTCAACAAAGTGGAAGTAATGTTCAGGTAATCACTTCTGGAACATCGGAGCCAAGATCATCGTATGAAAGGGAGACCTTCCAACAAAACACCAATATCTCTGGTGGTATTCTGGGCCACATTCAGCCTAATTTGACGGGAGAAACTGTCCAAGAAAAGGAACAGGTGACGGTAACTCAAGGTGTAATTCCAGTACCAGAATCCGCAAAATCATCGTACGAAAAAGAGACCTATCATCAACAATCGAATGTTTCTGGTGGTATTCCAGTTCAAGTTCAACCAAATCTGAGTGGAGAAAACGTCAATGAAAGGGAGCGGATTACGGTATCTCAAAGCGGGCATTCAACAGTTCCTGTCCAACCTGAACCAAGATCGTCGTATGAACGAGAGACATACCATCAAGAGACCAACATCTCTGGAGGCATTCCAGTACAAGTTCAACCAACATTCACCGATGAGAATATTCAAGGCAGAGAACAAATTACGGTAGTCCAAACTGGAGGTTACAGTGTAGCTCAACCCAAGGAAAGAAGCGAAGAAACGTATAAAGAGCAATATAACGTGCAACAAGATGCTCCAAGGAAGACTACTGTGGCCGATGCATTTGAACGAACAGTTGAGCAGATCAGAGCCAACGAAGAGATCACATCAACTGGAGATAAGAAACCTGTTGTACTTCAAACTGACGAACCCAAATTGGCAGTCTATCAGCAACAACAGCACAAATTGGAGACTACTGTAACGTCCAATGAACAAAATGCTTCTCAACAAACTAATATAGTCCCAACAGATTCTCTGATTATCCCGCAGAACCTCCAAAGAACCATTTCTCAAGAATCTGTAGCTGTCCAATTATCTGAAGCCACTTCCGAACCTGAAGCCGAGAGAGTTCAAGATGTCGAAGTTGAAGAGAGGATCTTTAGAAAATCCAGAAGCAAATCCAAAACCCCTGTTACAGTATCCATGGAAGCAGAGGTGACTCCAACTTATCAATTCAGAAGCCTCAAGAAGTTCGCGTCAACTGAGTTGAATATTGAAGAAGAAGAGAAAACGATCAGCAGTGTGAGAAAAGTAGAAGATTGGCTCCAAAATAAATCGATCGACGAGACTCCGGACGAGGCATTCGAACAAGTACAGGATATCGAGACCGATTCTGCTCAAATGACAATCAGTATTGATGATGCGCAAGCTCTTTTTGATCGAACTCAAGCCGAGAGAAGAGCCGTGGATGAGATGCAGCAACTGCCTGAGGGCCCGGAATCCTATGAAATCGCAACTCATAACGTGAAGCTGAGTAAAGTGGAACAAGCGAATCTGGCTTCTCTGACCGTAGAGAGTGTGAGGAATGTGGACAGCACCAATCAATCAATGAGTGCAGCTGCGTTAAATGCAATCAACGCTGAGACGGCGATCCAACATCCTGAAGTCTCTGATGGCGCGAATGTCGCTCTGCCAGAACAATCTCGGCCAGTCGCGGTCTCATCTGGAGATTTTGTAGCCGTTTATCCGGAGGTTGTCCCTGCTCCAGCTGCCCCGGGCCAACTCTATACGATCGATGAGCACGCAGTAATTGCACCAGGAGTGACTGATACAAGTAATCAGCCAAAAGAACTAAAAGGAACCCAACATTCAGATTCCGGCTTCAGAGAAAGTACAGTAATCTCGAAGCAGTCGGATGAAGTCCCGGCAATCAAGAGACCCAGTCGAATCAGCGAGAGTCCTACCGAATTTTCCTTCGCCGACTCGCTGAATTTGGATTCCCGAAGAGCCCAATCAGAATATATTGACCGAAGGGAGAGTGTTGATGAATCTATGATCAGTCAGACCATATCCGGAGTAGTCTACCCTTCAATTGAAGCCTCCGATCTTCAAGAGGAATACTCGACGGATACGGAACGAGACATCGACAATCTCCTGACCACTGTCAACTTAAACAAGATCGGAGATCACTGTTATGACTTCGCTGAATCCGATTTCTCCATCCCAGTAGAATACAAGGGCTCAGAGAGCATCAAAGCAGCCGGCTCGAGTGAAATCAACAGAGAAGTAACACTGGAAAGTAATGATTCAGCCATCAGTGTGGGCACTTTGGCTACTGTCTCGAGAAATGAAAGCCTTCAGATGACAACTGAACATGCAAAAGATAATCGACTGGAATATCAGAGCTCTTTCAGACAAGCTGACATCAAAGGAAACGCAGCTACTTTGCAGAGAGATAAGTCAACGGAAGCTGTAAATAAGGCTGTAAATGAAGCCCAAGAGAATACAGTATACATGGATCATACGGGAGAATTAATTGAAGCCAAGCAATTGGCTGAAGCTACTTACAAAAGTGAGAAGAGAGAAGAGAAAAACAGTCTGTTAACAAGATCAGCGACCGAAGAGAATGTAACGGAACACGTCAATGCAACTCATATGCCTTTCCCAGAGACTGTTGAGAACATCCAGAGAGAAAGAAGAAGTGCCTCGGAAGTCAGAGCCTTCTCCGTAGCTCCAGATCAGACTACAGAATCCAATTTGCAAAGAGAAACGTCACAGGAAGTCTGTGATTTCACTCAAGGAGAATCGAGACGAGAACAATCCGTTGGAAGTTTCAATGAATACTCTGACACAGCTGTGACTACCGACGCCAATCTTCAAAAGATTAAGAAGACTCCACTTGCGCGATTGGCTGATGTCGAATGGAATCATCAAGAGATTGAGAAGTCAGAGCTGAAGACAAAACATGCCAGCGATGAATCTCAAGACCAATCGACTCAACTGACCCGTCCAACTGATGTAAAACAAGGAGCGGAGGTCAAATCGAGAGATAAATCCTTTGAAAAAGTCCAACTCAGATCCCAGGCATCAATAGAAAAATCTTTGGACTACCAAACAAGTCTAAAGATTGCTGGAGAAAAGGCCAATACTGAAGCAAAGATAAGATCAGCAAGTCAAGAGAGAGCTGATATCAGGTGTAATGAGAGTCAAGAGAGCACTGTGAACCTGTATGAAACCATCGAAGTTGTGGATGCCGTTGGTCATGCAGATGGAGAAGTTGGATTGGAGCAGAAGAAGAGCAAGGAATTCTTCTACAAAAGGGCTCCGGAAGGACTCGAGAGAACCGAAGAGAAGGAGCGTGTGGAGGAAGAAGGAGTCTTGGCCCCGCGATTAGAGTATCTAGAAACTAACAGAGCTACCGTGTCTGACCGTTTGTCCGCCAAATCCTCAGAATCGAAAGTTGTGTCTTCAGAAGAGCATAACAGATCTGAGGAAATCTACCGTGAGGAAGAGAGTCGTCAAGAACATTTATCCGGAAGGGATAAACGAACAGAAGAGATTGAACAGGAGAACATTAATATCACATCTACTGGGGTAGGGGCTCCAGGAAAGAAGGATTTGACGACTTTGGAAAGGGAAACCTTCGAATATAATGAGAATACGGGTGGAGGAAGACAGCCCGGATCGAGAACAGTCATCGAGACCGAGAATTATAATCAGAATGACCTGATCAGTGGAGGAGGAAGACAGCCTTCGAACAACACCATAATCGAGACGGAGAACTACGAATATAATGAGAAAGGAGAACTCATTCCGACTAAACCGAAGTCCAGAACCGAGATTACTACTGAAACTGTTGAAATCAATCAGACTGGAGGTATCCCGACAGTCCCAGTAGTCCCAGCAGCGCCTAAGACAGTAGTCGAAGAAGAAAGTCAAAAATTCGAGGAGACGGTTACGCAACAACCAGCTAAGCCAGTTCAGCCAGTCCTACCGGTCTTGGAAGAGATTCCAGTCCTAGAAGAAGCCAAACTTGTTGAAACGATAAAGCCAGATGAAAATATCCAGGTGCAATACAGAATTCAGCCAAAAGAAAAGAAAGAAGTTGCTGCGATTCAAGTCAAAGGCAAATCTGATGAACATGTTAGTAAAGGACTGTCAACTGATAAGAAAGAAGCAGTGACTGAGTTGACGCAGAAAGAAGCTGACGAGAAAACATCTACAACAAAGCCTGAGGTAATTACCGCCACTGGAATTGCTAATATAAATGCGCCAGTTGATGCAACGTTACATCAGCAAGTGACTCTGGCCAGGACAGCGTCAGCTGAAAGACTCGACAAGAAGTTGCCAGACATAAGCAGAATTCAAGGCCTAGCTAATCTCGAGGCATCTAAAGAAGAAGATGCTCAAGTTAACACTAATATTGAGAGAAATCCTTTCCAAGGAATGGCTGACATGACTCAATCCGTTTACATCAAAGAAGACGCTGGCCTAGATTCGAAAGCTGCTGGGTTTGAAGAGAATTGGCTGGATTCTTTGTTAGAACAAAAAGAAGATAAGGAAGGAGCAGCTAAAGAATTAAAGAAGCCGAATGAAGAAAAGATTGACAAGAAGACCAAGGAAGCTGGCAACGAACAAGTCGGATACATTTATCAAACGAAGATAATTGATAAAGAAGAGACAATAGACAAATCATTGCCGGTTAGGCAGTTGTCATCTTCGGCTTTGAACGCCAAAGCTTCTGAAGAGAATGCGACTGAAATTACTCCAGAGTTCGGTCGAGAATCAGCTGAGATCAAGGATTACACTCATCCTGAGACATCAGGAGATGCGGAATCCAGGAAATTCAAGATTGAACAAGAACAAGCAGCGCAGAATCTTCAACGATCTCAAGATGACGCTTCAGCCCAAAGAATCCAACCTTTGAAGGTTACGGAAGAACTTCAAAAAAATCTAAAAGAGTACGGAGACGCTCAGAAAATATTGACTTCAAGTTTCACAAAGATTCTGCAGAACCCAGATTGGACATTTGATGATGTAACCGTCAAGTTCAATGAGTTTCTGACCCATATCTTCAAAGCTCCAGCTGCAGGAGATGAAAAGAAAGAATCAGAAGTATCTCTGTCCACACAAGAACAACGTGCTTTGGCCGATATCTTGAAGTTGATAGCCAATGAGGATAGCCTTTCTTTTGCCACCAAGGCTGCTTCTGAAATCGCGACTGCGCTTCATTCCGCAATGACTGCTACACCAATTAGGGAAGATATTGCGACCAAATTGAAGATCGGTCCAAAAGAAGAGGTGGAGAAGAAGGTCAGAGAGATGGTCGAGTCGGTGGCCAATCTCAGCCAGAACTACGATCTCGTAGATCAGGAGAGTTTGATTCAAATCCTTCTGGCTGATTCCCCGTGGACTGAAAGAGACCTTCAGACTAAAGCCGCGACTCTAGAAGAGGCTGGACTGCTGGCTGCCCTATCTCAGCCAATCGACGCTGGTCTGGCGGAGAAAGACGAACCTATTCCGCGAACCGCACAAGCACCTAATCTGAACCTTAGTGATGCCTTGATAACAGCCGACTCACATTTACTCCGTATTTCAGACAATGAGGCCACGGAGAAAACGAAGCAAGATCAGCAGACTCTAATCGGAGAATTGTTGACTCCAGAATCTGGAAATGACGAGACTTCATTAACCGCAGAATGGTTAAAAATCTCAAAGGATCGTCAGCAGAGGGCCGAGACTTCTTTCTCCGATAAAAGTGATACAGAGGAAGTCGAGATGAAGTTGGAAGAACCGCATGAAGCTCTTGGAGTTGGAAGAAAATTCGCAAAAGAATTGCAAAGATCTGAATCGGGCACAATTATGCCAACGCAAGATGAAGCCAAGGTTTCTTTGAGTCTGGATGCAACTGAAGATAAAAAAGACGGTAGAAGACGAAGAGAGGAGATCGTTGAAGAAATTGAGACCTCTTCCCAGACTGATATGAAAGCTAGGAAGCCTACTAGGAGAACAGAGATCATTACTGAAACGTTTGATCAGACAAATGACTCGAATCTCCTGAAGAAAAAAGAAGAACAAGGTCAGGGAGGATGGGGATATGATCTGATAATTGAATACCCAGGCAGAAGACGTAGAATTGAGGAGACCTGGGAAGAATGGATGGCAGAAGAGGAGAGAAGAGAAGCTGAAAGAAAGAGAAGACAGACCATTGAAGAAGAAGAGATCATCACCCGTGAAGACAGCTCTTCCAATATCCCTAGCCAAAGAGGAAGGAAGATTATTGAGGAAGAAACGACCGAAAGAACTGAACAATCAGACTTTACTGGGCTTCCAGCCAAAGGGAAAAAAACTGTGATTGAAACTACTGACGAAATGGAAACTCATGATTACGATACGGTTACTGTAAAGGTTCAGCCTAAAGAGATTAAAACAGAGTTTGCAACGGTTATCAGCACCCCTAATGAGTTTCCGGTTCAGACTTTTGAAACGGTAGCGTCTGGAGATGAAAGAGTCAAAATTTCCGTCGACCTCTTTGGCCAGACTGAAAAACCGGTTGTAGCCAGTACAGTAAGACGACTGAGTAATGTCAGCGAGCCTGCGTCATCGGCTTTAGATGCAGCTGAGGAAGATAGCGCTCTCCTAATTGCTGACATCAAGGCTAAGGCTAAATTGATAGAAGAAGCCGAGAGGATCCTGGCAACCTCCAAAAATCACGCTCCATTAGTATTGGAGACTACTGAGGCTACGGAAGAGAACCTCTCGACAAGCAATGTGTGGGACATTCCAGAGAAGTCGGAGGCTACAGAACTTTCCAGAGTCGTCCCAAGAACTGTAGAACCGATGGTTGTAAAAATGCGTGAAAGTAAAGAGGAAGTTCGGCAAGTTGGATATGTATATGACAACAAAGAGATCGCCGAGCAAAAGGATACCACTCTGAGGGACAAAAACTTTGGTGGAAATCTTGTTTTGACTTCGAAGCATGCTACAGAAGAGACCAAAAATAGTGCAATTAATTTGAGTCGTCAACAAGAGCTGGAAAATGTGAGATCAAAGCAAATCGAGAAGATCAACGAGAAGTTGAAGCTGCAATTGCTTGAATCCATTCATGAGAATACGGCGATTAATGCGAACTTTAGTACCCAGTCATTGATCGAGCATGTCATCAAGGCGTTTACTTGTCCAAATGTGGACGAACCTCAGACAAGAAAATTGAAGGAGACCACTCATGTTTATGACACGGTAAATTACGAATATGAGAGAAAGAATGAGAAGAATGAAGCCGAAAGAGTTAATAAAATCGCTGAGCTGGCTTCTCCTTTAGTATTGAACACCAATGCCTCTGAAGAATACGAATTGGATGTGGTCAGAGAGCTCAGTCGAGACAATGAATTCAAAAACGACGATGTTCTCCTCAAATGTGCCAATAAATTGCCCGAGTGTGTCTTACACACCAAGGCGTCTACTTCTCGCTATGCTCTTTATAACGACCAATTCCAACGAGAATCCGACCGGTCGAGCACCGAGACAAATATCATTCTTGCCAATACTCATCCGGCCGAAGCCAAAAGAACCAAAGAGGCCGGGGATGAGCAACAACTCACTCAAATCAGCAAACACAACGAGCCCGAGGGTCTGGAGCACGACAGAACGGTCTGGCTGGCGCGGTTTGGTGGCACTTTCCAACTAAAAACTGACGCCGCTGATGACGTTGAGCTTAATGTCTCGCGTGAGATTGAGTCTTCCGCGCCCAAACACCTAACCTTTAATCATGTTGTTATCACAGGGAACACGGATGCCACCAAATTGGACTCGCTACAAAGTGGAAGCGACGAGAGATGGCTTCAATGTCAGTTCCAAAAGTCCGAATCCAGAGAACGGATCGACAAATTGGCCAAAGCGAAACAAGAACAAAAACATAGAGGACATTTCTTGGAGAGTGAACACGAGACCTTGGTTTATAATACCGAATTGAGAAGACCGGAGGAAAAAGAAGAGAAGTTGTTGAAGAAAATCATTCCCAATGAAGGAAACAATGTTGTTTTACTTTCTAAAGCCTCCAAAGAAGAGTTGGAAGAGAAACAGTTCGACCTGACGAGTGGAAAAGACCGAGATCTCAATGAAAATATTATCATCAGAGCTGTCAGAGATATCGAACCTTCGATTTTGAATACCCCGGAGGCTACGTTTTATGTTCTCACTTATTCTCACGAATTCAGAAGGCCAGAGGATGTCGATTATATCACCAAGATCAGACAAATCCCCAATGAAACAAATCCTTCAGGCATTAAATGCAAAGAGTCCACGAATATCGTTGAGATAACAAATTTCAAATACGATAAGAAGGAGTCCAATGAAGAGAAAGGCCATCTGGTTTACATCAAAAGGTTTGGTGGGTTGTTCACATTGAACACAGAATATGCAAGTGAAGATCAGACAAGTTATGACAGACATCATCAACGGGATAATGACCTCAGAGAACAAATCCAACGGGTCTTCAGAGCTGTTAATCAAGAGACTCCAGTCAATCTTCAGACCAAACAATCAACTGAAGTGGATACTGTATTGGGATGCTCGCTATTCCACAGTAATGAGATCGACAAGATCCACCACATTGTCAAGACCGCTAACTGCATTGCCAACTTTATTAAGTGTAAAGAATCGACGCAAGAGTCGATGACCACCAACCTGACCTACGAAAGAAACGAAGCCGAAGCCTCGACTTCCACGATTCGGGATGAAGCCAGATATGGTGGAAGGTTGTCTTATGGCTCGGCTGCCTCAGGCGACGTCGAGATCCAAACGACCAATCAACTGGATGCCAATCCAGTCACTGACCTCAAAGCTCACGAACTCTGCGTAGCCATCTCGCGCGATGCTGAGCCTCTCGTTTTATCGACCCCTCAGTCCACTTTCGACCAGTGTAATATTTCGAGTAACTACTCAAAACCGAATTCGGGTGACTTCTTACATCTATCGCTTGCTATCCCACGAAGTCCCGAGGGCACTCCGTACTTGCGAACCAAAGAATCTGAGCAACACCACGAGCACTTTAACTGTGATTATCAGCGAGAGCAGGCTAAATCCGAAATTACAGAAACCCGATGGATCCCGCGCTTTGGAGGGCACACTTCACTCCACTCGAAGGCTGCCGAAGAATCCCAGCATATGTGTGATGCTGATATTGTCAACCCTCGCCCCAACAATCTTCAAGACCAATTGAGAGTCATCATCAAAAGGGAACCCGATCAACATCCGCGATTGGCCACAAAGGCTTCAGAATCCCATGAAGCTACGATCAGCACGAGTTTGCAGAGAAGCGAGGCCAGGGAGATCTATCAGATCAAGCTAGTGGCTCCAAGGACTTGGGAACAGAAGCCAAGTGTCAAGGTCACCGAGTCCAAGGAGGTTGAACATCTCAATAATGTCCAATTAACTCGCCCTGAAGCATATCAAACAGTCGATCACACCAAATTCGAACCTCGATTTGGTGGTCAATTCTCTTTGAATACGAATAGGGCTCAAAGCAAGGAGATTGAATGCAGCGCTTTCCTTCAACGAATCCCAGCCATCGATTCGTCTCAGTTGATTATTTCGATTCCTCGAGAAGAACAGCCCCTTCTTATGATTGGAAAGAATTCCTCGTCAGAAGAGACTACCTGCAATGCCGATATCTCATCGCAAAAGGCATTCCAACTGAATGCTTCAGTCTCTCTGAAGACCTCCAATGACAACGAACCTCTAAAACACAAAATCAGAGAGGCCGGCAATGTCAATACCACCACAAATATATCCCTTCAAGCCGGAGGACAAGCCGAGTCCGAGATTGAACATACTCGTGATATGCCCGGCTTCGGAGGCTCTTATAACATCTCTTGTAAGGCTGCTGGTGAGGCTAAAGGAGGCGACAACAACATCAATCTTCAACGACCAGAATCCCGGGAAGAAAAGAAGATTGTGATCAAGATTGCGAGCACCCACGACCCTCAGAGGCTTGACTTGTTGGCGGCGGCGGACGAGAGGACCGGAGTTCAGACCGACCTGACTAGACCCCCGGCCGTAGGCTCGCACAGTTTGGTTGCGGTGGAAAAGATTCTTGACAAGGTTTACTTGCACGCATACGAGAGCGGCGCCGAGTTGGTTGAGTTGACGCAGACCGAAGTTCGGCAGCGTACAGCAGACTTGCTGGCCGAGGGTGTCGCGGCCCGTGCTCCTCGAGAAACATCACCTATCTCTCTTCGTACAGATTATGCCCGTGAGAGTGTGATCCGCCTGGACTCGGCGTTACAACCCGCTGAAGACGAGAGGAGGAAGCGAGAAGTGGAGTACAATGCTGGACTGCCCAGGACAGAAGAGCCATTGGTGTTGAACTGTGAAGCTGTGGATCAAGTCAAGCTCCGAGTGAAAGACGCTGAAGAGGAAAAGAAGGAAAAAAGGTAGGGTCCTGAAAAAATTTTATAAAGTTTTTAAAATCGATAATTTTTTGTATTTTGACGAAACATCAAAATGATTTTGTTTCCGTTGCTAATATTGATTATTTCCAGAGTCAGCTTCGCCGCCGATGTCAAGGATGATGACCACAATCTTGGGCTGGACATGTCCATGTCAGTTGAAGAACGGAATAAACCCTCGATCATCAAGAAACCGATCAAAAAAGATCGCGAACATCGTGGCCGGCGGCGTGAGCTCAAGGCAAATGAAGCGCCATCTTTGTAAGTGCCATATTCTCATTTTAATACAGTAATTTCCAGCTCTCCCGTTCGTCGTAACTCCTTGTTGATGGCCCTGAACATTGGCAGTCCCCACAACATGCCCCATTTCAAGACCTTGGAAGATATTGTAAAGGCCATTAAAGAGGTATTTCTTGCTCTTCTTCGACTGTCGCTATCATTTACAATAAATTATGCCTAATTTTATTTATTTTAGGCTGGTTTGGAGTATTCGAATTTGATTTTCGGCATCGATTACACCAGATCAAATTACTATCAAGGAGAGCGAACTTTCGATGGAAGATCGTTGCATGCCCTTAATGAGGAGCCCAATCCATATCAACAAGTCATCGAGATTGTTGGAAAGACCTTGTCCTCTTTCGATGCTGATGGAGAGATCCCAGTCTATGGATTTGGAGATGAGGAATGCACAGACACAGACTGCTTCAACATCATCGATCGGAATGACATGGACGCCACTTGCCATGGATTCGAAGGTAGTCGAAAGTCATCTTTACAATTTGTTAAATTTATTTTAGAAGTCCTCAAAGTCTACAACAAAGTGACGCCGTCTGTCGCCATGTCTGGTCCCACCAATTTTGTCCCCCTTATTCAAAAAGCCATGGAGATTTGCGTCGAAAAACATTCATATCACATCTTGGTCATTGTGGCGGACGGTCAAGTAACTAATGAGAAAATCAATCAAAGAGCCATTGCCGCCGCTTCTCATTACCCATTGTCCATTATTATGTAAGCCTAGGTTAAACCCTTCGACTTTAATCGTGTATAACATAAGCCACCGTAATGGAATTGATTTTAGGGTCGGTGTTGGCGATGGTCCATGGGACATGATGACCAGGTTCGACGAGACCCTGCCAAAACGACAGTTCGATAACTTCCATTTCGTCGACTTCCACAAGGTGAATATTACACTTGCTATCAAATCTATTCCTAATATATTTTTTTTAAATAATAAATCTTTCAGGTGATGTTCAACTCTCCCAATCAAGAAGCCGCCTTCGCGTTGAACGCTTTAATGGAGATCCCCGATCAATACAAGGCCATCAAAGAACTCGGCCTTCTCAAGAAGAATCGACGCGGCTAAACGACACCGACAACTCTACTGCTAAACTAATTGAGACTTTCTGTAAATTGATGTTGCCGCCATAATTCATCGACTAATTGATGCAGTCAGAATTTTAAAATTAATATTCGAATAAATTTACATTGTACATTGCCGCCCGAACTAATGTTTCATTCTAATCAAAGTTGCGCGGAACAAACTGCTCTCTTATTCAGTCAGAAAACCAAAGGGAGTGTCAGAATCCGTGATATCGCCGTGCACATACATAAGACGACAAAGTATTCAGAAGTGGATGAAACGGTAATGTTTTTTATTACAACCAGATGTCTCCAGCATTTTTGTCACAATCTTTGAGGACAAGTCTCTGGACATGCCCTGACCCGTCTCAGCGCTGATGGATGCCAAAAGTCTGCAGCGCCGCGGGGCATTTTGATCTCAAGCGTGTCCATGACTTTTCAAATTTGTCATCCCGAGGGGGAAAAAGGGTCGGACTTTTGTTTTTGGCAAAAAATCCCCTTTAAACCGACATCCGACACCTTGAACGGACCCTCGGCCGGGCCCTTGGCCCGCCTTTCGGCCGCGATTTAATGAGCCGCTTTCCGAAAAGTCGTAAGAAATTTTATTCGGGCCTCAGATCAGCAATCTTCAGACGCTACCGCCCGAGTAATGTGGTGAGGAATGTGGCTAGGGCTGGTTACAGTGGCAGCAGTTTCGGCCACTGTAAGAGCGGCCGAAATCGAACCGACCAGCTTCGGACCCATTAATATCCCGCTGGCGCCGTATAATGTAAAAGTAAGGCTAAATTTGTGAAAATTTAATTTTTGAATTGTCTTTTTAATCCAATTACTTATTCTTAGCTGTATTGTCGAAACGGCAAGATCGAAAACTACACGGACATCCCCAAACTAAGGCCGTCTAAATGTCCTACAGCATCAACTTCTTGTGGGTATTTCGAGTTACGTCAACAAGGAGGGTTGAGGCCGACCGGGATATTCGATTGCGTTGATTCTAGTGTGTTTGTCAGTGAACAAGATGAGGAAATCGGGGGTGGGGTAAGTCATTGTATTTGCAATCAAAAATTTTGACAAATTTGTCACAAATTCAGTTCATATATTTTTCTGTCTTTTTTATTTTCCTCTGATTGACCCTCTTCATTTTCCATAGTCCCTTTCCGAAAATATTTCTTTAAACGTCCGTCTCGCTTCGAAGCACGAGCAAGCTTATTAAATATATGGCCTAGGGAGGGCAGAATCAAAAAAAATATTTAAAAAAGTCACAATCACACTACCTCCATTAATTTCTAAATAACGAATTTCGTGAGTTTTGGATATCCAAAACTTAAATTGATGACAATTCCCTTATTTTTTCTGAAGCATTACCTGCAAATTTTATAGCATTTCGTTGCAGATGAACTTTAATCGTCTCTGTTCTCACAAACCAATGTGTCACCTCATCCCGACCATTCATTTCAACAAGCAGTTCCTCCGATATATGATGGATAACCATCATCTGCAGCACATTCCTTCGGCCATCAAGTTCTGCTGTTATTTGAATCACGTGCTGCTCACAAAACTGATCGTCTCGGGCCAAAGGACCTTGCGTAAGCGGCAGACTGAGATGACAGATAGGATCAATCAGTTCGAACAAACAATAACAATCATATTTCAGCTTCCGTAAACACAACTCCCGTTTATTGCGAGAAGAAAAAGTGTGAGGAGGGAGCGATTGGATGTCTGAAACATACGAAAACCGTGAGGATCGATCAGCACAACCATATTTATGACTACTTTGATGTAAAACCGGTAGAAATTGTTTGGGAAGAGGAGTCAAGCGATGATGATAATTACGAAACATTACCTCTAATCACTTCAGAATTGCCGAAAGAAACCAATTATTGTGTGTATCCCCATTTGAACAACGAATTGTATCGGTAAGATCAACTATTTTTTTTGACACTCCTAGTTCAACACACAAATTTTGAGTCAATATACAACATTTCGGCGAGAGACTATGGAAACTTGGGAAAAAGTCAGAGAAAAAACGGTTTTCGGTCAGAACTTCGCAAATGCGGAAATGCTGGCTCAAACATTCTTTACCGCAAATTTTTTTAGGTATTGCTTGATGATTTACAACGAGAAATTGGATGACAATTGTTACATTCATAACGGACATGCCGTCTGCTGTTGTTTTGTCGGGCCGGGTAATTTATTTTTGATTGATCTCTCAAAACATTATAAACTCCACAACTGATTCCTATAAACCAATATTTCTTAGACGACACAACCTGCAAACTCAAAGATATCAGTCTCCCAGAGCCTTCATCCACATCAGCACCCGCTACGACCATAATCATCCCGACAACACCACTAAAAACGTCTACAACAACGACATCAACTACAACATCTTCAATGCCGACCATAACAGATCTCCCAACAACTCTTCGACCCATGATACGAAACTCAACCAGACGGAGGCCACAATTGTCACCAAGTTATCGGAAACCAAGATGTCGCAAGAAATATATCCATGAAAGCAGATTCAAGTCCAAAAGTGATCGTTCCCAGGTCAAAGTGGTCTGGAAATGCAATCAGGACCCCGCTGCCGACAAATCTACTAGCAATGCCAATGGTATTTCACTAACGGGAGTGTGCTTTTTCACTTTTTATATTATATTTATCCATTACAAGGTGTGAATTTGGAAATAAAAACGGTGAATTTAAACTTTTCATCTCTTTTTACCCCTCAAAACTTTTACTATGGCTAATAGAAACTTGATCTTCGTTTTTACATTCTCCAAAATCGATTCAGACCTCAATAAAACACAAAAACCCCGATTTTATGATCTATATAACACAAATAACGCGGGCTCAGTCAATTCGAGAGTGCCAATTTTATGGGAACAAATCGTTCGCACACTCTAAAGCGTCCAATTCAATCTTCAGAAAAGGCAGGAACAGCAGCTACCGTAACAATAAAATGCATTTTTGCCCTTTTCCGACTCGGGAAACATCAAATAAAATGTAAAAATTAATAAGTGGATTTATAATACTGAATAACAACTACGTCCAATCCAAAGAACTCTTTAACAAAATTTATTATGACAAAAAACGAGACCATAGAAACTCAAAGCTTATCTTTAAAATTGCCTAATCGGGTCCTGGGAATTATTGCCGGGTTCTTAGATAGGTCCATACCTCTTCCTCAGTACTTCTTGGGAGTTCTTCCAAGCTTCTCGACAACTTCTGAGGTATACCGATAGGGTTGGATGACAGAATCATCGACGGTGGCACCTCTGACCAGCTGAGGTTCAGTGTTAGCATATAGATCAGCATAGAGGGCCTCTGTGGGAAGTTCGGGATCGGTGGTAGCAATCTTGGTGGCCTCGTCGACTTCTCTTCGGACATCCTTGTCGATCTTCTGCAAATTGAAAAAGTTTATTCCAAAAATTTTCATCGTGAATTTAACACAACCATTATCGAAATATTCAAATTTTACCTTTAGTTCTTCCTCCACAACCAACCCTGCTGTGATAATCTTGTCTCTGAACCCGACGATAGCATCTCTATGCTTTCTGACTTCCTGGACTTCTTCTCTGGTTCTGTAACTGGTTCCTGGATCAGACATCGAATGTCCCACATATCTGTAGGTCTCCATCTCAATCACAAGCGGTCCTTTTCCAGATGTGCAATGCTCTCTGGCAAAGTGAATGGCTTCTCTGACCGTCAGCAAGTCCATTCCATCAACCCAAATTCCAGGGACAAAGTCTCCTCTAGTGTAATATTCAGTGGAGGCGGATCCTCTCGAAGCGGAAGTTCCCATGGCAAACCCATTGTTCTCGCAGATGAAAACGACCGGTAGATCCCACAGTTTGGCCATATTGGCGGCCTCGAAGAACTGTCCTTGGTTGGCAGCACCGTCTCCGTATAAGGCATAGCAGAGGTTCCTCTGGTTGCGGTATTTATAGGCAAAGGCAATACCAGCGCCGAGGGGAATCTGGGCGCCGACGATTCCATTTCCTCCGTAGAAGTTCTTCTCGTACATGTGCATGGAACCTCCTTTTCCATAGACATTTCCACCAATTCGGCCTACAATTACAAAACTAAAATCATTCCAAAAAACATACCAGTAAGTTCGGTCAACACTTCAGTAACAGTAGATCCCATCAGGTACGTCCATCCATGGCATCTATAAGAGGTGATGACCGCATCCTCCGAGTGTTTGGCAGCACAAATTCCAACCGCCACGGCTTCTTGCCCAGTATACAAATGGCAGAATCCTCGGATGGACTTGTCCTTGTAGAGATTTGAGGCCGAGGTCTCCATTCTTCTCAACAATTGCATCTCCTTGTAATAATGGAGAGCCTCATCCCTGGTCAAAGTCGTCTCATTTCTCGGTCCATAGTCCAACTTATGCAGTTTATAAGGACGAGTGCTGAAGACAACTTCGTTCACAGTCGACAGAGATCTAAGTCCAACCGAGGAATTGGTGACACGAAAGATGTTACGAGCAAGCGACATCTAATATTACACGTTATTATTCAATGATGTTGAAGCTCCAACAATTATCGGATATCCGAGGTCATGTTCAATAAAATTATTACAATATAAGAGGTTTATTTGTCCACAAATACCAGTATTAGCATTTATAAATAAATTAAACCGGTTCTACCACCAAAAGCAAGTATTTTACTGCCTTTAGTAATATACGGTTTCTGTACATGCAAGAAAGGGATTCCCGTTCGAAAAATATCGTTTGACTCTGGAGTTTAGTGCTTGGTCTTCTTCTCCTTGACCCAGGCCTCGATTCGTTGCTTCAGTTCAGTATCTAAAACCCAACATTATACTTTCGTTGTCCTAAAATTGGAGAAAAACATATAAAAAACGATTACCTTCGACCAGTTCTTCTTCAGTCAATGCTTGCCGAGTGAACGGATCGTTCTTGGTGCTTAATAAATGCCGAAGGATAATCTTCCTATCCATAACATGCCCTGAGGGCAATCTGACAGGATCGTGCATTAGAGTGTCCATGACCGGGTCCTTGAATTCATCCGGAGCTTCTCCAAAGTCCTCTTCTTCTTGTAATTTCTCTTTGTAAATCCTTTCTGACTTCTCGCATAGGTTTTTAAACTTTTCACATTCATAATTCGAGACCGCATTGACTCGATTCAGCCGTTGGATGATGGATTGGAAGGTCTCGGGGGTATAAGAACGCTGAAAGCATCACATTCCGTTTACCATAACCTGGACTTTAAAACTTTTTTATTCTCCTCTTACCTCATCATGAGCTATACATTCCGCGAATCTTTCCGAATCCAAGTTCAAATAAATCTTGATGAGTTGATGAAGTGTTTTCCTAGGGTCCCAATAGAATCTCTTCAATGGATCATTAACTTTTAGCTCCGTGCATTTAGGGCCACAAAGTTGGATCATATTGTAATTGAGCATAGAAGCCAAGCGATCTCCCAAAGTGTTCTCATAGAAAGTCTGCGGGGAATCCTTAGACAAATAATCCAACATATCCATGGTTTCATTCCCTAGGATCATCCAGGACCGGACAGATCTCGATGCCTCGTTCAGAATACTCATCTTTTGTTGCCGTTCTTCTTCGCTCAACGCAAGGAAACGTTCTTGATCAGCGATTAAGGATTCAACTTCATGGATTCTCTTCAATCCTCCAAGAGACTCGTCCATCAAGAAGGTTCCATCATTGATAATCATGTTGATAAACCGGACAAAGTCAGTTGAGCACCGTCTAAACAACATAAACATCTTATAAAATACAACTTACCTCGCATAATCAATCATTCTCCCTCTATACGTGACGTCCTCCCATAATTCTCTAAAGATTACTTGAATCGACCTCCTGATATTGAACTTGTCATAGAATTCCGTACTCGATCCAGTGGATTCCACATCGGAGTAGAACTTGACAAGTCGGGGATACAAATTATCCATAGCATACGGATGATGGACAGCGCCTCTGAACAGACTATACAAATTGGGGTTATAGGTAGGGCAGAGCAAGAAGAAAACGTCGATTATCTTGGCAGTTAAGAAGGGGTTGTTGAAGAACTGGGCATTGCACACAAAAATCAGGAGACTCTGGACTAGGTCGGTCGGAATTTTTTGAACGGACTGGGAGTTTGTTCTGAAACATTTTGATTAGAATATTAACCATCAAGCAATAAGGCAAATACGAAGAATAAAATCAATCACTCACTTCAACAGAAATATCAGGAGGTCGAGAACGGACTCCAACATGAACTCGGGCATCATCCCAAATAACTTTGGAGGAAGTGCTGGGATTTCCGAAATGATCGGACTAAACTCAAAATCAATTTACTACAAATCCTATAACTTACTCATTCGGATTTACCAATCTCAACAGGAATTGCATTTGTTTCTTTGCGTAATCCATGCACCGATCCATAAATCCAACATCCGTCAGCAAACATTCCAACGAAGATAAGGTCAGACTAGCTTTCTAGAGACAAAACCGTAATCTTACTTAACATTTCTCACCTTGCAGATACTTTTGAGTTGATTCAATCTCATTTTTATTCTACTTTGCACAATCGCGGCTCCAGGGAGACTTGAAGCTTGCTCTGATTGCTCTTCCAACTCCTTTACAGCTGACTTCAGTTCTCCACAAGTCCTTTTCATATGTTTAAACGACTCGATTGATGCATTCAGACCAAGTCTAACACATTGCATTGTCAAGAAGAAACATTCGGTGGGGAATTTGACATCATCATCTTTCAGAGTGAGTTCGCTGACAAATTCCTCGACTTCTTTAAGATTATGTTTAAATCGAGTCTCCTCTCTCATATCAAGTCGACACTTGGGATGGAAGATGTAATGGTTATTTATCTTGTCCAAAGTCACCTTCTCCGACAAAAATAACATTACCGAAAGAAAATTGAGCATAAATCCATCATCAACATTGTTTTGCGCGCTCGACTAAAATAAAAAATACAAAATAAAGACACAGGAGGCTTACCTGAATCATGGTTTTTCCAGAATTTGTGACTAAAAGCCGCCCAATATATGCTAGGGCCTTCTCTCTGGTACTCGCATTCACAAGTAGTACATGGAACATCGTTTGGAGCTCTTTCTAAAAACAAAATCCACAAATGAAACTTTAACTTACTCTAACCGAGCTGATCTTCATTTGATATCCCATATAATACATAAATCGACTCTCTTCGTTGTGGGTGACATTAACCAAGGGAGCCAGCCCGCTTAAACTTACAGATGCCTAAACCAAAACAAATACAACATTTAAGATAATCTTACATCAAGATCCACGTTTACAGGGGTAACAGAGAAGTCGATGAAGGCTCCAAGGTAAGTTAATCGAGCAAATTGACGCCCCGAGAGCTTTCCATCTACGTTAAAATCGGGACGGGAACAAAGAAGATCACAAATGGGACGTTTGGCACCAATTTTGATTGAAAGCAGAGTATTTAACACAGTGTAAGGAGCCAGGATCACTTGATCGGCATCGGTTATATTCAACATGCTGGCACAGATATAAAGTAGATCTAGTATTGGATTAAACACCTGAAAATGGAAAGAATAAGATAAAATATTACAAACTAACAGTTTTCACAGCATCTCCATTTGTGTCTTGATGTAAACAATAAATAAGGAAGTTGATTAAGAAGTTCTGCGGGAAATCTTGAAGCAAAACCAGGCAAAGAGCAGTCGAAGTCATCTTCACATCGTCTCCTTGAACGGAGAATCCTCTCAATTCTTGCAGATAATTATAGAACAATCTGTCTTGAAGGCACTTCAGCAATTTCTCGGACCCTTCGTCAATATCATTTCTGGCCAACTCGTTTTGGATATGAGTGAAAACCCGGATAATATACTTGATTAGATGACCGGAGTGAACGTTATTTACAATATCAAAGGGTTCATAGCCGTAAATATCTCCATAAGATGGCTTAGGGACTTCTCTCCATTCCATGTGGAGATTAGAAAAACATTCCGTTAACAGTTCATCCAAGAAAATCTCCAATTCGTCTAAACCTCATGTATAACAAAAATTAAAGACAACGCACCAGACTCGTTTAGCAGATCGAACTGAAGCAGATCGACTTGATTTCGAAGTTTACGTATAACTTCGAGATTGGAGGTCATTTCAGGGGCAATCTCGCATCCAACTTCAATAGCTACTCCAACAGTTCTGGCCAGCAGCGAAGACAGTCTTCCACCCAAATTAACTTGCTCGTCTACATCAAATTGGCTCAAAGCCTCCTTCACAAACCTGGCAGACATCTCTGGAGTCATATTCGGCAGGCATTTGCCTGAAGAAGTGTCCATCGGTTCTTCTCCAGGCATCTAAAACAATATTGGATTTTTAAATTTGAAGTCACAACGTTAGCATTCGCGAAAAAAGCAAAGGTCATACTCAAAGTCAGCAAAATCTAAGTCCGTGTGACCTGAAATAGTTCACAAACTATCAATATGAAGAATCGCCCTCAAAAGAAAAGAAAGATCACATGAGAGAAATGGGACAATTAAAGCTCGGGACCATAAGTTAGCCAAATGGCAGTTCGACTGGACAAGATAATATTACTGACAAATCCACCTCAACTATTGACTTGCAATCAATTTTAGAAACTCGTTACAAAAAAAACGGTTTCTCGGGCGCGAGCTGCAGATTTTCGTATAAACTGTCACATTTTATTCTTTTTATTTTTCTTTTGGCCCGTGGAAAGTATAAGATAGAGGCTTAGAAGTTTTTGTTTATTCCATTTTTGATTATTTTCAATTTTTTTATTTTACTTTTTATTTTCGGTCTAGATGGGGCACGATGATGAACCTTTAAGACCAGTCTACAACCCACAACTACCACCGTGGATTGGCCGTTATACTGGTCGGGAATAGTAAGTCCGTTTTGTTCGTATTTTGCTTTTATGAACTTTTTTTAATTACTGTGTTTTAGCAAGGGCCGACTTGATTGGTGGAATGAACTTGGCTTTCATGTGGAGGATGAAATTAACAGGAAATGGGTTCCTGTTCATGAGCCAATTCGAGAACATCATAGAGATTGGTATGAGGTTTCGTTTCATGTTTTCTTTATTTCGATGCCTTGAAAGAAAATGACGATAGGGTTTATATTATTTTAGGTATGACCCAAAAGTGAAGGATGGAACATCATTGGCCAACCTTCACGGCCTGGACACCAAGTTTTATCCAGACATGGCGAAAAAGGGAGATACTCCAATTAATCAATTCAAATTTCAAGAACAAGTAATGAAGAGTTCGGCGCAATACAAACAGATTGCCGAGAAGTACAATCTGAGCCCTGAACATCCTGGAATTGCAGTATCTCCAGGCTTGAGTGCTCTCAGTTACACACCGAAGAATTTCCTTGGCTTTGAGGGAGTAGTAATGTGGCCAAAGTCGTGGCTTACTTGGGGACCTCGATTCTTTGACAAGCCGATGAATGAAGGATGTTTTGAAAAGGGAGCTGCTCTTGTCAAGTACACCGCCTTGGGAAGTGAGTTAATTGTACAATTATCGTATTCTGCTATTAGCTCTCTTTTACGCCGGAATGAAGTGGAGAAAGGTGGAGGACAAAAGTTTGGAGTACATTCGTTTCAAAGAAATTGGAAAGTTGTATCTGAAGAGTCTTCCCGTCCCATGCGCATTGGCTTTTGCTTATGGTAGCGCTATTTGCACTTCAGCGGTGCTGAGAAATACAGATGATGTTTGGAATCATGTAAATGCGGCTGTTTTCACCAGTATCTGCTTGTCAACCATCAGTAAGCAATTATATTATTTTAGACCTTTCGTTTAATACTACCGATTAATACACCATTTTTAGAAGGCGCTTGGGGGCCTGGAATTATTCTCTCTCTTCCTCTTTTGACGTTTGGCCAAGCCTGGCATTACAACCGAGTCACTCGATATGGAATTGCCGGTCCTGCCCGAAACCCGTCTTACGGTGGAATTTGGGGAACGGGAGCCAAACAACACGAAGCCCACAATATCGGTGGCCATATTGGAATCAGTCATACTCCGTATTGATCTAGGATGTTTTGGAAGGAATATAAATTAGTACATTCTGAATTCGTATTTAGCTGAAATGACTCGTTATAACGAGTAGCTATCGGAAATTACTATGGTAATTAATGTTGTTGATTAATTACCATAGTAAATAAGTATGTCGGTTGAGACGGTGTCCCCTCGAGATCATCGATTCCCTTACTGCATAGTATGGACCCCGATACCCATGATCACCTGGTTCTTCCCCTTCATTGGCCATATGGGCATTGCCGATTCTCGAGGAATCATAAGAGACTTTGCTGGAAGTTATTATGTGAGCGAGGATGATATGGGATTTGGATGGCCCACTTGTTACGTACAACTTGATCCAGCAAAGGTTGAAGGAGGCGTTACTGCCTTTGATGATGCCGTTTACCGGGCATCAGATGAATATAAAGGTCATTTTGTAAGTTAGTTGGAGTTTTTTATTTATTTTTTTTTTTCAATTTTAGCACAACCTGTTCTGCGATAATTGTCATTCCCATACTGCATTAGCCTTGAATTTGATGAATTATAACGGAAAGTCAAGCTACAACATGGTCTGGCTTTGCTTCTGGGTATTTTTCAAAGGGAAGCGAATTGGGTAAGCTAAAATCTTTTGTTATGTTATCTTTGCTGTTTAGGGTATCAGGATGGCTAAAACAATTCCTTCCGACCATTATATGCACCGCGTTCGTCGTCTTACTCATCTTCGGACTTCTGTAAATTAACTCGCTTTGTCATTATTTATCTTTTAGCTGTTACGGGTATCACTGTGTATAAAGAAAAAACTTCAGTTGTTGTATTAATTCGTTTAGTTAGCTGAATGCAGGTATTTGATAGATGACCTCGGCACACGAAAATGTTAGGGGTAAGATTGACCAACCAATTACTTTGGTTGTGAGACATTATCAGTTTTTTGCACGTTATGCCAGTGTTTGTTTTCGTGGCGAAACTCAAAATAACAAACAGCGCCAGAGAAATGAAGAAAAAAGCGGACTAAATGTGCAAAAAAGTTAGTTCCAATTGTTATATAATTTTATATTGCGCCCAGTTTCGGTTTTTTTCTCTGTAATTTTTACCAGTAAAAATTTCGGGTTTCAATTGTATTTTTTAGTGATAAAGGTTGCTGCATTTTTCATTGTTATTTTACCTGTGATTTGAATATCAATTTTTGTCTGTTTAGAAATAAGTTATTTATCTTTGAAATACCGTACTTGTAATAACAGGGGGATTCCCGTATTTTCAGATGGTTCGTCTATCCGCGGAGCTGATACACGATGCTTTCCAATATGTGAATGCCGTCAAACAGAGGGAATTGAACCTGAGGGACCTACAGATTCCTGCAATAGAGAATTTTGGGGCCACTCGAAATCAGTACGATGTTATTGATCTTACGGATAACAACATCCGGAAGTTGGAGAATTTTCCTTTCCTCAAACGTCTAGAGTCATTGCTTCTTCACAACAATAGGATTCAGTAAGTCCTTCATCTTTTACCTATTCCTGTCTTTAGGTATATTCAGAAGGATCTCCATGAGAAACTCCCTAATTTGAATACCTTGGCTTTGACCAACAACAATTTAGCTGAGCTTGGAGATATTGAACCTCTAGCGAAATGCAAGAAACTTGAGTATTTAACTCTGATGGGGAATCCGTTGACACACAAACCTCATTACAGAGCCTATGTGATATACAAGCTGAGATCAGTCCGTGTTCTTGATTTTAAAAGAATCAAATTGGCGGTAAGTTAAAGATCTATTATAATATTGTGGTTAAGGAACGACAAGCTGCTCTTCAATTGTTCAAGGGAGCTGAAGGGAAGAAGTTGCGAGAACAACTTGTTAAGAAATCCCAGCCATTACCAAATGAGAACGAACCAGTTAGAGCTCAGCCCGTTGAGAGTAATAGGACAGATGAAGAGCAAGAAAAGATCAGGCAGGCGATTCAGAACGCAAAAACGTTAGCAGAAGTTGAGCATCTGCAGAGTTTGTTGCAGCACGGAAAAGTGCCTGATCCCTCACAGTAAGTTCATTTTTATTTTGACATGTGTTTCGTCTCTAGGTTTGGTCAAGAAAACAATGGTAGCAATCCGAGTAAACCCGATGGACAAGAAGAGGAGGAAGATATGGACACAGAAGAAGACGTTCAGCCCCTCAATGAACTCCAGAATGGTCAAAACGGAGAGGTGGAGGTTCAATGAAGAACCATTGTTATTTATTTTCGGATGATCTGCATTGTTGGTATATCTATCTCTTTAAGTATTTTTTACAGTCCCTTATTAAAGTAAAGAGTTTGTTGTTGGGTCTTCTCCTGGATATGTGGTTCCACTTGATCTCTGCTTATGGTTGATGTCTGGGGGAAGAGGGCCAATGCGATCGGTAAACTGAATCCAAAACTGAGCGTGCACACGACTGCATTGACAAATAGGTGTCGGCCAGCACTTTTTTGAACAAATTTATATCTGGAAGTGATGGTTGTACAATGATTTTGATGTTATACAAACAACACATGGCTTACTTTTCGATAAAAGGCATGATACAAGGAGGTAGAAGAAGGAGTGGAATGGGGAGGAACGCTCGGGTCATGGCCGTCTCTTTTACCGCCTAAATCCGCATAAAAATGTTTTTTGTAATACCTTTTTGGCAGCTTCTCTAGAGACTCCAATTACATTACCATCAGCATCCATAACGTCGATTCCTTTTTGGATTTCCGGCATCCTCATGCATAAAACGTTTAATGTAGATGCCAAGGAGGTCGCCGGTAATGGGACAAACCGTTGAATTATTAACCTTTGAGTAGTGGTTAGGTTTTTGAACGATCTGATGACATAAGTTAATGTCGCTGAGATTGACATAGCCGCTCCGACCGCTGCTAGGTAGGCTTTCCCATAAACGGCAAACGGTTGAGGCTAAAATACGTTATTTTGTCCATTGAAAACTGGTTGATCGAAAGCTTTTGTAATATTTTTTTCCTTACATTAGAAGCATTTCGGTTGGCATAATTCACACAGGCATTGTGCGATTGATTGGCCCATTGCCAGAAGAGAATTGAGCCCCATGAAGGATTGGGAAGCAGCATTCCAGTCACCTATGACTGTTATTTATTTCTTTTATTATTCGTTTTTACCGTAATCCATCCAAAAGGTACGTATCCACTCATCCGGAAGGGCGGCAGGATCTTCTCCCCCGTATCCGGATGAAAAGTGGAGGCAACCAGCTTTGATGCTTGCCATAGCTCCTTATCCGGGACATCCGAGGCCTTTCCTTGTTTGTAATCTTCCAGTAATCTTTTGGCGTCCTCAAGTCTCTTCTATAAAACGATATTTTTAACATTAATCAAAAACTTCGGTCATTAATTTTTAGAAAAAATTAGAATCTCTCTGGTCTTTGGTTTCCGTAAAGCAAATAATTTTTTGACCTTACACTTGATGCGAACAGGGTTCTCGGGTCAATCAAGTCCACAAAATTCAAATATCTGCCTAGAAATGAGTCTGTAGGATATCTGGGAGCATCCAAACTAAATTTAGGGTAATAAAATGGACTTAAGCGTGAGTCCATGGCGGCTCCGAAAGGCCCTCTGGCTATCTCTTTAATGGTATCAGCGGGGGAAAGGGAGGGAACAGGTCGCGCCAGCTGACCCTCGAGATGGAAAAAATGGAAAAGCCAAAAAAAGGGAACTCTCTTTAATAAATATTTACAGTAAACAAAAAATTTACAGCGTTAGCAAACATGTTATGTTAGAAAATATTGTAGTAGTACCAGCAGGAAACAAAATCATGAAAAAGTATGATTAATGCAATAAATTATGCAAAATAAGGCTAATATTAGACGAGACTAACTGGGCCCTCGTCTCCAGCTAGTGAGATCGCTTGAGCAGTAAATGTGTGAAGATTGACCGGCAGAGTTTTGTCGGTTCGCGGGTTCATCTGACATTTTTGGGTGAGTTCTGCGGCCGAGACTGGTCCCATTACGATTTGAGTGAGCTTGGTGGTGAAGTCGGCGTAATTCCTTCGAAGTTCCTTCTGAAAAATCCATGTCTCTATATGCTTTTCACATGTTTTTTGAAACCTATCAAAGCATGTAATGTAATTGTTGATCTCTAAAGTTCGACTCGACGGGAAAACAATTCGTCTTTGTTCCTGATCACTCACTTGATAATCGAATTGATCTGACTGGATCAGGGTCTCGTTCTTCTGAAGCGCGTCGCTGCATTTTTTCGAAAAGTCTTTGAAACAGAGCAATAACTTATGTTGAAGTTTGTCTGCTGGTTTCCCGAACTCATTCATCTTTATATCCGATAAAAAGGTTTTGGCTAGCTGAAATTAACGACCAATCATATCCATAAATCAAGTGCAATCTCATTACTAATTGGATAAGTACTCCCTTAATGGACTAATTACTCATCAATATAACTGCTACTGTAACTGGCTAGTGTAATATATATAATTATATACTTGAATGGGTCCTTGATTTACAGTAGTTCCAATACATCCCTGAAGGACCATCTGAAGCATCTTTGGGTCCGCTGGCTGCGTGCTTGTTGCTGCATTCAGCTCTCTTGTTTTCTTTTGGACATCCTCAATCGCAACTTCAATTGGACTTAACACTTTTTGTTCTCGATCTATCACTCTAACTCTTGTTTTCATGTAAGGGAAACTGGATTGAGTAGTGAGTACTGTCTTCCTCTTGAACTGATCCTTTAGTTCTCCGTGTGCTTTTCCATCTCGAGTAAATGGAGTTGCGTAACAGAACCTATTGATATCATAATTCCTCTTTAGATGGGTAGATCTTCTTCTCTTCTCCCAGATATCAAAGTAGGGCTCCACATAAGTGATTTGAACATAGGCTTTGGATTCATCCAGTCTTCTCAGATCCACATCGTTCGAATCTTTGATCACTTCCAGATTTCCAATTCCAAATTGGGAAGTGTAGAACTGCTCGAGGCGATGAGAAACCTCGGACAGTTTGGTAATCGAGGGCTCTTTGTAGATGAACTCTTCTCCATTCAGATCCACAAACTTCTCACCATAAAATCCGACTCTAAAATACGTTCCAAAACATCGTTTATCGGTTCCAGCCAAGGGCGAGAGAAAAGCGTCGGCTTGTTCTTCTTGGTACAGATTGGATTCTTCGATTTTGCTAAGATTCTCGCTAATTCTCAGATGGACCGCAGCGATCTTTTGGACGGAATAGAGACGAGAAATTACTGGGGTCATGATCTAAACATATGATATTAAAAACACATTTTCTGAAAGACGCTAACTGTGACGAATACCATAAAATATTGCTACACACCTCATAAAGCTTCTGGACATGCTCATACATATTGGCCCGCTCCATGAAATCGATTGTTTTCTCCACCAAATGGAGGAATCCGGCTTCTGTGAAATGGGAACTCTCACAGATTCCTTCTTCATCAGGACTTATCACGTCATCCGAAGTGGCGCTCTCTTCTTCGATGTTCGATGACAAGGCCATGAACTCAGATGCACCTCCAGGAAGTCCTTTTCCTTTCATCGACAAGTACTCATTAACCAATGCTGCACAGTGCAGCATGCATTGGGCCGCTTCTGCTTGATTCCCTCGATCAGAATGCTGATTGGCTACATTGATGAGCCAAGTCAGTCTAAAATTGTCTAACCATCCAATTTTCATTACCTTAAATCTGGGTTGTGCTGATATCCTTTCGCAATTCGATACATCAAATCGATGAGCATTTCAAAGTCATTGGAATAGTTCTTCATTTGGACTGTATCCGTCAAAATCATGTGCAAATTGAAGACCAAATCTCGTACCTACAATCTCCATTATATTATCCATGACAATTCCTACCTGAATTCCAAAAGAAGTGTCCTTCAGCGGCTTTCCTGATTGTAAATCATGATTCAAATATCCTAATAACGTCTTTAGAGATCTTCTGAGATAATCTTCATTCAAATGGACACCCGAACTAGCAGTACTTGAGACCAACGTTGATATTGCCATTGTAATTTGCATTTTCACCTTCGGGAAATTGAGGAATCCTTCGAAACTCTGTCTCATCAGGAGATAGAGACTGGCGGCAGCTTGTGATCGCGTAATTGGTGACTTGGAGGCAAGATGATGTAATAATTTTAGGCATAAATCAGCACATAACTGGGAGTGATGTTCGAATAAAAGTTGGGGAAATCGGGCGACAAATGCTCGTTGAACTTTGAAGATGGCACTGATGGTGTTGCTGGTGTGGCTACACGACAGTAGATGCATCTAAAATCACAATAATAAAAAAGTTAAAAAATGATGACTTAAAATAATATTTCTTACCAAAAGTTGGATCAATTTTGGCAACAAGAACAAGAAGTGCTCGGCAGCGGGGCTCTCGACCACTTTGACCACCTTTCTGACCGTATCTAACACAATCAACGTCATTTCCGATGTAATCTCTCGTTCGTATAAGAAATCATATTCCCCATCCAGTGATCTTGCATCTTTTTCATCGCCAAATTTGGGAAAAGAATCAGATTTATGCTGCCTCCATTTTATATTAACTGTTCCGGATTCCGATTGCGCAGAAGGTTTCCTGAATATATTATTCTCGAGGATCTCTTTGTTCTTGTATTCAAAGTTGGAGACACAGAGAGAAAGAAGTTCGATGAAGAGTTGCATTTGTTGGATGGAGAGATGCTGGAGGTAATGGACGAGGATCGAGGAGTCCACGTTCTTCAGCACCCATCCAAAACATACCAGCAGCTAAAAAAAGAACCATATATCAAATACTCAAATTTCCAAAGAAAAATTAAATTCTCCTTACCTTTACTGTATGCTCCTGAGACAAAGTTGAGTTCTTATTCTGTTTTAGCAACTCCGGTATACCCGCTACAGCATTATGTTCAATTGGTATCTTATCCAGGGCCAGAGATGACGTCAGTTTTTGATGACTTTTAGATTCTTTCATGGTAATCATCTCTCTCTTGGATGGATCAAAAAGCAGCCTTTTTATATCCAAAAGAACATTCATCAAGGGCAAATATAAGGCGGCTACTTTGCTTTGGAGATTCTGATTCTGTGGAGACAAGCGGCCGTCCATTTCATGGGTCAGAAGGAGGGAACATAATGTCTGGATTACTCTAAAACAACATCAATATAATAAAATCATATCTAAAAATCAACTCAAAAATAATCACTCACTTTGACTGTAAAAATGTGTTTGAAGAGTAGAGTACTGTAGACATGTCATCAAAAAATACAGCCAACAAGTAATGCTGAGATCGGTACATCGAACTGAGATGGGAGATACTTTCATAGGACATGGAATGACTAGAGAGGCTGGACGATCCACTTGGACTGGGGGGAGCCTGTGGAATATAATTTGGAATCTGCCCTGAGGCTGAGTTTGATAAAGTCAAGGAGAAAAAAGTCGATTTCGATGGTAAATTAACATCAAATGGCAAGTTTAAGATCATGAAATGCTCGTGGGAACAGATAATTTGCATAAATGAAAGCTTCAAAGTCATTAAAGTTGTCTCCAGAGGATCCGTGGACTCAGAAACGTTATCCATCATCACTTTGTTGTAAGTTTTGATCAAATTCATGGCAAAACTTCTGTCTAGCAAACAGAAGCAGTTGGAAACAAAGTCAGCGAGGGCTTTGTTGATGTTCTTGGCCTGCATCATGTTCTTCGACGCTCTTCTGATCGTCTCTTCTGTTAGAATTGTCACCATTTCTGACAACGAATTCAAAAATTCTGGGCGGAATCGGAGTTTTCTGGGGAGAATAAATCGATCCCATGTGGAAAGATATTCCACACATGACTTTACCTAAAAACACAACAAATTATTTTATATGTTAATTTTACATTAAAATAATATCAAAATTAAACCCACAATCAATCCAGTGAAGAACCACGCATAAGTGCAAGCCGCATCTTTAAGAACAGAGCTCATATGAACAAAAAGATTGGTCAACTCTTCGTGGAACAGCTTCTTTGATCCATCCAAGGCATCATCAGCACTTGTCAGCACTTTCGTCGAAACATTTTGCTCATAAGTTTCTAAAATTAATACTCATACTCATTATACTACTGCTTACTAATCAAATTGATGAGATCAGCGCTTTCTCTGTGACTTTTACTGGGAGATTCGGGATTAATTTGTTGTTGAATCAAGACTTCATTCGAAGAGATCCGATGGAAATTTAAATATTGTTTTAGAAGACGGCCTCTTCCTTCTTTATCCACGTCGTTGTCAAACAAAACTGTGGAGAGCTTCACTAACTGACAAATGATTTCGAAACAAGTCTCACTCAATTTGGCTGAAAGAAAAGATAAAAAATTATATTAAAGGATCAAGCATAATGTCCGATCAATTAATTCTCTTTAGTTAAATATTACACAACAAAATACTTACTCGAGAATGGCGGGCATGAAATCAGTGCTATCAGCTTGTCAAATATCGTATACAGATACGAACAAAGCGCTTCCGGAGAAGCCTTGGCCAAATTTCTGATGACAATTTGGAATTCACTCTCTGTAAACTTAATCTTCGACTCTGGGCTCTTTAAAGCACTGAAAGATCTGAAGAACTCCGTGATGTATTGATCCTGGGAATGCACAGTAGACACTGGTTGGAGGACGACATTGAAAAGGGATTTATGATTATCCAACCATTTGATATTGGGAACATTTAGATGTGGAGAGACATAGCCAATGCTCTTGGGAAGGGGTTCAAGGGATATTGGGAGATTCAGATCGCCTGATTCAATGTCTCCTTTTTGGAAGAGAGGGTACCACTAAAAATTTTATATTAATTATGGCTAATGTAATCCAGTTATTTTATAGTAGACAATAAAATAATATTCAAGATACGCATAACGGCTTACCGTATATCCGATGGGTGTTTCGGTTTGTTCATTCGCTTTACCTCCTTTACAAGATATATGTACAAATGTGAACATCAAATGGTATCCATCATCGATATTCACAGGGATTTCACATTTAATCTCATCAAAGAATTGTGGTGTCCTAAGGCAAACATTACACCTCCCAATAATGAGACTTACTTGTTATGATAACTGACACTTGTGTAGATCTTGCTGAGCATTTTCGGGCCTGACGATTTTCCAAAGAATACCTTTTGAGGTCTCTGATCAGCATCTAATAACTCGATTTTGATCGCAATGTTCCTCGCATTTCCCGATCGGTTGGAGAAGTTTACAAATTTCGGGTGAATGTAGAGAAGATTTCTGTAATTAAAGCATATTAATCTAAAAGTCACTTCCATACCGATAAAAGGAATGGACAGAAAAGGTTTGAAGCTTGGGAAAGGAGAGGATAACTTGGGATCGATCACTCTCCTCTTGGCTCTTGTCTTCTTTTACAGTACAAAGTTCGGGCGATTGGATGTTGGGACACTCGAGGAACTCCTTTTTGGTAATCTCGAGTCGAAAGTCAACTGGGAATGTCTTCAATTTCACTGATTTTCCGGCTTGTTTATCAGCCAATGCCTTCAGAATCTCTTCATCGGAAACTCTTTCTCCTTCATGTCTGTACATCGACTTGACCCTTAATTTTATTCCATTTGCAATTCGATTAAAGGAATCTGTATCTTCTTCCAGATCGATTGAAGTCCCTTTTGGTTGCACTGTATCGATGGTTGAATTGGAAACTCGATCTGAACAAGTATAACATAAAATAAATCAAGTTTAAGGTCTTAGAGATTATTTTAACTTACCCGCGCTAACCACACTTTCAGTGTCAGTTCTGGCCAAGGAAATTTCATCATGATGTTTCAGAGTGACCTCATGCTCCTTGTTTTTATCATTCACCGCATTCTTCAGCTCCACATAAGTCCATCCAAGCAGCATTCTGTAAGATCCAAGGCGATCACAGTACTCTCGAGCATTTTGATTCATCTTTTCTTTCGTCTTTTCCTTATTTATATAAGGTTCGATGACTTCAGAGGGATCAGCAGCTTGTAGCACCTTCTCCAGCCTGATAACCAAGAACACGTTCTCTCTAAATTCATCGTAGGAAAAGAGTCCTTCTTTGATCTTAACAACATCTCCATCCGGGCCCATATGCGCTCTGATTAAGCCAAGGATTTCACGAGAATTGAAGTCGAAGTAGAAGTTTTCCGTTAATTTTGTCCTGGTTTTTATGTCATACAAGGCGGCCACTCCAAAGATAGGTTCAAAATAAGGTGAGATTTCGAAGGAGTTGATCTTGACACTCAAATAATGAGAGGGCAACACGTTGGGGATGGTCAACTCCTCATTGTTGAAAGGGATATCCGAGTCAAATGGCAGGTAAGTGACCAGTTTCTCTCTTCTTTGTAATCGAGGCTGAGTGTCCAAGAAAAAGGCAGAAGAATCCTCGAAAATAACAGAAAGATCGATCTGATCTGAGTTGCATCCACTCAATTTCTGATCTTGAAGAATCGAGAATTCGGATGAGGCTGAAGTCCTCTTCATATCTGCCGGACATCCAATCTGACTGACACTTCTGACTGGTTTATCTGCACCTTCTTCATCAAAACAACAGGCTGAACGTTCTCTCAAATCTTTCAGCCGTTCCAAAGCTTTTTGTGTCGAATACTGTATAAAATTCCGTTGTATAATGGAGTAATTGTTCTCGTAGCTGAGAATGAAATCACGGATATGAGGCTCCACTTTATTCCTGCAAAATTTTCAATTATTTTTTCCTTGAATATCCAATAATTTTCAACTAAAGCATCCGCCATAAAAAATCATTGATTACTTTTTGAGCAGATCATCGGAGCTGTATTCGAACGGCTTTTGGCGCTGAACGTTATTCAAGCAGATGTCTTTTTCGCTATAATCGACGATTCTGAAATTTGAAACGTATAAAGTAACGAAAAATAATGATCAACCTGTGAATTCGGCCATTTTCGTCTTTTATCTCAAGTCTTCGGACAGCTCGGGAGTTGAGGATCTCCTCAAGGTCCAATAAACTGAAGTCCTCGGCCTGACTCATCTGCAAATTGACTAGAAATATTAATATAAACAGACCTGAAACGACATTCCCAGCAGATTGTTGAAAAGAAAAAGACAAATCACATATCTTTACAGCATGTAAGCTACCTTATGAAAATTCAATAGCTCGATGTCTTTTACACTGGATCCAGTGGAATAATTCATTTTTTATTTTCTTTACTATAATATTCTGCATAATGCGTCATTGCGCCATGTGTAACATGAGTCTTATGAGCGAGTTCGATCATACTATTAGGTTTTCAAGTCGTTCTAAAGTAATCTTGGTCAAATCACACCCAGATCACGCTAAAATGGAGAAGTTAGAAGGCTGTAATGACGGATTTTCTGGACGCAAGTAGAGGTCCTGCAACGAAGACATTTTCTGGCATTCTGCTCTTTATTTTATCGGCCGCTAGAATTATAATTTATGTTGATCGCTTGTTTTCTTTTTTGGGGTTTTGGGTCAATAGGAGCTTATATAATACCATGCCGCTGATCCCTTCCACTGTGTTTGAGTCTCTCAGCAGAAATTCCGAGAATCTTCTCAAAATGGCATCGTCTGATCTTGGTAATCTTTGTTTTTCTTTTTTAATTACTTTTTTAGACGTCTATCCATCAAAGAAATTGGAGGCGCTGAACCTCCAGGCCCCCGAAGGGTTTATCGTGCGTCCATTGAAATTAGCTGATTTTGAGAACGGGTATGATTATCTTCTCCGTGTCTATTCTCTGTCTTCAGTTATCTGGAATTACTCGCTCAACTTACTGAGGTTGGGGATGTCTCGGTTGATGAATTCAAACATAGATTCTTGTGTATGGCTTTTTCTAATCCCCAAGCTTACTTTATAACTGTGATTGAAGATGAAAAGTGAGTTAACATTATTTTCGTTTATGTTCTGTCTCTAGGACCAAGAAGATCGTGGCCTCAGTGTCTTTGGTCTTCGAATGGAAGTTCATTCACAAAGTTGGGACTCGAGGCCGTATTGAAGATGTCGTTGTGGACAAAGAGTACCGCGGCAAAGGATTCGCCAAGCTTTTGAATGAATTGGCGGTCCAGTTGGCCAAAAACGAAGGCGTCTACAAACTTTCCCTTGAATGCACTGATGAGTTGATCCCCTTCTATGAAAAATTCGGTTACAAAAAAGACGTCAACTTCCTTGTTCTTCGTTTTTAACTTTGCACTTTTCCATCTTTCTACATTTCGCGTGCTCTACCGTCTATTTGTTTCTTGTGATATACAAAATTATAATCAATAAACGTATTTAGATGCCGTTGGCTCCATTTAGTCAGAGAATTGCCAATGATTTGACCTTGTTCAAGCTCGATCCCCAATGGCCAAAACATCAAATGCCTGTTGTGAGTTGTTGTGAGATAAAGTTTACATTATCGATGACATCTGCTTTAGGTGGTATTTTCAGGACTCAGTTAGAATTCCCCCTCAAATGATTCCCGACCAGGATGCAGAGTTCAATCTTTTGATTCAAGAGAACGAACTCTGGCAGGAGAACCGCCCTTCCGCTTTTTGTTTCGACCACGCGCATTCCTCATAATGTTATTGTAATTTATTTGAATAAACGTGTACATTTTAGATATGGGTAATGAACAAAGTCACGGTGGTGAGGCTCCAGCCGGCGTCAGCTCCACATTTTCCTTCCTCTCGAGAAGAAGTTGGTTAAATTTAGTTGTTTGTATCTTGTTTAAGGAGGTTCGATACATAAGCATTCACCGATCGTGGTCGTGAATTCCATGGGACATCCGGTTGGGGATCCCAAGGACGATGAAGATCTAAAGAAACTTAAGGTAGAGTTTGCTTGGAGTTTTGCGGCTAGAGTCGTCAACAAAAACATACTGGACAAAAATATTTTTTGTTGTAGGAGATCCCTCGCTTTAACCCATTGCTTCTCGGTGTTCTTCCTGGCCAAAGAGACTCCCCGAGCATCTTCAATAAAGTGGATCCCAAGTATATTGCGCGATTTGTTCACCGGTTACAACAACATTTCTCTGCATGTCATAAAGCCGTCAGTTCCAACCAGACTCAACTTATAAATGAGATCACTAATGTAAGAAAAAGCTTTTTTTGCGAGTTGATTTATATCTAAAGCATGCTACACCCGCACAATTGGAGCTTCTACATTTTTTTAGGCCGACCAGAAGACGTCCGCCCTCCTTCGGCGAGTCTCACTTTGTTCCAAAAAGTACGAATCTTTTACAAACGATCTGAAAAGAGTGGAATTGTTGGACAATCAGCTGAATGATGTGCAACGACAACTAAATGACCTTCTCACAGGAATGCAATCGTTAAACTTGCTGCTCAAGGAGAGTGATCGCCTGCCGGAACTGCCGCTTCTCGCCAATGATAAGCCAAGTTGGAATCAGTTGCCCTAACAATAAGGGTTGATCTCATGTACATTACTGTAAATCTACCGGATAAATCTTTATTGTGCGTTTTGTAATCCTTAGTATTCGTTAAAATCGAAGGTTGTAATATTGCATAGAACATGATTACAGTACAAAAATGTGTTACAGTAATAATTTACGTTACAGTAGTCCGCACAGTATCCATGCAGCGCACGAATGACTTTTATTTTATTCGACCGGACGTACCGTATAACCGGTTGGCGGGCATCGACTCCCAAGATTTGATCCCTTTGGTAAACGAGTACATTCTCCGAACATCGGACCTTTTGAATTCGTTTCTCCACAAATTCCAACAAAAAATCGACCGGATAGAACAAAGAATGACTTCAATTGAGGTCATGATCCAATTGCTGGAAAAGAAGGTAGACTTTTGGAGGTGTGATTGGGATGATTTATATAGTTGTTCGGGTTAATCCATCAGTTTTTCGAGATCAGGATGTTTATATTACCACTTGCTTCTGCCCTTTTCTCTGGTTATTAATAGTCTCACGCTCTCTCCGTTTCAGCTGGAGAAAGTTTCGGTGAAAGGAAACCGACCCCAAATTAAACCGAATACCGGTTCCTCCAACGCGGAAGAGCAGCAATTAACACCGGACTTTCCTACAACTTCTGATGACATAAAAGATGATGACACAGACGTCGTGAATGAAGAGCAGCCATCAACGGAGGGCATGATCAAGATAAAGGACCATCCCCTATACAGCAAATACTTCAAAATGTTGAGGGTCGTGAGTCCATTACATTATACTTTATGTTTCCGATTTACTGTATCAGATGTGTTCCTCCCGAAAACGGGGTTAATTACCCATCAATTACTGATTTTCCGCGTTCAATTATACTTTCGCCGTTTAAGGGCATACCCGAGCTTGCGGTGGTTCAGAAAATGGCATCCGAAGGCATCAACGGAGACTTCCTTTCCACACCCGACAAATTAATACCGCTAGAGTAATGTAAAGTTTATTATTGAATAAATTATATTAATTACGACAACCAACTCGGCGACAGGACAAGTGACGCCACAATCAGTTTACTCTCAATCAACGGCGAAGCCGCATACGGCGACAAAACCAATGCGAAGAGTGCCTGAGGCGAAAGAATTAAGGGAGACAGGACGAAAGGCGAAAGAACCAGCGGAGATCCAACCATAGGGTTAAGAATAAGAGGATTGAGAACCAAAGGAGACAGAATAATGGGCGTGAACACTTGGGGAGACAAAATGAGGGGAGATAACACCAATGGAGTCAAGATAAGGGGATTGAAAACACCCGGACATAAGATCAACGGATGCAAAACGAGAGGAGAAAGAATCAGGGGCGAGAAGATCATGGGTGTCAAGATCAGAGGGGATAAGACACGAGGACTGAGGATCAGTGGGATGAACACCCAAGGCGACAGAATAATGGGACCCAACACGGCCGGCGACAGAATAATCGGCGACAAGACGAGAGGCGACAAAACGACGAAGGTATTCAAGGCTGGCGTGGCAAGGATCAGAGGTGACAACACGATTGGAGAGAGGGCAATATCCTTCTGTTTGTTCTCGAATTTCTCCATCTGAGTGATCAGCTCGATGTCCTTTTCCATTCTACTCAAGATGTGAGATTTACTCATATTGGTCAGTTTATGGTAGCTCTCGGTGTGGTTGTAAGGAGAGTCGGGACCATACAAATGTCGAAGTTGGTCTTTGTTCAGAATCGAGAATCCTGTCGTATTCATTTCTTTGAGCTAAAATTTTATTGGCAATGATTTTGAACTTTTTTATATTGTAGTAGACAATAGCACGATTAGTTTATGAAGACGTAAATCACTTACTTGTTGCTTCGTATATGACTTGGAGAGCTCTTCAAAGGTCTCTACCTTCCGTTTCTCATAGTCTCCGTACATATCGGTCACATTTTTCTTGGTGAAATAGAGTGGTTGTCCATCTTTTCCTCTGACCTCCTTCTCGTAATCCTCAATTGATTTGACTTTACTGATGTCTTCGGTCTCCTGCAAAACAAACATCATTTCAATACAGTAAAATGATTTGTGTAACTTTGTCTAATCGAATTAGCGTACTTGGTCCAATTTCTCAGCCTGATCGCTGACTCCAGCTGCTTCCACAATAAAGTTCAGCCATTCCTGTTGATCTCTGCCATTGAATCCTTTGACAAGAGTGGGCAAACTTGTTAAATTTTCAGTTCCTGAGCCCTCATTGTGAAGACTGAGCAACGATGGGGACAAAATGTTGACCTAAAGTAATTTAAACTTACAAAACGGTCATTAAAATTTTGAAAAAAAACGAATAGGACTGCAGTCACCAACTTACAGTGGAATTTCCATCTGCATCCTGTTCTGGAGTGACCGAGAAGAACCTTGGAGATATTAAACTCAAAGTTTTTTCATCCAAATCGGAGGAGTTTTGGCCGGCCAATGAGAATCCCAACTTGACACCCTCTCTCACCAGATTGGTCATCCGTCCCACTGGATCTGCCATCATCTTGAATTTCTTGTCTCGGATCATTTTCTTCATTTCATCAGGCTTCTCGATCATGCCCTCCAATTCGTTGGCCATACTGTGCTTTTGGCCGAGATTTCTGAAGGCCAATTGCTGCAGATTCTCAAAGTCCCCCTTCTCTTGGCGTTCGGCAAAGGCCTTTCTGGCGGCCTTCCGCTTATGGGCACTTAGACGAACTTTTTCGACGGCCATTTGCCATCTGAAAAGGAGATGGATTGTAATGTCATCATGTAGTTAAAAATTGATGATAAATCGAGAAAATGTGAACCTAATAAATTCTACATAATTTTTGATTTTGTTACGCCATGAAATATGTAAAAAAATAAAAAAATAAAGAACAAAACAATAAACATCATTTCTGATTCCAAAGAAGTGGATAAGGCTTACGATTCGGGCTCAGTCTTGTTCTTTTGGCCAGAAACAGCTTGATTAAGGACCTTGGCCACAGCTCCGAACGCGGTCATGCCATCATTCTTTGTTTTCAGGCCATATCTTTCAGCTTTGGCCACACTCCTCCTGATCCGAATCCCTCCCACCCATTCTCCCTCCTTCTTCCGCTCTGTTACGGTATCCTTTTCGAGTTTCTTTTTGCGCAAAGCCGCGACCCGACTTTGTTTCCGTTTGTCTGAAAAGATATCAGATAAACATACGGTATATTCTGCGGCGATCTCATCCGTCACCGGAGCTTAAGGAACCTGCCGGACTGATGTCTTTCCTTATGAACTTCTTACCTCTCTGATCCAAAACTTTCTTTACGCATCGAGCATGCTTAATCACAGTGTCGGCGGCTTTGGAACACTCTTCTAAGTGGACTTGTTCAAGGTCGGACAGATGGTGCATACTGTAATTGGAGGTGAAAAGATCATAAAACGTTCTGCATAAGAATTTTTGCAGGAAATCATGAGACCAGATATTATTTTGTTTTGCAATCTTGGATTAATTGCATTTATTGTGAAAAGTATTTTTTTTAAGGAAAAGCAAATCAATCATGTGAAAATCAGAAGAAAAAACCGAAAACAAAGGAAACGTTTGTCGCAAAAATCATGTCGACCGATATCAAATATATCAATCAACGAAAAAGGTTTCAAAAAATTAAAATCTTACTTCCTGGTAGCCACAGCGGCCAGTAAACTACTAAAGGCCTGGTCCGTCCACCTCTGGTACATGTCGTGACCGGATTCGGTGCTCATCTCAATCTCCGCCACCGTCCCTTTGTTCTTATATTTGACCGGGACATCGTTTATACTCGCATAAGCCACTAAAAGTTTTAATGTAATCAAAAAAGAAGAAGCAAAGGATGACTAAAAGAGGGCCAAAGTTACCTCCAATTAGCAGCAGAATGTACAAAAAGAAGAGCCTCATACTCGGCGTCGCCGTCGTTGCAAGCCGGCAGACGTCTGACGAGGAAGTGCACCGTGGTCGGTGTTTTTAACAACCCTGGTATACTTGAAACATTTGACGGCGCAAATCCAGAAGGCGGGTTTTTATCAGGGGCGGATTGTGATCCATCCGGAGAGAGATGAAAATGAGACATGGGCGTCGAGATATGCGATGTAGCGAGCGGCCTCTGAAACGCGTACATTTCATACGCGTTGGGCGTAGCCAATGTACAATTAGATTGGCGGGAGAAAAGTGAAGATCATCGATTACATTAAACTACGAGGAAACGAAGGAGCATATAAATTACGGGGAGATCAGACTCCGAGGGAGCCTTTTGGGATAAGCGTCACAACCAAAATCAATGTGAAATACATCAAATTTTTCAGTGGTGGAATAGAAAAGTGCTTTGTAGCGATCACTCTGTGTCTAGTCTACTATAATAAAATCATTAAGGGTCCTTCCGTTCAAATCCATCTTGATCTCTTCTAACCTACACTTTCTTCGCTAAGAGCTTGTGTTTGCGTTTCAGAGTTTGTGTTAGCTGATCCCATCAACAGAGCATACTACAACATTCCAATTTCATCAAAGCTTAACCCGAAATGATAACGCACCAACATATGCAAAAAATAAAAAAATGTTGCAACTGGTATCCACAAACAGGAACGATGCACTTCGACGGGTTTCAGACGGAGGGAGCGCAGCTAAAGGGCATGGGGATCGATTCCCGGCGATACGGTGTCTGTCCGGTCTTGAATGCGCGCGATATATTAATTCACACGTAGCAGCCGAATGTTAACGTCACACCGGAGAAGCGCGGGCCCCTTGCACACGCCAGTCAAGTCCATTCCCATCAATCAATCATTCAATCTCATCGTTACGAGTGATTTGCAACCCGTTTCACCCAATCGATTGTGACATTTCGTTCACCCAAAATGGCGCCAAGAAAATCACAAAAATAATAATTTTTTGAGGTGGATTTGTTTCATAAAACAACATCTCGTCGAGCCGGCAGCATGTTGTCGCCGAATCCATCGCCTAAGACATTCCCCTATCAGTCCAGGCAACAAAGTAATGCCCATTTGTGTTATACTTGACATTTGAATTTAGGTCCATACGAAAATAGGTTCACTCCATTGAATGGAAGGTCGCCGTTGGAAAGGAGAAGTCCGTTGGACGCTCGAATCCCTTCACCGCAAAATTCTTTGTTGTCTCCAAGGCCAGATTATGGACTAACTCAATATTATGATCCAGATGAAGGGCCCTGTGAACTGGCTTATTCAAGTCCTGTGAGGCCGGTGAAACGTTTCGAAATTCAACCCTGGTTTGAGCAGCTTGTAAGTGGCTCTTTTCTGTAGCATTTTAACTTCATATACCTTTCGTATGTGAATTATATTGTTTAGGTTCGAAATAAATTCTTTTGGGCATCTGCAGCAGCGGCCCTGGCAGCAGCTCCAATTTTTCTCTTACTGGTACTCATTGTCCAATCCAGCGTCCTTTCACCTTTCACATCCGTATTTAGTAAGTTAATTTATGATTTGTCTTATGCTTTTAGATACATTATTGTTATTCCTTCAATTGGACTTCTATCTTTCCCTCATTTTGGCATGTGCAACAGTTTTCGTCTTCTCGCAAATCGTCTGTCGCCATTGTTTTGGAAGTAAGTTTGTTTATCTTTTCTATTTCTATTGGATTTAGTGTTATTTGAGCAGAACTATGATGTTACCAAAGAAGTCCCATTGATTGCTTGTTCGTTGACAATTGTTATCACCGTTCTCTTCTGGGTTTATACTAGCTGTGCTGCTCTGGAATCCACCGTTCTCACTGCCAGCGGGTACGATTTTTTATAGTAATTTTTGATTTTGTTGTTTTAGATCAATTTACGTGTTCTTTTGGGCATTGACCTTATTCGCGTCTTTTAACACCGCGTTCTCAGCCAATTTCCGATGGGAATTTGTCAATGTAGGTGCAAAATTTTTTTATTTTTTTTGTCTATGTCAAGCGTAATGTTTATTTTCAGGAGACTCCATTGAACTATTTCCGAGCCATCCTACCTGATCTACTTTATTATACGGTTATTGACACTGTACGGAATGCTGCGAGATCCCTTGTGTTCACAGTATTATTGTCTCCCCTCTTTTCTTTCACTCGATCCAGCTTCTTTGATCTGATTCTGAGAGCCGGTTTGATGATCAATCACTTTGCTGTTGTTCTGGCAGGTATCGTAGCGGTCAGATTCTCATTCGAATTGCTTAATGCCATCGTAATGCAGCCATTGAATCTTCCAATGCCAACTTCCACAACTTTTTTGAGCGATGAAACTGAGAAAACTCAGAAGAATGTGCTAAACGCGATCTCATCGGCCAATTTGTTGCTAAGGGTAAGTAGTGTTGAGGCGTTGATATCAAGATTGATTTAGATCTTTGGTTTCCAAGCCCTCTATGATCTCTCGATGCGATCCGAACAAGGCCGAGCATTAATTTATTCGATCAGTCAACCAGCCGGAAAGCCTAGAAATTGGATGGCTGTGAGGGATGCCTGTATGGAATCCATTGAATACATCCATGAATTATTGGCCCAAAAAGTTGGCAAGATCGAGACCAGGCCTGGATTCGAAAAACAAAAGAAGTTGACACAACTTGGGCCAAGTGTGAGGTCGGCCATGACACCTACGGTAAGACCATTGGCTGCCAGAGCTCTCTCGGGAACGGCGACGGACCTCAACGAAGAAAAAAGATTACAATTCACTTCTCCCAGCAAAGCCAGACTATTGTTGCCACCCAATGTAAACCCCAGACATTTCGGTAAGCTTTTTATATTGCTTTTGGAATATGGGAGAATAAAACAGAAATTTTGAAGTATTTCCTTTGCAAAATATAGGTGAAATCTGTTAAAGAATTTTTTTTAAAAACGTAAGCAAAGCGTGTAAGCGGCATACCGTATTCCTGCCGGCGCTGGAATTTAAAAAAATATGGTAGCGCTCCACTTTTACTTTTTTTGCCGTCTGGATTACAGTAATCTTGAGCGGATAACCGGTTGTAATCAATCTTCTCAAATGTTTCAACTATTTTTTGGCGCATTAAGTGAAAACGAAATTGATGGCTAAAAAGGATTTGAAAAGTAGCTGAACTTACTCAAAACTTAGTCAGATCCACACGTAATAGTGTCTGGGGTAGTCTGTCTCAGACTTGTTACAATTAATTGGGTGGTTGCATTTGGAGCACACTTCTTTAAACTTATCGAAGACATTAAAACGGGTCATTTGGGGCATCCGCTGGCTTTTTTCACGTAATTTATTCGATTGGACGGAAGCTGAAGGAATGAATCGACTTTTACTACTCAATAATTGAGATTTATAGCTATTGTCGGGAGTAAGATTGATCCCCATTTTTAATCGCGTTAACCTTTAATAGTTATATGATGGGGTTGAAAGTTTTGAAAATGTCGGATGATTTTCTTGGGGAACAAAGTTCGGTTATGCCGACTGGCGATTGATTGTTATCCACTTCTCTGACCAATCGTTGGCTTTTTTAAATGGAAATGGCAAGAGAAGCGTCTGATCTGCCTAAAACCGTCATAAATAGCATGCCAAAAGATTGCAGTAATGATATCCGGATATGGTTAGTCCAAGTGTTGGAGTTGTCCTCGGCAAATAGGACACCATGGCCTACCATTTTTGTATGATTGGGGTGCTAATTCAATTTCTCGAATAGCCATTGAGGTGAGCTTTAGGCCAATCAAACCCTTGGGCTAGCGTTTCCACTTGAAATAGCCGTGGTTTTCGACGGTGGATTAATCGATGTTTGCGGTTCATAATAGGTTGGAATCGTGATAAAATAGTTATGTAATTTGTGCTGAAATTTAACGGAACTGCTTTTAGAAGCTCCAAAACAAAAAGCGAGGACGTTTTCATTATCCTTGAGCAGCTTCCCACTTCTCAACAAATGGATCAACTTGTTCAAAGACAACCTTCTCAAACCAGCACCAGCCATCCAAACGTATTACCTGATCCAGGCTGAGTATGCCATCAATTGTTTGTCGGTTTTGACTGCGAATTCGATCAAGGAAGACCGATTTGGAATTGTGCAAAAGGATTTGGCACCGATCTTCTCCATCCTGCTGCGTTTGGAATTGGCCATCGATTTGTACATCAGATCCACCAGTGTAGGTTTAGTGTATACTTTAAGTTAAACGTAGAATTGAAGGATCTACTGTAGACGCCCTTTTATCAAAAGCGTGAAAGAATTTTTCTTGTTTACTTTCGGGATAATATTTTTTAAATATTCGTGGTGAAAGACTATTTCACACCGTCATGGCTGATAAGAATTGTTGTAATCGTTGACTTTTAGAACCGTAAAGAGGATGTGATGATCAGACCCAACCTGAGTCGACTCGAGGATGTCCTGATGGACTCGATCAAACGTCTTTACATCACGTACAATGATCACATTGATAGTCTTGAGCTGGCCCCATCTGAAAGAGATCTTCTCAATATCCTCTCGTCCAACTTCTAGATGATTAATTTGGTTTATTTAATTGTTAATGTTACTCTATCTCTAATGTAATGTCCAATTGTTCTCATCCTTTGTTTGTAATACCATCTCTTTTATAATGTCATCGCGAAGTCTCCCTCTTGCTCTCCAAACCTCTTTGGATGACATAATTTGAACACAAACAGAATCTATTATGCATGAAATTGTTGTTGATCCCTTCTTTCTGCCTCCATCATCTTGTTTTATGAATAAAACGAAGCCCCTTGCCTGGAGACAAAGCTGATTCCTCGGGGTCGGAGTTAATTCGGTTTCGAAGGTGGATGCCAGTGAAGTGTCCGAACCGTCTTCGGCCCCACTCTCGAGACATCGGCGTCACTTTCAGGCCCCTCCATCCTCCCGAAGCCCTTCTCCCAATTTGTTTTCATCAATTCCAGAAGTTGTTCATGTGGAATTTGTTGGTCCTTTCCTATGTTCTTATGAGGAGATGATGAAGAGAACCAGTTAGTAGAATGTGCCGGCTTTGTTGTGTTGGAAATGGAGTAATTCCGGGAAAAGGATGATTAGAAACTGAAAGTTACTCCGAAAAGTTTGAGTTGTTGGCAAAAAGAAATTTCTTGAGCATTTTCAATATTTTTACGGTCTACGGCATCATTTTCTAGATGCTTTGTATAGTAATTTTATTGTTCGCATTAGTCTTAGTAATTTTGGAATGAATTCATAAAGCAACTTTAGTAAGATTTATATTGTAGTGGGTCCCTAGATGTTTATTAATTATTTTTTTTTCAATTCTCGATACTTGCAACTCTCCCTAACCCCTCCTCTGATATCTCATTATAATATGTCCGGGAAATCTGTTCTCGTCGCTTCATTTGGCCCTTGACGGGCCATCTGAAGAGGATCAGAAAGCGGCGAGAAGAAGGTGCAATTCGAGCTGTCCTGGAATGGAGACGGCGCCCTCCGGCGGTCCGTTTCTGTCTCTCCAGACCGCCGAGAGTTCGTCCAGTAACTTGTGATTCGTTTAATGGATTCGATCGAGACTTACTTAATCCGTTTTCCGCTCACCGGCGCGCCCCTGAGGCATCAAAGCGTGCAAATTGTAACTCGGAAATAACCTTCGCATTACCCAACACCGTTTATTCCGTTGAATAGATGAGTAGTTTGGCAGCGGAAAGTTAATATTGGGTTTACTAGCGTTATTAGGGAAGGTAAAGTCGAGGTTCATATTTTTTTACACTAGATTTGCAATTTTTTTTTGAAAAAATGGGCTTACACCGAGTTGTGTTAAAATTCGAACAGAAATCAGTTTTCCCAGGCCAAAATTCTCGAACGTCCTCATGAACTCTCGTATTTTTTTTTAAATCCGACTTTCCCTGAAAAGCGTCAGCCAAATTTTTTGCCATTTGTTTTATGGCTTATTTTGAGCAGATATGCCTGGTTTGGGTAAAATCTGAGGGCCATACCACTCTTCCCCTATAAGTTGTCAGAAAAGTTGAGTTTCCAATCCCGTAAGTGCTCCTCTTTGAATTTAAGGATCGGGCGTAGAATTTAAGAGGTTTTAGCGGAATTGTTTTCCCAAGATAACCGTCTCCCAAGTGATAGGAACACCAATTCCGGTGCCCACCCAATTTTTTTTAACGGGTTTTCTCGGCGCTTCAGTGGCCTGATTGGTCATCTTTTTATTTGTTTTGTCATCCGCGTTTTGATAATTGAAAATTGTAGAATATTCATCATAAGAAGAATTCGTATTAAAAAGCCAAAAGATTTTGATTTCTATAGAACTTTTTAGACCTTATTAGTCATCGTTTTTTTTTGTTTGGAAAATATTTTATGCGTTTTTTTCATTTCGAAAAAAATAAAAAAAAGTCATGAAAAAATTAACTTACTTTTGAGATTTTACTGCTTTCTGTTTGCGAAATCCTAATGTAAACTATCCAAAAACCCTGAGGACTGTAATTTGGTTCCAGTTTTCCATACCCAATCTTCTATTCGGAGCTTGTAACAAAACCACTTATCCCTGAATCTCCATGGCCATGAGGCCATAAATCCTTTGATTTACGACATTCCCTACAAAATACCGGGTACACTCCCTCAAGCACTATTCTCTGGAAGCCACGAATATTTTTCTTACAATTGTTAGAAGTAGGCTACTTAAATGTTTTTATTTATAGACGAACGGTCAAGAATAAGGTCCCAGGAATGGGGGTTATAAGAAGATACGGGTTTCAGGGAAACTCCGCTTTGGCAATCTCCTTTTGTTTCGGGATCTCCGAGAGGTGTGAAACAATTTCGTGGGAATTTTAAGTCCGTGTTTTCCTTATCATGGGCGACGGCGAGAAGACAAAGGTGTAGAAGGAGGAGGAAGGGGAGAATGTGGAGTTGTTCAAATATAAATCTCAGCTTGTTTGCGTTTCTTACCTCTCCAAAAACGGAGGGTGGTGGTTCGGCAGGTCGGTTCGGAGACGGAAAGAAAAAGGTTCGCGCGGAAACCGGACCCAACCATCGACCTCATTACCCCTCGAGCACCGCGGCATTCAATTACCGCGTCCGTAGTACAATTACTGTTTTTTGCAGAAGACCGTGCAGCGAGCGGAATGCTCGCGGAAGAGCGCCGACGTAGTCGATGAGTGCCATGTACCTGGAGAACCCGCTTCTTCCCGTCGGCCATAAGGTGAGCAAGACTGATTTTACAAATTCGACTGTTAAGGTATGATGACTTTGCCGCAAAAAAATATTCTGCATGTACATACATCTAATAACCTTATTTAAATCGAAATATGAAATCTAAGCACTTGCTTAACTCGGAGATTAACGTATTGAAAATTTTATATTACAAAAAAAAATTTTTTTTGTGCATTTTTCTGATCGCATAATCCAAAAAACCCAGACAACATTTGTAAAATGTCTTAAGCCCACAGAACGTTGGAAACAGAACAACGCAGCAGGCTTATATTACAGTTTTTTTGGACCAGACCAACCCCTCGGGAATGTAATTCGAATGTCGCGGCTCGGACTGTATTTACAAAGAGGTCTAAGTCCAGCCCCTGAGTAATACCAGCAGAGCTCTTTCTGATCCCGATTTGTTTGCACTTCGAGAGTCAACGAAAAACGCTTTGAAAATTGAAGAACGAACTGGCTGAGGGAAATGGGACCGGGAATCGCGCAAAACGCAGCTTCTGATGGGCCCTCAGGTGAGGGGGACGTGGCCTCCCCGCCCTGTCCGATCGCCGTCTGATCGAGGCCAATTTGGGTGGCGAGCCGAGGCTCTGATATTATTCTTGGCCATGAGTCAGCCCCCGACCTTCTCCATGACCCTTTTCCCTCCATTTTCGATCCAATTCCATCCAACACGACGCTATCATCGGTTTGTATTAGGACCGTCAAATTGAGAAAATTGATTGGTTATTCTGACGGCTGTACCATTTCCAATTATGCTTTGGTCGGAGGGAAATTTTGATTATTTTAAATCTTCTATAACGAATAATTTAATTTTGTCTTAAATATAATACCAAAAATGTGATTAAAAATGTTGTGAAAGTCCGAGCCGTGTAGCCCAGGTGTTCATGGACTAATTATACCCTCTAAAATGTCGGAAAAGAGTAATTTTGAATATTGCGTTTACTTAAAAACTTCTTCCATCCTTATAAACCAAAGCCTGGAGGTATAAAGCCGTCAGGTGCCTTTTCGGAGAGCGTGAATTTCATTTGAATTTTGATTTGGTCGTGTTTCCATGGGAATCCGCGTATCTTTCACCTGTAGCCATTAAATTCCGATCTTAAGTCGATTAAAAATTGCTTCAGAGCCCGTAAGTGTTGCACTCTGTGCGCACTTCATGCCAAAGGTGAGATAAAATAAATTTTAATGTTTACGTCATTTTCAAGTTATCGTCGTCGATTTCAGCGAGCCTCGGAAGATCTGGTTGGCGCGGCCTGCTTCGATGACGCTTTCAACGTCTTTATGAATGCCATGAGTGAGCCAAAAAAGGTACTAGACATAATTAAAATTTAATGTCATCATTTAATTACTAATCCAATTACCTTTCCCAACTCAATTCCAGCTCAAACTGGACCCCCTGGCTTTTATCTCAGCCCCAGCGCCGGCCAGCAAATCCGCTTCGGCCGCGGCGGCCGTTGCAGCGGCCGCTGTCCTCAACTTTAACGCCAGCGCCTCAGCGTCAACGGTGTCGGCTCCCGACCCCTCAGGCAATCCCCCGTCCAGGGTGGTCCATCTCCGCAACATTCCCGGTGACATGAGTGAACTCGAATTGATCCATTTTTGTATGCCCTTTGGCAAATTACGCAATTATTTGATGCTCAAGGGAAAAAATCAGGTAAGAATTACAGATTTTGTTATTCGGAAATGTGTAATAAGGATGATTATTAAGCCGGATTTTTCTAACTGCGTCTTCTTCGTTAATGCAACGAAATGTCACAAGAATTATTGGATTCTTGTTACGTAATTTTGGTGATTTTTGAACGTTGGAAATTAAAAAAGATAAGCACTCCCATTTGAGTTTTATTCAAAATTTTGATATTTCTGCAAGAAAAAGGGTCATTGTCACATATTTATTAGAATAATTTTTTGAATTTTGATGTTTGAATGTTTTTGTATAAATCATTGGAAACATAGCCTGTTTTGTCCTTCAAAAAATTTAAAAGTATGTGTTGTGCTTTTATCTTTGATAACAAACGGTACTGCAAAGTGTTGAATCTAATGATCTTTAAAATATTTATTTAATCCGGTTATTATGATACTCATTCCACTGAAAAATGTATGTAATTTCATTTTTATACGAAAAAATTTTTCCAGGCATTCGTAGAGTACGAAGAAGATAATGGAGCTCAGGCCATTGTCCAGATCGCCCATGCTTATCCCATGGCCATCCGAGGAAAGACCATTTTCTGTCAATACAGTACCCATCAGAATCTGAAGACCGAAAAGAAATTGCCCTCGAAAAGCGGGGCCATTCTGGGCGATCTTGTAGTACCTCCGGCAAGTTGTTTATTACTCTTTAATATGCAATGTAGTCTATAAAAAAGCACGGTAATCTAACTAGTACTCAGACTGCAGTAATATTTCTGTTTTCGCTCCGAATACTCGGTACAATTTTACACTTTTGTTGACAAAAAAGCGGGAGAAGAGGGAAATGTTGTGGCCAGAAATGGCAGTCATGCCCGCAGGGTGCGTGTTTTGATTAGACGGTGGAGAAGAAGCCGGAGGGGATTAATGGGTTGTCGGGGCAACCGTTTTATGATATCTCTAATTAAAGCGTCAGTTTCGAATAAATCCAGCGGTTTGCAGGTTGGATTGCCAATTCTGGAGAAAACAACCTTCTTTTCTCGGCTTTGCAGGGCTTTCTGTGATATGTTATACATCATCATGCATAATATTGCATGTGTCGTGAAAAGAATGAGATATATTTTTGATGGTTTTAAGTAATGAATACACTACTATGGAATCGATGTGGGGCATTTAAACTGCACTTTTAATGGATCGGCCGTTTTTATGTTAGCTTAGTCATCGGCATAACAAATTTTGAGCCTTTATATAACCACCTAGTGTTAAAGTAATTTTTTGACCTATTCAGGTATTATTAAAAGACCAAAAAAAAATTATCATCTTATTTGTATAACTAATAATCGTAATGCAAAAAATGGCGAAGAAATGTCATATATCCTATTTATGCATCCCTGTAGTGAATAACAAGGACGTCTCCATCCCCCTCTCTCCGTCAGACATCTTAATTAACCCGCGGGTCCGGATGTGGAGGAATAAGAGGCGAGAAGAGGGCGTCATCTATCAGTCGATCACATTTCACACCACCCTTACTTACTACTTACTTGTAGGCCCTGAGGTCGCATCTCCCTTTTCGGCTTCTCCATGGCCGCGCGTCGTCCAATTTCTTTGGGGCTTTGGCCTTTTCTCCTCCTCCGATTAATTAAAAATGATGCCCGTGTGGAAATAATTTCAATTTTTCTTCGTTTTTCTGCCCATGAACACTGACATCGGCCAATGTGGCTTCAGAAATAGGATTCTGAGGCCGAGAAGAGAAGCCAAGTCATCATGGGTGGGAATTTAAATGGATTTTGGGATATTAGAATAGGTCATTAGGTCATAGATAATATAATTTATTATGGCTTTTCGGGAATTTCTGAGCGTAATGTGTGTTTGTCTAGACGCTACCATCCCCGGAAAATATCATTATTGTTGCATTCAGACCATTTTTTAGGGGTTTGATATCATCAGATATACTTGTAGGCGTCATTTCGTAAAGTATTGATATTTTTGGATAAATTAATCGTTTCCTCCCATCTGTAAGTGTATTCCATCATTTCCTGGAGTCGTTACTGTAAACCCCAACCTTGTTTTTGTCCATGTAATCATCAAATCTTTGAGGATTAAGTCTGATTTCCCAATCCCTGAACACTCGCTTGTATTCATTTATTCACGAGGTTGTTTTACAGCCCTCCAATCTCTCTAATTCCTTCATTCTTTGACTCCCATGTTCAATTAGATGGCTAGTAGCATCGGCATATTCTCAGCCATCTGTTGTCAAGTCAAATGTCCCATCTGATCCGGATTTGCTCAATCCGAAGGGGTCTTTGTCTTGATCCTGGGGCGGGTTCTTTATTTTGAAATCCATTTTCATAGCAATAGTCTTATTCAACAACATCTTCGTGGTCAAACAACGGGGTAAAATAAGATTTTTAGGGAGATCTCGAAAAAAAACTGAGAAATAAGTCATTATGACCATAAGAATGGCCAAATGCTTTTCATGAAGAGCCTGAAAAATTGTTAAAATCCAAAAAATTTTTTTTGAGTTGTAAATGTATACAGGGTGCGGCAATTTTTCGGCCGGATTTGAATTGGCTATAACTTTTTTAGTTTTTATCCGAATGTTAAAATTCTTTTTTTCCCTGAATCCTCAGACAACCCCATTTTATTTAATACCAAATATGTTATATATACAGGGATCTAGTTCATAGTTATTGGCCTTTCGGTCGTTTTCTCTGCTTTCTGGGCGTGTGTGAAAATCGCCAGAAAAAATGACTTTTTTTACGAATTTTGTCGTAAAAAGTTTCATGCTTGTTCATGCCATGGAGAATACCGTTTCCACAAAAAATCAGCTTCCGCACAAAACTAGCGATGATATAGCCAAAAAGTTTTTCTGTGTGACCACTCATGTGCCCTCCTGACCGCAAAGAATCGTTGAATATCTTGGACGCCCCTGAAAGGTGCGGGCTGAAACTTTCAGGAATTGATGTGTGGCCTATGTTCGGCCCATGTGCAAAATTTAAAGAAAATCTGAGAGTCGCACTAGGGGTAATTCCATTGTCAGCTGTGAAAATTAGAGCTTTTTCTTTGTCTTGAGTTTTTACTGTATTATAATGAACGGGTATAACATATTTGGTATTAAACAAAATGGGGTTGTCTATGGATTCAGGGAAAAAAAGAATTTTAACATTTGCCCAAAAACTAAACAAGTTATGGCCAATTAAAATCCGGCCGAAAAATTGCCGCACCCTGTACTGTTTTAATCTCCATTACAAATCTACAAGTTCACAAACTGATTAAGCTGACAATTTATTTCAAATCGCAAAAAAAAATACAAATTTGAAAATATTTTTGTATCGAAGCTTAAGTTGTTGGAGTCCCCTCCCCAATATTGTTATTCAAATCCCGTCGGCTTCGTTCGGATCTTCTCCCTCACAACCGATTGATATGCCCTGTGGTGGTCGGTGACCTTGAGGAAAATGTTGTGCCCCCTTTTTGTCGCTTATGTCGAGATCTTTTGTCGCCGGGGGTTTTGAACTTTTGACGGGTGCGAGGTAAAAAGAGTAACGTGAGCTGGGAGAGGCAGCGATTCCACGGGGAGGAAGGCGCAGGGTAGGGTAGACTGACAACACTTATTCTTTCCCTCTTTTGTAATATTTTTATCATGGAGTGAGGGAACCATGGAGAAGCTCCTTTTTGAATAAAACAAACCCCCCAGGGGCTGCTTTACTCTCGGTCTACCTTTGCACTACTTTTTGCAAGTTCTGTGTTACATCCAAAATGATACTTGAACCCGGCATTTCCCTCGGATAATTAGGACGAGCAGCTGTTTTGGTGGTTAACTAATTCTGGTCTCGCCGAGTAATTTCTTATTTACTGGAATAGTATCTGGAATAGTAACCTGTTTTTGTCAAGATTATTCCCACACTTGACACCCCTCCGCATTTCCCGGCGGAGTTAATTTCATCAAAGTCAGGTTAATTTGGACCGCGAACCGCCAGGCCGGCAAGAATTAAGGAAATTGTTAATCTGGACTGTGCACGCTTTCCCCGGCCACTACCACCCCAGCAAACCCTAAGGGCCGAAAGAGGGGGGGGCGAGTAAAGAGCTCATTCGCTGGCACGGCGGGCCATGAAATTCCTCCCCGAAAAGAGCGGGCGGCCGAGGTAGCGGGCCCCGGCTCTCGCGCACTCTCATTTCCGATGCCCTCGGGCTGATTACAGGGCCGGCCTGCTTTTGTTTTAATTAGGTGAGCGGACAGGAGAGTAATTGCCCGAATTTGGGCTTTCGTGCCGATTACGCCCGCCGGGCTCGGCCACAAAAAGGCGTCGCCGAAATCGACCGGAATCCGCCCTCATGTAATTGCAGGGGATTTCGGGGGACCGAGAATTTAACATTCGGCCGTTTTCTGCAAGTAATTCTTAAGTGGGCCAAGTAACACGGCCAAGGACCGCCATTCCCCTGATCACCGCTCTCTCGCGGCGTCCAGATGTGGCCAGAGAAGCGGCCTGGAAGTCCATTCGATCGATCGGTCCCTTATTCAGAGCCCCTTTTCCGAGCACAGTCCCCTTCTTCTTCGCCTTATTGTGCTTTGTTTTGTATTCCGAGGCCTGTTCTCAGTGTCCCGACGCTCTCTTTTTGCCAGATCATTTCTCCGATTTTCACTCAATCCGAACGGTTCGAAGGTCGTTTAAATATTATTATCGCTTTACTCGTGATCTCTTGGGCAGTATTGTTACACATTTCCTCTCCAGATCAGTGGATTTGTTGACTTTAGTCAACTTGTACGAGATTTGCATCGAGTTGAGCTCCTAACGAAGCCACTTACCACAACATCCGCCATCCAACACCATATTAGGCTAGTTTGATGGTCGCCTGAGTGTACCGTAATCTCCCAGCTCCGCAACGGCTCTTCCTCGCGTGGAAAGGCCGTGCCAGCACAGTCAAGACGGTCGCGGCAAACTGTTGTGCCGCTCAAGCCGCCGCTGCGACGGCCGCCGTGCAGCTTGGGGCCGCGAATCCGTCGGCCGCGCCCGCCCCCAAACTGAGCGTGAAGCGCGCCCACTCGCCCGAACTCACCGGCGCCCCCATCGTCGACCAGTCCAGTCAGTTGGCGTTGGCCGCCGCCGCCGCTGCCGCGGCCACCAACTCGGTCACCACGCAGCCCGTTCCCTCGCCCTTCCAGGCGTTCCAGCAGTTCCAGTCCGTCCAGCAGCTGCTCCAGTCCCAGCAGAACAACCTCGCCTATTACGAGTCGTTGAACGCGAAACGTCTTCGTCTGGCGGCGCCGGTGGCCTCGACTTTCGGCCCGACCAACCTGCTGATGGCTGCTAGTGCCCCGCTGAGACCGCTGATCCAGAATAATGTTGCCATGACCCAATGTGATCAACAGCAAATGGTCATGCAGAATATTCTCAACGGGAAACAGAACGAGCAAATGCAAAAGGTCTCGGGATCAAACTTTTTTAGAGGATTTTTGTAAAATAGTCTGATTACTGCAACAAAAACCATCAAAAAATATTAATCTAGTCTAAGTCTAGTACAATATAATAATATTGAATTTTCAGTCGAATCTACTGGTTTTGGGTGGTGCCACGACACCCACGGGTCAGAACTCGAATGCCCTCGGCTCAACTTCCCGAGGTTCGGCTACTCCAGCCTCGGCCTCTCAGCTAGACATATCCACTGGCACCCAGCAACAACCAAACTCGGTGTTGAGGGTCATTGTGGACAATATGATCTGCCCGGTTACTTTGGATATTCTCTATTCTGTAAGTGCGAGCCATGGCAATCAATTCTGCTGGAATATCATCAAGTTTTAGACCAAAAAATCTTACTGTAACCTCAATTACAGTAAACCTTTTTTTACGCAATTAACTCAACTGTTTACAGATTTTCTCTCGCTACGGCAAGGTTCTACGCATAATTACATTCTCCAAAAACCGTAAGTCCTTCCGCCTACTGTGTTATTGTATTAATTTAGACACTTTCCAAGCTTTAATCCAATTCTCTGAGGCCAATTCGGCCCAGAATGCCAAGAGCACCTTGGACGGACAAAACATCTTCAATAATTGTTGCAATCTCCGCATTGACTACAGTAAACTGGCTACGCTGAATGTGAAATACAACAATGATAAGAGCCGGGATTACACAAATCCTCTGTTGCCTCCGGGCGAGCTGTCGTTGGAGCAGCAACTGAGTTTAGGTAAATTGTTGCAACTGCACTTTTAAAGTCTTATATGGTCTAATTTCTCTCTTATGAAGCCTAAAAATGAATTATAAATTTTACGGACTAGAATAAAAAAATCTTTTTTAGCCCAGAACTCGCTAGTCGTTCCCTCCCTTCTTCCCTTCGCGGGGAATCCAGCCAATTCCGTAGCCAATCTCTACAGTCAGCAGAATGTTTTGGCCGGGGGTTTGGGCACAAATATTGCGGCTTTAATGGCGGCAACCAATGGAACGAACGGAATGGCGTCGCCTTCTCTCAATGTTACTGCCCAAACCTTGTTGCAACAACAACTGGGATCCCTTTTGAATACAACCCCGGTTGTGTTGGTGTCCAATCTGGATCACAAGGTGAGTAGTAGGCCCAGTTATTCTTCTCTCTTCTTCCTCCATTCGTTTTTACGGCAGTCGGTTGTAAGGCTTTATAAGGGTACTGTGATCCTACGAAATGGGGTATGCTAATTCTACGACCAAATATCCTGTTATTTCATGGTCAGGGATAATGTAAAATTTTACGACAAAACATACTGTAATTTTATCAAACATTACTGTAATGTTTGTGTTAAATCTTTTGGCTTTGCAAAAAATAATACTGCATAATAATTCTGTTTTTGGCAAAGGAATATTGGAATTTTGCAAAAAAAATCATAGTGTGATTTTATAGCTCTCTTGATTCGAATTTGCTTTTGATTTGTAATACTCTACTTTGCCCCCTTATTTTTTGTTTTTCGGTAGGAAAGCTCCGCTATTCCCCGTAGGCCTTATAGCCGACCGTCTGTTGTAAGAAACTTCTGAGAATGAAGCTTTGTTACTGTAATTTCTCTCTCTTCCAATCCTTTATTTTTCGGCATTGTGGAAGAGGACCCTTTTCTAATTCCAAACCCCATCTTTTAACCCTAAAATACGGTTGATTCGCCTCTAAAATACGAAGAATTAACTTCTGAAATACGCACGTTGCCTCTTCCACAAGGTCGAGCCCCATTTACGACGATCGTGTTATTTCAATTCTATCGCTCTTTCGTTGTTTTCAGAAGGTAACGCCCGATGCGCTCTTCACACTTTTCGGTATGTGGCTTTAACTTCTTTTTTTTACAACCGACTCGAAACCCGGGAGTACTGTAACATTTACACACTACTGTAATGTCAGGTCCTATCCTGAGTTTTTTCGTTTTTAATTTTCGTGTGGATTCTACTGTGGATACTGTAGTCCCGAGCACATTTATTGCCCCACTCTTTGCTTACTCTTGGCATCTTTTCCAGGGGTCTATGGTGATGTCCAAAGGGTGAAAATACTTTTCAACAAGAAGGACAACGCCCTCGTACAGTATGCGGAATGTCAGCAGGCACAGCTGGGTAAGTCAGAATTACAGTGAGAGCGGCAAAACACGTAATTATGGCTGAACATATTGAACTTTCAGCGATCCAACATCTCGACAAGGCCAAATGGCACGACAAGGTCATCAGGGTCGCTTCTTCCAAGCACACTAATGTCCAAATGCCTAAAGAAGGTAATCACTTTATGTTTATCATAGTATTCCTTGGATTTTTTACATTTAATAATAATAACTAGAGTAAATTCCAAGTATAATATAAATTATAGGTCAACCTGACGTCGGTTTAACCCGAGATTACACGAATTCCCCATTGCATCGCTTTAAGAAGCCAGGAAGTAAGAATTACATGAACATCTACCCACCCAGCTCCACTCTACATCTCTCAAATATCCCTCCCAATATTACACTTGAGTTCTTGAAAGGGGCCTTCGAGGAGAACGGGTTCCAAGTCAAGGACTTCCAATTCTTCCAGTAAGTTGCTAATCAGACTTCGCAAACATTCCCTTGTTGATTTTTCTTGAGATTTTTTTATTTTAAAAAGTTTTGACGAAATGTCACAAAAGTTATTGGAAAAACATTTTGGCCATTTAGTTCTAAAAGGCAAATTTTTTTTGGAAAATAGAGGTTAAATCAGCAGAATAAACAATGAATCTTTTAGACGTGATCACAAGATGGCGCTAGTCCAGCTGGAAGACGTGGAAACCGCGATCCAGGCCCTGGTGATCATGCACAACTTCAAACTGGCGGACAACGCCCATCTGCGGGTCTCCTTCTCAAAGAAGGGGCTTCGCTTGTAGAGCAGAGGTCCTTCAACATGTCTCTTATTGTCATACGGTCTTCTTTTGTAATATTTATTATTTATTTTCCGCTGATCCTTGTCAGCCGCATATCTGAGTAAAATTGTTCCAAAAATGGTTGTTCAGAACTTCTCAAAGAGTACTGCATATGCATGGTTCTGCGGTGGGCTTTCGCGAAGTTGTTGCCGTAGTCCTCTAACTAGTAATTCGATTATAGTTTGATTTCCTTTTGCAGATTTTATGTGATAAGTGTCCGGATGATTAATATCGGTTAATATCTCGCGCCGGAAGGTCTCTCCCACCGTCTCTATGATATCTGTTACATCTACGTCACAAATGTGTAATAAAGATTTATTTGAACTGATCGATGACAGACGCCTCAGGGGATTAAAACATCATTTAAATGGGGGGATTAGGACTGCAGAAATATGTAAAATAAGGTGCGAATCGACGGATTCCGTGGTTTAGACAGCCCAATCCACTTAGTTTCAATTAAAAAAAGTATTCTTGGCCGATTTAAGAGTACTTCGCATTACTTTTTCATCGTCGACGAGAGCATCTAAGACTTCCTGCTGCTGGAAAATTAATCCTTAGCAGGAACAGGGGTGTATTTGAGGAGAAACACTCGTGTTTTGTCTGATCTCAGCTCTTTTCTCCCTAAATTAATGGCTATTATATGGATTAATGAACGGCCAGACTGCTACTTTTCTGCTTATTTGAGTCTTTTTCTGCCAATTTTATGTTTAATGTAGGCATCAAAGAGGTGGTCTTGTCATCAGTTCCGAACGACGTCATTAATCTTGATTGGCGAGAGAAAACGTGAAAACTTGGAGACATCGTGCTAATTAATGGAGAAACGTATTTCAATGAGATTGCTATGGTATAGAAGATCTTCTAAAAAGTGATTACGGCTGCATCAAAAAATGGATCCTACCTTGTAACGGACAGGGTATCATGTGTGTTATTTATCACACATTTTTATACATTTCTGTTTGCAAGTCATTAAAATATAAGGCAATTGCAATCTTTTCAATTCGGACGGAACCAACGCTTTGTTACTTTTAATTTGGGCAGCTCCAGTTTTCAGAGCCAACGTTAAGATCCCCTGTCTAGCCAATGGAACGGTCGTTGCATCTCTTCCTAAACACAGCTAGCCAAAAGTTTGGAATGGCTAGCCATTTGTGAAGTTTTTTTGCAAATCCACTTTTCGGGCAAATGTTCAATTACTCGTAAGCCACTTATATGATATTTGACTCTCATTCTAGGCTTCACAACTATTGGCTATGGAAACTATATCCGCACAAGATTAATTCATCCATCGCTGAGTTTACAGGTTTCGCAGATTGACAACAAGATTTTTTTGCAATTGATTTGTAGCATAGAGAGACAACGCATACCAATTTTTTAGAAAACCCTTATGCCTTTTGCGCTCTTGTGTGAAACGTACTGTACCAGCACTGTTTCCCGACACTCATAAATGCAGAAAAAAATGAGTGCTATGATTCCCAATTCCACAAAAGGAGAGAGTCTGACATTTCTCCCCATTGAAAACTTCAGAGGCGATCAAATGTAAACCAACAACAACAATATGTACGTCCAGAGACAATTTCACGACAAAAAAATTCTTGCTCAAATTACAATGCGCATTTGGTGTCAAAAAAAAACATTGGAACTCGAAACATATTACAAATCTCAGTTTACATTCCAAAGTGTAGAAGTGGAGAGGAATCATTTTAAAGTCTCCCCGCTAATGATAATATTTTGTTTAACACGTCCTCCAAAGCGTCTCATTTCAATCTCTGACAAAAGAAATGAACCTTCGAATACAGTACGTTCATGGCATTCACAAAACTACATTCAATTTGTAGGCACATTTGCGGAGATAAGTGCAACGTTTGTGATCTCAAGTACTCGTGCAATATTGTTGATATAAGAGCTTCAAAGGCACGCTCGAGAGTGTGTTGCTGCTTAAGAGCTCGTTTTGGTTACTGGTTAAGAGTTTGAGGTGTTTTTTGAATATTCATGGACATGTGAAATTCGAATTTTTTAATTTCGTTTCCTTGTCTGCGGTATTTTGTAAACATTCAAAATTTATTCAGAAGAACAAAGATTTCTTCTTGTTACAATAGTCTTAAAACTGGAGACCCTAGCTTGATAAAAAAATACCTTAAGTTGTGCAATAAAAAATCAGCAGTTTTTAAAAACTTTTTGAAAAAGCACATTTTTGCAAAACATTTGTCATAAAGACTCATTATCCTGACATTTTTTTCAGTTTTCTGAACCCCTCTCACATAAAAAAGTGATGTTATTCTTACCTTACCAAATTTCCTTGACATTCACACATTTATATCACACTACCTACCTACTCGCTTACCCCAAAAAGTTTCTTTGTTGACTCTACCATGGTATCATCCATCTTTCGCAGAATCCTCGGTTCATCCAGCAGCTCCAGATTACACGTAGATGCGTGTAATCTGCATGTTTTCTCCCTTATGTTACACTTTTCATGTTACAGTAACCCATGTTTGTGACGATTATTGTTTTTTCTCCCATTTTTTGTTGATCTGTCGGATTACGGGGCGTAAATATTGAAACCTTAGACAGTTATTGCGCATTTGTTACTTTTTTTTGGTTTCTTTTTAGTAATCCTCGAGTTGGCCCCGCCCCTTTTTGCCCAAGGTATTTTAGAGATTTTAGTGGAGGGAATTGGGCGACATTCGGACGGAAAGCATGTTGGGGATCTATGTAAACCTACTTCTACTTACAGTACTCGCTTCGGCGGTAAGTTGATCTTACTGCTTGAATAACTTGGAATAACAATTGTAATCATTCTTATTTTAGGAGATAATTCCAAGTAATGTGCTGCATAAACGACAAGCAAAGATGGAAATCAAAAAGGTAAGAGAGCTTGGGCTTGATCTCTGTCTAAATCATGATAAAAATATTCTCTTACAATGTTAGATCTTTGTTTCGGTACAAAAAATCAAAAATTATATTGTACTAGATGGAGTAGGGGGATAAATTCAAGTGTTTTAGAATCATAGACTACTTTAAAAATTTTGTAACGTAAAAAATATTGTATCTTTATTGTAAACGAGTTTTTTTTTTGAAAGATATGATCTTTCTTCTCGATTCCGAAACATTTTTCGAGCAGGATCAGATTTCGGATGCCAGAATCCTGTTGCGAACATGTCATGTTTACCCAAATTTGTTTGAATATTCATTTTCAATACGTAAGAAGTGATCCCAAAAATACATAAAATATTCGTCATCAACCAAATTACCATGTATAAATATCATATAAATTGTCCAATTACCGAAAACATCCTTGAATTTGAATATTTAAATTACCTCGAGTTTCAAGTTAGACGATTTACTATTCAATTACTATAAATTTTTGAGCAAATTTCCAACGCGTGGAAAATAAAAAATTAATAAAAAGAAGCCTTAGAAATTAGAAATTTTAGAAATGTGCAGATCTGCAATTTGCGTAATCTTAAACAATCCTCTGCAATTTGATTAGCTCTAATCCGCAATTCCCAAAAAAATTAAGTCGGTTCTTTTCAGGATAACCTCGGATATTCGGACGAGATGTTTAATATCGACACTTTGGCCGGGATTGGGCTTGGCAAACGGTCCAGTCCCACTCCAACCCGCCCCAGATATGCTCTGATTGTCAATTTGGAAGACCTCGTGGAAGGTTTGGACCGATCGGCACAGAAAGTTCGAGCTCGATTTAATAGATTCCATGAGATCTGAGTAAAATTATTTATTTTAAAGCTGGGAATATTATTCTGAATGTCCACATGGAAAGTGGCTTACTGTATGTCTAGAAGTAAATAAAAACAGGAAAAAAAGTTGTAAACAGGATGATTTGCAGAGATGCGAAATAAAAATTGGAATAAATACAATTTGGAGAGAGATTTGGATGAAAAAACAACTTGAGGTTACAGTAATCCCAGCCAGATTGGTCTGCCCAAATTATGCAAATTTTTAAATCTTTCAAAAAAATTATAATTTTTTCAACATTCCAAAAACATTTTCTGGTTCTGCACACTACATATAGTAATTCCCAAACCTAACACTGTAAACTTTCAACCTTTACTCAAACTACCGTAACCCTAACAACGTTTTAATGCACCCTCAATTACCCAAACATCCACCTCAATAGACTCTTGAGACATCTGCAAACGTCGTCTAATGTCCTCAATGTCCAATCAAGGGTCATAAACAGCATACAATCTCGGTAATTAATCAGTACTCGGTTTGAGGAATGTTGTCAGAGGCGTCGAATCCACCTGGGCATCAATGAGATCGTCTTGCTCGTCCTCTAACGCTGAAATCGTGTGACTTTAGGGGCTTAAGGATTTACAGAAGATTTCCTAGTATTTTAGGCGTTATTTTAAACTCATGAAACTTCAATTTGTTAGCAAAATTTCCCCAATGTAACACAACATTTAAAGAATTTTACGCAAGCTTCGGCTAAAAAAAGAAGCAAAATCGTAATTAAAGTAATTAACTTACTTGTCGTGCCAGAGTACACCTTGTGTGACGGAGCATACATGGCCAAAAGGATCAGAACGTAGATATTCCACATGCCAAAAGTGCCTGTAAAGAAGGCCGAGGTCGGTCGGCTAAGCCAAGACTGTTCATGTTCATCTCCATGCAATTGCATTTCCCCATACTGAAGAAAAAACAATAAATATTTACATTTTAACACGCAAAAATTAGGTAAAAATAAAATCATTGGGGCGCAACCTACATGTTTCATCACATAACTCAATATCGTGAGCCCAGCACACGCCAAGGTCAACAAAAACAAGAATTTGAACCTGTAGATGACACCTTGAACTTTGAGTCGATTTAATTCCTTTAATCGATATAACTCCGCTCTTTTATTTTGAATTGCCCTCCAGGCTTTGGACATTTTGAAAGTGAGGAATCCAAAGTAGAAAAGAGCAGAGAGACCGGCCAAATATATAGTGAGAGTAGCCAATGCGGAACCGAATTCAGACGCCCAGATACTGTGGAAAGGATTCTTGAGTTGAAGACCCCTTTCGAAAAGATCGTAGAGCAGTAGAGAAGTCGATGTGACAATCACTGAGGTCAAATTTCGCCAATAAGAGGACTAAAAATAGTTCATAAACACCAAAAAGGATGTATTCAAACATAAAAAAAATATTGCTTACCAAGGTGTGAATCTTCTGATCAACAATATTTTCTCCAGTAAAAACAAGCCAGAAGGAAAATAAAACAGTATAAAACAATCCCAATCGGATGTCACTCAACAACAACAGATACCAAGCTTGTGAATATAGGGTAATCCACTCGATCGGGACTAAAATCAATAAAAATAAAATTTGACATGAAAACTTTAGGTATCACTGATAATAAAAACGTCTAACTCACAATCCAAAATGGCCATACTAACTCCCAATGCCAGAATACAATTTTCATTAAGTGTTGGAGGTCTTCTCATGCCACTTAATCGCTTGAAGTACCAATAAGTTGCTGCACAAACCACCGGCCAAATTAACGTTTTCATCCAAAGCCAGATCAAAGTAAAGCCTCCATTTTGATGGATTGCGATGACCCTTAGGTCCTGGATCAGCCCGATCTTACAGTTTGGACCCTGCGGATTAATTCGACATAAAGTTTGGTTCACAGGAATTCGGATGTTCAGCAGATACGAGGGATAAACATTGGCTCCCAATTCGAACAAATCGATAGTCGAGCAGTTATATAAATGTCCTTTTGCTCGCTGAAAACAAGATCAGAATCACCTCGACATTAATCAGAATTATCTTACCTTGTCTTGATCAATTTCGCACTCCAGATTCCTATGAATCACTGCTTCGGACAACGTATTCCACTCATCTTCTCCATGTTCCTTATATCCCATTCTAACCTCCAACTCAAAATTCGCAGAAGACGGGACTGTATAAGCATCATCGTATGCGATATCGACTTCCAGAAGACCAAGGAGAAACTGAAACCACCGGGAGTATTCCAATTCGACTCCATTTCTGGCATGAGGCATTTGAGCGACAAAGACAATGTCACGGACATCTGAGGAGAGAAGAGTGTGCGAGGAGAGGTCGTCGATCACGTTGCATTTCTAAAAATAGTCGTATTTTAGCGCATAAAATCATTCGACAAAAAATTTCCATAAATTTCATAAAGGTTGTCATGATGACGCATTTTTTGGAACCAAAAATGGAAAAGATTTTGAATCTCAATCGCAAGAAAAGTTTGTGCTAAATCGGTTGGTTTCAGTGTAAAATTGTAAGTTGACGTCAATCTTTATTACTTACCATGGGCCGAACATAAAACCATTCTTTACTCCGTCCAGCTGTCGGATCCGAACATTTTGTTGTCAAAAATTCCATCGAAGTTGAGGGATTTGGAGCTAAAATAATATATTTACTGTGAAAAACGGTACTCCAGCACTTGTAGGTATTTTTTACTTTATTTTATTAGTTTTAGATATAAAACTTACTAAAATACGCTCCAATTAGTACAAAAACTGCCAAAAGTCCCGCGCATGCCGAGAGAATAATCAGTAACTTCTTGGTGCTCAAATTCTCGATCACGGCGCCGTGCGCCATGGCTTGTTTTGGGCTGAAACGAAGACAAAAGAGTTCCCGAGAGGAGAGGGATCGCTTTCAACCTCTGATCTGACACATGTTTTCCGCGTCTCTCAGGCTCAGACCAAAGGCTCCTCGCGCAAAAGCCATAAAACATTTACGGCCTTGGGTGCGGCTCTTTGCACCAACAACCTCTGCATGTGTAAATCCCCGCCATTTAGGGCCACAATTGGCTTTTAATTGGGCCAAAACAAAGGGAGAAAAGGTTGGAAATTATTGGAGGAAAAAGAATTTTGATAAAAGTCTTGGCTTTCCTCGACCTTTCAAGGGGAAATGAGGCTCGAACGGCAGGCAAAAACGAAATTAAACACAAACATTCAGAGGTCGGACATCTGGTTTATATTACTATAGGTGATTTGGAAGGACTGGAAAGCAGTCAAAAAGGCATTGTAAGATGCAAAGGGCATGATTCAGAAGCTTTTGTTTGAGATTTCGTTTTAATGTTAGCACTATCAACATGCATATTTTACTATAAGTACTTCAATTACACCTGCATATCAAGTTTTCCTATTGATGCCAAGTGTAATAAATTTATTTCACTTCAAAGAGCATGACATTACGATACGTTCCGTGGGCAATTAAAAGTGTAAAGAGAGATTTGTTTACTCAATATACTGATTAAATCACTCCAATGTCGAACTATTGCATGTAATTGAGATTCGAAAACAAGAACCCGAAAGCATCTCCTGAAATGTCTTTGAGTCACATAAATTATTTATTAGGGCTTTCTGACAGATTTTAGAGGATGGCGTTTGGCAGTTTTTTTGATTTGAGACAAAGATAGCGGTGCGGGTATCATTCGCTTATTTATCAAGGTGTCAAAATAAATATAACCTTTTTTTGTGTTATCTTGAGTTTGAACGTTGCATAGAAGCTATAGGCAAGAATTTGGGAGTCTCTTGAGACTCTGTTTCTAGGTTCAAAAGTTACGGTATCCCCGAAAGGTCTCGTTCATTCGAAGAATCGTTGTTTTTTAGTTACTGGAGTTTTTTACTTTGTTTATTTTCTTTTTTTTTCACATGTCTTTTACATCCTCGACTCATTCCTTCTCGCTGGATGATGTAACAATTGTTACAGGCAATTCCTGCAAAATTCATGGCGGTAAAAAATTTTAAACTTCGCTTAAAATCTGTTTACAAATTGCTTCCCCCTTTATCAGTGTTCTCTGTCAATAAAAGGCTACGCAGAATTCAACACAAATGATACAAAGATAAGAAGGACGTTGACAACAGCATTAAAAAGGGGCTGAGTGTTTGATGATATCCGTCACAAAATAGAATGAATTCATTTTTATGCACTGTTGCGGCTGTATAAATAACGAGCGGAGCAGATGCTTGCAAGATCTTAAAAAATATTTTTTATTTTGAGTTTTTTAGATTACTGTAACTGCATGCATGAAAATGAACTTCTTGTATTTTTAGTCATTCATCTAAAGAATATGTTGGTCTTTGTAAAATACGAGTTGAGAGTACAAGTTTGTTGTTCTTTATTATTGTTTTTTATTATAGTAAATAGGAAGCCCTTCCCCTTTAAGATAGCGATCTGTTTACGGTGATGTTGTTGATTTGCTATGCTTAAATTGGTTCTCCTTGGCTAATGAATAAGTTGAAAGTTTTATTCTTTCACCAAGAAAGAAGTTCTGCCTTGGTCTTCCTTTGAGAACTTATAGTATCGTTTGTGTGAAACCGATCATTAGTTTTGAATGATGATGGTCTCTTGAACAATATTTAGGAGGCTTTGGTAGTTCAGCCCCCCACGAAAGGTAGTTCAAACCCCCACTGTTTGGTCCATTTCACACCCCCATAATTAAAAAATTAGAATAATACAAAAAATGCAAATTAGAGTAAAATGACCTCCGGCGTTTTAGCTCAAACCCCCAGTTACCGTCCAAATTCGTTCTTTTGGTTCAGGCAACGATGATCATAGCCGACAGAACCCAATCCCGAGTAAGCGCTTCAGATTGGATGAGGGAGTTTATACTGGGTCAAGGGGGGCTGCACTGGACTGGGGGGTTGTACTACCTTAGCCCCCAATTTAGTTCAAACTTTTGTTCCTCCGAACACACAAATCGCAATGTTTCATCTCGCCGGACCTTGCCCCAGGTACCAACGCCTCTGATCTCCGCTCCGCCCACTTAAGCCACGTGTTGAAACGTATTTGCACGCGGTTATTCGTGGCCTTATCTCGTAAATAAGCCTACATAGAACAGCCCAACGCTTCTTCCCCACTTGAAGACCATTATCATTCATTTTGCAGCGATAAAAAATGATCGGGAATCACGTTGTGCACACGCGCCGAAAGCGGGGCCTGTATAAATACGAAAAGAAATGTTATTATTTGTCTCATTTCAGGAGATAGAAGAGAGATGCTATCGCGTCTTGCACCGAGTTCCAGGGCCGCTGTGGCTGCCACGGTCAGATGCGCTTCCTCGATTCCACAGCCCATCGAACAGTTTGATGACTTCACCACAAAGGTATGGGTAGTTTCAATCGGTTCTAAACGGATGAAATTAGCCATTCAAAAGTATTTCTTACTATCAAAGACTTTCAAAAGATGTAGTCAGAAGAGCTTTCTCATAAAAATAAAAGATATAAATTAGTACCGTCACTTTAGATCTTCATCAACAACGAATGGCGTAACTCCCGTTCCGGCCGCACTTTCCCAACGCTGAACCCGGCTACTGGAGAGAAGATCACCGACATTCAAGAAGGAGATGCCGCTGATATTAACGATGCTGTTGAGGCGGCCAAAAAGGCCTTTGAGTTGGGATCGCCATGGAGAACAATGGATGCTTCGGATCGAGGAAGATTACTCTACAAGTTGGCAGACTTAATGGAACGGGACAAAGTTTATTTGTCGGTGAGTGTAACCGTACTGGCAGACTCAATGCAATACTATAAAGGCGGGTCATACATGTTCTTTTAGAGTCTGGAAACCTTAGACAATGGAAAACCTTACGCCGTTTCGTATCTGGGAGATCTGCATCTTTCCATTGAATGTTATAGGTAAGATATTACCCAAATTATCATCTCATAAAGCAGGAGACGATGACAGCACTTTTGTTTTAGATACTACGCCGGATGGGCGGACAAGATCGAGGGTAAGACCATCCCAGTCCGAGGCAAATACTTCACCTACACCCAGCATCATCCAGTTGGGGTTGTCGGGCAAATCATCCCCTGGAACTTCCCCCTTCTCATGCAAGCCTGGAAACTGGGCCCAGCCTTGGCTGCCGGTAACACGGTGGTCATGAAGACGGCCGAACAAACTCCTCTGACCGCTCTTCACGTGGCCAAATTGGCGGCCGAAGCTGGATTCCCTCCGGGTGTTTTGAACATTGTCCCTGGCTATGGCCCAACCGCTGGCCATGCTTTGGCTGCTCATCCCGATGTCCAGAAAGTCGCTTTTACGGGATCTACTGAGGTCGGTAGATTGATCATGTTGGCTGCGGCCGAGAGTAATTTGAAGAGAATTACTCTGGAATTGGGAGGAAAATCACCAAATATTGTCTTTGCTGATGCTGATTGTGAGTTCATTTTGCACAGTTCTTTTGAATGGCTTACTGATAGCCTGCTGCATTTATCATGTTATGAACTTTCAATTTGCAGTGGATCACGCCGTCAACACCACTTCTCAAGGCGTTTTCTTCAACCAAGGCCAGACTTGCAGTGCAGGAACAAGAGTTTTTGTTGAAGGCAAAATCTACGATGAATTTATCGCCAGAGCCAAGGCCTTGGCTGAAAGCCGGAAACTAGGAAATCCCTTCCTTCCCACCACCGAACAAGGCCCTCAAGTTGATCAAGAACAGCTCTCTCGGATCCTGAACTACATTAATATCGGAAAAGATGAGGGCGCTCAATTAGTCGCAGGAGGTGCTCGACATGGAGATAAAGGCTACTTTGTTCAGCCAACTGTCTTTGCGAATGTCGACAACAACATGAAGATTGCGCAAGAAGAGATCTTCGGTCCCGTCATGTCCGTAATCAAATTCGACGATATCAAGGATCTGATCAGCAAGGCCCATGCCTCCATTTACGGTCTGGCAGCTGGTGTGATCACGAAGGATGTGAACAAGGCCATCTACATGGCCAACAGCTTGGAAGCTGGTACTGTCTGGGTCAACTGTTACAATGTTTTTGATGCCGCCGCACCCTTCGGCGGCTTCAAACTGAGTGGAATTGGACGTGAATTGGGAGAATATGCCCTCGAAAACTACACCGAGACTAAGTGCGTAACGATCGCCATCCCGGAGAAGAACTCTTAAACAACTTTAGTGTACATTGTATTCTGTATTTATGCTGTATAGTAAACGGTTATTCAACGCAATTCTGTTCTCTGACCGAGCAGCGGATGTCCAGGTTTTCTTCTCGAAGAGCACATCCTGTGACGTCGGACTTGCATTCGGAATTCCGCTTACATAAAAAAACGTTTCATCCCTCTCCCGCAAAAAAAAAGTTAAACCGGCCTGATGGAGTTGCGCGATTTTATGGCCGGAGGGGAAAAGTGGGCAGACCCAAATTTACTCATCGCCGAGATAAGGCCCATCTCGAATGAGTAAGCGTCGCGGTTTAGATTGGGTTTTTTGCCCGACTGCCTCAGGGCGAAGAAGGAAAGGCCCAAAGGTTCGGAACTTCCCTTTCAGGGCCGTCAATTAAACCCGTCGGGCGGAATGCGCAGACGGGCCGAGGTTTAACCTGGCCGCTCATTTCGAATTAATTGGGTCGGCGTCATAAAATGCCCGGAGGGGAAGAAGCGGAGCCGGGGGAAACACGCATCTCCTCGTTTTCGACCGGAATTGTGCACCGGAGCGGTATTCGCGAAGGTCCGAATGTGGGGCGCACCGGGCCCCCCGTGTTTTTGGCCGAAAGTGGTTTTCTCCCCCGGCGGCGGCCGGCATTCCTCCACTTGCGCCCCTCAGGGCATCCCTCTCCGAAACCATCTGGTTTTCCGGGTTTGTTCGCTTCCGGCCGCTCCTGTTTTTCGGAATACCGGAGGATTATCACTCCGCGCTCCGAGCCTCGGCCCTTGATTAATGAACACGTCCTTTTTGACGTCGCAGCCGATGTCTCCTTTTAGCGGTAATTGGGCGGCTGTTACTGGGGTCGTAGAATGATGACTGTAGATCTGTCACCCACTTGGTTCCGTTGAAAAAAACTGAATTCCTTTGATGTTTTAACACATGGCGAAGGTTATTAGGTTGTAATAAATTGCATAAAAAATCGTTTGATTTCTGAAACTTTAATTTGGGCGATGACAAAACATTTTTCAAAAAAAGTAGACAAGAATTGCGGGTAGTTGAAATGAATCTTTGAGGAAGATTTTGTAACGCTAAACAGGATGAAAAAGTATTACTTTTATGATTAACATGAGTTAAGTCATACAGTTATGAGGCACAAAAAAAATTTGATTAAAAGGAGCAAAAAATTCAGATTGAAGTCTTTAAGGAATTTTTCCGCATCAACTTCTACAGTTTTTTTCTGCCGTTCCTTCATTTTCCGTAGCCTCTCGCCAAAAGTTGAATATCTTGCTGCGCCTGCCAACGCACGGAAACACTTTCATTTGATGTTCTATGCAAAACAAACACAAAAAGTTTGGGGCCGATCAGCTTCTGATACCTCAAGTATTTCCGTTGTAATCACCTTTGATCTATCACTCACTCTTTGATTCCTAACTGTTGTCCTCTTCATCTTCACCTTTTTTGCCGCGGGCGTTTAAAGTGTCAGACTGACCCTTTCATGGCCGCACTCCCCTTCCCCACCTCCAAATTGACCACCATTTATCGGCAGGAAAAGAAAGGAGAAGGTGGATGTTTGATGGGATTGCCGGTGGACCCACAAAACATGAGCTGAGCCCCAAATAAGAGCACGCATCCCGGGCATGGACGAAGAACAACGGAAGGAGATCGAGCTGTTGCTGGAGAACACCGAAAAGAACAACGACCACAAGTTGAAGAAGGTTAGTTAAAACGCCGTGGGCCCCGGGGGGATTTGCAAATATTTTTATCGCCTTCTTTGTTCATGTCTTTCATAAAGACATGGCGTGGCGGGGGTATTCCTGGAGGCAGCATCAGCGCAATCTTCAGCGGGGAAATCCCCAGCAGATCTTGATTCAGTTGGAGCAGGTATCTCATTAGAATTTTTGTAATCAAAAAAAAATTTTTTTCAAAAACTTTATACAATTTTTATGCATTTAAAAGTTACATCAAAATATTTCTAATGAGATACCTGTTCAGTATAGAAATCACGGTCCGAAATTCGTAAGTTATTTTTTTAAGCAATGCCTTTACAATAACCTCCCAATTTCAGTACCTTCGCCTCGTTCTTCCCCATGTCGCCCTTGTCCTCGTAGTCTGCATCTATGCCATGGTTGGCGCATTTATTTTCCACTCAATAGAATCGCCACACGAAGACATGGTAAGCACAACAAAAATGATGACTAAACTGACATTCAGCTCAAAAGAGATGGCATTGCCAAGATAAACAACGTCCGGACGGATCTAATAGAACTCATCTGGGAGAAATCCGGGGGTTCTGGTTACGTCAATCAAGAGGAATGGGTCCGACAAATGAGTCGAGCACTGGAAACATTCAATCAGAACTTGTATAAAGTCTACAAAGATCAGTATGTCAGGTATGGGGATGTGAGAATGAGCAAAGCCGAGAGGGATCCGAGAGAAAAACGGCATCGTTCTTCATCCAAAAGTCGATCAGAATCCGGAGGGAAGCTTTGGACATCTTCCAGTTCTCTTTTCTTCGCGGCCACAACCATGGCCACCATCGGTAGGCAGTTACAGTACTTTCTCTTATGTCTTTAGGCTATGGGAATGTGGTTCCGGTCACAATGAAAGGCCGATTATTTTGTGTGGCCTTTGCTTTGTTCGGCGCACCTCTGGCTATCATTACAATTGGAGATTTGGGTAAATTTCTCTCCGAATGCACAATTTGGTTGTACAAGAAGATGTTGGAAGGGAAGAGATGGTGCAAGATTACACTGGTCAGAATGATGAGCAAGAATGAGAAAATGGATTCAGAAGCGGATACAGAGACCGGGGATTCGGAGAGGAACGGGCAGATCGACTGGGAGGACTTCGATCGGACAGAAGTCCCCGTTTTCCTCGTATTTATCATATTATTGGTAAGACTCGCATTCAAACCATCCTTTATTCTTACACTTTCAGTTATACATTGCATTTGGAGGTGTCTTATTTTCGTATATAGAGTCATGGAGCTATATGGACGCCTTCTACTACTGTAAGTTCATCTTTTTTCATCCTGGAATTATTTCCGCGACTTTATAACCTTTTAGGTTTTGTTTCGTTGACTACAATCGGGTTTGGGGATCTTGTCCCCGAAAGACATGAATATATCCTATTAATGCTCATATATCTCGGGGTTGGACTGGCTGTGACGACTATGTGTATTGACTTGGTCGGCATCAAATACATCCAAAAGATCCATTACTTCGGCCGTAAATTCCGAGGTACAGATATTCTTCAGATGCTGAAACGACGAAGAATGATTGAGAGAAAGTTGGCTATGGGAAATACAGAAGATGTGATGCAGATGATACATCATGTTGTACAAGAACAACAAAAGTAAGTAAAGATTACTTTAAGCCAAACAATTTAATTGCAGAGAAGTCCAACAAGCCAAACCAGCACCTCCGAAGTTGAATCTCAACTCTGCCAATGAGCTATGGCAGAATGAACAGCAAGAGAAGGCATCTTTAAGATCGAATGAAGAAGTTGCGGAGTGGCAAGCAGATGAAACTCTAGTTAATGATGAGTTGACCAGGGGTGGATTAACGACCGATCAACAGGAAGTGGAAGAATCGATCATTGGAATGTCTAGCCTCGATAATGTAGAGACGGCCATGTCAACAGCCGTAGAAGGGCATGAACAATTCCATGCGACTCTGATGCCAAGACCCGAGACTCCTCTGAGCAATTCATCGGAAGCTGGACGAGATTGGATGTACAACAACTGGGATGACACTGAGGACAGGATGGGAGGATCTGACGTTTCTGGACCCGCAGTGTCTGAGCATTGCAGTATCCACACATCTCCTTCGGTTTGCGAACGAGAAAGGATGTTCGATCAAGATCAATCGCCTCAGGGATCAGTGACGTCATTCAAGTTCTCATTCGATGGACCTTGGCCTAATCTGAAGGAAATTGGTCAGTCATTTTGTGTCCTTTTACTCCTAATTCAGCTGTGTATAAGTCCAGTTGAATTTATATAATTTCAGCAGCCCAAGCTCGTCAAGCCAGAAGATTAGTCAGCTGTCCAGGAGATATTGAGCGACCTAACTCCCCTACCTTATTCAACGCCATTCAAGGAACTGAATGGTTCCCATCCCAATCCTGTTCCTCTCTTTCATCTAATGTAAGGAGGTCCCGCTCGGAACACAGTATCCCTTTCTTGTTCCCCCGAATACTAACCCCTTCTTCTAACCCTATCCTACTGTATCTTTCTCGCCGGTTCCCTCCTTATTTACTTTCTCATTTGGCGGCTGTTCATGATCTCGAAAAAGGTCATGTTCTACTTGAGTTTAGGGAACATCCTCATGTCCGGATGTTCCTAGAACAACCCCACCAGCCCTCCCGCAATTTCCCCACTGCTTCCGCTTTCTCCGTTGTCCCTCATGAATCCACGAGACGATCGAGAGTGCTGGAGATGTTCACAGCCGTCAGGAAGCGATGTTCTTTCATCCCAACAAACAGCACTATAAGAACAATGACTCAATTAACCGGTGGGAATATTCAACTGACATTTGGGGCAAGTACAAGCAACAATGAACAACCTCAACCAGTTCTCAAGAGAAAGAAGAAAGCCCGATTGGCCAGAAATAAGGACCCGATTGTGGAAATGGATTGGCTGAATATTTCACCCAGATATTTGATCGTAAACCAAGAAGAAGACATGTCCAGTTTAGCTTCAGTGCCAAAGGATGCTGCTTTCAACCAAAATACCAATTTTTAACGGTTCGCTTATGGTTTGATGTGTGAATTGTAGTGCCCGTAATGGATTCCCAGTTTTTGTTGTAAAAACGCAGCACATGCTTGCACCTACCTTCACTATCTGACCTAAAATAATATAAAAATCATTTTTTATTTTCAGCCAGCGGCCGTGACCTGCATCGAAGATTGGATTTCCTATGTCCAGTTACTCGATGATGTCCAACAACCCTTATCTCGTGTTCGGTAAGTCTGTAAACCACCTTCCCCTTGACCTACGTGATCCCTTAGATCTCCCATTTACCCTTACATTGATGAAATTTATCCTCACACCGAACTGCCGTACACGCCATTCGAATGGCCTCCCAAAACGTGTTCCCCCGATGTACAGGTGCTTTCCCCGGTCTCCCCACAAGACATCTCCTCCCCCGAATTACACTCGCCCATCCCTACTTTCGTCCCCTCCACCCTCGAGACACAGGCCAATCCCGCGACTCACGAGGAGATGGTCGACGAAAAAGCTCAAGTTCAATGTCACACTGCCTTCAAGGGACCCGTTCCTATCAGACTACCTACCCCCGAACCTTCCGAAGATACATCCAGGTCGGTGATCATGTCTAATGCTGTCGTAGTTACCTCTTGTCGTGTCCTAACCCTAATCCCTGTTACAGTTCACTGCTTCACGATACCTCTTCTAGCTCCTCATATACAACCTCGCCCTTATTCGATATTGATTTGGGTGGATTCGAATTAGTTGACAGCGGATTATCAGCCGAAGCCCTTCTCTCCCACGATGATCCGGTCATATATCATCGAGATATGCCCGTTCATAGTGTACATCATGATACTGTCCAAACAGAAGCTGCTCTCGAGAATCTAATGAACGCTCCGGAAAGCATGCTCAGTAACTCGGTTCCCCCTACAATGGTCGCTGACAATTACTGCTTCATTGTGGATGGAGACAAGATCAAGATGGGCGATATCATGGGTGATGATCAATGGTGGCGGCATACGTCCAGACCTACCAAATACTTCTATAGTGAAGATCTCAGGAAGTTCTACCGAGTAAATTGCATCACAGCTCGAGGGAAGATAATCTCGGCCAGACTGGCTACAACAACACCAATGTCTGGAGGAGCGAGTCTGGGAATGCCTCCAAATCAACAAGGACCATCAACAAGCTCAAGTCTCCCAACAACAGCCGCTGCCTCGAGTGCAACCACACCCCGGTCCTCAATGTCCGTGACCAGCAAGAGTCAGAGAGGCGAGAAAGTTGCTCTGGAACATGTGTACAAGGTGATTAGATTCTATAGTTTCTGGAACACCTGCACCTCGTTCCATCGGATAGTTACAATGATAGACAAGATAGTCCCCGCCGACAAAGCTGAGAACTTCAACATGGACTTCAAACGAAGACTTTTCGTCCAATATCTGTGGAGAAATGCGAAGCCGTCGGATAAGGCGAGAGTCCAGAAAGAATTCGATCCCCGAAGACAGCGACTTCTACGATTTGTTACGAGTCCAGCTGAGCGGAAAAAGGTAAGCAAAAAGACGGAGATAATACGATTTCAGATGCAACAACAATACATCCAACAACAGCAACAACCGTGGACTCGAGGAGGAAGATAATAACGTTCTGTCTATAAATAATATTACTAATATATTTCTTAATAAAACTGTATTACAATTTACTGCTTGTGAAAAAGTACACAGCAAGCTTGCGAGCAAGACGTCAGAATTCACGCGAACTGGAGATTTTTGTTTTTTGAAATGTCAGTTTTCCGCATTTTTGTCACGTTTGGCATTCCGCCATTTCCGAATTTTATTTTTTCAGACTCCGAATTTTTCCAAATTCAAAATATTTGTTCTTTATGGCCAAACTATATTTTGAAGAGAATTTGACATGTTGTCCGTTTGGAGAAGCTACAGTATTACACTTTGCTGATCATACTTTGGTAAGGTTCTCTTTTTTGGATATCATTTTATTTTAGGGGACAAAATGCGAAATCCACAACTTTGCCGAGCAAATGAGGGTAATGTGAAATTATCCTTGATTTGTAAATGTAAAATTATCCATGGCCTTTGTTGTAGGATGATAAACCATGGTTTATGGACGAGAAAACTGATCGTATACCTCCCATCAACTTTACTCAAATCAAAACATTGAAAGAGATTAATGTACTTGATACTGAAATGTAAATTTTATGACTGGTATTAAATTTTTTAGATGCTGTAATACGAAGCTAGACTTCTGGACCACGCATTCTGTTGAAAATTTGAAGTTTAAAGATCCTGTTGACAAGTTTTTTTATATTCCGATTGAGTTTCTGTCCGTAAGTAATTATATGCTATTGTTTTATTACTGTTTAGGCCCGCATCGGTACTTATTTTTGTTCATGTGGAGCACTCTTGAGGCATACCGGCTTTATCTCACATTTCTTTGTCAATTATTGTCTTCATTTACTCTGGAACCACCAAAAAAACGAAGCTCTTGCTGAAAAAGCCCTCAAAAATATCCGCCACCTACACTCTGTCATCGAAAATGACCGAGATTCAGGAACGGGAGATCTCGTGTGAGTTCAGTCTGACAATAACCTATATAATACTACCTATTTTTATGAAAATGTTATATTTATCTTTCAGAGTTGATTTATTGCCTTCGAAAAAGTTTTCAAACATGATTTACCACAGCAGAGGTGAAAAGGGTGGTGTCTACTTGTGTTTGAAGTGCTGTTTTCGTTTTCCTTCGGTCAGAGCATTCAACACACATTGTATTAAGGATCACGGGCTACAGTAAGTGATTACTTTTCTTATGTTGTTCGATTTTTAGTTTGCGAACCGGCTTGGTTTGTGTTGACAAATCTCGAATTGGCGGTGAACCCTCCGATTCGCAGCTTTCAGCACAAAAAATGCTGATAATTCGGGATGGACGTGCCTTTGGATGGTAAGGGTAATATAGCGCTTTTATATTGCTGGAGATTGTAAAATTGATCCTAATTTACTCAGTGCAGGACCTGCGTTGATTGTGGACATGCCATCCGAAAGGAGAACAAGGTTGAAATCATCATTGCTATAATGGAACATCTGTAAGCAAACATATAATTTTATATATACGATATTCTTCAGATTCCTATCGATATGTGAGGGTGCTGTGGAATGGAGATCTGTTCGCCAGGATGTCTTCAGCGATCTTAACGACATGAAACGGTAGATGTTTCTTTATAAACGTCATGGTGTCATCACATTTTCAGGAAAATTATTGCAAAAGCGAAAGAAAATGAACAACAAATGTAGGTTACAATATTCTTTATGTGTATCAGTCCCTTTTAGAGATACTGCATTCATCAGAGAGCTCAAAGTACTCAACAAACAGCGGTGTTTGACTTTAAAGCGATATTTGAACGCGGACACTAGAAGTGGACTGGAAGAGCTGAATGATTTTGATTGGGAAGACATCGTAATATGTCCATTTTGTGTTACGGTGGCGTGGGATGTGAAAACACACTTTGAGAATTGGTAAGGAAACGTTCTGTTATATATACTTTTATATTATGCATGTCCAAAAAATATTTAATAATTTCAGTGCACTGATAACGAACAAAATTGCTATAATCAAAAAGGAGTCAAACAGGCCAAGAAGGGCGAGCAGAGCTAGATCAGTGATTAGTCTGAGCTTTCATCAAGGCGAAGAAACGGATCTCAACAATGATGAAGAGAGTTCAAGAAGAAGGAGAAGTAACCCAAAGAGAACTTGCACTTCGAAACAACAAGACAACACTTGCGAATCCATCGAGAATCTAACAATTGACACCCCAGAGAGGGAGAGAAGTCCAAGTTTAAGACCTAATATCAAACCTGTGACTCCAAAAAGAACGAGGACTAATACTGTTGGGAAGGTGGAAGAAGCCAAGAAAATAAGGGTTGATCAGCCTTCATGGATGAATAAGCTCCCGTTATCTTTCTCGAGAAAGTGAGTACAAGCTTTTCGAACGTAATCTGATATCACTTTAGTCGTCACAAATGCGACTTGTGCAAGAAATACATTTACACCTACTCTTGCACTCCGGCCAAACCATTTATGGTTTTAATTCACTTCATTGGACATCATAAAGGACTTTTGGAGAACTTAGAGATCAGGTAATGAAACTGAGACAGTCTAATATTGTTTTTATTTTAATTATAGAAAGCTATTCTCGGCTTATTTTCAGCGAATCCATCTCAGAATCTCAATTCCCTCCCTTGAATGTTCCTTTTTCTTTAAAACACAAAATTTTTGTTTGTGGCGAATGTAATCGCAAATGTAAAACCTTCAAAGAACTCGAAACGCATTCAACTCAAATCCACAGGGACTTGAAGCCGGATGATTACAGTTTCGGCGGGATCCGATGATATTATAAATCAATTCTCATTGTTACTACTTTATTGTTACTTGTTAAAAATAAAAATTGTAAAGTGAAAACCTGATTACAACTCTGTGTGGATAGCATAAGTGTCCTTGATGGTACTTGGATCTGGACATGCAGCTGGGGATCTCAACTTGAATTCGTATTCGCATCTGTTGGGTTCAGTGGCCTCATACAGCTCCAATTCCAATCCACATTCAATGACAACCCGAGTGGATCGAGGAGGTCCATTCCAGCAAGTCTGTCCATCTCCGTATTTCTGAAACGTATAGCTGTCTCCTTCCCATTCCTTCCAATCACCCAATCTGATCTCATGTCCACTCTTCTCTTTTTGGACGGTCTTTTCGAAAAGACAAACTCGGTAAGTGTATTGAGCTTGGTCCAACTCGGCGCACTGACCCTTCAAAGGAGCCCAGGCCTGATCTGGACCGTATTCGAATTGAAGGAAGCGCTCAAAATCACTAAAAACAGAATAACATATTATTGAAATTAGAAAAATGCTGACCTTATCTTGTTTTCAACGTCCCTGACTTGGTTAGAAGCTTCTCTATACTCATCTCTCTTCTTGTTAGCCTCCTCAATTAACTTCTTGGTCTCCTCGGAGTATTCAGGCTTCTTTTCAAAGTCATAATCTTCATCGTCCACAATAGGTTCAGGGTCAAGAAGATCATCTTCTTCTTGTTTGTCGGCCTCTTCCTCGGGCTTTTCCGCAGGCTTGGTCGCTTTCTTAAACCATTTTCTGACTTCATGAATCTTATCGTGAATGGCGTCTTCGGTCACTGCATTGCTCTCATCTTCTCCAAAGAGATCTCTCAAGTGGTCATCAGTAATGTCCTTATCGGCTTCTGCTTTCACAGCTTTCTTGAAGTCTTCCTTAGTAATTCTAAACGAAAAAATCAATTCAAAATTGCTACAGTGCACTTACTTTCCATCACCATCAGCATCGACAATCTTGAAGTACTTTTGAGCATCAGCCTTTCTGTTTTCCTTGACTTGTTCATCCCATTTGTCGTCTTCAACCTTCTTGGCCTCGTTTTCTTTATTTTCGGCCTCTTCCTTCTCGGCCTTCTTGATTTCCTCGACTGGTTTTAGGTCTTCTAATTGTTTCTTATAGTTTTCGAGTTCCGTTTTCTTTTCTTCCATAGACTTCTGGCCTTCTTCCGCCAACTTCTTTCTCTTTTCGTATCCATCAGAAACCATCTTTCTGTACTCATCGGACTTGGCCTTAACCTTGCTGTGGATCTCCTCACAAACATTCGGACACTTGGTCTCGCTGTCCCATTCGTCAGAACCATCGCAACAATCTAAACAAAAAGTCAAACTTATCTTGTATTAGTTAAACAAAAGTCAAAAAAATAAAAATAATGCTTACCACAGATAAAATCGTTCACCCGGCTAGATGGAAGATCCATGGCAATGAACCCATGATTACGACAATGGAATCTACCATTGGGACAAGCAGAGGTACCTTAATTTATACTATAGCACACAGAACGGCTTCAATTAAACTCAGTCTATACATTTTCGGCCTGATCTCTAAGAACAGAATGAAAAACAAAGTAATACCTGGCTCGTCACTTCCATCTGGGCAATCACAGTAGTCATCGTTTACTTGCTCGAATGGAATTGATTTGGATCCATCCAAACAAGCAAATTCTTCTTTCTCCTCGTACAAACTAGCTTCTGCAAGGAAAAAAATTAGAATAAAAAAACAAAATTATACGTATAAAAAATTTAACTTTGCTTACTCTCCTCAGGAACCCCTCTTGGCCGGTTTCCGTACTCCAAATCGGCTGCCAAACAGCATGCCAATGTCAAGTATAATATAAAAACGCAGCGATTCATCGTTCCGTCGACGAATCTGAACTCTTTGACAACTCAGCACATAGACGGAGAGCGTCTGCGCCCTCTCTGTTTCGGGAATATTCGTCGTTTTGGCGTCGCGCCAAACTCCGCCCCTTCGCAGTTTTAGCCAATCAACGTCGATGGCGTGGAATCGTCTCTAAATTTATAAATTTTTGTCGAAACGGCCTCGGAAATGCCTTTTGCCAACGCTTTTTTGACGGATAATATTATTTTAGGACATTTGTAATTTTTTTGAGGCCATAAATCGCGTCTTCATTATCAGTTTTGTTAATTTTTTATACCTAAAATCTGTCAAAAAAAAATTTTTTTTATCAGATAAATTTACAAATCAACGTATACAAACGCGGCTAGTTTTTTTCGTCATGTATAATATATTCACTATTATTTTTCCAGGTTTTAAGCCTTTATCTTGGGTAAAATGCATTTCGGCTGGGCTTTGATATTATTCTTGACCTTCGTCGAAGCTGGCAGGGATTTCTACAAGATCCTGGGAGTGCCGAGAAATGCAAACACCAACCAGATAAAGAAAGCCTACCGGAAATTGGCCAAAGAACTTCATCCGGACAGAAATAAGGACGATCCAATCTCACAAGAGAAGTTTCAAGATCTTGGAGCTGCTTATGAGGTAAGCTAAAGAGTTTCAGTACTGAATTTTCTTTTAGGTATTGAGTGATTCGAAAAAGAGGAAAGTCTACGATCGCCAAGGAGAAGAAGGTGTTAAGAACATGGGCGATGGAGGATTCGGGAGAGGAGGTCATGAACCTTTCTCCAGTTTCTTCGGAGATTTCTTTGGAGGGGGTCATGAAGAATCTGATGAGGTTCCCAAAGGCGCTGATGTTGTTATCGATTTATATGCTACATTGGATGAGGTTTACAATGGAAACTTTGTCGCCATAAAGAGAAAGAAGTCCGTTTACAAACAAACTTCTGGCACCAGGGAATGTAATTGTCGCCATGAGATGAGAGCCCAGCAATTGGGAGGTGGCCATCTTCAGATGTTCCAGGTTAGAGTTTGCGATGAGTGTCCAAATGTCAAACTGATACAAGAAACAAAACATCTAGAGGTAAGGAGTTGTCGTGAACATTATTATTGATGCTTAGGTTGAAATCGAAATTGGCGCGGATGATGGACATGAACAAAGATTCTCTGGAGAAGGTGAACCTCATGTTGACGGTGAGCCTGGAGACTTGGTTGTTAGGCTGAAGATCCACAAACATAATGTCTTCGAGAGGAGAGGATTGGATTTGTATACTAATGTGACCATCTCTCTTCAACAAGCACTCTCTGGGTTCGAAATGGATATTACTCACTTGGATGGACATAAAGTACACGTCTCTAGGGAAAAGGTATATCTTCACTGAGCTCTTTGGGTCTTTTTGGACATTTGAATGGTTTACAAAAATCCGTTAAGTAATCTTGGCTCTTATTTATATTGTTTTAGGTAACCTGGCCCGGTGCTCGGATCCGCAAGAAGGACGAGGGTATGCCATCTCTCGAAGACAACAACCGGAAGGGAATCCTTTACATTACATTCGATGTGGAGTTCCCGCAAGGTCAATTCAATGAAGAACAGCAAAAACTGATCGCCGAACTGCTACAACAATCAGAACACAAACCAAAAATATACAACGGGCTTCAAGGATTCTAGCTCATTACTTAAGGGTCTCCTCGGATCAAGGAGTGATCTGTGATACGTTGTTTTTGTAATTATAATAATATTTATTTTCTATAAAGGTTGTTATTTCTTTTTTTACATGGACTAACTTGCCTAATGTCTGTAGGATGGTCTTTTATACAATAAGATTTAATTATTCTGTAATATTCGATTTGTTTCTAAAATGAAGATAAACGCTCTTGGCTACAGGCAAATTTTGCCTTTACAATTCAGTAGGGGAAGAGTTGTCACAAAAGAATTTTGAGTCAACTCTCCCTTCCACAATTTGGCAGCTCGCGCCCGACATTAATTAATAAAAAATGAAAAAAGATACCGAATGATTGTAGTAAATGTACCAATGACCAGGAAATGCAGTCATCTTAACAGCGAAAGAGATGAGATTTTGAGGAATTACGAGCTCCTGGTCAGCCGGATCATTTATCCCCTCAGTTCCAATGATTCTCAAATCAAGGTAAGCCTCGTGATTACCATACCAATATTGTTTTCAGCTTCTAAGTGTGCAATGTTCACAATGCGAACGTCGAGCGGTGCCACTGATGTGCTGCTGTCTCAAGTGTCCAACATTTGCTTGTCTCGAACACTTCAAACCTCATTTATTCGAGTCCAAACATAATCTGGGTAAGTTACCTTGGTCTTATTTATTCGGAATTTAGTTGTTTCAACAACCTTCGGGCAAGTTTATTGTCTGGAATGTGAGGATTTTATCTACGATCGGAAGATAGAAAGAATCCGATTGAAAGCTGAGAATGATCATCGTCGGAGGCTCGGATTAGGTCTGAGGAATGAATGGAATCCTTCTTCAGCTGATGCCAAACTTCTGAGGAAGGCGCCAAAGGCCTATCATATGTCTAAGGGGACGATGCGAGGATTGAGAGGACTTGTGAATCTGGGGAACACTTGCTTTATGAATTGTATTATTCAGTCGTTGGTTCAGATCCCTCACTTGCGAGATTACTTCCTGACGGATCAACATACGTGTAAATTTCAGCTAAATGACATTTCTGAAGAAATTGATGAGGAAAATCTTTGTTTAATGTGTGAATTATCTAATATTTTTCAAGTAAGTTTTTCTTATATCGAAATTATCATTGCTTTCGTTTATACAATAATAATCCCTGAAGTAACAATGATGATGTTTTCAGGAATTTTATAACGGACCTACCGAGCCATTTATACCTAGAAGAATGCTGCATTTAGTGTGGAAACACGCCGAACATCTGGCTGGTTATGAGCAACATGATGCGCATGAGTTTCTAATAGCAGCCTTAAACGTTCTGCATCAACATTCCCAAAGTTTATCAAGTCAGCAAGCAGGTGTTGAGTGTAAATGTATAATCGATCAGCTCTTCACCGGACGATTACAGTCCGATCTGACTTGTATGAAGTGCGGGTAAGTTAATGTTTCGTTTTTTGCGATGTTTTTAGTCGAATCTCAACCACAGTCGATCCTTTCTGGGATATCTCCTTGGATCTCGGGGATGGAACATCTACTGATAAGACATTAGAAGAATGCCTGGCAAAGTAAGATTACAGGGTGCGGCAAAAAAATGGAAACTTTTTTCATTGGGTCCTGACGCGAAAATTTTTAAGTGCAGCAAAATTATTTTCATACCATTAGATTCTACGTAGTTTTCTCTCCTAGACCTTATGATTTCATGTCGATATCGGTTTACTAACATTCTTTTTTTGAATGTCAAACCAAGGGACCTCGATTTTGGACCTGTTTTTTAAGCTGATCGAAGTGTTAATTTGCCCGGTATTGAAACGACGTTGTGTCCAAAGTAGTCACACAATGCAAGGAGCTTGTTAGCAGTTTTAAGCGTCCATTCAGTTTAAGAGAACGCACCGCCAACACTTCTGCCAGCCGCGAGGTCATCGACAGCGAAATCCGTCGATTTCCAGAAAAAATTGCCCGTGAGACCGGCATCAGCGACCGACCAGTCGGCCAAATAGCTAAAAATCAGCTCAAGGCCTCCCCACGCAAGGTCTAAAATGCCTAACTCCTCACCGGCAAGATCAAGCCCGTACGCCTGAAAAAATGCCGAAAAGTCAGACGTCGGGCCGCAGGTCCCCGTTGGGAGCGCGTACCCTTTGCGGTGCAATGTTTGGCGGGTGCACAACCAACAGAACGTTAGAATCCAATCCGATGAGGCCTTCTGTACGTTGGCTAACCACGAACACCGTCAAAATCCGGGCCGTCGTCGCCTAAGGCGCAATTCGTGCCAGCGGCAAGAATTCCGAGATTTTCGTGGATCAAGAGGGCAAAATTCTAGCGCCGCGCTAACCTCGATTTCCTCATGCTTCTGTTGGCTCAGTAGAACCTTGGCAGTCTAAATTTGGCGTTACAACTAGACTCAACGCCGGCTCACAGGGCAAAAGCGGGTCAAGACCAGTAATCGAACCGATTTTCCCGATTTCACCCCGTCTGCGAAAAGTGCGCCTGCTCGCCGGGTATGGATCCAATGGGCTACAATTTTTTTTCAATTGAAAACCAACATCTGTAGTACACGCCACAGAAGTTTGGAGTCGCAAAGTAAATGTTGCGCCAAGAACGGGACCGATTTCCCCGAAAAAGGCTGCGGCCAAAAGCCCAAAATTTTAAGTCACGTTTGGAGCTCTAGATCGCCACCAAAAGCAGCCATGGTGAAACGGGTTGAATATGTTGTAAATAATGCTCTATGTTATTGATGATAACCGTTATATTTGCGGAATTTTGATTGCTAGGAAAAATATAGCTATAAAAATAAGTTTCCATTTTTTTGCCGCACCCTGTATAGTATTTATACATGACTATTTTTGAGTTTAGTTATGTAAAATCTGAATCTCTGGGAGCCACAGCGAAGATTAAATGTGATTCATGTGGAAGTTATGAGTCAGCGACGAAGAGATTAACGTTAAAGACATTACCATTAGGTATCAGCAACCGTCATTATTATTAATATTACATTTTAGTGGCCTGTTTCCATCTTAAAAGGTTCGAACACACACCCCTCAACCGGCGAAAGAAAATACGAAGTCCAGTGCGGTTTCCCGAACAGATTGATCTGAGCCCATACACAACTTCATATTGTACTAGAGTTGAAAATGGAATTGGAGGGTGCGCGGCGAACGAAATGCTGATCCGATCAAGTAACGTGTAAGTACGGGAAGGGTCCTGTTGAGTATTATTGAATCAAAACATTTTTTAAGGTTGATGATTTTTTGACGCTTGGTGATTTTCTGAAATTTACCGGTTTCCCCAAGTTTTGTAATTTTTACGGTTTTAAATTTGAAAAAAGTTACAGTATTTTGGAAATGAGGATTACAAGACTTCTACAAAAAAGGATATTTTTTCCACGCGAAATTGGGTGTTTTGAAGGAAAATGTTTTTTTCAATTGAAAACCAACATCTGTAGTACACGCCACAGAAGTTTGGAGTCGCAAAGTAAATGTTGCGCCAAGAACGGGACCGATTTCCCCGAAAAAGGCTGCGGCCAAAAGCCCAAAATTTTAAGTCACGTTTGGAGCTCTAGATCGCCACCAAAAGCAGCCATGGTGAAACGGGTTGAATATGTTGTAAATAATGCTCTATGTTATTCTCCATGCCCTTTGCAGATATGATCTCCTTGCCGTTGTAAACCACAATGGGAACACTGAAAGCGGGCATTACTCTTGTTTCGTGAGGCATAACCAGGACCAATGGTACAAAGTGAACGATCAGATCATCTCTCCGCAAGTTCTGGAGAGTGTCCTCGTTTCCGAGGGGTACCTTTTGTTTTATACCAAGAGCTTTATCGATTACGATTGATCCATCACATAAATATTGATTGTATATAGAGCCATTTGTCATAATAAGGTTTCTAACGTACTATTTAGGCATTTTAAGTTTAATTAAGAAATTTAATCCCTTTCCCGGTCCTTATAAATCGATTTAAACTTTAGTCCCAAATGTGAAATGTAAATTATTTTTATTATAAAAATGTTTTGGCACACATCATATCATATATATCTTTACAAAAAAGTTATTGAACCGCAATCTCGAGACTAGAATTTGATGAGAGTGAGTCTTTCTCCGGGTCGAAGCACTCCGGCTGCCCCAGGTTCAGGTCCGCGGGCACATCCGGCTGTTCCAACTTCCTTTTTATCGTGAACTCATCCTGATAACCAGATTCCGGGGTCTGCGGAGCCAGCTCGGAAGTGTTGGAGTCGGTGGAGATCGACGAATACACGGTGGATGAGGAGGTTGTAGTACAAGTAGATCTTCGGAGTTCGTAATCTGAGAGATCGTCGAGACCTTCTTCATCGATGGGATCAAAAGCGCCGTTCTTGTCGTGCTTTCGCAGCCGATGGGATCGTTTTCGTATCCTTGGCCTCTCCCCTTGGGGGTTTGAGGCCTTTCGTTCAGTGGCAACCTTCTGTTGACTGAATGATTCACTCGAATTGGAGAACTTGTGACTTGAGAAACCGAGTTTATCCGACCATGAAGAACTTCGCTCCATCATACTGGTTAAGGGAAGGCACAAATTGGAGGGTTTCTTTATCCTTGGCTTCACTTTATCCTTCAAATAGATGTCCGAGGCCACACATGACTTTGCACTTCGATCTTCCACAAGTTCGCAGACTCCATCGACCAAAGGATCGACTCTATCAACTCCAAAAAGGGGATTTTCCAAGGAGACGTCATTCTGCAAAGATATGTCGAGTTTGGAGAACTCTGTAGACGGGGAGGGGATGGTGGGAATGGGGATATTCTTCCAGGACAACGAGGGATTGGCCTCTCTTCTCGTGGCTGTATTCGAGAACAAGATCCGAGGTCGTTGAGGCATCGAAAGTGGCGTCTCCATCTTCCGTTTCCCATTCTCATTGGTCGGCAATTCTCGACGCTCTTTTGTTACAGTAGTCTTGACTGAGTCATCGATGGATTCCGGTCTTCTTCCGAAGCTTTGCGCACAGCCTGAGGGCACCGGAGGCAAGAGCTTGGCTCTTCTCAGATTGCGTTCGTAGACGGTCAATTGACCCATAAAATTGAAGTTAGGTGAGATCGAGGGACGGCGGGTTTGTACGAACTTGTAGGCGTCTTCTGCAGTCAGTTTTTTACTTCGCATTACATAGGCGATGGCCAACGTGGCCGATCTTGAGATGCCGGCCAAACAATGGACAAGTACCTTCTGATTACTTCTTCGAGCATCTTCTGAAAAAAGAAACGTCATTAAGGAACTCGTGATGAAACCAAAGGTTGGGGATGACTAATTGTTAGCTATTATATTATGTGTCATTGAGGTCAGGAACGAGACTACAGGTGACGTACAAAGGTCAATCACAGTAATCAAGAAAGGACTCACCGATAAACTCGTAGGCTTTCTCGAAGAAAGGCGACAACTTGGCATCGTAAGTGTCGTTGACTGGAATGCGCAAGAAATGACGTTCGTCATTGGGAATGAGATCAGATCGAGGACAGTTTTCGCTAATGTTTATCACTTTTTGGATTGGGAGTTTCTAAAACCACAACAGTCGGGTTGGAAGGGTCGAACGACGACTTACCGAAAGAAAATTTCTGTCGAGAGCATCTTCCTGGGACCCGAGGAACATAAAGTCGAGGATCTCGGTGGGCCCTGAGGGCTCGTTTTCACTAGATGAGGAGGCAATGCATGGACTAGAATAAGAAGTGGGCAGTCGAAGCTTCGTGAATCGAGGACCTGCCATCACAGTCTGCGCCGATGGAGAATGGTACAGATTGGACTTGAAGGGGGACTGACTACAACCCTGAGTCGCTTCATCCTGCTCGGAGAACAGGGGATTCGAGCTGGAAATGGTCGAAACAACTTCGGCGGATTCACAGAGCGATGGGTAATGTTTGTGGAAATCGGAGAAGGGTCCTGCAAAAATTTAATAAAAAAAATTGTAAATTAAATTACTCTAGACCTCCCGAGCCACAAAACCCCTCTTAAATTCCCCTTTTTTTGTGTTTCTCCCCCAATTTTTCTGGAGAATCCACAGCGACCCCGAATAAATCAATAGAAACCCCAAACTCAAAGGCGACCTGAATAACACCCGCAAGCAATCAATTTCCGTCTGATGAGTCAACTGTTTCCCCTAATTATTGAGTCAAACCGACTCTCCTCAGCAACAGTCACAACAAAAAGGTCACGCGCTTTCCCAATTCCGCGTGATCTCCGCTTTCCCAATATCTTCGTTATAACAGAAACCGTTACGTTGATGACGCATCATGTAACAAGACGATCATGTTCAATTCAATATTACTCACTTGGTTGGGAGGCGAAGCAGGACGGTCGGGTGCGACAAAACACACTTGAAGACGGGGGTACCATTTAGGGAGGGTAAATTCGAAAACTTCTTGGGCCCTGAGGGCTTAGAGATACGTGGTGGGAATCATCTTGAAAGGAAATGGAATAATCTCCGACTATACGATTACAATCCAGACGAAATACACGCAATATTTGGGGCCTTCACGGTCCGAAATCTACACTAAATGATACGAAATTGAGATGGCTGTTATACAAAATTGGAGTACACCCCAAGTTTGGTCGGCTTTAGTCATGAAAAGGCATGTTCTTGTTCAGTAAGAGGATTAAATTCCAAACAAAACTACTTGAAAGTTTCGTTATATAGGCTTTATCAGCAGCTGAGTAAACAAAAGGTGGGGCTATCAATTCTAATAATAACTCGTGCCTCTAATTACGAAAACAACAATAATGAAACCTTCGAAAACTCTCTTATGACAAATCCTTTTCCCAATGTTCATGAGCAATTCGTATAGAAATCGACTAAAAAGTAAAGTTAAAGGACCGACTCCATCTCCATAAAGGCTGGTTCAAATTCCCAAAAAAGGCGAAGAAAGGGAAGTAAAAAAGGGGTGATAGCGAGGATCTGACGCTAATATTTGTTTGGGAATGTATTGATTCCGGAAGACGAAGCTGGACGGCATTGCTAGTAAAAGGAAAGGGGGAGAAGAGAGGAGCGCAATCTCGCCCTCTCTGGCCACGAGCACTCTCTCCGTGCGGCCCCAAAAAACGGGAGTGCAAACTCTTCAAAAAAATAATCGACAACCCTCAAAAACCCCTCAGGGCAGGCACACCGGCAAAGGAAGGCCGGCTATGATGCGGCTCGTCTCTCGAAGAACACTAGACGTCAGCTCCCCAACAACATTCGACCCCCGAAGCGACAAAGAAACCAGTGACTCATCATCCATCCCCCCACAACGCAAAACCGAACGTCAGAGCGAAGAATGGTTACTACCCGAGAGTGCTTTTTCGCTCAAAACACGCCTTCTATCCATCAAAAATATGAGGGGTTTTTGGGAGTTGGTGAAGGATGTAACTGGGCGTTATGATGCGAAAAAAGTGTAACTATTCAACGTTCTGCAGAATGGATTGCAAAACAAATTTTGTTTTACAGCCAGAGCAGAGAATGACTAATCGATTGATAACACTCTTCCCACCGTATGAAACACCGTACCTTTCATGTGCAGTACCTTCTTGAACAACTCATATTGTTCGATCCGTTGGATGAGGGCGCTCAGGAACTTGGCAGTCCCCTCGAAATGTTTCTGGTCCTCCAGTCCATAGAGAACGAGGCATCGATCTCTGTCGCATTTATCAATTCCATTCATCAGTTGGCTTAGCAAGTAGTCATCTGAAGTCTGAAATCATTTCTCATCACCCCTTTCACGCACTCTGTTTACCTTTCCATTGAGAAATCGGCGTCTCAGAATCTTGGAATAGAACGCATTCCGCGCCTCCCTTACATGGCAGTAATTGTAATCGAAAAAACTTCGGCAGTCGAGTATCAGGTATTGCTGAGGGTTCGCGGAAGTGTTCAGGAGGACCGCCAATTCATGCGGGCTCAAAGCTTCTACCTGCATAGCCTCCGGCAGAAGCGCTCACACCAACGAAAGGTAGATGAACATTTTCTGCAGAAGTAATTGTATTTTAATGGAAAAAATGTATTCCAAATACAAACAAATTATGTTTGAATTAAACTGTAACAGTAACAAGGAAATATAACATGTCATGAATATGCACAAAGTGGTTGCACAAAAGAATGATTCGTAAGAAAATTCAAATTACGAAACGCGATGATAATTAAAATAAAAAAAGCTGGAGGTGAAATTTACAGATAGTGATGAAAGGCACCAATTGAGATTACAATTTTCGATGAGAGACAAAAAATTTTATAGCCGCGTTTGGCAGAATTTCTGAAAAGTTGCCGAAAATTTTAACTTTCCAAATGGAAAAGCAAAATCATGAGAAAAAACTAAAAAATCAGTTAAAAAAATTAAAGCAGGAGGTATGCTTTTCAGTAATTTATAATTTAGAAAGCAATTATGCCAAATTTCAAGCTATCGGAGCGTCGCAGCTGGAGAATTCCTCTTTTAAAAAATGAATAATGGAACAGCGATATGCAGCCAATATAAGCATGCCTGGACTAAAGTTTGTAAACAGAAAACTCCTCACATGACATCGGAGAAAGCCGCAAACAGCATTCCCCCAAATGGAGTCGTATTTTAGGTGCAAGAAGCAAAACGGCCAATTGCGCAATCCTTGGCCAAGATCTGAGCGTCATGAGTCAGGGCCAGTTCTCGGGTGGCCTCGCCTCTTCCGAGAAACCCTCACCTCCCACCTCCACCTCGCCAATGACGCAGTTCCCCCAAGTGTTTTTCTTGAGAGAACAACGTCATGATGAGATTAAAATCTCCGTAAGTTTATTAGAGGCCTCAAAATTAATTTCTAGCCTCTCCAAAACATGCAAATATTTTATAAAACATAAAAGAGAATATTTCCCACAGAACGGCCGCTCTGTTCGACGAGAAGCGAGCAAAAAATTGGGGGAGAAAGAGGCCTCGGGCCGGCAATCACGTCACTTTCAATTTCGACACACATTTAATGCACATAAGCTATGAATCCTCACAGCCGCGTGTTTACATTCGTTAATACCTTCCGTGATATCGTTTAGTTCTGCGGTCCAATGCCGCCCGCAAAACATGGCCATCTTCCCCACTAAGCTAAGGCTCCAATTCAAAGCCGTTACCATAACACTCAACTTAATCACCTGGATGATGATATTAGGGCAAAATTAGTCTTTAGGATGATAACACACAAAGAAGCCTGCAGATAATCTCCTCCCAAGAACAAAACTTAAAGTATCGTACAAAGAGATTAAGATCGAGTACCGTACATTGGATGGTGCAGTTTCAGAAAACGGATAAAGATCCAACTCAGACGAAGGAGCAAGCCGGATAAGTGCACAAAAAAGCATTAATGATACCGACTTCAAACAGTGTTACATAAAATTTCATACTTTTTCAAAGTTACACTTATATGAAAAAATTACACTTAAAATTCACACTTTTTTCGGATTACACTCTTTTTACAAAGGCGAAATAAACTAATGAGTCTTCGTTCTTCGAACTCATTAATATACTTAACTCCCGCATTTGGGTCTTCATTTGGCTTGGACCTCCATATGGTTTAACCGCAGTTCGACGGCACTTTAGACAGAATTACAAAGTAAAAGATCAAGCATCAGTGGATAAATGGGAGAAGATTACTGATATCGACCTCAATAAATTCGTTTGATGCGATAGAGACACGGACGTAATCCGACAAACCCATTTCAAAGTCAACGTGACTCATTTTTATTCTCGGAACGAGGGAAAACTGAAGAAACCATCAAAAATCTGATATCACCACTATATTTTAGGCACTCTTATCAGACGTTTTATCATTAACGGAGTTTGAAAGCACTCAATTATTTGAAAAAGAAGAACTTTCTTTCCTCAAACATCCAAAACCTCTCACGAGGGAATGGTCTGAACTTCCCCCAGCGTTTGGGAAAACGACTAGTACAGGTGGATAGAGCATGTCAACTTTGGTAAAAAGAGCCACTTTCCAGCTGCGGAATAAGCCCGGCCGACGAGAAAAATCGACCGAAAGTTCCACAAAAATTTCCTCTTTCTCTTCCCTCGGAAAAGAAGAGCGGTGTCCAGTGGTTCGGTTAGCCGAGTGGATAAAGCATCCGTTCGGTATTCTTTTGGGGGTTGGTTCGATTCCGGGGTCTCGCGAAGGACCATGATAAGGCTTTGATGAGCAAGATCAAACTCTAACAACCCAAAAAAATATTTTGCCATTTTTATACGTTTTATAGGGGAATTATACCAAACATATAATCGTCAAAAAAATGAATTTTTTGGGTGCTTCCGACCTTTCAAAGCGATGGAACGTCGAAGTTATACTTGTTTGGTGATAGACTTGACTTTGAAAAAGGCAAAATAACTTTTTCTGGGTTGCTAGAGTTTCATCTTGCCCATCAAAGCCTTATCACGGATCCTTCGGGAGACCCCGGAATCGAACCAACCCCCAAAAGAATATCGAGCGGACGCTTTATCCACTCGGCTAACCGAACCACTGGACACCGCTCTTCTTTTCCGAGGGAAGAGAAAGAGAAATTTTTGTGGAACTTTCGGTCGATTTTTCTCGTCGGCTGGGCTTATTCCGCAGCTGGAAAATGGCTCTTTTTACCAAAGTTGACATGCTCCATCCACCTGTACTAGTCATTTTCCCAAACGCTGGGGGAAGTTCAGACCATTCCCTCGTCAGGAATGACGTAGTTTGTGGAAGGAATGAGGGGATGGGAAATTTTAGATATCAAAAGATGGATTATAAGTGAAGGGCACTCCTAAAACTTCCACAATTTTTTTCTGAAATGCAGTAGGGAACAAAAAACCCTACTCTTGCAATGATCGAGACTCTCGAGATCGAAATTCGATTCGCAAAAAATTGAGGAAATGCCTGGAGGGAACACTTGACTCGTTCAGTGCAACACTTGTCCCACGCGCCAAAAAGGGTTTCAATTTATTAGGACTTTTTTTGGTTCTCGAGAACTCTGCAAGCGTCTCGTCGAAGAAGATCACCGACGATGCCTCGCAAAGTCGCTAAAAGACGCCGTTCCAACCTTGCCGCAGCTAGCTCTCCGAATCATGGCGAAGCTACTACTCGAAAAGGTAGGATTTGTGGGAGTTCTCGGAGATTTAGGCATTACGAAATCCATGGCTGTTTTTGTTTATGTTTACTTGTTTCTTTAGGCATCCTTTAGGGTGTTTCAAGGTCAAATTAGATTGCGACTACGATATTATTGCTTGAGATGGATAACCTTTGTTTCTAGGTTTTGTAGCGAAATTTCTGGGGAATTTTTCTGCTTGGGAGTTTGGTCTGACCAACGACTGATTATGAAAATTTAGTGCTTCGACGGCACAAGTTCCATTTAAAACAAGAAGATTTTGCTCCTGTGGTTGAGGCAGATCGTTGTTTGACGTGCGGAGAAGGAGAACAATTGGGACATCCAGGTCGGAATCAGACTCGAAAGCCGAGAGCGATTGATACTCTCGATGAAAAGCTCAGATTTGTGGATGCCTGCGCGGGTGGTGTCCATTCCTTGATTCTCTCTTCAGATGGCCGGGTATTCAGTTGTGGTTGCAATGAAAAAGGTACCGTTCCTGTAAATGGACTTGAAGCTGAAGGTATCACTGATGAGTTCACGGAGATATCGTTCACCGAGGAGATCAAGGCTCATGGAAAGGTGGGGGTTTCTGTTTTTATATTATTCTTGGTTTAGTTGGTGCAATTGGCCGCTGGAGCTAGCTTTTCCGCCGCTTTGACGGATAAAGGAAGTGTTGTAGCATGGGGAAACCTGAGAGACAGTCAGGGAGATGTTACCAGTCACACACAGCTCAGTCAGATGCAGAAAGGTCCAGTTGTTATTGTTCAACATTCGAAGATTGTGATCGTCAAGATCGCCGCTGGAGAAAATCATCTGGCTATGTTATCAAGTGAAGGGGAGCTCTTGACGTTTGGTGAAGGATCAATGGGACAGTTGGGCAGATTAGCGAGATCAAACCATATCAGATCAAGTTTGTTTTATTATGCTGAAATTCAATTTTCTATGTTAATTTTGTGGGTACCTATATTATCTTTGGCATTTTTTCAGGTTATATGGCCGACGACTCGGGTAAACACTTGAAACTAAATGTATTGGAAAACGGAAAACTTGTGAAATTTCAAAATGTGTTTGCCGGTGGCTTCTGGACAATTGCCAGTTCCGAGGACGGACGTTTATTTGCATGCGGTTTGAATAATTATGCACAATTGGGTCTGCCATTACCGACTACAGAAGAGACTCATCCCTCAGACAGCGAACAGATGGAGACTGATGAGAAGGACTATCGAATCACACGGCTTACGCATGTGAAGGCTTTCGATTCCGAATACAAATGGACCCACATTGCTGGAGTACAGCACCTGGTGCTGAGGAATGAAAATGGTACGGTTTTTAGAGTTTATTCTTGGTTTTTCTGAGGAAAAACGAGTATGAAGGGGAGCGTATTAATGTTATTATCAACTTGTCTTGTTTTAGGGGAAGTTTTCGCGATCGGAAAGAACACAGACAACATCTTGGGTCTGGGAACCTGGAAAGGACGAGATGACACCGAATTCTGGCGATATGACAAGTTGCAGAAGGTCATCTTCCCGGAGGGTGTGAAGATCGCCGGAGTGAACGCTTCTCTCGCTTGCACAATCGCTTGGACTGATGAAGGCATAGTTTTGAAATATATTAATCACATCTTTACCCCCATTCACTCTTAATTCTGACTCATTTCAGGAGAATCTTATTCATTCGGCTTTGACAGTGCCGGCCAGCTCGGTCTGGGGATCAAGGACGACGAGGAGAAGATCGTCCCCACGCCCCGGAAGATCCAATCGGCCCATCTGGATGATTACAAAGTACTCCGGGTCTCAGTCGCCGACCAACACGCTGTCTTTCTTGCTCAGCATAAATGAATTGTCATATTGGTTATTGTTATTAGTTCATCATTTTACTCACTCTTTCAAATTAAATCCTTCTGTTAAAACGCTTTTGATTTATTATTGCTCATGTTCAAGGTATAAACACTAACCAAGTTTCTATTAAACAATGTATGTAAGTACAATATACAAAAATGAGAGGTTCTGGAGCCGCGCAAAGATTGGATTGACAAGTTATTAGCTATTATATGATAACGCAAAAATGTCGATATCCATAGGATAAACAAATTTACAATGGTTGAAAGACTACTATCAACAACAAAACGTATTTTGAAAAATTTAAATTGTAGAAGATTCTAAGAATTTCGCTGTATTACACATTGCTTGTATATTATTTGGCTATGACAAAATATAAAACCCAATCTCGCGCGGAGGATGAGATAACAAAGTGAAACAGAGCTGAGGTCGTTTCTTTCTGTTAAAGGCACATCTGTGAAGGGGACCGGGACAAGACCAGCTGGTCCCAGTCTACCTAAAAGCGGCTGTTGTAGCGGCCCGGGGTCAGGGGTTTGTGGTGTCTGACCAGCACCTTGCTGATATTGCTCTTTTCCGTCGCCGGATCGTATCTAATCGGGCTTGTAAGGGTCTTTCTCGGCCGCAGACCGTATTTTAGATTCCCGGGGCTTGTTGAGTATGGCTGGGGTCGGGCGCTGAAACAGGGGATTACTGTAGAATCGTGGAGAAGTTTTTGCCCAAACTTGGTTGTATTAGATATCAAATTTAGTTTTAGTAGATACCATAACCGTCTAATTCCTTCACCATACCCCATGATTAACAGAAAGTGGACTATTACTGAGAGAGGAGAATCCCATGTTAACTTATATTAATTATATTATCCGTACCTTTTGATCGAGGGAATCCTGGGCGAAGTCTTGTGATGTGTGGTCGCTACGATTACTTTGGAGATCTGAAGAGAGAACTCGGCCATTTAGAGGTCCAAATAGTATTTATTACGAAATTCAACCGGTTTTTGAAAGCGATATGGCACATCAAATCGAGCACGATAACTACTACAAGTGCAACAACAACAAAGTGAGTGTTAGAAAATGAGTTAAAAAGGGAGTGCAGAGTGTGAAGTTAGAGAATGCGGCATCTAGCTGGGCCACCCACGCGAGGAGGCTCCCGTTGCACAACGGTCGGGCGATACGCATTCGTCGCGTTAGAATAACCATCACCGGTTCTGTTAAGGGCTCGGCGTTCTCTACGCTAAAGCCAGAATACCCAAAACAACCACAAAACAACGTCAACAAACTATTAGAAATGCCTTTACAAGGTGGACGCGCAAAGAATGACGAATTTTGAGCGCTAAATTTAGAATTCGTCATTCTTTTCGCATCAGATATCGAGTGCAAAATATATATTGACTTACAGGCATTCGGAACGAGCTTAATGAAGTCTTCTTGTAGGCATCGGGAGGGGGTCGGGGAACCGTTGAGAGTTTCATTTGTTTTATTGGAGTGGTTGCAGTAGGCCCATGATACGTAGGAGTAGTTCCACAAGGAATGGGATTCACGAACGTATCAGAGGGGTGTTTGGCCACGACTCGTTGAGACCGGAGCTTCATTTCGTTTAATCTGTCACCCTGACTTTGACCTTTGTCATTAATTGTCGTCTAAAGAAGAGATTGCAATATTATTTTAGTCCAATCAATTCTTTGTTTTACTCACCTCATCGTAATTTCCATTGATGACCTTGGTTGGTTTAGCATCTAACGAGATCTCAACTACATTGTCGTTTCTCCTATCTTCATTCCTTTGAGGACTTCTGTGAGGAGATCTTGTTTTTCCTTGAGAACTTCCTAGTTTCCAACACCACGCCTGCTTCTCAATTAGAAATTGTTGCTGAGGCCCGATGACTGATCCAGGTCGGCATATCCTCAACCATCCCATACATTGCGGAGCAGTCAGTTTGAACTCCTTCATCATCCAACAGGCAATCAGCGTTCCAGTTCTGCCCAATCCAGCCTTACAATGAATGGCTACGGCTCCTGGAGCCTTGTCCACAATATCAATAAATTTGAGGACAATCTCTTGAGTCGGAGTGGATCCATCAATAAAAAAGAGGTCTTGATGATCAAATCCGGCGTCGATGAATCTGAAACAAATTGTTGTGATTTACATGAGGCCTCTGTTATTACTTTGGTGATATTTCTCTTACCTTTTTCTATCATACAACTTGGTGTTCAACCTGACAATCGTTGAGACTCCCTTTTCTCGAAAGTAATCAAAGTAGACCTCCGGTGCGTGATATGGATATCCTAAAAGCAAATAAATTTTTCCCACATTAGACCCACCATTATGAACATAAGATCGATCATGGGGCCCGCAAAAGCTGAGGATCTTCCCGGGGATTATCCAATTGAGATCTCCATTCTCGACTCTTTCGTAGTATTCGTATTCCTCGGGATCAAACGTTTCAAAATTGAGCCAATTAAATTTTAGGGCCTTCTCTACTGCCTTGATTGTATGCTGTAAATGTAACAAATAACTGGGCTCTCCTAAAGCGGCATCTATGTATCCTATGAAAGCTGGTGGTTCTGCTCTTTGCACTCGAAGGTAGGCTTGGTCGGCACCGAGTTTGTGGTAGATTACCTAAAGTTGCATACATTACTGTAGGTAAGATAATATGAAATTTAAAATTATGAGGCATCGTATGAACTTACCATGTAACTAGCAACTAGAAAAGCGGAATTAACTCTATTACAATCATTGGAATCACTGCAGATTACAACTCGTCGTTTTGGATTTTCCTAAAATTATAATGATTACTTTTCAAACGACTTACTTTGAGAAGATTGTCAATAAAAAGACAAGCTTTGTGTAATTCGGCCAGATTTATTGGCCCAAAATCTGAATAGAAGGGATGATATGCGACCTGTTCATCTATCCTGGCATGAATCGTATGATCATCATTCCGTGGCATCTCATGGAACGAACCGAAAAACAACTTGCCCGGAATGATCTGGGCAACATGGCCATACGGCCGTCCGGCCGTCGAGGTCAGGGTCATATTGGCCAACTTAACGGAGAGTGGCGTTAACGGGGGCGATGGGCTTACGTCGTCCGTCTTGAGAGCATAAATGGAGGTCAGCGAGTGCCTGAATAGCGGTCAGTTCGCTCGTAGACAAGGAGAATATAAAAATAACTCGCGGCAAAACAAACTCGCTCTCGAGGAAGCAACGCGACGCTCTCGACGCCTCCGAATCAATGGGGTGGCTTTTCGCAACGGGCGGGAGAGGCTTTGCTTCCCTTCCCCTTCCCAAGCACGTGCCCCTTTAAAGCCATGGGCAGACTGCGCCCGCGAGCAGGGCGCGCGATCTCTGTTTCTGGAAGAGCCGCTCCGCCACCGTCCCATCTGCAACAAAACATCCCCGGAGGAATGCGGGGCGAAGGAATTCTAGAGATTTTTTTGTCAGATCAGTGACTGACGCGTCTCGTGACGTCTTCTTCCCCTTTTCCCCCGTCTTCACGAGCCTGTCCGTCCCACCCTGGAGGGGGCCAATTAGTTCTCAAACATTTGTCTCAGGTTTTTCATGACTATCTAATTCCATTTTCCGTCTGAATCCACAGGTAGAAAGGATGGATGAAAATAAGCGATTTCCGGATCAATTTATAAAGCGGATCTAAGATAAATGTAAACACTCTTATGGGCCAAAATTATCCGAAGCGCCTTAAAGTATCTTAACATCGTCTCTAAGTGCGAGAAAAGGCATAAATACAGCAAAAATTAAAATCTACAATAAAGTACATTTTCTAAATTAAAAAGTACCAAAAATTTATCCAAATATCCTAATTATGCAGTAAAATCAGTGTGAATCCTCTGAAATCTTCTCTTCAAATTTTAAACTCAAGTTTATCGCAAAATAATAAGTTACGGTAATTGTTTTGTGTTTTGAGGGAAACACACGACCCGATGAGTCAAGTATTTCTCCGTAAAAAATATCTCCAAAATATGTCGCTTTAAGTTTCCGGTTAAGCCATAGATTTTATATAAGCGGAAGGAGATCCCCTTTTTACATCGATATTGCCCTTCGCCAGGAGTTTAACTGGCTATATTGAACATGCCAATAGTATTATTTGCATGTAAAATAAAATCGCATGAATATTTGATGAGCTAATATTGATAATTGCAGACGCTCGGCCCCTCTGGCGTTCCCATGAGTCTTGATGGCCTTAGGGAATCATGTGGCCGAGATTGCGCGTCAAGGGATCTGGGCGTCGTTGACCGGAGGCTGGTGTTATGAACCTTCCAACTCTTTGTTCTGCAACACAGTCCACCTCTACATATGGAGTGTTCTGTTGCTCTTTCCACTTCTTTTGGGTCTCTTTACTGCCGGTAGTACAACCTGGGTATTATGTGCGATCTATCTGGTATTCGTCCTGCTTTTGTTCTCGTTGGTCAAGTTTATGACCATTTATTTGCATCGGCTGTTCGATAAGACGGAGCCGATGATTGCCATGAAGGACAAGAAGACCGCGACTTCCGAGACTTTCCGAAGCCCAGTTTCATCGTTTTCGACGACAAGAAGAGAGACTAGTAATATTGATGGACAAGTGGTTGAAATGGTGGAATTGGAAAACAAAGGTGGAGAGAATAAGGCTAACAATCAGGTAGACATCACTTATTCAGGGATTACTCTTTAGGTGGAGCTGGTATTCGAAGATGAACAGAGCTTGGCATCTTTGGCATTGTCTGCGGGAAGTGGGGAGAACTCGAGTAATGCTTTGTTGGGGATCTCGAAGAAGGATCGGCAGGGAATTGCACTGCCGACGGATAGTCTGGAACTCATTCCATTGCCTAAGAATAATAGGTGAGGGTAAAATCACTTATTTTTACAACATTTTTTTGATTAATCATCATATTAGATTCGAAAATAGATATGGGTTTTCCATTAACTTCTGACCTTATTTTAGTGATCTGATCCGTCAACGAAGTTTTATGAGTGGTCGAAAAATGAGCGAACCCAATTTTGGCCGGTTGATTCGACGGAGTGACAGAGCGCTAACAGATCCAGGAAGAAAGATTCGGAGGGCCAGGAGCAGCAGTGACACTCATGGAGAGATAAAACGAGGTTATGATGGGACTCTGACCGTCAGCAATGTCCATTTTGCTCATGTAAGTTGTAGAAAAACTTATATTTACTAAAATCATTTCCGACATTAATATAAACCTTTTAGGAGACGAATCTCAAGAAAAACGAGTCTCAGAGTGGAAAGAATAACTATTCCAGTTGCGAAGGTAGGTAATCTAAATTTACGGTTAGTCATCTTACTTTAGATAATGAACCCTGCTGCTCTAAATACATTGATAACGAACCCTCGAGCTCCAAACGACCTGAAAAAACAAAAGCTTTGGCTATAATTCCAAGCACTGCATTGCACCGGACTTTGGAAAGGATTGGAAACGAAAATCTCCCGCAGTTGAGAACCGACCGAGAAGGAGATTTGAAGATGCAGATCACAAAATTCTTGGAAGAACTGATCGATAAGCATCCAGAAACTCTAGATGCCATTGAGAATGTGAGAATGAGTCGGTTATGCAAGCAAGATGGGGTAGCCTACAAAGTGCATGAGCCAGATTCGATAAACTCGAGGTACAATTGTCATGGATAATATATTAGGTTGGACGGAAAGTTCGTACGATTTTTTACTGCTGCTATTTTTTCTTGCGCTGATGGAAAAAGACAAACACAAATATATGGTGTCGGTAGGGGACAGGCATCCCTATCTAGCAGTACAACCTTCAGCCATCTTAAGCATTTACGAACTGAGAACTTAATTTAGACATTTACCCATCTTTGGTCCAAAATTACAAATCCTTGGCTGGTTTGTTTAATAAGGCCTACCAGGAAATTGTTTTGGCACTGCTAAAAAGCCTTCTTCTGTAGCTCTTAATATGCGTAAAGTCGCCGGGGACTAAATCAAAACATAGCCATAAAATTTGACTTTTGCAGGACCACCCCAAGTTTGAATATAACTGCAACCGCCGCTTTGCCGGTGCATTTCTATGTGTAAAACTATGATATGCAGAAACTAAGGACAATCCCTTACACTCAGCTACCCCTCAATAGCCAACTGTTTTGCCGTACGACGTAATAGAACTAAATTACTTTTCTCAAAAAATCGTTGGTGAACTGTTGGATCATCCCGTACAATTCTAAAAAGAGCTCATAACATCTTTCCACTCCTCCCTTTCTTGGGTGCAAAATAGAGCCGCTTTATTGCTCTACTACCTCGTGAAACAATGGGCTACCATTGTTGACTGTCACAAAATTACGCGCATTGCTCTACAGCTATAATTTTTTGCAATTTTGTCTCTTTGCGGATAACCCGAGGCATCTGTGATCCGGTTTACTCATGTTGCACGTAAAGGGCTCTCTATGTGCCTTACTGCACCCTATTACAGAGACAGACAATAAGAAATACGCGGAATAATAAGAAAAAGTTTTCATAGGGGGCCTTTGCTGAAGACTTGGTTGAAAGTGTTGCTATTATTTTATCCGACACGCTTTTTTATGATTTCTAATTGTGTTTAACGTAGTCAGAAAGACCACTGGACATTGCCTAAAAAGTTTCAGAGCTTCATCGAAAGCGATCTGGAAACTAGAGTTTGCGTTCTGGACCCTACCCGAAATAGCCGCAAAGCGGAAAACCTCTTATAATTAAGCTCGTTTTGGCGGAGCTAACGATTGGCACGTAGCATATAAATCTTCACACTGTACTCTTGTATATGCTAGGTATTTACGGTGGGCAATCGGTCTTGGCGCGAAAAAAATTAAATTGAAAGTTGGGTAAAAAATCGTACGAACTTTCCGTCCAACCTAATAATTTTTTACATAACTCGTCAAACTTAATCTAATTTTAGTGAAAACACCTCTCCATCGGCTTTACAACTTGGCCTTCGACAAGGAACTCATGTCGCTTATGATCATGAGGACACCACAGACGGGGCAGTTCACTCTTTTCAAGACGAACACGGAAATTGGTGGACGTATGCCTTCGATGAACAAGGAAGTGGGACTGCACAAGCTCTGGGATCAAGTACAGCCATCGCTGAGTTATTTGACAGGAGAAGAGAGAAGAATTATGATGGAAATGAGGAGAAGATCAAGAGATTTCCCAAAGTTCGGCATCCAGATGACCATGAGTTTTCTTATAAATCGACCGGTCGGTTGAGTGATGCAAGACCGGTGGAATTGACCAAAAAGAAGGATCATAGGAGGAGTTTGTCGCTTGGGCCGAGAGATTCTGTCTTAGTATCTTCTAACGCATCTTATACGGAGCTGGAAAACTTTTCGGTGGGATCTTCTGGCCATAAGCCTCAAGAAGATGATAGTGACTCGGACAAGTGCATATTGGATCGCCCAACCAACGTTTTCCATCCTTCTGGAACTACGAATGCCGCCGAATATGGGTCTAGAGGGGAGAGGATCAATAATATTGACAATACTAACAAGTAAGCACATTGCACTTGCTTCTACCGTAATCTGAATCATAATTTTTGATAATTTTAATTTCAGTAATAACCGTCCATTCATTTCGTTTGTAAATTTGGCCTCGAGATTGTATAATAATCAAATCCAACGGAATTCTCCGGGTAATCGAGAACGGGCTTCAATTCATTCCTCCTCTGCCACCCAGTGGAATGTTCCTTATAATTTTCATCCAAACATGTCTCACCAATCGCGAATGGCATTGGAAGCGTTTGCTTTGGAGAGTAGAAGGAGGCTACAGGTGGACTCCGGAGAGCGTCTTCAATGGTTGGTCGATTTTTTATTTTTTTGGTATTTGATGACGTTGTTGTAGGCATGATTATATGAGGTTGGACAATGAGCTTATGGTGCTGGAAAATGCGAGCAATTCGAGTAGAAGACAATCTAACAATTGTAAGTTAATCATTAATGAACACCTTTGACTTTTTAGTCGCTCCACCTCGAGTTCGAACTCTTCGACCGCCTCCGGCCAAACTAAATTACTATTATCGACTCCGATTGTTCCCGAAATGGGTGCCTTTCTACAATCCAAATGGTGTCAAACTTAAGGTAGGACGATAATCTTACGTTATATGTATTTAGTTATACTTCTTTTAGCAATTAAAAATCTCAATTTCAGCTCAATCGTCTGGCCCTTACCGCCTTGTTCGACAGAAATCGCTCGCTGTCATCGTGTGTATTTGATATCATCATCGGGTCTCTAGTAACTCTAATGGCTGCCATTGTCATTCATCGAGGCATTTATTCGGACATCTGCACTTTAATCTTTGCATTTATTGTGGCTGGAGCTCAGGTAGCCTAAAACAATATAATTTTTATCCCCCAATTTAGTTTTCTCTCCTCAAAAGTGTCCAACCAGATGCCGCATCTCCAATTCATGGTTTCAATTGGCTGGTTTGTTACTCCAGAGCAGTTTACTTTTGTCTTTTTTGTGCAATTGTCCTCTTATTGGAATGGGAATTGGATCATATTGGCTCGGCCTTTGCCTCCCCCAGTCGGATCAATCGAGTTGGTCTTCAGTGGAATCCAAAATATGCTTCTGAGATGACTTTCGAAGCAATGATAGTGATGATGCGGGACTTTGTGGCAGCTCTAATCCTGTTCTTACCCATCATGTTCACCCTCGGACTGCTTCCTCAAGTCAATACATTAGTTATGCATGTTTTGGAACAGGCCGAAATGAATCTGTTCGGAGGCACTGCAGCTTTTTCAATGTGTTCTTCCATCTTTTCCGTGACCAGGTCTTTGACGGCCATCGGAATCTTGGCCATTCTTGGGAGTTGGATCAATTTCATGGAGCCGGATTCAACTCAAAATCTCTACTTCTCAATTTTCGTTGCGATTATGTCATCATTTTCGTATGTGGCATCAAGGTAGGATAAATTTATATTGATTTAGATGACCAAAATTGCTTTTTTATTTTATTTAAAATAAATTTTAGATGGTCCAACAACCCTCTGTTTTACCAAATGCTCTGGGAAAAGTGCTGTTCCTGCTGGGAAAATGGGATTTTCTGTAAAACAGCGCCGGAGAGTGTGGCCGAATCTCGAGTTACGTATCGACCAAAGGATGCCAACAGTGGGCAATCCGTGTTTTTGGAATTGCGAACGGTGGATGAGAAGAAGAATTCGAATGCCCATGACTTTATGTCTGGGAAGGGTATGACCGATCCTTTGCCGGATCAAATTAGACATACCTTGGTGTTGAGAACACAACATGATTGCTTTGTGTTCATCTTGAACAGCTGTTTGTTATTTGCTTTACATTCCACATCCGTTTTTACAGCGGCCCAGCCTCATTTCCAGGTAAGATAGGATGCAAACTTTTAGTCATCACATTTTATATTGTTCATGTTCTTTTTCTTGTTTGTCATCATCCTTCATCTCGTATTTCAGACGATCTGTTGTTGTGTTTGCGCTGTCATTGGAGTATTAAACCATTACATCTACCACCAGATGAGGTCCCACACCCCCTGGAAGATCTTCGCCCGTCCAATTCTCCGCTCTTTCGAGTATAATCAATTCGAGACCACGGTTCAAGCTAAATTAATGTTTTTCGAACGGGCTCATGTCTGGCTTCAAGTCATCGAGAAGTATTTGATCTATCCAATTACTATCATCAGCTTCCTAACCACGGATAAATGGATCTTTGAGTCCATTTTGTTGACTACTTTGATCTCTTTCCGACTTTTTCGACAAGCTTATTCAGCCCCTCAGATGTTATATGTCCCGTTTGGGGCTACCTTTATCATCACTGCATCCAATTTCCACTCAAATGTTTATGAGAACACGTTCTTCCAGCGATTCTTCCCCCAGAAACCACCATTTTTGTTGTTGTTCTACCTGTTGGCAGTGATCTGGCCAAAGATTGAAGAGCTGCTGCTGAAATTGAATTTCATCTTTGTTTATATTGCACCTTGGCAGATCTCCTGGGGATCTGCTTTCCACGCGTTCGCTCAGCCGTTCGCGGTGCCTCACACTGGATTTATGGCAGCCCAAGCAGTGGTGTCAAGTGTAATATCAGCACCTCTCAATCCAGTGTTAGGTAAATTCTGAATTTAAAGTTCATGCATTTCTCCGCCTCTGATCTGCTTATTTTTGGATTTTCAGGTTCCTCCCTCTTTCTTCTGTCATACTGTAGACCCGTGAGATTTTGGGAAAAGGATTACAATACAAAAAGAGTCGACAATTCGAATATAAGACTGGTCTCCCAGCTGGATCGAGGGCCAATGATGGATGATTCCAGTCTGAATGCCATCTTCTATGAGCATCTGACGCGGTCTCTTCAGAAGTCTTTGGCCGGCGATCTGGCCATGGGAAGATGGGCATCTTCTGTTGAAGCCGGGGATTGTTTTATCTTAGTCAGTCTCTATCTCAGTTGTATGGTGCATATAATTGAAGTGGGCAATGGGTTTGTAACCTTCCAAGTGAGTGTTTATTTTGTTTGCGGCGACTTTGCCATCTCATTTTTGTAATTAAATTGCTTTAGGTCCGAGGATTGGAATTCCGCGGGACTTATTGTCATCAAAGAGAAGCCGAAGCCATCAGCGAAGACTGGGCTGATGGTGGAGGATGCTGTTGCTGTACTTTGGGAAGCATCCCGGGATTATTATCATATAATAATGCTTGGGCATTAAGGTAGGATCAATTGGCCACCTAACCAGTATAATATCATTTTTATCGGTTGTGTTTTAGATGGCTTGCGTGGGAAGTGACCTCCAGTAAATACGTAATCGATGGCTACTCCATTACTGACAATTCTGCAGTAAATCTTCTTCAAGTCCATGAACTTCGAAGGCTTTTGGTCACCCTCTATGTCAAATGTATTATATATTATTGCACTCGAAGCAAAGATCTGTCTGCTTGGATGAAGAACACAGTCATCATCAAGGCTATGGAGCCCATTATGAAGAGTTCCACCTACTCAGATAATGATCCCATGTTCTGCTCAGCCAACGATGAGGACTTTGATATTAATTTAATGGCGATTACTAAACACAAATTCTTGGAAAAGTATGGAGCTTGGATAAAATATTGTTTTGAGGAGAGAAAGAAGGTTGTGTCGTAAGTTGAGGGGTGCTTTGATAGGGTTTTTAATCATTTCAGGAAGAGAAATCTGGATCTGGAGCAAGTGAATTCGTTTTGCTTTGCCTTGTCGATTCTTGGAAGACGTGCCCTCGGGGCAGCTGCCTACAATCGACATGCAAATGCCGCGGAATCTTTTCTCTATGGACTGCATTCCCTGTTCAAAGGGGATATGAGGTGAGGCAAATGAAATAATAAAACGTTTTGATCAATATTCCGATGATTTTTCACACTTGAAATTCTAGAGTTGCATCAGTCTCGGATGAATGGGTTCTGGCTGATCCAGAGATCCTAACTACAGTAATCTCCCCAGCTGTCCGAATGGCCTTAAAACTTCATCAGGATCACTTCGCGGCTGTTGATGATTACGAAGAATACGAATCCTTCTACTACAGAATCCTTTATTACCAAGATAACATCTTCATCTCGCATGAGGTAAGACATCTCAACATAATTCTATTAAAAACATTTTAGCACGATCCAGCTTGGAGACAAGCGATTATCGCGAATACTCCGTCTCTCCTAGCTCTGCGGCATATGTATGACGAAAGTCAAGATGACTACAAAGTTATCATGCTCAACAAAATGCATCTGAATATGAGGTAGGGCTTCAGCATTGATTTTATTGTCCTCTAGGGTAATCAAATTGAATCGAGAATGTGTCCGGGCTTTCTGGTCCGGTCAACAACAAGAACTGATCTTCTTGAGGAATCGGAATCCCGAAAGAGGATCCATCCAGAATGCAAGACAAGTCCTGAGGAATATGATAAACAGCTCCGCCGATCAGCCCATCGGATATCCAATTTATGTGTCCCCTCTGACCACATCCTTCATAGAAACACACTCTCAGATTCCGGAGATTATGGGAAGACCCATCACTTTCTGTTCCATTGGAAGTCAGTTTATGAAACTGTTCGGGAGATTGAGAAAACATTTCGGAACCTCTGGATCATCTAATATTACTCAAGGAACGGGAGGAAATCAACAAATATTTGGACAACACCAAGGGCAAGCCTACCAATTAACTCCTGAGTTCAGAAGACGAGGGAGAAATCCAGAGAAGAAGGAAGATTCGGCTAGCCAAACATCTCAAGTGGAAGGAACTCCTTCGGTCCATATGAGAAGTAGAGCAGATACCATCAATGCAGTAATTAATGTAGCTCAAAGAGAACGAGAGAGACCAAAATCTGAGATCAAAAGCGAATTCCAATTGAAGGATAAGGCAGTTGAAATCATCGATATTTCAAAGGTCAGATCTATCAAGTGTAATATAAATAAGTTGGTTTTAGGTCTCGAAAAAGCTCAATGAACCACTAAGATCTGAAATGTACTTGGTCAACTGGCCTAATGCAGAGTTCCGAACTAAAGGAGGCAAATCTGGATGGCCTAGCGACTTCGAATTGAGAAACGGGCTAAAAGGAGTTGTTGTTCATGAATGGCATCCCTTTCACGTCAACCCCGACTTCCGGTCACACAAAGGTTATATCGTCTGTCTAGTAAGTTCATCCTTTCTACTTTGAATGATTTAGGAAAACGTCTAACTGTTACTTTAGGTCAGAATCCTCCACAAAAACGATCATTTGTTCGTACCGGTAGCCTTGAATGGCCTCAAAGAATATCGAGGGGATCGAGTTCAGACAGAAACTAATCTCTAAATGTGATCTCGTGTAAATAATTTGTTAGAAAATCAAAATAAATTTATTTTGCATTGTTCATGTTTCATCCTCTACAAAGTTTTTCAAATTTTTATGCGTGAACCGCACCTGAAATCTAATTATACTATGGGTCGATAAGGGTACGAAAATGCGAAAGTAATATCTTTACGCAAGATGTTACTCTTGAAAGTCATAGCTATTTTGGCCAAAAAATATTTTGGATTTACTCAAAAACGCAGAAGTTTTACCGCCTGGGCGCACCTTGCGCAAGGTCTGTTACACTCTTCCACTTGATCCGGAAAAGCGTCATTTGCTTGCGTAGGTGGATAAACACGTTTTCTATTGGGAGTAAAAAATTATCAATTATGCAATTTTTTGCAATTTATAACACGAAGAAGTTTTTTTTTGACGAAGCGGTTGAAATTTCTATATTTTCATTGATTTTTCGCAGTTTTCGAGTGTTCGTAGCTGCGGAGGGAGGCGCAATAAAAGGTCAACGCGAGCCTCTTATCATGTGATACCATTTTTATTAATGTTCGTCGCGAGTTAAGATAGTTTTACGTCTTTTATCTTCTTATCCTTGAATTTTCAGATATTCTCTCCGCTACTTCTTCCCAATTGTGTTCCAACTCCAATTGAATCATGGGTATCTTGCCACCAAATGACCGCCGTCAACCTCCCAGTCGGCGTATTGAAGATGCTGTCCAAATCACTTATGATGAGTAAGCTTTTGATTTATATTGCAGTATCTCCTTTTAGTTATACTTTCGATGATTCGGACGCCGAAGACGAGGTCGTGGTCATTATTGATCGCCCTGTTTCCGACTCGGATTCTGATTCTGGGGTTCCTAATGGTCTGGCGGATCGGAATACGAGAAGAAAGGACAAGTTTATGGCCAGGAAGGCCGTCCGGGAGGCCAGGAAATCGATGAATCTTGGAACTGTTGATGGGATCAACATCAAGAGGAATATGGGTGCCAGGAAATGGAGGCGGGTAGAAAGTGGTAAGTGATTCAATGGTTTAGTTGGCTTTACAAGATTTGGGCGTTTATTTATCGTCTTCAGCTCGGATCTTGTCCAGTTTCACTGATGCCGGCGATATCTGTTTTGACTGTTCTGACCTCGTTCCCGAGCATTTATCGGCTTTCGCTCGCATTCTTCAAGATCAAGAATGCATGAAGGTACATCAAACATCGATTATGTTCATTCATAACGTCAGATAATATGTTGTTGATTAATTTTAGATCTAAAACGTTTTATTTTAGGCCTGGAACAACTTCATCGAGAAGGATGAGGCCGAGCAAAACGAATACCTTGCTCAATTGGACAAGGAAAACGATCTGGATGAATCATTTGATCGTCTTTCTCTCGATTCTGATGTTCATGTTGAACATGATGCAAGAAAACGTGAGTTTTTGGTGTCTTTCTGTTATTCTTCTTTAGATCATCCCGCCTATTCAACTAGTATGGCGTTCCATCAACTCGATCGTCGGTTTCGCGATGCTCTGAGTAAAAGGCATGTCCCCATCGACTTAATCGACAAGTTGGAGGGTAATCTGAGGACCCAATTCCAAGAAGATCCAAGTGTAATATGGACTGATACCTGCGATTCCTCGTTCCGCCGGTTCTACATCCATGCCGTCGCTCAATACCTCAAATTGAAGTCCAAAAGTAGTCAAGGAAAGGGTCGGCTAAAGGAGACGCAAGTGTTTAGCACCGATCAGACCTTCTCTCCCCCTGATACGAAGCTTGTTTCTTTAATAAGATCGATTAGGAATGCCTCCAGACAGATCAGTTGAGGTTTGTGAAGTTATTATTTTGTGAAATACACGTTTGTACTTTTATTTGAAGCTATTTTGATGTTGTATATGTGAAGTAAGAGGGGGAAACGGCTAATTTATCCAATTAGTCCCTCTACAAAGATGGCGTAAATAATCCAATCAACAGATCAAGCTTTATTGCGAGTGTTTTGAAGTTGTAAAGTAATGGGAAGCCTAGTTATTGCATATTATTGTTCTCGGAGATTTTGATTAGATCTTTCATCTGTTTTATCAGCGATTTTAATTCTGACGGGGAAACCTAAAATAAGATCACATGTGTAAATCGTCGAGTAGTAGATGAGTCACTTACATTGAGCTTCAAACAGAGTTGCAGAATTAACTTCTTGAGTCGAATTTGTTCTTCGCCCACCATTAAGTATCCATCGATTGGAATTTTCTCTTCCCGACGCTGAAATTACGTAATTTGTCGCGTTTATCATCGTAAAGTATGAAGTAAAAGGGTTGTCTTACTCTGAAGAAGTGCAAATACCATTGCCCCATAATGGTGAAGAAGGCAGAGAGACAAATAACTCCATATATCAGGAAGATTATCTTGTAGAAGGCCTCCGTATTTGTTTTTGATGTTACATAGATATCACCCAGACCTTAGAGAACTAAATTAGATTCATTACAAGCACAATCGAGGAGGTAATAACCAGAAATCTTGAATTTGAGGGCTTACCGACGGTGGAGAAGCTGACGACACTAAAAATGCATGTTATACTTGAGATCAAAGAGAAGGTAATTCTAAAAATTGTTCCTTACCAAAAATATAGGTCTTCTAATGTAAAATGGAAACGCTTCTCGAAGCACAATGTCTTCAGCAGGAATGCTGACAACAATAAACATCCAGCGATGCAGAATGGCAATCGTATTTCTCCTCGAATCCAAGGACTTCTCATTCGTCTCACGGTACTACTCACAATCCAATACAGCCTCGCTACTGTCTTTACTGTTGAATCTAGACAAACCAGACAAAGCGGGATCCCGAATATACAGTATATTATGCACACGATCCTACTGTAATCGGTGGTCGGATAGATGTTACCGTACCCAATGGTGGCAATTGTGGTAAGACAGAAGATGGAGAGGTTGGCAATGCCATGCTTGGACATTCCATCATCGATTTGATAGAAAAGATGGGCTCCGAAGGTGATATAAGCACCAAGCAGACCGTAGACAAAGATGAAGGGAAGTGTGACACGGAGAAGCTGGAATTACACACAGTGTAATATTAGACATTCTGAAATGTCTGTGGGGTCTTGGGAGTGGAATTGGTGTCATTAATCACCTCGAAAAAGAAAATTCGTAACACGTGTAACATGAAGGATACTTATCAGTCTGTCGGAAAAATAACGGCGGATCGTCGCAGCAAAATGTCTCGCCTCGCCGCTATCGCGCACCAAATCCCCAGCCGCGGCTTGCAATCGCAAAGCGATGATGGGCGATTCCGAGGCGCGACGATCCGCCGTTATTTTTCCGACAGACTGATATTACTTCTTGACCAATCATGTATTTTTTAATTTTAATAATTTTGATTCCAAATCTATTCAAAAATGAATTTCAGACCGTCATTTTTAATTGTGAAAACTACAGTAATCCGAAACCCCCAAAAATCTCCAAAAGTAGACCTGTTTTTGTGAACTCACCCTCTTCAGAAGCGAATTTTCGCGGGAAAAGTTGTGGCTGAAGTCGAGTTGAAAGAATAACATCGAGAATAGACCGTACCCCCTCTCCTACTGCATCCACAAATGATTTTAGGGTGTCTTAAATGGAGGCAAAAGAGGCCAAACAAAAAAGGAACGTTCAGAAAGGAAGGAGAAGAAGAAACAAATCGGAACGGCCCTTCTTTCACCGAAGAAATACCTTCTTTATTCATCCAAACGTATTTTACATAATCACACAGCATTTTTTCTTGGCCACCGGCACATTTGTATCCCCCGATTCTCTCTCCTTTTTCGATCCTTCCCCCGATTTCTGTGGCTGTGGAGTCGGCGATTTGGGCTTGGGCGACTTTTTCTTCACCTAAAATCATATTTGTAGTTTAAACTAGAAGGTGTAAGGAGTTGTTACAGCCTGCGGGGGTCGCCTTTCAATATGATTTATTCGCTTTTTTCGACTCTGGAAAAGTGCGCACTTTCGTCTAGTGTAATATCGGAAATCTGACTATTTATGGCTAAATTACTGCGGCATATTAGGCTTTTGCTCCCTGGAATAAGAACATAAATCTTTTTGGCTATTTATACGGCCTAAAGGGAGAGAAAGGGCTGAAAATATACAAAAATATTGTTTTAGAAGCGCTAAAGTCATCAATAATTTTAAAAATTGATTAGAAAAATTTAAATTTTGGTCTTAAAATCTTTTCATAAACTCATCAATGCAGGGTTTGTTATTTCAATCAAAGATCGTGAGATTATTTGAAACAAAATAGTTTGAAACATCCAAAAAATCTGTTAGATAGACTAAAATTAGGTGGAATTTCAAGTAATCAGTTAAAATGAAGACAAGTTTCTTACCGATTCGAGAAGTTCATCCACCTTTGGCCAATCAGTCTCCTGATCGCAGGCCTTGTGATACAGCACACTCCCCTCGCTGTCCAATAATATAACTCCTCCCTGCTGGCCGAATTCCTCGCAATCCTCGGACCCAACCTTCAATTTGTCATCGGTGGAAATTTCGGCTAGCTGAAAGAGAGAATACAATAAAAATTATTACAATAAAATCGCTTTAATGGAGGTCTAACAACAGAAACTTTGAGCTCTTTGAATTGGTTCGAGAGTCGGGAGAACAAACTGCGAAAAGGACTGGAACCGGATTCAATAACTTTGTTTTTCGGTAGGTACGAAGGTGGAGGAGCGACGGTTTAGTCCATTAATCGGCGGCATTATCTGGGAGTTGACAATGGAGTTTGGGGAATAGAGGGCTTTAAAATTGTCTTAGACATCATCTTTACGGTCGATGTCCGAATACTTGGTCATAGGAGGGATCGGGCAGTTTATCAACGGAAAGACGAGACATTGCCGAAAATGAGGAAAGACACGAAGAAGAAAATTATTTCTTTATTTTATCTCCAAAATTGTTTTTTGCAAAATCCTTGTTGGTCATCCTTTTTCTGAAATCCTTTTTCTGAAGGGTAAAAATCGTCGTACAGATGATCCAAAAGAATCTAGCCCCAATTTTTGAAAAATTTTATCAAAAACTGGTTCGAATAAAAGAAAGCTTTTCCCTTTCTTGGCAGTTCGAAGCTACGGTAATGTCTAGACCCTTAATACCAAGATTGTTGGCAAAAACAATGCTTGTGCGCTATCAGCAACGTAACGCAGCGCCGATCCTACATAGCTGACACGCACAATCATCCTTTTTGTCAAGTGTTAGAAACAGTTCCACGTTGCGCTTACTATCAGCCGTCTAATTGCTTACAGTGTTTTCTTTTATACCCTCTGGATGACCTTAATCAATCGCAGTGTCCTTTTACTTATTACAATCTTAATTTTTTACAACAAACCCGTTACTTTCGACCATTTCTTCTTTTACTTTTTTGCACTCCCAACCCCTTATTACTACTGCTTAAGGTCACAAGTGTCTTTTTCATCTCAAGTTTACGATCTCATAAAACCTTTGAAACAACAATGACCTTTATTTCACCCCGAGGCGCTTTCGAGTGACCGGTGGATTTCACTTTTTTTTTTATTTTTTGGCCAAATTAAGGCCACGTTTTTTCGGGGCGGAAATAAATTTTAAAAGTCGAATCGTGTTAGGGCCTAGTGTCAGAATGTTACAATTTATGAGATGGAGTGGATTAATCCAAAGGTTTCGCGGGCTTTCGGAATAGCAAACATAAAGTAATGTCGGAGTATTACAAATTCTACGCTTGGGGGTGTAACAATTGCATCATATCAAAAAATTGTGGTGCAAAGTTTTAAACTGGCCTTAGGGTTGGAATACGCAAATTCTGATTTTTTGAACTTTCAAAACATGCGTCCTTATGCTGATACAGTTTCCATGAAATTTTTAAATTAAAAAAAATTAAATTTCAGACTGCTCTAATTTTTTGGCAACGCTTTATTTTTGGATTAAAGCCGTCACGGTGACATATTCAAACAAAACTTATTATGTAGAACGCCATTTTATTTTTCCGTTTTAACCGTCATAACGAAGCTCAAACTTCCAAAAAAATTTACTTTGGGTTGACACAACAATAATCGTACAGTAGAGTATGTTTTTTACACCATTTCATTGTAACGTTTCTCCCCATCAAAAAGTAATAAAACCAAAACTTTCCACTCCTCTTCCGGTGAAAAAACGGTAAAAAAACTAGAGTAAAACCAGGATGATAATTTGAGTTTATAGCTTCAGAATTGCCCATTCCCCGAACTTGTTTTTACACCTAGCCGCCGAGCCATTAAACCAGTCCATTACCATAAACTTTACTCTTTTCTTTGCTACTTTTTATATTGTTTTATCTCCCAAAACTCACCAAATGAATGGCCCGCTGACCCGAGATGGAGATGGCAGATTGGCGATGCTGGATGATCCGGGCCAAACTCTGTTCTTCATCCAGTAAAAGGCGGAAGGGAACTCCGACCAGCTTCAGGAAACCTCCACCTTCTGAAATGGGGGATCAAGATAAGGTCAGGGGTCGGATTACAGGTTTTGGAGGGGAACAGCTGAGGAAATTGTAGACTTTTTATGATGTTTAAGTGGTAGTCGTCTTTTATCACCGTTTTTTAGGAACTTCTTGAGCTTTCATGATCTTTAATTTAAGTCATCAGCTGATGTGAAGGATAATATAAAAATCTTCGGAGATCGGCATTTTCTACCTTAATTCGCTTGGGGCAAAGGTCATACCGAATTTTTTGGATCCTATCTTCTCTGTTATAAAGTTTGCATCATCTTCCAAACTTTTAGCAGAAAACATTTTTGTCATCACTAACTGTAGATACTGTATCATAAAAATCCTAAATTGTAATCCAAAATCTCGTCGAACCACTTCACTATTGATAGCACGGGGTTTTAGTACACTTGCACTTCCTTGAAGGAGAAATAAACTATCTTAACTTAACAGCTGACTCCAAAGACCTACTATAATATAACAAATGACCATAGAACATGGCTAATCTTATCATTTTTACTATTTTTATGACCGCGCATTATTTACCCACTTTCTTTTATAATTTATGACATAACCTTTGACCTATCATTATCTTACGCTCTGATTTTTGAGATTTTTTTTATTTCTGATACTTGAATTAGAACACTTACCTCCTCCACTGGACTTGGTTAATAATAAAATATCACAGTCCAATGCCTGGAACTGTGGGAGCTTTTCGTACATTTTGAGAACATGCTCAGCACAATCTGAGGAGCTGAACGAGTAGACGACCTCGATGAACATCATGTTGTAGGGACTGTTCTGGACGTAAGAAAGGAGCGTGCTCTGGCCTTTCGACTTCTCTTTACTGCCCAGTTTTATATCTGAAAATTTAGTCAGTAGGATTTAAAGACATGTGTAATCAATTCAAAGAATACTTCAATGATTAACGCGTCGTAATGAATGACCCATTTTTCGAATGTTGGTGATTTTTGGGGAAAATGCTACAAAACTGTATTTTAAAGCTATTCAATAACTTACTGTCCACAGATTTGGGACTATGTGGCCCCGCTACTTCCTGTACAACATTATCCACCGACACCAGAAAGTTCTCCCAGTCATTCCAGGCCTCGGTTAACTCCTTAACTCCTGAAATCAAAGAATAAATTTCTTATAAATAATTCAAAAGTAATGTCAAACACGTAACTCTCTGATTTCTGTAATTCTCCCGCTCCCTTTGTCTCGATACAATAGTGATATTTAAAGACAGGCTTCAAACAATTTTTATGTTTAAACTCAACTTTGCATCACTCCGAACAGCCGTTGAAAAGTAATGTAAAACCAGTTGTATTAAATAATTTGGCGACAACTCACCGATTTCGGGGTCTTCTGAAGCGAGTTGTGTTAATTTCTGATCGTATTCATCTTTTGTTTTCACCCCCAGGGCATCGTAGACCTTGGCCAGTTGGACCGAAAACTCTGTGCATAGCTGTTTGTTTTGCAAGTGATTCGCCATAAAACTTATTGCTGAGGTTGACTTTACTTTCTGAAATAGTTTTGATTAGTCGAGGTCACTTGGAACTGGTTATTTTACATTATTATGATTTAATTTTGAGTCAGAGATGATGACATTATGAACAGCGTGATTTATTGTTTGGAATTTAATTTTGAGACCTCTTGAGACACATTTAGTATATCTTTTGCCACTTTTTGGTCTGTTATATTACTTTGGACCATCTTTTTATTTTTATGAAAAAACGATGACACACAACAGAAATACTTTTTACTTGACGCAAAACTTATTTTTGATACATATTCTATTCTTTGGGACCGTCAAAATGTCACGGACATTCTTGTTCGACCAATTATATTACATTAGTCATCTTTTCTACTTTTCTAGAAACTGATGATTTATATTCTGTTCCAGCCGATTTAACTATTACTATTGGCGTCTTAAAACCCATAACTATGGTATAATTCTCTTTAACCAAACATTTTGCATAAATTTTTGACCTCTTATATAACTTTGGGTTCATATTTCCTGAAATGACGTCATTATTTCCTCTCTTACTGTTTCTTTCCCTCAAGATAGGAGATTGTAAAAGTGAGACATGGTTAACTCAAAGTTTTTTGTCTGATCAGACTTCTGAAGTTTTTATTTTTTTTTATGACTTCATCTGATTTTTTTATCATTTGAGCCGGTTAAGCGCGACATTGAAAGCGAATCGAGAGAAAGAGATGAGTAGAGAGTTTCAGGATGAAGATCACTCTGCTCCTACTCACTTTGGTTTACTATGCGGAAGCGACACCATTCGAAGTGAGTTTAATTTCGCTTTTGATTACTTTTATTTTTCGATTTTTGAGTGAACAGTACTAATTAGAATATAAAAAGTGTTCGAATTTCATCAACAGATCTGGTCAAAACTATTAGATTGCATAAAAAGTTTTAACTATTTTTTTTGAAATGTTTTATTACTCTGTAAAAGGCCTCATTGAAATTCTAGCAATTTCAGAAAATACAGTAATTGCCTGGATTTTTTGATCGAAATTCGTCAAAAGTTCGAAACTGCGATTTTCAATCTACAATTAGTAAAAATAAGAGTAAGATGAGGCTTCAAATATTTCGCCAAAAAGGTTTTTTCTCAGACCCCTCCTAATTCAGCGATTAATTAATGGACTATGCAAGCACATGCATATGCAAAGCATACGAGTTTGTTCCAAATCTGCGATGATTTGCGTTGTTTTCCGTCGATATTCTTGCAATATTTTTATTTCCACAAGTGAAAGAAATTGATTTCAGATCTACTGGAACGTCCCCTCCTATCAATGCCGGAAATATTTCAACCCCGAAGACTACTCGATAACCACAAACAAAAATCAAATCTTCCGCGGTGAAAAGCTGGTCGTATTTTACGAAAAAGACCTCGGTTTATATCCCTATTGCGACGACCAACAGGAAAGCTACGAGACCAACAAAAGCCTCCATGTGCACTGCGAGAAACCGATCAACGGAGGAGTGCCTCAGGTAATTCTATTTTTATTTATTCAAATTAGAAAAGGAAGTTGATTTAAGTGCTCATATCGAGAAGGTGAAGAAGGACGTTGTTCGGCATATCCCTGACGAGAACTTTGATGGTCTGGCTATCATTGATTACGAGCGATGGAGGCCTTTGTTTGATCTGAATTGGACTACGAGGAAGATCTACCAGGAATACAGTATCCGGCTGCTCATGAAGAAATATCCTGAGCTACCGAGGACCAGTCTGGCTTATCTGTCGCGATATCTCTTCGAATATCATGCCAAGCAAGTTTCAGTTAATTTCAAAAAGTCCAAGTATTTGAATCTTCAATTTGCATATTCAGATTTTTGTTCAGATCTCGATGAAACTTTGCTTAAATTGACTCAAAAATTTTCTAATACATACTCGAAATTTTTAGCATGCGTTTTAGGGTAATTTCTATGATTTTCCTACCATAAACCACTCCGATTTTAATACTCTGCTTTACCCTTTTGACTTTCAGGAATTTCCTTTTGGCGACGATAAATTCAGCGCGAGAGATGAGACCCAAGGCCAAATGGGGATTCTGGGACTATCCTTTGTGCGACTATCGACTAGGACCCAACGAGAAACAATGCAGGGGACATTACAAGATCATCAACGAACAGTAAGACCTTATTTTAGGCCATCAAACCTGAGAGATCCTGATCTGTGGTTGATTATTCCTCAAAATTATAAATTTAGTTTCGTACTTTAGGCTTCTCTGGATGTTCAACGCCTCCGATATAATCCTCCCGCCGGTTTATTTCTATCGCCCCGAGAGCGTTTTGGATCGCCAGCGATATGTGCATGCGAAGATGGTCGAGGCCGAATGGATCAATCAGAAATTGCATCCCAAAAAACTGCTGGTCTACGCCTATGCCAAGTTTGAATACGATGTCCTGTACAATGAGACCACCAAAGATACCAACAACAATTACTATAGTAAAGTAAGCGGGCTTCAAAGTAATGTAATTCCTCAGGCTGATGTCTGCAACTCTCTCAAATACCCAATGGAGATGGGAGCGAATGGAATTATCCTGTGGAGCACCTCCAATTACATGAAGATACGGTGCAAAAGCTTGGGCAACTTTTTGGAAACTGTTCTGGGCCCATTTGCGGCTGCTGTGAAGCGAAAAGCTGACAAGTAAGTAATGAAATCGACTGGTCGATTGTTTAAACGTGGGCGGAGTTACTTTTCCCAGCCATGAATCAATTTTCCCCCTGTCAAATTTTTGGTAAATTTTCTCCAAAATCATCGAAAAGGCCCCGCCCATTTCCCGTCAAAGTTTCTCCTTTGCACTGTGCACTTTATTTCTCATCCTCCCATTGCACTGTGCATTCGATTTCATCTCACTGCGCTGTGCAAGACAGAGGCAATCGCAAATTTCAAGCGACAAAGTCTTCTTCAAATCAATGTCTGACGTTGTGCAGCATGGAAAGTCAAAAAAACTTGCGACAAGTCGCTGAACAGAATTTCACAAAGTGCGATTTTCTTCTGAGCGTGCGACACGACGAAACGACACATTTTTTTGGGTTGGGAACTCGCACGATCATGTCGCAAAACGGTTTGCGACTTGACTTTGTCGCGGACTGAAAGCGACACAAGAAATCGTTTTTCAAGAGTCGCGCGACATGCCGTGGGGTTTGCACGGTGCAAATTTTTTTGCACAATTTCAATGCGGGCGATTTACGTCCGCTTTTTCTTGCACCGTGCAGAGGTTTGGAATCCCATTGCACAGTGCAGTTGCTTTTTCCACGGTTTTTGCACTGTGCAGTAGAAAGGAAAAAAGGATTTTTTGACTGAATTTTTGAAAATAAAAAAAAAAGTTTTCAGGATGACAAAATTTATAGACAAAATAACTGTTTTAAAGCCATCCACGCCACTTTTATACAATCGATTGCATTAATTTGACCTATTTTCTGCAGATGTTCGAAGAAGGAATGCAGTGGAGTTGGTCTCTGCATGTCCAAGGACCGTCTACCGACCAATAAATGTGAATTGGCGCAGACCAACGAGTCCGAGTGCCTCTGTCCCGCTCCTTTCTCTGGTCCCCAATGTCAACTTCAGCCGTTTCCTCAGCCCCAGACTCTGAATGAAACGGAAGAAATCTCGTTTGATATCTTGTAACCGACTCTTTAGATCACTCCCAGAGCATCTCAGTCTGTTTAGACACACACATTCCACTCAACTCAGGTACCTTTACATTATCCATCTCGTTTTTTGAGATAAATCCGATGATTTTTGTCATTTTTTGATTATTTTTCGAAACTAAAGTAATATAGAAGTGTCCTCCAAGCAGGAGAACATCAAATAAAATTTGAATTTGCCATAAAAAAGGCCGACTTACCTCCTGACATTCGGTTGTTTTCCTTTTAATGAAATCCTTGAGCTGTTGTAACGCGGTCTTGGGGTCATTGGCCGCGACCTCCATGGTCGGCTTGACGATGATCTCCTCGATCTTGGGATCAGTCGTCGCCATCTGCAAGACACTTGCATTAAACCTATTTTTATACTTGACATCAGGTCTAATTTATGAAATTCTCCCTAATCTGAACGCGTGAATTAAAATCAAAAAGTTGCCGGAAGATCGGCGAGGGGTTGTAGGAACATAATGAATTCGAAAACTACACCCACACAAGTGTACATACGAGAATTCGTGCATTTCCCTCCGGTATATCGCATTGCGTGCGCATCGGTCGATAAAAAGTCAAATAAACAAAAAAAACCGCGCACGGGCACCTGTCCCCGGGCCCTCAGGGGCTTCGGCTTTCACGGTCCCAAATTTGGGAAAAGCCAGGATTAACGGGAAAGGAGGATAAGAAAATTTGAATTAAAATTAAAAAGAGTAAAGGTCAGAAAAAGAAAGAACGGCAAGATTCGATGGGGAGCGCTTTAAAAGCTCGATGAGAATTTGAAAATTTAAATATGCAAATTTCTCAAAAATGAAAATTTCGAAATAAGGCGTTGACTGAAATATGGAGCAAATGGAGACTACCATTTTCTAAGGCATTTTGTAATTTTTAGCCCACGGTGCAGCGCGTTGTACAGAAATCTTCATAAAAAATAATCGAAAGTCTTCAAAAATTTGATTTTTTGGAAGCTTCGAATTTTAAGTGTGGAAGAAAAAGAAATCTTATCGAAAATAATGATCTCAGAATCAGTATTATCCAATATATACAAAAAGTTGTAACCAAAGATTTTTTGTCTGACTGTCTCTAATCGTTTTCCATAATCTCTCGCTAAAAAATTCTGTTCAGTATCTCGACTGCTTTCACATAGAAAATCTGAGATTTGCGGGGACAAAATACGGCGGAGAAAAGGAATTTACAGAATCCAAAGTTAACGAAAATGACCCTTTGAGTTATGTCCCCAAAACGTGGCCACAAAAACAATATGCCCATCAAGGACAAGGCAATAAAACGAAACAATGATATCAGCGCCTATGGCAAGAAATGTCGCTGATGTGACCTGAGAGTGGGTTCCCAGCAGGTCTGATGCTACAGAGTATGACGCTCTTGTTTCGAGTCGAATCTGAAGAAAAGAAGGGGGATTGGCCTGGTAATGACTAAAACAGGTACTTAGGTGGAACGACCCAATTCCTCGACCTGCGTCAATTGCCATTTCCCTCACCCTAAGGCAGGGAGCCATCGGAAAAAGCACGGACAACGGACATCGGAACGTATCGACATATTCAAGATACGGAATGGAAGCTGGCAATGTTGGGAAAAAAGAGGAAAATTGGAAAGTAAATAATGTCGGATAATAAAGCCTTTGGGCTTTTTGAATAATACAATATCTGTGTTTCAATTATCTAAGCAAATAGAAAACCCAAAAAAGCAAAAACACCGAGAAATAGCCAAAAGACATCCTATCTATGGCAAGGATAATATAATTTAAGCCTTAAATTCTGTTTTTAAAAGTTATTGCTTAAGCTGTCTGCTAAAGCAGCGTAAATAGATTTTTTCGACATCAGTGACCATCACAATTACTGTCATCTTCATAACCATAACCACGCCCGAGTTTAGAAAAATTGGAAAAGATTACGGTCGGTTCTGTCGAATTGCAAAGCTTTTGAGCTCATTAACAACGATTAACCAAGATCAGAGTATCTTTTTTTAAAGGGCTGGATTATGAAGAAATGTCATAAAAATGTCTTGCCCTTCCCATGGATAACTTAATTAATGTCATAGATTACAGTTGTGACATCTCTATGTTAAATTATTCGCCAAAATGTAAAAAGCACAGCCTTCCCGACCCCAGTGACTCCCAGGATAACCTCCATCTTCATAACCCCGTCCAAATTTGGCCTTTGGAAGAATGAAAACGGTTCCGGGCTGGGCCAGATTCAGATGATGAGAAGCGGCCCGAGCTTCTTCCTCCCGCCTTTTCTTCCACAAATCTATTTGTCTCTTCTAATATACTCAGAGGCCTCGTTTCGCGCTCGAAAGGTTCTGAGTGCTGGCTTTATATAATGGTAATAACAGCCGTGAGATCAGCGATTCCCAGGCCCGGCCTCTGTAGCTCAAGTCCCAGGCCCAGATTCCCACATTTTACCTGGACGGAGGCGACGGGAGAGAGGTGTTACAACTGCCCAATCTTGTTATTTCACATTTCATTTGGGGGAAATTGCAGCCAAAAATATATTATACTAGACAGGATTACACTTCTTTATAAAAATTTTTTATTTTAGAGAGGTTCGAAAATTGTTCGAAAAATGTCACCCCAAACCAATTTTTGGGACTCCCTGAGATTCCATCTGTCATCATGTTTCAGTTCTAAACTTCGAAAAGAGATCACAAAACCGGCTATTTTATATTGTACTTGGTTTAAAATGAAGGCCAAAATATCCACAAAATGTGGTACATAAACGGCACGGTGCGTGTTCGGCGGGGACGAACTGGAAAAACAAAACATAAATTTGTCTCTGGAAAACACATTTTGAAAGGGTAAAAGGATGATGCAAACGGGGGTAATGCTGGAACTACTGATCGCCGACGTTTTTTATTTGGCAGGTATGATCTTTCTAGGCCATAATTGATGAAAATCTTGGCTGTTGTTGCAGAGACCGTCAAATCAGTCAAATTTCTAACGAGAGACCGTGGAAAAAGAGGAGAGATGGACAGAGAAAATGGGTTCGGTCTTGTGGATTTCGTTGGGAAAATAATAAATATATTTTTTTAAAGCATAGCAGCCCTTACTGCTACCATAAGCAGATTAGAACTTTCAAATTGAAAATAAAAGACGTCAAATTCCGGCCACTTTCGGATTAAAAATCCCGTTCCTATGTGTCATCAAAGCACAAGCTAAAAGTTGGGTTGTTCCGAAGAAAACTCTAATCTAAATTTGTACCAAGTCTCATCGAAAATTCTCTCTGTAATATTTGCAAATTAAACTATTCAAATTTCCAGAAAAAATATTCAAATTTGAAATCTTTTCAAAGGATCGTGATAACTAATCCCGCTAGTTTGTCCTTAAAATTGCATTTATTAAAAGACCAGACAAGCATTACAACTACTATAACAATCACCAAATTACTGGTTGATTTTCATTCAAAGCCACGCAAAATTCTGTCAACCTTGGGGTGAATGTCGCTTGTTTACCACGTAAGTCTTTTTGAGGTTATTTTGGCTGATTAATTTCCTTCCGAGTAATAGTTAGTCCCCTCACTAATAAGCACGCGATTTTCCCTACAAATCTGACAGTCTCGTCATCTTTACACTGTAATTGGGAACCGTACATCAAACCGATCTTCATCAGTTAAATTTGAGGCCAAAACATGACCCCTGGGAAGGAAAGTTCTTGTTTTTTGTTTTATTTTGCATTTTAAAAATCTAATTTGGGTCCTTAATAATTAATATTAGAACACGTCACTGTCTCCATGCTTTCTCCGAGTTGACTCTCTTCTTAATCCATTATATTTATGTATTTATATAATATGTATTACATACTTGTGCAGAAAAAAGCAAAGCACAAAAATCTTTGGTCAAAAGAGACCTAATACTTTAACACATATGCCAACAAAAGCAAGAAAATTTTCTGGAAATAAGGAATTGACTTCTCACCTGTATCTCTTTGTAGCAGATCGCAAGTGGCCAAGGATTGGGCTTCGGAGACTTGAACTTTAAAGCCTAAGGTTGCTTGTGTTGTTTTTGAAGTTGGTTCTTAGATTTGATAACTATCGGTTTATATCAAGCAACCGTAAATCAAAGTGGTTGCGGGAGCACAGTATGACCCAATATCGCCTACAATTCTTACTCAGTAAGACTAAACGCTATAATATTACCAGGATTACATATATCAGCAGAGCATTGCCAGTATTCCAACCCTGTCGTCGTATACGAAGTCTTTGAATGCGATGGTTACAAGGAAGGCATGGACTTGCAATCATCACCGTTAAATGCTTATATATCGTATTCAGTTGATCTCTTGCTCCAAAGATTTGAATTAAAGCGATACTGGCCTTTGTAATTGTCATACTCATAGACTCTTTGTTGTATTTAGTGGCATGTTCATTTCTTTATCTCTTTAAAAAATAGCTGTTTGCCAAGTATTCAATTTTAAGAACAAAGTGCATCAAGGTGGAGCAAGCGACCTACAGAGTTGAGTCTGCCCTTTCCCTGTCTAGCCGGGGCAATTCAATCACCTTTTACACGCTTTCCTTTCCTCTCGCACTACAATCCACCAGAAAACAATATTTTTTGTCGTATTTCACAACATTTGCATACACCGTGCCTTCCAATTAAGACCCGCGGAGTTGAATTTAACGGTTTCCGTCCAACCCGAGACCCCATATTGTTTTCCTGGCTACGCTCTTTCTGTTTCGCGTGTCTGTTCTCGCAGCGCGCTCTCTCCGCAGACGCCATCGAGCACTTAAAGGACGCACAAAGCGCCCCAACCCAGCAGAATTTCTCCAGCTTTTTTGTTCTGTTTACCCCTCGGGGCTGAACTTTTTCTGATCCAAATACGGTCACGTGCTCGGGTTATGGGCTCCAAACAAGTGTGATACTCTCGATAATGGAGATGGCTCAGCAGAAAGGTAGGTCCCTGCCCTTGTTTTAGACTCTTTTTGGGAGGACTTTACGTTTTTCGGAGAGATTTCCCAGTTTTTTGTGAGGAAGTGTTGTTGTTTTTATGATTTTTACGACAGTTTTCACGTAAAAGAGTTTCATTTTGCGAAAAGCGCAGGAGAAAGGGGGTTTGGAACCGGTTCAAGACCAAATTCAATGGAAAATAGTACGTTTTGGGGCTTAAAAAGGGCTCGTGGACGAACAGTCTCCTAATTTCTTTTTCCAGAGTTCAAGAAATCAAACAGCAAAAATTGTTGGAATTTAGGAGGGGATTTAGTCGAGGTGCAAGATTCAGATTTTGATGAAACTTGGCACAAACTTGGAGTAGTATTTGCGAAAATATTTGAGAGTTTTTTAGACCGCGCTTTGCAGAAACAAAGGCGATTTTTTGGTCAAAAAATTTCGAACTTTTGCTTTTTCGATTTTTTAAACAAAAGAAAGTTTAAATGTAGGGTAATATTTTTCTTTACAAAAAATCGAATTCTGTTCCAAATTTGCAAAGGGAAATGGCTAAAAAGATTCTCTGACTTTTCTCATTTTTTCCATAGTCTCTCGCCAGAAATGATTACCTCGTCTCTCCCTTCAAATCACAGTCTAGAATCCTGAAATAAGCCCTAGGTAGAGTAAATATGCCAAATTTAAACCCAACCTGTATTTGAAAAATTACCTTGCGCAAATTTCGTATCTCCTCAAAACAAATCATTTCAGAAGTCCTGGGGCAATGTCTGATCTGCGGTGAGGACTCGTTCGGGAAACACTATGGCTGTCCATTGAGTTGCCTGGGCTGCAAAACCTTCTTCCGTCGCGCCGTGATTCACAAACAAGACACCAAATGCAAGAAGCCGGGGATCTGCGAGAACGAGGTTTCGGCCAGGAGATTGTGTCGCTCCTGTCGATTCAAGAAATGCCTGGAGATGGGGATGAGTGAAGAGGCTTTGCAGCCAAGAAGAGATGTGATCGGACGGAGAAGAAGGCCCATTCAACAGAAAAGTGTCTCCGAAACAATCCCTGAAGAGCCTACCACAAGTTCGAACAGTGCCAGTCCAGAAACGATCAGTCCCAATGCAGATCTGCTCCATCTGATATCACAGTTAACCGAGAATGACAAGGCCACAAGAGCCAAGAAATTTGACTTGATTAGATCGAGGACTGAGGCCAAAAGATTGGCCAAAACGGTCAAGGCGGGAGGCGTGGTAAGTAAAATTTTTAAACCAATCATATAAAGGCCAGAATGGGAAGAGGTCAAGTTAAAGTTAACAGCATTACTTCCAGGACGACGCTGACAAGCCTCTGATGATCATGCTGGGACCAGATATATCAACAGTTACGCAGATCGACCTTCAAATGTTGTTGGAGTGGACCAAAACCTTGCCTTGTTTTATGAACTTGCCCATTCATGACAGATTAACTTTACTTAAACGGTCAGTTTGGAAATTCATTCGCTTAATCGGACCTAGAATCGTGGAATCTTTGGATATTTAAAATTAAAAGTCTTGGTTCAAGATAAGAATTTGGACTATGTAATACCAAGTCTTTCTCTTTATTATTTGTCCAAAATCACATAAAATTAATCGTTAGACTTTGAGAAAAGGCTGTTCCAAAGCAATGTCATCTATCTACTGTAATGTAATTTCCAGGTTCGCCGTCTATCACTTGATACTCGAACACGGCTACTACACTGCTCAATTGGACGTCAAAGACGTGTGGTTAATATCAAACGGGACTTGTATGCCTCGGGATGTGAATGTTTTGCCCGAGGAAATAAAACCCCTGGTTTCGGAGGATCGGGCATGGAGACAGGAGAAATTGTACAAAACAATGACCGAGAAATGCATCGACGAGGTCGCCGTTCCATTAAAGAGGCTCCAATTGCTGCCCGAAGAATTAGTCACTCTCAAAATTATCATGTTGTTCAACTACGGAAATCATGTTCAACATGGTAGGTGATGGCTAAAATAATATAAATTTTGGTCGGCAAAATTGATTTTGTGTAAAAAATAAGAATCCAGAGCGTCGTCACAGAAATCTCTTTCAGATTCCGAAGATGCTGTTATGTACATAACCGACGAGTCGAGGAAAGTGATATTAGAGTGGAAAGATCGGATAATTCAAGCGCTCTTCCAATATTACCGCAAGATTGGATACAAAAACTATGAAGGTAAGTCCTACATTTCAATCAAAAAATGTGATATTCCTCAATTTTTTGCCTATTCCGTATACAAAAATGACTCAAAAAAATTAAAACTTTTGACGAAATGTCACAAATTTTAGTCGTTTCTCGTTGAGTTATGTGGAATTGATCGAACTTATTTTTTTGTTCTTATCAAACTTTAAAGCCGTCCAGTAATTCTCCAAATGTTTTCAGAACGATTCGGAAATGTGATTCTGACGATTTCGGGGATTGTTTCGGCCGCTTCGGCCGTCCTCGAGAGCTACCAAGTGATGAGATTGTTCAAGATCGTGCCGTTCGACCATATCTCCGAGCAATTGCTCTTCCAAATCGACGATTAACACCTAGGAGTAATGCAGTTATTGTTGAATTGTAAATAAAAACGAGTGTTCGAGCCAAAAAAGGGATCTTCGCCCAAGTTGTCATAGTTTCGGGCCTAGAAACAGACAAAAAACAGCAAAGGAACTACGAAATTCTAGTGATTTCGAATACGAAGCCACGATTCGCCGAGTAATCCGAGTTTCGCCGTTCGAAATAGTCGAGTAGCGCATAAATAGTCATGATTCTTTGTGCTGATCATGAATAAATTGGAGTGGAAATTGCTGCCGAATCCGAGAATTGAGAAGCTCGGAGAAACTGGATTTGTAACTGAGCCGTAAGCAGCAGTCTCATTGTTTACTCTCTGTAGTTTCGTGGACTTCCCAGTGGAAGTAATCGTCCAATTAAAAGGTTTGAGCCACATTTCTTACATCCAATTCCTTGTTCATACCCAGTTTATACCTGATCAGCTGCTCATTTCTCATCTTGTGGACAACGAGTTCGAACCTGTTGGGTAAGTTCGGGTAATCCCCAGCTTTTACAGCAAAGAAATGTTTGTTTTCAGCACCGTTTACTTCAAGCCCCGCGAATCCATCGATGGAAAACAAGAGGAGAAGAAAGTCCTCTTGAGCTGCAAGGTTTTCATTCTCAAATTAACGTTCATCAACGCCCATGAGAGTGAAATTAACCCGGAGAATCGCATCGGCATAACGGAGATGAGTATTTACGGCAGAGATACAGTAACCCCGAGTAAATCTACCTTATATGGGAATACCTCAAGCACAATCAGTATCTTTAAACCGAGACTACCTGCCGAATTCGATGAAACTGTGAGCAGTGTCAACAGTTTGACTGGAAGAGGACGACGGAGAAATCGAAACGAAAGGTGAGTTTTCTGTGGGTTACTGTAACTTTTAATGCTTCAAAATTTAGGCAAAATTTGGATCCAACCACTGAAGAGATAAGAAGTCAGATCCGACAGGCCCGAAGTGCGATTGATGATGCTGTCAGAGTAAGTTTATTACAGTAGGGGTACTGTAATTTCATATGAGGATTACTCAGAGCACGGCAGTTGGATTTAAATGAAATTTTGCAAGTATCTTTATTATGACCCATACATCAATCTCTGAAAATTTAAGTTTTTTTTAATTGCAGCGACACCTGAGCTATTCCATAATCATTTTTGAGAGAGAGTTTAGAGAATGAGGAGAGACGGTCAGAGAAATACAGTTTTTTGCTCATATCTCGGCTAACATTGCTTATTTCAAAAATTAGTAATCTAAATTTTCTTCTGTTTCGGTCGAAATCTGACTTAATTTTTCAGGCCGAGAATTTTGCCTTGGCCAAGAGAATGCAAGACTCAAAAGCCCAATTGGAATTGGTCCTAAAACAATTACAAGACGCGACAAGGGCGAAGCAAGAAGCAATCAGGCAAGAAGATTACAATAGAGCGCAGGAACTGACCGACCAAATCAATAGCCTCAGGGGAAATGCCATGGCCAATGTGGATACAAACTTTATTAATGTGGCTACTGTAAGAGTTATATCTAAAAAATGATTACAATATTTCAGCCCCGAATTCAACCGCCAACTCCACTGCCAATCGAAACTCCACAACAATCTTTACCCCTACCTCGAATTGAACCAATCCGTAGGTTTCGAAAGAGTTTCTAAAAATAATGCACAGTGCGAACAAAAGAACAGTCTTGCACGGTGCGCGAAAAAGCGCTCCATTCATCACCGCACCGTGCGCGTTTTCAACGATTTGCACAGTGCAGTGAAGAACAACTTTGCTCTTCGCTGCACTGAAGAAGCAATGTGTCCCGAAAAGGAATGTCGCCTGATTCAGTCGCAAGTGCAAACCGAAACCTTCCGTAATCGCGTTTGCAAAGACGAACTTTTGCCGCAAAGACCCCAAAAAATTTTTTTTCTGTTTCTGTCGCAAATTCAATCGCGATTTGTTTTTGCGACCACAAGTTTCAGCGATTTTGTCAAGCGTTCTGTCGCAACAAAACGGAAGGGCGATTGTCGCAAAAATTGTCGTTTTGAAAGAGACGCAAGGGAAATGCATTGCACCGTGCAGTGAGGAAATCCAACCAAAAGAATTTGCACAGTGCAGTGGATTTTTGCGGATGCACGGTGCAGAATTAAAAAATTGTTTAGGCGGCTTTATGGAAGAATTACTGTAAATAAAAAATGGTGACATTCTTTTTATTTTCAGCACTGACTCCCTCGACTTTATCCAATAATTCTTTTGCCCGGAATCCTCCAAATCCGGAGCGCCGAAGCGATCTTATCCTTCCTCCAATCAGCCCTCTGACTTTCGACTCGTCGATCAATTCTCAAAATGGGCTTTATCGACCATATCAGCGAATTAGGAGATTCTCGGACCCCGCAGATTACAATACTCGTGTTAAAGACGATCAGAAGAGCCTGGCCTCAACTTGGTCATCGATTTTCAGACCAATAAGGCCTAATGTCAATGTGAGTCCAGCGAGTACTCGGTTTTTGGATAAAGAAAATCGACCAATTCGACCTTCAAAGGCGTATTTGAAGTAAGTTGAGGGTTTGCGATGTCAAGGGACAGTCATAAAAAAATATATTTTATTCTCTTCTACCGTATCTACAGACAAAAAAGTTTGTGGAATATCTTCGCTACCGCTGCCAAAGGCGGCCTGAGAGCTTTTTGAATCACTTGATCGCCCATAAAAAGCAAGCACGATAAGGTTAAAGAAAATCTGACATTCGTCGCTGTAGCACTTCCCAATTTATCTTATCCATGGAAAATATAATTTTAGCGACCAAAACGGTCAAGCCCTGGATGAATTGACGTTGGATCAACTGCTGGATCAAGTGAATCCCTCAGATCGAACCCATGTCACCAGGGCCGTCAATGTTTTTGGGCTGAAACCGGTGGCCGAAGTTTATTCCAAACATTTCAAAGATCGAAGAAGTGGATTAAAAAAGATTACAGAAGCTGTTGCCATTAGCACCAGCAACTCTCGAGATGTAATCCGAGTAGCATTGCCGTTGCTGGTTCGAGGATTGAGCGACAAGATTTATAGAGTGAGGTTCCTTATATTTTTGTATTAATTTATATTTTTGTTTATATGTCATTTCAGGTCTATGAAGCTGCGGTTTTATTGCTGGAATCGATGCTGAATTACATATCCAACCGAAATATGAGCAACGAAATACCTCGTCTGGCCGATGCCACGTCTCAGATATTAATTAGCAGGACTGGGGATACTGTAACTGTAAGGTTTAATGAAACGCGACAACTCGAAAGATGATGTCCAGATTTTTATCAAATTTGGTACCAATACTCAGTCTAGGGCATCAGTATCTTGTCACATTTTTTGTGCCAAGTTTCATCAAATTCTGAGCCATAAAAATTAAAATATTCAAATTTTTAGCTTTGTATTCCTTTTCAAATTGACATTAACTTAATTTTTGAGATTACCTAGACTCTTCTAAATACTGTACCAACACTTTTTCCATCATTCTTAGCCATGAAATTTCCTTTATTTTCCTTTTTTAGGACCAAAGATTTGCTTCCAAGACCTTCGAAGTGGCTGATTCGCTTTTTAAAAAGGACTCTTCTATTGGAACCGAGTTTTTGAACAAGTTTTCTCAGCCTCTAAAGCCCAATCAGTCCGTCCGAACTTCCCGCGGCCAAGCCCAAATCGTCAATTCTGGCTTACAATCTCTGATTTCCCAGAGTAATCGGCTGAATACCCAAAATTTAATCAAATTCGGAGCCGATTGCATCGATCACTATGATGGGGAGGTCCGAAAATATGGTCGGGAAATCTTGATGACATTATATTCGACCGGAAATCGAAAAGAAATCCGGGATACAGTAACCAAGGATACTGTAGAACACGAGCGAAGTCGGGGATTGAGGAATATCCTCGAGCAATTCGATCAAAAGGACAAAGACGATGGAATTACTGTAACTCTGAAGAGTCCGAGTGTCCGCAATCTCCCAATAGCACCGACTAGAGGCCCCAGAACATCATCAAATCCGAGGGTCACGATAAAAACTCCCAGTAGAAGTAGTAAAAGTTCGAGTTCGAGGACAACCAAGAGTCCAAGTGTAAGGTAAAGATGATGAAACTGATATGAAAAGAGATTTAGAAGATCAACAGGAGGATCAAGAAGGTCCACGAGATCTGAGGGATCCAGGAGATCCCGGTCTTCCCACTCAAATACCTCAAACAAATCGATTAAAAGCATCGTCAGACCGCCTACTACAACAAAAATGGATCCCAAAAATGTGAAAATTCAATTGGACGGATCGCGTTTGAGCGATTCTGGGACTACGGATTACTCAAAGTAAGGTAAAAGTAATTAATTTTACTTGTTTTAATATTTATTTGCCAGAGTCTGCATGTACTGTGGAGTTCAAAATAACACACTGAACTTGACCGGTCTGGAGAACCATTACAAAAACGACTGCCCAATGCTGACGGAATGTTCGCATTGCAAAGAAATCGTGGAAACTCGTCATCTTCATGATCATTTGATCCACGAATGCCCAAATAAAGGAGATTACAAGGAGTGCGATCGATGCAAACAAGCAGTGCTGGGGACGCTGTACACGAAACATCGGAGTAGCAGTAAATGTCGATGTATGTTGGGGATAAATGTAATAAAAGAAATTGTCAAAAACGACTTTTCTCTGACCCCCTCTCATTGTTCTCTCGCCGAGAAACGTTTGTCGAATATCCAGGGTGTAGCTGCAGATTTTGAGCCAAACTTTTTTTATGAACTCTATTTCCAGTGGTCCCACCCAACACCGGCCGTTGTCCGCTCTGTTATCAAGACGTTTCTCCCGATAATGACATTGGCTGGAGAGAACATCTGATGAAAAAATGCAAGGCCAACAAGCGGAGATGATCTCTTTATGTCCTAATGTACTTTATAACGTATAAATGTTCGATCCCACATCGTCGTTCCTTCAGAATCGACCCGTGAATTCCATATTGCGTGAGGGAATCACAAAGAAAAGGAATGTTGTTTTGATGTAAGGCGATGAGGTAAAAGGTGCCATAGGGCTTGGAGAGGAGGTTCGGGATCTGAGGTAGCAGTTTATCGAGCTCATCACGGCCATCGTGCCCACCGGCATATGTTCTGGACTAAAGATCAGCAAGAATTACATCAATATTACATAAAACGTACTAAATTATCGAAAGCTGCTTCTTCCGTTGGCACATAGGGCGGATTAAACAGTAATACATCCACTTTCCCATCAAGATTAAGGCCATTCAAAAGATTCGTCCTTATTAATTCTCCATTAACTTTATTTTTGATCAACGTATCTTTAGTTGCCCTCAGGGCATTTGGATTTATGTCAATGCAAATGGCCTGAGGGGTCGGATCAAGACCAGGTAGTTGGAGAAAGAATGCAGATACCAGCCCGGATCCACAACCGATCTCAACTACCAAAGAGGGTCGAACTGTATTTGTTATGAACTAAAGACCAAGTATATACAATATATTATAGTAGATTCATACCTCTCGATCTTGCTCCAACGCATCCAAAAACAGGAATGTATCCTCAGAAGGAGGATAAACATCATCAGGGAGGTGGAGGTCGTAATGCGGCGTGGGCAATGCCATCTACAACTAAAAAGTTCATCTTTTAATACCTAAAATAATGTTCAACATAAGGAAAAATAAGCCAAAAACCGTCCAAAATTTTCCGAAAAAGATTTATCATTTTTTACTTTTTATGTTACAAATATGAGGCCCGTATGCAATAAGTACAATAACATCTATACACATCACACCGAGGTGTTTTGAGAAGCTTGGAATAAATAAAAGATTAGTGTTGGCTCTCTTCGAACAGGTCCTGAAGGACCTCATCGACCATACGGTCAGCTATTCGATTTGCCGCCTGAGTGGGGGCATTAGAAGTTGATGGTTGGGGATCTGGACTGGACCTTGTACTGGATCTAGGGGGCCTTGGACTGACCCTGCCTAGGTCAGGCCTTGGACTAGACCTCTGCGTGCTTCTTTCGGTGAACGTCACATTCCTATGGATGGTTGGGATTGGTGCTGAATTTGCTCGGAACACATGAGGCGCCACTCTTTCTACAATCTCCACATCAAGATGTTGTTCTTGCGGCAGTTGGGGGATTTGATCCGGTTCAACATTCTCCATGGGATCCCTTTGTTCGGACTGAGATGGTGCTCCTCTATTCACCAGAATCAGCTCGCCATTCCCTCTTTGGGACGCCTAAACACAGATAAGAGCTAATCAGGAGGGAACTTACATCTTGTTGGGCAACTCCCACCACTCTTAACAATTGTTCCTGGTGTAAAATCAAGGGGATCTCGTAGTGATGGAAAAAGAACACCATGGCATGCTAAAAATTACATTAATCGCGTTCATTTTAAAAATTGAAGATAATTTTCTTTATTTCATTACCTAAAATAATAAAAAATTTACTTACCAGAATAAACATGGCTGATGTAAGCAGAGCAAAAATATTATACTGACCTCCAAATTTGTACTGATAAGCGTAGAAAGCGAAATGATATAAGTAGAAGAATCTAGAACAAAATAAAAACATTAAATGCCATGTATAATATACCCCACCTCAGCCAATGTTTCCTTGATACAGTGGACCGACAACAAATCGCATCGTATTGATCAGCCATCCAGACTAACAGTATCACGTAAAAGGCAGTAGAAGTGTCGTTAAAAATCTCCGACATGATCGCTTCCATACCTAAATGTCAAGCAGAATATAAAAAATGATGACGCACAACTTACCGACCAATGCCAAAATTACTGTTAACAGAGGAGCTACTGGGAAAACTAACGGTTCATTTAGTTCAAACATTTGGAGTAGGTCGATGATAAACAGGAAGATCTGATGATGGGAGAACCGAAGGAGCATGGAAATGGCAAACGTCTGAAAAGTTAACCACAAAACATGCCATAATAAGTAATCGACACAACTTACAAATATCAGCATGATGAGCATCGCCGTGATGTAGCTGTAATGAGAGACACTCGTGGAAACAAAATGATAATGTTCCATGTGGAGAAGGTCTTTTAGATATCCCTTATCGGTCTCGTTCTCGGCTAACGCTTTCAGCGACGACTGGATCACTTCACCAATACCTCCACTTAGCCATTTAGTTAGATAACGGTTCTTCCAGCTCGATAAACAGGGATCGTTTTGGCCGTCAATCTGAAAATTTGATCTGTATTCCCAAAAAATTGTTGATCTACTATACATATAAAAAAACCCACTCTGTAAGTCATTTCTTCAACTTTGTAGTGCCTTCTCATCTCTTGACTTAGCTTTAAGAGACCATGACTTAGTGAATACTCAACGGCATATTGGAACAATGGCTGGACTTTCGGCTCGAATACCACTAGATCTAAAAGTGCAATATTTCTTTCGAATACCAAATTTTTGCGACGAATTTCAACGATTGAGTAATAACCTACCTCCATCTTCGTAGTTGTCCTCAGAAAAAAAGAACTGAAGGTCGGACAGTGTGTAACGTGGCCTCCAATCCCTCGGTGTAAATTTTGGACCATGTGTTAGTAGATATTTCGGATCATAAAAAGTTGTCCCGTTAAAATCTAAACAAAAAATAGCAAAAAAACTTATTATCTTACCATCGAACAGCGACGATTCAAACTCCGGGAGGTTCTTTATGACCTCCACTCGAAGAATTCCCTTCTTTGGCCAAGTGTCTTTGATCTTATTCAGACACGTCCCTGGATATCTGCTATGGGTAAAATGAACGTAAACTAAGGTAAATAGCATCAGAAAAGCCTGAAATTTTAAACATAAATATATTGAAGAATAAGCTAGCAGATTTCGTAATTGAGAGCTCAAATATTAACTTACAGTTGATAAAATAAGGAATTCAATCAAGGTCCTCCACTTCTGACTGACATGGCCGCTATAACTAACAGCTACCTTCACAACCATCGCGTGGAAGAGCCGATCCCGAACAGTACCGAGACGTTGGTTTCCATTGACGCCAGCCCCTCCACCTGCTCCATCGCCTAGATTCCCAATGTCCAGCTCCACATTCAAGTCGCTAACCCCATTTCTATGCTCAGCCATAGTAAAATTCGCTCAATACATCCTGCAAAAATGAGCGTGATGGGAAGTGATAAGGGAAGTTGCGCGAATCGACGGAATTTTACCTTCGTTTTTTGTCAATTTCACTTGTCTCTTTTTTCTGCGACGAAACGCCACACTTTTTTGAAAATGTTTTCGCTTCGAAGCCAGAAAAATTAAAAAATTATTTTGAGAAAATTTTTATAAAATTTGCGTAATTTGATCCGTGATGGATGGGGAGGCTCTCCCAAGCTCATCAAACCCAAATAGTGTCATCAAACAACAGCTTCAACATGTTGATGTAGGGATCGAAGTAGAAGAAATTAAAAAGATCGGATTGAAATGGGCCAAGTGTCAAGAGAATTTGTGCGACCCTTTCAACTTTTATTCTACCAGCTCTATAGTGTGTAGCAATTGTAAGGAGGCAGTTACAAAACTACACAACAATGTAGGGCACGATTTTCGGTGGTCAACTTCAATATTTAGTTTATATTGGAATACACTGGGAATGAAATAAAAGAAATGTTATTGTGTTCAGTCTTGCATCTTGCATCACGGTCCACAACATCATGGAAAGGAGAACGTAAGTGCATTTTTTATTTTGATTTTGTGTTTAGTTCTTAATCAGTGGAGTGATGGACATAAAAACATGTTGGGATTTATAAAGATCATCGTGAATGAACTCCAGTCTTCATTTTTTATTGACATGGAGACGAGGATGAAGCTGAAACGAAGTGCTACAATGAATGCGGAGGAGCCACATAAGATGACTTATGTTTTTCCAGATGAGGATGTCAATATTGAAAGAAAATGTGACGTAATGGTAAGGTTTTTCATCTATTAGTCTTGAGATTTTAGGCTTTTCCATATGTGGAATGGGTGTGTATCTAACGCTCTAACTTTTAGACGTGCCCTTTACCCCCCAGACGTCTCATTATCATTGGAAATGATGTTATCCATCCCACTTCGTTTGAGATTTCTAAAAACAAAAATCCTTACACAGAGAGGCAATGTCACTTGATCCACTGTAACACTCATCACGAGATCTGTAAGCTGGTCTATCATCTGGAACATATGGAATTCAATATTTTTAAGAACTGCGAGTTTTGGGTTTGTTTAGTATAATATTATTTGTATTTTTTATTTAGTTATCGAAAACTTCGGGTCCTGTCACCATAGAGAACCTACGTGAGAAGCTGGGAGAGAGAGTTATCCGAGGTCTGCTCGACTACTACTTACAAATTTTTATCGAGTTGAATTGTCTGGATATTATAATGTACCGAATGTCACACAAAATTGATCTACTTGATTTTATCAATGTTTGGTGTGCTTTTGTAAAGGGTCGGAAGCTGCAGAGGATTCGGAAGATTCTTAATGAAGATGAAGGGTTCAAAAATCTGAAAGAAATGAGAAGGCGTAAACAGGATGTTCAAAACTGATATATAAGGCAATGTTTTGTTGAGTTTTTGTTTGTTAATGAACGTGTTACTAGTAAATTTGGACCTTTTTTCGATCCTTCCCGTATCATCGTTCCATACTTTTCCTTCGTTTTTATTTTATCTTATAATAGAGTCCCATCGATGGAAAGGGTCGGGTTTGGACGGAATAAGAACTTCAATGTAGTTCAATATTGGCAACAGAGGGAACTGTAGGTCTTAATATGTTCTTCTTGAACTTTTAGCGGATTCCGAGGTCTCTCGCAAAGCCGAAGACTCATTGATTATCGAATCGGATGTCTGAAGTTGAGTGAAACCGAGATTATTCGATATCCAGACGATCGACCGTCAACTTCATCTGCGATGGCCTTCGACCAGAGCGAATATCGATTGTAGGTGTGATGAATAATATTACTTGACGCTCTCAACCTCTCACTTTATCACATTTACAGCTTAGTTTGTGGAGGGAGGGCGGGAGACATTCGGATCTTTGATTTGGATTCTCCCGAATTGCCAGACCCCGCTCACCCCTGGGAACATACTTGTTATAGTGCCAATAAAGGACAGTAAGTTGCAGAAATTGATGGTTTTAGAGTTTCGCAGGATGATGACAATTTTTGTTTATTATAATTTGATAACAGTTTTGATTTATTTAAATTCTTGCCTTCGTATAAGATGTCGCCTGATTTTAGATGGCACAAGGGCGCCGTGATGAAGGTCCAGTTCTATCCCATCGATTCGGGCGTCTTCTGTAGTGCCGGAAGGGATTCCAAAGTAAGGTTATACAATTCGGAGACCCTCCAAGTCATCGATGAATCCCATTTGCCCGAACCAATCAGAGACGCCCACTGGGGAATGGCCTCCAGTTCCGGGGGTATCATCGCCGTTGCCTTGGGAAGTCATGCGATTCGACTGGTCGATCCTCGATTACGGCATCATATCCATCAACTCAGATGGCCTGGAGTTACGGTGCAGTCAGTTCAGTTCGGAGATTGTTTGAAAAGTCCGTACGTGTTTGGAGGATCGGTCAACGGCCATTGTGTGGTCTGGGATATACGGTAAGCAGAATTGATTTCAATTTCTTTGTTATAAATTTATTTTGGGAATTTATGTTATCCATTGCAGTAATCCTGGAATTGTGATGGAAGATTTGATCGCCCCAAAGAGTATATTGAATAGCAAAAAGAGACGAGCGCACATGTCTGAAATCCGAGCAATCCGAATATCAGATTCCAAAAAATATGTCGTCACCTTGAGCACCGGCAAAGATGTTCATATTTGGGATGCGAGAGATCTCTCGTTCAAACATCGACTTGATGTGAGTGTCTGTTGTATAGATTAGTAGATTTTTTTCATTGTTTAAGACCTTATTTTTGATCTTATTTTAGTTGACATGGACAAGATCCGAAGATCGAAGGCAACTAATGGAGATCTCCGAAGAGGGAGAGAATCTTTATGCTCATGTGGGAATGGGAGAAGACTTACTTGTATGCAATGTCACACCGAAACAAGAGAGAAGACCAAAAATTACAAGGAAATATAAAAACTTTAGAAAAGAAGAAGAGAAGGAAGAAATTAAGGAAATTAAAGAAGAAAATGATGAAGAGGACGATGATGTGGTCAAAAGACGCAGAGTTCTCCCTAGGACATGCAAAAAACCGAAGAGTCTTGCCAATTATGATGACGTGAAACTGCACCAAGGACACTATCACAATATCATGTCGATCGCTTACCAGAAGCAAAGACAGAGGATTGTGACGTCAGGAGCTGATGGACACACTTTATTATGGATCCCGGCCATGGATGAGACCCTCTCCGACACCAGAGCACAACATATCGCCCGACTTTATGAGGATGATCTCAGTGATGACGATTGAAATTAACTGATTGTTAAGTAAATAGACGTAAATATATACACACATTTTGGGAATTTATCGAGAATATCCCAACCAATATCTCGGTATCAAACGTAATAAGTCTAATTGGTGGAAGAAATTTGATGGGTTATTTATTTGGACCAGTGATAATTAAATTTTTGAAACTCCACGGGTTTTAACACCTTGGCTAGTCAAAGGAGAATTTTTTTCGTTATGACTTCAAACTGATTGGCTAAATAGTCAAACTATGTTCCAAGATTGGCTGAACATTTTAGGCTAACAGCCAATCTGTCCCAAATGAAAGTTTTGAACCCTCGTATCTTCTTCCTATCTCTTTCGGTTTTAATAAATTGATATTTCGTGATCGGGGAGAGAGGAAAGAACATTCACTCGATGTCTCGCGAGCCCTTCTTTCCGATGGAACCCAAGCAAAGTGGCTCGGGATCGACGGATCTCTGCAAAATCTGTGGCCATCTGGCCGCCGGCTTCCATTACCAGTGCCTGTCCTGTCTCCGATGCAAAACTTTCTTCCGACGGTAAGATTTTTGAACCAAAAAATAAGGTTTATATTTGCTGATTATTAATTTGTTTATTAAAACCGGCCAAAAAGTAGGTAAACCCACGTGATTTTAGGTGAAAACGTGTGTTTGAAAGGTCAAAAATAACAATAAATAGTAAGTAGAACCTTTAAAAGTAATATTAATTTAGTCTAAACAGCGTCAATATGAATGAATGTTCTGTGGTGCTGACGTTTCGTTTTCGGAAATTGACCTTGTATTTTGTGATTATGGTCCGAAAATATCTATAGATTCGTTCAATTGGACTTTCAATATGAAAATATAGAGTAACAAGGTGAAGTCAGAAAATTTGAGATTGAAAATCGAGGATTATTAAAAGGATCATAACGATAACCCGCGTCGTACAGTCCCGACAATTTTATCGCTGGCGTCGCGTGCGAGAATTGGAATGCGGTCGCGTAAAAGTGCATGTCGCTTGGGTAAAACCGGGAAATCGCCTGGTGGCCGCGAAGATTTGAGAAAAATGCACTATGCAAAAATGTCGGGACTTTATGGCGAGAGTAGTGTACTCCAAAAAAGCATGTTCAAAATTTTTCGAAAATTCTAAGCGGAAACACAGTATTCGGGCTTACTGCAGTATGCCCGAAGTGCAGAGTACAGTATTCCTAAAAAATAAGTCTTTTTCAAACGAAATCCGGAAAGAAATGGTCAATCAGTCTATCTCTGGCCATCCCTCTTCGTCTTCCATACTCTCTCGACAAAAATGTCTGTTGAGTTTCTCGACGGTTCCTGTAATTCGTGAGATTTTAAGAGTTTGATTAGTAGCATAGTGAAAGTATACAAACCAAATTTGAGTACAATCTGACGGCCACAGTTTCAAAAATTACCTTTTGAATGTATAGCACAACACATCAACTAATTTACTAAAAATTTGTTAGGTTTGTATTTAATTTGCGTCTAGATTTGCCAAAATGGTAGACTAATTTGTAATAAAATTTATACTAAATTTAGTTTCAACCCTTTTCAGAGCTGTTTTACAACGCCAATCCACCAAATGTGAGAATCACAATCGCTGCAATTCTCCATCTGCTCCAAAGTTATGTCGAGCTTGTCGGTACAAGAAATGCCTGGAAATGGGAATGTCCATCAAATCGCTTCAGCCCAAAAGAGATATCATTGGAGTTCGAATCGTCGAAAAGAAACCCAAAATAAAACCTAATTGTAATCAAGAACTGGTCAAATTCATAGTTGATCTAACTCGGACTGACGAAAAAATCCGGAAAAAGAAATTCGAAGTGATCAGAGTCAAGGAAGAGGCACAAAAATTATCCGCGACAGTAAATCGAAGGGAATACAAGACCTGCGAGAAAGTGAATGGGAAATATTTATCGCTGATGGCCAAGGCGGATGTGGCCATTGTCACTCAAATCGAGACAATCAGCATGCTGGAATGGACCAACACCTTGACAGAGTTCCAGAACTTGCCATTGGATGATCGAATGATTCTGTTGAAACGGTGAGGGCTTTGATTTTGGGACAAAAGCTATATTACACTGCCTGTAACAAAGGTGACAAAAAGAAAAATCCCTGATTTGTAACAAATTTTGCATGGATACCCTTTATAGAATACAAAAATAATCAATGCCTAAAAATTTTAGTTCAGCCTCATCAGAAAGAGCCGAGATATAAAAATTATTTCGAGAGACTATGGAAAATGATTAGAGACGGTGAGAGAAAAAAGTGTTTTTAGCGGTTTCTCTCTGGGATTCGCTCGTAAAGGGTCTCAATTCTTATAAAAACACATTATTTTACCCGGTACTATCAAATTTTAAAATTAAAAATCGAACCCGGATTTTTGGTACCCGTCGATTTTCGATCTTAAATGTCGCGTTCCAGCTTCTCTGTGCATCATCTCCTGATCGAACACGGGTATTATACGGCCTGCTCTGGCCTCCGCGACATTTGGTTGATCTCAAATGGGAGTTATATGCCCAAAACTATCAACGAAATGCCCGACGAGCTTAAGGTAAAGGCTAAACGTCCTAATGCAATATTCCTTACAGAAAAATCTTCCAGAAGCCCGAGTATGGCGTCAGGAAAAGTTATATACTCGAATGACCAACAGATGCATCGATGAAGTGGCCAATCCCTTCGAGAAATTGAAGTTAATGCCTCAGGAATTGATCACCTTAAAAGTGATCATGCTTTTTAGTTGTGGAAATCAGTCTCAGTCAGGTAAATTGCGATGACTTTGTGCTGTATCGTGTAATTTCAGAGGCAAACCAACTGCCAATTAGCGAGACAAGTCGTCAGAGTTTGCATCAGATCCGAGATAAAGTCATTAAAGCCATGTTTGAGTACTATAAGTATATTAATTACAAAAACTATGAAGGTAAGGCTATTTTGATGCGAAGGGAGACTGAATATGAACTGACTGAATATGAAGGACCGAATATGAAGGACTGAATATGAACTGACTGAATATGAACTGGGGTGCTGACTGAATATGAAGGACCGAATATGAACTGACTGAATATGAACTGGGGTGCTGACTGAATATGAAGGACCGAATATGAACTGACTGAATATGAAAACCGGGTTTCTGTTACTGTTACTACCTAGGGGGGCTAAGGTAGTACAGCCCCCCAGTCCAGTTTAGCCCCCCATAACCCAGTACAACCCCCCTCGTCCATTCTGAACCCCAAAATTTATTTCAAAGAATTAATCCAAGTTGTATGGTCCAGCACAAGCCCCCAACGTTTTAGATCAAGCCGCTTACGTTGTAGATCAAGCCCCCTTCGTTTTAGAAAAAGCCCCCTACGTTTTAGGTCAAGCCCCCTACGTTTTAGATCAAACCCCCACTTACATTTTTTGTATTATTCTAATTTGTTCATTATGTGGGGTGTGAAACGGGTAAAAACAGTGGGGGTTTGAACTACCTTTCGTGGGGGGCTCAACTACCGAAGCCCCTACCTAGGTCCCGATTAAGGACTCTTTTTGAAATTTTTTCGACTTATAACACCTTTACACGTTAATGGTGTTGTTTTGGTGCCTAGTGGAGCCCAAAAACACATTTTTAACACTTGGTACTATATAGTACCAATTGGTACCATTTAGTACGAGGCGAAAATTTGGGCGTAAGGCGGTAATGGTGTTGGTTTGGTGTTTAGTACAGCCCAAAAACACATTTATCGCACTTGGTACTATATAGTCCTTGAAATAGTCCAAATTTGCCAAATTTCATATTCAGTCAGCACCACAGTTCATATTCAGTCAGTTCATTTTCAGTCAGTTCATATTCAGTCCTTTTCATATTCAGTCCTTCATATTCAGTCAGTTCATATTCAGTCAGGCACCCATTTTGATGATCTCAGACGATGATTCCATTTTTCAGAGCGTTTTGGAAATGTAATTTTAACAATTTCGGGTATTTTCTCGGCCTCGACCACCTTGTTGGAGACCTATCAGATCATGCGGTTCTTCGATCTGGCGGTTTTTGATCATATCTCGGAGCAATTGCTCTTCAACACCGTCAACCTCGACCGTAACTACCTGTAATCCAAAAAAAAAATATTGGGTCCCCGCTGAAATTTTGGCTTCACACTGCCATGGTCATAGTAGTATGTTATGCAAAAGCAATAAGTAAATATAACGCAAATCACAGTGCCATAACGATTATTGTGAAATAAACGTCACTCTAATTTTGAGATTATAATTCAAAATTAAACGTCATAATTGAGCTCTTTATTCAGATTATGCGACAAAAGAAACTCTACGAGGTACCTGATTCAATTGGCAGTTCACTTTTAACGGATCAGGAGAGCTTCCCGAGATTGGCCGACGCCGATGAATCGTATGGGGACAGAGACAAAGTCCTCGATGAATCTGATGTACTCCTGACACCTTGGGGGCAGATCTTCGAATTTCTTGGCACCAACAGTGGGGGTCTTCCAGCCGGGGAAACTCTTATATTCCACTTCAACCACATCCCAGTCGGCAGCGCGGGCTAAAATTATATCATATAAAATGACGTAACGTCTCGCATAATGGCATTATCAGGGATAAAAAGGTCAAAACAAAAGAGCTTGTACGACTTTTTACTTTAATTTAGGTATAAAATTTCAATTATAATATGAGAACATACCTGGAGGTGAACTCAAAATCTCGCCATTCAATTTGTAACCAACTCCGACCTTGATCTCCTCAAAATCATCCAATATATCAAGCTTTGTGAGTGCGTACCTAAAAAACGAAGTATAATATAAATTAATAGAAAAAGTATCCAAAAATATCAAAACATACTCCGTAAATCCATTAACGATTTGTGAGCTCTTCAACAAAAAGAGATCCAGCCATCCGCACCGCCTTTTCCTTCCCGTGGTGACTCCAACTTCATGGCCAATGGACTGAAGTCGTTCCCCGATCTCATTGAGCTGCTCTGTGGGGAAAGGCCCCGTTCCAACCCGAGTTTGATAAGCCTTTACTACTCCGAGAACCCGTTTGATTGAAGTCGGAGGGAGACCGAGACCAGTACAGGCACCGCCCACGGTCGCATTGGAAGAAGTGACATATGGATAAGTTCCAAAATCAATATCCAGAAGAGCGCCGTTCGCTCCCTCGACCAGAACAGTCTTCCCTTCTGCTCTGAGCTTATGGAGAAGCAAGGCGGTGTCCACAACAATACCAAGTTCACGCAGTTTGATGGCATGATTCTAAAATTTGGCATATAAATAAAGTGAAATACCAAAACAGGGCAAATATCAACTCGATAAAAACATACTCTGAACTTCTCCAGTTCTGTGGTTTCATCGATGTCAATTTGAAATTGTTTTTTGTAATGGGCAACCAAAGCTCGATACCTAAAATCTGTATAAGTTCAAAATCAAAAAGGTTTACCTTTTAGTGAACTCCTCAAAATCGCCCATCAAATCGGCCATCCTGATGCCATTTCGGAAGCATTTACTTGAGTATGTAGGTCCAATCCCTTTGTTGGTAGTTCCAATCTTACTAAAACAAATTTATATTATTCATACCTAAATAAATCTTCTGAATTTGCGATGAAATATTATAGATGACAAATAGTTCCCACATTGAAAGAACAACTTACTTTTTAGTATCCAAACTGTCTTCCTGTCGTCCATCCACTTGTTGATGAACACTGAAGACAATATGAGCCCGATTCGAGATGAATATCCGTTTTTCCCATCCGGGGAGGGCGGGGATGTTGTTCTTATCCAACTCCTCGAAGAAGGCATCCAAATTGACCACAACTCCATTCCCGATAACATTCACACAGCGTTCGCTGATAACGCCAGAGGGGAGGATGTGAAAATCGTACGACTTTCCATTGGCAATTACCGTATGTCCGGCGTTGTTTCCACCTTGGCATCGGGCTGTGACATCAATCTAAACACAGAACACATTACACTGCATACTGTAACATACCTTTTCGTTGTCAATTAGGAAGTCGATGATCTTCCCCTTGCCTTCATCGCCCCATTGGGCACCAAGAACAACCGCCACGGACATCGGAAACCCTGAAAAAAATACAATCTCAAGTTTGGATCAGAACTTAAGTACATAAACATCACGGCAACGGAGAAGTAGACCTGAATGTTGAAGATCAAACAATAAAACTTCGAGTATAATAAGATTAAAGTATTAAATCTGAACGGAAGGTCAATAAAAGAACGTTTCTTTCAATTCCATCTCCCCAAAAACGAATTCCAATCTCTTTGTAATAATACCTCTGTCCGCGACAGGCCAGACGAAGAGAAAAAACATTATTTTAGGCAGAATCCGGACTTCTAAACCAAAAAATGCGAAGATCAGTGACCAAACCCTGTTAAACAACAAAAAGACGCCTCAGAGATGCTCGGTTCTTGGCGTCGACATTATTTACAGACAAAAACGAGGCAGAGATCCGTTCTGATTAGGCTTTGGGATTTTATTTTTTGGGGCCATCCGTTTCTCCCGCCAGAACGGGGGAAGACTTGACCATATGGTCAGTTGGGCCATAAAGATGTGGAAAGGAACGACAGAGACGTCAGTCCGCCTAAACGGGAAGTGACGAGCCCATTCCCCGCCTTTGTCATACAGCCTACACAGTGATGAAACCAACTGATTAATGGCTCATCTAAAACAATGTCGTCATTTTAATCTGCCAAAACTGTAGTTGCATGCGACTGGTGAGCTCGAAGCCTCATAATCACGCTTAAAACGACTTAATAAGTACCTTACACTTCGGGCGTCATTCCTCGCAATTATTTTACGTAAGTAGTCATGGGACATTTCTTTGAGAATGGGAATGTTACTACAGTAGATTTAGATAGTTTATGGTTTTAAATTAATAATCAAAGAAAGTAAACAGTGATCAATAATGAAACCGGAGTTAATCCATTCGGGCCCGGATCGACTTGACGTTGACCTTATCCTTGGTGATGGTGTAAACCAGGGCTCCCCATCCAGAAGAAGCGTCGCGTTCCAAGGCCGAGAGCATGGATTGCGCTGTGGCCTCGAAGAGTTCTTCTGGACCCATCTTCTCTCTCCAGAAGCCTGAAAAAAATTAAATTATGGATGTAAACAACAATTTATGTCAATATACACTCCGCGCATTTAATTTGGATCAATCTGGGTCACAAAAACTAGACAAGGTCTCATATAAAAAAAAAATTTAATTTTTTTATATTGTTGCCAGAAAGAACACGAATTGACAATGTCATCAGAAATAGCACAAAATATTACTTCTCCATAACATCCGTATTCATTATACATATACGACAATAAACCCGGCCAGCAAAATCGGTTTTCGCAAGCTTTTTCAAACTTTCAGCGCATTTGAAAGCCTGAAGCTCAATTAAAAAAATTAGACAAAAGGGAAAATAATTATTTGGCCCCTGTTCATTGTGACAACGAGTCTACTGCGCAAAAAGGATCAAGTTCAGATCGCACTTACCCTTCGATATCCTTTCCAGAAATATAATCACTTACTTTCGCAGACGCCAAGAGCGTATTCAGCTCCACATCCAACGGCAACAAAATCTCTTGGGTTTCCAATACATCCAATGGTATCCATTCCACAGACATAGGGTTTGTTGGTATTGGGATCGAGACCAGCGACCAAAGGAGTGGTAATGTAACCACCGAAGCGAGTTTTGTAGAGCAGATTGGAGACCATGGTGGCAACAACCTCCGGACGGAGTTTTCGGTTCTCGCGGAGTTCGTAGAGTCCCTTTTGGAAGAGGATCTTATTCAAGACGGTCTGGGCATCGGAAGCGAAGCCGGGGAGACCAACGTACACCTTGTCCGCTACTTTGTGGATCTAAAACGACGAACTATTTAGAGCTGGGTATAAAAAATATACAAACATCTTTTCTGATGAAGAATCTAACACAAAAAAACAATCAACAAGCATTTTGATCATGGATGACAAAAACTCACCTTCTTCACATTGGTAGCGATGGTTGTCATTTGCTCACCCAGCCTCAGATCCGTTGCAATGCAGACACATTCATCGCCAGTCATGGCGATGATAGTACCTCCGTTATAATCCATAATAGACATCTTGGCTTCTGCTTCTAAAATAATATTAAAGCTGCTCAAAAAACATAAAAATGGCAGATCGCGCAATCGCAATGTGTGAACAGGTATTAAACGGTTCTGCAACCGAAGTCTCAGCTCAAAACTCGAGTTCTGAAACAACAAATAAACTTTATTAAACAGAAGATTGTGAGACCAATGAAGGTGTAGAGGGGGCGTTGGTTATGTCTGTATGCATGCTGAGGGATTCCGAATCATTGACTGGGGATGCCGTCCCATTTTCGTTGTTTTCCTTCTTATTTTCTGGCGGGGAAGGCTCTTTCTTGGTCGCGTTTTCTTGATTTGATAAGGCCAGGTCCTGGATGATCTTTTTGATCTGCTGTCTCTTTCCTCTCAGGTTGATTTGGCCAAACAAGTCCATGAAATCAGTGCTCTTCGTGAATTCCCCAATCTGAAAAATCAATATCAAAAGAATACCTAGAAATCTGGACCTTTTATCTTCTCCATTACTCACCTTGGGAGATCTTCTCAAAAAAGCCTCCGCAAAAACTAACAAGAACATTCCGCAGTCGTAATGGTTTGTCTGTTGAGGCATATTGTTGGGAACATGTAATTGGAATGCCTGTTGTCGATAACCACAGCCAGGAAGACTGAGTTCCTCCTTCTTTTCTTTGAACTCCATGCTAACATAATGAGAGAGGAACTCCACTACTTTCTGATGTCGTTTCACATCGTTTGCATCCATCAGAGAGTCGAATATAAACACCGGCACATCCGCATGAGCTCCACTTGGTTTTGGAACTTCAATTACAGTGGGGGCTGTATCTTCTTTCAAGACAATTCCAGCCCGAGGGTTTACAATAACTGCCAGATACCTAAAACAAGATGAAACTCTCACCAAGTACACTTACCAATGCGCATCTTCGTTGATTGGGACGACTACATAATCCTTTTCAAAAATATTTACATTTTTCGTCCAACTTTTAAGTGAATTGTAATTTTCTTGAAGCTAAAACGATATACAATATAGATCAAGAAAAAGTTCAAACCTTACTCTTTTCGGCCTTGGCCTGGGAAATCTGGAACCGCTTGAAAATATAACTCCTTTTCCAAGTTTGCTGTAGAAGAAAGAATTGAAGATGAAAACCCGGTCCCGTCTAAAAAATGATGACAATTATTCATCTGGGGGTCTACTACAATATAAGAGTAAAAAACTCACACTTCTGGAGTCAGCATATGGTAGTAAATGTAGTTCAAGTAGAAGTCGATAATACTGTCATTCAACATGATGGTATTATTTAAGGTTAAAAGGTCATTCTCGTAGATTGTCAATTTAAAGCTGGGAATTGGTTCGTAAACTGCAACGACCTGATGGCTAGATGGTGTAGAGGCTGTCTCCTCATCATCCAGAATATGCACTTCTGCTACTGCCTGACTTAATCTGGGGACCTAAAGCACAAGAATAAAATAAAGAATGAAAAATTTACTTTTGGTTCGATTGCTCCCATATTGAAAGTTCGATGTTTCCGTCGATCGAATTCTAAAATTTCACGAACTAATTTAGTACCAAATTTACTGATGGCCGACTTACTTTCCGGCGGAACAATGTTTTCAAAGTGCCCGGAAAAAAACCGGACTTCTTCGTGGTTTGAGTTGACCATGGTAACATCTTCAATAACAAAGTCTTTGTGTAAATACGCCAAGGTTCTTCTCCAATCTTCAAAACTTACGAGATCTAAAGCCAAATTTCGAAAACAGAATCTTAGACTTACTCAGAAACTTTAATGGAACAGATATTTCTTTGCCATTCTTCTTGAACCTTTCTTCCACGTATTCTCTGTGGTATGCTTCGGCCTGATAAAGAACGTCACTCAGAGCCTTTATCGTCTGAGGATCACTGTTGATCACATCCAGCACAATAAAACTGAAAAAATGAATATTTGCGATATTTTGAACCTAGTACAATATAAAAAATCCCAATTATTACCTATATTCGGGCCCATTCGGCAGCCTGTAATTGAGAAAAGCATTTCCATCCAGTGCCAGCCTGTTGCTCAATATTTTGGCCATATACTCATTCACGTAGACGACAAGGCCAGCACCCTTCCCTTCCGAATTGTCCAAAAAGTCGACTCGACAGATGTGTTTAAAGGATAATATTAAAGAACAGTCGCCATTCGTACCTCCTCTGACCATCAAGGTCAAAAACTTCTGGGTAATTTCATTTGCTTCGTCCGTGACTGAGAATTCGTAGTTTCCAAACAAATAATTCGAGGAGCGAATCTAAACTTCGAAAAATAAAAATTGATGACAAATATTTTCGGATACTCACCCTGACTGCATTCACTTGGTCTCCCGAGTCCATCTCCACCAGTATTATTGAACTCTGATAAAAACGACCTGATGGTCTTATATTACAAGCAAGTCGCCTTCTTTTTGACCTCTATCGCTATAAAATCTTATTTACCATGGGAAATCAGTAGATCCCAAAAATTTAACGAAATTCGATCCGAAATAACCTGAAAGTGATTTTAATAGATGCCATAGGTCTTTTTAATAATCTACTTCGCGACAAAATTGTAACGGACGCGAAATTTACGGGCGGGAGATCAAAATTTCACATCAGTCATGGTGAATATAACAAAAAATCTGTAATGCACTAAAACTGTTCTCAAAAATTAAATTTATGTTGTATTGTCCACAGTAAAAATCGTCGGCGCCTTCCTGCAGATTGCATCACCCAGCAAAACGATTGAAAACATTTTTTCAATCAAAACATCATAAACAATGTTATATTACATTTGAAACCCCGAAAATGTGTGTGAAATTGATGCAAAAATTACGTTGAAAGATTGTAACATCTTTGTGCGTTTGTCACTGCAACAATGAGCTTTCGGAATACAACAAAACGAAGATTAATGACGGGATTTATGGAACTGAAACATTTTCTGGACGCGAGAAATCTCCTTTTGACTCCCGCAGCGAAATCCATTTCAGCCAATAACACATCACGGACACGTAAAAATATTTATCCGCCTGTTGAAGATCTTCGTTCTTGTTCAACAACAGCAATATTGAGGACCAGCAATGTCTGGGGAACAACCATGTTATACTATAATATCTGTTCCTACCGATTACGAGTTCCCAAAGGAAGAAACATTGAGAGAGAAGTTTGAGAATGGTAAGTGGCTCTGCAATGTCTTATTTGAGATTTCAGGTGATATCAAAGGCAAGCAAGATGCCTTAAAGAAACTGATTTTGATGTTGCAACAGGGTGAGAAGCTGAATCCAATGATGTTAATGACAGTCATTCGATTCTGTCTGCCAAGTTCGGATCACACTCTCAAGAAGTTGCTCCTTATCTTCTGGGAGATTGTGCCGAAGACCAACAGTGAAGGAAAGCTTCTACAGGAGATGATTTTGGTCTGTGATGCCTACAGAAAGGATCTTCAACATCCGAATGAATTCATCAGAGGTTCTACCTTGAGGTTCTTGTGTAAATTGAGGGAACCTGAGCTTCTCGAGCCCTTGATGCCCTCTATTAGAAAATGTTTGGAGCACCGACACAGTTATGTTAGAAGGAATGCGGTCGTCGCCATCTTCACCATTTACAGCAAGTTTATTTGATTATTTTTGTTGAATTTTAGACAATATTTTCTTGAAGTCTTTAATGTTGAAACAGACTAACCTACGATCTTTACAGAAAACTTCGAATTCCTTATCTCTGATGGCCCAGAATTGATTGCCAACTTCTTGGAATCGGAGCAGGATGCCTCTTGTAAAAGAAATGCGTTCATGATGTTGCTCCACGTCGATGAAGCAAGGGCTCTGGAGTATCTTTCCGAGTGTATTGACCAAGTTCACACATTTGTCGACAGTCTTCAACTTGTTATTGTGGAGCTCATCTATAAAGTGTGCCACAAGAATCCTTCAGAGAGATCCCGGTTTATCAGATGTGTCTACAATCTTCTTCAATCTCAATCAACTGCTGTCAGATACGAGGCTGCTGCCACTTTGGTCACCTTAAGCTCTATGCCATCTGCTATCAAGGCTGCAGCATCAGTTTATATTGATTTAATCGTCAAAGAAGCTGATAATAATGTCAAATTGATTGTGCTGGATCGTCTGATTGAACTCCATGAGAATATCCCAAATGAAAAGGTCCTTCAAGACCTTGTTATTGATGTGCTCAGGGTCCTTTCGGCCACTGACCTTGAAGTGAGAAAGAAGATTCTTCAACTAGCGTTGGACCTGGTTTCCTCAAGAAATGTGAATGAGATGGTGATGTTCTTGAAGAAGGAGATTGATAAGGCCCAGAATGACAGCCAAGAAAACAACGGAGCCTATAAGCAACTTTTGGTCCGAACTCTCCATCGCACCACCATCAAATTCCCTGATGTTGCTCAACAGATCTTCCCCGTTTTGATGGAATTCCTCTCCGATGACAGTGAATTGGCCGCCAATGATGTCTTGGTCTTCGTGAGAGAAGCCATCGGGAAGTTAGCTCATCTTAGAGGTGTTATCATGCAACAACTTTTGGTATGTTGTATTTTATAATGTACTTTATTTTGATGTTTACTATTATTATTTTTATTTTTAGGAAGTGTTCCCCCTGATCAGAAATGTGAATGTCTACCGATCAGCTCTCTGGATTCTCGGAGAGTTCGTGGACACCGGTGTGGCTGTTGAGAAGGTGTTCGATCATATTAAAGATGGCATTGGGCCTCTTCCATTGGTTGGGGATGGAGAAGAAACTGAGCCAACTGAGAAAAAGGAAGTCCATCACAAGGAATCGAAGCCCAAACAATTGGTTACTGCTGATGGGACGTACGCAACTCAGTCTGCTTTGTCCACTGTGGCCAAGCCGGTTGATGATGATAAACCATTCTTGAGGAAGTTGTTCTTGGAAGGAAATTACTCGGTCGCGGCTGTGTTGGCCACTGCTTTGTCCAAATTGGTCCTAAAATATACCAAGTACTGTCAGAGTAAGTTAAATATTTTTTTTTGAGTGTTTCGTTTTTTAGATAATGAGAATGTGAACCGATTTGCTGGAGAAGCCCTTTTGATCCTCGCTTCGATCATTAGACTTGGACGATCGGATGTTCCAACTACCAAGATCACCGAAGATGACTTGGACAGACTCTCGACCAGTGTTAGAATCATCTCTGATCGGTGGCCGAAAGCAGAAGAAATTCTTTTGGAAGACTGCAGAGAGTCTTTGAATTTGATGCTCAAAGTCAAAGGAGATTCGGACAGGCATGAGGAGACTCACACTAAGAAGGCCAAAATTATCCAGGTATGTGATGCAGGCATATTGTTATTGTCTTGTTTTTAGGCCGACACCACTATCAACTTTACTCAATTGGCCTCCCGTGCTGGTGAAGTTACCGCCACGGCTAATCTGTTCGATCTGAGCTTGTCTCAAGCGCTTGGAACAGCTCCCAAGACTGCTAAATTCGACTTTGCCAGCTCCAAGTTGGGCAAGGTTGAACAATTGGCTGGCTTTTCGGACGCTGTTTATGCTGAAGCTTATGTCAACGTTAACCAATATGATATTGTCTTGGATGTTTTGGTGGTAAATCAGACAAATGATACTCTCCAAAACTTGTCTCTTGAGTTCTCGACAATTGGAGATCTGAAGTTGGTGGACAAACCAGCGCCAATCACTTTGGCTCCTAACGATTTCTCAAATATCAAGGCGACAATCAAAGTGACATCGACTGAGAATGGAGTCATCTTCTCGACAATCTCCTATGATGTGAAGGGTTCAACTTCGGACAGGAATTGCGTCTATCTCAAGGATATTCACATTGATATTATGGTAGGCTGAGATTAATTTTTATGTAGATAGTATAAAATTTTTGGGGGGTTGATGTTAATTTTGTTGTTTTAGGACTACATTGTACCTGGCCAAGTCACCGACACCGAGTTCCGAAAGATGTGGGCCGACTTTGAATGGGAGAATAAGGTCCCCGTCAACACGAATATCACCGATCTCAGGGAATACATCGAGAACATTGCTGAGGCCACCAATATGAAATTATTAACACAAGAAGCTGCTTTGGGTGAGAAATTGTTTTTAGGATTATGAGCTATGGAATTTGAGAGTAATTCTTGTATTATTTTAGATGGAGAATGTGGATTCCTGGTCGGTAACTATTGTGCTCACAGTATATTCGGGGAAGACGCCCTGGCCAATGCCTCCATTGAAAAAGCGGATCCATTGGATCCAAACAGCGCCATCCATGGATCCATTCGAGTCCGAGCAAAATCTCAGGGAATGGCCCTCAGTCTGGGCGATAAGGTATGTTATTTTATATTATACTTGATGGTAATCAGGGATAAGGGAATATTGAACGTTTACTTTCAGATAACGTTAGCACAGAAGAAGAAACAGGCCGAACAAGCGGCATAAATGGTTATAAATTATTGAATAATGTTATATTAGCTAATCGCCTTGTGATATATTTATTACATTTTTTATCAGCTCGAGTAAAATATAATTCTGAATTTGAATTTTGGAATTCATTTGTGAGAAATGTTTGGAACGGCAGGTCGAAAAATCGACGAAAATTGTAACCAGGGATGCGAGAAGGTGGAGAAGAACAATCTTTTGAATAAGGTGAGGTCATGGTGGGGAAGTGAGTGGTTTGGATGAAGATTGAACGGGATTGGTTTAATGAATCTGTTTGAGGAAATTCAGGTGTTTTCGAGTTGTAGACGTATTTTTGTTATTCTATAAGATGCCTAACTCAAATAACACTTGCAGAACGGGAAGAATGCCAAGAAGATCCTGTGTCGTCGCTGCTCTTCCCTCATCTTCCCTCCAAATTCCATTAAACTTGTTGACGGTAAGGGTTCATCTTTTTTGCTTTTGTTTCCCTAAAAATAGAATGACAAAAACATAATTTTTGGACTTAAATTTGGCAAATTCACTTGTGAGATGTTACTATGACAACTTTCGATTACAGAAATAGCTGGGCATTTTATGGAAACGTGAACATTGAAATTAAACTTGCCGAAGCCATTTTATTTGGAAGTGAAAGTTGTATGAATAACAACATTTTCTAATTTTGTAAAGTTTACTCTTTTCAAAGTTTAGTTTCGACATAAAAAATGCCTTGAAATTTGTGAAAATACATTTAAACATCTAAAAGAGATCGTATTTTAGGCGAGAAGCACAACTTGAAAAAGATGTCTCTGCACGGTGCAGCGAACAATGGATCGGAAAGTATTGAATTGTGGTGGAAAACGACCAATGAAATGGACTTTGACACCTGGGGATGTCAGACCGTCGATGGGACCAAGGCTCTGATGTGTGGAGACTGCGAATTCGGTCCATTTGGCTTCAGAATCATCGGCGCTTCGGAGACGACCTTCTTTGTTGCTGCTGAGAGAGTGAAATACGAGGGATGAGGGTGTTATTTAGTATCGATTTTAAAAGTAAAAATGATTCTGTAGATGCTCAGAATCATTCACCCTGCTTGACGTGGATGAGATAGTCGAACAAGTTATGATTTGTTTTTTCATAGGGTCCAACTTGTTGTCTACTACAATATAAATTTCCCAATTCTGGATAGGAATTTATTCTAGAAAGAAAATCGGAAGGAAGCACAAAACTGGAAGAGAGATGGGGGATTAAGTAGAACATCATTGGAGATTATACAGATACCAAACAATTCTACGGGGCTAATGTCATCAATCATCGTGATAAAAGTGGGATAAAATACGAAAAGGGAAAGGGAAAAACCGGTAATCGACTTCGAGTGAAAATATTTGTTTTGACTACTGTAATTAGAGACATGGAATATTCGGGTCAAGTGCATAGTCGTATAGGAGAGTCGGGATATTAAGTTAGGTTCGGTTGGAGAAGGGGGAAAACGGAGGGAATATGCACTTGACGCAATTGTATTTGTAGGACCTCGGGGTCTGAGATGCTTTCGGAGACTCGGAAACACCATATATACAGTAAAAAGACAAAGGAGAGATCATCTGGACATGTATTCGGACAAAAGATGCCTAGAACAACATAAAATTAGTTAGAAAATAATATAAATCTATGGAGAATGGTGCTACGCATTCCAAAATCGGATAAAAGACATAACAATGGAGTTAATTAAATATATTAACAATCAAATGTCCGATGTATACGTGTGTTCTGACGTTGTTTTAGACACGGTAAGTGCGTGAGACACTTTGGGGAATGGTCCCGTCGTCATCCCATTCCAGGCCTTTGGAGGCATGGGGAAGGGCGGGCGAAGTCTCTTCTTCCTCTTCCTCACTCATCTCGTCCTCGTCGTGATAACTGCAAACAATTTGAATTGTAAATTACAACGTTTGTTATTCTGAACTTTGCCTTTGAGAAAAAGGAGAAAGGGGGCGTCATTGTACTCAAAGAATTAAAGAACGGACCCGGGAATATTCGAGGAGCAATCTGCTTAAAGGTCGATCTCTTTTGAAACTTCTATTGGGATTAATGGGGTCCTCTTACCTCTCGCCGTCATCCGAGCTCTCGTCCTCTTCCTCGGAGTACATTTCCTGCTCCTGTTTCTCCACGTCCTCCAACGGATTTACCGTAATATTCATGCCTCCATCATCCCATTCCATGCCTTCTTGCATCTGAAAAATAAAAATTTAGTCATCAGATGTCTACTACAATATAATCATAGTTACAATTAGGTATAGAACAATGAAAGGGATAGAAAATGATGGTAAAATGACTTGCTCTTACCGTAGCCAGCTTTCTCTGACGTCGTCGAGCTCGGGGAATGGGGGTATCTCTCATTTTCAGGACTCCAACCACCAACAAGACCAGCAAGAACCCGACGCAGATGACGACCACGATCGCGACAGCACCTCCGGCAACAGCGCCTTGTCCCATCTCGTAGCCGTGATGACTCAAAAGGGCTTTAGGACGGGGGAGATCCATCTCCAAGATGTTTTGGAGTCTGTTAGCACCAAGCTGATCGAAGGCCGAAGGCTCGAACTGTTTTCCAAAGTCACGGAGGTCTTGGGCATCATTTCCCTTGGTCAGGATTCTCGCATCGCCATCCAGATCATCGACTTTGTTGTCTGAGGAGATGTACATCTGAAACATTGCTCAAGAGTAATTTAATTTTCTGGTTTTATTAAAAGTTCATGTCCAATATAATCAAAAAAAATTAAAATTTCAGTCAAAAAACTCTCTGAGGAATATATAAAATCAACATTTGAACCAAAAAGAGTCTTGCAAAACCCTACAAAGATAAACAAAACCTACGGTGACAAAGAATTTGTTGCTCAAAAGTTTTCCCTTGTCCATGGCGCATTGCACGGTGTACATCCGCTTGTTGTAGGCCTCGGGGCGGGTGTTGAAGTAATGGATCTTGCCCAGGACTTCTCTGTAGCCGGCGATGCTCTCCTCTCCCTTCAGCAAGATGCCTTCAGAGTCGTGCTCGAAGTCAATGTTCAAAGAAGCGATAAGAGCGGCGGGGGAAGAGAAATATTCCAAATCCATGTCGCGAGAGGGCTTCAGATGGACTTTACACCAGTCAACTTTGTGCTTGGTGGTCACATCCACGTCTTTCTGACCTGAAATGACCACTTTTCATATTTTTAAGGGACTAAATAAAAGATTTTAACAATGATGACAATTTTGTCAAGTACAGTATAAATTAATGGCAAAAAACAAGAAAAAATTAAAAAGAAAACCTACCGTCACTTTTGACGACAGTGATCTGCACATCAGGGAGCATAACCGTTCCCAATTTCAAGCTCTTCCTGTCCGTGTTGATCAAGTTCTGACCACTGATCGACAAGATTGGAGCTTGCTCATTCTTCACTTGAATGCTGGTCTCATATGTTCCCAGATCTCTCTTCTCTCCATTGGTGCATTTGGCAGAGGATTTGATGGTCAATCTCCTCTTTCCTGGGAGTCTTGGGTCCGAGTTGATGTACTCGACCTTCTGCAAAAGCAACGAAAGATCTTCGAGGGTGTTGGCGGTCAGAGTGAGGCGGGTTTGTTGGTCGGTGAACGCGGCAGTCTCGCCGGGAACCAACTCCTCCACAGCGTCGAAACGAAGCCGTTCCTTGGGTTGATGGAGACATTGAACGGCCATCTCGCTCTCAACTTTGCCTGGAAGAAGGTAGACGGAAGTGAGTTGGCCCTTGAAGAATTGGACCATCTGTTGAGTGCGGCCATGCCAGCAAGCTCCAACAACCATCTTGGTCTTCTGGAAACGATGGAATTAGTTTTACTCTTCAAAAATTTGATAATAACTCCTTATGGACTAGATAAAGTAATATAAATTCCTAATAAATCGCCACTTGTTACTCTTGCCACTACAAAATGAACCACTTACCATCCATTTCGTCTCATGGAGTGGCCAATCGTCCAAAATCTCCGGATTTCTCTCCGAACTATCCAACTTGTTTCCGTCGACCAACAGCACCACATTGTCCAGGTCTTGGAACAAGATCGCGTAGGAATGCCATTCGTCGTCACAGACCTCGGGCAACGACCATCTCCACTCGGCGGCCCTGAAGTTTTGAGTGGCATGTTCGGCCTCTCTTCTCAACAACATCTCCAATTTACAGTGACGGATGTAAACGGCGAAATGATGACGGTTCAGATCTAAATGACGTCAGGTTAAATTTTGTGAATTCTAATTAATGTAGATGACAGTACACAAAAAGAATGGCAACTTACGGTCGTTGTCAGTCTCGCAGAGGATGTTTTGCTTGACCTGTTGCTCAGCTTTGGAGCCTCGAGCATGCTTCATGGAGAAGGTCAAAGAGAACTTCTCCGGGATCACTCCCTTGACTGTGGTTGGTGGTACGATCACTGAAGTGGTCTTCCCATCGAACATGTACTTTTGTTGTTCCAGCTGGCCAGGTGTCAACGAGCTGACGTCCTCATCCTCCTCGTCATCGTCCTCTTCTGACTCGTCGGCCTTGACGTCCTTGTCCAGATTCTCATCCGAATCCAACAACAGTTCCTTGGCCTTTCCGTCTTTGCCCAGAACAACCGATCGAACGTTGGCATCGCCTCGAGGCAACAGTTCCAGAGTCGCAAGATTCATTCCGCATTTCTTGGTCGACGCCAGATCATGCTCCGAAGGTCTTTCGATGGCCAACTGAAGGAAGGATTCGGCCGATTTGACGGTGCAGGAGTGGTCGGAAGGACAGGCGATAACTTCGGCCTCAGGCAAGATCTTCCGGGTCCCGGTTCCGGGGGTGTATTGGATGCTCTCTTCATGATTGGGGACTCCTCGGAGACCTTCTTGACAAGGTCTGCGGACGTTGATCGTGACCAGAGCACTCTTGGATCGCTGCATTCCACAATCATAGGCGACGATCGTCAGAATGTGGGATTCAGAATCGGTGCGATTCAAGGGTTTCACATTGCTGATCACTCCTTGGTCGTCGATGTGGAAGGGGAATCCCTCCAGGGCATTGGTGATCTCGTATCTGCAGATCTTTCCGTAGGGATGACCGCAATCCTTGTCCGTTGTAGTGAGTTTGGCAATGTTGTGGTTGACTTGGCCCTCCACAACATCGAACGCATACCAGGGGGCGTCGAATTCGGGTGCATGGTTGTTGGTGTCTTTTACCGTAATCTTTAGACTGGCCCTGAAAAGAAATGTAAATGAGAGAAGATTAACAATCCTTGTCTCTCGTGACCAAAGACATTCCGATTATCAACGTTTGAGGACGGAATTCCTATGAAACTTACGACTCAGACTTGGCCATGTCATCGGTACAACCGACCGCCGTGATCTCCAGATTGTATTCACTGTGAGAGCAGTCCAAGGTAAAGTTCTCCTTGACTTTGACGACGGCATTGCCCGAGTTCTTGTCCAAGACCTCGGCCGTGAAGGGGATCTCGGTCTCGGAGTCGGAGCTTAGCTCGTATTTACAGACAGGCCCTGGAATTGGAGGTATAAGACTATGATGACTAAACAATAAACTAAAAAATTCTTGAAGTTGGCTTTGCTCAAATGGTATAGGCTGTATATGGGTCATTAATATTTAATAAATCATGGCAGCTTTAAGCTCCCGTTTTGCGATGAGAGCCACCATATTCAACAATCATCTTTTTGCAAGAGACAATGGAAGATCGGGAAAAACGGTCAGAGAAATCGCTTTGTAATCATTTCTTTTGCCAAAGAAAAAAATGTTTTTTTAAAAAGTTACGTTGCACCTGCTAGCAGTAGATCCCCAAATTTTAATCCTAAAAATCTCGAATTTTCTGAAGGATGCGAGTTAAATGTTCTTAAAATACCAGCCATAAATTTTGCCAAGCCTCTTCATGCCAAAAAAACCTCAGGTTTCCGTTACAATAAGATGTTTACATCCCAAAATGTAGATGTTTATAAGTTCGTATCAGCTGGTGTAACCGACAATTTCACAACTCCAATAACAAGTCGGATACAAAAACAGTTTCTTTTGGGGATTTTGTAAAAAGATGGGGCTTCGTTTCGGCTTCAAACAAGAGATACAATCCTCGGTTACAGTAACCTGAGAGATTGTTGAGAGTCATGCACTCACTCTGCGATTAATAATTTTAATTAAACTCACCGCTTTCGGGGAAGATGGCGATGTGGGGAGAAACGGCGACGACTTTCTCATCCTCACGAAGACTCCCGAGGATCTCATCAGCGCCATTTAATTGTAGAATGGGGACTGAAATTGGGACTATTAATGGGCTAGGTAAGGTGCGACTACTACTTCAGCTATAAAACATCTTTCCCACAAGAATATAATCCAATTTTTCGAGAGGTTTCTTGAGAATTGTAATTGTAATTAACTCTGTAACTTCTCCGGAAAAACGTCATAAGAAATACGGGCAATTTAGAGCAAAATAAAAGGGCACACAGCCCCAGGCCAGGAGCTTCTTCTAGACTAATTAGCATACTCGCAAGGCCCACTAATTATGTATGCATAAACAAGGGGAATTTTAATAAAAAATGGGCGAAAAAGCGAGTAATCTCAAAAGAATTTGAGTCAATCGATGACGTCACAGTGTTCCCTGTTTTTGGTATCTAAAGTGATATAAAGCAGAACTCACCCCGATGATGATGCTTGTGATGCCCGGCTAAGGCCGTGCCCAGCCACAGGCACACCGCCACGAACAAACGCATCCGTATCACAATTACTTTGGAGTTCCGCAAGTCTCTGAAACAAATCGCGAGTTAACGGGAGGCGAAAGGAAGTCTCAACGGCCGCTCCGTTGATGGACAGCTGCCGAAGACAGGTTCGTCTCGGATTTCGAAGGCACAAGACGCGTGTAATTAATTGGACACGAGGACTGCGGGCACGGTAAAAGAGTAATCGATATTCTTCCCCACCCAACTTCTCGCACCCGCACGCCCTGCGGGCAAAAGTTTTAGGTGGCGGACGGCGGCCGCGCCCGAACACCAGACTGAGAAATTAAGGAGGGCGAAATCAGGGCCCTCAGATTTTAATACAAAGTCAAAAAACACGGCCGGGATTAACGTGCGGCCCGCAGGGCGAATAGGTGTTGCTCGCCGTGAGTTGGGGGTTGCCAGGGACGACGGCGGAGTGCCACCGCTCCGAGACACCTCATGCATTTCGGAGCACGGCCCCACGGCCGAACGGCCCCGACACCCCGACAAGAAAACGGCCAAAGGAACGCGCACCTGGCTGCTGATACCCACATCTGAATGGGGAAGTCTCACGCAAAAAGAGGTAGAAGTAATGATAGGGGGACGAGATAACAGAGGGTTCGCTGAGGCGGTGAAGAAGCCAGAAATGAGACATTAGAGAGCCGGAGATGTACATGGGAAGGTGTTTGGGTGTAGTTGTAGATGTCATATGGAAATGGGAGATTGAGAGCACGAGTGTAAATGACGTAGATAAGGGAAAAAAGTGCTGCAAACCGCGAATGTACCTGAGATTCTAGGAAAGCAATGTCTAGGGAACTTTTTGTAAAATTATATTTGAAAAAGGACGTAAACTTTAATTTACAATTTCCAAGAACAGAGTAAGAAAGACGGAATCCTTCTTCCAGCCCCGGGGCATCCGATTAGCATATCTGAAACCAGCACTCGGCAGGGGACCATTAACATTAATCCCAATCAAAACACGGGGGCCGGAGATTAATATAATCCCGAAAGTACGGTAGATTTCTCTTACAGTACGTGCACGCCGGATGTTGACAAGACTCTGATATCGCCAGCTAAGGAGCTTACAAAGCAAACACAACGAAAAGAAGAGCGTTATTTCGCAGGATAAACGTTGATCTTTGAAGTCTCTGTTAACACTATCAATCGCCCCAATTGTAGACAAAACTCGCCGGAATCTAATAAAAATATGAACAAAAAAGATCCCAGCGAATGAGGAGACGTCAAGCGTCGAGAGTAATCAGAAATCAGAGCCCATCAGAATGGTGATAAAGAAAAAATTTGTGCCGTTCCTCGCGACGAATCCCCCACCAAATTGCGCAATAATTTCCGCGAACAGCGCGAGTTGAAGACAGCCGGTTAATTCGAGCTAATCAATCTGACAGAAGAGAGAAAGGAGAGACGGAAAGCACAACACGGCTACCCTCTAACCTTGCACTGTAAATTTCAAAACCCTTTTTTTACTTTCGCGCCAGAAGGACGCAAAAAAAACGTTCAGTTCAAGGGGTCCTTGAAGCCGATAGAAGAACAAAAAACTCCTCAAAACGGCATCGGCCCTGAGGACCGGAGGTGCTTCAGATGTTCAGAGGCCATGTTCTTGGCCAACGAAATGACCTCGCAAACTTCGGAAGACTTGAGGACTCGACGATCCTTAAGCCCAGATCTCGACCCAAAGCTCTTCGCTTAAAGTGAGGACAAAAAATTTATTGAAAAATCCAAAATGGGTCAGTCGATTCGAAGGCGGCCGAAGCAGCGGCCTCGAGGTCCGCAAAAAATAAGAGAGAGAAAGGGAAAGCGCGAGGCCTCGGCGGTCTCTCTCGCCTCGGGCGCCGGCCTCCGCCCTCAGGGCAGATGCCGGAAACACACACTGTCATTTTATCGATTATTCCTCTTCGCCCCCCCCCCCTTTCGCCGTAAGCCCAAACTTGGCCGCTCTTAGTTGGGCTGGGGCCAGAGCGGCCCAAAGAAAGGGCCTCGCCGCCACAAGTGCAAATATTTCATTTGCATACCTCAACGCATTTTATAATCAAAATAGTCGGAGGACGGGGGAAAGGGAAGTGCCTCTCGTCATTTCTACTCAAAGGCATAACTTTTATGACAACAAACAATTGGATATGCATAATATTGCACAAACAGCCATTACTTTCATTTTATGGCCCATTACTTCTTCAAGGGCCATAAAAGAAAACAAAAAATATAAGGAAAAACGGTATAAAAACACAGTAATTATCTACAAAAATGCGTGTAATAAATGATTACTAGTGTGGTATCGACAAAATGGCTGTGGAATTTTAAATTATATACCATGTTTTTGAGACGCCAATTCGCTCCTGCAAGTGATAAAACATACAAATTCAATGGCTTGGATTTGAATTTTGTGGGCGTATTTTAGGAATATAATTACTTACGATAAAAGAAACCAGAATCCATTAATTTTTTTTCCAAGAAAAGAAACGGATATTATGCGAGGGAAAGCAAAAAATTCATCAAATAAAATTCCGGGTATAAGAAGTGTCCAATTAATTATGGTTTTGTTTTGGTCTAATTGTAAGGCCCTATGTCCTCTTTGACACGAGATAAACAACGCATGTTCTGCTGCACTTTTGCAAAATTTTAGATGCCATATCAGCGTTCCACGTATTGGAGTCTAGAAGATTGACTTGGGCCAAATTTAAACACAATCTGACCATCCGTTTTCGAGTACTGTCTTGATGACTAAAACAAGGTACTTCAACATCGAAGTCGTCGAAATGTGTTTCCAAAACCGTGCCTAGATGGGCTAAAATTTCTTCCATGCAAACACTGCTCTCGAAAAGTCCATTTGCTACAGTTTCCCGCCAATTCAACAAGTAGCCCAAGTAAAAACTGCAGCAATTCCTTTTCTCATCATTATAATCCCCTTCTCCGAGCACTTTTGGCTTTATGCCCTGAGGTCACATTATCGGAAAAAGTGTCAAAACAAGCCCCAATATGGGCTGCAGTCGTCGAGTGTCCAAATTGAGGCAATTTCAAGATGTCCTATTCATTCTTTATTGAATTATATTATACATGAGGAGGACCCGTTCCACAAATCAATTTTCTCTCATTTCTCGGTGATGTAGCCGTGATTCTCGCCCTGAGTGCCGATGTTCTTGGTCTTGGTGTGCCAGACCAGGATCTCCTTGGGTTCGCGGTCATGCCCGAACGGCTCCACTTGGCTTCGATTCAATTTGAATTGGCTCAGGAAACAGGATTCGGGACTCACTTTCACACAACCCGTATGGAAGTAGACGCTGGAAAAGGAGAAGAATAATCTTCTTTATCTAAAAGATGGACAAACACTCAAGATTATCCTCTACAGTTTAATCTGGCATGACGGAAAGGGCGTTCGTCATGGAGAATATCGTCTAATCTCCTGCTCGAACATGAATTTCTAATTTTAAGTCGATTTTTTGAATAACAATTGTAAGACTAATTGATTTTAGGATGGAGTCCAAAGAAATATTTCATCAAAAGTTTTAAGCATGCAAAAAAATTGGGCGAAAAATATGCAAAAACAAAAGCGTGAGAAGAACGTTCCCAGCAATAATGCCGGAGGCAATCAGCTTTTTTAAAGCGTTTCCGGCTTCTTTAGAGACCCAAGACATTAAACATTGTGTAAATAGAAGTTTGAGGAACAAGACTTCACGGAATACAGAAAATCTTTCAGAATGGTCACGAAGATTATGTTAATTTATTACCCACTTCCCAACCAAAGCATGGAATGCCTGACTGAACCTCCCAAGACCGAACCCCCCTGACTGAACCCCCCTGACTGAACCCCCCAATGACTGGACCCCCCCTGACTGAACCCCTCACCCCTGTTCGAGGGAACCCCCCCTGACTGAACCCCCCCAAATTGAATAAACCTTGGCCTTCTGCTAAAATACAATGTGGCCGAACTGAAAAGGTTGTGGCTGTGCACGTTGTGTGTCTGCGGGTTTGTTGCCCAGTACTGTTCAAACAATATGTTTTTAGCAATTGGTACTGTATAGTACTAAGTGGTACTGTATAGCACGAGATAAAAATGAAGCCATAACGCGTTAATGCTGTTGGTTTGAAGCCCAGTACTTCTCAAAAAATGCGTTTTTAGCACTTGGTACTATATAGTACTAAGTGGTACTATATAGCACGAGGTAAAAATTAAGTGCTAAAAACGCATTTTTTGAGAAGTACTGGGCTTGAAACCAACAGCATTAACGGTTATGGCTTAATTTTCATCTCGTGCTATATAGTACCACTTAGTACTATACAGTACCAAGTGTTAAAAACATATTGTTTGAACAGTACTGGGCACCAAACTAACAGCATTAACATCTGAATGCATAATTTTTAATTGTACTGTATAGTATGAAGCGTTAATATGTAGTACCTCAATTATTCAGGGGGGTTCAGTCAGGGGGGTTCGATCTTGGGGGGTTCAGTCAGGGGGGTTCAGTCAGGGGGGTTCGGTCATGGGGGGTTCAGTCTCCTAACGAAAGCATGAGCTAAGAATTTGAAAAGTAAATTTGTGGCCTATAGAGAGCATGAATACAAAACTTCAAAGAAATCGGAAAGTTAATTTTTCAGCAATTGGTCCTTTTATTCAAACTTACTCCTTCTCCAAAACTAATCTCAAATTGATCGCAAACCCGGCCATATCTGTCGCGAATTTCCTCGACGGAGCATACATTACATCCCACTTGGTGATCGTCCCGTTCTCCACATGAGGAGCCTCGACTAAAGCGCCTCCGGCAAGGCCTAAATTTAAAATTTGTAAATTAAGAATCTGCTTACCCACCGCCCAGAACCCGATTGTTTTTACATTCCGAATGTACTCGTTGAACAGTCGAATGTCGTAGGAATTGTCATCATCGGCGAAGTAAATGACGGCATTTCGTTTATAGTTTTTGTAATTCTTTCGAATATATTCTAGGCCCATGTTTCGATGGGTCCAGCCACGTCCTAAAGTAGTGTAAAACAAGATGACATTGCAATAAAAAAAGTTTTACTTACGAGGAAATCCGGGTTTGGTGGTTGTAAAGAAGTAGGCGTAGGGTATCCCGGACCTCTGCAGAATCCTCTCCACCGCCGGAGAAGTGGCGTTCCCATCTTCAATCACGATCCAATGTAAGTTCTTGATGTGCATGAGGGTTTGAGAGAATCTGGAATAGAAATATGAACTTTAATAATGTTCTTTCAGGTGATTACGTGACCTAGACAAAGAATTCCGACAAAATTTGAAGGCGAGAAATCCTGTGCATCGTCGTCAGACTATGAATTTACTTTTCATTGTGCACTTCGACTTTTTCTTGGAACTCTCCAAAATGCAACGTTTACTACTAGTCGCGGAAAAAAGTCCTGGGATTTTTCTGCGACTCTGCACTGTGCATGAACCCGAAAAGTGCTTTTGCACAGTGCAATTTTGTTGATTTTGCCTTATTGTCGCGCGCGATTCCCGCGACAAATCAACTTTTCGGAGCGCGACGGAATTTGGGGGGCGCGAGAAAATCCCAGGACTTTTTTCCGCGACTAGTAGCACAAAAAAATTTACAATTGCAATGCAAAATTTAGTATTTTTTACCACGAGTTAAAAAAAATTCAAAAAAATCTATATATATTACGCATAAGATCTGACCTTGTCATGTCCGCGAACCTCTCCGGCCTTCGATGTGTTGGTGTGATGATAATAATAGTTGTCTCATTCCTGACATCCACTCCCCATTCCCACACCTTGTACACACACAACACTAGGAACAGGCTGATCAGAAGACTGGGGATTCTCTTTTCTCTCTTCAGATACAAAAAGAGGCCTCTGGTGTAAGATGAGGACATACACAGATTACCGAAACCGTGCGTATCTCTCATCAAAGGGCATGATTTGAAGACGAGTTGGAGGATGGCAGAGATCGTCTGAAAACATGGGATGCAAGACGCCTCAGGGAATAAGCCACGTAAATGCAAACAAACAGTGATAAGGAAAGGGAAGGAGAATATAAATTGGAATGGGGCTATCAAATCTGCATCTTCTCGAGACAATTTGACATACCCGTTTTAATGAGGGACCTTTGAAAGTTCATATTAATGTAGTGCTCTTTAGAGGTTTATCTTTTTATTCTTTAATTTTGGCATTTCTTTTGAGACCAAGGCTTACAAAAAATAAGACATGAGAAAATTCTAGCCGAGCCAATTAACAAAAGCGGAAGCGTTTGGACTTTCTTCAAAAATGTTGATAATTTTATGAATCATCAAACATAATAAACATAATATTACAAAATTACAAAATAATGGTAAGAACTTGAGTAATAAATTAGGGCTCAAAACATGACGCCCAAATTTTGATGACATTTGGCAAACAATTGTTTAAACGGAAATTCTTTTACGATCGCTTTGCAGCGAGAAAAAAAGGCACTCAACAACCATTTTGGCAAGACATTATGTAAAATGAGGAGAGGAGGTACGAGAAAATAATTTCCAGATACATCTTTGCCATTTTCGCTCATAAAAGTAAACTTTTACATATATTTTATACAGTCCACACACCGAGCAGAAAGGGCATACTCTCCCTACTAAGGGCTCCAAACCAAGAACGAAACTATACAATCACAAACTGGACTTTTCAAACGTTCAAAACTTTGCAAATCATCATGATCGTCATTCGGAAAGCTGTTGATACAGACAAAACTGTGCTTTCCATTTCTCAATTAAATCAAAATTTGTTGAAAGAGCCCTGCAAAGAGCCAAAAAGTGTTAAAACCCGCTGATATTGACACATTTTTCCTTATTTGGAGCCAAAACAAAGAACCAAACCCTCTTCATTGCCTCTCCCTCCGCATTCTGTGCTTACAATACGAACAAAAAATCTCTTTAAAAATTGTAACAAAAATGGTGACCAACTCATTCCATATTCAAATTCCTGAAGTCATTTCTGACTAAATCCATTGGACCGAATCGAATCCGACGTCGGAATCCATGGAAACTGCCCTCAGGGCAAAGAAATTCTTAACATTTTTGGTTTATTTCCAGTACATAAGAGGTGGAAAAAAGTTTGCAAATGCTTTTAAACGGACACAATCTTTGCTGCGCCCTCAGGCATAAACATTTCAAGCAAGTTTAAGATGAAGAAACTTGTACTAAACGTGGAATAACACTGGTAAAAAGAGTGAGACAGGGCTATTACGTGGTCCGGATTACCCAGAGTTCATTACTTTTGGTTTGTGTGCAAGCAGACGTCCATGCAGGTACATGAAACATAAAAATATTTAGAGATAAATGAGATGGAAATGGTGAGGAATAGCAGAGATTTATATTCGATATGGGGGAGGGGATACTTGATCAAAAAAAAGGTTCCAACTATACCTGGAATGGACACAAATCATTGTGCAAAGTGTCTGGGATTACTCAGAGGAGCTATTGAAACAGTTCGGGTAGAAAAAAAGAGGTTATTTTCATTGCCATCATGCCGCCTGAATCAAAAAGTCGTAATGCAAATGCCAACAAGAAAAAGGACTTCCAAATTATTCGGAAATTTACATGAATGCCTCTGTTTCTCGTACATGGCGATTGCATAAATTACATTCGTCATTATTGCACTGTGTTTGTAGCCTTTCATTATGTTACGTGTTAAAATTACCAGACGTTGCATTGTTGTGAGCCTTAACGTCAATTCTCATCAATATTTCCATCGTACTAATACAGGGTGGGCCACTAAAACCTTCCGTCCTCTTTTTTTAGATTTCTCCGCGGAGACTCCGCCGATTTTCATGAAATTTAGATTTTTCTGGAGCTGAGATGCGCCATTTTCAACCGGTTGAATTTGAAAAAAAAATATCTTGAATTGACCTTTCTATGCCTTTCCAAAGTTTTTGAAAATTATTTTCGAGCCGAAACCGCTAAAACTTACGTTAGAAAATTTTTGGAATGATTTTGAAAACTCGGTCATTTTTTCGGGTTTTTGGGTGAAATCTTACTTGTTTTGCCTCATATATTTGCAAAATACTGTTGTAAAAACTAATTTATTTAACAATTTGATTATTAATATTTCTATCTGACAAGGGAATGGACTTTATGTGTAAATCGATTTTGGCTTGGGACCTAGTCAGATCGAAAGGTGTGTGGTAGTCGATTATTCACTTGGGGGGAAATCTCTGCGCGGGGCTTCAAAGCCGAGAAAATCGGCTTCAAAGTTTGGACGAAAATCAAAGGATAGGGATCCCAGAAAAGGAGCCATAAAAAGTGTGAAGCAGTGGCCGAGTGGTTAGTGCGCTCGCTTTTTGCGCAAAAGGTTGCAGGTTCGAATCTTTCGAAGCCCAAGTCATCATTTATCGTTTTTACTTTTGCTTTCTTCGTGCTAATCCGGCTGTACATTTAAAAAAGGGGTATAGATAAAAAAGTTAACATAATGGAAAGTTGTTTTTGAATACATCAGGTTGATGGTGTGCCCTGCGCTCTAAAACTGTAAAGGGAAGCTGCGAAGCCGTTGAAAATGGAAAAGTTCCGTTTAAAATATACTTCTTGTATCGATAATCGAGTTCAGGGGAAAAAAATTAATAGAAGTTTTTGTCTAAAAAAGTTATGAATGGAAGCAGATTCGAACTTGCGACCTTTTGCGCAAAAAGCGAGCGCACTGACCACTCGGCCACTGCTTCACACTTTTTATCGCTCCTTTTCCGGGATCCTTATCCTTTGACTTTCGTCCAAACTTTGAAGCCGATTTTCTCGGCTTTGAAGCCCCGCGCAGAGATTTCCCCCCAAGTGAATAATCGACTACCACACACCTTTCGATCTGACTAGGTCCCAAGCCAAAATCGATTTACACATAAAGTCCATTCCCTTGTGAGTTCGACGTGTCCATCTCCTCTTGCAGCACGAACTTGTAGGGGCTTTGAAAGTTAAGAACAGCTCGAATTGCGGACGTGAGCATGGTTTAACTTCAATCAAGCCTGGCTCCAAGCCTCAATGCGCCAAGCCATGGCTTGTAGCCTTAATGTGGACTTTTTCACTCTTGTTGAAAAAAAATTTTTTTTCAACATTCATACCTTAACGGTAATACAGACAACACTATTTTTGCTTTTAACTTGCTTTAAACAAAGTTTAGAGAAAGCGTACGGAACTTTTTACTCCACAATTTTACCAAAAAAGCCCGAAATTTTCCAAGTCCGAGAAAGGCAATTGAAAATCATTCCAAAAATTTTCAAAGTTTTAGCGGTTTCGGCTCGAAAATAATTTTCAAAAACTTTGGGAAGGCATAGTAAATTAAATTCAGAATATTTTTTCCGGAAATTCAATCGGTTGAAAATGGCGAATCTCAGCTCCAGAAAAACCTAAATTTCATGAAAATCGGCGGAGTCTCCGCGGAGAAATCTAAAAAAAGAGGACGGAAGGTTTTAGTGGCCGCTGATCAATTCTGAAAAGCTGCGATTCTGGGTTAGAATGAACTTTCTTTATCTCATGAAATTTTTTATCGAAGATGCTACTACTCTTTCAGTATTCGACCAATCCTTAGATGTACCATCACGCTTAGAACGTATATTCCGTGTCTCTTTGCCATCCAATCTGCCTTGCTTGGATACGTTTGGATCAGCCAGACTGATCCCTTCAATTCCAAGGATCCAGTCGGAAATCAGCGTTTCCTTTCTTCCGGCTGCAACTCCTCGTTGCAACGTGTTAACGAAACAATTGAAGCCAGTATGACTGCCTGGTCACAACAATGACGACACCAGTGAAGATGTTGCGACGGAAAGGAAGGGGCAGCTCTCGGACTCAATGGAAGCGCCACGATCCGGATTCCGTTCTCCTTCAGAAGTCGGCTTCAGCGCCCACTCCAACGGCCTTATAAAACGCGCTCAACAGCTTGCGGTTTCCTTCGTCTTCAGCAGCGCGCATCGCTTAATTAATTAGATGCTTAATAAATTCATTTTCATATTCACATGTGTAAGTCTTACTGTAGCATTGTGTCATTCGTTTGTTTCGTATTTTAGACGCAATTTGGGTGGGCGGTTAAATATCCGAATGAAATTGTCGACAATCCGATCGTGACGTGCGAGCCGGACAGGATCAATGTCAAGGTAAAACATGTCTTTTCTTGATCTACCGTATAATTTTCATAACAATCCATATATCTTGCTTTTTTCAATTTTTTCATAAAAATTCAATTTTGTCGCATAATTTTTTTTGCTTATTTTTCACAGATCCGTACCTCCACAGCGAATCCGTCGCATATTTATGCCGAGGACTTCCACCATTCAGCCAATTGTATGACCCGGAATTCGAATACTTTGAGTATCTTACACAATGACTGTGGAATGACTCAAGAAAGGATGGTAACACACTTTTTGCATCATAACTTGGATAGCAAAACCTCTGCTTATGCTGTATTCGCTTCGTTTTTCTTGCAGGACAACCCTCCCGGGATCATGCATCGTATTTGTATCTCGGTCCAGATCCATCCCTTATTTGTCACCGATTCTGATCGATCTTACTGCGCACAGTGCGTGTACATGGACAGTAATGTGGTCGAGGGATTGGAACAGAACCTCTCGATCAGGTTTGTCATTACTTCTACGTCTTCTACTCAAGTTTTATTACTTTTTAATCGCGAAACTTCAGTGAGATAGCACCGAGCGAACTGGAGCCCCAATTCGACCCTGGATACAGTCCTCAATGTGTTTATTCGATCCGAAAAGGATCCTTTGATGGGCCTGAAGTGCATGCAGCGGTCGTGGGAGAGACTGTCTTCCATGTTTGGCAATGTTCTAATGGTAAAATTTCTATTTCGCTTGTATATCATCTTTTTTTATCCCCTATTTTCTAATATTACATAATTCCCCTTAGAAAACGTTGGAATATTAGTTCAAAACTGTAATGTGGAGGACCTGCAAGGCGAGAAGATTCTTATTATCGATCAGCGAGGGTAAGGGCCATCAATTTTTATATAATTATACCATACTTGATATTACTTTAGATGCGGAGTTGATCAATATCTCTTCAAAACCCCGCAATACTCTTCCAATCTCCAAACCGCCTTCTTAGTAAGTAATTACAGTATACTGAAGTACCTCTACGACCTTTTTCAGGAGTCGAATGTGTTTAAATTTGTGGACAAATCCATGACAAGATTCCGTTGCCAGATCAGACTTTGTTTGAAAAACAAAGGAAATGGATGTCAAGGAATAACTGTATGCGATGCTTGATAGCCTTACTACCTAACGGAACTATTAAGTAATTTATTTTTATAGCCACCAAATCACTGTCCAAGCTTGGATGAGTTTGATCAAGAGCTGGTCTCATCTTCACCTTTATTGGTCGAAGACATTACCCAATCCAGGTCAGAACCCGTCTTGAGATCCTCTACAGATCAGCCTCGAGGACCTCCGGGGATCAAACCGCCAATCGGGTTGAGTACGGCGCAAGTTGTGAACCGCGGACAACCAGTTGCGGTGGTGAGGAGTGGTTACAAGTAGGTCGCACCACCTGTTTCAGCCCATTAACTTATGCTGGAATTATGTCATAACCCCTAACGCTTTCGGCTAGCCTTGTCTGACATAATTTCCGCGACATTTTAATCGTTTAGTTATCCCAGTTATCCTATTAGAAGTAAACGCGCAACTACCGTATCCACCAATGCTACAGTACCCCTGAAGCGACCCAAAAGAACGATCAGTGTTCAGGCCAACATGAGGAAGGAAGAGGAAGTCTCCGAAGTGGACGTAGTCGGATTAATCAGGGTTTTGGATAACCCCGAGGACCTCGAATATTATGCTGAACAAAGGAACGAAAAGGAATTCAACGAGGCCAAAGGGCAGAAATGCATGGCCTCAGGGCTTTATTGGACTCTCATTGGGACGATTGTGTTACTGTTCAGCGTTCAAGGGGCGGTGGCCTTTTTTATTTTTAGGGATCGATTCGCCCTCAGGAAGTCGATTTTACATAGGTGGAATTAGACAAATAATAAACGGTTAGCAGACATTTTACATCGAAATAAACCAAGAAATGCTTATCAAATGACATAATGCTCTCCAAAAATTAGAACAACCTCATTTCGATGCCTGAGGCAATTTTTATATCTAAAATATTAAAACTGTTTGTCGCTTCCTATAATTAGAAACTTTTGTCTGTAACGTTTCCTAAAACTTCCACTCCGGTGAATCAAAGTTCACGGAAGTTTACCTGCCTGTATTTGTCTTGCTAGTTTGGAGTTTACAGCCAAAAAAAAAGACTAGCCGTTCCAGAAAAAGCAAAAAGAAGTTATTCTTTCCCCCGCGTTTTACGTTCTGTTTCTACTAGTCGATTACAACGTCGGTTTAAAACAGTAATAAAGGAAACGGGGCGAAATGACAACAAATCGCATCGCGATGACGGCCGAGATGAATCAATCAGTGAGTCTTCGGCCGTTCGCCGATCAGGAAGGACATTGTTTGACCCATTAGATCAAGAAAATGCCCTGGAGATATGCGGTCTTAATTATAACCGCCAACTTTTACTTTGTTTGTGCGTGGGATGCTCTGAAGATTGGGATAATCAACGATCATCCCAATTTGTCCCCGATTTTTGAGGTAAATTTTGTGTTGAACTACTTTAGTCAGGTAATTTTTGATTAGAGAGATCTTTTGAGTGCAATTCAATGGATCGAATCAACAATTCTGGTCCAAAACGCTTCGAATCCCTTCAACATCACCTGGATAGACGTTTCAAAATGTGCAAAGACCAGTGTCTCGCAGGGTTCCAAACTTATTTATTCAAATGGAATCAGAATAAAAAGTTTGGAGAGGTTATTGGACAGCTCCAGCTTTAATTTGATCCTCAAAGATGGCCCAAAAGAATGTCAAGAGGATCCATTTTTGCTGGCTGCAGCTGCACCTTGTCTACAACGGGGAAATGAAAGGCAACTTTTTAAAACTTATACTATCACACTTTGTATTAGCATTTTCATAAAGTGCATGGACTTTTGCACTGTGCATATCGCTTTCTTCGCGCGACACGATCCTTTTCAAAACATTTTTGCACGGTGCAATTGTCTCAAGTTTCGCGGCGGCGCAATGGAAAAAAGCTTGTGTCGCAGCAATTTTGTTTGAGAAATCAAATTGCACTGTGCAGTCGACCTTTTTCTTGCACAGTGCGGCGAGCGACGAAAAGTCCATGCACTTTATAAAAATGCTAATATAACCAAATCAAATGACCTTATTTTAGACCCAGACTTGGAATTATGGTAGTTTGCACCAATTCCCGGGCTTGGCATGGATTTTCCTCCGGAGTGGATCTCTTTAAACACGAGATTCTCCACAGTCTTGGATTCGGAATGCTAAATCCAGACCTTTCGTATAAACGGTCACCAAAATCTGAAGTCCAATCTCATCAAATTGGACCCAATAAATATCGAAAACAAGATATTCATTACTTAGATTTTGCTTCGACAGCCGTCAGATTCGCGAGAACTCACTTTAATTGTCCTCGAATTACCGGGATCAACGCGGAAAACGAGGAAAAAATTCATTTGGACGAATATATTTTTGGGGTAGGTTACTGTAACTTTTGTCTTACTGTATTTTTGAGCTAACAGTTCTCTTTAGAACGAACTGATGACTCCCATTTTGTCAAAAGGACCCAATTATTTCACGCACATCAGCGCCTTAATATTGGAAAACACTTTTATTGGAGATATGTAAGGAATACCGCATCCCTTATCCATTAATTTACTATTCAGCCCTTGGTATAAGACCAATAGAGATACTGTTGAGAAAGAAAGTCGAAAATATTGGTATGGCCGAAATGCCGGCTGCGATTTCTTCAGCCAAAGTTGTTATGAATATGCCCGCAGGCGGTCGAGATTTTCCTTTCCTTTGTGAGTCCTACCTTCTTCCTTATCTTTACATATCCTGTCCTCTGTTATAACATAATCTAGGACAATTTTTGGACCAATTTTAGTTCGGCCTTTCCTTTTTGTTCGGAGAATGACTTAAGGAGTACTGTAAGCGGTCACAAAGGTAAGTTATGTATGGGAAATGGGACCCATGGCGTCCGAATCAACGCGTTCTGTCATATACAGCCAATCTCCGGACCGGAAAAAGATGTAAGCGTACATTAACATCAGTTAACATATTATTTTAGGCAATATCTCTGAATGAAATGTTTCCATTAACCTTTAAGTCGCGTTCGTTAGCTTTTGGATCTGTAAATGGCTATCGGAGTTGTCCTATGATATCAGTAAGTACTCTATGTATCAATAAATATCTTTATTTACATTCCTAATCTTCAACTTTCAGCAAGTTATGGAAGCCAACATGTACAACATACCCGAGAATGCGATTCCCATCCCTTGTTAGGGGATTAGACTCTCTCCGCCAAGAAGATCGAAGCTTTACATCCAGACTGTATTACTTGTTTGAGAACATTGTACAATGGAGCATTTAAGCCATCGTATTTTATCCCTGTGTCATGATGATGAAGTTCGTCGTCTCTCATCTTCTTTATCAACTAAAAAGGACATAATAAAACAGTAAAACAGCTTTACCTGTAACAGATTCTTCTCAGACTTGGTATCCAATTCGATTAATTCTTTTAATTGATCGTTATAATGGTTTCCAATTAGTTCTTCTACCGCAATGGTACATGCCATAGCTCCTTCTTTCCCTATCAACGCACTTCCGACACCTAAAACCGATCCTATTATTCAACAATACCAATTTTCAACCTCTTAGGAAACTGGTCTCAGCGGCAGTCTCATACATAACATAAATTCTCTCTTCGTACCTAATCCTAAGGCTAAAGCCTTGAATAATGGTGTGAAAACGGTCGGATCTGTATCGTATTTGGCCAACAAACGTTCACAGATATCCAAATGCTCCTTCTCTTCATCCCACATCTCTTGGATTATTGGTCCAACATCAGAATCTAAAACAATAACAAAAACCAGAATACAATTTACTCTTCAAAACCATGTGTTGTCCTTTGTAGATCTGATCAGCAGCTAACTCCCCAGCATGATCTACTCTGACAATACTTCGAACAAGGGCTTCAGGATACGATCGACAAAGGCCTAAGGCTTGGGCTACCCGCAACATCTTAGAGAACTTGAATAAACAATTTTCTATGCAAGCAGATTGTTGCGAAGACGTAGAGCTCTACGTACGCGTAGAGAAAAAATTATTTCCTTGTTTATTTATTTATTTTATCGCACTGACCAATTTTTCAGACCTTTTTTGGATACGTCCCACCACGAAAGATTTCGCCAAAATGAAATTTCTACATTTTTCTCCAGATTTTTTTTTGTATTTTACGCGCGACATTGTTGTGAAGCCATGGTGCAAGTGCATGTATATCTAGGATTCATCTTGTTTTTCTTTTCGTTTTATTTTATTTGACAGGACTGTTGTATATTGCTTTAGGTGGGGTTTTCTGATGAGGGAAAGAATTATTTTCCCGCGTCTTTTTATGTAATCCCCGGCTTGCTGGGTATATCTCTAAATAATCTCGTAATTTTACGCGTTACTTTTATTGGGTTTTCGCGTAAAGCCTTTTGGTATTTTGGCCAAAAGTATTTTTTTTCAGACCTCAACTTCAACAAAGATGAAGTTAGTACGATTCTTGATGAAGTTGTGCCACGAGACGGTGGAAATCGAACTGAAGAACGGCACTCAAGTTACGGGTACCATCATTGGTGTTGATGTGGCCATGAATATGCATTTGAAGAACGTAAAAATGACCTTCAAAGGAAAAGATCAGTTGTCGATGGACAGCGTTTCGATCAGAGGTAAGGTCCATCCTTTTTTGTTGATCTATTCTTTTAGGAAACAACATCCGTTACATTATTCTTCCCGATACATTAGCCCTGGACACTTTGTTGATGGACGACGAGCCCAAGAAGAAGCCAGCTCGCGGAAAGAGTCGATTTGCCGGAGCTCGAGGTCGTGGTGGTCGAGGCAGAGGTCGTGGCATCCGAGGGCGTCATTAGATCGTTGTTGATTATCTTTCTCGATATCCCGGGACATTATTTTAGATGTCCGTTGGATTCGTTTCCTCGATTTCTCCTCGATGGTTTTTATGTTCTCATTCTTTTTGGTGACGATCATTTTGATCTCGACCTTGTTTTTACTTGTTCTATTTAATAAATTATCGACGAATATTATGAGATTATTATTTAATACGAATAAGATAAGTGAGATCCGAAACTCTAAAATACATGGGCGATAGTTTGTTTCCTAGGAGATTTCTCGGCCGAAATTTTTCCAAGAAAGCCGCGAGATGCCAGGTGCGCAGTCTTTCCCATGAGCAATAAAGTGGAGGGTCGTGCGGTCAGATTGCCGGTCGAAAAGTGGTCTCGACCTGAATTGGAAGATCGATTTCATACAACGTACGCCCGGAATTTGGAACTGGGTCAACGGAATGTGGCCTTGGAGAAGGAACTCAAAGTGTAAGTTGAAAAAAACCGTATTTTATAAAGTTTTATAGTCTAAATGGAAGGTTGAGGAAGTCGGTTATGAACAAGGAGAATATTATTGATGAGAATGTGAGGGAACTCGAAAGGAAGAACAAGTTTCTAAACGAAAAGGTGGGTTTGGACTCTAATTAAGTAATTTGGAGATCTTAGCTCCATTCTCTAAAGCATCAACTGCTCGCTTACACAAAACCTTCGGCCCAATCGGCTACAGTAAACTCGTTAACTTCAAGAGTGTCTCAGAGACCGAGGACCGCTCAAACCGGACATTTGACTGAGAAAAATCATCAGGATAGAGATCCGGAAGAGCGCAATGTTATCTCCAGACCACAAACTACGGGTCAGATTGAGATTAATAACAATGACGAGAGATCTGTACTGTAAGTTTGAGGTTTGAAATTGTATGGCTAAATTTAGACTACAAGGGATCGGAGAAAAAACTGTCATCATCAAATTGAACAAAGAGCTTAGGGAGGAAAGAGAGCGATTAGAAGTTGCAAGATACGACGTGGAGAACAAAAGTAAAGTACGTTACACTAACAGGTTTAGAGTTTTTTGAAAGTTCCTATAATTTGTTTTGCTTTTTAATCACGTTTTTGATGATTTAGCAAATAGAAAAGCTAAAAAATATTAATCAATCGCTGAACAACGAGCTTGAGCAGTCCAGAAGATCAGTCAGAGCCCTGGAACAATCTACTTCAAGGTTAAAATCAGAGGTCCAAAAATCATCAGAATCGAGTCAAACTTCAACTCAAGTGGTCAGGCAAGAGTTAAAACAGCTGAAAGATGAATTGGAGAGCCTTAAGCAAGCCAATAAACAGCTAATTGAGAGGTAAGGACATTAAGTTCTTTATGGATTAGATATTGATACCAGCAAATCTCAAAATTTTAGTTTCAGCTCATTAAGATCAAATGTCGGCTTAGTTGATGGTAATATCAATGAGCTAAAAGCCCAGATTGACCAGCTGACAAGTGTAATTCAACGCTTGGAGAATGAAAAAAGTCAAATGAAGAGGAATTACGGAAATCTGGAGAGGGATTACAAAGAATTATATAAACAGTCGAAGAAATTTGAGTTCAAACAACAAGAAAGTAGGCCGAAGGCAAGACCACAGCCTGAGAGAGAGGTGAGAGGGCGGAAAGAGAAGGATAATGTGCTTGATCGACTCTATGATGACATTACGAATATGGTAGATAGTCATCTAACGGGGACCGGGAGTGACAGCAGCTATGAGCGGAATACAAAGTAAGCCAAAAAAGATACCAAGCCTACTTGACAGATTATTTGACGCTATTTTTTAATTTTCTAAATGTCTTTGTCAAAGGGTTACTGTAGCTTTTGAAATTACTTCAGATGGCAGCAGATGTACAATGAGATGTATAATGAACTCGAGAAGACACGAAGGATGGTCGCCAGTGAATATGAGATCAACAAAGAGCTCGGAGTTGAAGTAAGCATAAGAGGATTACTGTAATTTACTCTCAGAATCAAAAATTGAATGGTGAAAATGAAACCTTGAAGCAAGAGCATCAACGAGAGTTGGATTCGATGAGAGAAACGATTACTAACCTAAAACGTCAAATCGAAGTCCTAGAAAATCAACTGAGAGCGGTTGCCGGAGGGGATTTCTTCACTTATAAGGTCTCGGAAGTAAGTGTTTAGCCGCACTGTGCAAAATTTTTCTGACTAAAGATCTGCACTGTGCAAGCGAAAATATTGTTGACGATGACTAAAAATATTACCGTATTTTATATTGTGTGTCACGAGTAGCGATATTTTTTGCATTTTAGAAGATTTCATCCCTAAATCAACCGGAAATGAAGTTTGACATCAACAAGATCAAGGTGTTCAACGAGAATCTTTCCGATCTTTTGTCCCCCAAGGCCCCTCGATTTTTCATTTGCGTGGAGTTTTTTGATTTTGAAATTGCGACAACTCAAATTTTCAATGGCTTGGATTCTGGGGTGGCCTTTTCGACCTCGTATGAACTGGTCGTATCCGATCTTCTGATCCATTATTTGTCTACGGTAGGTTACAGAACGTCCTTAAAATGAGTTCCAGGCTAAATTTAGACGATTTTTGGATCTTAATTTGTTTTTAAGATTTATTTTCAGCAGTTTTGCTGTATTAATTTATATTGTTTTAGGATGGAATCAATCTTGAACTTTATGAAACAAGTGGGACAAGTTATCAGAAGATTGCTGAGTCCAGAATATCATTGAAGGATTTGCTCGGCCCTAAAAAACAACACAAAATCAAAGGGATCGTCGAGTTTGTGGATAAGAAAAACAAGATTATTGCTAATCTTGATTACAGTATTAACGTCCCCGAAGACTTGCTACAGGCTTTGAAGCAACAAAATGTAAGTCTGACGACTGGAAGCGACGTATTTTACAAAGGATTTCTCTTAATATTCGATTTTCAGCGTCGAATGTTGGCCAATTCAATGATACCGGCCGATGAAACTGATGTTGATGACATAAATCGTCTCATTGTTCATGTTCATCGAGCTCAAAATCTTGATTCGGCTTTTGGAACAGGTAAAAGGTTGATTCAACAAATTTATAATCGTATTTCAGACACGCCCTCGACTTATATTGCATATCAAATATTCGATTTTCCACCTCAATCAACTAAAATATTATCATCCAACCCCAACCCGGAATACAATCATACCCAAACTTTTAACCTCCCCAATTCGGAAGGAGTCCATAGCTACTTGAAAGAGAGTGTAAGTCCACTTTTATGTTCAAGACGACTATTATTTTTAGACGATGACATTTTATGTGGTTCAAGATCCAAGTGCAACAAATAAAGCTGGATATAACGGATTGTTGAAGGCTGATCTCAGACTATTCCCGTTGGCAAGGAATACCAAGATCAATAAGAGTCTGAAATTGCTACTGGTAAGGAATTTCATATTTATTTTTAACATAAATTTTATATTTTTATGTATCATGCATAACATATGTAATTTAGAGCAATGGAGAGCCTACGGAATCGACAATTGAAGTCAGTGTCTACTGGGAATTTGATTACAAGTACAAGGAGATCCCTGAAGTATGTTGGAAAGGTCTTCTAAAGGCATCAATATTATTTTTAGAGCATCGCGGAGTCAGCTTCTATGATTATAAAAGAAATCGATGAACCGCAAGAGCCTGCAAGATTGAGACCAAAACCTGATCTGCCTCAAGCCAAGCCCCGAACTTTAGCTGATAAACCTCCAGAAGTTTCACAAGCTCGTGGCCTAGCTCGTGAGATACCTGAAGCAGCACCTCGCGAAGGACTTCCCGCGCCCTCTCAGGGCCCGCCGCGGCCAGTATCCCGTGAACTACCTCCGCAAAAACCTGTAGAACCTCAAAGAGTCTCCTCCCCGCCGTCTTCTTCTCCGTCATCCGATGAAGGCCTTGTTGTAAACTTGGATCGCCCTCTCAAATACGATTCGAACAAAAAGGACACGGACTCAGAAGTCATCGTCCTTGAATCCCCAAAAACGGAAGTGCCAATCCCAGCCAAGCGATTCGAAGGAGTAGATCCAGTCGCTTTAAATCGAAGATTATCTCTGGAATTGATGAAAGAAAAGGATTCAGAAGTCAGTGACTCCGAGGAATCCGTAGAAAGCACGGCTACTTTTACTGCGGAAGAGAGAAGACCCTCCATCAAAGAGTTGGAGGAGGAAATTGAAGTGGAAGACGAGGAAAAGAACGAAGATGAAGAAGAAAGTAATGGCGAAGAGGACAAAAAAGGACCCAGGATTGTGGAATTCACCGAGCCGTTGCATCTCTCAATCCCTCGTAAGACTTTTTTTAATTGGAAGCCATAAAATGATGAGATTTTTTGATAAAAGTCGTCTTAATTTAGCCAGTGATACCTCAAGTTTTGCGGAGAGCAGTGCCCGTTCAGCTGATGGAAAACCTCTTCGAAAACACTTGCAAAAGAACCAACCAAACCTGAGTTTAGCCTCAGGGCATTCGAGTTTACGAGTTGTGTCGGAAACTGTAAGACCTGCAGTTTTTTTTCCTACTTTTGATCTAATACTTATGTAGTAAAAAATAATATTTTAGGAGCGAATATCCCATCCAGATGAAATCCCCGAAGGCGCGAGTGTAGAACTAATAGTGCAGAGTCTGAGAGTAGACGAGAAATCGCCGTTATTGAATCAAGAGTACGATCATACGATGATTTTCATCGAATGGAACTTCCTTGATTTTGACAGAGAAGATTGCCAGACAGCTAATAGTATCGAAATCCCTCGGAATTCGAAGCAGACGGCTGATTTCAACTCGGCACACACTTATGAATTAGATTGGAAGAGAATCGCGCTTTTAAAACAATGGATGGATTTGAGCATACGGTAAGGATCTTCTGTTATTACTATGGTTTTGTTGAATATCTTGGTCGCCTTGAGGATTCACGGAAATTAAAAAAAGGTCTGGCCATAAAATCTCGAGCGCTTCCCTCTTTGTCATCACGAACTCGATTTTGTTTATAGAATGAAATTTGTGATGGTATTGGAGAACAACGACCAAGAAGAAGTCGAAGATCTAGGCGAAGGATTTCTGGATTTGGACGAAGTCATTGGAAATAAAAATCAAGTTTTAACTTGTAAGCAAACTATATTATACTTGCTTTACCTAAAACAATGTCTTTTTTTACCGAAATCTTTTCAGTTTATGACGTGGACATGTTGCCTCTGGCCACATTGGACCTGGAAATTAACTATACCGAGGTTTTGCTCAGACATTTCGATGAGCTTGATGGCAATAATAATTAAAAGAGGAATTCTGAAGTCATGTAAATAAATGGGATAATAAAGCTGATATTTTCTCGAGCTCGAGAATATTACTTACCCTATCCACGTTATATTTACATCTGGAGGTGTAAACAACCTCAAGGGTTTCTTCGAGGATCGACAAAAAATAACAGTTAAAAATATTTATTGCTTTAAAGCTCACAGTTATACAGTATACTTTACCTTCATTGTACATGCTCCATTAGATATATTTTTTCCTTCAGTTCAGCATTCTCATTTGTTAGATCAATATTCTTTTCCCTTAATTTGTTGACATATGAGATCTTCTGTTTGTTATTTTGATGTCCCAGGTTCTCGGTGGCTTGCAAGAAGAGATCGTCGCGTTCTCTTTGGGTGGACTGAAGTTCCTGCAAAGTAAAAACAATTATTTTATTACAATTTTGACTTATGTTATGAATTTCCAAAGTCAAAAAAAGAATTCTTCCCATGCCGGGAATCGAACCCGGGCCGCGTGGGTGAAAGCCACGAATCCTAACCACTAGACCACATGGGATCCGCTCCGGCGGCTCTTCCTTTTCACTTTTCGCAAATTTCTTTTTCCAAAAAGTCCCTCTAGAAACTACCCTTCCGAATTTTCGTCAAGAATTCCATGTGCTTCAAAGACAAAAAAAAACCCTTACACATACAAGCCTATACTTCTTTGACCTACCTCTTTAAGCCTGTGTATAGTCGTAATATAATTTGTCTGACTTTTTTCGAAAGCTTCCATCTTTTCATCGTATTTTTTTATCGCCTGGCTCATTCTCTCATTGTAATCGGCAACCTCCTTCTCCGTCAATCTCTTCAATTCGTCTTTGATCACCTCATTAATCCTTTTGATGACCATTAGTTTTTCGTCCTTCGCCATCTTCACCTTGTCCAAGAAGCCGGTGTAATTCGTCGCAATAACTTCCGGTTTCTTTGTCTTCTCATTTGATTCTTTGTCGTTTTCCTTTTCCATCTCCTTATCCGACAGAGCATCTCCATCCTCATTGAGGAGCATCGAGGTGTCGGTCAGTCTCTTGACCCGCCTTTCCAAACAGTCCTGTCGATCCGTGATATCAAACATCGTCATTCGTCTGTACTTGTTTTTCTTGACAATTTGGGGGCTCTAAAACTACTGTTTTTATTACCCATGATCCCAAAAAACAACAACAAAATCTCGACTTACATCCAAAAGTTCCTCAGAATCGTCTCGTCGTATCTTTTCTTCCTCCAATTCGGCCTCTGTCTCCATCAACTTATTGGCCATCTTTTCCACTTCTCCCATCAATTCATTAACCTTTGCCTGTAATGCTACGTTCTCTCTCTTCACCGAGGAGTATTTCTCAATTTTGACCGATCCCTTGGCCAACGCAATTATCTTTTCCTTGTTGTGATTGTAACTACGCTCCAAATTCTTGTACTCCTGCGCCTTCTCACTCAGCTTCTCGTCGTATTCTTGTTTCAATTTAGCAAACGATTCTTCAAACGCTTCTTTCTCTTTCCGGTTCTTCTCCAATGCTTCGTCTAATGCCATTTGAAGTTGATCTACAACAATTAACGTAGCCATGATCAAATTAAACAGAATATTTTCAACCACAAACTTACTGATTTTATCCTTGTTTAGCTGGTGTTGACGAGCCATTTCCAACTTCCAGCTCTCACATATAACATCTTCATTGGCATGGGCCTTATTCTCGATCAACTTCAGAGTATTTCCAAATTGTGCAGTTGAAATCGTCGTCTCGATGAATCTAAAATAACATTATAAACGATGGAATTTACAAATGATTTTAGTACGCTCGGCCACAAGTTAAGTCAAGTCACTTACTTCTCCCCTTGATGCATCGTAAGGACAAATGCGGTCCTGGAATTACCCCCAAGAGAGTCAGTGAGAAGGTGAGTGAGAATCGAGTCGCGATATGGTATGTGGGTTTGTTGCGAAGACAACGCCCTGATTACTCTAGCCAGCGTCGATAGTGACTTGTTTATGTGGCCGGCTTCCTGAAAAACCAGGATGTTACCTCTACACCAAGTTGATCGCAAATCTAATATAATTTTCAAACTTATCCCTAAAAACAAAAGAAAAAATCACTAAGACGTACCTTGAGTCTCTCTCCTTCCGCTTTACTATGTTTCTGACGTTCTGATCCAGCCAAATCCACCAAATTTAGTTGAGCAGTCTTCAAATTAACCACTCCATCTTCTTCTTTCTTCATTTGAACACTGATAATGAAGATCGAATGACTCCGTGAACTTTCACGGTTCATTTTTGTCTCAGCTACGTGTCTGTTGTGGCATCCTTTCCGTATCAGATGAATCACTTGATTTACATCACTGACAATGTAGGTGCAGGCACCTTCCAGCGCTACAACTTTATTTAGGTTCATTCGTATTTTCGGCTGGTTGGTTGAGTCGAGGAGGTCATAGATCGTCTCGTTATAAAGCTCGACAAACGAGCAGGTCACTTCATATGAAAAAGTGTCGGAGTTCTGAAAGAAATTATGTTGTCCATGATACCTAAACATAAAAAAATACAAAAAATAGTTTATCTTACCGTCCGCTTCTTTTGCTCTAAGTTATCAAAAAGATATTCTAGACATCGGGGAATCAGACCCTTTTTGATCGGGTCCTGGATATCAGGTCCATTCATCGTGTAGGTCTTCCCAGATCCAGTTTGACCATAAGCGAATATCGTCCCATTGAATCCTTCGAGGACTCCGTTCAAGATTGCCTTTCCAACCTTCTCGAAGATTTGGACCTAAAACACAAAAAATAACGTTAAATCATTAAATTGATGTATAAAACACAAAAAATGGACTCACCTGCTGACATTGTGGTCGGAATGTGTGATCAAATGTGTAGCTCTTCTTTTCACGACCAATTAGAATGCTTTGGTCCGATTCTACGTTGACAATAGGCTTCGCTTCATCTCCAGGTTTTACCCTGGCAAATACCTTGATCGTCTGGTCCTCCATGAGCAAAATCCAGTGGTAAACGGACAACAACAGAAGAACGGTAGCCGAACGAAAGTTATGTTCGAAAAAGAAATTCGGGAATATTTCGAAAAGCTCGAGGCCGCCAACAAAAGGAATTTGTGACGGAATGCCAAAAAGTCGCAAATTTCGCGGAGAAATTGCACTTTAAAATTTTAACGTGATATTTTCAAGGTAAGCAAAGTAGCCTTGTGTGCAGGGTTGTTTGAGGATAGATTAAGACAAAATTATTTTTTAATTTCTATTATTTTGGATAAAGCCATCAATTTTTTATCAACTGGCAGTTTTTGAAAAGTTTCTACTTTTGTTTGTGGTTGGCGGATAAAAGATGGTAGATTAGATAATTTTTGCATGTTTCAAAGTCTATTGAAACATGCAACTTTCCTTTCTCAATAGCCTTTTCTACTGTGCACCACACTTAGACCCTTCAAAATTTTGGGTACTATGTTGAAATCCCTTTCCAAAATTCATCTAGATCAATATATTGATGTGTTCTTGTAAGTCGTACACAATTTTAAGCCAAATTGTCCAACGAAAGTCGCATTTCCAGAACGGTCCCCATCACTCGTATTCAAACCGTCGTCAATGTTTTGATTTTTCAGTTTGATTTCTATCTACTACAATTTGATCCCTGATGTCAAAGCTGATGTTGTGAGGTTTGTGACGTCAGTTTTGCTATCAAAAATATTTTGGGGGTTTTTTTGACTTTCAGAAAACTCTAAAATACATTGCTGGGTTCACAGAAAATAATAAATTATCGTGTTTATAGCTAGTGTTCCATCCCTCGTCTGATTCAATAAAAAATTTTGCACGCTTCTCTCAATTCGATTTCCAAAAGCCTCAAAAACATCTATGCTAAAGTATAATATAGTAGCCTACAGTTGATCTCCTCAAACTACCAAAGTTTGTGCCTGAGGGGCATTCCCTTGCTTTGAGTGACATTTAGACCCCTTTTGGCCGACTTTAATTGCAATTTTTGATGGAGGATATGTAACTGCGAGACCGAACTTTGTAAATAAAACATCTTCTGTCCTCCTTGGGGCCAATGGAAGGACTAGGAAATTAATTAAGCTAAGGGACAATGGGCTATGAAGTCAGCTGTTGTTATTTACTTTACTAAGTGTCGATGGGGAGAAATGGGATAAGGATTCTAGTACTTTTAGTTTTTAGAAGGAGGTTTCTCTAGTTATCTCGATTTAATTATTTTTTATTGATGAGAATTGGAATACCAGAAGGCAGTTTTAGATGAGATTTGCGGTATTTCGTTAGGTCCCGGCGCGATTAGTTCCAGTGCTCCGCGAGAAACCTTCAAAAATTTTCGAATTTCAATTTTTATTTTTGCTTACAAGGGAAGTCGTTCAGATCGCAAATGAGTTGAGCTACGGGACCGGTATATTCTGATTCTCCATATTCGAAAACGGTAAGAGCTAAAACAGTTTTTCCGTCTGGGCCCTAGTTTTCGAGAAAATCAACCGTAAAGTTTGATCGGAAACTCCGCTAAATAGTCCTCGCTCCGAAAGGCCTTTTGAACAAGAGCCAAATGGCAGAGGGCTAGTGAAAACGCTCTCAAAATTCTTTTGTCCGGGATGCCGGGGAAGGTTCGAGCCCCGCTAGGCTCAAACCCATGTCCAAAGAACTTTGATATTGAAAATGACAAAAAATAAAAATTTTTTAGTATTTTTTGGTGGAGTGTACCTCAATAATTTTAGATCAAATAGTTTTTTTAGGAATAAACACTTCATTTTTGAGTTCAGCGCAGAAATATGCCTATTTGGCATGCATTTCAATATTTTCTCCAAAGTATGTAAAAGGAAAAATATTTTTTCTTGCTTTGCAACAACAATGAATTTATACATCAGGGTTTGCTCCTAGCGGGGCTCGAACCTCACCCGGCATCCCGGAGAAAAGAATTTTGAGAGCGTTTTCACTCGCCCTCTGCCATTTGGCTCTTGTGCAAAAGGCCTTTCGGAGCGAGGATTATTTAGCGGAGTTTCCGATCAAACTTTACGGTTGATTTTCTCGAAAACTAGGGCCCAGACGGAAAAACTGTTTTAGCTCTTACCGTTTTCGAATATGGAGAATCAGAATATACCGGTCCCATAGCTCAACTCATTTGCGATCTGAACGACTTCCCTTGTTAGAGCTCCAATTTCAATCTGAAAAGTTTCCTCATAGTCTGTGCATCATTTTTCTCCGCATATTCTAATTTTTGGCGATGTTAATTCTTGATCTTTATGTTCAATACTCCCCCTCACCTAAAATTTCAAACTCCTTAATTTCCACGCTCTATCAACTTTCTGTTGTAACTTGCCCTTCTGAACCCTTATGTCGTCAATTTCGCTGTAAATCCCGGCCCTCGGAACCCTGCCGTTCAACCGAAAACAATCGATTATTCCGTTCTGCCTGAGGGAATCGCGGGCCGCAAAAATGTAAATCTGCATTTAAAAAGTCTTGTCCGGAAATTAGAAGACCTTCGACGTTCGACCGGGCCTCGGGAAAGGCGGCTGGAAGGAGGAGAAATGGACAATTACTTCCCCCATGGAGTATTTATTTATGGGTTATCTGATGGGCAACGGGATCATGGGTTTGTTTTTCGGAGGAAGGGGCGACCTTTGGATGGGATCTGCATTTTTCGAAGGATAATTTGGGCTTACATGCCCTGAGGGGATGATTATTTTATTCCTTTTATTCCGTTCATGTTTTCAATTGCTGAGGAAAAAGGAAGTTTTTACAATTTTATTTTTCAATATTTTGGAGAAAACACATGGGCGCTTTTTTCTGCAGTAAATTTTGAGTTTATGCGCTATTGAAGCAAGATTTGGAGCTTATGAGTGACTTCAACGTATTTTACATCCAAAAAATGTCGCGAATCTTTTACAGCAAACACATGAGAAGGACATGAAGTAGTCCCGGTTTTTCAAAAATTTTACAAGTCGATCTGGATCTCCTTTCAAACCTAGAAAATCTTGGCACTTTCTATGAAAAGAAAGCTGAAAATGGCAAACCTTAGCTTGGTGAAAAAATCTCGCATGTCTTATTAGAAAGTCCCAATTTCAATTTGTGCTGCTTTAAACAAAATTTGATTGCCGCAGTTTGAACTATTCCTCTAAAAAATCCCAAAAAGAGGCGTTTTTTCTACATGTAGCTTTACGTTCGCTGCTTGACCTCCCCAGTCGTAATTATGCCGACCATTTTCCAACACTTTCAACATGTTGTTTCCATGTTTCTGGCAACATTCCCCTGTCATCTGCCATCTTTACAATTCGATTTCTTTGGGCCGGAATCCATTAAAGACCGTTCAAACTTCCGGTTTTTTAATTGTTGGCCCATCACGTGGCCAGAGCCACATTTTTTTCACGACCAAGTTTTTGGAAGGGCAGCCAAGGAAATTATGAGCAGTAATTAAGCGGGCAAACTCGCTTAATTAGTAGTCATAGGCGTGGGAAAGTACTTTAACTTACTTCAACTAGTTCGAAACTGCTGTTAAAATATGAATAGATGGAGTATTTGACGTGGCGCAGACAGAATTGGATAACAGTTGGCTCAGATTTACATATTATTTTCTGACAATGAGACATGCAATATTCCTAGCTGGCGCTTTCCGTAAAGCACCGAGATTTTTTGCGGAAGTTTTCTTGCCTAATCCTTTGTCAGAAAACTTCGCAAGTCTTGGTGAGTCCATTAACTCTCGTCCCCTTAATTATCGACATAATTGTGGGACCCTCCGGCGAGAATTCCCGCCTCATTTCCGTTGAAAACTTCTTTTGCAAAATCTGAGCGAAAAAAGCGATCGAAATCAGAAATTAACGGCATGGGGCCTTATTTTCGAAAACATTGGGATTTAGTTTCAAGGCGAGATGAATGGCCCGATCAGCAGACCCGGATGCCCTGAGGCTTTCGAGCTCCGGGCCTCTTCTTCCGGCCTTTCTTTGCGAGGTGAGTCAGGTAATCGGGACGGAATTCTCCGGGCGTTTTGCGTTGTTTATCCGTGCGGACCTTATTAGGGGACACAACCTGAGTAAAACCTAAGGAAAACACGGCCATTTCAAGGTCTGCTGCCTGAAGCAAACAAGACAAAGTCGGCTTAACCCGCTTCTCGGAAACAGCTGAGGAAATGGGGAAAGGAGTTCTTCGGTGAGATGAGGAATTACTCTTTAGTCTAATTTCTGACATTAGTGTTCACTTTGTAACCTTACATGTTAGTCAAGCGTAATCCACAGGGCTTACAGGTTTACTGAGTGAGTGATAGGAATATGACGAAAGCGTTTCGATTTTGATTTGCAAGCATAATTTGTTTTCTGAAACCGATAATATTTTTGAGCCGAGGGTTGTTCAAAATCAGCGTTGAGTTCAGATTAAACTTGTTTTGCTTCAAAATCATTTCCTATGGCCCTTCGAAGTTCGCATAGTTAGCATTTTGCAGTGTCTCTCGCCAAATTTTTTGTTGAATATCCCTGCCTCTGCAAAGTTGGATCTAAAATTTCAATCACCCAAGAGAGAGTGCATGCTAAATTTGAAGAATAATTTATTAGTTTTAGAATCTATTTTGTTGCAGTACCTGTCCTTTTTCCAAGCTAGATTCTAAAAATGTCCACTAATTTTGACGTTATCAAAGCATCAGTGGAAAGCGAGCCGTTCATTTTTTACCCACCTCCAGACATTACTCCGCTTTTCTCGCTCCTCCTGACTTTGTACTTTAAAAAGAGCGATGTTTTCTCGATCCCTGAACCCTACCAGCCTCCAGATTCTGCAGACGCTGATCTCGGATCGATTGATCGATCACTTTGGGAGTAAAAAATGGAAAAAGATGCGCATTTCCGGTTCTAATGAGTTTCGACTTATATTTCCGTTGAAATCGGGGCTTCCAATCTCCATCCATTTGATTTCTTCTTCACGTGTTCCATCGGCGAAATGGGGGTTGCGGGAAAAAAGAATTCCAAATTTCGTCGCTTCCATCCGTTCAAAATTCGGTCATTTGGAGTCGGGATTCGATCTTTTTGGCATCAGGATCTTCTTCATTTATTTTTTTTTATTTTTTGCTGTCGAAGGAGCCAGTGGCTACGAGTTAGCGACTACTTCCTTTTTGGTTACTTATTAGGGATACGGTAGCGCGATAAAAACTTTCACGTATACGAAAAAATAATGGATAAGGTTTAGAAAGAATTTTTTTGAATTTTGATAAACTTTTCTCCCTTCAGTCTCCATAAAATGCAAGGACTAAAATTTTCAGTGCACGCCTGGTGTCCTAGTGAACTATATTTAAGGAAAATGAATTCTTTTAACCGAGAAAAAATATTTTCAAAATGAGATGTTTTGATTTTTTTTGAAAAATTAAAGACTCTTCCGCGGTATACCGTATTCAGTTTAATTTGAAATTTTTAAAAATTACCGCCTTCCCATTATGGTTTCTGGCCCATTATCGTCTGATTACACTTTCAATTTGCCTTGATCCAATTACCGTATCGGTCCCATTCAACTCTTTTTAACGTCACATCCAATTTCTTAGCCTTAATTTGCAGGAAGAAGGGCCTTCCGATATAAATTAGTGGTGTAATTGTGTTTTTTTATATTATTCTTGATCAACAGATCTCTCCTAACACTTTTCAAATGCGAACACAAAATATTTGAAGAATGAATTATTTTTTTATTCAAATAAACTTTTTGTCCCATGACTTTTGCCTTGTGATTACAGTAAATTTTGCTCTAAAACGATTAAAATCAGCTGGCTGTGATAAGGTGAATGACCTGAGGGCATCTTTTTTACAATTTTTTGATTCCCAATTAAGGCTCGTGACTTCTTGGAGACAAATCTTGACCCTGTTAATACACGCGTTGAATGTTTATTTTGCGTTGTTTGCCCAGCTTTTATATGAAAAATGCCTTCGGCTTGGGATGGTTTAAGATTTCCGCGATTCCAACTTTAATTTGTGCTTTGACTTTTCGCGGAAAAAATTCGCTAGAATTTCCACATTAACACGGCTGAGACAATAAAAAGAGTAGTTCTGACTTTATTTTATGGTACTTTTCTGCCGTCTGGAGGCCGAGTTTCAGTTTTTTTCTCGCTCTTTTTGATCTGGACCTCAGAATGAAGGGACTGGACTTTGGTTTGTGACCAAAATTTTGAAAATTTTGGGAAAATATGTCTGATGACATATTTTCAAAGTAAAAACTTGAACGATTTGGGGTTGTAATATTACTTGAAGTGTTATTGCAAAAAAAATTTTTTTTGACATTTTCGGCTTTTTTTACATTATTTCAGGAATTTTAATTTTTTTGGATGACATTTTATTTTTTATTCCTATTTTTCGAGAAAATATTTCTGTTTATAAGTGACCCTAAAATCCGTATTTTAGAATTGTCGTTGTGCCTGTGTGACTTATGCGGCGTGTGCCCAGTGATTCGGAGACGGCCGCGCGATGTAATGGCAACTCGATTCACTCCATTCTCAAGGAAACACATCGGATCCCATCGGTAAAACAAATAAACAATCTTTTTCATCCATTCCGAAGGCCCAATGTTCAAACAAATTGTTTTACAAACACCTTTTGGAGATTGAAAAATTTGCAGAAATCAAAAAAAATTATTTAAATTTTTTAGATATCCGAAAGCTCGCGGAATCGGCATTTGAGTAACGAAAGTTGCGGATCCATCAAGGGAGTCACGTTTGACAAGAGTTGTAAGTTTCTGTTTTACAGTTTTCGCTTCTAATTCTCACTATTTTCCAATCAAACCAAGAATTAAAAACTTTTCAAATTGCAATCATTTGACGTTCTTTGAATTCCATTCATATCTTTGTTTGTGTAACAATTGATTCGATTATAATAGGCATAGGCAGCGCCAGTGATAATTGTTTTTATGGCCAGAAATTATGTTTTGGAGGTTGGCTAGTGTAATAAGTAAGCTGTGTTTGTTTCCTTTGTTTTTTTTTTTTTTGATTACGGTACTTTCTACAACGAAAAATCGATAAACATGAAATGAAAAAAGAGTTTTCTGTAAAAAAGTTCCAAAAAATCGTCACCACGGCATATTTTTTTGAAAAAGAGTAAAATATTTTTATCGGTCACTTTGTTTAATCCAATTTTCAGAGAAAAATTACCAAAAAATAGCATTAATGATGTCATGATGACATATTTTCTGGCAATTGCCCAAATTCCGAGTAGCTGAGCCCTCCCCAGGACCACCTGCTTTATTATTTATCCTTGCTTGTACTCATTTCCCCATCTTTTCTCCATTTTTATGAGTGCTTTGTTATGATCCCGGCTCTTTCAGTGCCAACGAATGCGTTTCGAAACGATCGCGATGTCTCGAGCCAATCATTACGAAACCGGCGGACGTCATTACCGGTGAACACCAGCCTCCATCCCCGTCTACGTGACCAGGTGAGATCGTTTTCGACGATCGTTTCCGCTAGCCAAAAACCTTTAAAAATTTCGTCTCATTAAAATTAATTCCGGTAATTAATAATGATCGGAGCGGAAATGGGACGTTCGTCGACGACTTTTTATACATTTGGGATATTTTTTCACACATTCCTGTTCAGATTCCAGACAGAAAAGTCAGCGAGAGAAGTGGGGAAGGAACGTGAAGAAGGTTAAGGATGGTGCACTTTGCGAAAGTTTGCTTTTCTTGTTACGGCGAATTTTTTAGCGCTTTTGCTTTGAAAGATCTTGACTCAGATAAGATTTTGAACTTTCTAAGAATTCCCCGACATTTTTGACATGCGTTTTGCAGAAACGAGTGAGATTTTTGCCTGCCTGACTCTCCTCATTTTACGTCGCCAAAGTGATTTTTGTCTTGGTTCCCGTTGCTCATTTGAGCTGATCTTTTGAGACGTTGATTTGTAGTCCACTTGGAGTTAAGTTGCCAAATTTTAAGAAAATCGAACATTCAGATGTTGGGTACTTGATCTGCTATGATGATTTAGTCAAGATTTAAAATATGTTTTACATATTGTAATGTTTTTCCAAAATTTTCAGAGCACTTGAATTAATTTTTATTTAAAATCGGCATTTTTTAGGGCAACGTTTCGGAAGCCCGCGGTCTGATTATGGATATGCTCCAGAATCGGGATTTACAGCCTCAGGTCATAAGTTGTTTGAGGGCTGTTGCGTCACTGCTGACTCCACAAATGGTGAGTAATTTTGGATTATATTGCATTAGGCTTTACAATATTTTTATTTACATTATTTTTTGAGTCATATTTGTTCTTCTTTTGAAGCGTTTTTAGATGCCAAAAATCGCGAGATCACAAATCTCAAAATTTTTGCAAAAAAGTTCGGAATATTTCCGGCGAATTAATTTTAATCGCATTTTGTTTTATAGTAGTCTGCACAGTAATCAGAAGGGCATTCCCATCACATTGCTCCCTAGCGTCTTGTTTTTTGTCCATTTCTTACGAATTTTTGAATTCAAGTTCCAAAAAAAAGTTTTGTTTTGCAGAGTGTGCAAAACGGGAACTTCATGGACTTCCTGCCCAAGGTGGTGGAGAACCCCTATTCCGGTGAGCAGCTTATGGTCTCCTCGGTGAGTTTCGTATCTTATATTAGACTCGCCTTCCTTCCGTCGAGAGTCAGAGTTAATCCTCTAGGATTTCCTTGGCCCGTCTTCTGCAAAGTCATAAGAGAGGCGGACTTCCAAATATGGTTCTTTATGTAATTGGAAAATAATTCTGTTGGGGCTAAGTATAGTCATTGCAATTGGGAAAGCAAATTTTATAATTGCATTGACGGCCGAGAAAAATTTTTGAAAATATCCGATAGATCATGGAAAATAATGATGATGGCCAGAAACTGGAACGGAAGAGCTCTCTCAGAGCTGCTCTCCCAGTTTCCCATTGTCTTAACGTTTTGAATATTTCGGCGGTTATTGCGAAGCAAATATCCGGAACTTGTCAGAATCGTAAAAATAACAAATTGGAAATCTCTCCTTGGGATTCCGAAACCCGGAGTAAACAACCGATAGTCTAAGGTTGTTTACTGATGGCCGTGTGTTTACCCATCGTATCTCACACACATCCATGTTACTCTCTTTCATTTACATAACAAACTTGCCCTCCGATTTGCTCCCAAACTCATTTCTTTGGCGCCTTTGCGGGAAATTGCGGCAAAACCGCCTCGAGGCTTGGGGTTCGAAGTCTTGGCCACACTCTCCGAGTTCCGGCCACAACTCTTTTATTTGTTTTCCCGCCGGTTTCCACAAATTGAAACGGAGATTAGGGGAATTGCGTGTGCTCGATTACCTGTGCGCAAGTGTCGCCATTTCCCGGGCCCCGAGGGCATTCGCGAAAAGGCATTGGTTTTGCCTTTTCGTGGATTATTCCGTTCCTTCCGCCGCCGATTATTAACTGGGATTTGAGGGCCGGGGCGAGGGTGAAGTCCTTTTTTTGCGTTTTTCGGGCGCCGAGATTCAACACCTGGCCACTTTATTTACTTTTTTTGTTATTTAATAATGACGGGTCAGGCCCTCTCGGAACCCCAGTGTTTTGTAACAAATCTTGGCTCAGGGATGTCATCCATTTGAGCCCGGATCCAGTCGGCCCCATCGGTTATGAGCGCCGCCAATCCGACTGCATAATATTGTTGTTTTCGCTGGCCTAACCCCCTCCTCCTGCTGCTAATCCCAAGTTCGTGTACTCTCTTCGCTCGCTTTTTTCGTGACTCTTTATATTGAGAATATGTAATCAATTATTGGTCATAGATGCATTAATTAGCTTTATGGCCAAGTAACTTTATGGACAAACCTAAGGCGAGTACGTCGTCGGTCCGCTTCGCGCCCTTCAGCCAGACGGCCATTGCACGGCTAGCCACCCAATTGGCGCGCTCCTGCTCCGATCTGGAAGTGCAGAATGTCGATGAACAGCGAAGACGGCACCGAGGCTCGATCTGCTCTTCGACCAGCGACGATCGTCTGGCCCAAGCGGTCACCCAGGCCGGCTCTCGGCGTCCGCTGGCCAAGGAACGACCGCAACAATCGAGCATGTCGTCGCGCGGCAGTAATTCCTCGCATTACGCGCACAGCTCGGCCTCCTCGTCGTTGGCGGGGATCGGAGGCCGGGAGCTGCAGTTGGTGAGCCAATGCCGTGCCTGCGGCCAGGACTATCGTTGCACCTGCTGTGCCAAATGCTCTCACTTGATGATCGTGTACACGCCGGTAGGTGTGAGGTGACAATGGCCTCGGTTAATGTCTTTGGCGAGTCTCCTTTTGCGGCCCAAGAAAGGAGTGGGGCCCCCCAATCCGCTTTTCTCTCCGCTGGGCCCGTTTTTTGATGGCACGGCTGCCGCGTTCCCGATGATAACATTCTCTTCCGTTTCCACTGGTAATCTGCTGATGATTATGGGAATTTGGATTTAGGGCCGCGGGTCAGAGAATTCTAACGGCAATGGCTGGGGATGAAAGTAAAAGTAGAGGTAACGGGGCATCGGAGAGGAGTTAATTTTACGAGTTGTTTGGCCAATGTTTGGTTTGAGACTGGCCAAGAACTCCACTCAATTATTGGCCTGTAATTGTCCGCTTAAATTATAGGCCCTCGGGCTTCGTTTATGACTCGATTAAAAGACATGACATTTTTTTTATTTCTCTCTTCTTTTGTGCCCTTTCATCGCTGAATTCTTAAACAGCTCCGACGAAAACACGATTCTTGGCCCGTTACAGTAATAAGGGCCGTTCTCCGTGCCGCACATTTAATTTCGTGCTCGATTAACGGTTGTGTTTAGCGCCCTTAAATGGACAATGTGATTAGAAAGCAGAGTGCACCGATTCACGGGTGTTATTGTCTCGGGCCATGCCGTCAACGCACCATGCAATTGGATTGTTGTGTTGGGTTCCTGCGAAAACAATCTCGGGTCCATGTAAGATCGGCTAGGAAATGTGATTATTGTATTTCGTGGCTCGCCAAACCTAGTTATCAATGAACTCTTCCAGTGCTGGGGTTGAAACACTTTTTTGTCGTTTTTTGAATATATGTAATGTATCAAATTTAAAGGCTAATTTCACAAAGTACGGTGAATGTATTCTCTTCAAATTTCGACTAAATATTTTGTCTATGTATGTCACAAATCATTCTGTGAAAATCTTAGCACGCGCTTTGCACAGACAGACGAAATATTCAACTTTTTTAGTGGAACCGTGGAAAATTAGAGTCGGGTATAAAAAAATTGTTTTTGCGATAACTCCGTAAGGTTTTCGTAGAAAAGAATTTTTTTTGATGGAAATATTATAGTCTACGATGACAAGCTGCAATGTTTTTTCATTTACTGCAAAAAATGCCGAGCTCTCAAGCTTTCAGCCGTCATTTGGGTAAAACGCAAGCTAAAAATCTCTTTTGTTTTTGAGGAAAGTTACAGTCTGTGAAAAATATGGGCATTCTGAGCACGTCCACTTTTGGCCGGAACCACTTTCCTTCAAAACAATTTGTATTAACTTCATAACAAGAAACCGCTTCCGTCCAATCGTTCTCCATTAAGTGCATGACGTCATTCTCCCACCCCCTCTCCTCTCTCCCGCCAAATCTCACCGAATTTGAACCATAATTTCCTGGGGGCCGGATGGAGAAAAAAAAACAACTTAACATTTTTGTGGGCCTGAGAGCGGCCGAAAGCTGACTCCCGTGTTACGCAAAGGAAGGGGAAAACTTTTCCTCGAATCCGCTTTTGGCGTTCGCTTTATCGCCGTATTCCTGTGGGGGTTTTGTCTGTGATACGTATCTCCTTTCTAATATTATACTTGTCCGGGCCAGGGGATTAATCGAGCCACATTTTCATCACTCGTCATTCTTTGGTTTGCTTTAATTACTCACCCAAATTGATGATCTCAATGATCCGGCCGGCTTTGTCGACGGGCCGCTTGATTGGCGGATATGGTGTTAGCGGGCTGTTTTTTGTTTTCTGCCCGACAATTTAGCCTTTTTTGTTTGTTCTGGAAATTGGGTTAGAGCTCGTTCCGCGTCTTCGGGCCGGCCTCGCCTCGCGGCCGAATGCCCGATGATCTTTTATTCATTGTCTGTTTACACCTGCCATGTCCGAGGTTGTGCGAAAACGCCTGTATCGCTATTTCCGGCGCCGCGAACGGGTAAGCGAAGGGAAGGAAACTTTTTGGCGGCCGAAAAATTGGTTGGGCCGTCTATTATTTTATTGGCCGCCTTCTGGTGGGCTATAAGTCATATCTAGTCAAATTTCTCTCTCTCGCCGTCTTTTTTGAGGCTCTAATCAATTGCAAATTTCTGCGCATTTATCGGCCGCGTTTCGGCCGAAATCTGCGAGATATAAAAAGTGACGTTGTTCACATTATTAAATTCCATTTTCTGCAACGACTTTCGGATTTTATATTTCAAAGAAATATATTATATTTTGAAATGTTAAGTGATTAGTGGCCAATTGGACCAATATTCTTAATACCCTCCGGCATCCCCGTTTTGGAGGATAAAACATGACATACCGAGTTAGCGTCATTTTTGCATAATTATGAAACCATAAAGAGTATAATTTTTAAAACAGTTCGTTTTACGTCCTTCGCCCCATCTTCCCAAAAAAAAACGCAAACACGGAATGGAATGACTCTCTTTTTTCTCTTCATGACGTCACTCGAGGAGCTCTGTACCCGAATGTCCCGAGCAAGATCTCGGTCTTTTATCCGACGGGAATGGGGACTGGTCAGTGCAGGTGACGACACCACCACTCGGTTTGACCCTCAGGGGCCGTTCTCCTCCCTTTCAAGCGATTAGGGTTTTGGGTGTTGGGATTAGAGAATAATACAAAGATTTCGATGTTTCCACTTTTACGAAACTTGGGGATAACTGTAATCCGACTTTTTTTTTCTAATTTTAGTTTTTGGTAAAAAATTGTGAGTTTATTCAAGTATGTTTTTGGATGAAAAATAAAAAAATTGTAGGCAAAGACTTTTCGGCCCTCCTCACTTTCCCTTCTCTCTCATCAAAAAGATCATTGAATATTTTGGCCAAATTTTCATAATTGAATCATTTGTTGTCAATTTAAAGTTTGCATGTTAAATTTTGAGGAAACATGAGCTCCAGATTTTGTACTCTGAAGCGTATGGTTTGGGATTAGGGATTAAGGTAAACAAATGGCGATTCCATGTGACCTTCTCCCCCCTCAAGCACAGCCTGTACCCCATTCCAATCATGTCCAGTCTTCCAGACGTCATAATCGCATTCCTCGAACCGCGGCGGAGAGCCATAATTTTGGAAGAGTTGTTCTCTTATCACCTTTTTATCACGGCTGAGAATCATTGGCTGGGAAGGGAATCTGCCCGTTTGCGACGTGAAAATGCGTCGCTCTTTTCACGAATATTCCCGTTTCGATCCACTGGCCGCGGTTTCGATCGAATTTTCGGACCAAAGATCTGGCGGAAGGGCATCGGAAGTGGGGATAAGGAGGACGTTCTGAGGGGATTTGGGCCGAGAAACCAATCGTTTAATGCCCTGAGGTTGTCATAACGCGCTTTTGGCGTATTGTAAAAGCGGATTATCGTAATCGGGAGAAGCTCTACCATTTCGTTTTCCCTCTCTTTACATGACCGTTCTCCCCTCTTCTTCTCGGATCGTTATGCATCCAAAAAGTCGCTTGTTTCATATTCGAATTAAACACTTTCATCGAATGCCCTCGGGCCTTTTTTTGGCGAACTTGTTGAGAAGTCGTCTTTGATTTTTTCGGTCTTATCCGAGGGGTCAGGGTGGGGGTTCTCGGCTGTTTTCGGTCCGGTGGATCCATAAGAATTGCGTTTTCTTTTGGGCCCCAAATTTGGACCGCGTTCCGATACCTTTTCGGGGCCTTTCTGTTGTTTTAGTCTGTTCTTGGGGACTTTCCCGCCGGCAAAATTGGCTGATGGATCTTTTGGCTCTCGACGGAAAATTTTATAAAAACTAATCCCACTAACCGCCGCTGTTTTTTGCAGGCCTCGAAGCCGCGCGTGTCCAATATTACGTTCTCGACGGTGACAAGTGCTACGGGGCTCCCAACCATTGCTGCCGAACCATCTCGACCACGTTCCAGCAAGTCAGTTTTTGAAATTTTTTATTATAAATTGGAAAAAAAAATTTTTTAAGTTAGCCTCATCAAGATATGGCAGTTGTCATATCTTGAATTTGATGCTGAAATAATTGTCCTTTCGCCGATTAATGAGTCCAAGTTTAGTCATTGGAAGCCCATTCACCAAGACGGGCCCGTCGAACCGCCGCAGCCTTCCTCGGCCGCTCCCCCTCCCACCTGCCAACGTCAGCACCATTCTTCACAGAGCTGCTCCTGCCTCTCCCAACAGAGCTGTCAGGTGCACAAACCCAAGGAGAAGTCGTTGTATCGGCGCCGCTATTCGAGCGCCACGGAGGAGCGCTCGCTGAAAGTGATTGCAGATGGCCGCGACGACGCCGAAACGGCCGCATCGGAAGACGCGCAAGCTGAGAAGGAGCGGCGACGCTCCGCCGGCGCCAACGTCCACCAGAGCCCCATTCTGATCAACTCTTCCTCGACGTTCTCGCATTCCCTCAGCCCTTCGCCCTTCGCCAAATCCCCCAGCGTTGTCGCCAAATCCCCATCGCCTTCGGTGGCGTTCAGTTTGCACGAAGAGCCCGAAGACGGCGAACCTCAGAGTCCGCCGGAAAGCGAAGCGAAAGCAAGGACTGCGGCGTCGATAGATACGTGGACGACCGAGGACGGGATTGTTTATAATAAAAGGGAACTGGACAGGGACAAGGCGTTGCAACGGATCGACGAATGGAGTTTCCCGGTCTTTGATCTTGCCGAAGCCTACAAAACCACCGTTCTCAGCAGAGTAGGCACTAATTTTCATAATTTTTGGCAAAAAATATTTGTTGAGATTTTGTTTTTTTTATTTAAAAATTAATCACATGAAATTTCAGATCACTTATGCCGTGTTTAAGCAAGCCGATCTCTTCAACATTTTCAAGATTTCACCTCAAAAGTTTTTTAATTTTTTCCACGCACTTGAAATGGGTTACTGGGAAATTCCATGTAAGTACTTTGACTGCACGTAAATCCCTTACTCTGAATTGGTCTTTGAAACAAATTACACATGGGCAACAGAATCAGACATCTGTTATTTTAATTAATTGATATTAGGATTTTGACTACCTAACATTTGTAAAATCAAAAAAAGTTGGTTTTTCAAAATGGCTGTTTTCGAAAAAAATTTTTTTGCCGAGATTCGAAACGGAATATCCGTAAAACGCTTTTCTCTGGTCAGTCTCTCTTTATTTCCCTAATCTTTCGCCAAAAATTTTTTTTCTCTTGGCTCTCCGTGAAAAGCATTAGCTAATTTTTTAAGATTTTGTAAATGCTTAGTCCAAATTTTAAGAAAATCTTGGCGTCATTCTTTGAGCGCTGAGATTCCTTTTCAATTTCTTGATCAGTTTTGTCCGAAATGTTTTGTAATGTCAGAAAGCCTTTTCCATAATGTTTTCCTGGCTTCAGATCACAACCGTATCCATGCGGCGGACGTTCTGCATGGCTGTCACTACCTAACCTGTCATCCCGTGAATGCTTTCCACCCCACGCCCAGCACTCCGGATGAGGAGATCGCCGAAGGAATGGAGGACTTGAACATTGACAGTCTCTTCGACTCCTCATCTATCTCCATCGCGTCCACGATGAATGGCCTCGAGTTGATGGCGCTCTATACGGCCGCAGCGATGCATGACTTTGACCATCCGGGCCGAACGAATGCTTTTTTGGTCGCGGCCGAGGACAAAAAGGCAATTTTGTATAACGACCGCTCCGTTCTGGAGAACCACCATGCCGCGGAGTCGTGGAAATTGCTGAGCAAACCGGAAAACAACTTTATCGATGTGCTGGATGCGGCAGAAACCAAAAGATTCCGCTATTTGGTGCTCGAATACATCCTCGCGACCGACCTGAAACAACATTTCGATATCATTATGTCCTTCAACGACAAAGCAGGCGACATGGATCTGAGCAACGAGGCGGACAGAGTGCTGGTTTCCCAGATGCTCATCAAATTCGCTGACATTAACAGTCCCGCCAAACCTTACACATTGCATCGTCAATGGACAGACCGGATCTGTCAGGAATTTTATGAGCAGGGCGATGAGGAGAAGGTCCGGAATATGCCCGTTTCCCCGTACATGGACAGGAATGAGCCTGCGGTCGCGAAGCTCCAGGACAGTTTTATCGCCCATATTGTGAATCCACTGGTAATCGCCCTAAATGAAGCCGGACTATTGCCAAGTATGCCTGGGTTGGAGGATCCTGGTAAGTGGACTTTACTCATACATATGGGGCTCTGAGATTGATTTTCAAGTTAAGAAACTTTACTCTCCATGTCTCATAAATTTAAATTTAAAAAAATATGTCATGAAAGGCAACCGAGAACGATCTTTCTGACGGGAGAGTACGTAAAGAGAGGAGGGAAGATCAGAGAAAAAAAAAGTTTTCGCTTATGAACTTTTCATTTTTGTCCAACAAAAAGTTGCGCTTTATAGAAAAATTTTGATCCTTACGTATCTCTAAAGTTTTGGCAAGAAATCGCAGCAAGAATTGATTTTGTGCCAGTTTCTGACCGAAACCTCTCGACTGATCCTGCGAAGCGCAAGCTAAAAATCTACAAGGCCCGTTAGAAAATGTTGTCAGATTTCGTCAAAATCAATGTTTAATTTTTTGAATATTTCTACCCTGCCTTACTAGTTAGTTAGGGCCTTACATCATCTCGTTCACATGCCTTTCTCTCAGTTTCCTGTTTGTTTTTTTCGTATTTTTGTTGATTCAGCACTCTTACAATAGAGCCGTTCAAGTTCAAACAAACCGAAAAACAGCCTCACGAGACCCCAGATTACGGCCCCATAACACCATTTCCCAACTGATAACAGGAAATGAACCGATAACTGACTTTTACAATGCTTTGCATACCTTTCGTACTTTCAGAGGTCATCATCAACCTAAAACACAACCATCAGAAATGGCTGACCGAGATCGAAGAACACAATCCGCAGGAAGAGGAGCCCAAGGAAGAGCAGGGGCAGGACTTTGGGAGTGCCTCAACCACCACAGCAACCGCCTTCGAGAACGATAAAATGATCTACAGCATGAAGGAGGTGGAGAAAAAGGAGGATTTGGTGATGAACGGGGCTTGCGACAAGGGCGATAATGAGATCCTCGGACGTTTTGAGGTAGGTGGAAGGTGTGGTGGAGGGGATCGGGCTGGGTCGAGGGGTTGGGAGATGGATAATAATATTTCTTTTTATCTTTACCGTGATAAAAAGGTCGCTTTTTTGATTTTTTTGGAATTTTTAAGGTTTATAAAGTCATCCCAATTCCGTCTTTGCAGGTGATAGACCAATATTTTTGTATTAAAAACCAATATTATCCGCCTCCCGACATTCTCGATCCCCAGCTGGCTGTTCGGTGGCACAATAAATGTTGTAACACCTATTTTTGATTTTCATTTCGGTAGTCGATGGTTTCAGTAGCCCTCCTTTTCTCTTCTGGTGTGTGATGTGAACTCTTCTCTCTTCGTGGACAGCACCGGCGCCTTTTTCTCTAATTTCCCTCCTTTTTTCCACACACTTTTTCCAAAAAAATTGAAAAAATCGAAAAAAATCCGATCTTTCTTCCGCAGAAGACCCTGAACGGAACACGGAAGTATTTCTCGGCCATGCTTCGCCTCTTGCCCCAGCCCAAGGCGGCCGAAGACACGGAGGGGACGCGGTCGGTCCGGACATAGATCCCCCCTCACCCCGCCCCGACACATCCGCCCAGGTTGGTATCGTTTTTTGAGCCGTGTGTGAGCTTTGGTCAGTTTTGTTCCGCAAGATGGGGCCATTGGCCCACCTTTTCCCTTCGTTTTTAGCAAAAACATTGCACTTTACACCAAAATTGAAAAAAAAATATATGGAAATTGTTTAGAAAAGCAGAGTAATGAATAATATATTAAGAAAGACAAAGGAGAATACGTATTCGTAATATTCTCCTTGGTTTGGCTGTTCTCTGTCCCCCGGTATTAGATATTATCTTATCCCTTTTCGAAAAATTTCTTAATCATGCTGTAATAGCCGTTTTTTAACTGTTAACATTGTTGTAAAAAAATTGGGGCGATTCCAGAAGTCACTTATCCTCAATCTCTGCATGCTTTCACATTTAAAAAACTTTTTCGATGATTTTTTCAAAGTCCAAAAATGTTCGAAATTTCAAAATGCTTCCAAAAATTTGCATAAATCTTGCTGCTTAGCCCTCTTGTTAGGAACAGTTCGCCTTTCGCTTTTATGCAACTTTTTAAACCCAATCTGAGCCAATGACCTTATTCTAGACCCCTTAAATGTAACTAACACCCTACAGCAATGTTTACCCCCGTTAACACTTCCATTTTCAGGATCGGGCTGTAATTTGTGCTTTCACTGCCTTCGAAGGGGTTCGCGAAGAGTTCCTTTAATTGATCACGACACCATACGAGTATCACAACAACATCTCCCACATTCATTCGTTTTTCGGAAAGAGAGGGGAGAGCCGCCGGATCGGACATGAAGACGACAAATAAACAACATATTTGCAGTTGATATTATATATTCTATTACCCCACAATCGAGCGTACGTGTATTTTTGGTCGTATTTTTTGTTGAATTATAAAGTATTACCTCTAATGGAAGCAGATTTTTTTCAATTTTCTTATTGTTAACACTAGTTTCTATCAAAAAACATCAAAATAGCTGACAGTCCTAATACTGTTCAAAAACCATTTTCATAAAAATTACGGCACAATAATTTATTACAATATAACCCGTTTTACAGTAAGATATGGCAAAATAATACCCGTTCAAAGTTACTATCGATTACAAAATCAGTACTCGCGATCAACGTCGTCATACCAGTTTCCTTGCCGCATTTTCCTTTCCCTCTTCCTTTTCATGGCTTCTCTTTGCTTTTGGATGGCCACAGCTTCATTTTCTTTCAAAAGTTGGAAAGTCTTGAAGTGACCTCGCAGGGAATTGACCATTTCAATCTATAACACGCTCATTTAACGTCTGTTCAGCCCAAAAAATTAAACTTTATGCCATACACTGTGTTATACTTGCCTGATCTTTGTAAGAGAGGTCGGTGACATTGAAATTGTCTGTCAATCTGGTCCATTGCTGGTTCATTCTCACATCCGGCTCTCCATATTTCTTTTCCTCTTCAAAGTTCAACTGCGCGCTCTTCAAAGCTGGATAATAAGCGCCGGCAAAGTTGACGATCTCCCCGACGCGATGGCCACAGCCTTCTTTGGCACAGATCGCGGTTCCGCATTTGATTACATACGCGTCCTTCTACAACAAACATCCACAATTACTGCCAACGCCAAAAATGATCATCGAAACTCCAAAAATTGATCAACTTACAGCAGTTGCATCCTCGTCACTGATCCTGATTCTCGTCCAGATATCGCTATTCACTGCAACATAATACGTTCCCAGGACGAGACGGATCTTAGTGGTATCCGAAATGTCCGCTCGGCAATTGTTACATCGGATTTTGTACTTCTTTTCGGCCAATTGATCTCTATGTCTTCTCTTTTCATCTTCTTCATCTTTCAATCTCTGTTTTATTCTTGCTTCTTTCTCCATGATACTTCTTTTCAGTGCAACGTCTCCCTTGTTCTAAATTTACATTACATTTCAAAACATATTAGCCAAAGTGAACAAAAAAAATAAAATTTTTTATATTATCCATGGCCTCACCTGAAGTTCCGAAATAACCTTATTCAAAAGTTCTTCCTTCATCATGTTGTTGATCTCTCTCGCTTCGACATCCTCATCTAGAGCTAACAGGATTGCTTTTGACTCTTTGGCACGAGCACGTCCTCTTCTTTGGATCATTGTTCTCTCAGACCCCGTGCTGTTATATTTGATGATCAAATTACAAGCCGCAATGTCCAGACCTTCTTCCACGACTGAGGTTACCGCCAGGATCCTGATAATGCCTTAAATCGGACGTTAAACCGTGCACGTTTGAAAGATTAAAACTGCCGTACCCCTCCCATCCCACCTACCCCTATCAAAATTTCTGATGATATTTTTCTGCTCGGCCGAGCTCATTCCTCCATTCTTTGCGGACTGATTGCTGGACGTGAGATGTCTTGCAAAGTCTTTGGATCCACCCATAAGTCGGCCAATTCTCTTGGATCTCAATATAAATTCGACCAGAGTTTGAGTAGTTGATCTTCGGTCCAAGAAAATCAAGCACTGAGTGGTTGGATTCTCCGTGTACGCAGCTTCGAGGATCTCAACCAACTTGGCGACAATTTCCTTTCCTTGTCCGCTGTCCGAGTAGGCAATCGACTTCAATTTCTCTCTTTTCTCTAAATTTTTTATTATTCTTGGAAATCATCTTCCTAAAGACGAAAAGACATCAACATACCCATGAAAAGCTGCAAAAATTCTCTGTTATGTTCTGATGTGTTGTTCACAAGCCTGGCCATTTCCTGATTCAAATAATTATATGCGTAGAATGCAGGGAGAAGATCATTCATCTTCAAGGAGAACATGTACAGCTTCATGTGGTCGATCATCGTGTTCACGTAAACCATTTTCTCATTGTCTTCGGAGGTCGCAAAGCTCTCTCTGATCAGATCCAAATTCCTTTCCCATCCCATGGAGCTCTGACGATTAAACGTCAAGTTCTTCAGTTTATTATAGACCTTTTCGTCTTTTTCTCTCATCAAATTTGCATATTTTTTGAGGACCGGCTCCAATCGATTGAAAAAATATAACAAAACTTCAGCAACAGTGCTTCTGAAGGGATCATTGCTGGGTCTGCGGCATTTAATGACCTCTAAAATTCAAACTTAGTTATTCATTTACCATAACTACAATCTAAATATTTAATTTTTTGGCCTCACCATCAACTGGTGGAGAAACATGGCTACGAAGCTCCTGTAGATTGTCTGGATTCTTGACCGTGCTCAGGCTTGTAGCAGTCATTGCCACACACATCTTCAAGATGTGTTCAGCGGCGCTCTCCTTATCCCTTGCATCGTTTCCACCGATTCCCAAAGAGGCTGTCAGACCAACAATCTGAGGTTTCAATGGAGAAGGCGAACTGGTCAGATACTCCATGATCACTAAAGTCAAATTGTTTCATCACTATTTTAATCAAAACTACGAAAAAAATCAAAACCCTAATCCAAAAATCATCAAAAGAAATAAAAATTTACTTTTGTATGGATGGTTTGCCGTGCAATGATGGCACTCATCGAATATGACCAACGAAAAGTCGGAGACAAACAATCTCTCAGTCTTCAGAATACTTTTGAACATGTTGAGTAGCAATTGTGGAGTGATAACGATGACGTGAGATCTCAGGATGGCTTGGAATCTACTGGTGGCACCGTCGTATCTATCGCCGCCATAGAATCCGTTGATGACCCATTTGTGCTTAAGATAAATTCGGAGCGACTTCATCTGCTGATTCACCAACGGCACTGTGGGAACAATAAATACGGCTCTGGTTTTCTCCTGCTCCATTCCAAAAGAATCAAATTCGAATTTTTGAAGATGATTTTTGATGACATCTATGGCCACAATTGTCTTTCCAGCGCCAGTGGGAGCACAAACCACGCAATTTTCCCCATTATTGGCGGGTTTTGCCAACTCCAGCTGGTATCCTCGGAGTTTGAGATCACTATCAACATCATCGTCATCTTGTCTCAAGAATTCCATTTCCGGTTGGTAACTCTTTTGCGGTCGGAACTCATAGACAATTTCGTTCTCTTTGATCATATCCTCTTCATTTGCGATTGCAAAATCGTCGACTCGAGCCGTAATTCGGCTAATGTACTCGTCTAAAACAATATAAATCAATATAAAATCCACAAAATAGGTTCGACCTTGGAGAATAAAACAACATCAAATACCAAAACCCAAGCCCCTTACCCATTCTCTGAATAATATCGGGGGCAATGAACGGCAAGATAGTCCTGTTTCCAACTCCACTTTGATAGATAATATAGATGAAGTCCCAGAACCAATTCCTCTCCCTGTTATTAACTTCTCCAGGTTTGGAATACATCATGGATCTGATAATGTAATTGGCCGTCAGCCTGTAACATCCCCAAGACAATTTCTTTCTCTCTTGTCGTGCCGTACTTAAATGTTCCTTGTTATGTTTGATGTGATCATAAACACCATTGGTTCTGTTCAAGATGTCCTTATACGCATCGACTTGAAGACATTCCGCTTGCTTGGCCCAGTCGATTGGATCGAGACATGCGGCCACAAAATCCAACTTGAAGTCGTCGTCGAAGAACAGATCAAATTCCGCTTCTTCGGGGCGAGTTTCCAGCATTTCTCGTATAAAGTCATCGTTACGGTAATCTAAATAGTCCAATGCATAATATAAAAATTATTCTTACGTCTTAAAAGTTCTCTTTGCATCCAAACATACAGTTCATCGCGTTCTGGAGATGAACAGTACATCATAGCATGCATAACATCTCTTTTAGGATTTCTTGCCTTCTCCATTTTCTTCTTAAACTCGGAATCTAAATTATAAACTCACAAATATACAATCATTTCCTCTTAAGACAAAATGTGGTGTGCTTACCCAATCTGTCGACAATTTCATTCAAGAATCCCGGTCTTTCCTCAATCATAATGGTCATTTCTTGTTCAAACAATCGAATGAATGAAGGATGATGCTGATATTTCAACGGTTCTTCCCCCATTTTGATATATCTAAAGAAAGTTGGCTATGGTTTGCGGAAAACTACAACAACAAATACTAGTCGCGAGTAGTCAATCCAACAATAAAATCAAGTCTGAAATTTGGAAAATCGAATTTTTGAAATTTTTTTGCATTGTAGAGGGCAGAAAAGAAATAAGGTCGCACCGACCGCGGCCGTTCAGAAGCAAAACGCTTTGCTCGCTTTTTTGAAAAAATAGAATTTTCAAAACATTCTTGGACTGTGCAATTGTCTTTCGCCTACAAAGTTAACAAAAATGCTAGTATGTCGCATCCCGGAGAACTCGTAAAACAAATACAATAATCGAAGTCCCACGATCACCAAAATCGATTTCCAAACCGTCCAACTAGACTTAAAACAATTTATTTTCTAATCGGAATGCATTAAAACGGCTAAGTGAACATCCAATATAACTTCTGGTTCTAATCTTTGTTGACAATCTGCTTTCCATTCTCCCAGAAAGTCAGCTTGAGGGTCGCTGGGGCCGGAGCGGTGCTTTTTGTTCCAGCCGCGACCTTAGCACATTTGCGGGTAACAGCAGCCGCGATCTGGCTGTAACGGAGATAAGTGAGCCCAGCAGCGCGCCAGCCGGCCATATTTGATTCAAGTGAAGGTCTAATAAAAGGATTAGCAAAAGGACAACATTGCAAACAGTAGTATTAGTCACCGCACAAACGGCAAACAGTCCAGCTCCTTTACCATCAGCAAATTCATTGGCATTTATTTATTATCCGAGCATTTTTACAAGATCATGTTATTAAAATTAGGCTATGACGAAAGCTTTAAAAAGGAGTTACAGGCAAAGGCGCTTCATTTCTCTTTCGAGTTGTTCTGTTGGATGGCATCGCGGAGTTCTTCGGCCAGCTTCTCCTTGAGTCCTAATTCTGTTGCCGAGTCGATCGTTCTCAGGGATCCAACGATCTCCCGCGTCTTCCCAAAGTAGATATCATTTAAAAGAGATCTCATTTTGTTCTCGTTGTCTTCTATCAACTTTCCAATATTCACCAGATGAGAAGACTGGTGATCATCAACAACTGCGTCGATCTCCGATTGTCGTGTCATTGAGCCGCCCACACTCATTTCTCCAACACCATCATTGTCCGTCTGAAGCCACAGAATCACGGTGCTGGTCAACTTGTACTTGACATGCTTTTGTGGCTATAAATTTCAAACATACTGTATGAATCATACTTTAAAAACAAAAAATCTAAAAAAAAATAAAACAAAAACACACCTTGTATTCGATTACGTGGATGGAATCCCAGCATCCATTAACCCCCTTGAGACCTTCATTCTTCTTCTTGATCAAAAACACGCCAGCGATACTCTGATCAAATTCCCAGAAGTAAACACTCGAAACGCCACCTTCAAAATACCTAAAAACAAGAAGTAAACAAAAAGAAATAGACTTACATATCTACATATCCTTGGAAGAGGGCATTGGCCTCTACTTCCATCTTCCTAAGCTCTTCTGGCGGATAGGTGGCCTCATCTAGAGGAGGATCATAAACATTGGACCATGGGGAACGATAACTGTCCATGTCTCTGTTATAATCACAAAGAAGGTATTCCCGACCGGTGTCTCTGTCTTTGGCAACTTGCAGAGGCTGATCGACCATCGAAAGAATGTCATTGCAAAGATCGGGGGCAAGAGAAATGATATCCGTCACATGTTTGCTACATTTCTGCGGTGGGAGACGTCTCATCAAGTCTAGAGACGTATCTAGACGAGGATTCGTCTGAAATAGGTGCCAAGTTTATTTCAAGTGAAAATACTTTTTACCGGATCCAAAAATTTTAGAAGCAAATAAAAATTTATACCAACTATGATATAATAGATTATAAAACCCAAATACTTACCATCCTGAGTCACAGCGTTTGAGCCGCAATATGATCTTCAGCTGTTATGGACTGAAAAGAAGAAAGAGAAATAAAATTCCAAAAGCAAACAGTCCTTTGGGATTGCCGGAATACCAAAGTCGCGTCGCGTCTAAGCCCAACTAAAAAAGCCGAAGAAACAACCCCCTCAAAATAAAAAAACTGGCTTTGTTACCTCCAAACCCTCATCGTACTTACAATCAGAATCGATGAGTAATTTTTCACAGGCCGATAATATAAACTGAGTTTTCGGGCTGGAACCCGCAAAGAAATCAGGGAAAATATCTGGCATTCCGTTTTTGCAGAATCTAATCGGATAAAGCAACTCTATTTATCGGCCGAAAATAATAAAATTAGATTATACTTTGGCACTAGTAGACGAAGAAACGCTTCTTGGAGGGGAGATTCCGGCGACAATCGGCAGAATTATCTTCAACTTGAGGTAGATGCGAGTCAGAGGGGCCTGAAAGACTAAATTGAAAGCACATTGTGGCTGAAAGTCAACGACAAATAAAATAATGGGAGTTTATAATAGGAGAAAGGAATAGCCACTTGATTACGACTCGGTATCAGTATTCTTTTTTCTTATATTACACTTGCCTTGGCTGCAGTTTGATGAAAGAGTTTTCTGACGGCGCTGAACAGTTCTTTAGGAGTTTTCGGAATTGTCATCGAATCAGGGACAATTAAGGACTCCACAACTACTTTATGGACCTTTCCAGTGTATTCACTGACATCTCTTGGCCATTGATCATACGGGGGAATATAACAGATCACCTCTACGGATTGTTTCGGTTGTAAGATACCATTGGAATGACTCATCTGCGGGAACAAACGATCCTAAAAATAGTTGAATAGAGTTTGGCGACTATTTGGGCATGAATTAAATTGAATTGCTGGATAAATTATACATTTGCACAGTGAGATAGAGCTTACTCTAGATCTCAATCGAAAAGCTATAGTCTTCTCTTCGGTATTGGTGATCGAGAAGGTTGCATATTGAGGTGCCCGATAACCTTCGTCTGCCGAGAACACAAGCCATCTAAAAAAGATGACAATCAATTCAAATTATATATTGTACACGAAAAGTTTCATCTCAAACGTTTACGTAACAGTTAATGCTTTCAAACCCACTTTGGATTAAGCAACGGTTCAGCATCCGGTGTGTTCCCCAATTGATATTCATTATGCTTCTTTTTCTCCGGTTTCTTAATAGTTAAAGCTTGAGCCGGAGTTGCTGCTCTTTCATGGGTGGCGGGATCAGGAGAAGGATTGGCCTTGTTGTCTTCTTGTGAACCAGTCTGACAGACGGCATTCGAAATGCCATAACTTGGAGAGCTCTTGGATTCGGGCATCTTGAGATAACTCGAAGATTGCCGATTTTTTGAATGGTCATAAGAAAAATAAAAGTCAAAATATGGAAGTTAGACTTGAATTTGAATATTCAAATGACCGAGTTTGGAAATACAAACCTTGACTCATGAAAAAAAAATTGTGACATTTTCTCGTCATGGGGTATACTGTAGTATATTTTTCCCGAATCCTAATTTTGCAGATTTGAAGAAGCAAAAGTTCGTTTTTCCATTTTTTACTTCTTGTTGAAAGTTTAAAGTCTCCGAAATTGATCTGGGTCCTCTGAACTTCTATCGGAATGCCCGACTTTTATCAAAATTTGTTAGAAGGCCGCACATCCGTCTGGGAAACCGTCTCTTTTGCCCTTTTATATCACAACTACTGTCCAGCCCAATTTAAAACTTTCATTTTTTTTTGAGAATACACTGTAATTCTTTTCATGTAGGTAGTCGAGGGGCAACAGACAGCTGATTTAGGGCACTAGCAAACGCCGATGGCAGGAACTCGAAAAAACGCGGAAGTCTGGAGGGAGGGTCCCACTTGACACGGGTCAAGTTTATTTTTCTCTAAAAAATTTTGGGTAACTTTTAGAGAAATTTACTTGTCAATCGTACTGAATTACTCGGAGGGCCGAATACTCAAGTCTTGGCATTTATTTTTCTCCGGGTTATATTCTCTTTGAGATCTTTATATTATCCTTGTTGAACTGTGAGTCTAAATGAAAAGTTTGTTTAGACTCGAGTAAGCCCTGAACTTTTCCTGAGAAGCTCATTGTCCATTTTTAACACGGTGTTGGCATTAAGTACATGAAACGCGCCGCCAGCGCGAAATCGGTATCCGACATAATTCGGAAGAGTGCCTTTCTAAACGAGTGCGGAACTGATAACGGCGTTGGAAGTACTGGGTTAATTGTATGTACGTTCCATCTGGGGTTATAGTGTTTGTTTCGTTTCAGCTCGCCGAAATGACCGCCATGGATGTGGACATCACCGAGAAAGTTGCCATTTTGGACTTTGGAGCGCAATATGGGAAGGTGAATATTTTAAAATAATTTTATTTTAGTAAATTCGGCTTGTTTATAATTTTTTTATTTTTAGGTAATAGACCGAAGAGTGCGAGAATGCAATGTTTACACCGAAATGCTGCCATTGAGCACGTCTGCGGCCGATTTGAAGGAAAGAGACTATAAGTAAGCTCTTGATGTTTGAATATTTCTTTTTAGAGCGATTATTATCTCCGGTGGACCACAATCAGTTTATGCCGCAGATGCTCCAACCTATGACCCCGCTATTTTTGACCTGGGAGTTCCAATTCTCGGGATTTGTTATGGATTCCAGATAATTAACAAACATTTTGGTGGAACTGTTGCTAACTCCAAGATCAGATCTGATGGAGTCATGGAGATTAAGGTCAATCCTAAGAATGAACTCTTTGTTGGCTTGTCGGATCTTCAAAGTGTTCTTCTGACTCATGGTGACAGCGTGAAAAAGGATTGTGTGGCTCCAGGATTCCAGGTTATTGCTCATACCATTGATGAAGATGAAGATCGTATAATTGTGGCTGGAATCTGCAATGAGGAGAAGAAGATCTACGGAGTTCAATTTCATCCAGAAGTTGACCTAACAAAAGAAGGAGTTTCCATGTTCAATCAGTTCCTTCATTCAATCGCGGGTATTAGTTCACATTACACTATTGCTAACAGAGAACAAATGTGCATTGATCATATCAAAGAAGTTGTTGGAGACAAAAACGTATTGGTAAGTCAAGTTTATTTCCTTCATTGGCTATTGTTTAGGTGATGGTATCAGGAGGAGTGGACTCGACCGTATGTGCTGCGCTTCTGCACAAAGCTCTTGGGGCCGAGAGAGTTGTTGCTATTCACATTGATAATGGTTTCATGAGATACAAAGAGTCCGAAGCTGTGGTTTCGTCCCTGAACAAACTTGGCTTGGATGTGAAATGTAAGTTGAACTTTATATTTTGATTTCATGTTTAGGTTTCTACTGTATTGACACATTCTTGAATGCCAAACTCAGTCAGAATACTCTCCGATTTGTGACGAACCCCGAGGAAAAACGGATGATTATCGGCGATACTTTCATCCGATGCAAGGATAATATCGTCGAGGAACTGAAGCTGAATACAGACATGTTTTTTGCTCAAGGCACTCTCCGTCCCGACTTGATTGAATCAGCCAGTGCTCTGGCAAGTGGATGCGCCGACACGATCAAAACTCATCACAATGACACAGCATTGGTCAGAGAACTCAGAGACCTCGGGAAAGTAATCGAACCCCTCAAGGACTTCCACAAGGATGAAGTCAGAGAATTGGGAAGAGCTCTTGGACTTCCTGAGACCATCGTGAACAGACATCCGTTCCCTGGCCCGGGCTTGGCCATTCGGATTATCTGCGCCGAGAAACCTTTTGTTGGGGATTTATTCAACGAAACGGCCGAGAGTGTGAACAGAGAAGTCACCGAGACTTTGGGAGAAGAGTTCTTCGGAAGAGTGATGCCTATTAGAACGGTTGGCGTTCAAGGTTAGTGTTAAAAAGTTTGGTGTATTATAATACGTATTACTTCAGGTGACAAAAGAACCTACTCATATGCGGCGGTTCTCTCCACCTCGCTGACCAACGTGCCTTGGGAAGTGGTCGATAAGTTTGCAAAGAAATTGCCAGGCATTGCGAAAGCATTAAATCGGTTAGGACCTTTTTAACGTATAATTCACACTGTGAATTTTTAAAATTTTTATTGTTTCTAAAAGTTTTGATTTAGAGTATGCTTCGCCTTTGGGGAGCCGATTCAGAGCCCTATTCTGGATATCACACCCACCCGACTGTCAGAAGGAGTGATTGAAAAGCTAAGAAAAGTTGATCATATTGTGACTCAAGTACTGAACGGACTCAATTTCAACGGGGAAAAGGATCCTAATCTTCCAGTGTCTATGCATATGATTCAACAGGTAAGCGATTATTTTATATTATTATGTTGTTATGAGTTTAGATGCCAGTGGTCCTCATTCCCATCCAATTTGGTTACGTTGACGTTGATAATTCAATCCCGCATACCGTGCTCCACTCAATTGTCCTTAGGCCGTTTATCACTCGAGACTTTATGACCGGTACCAATGCCCTGCCAGGACGTGATATTCCGGTTATTGTAAGTTTTAATGTTTTGGACATCACTCTTGTAAACTCGATCTTTTAATTTGATGTTTGATTTAGGTATTCGAAACGATTGTTCGTCGTATTATGACAGAAGTGCCACTGATCTCGCGTGTTCTCTTAGATCTGACTTCCAAGCCCCCAGGCACTACCGAATGGGAATAAGAAGATTCTTTGTTGTATTTTTTATTCTTCTAATTGTTGATTTAATTATAGCAAATTGTTTTAATTCATATTGGAGACGTACTCTTCAATGTTCAAACGGTGGTTACAAGTTCGCTTCCGTCCGGTTTCAGAGTTTCTTGTTCGTTTTTACCCTGTGTTGAACACTATAAATGATTGTTCTGAATGGTTGAGGCTTGTGTAATATTAAATTTTGACAGAAAACTAGGGGATAAAATATTTTAGAGATTCGATGAACAGCTCAGCTCGTACGCGTACCTATTGTCATTCTTCCACTCAATCTATTGTGACATTTCGGCGAACGAAATGCAATTATTGATTGGATTGCTTCTTGGTTCTGAAAAAAATTTTATCTGGAATTCGAGAAATTGTCTTTCATTACAAGAATCCAGGATGAACTCAGCTGATCCTCGACGTCCAAATAAAATCAACAGGTATGTTTTAAAATGTATTCGTTATCTTTTATTACTTTAGGTACAAACCAGTTGATCCGCAAACTCTAACTTATTCTGCTGAAGATGCCATTCCAGAATACATGAACATTTTCGGTATGATTTTCTCTATGTGCGGATTGATGATGAGGGTAAGAACAAAGATGAGAGTACGAGTTTATATTCCTTTTAGCTGAAATGGTGCTCCTGGGTTGCTCTTCTTTGCTCTTGTGTTAGTTTTGCCAATACCCGAACTGTCGACGACACAAAGCAGATCCTTAGTTCTTTCATGTAAGGTTGCATTTCATTATTTTTATTTCTTTCAGGCTCTCTATCTCTGCCGTGGTGATGAGTTACCTACAAAATCCCACCCCGATTTATCCTCCATGGGCGAACCTGGTATAGTTCCTAAAAATGTGATACAACTGTTATTTATTGCTCATAAAAGTTGTCTTTTTGATTTGTCAAGAGGTTTTTGGCATAGTTAATCATATATTTTTTTAATAAAGGGTGGAATAAGTTCCAACTTCAAATTATCCATCTTATTCATTAAAATATGTTTTTATCCACGTAAAATAGAGGTATTACAAATCGATCAACGTTGGAGCCTTTTCGTTGTCTTCTTCGTCTTTGCTGATCACTGCTTTGGTGGTACAGTACGCATAATGGAAGTCCTTTTCGCAGCTCGGAAACATGTGCGATGGATTGTAAGCACAACTGAAAGTAGCAGTAATCTTAAGAAAAACAGCTCGTAGTTCGTTCGCAAAGTCGTTAGAGTGATTTCGCGACATGCAATATGCAAAAAAGTCAGAATACGCGCGACGGCCCAAGAAAACCTATTGCACTGTGCGAAAAGCCGAAGTTGCACAGTGCGAAGTGAACTTCTGTTTTTTTCATAGTGCATGCCGCTGAAATCGCCATCGGGACTTTGCGGACTATAAAAGGCTCAAAATCATTGCAACTTACTGGATAAACTCGGCATTTGGGTTTCTCTCCAAAAAGTTTTTCCTGCACTGTGCAACATGCAATTGCATGGTCGCAGCGGGTACCAGGTGACTTCCATATGGACAGCATTCCGTTGGCAACATCATTTTGAAACTTTGGAAACAACTGATTTTTCAAGTTTTTCAATTATGAATTTTAATATGCAAATTTTAAAAAAAATTCAAAAACGCAAATTTTTCTCAATTGCAATATCATATGTACTGCCTGTGAGGCGGAACGACCGAGCTTCGAGGATTTCCCCACGAGGAACGATCTACATTTATTCAAATTTGATTGTACTTTCCTACGTGGGGCTTCCCTATAAAAGGGCCTCCTTTCCACTGAATAAATCACTTGACTCTTGAGCGTCTCGTCATCGTTACTGGGTTGTCGGGCCTTTCGACAACTCATAAGTGGCGATCAGGCGACTCAGCGCGTGGACCGACTCACCGACTGCAGCGGCCGTCGACCTCCCAGCTGGTCGAACCCTCCCTGGTGGACAAAGTAAGTATTGGTGGTAGTACAGCCCCAAGGTGCTTAGAACCAGAGTGCATTTAGCACAAATAAGGCTCAAGTCCCTAAAGGATACTAAATCCTAGAAAGGGAAGCACGAGTACAGTACAGAAAGGTACAAAACTCGTGGATTGGCAAAAGTTTTCACCTAGAAAACATGCCAAAGTCAAGTCTGGTCAATGAAGGCCATTCTCGGAAGTGTCAGAACACTCGAGATTTCGATTGTCCAGAGAGACAACGGAAACCTAGAAGGATTTCTAGGGGGACCCATCATGGACTTGATGCGGTTGACTCAGAATTGGAATATGATTCTGAATATTCGTCCGGATGTGACGGGATGCACGCCATTAGGCAGTGTGAAAGCGGACGGGAAGAGATCCCTCCGGTCAAGCTATGTGTCGGGTTAAATGACATGGAAATAGCTTTGGAGCTCGATACAGGAGCTGCCAGGACGGTAATACCAGAAAGGGTATGGAGACAGATTGGTCGTCCGGAAATTACCAGGTATACCGGGATACTTCAGGAATATGGCGGAAGTCCATTAGAAGTTATTGGTGCTGTGCGGGTAAAAGCCAGCTTCCGGGGTCATCAGGAGATGACTGAAATCATTGTCGTGAGACGTCACGATTGCCAACCGACGTTGGGACGGGAGCTCAAGTTAGAAGCTTTGCTTCTAAGGGTACGCCAATTGTGTCCTTTGGACCTAGGCACCATTCGGAAAGGTATAAGCCTTTGGCAAGAAGATACCAGAATGGAACCCAATGCGTCAGTGGAAGGAATGTGCCGTTGGAAGTTCAGATCCTCGATGGAAGCCAGTTCCCGGTCCAGTCCAGAATCTCAAGCCATCCAGAACCCAGGGAAGCACGCATGCTCGTTCGATGGATGTGGAAGTGCCAAGCCGTGCCCGACTTGATCACTTGGAGGAGATGTGAGGCGGAACGACCGAGCTTCGAGGATTTCCCCACGAGGAACGATCTACATTTATTCAAATTTGATTGTACTTTCCTACGTGGGGCTTCCCTATAAAAGGGCCTCCTTTCCACTGAATAAATCACTTGACTCTTGAGCGTCTCGTCATCGTTACTGGGTTGTCGGGCCTTTCGACACTGCCCTTCCAAAACTTTATGTTTTGTATATGTTTGCCTACAATTTCCCACACCTTATTCATGACCATTATGTAAATATATTGAGCATCCCCATTTCAAAGTTGAGTTGGTTTCCCGGACAACGGCACCCTCGAATTAGCCGTTTTTTCTGGCCCGTTCTGCTGTTATTCCACTCTCGTTCCGGGGGTCTGATGCGGGCCTAGATGCCGACGCCCAGTCAGATCAGCAACGCGACCACCGTTTCTCTGGATCCGTTGGAATTCGACGAACAAGATGCCCGTTACATGGTGTTCCGATGTGTCCATTGTCAGCACGCGATCATAATCTGTGCGACTTGTGGAATCACCGTGGTCTTGGGCGTGTTCTCCGTCTGCATCACGTTGTTCAAGTTTGCTAGTGACAGCCTGGTTGAGGTCACCGCCCTAACCGGGCTTACCGTATTCCTATTCTCCGGTCTTATCGCTCATGCCGCCGCTTATTTCGCCGTCAAAAAACAAAGCGTAAGTCCTTAAAATAGACTGCTCTATCTTCAAAATTCAGGCATCATATCTCCAACCCTATCTAGTGCTACATGTATTTTTTATCATCGTGATGAAAATATCGACGACAGCGACAGATTTGCGAGAAAAGTACTCGAATTTGTGCCTTTATGTATCATATGGAGCAGTGGGATGATCTCTGTTGGAGTGAAGTACAAACAGTACTTGGTTAACAGACTCAACTCGGCTTATGGAATTGGAACGGTAAGGGAATTTTTGATTTTTTGCTTTCTTTTTTGTGTAATCTTCAAATCGGATTGCGCAATTTTTTGTCAAATCTTGCGTACATCTTCTTGATAGCAAAAATAGATCTTGACATTGAAACATAATCTTTTTTTAACTTTATTTTAGCAGCAAAAATGGAACTTTTCGCTAATTTTTCGTATCATCCTCTATATTTTTCAGACTGTAACGCCCATTGTGATCCACCGACCTCAGACCCCTCAGGACTGTCAAAACAAACCAAATGATTGCGCTTCTCTTCCTTAACCTTAATAAATATTAACATAGTCAAGGAAAGAAGTTTTTTGTCGGCTCTCAAAAGTTGAAAGGAATGACGGAAACCCCCAAGAAAAGTCTTTTTTCTATTGATTAATTCATCGGAGAACTTTTTGTGATAAGAAGAGATGAGTCAAATGGGGGATCCGAGTTTTAAATTGGACGGAAGCCCCTACGAAGTGGAGCAGATCATCGGAATCGGGGCTTATGGCCAAGTCCGGCAGGCCATCGATGTGGTAAGGAAAAATGGATTGAAAAAAGACGGAGTTTTATGATTTTTAAATACTTTTTATTCGAAAAAAGTTGCGCTTACAACTTTTTCTCTCTTATGAACAAAATAAAATCTAAAAATTTCAATGGTTCATCTTACGGTAGAGTTACTGAAATAAATTGCCAACCTCACGAGGGAATGGTCTGAACTTCCCCCAGCGTTTGGGAAAATGACTAGTACAGGTGGATAGAGCATGTCAACTTTAGTAAAAAGAGCCATTTTCCAGCTGCGAAATAAGTCTAGCCGACGAGAAAAATCGACCGAAACTTCCACAAAAATTTCCTCTTTCTCTTCCCTCGGAAAAGAAGAGCGGTGTCCAATGGTTCGGTTGGCTGAGTGGATAAAGCGTCCGCTCGGTATTCTTTTGGGGGTTGGTTCGATTCCGGGGTCTCGCGAAAGACCGTGATAAGGCTTTGATGAGCAAGATCAAACTCTAACAACCCAAAAAAAAATATTTTGCCTTTTTCAAAGTCAAGTCTATCACCAAACAAGTATAACTTCGACGTTTCATGGCTTTGAAGGTTCGGAAGCACCCAAAAATTTATTTGTTGACGATTATTGTTTTGGTATAATGCCCCTATAAATCGCATTAAAATGGTAAATTTTTTTTTTTGGTTTGTTAGAGTTTGATCTTGCTCATCAAAGCCTTATCACGGTAATTCGCGAGACCCCGGAATCGAACCAACCCCCAAAAGAATGCCGAGCGGACGCCTTATCCACTCGGCCAACCGAACCATTGGACACCGCTCTTCTTTTCCGAGGGAAGAGAAAGAGGAAATTTTTGTGGAACTTTCGGTCGATTTTTCTCGTCGACTAGGCTTATTTCGCAGCTGGAAAATGGCTCTTTTTACTAAAGTTGACATGCTCTATCCACCTGTACTAGTCATTTTCCTAAACGCTGGGGGAAGTTCAGACCATTCCCTCGTCAGCTCATTCTTTACATTTACAGCGGAATCATCGACCAGTGGCCATAAAACGAATCGTCGATGCTTTTGGGACATATGTTTTGGCCAAACGAAATCTCCGAGAGGTTAGGATCCTCAGAAGATTGTCCCATAAAAATATAATCAGCGTGCTCGATATGTTTGTGGTTCCGGCGAATCACGTAAGTACTACTGCATAGCCAAACCGAAAGGTTACATACTAGAAATTCAAAAAAATGTTTTGCAAAGAGACTACGACATCTCTGATTCAGTCGTTATAAATTTAAAATGTCATCATAACAGGTTTGGTCACATAACTTTTTTAACAAGGAAAGTACTTCCATGGGGTGTGGAATTACCGGTCGAGATATATATCAAAAAATTCGCAAAAATTTTCTGATTCAGAATATATATAAATTAGCTGCCTAATTTTGGTCTATCAGCGAGTTTTTTCAATAAATGTTTTTCTCGAGGAAAAAAATCTGCGGCAACAAAAGCGCGCTCGGTCTCTTCCTTCGGAAGAGAGCGGCGTGGCCGAGTGGTTAGAGCGCTGGCTTGGAAATCCGTGGGAAACGGGTTCGATTCTTTTTGCCACACTAGAACCCATTTTTTACATTGGAACTACTTTTAAGGTGTAGTTGTAATCCAATTTGATATTTTAAGGCTTGTCAAGGCCTCAGAATTTAGTTTAGCACAAAACAAAATTTTTTTATTGTTAAAAACACGGTCAAAAAGACACTTGCATGATGTCGCGAGAAAAATTCTGAGGACAAAAACATGTCATCAGACCAAAATTAGGCAGCTAATTTATATATATTCTGAATCAGAAAATTTTTGCGAATTTTTTGATATATATCTCGACCGGTAATTCCACACCCCATAGAAGTACTTTCCTTGTAAAAAGAGGGAGGTTCTATGATAATTACAGTACCTTCTGTCACCTCAGTTATCTTTCAAATATTCTCTGCACTATCTATCTGGATCCAGCATCGACTCTTTTAATGTGTCCCTCAGAAAAAGGCTATTTTAACAGAACTTACTTGTTAGACACTTCATAATTTTGCTCTCCAAATGTATATTATTCAACATCGCGAAAAACCCGTTAAAATTAAAAATTTTTTTTTGCAAAACCTGATTTAAAACTCCGGTATTTACCTTATTATTATACATCCTAGTCAAAATATAAGCCGATCTTTCACCACAGCCTTCCTTCTACTATTATAAAGCATGTCGTAATTTAGGGCCACGACATTTTCCTCGTAATGGATTTAATGGAGACCACCCTCCACAAGATTGTGCACAGTACCCAGACCTTGACTGATAAGCACGTCAAGTACTTTCTTTATCAGATTTTGTGTGGGTTAAAGGTAATTCGAGGTAACGGGTGTGATCAAAACATTGTTTTTTAGTACCTCCATTCAGGCGGGATCGTTCATCGTGATTTGAAACCAGATAATTTACTGGTAAACGCTGATTGTCTGCTGAAAATTGCTGATTTTGGAATGGCCAGATCGCTGGATAAATTGAAAACTGAGGAGGACTCAGTGATGACGGTGAGTTTTGTTGATTTAGAACTGCATTTATTCTCTGCATATTCAAAACTTCTTCAATTCTTTGTTCGATTCGTATTATCCATGACATATTTGTAGCAATACGTGCAAACCAGATGGTACCGCGCCCCTGAATTGTTGTTCTCAATGTTGGATTACGATGTAAAGTAGGTTGGGGAGTTAATTGATCAAGTTAAACAATTGGATTCCTTTACAAAAAGCTGAATTCGTAGAAAATAAAAAAGATGACTTCTTAAACTCTTTTGCAAAGGTCAGACGAACGAAATGGAAGTGCAAAAATTACTGCAAAATGACTTGAACATCCAGCTAAAAAGACTGCAACAACTTTTAGAGTGGATATCTGGTCGGTTGGATGTATTTTTTCGGAGATGATAATGCGCCGCCAATTATTCCCGGGGAGGGAAGCAGCCATGCAAATTAAGATGATTGTATGTTATTTGGGCACTCCACCTCCAGAAGTCCTTGACAAAATCAGCTCAGTGCTGATCAGAGATTGGATTATTAGCCTTGGGCCAAGAGAACCGTTGCCATGGAAAGCGATTTTGCCAAAAGCGTCCTCAAGAGCCGTGGACCTGGCGGAAAGGGTAAGGAAGTGAAAAGAGAGTGGGAAGATTAAAGTAAAACTTCTTTATTGCTCCCAATAACTTGGGGTGACAGGATAGGTCATCTTAAACTATAGTCGGGGAGAGCTCAAATAAAATACCTTCGCTCGTGTTTAGCAAAAACCACCAAGAGAACAAGATCGAAAATTTTCCGACATTTTACTTTCATGCAATTAAAAAAATGCTGGTTCTGATTGGAGATTCCAACATTTTTAGAAATATTAGGTTGATGCAAAAGGAATTGCGGATTTTTTAATTTATTCGTATTTTTTTATAGGATAGCTCAATTCAAAAATGGAAAAAGGTATATAGTAGCAAATTTTAAGAGGATTTTTTCTGTATATGTGCTATTCTTATAAAAGTTATCAAACGTTACCATAAGTTACCACGAAGGTACCCTAAACATGTTAGTACATTTTAAACCAATTATTTTACATATTTTTTTGCGGCTTTATCCATTTTTGAAAATATTTTGATAAAATACGTTATATTCTATCAAAAAACAAAAAAAAACCCCCATTTTTGGCAAAGCGTTAAAACGCTATCCCAAAAATTCAAATTTTAGCAAATTTTACAAATCGTGTCATATCTTTTTTTAATAAGTCCAAAATAAAAAATTCTTTTTGCTTTCGATTAGTAACAACATTTTTAAGGCTTTCGTGAAAAAAAGACATCAAAATCTTGAATTTTATTTTTTGGTCAAAAAATGTCAAAAAAATAAATTTTTTTGATTTTGATGTTTTTTGTCACAAAAATCTTAAAAATGTTGTTACTAATCGAAAGCAAAAAGAATTTTTTATTTTGGACTTATAAAAAAAAGATATGACACGATTTGTAAAATTTGCTGAAATTTGAATTTTTGGGATAGCGTTTTAACGCTTTGCCAAAAATGGGGTTTTTTTTGTTTTTTGATAGAATATAACGTATTTTATCAAAATATTTTCAAAAATGGATAAAGCCGCAAAACAATATGTAAAAAAATTGGTTTAAAATATACTAACATGTTTAGGGTACTTTCGTGGTAACTTATGGTAACGTTTGATAACTTTTATGAGAATAGCACATATACAGAAAAAATCCTCTTAAAATTTACTACTATATACCTTTTTCCATTTTTGAATTGAGCTATCCTATAAAAAAATACGAATAAATTAAAAAATCCGCAATTCCTTTTGCATCAACCTAATAAAATGTCCTGCCTTAAATTTTCGGAATCATGAAACGATTTTTTCTCTCACCGACTCTCATTTTCTATGCTCTCTAACCAAAGATGTCTGTCCAATACGTCTTTTGCAAAGCAAGGGCTAAAATTCGCAAGAACTACAATCCCCTATCTCCATAACGACGTGTTCCACTAGGCATAAACCACACCGCTTCCTTAACAGTCACTTTTCAAACTTCATGCCTGATTGTGACATCTCACTCACAATTGTGGGATGTGACCATTAGATAAAAAGTTACTATCTGAATCCTGGGCACCCCCAAGGCATCAGATCTAATTAGTGACTTTATTGTAATGTGACACCACTCCTATTCTGTACCTCTTTTTTGGGATAAAAAACGAATGGAATTCCCCCTTTCGGAAAGTTTTATGATAACCATTCCGATACAAACTTTTTAGAGAATTGTTTAGTAAACTAAATTTCAAAATAGCGTGGGGATTCGACTGGTTTGACGAGTTTCCCAAACAAATGCGTCTAAGTTGTGCCCACGTGACTTCAGATCACAAAGTACATATAAGGGAGATTTCGAAAGAACAAAGGTCGGGGTGCAGAAAGACTAGAATACAAGAGGAAAAACAAACGTAAACAAATTTGTTATGTTCAATTTGGAAAAAAAACAACATAAACAAGCCTACATCATTATTAAAATCAAGTTTAAAGTGTGATTTTTCGGAGAGCATTGGCGTTCAAAAGAGCTGACTTTTCGTGGAAAATTCCACTAAACTTCAGTGTTTCAAAAAATTAATTATAAAAATATGTAAAGCATACGTTTTCTATGCATAAATTTTTTAGATGTCAACAAAATTGAATGAAAAGGCAAAGAACGCTTTTAAAAAATATTTCACAGACAGTGATTTGTCTGGGCGTTTTGATTTCTTTGATCTTTCTTTTTTTAGCTTCTAAAAATGGAGCCTTGGAATCGTTTGAGTGCCGATGACGCTCTTTCCCATCCATATTTGTCGCTTTATCATGTCCCGGAGAATGAGCCCGCATGTCCAGAGGCAGTTCAGTTGGATGTAGATGCCATCGAAAGTCTTTCGATGCAAGATTGCCTGAGCGAACTTGGCCAAGAAGCGCGATTATTCCAGTCACAACGGGAATTGTATCCTATTGAGTCGGTGTAGTGTTGAATAAATAAAATTTTATCGTTGATTCCGATGAAAATGGGTAAAGTTGAGGGAACCATTTTTCTCTGACCTTTCCTCATTTTCCTTAATCTCACAATCAGTCCAAAATGTTTGTTGAGTGGGTGTCGGACACTTCGCGGACATCTCTATTCGCGGACACCCAACTCGCGGACACGGGTTTCCATATTCGCGGACGCCCAAGTATTTCCGTCTAATTATTTCTTATTTCTGCGTGTATATTGTTATATTGTTACCAACGCTGTACAATGGATATCACTAACCCTGATGAAGAAGGCTCGTTCAAGCCTGTTGCATTGCCGTCGCAACGTCGAGGGACGTATACGAGGTTTTCGGCGCCCCATCCAGACGACGATGGTTTGGTATATGCATTAACCAATGGTGGAAAAGCTGATAGAAAGGGAATGCTACGATACTTCTTTGCCTACTGCCGTGCCGTGAACGACAAAAACCGGAGGAATAAAGAAGACGCGAACAGCGTGTCCGCGAACTGGGAATGTCCGCGAATAGGGTATCACTCTGTTGAGTATCTCGCACCCCATGCAAACCGTAAGTAAAGATTTTCAGGGATTAATATGTATGTGGCCCAGATAGAGCATACGTGCCAAATTTTAAGGAAATCCAAGAACATCTATAAAGGTTATACTCGTTCTTCAGGGTCTCCTTAATTAGTGTCATCATCTTTATCAACTCTGAAAAAAGTTGAACTTCAGTCTCGAAAAGTTTTGGAGTCGTCTCCATTTCAAGGAACTAAAAGCGAATCTTTTGTTTACACCACAAACTTATTAAAACCCGTTTTTTAGACTTTATAATTTATTTGGCCAGACCTCTTTGGCTTGTTGACTTAAGGCTTGATCAGAAAGCGAAATAAGGATTTATCGGCTGTTTGCTGTCATCACAACATTCTGCAACGTTTGTTTACACTCTTAATTTAGAGTTACTTTCTGCAGAGGAGGGAGCGTTTCCCAATTTGCTTATCACTTGAAACTCCAACTTTCATTTTGCAACCAGGTCCCCAAAAAGGCTATGACATGCTTCATATTTTTGTATAACGATGCAAGCTTTTTATGCAGCTATACAGCCTCTCAAGCTGTTCAAATTCCCCATTTCGAAGGCACGGAGTCTCATCTCCCATCTGCCTTAAAGTCCGTCGTTATAATCGCGGAGAGCAAAGGAGGGGAAAACAAAAAACACCATAACTTTTTGGACGTGCCCTTTAATATTTCGTGTCTTTTTGTCTCCCCTCGTCTCCGATGTCTCACCTGTTCTATTCGTATTTAAATCGCCTTCCCAAATAGTAACGTTCATTTCGAAATGCGGGCCGAAAGGACGCACACTCTCTTGGCCACTCTGCCCTAATCAATATCCAAATTCTTTTTTCGGCGAGCCGTTTTCGGGCCTTCGCTCTTTTAGGACGCATTTTCGAGGCCTGTGATTATTTTGCTTCCGGAATTCGGATTCTTTGTGGCGAAGATTTCGTTTCTTTGTTAAAAATTAATGAACCGACCGGTCCAAAATTTTTGAGGGTGTTGGGGCGAGTTTATTTTTCAAGGGAATAATGAAAGCCTTTATACAAAGATCTTGACTAACTAAGCGTTACTTATTCTGTAAATTATAAGATAAGTAAGCTTTTTCAATTGAAAACACTGGCAACCATTTTTTATTTATCTTATTTTCTCTTTAGGAAACATTGTTTGGGAATATTCCGAAGTGAAATATCGTTTGCAGTAATCTTGGTTGTTTATCTCTCAAAGAATTCGGCCAACAGTTTAAGATTCGCTTAACCGTGTGCAATCAGACTTCATTTCCAATTTCTTGCGAATTTCGAGCAAAAGGAAAGTACCCTTTTACCAAGACCACGTCCTATTAATTAATTACCCTCCACACAAAAGTCTTCAAAATCCATCAATCATATCATTAAACCCACTCTAAAGTACGCCCCTCTTTTCGAATTCATATTTTGAAAACATTCGCTCAACAATTTCCGCAACGGAATCAACCCACATGTTCAAATGATCGTATTATCTCATACGACGGGTTGCGTATAGAGACGCGTTTTCTCATGTTTTTCGCTGACATGACGTTGAGCGGCGTTGACCGACGGGGTAAAACGCGGGATGTTATGAAACGGGTTAAGCGGCGGGTCAGGGAAGAGAGAGAAGGGCTTGGTTTCACCTTTAAAGGGGCTGACCGTGGGTGCGAAGAGAAAGCCGACTGCTTGTCTGTTCACGATCTGCCCTAATCAGCATTCCTTTTGTTATCTGCATCTTCCATTTCGATCGAAATCACCTTCGAAAAATACATAAAGACTTTTTTTTGAAGGCGTTCCCTCCCTTTCCCGACAACTCCGCCCTACGTGACTATTGTCTGGCCTCATTATTCGTGATCTTAAGTCTTTGATACCACGTGGTGGGTGCATATGTTCTTATATTTGAGAAATTTTCTGTTGTCTTTGAATTTTGTGGGCGGGGCGAGCGTCTTCTCCGATCAGCCGTTTTCCGACGCCCGCCTCGATGACAAAAGTCGTCCCATTCAGAAACAAATCGTCCCACTGACATTCTGCTACTATGTCAATGCTGGAGTTGGCTTTGGTCTCGGGGATTACCCCTTTTTCCTTGGACTCACGCCGTGTTTCGCGGTTTTTCGGGCTTTTTTGCAGCAGTCGGACGTTAAAATGAATTTCAGAGAGTGGGAAAGCGAAAGAAACAGTTGGTTGTGCCCCCTGTCTCTAAACTCTTGCAGTATTCCCCCCATCCACTTGATTCATACACCAGTGACGACAATTCTGAGGAGAGCAGCGCCGTTCGCCACGTTCCTGAGGGTCCGAACCCGTGGCTACCGTAATCCAGAATGGTTTTCACCGTCCATTTCACGGTCAGCACATCTGATCCGTTGAAGGAGAATGAGTACATGTTTGTGACGGGAAATGCCGAACAATTGGGCGAATGGGACCCAAAGAAGGCATTGAAATTGAGCCAAAATGCGGATCGGTAAGTGTTTTCAAATACAATATAAGAAACATCACTTTGCAAAGAAATCAGTCAGTTCGTCTTGTTATTGTAAAAGAATGCGACCTTCGCTGTCTTATCTTTGACCGCTTCGATATCTAAATCTATTTTAAAGTGCGATTGTTCTTTAGACATTGGTCCGGTACCGTCTCCGTGAGCATAGAAACAGTCAAGTTCCGCTATTTCACCGGATATTACTTGGCGGCCGGCGACGACTCTGATCCTGTTCTAATTATATCCCAATGGGAGACGCATCTGACCCCCAGATTTGTAATGCCGGCCGTTGAGGCCACCAAAACAAGAGTCTGCAGAGCCAACGTTAACGATGTTTTTGGATTCAATGGTAAGATGACGAATAGGAAAAAATAGCAGTCTTTAGGAGGTCGCGAGGTCATGAGCAATGGCTGGTTGGAGCACCACAATCAGATTATCCTGAGACTCCATGGAAAAGCCGTCAAGTTCTATAAACCAAAGCACGAGAAGGCAAACTACAGAATTCGAATTTCTCCGACTGACCTAAGACACCGTGAGGTAAGACGACTTCCAAATTAAGCTCTGATAAGACGATTAGAGACCGCGAAACACGCCGCTAATATTTCTTGTTTTAGGACGGTGACGATGAAGACGAGGAGGACGAAGAAGAGCATTTCGAGAAGCCCTCTTTGCCCAGCTTCTCCCGAGCTCAAATTGCCGTAAGACCTAGGGCTTTTCAAATGAAATCTTATCATAATTCCTGTCTTCCCTTCTCTCCCTTAAGCCCCATTCCATTCGGATAACACTGGAAATCAATCGACGACAAGGTTAGGAGTGGCCAAGCAGAGCATTCAAGAATAATGTCACATCCACAATTGCGTCATCAGATCCGAACCCTCCCCAAAACTCTTGAAAGATCCGTTTTGTCCTCTGATTCGATGACTACTAAAATTATTGTCAAAAATCATGTCTAATGTCCAGTCCAGCTTATTTCCCTTATGTTTTTTTTTCTTTTTGCTTTCCAAAACGGGTTTTTCAAGAGTTCCCAATTTGTTTTTGAGTTCGTAACAATTAATTCAAGTTTCAGACAAAAACAGTAAGCCTTCTCATACTAATATTTCGGGAAAGTCACTGGAATAAAACAACAGGGATTTAAAGTCTCTGTTTTTAATTCCAGTCACTCTCCAGAATGACTAGTAATATATGTCGCAACGGAAATGCCATTACTCTTGCTGCTGTTGTTGTTTTTTGTCTCCGCATTTCCTATCGTCTCGTCACATTAAATATTCCATTTTTAGGCCCTGACCAAGGCCAATCCCCGATTCCGAGATCAAAGTCCGAACGGTGAAGTGTTCACCAACGAAGTGGACTACTATCTCTACCGAACTCAGAGTGTGGCCGTCGAATTTCTCGGTTTCCGGATCGAGATTCTGAATGAGGAAGGAACAGATGTCATGGCGACGGGATATGCGTTGCCATCGACCTTGGCTAACTCCTGTGGAAATACATCTGTCCCATTATTGACAAAGAAAGGCCTGCCAATTGGGAAACTGTACTTCGGATATCTTTTTGTCCGACCAATCGCGCTACCCATCCCAGAACAAAAAATGAAAGCCAGCTACACCAAGCATTGGAAGAAACGAAGTGCGTTAGAGGTTGGCCATCGAGGAATGGGCAATTCCTACACCAAATTCGCTGCCGCAAGAGAAAATACATTACATTCATTGAACTCCGCGGCCAAAAATGGCGCTGATTATGTGGAATTCGATGTGCATTTGACCAAGGATAAGGTCCCCATCATCTTCCACGACTTCCACGTTCTTGTTTCTGTCGCCAAGAGGATTCCATCCATTCAGGAATTGAATTTGGCTAATGAAACGATCAATGGGAGCGTGGATGCTCATGAATTGGCCGTCAAGGACCTCACACTGAGCCAACTGCGTCTTTTACATGTAAGAATAACATGTTTTTAGTGCATAATTTTACACAAAACTAGCTTTTTGGAGGCGACAATTGGCGTCTCGTATAAGATCTGGGCATTTCAACTCAAAAAACATTCAACAAAAACAGAGGACAGCTGACATTAACCATCGCTTTTCAGCTCGATCATGTTCAACACAAGAACAGTCTGGATGATACGACTCATAAGCATACTGTAACAGCCAAGCATGACGAGGAAGAGGAACATCGACCCTTCCCCACTCTCAACGACTCATTTCATGGAGTTAGTGAGGAAGTTGGGTTCAATATTGAAGTGAAATACCCCATGGGATATTTACAAGGAGGCCATGAATGCGAGAACTACTTTGAACCCAACGAATGTCTGGATATTATACTGGCTGATGTGCTGAACAATGCTGGAACTAGACGAATCATGTTCTCCTCATTCGATCCAGACATCTGCCTCATGTAAGTAATATAAATTTGTGACAATAGCCCGTCATTAGATCAAATCATGATCTTATTGTTTTAGGTTGGCATTGAAACAAAACAAGTACCCGGTTCTCTTCCTAAACCAAGGACAAACTCAGAAGCACCCTGCCTATCAAGACCCTCGAACCCAAACTTCTTCCATGGCCGTCAAGTTCGTGGCCGGCGCTGGTTTAGTTGGGGTTAACTTCAACAGCGAGGACATCCTACGGGACCCCGAACCAGTCCAATTGGCCAAGCAATTTGGTTTGATCACATTTGTTTGGGGCGACGAATTGGCCGACAAAAAAGTGGTTGAATATTTCAAGAAGACGCTAGGAGTGGATGGAGTTATCTACGACCGAATTGGAGAAGCCGAGAGCCGAAGCAACGTGTTCTTGTTGGAGAGGGCGATGAAACAGGCCTTGTTCGAAAAAAGGCCCGTCTCTCCGGGCCACAGTCCCAAACAATCACACAAGTTTAGATCGAATGGACAGATGAATATGGAGAGAATAATCCCCACAACAACTGCGGCCATTGAACATTTGGATCTGCCAATTGCAACGACTACTAAGATTGCATGGCCTGGAATGGAGACCGCTGCATCAGTGAATTCTTCAACTTCTTCTGGGTTCTCAACTGATGGATCAACGATTACAAATCAATTGGGGCATGTTGTAAATCAACTCAAACGACAGCCTAATTCATTCAGCCACGGATTCCAACCAGTGCTGACATCGCAGGACACATAACGCAACGAACACATGTTATGTTAGCTTACTACTATCAACTTTATATTCCACAATATCAAATACGGGTTTCTTTTTTGTATACGTTAATTTAAACTCCCATGGAGGAGGATTAAAGTTCAAAGAGTAGTCTAACAACGAATAAAATACTCAAATATATTTTTCGGAAATATTTTTTTGTATCGTAGTAGGCGACTAAAAACCGTTGCAAACAAATAAAAAATTAATAATAAGCAGTTAAGGTAAGTTAGCCAAGGCCTGAAAGACAAAATACAAGCGGTAATATATTATTTACTTAAACTTTATACATAATTTAAACAAAAATTCTTATGGTTAACGATGGTTGAGATGTAAATCACGAGTCGGCGACTGAACACCTCCGCCGGATGATAGGACTGTGATCTCTAGCACTCGAAGTCCCCGTTCTATGGGATCGGTAATGCATAATCCGGCTGGCAGAAAGATGTTCTTGTTCTGTTCGTTGATAAACTTCCTTATCATCTGTAATTGCTTCTCATATCTGGTCGTAGTGCACAATCGGACTAGATAACAAGTAAAAAAGCTGACTAGAGTCTCTCCAATAGCTCCCATGTTGACCTGGAAATGATGAGTGTAGGGTAAAAGAATCGATTATTAGGCAACAAAGTTATCTCTTCTCATGAATAAGATAAGATGAGACCCAATTTTAATAGTTGCTTGTAAAAAGTAATGGCAAAAAAACTCTTGATCAAAAAAGGCCAGGAAAAGCTCTACCTAAAAGAATTTTATTCAAAGGGATCAGCAAAAAAACATACGGATTCTGCTTTCTTGAACATCGAGTTGATATTGTCTATCATGTAGAACCAGCTGTTTTCGTCAATCTAAACATTAAAATACAAAAAGAACGTTGTAAACTTACGACTCCATCTAACGTTGAGGGAAAACTCCTCTGGAAACGCACATCCAAACCTGATGAGTAATCTCTTTCAACGAATATTTTGTGGCAATTATCAAGGGCAATTGGCTGAGAACTCATAGCTTTTTGGGACTAATTAGAGCTTAAAATAAATGATATAAGATTAGCATAACTTATGAGAATTATTTGATAGTGCAAATTAATAAAAACTAAAGGATTGGACAAGATTTATAAACCAAGTATTATTATAAACCTTTTCTCTGCTAAATGAAAATATCCTCATCTAAAAAAAGCACCCCAAATCTAGGCTTTAATCTATAAATTCTGCTTTCTTTCTGACCGGACTTTCCATGTTTTTGGACCGAAATCCGATATTATCCATGACCAAAAAAGAGAACTTACATAAAATATGTGAGAAATGGGTTAAAGAAGCTGAAGATCTATTGTTTTCTTCACTCTCGTATACGGATTAGGTCCTGTTAGTCGTATACGAATCAATTCGCACAAACAAACAGAAAAATTGTCGATTTATTCTTGAGGCGACATGTTATACGGTGCAAGCTGTTTCAAGATAATATTTTTCTGGGAAAACTTTCTTTCGAATGTTACCGTATGCTTAATCGTGATATATCTTGTGATTTGATTGCTGGATCCAGCTGATTCGAAATCAAAACAATTAGGAATTTAAGCTTCTTGTAGTAAACAGATGAATCAGATTAGAAAATCGGAACTTTGACGGATGGGAACGACTTGGCCAGATGTTCCTGCAATGAAACAATGTACAGTTGAACAAAACCATCTGATGACCCGAGTCAAACATCTGGTAGACGGCATAAATACTATTTGTTTCGTGTGTTTCTGGCATTCACAAGGTCTTGATCTAAAACATGCTTCGGATTTGCGGATTTTTGGCTATTTTTGCCATTGTCTTTGGTCAGGAGATTGGTAGTGGCGCAGGAATCAAGAAGGGAAATGGTATTGGTCAAGGAATTGGCGATGGAGCAGTGAAACATGGAGGAATTGGGCAAGAAATCGGGTCCGGAGCTGTAAAGCATGGAGGAATTGGGCAGGACATTAGGCAAGATGCTGGGATTGGAGCTGGAAACACGATTGACCAGCCAATTGCCCCAAAAGTCGGTGGAATTGGACAGGATGTTCGAAAAGATTCAGGAATTGGAGCTGGAAATTCGATTGTCCAGCCAATTGCCCCAAAAGCAGGTGAAATTGGTCAAGGAATTGGGTCTGGTGCTGTGAAACACGGAGAAATCGGGCAGGATATTAGACAAGAAGCAAGTGTTGGGCAAGGAATTGGCTCTGGGAACACCATTGACCAGCCAAATGCTCCAAAAGTTGGTGAAATTGGGCAAGGAATCGGATCTGGAGCTGTGAAACATGGAGAGATTGGACAAGATCTCAGAGTTGGGAATTCAATCGGACAAGAGGTCGGAAGTGGAATTGGACAACCAATTGCTCCAAAAGCCGGCGAGATTGGGCAAGGAATTGGAGGAAACAGAGCACGACGCTTTCTTTTTGCGCCTTATTCCATCAATTGTAATCATAATTTGGGCCCTCGGGTTTGCTATCGAACCTATGAAGATGGAGATTTCCTTCAAGTTCCGAAAGGATTTAGCTGCTGGAAGACTGAGAGAGGGAACCCAAGATCACCGCTGAATTGCACAGAGAATGGTGGGTAGTTTGGCATATGACTTAATTATGATTGGGTGGGGAATCTCAACAAGTAATGTACAAGTTATCTAAATAAAAACGGCAAACATGCTGTGTAGTAATTATGTTATTTTTCAATCCCTGAAAAGTTTAGCTCATCCTTTATTGAGGCAGTTGAGATATTCAACAAACTTTCTTGAGATTAGCTGACAGGGGAAGTACCCCAAGTGCGACGCTCAGATTTTGATGAAACTTGGCACAAAATTAGAATAATTTTTTCTAAGATATATGCGAGAATCCTAGCTCGCGCTTTGCAGAAACAACCGAGATTTTTATATCGAAAGTTGGCGAAAATTTAGGACTTTTTGCCGAATTTTGGCACAAAAAGTTTCATTCCGATTTCTACCGTAAAGGATAATGTTTCTACAAAAAATCAAATTTTTCCGCACGAAACTGCCAAAGTTATGGCCGAAAAGCGTTTTTCTCTCTGACCGCTCTCCACGTTTAGCGTGCTCTCTCGGCGGCATAAATCGTCCGATATCTCGGCGGCGCCTGCAAAGCGCGAGCTAAAACTTTCAGGAATTGATATTTAGTCCATACCCGACGCGCGTGCAAAATTTAAAGAAAATCTGAGCGTCGCACTTGGGGTACTTCCCTTGTGAGGTGTGGATTACTGTAATATAATAATAACATTGCACATTTCAGCCTACATAGACCTCATCGTCAAGAAGGAAAAGAACCTCGAAATAACCCAACTCTAAAGAGTTTATTTACATTGTACATTACACACAATTATCGACAAGATTTTATTTGAATACTTGTCAAAAATATATTTTTTTTGAATGTTCGGATTTACTTTCCAAATTTATTTTGAATAAATTCCATTTTTTCTTTTATATCATGTTATTTAGACGTGTAGTCACCTGCATTAACTTGCTCTTTTTGTAAAGACTCCATGGTGGCCTGGCGGTGTGGATTCAGCAGACCATATATAGTCATGCCCAGCTTTGGCGACCCATTTGCTATTTGACTCAAGTGATAATTGTGGTCCTTAGGTCTTTGGCTTACTCCTATGAGTATTATTTACTCTCAATAATGTAAAACGTTTAGATTTAACACGTTTTGTAATGGTCTCATTCACCTTGACTTTGAGTTTGTCGTTACTGCAGATGCCCCGAGGAGCAGGGTTTGTTGTGCAGAGATTTCACCTTCCCTGTCTACACTGTAATTATGCATATAAGAAGGCAGTCTCTACGACAGAAATTTGAAAATTACGCAATATTTTTTTCTGTGCTTACATTTGGGTGTTCATTTGTAAAAATCTTTCCATTAAACCTATTTTTTATACTCAAAATGAGATGTGGAAGAAGGTTTTTAAGCGTAAAATCCGAAAAAACTTGTTGTTATCTTATCGGATCCGTTTTTCGGAGCCTCGACCATCTTGAACCTTTTTTAAAGCGACTTCCATTTGACGTAAGTGAAAACTTTATTAAGGATATTTGGTTAAAATTTTTACTCACTGTCACAATTTGAGGTGTGCTATAAGATCTTTGAAAGGACGCCAGTGGTTGCTTTACTCGATTTGGACAACGAGTACACCCGATCAAGCAGGTTTGAAAAGCGATGCGAGAATGTGTGTAGACAGAGTGATTTCACCCCAAACGAGGGAGAGTCGTGTCCTCAAGTTATAAAAAGGTAAGGGAATCAAGATAATTGAATGTTTTCAATATTCTACTGACCTTTCTGGGTTGCTGTGCAGAAGAAGAGCGACGTTCAGAGCATTAAAACATTTAAATTTAGGTGGCTGAAATCTGCAAATGTACTCAAATCGTGTATGAAACAAAACCATGTTGGCGGAGCGCCAATATGCTTGCGAGATTTCTGTAAAAACGATGGTCAAATCAAAATTTCCTTGCAAACGAACGAAGATGGGCACACCCATCATTATCACAGACGATTTCAAAGTGCCAGCTGGCCTGCTCTCGATCAGCCAGAATTATGTCTCACGGTGGGCAACAGGTTCGACATGAAACGGGGATCTTCTATCGTCACTGTAAGTTGGCGCTTCAGAAAATTAAGTTTTATTACATGCATTATAAAACATGACTTGACTGGGCATTTTCTTTTCAGACCGCCGTAAACATTCAAATTGATTCATCAACTTCACTTGCATTTGACGAGGACTGGGTATATTATGTTTTGGAAGATTCGGCGGAATACCAGATTTGCCGTGCTCATCTTAGACAAGTCTCGTTGCCCCCAGAGAACTTAGATTCTCTGTCGAAGTCCCACCAGGTGGATTGGATCCGAGTCGGTAGCGGTAAACTCTTAACGGGAATAATGGAGGTGGGATCATCTACGTTCTACTTTCTGTGCAGGGATCTGACCTCACAAACCACCACGTTCTGCTGGAACGATGAATACAACCGCAACTGGGTAAGCATACGACTAAAATATGCATAGAAAAAGACACAAGCTCTAGTAGGGGAGATTTTGTTTAATCTTACATGGCCAAGTTATCCAACCTCAAAAAACACAAGCTTGGGGGAGGAGTCAGTATATATCGGCTGATCCTGTAAAACGCAAGATGAAACTTTCAGAAATTGATATGTAGCCTATGCCCAAAGTGTGTGCAAAATTTAAAGAAAACATGAACGTCGCACCTAAGGTACTTCCTTTGCATGTTAATACGTCAAATCCTTTGATTTCCCAGATGTCCTTTCCCCTCATTGATGACGTCCTAATGTTTAAACCCTCTGAAAGGAGTATAAACTCGGCTGCCCTTGAGAGATTATTAATCCAATATTTAGTTTAAAGATGCGATGGTGCACAACGACCTGGTTGTAATATTTTACGCCGGAGCAATGGTGATATACGACTTTGAAAAAAAGAGCCGCACGAGAGAAGTAATAAGGAGATTCTGCCGAGCAGGTCCAAATTCGTATCTGGTTTCCATACGAACGGTAAAGGGAAGGAAATGTCGCTATCTGGTGAAGGTAAACTCCTATTTTTTTATCACCGTCTGGTAACCGTGATTTTACTTACAATGTAAAATACAACAATCCTACATATCCGCATTGACAGAAAACATTTTTTAGCTTGTCTACATCATTGACAACAAGATCATTGAGTACGTTCTGGCAAAAGGCAGCACTGTGAAATTTGGCCGACTGACGGACAACTTATTCTATACTCGGCGAAATGGCAGAACCACCGAATGGTTCCATGATGTACACGGAGGTAAAATTTAAACACCAGATACCGATTCTTGAAATTTCTAGCTGGCGCTTTGCAACAGCTCGCTGATTTAAAAAATACTTTCTTTTTTATTTTCAGAAACGCCATATCGTTTGCCGAACCTTCGTCCAAATTGACAAAGACTTTCATTGGGATCAGAGCAAACAATGATTCTGAAGCTTTAAAAACGAAAGGTTGTCCAAAAACGGAGAAAAGTATATTATACAGTGTAAACATTTCTATAATACTACGCAAAAAATAAAAAATCTGTTGTATTACATCTAATTAGCAAATCGTAGAAATTTGGGACGCTGTCTAAAATGCGTAAGCCTTATGTAACTAAAATCCTTATGGATGATGAGGATACCATATATAATTCCGAGTACTTGATAATATAAGGATGGTGTTGTTTTCTAACAGTTTCAGAGTAACAGTGCAAAAGTACCGTTTTTGCACCTTTTCGACTTTTTTGAGCATCATTGCGGTTTACATTATACATTACACACAATTATCCAAGATTTTATTTGAATACTTTTCAAAAATATTTTTTTAAATATTCGGACTTACTTTCCAATTTTATTTTGAATAAATCCCATTTTTTTCTGTTTGGCGATGTTCTCCTCGGCTGATATTATTTCCCATGTTTCCTTTCAATCGACCGAAGAGACGGTTCATAATTTGGATCAAAAAGAGAATGTGGATTACAAGAAAGTTGTGAAAGAATTGAAGAAAGAGTCAAAAAGAATCGATGAAGCCTTGGAAGTGCTGACAAAAGCGAGGAATGAAGCCGAAGGGAAGGTCAAGAAGGTGAGAAAAGGATTTAAAATTAATGTTAATTATTCCAGATGCGAGAGATCGTGGATCAGAAGAAGAAAGAGGCCAAAAGTCTATCCTCATGGCCATTACAATTGGCGGACGATGTGAAGAAGTGGGAAAAGCTGTGGGAGGGGGATTTTGGAAAGGTAAAATAATATTTTGGGGAGTTCTCGTATGACCAACCTTCTTCAAATTTGGCGTAGATTCTCTGTCTAGACCATAGATTAACTCTTGGACATTTTAATTCATGCTTTGCAAGGAGAGCGAAGACATTCAACGAAAGTTTTTTGCGAGAGATTAGAGAAAATGAAGAGAGACGATCACAGGATTTTTTAATCGGCTCTTCCCTGGCTGCTTTATATTGTTGATTTGAAACAGAAAGCCAAATTTGGCGGGAAAATTTAATCTTATATCATTTTGATCAATGTAAAAACATTGACTTTTGGTTACATTTCCTATCTTCAGAAAGTCCTCCGACACCAATCCCATCAGCTGGCCGAGAATGCGACCGTTGTCTCTGATATGAATTGTAATGTGCAATATTGCCGGAAGATGATCTATTTCAAACGAATCTCTCAACAAAACCTCACCGAAGAGAGTCGTCGGCTCAGAAAGAACAGTCAGGTAAAATAAAATACTTTCTTGGATACATATATTTTTTTTTTATTTTTAGAGTGAGTTAAACAGAGTTCAGCGAGAGATTAACTGGCTGAAAGATCAAGTGGCCGAATGGAAATTAAAAGTGGTCCAAAATGAGGTCGTGGTCGAGAAGTTGAAAATCGAATTGAATTCAACAAATATGGAGGTGGTCGAGAAGAGAACTCAAGTCGATGAAGTTAAGGCCGATCTGGAGGAGCTGAAGAGAAAACGACATCTGGAACAGATTCATCGAAGGGGTCGTCGTATCATGAATGAGATTTGAATATGAATTGTTCTTTTTTGGAATAAATTACAATCCTGGGATTTTTTGTAGTTTGTGTTTTTATAACTCTTGGGGAATTGGTGAAATACGGTCCAGTTCCGTCCATTCCGAGGAGATTCCAGGGCAGTGAAGGTGTCAAGACCCGGTCAAACATGTCTGACGTTAGTCCTGCTGACTGGCCAAATTCAATTGCAGTTTCTTCATCCAATGTTCAAAACGACACCGGCCCCGGCAATTATGCGTCTTTCTACAGACCTGATCCAGTGGCAAAAAACGTACCATTTTGAAGCATCAAAAATGTGGTAAAATGCTTCCCTCTCCAAGTGAAAAAACTTCGCTTTGAAGGGCGCGCTCTTGTCCTCACAAAAAGAGCGGGTGCGCTTTTGAAATCTGATTTTTTTCACTTGGAGAGGGAGGTATTTTGCCACATTTTTGGATACTTTCTGGATGCAAAATGGTACGTTTTTTGCCACTGGATCAGGTCGCCCACTGTACGTTGTGATAATCATCCAAAATATTCCTTTTAAATTGTGATTCAAAAAATGGAACAACCTTTGGAACAGACTCATCGAACAAAGTCATCCGGGCTACAAATTTTATTCAGACTGCGTTGTAAACAAAGCCGTTAGAGAGTAATTAGAAGCGGTTAATATAGTTCAAGGAGAGAGCAACTATATCAAGCGTCGGTCAGCTGACTCAATGAAAACTAAAACTTAGCAGGATGACGTCATCTTCACAAAGAAAAACCAAATTCAACGTTACGAATATAAAGTTGTTCGGAAAGGGAATTGAAGTCGATGAAGCAACGGTGAATACACAATTTACAATTAACTGTAATACAAGTGATTTGTTGTTAGTACAACTCCAAAGTTCTGAGGAATTTTTTGAACCAGTTTTGGAAAAAAATATAAAAATTTTTTATTTTTTAACAGAATTGTAAATAAATAATTGCATTGTAAGATTGTGCATTTTATTTATTAAACCCAAGTCCTTTAGCTTAGCCTTGAAATTGAAGGTCGTTTCCAAGAACGTATCAATTTGGTCCCTGAGGCGTTCCACACTTCTTTAAACAGCCATAGATGTTGAGTTGTAGACTGCACGGCTTCGTCGTTAGTATTCGTCTGTTCCGCAAAGTATTTTGTGATTGGCTTCAAAGTTCAAAACATGAATTTTATTGGGAACTCATGGATTTGTCACGTCGCAGAATAATTTTGCTGATCCTTTAGAGACAAACAAAGTGTTCAAAGAAAAGTTGAAAGTTTAATGTTTTGTGAAAATTCTTTAATCAGCAACTCGAACAGACTATAAGTTTTTTCGAAAAAAATTTGGAAAAATGTCTCTGGGTACCTTATTTGAATCAAGTTTTTTTTTAAATCTGAAGTTCTCACCTTGCTCTTTTATTGTCGTCTTTTTTATACACACGCTAATGTTGAAAAATTGCTGGAAAACAATTGTAAAATACACTACCGTTTCTTTCAAAAACACACGTTTCGCACAAAGCCCTCCCTGAATTGTCTGGAATTTAGTCTCGGTTCTGATTGATTACAAACCGAGACTTTATACGAACAAGATGACAAGAAGCGTCTCTTTGTTTCGAATTGTTGTTGTCATGTAACTCACGGAAACCCTTCGTGGTTTTATGTTATCCTTTTCCCCCTCTTGATGTCCTTGTGCATCGCTTGTCCGCGCACGTGTGATTGCTGGGCGAACTTGCTTTGTCTCTGCTGATTAAAGCCTTCGGGGCCATTCTTTGATTGCGTGGAACCTGTCTTCCCAGCGGTCTTTAAGGGGAGTTTGCGGCTGTAACCGCTACTTTCGCTTTTTTTTATTTATCGACGAAAAGAGAGTAAGGGTAAGGTCTAGAATCCGCCCTGTTTGAAGAGTCTTCCTTGCCTTCGGGCAGCTCGCCCTTAATGTTTTAGATGGGGGTACTTGTGGCGGACAATTGCCTCAGGTGAGGTTGAGGGTGAGGTTGGGGAAAGGGGTTCCAGTAACTCGTTTTTAGTGGTCTTGGTTTGTACTCTTGATCATCTTAAAAAACCCAAATTTCCCTTTCTTTCCGACACATCTGCATTTTTTTGTTGTAGTTTATCCTATTCGTATTTTAGGGGCCTTTGAGATGCCATAAATTGCCTTACGGTTGTCCAAAAACGAAATGGTGATGCGTTTTTTCAAAATTTTCATACCCATTCTATCTATGCTACATATCAATTACCAAATATCTTAATTCCCAATTTACGACAACACCCGAAATATTCCACAAAAAGGCTTCGCAAAAGACTACGGAAAATGAGGAGAGGGAAAAAAGAGAAAAACGTTTTCGATTATTTTGAATTTTGCATTTCATCCTCCCTTGAAACCTTTTTTATCGCCATGTTTTATATTGCAAAACAAAAAAATGAACCTGAAGTTAAGGTAATCCTGAAGTGGCGGACTTGCGTAATCGCCTTAGGGTGCATTTCTCAGACGTCTCTTTTGTCGGTGCTTTTTGCGTTTAATTGGCAACGTTTGTTCCCTAATTGACTGATTTGTGGGTAGCAGTGCAGGATGTGCTCTTCATTTACTTTATTTTTCGTGGTCACATAGTTGGGAAAAGATGGTCTTTAATTTGTTTATCGTCCATTTACAGTGCAGTAAAGGGTTTTCACAATAAGTTGTAAAGAGATCAAAATATATTTGCCGTGGAAAAAGTGAAGTTGGAAAGTCGGTTTTCAGCGATAGTAATAATGTCACTATGCTCACCTTTCCCTCAAATTTTACATTGTTAATCTGCAAATAGGTTCCTCAAAAGGATTGCCGGCGTACGTATTTTTGGCGGTAGACTATGGGAAATGAAGAGAGGAAGTTAGAGAAAGACTTTTTGGCCATATTTTGCATATAATCTCAATTTGTGTCAAGTTTCATCAGGTGCCTTCATTCCACACGAACTTTCCATTTTTTTTTAAATTTTTGATATATGCAAAATTGCTCCCAGTTTTGGCCAACCCCCTCTCTAATATAACGAAATTTACTATACCTGTTATTTGTTTACCTATCATGCTTGTGCTGCCCTGTGTCTCTCAATCATCCTGCTAATTATATTATCCATGACCTTGTCTTTTCAATTTGCTCTCCAATTCCTGCAAAAATATCATCTCCGGCATAAGTCTGGAGTCCTAACTACACCCATTACAGCGGACTTTGTTTACCGCCACGTTGAGCGACGGGAAACCACAATTTTTTCGAAAATGTTTTTCCTGGGACGGAATTACACAGAGGATGATTTCAACCCCTGACTACTCTCCAACGTCACTGTAACGGGTCTTGTGTTTTCCTAATATTTTTATTAGCTTTTTGGGTTTAAAGGTCGCCAAAGAAAGGGTTCCAAGGGGCGTGGAATGGTCCCCCAAATAACAGGGACAGTTAGTCGGGGAAGAATTTAATTCCTGGATCCGGGAATGGTGCGCCTTGAAAAAGTATTGTAATTAATTAAAATGCGGAAATTGGAAGAGCAAACCATGGCAAGAGGGAGCTGTTTTGAGAGTGAAATTAAACCCCCTCAGGCATATCGGATACGAAAACTTTGACTTTGAACTTTTTCCCGCACTTTTTAGAGCTTTTCACTTTCGCGTTCACTCAAAATTTGAAAAATTTATTCTTATAAACCCCGATTTCCAGAGTAAAATGGTCCAGATCTGGTGCATGGAGCCCTACCCATGCGGCGATCCCCGCCTTCCGCATCATTGTTTCCCTCCGAAGAAACTAAATGCGGATGAATTGACGAAAAGAACCGGCACTTTGTACTATAAACTCGATCTGGATGACCACATCAGCTTGTCCAAAAGAATCGCGTTGATGAAAATGGAGAGGAACTTCAAGAAAGAGGACACCTACACTCTGGATGCGCAGAATACGATCGATTTCGAGGACAAGGTGAGAATATTGAAAAATTCGGCAAAAAATATTCTCTTGAAAGAAGAATTAAGATTTTTTGCCAAAATTATCATAATTTATGGCATCCACAACAGAATTTATAGATTGCAAATACCAATGATGATTAAAAATAAGAAGATGTACCACAAAAATTATTTTTTCTCAGAAGATGTACTCTGCGTGCCCTCTTAATCCATTAAATTCTACTCTACCTCGATTGCCTAACTCTTGAGTCACATTTCCGTAAATAATTCCCATGCTACAAAAATATCGCGTTTACAACAATTAGGAAAAAATTTTGGGAAGGAAATGCCATGGTCCTTGTTATTTCCGCAAATCGTTATCTGAAATTTATATTGTTTAGATGGCAGAGCTGTTCGAAGAGAACGAAGCCGACGGAGAGATTGCTCGGATGATTGTGGAAGGAGCCGCTTACTTTGATGTGGAGACCAAAGACGGAGAATGGATCAGAATCCTCTGCGAATACGGCGATTTGATTATCATCCCATCCGGCCGATCGTACAGAATGACCACTACTGCGAAGGTATACTACTAAATTCTTATTTGAACTCTAATTTAAAGTCATCATTTTTTCGAAAAATTTAATTTTGATGACTTCAGAATTTCGTGAAGATGCGGCGATTCTACAAGGACGAAGAATGAATCTCCCAACGTGTATTTTAAGTTCTGTGATTAACGCCGCCTTCAGCCGCCCCAACTGTGATCGTATCTCGTCGTTTTCGTAATTGTTTTCGTTGGAATAAATAATTCAGAACTACTTTTCAAGGACCGCCTACCGGAAGTTCGAAAAACCCCAAGTTCGACAACCAAAAGTTCGAATGCCGCAAGTTCGAATGCTGCAAGTTCGAATACTAGAAGTTCGAAAAACCTCAAATTAGAAAAACCAAAAGATCGAAAACCGGAAGTTCGAAATATGAAAATATAAAAAATGCAGAATGAAAAAAAGAATTAAAACAGAAAAATAGATTTTGTTTATAAAATAGGATAATTTTAACTTAAAGTCTTTGCGATCTCATTCAAAAAAGACGGAAAATCGAACTCGGAAAAACGGGTTACCAAATTACCAAATATGAAGGAAGCAATATCCACCACACAAAGCCACGAATCCCGAGAACGACACAGTTGGATTGGCTCCGTGACGAATCTTGATCAGCTCGACACCACCAACCTCCATCGTAGAGAATGAATGAATGATTGAAGAGGAAGTGTATTTTGCAAAATAATTATATGCAAATTATAATTGAAATATTAATTAACTTTTTTTTCATTTTCGAACTTTAGTCATTCGAACTTTAGGTTATTCAAAGTTACGGTCATTCGAACATTAGGTAGTTCGAACTGGAGGTCGTTCGAACTTTAGTCATTCGAACTTTAGGCATTCGAACTCGCGGATTCGAACTTGCGGTATGTCTCCCTTTTCAAGAGATCTGCTTTGACAATACTTCCAACAACATTATTACTGCTTTTTCCAAAAAGATTACTATTCAAACATTCCGTAGATTGTAAAATTACTAAAAACGGAATCAAATTGTGTTTTCGATCAGAGTTTTTCGCCGAATTCGCTTTACAACATGGGGCCTGGGTCACATGGTGACCGAAAAAAGGGCGAGATTCCCTCCGGCTGCTGCCTAGTAATCGAAGTTGGCAGCTCTGGCCAAAGAATTCTATTCAAATTGGGCGGGAGATAACATATGCAAAGAGTGTCGTGTGAGGTCGTTACAGGAACAATACAGGACTTAGAGTTCTGTTTTTTCGGGATTTTTGGAAGAAAAATGTAACAAATTAATTTTCTGGGACGTTGGGTTGGAAATGCCGGATTCTCGGCAAACTTGGTAGCTATATTTTGCAATCATAATTAATTAATTTATGAAAATTTTTGTTTAAGCTTTGCAACGAGACAAAGGATATTCTGGCTAAAAAGTTTAACAGATAAGTTCGCCAAGTGGGACAATTTGTATGTCCGCCAAATATAGGTGTAAAATCAATCCCTTAAAATATTAGCTGATGGTTTCATTGACGGCTGAGATTCAAAAAGTTTTTTTTGTCGTCAGTTTAGAGAGTGAAAGAGAAACATCGTTAAAAAAAATTTGGCGTATAAATTTATTTCTTGTGGAAATATTGCATTTGTCACTTCAAAGAAACTTCTTTGTTCCTTGGACGGTTTGTGCAAATGGCGGGCTAAAGATCTCAGATGTCTTAAAAATTCTAGTTTCAATTTGTGCAAAACTTTAATAAATCTTAAAAATTTTTTAAAAGATTTTTTCTGCTGTTACTTGGAACATTCTGTAATATTCTATTGTTTACCCCCTCTTTTTGCTATTTGTTTATTCAAATTACCTTTTAAAGTCCTTTTGAATTCCATTTCCTCCTCTAATCCCTCCCCTTAAACAAACGCCCTGAGGCTGTTTATCGCAAATTCTTATAAACTTTTATTAAATGGGGCTAATTACAAGTTTCTGGTCCCAATTATTAGTGTTCATAAAACCCATGATTTCTAATGTTATGAGTTCTTTTATTTTATATTATACTTGCCATTAATCGAGTTTTCTCTACTGTAATTTGATTGAACCTAATTATTTTAGCCATCGAAATAATTCGCATTAAATATCGGAAACACTTGAGATTTGTGTGGAGGATTATCGGATGTCATTAAAATTCTGTCGCCAAATACATCCCCCGTTTTCAGGCCATTAAAAGATGGCCAAATTAGATGGCCTTGTAAGTTTGGTCTCCAAATAGTATTATAATACCGACTGATGATGGGGTTTGCCTCGGTTTCTTGCGTCAGTTCCGATTTCGAACACCTGTTTATGTTGCTTCAGACATTTTCAACATTTTTTGGGGAAAAATGAAAAAATCTCAGTTTTTTGATGATAACTAGGATAAAAGCGGCCCACCATGTGTCCGAAAATAAACGTAGTTGGCGTTGTTTACATAACAAAGTGCCCAGAGGAGCAATCCCTTCACCTGTTTTCTTTTCAACGCCATAAATTAAAATTAATCCCCGGGATCGGATGTTTTGTTGAAAAGTAAAAGATTGAGGATCCCAGAGAGGGACGATATGGCTAAGGTTGGGTAGCGAGGCAGCTGTCCGGACGGAGGATTGTGGCAGACCAAAAAAAGTTTCGCATTACATCAAAAGATCGTTAGAACGGCCTTCCAATGATGAGTCAGATGTGGGCATTTAATGTGTTGGGGAAGGTGGGGGGAAAGGCGGGGGAACGGGGTTTGGTGACATTGGACTGTGATGTCCGATGGATGTCAACAAGGATCTTTGAAATGCATTTTGTAAATAATATCGGAGCTTTCGTTTTTTGATGACTTTTTTATTATAGCAAAATAAAGTTGCGATCTTTGGGCTCTAAAATGATTTTTTTGGGGTTTTTCGTTAAAATAGTCTGTAAAAATGTTTATCATACGAGATTTTTTAATTTTTTCCCCGAGGAAAGGCCTTTTCTCCCATTTTTCCTTCAAAAAAATCGTTCTTTTATGCAAAAATATTTTGCAAAATGCTTTCCAGACATTCATTACCCTGTCGATTCATCCACATAATTTCCTAAAAGGATATTTTATTTCTGCTCATCTTCTTAACTGAATAGCACTGCCTGAGTAATATAATAATATTAATTCGCGATGCATATAATATTAGCCATCCCCGAGGAAGCCATAGATTCTGTAATATTTGAGATCCCATAAATATATTTCCGAAGCGAATTCTCGCAAGGAATAATAGTAATGCCTTGCCTTTTATGTACATTGTAAACCCTCTTTTGTAAACGCGATTATATTTGTAATCTGGGAATTATTTACAGAAAAATATGATCCAAGAGCTTTGTAATCGGGTTTGAATGGGGGATAATAAAGAAAAAGGCAATAGGGGATTAGTTTGAGGCAAATCTTCAGAATTTTGTCATCCTTGGCATGTGTAATATGAAATTTTTGTTCTCGATGCCTAAATTGATGTCTAGGATAAAGATTCCTACCTAAAATGTTTTCAGAAATAATTTGAGCACCTTATTTTGGTCTTTAAAAATGATTTTCAATTTATTCATATTTTTGTACACCTCAATATAAAATTTATGTTATAAAGACCGTTTCCAACTCATAGCACCTCGACTGACCTGTAAATAAATAACTGGTTCCTCTGATCTCTAGCCCTTAAAATTACTGCATCTCAACAAGTAATACTAAATAATTAGGCCCTTCCAGACGGTTTTTGGCTTTGTTTTTTGATGTTATTTTGTCACGTCAGCCTCATTTATGACTCCTTTGTGACTTCGAACATACGATTTATTATGCCATTTGCTGTTTTCTGAGCATTACTTTTGTTTGTTTTCCCTTTCTCATCAAATTTTATCTTATCCATCCGTCTGATCTCCAAAAATTTCTCTTCGGAACTTCAGAATCCCTTAAGACTTGGTTCTTAAGAGTTCTGGCTTGAATCAAAAATAATTTTTTCGATCGGAAATTGCGTAACTTTCAGCTGGTTTTTCTCGCCTTCCCTTCCGATCACTTTTATTTTTCATTCGGAGAGTTTTCAGGTGAAGGGACAAGAAAAGACTTCAAAAATTGGATGAATTGAGTTCATGGATGCGACTGCTGGTCCGCTTGGCTATCTTCGGCATCCTCGTTGTCACATTCCTAATCTTCACGGCCTATAAAACTGCTTCGAGGACTTATACGGACGATGAAACGGGTAAGCGGAAGGAACCTCTTACGATAATTTATGCAAATTTTGGTGAGAGTTTGTTATTGGATGGGTGTTTTCGATTAGATTGCATCCAAAATGAAAAGAAAGGTAAACAAGACTTTGCATAAACAAAATTTTGCGTTTTGAGGTTTAAATTTATATTGTGGTAGGTCCGTGTCATCAATTTTTTATTTCGCCAGAAGTTATCTCAAATAAATATTCCAAAATTTGAAAATGTAATTTGCGCCGCGCCTTTAGCGTTTGTATGGATATTATGCTTCATTAGTAAGCATCATTTTTCCATCAAAATTATGTTGCACTTGGCAATTCTCATCGTTTTTTAATTTGCCATAAAAAATGAGAACTATCACCGAATGTGGAGTGCAAACTTTGAATATATAATTTTCATTGCAATATTTACATGTCTAAATGGGTCGAAAGCTTAATACAATCAAACTTTTGGGCCATATTTATATAACATTAGCACCCAGATTATCTCCTGTTCCAAGTTCTGACCCCGTTTTTCAGATGAAGCAATCAAACTGCTCCTGGCGACCGGAGACAACCCTCAGGCCATGGCAGGTCTAGTGCAGACCTCCAACAAGGCGGGTATCCATCCAGCGAACGAACTTACCTTCAACGTGGCGGTGGTAATGGTGGTCTCCCTACTCAGTGTGGCCCTCCTCATTACGGGTATCTGTTGTCAGTTTTTCTTCGCTTTCGGCTTCCTCTTTCTTGTGTTCTGATTTATTTTTCGAGCGAACGCCATTTTAATTATTTTATTGATGGTAATTTAGACACTAACACCTTCTTTTGAGTTTCTGAAATTCTTTTAAACGTTATAAATGAGTAGCCGATGCTAAAACTCGAAAAAACAATCCATCTCCCGTTCGTGCCCTTAGGCGATTAACCACTCTAATCCCGGGAATGACGTCTTTTGTAAGGTTTTTGGAACAGCGAGGAGCAACTTAAGCAGGGATTTGTTTGTTTACTATTTACACAACAAACAATTTGAAAGAAAAAGTTTGTCTCTCCTTGAACCTCCAATAAAAACTCGAGTAATCGAATTGAAAAATTTTAGTTTTAAGTATCTAAATAGTAGGATTAACCGTCTTAGATTGTAAAGAGTCAAATAGAACTGTTCAAAATGTCTCAATTCCAGGTATAATCGTGGTGGCCGTTACTCTCGATCCCGGAGAGAGTAAATATCGCCAGATCGAGGAGACCAACGACAATCTGAACATAGATTGGGAGGGAATGGACAACGAAGAGGATACCCGAGAATGGAATAATGTAAGTGGAAATGGATATTCCGCTTTTTTCGAGTAAGTAAACTACAATCCGCCTCTCCGTTCACATTAATGAATAGAACTTTTTTTGTAAATTTACCATTCTCCAAGATCCTATAGCTTTTGGAATACTCATAGTGTTTTTAAAGAGGTCTCGTGATAGGAACACTAGTAATTCCTCGCCTTTTTATTGTAAGCGCTTTTTGTAAACGCGATTGTGTATTTGTAATCCGGGAATTATTTACAGAAAATCATGATACATGAATTACGTAACCGAGATCGGGAAAGATCTACTAGAGAAAGAGAGCACTAAAGGTGTGATTTTTGGAATAATTAAGGTACCCTTGGCATGTGTAATGTAAAAATTTTGTGGTAGTTAGAAATATATATGTCAATAAACTAAAGTCCGCGCCTAAAATTATAATTGCAATAAATCATTTGGTCAAAAATACCGTTGAAACAAGCAGTTTCTATCTTAAAAATTATTTTTTATGTATCATGTGTAATGTAAAAAAAATTGTTTCGATTAAAATGGAAATCTGAGATAAAACTTTTTTCTGGAATATCACAATTAGTCTTTTAGCGATCTTTTTTTTAGTGATGCCGTTCCTAATATTTTCCTAACAATAAGCATGTAGTACAATACAAATATTATCTTTGTTATGTCAATATTTCCTTTTATTTTGCAGAAATGTGAATGACAATTCCGCCTGTCGCTTATCCTCATCTTTCATGTCCATCTACATGTTCTTTTACCTTTGTCCTTTTGTCTTTCCGACTTTTTTATATCATCCATTGCCATCTAAATCCCATTCTTTTTTCAGCAATCCATGACCTGGGAATCCCGAGAAGAGCCGCTTCTGAATCTCTGGAATCCAGTGTAAATATTTTTGACCACTGTCAGCACATCCACGGGTCGTAATCTGCTTCGTACTACTTTGATTTTATCATCCAATTTCTGTTTTTATTTTTGCGAATGTGTGAAGAGACGGGTCGAAGAATAAACGCGTTTTTGCCCTGAGGGCCAGTTGTTTTATGGGTTATCCATCATGATCTCGAGGAATACCTGGGGCAGGGATTTCGTCTTGAGTTGTTTTCATGCCCTCGGGGCGTGAGACCCGGGTTTACAGGCTGAATTGTGAATGCTTGTTGCGGTAAATGGGGATGGGTTAAAAATACAGTGTGTAACATCGATAAGTATCGTCGATGCTACACATGATCTTACTCTTTAATAGACTGTCTTTTGACAAGAAACTAAGTCAAAAAGCTCCATTCAAACGACTGTAGGTTCATTTTATCCTGATTTATCATCATTTCCCTACCTTACACTTGATCCAAACGTCAGGTTATGGCCAAAAACTATCCCCAAACACCTCTCCCAACCCCGAGTTCTCCCTCCTGATGCCAGAAGGTCGGGGCGCCTCTTTGGAAGACGACTTTGAGGCCTGAGAAGCGCGTGCACTCTCACACTTACATTACTCCGAGGCCCCGTTTTTTGTCTCCAAAAATGCTTGGGCACGCATGCATATTATTCATGGAACAAAGGCAAAACAAATTCTTCTTTGATGAACTTCCTTTCGTTTTGCGGCCACCCCCCGCAGACGCTTCTGGAGTCACCTGAACACGGATCCTTCGTTTGTTTGCCGAGGAATGAGGCAATTGGTGGGAAAGTTTTTTTGTGGGCCGACTTGAGGGGCGACAAACTTGACCAGTCAACGTTGAGCGGTCGAGGCCGGGGTCAGGTAAGAATGCGGCCAGTTATTGGCAGCATTAGTAGGGTCTATGGCTAGCTATTCAGAGAATTTATTGGGGTTTATGGACTTACTTTTTACACATACTCGCCGTGTCATCATGACGAATTGTCGGGAGAAGATTAACGATTTTTTTGCCAGATCTCATAGGAATTTCTCCTGAAAGGTTTATTGATCAGAGTACAGGGTTCAAGTGTGGGTTTCCAGAAAGCTTTACAGATTATGGGGCAGCTAAAGCATATATTTTGGGAGAGACTGGGTTCTGAGGAGAGGCGTCCACAGAAAACGGCTCCAATCTCTTAATTTTTCGTGGGTTATCTGCAAAATCTTGGCCAATAAACGTCTAAGAACGCTTTAAACGTATCCCTAGTTACTTGGCGCAGTTTATTTTCCTGGCAAAGTACACGTAATTGTATTCACAAAATTACATATCCAAAAATTTGTCATTGCAAAAAAATTTCATTTCCCGTCATGTTATGCATCCAGATGGTCTGTTCCTTTCCTCCGCATTCCTTTGAGCTCTCAATTCACCATGTTTTTCTGACATTATTCAATTTGCATATTACCAGACACAAGTATAATATGTTAGTCCCTTCCCTTCCTCTTTTTTGCCTCGTTTCCCACTTTTCCGCATGTCCATCAACTGGTCATCTCCTCAGACCTGCTCCCACTCTCCAATCCTGCCTTCAGGCTGTTTATTTCCAGTTCGAAATAAACAGCCTGAGGGCTTAAGCTTCCCGAAAGTTGAATGAAGTGTCGATTAGGTTATTGGAATGCGGTTTGTTGGGCCGAATCGGAAGGAAGAAAGGAATCGGTCTAAAACGTTTTCCTCCCGTCCCTCGATTTGCGGACCCGGCGGACACTTTGTGCCCCCAGGCACTAACTTCATATCTGACCCCCGTTTTCGGCACAGTTGTTTCTTTTCTTCCAGTTCGCTTTAAGTGCACTGTTTTTGAAGACCAACAAACTCTGGGCGTTTTTGCTTACTTTCCCCTGTCCGCCGGACTTTGCGGCCCCGCTGAAATTATTTTAATCCACATCAAGTTTATTTATTTTTGGGCCGCTCTCCTCGGGCCGCGCCCGAAGAAACGGACGTCTGATTCGGACAGGGGATTTGAGAGGCTGACAAATGGACTGGACCGGGAATGAGGAGGGGCCATGTGACTTGGGAAATCAGCGATCAGAGGGTCGGCCGAAGATCGGCCGAAAAAAACTTGTTATTAAACTGATATTAATCTTGTTTTGAATGTATAGCATTGAGATTGGGAACAGCTGTGGCCTCTAAACTTGTTTTTATAAGGTTTTATAATCTCTTGCCTTTAACTTTTGCTTTATTTTCAAGTTTTTATCGTTTGATGTCATGTGTAACACAACGCCCAATTTCGGAGCTGGTCTTTGAACTCGTGCTCCATTGTTATCCAATTTTTGCAAAAAAAAGAAATTCGATAAGTATCCCCCACAAAAAAACACTTTTTACTGCGTGTTCCAAGAGTAATCCCTGAAATTAAATTTATATTTTCTTTTTTTTAGGTCTTAAATGATGACTTAACCTGATCAAGGCTCCACAGACCTCATGTTTACATTCCACATTTTCTTCTCCAAAAGTTATCACCTTTGAGCCTTTCACTAACGCGTTCCATCAATGGGATTTGATCGAATTTCATCGATGGGTCAGCGTTACGCCAAACATCAGATGCAATCGGGTGTTCGTCTGTACCACCAGCGCCACTACCAGCAGGCCATTTTCCGATGGAAACGCGCGTTGAACAAATTGCGGTGAGATTTTAGAGGAATTTTTTAATTAAAATTTTAAAATTTGAATCTCCTTTTGCCGGATTCGGTATGTACGTTCCAAGTCTTCAATTTTAAAATTACACGGTTTGTTTAAAATGGCATGCACTATTTTTCTACAAGGAATTCATTTTTTTCTCGCGAAAATGGCAACGACATGGCCAAAAAACTCTTGTTCTCTGAACGTCTCTTCATTTTCCACATTCTCTCGCCAAAAACGTTTGTTCAATATCTCGGCTCTCCTTGCAATCTTTGAGCTAAAATTTTCCATAATTAAAATACGTACCGAAGCAACTGTTCGTGCAGAATTTGAGGGAGATCTATCGACAATTTTGGCTGTAAAATGACATTCTGTTTCAAGCACCTCAATATTATTTTTCTTACCGAAAAGTTACTATAAACATTTTCAGGAGTGTGGATGACAAATTCGTGACCTTAGGCTACATGGCCCAGGCGTTCTGTGATGCGGGTGACTACGAGAGTATGTTATATTACTCTCTACAACAAATGGAACTGGCCAATAGTCGGAAGGATGATTTTATGAAGTCCGAGGCGTTCCTCAATCTCTCCAAAGCTTATGAAAGACTGGCGGACTTCAGTAAAGCGATAGCCTATGGTAGGGCGAGTCTGGTCCATCCGAGTATCGATCCGAGGACCCCGGGATACGCTAATTTAGGTAAAAAATGGACTTACATTATTCTAGACCACCGTGATTGATGTGATTTTGATATTTTTAATTTTTATAAGAATTCAAGTCGCGTTTTAGCCGTCGCACTGGCTCAAATGGGTCTGAGCCAATTCCAGTCCAGTCTGGAGGCGTTTGAAAAAGCGATGACAGTGGCTAGCCAAACCTCCGACAGATTGTTGGAACTCCAAGTTTGTGTGGGACTTGGGGCACTTTTCACGTTACTCAGGTAAAAAAGCACCCCTTTACCCCGATATTGCTATTTTATCTCCCTCCAAATTACTCTATCCATCTTCAGGGACCTCTCCAAAGCCCTGGTTTTTCTCCGCAATGCCCTCTCCCTCCTCCAATTGATCTCTGTGGATAATGTCCATGCCAAATACAAAAGTGTGATCCTCTATCATCTCTCGGTGGTGCTGAGGATTAAAGGGTCGTTAATGGATGCCAAAGAGGCTTGTGAAGAGTCGTTGAGATTGGCAGAACAAACAGGAGGGAGATCTGTTTATGCAAGGGCGCTATGCAGTTTGGCTGACATCAATCGGGAATTGGGAGAATCCGAGGCAAAGGAGACCATCACGGTAAGAAGGCTTGGGGAATTTTAGGTGGATGTATAATTTAGATGCAATTTTCATTAATTTTTAGCTTGAAAATTGGGGGAATTGGACTATTTTCTCTTAATTCTGCATAACGCAATTTTAAAATTTCTAAAAAATTTTTATTTTTTTTTTCTTTCTCAATTGATGTCAAGTTCAAAATATCCAAATTAAAATTCATTTTTTTCGATTTTCAGAAAAGTTGGGCGCGTTACGAACAAGCGTTCCGGATAATGCGACAAATGAACGACCGAATGGGAGAAGTCCTAATCCTCGGCAGTATGGCCAAGAGCGCTTCAGAGTCCAGGAGTCATTATACGGGTCAATGTGAATGTCAGGCCATCCAACTCAACCACAAATGCCTCGAATTGGCCAAGCTGATTGGATGCAAAGTGAGTTTACTTTATGAGGAAATTAGACAGATTTACTTCAATTTTTTCATGAATTCCGTATGCCTATGCCCTGTTCTAAATACTAATTTTTTTTTGTTTTAGATTTTCTGGGACAGCCGAGATATTTAGCTATAATTTTGGCGAGAGACTATGAAAAATGAAGAGACGGGCAGAGAAAACCCGTTTTTTTGGCCGTAGCGCTGCGAACCGCTGTAAAAATTTATTTTTTATAAAATATTTAAAATCTGCATTCTCGGCATGTTACAAATTTCCAAAATTGGAATCGCATAAAAAATTCTGCATTTATTTACAGCAAAATTTTTCTTTCAGTTTGCAAAAAATTAATTTTTAATTTTTTAGCACGCAATGATGAAATGTCATCAACGCCTCCAGGACCTCTACAACCAATTGTCGGACGAGGACAGCGAGGAAGTTGCGAAGAAGACGGCGACAGTTTTGATTCAAGAAATGGAATTGTTTTGCAATTTCTGTGGCCAAAGATACGGGGCGAACGATGAGTCGCTGCAGGCGCTGCGATGTTCACACATTTTTCATGAACGGTAAGAAGGGCCGTCATGTTATTTTAAGGCACTCATTCGTGTCTGATAAAAATGAAAATATTTTTTTTCTATCTGATGCCTAGAGTAAGATAATTGTTGTCATTTCCAGGTGTCTCAGTCAATTCCTTGCGTCAGATCAAGCTCACACCTGCCCTAAATGCCAATGCCGAGCAGTTCTGATGGATAATATGTCTCTCAAAACGTCTTCTGATTCTGAAAAAGCCGAGGAAACACAGCAGGACCCGGAAAAGCCGTCAACTTCGGTCCAAAACCAAACAAAATCCCCGAAAAGAATCTCGATCCAGCTCGCAAATTCATCGGAGGACCAGGCCAGACCGGTTATTTTGGTCCAACCGCCTTCTCGAGATGAAAGCGACACCAAATCGGTGCATGAAAACTCAATCTACAAGCCTGTAAATCACTGTGGAAAGCCCAATTGTCATACGAATTCATTTCCCATCGTCTCCGAAGAGGTTTTCCACACCTTCAGTCAGGTGGATTTTGAGAGTATTGAAGCGATGGTCAATTACAAAGGGCCCGGAGTGACGGATGTGTAGGATTGTGGAGGTGGATGTGGTCGTATCTTATCAATTATGCTCTAAACTTTCTTTGGAAAGTAAATGGCCGTGGCTGGAGGATATTTTCCTGATTTTGTAGGCCTTTTTTTATGTTATTCATCAAAAACTTCTCCCAAAAATGATGACAAAAGAAAATTTTTTAACGGTGTCCCAGCCAGGTCCATTCAACGTTTCAATTTTCATCTGATCTCATTTTTTTTCGTTTTTGAATACTGCCAATAAAAATTATTAGAATTGTTCTGACAGTTTTTGTATTACTTTACCCACCAAAGGGGATAAAAATAAAACAATCGAAGACCAAATATTTTTGATGAAAGCTAAGAGGAATGCCTCAGGGCGATTCAACATTCCTTTTATGACATCATGAGAGCGATGCGGATGATCTTTATTCCAAGAAGATATCATTTTTTCAAAAATTATTTTTATCATCACTTTTTTTGACGAAAAGTTAAAATTTATATCTAAAATCATATAACACATCCTTTGACACAATGCAATTAGTTTTTTTCCCATATTTTAGGTCTTGTCAAGTTCCTGTTTTGCTTTTCGAGATCCTTTCCCACATTTACTTTACAAACCCCAACTTTTTTGATCTGAAATTTGTTCGCAGACATTCTTTGCTCCCAAAAAATGATTGAACCCGAAGTCTGTCGGAAAAAACTATAATAAAGAGTAGTCCCGTGAGAAGATCGTGGTATTCCGGTGGGTGTCTTTTGTCTTATCAGTTCCACCCATATCGATTTCGATACCAAAAACTGGTCATTTCGAGTTTTTCCATTCCCCGATATTGCTTTAAAATGGACAAATAAAGTGCGATCGGCATCCGACAACTGATATTAATAACATTTACCCTTTTATTGAGGACATTACAACAGTATTGTGAGCAAATCATAAGACATATTTGGGAAAAAGATGTTAAAAATGAAAAAATTGCAAAAAAAGTTCAAAAATGTGATAAAAATTTGTGAAAGTATTGTAAATTGAAATTTAAAAATCCAAATTATAGATTGTAAGCTCAAGCAATGAGAGTTTTAACAGTACTTTAAGCAGTTTTTGGCTATAAATATACCTGATACCTTATTCTAGACATCAGTATAAATAAAGGCTAAAGTAATATAAAAGACCAACCAGTTAGACTGTAAAGTAACAAGTAACATCTAAGCGAATTGTACAACATTATAAGCACGAGAGATCTCCTCTAATTCGAGACCAGTAAGCTTTTCGAACAAGGCCAACCTTCCCCCTCCAAAGAGTCCATATTCCACTGAAACTCGGGTCCTCAGCTGATCCGAAAGGATGGGGCTGTTGCCATTTGTGGCCAAAGTGATGGCCAAGACACCCATCGCCAGCACTGGACTTGGAACCTTTCGTCCATCGATTTCCGATATGAAAGTTCCAGCTGGTGAGTAATAACCGGAAACTGTTCGGCCTCCGGCATTGATGTGGAATTCGGCGCCAGAAACGAATTCAGTGGATACCTGAAATCATAAACATAAAATAAATGCCAAAAATAAAATTTTTGACAAAAAATTTTCGATCGAATTATGCTACATTATCCATGACACTCCTCACCTCATAACCCAACTCTTTCCCCTTCTTCTCAGCGTTCACAAAGTTCAATCGTCCTCCAGATTGGCAAAGAAGTCCCATGATAACAGCAGAAGGGATCGCTCGCTCCACTCCTTTCGCGGATAACGGACATTTCACTTTAATCGCCTTTGTAGAAGTCAAAGAAGCGAGAACTTGAGCCAAATCAGTGATGGCTTTCACAACTTGAACCTTGGTTTCATCCAGAACAGCCCCAAGACAGTGTCCATTCAATGCCCCGAACAGTCCTCGGCCTTCATTTAGAGCCACAATATTCTCCGCAACCTCCACTGCCACTCTTTCTTGCGCCTCGATTGTACTGGCCCCCAAATGAGGGAGGCAACTGACTTTGGGATGGTCGATCAGTGCTCTATTTGTTGGAGGCTCTTCAGTGTATACATCCACAGCAAAGCCGCCGCAAATGCCTTCATTCAGCGCTTCCACGATCTCTTCTTCATTCACAATGCCTCCTCGGGCGACGTTGATGATCTTAACGCCCTTTCTACACTTTCTCAACACTTCAAGGTTGATCAAATTCTTGGTCTGAGGGATGAGTGGGACGTGGACTGTAATGTAATCGGCCCTTTTCCAGATCTCTTCCAATGGGAGCCATTCAATTCCAGATTTGGCGGCTGTCTAAAATAATATAAATTTTAGGTATAAAACATCACAAGACAAGCTCAAACATTTTCCAAATCTATCTCGAATCTCAAAACAGTTTAAAGACTCAAAAACAACCTACCTCGGCAGAAACCATGGGATCGAAGCCGATTGTTGTCATTCCAAAAGCCTGCATCTGCCCAGCAACAATTTGCCCGATCCTCCCTAACCCGATGATGGCCAATGTTTTCCCGTGAACTTCAGTGCCCATAAACAATTTACGATCCCATCTTCCGGCTTTCATCGAAGCCACTCCTTGAGGGACATTTCTGGACATGGATAATATCAAAGTTGAGGTCAGTTCAGCTGCACTGCGGGAGTTTCCGGCAGGAGTGTTCATAACAATAGTTCCATTCTCGGTTCCGGCGTCCACATCGATGTTGTCGACACCAGTTCCAGCCCGGGCCACCAACTTTAGGTTCGGGCATCCTTCGAAAACAGCTCTGGTGATCTAAAATAACGTAAATTTAGTGGGGAAATGGAGTGATCTTTGGGGGATTGAATATGAATTGAAATATTCAAAATAAGCAAAAGCAAAATCGGTACAAAAAGGAGCTACTTCAAGGCAAAATCATCTTACTTTCGTCGCACTTCGGACAACAACTGCATCGTGCTTCTGGAGCTCCCGAATCAGCTCATTGACGGGTAATTTGGTCTTCTTCACCACATTCACACCTCCTTTGACCAATGAATCGATGCAGGGCTGTTCAATTTCGTCGGCAATGAGGACGGAGTTGATCTTGATCATCTTCCCAGTCCGAATAAATCAAAAATCTCTTCCAATTTTATCGCGTTCCCCCAACGGAGCGTCGCTTTTCGATCTCTATTTGAGGGTTTGATCGGAAAGATTGCTCGGCACTTATAAACCACGCCCGGCTCCGCCTCTTTTTGTTGATAATTCGTCGATGGAAAGAGATTCCCACCTCGTTACGTCCTCGGCGTACGTGACTTTTGCAATATATAATATATCACACAGACAAGATGCACTCCAATGTGCAGAAAGTCACGTAGACACACGATACTTTGGTCTCGATGCTTGTCGACTTGTGCTTCGATCAGGGAGGATGGCGGAGATTTGTGTAAACAGGGCTGAAATCAATGACATTAAGCGTTGTTTGGGATGAGAAAAGTTAGCTTAGGCAGTAATATTGACTGGAAAATGTCTGGCGTCTGTCAAATTGACCAAAACACGGATAAAAATAGAAATTTTATATTATTTTAAACATTTGATACCTAAAATAAAATTTTTGTCCAAAATCAAGCCTTAAAAAGTTAGAAATAAAGAATACTAGACATAAACTCTGTTAGTTATAATAATAAGCAATGCAACACCAGTAAATCATCAAAAATTAATAAAGTATATAAGTTTAGGTAGCTCGTACCTAAAATATTATTTTTGATCAAAAATGAAGCCAAAAAAGGCAAATATTGGAAACCAGCCATACTTTTAGAAATAATAACATGAACGAAGTCGCAAGAAAACGGCAAAAATATTCAAAATTATATTACTTTAGACCAAACCGGGTAAAAATAAAATTTTTATTAGATACGGAATATATACAAAATACACAGCGGTAAATTGAAAAAAATACACAATAACGTCATCGTTCATCAAGTTTCAACAACAATTTCGACGAATTCAGAATTCTTCTTTTTCGCTTTTTCGACGAAAACTTATTTTCTTCGTCCTGCCACGAAAACTTTTTATAATTATGGGCCTAATTCGGAAGGCCAAGATGACGAACGATTTTTACTACTGCAATTTCCTCGTCTTGTGTACATTCTTGTTGATTTTTCTTATGTATTTTATATTTAATACCTAAAAAGTAATGTCCCTTCTACTTTTTAACAGTTTCCCGAACCGTCACACTGTCACTGGCCACTTTCTCTTATCAGAGGAATTCTTATCAATTTTTGGTTCCGAATCGCACTTACTTTTTAGTTCCTGTGTATTTCCAAAAAAATCTTCGCCACCGTTAAAATTACAATGACTGTTTTTATGGGCCTTGGGAACATAAACAATCCATCTTTTCAACTCAAGCGTGAAATTCACGGTTGTTTTCTTTGCCAGAAGTCACGTAGACAGTGAAAACAAGGGGAAGATCACCAAAATAAAACTTCCAAAACATTACTTTATAACTGGAACTTTGGAAGAGAAGTGTTCGCAAAAGTTATGTTCAAAACATTTTTAAAATTGGCTTACATACTATATTCTAAATGGAGCATACGTATTTGAACCTCTGAAAATTTTATCTCAGGCTTCACAGAAACGGCTGAGGATCTTCAACAAAAATTTTTGGCCAGACCGTCTACTTTGTTGTCGAATTCTGAATTACTCGAGAAGTGATGCTCGGAGATTCTTCAAATCTTGTTTCTTTCCTCTATAAAGGAGATATTTCAACTCTCTCTATTATGTCACTTCACCGTAAATATTTCCTAAAATTATTTCAAAACGTCGATTTGATTGTAGTCAAGTCTGATGATCAATTTTCAACACTTTCCGACTACTCTTTAAAGATCAGGAATTTACTTGAGCCTATAAATCACGTTGCAATTTGGCTAATAAGATTCTTTTTTCTCTTTTTTTTGACGGAATCCGTCTAAAATAAGGTAACAAAGGATGAGATCTAAAGATCTGTGAACACTAAGCAAAGCGGATGTATTCAACAATTAATAACGGATTGTTTCGTTTGTTTTGCGGCGATAATATCAATGATGTGCTAATTTTCACGGATTCCCCGAGACTTTTATTAAAAACAACTTTTTTAGAATGAACGAGGTTTTTCGGAGGTTCTTTAGAAGTCAGGATTGATGGACAACAAGACAGTATAACATTTCACTCAGTAATATTATACTTTACAGACATAAATCAAAAAGAAATTTCAACTTGACCATTATCAAACATTTGAAAAAAATCATCGTAAAGAATGGTAATTTTCTCGAGATACGATCGTCTGGTTTGTCCCCAAAATGTGTCCCACATGATTTATCTAGGGCACTTATTAATCTTTAAATATTTTGGCTTTCGTTTTGCAGTGCCGGTTGAGATATTCAACGATCTCTTTGGCAAGAAATATTGCTCTAGATCTGGGTCTGTGAAAGCAAAATTCTTGAAGTACAATGGTCAGATTTCTCTCAAATGTGTTCTTACCTTGCGGGAACAGCCAAGGAATACATTCATCAAACATTTTTGGCGAGATCCTGTCGAAAATGAGGATTCAAAGCCGGAGACAAGTTGTCTGTCGTGTGTTCGAGTTTGATAAAGTAATCTTTTTTATTTTTTTGATTTTCCACATAATTCCAACTCCGTAAAGATGACATAACAGTCTCACCATCTCAAAATTTCCTCCGAAACCAGTATCAATTTTAATTTAAAGAATCAACATCATCTACTGAACTCCTCATTTCTCGACACACTTCTCTTCCTCTTCTTCGAATCCATTCAAAATTTGCTTTTCATTAAAAAATAAGTAGAATCAGAAGCCATTCCTCATAACTTTCACTGGAATTCCTCTCCTTTGGAGGTCATTATGTCTAATTAGACGCTCTCTTCCTCTGTTTTCAGTGTGAATCCGCGTATAAATGATTCATTCCATCTGAGTAATAATGACATCACTCGGAAGACCGGGCTTCTCTGGGGTTACTGTAATTACTAATTACTTGCCTGCGGGGATCATTTGGATTACAAGAAGGGGAAGTCATCTTCATCATGTTTTGTGGAGTCATTACTCTAGATAAATATTTAGTTTTTGAGAAAGTTACTGGTTCTATTAGAAAGTAAAAGTAGCTCCAAAGAACTGCATACCAAGAGGTCTACTTTTAACGGTAGTCTAAATTTTGAACGTTTCAAATTTTTGAGGTCGGATTTATTGTAATTGTCAAGTAAAAGTCATCATTTTGAGCCAGAAATCATCTCAAAAGAAATCCCATGTTCGATGTCTGGGTTGTGGTGACACCTACGACAAAATAATCAAAATTTTGCACGAAACATTAATTTTTTAAAAATTTATTTGAAAAATCGAGGTCGATAGCCGCCAAAAAAATTATGTTTCTTTTGCTATTTTCAATCTGACAATTTAGTCTCTCGTTTTTCAAAAATAGCAGATTTTTAGGGCCAAATTCAAGCGGATGTAAGGGAAATGTTTTTTCTCTGACCGTCACGCATGCCAAAACTCATCCAAGGTTTTTGATACATATTCCCGTAGGCCGGTTTCCACAAAATCAGCCCACTTCATACTGCAATTTTCTGTAGTTGTCACCCTGAAAGTTTTATGGGATTTTTTGCAATAATGATGACTAAAATGAGGGGCCTTTCCTTCCTCGTATGATAATAGTTATGTTTGTCGAGACTCTAATTGTATCTTTCACTTCCTGAACAATCGCTTGAGGGACCACTAAACGTTTCATTAGAGGGTACCCTCCAGAAACCGGCGTCTTTTTTCGAAAAAACTCTTGAAGAGCGCGCTGCAAAGGTAGCAGTTTCAAACAGAAAATTTGCAGGTAATTACTGACCTGCCGCTTGTTTCGTTGTCTGCATTGCATAGTTAAAGTTGCTTGCAAGGCAATTACAAGAGTCATCGGGTGGAGATCCGGCTTTAACAGGCCCGCCTTTTTCCGCTTGCGCAACCCCAGCAAAAGTGGTGCCAATTAGGCGATGAACAAAAGCGGAAGGAAAGGCCTTCACTTTTACTCACAGTGATGTTTCCTGAGGGCGTGTGAGGAAGCGTTAAGATCATTAAGGTAGTTAAAGGGTAGTGGGATCAAACTTTAGCTAGTTTAGTTTGTAAAAAGTAGCAAGTTGCTGTCCCTTTTCCTCAGGCGATATTGCGATAGAATTTAATAGTCAGAGGGGGAATGTAGTCTAGACGGACTTCTTGTGTTGCATTTACTTGATTTTATCTGCTCCTGTCCTTGCTTAAAGGTCTGTTTATATTGTAATAAAAATTTCGGATATTACACTAGGTAAAAATCCTTTAATATCATAACCAATGTGGTGGTGTTTGACCAGTTTTGATTTAAGTATACTAGTAGTGGTGTCTACTGTTCAGTAAACAGTATTTGCCAACCTTGTTTGATCAATGTTTTATATTACACTAGATATTTTAGATTTTACTTTACTTTTTGTTATCGTTTCGGAAAAGTTGAAGAAATTGCTAATTCATGATCAAGTTCTGATCTAACTAGAATATTAATCACATTTAAGCTCAAATTAGCAAATATTTTCAGCGTGTTTGGTAAGAATTTCGAAAAAACGACGTGATTTTTGGTTACTCCGCAAACTTTGTTTACTCAAGTACATTGCGCAAACTAGCTACTATGAAATTAAAGCACAAGTAAGGTCAAGCCATCTACGCCCCCTTTTTAATACCTGAAATCACCAAAAAAGTCGCTATTTTATCCAAAAAGTCAGCATGGATAATATAATTTGTCCCTGAATTAATTAAGAACCCCTCTGATTTAGTGCTTGCTACACATCGCAAACTCTGTCTTTTGTTGTTAGCCTACATACGGCCGTCTGAACCCATATTCCGTCAGGTTGAATGTGCTTTTGCCCAGAGTGAAGGTAGTAAAAGTAGGGAACAGTAATCGCGTAACAGCGATCTGTTTGAATAAGCGCATCTTTTGTGCGCGCGCTGTCCTAAAACGGACTCTCCAATTGCTCATAATTAAAAATACGAAATGAGCTTGTTATTGATTATTCACTTTGTTTACAAACTTTTTTAAACAGTAGTACTCGGTTTACAATGTTTTTAAAAGTAATTTTCGATGGTTGAAGGTTTTCCTTATTTTCATATTTAAAATAACGTTTTTTATGCTTTTCAACCACTAGTAGCGTCGTGATGACGATTTTTTTGGAATTTATTCAAAAAAGATGATTTTATGAGATTTCGAAAATTTCACAATTTGAATAACTTCTTCGACTAATGTCTAAAGATTAGTGAAAGCCGTTAAACGACCCGTACTTTATGTACCCGTTGTTCTCCTCTTTGCGATCCCGTTTTCTTGTAAATTTCGAGGTAATAGATATTCCTTCTTTTTTCGTTCCCATTGTGGATCCGCGGGGGCAGTTTATTACTGTTTTACTGTTTCCGAACTCGTTCACCATAACTGCCCTCTCATGTCTAATAAACTGTGAATTCGGCGGCGAAGATCCCTCGCCTTGTTTCCAGTCGGAATCTACAGTTTTTTCGTCGTTTATTGATAGCATCAGTCGGCGGACTCTCACTTTTTCGGTCTTTGTCCTCTAAAAGAATATGCGGATACGTCTCTTTGTTTGTCTAACCGCAAGATAGGATCAGTGGGAGTGTAAGGAAGGGGGGAGGGCGGAGGTATGCGGATGTTGTTCAGGCTTTTATCATCGCTTCGCATCTGGAACGAGGGCAATTAAGCCTACCTTACAAAAGCGAGCCATAGCCCGAGGGGTTCGTGTCATTCATCGCTTGGGATTTTCAGAACAGCCTCTCTGGCAATGGATTCCAGAGTGGTCATTTGGATTTTAATCATCAGTTCGGTTCAAGCACAATACGATGCAAATGGGGCGGCGGCCGGAAAGGCTACTACTTATGGTAGGTTCAGTATTATGATCCCATTGTTACTTACTAAATGTACAATCAATCTCATTTTAATCACGTCGTATTTTACCCAATGCGCCAACTTTTACATCCACTTTTTTCAATGTTTTAACTTTTCGACATTATCCGTGATGACTTTATGAATAATATAAAAAATGTCTCAAATCAAAAATCTTTTTATAAGCTTGGCCGGTTGATTGTTCGGCCATTACTCCATAAAATATCCTTTATTTTACCCCCTTATTTTGCACCTTGAAACTCTATTTGAATACTTTAATAGTCCGTTATTTTTCAGGTCCCCTACTTCGAGTTGAAGGTGAAGTTCACGCCGAAAAAGCTGAAGAACAAAAACTAGGAGGGCTGAATCCAACAGGTAAACTTTTTTCTTATTTTATAACGTTTTTATTTAAATTATTCTAAGAAATTTCTTTAAATATTTGTAATTTTTTTGTATTTTAGATGTCTATGGTGAAGTTCCTGTTGAACGGCCGCTTCCTTCTTCCGTAGGATCGGTTCCTCCATCGCCGAAATCCCCCAAAGTCGTTGATTCCAGCGAAGAATCCAAGGAATCTGTAACCCAAGCTTCGGCGGATTCTGCCCCAGGCTATGGCCCTGAGGCATCGTCGACAACCGAAAAGAAGCATGACGCCGAAGATCAAGGTCTTTTCTCCACTGGAATCCATGGAATGGACATTACGACCGTAGAGAGTACGCAAGAAACGACGGCCGGTAGTGCTGCTATTACTGGAGCTACTAGCAATGCCGGAGGCGCTTCAGTTTCCTCAGAACACAACTCTGGATACGATGTGCAAGCGCAGGGTGTGGATACAACCACGAATACTGCTGCTCCAGCCACCACTACTACCTCGGAATTGGAGAAATCGACTGCGGGCGGTACTGAAGAATCGACCAGAAAAACGGCCACTACTCCTCCCCCGACTCCCAAACCTGAGGAAAACACCACACCTGAGCCCAAATCTCTGGCTGTAGCCACTCCAGAAGTGAATCCAAAGTCCGAGGAGACTACAACGGCCGCGGCAAATCAAACGGCCGAAACAGAAAACCCAGAAGAGTTCAAATTGAGCGCAGAACAACCAAGCAGCAAGTCAGCGGAGGCCGAAACTGTGCAAGATGCCTTAAACATTGTTAGCACCACTGAAACAGCAGCTGCAAGTAATGTTTCCGAAAGTAACCCTAAACCAGCGGCCGAAAACCAGGCTTCCGCTGGAAATGGAGGTTATGATTCGCCTGTTCCTGCGACAATAGCAGCCTCTGAGACTACTCCAGTCGAGACTACAGGTAGTCCCGTGTCATCAGCCGCTCCAGAAGGTACACCGGCGGCTCCGGAGAACTCCGAATCCCCCACAACCCCAACTGGTCCTGAACCAACTCAGGAAACAACTGGTAGCCCTTCTGCTGCAGCTGAATATGACTTTGGATCCAGCCCAGCCCCACCTCAAGGAACTCCAGAAGCTTCTTCCAGTGAAGTTAATACTCTTCCTCCAGCTGCCGAACCAGCGGCTCCAGGCTTCTCTACGCCCAGCCCAGCCCCTTACGGAGATGATGCCCCTGCCAGCACTGCTAGTCCTGCCACTGAGACCAGTTCGGCACCATCGACGGAGGCTGAAACTACCGCGGAGACTACGGTAACTACAATTGAGCCAAGCGAAGCCCCTAACGCTGAGGTTACTCAAGCTTCGGCTGAGGCTACAAAGACTCCAGAAGGCGGGTACGACTCTGCCCCGTCATCTAGTCCAGCTCCAGCCGAGACTAGTCCAGCTGCCGAGCCAACAACCACTTCTGAACCAGCTGAGATAACAGAAGCTCCAGAGACATCAACATTATCCGCAGCATCAGCTGAGACTACAGCGGCTTCGGGGTCCTCTGAAACCACCGAATCCTCCAACCCAAGTACCGAATCAGTCAGCAGTGATTCCAGTTCAGGCACAACCAAAGAAGAGGACGCTGGAGCCGCCCCTGGTCTGAATCCAAAGTCTTCAACGACTTCAGCTCCAGGGTATGATGTCCCAGCTGTCTCGAGTCCGGCCTCTGTGGCCCCTGCAGTAATTGGAGAGCCTTCAACACCAACTGAGGAAAAGGAGAACCCAACCAGCAGCTATGACAATGATTCTAAGCCTTCTGAAGCGCCGGCTCCAACAACCGAAGCCCCTTCAGTCACTCCAGCAGCTTCAAATGGCTATGAACAAAGTAATGCTGGGTCATCGAATTCCCAGCCTGCTAGTCCTGCTGCTAACTCTCATTCGGCTACTCCAGCAGGATCAGGAACAGGCCAAGCCGAATCAGGATACCAGTCCAACCAGCCGGAAAGCGTTGCTGAATCTCACGCTAGCTTTGGCTCTCATCCCGAGCCCGCTCCAGCCTTGGAATCCACTAGTTCAGCTGCTCCAGCCGAGCCTAGTCCAGCCACAACCGCCTCTCCCAAACGATGGAAGATCTCGCAAGGTTTCAAGAAGCCCGTCGATGGTCAAACAGGAGGTAAAAATAACTACTAAACGGAGAATTAACACTACTAATTAAAGCCAAGAGTTATGACGATCCTAACCGAGTAACCGAACCCGTCCATGTCCTCGAACCCTCCGGCTATGGTGTGAATGGTAACCCTAATTAACAGTACTAATAGGCGCGGTGTTTCCCGTTTCAGATCAAAGTCCAGTCTATTCGCCACCAACTCGGGTGATTTGTATGTTAAACTAGGTTACGGTAGGATTAAAATAAAAAATATTTTAGCTGCAAGTGAAGCTGTTGGATACGATGGAGTACCAACTGGAGCCCAGAGGGATACAAAGGTCGAGAAAGCAACTGGTAAGCGAAATATCTCAATATGAGAGATGTCAATATATTATACTTGATCCCCGTTCAAAAAAAGGCGACGATTTCTAAAGTTATGACACAAGACGACGGAACTGACCTTATCATAGCATACTAGAGACCCTAGGCTCAGTTAACATCAAATTTCAGCACGCGTTGACGTCCATCCTCGTCACAGTTCGATGAAAAGGAAATGGAAGCCATTCGAGATGGACTGCGCCTCGGAAGTGGACGATCGAGGCACCGAACTGTGCTCGGAATGGGCCAAAGGCGGTCTCTGTGAGGCCCACAAAGCCACGATGTTCCTGTTCTGCCGGAAGACCTGTCTTTGCGTTGGGCCGCCCAGTTCGGCCGAAAGTTTGGAAGTCCGCCGAGGCCGAAGACACCCTCGGTTCTTCCGCTTCCAATTATAGAAATATTACAGTAATCGCTATTATCTCGTCCCAATAACCAGCCGTTTTGTTGCCATTCCTTCACCGCGTCTTTCATCCCCATTACGTACGGTTCCATTTGTTGTCATTCATTCGCAAATCTTCGCTCAAAAAGTGTATAATAATCGTGTTAATTGTGTGCTGTATAATTTGTTAAATAAACCTTGCATCATAATCTCTATATTGCGATTGAACTGTGAATCACGTTCTTCACGTGTTGTTCTATACCTTCCATCTTATTTTAGATGAACGCAAATCTCCTACGTAGATGTTTATTGTCTAAAATCACCGTGATTACCCGCGAAATGAGCATATAAGTAGGTGCAAATGTGAAAAAGGGTGTCTGAGGTTGTCGGATCATACTGTACATGGGATTACTGTAACCTCGACCATGTCGAACATCGATTATAACATCAAAAATATTCTACTCGTCCCAAAATAGCCACATTTTGGGGGGTTTTACAGCACCCCGATGATCTGAGGCTGATGTTTTCCGTTTCGTTTCTCCTGGAAGAGGTCCAGGGCATAGATCGCATCGATGGCCGATGCCTGACTTCCCGAATAACTGTTGTTTCCCTTGGCCATCTCTTCTCTGATGGTCTTGAGTTCGCATTCCCCGCCGATTCCATCCAACCAAGGCCATCGTTCGTTGACTAGAGGGGTGGGATCACTCTCCAGACTCGAGTCGTTCTCTCTGACCACCTTCGCCAGATACGGGATAATATTCGTGTTCCAAAGACGGATAAACCAGACCCGGCTCTGCTCCATGGACAAGGGACAGCGGAGGAAGATTCGAGGACCAATTGTGTCGAGGCTATTTACATCCTTGATGAATTCGTTGATGATTTGGAGGGTTCGGGTGAGGAAATCGAGGACTGTTTGGAGTTGTTCCCCGCATTTGCAATGTCCTGTGAGTTCCTCTTGGGCAATGCGACGACGGAGATATCGAGAGAGGAATCCTGAAGATTCAGGGATTAACTTAGACACCTTCATGGTCCTTTTACGCCGAGTCTAGTCACTAAATTTGTACGCTATAACATCTCACTTTTGCCAAAAAATCCAAAAATTCATCCTACTGTCCCTACTTCTCAAAATCGACTTTAAATCCCACTAACAACCTCCTTACCCTTGATCGGTTCCATCTGACAGTACAACGAGAATATGTGGACATTATAATTGAGCTGCAGATCATGAAGTTGAAGGTCGCTGGTCTTGTTCAAGGTGATGATCACGAACGGACCCTTGCCTCCCTTCAACGAAAACAGCTCATCGGCCGCCGAGAATGCGCTACAAAGAACGTCGACTGCTTTTCTGGGTGTGTTGTCAATCATGACAATGTTGTCTTCATCCAGTTTCAGGAGTTCTTCCAATTCTTTTTTGGCCGTTCCAAATTGTTTTTCGTAATCGTTGAGGGGAAAATTGAAGTCCTTCAGATTCGCGGGGCTTATTTTCTGTTTGGCCGCGAGATATTTGGCCAGGAATCGGGACAAATTGGACTTCCCGATGCCGGTGGGGCCATTGATCACAAGTCTTCTGGATTTGAGCAAAAGATTCAAAAGTTTTTGGAGGACTTCGCCTGGGAAGAGCGACTCCAAGACCAGAGAATCCATCGATTCTTGAGCTGCTCCCTTCAACTTTAATCTGATCACAACTGAAGGTGTAATTAGTTCGTGCGGACTTGACATTGGAGCCTTATCAAGTACAATATCCCTGACGTTCTCTGCTGTGATCTGATACCCAATGATCGAATTCTGACCGATCAGACCTAACTTTTGTCCCGGATCTATCCTCCTCATGTAGTCATCGAGCATATTTTGAAGTTGTCGATCCATATCTTTCCAAGTTGTAGTCGGCGAGACCACACTCAGAGATCCAATGTTTAGCTCTTGATTTGTCACTCCAAATTCCATACTTCCACTTGTGTCCACTTCCACCAAAACCCTTGCATTCAGTCCTCCAGACGACCGCTTCGATGACGTTGAAGACGAGCAACTTCTCTCGGGGATGCTCGAATTCTCCAGCTGATCTTCTTCATGACAGCAGGTGCTCAGGGATTGTCTTGAGCTGGCTCTGCTCTCAGTTCGAATTGCTCTTCTCTCCAACAAGACTGTAGTGTGTTTTAGGGCCTTGTTCTCATTCTTAAGGCGGTTCACAGTTTCTCTGAGCATGTCCAATTCTCGCGCTTTGTCCAACGCTTCTAGCCGGACATCTCCTAGCTGTCGATCCTTTTCTTCCAGCTCTAATTTGAGTTGAATGACGTCATCGTCGATCTCGTTCAGCTTGGTGGTCGACCCTTTATCCTCCGATTTTTGTTTTTTCCCTTTGAACGCGCGGCTGAACGAACTCCGGATCTGAAAATATAATAATTATATTCACCATACAACGAATTGTTTTTAAAAATTTCGCGACCACTTTACAACGTTACGACTAGTACAACAGCTACAAAAACAACATCTCAACTACCTGTCCGCCCTCTTTATTGCTTGCGAGACTCTAAAATATCTAATCTCAGTCTGTCTGCGCCTTACTTACCCAGCTTTTCTTCCCTGCTTTGGTTAATATTCCATTCTTGTCCACATTTTTATTTCCTCTGAAGCTAGCGTAACTTTGAACACTCTCTACGGACGGATGACGCTTCAAAGAGGGATCGCGACGTGTTAGTTCAACACTTAGGGTCCTAAGTTCTTCGATTCTTTGCATTAGGGCTTCAGCTTGCGATGGCTGAAAATATTTTTATATTACACAAGATAATCAAAGTATAAATCCCGGCAAAAAAATAATTCTTATAAGTAAATAGTGGTTCGGCAATGTTCTCAATCGCTCACATTTTTCTTGCAGACCTTCTGGACCTGCATTTTGATCGTTTCTAACCCGGCTTCGAATTGTTGTAGAGTGTGATCTTGATTGTACAAATTCTTGCAATACGAATTCATCTCGTCGTTTAATCGATGCAGTTCTTGTTGATGGTCAAACTGTAATTAAAATAAACCATTATTTCGGAATTGGTCACCCATTATTTATAGAAATCATTAAGAAATCAAGCACATCACGTCTATTGCAATATAAAAATCCCTTACATTTGCATATGGGGACTCAGATCGATGAGTTAGCGACATCTGAGATCCCATGCTTTGATTATTCAGCCGGACAAATGTTGGTTGTGACCTGGGACTGCAGTGTAATTCAGCGCCGAGTTTATGAAGTCTGAGGTTACTCCGGCTACCGTACTCTGATCCGGGAAGTCTTGCTGACAATGAACCTGCAAAATTTATGACTTAAATTAAATAAAAAAACATCATAAAACCCAAACAGCACCCTGAAGCGTTAAAAGTATTAAAGCGATACCATTTCGGCTAGTTCTGCCCTCAGGGGCTAAACTAAAATAAGCTCGGCCTGGGCGCGGAGAAGCTCGGCTAAGCGATCGGTTAGGTCGACTTGAGGCTACAGCTGCCATCATCTCGGCATACAGCCGTTCTCTCGAGGTCAGCGTCTTCGGGTTGTTGTTATTGATGTTGGTGTCGGACTCGTAAAAGATCATCGAACGGGACATTTGGGACGGACTGGACGAGACGGACGCCGACCGGGCATGGCTGGACCGGTCTGGAATCGAAATTCAGGAAAGCGATCGGGTTAGAAGCAAAGGAAAATAAATTTAAGCCATAACTTATACATATTACTTGAGGCATTTAGCTAAATTAATATAAAAATTGTTACTCAACAAAGGGAAATTAAGTTAATAGGAAAGTAGTAGCTGTAACAAGTCGAGAAATTGTTAGTTTACACATCAAACATGAAAGTTTTTGAAGAAAAAACTAAAAAACAGCAAGAATAATATGAGAAGTTAGGTATAACATAAATTAATCCAACATACCATTGTTCCGTTGCGTCATGGAAGCCATATATGGTGGTTCTGAGGGTCTACTAATTTCGCTATACGCGCTTTGTTGAATATGATGTCGTTGGGGCTCCAGGTAAGTCTTCAAATGGCCCTGGCGATCCAATGAATGGCAGTTGTAATGAACCGAGGGTGCAACTAAACAAAGAAAGGAGGCCATGAGAAAGTAAAGAGAGTAACAAGAGGGAACTTAGTTTACAATCTATGATGTTAGTAATGGAATAGTAACTTAAATTAAAGTAAGTTTAGATTAATACCGAGTATAATATAAAAGCTTACAATTAGGTGTAATGTTGTGACCTCTGACGTTTAAGGTGTCTCCGTCAGCACTTAACTGGACCTGTGGTGGACGTTGGGCGCTGAGAGTAGGAGGAGCACCATGTAGAGTGTGGTAAACGCGGCCAAATTCCGAAGAAGTCGACTAAAATAATATAATTATCCAAAATAACTCTAGTTTTGTCATCGAAACCCTAACCCAGCACCCTCATCCTACTGTAACTATCATTTTCAACCCATAAACCCTTCAAAATGCGTCTCATATCCCGTTAATTTCCCCAAAATGGCAAAAATTTGGCCAAATTTCCTTATGAATTCCATTTTCATAACGGAATTCTGGCGCATTCAAATTCCCTTTGACCGGAAGCGCTTCAAACGCCGGCGGGTTTATAGTTAAAATAGTCGAAATGACCAGCGGCCGCCTTTCGAAACAAAAAAGATTGGACTCTTCAAAAAGCGGCCCCAAAAGTCGTTGCGCAACCGATAAAATCACTGGCAGATTTACGAGGCCCTCTCGAAACAGTGTCCCCGACATTTGGGGGCAATTCATAAATTTCTCGGATTTATGAATTACTTTATTTCGCCAAAAAACTTCGGTTCTGAGGTAAAAATTTGGGTTTGGACTTTATTTTCGGTTTGAAAAGGGTCTTTTGATGTTTTATACGGTGATATAGGAAAGAAACAGTATTCCACAACGATTATTAGGGGGCATAAAAGGTTAATATTGCCATCCAACAGCTATTTTGTTGTTCTTGAAACCAACATTTTACAGAAAAAACCTAGTCATCAAAAATGTCCAAAGTAATATAAAAAGCCCTCACCTGAACGGAATTTTGAAAAGCCAGACCTCGCTGTGAGGATCTGGACTTTTGAAGGAGTTCCTCGACCACAGACTGTTGTTGTTCCACCAATTTCCGTTGTTGTTCCCTCTGGGCGCTACTCTCGAAGCCGGCTTGTTTTGAAGCGCGTGAATAAATTGGGGCGCGGATGGGGACCGACGTCGTGGCTGTCATGTTATGATCAGACAACGAGCTGAAACGCACAATCTTCAATCCCAATTACCCTCGGCCAACAATAATGCACAAGATTTACGTTATTCATGACCTTTATTATATTATCCTTGAAAAAACAGATGTTTTCAGTAGTCAAATGTCGAAAAAACGGTCAAGAATAGTGAGTCACGCTAGTTCAAGTCCTCTTACCACAATACTTTAGCCTACGAAAAAGTTCTAAAGTAGTTGAATGGTTAAAAAGTAGTTAGGAAAATTATTATAAACTAAGGTCGGACTAATTAAATTCCCCTCCAATTCAATTAATTCTCCACTAAAAGGGCTGCTCACACAAAAAACGAGGGCCCAACTTATGCCCTGAGGCAATAAATAATCGCAAAATTAACCGACCTGCCAGTTAAATCGTCCGTTGAAATGTCGTCCAAATTCTCGGAAAGGCCGCTGGAAATGGATGAACTGTCCTCCAAGCTGAAAAAACGGGCGTCAAACAACGTTGGCACGGTCTAACACACATTGAGACAACTTTAAACTATATTTAACTAACCCTCAAGTCAGATCAGGATCAAAAAACAAATTGGCCGGAGGGCATTTAGATCACAAAGAGTATTGTTGCAAAAAACGCCTGACTTTGTTCCAATTAAACCCACTTGAAAAGACCCTTCTAATGCTGGAAGTGCGGGTTAAAAGGAGATCAGAGGGGATGGAGCAGATGTTCCTAAAGACTCTGCAAAGAATTTCCGATCAAATGGGACGTCGAAATGGCATCGGGTTCAATTCAAATAAATTCGAAATAACCTTCGATCAACTACCGAAACGATCTTCCCATTCAGCGCGCAATGGGCGACAAATCGGGATATTATACTAGACAGCTGATCACGAAAGAATCGTCAAATCTCATAAAAAATTTACAGGGTTGTTAGTAGTATAAAGGTCATCCGCAAATTACTGTACTAGACATCTGATGTAAAAAAATCGGCAAACTCGCAAACTAATGGGTTTATAAAGCGGCTAAAGGAGTTAAAGAACCGTTACAGCCAATATTTTGACATGTAAGACTAAAATGAGTTAAAGCCAAGCGAAATGATGACAAAACTTTCTAAGATTATGCTTGGAACCTTTCTAAAAACTATTGTTTGATCTTTAAACGCACTCCAAACGTTGTGAGGGTAATTTAAGGACCGTTGCGATCCAACCTCCACTATTTTATGCCAAACTTCATCCCATCAAAATTTGAATATGCAAATTTTACCGCAAAGGTGCGCTCGCTCCTAACACCCTGGAAATCCCCGTAATGCCGCCTGAGGGCATCAGAAATATTGCGCGGGAACAAGTGGACCGTGGCTGTTGCCAGGGAGTCCGGAAACGGTTCCAGACGCTAATTGATTCTCTTCCATTATCCCTTTATTCAAAACAAATGGAAGAAGAGTGCGCGACAAAAACGATTAGTCAAGAGCAACTTAGCCTAGATCGAGGAAGCGAGAGGAACGGGGGGCATCCCCCTTATGAATTAATTTGGCTAATTCGAAAGGCGAGGGAAACCTAAAAGGACATCACTTTTGCCATGGATAGTATCGCTTTATGAGGTGATTTCGGGATGTCATAAAGAACAAACAAGCTATTCTTTACTCTAAGTAGAAGAGAATATTGTCCTCTACTTTGAAAAGGAAGAATCTCCGTCGAATCTGAAGTTGTCCGGCTTCCACGACCTGATTTATAAAGCAAATTGTAGGCCTTTCAGAGAGAGGAAAAGAAACAAGTTCTCAATCTCATTTACGCATAATTGCATCGTATTCTAATGTACAACCATTTCTTTGCTAATCCACCTAGCGAACAGATCTCCCTTGTCTTCCATTCGCCTCTATTTGAGGGTCTAATTAAAGCAGAATGTGTTCAGATGTCTAGTATAATATACGGTTAGGTTTTTCAAACAGAAAACTGCAAAAAGAGATGGCTCCACTCTCCGTTATGGACAGAGACACCTTTGCAGAGGGCATTAAGAAGACCGGGCCACCCAACTTAATTCGTTTTGGGGCTTAACGAAGCCTTCGGATATCCGTTTTGGAGATCAGATGGGATTTGCAAAAAACGAAAGGGAAATGCGCTTGGGGAATCAGGGAATGGAGCCCTATAAGCCCCCATCTATCGTTGGCCCCTTTTCCCACACAAATCAGCCGCCCTCCAAGGCCTTTTATCCCGCTGTTTTTAACAAATTAGCCGCCTTCTGGACTCGCTGACCTGTCGTGTCGTTCCCTGTGGCGATAGGCCAGCCGCATCACCCGGCGAATGGTCTTGGCGTCGTCCACTTGGCTCTTCATGGCTTCGAATTTGATTAGACCGGCGGCGGGCTCTGCAACATCCACATTACCAACAAAATCACATTTGATTACATTACTTTAGACATAAGAAACAAAAATATTATAGTTTGCGCTAAAAATAAAGTCCATTACGAGGAGGGTGTTACGCAATGCGACCTTATGTAACGAACTGCATATGCAACCCATAAATCCGGCTTTCCCACACAGATAAAATCCCATCAAAACTAATTATTTACATGGAGAGGAGCATGGAAATGACGTGTTATATAGGGGTCGGGTTACAAAAGAGCGGGTCATTGTTTCCGACCAAGATAAATAAAGAGCCAGAAAATGAGCCATTAGCCCGCCGGGTGGGATTTTTTTCACTCAAAAGACAACAAAAAAATTCTAAAGGTACATCAAGGAAAATATTGGTCAAAAAGTATCAATTACCAAGTAAAATACCAGGATTTTTTCATTCAAAATCTGCCTTAGGGCCCTCTAATCCAGATCCCACCCTCAGATCGCACTCAAATTATAACCGACCCTTCATTTGACCCCCGATTGTGCCTTAAGGTACCCTCCAAAATAAATTTAAATCCCCTGCGATCGCTGATCGAGCGCTGTAATGGACAAGATCGGTGGCATAAACAAATGTTGGCACATCTCCATTCATTTACCCCAAAAAAAGACAGCTGTCCGACCGGACTTTTGTCACCATTGTAGAAACGGCCACCTACTATAATATAATAAACCCGGCAATTCGCATTGCGTAACCGACTTCCGTTCATTTTAATGGACTCTATAACAAATAAAACGAGCCTTTGTTTCGGTTCGTCTTGTAATGAGTGGGAAATCGGGCTGGGATATAGGAGGTGATTGACAAATTTTGTTTTTTAATCCAGTCAAAAGCGGCAAATTCGGATCTTTTCCAAAGTAAGCATACAATTTCATTCAAGAAATGTCAAATACAGTCCAAACCATGGACAAGGTCCGTCGGAGTTTAGGCCAAATTTGGACAGAATTTACCGCTTTTGACCAAATTTAAAATTTATAAATCACCTTCCATATTGTTGACCGTACATTGTTTTAGGACCATATAAATTTATCGTTTCCTTGATGTTATACTCACCCTGTTTGTTGCTGGACAAGAGCAGATCGGAAGAGAGTCTCAGCGGCGGTGGAGGCACGGGCATGTCCTGTAAATCGAGGTCCTTTGCATCAAAGGCTTCGGTTTTATGCAATTTCCGGCCATTTCGCGATCTCTTTGGCTCCGCATTTACCACTCCAATCGTTGAAATTTTGACTTCATCGGCTTCGGACTTCAATTCCCTGGGCTCGCTGACTCTCTCGTCCGATCTCTTTGGTTCTTCCGATCGATTTCTGGACATTACTCCTTTCACGGCTAATGTCGGCTTTTCTTGGACTGAATTCCTGACCACTGTCTCGTATGGATTCGTAGCATCCGATGACACTCCACTATCATCGACTAATTTATCCACTGGAACTTCTGGAATGGTCTCAGGGACGGCAGACGGGGAGATTGAAGTCGGCTTGTAGGTGGCCAAAGAGGAAGTACTCGAATGGGTGGAGCTGTTGGTGCTCAGAGAAGATCGAGGACTCGGCGTTGTGGTCAGCGTATCTCCATAGGCACTATCTTCCGAGCTAACATGCGATTCTCTGAAAAGAATAAAACTTATCACAAAATATTTTATTTATAATCGATAAATTATTGAATTTTTGACATTTCGTCAACACAAAGTCGCAAATTTTTTTTCTTTTATTTTCATCCCATTTTATCCATTGTTGCCCAATTTACTCTAAACAGTTCGAAAATCCCTCAAAAAACACCTGCCAAATCCATTTTCCGCGGATTTCCGACCTTCACCTTGTCCATTCTGAAGTCCTTACCTAATTTCTCCTTCGTTTTTGGTCGGAACTGCAAGTTTGGACTTCTTCTCGGCCACTTGTAGTGGTTTGACTTCGGGGTTGTGTTCTTCCCGCTTCTGTGGCGTGTCTTTGTGTTCTGGTACAGTTGTCTTCTGGGTCTTGTTACTCTCCGACTTCCGGCCCTTGGACAGCCAAGACATCATTTTAGATGCGGGCTGGCCTTCCGTTGGTCTCTTAAGTTTGGTTGGAGGTCCAAGTTTCGATGATGGAGGAACAAGTTTGCCGTGAGGAGCGGATGTCTGTGATTCGGGCAGCTTTTCAGATTTCTGGGGGATCTCTAGTACAACTTTGGGTTGAGAAGGAGCTGACAGTTTGGAATCTAATGCTGGAGGTGGTTTATTGTCTAGCTGGACTCTTGACGGCTCTATCGAAGGTGTAGTCTTCACAGTGGCAATGTTTGAAACCTTCTTTATGATCTTTGATTCAGGAGTTGATTTAGACGAAGCAGTTGGTTTCAAAGTTGTCGGCACGATCTCCTTGGCCACTGTTGCACTTGAAGATCGATGTCTTAGGAAACTAGGACCAGTCGAAGGCCCTTTGAGATTACTGCCGACATGTCCATTGGCATTAGCGAGCGTCGAGGAGGCACTTGTTGTTGAGGCAGTTGATGTGGAAGATAAATTTGAGGTGGCTAGATTCGTGGTCGAACCGTGAGCCGAGGGCAGTCTGAAACAGTTCATTTAGGCACAAGACGTCCCAATAATAAACAACTGGGAGTCGGGTGTAAATCCCCGGGAATGGGCCGGGTCTTTTTGCGAACTCCATTGATATGATGAGCCCTCAGGGCCTGACCCACGAACATGTCATATATTATGGAGACATCGCGTTACACCCGACCCCCGCTCCTTGGGGAAATAGAATGGAACGAACCTTGAGGATGGGGATTTGACCGGGATTTTGAGACGACTTGAGGTCGCTGTTGTACTTGGAGGTGCAAGCGAGGAAAGTCGGGACTTTGGTGGGGCCGGCTTCGGAGCTGGGTCCTCCTCCTTTTGGGAAATCACGGGGGTCGTTGTTGGAGTAGGAACTGAAATAAATTGGACATAATATTGTTCAAATTTTACAATTCGTTAGAAAAAATTCCAAAAAATATATAAAACAATCCGTCAACATGACCAGTTTAGAAAATTTCGAATAGACGTTTTACTCCAGAGGAATTCCTTATCAAGCTGGGTAACCTTTTCGGTCAAAATTTTTCCTTTCCAAAATCCTCTGACCCCAATTTTCGCACAAAAACAAAGTCCAACCCAAAAAACCGCGGGTCCAAACCCCGGCAAAAAGGCGTAGCACTGGTCATTGTTCCCCAAAAATAATAAAAACTTTCCCATTCAAGGAACATTTCCAGGTCAGTGTAATTTGACAAAACCCGCGTTATTTGCCCATAAATCTGCATAAAAATGGTGATTCCAAGGGGATGATTTATTCGATCGACTCTCGAAAAACGAAAGGCCGGATGGAAAAGGGCATGTGCGCGAAAAAGGGGAATGGACTCGACTTTAATTTCAGCCCACATGTCAACACTTGGCCGCTCTCCGTTCGGCCCCACAAATTTCCCAAATTTCCGGAGGGCATTTGAAATGAAACCCCCAATTGAAAGCGGGTTACCTTTCCTCGCAATTGCACTCGGCACAATAAGTTTGGAGGCGGAGGCCTTGGCGATGGAGGGACTGGAAGGTTTCTGAAGACCGGCCTCGGGTTTGGCCAAGCTGGAGGATCTGAAATCAAACAAAAAATGAAATTGTTGTTCTTTGAGGCAGGGTACGGGGGTTCAAATGGATGTAATTAGATGCGAAGCAATCCAAATTTGGACAAAAATTCGTTTGGGAAAGGGAAATCAGCAAGTTGGATGATGCATAATCACATTCAAAATACTTTAATTTCACCAAAAAATTTGAGGATATTACACTTGATATCAAATCGATGCAAATTTTGATGGCTTCTTGATTCTTTTTGCATAAGGTCTGCTTTCAAACGCTTTACTGTTCGATTTCGCATCCTTAGGAGGTATTGTAAGCCCTCCACTCCCCCTTCTTCCCAACCTTTCACTCACTTTTTCCCCGCTGGCGTTGGAATTTTCATTGCGCTGAAATTGTTTGCAGTTACCGTAACCTTAGCGATCTTCGACTCGGTTCCAGGTCCGTTCAGATGTTGTGGCGACGCGCATTGTCCATTGCCGTGTTGCCGGTGTAACTGTTTGTAATGGGAGAGGGCGAAAAGAAGGGCCAAAGTCTCGCCCAAATGACCTTGATGTAGATCTGAAAGAAAGAGAATTTTACTGCGGCCCTTAATCATCACACGCAATCATTTTGGAAACAGAAAATAGGCGCTGAGTCACTTTGTTTTGTGGGTAATGCCCAGTGTCCAGACACTCAGAAGGCCCCAGAGAAAGAAATGATTTCAGCGGTGTATAATTTAACATTTTGATCAGCGCTGGGATTATTATATTGTGAAGGGCATAGGTCATTGTGATTCATCTAATTTTATTCCGAAATATTGAAGTTTTTTGAGATTCTAAAACTTCAAAAAATATGTCATCGCGATTGATTTCGACTTGGAATAGTCGTATTTTATACAACAGAAAATATTTTTTGTAACTCAACAGCATAAACTTATGATCCGTATAGCAATTTTCCTACTATTTGACGGATTAAAGATGTCATCATGACGTATTTTCTGGAATTTCCTAAAAATCCCAAATTTTAGGGTCGAATTGTAATCAAAATTAATCTAACTAGTTTTACTAACGAAATGAACCAAATATCTAATGATTCTGAACACAAGAAGTACCGTTTAAATCAGCCCTGTCAAGTATAATATGAAAAAGCCCTAAACCAACTGCGAAATGACTCATTAGCCAAACGAACATTTATCAACCCCTCCGAAGCTTTGAAATGTCCCACTTCCCCTGAAGCTGCAAAAGCAAGAGCCGACTAATAACGTTGTTTTTGGTGATTATATTCGATTCCGAGTGTTTTATAAACACATGGCCATGATCAAAGTGGCCCCACGAAAAGCCGCAGTGCCAATTTGATGGACAGCTCGTCAACTCGGTGGCATTCGGGTATCAGAAAATGTATATTCAACAACTCAAGAGGCGCGAATTTGGAGGGAATGGGCGTTCGGAGGGAATAGTCGGCATGGGTAATGTAAAATAATATAAAATTTGGGGAATTTGGGGTCGACTGAAATAATCTTTTATCTCTGTTCGAAATTTCAAAAAAATCGGTCATCATGGCATCTTCTAAACCCTCAATTTTTTTGATCAAAAAATGTTACAGTAACTGTCAAAAATCTTTAAGTTAAAAAAAACACCTCGAGGATTGCTGAGAAATCGTATGATAAACAGGACTGAATTATGGAAAAGCAGCTGAGAATGAATCAGAAATTCCTTCAGAAGGGGGAAAGCAAGGCTTTGAATTCGCTGATCGGATTAACGCCTCCGGGGTCAGGTCCGGATCCCAGCGAAAGTCGTTCCTTTTGAGGAGTCAGCGCTGAATGGGCTTACAGACAGAGCGCTCCATTTAAAGTAATCATCCCGAGGAATGAAAAAATGGTTTATAAATTATTTAAACCCCCCACTCTTCTTGAATGTTTTTCGTGCCCTCAGGGCATAAATATTAGTGGGAGAAAGGGGAGTCCAAGACGTTCTGAATTCATCTATTTTTGGGATCTCGCTGTTATTCATGATCAAAAATAAAAAAATCGAAATTTTACACTTTAAAATCCGTAAAAAGTAGCTTGTTAGCCGCGCTATGCATCTCTAATTTCTGCGTGAGCCATCAATATCCAAATAGGACTCATAACTTGGCTCATAACACGCAACCAGACCTATTTAAAAATTTACAGTAATCCATAAATAATTACAGTAACCCACTGACCTTCAGCTTTAAGATTAGCGACGTTGACACCCAATCCAGCCAGATAATGAAGACACTTTCCGATGCAATCCACCTAAAATGCATGTTTACAGACCATAAACGGGACATTAAATTATATTGTACATGATAATAAAAAAGGACAAAAATATAGAAAAAAACCCAAAAAAGTTCGCTTTTCGCGTCTTCAGAATAAATTAGAATATGCAAATTTCCAAAAAATGCCCTTAGGCGCCAAAACCGCGCACGTAATTGAAACAAGCAGGTCCCGGCCCTGAGGCATTTTAAGGGCGAAAGGCGCTCATCTCCGTTCTCTCGCCTCCCCAACCTAATCAAGCCCTTTCTTCCGCTCTTGCCTTAAGGGGTTTCGAGGGTTTGGAATTGAAATGTGATGAAATTATCCCCAAAAAGATGAGCTAATAGTATTAATACAGCGAAAAGTTGGGCGGAAAATGGGATTACTGGTTTTGTGCGGGCCTAAAGTTGCTACTAATTACACAAAATTTAGCTAATTTTTTAAGTAAGAAAAAGTTTGAGGCAAAGGCGATAAAGAAAGGGGAAGAATCGACTATTTTTATGTTGCAGTTGGATAGCTCGCGAATTTTCGGAGATGAAAAATCGATTTTATATTATTCAACAATTTTTAAATATAGGACACGTCTTACAATTAGAAACCTTTAGTCAAAATTTTACAAGTTTTTTTTCAAATCCAGGCGAGTTTTTTTATTTCACAGCTACCGTAACCTCAAAAATTTGAACCTCTTCACATATTACGTAACTCAACTTACTGGTGTTGTTGCGTTCAGCGAGCACAATAGAGTGGACTGGGAAGTGGCCGGACACCCAAACGCTGAAATCGAAATTGTTTTAAACATTGGATGACGGATGAGGAAAAAAGGGCGCGAGGAACGATAACTTCCTGTGCCGGAGATCGCGGTGGTCTCCTTCCGATCCCCCATAACCCCCAATCGAATAAAATGCATCTTAACGGACTCCCGGAATATCCAAATATTAAAGAGGCCCGTTTTATGGGACAGTGGTGGGATGATAAGAGAAGGATAATATAAAAAGAATCGGACTTTAATCCGGAAAAGCTGCAGGTCGAGAAGGCATGGGCCAAAACAATTTTCGAAAATATTTTTACTAGTCTTTGTTGTTCCGAAAATTTTTAAAAGTAATTTTAGAAGATTTGGGGGAACAGTTGTCCCTGTCGTAAAAATGAGTTCGTAAAGTTGTAAAGTGAGGTAATTGGATATCAAAACGCAAGTCAATTCACTCTAAACGCTATAACAAAACGTTCTAGACCCATCTCGAACTCATTTTGGATCAAAATTTAGCGAATTCATCAAAATTTTATCTAAAGTCATACCTCAATATCCCAAAAATCCTATGAAATCGTCTTTAATCACCCCATGAAGGTCCATCAAACTTTATATCAAGCCTCAAGCGCCTCATCAGACCCGCTAAACCACCTTATTTTTGCTCAAACTTCCGCTGTGCCCTGAGGAGATATTCGGAACGGCCTTTAGTATAGCGTTTAGTAATCCGCGGGCCTGTTTTTTTTCGGCCCCTCAAATCCGACAACTGACTATGCCGCAGGGGATCGCGTTTCGTCGGCCACTTACTCACTGCATCCACCAGATTGACCAGTGTTTTGGGATCGCGCAGGTCTTCGGTCAGGTCGTGGATCAAGGCGCGGCCGAACTTTTGCAAATAACGGTTGGCCCAGTCGGTGTAGATCTGAAAAAACAGGCTGATTGGATGGGGAATTTGATGGAGAATGAGGTGGGGATTCAAAGAGAATGGATTATGATGGAATGGTCGGATGAAGGATGTAAAAATGTAAAACAAAACAAAAGCTTTGCAAAATATTGATGCAGAAATAAAAAATATCAAAGTTTTGAACATTTTGAACCCCAATATTCGCTAAAATTTTCATAGTTTGTATTTATGGGCCTAGTAATGATCTCTGAAAAAATCACGCTATACAAGGACAGCTGAAATATTCAATAAACATTTTTCCGGAGGGACTTTGGAAAATGAGGAGAAGCAATAGACGGTCAGAGAAAAAACACTCTGCTGTCGTAACTCTATGGATTTCGCCCGGAAAAATATACTGTCTTGTTTAATGTTTTGTATAAATTTTGTTGAATACATACTGGTTCTAAATTTTTCAAATTGAAACACACAAAAAAATTCGTGAAATTTTCTGCAAAACGCGGAATAAAAATCTTGCCTCAATTTGTGCGGAGGTTTACCAAAGCTTTTATTTATTACTCTGTAGACTTGTGGGGTAAATTATAATCATCAAAAAGTTATGTCAAAAATTCTAAACTTCCCAATTTTTTCGAAAAAAATCCAAAAACGACTATAAAAATTGCGGTCCGTGAACTGACGTGGGACCTCCTAAAAATTCCCAGCGACATGATTTGCAAAAAATTTTGACCTCCGAAACTCATAAAAGTCGCAAATGTTTTCGGAACGTCAAGATGTTCTTGATTATAAAACGGCCCAGCTGTGTGTATTTAGCAAGTGTTCGCGGCTAATTAAACATTCTCGGCTAATTGTCCACTCGATAACCTCTAAGTTGGATTACGCAATCAAATTATATTATACATGATCTAGTGTAAAAAAAAAATTTTTTTGGTATTTAAACTAAGTCTGATGGCCCAAACAAAGCACAATTTGGTCAAACAGCTTGTTGTAATATCAGTTAACAATGAAATGGACTTGTCTTAGACAGCTGTCCATTTGGAAAAATCAAAAAAAGTCATGGATCCGCGAACATTACAAAAAAACAAGCTCAAACATTTGTTAATATCGGATTACAGAAGAGCGGAGAGTAACTCGCAGAATGACCGATGGGCGTTTTCCCGGATGCTAAGCGCCCCTGGTGACAGCTGCGATTTAAATAAACTCCGAAAAGATTCCGGAGTCCAATTTCTGGGAGGAATTGAGACACCAAGAATTACTCATTACAGGCTTTAAAAACAAAGCCGAAACCCCATTTCCGAGCACGGAATCCGCGGCTCTTCATGGTGGTCATCGCGGCCCAAAAAACGGCCGAAAAGAAACGAAACAGCTGACCTTTATCCCCAGAGATCTGCTCTGATTGCCCGCAGGCTAGTTGTCCGACAATCAAAGCGGCTAATTCAAGCCATTTTTGACACTTTACAAACGAAAAAAATGTTTGGGACACCGAAGAAACGTTTAGAAGAATGCCAAAAAATCTATCGTAGTGACAAATTTTGGACGCCAATACGAAAATTTTTTATCCAGAGTTGAAAAAAAGGTGATTTTAAAAATGATTTATATTCCAAAAATCCCTAAAATTGCAGTAAAATTCTTACTGTAGCATTTACCCAAATTTTTGGTCCAATTTCAAAAAATTGGTCATGATGACATATTTCAAAAGTAAAACCGGGAAATTTCTGTTTTGAATTAAAGAAAAAACAATTAAAAAACATTTTGACTTTTTGCGCCCTCAAGTCTTACTGTAGCGCAGTAAAAATCACTTCTCTTTATGAGAGTTCCAACCTTCCTCCCCAAAAATCGCCCAACTTCCCCGCTTTTTCCTCCAACCTTTTTCTGTTCCGTTTTGCCTGAGGGCATTGTTCGATCCGGCCCAGAACTTAACCAGATTATCCTGCGCAAGTCCATTTCTGAATAACCCCAAATTAGGGGGGAAAGCGCGCCCCTTCGACTCATTAGAGGGCTCGGATTAATTTGCTTACGAAGGAGTGAAATTAGAATAAAATGGGAACGAGATTAAAAGAAAACTCACCGGAATCAGCTGCTGATTCGTGTGCTGAGGCGGTTTGGCCGGCTGGATCACATTCCGCGGCTTCAACATTATAGTGCACTTGATGGGACTACTTTTTGGTCGATTCAATTGTAAAGTAGAAGGTGGGGAAGTGAAATATTTGTCATTATAAGAACTCTATGAGTTGCTTTTTGTATCAACCTAAAAATAATCAATGTTTAGAAGGTTTATATGGGCAAAAACGCGAGTTATGTTACAAATGAGATTCCAAAATTTTACGTAATTTTTTTTGGCATTTTGGATTTCAAATTTAACAGCTTGTTTAAATTGGCATGTACAATATTGCCACAAAAATTAATTTAGTCCGCGCAAGAGTGTATAGACGTGGAAAAAAATTTCTCTGACGGTCTCCCTTTATTTTCCACAGTCTCTCGTCACAAATCTTTGGAGATCTCGACTGGCCTGCAAACCATGAGCTAAAATTTTCTAAAGGCGTGGTTCAGAAGAAAAATATTGGAAAATTCTGAAAAAAAAATTAAAGCGTTAGGCCTCGAGCTATATTATACCTGAGGACAAACATTTTTTGTAAAAATTATGACTAATTTTTTGAGAAAGTTAGCAAAAAAGTTTCGATGACGTAAAATATTAATTTTTTTAAATATCGTCAGCGAAACTACCGTCTACAAAGACTACCGCCGCCTCCAACTATTTTCTTAGCCTCTATGACTCCATAAATTCACAGTACTTTCCCCCATAAAATTTGACTAATTTGACTACTCAACAAATAAAAACTACTCTTAACAGCCTGTAACTCACTAAAAATTCGCTTGTAAGGTCAGCAATGGAGATTAAATCTGCCGACAGAGTTGAAAAAGTAATCAGTCGGAGATGGCCTTCAGAAGGATTGGAAAACGCGGAAAAAACATTCGAAACGGAGACCGGAGGAATTGCACAAAAAGATGTTGTTCCACGGAGTGATCCCCTGAGGGCATCTCCGGATGGGGCCGCATAAAGAAAAGCCAACTTCCCGCACGAACTTATTGTAAGATCCCCGGGCAAAGGGAGAATAAAATACGCGGTGGTCAATTCGAAAAGGGGGTTTTTTAATCGGTCAGAATGACAATTTTAGTCATTAAAATTAAAAATAAACTTTTCAAGGTCCACTTTTTTCCTGATTGTCGAAGTTGACGAATGCAAAGATTTCAGGCAGCAAAATTAATTTAATTTTACCCATGATCGGCATAGAAATATAAAAAAACGCCCCTGTTTTTTTCAAAAATGACTCGCTTCCAGGGCAGTTTAGATAATCTCGGACGCTAAGCCCAACCCGAAATTCATAAAGCCCCAAATCCGATGGAAATGAAATAATTTTTACCTCCGAAAGGCTTCGAGGTAAATGAGAAATGGCCGGTTACTAATCCCTCGAAGCGATGGTCAAGGAATGGAAATTTGAAATCGGAAAAAATGTTCAAAAAAAAATTTTTTTTTTTAATTATAGTAATCAGAAAATATATTTAATCCAGAAAATCAAAGTTTAATTTGTAATTATTTTATGCCTCCAAATTTCAAAAAATAAAAAATATTAATATTTAAAAATTAAAATTTTAATATCAAAAATTTTTAGATTTTCAAAATTTTTCCGCAGAAAATTACACGAAAACTCTAAAAGCTTTATGGTTCTACAGCAATATTAAACCCCCGTAATCTTCAAGTTTACTCAAATTCCTATCGAGTTTTTGGTATTTCTCTCTTTTTGATGACTAATCGCTAAGTCAAACATTGCTTTAAAAGCGCCAAAAACAACACAAAATTATTTGTAATATTCTGATAACTAATCCGAGAAAGTCTGTACTAAGTGTCGAGTCGAAGATGCAAAAAAAGTACAAAAATTTTTTGAAAGTAATTATCGAGGGTTAGAACTTTTTCTGTTTTAAAAAGTTTCCTCAAAGTACAGTGAAAGTGAAGCAATGGGCTATGTATTAATTCAGCCGTAATTTGCCAATTTCGCATAAAAAAATTGATGTCTTGTAGGGAAACATCTAATCCACAGTATTCATTTTTCAAACTGAAATCAAAAAAAAATCTTGATTTGTTTCCTTAAAATTCCAATAACTTTTGGAAAACAGATGTTAAAAATATGGGGTAAATTTTACAAAAATTCAAATTCTAACCTCTTTTGAAGCATCAAAATCTGTGATTACAAAACAAAAAAATGTTTAAAAAATCTTAAAAGTCAGTGGCCTTACAAGTTTTTACATAAAGTCCGTTCGAAGATACGCATTCCGCTTACATCATTCCTTCTAAAGGAACCGGAATATCGGCAAAAAACAGCCGGAATCCCTTCCCCAATCCACTGCTACAACAAACCAACCCAATACTCATCAAACCGAACCCAAATTGAATCCGTCTTTGGCCCCAAAGACTCTTATCTTGGCCATTCTCTGTCTCCCCAAAAGGGCCGAGGAATCTGAGGGTGACAAAAAAATATTTTGCGGGAATCTCGGGGGTGCAGATCGCGATAAAGAAAAGCCCCGAGAATAATTATCAGCCCGATTATTAATGGCGTTTGATGAGATCTTGACCGCTTTCAGAGAGAGCGACATGCCAAGGTACGAGTTGAGACATCAATCACAAAAAAATATGTTTTTTTGAAGGACTGACTATTTATAAGAGAGCCAAGAACGGAGATGAGATATATATATCATTCAGAGAAGGGGGAGGTGGTAACAGACGGCGGAAGATACGAAGGTAATAGGGAGAGGATATCAGGAAGAAAAATTGAAACAAAATGAGGCAAAATTAAAATGCTGACAATTGGGAAATTTCAGAATAATTAAATTTTGAAGGTTTTTATAAACAACTTGGCTGAAATTTTTGCGAACCTTTAGAAATTTTGCCGAACATACTGAAATTGTTGAGTCGAAAAATGCCTAAAGCTAAATTGTTTTTATTTTCAATTTGTAAAATTTACAACTTTTTTGTATACGTGGCACCATATTTCTGCAGGAAATCAGAGTCCGCCGCACAAAATAAGCAAAAATACATCTGAAATGCTATTTATAGCCTCAAATTGTGACCAGTTGTCCCATCTTTATTTTTCTATTCACACCCGACCCATCCCTCCAAATCCATCCCAAATGTTTTTTTCGAACAGCTCATTAACCCGTTGGCGATCCCAGAAATTGTTCATTGAGTCCCTGAGTGATTAGAGGCCTGCAGAAAAAGTGAACAAAGCCTCATTCAGAGGTCGGGGATTAATCTCACACTGCCATTACAAAACCCAAAAGCCGCCTTTTTCTCGCCCTTCCGCTGGAATTCGAATAAAAAATGGAGCGATCGCTCTCGACAACTGGCTTCGAGATTATGCTAATTTGAGGCGCACAAAAAGCCCGCCGGAAAAATGGATGAATCTTTTTTTCAAGTTATTTGAGATTTTTTGAAAATGACCGGCCTGACAAATGACCTCAGGGCAGGTAATGGAGGCCCCGGATGATTAAGTGGCCCCGATTCTGCAACGTCGCGTCATCAAGAGATTTGGAGAAACGATGAGGGTGTTTTGATTGGAGCCGTCAAAAAATGACCAACGGTGATAACAATTGGCCAGTTGGTCATTGTTTTGATTCTTGATCACATTTAGAGAAAGATAGGCGTCACACATCATCTATCTCGCTTGCAAATTAACTTCTGCTGCTTTTTATAGTCATTTTTAATCTTATTCACACCAAATTTTTATATCATTGATAACACATAGAACATGACATATGACTGTTCATTCAGTAATCCGAGCACACGGGGACCTGATCCGCAAAAATTTACATTTACATTTTACATATCTGTTACTATTGATTCCAAATAAAAAATTTCCGTCATTTTATAAGATTGGTACATGACTCGGGCCCAATGTGTGTCCCAGTCGTTATATACGTCTATACAATTTATGAGCCGTCTTTTAATTCCACTTTATTTACAATTTCTTGTATACATTCTTCAATTACAGCCATGTTGCGATCTTATCACAAAACATCTTTTTATTCCAGACTTCGTATATGTAAACGTGGCCTCTCGCACTGCTGTCAGAAACCCTGAAGATGTTAGCTGCCTGCCTGTATATCCCTGTATGTTCATCGCATTGTATACATGTCTTATAAACTCTGACTTGGTTGTCGATAAATGTCGCAATCTAAACACGTTTTTTACAAGAGAAGTTTTCTGTTTACGACGTTCAAAGCTATATACTTTAATTTTGTACAGTGTAGTGCCTACAAATCCTACCAATTCCTGAAGACTCAGGCTGGTGTTTTCTGGGACAGCCGAGCTATTTAACCATCTTTATCGATGGGAGAGTAAGCAAAATATGGAGGGCGGACAGAGAAAACATGCCTTTTGAAAGGTTTTGAAATTTTTTATATCAAAATTCGCAAATTTTCATCAAATTTCGGCCAAAAAATCTTAGCTGTTCCTGTAAAGCGCGAGCCAGGAATCTAGCCCTATCGTTAGAAGGATCGAGTCTAAATATACGCGTAATTTCACTAAATCTGAGTGTGGTAATCCAAGAACTTCACTACAAATATTTTGATGAAGAAGAGATTCTTACCTCAATTCGATCGCCAAAGCCATAAATATAAGTTGAATCGTCCATCCGATCACAGCCCAAGGTCCGTTTCTCCCAAACATTAACAATCCCATGGTCGGGGTTCATCACATATAAACTCACGCACTTTGCAGTCCGAACAATGATTCGATTTCCATTCTGAATAAAATCCACGAGTAGTCCATCAAGTTCGCAAAGAAATTGAAATTTATCTCTTATGTTGTAATAAAAAATCTCCATGCCGTACTTGTTTGAGGAGACAAAGAATAGGTCGTCGCTTCGAACTGATAATACAAAATTTCTCAACGCCTCCAATGAATTTGGGAATTGACAGAGGGAAACAGCTGGTTCTCCGGGAACTTCGTAACGAATTACAACTTGTAGATCGTCTGTGAATTCGGCGTGATATAAACGATTCGATTCCTTGTCGTAAAACAGCGCATAACAGCCAGTGTTGTCAAAACGACGCTAAAATTAAACACATCTCACCTCAAAGCAGACCCGAGATTCCGCTGCGCCAGGAATATTACCCTATCCATTAGGAACCTGACAGAAACTTTTCCCGAAAATCTCGTCAAAAAAATGTTGAATTTCCTTCAACCTTAAGCTTAACAATCTTGGTTCTTTCTGCATAATGCGGGCTAAATCGTCATCTTTAGATAAGCCAGATTTCAAGGCTTAAATTTCCTTTCGAAACGTTATCGACTTACTACGTCCTTCGTGTTGAGATCAAGCAAAACTTGTGCTGGTTTTCGCCCTCGCCAACGTTTGTCATTATTTGCCATCGTCATGAACAATGTAACTTTGAAGAGACCACTCCGTTGAAAGTCCAATGAGAGGATTTCGTCGTCAGAATCCTCGAATTTCACCGTCATTTCAAGCCGAATATCAAAGGCCATTCCAGGAAACACCTTCATAATTTTTAAATTTTGAAGGAGAGTATTCAGGTCGTATTGCACAGTGTAGTATACAGGACACTTTACAACATCTACACACAACCTGAAACGACATTTTCTCTTAAAAAATTGACTTACTTATAGAGCATCTCGACGTTAGTGCTTTTGTAATCAAAGGGTCTTCTGTTCTTCATCCACATTTCTCTGATTCGATCCCTTCCATAAGGAAAATCGTAGTCTGCATACCCAAACAGTACTGTCATATTGTATACGGATATGCGGTTGTATATCGAAGAAACGATCTGAAAAGTTTGAAGGCTGTTAATTTACACATATCAGCAAGTTCTGGTCGAAACCTTCTCAGCTATGGCCGTGACCTTCACGCAGGGTTGCAATATCGCTTCAAGACGTGATTTAACGCATTTTGTGCCACACGATTTGGTCTGAGACTGGTTCTATGATCAGAACGTTAAAAAAATAGATTTTAACGGTAAAATTGTCGTATTGGTGGCTTTCAGTGATATTATCACAATTTTAAAGGTTTGCAGCCCTACTTTCGGGATAAAAAAAGAGATGTAGATATTTTATAAAACTATTCCGTCATCACTTTCCAGCAATGTTATTTCCATTATCTGATCAGTTACAATCGTTTCAAAACGATAATGTCAAAAAAAGATTACAACACCACTCAGCTACCGAAACGCCTGAAGCCAAGCAATACCTCGATAAAATATCACCCTCAATTATCATAAATAAGATGTCTTTCGAGTGTTAATGACAAACGCTTACTTCAGAAGGTAGCCGTCTTATTAAACCGACGACTATATCCAGTTCGTCCGAGCACATCTCGGACAAACGCAACCTCCACCAGAGGACCCTTGGTGGCTTTGTTTTGGTATACTCGGAGAGGTCGACCATTCTAGTTTTGGGATGCAAAAATCGTAGAAGAAAATATTCAACAGGAGTCCAAAACGTGCAAAACATCAAGGAAAACAAGCCAAAGAAGCTGCTGTTTACAAACAGGAGCATCTCAAACATCCATGTCTTCCAGATCCATCTTATGGTCTCCTCTGACAACATTACCTTCAAATTAAGGTGAACAGGCAGAGTTTATACATAAAAGAACCAACATAAAATGAAAAAAGCGAACGCTATAAAGCAGAAATAGCCCATACGTAAGTTGCGTAACAATATTTAAAGATGTTTTATCCAGAAAAATAAGCATTGCTTTTTTATTGTGACCCTAAAACTTTATTTGTTAATTTGCAAAAAATACCACACTTCCATCTGACATGCCATTTATTACAGTAGCCATCAGTACCGCAGGATTATCCGTTCTTACCTCGATTTCATCGTAAAACAAATCGTTCGTTGTGTTAGTTGTTTTGTGATGAGATCACGTACTTGCAAGGCTGCGCAATGTTTCATCCTATATTAAAATTATTTATTATCTATTGGCAATGACTTTGATAGTCAGCCCAATATAGCCAGTCATATAGACCACAATGATAAAAAAACATGAAGATATGGTTAAAGTAGATGTTCTTCTCGGTGTAAACTGGGCTTCCCTGCAAACTGCAAAAAATTTTGCGAAAATTCCAAATTTAAATTAAAAGTTCACAAACCCCTAGATGAAACAAATAAAGCCGTCGTTCTAAAATCAAAGGACAACGAAATCGCAAACAAAACCATACATACAAAAATGGCTCGTGCTATAATTGTAACTTTTAAAACAATCATTGACAATATTACCTACGCGGTAACGTTATCAATGTCCCTCAGCATGACTTATTGCGTTCTTAACGACGACGAAGCCAAAGCTAAGATGGTCAGCTCGTATTTCAGCGACTTTATTTCGGTATGTTCTTGCTTGGGGACCGAATTTGCGGATTACGAAGAAAAAACTAACATTAAAACACGTTTTTTCTAAGGGTCGAGCATAGCTGCGACGTTAAATTCAGAGTTGTTCAATTTTGTTCAAACTTTCAAATATTTGTTGCCTATGAACCCTTATTACGATTTCACAAAAAAATTTCGAAAAAGTTACTGTAGCTGGGCGTACTGTAGTGGAGGTCCATTTTCAGTATCTCGGAAAGTACGCCCCGTAGAGACAAGCGGTCTTCACCATCATCTTTGTCGTGTTCCAAAACCTATTTTTGTAATTTTCGTCCTGGTCCTAACTCATCGGAAAGCATGTGAAATTTGCATATTTTTGCCCTTAATTTTAATAATCATAACTTTTCTCAAAAAATTTGAATAAATTTCCAGTGATTTTATCTCATATAAAGAAACTAGAGGTCTTCACGGTTCGAATGACACCAAAAACTCCAAAATCTGATTCGACACGGTTGCAAACGGCTCGACTGAAATTGACGACCCAAAAATTTGGATTTTTAATTTTTTTATGTTTCAAATTTCAACGAGCGTAATTGTTAAAATCAGAAGCCTACTGCTCATTTAGATCTGAAAAATCGATTTTTACTCATTTTTGCATGTATTAGGCATTAAACAAAATTTTTGAAATATGAAAATTAATAATTTTAATAATCATAACTTTTCTCAAAAAATTTGAATAAATTTCCAGTGATTTTATTTCATATAAAAAAACTAGAAGTCTTCGCGGTTCGAATGATACCAAAAACTCCAAAATCTGATTCGACACGGTTGCAAACGTCTCGACTGAAATTGACCACCCAAAATTTTCCATTTTTATTTATTCAAATTGCAAATTTTAATGAGCCTAATTTTTAAAATCAGATGAATATTGCTCACTCAAGGCTGAAAACCCGATTCTTACTCATTTTTTTTGCATGTATTAGGTATAAAAAAATTTTAATTTGAAAATTATTATATTCCATAAATAAATTTTATAGACCTGTAGATATGCTGTTTGGTGCATCATATAAATCAGATGTTACAAAGATAATATCCTGCTCAAAAAAAAGTTCAATCAAAAGCACCAAAATTTTTACGCAAAGCGCAATCGCTTATTTATTTTTCCGGTCGATAGATGACAAGTATAATATCTAAATGCAAAATTTGAGTAGGCTAAGGTAGAAAAGCATGTGTTTCCTAGGCTTTCACATTTGTCGCACCGCATTAAAATTTTTTCTGCCCAGAAAATGGGCTAGCAAAGAAAATAGAGCGATTTTATCTTGTGCAACCCTGTTTTGAACGTCTGACCCCAAAACCTCCACAAATGACGCGCAATTGCCACGAAAAGGTTGAAAGCGGACTTTGTTAAGCTTTTTATAGTTGTACGATATATGCTACACCCCAGAATGCCTGAATTAATACACAGGTTATTGAGCCAAGTGCAGCCGACTTCAAACTACAAGTTTGCAACCGTGTCGAGCTAGATTTTGTCATTTTTAGGCTCATTTGAACCGCAATGATTTCTAGTCACAGAATCCAAGAAAAAATCACTGGAAATTTATTCAAATTTTTTTAAAAAACTTACGATTACTAAAATGAATAATTTTCAAATAAAAAAATTTTATACCTAATACATGCAAAAAAATGAGTAAGAATCGGGTTTTCAGCCTTGAGTGAGCAGTATTCATCTGATTTTAAAAATTAGGCTCGTTAAAATTTGAAATTTGAATAAATAAAAATCGAAATTTTTGGGTGATAAATTTCAGTCGAGACGTTTGCAACCGTGTCGAATCAGATTTTGGAGTTTTTGGTGTCATTCGAACCGTGAAGACTTCTAGTTTCTTTATATGAAATAAAATCACTGGAAATTTATTCAAATTTTTTGAGAAAAGTTATGATTATTAAAATTATTAATTTTCATATTTCAAAAATTTTGTTTAATGCCTAATACATGCAAAAATGAGTAAAAATCGATTTTTCAGATCTAAATGAGCAGTAGGCTTCTGATTTTAACAATTAGGCTCGTTGAAATTTGAAACATAAAAAAATTAAAAATCCAAATTTTTGGGTCGTCAATTTCAGTCGAGCCGTTTGCAACCGTGTCGAATCAGATTTTGGAGTTTTTGGTGTCATTCGAACCGTGAAGACCTCTAGTTTCTTTATATGAGATAAAATCACTGGAAATTTATTCAAATTTTTTGAGAAAAGTTATGATTATTAAAATTAAGGGCAAAAATATGCAAATTTCACATGCTTTCCGATGAGTTAGGACCTGGACGAAAATTACAAAAATAGGTTTTGGAACACGACAAAGATGATGGTGAAGACCGCTTGTCTCTACGGGGCGTACTTTCCGAGATACTGAAAATGGACCTCCACCACAGTACGCCCAGCTACAGTAACTTTTTCGAAATTTTTTTGTGAAATCGTAATAAGGGTTCATAGGCAACTAATATTTGAAAGTTTGAACAAAATTGAACAACGCTGAATTTAACGTCGCAGCTGTAGTTGAGCCTCGCTCGACCCTTAGAAAAAACGTGTTTTAAAACAAATATAAATTGAACTTGTTTTCAGACGACTTTATCGGCTATTATGTACGCGATAACTTACTGCACATGGCCAAAAACAATTGCATCACCTTATGACCAGCTACAGAAAAACGACATCATTCTGAACATGATGGCACTTATCGGCACAATCATACAAAAGTACACCGAAAACGCCCCGTTCGCGGATTCAATTAAAACGTTATGCACCGCTGTTGTTGTCATCACCCTTCTTTTGTCTGCGCTCAACTTTTATACGGCCAACTTTATTAAAATGATATTTATCTATTGACAATGACTTTGATAGTCAGCCCAATATAGCCGATCATATAGACCCCAATGATATAAAAGAACATGCAGATATGGTTGAAGTAGATGTTCTTCTCTTCAAAGTTGAGGTTATGAATGATCGTGGGACCGTCAGACTCGCAATAGCTGACATTCTTTCCATCAAAGCCCGTACAAGAGATTCTATCGATATCTTTCCATTGATTTATGATCAGAGATTCGTATCCAAATCGGAACCTGAAATAATATAAAAAGTTACCCAAAAACTAAATCAAGAGTATCAAACTCAAACAGTTTCCTCGCACTTACCAGCTCAGATACTGTACCCATCTAACGAATTCATGCATCTTGGCGACGTTTGTGTATAATCCTCCGGTAAGTGAGAAGACCGTTAATAAAGGTCCAGAAACAGAGACAGCGAAGGCGTAGGAAGGCGCGGCAGCACTCACAGCGATCCCAATGCTCACAGCGGACCATTCAATCAATATTGTCGTAAGCAACGCAGTCAAAAAAACTGTAATTTTCTTCTGAAGTCCCATCATCCAATAGCTGATGGTGACCATGATAATTCCATCGATTGTGAACAGAGGAAGGTAGGCGAAGATCTGCAATTGATATCAAAGAAATAAAAGGTGACATACAGTCCACCAAGCTCAAAAAAATTAGCCTAACTCATACCATTGAGACATAATAGCACCAAACTGGATATACACCGTCATGATATTCTCTGGCCAACAACGGGAACGCCTTCGGGACAAATGATTGAATTCCAAAGATAGTGGAATAAGTCAACTCGGCGATGTAGTAGAACAAGGCCCCTTTCATAGACATTACCCCATCCTAAAAGTCGAATCATCACTATATTGTACTAGATATACTATGAGAAAAAAAAACTCTTAAAGCAGTGCTAACCTGATTCAACTCGCCATTAAGGTAAAGTAGTCCCAAGAAGACACCCATGAAACATTTCTGGAAGAGCTTGGCCCTGGCCAATGCCGGATTCCTGAACACATCTTTGGTCGTTCTTCTCCATAAAGCGAATAAAAGCATAAAAATTGAGACTGATTCTCTTCCTTTCAATGGCCTTGGATGTGAAGCGTTGTTTCCCTCAATCTCATCTTTGATGCTCTGATAGTTATCACTCTTCAGGTACTGAAAAAACAAACATTATTAAGTTACACATGGCATAAGACATTATTTCATGCTTTTTAACTATTTCAGATCAAATTTTTGATCCCAGCTATACCAAAAAAACGCTCACATTATCACAAATCCTCTTGATCGAAGCCTTCGATTCCTCTCTTTTCGCGGGATTCACCGCCAGTCGATGGATGATGACATCGGCGGCATTACAATTTGGAGGAATCACAATAAAATTTTTGTTCGCAAAGTATTGATAAGACCCTTCTGGAGTCCCAAGATAGGCTACTCGACCACCGGCCAGGAACATTACCTGAAAATCCAAAGTTTTATTCCAAGGATTAGATCAGCACATGCACAATATAAAAAGGTCCATAAATTTTTTTAGCCTATCCGCCCAATTCGATAGATCACTTCATCCCATTTGACCTACCTGAAACATATTTTGAACCTTTACTTACCTTATCAAATTTTTCAAAAACTTCAGCCGCGGGCGAATGAATTGTGCAGATGATTGTTTTCATTCCATTTCTGGCCAGATGATGCAGAGTCTACAAAACCGGTAACTGACATCACAGCTAGCACCTACAGTAACCACCTGAGCCGCCATGAACGAGTCCAGTCCAGTAGTCGGCTCGTCACAGAACAAAATGGCCGGATTGGCCAAGAGTTCTCCGGCAAAGGCCAAACGTTTCGCTTCCCCTCCCGAAATTCCCTTCTTAATCCCGCTGATCCCAATCCGAGAGTTCTCACTGTCCTTGAGCCCTAGTTCAAGTAGAACCTGAAAACAAATTCTATATTTGAAAAATGATGACTTTACATCATGTCTAATATAAAACAAAGAATTTTACCTCTTCAACTCGAGCCCTTCTCTCTTCAGCCGTCGAATGGGGGATCTTCAGCATCGCTTGGATCATCAGATGTTCCCTGACCGTCAATGTTCCCACAAACAAATCCTCTTGTTGGATATAGGAAGAAACACAAGTAACCCGTTTCCCAAGACTATGACCATTGCATAAGATGTTGCCAGTCACATCCAAACCCTTCAGATTTCTCTGTAACAACGTGTTCAGCAAGGTCGTCTTTCCGGCACCACTACAAAAATTATGTTAGATAATGTTATGGATAGTGTAAACATAGTCCAAAAACTTGTCTAATCCGGTGAAAAGAGTAAATCACCTTGCTCCCATCAAAGCCAGCGTCTCTCCGGGTAATGCGATCCCACTCACACCATCCAGAATATTTCTTCCGGCCTTCGAAACGACTGTCACGTTCTCCCAGGTCATGGTGACATGTTCAATACCAGAGGTTTGTTTACCCTTATCCAACAGTGATTTAGACATGATCAACCGACTCCGAATGAGGTTTTATAAGACTAATGAGAAAACTGAACCAGTTTCCAAAATTTGGAAATAAAAATTATTTTATTTTAGGAGATTATTACTATTTTTTAGCCAAGTTTTGTGTCAAATTTGCTGTTATGACTAAAACCAACGCTGCATTTGGATCCTTACCAAGTTTCAGAGGGCCTTCTGTATTCTGAGTTGATGTTTTTACTATTTTTAGCCGTTTTTTGTCTACTTTGTTGATCTAAATAATTGCTTTCCCCCCAGGTATGTTCGTGCTTTTTTTGGGCCGAGCCGACGCGGTTGCGTTGGCGGCGTTGTCCCCGACTACAGGTGACGGGGGTCGTGGCTTCAACCCCGACCTCCAAGAAAACACAATAAAGAGTCGGAAAAAGGGCTGGGTGTGCCGGATTTCGCATAAATAGAAGCGGTCTCGGATGTCTTGGCAACAAACCCGAGCGCCGGACATCCGGTCGGTGGGTCCCCGGCGCTTCTCCCCTCCTCCCATTCACTTCGAACCTGGCTCGGCGCTCGCATTCACGGCACGTTGTTGTCCATGCTCTCCAATTACGAGTCGCGTCGTTTGGATCACATATGCCAGCGATTGTGGAGCAGCAAGCAGGCGGATATGGGCAAAAATAAGTTCAGCGTGGAGTTTCTGTTGAGTGCAGAGAATGGCATAGAGGATGATAAATCAAGGTAAGGACAGCCGATGTTATACTGGATTGGGGCAGCCGAAAATTTCAAAAAGTCAAAAAATTTCGCTTTTAACAAGTAAGTAAGTTTAAACTTGCAAGATCATAACTAATTCAAATCAAACTCTCTTTTGGCCTTAAAAATCATGATTTCAGTCAATTCAAAGCTCTGATTCACTCATTAAATTTTTTAAGCCATATCGCTGTTTCATGTTTATTGGCTGTTGAAATCACTATTAGATCATGTTCACGTTGTTACCAAAATCGTTATTCTCCCCGTCCATGACCCCAAACTTTAACCTCAAGTCCCCGGAATCTTCTACAGTATACCGGTTGCCAGGCCAACCCAACCATTTTTGTTAGGCCCAACGACTTTGGATTTTTGGCCGCGCCAAAAAAACAAAAAAGGCATTGAAAAGACTACGAACAGGGATACAAATGAATATTTAAGTGGTCTGTCTCATCATTCCTTCTTTCAGCAAATCAGAGAATATTCAAAAGCTTGAGAAGACCATCCACAAACCGCACAAATCCTCCTCGACCGAATGCCTGAGGCCATTTTGCAAATTGAAAAAGCGAGTTCATTTCCATTGCAACTTTTGTGAACAAGGATTCAGCACCAAACAACGGTTACTGCCACATATCCAGAAGCATCTGACCCGGCGAAACAAGGCCATAATGGCCGAAAAGCAAAAAGAACTCAAATGAGAGAGGAGATTATAGTATATTAGATAATAATAAACTTTTAACATCTAATTTGGATACTAAGGATCTAGTGTAATATAAACTTTTTACAATTTATCCAGGCATTTTCAACAATAACGTCAACAAAAATCCAACAAATGAAGGTAGAAGATTTCATACGCGACGATTAACCCATTTATCCACATGACTCCGAATTTTTACCACTAAAATAATATTGTACTAGGCAAGCCAACCAAGAAAAGGATTTAAAAGCAATCTCGACTTACGACCGCTGTGTCTCTTCTTTCTGGCTGTCGTCAACTCTAATATGGACTCTCGGTAAGATGTGGCTGCTGGTTGAGCTAATGGCTTTGCTTTTGCTGTCATCACTTTGAATTCACTTTCACTAAACACAGAAGAATTCAAAAAAAATTAGTATAACTTACCCAACAACAACTTTGTATTCTCCTTGAGCCACCTTCTTGACGACTTTCTTTGTTGTCTTCTCTTTCTTTGGTTTTAGCACAACTTCAGGCAATGGAGAAGGTTCTTTATCAAAGTCCAGCGGATTCTCTTCTTTTTTGGTTATCTGCTCTGCTGGCTCATCGTCGCTTTCCCCTCCAGGCATCGACACGACCACGGGGACTTCTAGATTCTTCAGCCGGCGTCTCCTTTCTTCCAATTTCTGTTCGTAAGACTTGGGACGAGCATCTAAAGAGCAAGTATAAAATAAAAATGATAAAACTCACTTTTCAACGGTAATTTGGCCATGATAAGTCCGCTTTGTCGTCCTGCAAAGGTCTAGGAGTAAAATAAAGAGGCTCATGAAAATTCGCGCAAAAATATTCTTCTTTCTCCACAAAATTCGTCATTATGACCCGACTGAAAAAAAGTATACTAATAGAAAAAAATTAGACTAGGAAAAGCATTAAATTCGCTTCCGATGTCGTATACATTCGTAGATTTTAACCTTTGTTACTGTGAAATTTGCAGGTATCAATGACATCTTTTCTATACGTTAAGACGGAATGTCAATATCGACTTTCAAACGAAATGTCAAAAACACGGTCTTCTCTGCAGGTCTTATCGGATTTATGGTAAACGGCTTTGTTTCGTATAAACTATCATCCCAGCCACTTCCCATGGCGGTGTCAACATTGTTTATCGATCAGGTCCAAACGGAAAGTAAGTTTATTCAGTTGTGAGGTATATACAGACAGATCTCTAAGCGAAAGAAAAGCGGGGGTCTAAAGCCTTCATCCACATAACTCAATAGTCTCGACCCCAGTGCGCTTCTCCCATTGAGTTGTGATAAGAGTTTCGTCGTGAATACGAGTTGTACGGGAGGGTTCCGGTAGGTCGGATAGGCGATGGAGGGATAATATTCGGTTTCCGAGGGTGGGTGCCATGGTAAGACGGGAGGGTACCTTGGATTGGAGGGGGTGGGTAGTAACTGTTGGGGACGTATGGAGTGAATTCGGGGAGGGAATCGCCGAATACGGCATTCCTGAGTTCATTGTAACGTTTTTCGTTCTTGACTCTTGAGTGATTGGCAGTGCTGCTGGCTAAAAATTGGACCAGTCCAAGACAAACAATGCCTGATCCGAGGAAGCCAATGAAGTACCACGCCACCACGGAGTTTGTCGCCGCACAGAATTGTTGAGCATTCCCACCACAGAGAATCAAATTCTGAAAACGGATGGATCAGATGGCTACTATAATCAAACCTTCTAAAATACGGATTCAAAAAGAAAATCACTTACCTCTTTCGGTGTGTTCTTGAAGATTGGTTGGAAAACGCTGAAATCCAAGCAATTTGATTCGTTGTAGGCCGCTAGAGAGGCACATAATCGACTTAAGACATAGTAACCAGCACTTAGGATCGCTGTTGTAGCGAATACGAACATCCATAGGATGTTCAGGATGTAAGAGCAGACCATAGCGGTGATCCCGAAGCATTCTCCACCTCTCCTCGCGCTCTCTCGTTTGTAGATTTGCTCTCTCGTTCGACCCGTACTAACAATGGCAATGGCTAGCAAAAAGATGGCAAATAGTGCCATTATAAAGGCCATGATTAGGAATGCAAGGTTGATCTGAAATTTAGACACGATTAAGGACGGATTAGTAGTAATTTTTGGTTTAAAAAATTGTAGAAACCTCGATGTTCCACTTGACATTACTTTGGGCCCTCTTTTTAACCTTGATACCGGGAAATGTGTTACCTTATCTAGCCATGGGAGATCCGTCAGATCCAAGGCTCTTCTGAATTGCTCCACGCTCGCATTCACAGCGAACCACATCATCGACGAGAACAGAACAACTCCAACAAAACACATAAAGAAGCCCATGGCCGAGAAATAGGGTATCCTGCTGAGACATCCATCGTCCGCATAATACGAGGACGATCGATACATTCCCAAGTGCTCGGCTGAGGGATGTTTGAGCATGCCCTGGAATAATACCATAGTTAACATTAGCTTAAATTAGATTATACGTCTAAAGTAATACAAGATGTTGTGTGATACGATAAATGTCTAACATTAGACACTAAGCTCATCAGGACCACACCCTGAAGCGAGCGAATGACTCATATTTATCTGTCTGGATTCAATGGGAACTATCAGAAGAGCGGAAGAAAAGAGTCCATTTTTTTGGGGGAAACACTCGGGCCTGGGTCACTCGCGCAGGTAGATGGGTCGAGAGAGCGAGGGACAGCACTCGGCTCGTCGCTAGGCATCTATGCGTGGAAATATGAATGCCGAAAAGGGGGAGGCAGAGGGATCAATATATTACTATAGGCATCTATTCAAATGGATGATGATAATCCGAAAAGTACGGGTAAATCAGGGTAATCGAGGGTGATACAAAGAGTAATTTGCTCCAAAGTATGTAATTCTCAACTTTGTTGAGAATGCGAACCTTGGGGTTGTATTAATTTAGTCACTTTATTACCTTAGGTCTTAATTCCTTGAAGAGAACTCGCTGTCGATACATTTAGCTGGCGCAAATTTTAAATAATAGAGAGTGTAATTTCCTTTGCTTCTAAAGTTTTATACCGTTTTCCCACTTAGTTAAACGACCTCAAATTATGATCTACTATAAGGTCATGATTAATGTAAAAAATTTAAAGGAAGTCGACTTTACTTTGAGAAAGACCCCGCAGTGATTATTGAATAATTTTCACCGCGGAGTAATTTTGGAACCATAGAATAAACAGACTCCTCCTCTCGCCATCTATCATCTATGCTTACAAAAGAACCGAATATTATAGTATATTCGAACGTATGAAATGACACTTAAGATCGTTTGAAGCATCCGCTTCCTCGTTTTCTTCTCGCCTCTTCCCTCCTTTGTTATGCAATCTGAATATTTGCAGGGCGGAATCAAATAAATCTGATGAATGCACCTCATCTCAACTTCATAGATAATATACCCATCTCCAGGCATAGTAAATCCTTCAAGGAGCGATGCAAGGAGATCAGAAACAAGTGGAAATTGGTCAAACTGATGATGGGGAAGGAAGAGTCGAGGAGTTTGCTGCATCCCGTCATGGTCCATTTGGGATGGAGGTCAGTCCAAGGTCAAAAACATGTTCAAAAGAGCTGATATTGTTTGAATATAACTATAAGAAGTTTTTTATATAGCCTAGGGACTTCAGGGATTCATATTAGCTCCATTATTGTCATTAGATCTATGATTTGACTTATTTTGCCTAAATTTTTATTTTTAGACTAGGTACTGTAATATAATTTTTAGGATGATCAGAGTAAAGTCGAACCGAAATCTTTCGGTTGGCCAAAAGATCAGTCAGAAATACAGATTTTATCAGCCGATGCCTCGATTTCGCCCCTTTGCTTGCTCAAAATGCGCCCTCAGTTCCCATAATTTAGTCACGATCAAGGCACATAACTGTCGACGAAGGAAAAGGAGAGAATTGAATCAGGAGGAAATTCAGAAAGCAATAGATAATGGACACAAGAGTGGACTCAGGAACCCATTAAGGACTATGGAAAGCATTGACAATCCATCCAAATTTGTAATCGAAAAATTGAACGTGGAATATCAGAAGAACCTCGGGAAAGAAAGGAGGATTACTCGGTAAATTTATATTCAAATGGCTGTTAATTGAGCGGAATTTTAGCCAAAGGATCCCCAAGATGTTTCGAGAAAGCAGCAGCGATCTTTTACTTCCGGTTTTTACAAATTCAAAGGAAAATTCAGGGGAAATTTTAAGGGAAAAAGAAGTTTGCTACATTTGTCTCAATTGTGGAGGGCAATATCAAAACTACAAGGAGTTTGATGATCATCTGTACGTATCAGACAACTGCGCCAACCCAAATAACGACATGACGGTCATAGTAAGTTTGGAAAATGCCATGTTTTATCAAAAAGCATATTAAAAAAATGTTAAAACTGAGCTTTTATAAAAAATGCTCTGGAAACAGACGAAATAGAAAGAGGAAAATAATGTTAAGTTCAATTTCAGGTAGAAAATCACTCCTTTCCCCTGAATTACACCAAGATCTCGAAGGATGACATAATAAAAGATGACGATCTCAGATGTCTCGGATGCCAAAAAACAGACTTTGAAGACATGGTCCAACTCCAAACACACGCATTGCAATGTAATGTACAGTATTAGGGAATTGACTTGTTCTACAAAACGGGTATTTCATAGCCATGTATAATATAACCTTATTTATTCAAGTCTATTTATTGTCTAAGCAGTTCAAAGTAGCTGAGATCAAAAATGAGGTACAAATCAAAGATTGCGCAAATGAAGGATGTCATCTGACATCGAATGGCTTTATATGACAGTTTGGATTTCCAATTTCGGCCCATTGGAAGTGGAGTCTGAAGGGGTCCGCTGATAAACTCTGGGCCGATTGCTGAACGAAACTCGCTGAGGACTCCGCCGTTTCAACTGCTGGTTGTAATATGGAGCGGCTGACGTGGATCTGGATTGGGTTCTGCGGCTAGACGATCGCTTGGATTGTCTGGTACTAGGCCTATTTTGTCGGGTATCCACGGGTCTTCCAACTGACTGAGTTGGCTGATTATAGCCTTCTAATCGTTGCAGAGGCTGTCTAGAGTCAGCTCGAGACATTTGCTGTCGACTCCTCACTTCATAAGGGCTTGGATATCTGTATTCTTCTCCGGGATATCTGAAATCCGGTCTTGGATATTGTCCTTGGTTGTTCTTGTACCCCTGACCAATTGGAACTCCCCTTCTTGGCTCAGACTGAGGTCGAAGTGGAGATCTGGACTCGCGCCGTCTCAACTTCCTCCTCATCTCATATGGTGGTTGTGGAGGCATTTTTGGATAGAAAGACGGGACATCGGACGGCAGATTCTTGTCCCTCTTCTCCTGATTCTTCCCAATTTTATCGGATGTCAGCGATCCCGTTATCCGCAAATAATACATTAGCACCACAATGAAGCAAGGCCCATTAATCGCCAAAGAGAAGACGAATTCAGCGACCGAGGCGGTCAGTTGTTCGTTAAAAATGTCGCCACTCCACCAGAGAATCGCATAAGCCGTGGTGAGGATGATTAAGGGCGCACAGGTGAAAAACCACGGGCAAATCAACGAATGGTTCCTCTAAATGTTCAATAAAGCTATTTTGGGGTTCACTCACCTTGATGACTCCATATAATAAGAGACAAGTGGTAAGTAGATGTACAAAAGTTACTCCGATACTTATCAAAACGATGACATAAAGAGCTGAAAACAATAAGGTACAGATAGGGGAGGGCCTTACCATTGATCTTTCGTCTCTCCGGAGTCTCGGTATAGATGGCATAGAGACCGGGAAACCGCGCTTGGAACCCATCAACACTAAAGAATACTATTTTAGATAAGTTATATTGTTGTAGGCACAAATAGGAAAGTGGCTTACGCGTGAGTCGGAGGTAACTGCCGATTCTCGTACTCCCATTGGAACGTCTTTACGACATGTGTTTGCCATCCCAACACCCCAAATTGGAATAGACAATAGATCTAAAAATTCTATTTATTTGGTTTGTTATCAGCAAAAGTATTGTTGACAAAACTTAGTCTTTACCAAGTTATAAACTCCAATCGCTATTGAGGAACAGCGTAGACAATAGTACGGGTCAGTCATTACATTATTGCTCCACTTCCAAAACAGTTACAATATCATTTTATCGTAGGTGTCCGATTTCGATTCAAAAGAATCAAAAATCGCAAAATGGGTAAGGGAAATCAATTGAGGGTATGATTCAAATGGTCGGGAAGGGGAAAGAGGGCCTTATTCCTCTTCGGTGGTGTTTGTTTTGTCCCCGTGACCGACTGGAAATAGTCCGTGAAGGTGCGCTCGCTTCTCGAATGACCACTGACCGCTCCGAAAACAAGAGCCGCCGGCAAAGGTGTCCATGGCAACCTGCGGCAACAGTAATGCTATTAATAGGATTATTGGATCTGGATATGAGAAGGTGTAATCCGAAATTAAATTATATTCCCCATCCAATCTGATCTCATTTATAAAGTTGTATATTTATTCCAAAATAAATAATTAGCACAGTTATTTTCCGGCTTCCAGATGCTTATGAACCATCTCTTCTTTGAGTATCAGATGAGAGACCTTATTCAAGATATCGGTCAGTTTTCGGACGTTTGATCCCCATTGGTCCAAGGTTTCCACGTTCGCTTTACGGGCTCGGAGATTCACAATTCGTGAAGGACGGTGGATCTTGGCATCAGGGATTACACCAGTCACAATTAAATTACACAAGAACGATTCCATTTCCTAAAAAATAAATTTTTATATTATCCATAACTATTACCCAAACATCAAGGCTAAAACTCACCTCCACCGGGAATTCGAGGATCTCAGCCATTCTATCAAAAGTGATCTGGGTATAGTACTTGGCGATCATCCTCATGTTATGTTCTCCAACTCTCTCTTTGAAGGTCTTCCATCTTTTCTCACCTTCATCCGTAACGGAGAACACCTGGGGTGCAGGCGAGGTAGCAGTTCCCTTTCTCAACAATGTTTCGTAAGTCTTGAGTATCGAATCTTTCCAGGCAATAATCTCTTCATTGATGAACAATTCAAGAAGATTATTATATTCTGGGACCAATTCGAGCTGTCTGATGGCATGAATACGATGGACTTGATCCCATTGCTCATTTCCATGGGGAGAGAGCAAGACGTAGAGAACGACATTCTTCAGGATCTACACGCAGAAAAATAAGACAAGTAGTTTAACTTACTTCTTTAACTTTATCATCATCTTTCTGGACCTTTGGAGTGTCAAAAACAGATCTATAATGCTTGCAGACATCCAAATAGTTTCCTTCATTAAGTCCAATAGCAATTTTGTAGGTATAGAACTCAAGTTTCAGATCTTGTACCTAAAAATAACAAAAAATAATTTTATATTACCCATGATGAAAAATATTAATTTACTCACATCATCAGCCTTGCTGTCAAAGAACTTGACACTGATTTTGTTGGAAATAATATTTCCTCTGACAAAATCATTCCGTTGAATTGACAATCTAATCTGATCCAACAAAAATCTGACTTTCTCTGGCATTTCCATTGATCCAAAAGTCTCAACTTGAAGTTCGATCATGTTATTCCAGGCCTCTTCGATCTTTCCTTCGGCCTCCAGTTTCTTCACAACCCTCTTGGTCAGTCGGGCTCTTTCTACTTCAACATAAATCTTTCCGGCAGTCACAGTTCGGAGAACATCCACCAATTTGTTACGATCTTCTTCAGTTGGGACCTGATCTACGAATTCGCAGCAGTCTTGGACCATATTCTTGATGGCGAACTTGATCAGAGACCTCTTCTTGGACATGGCGACAATTGTGTCGTTGAGAAGTTTCCAATCCTTTGCTTCGAAAGCAATCTTCACCATGTGTCGTAGAATACGAGAATTAGATCTCATATCAGCGCCAAGCCGAGTTTGTTTTTCCAACAACGACAGGGATTCGATGGCACCCAAAGGACTTGTCTGAAACGTCATTACAATAACCAAATCTATCTAAAAACCAAAAACTAAGATATAAAATAACATTAATCTACCTTGGCAATGTTGCTGGCTTTTGGCAGAGCCTCATCGACCTGTGGAGCATAGTCCACATCCATCTTGACGAGTCGGCCATCTCCGAAGTTGGCAGAAGTGAACTGCGCGAGAGTAAAATCGTCCGGCTCCTTTCCTTTTCTCTCTGGCTTATCCACCTGGATGGGCTCGACCGGGATCGGCTCGCGGTTCTCCATTATTTACAGCTACTGATCAAAATTTACACTTATCTTCGGAAAAACAGACCAAATTTTAGAAAAGAAACCAAAAAATTTGTTTTTTGATGATTAAAACAGAATGCCAAAATTCTTGTTTTCGTGGTGGGGTTTTTTTGAAATTGGGAAAAATGTGATTTTCAAAAAAAAAAGGGAAATACATTTGCATAGTGCCAAAATGGTCACGAAACGGCTAATTACATTCATTTCCACTCATTCCTGGCCGTGCAGTTAGCCGTTTTTAAAATTTCCATTAGCTTTTTCCGAGTTACAGTCTTGACTCTGGCCTGGACTGGATATGCCACCAGTGGATACCAGTAAAAAGTCAAGTGTCTCAATTGTCAAAGACGTAAGAATCAGAAAAATTCATGTACTTTCAACATGTTTTACACTGAAATTTAAAACTGGACGACTAGTGTAATATAATTTATGTGATATTTTGCTTGCAGAGTAACGGAAGCAACATTTCCAAGAAAACTGCTGCTTCTGAAAAACCCGCGGACAAGAATCAAGAGAAACAGCCTGAGAGTAAGAAAATCTTAGTCTAAAGATACTTAATTATTTTTGCTTCATCTGGTGGGCAATTTCAGCGGACCTCAATAGCGATGCCGATGAAATTTCTGTCAGATCAAGCCCTGTTGTTGTATCAGCTAGCGCCCGTAATTTCTCACCGATTGTCTTTTCCCGAAACGAATTGAAAGCGGCCGGAAAGGGATGTGAAAAAGATGTGGAGGAGAACGAGCACTTTGACCCCGTATTTTATAAGAATCAAGTGGCCATGAGACAACACGATCAAGCCAAGCGACCGCTGAACAGCACGCAAGCCGAAGCTATGGTAGAATTGGGCGAATTGGAGGTGGAGGTGATCGCAAAGAAGGTCAGTAAAAACAAGGACATCAGATGTAAATTGACGGTAAAACAACAGGCATACCTCGGAAGTGGCGCGTTCTCAGGTATATAAGAGAAGTTGCAGACCTAGCAGCTTTTAGACGTCTACAAGGGCACAGTAAAGCCAAAGGACAAAAAAGGATCTCAAGAATTGACCGTGGCCATAAAGAAAATCTGGCCGGATCCGTCAAGGGAAGACCGTCAGATCGCGATTCACAGAAAATTGGACCACCAGAATCTGATCAAATTGCTGTATTATTACGTTTGCGTCCATCCCGAGACCAAGCAAACGATGTGGTCGTTGATTTTGGAGCTAATGCCATCGACTGTGGCTCAAGAACAGGGGAAAAGAATGGATCGGGGAACCCTTCTGCCTTCGTTGTACGTCAAAGTAAGCGGTTTCCAGCTATGGATTTGTCGAGGGAAAAAAGGATTTTCGTCAAATATGGCATAGACATTAGATCAAGGCCATAGGTCAATTTCTGAAATGGCGGAAGAAGAAATAATTTTTTTAGAAAGAAAAAAAGGGCAACTATTTTTGGATTACTGTAAGACGCAAGCTGAAAATTTCACAAATAATTTCGGAGATTGTAAGCTTTTTATCATCCATTTTTTCACTGTGAAATTTTTTTAGTTGTTCATGTATCAGACCTTCTGCGGCTTACTGTATTTGGAGAAGGTGAGATACTTTCATCGCGATATCAAGCCGGACAATTTGTTGGTGAACATGGCCTCCGGCTGCTTGAAGATTGGCGACTTTGGAAGTGCTCGTCGCTATCGTCCATACGAGAAAAACACGGCGTATCAGGTGACTCGATACTACCGCGCTCCCGAACTTTGTATGAAATATACCAAATACGATACGACGGTCGACATCTGGGCGGCTGGGTGTATTCTGGCGGAGATGTTGACCAATCGGATCATCTTTTATGGGGAGGACAATGCGGATCAGCTGAAGAAAATCTTCAGAATCTGCGGGACTCCGAATATGGATCAGCTGAAGGAATGTGTCCCGGGGCATGAACTGGACCCAATCATCTTGAGGGACCAGTTTCCGGCTGCCAATTGGTTTAAAATTTTGAAGAGATACAATCGGAACGCGACACAAGTTCACGCAGATATGGTGGGAGCGTGAGTTTTAATAGTTTTATATTATCCATGCCGTCGATTGGTTCCATTATCTCTAAAAATTATGTTCAGAATCCTTCGATACGAATGCAACAAACGTCTTCGTGGCTTAGATGCCCTCAGGCATCCTTTTTTCAATTCTTTGAGGAAACCGACTGCCAAAATGCCAGATGGATCTGCGTTACCAAGCTTGGAATATCTAAATGAAACAAGATAAAGTGCTAAATCTCCTTTTTCAAACTTTATTTCAACAACATAACGTGAGTAATTAGGGGAAAACAAAAAAAAACAAACAACAATAACATTAGACGTCGAACACGCTATTAAAACGGGGATTAGACTGCCTCCGGCTCTTTAACGGACATCAATTTGATTCGACCGTAGGGCTCATCTTGTTCGGATTCAAGTTTCTGCTCTTTCAAAAGCCCTAAGATTAAAAAATTCCAATATTACAGATAAAAATGACTTACATAACAAATTAGAAAAATCCCTGGCCTTTTCACGGGTGGATTGAGGGTCAGTGAACACTTCGTCGAGATGAACAACTGGTTGGGAATGGGCCTTTTCATAAATTCGACTGAAAATAATATCATTTTCCATAAAAAAGGTACATTCTTTGGGCAAATTTTAAAAATCTTACCGATGGAGATCAAATCTAGTCTCCGATGGCGAATTGAGGTGGATGTTGCGTTCTTCGCGAGCTCTTTCTTGAGTAGGAGACTCAAAAATGGTTTGCTGACGAGTCAGAGTCTTCTCTCCTTGAACAATTGCTGGATGTCCAGGAGGAATATTCTCATCATTCAATCTGGACTCATCAATTACATCCAACTGAGGTTGTTCTAATTCACTTGAGCGATGATAAAACGACGGGCCGATTGAAGATCGACGGCGCTCTTCAATTTCATCAAGGTTTTCCATTTGAATTTGAAGCTCATCTTGAGGTGGAACGTTCTCAACATTTTCATATGGATGTACTTGTTCTTCTGCTGGAAATTGCATTCCCATTTCATGCTGGACTTCAGGGATCGGCTCTTCTGGGATATTTCGCTCTTCTTTTGGAGATAGTCTTCCATTAACGGGAGTTGAAAGCCGTGAAATATCATTCAGCAGTTGACGAAGCTCTCCAAGTTCAGCGCGATCCAAAACCTCTTCATATTTGTCGAGAACATCTAAAATTTTTATAAAATAAACTATATAAAACTTACATTCCGGAAGATTGCTGGTCATTTGGAAAAGCCGAGGAACGCCACTTTTGACAGCCTTTGAGGGTCTTTTCAAAGGTTCAATGCAATCAAAAAAGTCTTGAAGTCCATTGGCGATCTCGTCCTAAAAATTCAAACAATAGATACCTAAAATAAGATCCTACGTCGTCCAGGGAAGTTTTCTCGTCATAAATAATTCTGGCATGTCTTCTGGGTCTGCGGGCTGGTGGATTTCTTCGACCAGTCGTATTTCGTGGAGCCGTCTCGATTTGAGGCAAAACAATTCGATTACTCGACTCCAAAAACTCGTAATTCCCATCGATGGAGATATCAACCGAGTTCTCCGTGCGCAACGGACCTGCATCTAATTCGAAAAGTGATGGCTGAACGAACTCATTGATTAATAGGAGGAATACAAGACACCAACCTGATTCACAGTGTCCAAAAAATTATTCCAATCACGAGCTTCTTGATAGGTCGGCATTTCAAAGTCCATCAAAGAATTATACCTAAAAAATAAGGAACAATAAGGAAATGCTTACTTCACTTCGCCATCGTAACTTCTCTCCCTTTCCTGAGGAAACTGCATTTCATGTTCTTGAATAATTTCCTCTTGGACAAACGGAGGAACTTCAGGAAGCAAAGAATCCAAATTTTGTTGAGGATCTTGATACATGTCGCGTCTAAAAAAAGAAAGTGACTAGACTAAAGGTGCACTTACATCAACTCTTGCATAAACTCTTCGGCATCCAGAGGTCGATCATGAATGTCATCGGGAAGAGTAATCTAAAATAAAATAAATAATTGGAAATAAAAGTTACCTGTCGATTGAGTTCCCGATATTCATCATGAGTGAGAATCGACAAAGGATCGCCTTCAAATTCGAGCATCTGCAGATGTCTGCGACGCTTCTTTGGCCGAGTTTCCTCTTGTTCCTCAAGAAGCGGAGGACGTCTAAAATTGTTCAATAAAACCATTAAACAACCAGGACTTGCTTCTTGATCTGTACAACAATCTGCGGCTTCAGCGAATCCAAAAAATGCTCCAGTTTGCTGAGAAAAGCCTCGACCTTCTTGTGATGGGTAACTACAATTCCATAGTATAAAATGGACAAAAGATAGAGAGACATCTTCGTTTTCACTTCATTGCGAACATCTTTGGAGCTTCCCGTCGGAATGTAGCTTCTCAGATCCTGACTAAAACACAAATTATATTACTCTTGGAACTTTTATATTATCCACGATGTTCAAAACTGACCAGTACTTCTCGATATCCACATTTTCCACTTCCTTTTTGCTTACATTACCATTGTGCGCCAATTTCCTGCAAGATTACATAACATTTTTCCGACTTTATCTTACCAGATGAGATAAAATTGCGCATTCTTTCTCTTGAGTATATTCAGTGAGTAAAACATAGTGTTAGTACTGTTCAAGCATCGAGCATGCTCAAATGCGCAACGTGCTGTGCCAAAAACAGACGCCGACCAGTACTTTTGTTATCATAATTTCGTTTCGAGACAAATTGCATCTTCAAAAACGTAAACTGCAGAAGCTAGGGCGCAGCTTTCAAGTCCGGCAGTCTGCGCCCTATTTTCATTTTTTTTGGGAATCTTTTTTTCCAATAACCTGGAAGTGGCGTTTTGGTAGTATTTTTGTGTTTCTAATATGACAGCACGACCTCCACGTGAAGATCCATTTGGGCAGCGTTTTCTGAGGGATGAAGAAGCTGTCTTTGATTATAATGCGTGGGATGGAGTCGACTTTCCTGAAGAAAAACTCGCAGAAGTCGAAGCAGCCTTGGAGAATCAGAAACTTTCAGCGGTGGACGACAAATTGGCCGATGAATTGAGGAAAGATGCTCAAGGGAAGTGGGATTCCTTTTACGAAACACACAGCGACAAATTCTTCAAGGATCGGAAATGGTTAACCCGAGAGTTCCCTGAAGTTTTCCAGTCAACGGTAAAATATTTCTCTATTATTTTTACGTTGTTAGGGCAAAATACGATGTATGGACGTTGGTTGTGGAGTTGGGAACACCACTTTCCCTTTGCTGGCGGCCAATCCGAATTTGTTCATGTATTCAACCGATTTCGCAGCAAACGCCATCGAAATCCTGAAGAAATCGGAGGAGTATAGCGACGATAGATGTTGTGCTTTTGTGTGGGATATTACGGATGGGGATGCAGTATTGCCAGTAGAAGAGAAGAGCCTGGATTACATCTTTTGCGTCTATGTTTTGTCAGCTCTACCTCCGGAAAAAGCTTTGGATGGAGTAAAGAATCTAGTGAGGTTATTGAAACCTGGTGGTATGATATGTGTAAAGGACTATGGCAGGTGTGTTTTGTCCTTATTTTGCTAATGCTTGTGTCAATTTTTGTATTTATTTTATATTATATTACTTTAGACATGATCTCACTCAATTACGATTCAAAAAGCAGCGTTATATCGACGATAATTTTTACTGCCGAGGCGATGGGACTCTAGTCTACTTTTTCACGCAAGATGAGCTTCATGATCTCTTTGAAAAAGCTGGTTTGGAGAAGGTGGAAAATTGGGTTGATAAAAGATTGGTCGTGAACAGGGCGAAAAAGGTGACCATGTACAGGAGGTGGATGCAATGTAAATACAGAAAGCCTGATTGTTAATTGTTGAGAATAAAGGCGAAAGAAGTTTGTTTAAAAAGGGTTGATCTATTTATTTATATTTTACTACGTGCTAGATGTAAAAAATGATGATTTTAGAAAACCTTGTACTACAATGAGGTTGAAGTTTTTTTCTAGAGGTTTCCAGAGACTTGTGAGATACGAGGATAAGTGAATGACAGTTAAATTTACCTTATACTTGAGTTTTAAGTATGAGGTAAATTTAATTATAAAATATGTTCTCGGAACCTAATAAACTACAGTCATAACCGAGAATCTGGTGTTTGTTGACGCCGCAGATTTAGAGCCGCTCGCGCGGACCCGCAAAATTTGAATACCCACCGGAAACGAATGGCCCAACTTAAACTTCAGTCAACAAAGACCCCAATACATATGGCTGAGCGTTGGTGCGGGGTGAGGTGAAGTGCGAAGAGTGCGAGATCAGGTTAAAAACGCTAATTTTGAGGTAAAAGTCGCGACCCCTATCATTTCTCACGCTCCTTTGTCCGATTTCTGAATGATCTGGCTGCTCGGCTTGTTATTACAGGTGAGTTTATTTATTTATAGCGACGTCGTGGTCGGCTATCTGATTACGATACGGGTTGATTCTCGACTTATAGGCTCTTGATCGAAGGGAAATCAAGCAAAGGGGTGAAAATGGGCGTTAATTATATTACACTAGGTGCAGAAAAAGAAATTTTAGATCAAACTGGTGTTCGGGACGAGTGGAGAGTGTGACCCGGACTTGAATAAGCATTGGTATCCGGTGCAGAATGAATCGACAAAGTTCTTTTTTTGTCATCCTACCAAAAAGTAAGTGGATTCGTAAAAAACTTACCTAAAGTTATATAAAAAATGTTGATAATTAAAAATTAAATAATCTTACGGTCTTCAGAGTTTACCAGCTGGATGAATGTGGCTCGGAGAGTGGGATTCAGAAGGAATTTGATTTCCTTCTTCAGAAATGTGCCCTCAGGAACAAGACTTTCAATTCCAATCTCTCCGATAATAATTTGAGTCATCCTCCCCGGCATTCTTTCGGAACTATCCCAAATCTCTCCACAATTGGTCAAAAAATCCTTGGGCGACTCCCAGAACCGCCACGGACGCGTTACGAATTCGACGAACTCCAATGCCCGCAGGGTCGAAATGCCCTAAAACTGAAGGGAAAACCGGTCGAATGCAGTGCTGCCCCAGGGCAAGACGACCCCAGTGTCCTGCACTGTGGCCCTGATGGCCATTTTCGGTGTTCTTTCTTCTCGAAAATCGGCGACAGAGGGATTTGTTGCGAGAAATTGGAGAAGAAACAGATAAAATGCCCGCCCAGGATGGGTCCGGTCATGGAAAAGGATGGAAATGTAAGGGAAATGTGATTTAAAAAAAGTTTCTGACATTATGCAGCTTCGAAATAAAACTGCCGAAGGTTAAATAATCGTCTTTTCGAAAAACAAAAGAAAGGATGACTTTTCCAAAATAAAGTGCGTTTTCTGGGCGCTTTCTGCAAAGTCCGGTCTGAAAACTTCCAAAGATTCTAATAGAGCTCCAAGTTTTGTATCACCCAAATACTATCAAGATCAGCACACTTTTTTGGGATACCAATTTTCACATACTACAATATAATTGAGATTTTGAAATCAAGCGCAATCTCTTCTGACACAATTTTTTCTCCAGGCCCGTGCCTGTAACCCTCGCCGCGTTGGTTCTTGTCGCACAGAAGGGTCGGTTTGTGTTTTCGATGAAGAGCAGGGCGATTTCCATTGTTGCCAAGTGGATATGAGTGAGTATGAGGACGAAGAAGACGAGCTAGAAGCGAGCACAATGAATTATCTGGCCATTGGGATGACTAACCAATTGAGACCACCCAAATATATTGGCCGACCACGCAAATATTCGAAGGACATTGAGGAAATTAATGGGTGTAGAGGTGGGGAGATCCCCTTCTTGGATCAAAATAAAGGCGCGATGGAGTGCACCGCTGATAAGGGTATGATGCATACGTAGACCCTTCTTACTGTATATTTATTTTCATTTTTTACTCTGCTTTTTTATGTCAAACACCTCTAAAATCATAATCATTCATTCTTCCGCACTGTGCGTTCCCCCAAAAACTTTGTCGACTTGCACTGTGCAATTGACTGCACTGTGCAAAATTTGATTGCACCGTGCAATCAAAAGCCCATAACTTGACTGGTCTGTGCAGTCTCCGCAAATAAATTTTTTCTTTTCAGTAACTTGCCCTCCGGGTTTCCAGTGCTACCGATCGCGTCGCTTCCAACGTTACATTTGTTGTGGGATGAACAGAGGTTACTGTCCCTCCAATTCGGCCGTCTTAATGGGTCCGAAACAACGAAAAGTGAGCTGCGGCACTCTTTCCGGATGCCCTGAGGGCTTCTACTGCCACAAGAGTAGTCACACCTGTTGCAGTTTGGAGCCGACTGCTGGGATATGCGAGCAGGGACTGCCTTTCATAAACAGCGATGGAAAAGCGCGATACTGTGAGCAGAGCTGCCCCAAGGGCTACACTTGTACGAAAAGATTTCGGAAAAGTGTCTGTTGTCCCAGCACTGGTGAGTTGACCAATTCATATTACGTTATTCTCGTATTTCAGAGCACGTCTGCAGCCAGCCAGTCAACATTGGACTCCATTGTTTGATCGCAAAATCCAAAAAATTCTTTTTTTATCACTCCGAATCCGGCGAATGTCGTCCGTTTATTTACACGGGATGCTCGGGGAACGACAATCGATTTGAGACCATCCGACAATGTGAAGATCATTGTCATCTGGCCAGTAAGATATTATTTTACAAGGAAAGTACTTTTATGGGGGCTCCTACTTTTTGACGGGACATATCTCAAAAAATCAGAAAAAATGTGCTGATCAAGGATATATAAATCTTAGCTGCCCATTTTAGGTTTTTATGGGTGAAAATGCCCCAAAACTGGCTTAATTTCCCTACAAAAGGCGCAGGCATTCGAAACGATAAAAAGCGCAATCGGTCTCTTCCTTCGGAAGAGAGCGGTGTGGCCGAGTGGTTAGTGCCGTAGTCTGGGAATCAAGAGGGAGGACGCCGCACGGGTTCGATTTCCCTTTTGGGCCGAATCAACTTTTTTTGAAGTTGAAGGTCGGAAAAATAAATTTTTGTGCCAAGAATGATTTATTCCGTCTTAGAAACAAAATAAACATTATTTTAAGCCAAAATAAAAATTGTAAACCTTTGAAAAATTAAGCGAAAAGGGCTTTATATAGGACTTTAAATCAACTTGCGATGGATTTTTCACCCCTAAAAACCTAAAATGGGCAGCTAAGATTTCTATATTCTTGACCAGCACATTTTTCCTGATTTTTTGAGATATGTCCCGTCAAAAAGTAGGAGCCCCCATAAAAGTACTTTCCTTGTTAGACACCTTTTTTATATTATTTTATATTATAGTAGATATTTTTTTTATTTTTTAGGTATTTGCCCTGTTGGATCGGCTCTTCGTTTGGCCAACGGGAACATGGCCACTTGCTCTGAGCATCAGCCATGCCCGCTGGATGAATACAGTTGTCATTCAACAGATAGAGGCAATTTTTGTTGCCCGAATATTGGTATGCTACAGTAATCTTAAAATAATTTTAATGCCGCAAAACTCTTCTATAAGCCCACGAGAGTCACGGGCGTTGATTTCAGAGAATTTCGAGATCTGTCCCGCCGACCAGAAACCTTATATTGTGAAAGGAAGGCCAGTGGAATGTCACAAATCCTCGGAATGCCCGAATTCCTTCGAATGTCATCGTCCTAACTATCATTCCATGGGCCATTGCTGTGCCCAACCCCCTCCTCCCGTCCCCATGCCTTCGCCTTTACCGATTATTCGCAATCTACCCAAGGCCCGACCCATTTATACACCCAGATGCTCAAATAACAAAGCCCCTCTGAAGGCGCCAGACGACGAAATTCAGATTTGTATCCCCGGAAAAGAGCTCGAATGTCCGAATGGGTATTTCTGCGAGCTGGACGATTACCTGGGAAGGTATCAATGCTGTCCAACCAACTCTCCCACCGTCGGATATCAGTCAACTTGCTCTTCCGGCTTTGATATTCATCTGGATTCGGAGGGAGCCCCTGTTTTTTGTGATCCAGAGGAAGTGGTCACCTCTTGTCATAAATTTGGAGAGTGCAAGTACAGTCAGGAGCACGAAAACTTTGTCTGTTGCGCACCAAATTCCTTGGAAGGAATGTTAAAAATCGAAAATAACTCCTCTCCCAAACTGTGGAGTGGAATCCTCCCGGGTGGACATGGCTGTATCTCAGACACCCAGTGTGAAATCATCTTCCCGAATGCCCGATGTGACAAAGGAAGGTGCAAATGCCCGGGGAACTTGAAAGCGTATCAGGGGAAATGCGGTAAGGGAAATTGTTCAACAAAACCTCCGATTGGGACCCACAAACATCGATTACAACCAGAGATTGCCACGATTTCTCAGCGTTCAGAAAAGTAAAAATTTCGTGATCTTTTTAATCCAAATTGCTTGAAAAATACTGGGAAGGATGCGTTGCATAAGATTTGGCTTCAAAAACGTTGAGCGTATGATCTCTGGCACTAATAACTTTTATTTTCGGAAAAATATTTTAAAAAATTTTTTTACACGGGAGCCGGGATTCGGAGACCTTTTTAAATTTTTCATGGGAGCCGGAGCTGTAAATTTGGCCTCGGCTCCGGCTCTGGGAGCTAAGAGCCGGAGCCGAAATTTTGACCGTGACAATCTCTGATTACAACTAACCATCCTAAATAATAACAGTTGTTTTTAACATTGCACAGTGTAAATGTCTTTTCGAAGTTTGCACTGTGCAAAAAGAGCAAAATTTTGGCGACAAAAGGCTCCGTACTTTGTGGAAAGGCTAGAATATTAGCCAACTACTTACAGCGTTGAGTCATAATCGGTGATTGTGTGTAAAATTCATTTCCACAACTTTTTTTTAGATTTCTAGCAGCTAAAAATAACTTTCCTCGTTTCAGAAGCTGATTGTCCGCAAGATTATGCAGAAATCGATGGAATTTGCTTGAAAGAATCAACGAAAAGAACGAAAACTTGACTTTTTACTAATTTGCAGAATAAATACAGTTATTCTTGTGCAAGCTTGAATATTTTTTGAAGACTTATCGTGTAGTGCAATATACACAAATGTACAAAAGAACCAAGGACTGTCCAACCTCGCCAATGAATAAAAAACGAAGATACAATGCGTGCATGTTTCTTTCTTAGGACTCGCGAATTTTGACAACGCGATTTGGCGGAGATTTGAACTTTCAAAAAATCCAGAAAATGCGTAATTTCTGTCGGATTTTCTAGATTCTCGGTGTTCTTTTGCAAAAAATTTGCAGTCACAAAACGGGTTGTCAAAATGGCTACCAAACGAAAGCACGATGAAGACGAGATTGATGTCCCTGAAAAGCAGCAGAAGACCCTGAAAAAACGACTGAATCCACTCGTTATCGACCATTTTGTGGAGTTCTATGTTCTCCAGGAAGATAAGAACACAAGATTGGATGCTCTTTACGTAAGTCAACGTTCCTACAATCTGTCGTGTGTTTAGGCGGTGTCCAAGTACTATTACAACAGATTGCACAACTTTTTTGAAGGATGTGACCTTAAGTTAAATGAGACTTGGGCAAAATTCTGTTTTCCTAATGGCCGGTCCAAAATTGTCTTGCAAAAAACATGTCTTCATCTGCTTGCTCACTCAGAGTTTGCTATTGGTCGGCTCTTTGTCTTTGCAAAGTGTTCTTCCTCGATTTATGACAATAAGTGTAATTGCATCCGGACCAAACCAAAACCAAGTAGGTTGATCATGAACAATGTAAATTGGTTTTTAGCAGCGACTACGATTTTTGAGACAAGACCGGCTTGGCCATGGGTCTATGTGGAGGCGGTCCACATTCTCGATTATTTGAAAACTCCTGTGGTCGTCTTGGAAATGATTCTCAACGATCAGAGGTATGTAATCTAAAACAAAGTACAAGTTTTTACAATTTTTAGAATCGAAGCGTATAAGAACAAACATCTGACAGTGGAACGTCTGGTATTTAATTATGGCGTGGTCAATGAGAACAGAAACAAGAAGAAGCTGCCAAAGTAAGATGATTACAATGTATAATGTATTTTTTGTGGAAATTGTTGATATCTAATTTTTAGAGGTGAAGGGGTCAAACCGGGAATTCGGGAGATAGAAATCTTTGTGTTTTATGACGTAAAAATTGCCACATTTCCGTCAGAAATCGCTCGTCTCAAAAAGATATACCCGAATCTTGAGAAGGCAAAGATTTATGTGACTTTTGTGGTAAGTGTTGATTCGTTCTTTTGGATTTAGGTCTTGAAGAGTTTAATGTATATCGAAATATAGGACTCAAGCTTCTTGGCAGGACGTCCTCCCCAGTTCTTCAACAAGATCTATAAAGGAATTCTCCCAGTAATCGAAGCCGGAGTTCAAGTCGAAGCAACTGTTGAAGGTAAATATGAGGAGATGGGTGGAGTATATGATGAATACTTCCGGCAACTGCTCCATTTTTCCGTCGAACGCCTTATTCCCAACCACAATCATCCGTTTGAATACGCGAGTCATTTTGAAGAACAATATTGCCCATGGCATGAACTCGAATTCAACGGAGCGAAGTGGCACTTCTGTTTTACCGACTGTGGATGCCCGGTGATTGATGATCGTGGAATAGAGTTGTTCAGTTTCCAGTATTAATTTCCTACGCGTAATATTTACCGACTTATATTGTTGTATAAACTTGTTGTTAAGGTTGATTTGCCTTGATAGAATTGGCGTTATATCCGTGTTTATTTTTAGTTTAGATTCTAAAGCTGAATAATGGATTAGTTATGTTTAAAAGAAGTCTTTCTGGTATTTGTCCCAATGATCCCAGTAAGAAATCGAAAGTTACAGTATCCCCGAAGATGAACCCTTGTGTGATTGATTGCTTTATTGAACACTACTTACCTAGGACCCGCTACTATAATTACGAAATTCTTCTGAGGTTATTAGTAAGTGTACTTCCATTTTTTATTTATTATTTTAGATGTCAACACCTAACATGAAGCGTGGAGTGAATAGAGCTTGTGCCGGATGCGAGATTCGAATGAACAATAGGACTGTCAGATTCTACCACCCCAACCGAATCTTTACAATGAAGCTTGGTCATGCTTTACATTTCCTTTCCAACTCTTATTTTGCTGTAAAAAGTATTGGAATTCCCAGCAGTTGCGATTTGACAGAGGTGATCCAAGTGAACACTGAGCAAGGAGTCACGACGATACCGGGTAGGCATTGCAAATGTAAATTGTAAATAGTGAGCTCTTTTTTTAGTCATCACTCGTCTATTGGAAGTGATCAATGACTTGGAAACGTTATTCACAGAGAAACTGAGGGTTATAACCAAACTGACAAAGCAGATAAGGATTAAAAACTTGATACTGGTCAATAATAATTAAGTTGAGATATTTGTATGATTGATTTTTTGATGTTTAGGTCATTTCTGCACTCAACGACCAGCTCGGAATCCCCAGAAAGTACTGATTTCCTGATTGTGGAGAAGATGACTGTTTGGTGGAACAGGCCTCAACTGTATTCGAGCCTCAATGGCCTGCCGACGTAAGTGCTGGACGGTTTGGTGTAATATAACCCATGCTTTTCGTTTATTCGACGTTAAAATGTATTGTACTTTGGTGTAAGATTGTTGGGAGGTAAAGGATTAGCTATTGGGAGAGTAATCACGGTGATTTTCCTCCAAAAATCACTGTCGACGTAATGTTTGTTTGATCATGGCGTAATTTGCTGATGTTTTAGCGGAACTTTGATGAATAAAAGTTTGAAAGAACTCGAGATTAACCTCAAACTGGTACTGTACGATGTTGTGCCAGAAGGCGCTGTATCGAGGCTAAAGGATAATTACGCAGGACTCCAGAAATTGACTCTTCGAATTCAATCTGCGGTAAGGATAATATAATTTTTTCAAATCTTTATCCTTTAGATTGAGTTTTTTGTGAAGTATAACGTCTAATATTGCAGATAGATAACTCGACAGAAGTCTGGGAACGTCCAGGACCGATCCAACTCCTCTTCAATGAGATCCATTACCTGATCAGACACGACGTTCAAGTCGATCTCATTCTTCATGTCCCGATCGAAGAAATTTATGAGGAAAACAACCCATGCGAAGAAGTGCTGGTGCACTATGTCAAACTTCTGATCCCTCATTTCTCTGCCAACGCTCAATTCGCTGCCCATGGAACCCGAAGTGACCAATCTTCGGTCTATTTTAATGTGGAAAGCACCAATTTGAAGGCCCATATCTGCGTGGGAGAGGAGAGTTGTCCCTTGTTGAAAATAGTGGATACCGTATGTATGTTTTAATGAACTGTTTTGTTGTCTTTTAATAAAATCCGTTAAGAACATTACCGTTAAAATATAAATAATAATAAAAATGAGATCACGCTGCTGTCGACACTTCGGAAACCTCTGGATTATTTGATCGTCCAACGGGTAAATACAGTTTGAATTCTGGAGGCAACTCTTCTTCGGTATAGATACGGTCCGCAAAGTAGATTCGACGAATCCGACAGTTGGCGTGGATCTAAAGAAGCCAAGCGTAAAATTGAAAGAGATCGTTTTAATATCTCAAAGATGGCACCAACCTGTATCCTCAATGTCTCTACGTAATTGGTTCCATACGCTCGTTTTACAAAGTCGATCAGATTAAACTGCACTTGATTCCAGCCATCATCCAATCTCATTGGCATGGTGCATATAAATGGTTTGATCCGAGTGGTCGATTGGAAGTTTGACGCTCGGAAACGACGTTTCATACCTTTATCATCCAATACCTGAAAGAAGAAAGTATTACTCCATAAATTAAGAGAAACTTTATATTTCTGACATAGACACCTACCTGAATTTCAAAGGTAAAATACTTCTTAAGATTCTTCAAAGTCATAACAAAGATGGGCAATTTGATGCCGAGCGTCTTCTTAGGGTCCAATGGACATGATATGTAAGTTGTACTATAAATTTATATTATTCATGATGACTAAAATTATTTTTGACGATAAATGCTTACTGATTGGGCAAACTCACCTAACATTAGCTCCAATCACCTCGATAACTAGACTTTGTATTTCATCATCAGTCACTCGTTTTATGTGCCCGTTTCTTACCGTTTTCTCCCATAATTGTAATGGTTTACTTCCCAAACTGTAGAGAACTGACAACAAACCGCTTTGAAAGGTGTTATGGAACATGGAAAGCCCTAAAAAAAGTCTGTATATCAGTCTTTAGTTGTATTTTGACATTGGAGACAACTTCACGAACACTTTTAAAAATAAACTGCACTGTGCGTGTCGTGCCCTAAGGGCAATTAAAATAAAAGTAAGCGAAACCGAAATAAAATACTCGCCCTGAGGATTAAAAGTAGGGCTGAAAAGCCAAGAAAGTAGCGAGGTTGTCTTGACAACAACACAAATTCTTCAGGCATTTCCGATGTCGCTCGGATTCAGCCAACCGAATATCCTGATTAAACCTATGTTTTGAGGTCAAAAACATCTTACAATATTGTTAGATATAATCCATAAAATGCAAAGAAAAACACGCATGCATTAACTACTAATTTACCAAGCTTTCAAAGATTTTAGACACAAAATTTGTCCTGAAGAAATAAGAGACATCAAGTATAATATAATAAATATTCCTAAAATTATTTTAATCAAAAATAATCAAAGATAAAATAAAACCAGCACTTAGCAGCACTTCTGACTCGTATTTTACAAGGAAAGTACTTCTATGGGGTGTGGAATTACCGGTCGAGATATATATCAAAAAATTCGCAAAAATTTTCTGATTCAGAATATATATAAATTAGCTGCCTAATTTTGGTCTAATGACATGTTTTTGTCCTCGGAAGTTTTCTCGCGACACCATGCAAGTGTCTTTTTGACCGTGTTTTTACCAATAAAAAAATTTTGTTTTGTGCTAAAATAAATTCTGAGGCCTTGACAAGCCTTAAAATATCAAATTGGATTACAACTACACCTTAAAAGTAGTTCCAACGTAAAAAATGGGTTCTAGTGTGGCAAAAAGAATCGAACCCGTTTCCCTCGGATTTCCAACCCAGCGCTCTAACCACTCGGCCACACCGCTCTCTTCCGAAGGAAGAGACCGAGCGCGCTTTTGTTGCCGCAGATTTTTTTCCTCGAGAAAAACATTTATTGAAAAAACTCGCTGATAGACCAAAATTAGGCAGCTAATTTATATACATTCTGAATCAGAAAATTTTTGCGAATTTTTTGATATATATCTCGACCGGTAATTCCACACCCCATAGAAGTACTTTCCTTGTTAGAAACTTATCCTTCAGATTTTCTGAAAATAATTTTTCTTTTTCTTTGGCACTTCGTCCTAAATGTGGACGAAATGTCCCAACGCGCCCGAAACAAAAAATTGTTCTAGACGAGCGCGTCGATTCCGAAGAATCTTTCCTCCACAACTCTGATCGGTCAATCTACAAGATGTCGAAGCCGGAGAGAGCTCGAATTGTCCACTTGGCAGCTCAACGAGAGCGGGCCAAAGAGGATATTGAGATGCAGAAGAAGAAGCTGGAGGACGAAAGAAGAGCCAGTAGGTTTTTTAGTATCCTTTCGCTTCCCTAATAGCTTTTATATTTGTATTATGACGTTTGCCTTATTTTGTATTGTAATATTGTAGTAGGCGTCAATGATGTTGTTGTAAACAATGACCTTAGCGTTTATTTACAGTTCAAAACGGCATTACCGACAAATTCACGGCCAATGTGGTGAGCACAGAGGACCCGCTGATGCCAAGCACGGCTGGTTTAATAACTTTGGAGAAGATTCGAGAGCAAAAGATGGCTTTAAAGGTGGAACCAAAGGAAGAATCTAATGGCAATGTTGTTGAGAAGACGGTCAAAGAGGAAGAGGAGAAGCCCATCAAGATTCAGGTATAGTTTTATTTTTCTTTTTTTGATCTGTTGTAGTTTAGAAAAGAGTTTTGTCCTTCGGATTTGATGATGATGGAGAAGAAGAGCCGATTGTCTTGCCAAAGAAGAGGTTGGGTATGAATCCTGATGTCGACACTTCCTTTTTGCCCGATAGAGAACGAGAACTAGCAATGATAAAGTAGGATTTCCCTCAAGGTATTAATTGAGAAGGTATTTTTCTTCAGAAAACGAGAAGAATTGGCCAAAGAATTCAAGGAGAAAACTGAGAAGGAAAAAAATGAAGAAATCAACGTCGCTTTTTGTTATTGGGACGGTTCTAGCCACAGGAGGGATACCAAGATGAAGAAAGGAGCCACCATCTCTCAATTTTTGGTCAGAGCAATCGAAGTAAGTCGATTGATAATGTAATTTTTGTCTCGAAATTTATGTTTTGGTATTGTGGTTGTTGCTTCTCCATCTGTTCGTCCCATTGGCCCTTACTCTAAGCCTAAGAATTAGATTTTCGGATCTCGGCGACGGAATCTTCGGATTCTGACGCTCTCGGACTTCGGTCATTGCCTTTGGGAAAGGGATCAAGAGAAGAGATGAGGAAGAAGTCTTGAGGGCTGTGACGTAATACTCGCGGCATCTCGGCTTTAGACCAAGTCGATTCGATGCTTGATCTCTTCGGAACGGATGGTAGATCAAGTTTTTCATTCAGTTGGGTGCTGGTGTTTTCTTTATAAATGCTGGATAACTGGTGGAAACAACATTTATTTTGCTGTAACATGTGTTCTCAAGAGTTATTTTTTCCTTTGCTGTCGTTAACAATGATTTCACAGCCTAATTTGATATTGCTTCCCATTTCTTGGCGATTATGTACGTTAACCATGTACAATATTTCAGATTCTCCGAAAAGATTTCGCGGAGTTCCGCACAGTCACAACTGAAGGCCTGATGTTTGTCAAGGAAGATCTGATCATCCCTCACTTTTACACGTATGTCCAGCTCTGTTTTGACTTATTGTCAGAGTTTGAAAAATTTCAGTTTCCAAGACTTTATCGCCACGAGAACGATGGGAAAAACCGGACCTTTATGGCAGTTTGACGCGGTCGGAGAGATCAGATTGAGGTCAGAATATAAAGGAGTTTCTCATTTCATTTTTTTTATATTGTACTAGCCGGATATTAGTAATTTTTTCTCTCCTTCAAACGGAAGTTTAATGTTGATAATTTCAGACAAGACGCGGCTCTGGATATTGGGGAGTCCCATCCAGTCAAAGTTGTAATGAGGAACTGGTACGAAAAGAACAAGCACATTTATCCAGCCAGTCGATGGGAGGCGTTCGTTGCCAACAAAGATTATCAAAGAACCACGGTGGATTTGAATGAAATTTAGTGAGACTAATAAATTCGTTGTTACCATGCAACTGTACATTTATTAATATTATGAAGAGAGCTTGATCCTCCGCTCTTCCGACCTTTTTATCGTATCGAATATCATCTTATCAAGTACTGCCACGTTATAAGCGAGCACGAACCGAACTTGATTGTTTATCCTGTGAATCGGGGAGCTCATAGTCTCGGGCCAGATTCCTTCCATCCAATCTATCGCGATTTGGCCTCTGAAGTTTCGGTTTTTTATATTATTCATGATGGGTAAAAACAATTTTTTTAGATGGCCTATATTTTTAGTCTGAGATGAGTTTAACTGATTGCCAGGGATTCCGAAACAATTTCTAGACAATATTAACAGTATAATTGGCCATATTTTTTGCTTCTTACCGTGTTAAAGCTCCTTGCAGTTCCACGGAGGCTTGCATAATCTCGTCCTGCAAAATCATGCCCTCCGGGTCAATGGCGATCCCCATGGCGACCTCGTCGCAATACCCATACTGTCTCTCCACACTCTGCAAGACCGATCGCCCTTTTCTGGTGGCCATCTCAAAGAACTTGGCCAATGGGACATCCAGCCATAAGTGGGCGTGGAAGTCGACCTTGGTGATCTTGCTCTCATGTAGAAATGATTCCCAAGGGATTACTGTAACTGGGCATCTCATCTCGTTTAAAACAATATAGGCGGCCTCTGGATCATGGGCAAAGTTGAACTCGGCCGTGGAATTGGGACACATGTTGCCCTTTCCATAGATGTTTCCTCCCATAATCACAATGTTCTTGGGGTACTCAGCAAATCGAGGTTCTAGTTTCAAAGCAAGTGCGATATTGGTCAATGGCCCCAGGCAAACCAATGTCATATCTCGTTGCTCTCGAAACAAATTGACCAATGCCCATGCCGCAGGCATTTCCGGTTCGTGGCCATTGGAATCGGAGGGCTGAACCGAGGGAAATTCCTCGGGAAAATCGCCGAGGCCATCTTCTCCGAACAAAATCTTCTCATTTCGACGAATGTGATGACTTGTTATCATCGGGTTCGCGGCTCCTTTGAAAATTGGCACCTGAAAAGGGGTTGTTTAACGGCTTTTTTGCAGTCATTGCTCATTTAATATTTATGGGAATGACCTTTTAAATGAAACTTTAAATTCCGCTAAAAAGTCAACAAACATTTTTTTAATGACGTTGTTTACAAAAACAAACATGTACTACTGGTGGTACAGAACAGTAATTGAGCCCGTTATCGGTTACGCGAGGAAGCTTATCGGTTAGATTAGGAATCACCACAATTTTTGATTTTTTGTTGCGAAAATCTAAAAATCCGTCATGATGACACATTCAATTTTTAAGATACGATGGTATCTCTAAAGTTCTTCTATTCTAATTTACCGTTTTACGGGCACGAATCACAAGTTTTTCACATTTCTTATATTGTTTAAGGTCATTAATGGTCTTTTATCGAAAATTTTGCTGTTGACGTGCAACTTTTTGGACTTGGCATTCTTTTCCACCACTCTCCGCTCGCTTGATGAATAGCCGCAGCTCGCCGGACCATCGGTTGTAACATAGCATTGTTTTTTTTCCGTCCAAACCTTCCACTTTAGATTAATGGGCCCATCGCCTGTTGACGTCGTTTTTGTGGTGACCTTTTGTTGGGAATGTCTCAAGGTCCGCAGGGCATAAGCGGCTCTATGTTGCATTAATCTGTTTATCGTCGTGTTTGAGGACTTGTGATGCCGGTAAGGCCGCAGAGAAAAGGAGCTTGCTCGGTCTATTTTTGGGTGTAATCGGCGGAGGAATGAAACCAGACAGAAAATTTAGCAGTTCGGCATGATAAGAGAGGAGGAAGAAGGTGGTCGAGGGCGCTTCTGATTACTCACGGCAGGAACAAGCTTCTATGTAAATAGTAGCGGAATTGATGACTCTGAACTTTCGAGTCCAAGGGACCAAAATCTTGGCGGGAATTTTGAAGTTTTCGCCGAAAATATATACAAGATGTGCCATTTCGCGCGGAATTTTTTTGAAATATGTTGTTTACAGTATTCATTCTATACTAGCAATTCGATATTGTCATCATGCCGGATTTTATAAACTCTTTTTTCACTCTTATTATTTTAGATGATCCAGCCTAAAACTTTTTCTTTGTTTTTTGTGTTTAGACACAATATTAATCGCATTATGTATGATGATGACCTCTTCCGCTCCTTATCTTCGCCATCCCAATAGCAATTGTGGGATATTCAATTCTAGTTTAATGAAAAATTAATGCGGGAAACCGAAGTTTAAACGGAAAACTCACACCAGAAACCAAATTTGCCCTGAGGGTACGGACCACATTGGCCACCGCTTGATCCACCGGCACACAACCAGCTACTGTTGAGATCGCTACTACCTAAAATACGGAATTTAAAAAATGTGGAAAAAAGTTTGAATTTTGAACGAGAATTTTGCAATTTTTTTGTCAAGTTAAAATAGTGTAAGATTATGACTTACTTCGGCCTTTGGGTGCTGTAGAGCCAAGGAGATGGCCCTGACATCGTCCGAAACGCCGTCCGTATCAATGACCAGCCGGACCTTATCCATGAAGCGGCCCTGCTTTCGGTCAGATATCCCTTGATTAGATAAGTGCTCGGTCCGTCCCGTGGCTTATTTGTGTGGGAGATTAAAGGGGGCCTCCTTTTTTGTTCAACTTAATCAAAATTGATAAGGGTTCTGGGAATCAAGTCACAAAAAGGCATCGTCTTTTTGCTCCGCTTTCCCCGCCCCGAACTTTGTTCCAGCGGCCCAGCGTGGGGGGCTGATTACACATGCAGAATCCGTAAAAATAGCCGTCGGAGGTTCTGCAGGAGCGTTCCGTGGAGGTGGAAACGTGAGAATGTTGACAAAATGACGTCATGTTTTTGGAAGTTGGAGAGGAAATTGAGCCCCTTCTTGGAGGGGAGACACCGAGGGTCACTGGCGATCACATGGCTCTGTCCAAAACAGTCTCTGACCATCAATTTGCAATAAAAGTACCCTCAGTAAACTCAGTTTGTGAGAAAAGTACAAAGCAAACAACTCAGTCGAGTTGTAATGGCTCCATTTTCGTTCGAATGTATGGCATTTGGTCCATTGATTCCTCATACATTATTCATCGCCATTCCGTTCGATCATTTTCCAAAGACATTCCCCATCAAAATGCCCTTAGGGAATTTGGCCAAAGATCGGCTGTAAATGATACAACCGTTAACACAAAAGACAACGACTGCTGGAAAAGCAAACCAAAAGCTGAAATCGAGTAGGCGACCTTAGGAAAACAACTGATTTATGAGTAACGTAACAAAAAAAACAACTTAAAACAATAACGTTAGTGTAATAATTTTACAGTCACAACAGTATTCAAGTCTTGTAATTGACATACGGAGCCTCCTCGGAGAGTTTGAAAGCCGTTTTCTCCAAAAATAAGGCGATTTAATTCTGCTACAACATAGTTTTCATCTAAAGTAATATCGGCGGATTGGATAATAAAATATCTAACTTCTACTGTAATGTGGAGACCAGCGCTTCTCCATCGACGAAGGATCAGGGACATGAGCGAGTGGGATGTTTGGGCATTCTAAATATTAAAATTTACAGGGAAGTAGTGCGATGCTCAGATTTGGATGAAACTTGGCACAAATTCAGAATAAAACTTATATGGCGCTTGATCTCAGATGAGAAAAATCTTACCAAAGGACTTGTTGGATAAATCTGGAGCAACAATTTAACGATAAATTTTTTCACATGGGGGAAGCAAGCCCGATATTCGTTAAAACTTTGGAAGTAATCATATTCAACAGGGCCTGTGCAGTCCAATGTCATCATAATTTCAAATTCACTGATGGAAGTTTGGATGGCTCCGCTGAAAAAAATATTTGGATTTAGCGCGAATTATATAATAAACAATCTGAGAGCACTCGTAATTAGTCTAAACTTTTTTTTAAACTACTTACCTTGGTATCATCTTTTTGGCCAAATTTGGATCCCTAAAGTAAGGTAAACTGATTCGTTGCGCGTAAAAATCAGCCGTGATCTGAGCAGACGGACTTCGAGTAGAGTATTCTAATCGTAAGACCTTTGTTCGGACGTTATGAGGGATATCTTTCAAGTGATTTGGGTAACAACTAATCAAATTGAACTCCGAATTGCATTTGAGAACCCTTCCGAATAAAAGCAACTTGAATACATCATAATCCAGCCTTGAAGTAACTGAATGATCCATTTGGAGCACTAAAATACGACAAAATTGCTTATTTTAGATGATTTTTAAAATTTGTTACCTAAACTTAGATAAGACAATAAAAATCAGACCTTTCACGCATTCTAGTGTGGAAACCATCTTGTTTTTTAGCTTGTTTCGGAAATGCATTGAGAGATCTAACGAAGAAACGTAAAATCGAACCAACAGATGCAAAATTAAAGTTATCCTTGAGTCCATCACAATTTGGTTTCCATATTTTGTCAGAATTCGCACTGGATTCCAATTTGCACAAAATTCGAGATGGCTGTTATTCAGCAATTCACAAATTGTCTCCAAAAACGGCTTTGAAACACCCTAAAACCGGGGAAATTACTTTGTGGTAGGTATCAATGTTCTAAGAAATTAAACGTTCTTAACCAAACCACTTGCCATGACTTTGATAAGGAGTTCATCGTATACATCTTCGAATTTGCGATCGTTCCATCGAAGGAGACAATGAAAAAGGAAGCATCTTCTTTGTCTTTCCATAAGTCGAGGTCTGGGCTTGGACCAGACCAGTTTTTCAAAAATAATACTCTCGTCGGTGGTGTCCAAGATGATCGTATCATCGGGAGAGACTACAACACTCTCCTCCATCTTTAATCTCCATCAAAACCAGAAAAAAATAAAATTTGTGTAAAAAACGAAAATTTGAAAAAAATCGATTAAAAAGTTGCGTAATGCAAAAACCGTTGGGCAAAAGTCGCGACTTTAGATGGTTTGGTAAGTATATACAACTTTGAGAAGCCTAAATAATCACGTTGAAATGTGAATTTCCATTCGAAATCATTCATTTTCTTGCCTGAGACAGCTAAAGGCCGGTTGTGGCAATGCTTTCGCTGTTACAAAATGTAAGTTCCTTCTCCACATCATCATCCACCGTTTGTTTTACAGTTAACTCAAACTCCATCTCCGGCCGTGGACAAGCCAAGTCATCCGGATTCCTCGGAGACCGTCTACATTTCCGCTTTGGCCCTTCTGAAGATGCTCCGTCATTCCAGATCGGGTGTTCCGATGGAAGTAATGGGACTGATGCTGGGTGAATTCGTCGACGACTACACAATCAGTGTGCTCGATGTGTTTGCAATGCCTCAGTCGGGAACTGGAGTGTCAGTGGAAGCTGTGGACCCGGTCTTTCAGACCAAGATGCTGGATCTATTGAAGCAAACTGGAAGAACGGAGATGGTCGTGGGATGGTATCACTCCCATCCCGGTTTCGGATGTTGGCTTTCTAGTGTGGATGTGAATACTCAGCAGAGTTTCGAGGCGCTCTCGCCCAGAGCCGTCGCTGTTGTGATTGATCCTATTCAGAGTGTAAAGGGAAAGGTAAGATTGGTTTTTCGGTGATAAAACAATGTTGCTCTTGAGTAGTGGCGAAGACGATAGTCGAGCCGTTCTTGTTTTCCTGTTTTTTGAGCTTGTAAAGTATATTTTTCCCCACTAAAATCGACCTTAATTTAGGTCGTAATCGATGTCTTCCGATCCATCAGTACCATGGGCTTGAACCCTGGCCGGGCGTTGGCTCCCACTGCAGAGCCTCGACAAATGACCTCAAATTTGGGTAAGAGCCATGCTTTATCTACCCATTCATTTTCAAAAATTTTATGACCTTATTTTATATTATCCATGGCCTTTTAAAAACCTTTTTTTCTCAGGTCACTTGGTCCGGTCAAGTTATGTCGCTCAAATGCGCGGCCTTGGCTCCCGCTACTACTCCCTCCCCCTGTCCTACAAGCTGAGTTCGTACGCCCAGAAAATGCTTCAATGCGTCCACAAGAAGGACTGGAGTGTCCCCTTCCATGGCCTCGCCTTTTCGAAACAAGGTCAAGAAAACCTGGAGACGGGAAAGGAGATGCTCAAGATGGTCAAAATGTTCACAAAGGACATTGAACTGAATCAGGATGTCACCAAGGATGAGGCTCAAATCAAGGCTGTGGGAAGATTGAATCCGAAAAGGAGATTGGAAGATCTGAGTCGGAAATTATTGGAGGAAAACATCGTCGGACAGACCAGAAACGCCATCAATTCGGCTGTTTTTCATTAAACCTTACTCCTTTTGGCTTTACGTTGTACTGGAATAAAATTCTTTCTTTGAATCCTCAATTTCCGCGACTTTTCATTTTGCAGCTTGCGCCCGACCTTTGCGCAGATTGCGAAAAAAAATAATAAAAAATTTTTCTCGCGTAAAAAGTCTCGAGAAAAAGGTCGAGATCGCAGTCGATAACTCGTGTTTTTGCGTAAAATCTTCCTTTTTGAATATCTTTTTCGTATATTTATTAATTTATATTATTTTAGCTCGGAATGAGCACTATCGGACTTGGCGATTTGGCCAATGAAACCTTGGAGACAATTTTTCAATACATTCCAGCTGAAGATGTCTGCACAAATATCCGAAATACCTCGAGGAAGCTTAGAAATCTCTCGTATAGTCCTGGTTTTTGGCATAAATATTTGAAGGTATGTGTTTTATTGATTTTGGTTGCTTTTGAATTTAGATATAAAACATGAAGTTTTAGTTTGAGTTTCAATATTCGCCCATCCAACGGCGAACTTTGGATGCAGATCCAATGACAAGGGCGTTAGCGATTGAAAGAGAAAAAAATCGGTGGATGAATAATAATGGACTTACCAAATACAAATTTGGAGTAAAAAATATTGGAACCATTGATGCGCTAAGGTTGCACAAGACGAAAAGTGGTCAAAGGTTGGCTGTGACTGGGTCTCGAGATCGAAAAGTTGTTTTATGGGATATAAAAAAGGTGGCGGAAAGGGAAGACCAAGAAGAATGGTGTATCGACTCGGGAGAAGTCCAAGGTGGATGGGTCTATGGTTTGGAAGTGTCTGATGATGATAAAACTGTATATAGTTGCGGATTTGATTACTGTTTACGACAACATGAACTTACAGAAAGTGGGTTGAGAGTGAGTTTTATCTAAATTTATTTCGAGTGTAATATAAGAAAATAATGTCGAAGTTAATGTCCAATGTCCTGAAAAGTAGTCGGCAAAATTATATATGATATTTCCAGGAGACGGCAAGTATGAATTACGGGCAAATTCTATTTCGAACCGTCCTCGACAACAATCTTTTGTATATATCGACGCTAAAACAAGGTGTACATATGGTTGATCCGAGAGTTGGATTATCGCCTGTGAGAACCTGCAAAGACAAAATTGGATCTCTCATCTTGTCGATTATGGCTCATGATCCTTTGAGGAATGATCTCTTCGTGGCACATGGTCAAGGAAAATCCACTCCCATCGCACAAATCGACAAAAGAGAATTCAGGTGGGTTAATGAAGGAAAATATGGGTGGCATCCAGCATTCTGGGCATGAAAAGTTTAGAAATTATAAAAGTTTTATATTGTACATGACAAAAATGCATTTTCAGAGTCTTAACTACATTTCGGTTGCGTGAAGGTGAGGCTTGCTCCTCGTTAGACGTAAATCAAGACCATTTACTGATCTCACTGAAGAATGGAGATGTCTCTTACTTCAATCCAAAGACTATAAAGACAGATTTCACTTGGAAGGTCGAGAATTCATATGAAGTCATAAATAATATCACAACCAGGTGCTCCAATGGAGTCGTATTTTACTCCACTGCCTATGAATTGTCGGCTTATATGCCGGGACGAAAACCTCAGCTTTATGCAAAGATCCCTTGCAAGGATATGATAATTAATGTAAGGGTCAAGTATAATATAATTTGCGATATTTTAGACGGAATATTTGGACGGAGATCTCGTGGCTATCACTGGTGATGGGAAGGTGCAGTTTTGGCCAAAAGAATTTGCAAATTCAACAGAAAATCAACGTGCCTTAAGGAGTATTAAGGTCGAAGATCATGTATAATATGATTTTGTAATTATTTTTGGTTTGTATATATTGTGAATATTTTTTGCTATGTTAGTGTATTAAAACGTGCAATTCTAAAGTCTCAAACAAGGTGTCCAACGTCCAGATATAGTTGAGTCCCCATATTTCCATAATTTTTTTGGCGCGGAGCCCTGGCTCTTGTCACGAAAACACCCGGCCCGACGTTGTTGCCCTCCACAATTCTCCTGGCCCCATTTGTGGCCATAATCTAGTTTTTGGTTCCGGTTTAATTCATTTCCCGTCAGGCACTTAATACGAAGTCACCTTGGCAACCGGATCGTGTGCATTCCAATCCACCCGGTTCGGCCGCCATTTCCATTAAAATTAGCCGCAGGGCGTGAAGACGAAAGGAAAAACCGGCTTTGATTCGAGCAACCGGAGGCTTCGGGGGTAATTTGCAGGTGGCGGAGTCGGTTTACAGTATACTTTTGAAAGAGAAATTTGAAATTTTTATGTTGGACTAGATCTTGATGAAGAGTAAGATAGATTTTGGGTATTTTGATGCCATTTCTGATCTACCGAAGTCACGGTTTTGAATTTAACGGGCCTGAGATGAATTTTCATATAAAATCTAAAGTTTTATTCGCTTCTAAAGTTCTAATATTGTACTTGATGACTAAGGAAAGTATCCTCAGTGGGACTCTTCAACCTACCTTCGAAGTCTGCGAATCTCCCCTAAAATGGCTCACATAAAAACTTGCGAGAAATTTCTGAATCTTTTTGACGAGAGAATGGAAATTGAAAATGAGAAGAGATGGCCAGGGATTTGTCCCCATGACCTTATGAACTGCTCGAAAAAAATATTTTTTTATTCTCCAGCCCTTCAATTCTGCTGACCCAAAAATCTCCGGACCGAGACGATTCCGGAACCGCGAGAATTCCGGCGGAATAGTCCATTTCGGAGATTTTATTTTCTTTTTTCACCAGGTAAAAATGTTTTAAGCTTGCTCCAAGTGCTTATAAAAAATTATACGTTGTGAATTCAGGATGAAATTGCGACTATAAGCCAAATTTTTTACAACTCTTTAAGCTTATTTTAAACTTAAAACTGCTTTTTATATTTTTGAAGCTTATTTGTTTCAAACTTAACGTCACCGCTTCGAAAAGACCGCCAGTTTACCCTATTTTAATATATTTAAATTCCCTAAACGTCCCGATTTTTTGACGCCGCGGCATTTCCGGAATTTGGACACTTCCGGCAGGCGGAATGGTGACACTTCCGGAATACGGAGAAGTGACATTTCCGGAAGCGGGGAAAAAAGAAAAGGTACGGCTTTGCACTGCCATCTAAACTATACATCTGAATGGATTTGATAAGATTTACTCTTATCAATTCTGATAAGAACTCGGCCCAAGTCGGCAGGGAAAAAAGTCTCACACGTGGTTTCATAATCAGCGACCTCGAAAATCCCTAAATCGAGTATTTTTAGAAAAAAATACTACTTACTTAACAGTACTATTTACGAAAAAAAGTAACAATCGAAAAAAAATGAACCAACTTTTTGAGATTAATAACAGTAAATCCATCCAGATAAATAGTTTAGATGGAAGTGTTAGCAAGAAGATCGTCTCTTCCTCGAAACAAAAGATAAGGATTAGGCCTTATCTTTTGTTTTTTTCCCCGTTTCCGGAAATGTCACTTCTCCGCAGTCCGGAAGTGTCACTATTCCGCCTTTCCGGAAGTGTCCAAAATCCGGAAGTGTCGTGACGCGGATTTTTTGGACACTTTCGGGCCTGAAAACCTCTATTAAGGCGGAATGTGAACTAAAACTTTCGCATACGTCATAAAAAATTACAGGGTAAATTTTTGTTAGGTTTTTATCATAATTTCTGCATTTTCCTTCCTTCGAGCTTTGATTCATTGAACTTTCTGATTTTTTCAAAGAATTTTGTGCTTTTTTTCGAGTTACAGTAATTTTTGGGCCTAAAACTCGTCACTCCTCAACCATTTCTCCGTATAACTTGTTTTTCTCTTGTCCACAGTGTTTGCATTACATTTGCATATTCGGAAACCAGCTCGAAACATTCCCTGAGGCGGTAGAAATTAATTAGAAAGGTCATAAGATGTCCTTCATTTTGAGCCATACGCTTCTTCCGGGAATTTCCGGCCCGAAGAGGTGTCAGAGACGGGAAACAGGAAGATGGATGAAAGAAGATGGTCCGTGAGAATCCCCAGAATCCGGAATCAGTCCCCTCGCCCGGTTTCGCATCAGTAACGAGCGGGGCGCTTATTCCGGTTCGGGGATTTCCTGGGAAGCGTTAGGTAGGTTTCGAACGTTGTCAAAGGAAATTGAAAAGGAGCTATCGTAGTCGGTGGCTAGTATAACATGAAAAAATGGCTGTGAACTCGACTTCGGATCTCCACGCAGGATTCTTGACGCGCGAAAAGCATCTTTCCGGATCCCGAAACAAGTTCGGTCGAAAGTTTCCATCTCGAAATTATTAATTTCAAGCGAGTTCTCATGTTTTGACTATAAAAAGATCGCAAGTGTAATGCAACTTGTAACTTTGTTGGAACGAAAGCGGAATTCCAGGAATCTCTGCCGCGATTTTATTGCTTTGGCGTATGTTTTGCGGAGTTACAGGTTCAGTTTGCGCGAACGTGATTTTTCAAAAAAATACGTATGTCATCATGACGGATTTGGTTGAAAAAAGTAATAAATAGAACTGTAAAAATATGTCCTAAAGGTCATTTTAGTACTATTCGGTTATGATTTTATTTTTTTACTCAAAGAATATTATTATTTTTACTTTTGATATCTGAAGGTCAAGTGTAATATAATAAACTGCAGTTTTGATGTCGCATATTGATTATATGTGTCTCATAAGGTCTGTAAAAATCCAAACGCTGTTTTATACTCTTAAAGTCGCACTTAAAACTCATTCTTTCTTACATTACCTACGCGAATGCCACGTCTCATATAACTTTTCCCTTCCCAGCACGAAACCCTTTGATCGTAATCCGAATCTGCTATTACAATCGGAAGATCGCCTCTTCCTCGATTGAATATTCTTCTCCGAAGATGATCCCATATCGAATATTCGGTTCCGGCTGGTTTTTTTCACTTTTTTTTCACGCGTTTTCCCCTCTCCAACTTCCGTTACCCCGGACTTCAAGCAGCGTCGCAGGAAAAGGGAACTGGAATCGGTTTTCCCTTCGCGCGAGACGTTTATGGAGGCGATCCGGATTGAAGAAGATCCACGAGCGTGTTGTTGTTGTTTCTAATTGCGAGAAGACATCTTTTTTATTTTTTGGGCGATCGGAAAAAAGAACTTGAACTTGATCTTCCGGAGAACGGTGACTGCCGCGTTTTAGCTTTACGGGTTTCGAAGGCATTGCTTTATTTCGCGCTCACTGGGTAAACGGTAGACGAAATTTTTTGAAAATTATGACTTCAATTTATATTGTACATGGTAGAAGTGAAGGATATTGCTCAAAATTTTTGAATCTGCGTTCTCACAAATATGTAATAAATTTCATTTTGATTACTTTAGGCTCAGCAAGTACCCAAACTGTAGATCCTACGGTAATTACATAATTTTTTTCGTCACCAATTGCGATTACGGCTTTTCTAGATTTTCAAAATTTCGATTCCACTCTTTCTTGAGTCATCGTTTCGGATGTTGATTGCTGGACCTCATAATTGACAGTACTCTATAAGACGTCATAAACCATCTTTTATTTCGTTTTCTTATCTTCTTCCCGTTCAAGCAAAGATAAGCTAAAAATGAGAAGCTATGGTTTTGTTTTGAGGTATTAAGGGGGATTTCGGCAACTTTTCGGCCACGGAAAGACCTTTTGGCCTCACATTGAAGGGCAATGGTAACAAAAATTTTACTGCGGAAACATAGTCCAATATATTTTTTTTAATTTTAAGCGGGAAATAAGGACAAGTCGAAACCGGATCACGTTGATCGCGGTCTTATTCATCCCCTCCCTTCTCCTTCTGCGTTACGGCCCATAAATTGCGAAAATATCGTCCGAATTTGTCGGGCGACTTGAGGCCGGAAGAGAGAGAGAGACGGGGTTTCTCCCGGAACCGGAAACAGGGTCGGAAAGCGGAATCAGACGCCACCTCAAGGAATGGGGCCCAAGATTTCGAATATTTCAAGTGCTTCGAATAGTTCGGAACGACCGATCCTACCGTGCCTCGCCCCATGAGGGCCTTTAATTAACGATCGCTTATCGCTTCCGGCGCGCTTATCGCGGAGGCACACCTTGGTTGCCGGAAGTGTGTGTGACTCGGGGGAAGGCTGCAGACATCCGGCGACGACGCCCCATAATCCTGCTCTCAATTAATTCGGCCGGAAATGTGCGGACCTTCCATGTATAATATAATGTTCGGGAGTCATTTATCAGGTGGCCCGGAGCCGAATGAAGGGGGGGGGCATTTCTTTGGGCCTTCTGAATAGATATATTCGAATAACATTCGCGCGTTTATGCAGAATATTGGACTTGAAATGGAGGAGGCATAAAACTTTGGTGGACCCAAATAATTCGGGGTTGCAGGAATTGCTTGGGTAGATACCGTAGTTCTACAGTGTGTGGAGGGTCGGAGATGGGGTAACAAGGCTTTCGAGCTTTACAACTCTCAAATCGCGCGACTTATTTTGGTTATCTTATAGCAGACTCCAAGATAAATTTAATGGGATTACGGTAAATTACAGTGTCCCTGAAGTACAGAAACTTTTGCTGTTTTATTTGATAGATCTGTTGGATATTTATTTCACTTTCTCTTTTCTCTAGGGCTGGCCGCCCTCACTTGCCATTACCATAACCCTTGGTCCTGTTTTTGCATCTCAAGTCTCAGATAGGGCTCTAATTTATCCCGGACGAGTCCCTCGTTTTTGGATCATTTCCTCTTCCTTCAATCAGGGTCCATCCGATCGTCTTAGAACGGCGTCTCTGATAACTCCCGTGAAATTTGTTTTCGCGGCAAAGTTTGTCATGTTGATGGTCGCCTCCTCGTCCTCGTCCTCCTCCTCTCATTTCTCGTCTTCTGGGCCCATTTCACGGCCAAGTGGAGCCCCGAATTAAGAGATGAAGAGCGAAAGGAAAGGAGAGCGGATTTCCTGAGTTTGCGAAGATATGCCCTGAGGAAATAACGCCGAGGCGTTGGGGGGTCGGGCCTGCTAATGAGTGCGCACCGGAGCCGAGGGCCCGGATTCCGGCGCCGGATTAGAACTTTTTTGAGGCGAGAGAATGACACGTCCCCCCTTCTTTCCGTGGTGTTTCATGTCACGCCGAGGTTTTGGCGAGAAGGAGAACATCCACAACTTCATATGGCGCTCGTTTCTCCCGTTCTGAGGTGTTGGATGGGCTCATTTGGGCGTTTTATAAGTCATCTTATCATAAGTGATGGTTTAGTGGATTGGGATAAACTTGCAAACAATGTGTCGTGATGACATCTTGAATGGAGTAGGTGGCACCATGTTGGACTCTGCCGGGTTAAAATTTCCAATGTCGACTAGGATTACTGTAAAAAATGTTTTAAGACTTCTGGCACGATGACGAATTTTCTAGAATTCCGGTCTGGCTTCCCCATCACAATAATTTTCAGTCGATACTACAGTAAAATACGGTAGGGCGACCTGTTTGCTCTAATTGGTTTTCAGATTTTATTTTTTCGCCTGTATTTGTACCTTATTTTACCTTGTGTAGCTCCTCTTTTCTTGACCGCGCTCCATAATTACACATTACACCTTCTGTAATCTCCCTGCAATTAGCCAAACCATCCCTCCTAATAATCTCCTCTTGCCAACCCTCCTCCCGCTCTCTGCTCTCCGTTTCATCGAAAGTTCGTATCTTTGGACCGGTAGCGTCGTATAACATCTGCAGCCTTTTCTACCGGCATGCCCTGCGGCCCTTCATAATGCAGGAAGGACCTCTTAATTCTGTCGGCCCGGGCAACCGAAACCCCGCCCTTCAGAGACCTTTCGTTTTCGGAGTCAAATAATTGGGGGGCCGCCCGTATTTATTACAACTCTTACACCTCCGGCCGGTTACACTCGAATTAACGAGAAGAAAAGGTGTGATTTGAGGGAACCGTTGGGCCAAGTAAGACAATAGCTGTGGTAATAAGGCCCTTGGATAGTGTGGAAATAATTAGAATCTTGGGAATGGAGACGGATTGAATCAAAGTTCACCTGACGATGTGAGATATTGTACATGACATATCGGTCAGTGTGGATGAAATAGACAAGTTTTTGGTGAAGCTCAGGCTACAGTAATCTTTTTTATGAGCCTAAGACAATCGAAACGTCTTTTTTGTTCACTTTGTCGTCAGTTTTGGGCAGTATATTGCGCATGATGACATAGATGGCTAGTATAATATCAGCCCCGTTTTTGGCTGGCTAGGGGCCCCAACTAAGGCAAAACCGGTTCTGTTATAAAACTCGAGCTCCATACTTCCTATTTCGCCGCGGTTTTCCTGAGTTTTATATCAATTTCCGCGACTTTTCTCGTATGTTACTTATCCCTTCATCTATCCTAGATATGGTGGATATCGCGAACAATGAGACCTCACAACCCTTTGATCTCTTCCTCAACATTATTGGCACCAACAAGCTCTTAGACACGACGACCGCTTCGTCGCCACCTCCCCGCCGACCTCAACAAAGATCACGCTTTGCTTCCGGCGAATTCCCAAAAAGTTATGACCTGAATCAACCGGCCAAATCCTGGTGGCGCTACTTTCAAAAGCAGACCGAAACCAACACAGCAATGTGCTATACTTGTGGAGCGGTGTTTAATCGAGGTCCCAAGCAATCGACGACCTCTTTAAGTCATCATTTGAAGATGTACCATCGAGAACAATTTATCTTCATTCAGCAAGCAAAGGATGATGACATAAAGATGAACAAGGGAGGAAAGAAAGTGAAACCAAAACCAAAGGTCGAGCCTGAGGATCTGGAGAGACAACAGGACGAGGATAATCAGCATTGGGGAAAGAAAAATGGGTTTAACATATCCCTGATCAAGGCTGTCAGAAGTCGCCCGGAAATATTCGATGTGAAAATGAGAGCCGGCTCGGATGAGGACTTGGGGACAATCTGGGAGAGTGTTGCGAATGAGATTGGAGAGGGAGTTACAGGTAAGGGTTTGAAGATATTGAGCTAGGTCATCATGGATAATGTAAAATAGATTTTAAACTTGGGTTTATTCAAGTTTTTGTCAAAGTTTCTTTTTGAAAGTTATTAGCCCTGCTGATAAGAACAGCACAAATATTGTTGCTCAAAACTGTCACTTGATAAAGGCAAAACTTATGTCATCATGGAGAATATTTTTGAACATTCTAGAAACATTCATTTTTTACTGTCAGAAACAGAATGTTTATACAATTTTTGATCCGACCACTTGCTGATCAAGTAGTCATAATAATTTACAATCAAATTTTTCAAAAATATATTTTGCTAGACGAAATTACTCAAATTCTCATCCTCTGGGACATATTCCTCTCCAGACCTAACGCCTTCAGTTTCAGTTGAGTCAGTGAAGAAACGTTGGCTTCAAATCCGAGATCGCTACCGAAAAGAGCTTAAATTTGCAATCCGCGATAATTTTGCCTACGAACCAAAATGGCCGTATTTTTGGGATCTCGGATTTCTGGACGAACACCTCCGAGATACCGCGGAGAGAACGAATGTTGGCGTCAGACCCCCGGAGAAAAGAAAGAGCGAAAATGGAAATAACAATGGTAAATTGTCATGATAAACATATTCTAATTTTTATATTACTCTAGGTAATCACTCTTCTAATCATAATTATTTTAGATTTCCAAAATTTGCTTGACGAATCGGCCTCAAATCTCCTGACTAATATTTTCTCGGCTTGTGCCCAACAGTCGTCACCAGATTCCGTCGATAATGAGGCCGAATCCACGGATTCGGCAATCGCATCGACTTCGGAAAATGATGCCGATGAGAATGAGCAAAAGCCAGCCAATATTCTCAATATTTCCCATCTTTTACATGAGAAAAACGATGATCAGGCTCTGCTGGAAGTCCCTTCTAAAAGACCACGGAAATCGACACCCACCAGATCGAAGCCGATCGATGATTTGGAGGCGGATCATGGCCGTTCTTTTGATTGGCTGGAGGACGAGGACATGCTCTTCGGGAAGATTGTGGCTCTCAGACTTCGATCATTGCCTGCTGCGACTAAAAAACAAGTAAGGACCCTATTCATGGCAATAATAAACAACCTATAATCAACATTTATATTATCCTTGCTTAACTTCTATTTTCAGATCAAGATCTCGATCGAAAAAATCTTCGAACGCCATGAACGCGGACTCAGTTGAACGCTCGACCTCACTCTACATTTCCCTTTCCTATCCCGGTATCTTTTTTACCTACTGTAACATATACCCTAAAATCATTTCGAATTACTGTAAGCGGCTCAAAACTCTACAAAAACACTCTTGATATCATCCTTCTCCATTGGCTGTATAAATCTGACAAATAATTTATTGTTAATAAAACTTATTAGTAGTATTCTGGTTATGGTTGACTAAATACCGAACAATACAAATTTAGGGTGAAATACAGTAATCTTGGCTTTTAATTCTAACAGTTCATGGTATAAAAAGTCATAAACTTCATTCTACAGTAATCAAAATGCTTAACTCTACAGTAATTTGCTAAAAAAGAAGTAATTTTAGGATATAAACGGGCAAAATAATGAGAAAAAGACCTAAACCAAGGAGAACATGGAGCATAATCCTTCGCAATATAGCCCATTCCGCCATATGACAGTACTACTCCCTGGCTTCTCTGCAGACCTTCTGAAAGACATTTGGGAAGGCATCTTGGCAGTCGTATGTTACTCTCAACCAGTCATACAAGGTGTTGTCAAACATCTCCCAGAACTCTGCAGCTGTCATATACGTGTCCGCATACAACATCTGAGCCCCTTTCACATCTCGAACGAACTTCTCCAGCTTTCTGGTGGTCTCTCTTGGATCGTATCCCTTCCTTTCTGCATTTCCATATACTCCAACATCAACAAATAAAACGTTGGCCCCGGTTCGATTTCTTAGTAATCCAGGCATGGATGGGAGATTAAACGGGCACAACCAGATCGGGTAGCATCCAACTTCCTTATCAAACAGGTCGACCGAGTCTTCGAGGGCAGTCAGTGGGACCAGCATGTCTTGGATTATGTGATGACGATTGTAAAGACGTCTGATTGGAGCTGGAGTTGTCAACTTCAGAAGCGAAACTTTTGGTGGGAGAGCCCATCCGAGAAGGTACCGGTAGATTACATTGTTTCCAAATGGAATCAGATCCTAAAATAGACCCAAAATTATATTATTCATGTCAGAAATTGATATCAAGTTTCAAACACTCACTCTCAACTCCCAAAATATGCTTTTAGAATGCCGATGGTAGTAGTCCCTCAATGGGATGTACTCCGTAACCTCCTGAAATATCAAACATCAAATTTTGGACAAAAAATTACATTACACATGACACTACTTTTTACACTTTTGACAAACCCACTTGATTTTTGTTGAGGATGTTCTCGACGTGCTTGAAGAACCAGGGCTTATACCATTTGCCAATCGCGTTCAGAGTTCCATTCTTTGGGGGCTCCTCGGCGAACTGGCCACTCATGATAACAGCCGACTCTTTATTATACAAGATACCCTCCACAAATTCGTTGGATGGGGTGGTGGAAAAGTCGCGAAGGACGTTTGTGATCTCCTGCAAATATTACATTACATTTTAGCATTTTCTTTTTTTTATTGAACTCCACAAAATTTCACTATTCATGGAAAAAAATATAACAAAATAAATGCAAAAAATCTTACCGCCAACCCTCTAACCGGTTTGTAATGCAATTTGACGTAGGGTTTACAAGGAATGATCTTGATAGTCGCCGCTACTAGGAATCCGAGAGTCCCGTGACTCCAGGGAATCCCGTAGAACAGACTTTGGTGATCCGAACCATCTTTTCTGGCTATAACCAACTCTCCAGTAGCCGTCACAATCTCGAATTGAAGGCAAATGTGTTGGAAGAGGCCATACTTCCTTCCACTTGACTCTACTCCACATCCATTCACCATTCCTCCTACTGTAAGATCGTCCAGTTCTGGGACAATGGGAAGAGTGTAACCCAAGGGAATCAGGAATCTGGTCAATTGGCCCATTGTGACCATTGGCTCCACTCGAACTGTGCGCTTTTCGGTGTCAATCTGAAAAAATATTAATTTCATTAAAAAATCGGTGCTTTTAGGTAGTATAATAGAATTTTCAGTAACAAAACGAGGTCAGATTGGGCCTGAACCTTACAAAGAGCACCGTGCTACAACTGGAGATCAAGAAAGCCCGCTTTCCGTTAAAAAAAACTCATATTATTCTTACCTCCAGGATGTCCACCAGCTGATCCGTCTTGATCCCGAGCATCCCCTTCTTATATTTCGGAAATCTGAAGCTCATAGTCAAGAATCCAGCTCGAGCTGTGCACAGCTTCTTTTTCCTCCCTCCATCGTTCCATTCACGGATCTACAACAACCTTATATTACACTAGGCATCAGCTCTCACCTGCTTCTGAATAACCGCCACTTTCCGATCATGCGCCTTCGGAGCCGAATTCAACTTGAATATCAAGTAATTTCTGATCAGATAGTAGCCATCGTAGAGCAGACTCGCCGGTAAAATGAAGAAAATCACAAAAATCCATCGAAATCTGAAGAGAAACCATTCCAGAAACTGCTCCGACAATGGAACCCCCTGGCTTTTACCCATTATCACCTGAAAATGATGACTTGTAAACTACCGAACCATCAAGAACCTCTCGAATAACACGTTTGGCCAAAATTATTTTATATTATACTTGACATTTTAGATAACAAATTCGTCAAAAAATAACTGATACGCTTTCATCTGATGAAACATGGAAGAGATCGTTCTAAACTTTGCAAGACTTAGGAAAAACAATGCAGTAAATGTGCACAAAGATTGAAGAAATAATTGAAAACGAAGAATTTTGTTATCGTTGATAAGTGATAACAAAAAAGGGTAGATTATGGAGTGGAACGGACCTTCTCAGAACCAAGGTCAACATCCAAAAGCGTATGAAAACTATGGCAAATCTTCCTCATAATCAAAATTTTTCTCTTATGCAGATTTTTCTTTTTTTCGAGAAAAATAAAAAAACAGAACTTGCAAGTTGTTTCTCTCTTGATAAAATGGGTTGATTAGCTGTTTACAAGCTGTCATTGTCGTTTTCATCAATCAAATTACAGTTTTTTCACTTCATTTCACATAAATATTCTGTTTGATAAAATGTTTGCCATGTATAACATAATTTTTCTCAAATATCTCGTCAATTTTGCTGCCAAACATTTTTTTAGTTCACAGTTCTCAGTTGTTTTTCTCCCTGATTGCATAGAGATGCTGCGGACTTCGTACCTTGTGTTTTCTATTCAGATCTTGACCACTTGTTTCCCCTGATTTTTTACCATTCGGCGTTGTTTAGCCGTTTATAGACGCGAGATAAAAAGTAAATAACCGTTAGACGTCTTTTGCAGATCATTACCGAAGAGAAATCGACGGTCGAATTGAAGGGAGCAATCTGAATCGCTGTCCGAGATGTTCCGCGCCACTAAAATCTCTCAAATTCTGGGTCGGATCCCTCGTGGGAACTTCAACATGGTGAGGTGAGATCTTTTTGCTCTTTATTTTTGTGTTTAGAGGGCTGGCCACCGAAGCCGAGTTCGAATCTGCGCAGAAGAAATTAAATTCATTGACCACGGATGTCGGAAATGATGTCAAACTGAAGGTTTATGGACTGTTCAAGCAAGCGACCACTGGAGATGCCTCGGGCGATCGTCCAAGTGCCATCAACTTTGTGGCAAGAGCGAAATATGACGCCTGGAACGAATACAAAGGTCTTTCGAAGGTATGGGATGTTCAAGGATTGTATCATTTGTAGGAAGAAGCTCGAGGAAAGTATGTGGCATTGGTCAATGAGTTGGCTAGTGCTGAGCCTGCGGCACCAGAGGTTGTGGAGCCCGGACAAGTTGCTGGTTTGAAGACTGGACCAGATGGAAGTGTTTATAACATCAAGTTGAACAGACCCGATAAATTCAACGCCATCACAACAGAGATGTACACCGGAATCAGAGAGGCTCTGAAAGCGAGTGACCAGGACAAGAACACCAAGATCACAGTTATTTCAGGTATTAAGTAGTCTTTTTTTAAATTAATGTTACCTTATTTTAGCCAATGGACCCTATTATTGCGCTGGAAATGATCTGAAGTCTTTCCTTCAAGTCAAATCCCCGGCCGACTTGAAGCCTGCGACAGAGGCTGCAGCTGAGTTCATGAAAGAATATGTGGGAACCTTCATCGACCATCAAAAACCACTCATCGCTCTAGTACAAGGTCCAGCTATTGGAATCGCCGTTACAACCCTTGCCCTATGTGATGTGGTTGTTTGTTCCGACAAAGCCACCTTCCAAACTCCGTTTACCGCTCTTGGCTACAGTCCAGAAGGCTGTTCATCCTTTACTTTCCCTGCAATTATGGGAGTTTCCAAAGCCACGGAAATGCTGTTATTAGGAAAAACTCTGACCGCGCAAGAAGCCTATGATTGGGGACTGGTCTCCCGAGTCATCCCGCATAATCAGTTTGCCGAAGAGACTGAACGTTTCCTCAAAGAAATAACCGAATTGCCAGCGGAGTCGTTGAGAATCAACAAGACCATGGTCAGGGATGTGACTAGGGCTGCTCTTCACAAGGCCAATGCGGATGAAGCCAAACTGATTGCCGAACGATGGAGAGGGAAGGACTGTGCTGCCGCCTTCCAGAAGTTCATGGCCAGAAAGAAGTAGATTTATGACTATAGTTATATTAAACACGCCTAGTGTAATATAAAAATAATTGTGTTTTTATTTCGACGTTCGAGTAAATATCGTTTATTATACATACAAATACATAAAAAAGTATGTAATAGCATTATATCTTAAATATTAGTCAAAAAAGATCAACAAAAAACCCGTTAGAGATGGAAAATTCAACAAATGTCACCTAAAATTCTTTACAAAAAAATAAAAAGATACCTAATTCGGTTCTAAATCTGGCGGAGGTTCGGTGACCTCACGCTCATCGATGTCGGTGCTCGGATTCTTCACCATCTTCATCGCTTTCGGCTCCTTTAGTATCACCAAATTTGACTCCGAAGTGTTCCGAGTTCTTTCTCCGTCCTTATTTCCACTGGGTTGACGTGATCTTTTAGCCACAGGGCCTATTATATCCTCCACGAGGAGTGCTTTATTCTCAGCACAACACCTGCAGGCCGGGATTCTGATGACAATGAATGCAGGACGGGCATTCGGGATTTTCTTGTCACACAAGGCGCAATATCCGGAATTCGCGTGTATTAATGTGGGCTTTTCGATTGGTCCGGTGGCTAAATGATGTTCTGCAGAAGAATCTGTAAGAAAATGATGTTATTTTGGCGTTTCCTATATTACACTTGACATCACATATCTAAATCCTACCATTTCTGACAAGATGCGGTCGTTTTTGACCCGGTTGAATCTTCACCTTCTCTACCATCCTCTTATTTTTCGTTTTCCTTGTGATTTCGGATTCTTTCACCCATTCAAAATGTCCATCCTATACATTGCAATAGACTACTACAAAAAAACTTACATCAAACTGAACTTTGAAGGTCCCGTTGTCTCGAAAGTACCTAATCACCGCTGGTCTCGGTCCTAATCTTCCTTTATTAACCTCTACCACTTCTCCAACATGTCCATTGACTTGAGCCTGAGTCTTTTGCGGTGGATGTGGGACATGTTGAACGCGTGGCTGAGGAGTTGGAGGAGGCTGATATGATACTGGCGTAGCTGGACCGGCAGAATATGCAGCATAGTTCACCGGGACCTCTTCATTATTACTCAAATTATGTACAAGATCTTGCATTTCGGTTTCGCTGAGAGCCGTGGCATCAGTCACTCCCATTTCCCGAAGATCATCGCGATGGTACTAAATAATGAACAAAATATTTTTTAAATTTGACTTACCGTCGCTACACACCTTCCGTTCTTCCCCATTAACGTCAAACTCCCTTCATCAGTGATATAAGCATACAATTCATCGCCTTTGCTTTGGTCTCCGATAGATGAAGTTGATGGGCCTGGAGCGGAGTTTTGATAAAAGATTTCTGACTCATGATCTTCAGGTTTGAGATGCGGTGGATAGCCCAAGTCATTCATCATCTCATAATCTCCATATTCTGATTGGATCCCATCTCCACGCTCTTGGCACATTAACAATAAGGCATCAGATTGGCCCGAATTTACATTAATATTGGTGGGGTCGGAAACGTCCACTCCAACAGAAATGAGGTCTTCACGGGTTACCTGAAGTCGTAATATGACATGCATATCAGAAAATAATCACTGAACAGAATAAGAAAAAATTTTTTATATTGCAGTAGAAATCCGTTACAAATTTTTATATCAAAAAGGGAAAACTCACTGAAATATTGCCAACCTCCGTGTTCAGCAAGAACCTGCTCTCTGCCAGGTTCATCATACCCCCATCTGACATCATGTTGTCGTCCATTACATAATATTGCGCAGGCATTTCGAGGTTCTCCTCAAAACTCTCGAGATCATTCGGATGCCCAATCAACGATCTCTCACTTTCTCTGATCTCCTAAACACAACATCAAACACTCCAGAAGTTCCTACCATGTTGTATGCTACATTTCCATTAATTTGTTGTCCTTCAATTGGTTCATTTATATATTCAACACCAAATTCATCAAAGCCGATGGATCTTTCGACTTCTAGAGATTCTGTTGAGGGTCCCGGGACATCTGAGGCTACCGGATGGGATGTCGGTGCCGTAGACATAGTTGTTACTCAACAGCGACAAGTTCCGGCAAGATAAATTCCCATTTTTTTATTTTGCAGAATGCCAACAGAAATGAATTTCAGGGAAGCGTGGTCAGACTAAATTATGGCAGATATGAATGAAGTAAAACAGCTAAATATGACAGTTATGTGATAGCTAAAGATTTTAAATGATCATAATCCTATTACATGCCTAATTGTTATATAAGAAAACAGATTTCCTATATCAATTATATTATTCATCTTTTAGAAGGTTTTACTACTCTCCGAGTAGTTAGAATTGATTGTAAATGCAACGGAAGGGCCTGAATTTCGGTCTTCAACCGTATTTTAAATTATTCATGACTATCCACCTGTTTTACGCTATTTTCTTTACAAAAAGACGAAATGCCACAACAATTATCGGGGTTTCTAACTGAGCTCGAACGAAGTGTCAAATAGGCCGGCCTTTTTATCCAAAGGAGAAATGAGGACCTTCTCGATTTTCCGGACATTCGCGAAATTTTTGTTGGTTGCATGTTTCTGCCCTTCGGCCAGTTCTAATTGATAAATTTTCAGAAACTTGAATACTTCAAAATGATTCGTGGTGGTGGTGGCGTTCCTATCATTGTTGTGAATCAGAAGATTCAGCGAGAGCAGGGTCACAAGGTTCAGCTGCAAAACATCGCAACCGCTAAGGTATATTTACTGATTTCATTTATTTTATTGATGGAATTTGTTGGTGAATCATGGATAATATATTTTTTAATTTTTGTAGACCATTGCCGATGTGATCAGGACAAGCTTGGGCCCACGGGCTATGTTGAAAATGTTGATGGACCCCATGGGCGGAATCGTGTTGACCAACGATGGAAATGCCATCCTCCGTGAGATCACGGTCAAACATCCAGCGGCCAAATCGATTATCGAAATTGCGAGAACTCAAGATGAAGAGACTGGTGATGGAACTACTTCGGTTATTGTCCTGACGGGTGAAGTTATGGCTCAAGCTGAGCAATTCCTGGAACAGAATATGCATCCAACCTTGATCATCAGAGTAAGTTCATGTTATTTCATACAATTCTTGTTTTAGGCTTATCGACGAGCTCTGGAAGACATGATCGTATGGGCTGAAGAGAAGTTCAGGTAAGTGGTAATTGTGGTTGTTCGAAAATTGCTTTAAGTTTTTGTTTTGACCATAAGTTCATATTGCACTAAAGATATGATGATTTCATCAATTATCTTCTCTCTTTTCAGCAAACCAGTTGACATCAAAGATGACAAGCAACTTGAACTGGTCGTTCGTTCTTGTCTATCGACCAAAATGATGAGTGAATACATGGATCTTGCCGTCAATATTGCTCTGAACGCAGTCAAGACCATCCTTGTCGAATCGCATGGTGCTAAAGAAATTGATATCAAGAGATACTGCCGAGTGGAGAAGATCCCCGGTGGTTCTATTGAGGACAGTCAGATATTGAAGGGAGTTGTCTTGAACAAAGACATTGTCCATCCAAAAATGAAGAGGAGAATCGAGAAACCAAGAGTTATTCTGCTTGATTGTTCTTTGGAATACAAGAAAGGAGAAAGTCAAACGGCCATGGAATTGTCTAAGGAGGCTGATTTCAGCAAAGCGTTGGAACAAGTAAGGGATTAAATGGCGATTTGAAATTTTTGATGCCTAACGCAATATAATTTTCTTTTTTTAGGAAGAACTCGCCATCCGCAAGCAATGCGATGAGATCATTGCTCTCAAACCGGATCTTGTCTTCACTGAAAAGGGTATCTCCGATATGGCCCAGCACTTCCTGGTCAAGGCCGGAATCACGGCCCTGAGAAGACTGAAGAAGACAGATAACAATCGATTGGCCAGGTGGGATTTTGTCAATTTCTTTTGAATTTGGTGTTTAGGTAAAAGAAGTCTTACTCATTCATTTCAGAGTAACCGGTGCTCGAATTCTGAATGACACATCGGATCTCCGCGAGGAAGACGTCGGAACCTTGGCTGATCTCTATGAGATCAAGAAGATTGGCGACGAATACTTTACTTTCGTAACCTCAGAGAAGACCACTGCTGTTACTATTCTCCTTCGAGGACCTTCCAAGGATATTATCAATGAAGTCGACAGAAATCTGCAAGATGCTGTCGCTTGTGTCAGAAACATCTTGTTGAACCCAAGGATTGTGCCCGGAGCTGGCGCTTTGGAAATGGCGTTGTCTCACGCCTTGAACGAACAGTCAAAATCGATTGAAGGAGTCCAACAATGGCCTTATAAGGCGATTGCTCGCGCTTTGGAGGTTATCCCAAGGACTTTGGTCCAAAATTGCGGAGGATCCACCATCAGACAGCTGACTGCCCTGAGGGCTAAGCATGCGCAAAGTCCCGATAACTGGACCTATGGAATCAACGGAGAAACTGGGGAAATTGTAAGGGTTTCAAGGAGTTTTGAGCAGATTTTGATATTGTAACTAAAATTACACTTGATATTTTCTGTTAAAAATTAATTTGTTGCTTTCAGGTTGATGTTAATGACCTCAAGATCTGGGACTCCCTCTCCGTCCGCATCCAGGTTATCAAGACGGCCATCGAGACGTCGATCATGCTTCTCCGTATCGATGACATCATCAGCGGAACCAAGAAACGAGAAGAAGTCCAAAACTAATTCAAATTCCCCTTTTGATCCATCTAAATCTCAGTCCCGCCGCATCTCCGTTCCGATGTTTATGTTGGTCTTGTTTTTTGCTTTGTTTCTCAATGTTCTTGTTGCCTCTAAGCTTCATTTTTCTAAATAAATTGACAAAAGATTGAATGGTAATTAAATTGGAGATTGGTATAAAGTCCATTGGTTCATTTATTTTGAGGATTTGGGGGACGGAAGGGAGAATTGTGTGGTTTTTGGAAAGTTAATTATATTATACATGGTATCAGTTGAAGGATATATGAGGTCGTTTGGAGAATGGAAAAGGAACGACCGAAAGCGAAGAGAAGGACCAAAGCCAGAACCAGTCTTGAGGAGGCTCCCCCAGAACCTGTAACTCTATCCGACTTTGGGTTGGCCGAGAATCTTCCAAATACATCACAATTACAAGGTAATGAGGTTCAAATTGAGGTAGCAGAAGAGGCAATAGAGGATGAAGAAGAGGTTAAGGAGACAACTCCGGAGCCGAAAGTTGAAGTCAGGGCCAAAAGTGAAGAGATAAATGGAAAAATTAAGGAAAAGTCGCTGGATGAAGGGCTATTACGGTATGTTGGTATTTTAATATTATTATTTGGTCTTTAGGACTACAAACGCGATGGAATCGAAGGCTAAGGAGGCTGCCAGAGGCTCAAGTCTAATTGAACTTCCGCTTGACGCACTTCTTCCCAAGCACAGTCGAGAGGAAACTCGAGTTCTCCCACCCGCTTATCCTGATCTCACAGCTCTGAAGACCCCTGAAATTGATGTGAAACCGCCGAGTCCGGTCGAAAGAACCAGGAATCTTTATCCGGACCTAAGAGCTTTGGCTACGGCTCCAGCCAGGGAAGAAGTAATTGTTAGGAATGAAACGGAATTGCTGCAGGAAATGGACTTGCTTCAGTACTATCACAACGAAGAGCTGGACTCCGTTGATGATTTTGTTGAGCATTTCAATCAGGTGAGACAAGTTTGAAATCTTTATTTTGCGTTTAGAAAGAACTTCGGCCTCGAAATTTACTCTACGAACTGTTGGATCGATTCAAGACGGCCTGTGAACAATTAGAAAGAGACTCCGAACTCAAGAATCAGATGGGAATCCAGCTCTCCAAGACGAATAATGAGGTCTGGAACACGGTGGATCATAAGATTGCTCATTCGGGACGTTGCGGATGTGACAGGTCGGCTCATGGAGAAGCCTACTACAAGAAAGCCACCTTAATGCCGGAGAAATTGGTCCAACTACAAGCGGAATTAAACGATTTGACCTCTTTGGAGCTGGGACAATTTTTTTGTGTGGAAATTAGAGCTCGATCATTGGCGTTACAGATTCAGTGGATCGTAATTCACTTGAACAATCGTTTCATGAGTGCACAACAACTCAATATGAACTCACTTCCGACTTGTAAGCAGATCATTTGAATTCTTATTTTGATTATATTGCAGTAGTCTCAACCCAACGAAATTTCGAACCTCACAGGACGGAACTGATCGGAGCTTTGTCGGATCTCTTCTACTTTCTGAGATTTCCAATGCTGCCGAAAAGATTCAGAGATTCGGTGACCAATTGGATTGTGGAATTGGTATGTTATACTTGATGGATAAGATCATTTTTATGTTTTTAGACCTCGGTTCTACTGAAAGCCATCTCACCCGTGGATCAGAAGTTTGTTGTGTGCCAAATCTTGCGCTCCCCATCTCCAATCGATCCTTGGGCTGTGCCTCTGCTACAAACTTTCATTACAGTACCAACTTTGGAACCGAAGAGAGCAATAGACACATTTTTGGCCCTTTTAGCATTAGTTTTGCATCCAATTCAGAAGCGAGAAGAGTTTCTCAGCCATTTTGCAAGATTCTACGAAGGCGATAATGAGTGGAATGTGGTCAGTGAGGACGGGGATACGGTAGGTCTTCTAAAGTAATATAATTTTGGCTTTTAGGAGAATGTAAACCTGACAGATATGAATGAACTGGATCTAATAGCACTATTTGGACAATTTTCAATGAGCTCGCTTTTTTCAGTGGCGCTAAAACACTTCACTTTTGTCCATCGTGAGTTTCTTTGTATTGTACTTGACATGATATTTTTATTTTTTTAGAAGGAAACAAGTATCAGATAATGCTCTCACTTATCTCATTCACTCTGATCGTCCTCAAACTTCTGAATCAGGGCCTCAGGACCTATAATTCGTTGAAAAATGTATCAAAGAAAATTTGTGATTACATAAGGTAAGACAAAAGAACGAATAATATAATTTCTAGGAGAATGACTCAACTTTTATCGAGCTATTGGATGCTCTCCAAGGATGAGATGTCAAATGCAATGAGAAGTCAGGTTCAAAATGAGATTAATCGGGTCATCCTCATAGCTGTTAACCATGTTATATCTAAAAAAAGGTAAAAAATTACAAATTGTCAATTGATACATGGTGTGAATGGCTATATTTATTTCAGTGTGGGTCTGTGGCAATATCTGGTCGATTTTCCATTTGTTGGATTGACGGAGAAGGCGAGATTACGGGTTATTTTAATGTTAAAAGCTCCAAAAATTTACGATTTTGCCAAAGTTTTTGAGATCGAAGATTGCAAATTGAATGAGGAAGTGAAGAGTGAGTTGATTTTGTAGTTTTTGGGGGCAATTAATGTGTAATTGGTGACTTGTGATGTTATTTTAGAAGGAAAATTGCTGGAAGGTCTGGATCAGCACGAAGAAGATTCGACCTACAGTATCCTGGTCCTGGCCTCAGTCGTCGCGGAATGCGAGAAGTTCGATGCTCGCACTTTTATGGATGAGCTGATCGAAATCTGTTTCCTGGATGAATTCAGCCGCGAAAAGTATTACAAAGCCGGATCCGAAGCCGTTTCGGTGCTGCTGGAGAGGAAGCCAGAACTCCTCCCATCCATTCTAAGATACGTCGACAGGCAGATCGACCATCTCGACGCATACGCGGTGGATATTTTGACGAATGCATCCCTGAAAAAGTGTAAGATCAGCCCGGACGACATTGGATCGATCCTCGGAAAGTGGCTTGTCAACCGACCGGTCGATCATCCGGCATCATCGATCGCCCGAAGAGTCCTTTCCTCACTGGATTGGTCCTCGGAACCCTACTTTTTGCCGCCAGAATCTCATGAGATTTGCGCCGATACCATCGTGAAATCCCACATTGTTCATTGTAAAAACCGCAACTCTCTGATTTCAAAATCATTCCAAAAAGCGGCAAAAATGGCCAGCAAATGCCCCGATCTGGAACAAAACTTTGACAAATTTTGCTGGGACACCCTGGTCAAGCTGAAAATTACTATCAAGGTAACATGGATAACATAATTTTTATCGGTTTTAATACAATTTTAGCCCTCATTAAACACACCGACTTCGGATCTCACCGCCTTCTATATTTACCTGATGCAAAAAGGAATTTCAACGTGAGTTTTGGATTTTTTGGAAAGATGATGGCTAGTGTAATATAATTTTTAAAATTTTTGATAGACAATTTTTGTTTTGTTGTAGGCCAGAGATCTTCATGGAGAATGGACTTAATTATTGGGTGGAACTTGTCAATTCCGGGTCATTTAATGCAGCTGCAGTTGTCTTGGCATCCCTCGTGAAGCGGGCCTACGGTAGAATGGCCTACTTTAATGCCAACAATTCCTTCCGAGAAGCCTTTGAACGTCTCCTACGAGCCGATGAGTCCCATTTTGCGGTGCAGTTCCTAATGGGGGCGGATAAATTCCCGGGCCCTGTTTTGAAACTACTTGGATCAGCTATTGCGGTAAGGATAATATAAAATTTTTGATTATTGAGTTTATTTTTGAGAATTGTAGTGATGATAAAGTTAGAATAAAACTGATGTTTATAGAGTCAGCTTGGAGAAATTGAAAATCCCCAGGAGTTGGTCAACAAATCGGATGGTTGGTTCTTATTAATGGCCTCGAAGAAGAGCATCGAGTGGAATGAGGACAAAAGTGTACTGTATTTGTTGGGAATTATGGCTCGAATTCACTTTGTCAAGGCCACACATCAATTTGATGGGATGATTGAGAAGTTTGTCGCGCTTTATAAGGTCAGAAAACTGAATTTCTGTAGAACGCGATATAAAAAAATTGAGATTGATGTCTGAAATTGCTGTTTTTTAGAGCTGAAAACTTTTCAATATTATTTTTAGTCCCTATACAACGCCTGGAAAGATGCACCGAAAGGAATGTTGGGCTGGTTCTCGACCCAGATCCCCCCTCCACTGATCTCCACCACCCTCATGAATGTCTCTCCCTGGCTGACGTACTTTCTTCTGAGAGCTGAGCCACAAATCTACACTCAATTTTATGCAGTCCTCTATCAGAATATGGGAAAACATCCGGCGAGGTCACTTGAAGAATGTGTCAAAGTAAGGATTATATTATACATGATGACTGTTGTTTAGAGAGCCCAATCCAAATCGAATATCATGCTCGGAGTGAACCGTACGGCTTTCTACAGGTGGCTTGAGTTCTGTAACACCCCTGAGGCAATTCAAAGTGCAGTTTATCCACTGGCATTGCAACAATTATGCATTTGTTTGTTGAAAAGAGAGAATTTTGAGAGGTAAAGTGGAAAAATGAGTTGTATAATGGTGTGACTTGCAGGAAAAAGTTTTGTCCAGGCGCCCGTTATCTTTCATGTCCGGCGGCAAAGCCTTTATTCGACGAATTGAGGGAGAAATCATTGCCTCAAGCGGAGAAGGACGCCGAGAACGAAAGATTGGCCGGGTTTATCAGGGCCACAGGCCAGTGGATATTCAATAAGGACGTTTACAATCCCGAATTCTCGAATTACAACGACCTACCCATGGATTATTTGGTTCAAATGATCACTTCCAATGATACGGTATCTAAAATAATTTAATTTTTGTCATAATTTGAGAATCTTCAGCATATATGGACGGAATTCATCAGCATTTCGGAAATGGAGCAAGCCATGAGTAATGAATCAAAGGTAAGCGTCATCAGCAAGGGATACATTGTAATTTTAGTTCTTCAATTACCTCTGCTACCTAAAACAATCAAATTCGAAGGCAAATCTGCAACAGGGCTTCAATCCACCGACGGATTTGACCCAATTCTTCGCTCAGATCGACTCGACTTCCTCGGCCAAGACTTGTGTCGCCTTCCCGGCCGTCCCTTCACATCCAAACCTCACTTCGGCTGATAATCCGAGTCGACAAACTTGCGAGAATTCGCCGATGATACTGTCCAGATTCCAAAGCTACCTCGATCAACTAACTGCCATGGCTCGGTAAGCTCGGGGAAGGAAAATTGAGCGATTTGAGCGCAAAACTTATGTTATACTTGATATTTTGGTCATTTCTGGGCAAAATTTATATTATACTTGATATTTTAGTGATTTCCTGGCATGCAAGGAGACCGTAGAACGACTCAACACGGATTATACGGTTGATTTCCAAAAACTTTACTACGAACGAAGGACAAATTTGGCGGTAACACTCCGATGTGGAAATTTACTAAACTCGGAATGCCCAAAGCCCGCCCAAAGAAGTGTCCCAGTCACGGAAAGTGTCTACGATAACACGGTCGCGGTCAAAATGAATGAGAATCGGCAGGAAAGGGAGAATAAAATTGGCGATTTACTGGGGAAATTGGACTTTATGGCCATCAATTCGGCCCAACTGGAGCATCTTTGCTTTGTTTTGCTCGCTTTTGCCAAGGAAAGTGCCGTCCCCAATGTCTATGGAGCCGGAAATGGAGTCGGGTTTGGATCGAAGGCAACGGATATGCTGCGACAGACCGGAATCAACGTGTTCTACAGACTTTCCAATAACGTAACGGCCGAACAAATGCTCTTCCCGGCATTGATGTCGGCCTTTGAGAACTGCTGTCAAATCCTGGGATCGGTAAGGAAGTTTTGATAAGTTATAGGTTTAAGTTTTTATGGTTTATAACAGGGCCTATAGTGAGTGCTTATGCGGAAATTAAGAGATTCGAAATAATATTTTAAATGCAGATATTTGAGATGTTTTCCATGATGGCTTTACTTTGTAAATACTTGATGATTAATATATTTTTGCAGGCATTCCTCTTCGAAAATCCCTCGGAACAATTGAATATTCTCCGGATCGTCCTCTCGGGCAACCCTCTCAACGTCTACATTATCCCTCATTTCTCTCCACATTGCGTAAATTCCACGGAATTGATCCGAATTTACACCGAATTATCGACCGCCGTAAGAGCTCCATCGACCGCAGAATCGGCGCTCGCATTGCTTCAAAGATTGGACTTTGTAAAAGCAGGCCGCCTCCTTCCTCCCGACCAGTTCAGCGCCTTAATGCCAGTGATTTTTGAGAATTTGATTTCGGTCCCCGCCTCAACCCCCTTGCACTCCCTTTGCATCGATCATTTTCAATGCACCATGTTCCACCAGTACCCGAATAACATTGCCAAAGGCTTTAAACTGCTGCTAAGTGGGATTGACGCCAAGGCCGTACCGGAAACGATTCTCCAGACACTCTCGGAACGCCTGAATGTACAGCAATATCTAGTCAAGACCAGGGATAACATAATCATCGATCAGAAATCGGCTTGTTCAATTGTACTCGCCATAGAATGCCTAACCATTTTATCGGATCAGCTGAAGAAAAGTCGACATGAACAGACCACCAAGTTGTATTCGATTTGGGGTAATCATCTCGGATTTGTAACCCAATTTGCGGAATATTTTATTAAAAATATTGTGTGCCAACAGTTCAGATCAGATGCACCCACCTCAGTCATGGAGAAAGGTGAGCTCTTACGTTCAGAAAATATATTTTAGTTGCTTTTGAGACTGATGTTTTAGTTTAGAATCAACTTTAGACTTAATTATTTACGTATTTCAGAGCTCCGAGATGTCTTCCTGATGATCCTCAATGTCTGGACGCCACTTTTGGAACCTATTCCACCCGATGGACTCGCTCCATTCAACCCATCTGACTCTCAGATTGCGGATGTCTCAGTTGTTCAGCCGTTTATAAATTTGCTTATATGGCTTCCCTACTCCACATATTTGCCTCCAGGATCAGAGACGGTCGAAAGCTTGGTCTGGCAGTTCTTTTCGTCAAAGTTGTCGCAACTTCAACGAGCAGGAACGTCCCATGTCTTCAGCGTTTATGTAGGTGTCATGGATAAGGTAAATAATTGATGTTTTTTAGGAAAAGCGTTTTGTATCATTGAATTGGGCTAGATTCTGGCCAACGTTGATGGATTTGGCGTCGATTGAGCGTGTGTGCACGGATGGTTCGCCCGAGGCGATGACTTTAATCACGGATGTTATGGTCCGAATCCAATGGATACAGCTGATCCAAGGGCAAATGAATCAGCCGTTAGAGGCTCATCGAGCCTTCCACTCACTCTTATTGAGTATTTTGGCCAGATGCGCGTATCGACAGCAGAATTATGCGGTAGGTTGGAGTATCAGGTATATTGTACATGACGATTTTGATGATTAATGCATGAAAGACTTCTTTACTTTGCAGAAGTCCCGAGCGTCGGTTGAGAAATTGCTCCGAGACTTCTTATCGCTTGGCTATTGGTCCATGGTGAAAGTGGAATCGGTTGAAAAGACATCTAATTTTATATCAACATCATTCCCAGTCGATTCGTTGACCAATGGAAACAGTATTATCACCGCCTTCAATAAGTACGTGGGGAAATAAAACGGGCTGTTTATTAACGAAATATGGTTAAATTTTATAGTAATTTGTAACATGTTACAGTATCTGGAAAGAAGTTTGTTTCTTCACCACAACCCAAATCCGCCAAAGCTTTGACCCAACTGCAAGTGATCCAGAAATCATTGCCAAGAAGCAGAGTCTCTACATTAAGGCAGATTTACAACTTCTTTTGAGGTCAAAGCTGAGCGAACAAGACCAATGTCGCCATTACAAGGAATTACTGGACAAAGTCTGCCTCTTAATTGGAGCATCCGAGAATTATCGGGCTCAGGCCGATGTTGCCAGAGAGCTGATCAGTTTCTGGCCGCAGGTTACGAAACCCAAAATTCTGGAAGGTTTATATCAGACGTTAATTCAATGGCTAGAAGATCATCCAGATTCGACCTTGTTACTACTGGTCTTGACCTCAACAGTAAATGCATTGGGAGTGACGTCACCTCAAATGTGCCTTAGGCTACTTGACTGGACCATTAGAATCTATTTCAAACGTAAGTTTTTAATTTTGGAAGAATTTTTATGTTATCCATGAGGTCGATGATATTGTAGTTGGAAAAAGTGGAGGTCTTTTTTGATATTTTTACTGGAAGATATGGAAAATAGGGTTTATGGCCAGAGGAGGGGTTTTTAATGCCAGAAAGGAAAATTTTGAACATGATTTTCATGTTATACTTTATACCTATTTTCATCGTTCTCAATTTTAATTGTGTTTTTGGTTTCAGGAAGACTGTCATGCAATTGGAATGAAGTTTGTAATCTGGTCACTCTTTCCAGCCCACTGAAGGAATGGCTATATGCAACTCCCAGCTCGGATTCAGGGAATGAACCTCGATTTCTGGTGTTACATACAAACATCTTGACGGAAATGAGCAAAGCCTCAGCTTCAGATGAGCAGAAACTGATTCGCAGGATTTCCGATTATTTTAGCACCCTAAAGCCAAAGTAAGACCATTTTGTTCTAATTTATACTGCTTTAGATACATTAATTTCGAAGCCGGCTTTGTCCTTTGCATCGATAAATGGCTGAAATTGGTGGTAAAGCAGTATTCGAATGGAATTAATGTCGCCACAGCCAATGCAAACCTTGATTCGCTCCAGGAATTCTTGAAGAAGACGTTCACCGAAGAGAAAGGCGTCTCTTTATTCAACGTGATGGCCATCTTCAGCAAGAAATCAGCGTTCCCACCCAAGATTCAATTGGTCTGCCAGATTCTGAATTTGTATCTAACCCAACAACAAACCAGCTCAACACAATCCCCAAGACTCCAGGGCACTCAAGCCGTCCTCAATTCAAGGCAATCAGCCTTTAAAGACATCAGAAAAGAGGCCACAAGACAGTTCACCAGCATAGATAATATCGAGGCCCTTTTCCAGCAACTTTATCCATATTTCCATCAAGTCAATGCTTTCACCCTTCTGCAAGCGAGTGACCTAATGGTTTTGGTCATCAAATTCATCTATCCGAACAGTCACAAGATGATCAGGGCCTTTGAATGACCTTATTTTAGACACCATGTAAAATAAGATGGGTAATATAATATAACTCTTTCCTTATTTACACTATATTGTATGTATAGCGCTATGTTAATCCGCTCCCCTACGCCTTATTTTGTTAGCCCGGGTCTTAACACTTTTGTTGAAGTATTATATTGATATTGTTTCATACAGCTAGCCCATTAACTTTGTAAATACAAATTATTTAATATTTATACAGAGTAAAGAATTTACTGTGCTGAAAAACATTTTGACTCAAATGTTTGAGACATTGAGAGTATTGGAAATGATATTTGAAGCAAAATAGGCATGATTTATATTGTTTTAGATGCCAGAACATCTAGAGCAGATGCTGGATTCCTTCAAAGAGTCGGGAGAACATTATGAACCCGAGGATATCGTCGAGAAATGCTTGGTCTACAGTGATATGAGATCAATCATATTGGCATTGTTGGAGAGAAGGTTTATTGATATGGGAATTGTGGGTAAGATAATATAAAATTTGGTTTTAAACATAATCAAATAACGGTTTGGAAAGTTGAGATTGTTCTTTAGGACGTATCGAGAATTACTGCGCCCAATTAGACAAGGACAACGATCGGAAACTAACGTTTACCGAGCTCCGAAGGAAAATTGAGGAAAGGAAAGACCTCCTGATCCCAGAACCCCTTCAAATGGAAATTATGCGAATGTCAGCGGATTTTGTAGATCGATTTTATCCCCCTAGAAATGGTCATCCTACATTTTTGAGGCCTTTGGGCAATCAAAAACCCAGCGAATCTCCCAGTCCATCATCATCTTCTTCTTAGTGTAATATAGAACTTATTTCTTATCGAAGTTTGTATTTATTATTTCAAATATCTTGATTTTAACGGGTTGTTTGTAAATAAACAAATTTGTACAAACACTTCGCTGTTTGGCGATTTTTTGGTGGCTTTAAAATTTGTGACACTTCGCTATTGGGGTTTAACGAAATGTCAAAAAATAAATTTATTTTTCATCAAAAAATTTCAAAAACAGCTTGCATAATTTTTCAAGATGGTTGTCGAAGTGGTCGAAAAGGACTTTTATTTCCAGTCAGATTGGCACAGAACAGTAGAGTAAGTATTTTACAGCATATAACGTTAATTGTCATGTGTAATATTGCTTTTAATTGTAGAGAAAAACAAAAGGATACAGAAATCTTTATGGGATATGTTGATGGTGAGCGTGAGCTGAATGTTACAATTCCTATTAACAAATGGAATAAAGGTTACAGCGACGAGAAGGTTCAACTCCAAGAACTGAACTCTCGACTTTTAAATGTCAGGATAAACTCGCTGAATTTGGATTTTTTGGTAGCTGCTCCAGCATCTGGCAAGTAAAATTTTTGATGTTTGATTTTTAGGTAATAAAATTGAAAATTACATCGCTGGCGAAAAAAGTTGTATTTTTTAGTCATGAATAATATTATTTTCCAGAATCCGAGCAAGTTGGACCTCAACCTTTCATCGACGTGTCTCCCTCAGGGAATTTGGGTATCTCAGCGTCCGATTACAGCACAATCAACACCTGGGACACGTCCAATTTCAGTACTTTGAGATCTTTGGAAGGCCATGCTCTTGACGTCGAAGTCGCCCGTTTCTTCCCCTCAGGGCTAGTTGTCCTCTCCGGTGGAATGGATATGACCGTCAGGATCTGGGACGTGAGGGATGGAGGGAATGCAAGAACCATGATTGGTCATAAAAGGCGTAAGTTATATTGAATTTGGTGTTTTGATTTCTAGGTGTGACTGGTCTCGAATTCATCGATAAAGGAGCTGAAGTTCTGTCTATCGGAGCTGATGGATCGTTGAATAAATGGAACTGTGCGGTTGGAAAGTCTGTTGGGCAGATTGTTTATGAAGATTCAGAGCTGACAAGTCTAAGTTGGCATGAAAAGGATAAAGTCCTGCTGATAGCTTCCAATAAAGGCCGGATCAGACTTGTATCCGCTGAATTCGAGGAGCTTGTAAGTGAATTCACTTTATTTTTTGGTTTTAGGCGTCAAAAATTTACTTTATGTAGTAATTTATCTTATTTTAGGTATCATTTGACCAAGATCAGGGAGTTTCTTCGGCAGCCTCGGATGGAACTTTTATATACGCCGGGCTTTTTAATGGCTCGATATTGACTATCGATTCGAGATCAAAGTAAGCTTTCTGTTTTAAATGTTATTGCTTTAGGGAAGTTCTATCGATCTACCGGACAAACAGAGGTCGAGTTCACAAAATTCAGATCTATGGAGAAGGCCTGCTGATTTCGTTCGGTAGGTGACCTGACAATTCCTTTAATTTTTTACGATGAAAGTATCGGATGACAAAATTTATATTACACTTGATACTAACCTACCAATTTCAGCTAATGGATCCGTCATTCTTTACAAGAGGGAGCCGCAAACTCTAAAACCAGTCTGCCTTTTTACCGGGGCCGATCTGCAACCCGTTTATGACTTTGCAGTCAACGAACATCTCCTGTATACAGCTGGAAAAGATCATTTTGTTAGAAAATATCGGCTACCGGCCCTGTGAAATATGAATTATTTTGTGCTAATTGTAACGGTGATTTTATTTTTAGTAAATACGGGTGTTTTTCCGTTCACTTTTGTACTTTAGAGATCTCTTGTACATAGGTTTCATCGTATAAAATTGCTCGGGCGCAGATCGCAGGAAAAAAATAATTCGAAAATAGAAAAAAAGGTGAAGATCGAGGGAAAGTTGATGCAGTAGCTTGATTTGTTGAGTTCTATGTCGATTTTATCTTCTAAAATTGTGGTTTAAAGGTAAGTTACTTTTTTATGTTGTTTTATGAATTTAGATGTATTCCAAACTGATTATTCACCGAAGTGGGCCTTCTTGTTGTGTCCAATCCGTCAGATGCAAGGCAATGCGATATAAGCCCAAAATAGCTCCAGTAAAACAACAAAAGAGCCCGTCAATGTTGGCGTTAGACCACTTTGATTTCTATTATGGACCTTTGTTCGGAAAGAGATGGCCTTCGATAAGATTGGGACTTTTAACTCAACACAAATACGTTGCAGTCCTGAATCGACTCAGTTTGGATCAGGAGCGTAATCAGGAGATCTTGAAGGACCTGGGGACAGTTGATATGATGGAAACGTTGACTCGGGGAAGAGAAAGATTTGAGAGGATGAAGGAAAAGGTCTCAAATTTTGATGGAATCGTTGAGGAAGAAGCTAAAGAGGGTGTTGAAAGCGCTGAGAATGTCGAGAATGAGGAAACAGGGGAAATTGATCGAGTTCATGGGGGATTGGAAGAGTTCACACCTTCTGGAGGCGATTATCAATTTGGACAAATGAAAGATTCGATTACAGAGAAGGTGCCTGATGTACAGTAAGTTTATTTCTTATTTCCTTTTTTGTTTTTAGGGAACGAAGAAGCTATCTAAATATAAACTTTGTCGTTTAAAGCATTATATTATCTATGAGCATTCTAGTATAACTGGTCTCGAGTTTCTCCAATCCCAACTAAGAACAGAAGAAGGTTTAATCGAATATCCACGAGACCTCAGGATCTACTCTTATGCACGCGATGTCTTTGACAACTTCCCGGCACCATTAAAGGACAAAAATGGAATCTCGAGTGAGATTGTCATGAGTAATATCTGATTTGGATTTAGGCTGGTGGTTGTTGGATGGTGGCTCGGTTATACCAGTATTGGCCTTGGATTTAAAAGACGACGACAACGTGTTAGATATGTGCGCATCGCCTGGGGGCAAGAGCTTGATGATCATTCAGACTGAAAAATTTGGTGAGAAATTTATGTTGTAGTAGGTAAAATGGGGATAAGAAAACTCTACAATTTGGGCAACGTTCTTTTTTTTGTCTCCATAGGGGTACTCGGTACTTCTGTTTAACTTTTTGTTCTAACTTCAGCGACCTTAACTTGTAATGACGGAAAACTCAGTCGGTTTGGTCAACTACGCCGCGGCCTCTCGATGTATGTCCCAGTAAGCTCCCCGTTAAATGAACGGATCATCCTCAAACGAAAAGACGCCGGTTCTTTGGAAGGATGGGATGAAGAAGATATCTATGATAAGGTCCTGGTGGATGCTCCATGCACAACTGACCGCCTTTCTGCAACTAGCGATGAGGGTAATCTGTTTGGCGCTGGATTTACACAGGAACGGTTGAATTTGCCACAGTTACAGACCAGATTATTAATGTGAGTACCATGGATAATATAATCATAGTTGAAATTTGGGGATTTTTGAGTCGTAAGATAATTCAAATGCTTGTTTGACACCTAAAAGTATTTCAGAAATGCCTTGAGATCAGTCCGAATAGGCGGATCAGTCGTATATTCCACTTGCACCTTATCCCCAGCTCAAAATGAAAGTGTCGTGGAGAACGCAGCGACTCTCGCCAGTGAACATTATGGTATCGAAGTGGTCGAACAGAGCCTAAAGAAGATGCAGAACCAGTTGATGAACACAACCTTGTACCGGTTCTCCGAGAATCCGCAGCGCGGCCTTCTGGTCGTCCCCAATGTTCGCTCCAATTTTGGTCCCATGTTTATCTGCAAATTGATTAGGAAAAAATAAAATTGTTATTTGTTGAGCTCCAGGCTTCTAATTACACACGGTTTCACCCATTGTTATCTTGTTGTTTGATTGTTTTTCACGTTGATTATATTGTAGTAGGCAATAAATCAAAATTTTGTCGAGATCGTTGCAATTTTCTCGGGTAATGAGTTCCAAAGCGGGTAAAAAGGCCAAAACGGGTGAGAAGAAGGAAGTCATAGAAGATGAAGCTGTTTCACTCACCAAAGAGGGAGATATTTTGTTGAGAGTTCATGCAAAACCTGGCGCCAAATTAACCTTGATTACTGGTGAGTCGAGTTAAGCGATGAGAATTAGTCTAGATCTCAGCGCCGAAGCGATTGGAGTAGCGTTGGCGGCCCCACCAAGAGATGGACAAGCGAATGAAGAGTTATTGAGGGGAATGATGGAGTTCTTGGGGCTGAGGAAGAATGAAATCGAATTTCAGAAGGTAAGGGCGGCATTAATTTGTGGAATGATAGAACTATTACGAGGCCAGAGAAGATAGAATATCGCCAAAATTTTTGTAGTTGATTTAGAAAAGCGTTCGGATGAAAAATTTATATTTGGGGGATCAGATGTCATGGTGAAGATACGAAAGTCAAATTTTAGTCTGAGAAACGATGCAAAGAGCCTTAGGGGAAATCAATCGACTATTTTAAGGGTTGACGGATTATCTTGCTTGTTCTTTTGACAGTTCAAAAGTTTAGAGATATTTTTATAAAATTAGGGTTACTGTAGGCAATATTTGCTTTAATGTCTTCAAAAGTAGATACAAATGGGCGAGCTCTTGCTTATATATTACTTTTATAGTCCATAGTTAAACTTTGCGTGTCAGAATGACAGGTTTTCTGGGGGTTTGAAGTAAAAATTCTTATTTTTTTTTATTTTTTTGGCCTAAAATAATAAAACTTGATGATTAAAAATATATAAAATTTAGAATGTACTATATGGGCGTATATGTTCCTATTAGTATAATTGTGATAGCATTTCTTTAAAATTTATTTTCAGGGTGCCAAAAGTCGAGACAAAATGCTGCTGATCACCTCCAAAAAGTATACGGTAGATGAAATCAAAGCCAAATTAAAAGCGAATATCCAATAAATATATCTTGTTATTTCGGGCTTTCTCTTGCATGGTTATTATCCCATTGCTATTTCTTGTTTTTGGGATGCAACAGATTAACTGTAGATAAATGAAAGATGTATCCCTCCACCTTTGTGACACACGATGAAAGAGCCGATTGTCTGGACAGATGGATTAGTGAAAGGTAATCCAGAGAGCTGCGATGGGTCTGTTATTGCATGAGTTTGCAGTAAATGGCAAATGATTTAGCATATGCAATACAAAAATTGTGTTTTGGAGACCTGAATGCCTAGTATAATATAGTTTTATTTTGGAATTGCAAAAAGAAATATTAATATTAGCCTTTTTGTTGCAGCTGTGACATCAAGGAGGTCAACATCTCAGTGTTTGCGTTCTTGACTCAGATTGGGAAAAATAAAATTGTAATTGATTACGTAAATGACAATTTGACCCGAACAATCTTCGAAAATGAGGACTTCCGAGACCTGATGAGCGATGTGAGTCAAGGAAAAGTGGATTTAAACAGAGACGACCGGGTAAATTAAATTGTTTTAGGCGAAAGTTACCTTAATTTATGTTATACTTGAGAAATTTGGCGATTTTAGGTGGAAAAAGTGCTAACAGACATTTTCCTGGAGATAAACAAACAATGTACGAAGCTGAACCGAGACGGTGAGGATGGCGCGGCAATAGTTATGACCATTTTTATCAACGATTTCTTTTACACAGTGGATTTCGGGAATATAATGTAGGATTCCCCTATCATAATGTGATGTGTTTAGTGTCATTTTGGGCAAAGATATCGGCGATCCGAACGATCTGGCGCTCTTTCCGATGACCGAAGGCCAGGAGGGATTGATGGATAAAATGGGATTTTTTGGATGTAAGGATCAGAAATTGAGACCCAAAGTGGTGGGAAGTATACAAGTAGGGGGCTGAGACCAGTTTAGAGGGCTTGCAGATGAACAAATCTATCAAATTCCTGATGTTTGCCAACGCTTCGCTCATAAACTTGGTGATCGCTGTAAAACATGATGACGAAACCACCGGAAACAGCTATTTGGCATCCATTTTGTTGGAGAAATTGAAAAATAACAGGTAATTTGTGATTAGTGGAGTGCATTTTATCACTTTGTAAAAATGAAATTGGAGAAAACTTGTAAAAATTCCAAAAAAAATCCGAAAAAATGAAAAATTTCGAAAAATGTGTCATAATTTTATATTTTAGCGACATTACCCTTCAGATGGAACAGACTCTATCCGACATCGCCATGACCTACAAATCCATCACCAGCGACTCCAACCATCCCGGTCTGGCCATGGCCTACCTCGATTTGAGCAACGAAATCAAACAGGACAAGATGGAGAAGGTCGAGACCGAGGGTTTGGTGCCGAGTTACGTCGATTGGAGCGACTTTTACAACAGCCCCAACAAGGATGAGGTTATTGTCAAAATCGAAAGCCTTCGGACCTATTACGACAGCAAAAAGAACCTCTCGAGCATCGCCGAAGACTAGGTGATCACACAAAATCTGAGGTCTAACAACTTTGATCTTTGATCAGTACAACAGACTCCATAAATGTACAGTGAATAAACGACAACCCGTTATGGTAGATTATGGTGTTACGGTAGAGCCTAGTAAACAAAAAATTCCAAACAGATACAACCAAACAGTTTATGCACATACAAAAACAGAGAGAAGAACGGGTTTAGGCAGCCGTGACGGGCAGAACGACTTCACCGGCTGGAGGACCGGCCTTGAAGGGGGCCTGGGGGTCAGTGGCGTCGGCGGGGACCTCAGCGTACTGGATGACCATCTTGTCTTCCTTTGGGGCTCCGTTCTGAAAATGGGAGAGATTAATTTTATAATGGAGGACAAACTGATACTTCTGATAAAAGCTTATACACCTAGTTTGAAGAAAAGAGCAAAATTATGTCAAAAATCAATGGTAACAGACATATTTTGAACAGTAGAAAGGCCATGATTGCCCAAAAATTTGCAAGCACAACCCTAAGCCTAAAAGCACCTCTGTTTTATCCACAAGCCTAAGCTTTCCCCCACAAGTAGCTCCAAAACCTACCAAACGGGTGATCTCCAAAGCGGACGAGGCTCCGGGCTCGATGAATCCGAAGACGGGCTTCAGGCGGTACTCGTTGTTGTTGGAGGACTTGACCTTGAAGGCGAGACGGGTGGCGCCCGAGTTGTTGAGCTGGTGGGTGGAGGTTCCACCGGCGGCGGGGACCTGGCAGGCTGGGGGATCGACAGCGACGGAGGCCATGGTGTTCTTCTCGAGCGGCGAAACGAACCGAATGATGTTCTCCCAAAGAATTGCACCGCTTTTATACCCCCGGAACAGCGGGAAATTAGCACGTACGAATATGCTAATTTGTTTCTAATTTTCCCAAATTTTTTGAAATTTTTTTTGAAGAAATTTAAATTTTTGAAAAATGCAAAATTTTGCGGTGGGTTTTTGGGGAGGGCATGACTTCAGCGACAAGCTGGGATTAGAGTGAGACAGTAAATTGTATGGGGCAATTACTGGCTTACCGTTTACAGGTTATCCGGCGCTCTTTGTTCTGTGTTTTGGTTGTTTTCGAATGGAAATGTTATTTTCTCTGGATTTGAAAGGATCTTTAATAAAATTTTTAAATACAGAGATTTTTTCGGGTTTTCTCATATTTTTGATGCAAAAAGCAAAATTTAAAAATTTTTTAACAAAAATGAGATTTTTTATTTTTTTTTTGGTCTGAAACCCTAAAATACGATAGTAAAATGCAGTTTATATGAGTTGAAAATGCTGTTTATTTACATTAGCTTTATAAAATCAGCGTATTTTAAATTCTTTTTGCATAGGTTTCAATTTTTTCGTTTGGATTAAAATGTATAATATTTTTCTGAATTCTGCGTCACTTGTTGATCAAAAATCCCAAAAAGTTTTTTTTTATTTTAGCCATTTTCCCGGCATTCCTAAAGTTGTAACAAAGTAAACTTTTTCGGGGACTTCCGCCCCGATTCGTATTCTCTGGACCTACATTTCGACTACTTTGTTTACTTCCATTGTTCGCGGTCATCGGATTCGATCGTATCTCTTTCATTTCGGTTATTTAAATTGTATTTTTGCTTTGCAAAACCGAAAAAATATTTCAATTTTTCCGTGTACAATTACTTTTTTTATCAACAAATAAAAAAAAGGTTTTTTGCTGTTTGTAAATCACAGTGGCAAATGTAAGCACGGGGGCGAAAACTGTAGATGCCCTTAGGGTCAAGAGCTATAGAAATTGGAAATGTAGCCGATGCTTTGAGGGGTTGTGTAGATTAATTTAATATTTTTTTGGTGTTTCTTTACTTTTTTCAAAATTTACAAGGCAAAAAGCTAGGTGATTTACCTAGCTTTTTCGGAGGCAAAAAGCTAGGTGATTTACTTATTTACAAAAAAAAAAAATTTGGTCGATTAAATGATTTTAAGAAATTTTAAAAATAAATATTTATAATATTATCCGGAAGTGTAAATCTTAAACGATGTTGTAAAGAAATATCTTTGAAAATCCTAAAAATAAAAAAATAAATAAATAAAAAATTGATTACTGTAATTTGTCATTTTAAAAATTAAACTTAACATAATGAAAATTTCAAAAACAAAAAAAATTTTGAAGTCTATTTATATACTTTTTTCATGGCATTATAACGTTGTAACGCTCTATAATTAAATCCTTTCTTTGTGATGAAAACCCGAAGCACTGTTAGAATATTTACATTCATAATAAACTAGCTGAAATAAACATTCAATTGCACGTGCGCTTTGCCTTCGGGTCAAAAATAAGAGTAACGGCGTTATTAATTTATTCGCGCTTAAAATAGTTTGACGTGATCTAAAGACCTAATTCGTTTCATAATAATGCATGGCGATATCGTCCACAAATATTTTTCCTCTGTCTTCCACATTTCTTACTGTCTCTCGGAACTTGTTGAATATCACGGCTGTATATTACAGTTTTCAATAATTGATTTGCACAGAAAATCATCCATTTTCAAAGCGAAACCCTCGGCCACTTGTTTGCTTCCTGATCTCTAGCCTTGTTATTCTAAACCCAAATTCCGCGTCCTTTTTCCTCGTCCAGTGACTCGTGAACGTGATGTTCCAACGTGATTATGTTTCCATTTCCTTGAGATTTCCCATCAATCACAAATCTTGTCACCTCATCATTCCCCTGAGGGCATTCGAATCCGTCTTCGAAGATCTCAAAAAGAAGAGATAAGAGGGCCAGGAAGGGGAAGATAATGGCCTCTTTTCTGAGATTTCTTTAAGTTTCAGAAGTGTTTAATTCAAGGTCGACAGTAATGTCATGTTTACGTTAATATATGTATTTATGTTGCGTAATTTTCGGAGAAATAGTTGAAATGGAAAACACGTTATTTTCTTGCCATAATTGGTGTTTGAAAATAATTAATAAAATAAATGACATCATCAGATAATAAACGTTACTGAGTAATTTTTGTTTGATTCTACATCTTTCCTCTATGATTTTTTAACCCCATTTTTTTGAAGCTACGGTACATTTATCTCATAAATCGTATGACCTCATGTTCCATTTCATTTTTTAATTTCTTTATTTTTGTTCCTTTAAAAAGCTCTTATGAAGCCCGTCATTCCAGATCCCTTTACATTCGCCCTCTTAGACATACGAACCCTTATAACAATGTCATTCTATACTCTCTTACATCAATGATCATGGGTGTAATAAGTCCGTTCGTACCTCAATTTAAACGTTCGAATAGACAGGTTCAAAATTTGAATTACGAGTTATGACGTTAGGTTAAATAACAATTTGTTTTGTGGGCGATATATTTGAGTAATCGCTTGCAAGGAGAGGCCTGGGTTCCGTCGTTTTTGGGGGTAATTTTTGGCATTTTTCAGATTTCTTGGAGGCAAAAGTAGGATGCAAGTTTATGAGGTCCTTGTGACTGGAAATGACGAATCAATTTTTACATAAAAAATTTTTTTTGGCTTTCAATTTTTTTTGTTTTACTTCAGAATCTCTCAGCGATTTTTAATTGGAAAATTAAGATTTTTTCTCTAAAATTTTTCTTGCCGTTTTCCACTTATTCCTGATGTTATTGTTATCCAAACCCCTCCTTTATCATCAACTTGACGTCGTTTGTAAATTCCAATAACATTTATCATTTTTACAACGAATGTTCAGCCAAACAGGCATTTTTTATATTATACTACATAATTATTACTAACTGTGTTGTTTTCGCTCCTTTTAATTCGTCGAACTGGAGGATAAAGGACAATTGGAGAGTTATGACTTCTCTGGTATTGTATTCGGCAAATAACAATGGCGACAAAAGAAGGATTTGTCTGGTCGATGGATGGCTTTGCCAAGGGCAAAGGAACTAAAAGTCACGAAGAAAATCGCCTGAATTTGTTTTAAACATAGTCCCCCGGGATTTGCGAGATATTTTGAGATAAAATTTAATTAAGTGGGGAGTCAAATCTTTTCAGAACACTTCGTTTTACAGTTATTCTTGGGGATTAAATTCAAAAATTGAATTTTACGGCTTCAAAAAAATTTTGTCCAAAAATCCATAATAAAAATTTTTAAAGTCATCAAAAAAAATTTTGGTCACTGTAATTTCTTTATATTTTTGCTCAATTTAAAAAAAATTTGGATTTTTCCCGTTACTGTTAATTACAAAAATTGTAATTAAAACAAGTTTAAATACTCAGAATATAAGGGACAAACATAACTCGAACTTCTTTTAAATCTAGGCCGTAGACAGTAACCAGTAATTTTTTTCATAGCACACAATAATTTACCGGGCGATTTGAGGGAAATTTTATATTACACTAGGCAATCTGAAGGGAAAATTGACGAAAAAGTAAACTTTTTGGTGGTTCTTTGAAGGGCAATATATGTAAAACAAAATTGTAGGCCTCTTGAAAGTTGTCTTGGTGTTTTCACGATTGATGGCGAAGACGTGACAAAGTTATGGCAATTTTTCTTTCAAAAACGTTTCTGAAAGAAATATTTTTTTTTGATGACTATACCTGAATTGATTCAAACTTATCGGTGATGACGTACTCCCTACATCATTCTACTTCCTCATTGCAGCCTTTCCGTATAAAATACCACGCTTTTTGATTGCATTATTCGCAGATATCTAGTATAATATAAAAGCGACGGCAATATGCAGCGAGATGTAGTTAATTCCATTCGTTCCAAAACAAAGCGCCACTCCTCTGTTCTTTGACATTCTCTCCGCAAGTAAACAATGGTCTTTTAACGGCCTTATTTTCAAACAAACTGCAGGCATTTTTGGTGGCCTTACCGTAATCTATTTACTGTCTTCCGTGTTATGAGTTCGAGGACACTCCCGGTTTGTTCTGCTAAGCGTGAATCCTTAAAATGCTCCTCAAAATTTTAGGGCTTTTGGATTCGGCGACATTTTATACGATAAATTTTTTCTGGAGAAAAATGGTAAACAGTCCAGAGGTTGCGCTTTCATAAGATTATAGGTCTCTTATTCGTGTAAAGTTACTGCTATTTTGATTTTTGACGTTTTCCGAAAAGGTGACATTTTATACGAAAATTTATTGTTTGCATAAAAAGTTGCAAAGACCTGTAAAAAGCGTCATTATGTCGTTGTTTGAGTTATCTATGGTCTTTCAGCGTCTGATTCTGCCCTGCAAATCTTGTGATTGTCGTTTGGATAGCGTTTTATTTCTTTGCCAAAACTGGAAATTTTCTATAAAATCGGTCACTATGACATGACCCTAGTATTTTTTTTGAGTTCAAAAATTTTTTACAACAGTATTAGCAAACAATTACAGCATTTCTTTTTAAAAAAATTAACAATTTCTATGTTTTCAAACTGTCATCATGACATGTTTTTCCAAAGTTCAAAAGAATCGCTAAAAATGGCCTTGATGTCCCCGATATTCTTGATGAATAAGTTGTTTACAATTCTCTGATGGTCCTTCTCCTTGAATAGTGCTTTTCGTCTCCACACAAGAGACGGATAAGATAAATCTGCTCTTCCACAAGACCTCAACTCCGTCTGTAACTGACATCCGCTTGTAGAGGATGCACTTTTCCGACATCTTCAGCTGACATTCCGCGGCAATCATCTGCACTGTAAGAAGTCGTATTGAGAGTTTTCAAAAAGGGTAGCCTCCGCCTGTTACAACTTTTATATTTTAATTGTAGGCATCGTGAATCCGTATAGGAACGGCGTACTCGACCGAACAGCCACTTGTACCTTACAGGAAAGCAGAAATTAACAAAGGCTGGAAGCGTTTTTTGGACTCTCCATGGCGTATTTTCCTCTGACTTTCGAGTATTTCAAAGGAAGGGATACGTGTTTTTTGAGATTGGCAAATGTCTCAAACAGTAGCTGATACATTATGCATTACTATCGCATGCAATTTTCGAACATGCCCTGAGGCATTCTCATTGGGAAGCATCGAATTCCGGCCATTAGTGTTTTAGTTTCATCCAAATGGGCTCAGCTTTGATAGTATTAAAAATCACCGATTTTTGAGGTATTTCAAAAAAAATATATGTATTTGTTTGATTTAAAAAATTTTAAAATTGCGTGTTGGTCTGTGAGCAGTTAGTCGGCAGTAAAATATTCTTTAACTGAAAATGCCTTGTTTTGGCCATCAAATGAGTTATGATGACGGATTTTCTGGACATCCCAAAATATCCTAAAAAAGCTTAAAAATAATGCTTTTCTCTATGTGTGACTTTTGACCCATTATTGTCGTATTGTCAACGATTATATAATAGAAAAACGGCTGTAATTTGACTCTAACTATGGGAATTTCATTTAGAGTAAATAATAACAAAGAGGAGTCTCTCATAGAATTTAATCTATTCTGAGTGTGTTTACCCACTCTTTATTCTCTTATTCAAGAGCTTTTGAGGTCATATTGGGCTCCCAAAGTTTTCGTGGCGGGACCAAACTCAGGTGAAAAAGTGTTAATTTTAAACTGTAAATGTATTGCCGAGTTCTGGGAAGGGTGTGAATTATTCAATTAGGGTTTATGCTTTCCGGTTTCTCCTGTTTTTCTGCTTTTCCACCTGGATTTGTATTACTAATTTCATCATTTTTGCCATTTTCCCTGCCCTCCAACGCTGTGAAAGATTCTCACGGTGCCCAGATCTTGGTGAAACTTTTGACAAATTTAGATTCGTTTTTTCTATGATATCCGCGATATTTTTATTTTGCGTTCTGCGAGGATTATAGAGGGTTTCAAAATTTCGAAAAATTCCAAAAATTTTAAAAATTTTTTAAGGCGCAAAGTTGGCATTCTGTTTCAGATGTATTTATATCTTTTTCTACCATAACTCAATTCTTTCCACTCGAAATTCGCAAAGATACAGACGAAAAACGTTTTTTCTCTGACCGTCTCTCCTCATTTTGCGTATATCGCGGGTGTGCCTACAAATTAGAAACTAAAACTTTGAAGGATTGATTTATGATTAATTTAGAGTTTATCTGCCAAGTTTTAGGCAAATCTGAGGACTTTGCTTGTCTTGTATAATAAAGTTGATGTATGGTCGTTTTATCTCAATCCAAAAGCATATGGCTTTACCTCTAAGCGGTTTATTTCCTAAAAAGTAATATTTTGGCTGTCTGCCGCCTAAAACGCTTACATTTTCCTCATTTTCCGATCCAGGGCATTTTCTTTAAAGCAATTACTGTAGCCGATTATCCATGCAGAACAGACACGTCAGATTTTGACGGCGCTCCTTTCTCTATCAAATTTCTTGGAAATTATGTATTGCGGGGTGTTCCAAAATACACGGCATGCGACTGACAACCGAATTTAATGCCTGGTTTCTCTCCCTTCCCCCTATTCAGACGACCCAAATAAGGGCAGGAATTTGGAGGGAAAGTGGGCGCTGCACATGAGTTAAATAAAATGATTACAGTTTCGAGGGGGAATCAACGTGCACGTAATCCGTTTTGCACGGGTTTTTGTACTCTAAAAAGTTATCGGAGTGGCAAAAGGGGCCATAAAAAAAGAAATTGTAACGCCTTGAGGCGATGAGTTTGATTCAGGGTAGCTCGTCTCAGAAATTTGAATTCTAATTTGTCTTAATCTGCATCAAGTTTTCAGGTGCCTACAACATTAATTTTTGATGTGCTTTCACTGTTTGGACCATTTCCTTGTCACTCTAATAATTATTTTAAGAGAGCGAGCACATCAAGTGCGATCCTTCAATTTTGACAAGGCCAGGCCCATATTTAGATATTTAGAATTCAGTTTTCCGAACATTCAGTATTTTTAGATGCAGAATTCGAAAGAATTGGGATCTGGTATTCGCAGAGAGTTTAATTTTTCTGGAAAATCATTTTTCCGAGCAAAGTTCCACTAGGATTTACGAAAAAAATATTTTTCTCTGTTTGTCTCACCTCATTTCCTTCGTAGTCCCTCGCGAAAAATCGTTGAATCAGCAGCTCCTTGAAAGTGTCATCTAAATTTCTTAGCCATTACGCTCTGGTCCGTTAAGAATATTCTTGCCAAACTGCAAGGAAATCAGAGAGAGCGCTACCCTTTCAGTTCTCCTTATTTTATCTGAAAGGATGACAAAAAATGTTTGATCAAAGTTACAGTAATCCTTCGCCTTTTAACTGTATTTTTTGCATTTTAAAAGCCCCACTCCTTCTGTGAAGTCCTCGCCAAAAAAACGGCCAATTTATTTTTTGATGTCATAAGTCTGTGGCCGCGTGAAAGTGAGCGTCTAATTCGATCTCCATTATCCCTGCTTTCGCCGCCAACTTGGTCGATTAAATGTGGGGCCGGAGACGCAGGCGGATTCCCAGAATCCGGTATGCTAATTTGGAAAAGGGAGGCATTAAAAAAAGAGACGTTCGACTCTTTAAAGCGGCCCGAATATCAAATAAACGGGATAGTTTTGGGCTGCAAATCTCGTCTTTCAAATTATTTTGCAGAGATTTTTTTAAGGGAAGGTGCTGTTTGCATAACGTTTGGAGCCTATAAAAATTCTTTGAACGGGTTTTTAAAATTTTTTTGGCAGTCTTTTGCCGGACTGGTCCAGGCGATTTTTTTCTCCTGTGGAGCCAAAATAATCAAAAATACGTAATTTCTCTGATCTGAGATCTGATTCAAGGCATTCTCTTACATTATTCAAGCCTTCGAATTCAAATCTAAGAGCTCTAATCGCCTGATTTCCCCTTCAAAGAACACTTGAATCCACACTTTTGATAAGTGACCCATCAAAGTTGCTTTTTTCCCCTTCAATTGGCCTTCTAATTGCCCCAAAAGTTTTCAAAAAAAGATTAAACGAGGCGCGGAGAGTGTGGCCAATTGGGCCGGGAGACTGATTAAGTCGGCCATAATCAGGTTTCGGCCGCCAATTCGAAAAATGAGCAGAATTTTTTGCGCGAGTTTGGGACAAGGAGAAGATGGGTGGGGGAAAGGAACACCGCCGTCTCATATGGTCGGTCATTTGAGGGGCAAAGATGCGTTATTACATTAGAGGAAGGGGACCAAGGAGCACACCAGGATGATCTCCGGGAAGGACACGCTCTACTTTAATATAGTTGTCGCTTCAAAAGGGCAAGCATGTCATTGGAAGGGAATAAAAAGAGCTAGACTGTCCTTTGGTATTCCGTAATGAAACGTCGTACCGTAGGACTTCAGTCTGATTTTTGGTCGCCTCAAAGCTCAGGCGAAGCCTCAGCTTCAGCTAATATTCTATGGTTTGGCTTACGCTGAGTCTCAAAATCAGCCTCGGGCTTAGGAAGGTCTTTTGCGATATTTTCAACACGTTTGCGGAAACGTGGGACGTCTTACGACACGCCAGACAAAATTTTTCTTTTATCTCCCAGCTTGCCATCCCAAAAATTCGACCAAAATCACTGCACGGTGCAGATTTTTTTCGCACAGTGCAATCAATTATTTTTCTTTTTTTGCACGGTGCGTTGATTCTGTTTTCATTGCTCTGTGCACTTTTTGTGATTGTTGATTTTTTGCACTGTGCAATCCCAACATTGCCACTTGCCAAAACATTTGCTTTTCGCACGGTGCAAAAACATCGCGCGAAAATGAATTCCCGCACTGTGCAATCAATCGTTTTCGCTTGATTGCACGGTGCGAAGAAACAAATTTTCGCGTCGCGAAAGGTTTGGGCAAATGCAATGGGGGAAAATCGCGGTCGCACAGTGCAATCTTCTCATCTTTTTTGATTCAAATGCGAAAAATTTTTCGTCGCATCGCATAAATTTTTTGTTCACCAAAATTCCGCTTGCACAGTGCAACAGTTCTTTTTGTGATTCGCACGGTGCAATCTTCTCTTGTTTGTTGCACAGTGCGAATGTTTTGTGTTTGTGACTTGTCGCCTTCCTGCAGCCATTCTCGTAATCCGCACAGTGCGTCATGCATTCATTATGCGATGGATGAGGCTCCTCCTGCGGGCTTCGTGCTGCGATAATCTCTCTGTTTATTGTCGAATGCAACTTTTGAGATGCCCTTTTAAGCGGAAACGAGTTATTTGTGGGCGGTGCCCGCAGGGCATGTTCCGTCACTAAGTTCGAACCCAAATTGATAGGTAAAATAAGGTGAAGTGAGGGTCGGAACAGGGTTTCCGGACCATTTCCCCCTCTGAAAAGCGACGTTCAGGGTATTTTTGGAGATTTTACTGCCTTTTCCCCCTAAATAGCACTTCTGATGTCATTGGAACGGCAATTGGGAGATAATGCAGCCGTTTTACAGTTTTAAAGCCAAATTGTTTGAGGCTGAAATATTTAAATATATGTGATTAATTACATTTGAGATTTAATTTATGCCAAGTTTGACGTCTTTATGACCTTTTTTTATAAATAAATTATACTCAAAGAATTAAAATCGCCAAATTCGGGTTTTATGGAAAATTCCTCACCAAAAACAGTGTAAATTGACGACATTGTTTGGTACAGTAGTCTGAACTCTTCGAATTTTTACATCTCTTGCAAGACCGGTTGTTTCGATTTTTTAAAATTTACTCAATCTTTGGGAACATCGATTTCTGAGAATTTTAGTTCGCATTTTTCTGGGACTGCAGGGGTGTTAAATTCAACGATATTTTTCGACGAGAGAGCACACGAAATGCGGAGAAC